AAGCAAAAAGCACTATTCCGTACTAGGAGTCATTCTAACCCGAATAGGGGTTAATTGGGGCATGGCCGAGGATGATTCCTTCCAAGATTCTTGGGTTCTTCCATTGGCTTGGAAGGGCTTAACGTTGCGCTTTCCCTAAACCGAGACCCCACTAGTTGACAGGGTCGTTCTTGGTATTGAATGGTATTAATTCGTCATCACTTACGGAGTCAGAAAATAAGATACAGTAGTTTGTACATGAAATCCCCCAATCTGGTTTAGTGAGGAGTCATCTTGCATATCCTGGCGTATGCTCAACATTATTTAGTTTACGAATTTATGATTCCAGGGAGGAAAAAAAAAAACCATCTATTCGATTCTTTCTCGATCCTTTGGAAAAATAGAAGGATTTTTTTTTTCTTGTTTGTTTGCTTCAGGGGTTTCCGGTGGCAAATGAGCTCGAATATTGAAGGGACAAAGAATTGGTCTCCACTCCCGACGAGACAATCATCACCACAAAGGTGACTAGGAAGGGAACTGAGTTGTAGAGATTGTCAGGTTGAACGATGAAAAGACAATAGAGAGTCCCTGCACTTGTGTGTGATGCGCATGTAGGTAATACCAGTCAATCTCGCAGCCGCTCCTTGCAACGATCAACAACCCTAGATACATCCCCGCTTTATTGCCGTCTCTGCCCTATGGGATGAAAATCATCGGGGGGAAAAAGGGAAAAAAATTAAAATAACATTTGTATTCTATCCCCCCTTTGTTCTTGTGATTCTGCGGGGACTTGATGTATTTGTCGGAGGATTAAGTCCAATTCTAACGTTACGGCAGAAGGAAGAATTTCGTACCTCTATGTAAGATTTCATAATATATGACTCTTTGAAAGAAAAAAGCTGATCTGTCCCACAAGTAAGATCACTTTCCATCTTATCTTCATCTCCCCAATGCCTTGGTTACGGGCAAGAGGCATTCCAATGACATCATGAAGGCGTACCATTGATGAGCCCACCATCAATTCATTACCCCGTATGCCAAGCGGTAACATTACACGCGACACCGGATTTCAAAATAGATTACCGTATGTAACAAGTATTGATAATTGGCCACATGTGCAGGTGGTGTCTCGTACTCGGGGGAAACTTATCCATTAATGGGTACACAGATATAAGCTAATAGGAACCAGGGGATCTAAGGTCCACCATTCATCGTAGGGCTTCAGGGGTTACGGGGAGGATTCTCAATCTTGGAACATTTCAAATTTCAAATCCCAAACCTCGAAAATAGAAGTTTGACCAGAAATTAAAATCATAGGTCGGATCTTCAGGAGAGAAGGGGGGGGCATTCCAGAAGTTTTGACTCATCTTTCTCCTTTACCCCAATCTTTTCCATACAAAGCGGATCCGACTGGAGACGTCTTCGCAGCCTATTTGTTGCCCTATGCTAAAATTGACTAACTATATGCAGGCAGACCCGGCAGGATGGAACCGTTGCGCCTCAATTTGGCTCGATTTCCTATCGTTCGACCTATCTATCTGGAATCTGAACTTCAGGGTCTACGTAAAAATAAACGGATACTTACTATTGTCTTTTCAGTATTCAATTCTTGTGGGTTCTGTTCAAGTGTCACATCTTGAGCAACTCTAATTCCCAAGTTTCGGTGTATTGTCGGTGTGAGGGAGTTGATATGTCCATAACATGCGCGACCTTCCATTCCCAATCCAATCACTCGTGTTAGCTGCACGTCGGATCCCTCGTTTGCACACTTGACTTTCCCAACAGAAAATTATCAAAATAAACAAGTCGCCAAAGACCAAATCCAAGTTCTGGAAAAACCGGTGAACAGCTCAGCTCCCCCCTCAGCCGTCGTTTCTATACGGCACATTCGATCCCGATTCTGTCTCACCCTGCAGCCACCCCTCGACACAGCCCCATTTAGATCCTTCGATGCGTCTTCGATGCTTTCACATCCTTCCACTCCTGCAGCATGATCATATTCTTACCCCCACTTCTCACCTCCTCTTCCGCTAGAAGGTGAATTTCCGTCATCCTCGGGCCCCTCACGAATGCAGTAGCCCGCCTTTGCTGTAGGAGAAGCCCAGTCGTCGATCAAATAGCGCCGCGTGGCTGGGCAACCCAGCCCAAATCACAACTTTCCCACATCACGAATTCGCATCTACAATGATAACTGGCCACGGCCATGTGACTCATCTGCTTCGGTTCCCCTGTCCCAGCTCGGTAGCAGTTGGTGCAACATTGCAATGGCAGGAGCGGAGATGGTTCGCGCCAACATACGGCGTGTTACCATTCCAGCCTGCCAGGATTAACGGTGATTCCCAGTCCTGTTTAGAATGACGACTATGTCGATGAAAAAGGCTATATCCCCACCGCCAATGAACGCTCTCTGGGCGCCGTGCCCGTTACATCACCTCACCGCTCGACGCGATCTGCACGAGGGGGAGTTTTGATGTGAGGTCTCCGAATTCCCTCCTCCGAGAGATTCCGGCACCTTTCTTGAATCATGGGTGATCAGGCACCGCCTTTATCTTCAATCTGCATGGAAAAAGTCTATCGGATACTTTTCCAGGTTACGAAACTTTATCTGGGAGTCACCAGACATGGAGACATCATCATATAGTACTTATGCCTGCAATGTACGTAGTTTACTTGGCCCCGGATGTTGGATTGAGCGGGTGCATGGACCGTTAACCCGCACCCGCTGACGATTGTCATTGCGCTCGAAGTCGCGTGATTTTGATAATCAAGCAATCTTCAGAAAACCATCACATTTCCTTTCTGGGAAGGTCGTCTGATATCATCTAGAATGCTGGAACATGTCGGTGAAAAGTCGTGGCGCCGAGATATCTGAGCTGAAACCCATGGCCAATGACATCCTGGCACTCATGACTCGCATCGCACCCTAGTAGCCCACCAGCCCATTCCCACCCGGCAACACTTACCGGTATCGCCGTGGAGTCGCTAGGGCTGAACTATAGCAAGCCAGGTCTGCTCTATACGAGTGTCTGAAACCCTTCACGCCCCGCAAATGGCTACTGTTATCTTGATTCCGTTTCGGAGATCGATCCAGGGTATCCCGTGTGATCCGAAAGAGTGTTCTAGCTCAAGACACGTGAGCTTTATTTCCGGCCTCTTTTTTCCTGAAAAGTTTCGCGTTTTCACTGCTACCGTTTCACCATCTGACGGTCTGACTTGCGCGGCATATCGCGGAATCTCCAGCCCACACTGATACATATATTTGAAGCACAGGATTCGCAATTCCCGGTCTCCATACTCCGTACTTTGCCGGCACAGTGGGACATTGCATTTGTTTATTTCAAACAAACCTACGCCGACAATAATCTAGGGGCCTGGGGAAACAGATCACACTAAAGCGGGCAGGCTTTTCGATCTATTTCTGTGGATCTGGGGCTGAACGAAAAAAACAAGGTCTCCACTTCCTCCGAGCCAATCTACCCACATCCACTAGGATATCGGCTATGGACAACGTGGCTTCCAGAAATCTTATGGAATCTGGGACCAACTCCGCCTATTTCTGACACGATTACGTGCAGGAACTGCTGTCAGGCGAATGGATTTTCGCCTAAGTTGAAGTTTCTATAACATTCCCCTTTAGGTCGTACCTGCTACTCATCCATGGATCTGCGACCTGCCTGTGTGTGGCCGCACAAGGCAAAAATTTCTTGAAACAACGTTACTAGTCTAGCCGGCACGGGACGGTCGGCCCTCAGACCGTTTTCGCCAACTGCTCGAGCGCAGCCTTGGCGGCCTTTGCGTCTTCGTCTCGGATGGGTATTAATTCGAGATTCGTGGTTGTGGATCTTGTGCGCGAAGGAGTTGAAGCTTACGGTATCCAGGAATTCTGGATACCATTACCGGCTGCTGCTTGGCGGGTGTACAGGGTTGTGGACGGCAATTTCAACCCGACGATCGCTATTATTAGTATCTTTCCCGTTTCCCCACGTCCGTTATTACATGCATTTTGAACTTGTCGTGTTCGCATATCTTGAAACACTTGAATCCTGAAGCCCGGGTGATCAGTATGAGCACTAATCGGGAGAACTGACAACTGACAACTCACTGTACACAGCCTTGCACACTCATCTATAGCCTTGCATTTTCCGGTTTTTTGGCTTATTTTCTGTCCTGTCATGACCTCTTAGCTTGCTTTAGCTCACTCTGGGTCACTCTATTTAGGTTTCTATTATAAAATCGAATCAAAACATAGCCTTGGTCAAAGCAAATAACGTAAAAGAAACATTTGAAAGCATAAAATAATTCTCTCTTGTTTCTGATTGTGTTTCTTTCCCCCGCTCCACTTTTCATATCGTTAATCGTTATCTGCCGCCCGAGGTCCAATTTATGCGAAACGAAACCCGAATACAGAAATTACAGTCAACCGTCTAGAGTAGGGGGTTGGTTGGGAAGGCTCGGATGCGAAACAAGAAAATAAGATTAGAAAACAAGAATTGAGAAGTCATGGAGTCATGCAAAAAATACATCCGAAGCTTCTCTGGTTCCAGTTCCAGTAATTATGGTCATGAATTCATCAGACGTTAAATACCGGGACCCCTGGGTCAACAAGCTCTCTCATTTGTGCTTGTGCGGAGTATACTAGTAGCATAAAATTCCATTCAATGTGAGACCTATTACCAGATCCGGGGAGCCCTCGCTACCAGACACTGTGTTAGTCAATGAGCTCCGTTATACGTTCTACGATTAGATCCGGGTGGTGCGGATTGATTTCCTTTTCGGAGCTGGAACCATGGAATGATGGGACGTTCGGCCGAAGTCGATTAATGATGAGATAATACAAGTCAACAGCTTAGATATGGTCCATTTTGAGGCTCTGGAAATTGATAGTGAAGGGGACAAGGATAGGAGTTGATGCTGGCGGTGGATTGCCTCCGATCTGATAAGGCAGTAATGGAAGGCGGGCAAGCTCTTCTTGCCCCTCTTCTGTGGCTTCTAAACATTGAACTTCCAATTTGACATGAGTCATGACAACGATGGATTCAGCCAAGCCAGTTGACGAGAGCTTCACAAAGGCGCTACCAAAGGTCGAGGTGAGGCGCATCGTGATTTCTTTGGTGTTCTAGTAGTTTGAAGGGCAGTTAAGCTGATAATCTCCTCACCGTACCCCAGCTTCATGCCCATCTCAGCGGGAGCATCAGTCGCCAATGCCTACATGAGATATGGAAGAACAAGAAAGCAAAAGATCCAGACCTTCAAGTTGAAGACCCATTAGTATTGATGCCTCCAGGCAAAGTCGACTACACTCTTCAGACGTAGGTGAAAAAGAGCCATAACAACTCAACTTCCAAAACCTCCAAAACCACTTCTCAATCACGCCTCTAACCTTGCCTCACAGCTTCTTCCAAGTATTCTCCAAACTCATATACCAGCTATGCAACGACCTAGAAAGTCTAGCCTACGCCACCAACTCCGTCCTCCAAGACTTCCACAACGACGGAGTCCGCTACCTAGAGCTCCGAACCATCCCCCGCGCGTCCCCCAACACACAAATAACCCGAGAAGAATACCTAACAACAGTCCTCGACACAATCTCCGCCTTCAAACGCAGCACCGCAAACAAAACCCCAAATGAACAAATGTCCGTCTTCCTAATCCTAGCTCTCGACCGCGGAAACACCACCGCCGCCGAAGCCGAGGAAATCATCGATCTCGCTATCGCTAACAAGTCGCGCGGGGTTGTCGGCGTCGACTTATGCGGGAACCCGACACAGGGCGACGTCACGATCTACCGCGATGCGTTTGCGCGGGCAAAGGCCCATGGCTTGGGCCTTACGCTGCACTTTGCCGAGACACCGGCTTCGGGCGGACGGGATGAGTTGGCGGCGCTGCTTTCGTTCCGGCCTGATCGGTTGGGTCATGTTATTCATGTGCCTGATGATGTGAAGGCTGAAATCGTGAAGAGGGGGCTTGGGCTGGAGTTATGCATGTCTTGTAATGTGCATGCGAAGTTGATTGACGGGGGCTTTTTGGATCATCATTTTGGGTCTTGGAGACATGAGGATTGCCCAATTGCTTTGTGTGTAAGTTTTGGATTTCTCTTCTTTTCCTTTTTCTTTTTCCTTTCTTTTTTTTTATATTTTTCATTTTGGTCAGTGTCTCGGAGCTAATTTTGCATTTGCTTTCCTCGTCTTCTAGACAGATGATGTGGGTTTTTTCTGTAGCCCTGTCTCCAATGAGTATTTACTTGCTGCCCAGCATTTTGAGCTCGACCGTACCCAGCTGTTGAGAATTTGTCGCAAGTCGGTTGACATGATTTTTGGTGGTGATTCGGAAAAACAGAGATTACGCCGCACCCTTGATGAGTTTGCAGGATCTATGGGGTTAGTGGATTAAGGGATTCAAGCGTCTCAAGACCTCCGAAACTAGACCAGGCCAATTACTAGACGGGCAGATTGGTTCATCGCACGAAACTTTGGAATTGAAGTCAACATTCCAAACCAACTCCCTGATGTATAGCTTGCAAGAATGAAGTTGCTTCTTCAACGCATGCCGTTTGGCATACCATATGTCGCATCCATTCTGTGGAAAGAACCTACCCTTGGGAATAGAAGCCTCAATTAAATCAATGAGCTTCATATCAAAATTCAATCATTGTCGGCAAAAACAGAGCAACCCTGCAATTATAACCATCATCTGCGACTTGGCCGCAGAGCTGTCATTTAGTATGTGCTTGGATCATCGCCTGGAGGCGATCACATCTGACAAAAGTATTTGATGGGGGATTTCCGGTTTCGATAGTTCAGTTATGGTGATGGGGGAATGCCGTGCTTTTGCAGATTGAGCCCCATCGAATCTCCATGTTTAGCCCTCGGGATGTGGGGAGACCCGACTGCTCAGTACAAATGGTCCACCACCCTTCCCGATAAACTACTAGGCTACCGGGAGGCGTTCGAGTGCCTAAGGCAATTTAACTAAATGCCGATTCAATGGCTTAGCCGCCATTACTATAAGAAATTAGATGTCCTATGATTTCCAGTATTGATAAATTGCCGCATCAACTCTTATGTCGACAATATAGTGAGTTGCTGGAAAACAATTGGAATAACTCTTGCGTGTCAATCACGACCGTTGAACCCACGAACTGATCAACCTTGCTGACGAATTTCCCCGCATTTGTAGTCTCGGGACATGTGGGCCAGAATAAGGGGAATCAAGGGGACCCCAGAAACGATCATCTCTTATATAGACTAACCATACGAAATGCGAATATTGAACACATCACAAGAACGAGATCACTGCCCCCAATGACCGACATTGAGATTGAGAGTCTCGGCAGCACCATTGACCACGACAGCTGTGTGGACTCCATCGACTTGAAAGCAAGACATACGAACACGCTCGGCAGCGTTCAACTGCGGAATCCTATCACAAATGACATTATACTCGTGCCGACTCCTTCAAAGGACCCCAATGATCCCTTGAATTGGTAGGACCGACCTTCAAATCCAATATTTCAGTGTTTCTTTGCCTCTCATACCAGAATCTAACATTTGAACTCTTGGTAGGTCGAGAAGCTACCGAGTCTACATTGCCATAATTTCATGTGCAGCCATTTTCATGGCGCAATTCCTAGCGGCTGGACCCAGCGTGGACATGATTGCAATTATACACGATTTATTTGGTCTCACATCAACAGATCCAGGATTCTCATCCGCGTTGTCCAAAATGTCATACGCATTTAGTGGCACCTCTTTGGCCCAGGGCATGTCAAATCTTTTCTACATGCCCCTTATAATCAAATATGGACGTCGACCGATTTATATCATTTCGTTCGCGATATATGGTGGATGTGCTCTATGGGCAGGTCTGGCTGGGACTTACGAGCAAGAGCTGGCAGCCCGACTCATCATGGGATTTGCAGGTGGCTCGGCTGAATGTCTCGCACCTCTTACCATCGCCGATATTTTCTTTCTCCATGAGCGTGGCCGAATGATGAGTTACTACGCCGCAGCACTGTCTTGTGGCGTTTCCGGCGGCATTATTCTTTCTGGGTTGATCACAATCCACCAAAGCTGGCGGGTGATATACTACGTCGCAGCCGGAATGATTTGGGCCTTGGTCATCCTCATCACCTTCACCATGCCCGAGACAGCATATCAACGAACCTACCCCGACATTGCAGATCTCACAGAAGAAACCGAAGCAGACCCAAGCAAAGTCCAAGTTTCCCATGCCGAGACTGGAATTCCAGATAAAAAGACCTATGCCGAGTCAATGCGCCTCTTCAATCCTAAATTTACGGATGAGTCTCTGCTAACCCTCTTTTGGCGTCCCGTGCCCGTCCTGTTCCTTCCATCTGTGATGTGGGGAACACTTTGCATGTCTGTTTGTATCGGCACATTCGTGGCAGTCGTCTCAAATTATGCGACAGCCTTCACGAATACATATGGATGGTCAACATGGCAATGCGGCATGGCTTATGTCGCCGCTCTCATCGGTGCATTTGTTGGTGTTTACGGCGGAGGCTGGCTCTCAGATAAAGTTGCAGATTTCTTGACGCAGAGACGGGATGGTATGCGTGAGCCAGAGATGCGTTTACCAACTATGACCCTGTCTCTGATTCTTTGCCCATTGTCCCTGGTACTCTACGGGGTTGGCATTCAAAACTCTTTACACTGGATTGTTCCAGTTCTGGGCCTGGGATTGCGTAAGTCTCATCAATATCCTTTCTTCTATCAGAAGCCTTTACTGACAGCTGTCGTAGTTGGATTCGTGATTACACAAGTGAGCAATATCGCTATCGTGTATGCGGTTGATGCCCACAGGCCAATTGCGGGTGAAGTGGTCGTATCGCAACTCAGCTTCAAAGGTATGCATCCTCCACACACAGAAAATAAGAACATCAATCTAACCCCTTTAAGCGGCCTTTGGCTTTTTGCTATCTTTTTACACAAATCCATGGATTGATTCAGCAGGTTATATCAACTCATTTGGCGCATTGGCGGGTATCTGTGCGGCCATTTTGATTCTGTGGATTCCCTTGTTCTTTTGGGGTAAACAGATTCGAGTATGGAGCTTGGGATTGAGAATTATGAAGGGTGTTCGCTGGGGCGAGGACCGAGAAGTTGGAGAGTAAGATATCTGTGAATCTCGAATTTTGCATGTTAGTTACTAGGTTATTCTTGCATTGATAGATCGTATAGACTTCATATGTATGGTCCGCGGGTGACCAGCCCTTCCCAGGTGGACTTCGGGAGGTGCACCACGGGGACAAAGACAATAGAGTTGGAAAGATGGATAGATATGAGTTTCACGGATGGCTGTAAATAAGCAATTTGAATTGGAGATTTTGGAGTTTTACTCGCGCAGGCGTCCTGTCAGTTCTAGAAAGATCACCAGAGTTATTGAATTCCTACGTGTGCAAGACCTGTTGCTCGAATAATCTCGGGATTTCTGATCTAACGTGCAGTATGAGATCACTTTTACGTCTGGTTACATTATAATCTTATGCTTAAATAGTATGCATAAACTTTATCAAACTTTAAATATGTTTGTTTTGGGGCTCTCGTTTCTTTCCTGTTGCAAAAAGTACCAAAACATGTTGAAAGGATTACATGCCTCGTGATCCTACTTTGGTGTCATAATCGACGTCTTTGATCGACTTTAGATATGAGATAAGAGTGAGAAAATCCTATCAAAATCCTATTTAGGCAGCGGAGCGGGCTATACTACCGTAGTGGTCACCGCATATATTCCAACTAGGATAAGTACATATTGAATTATGAGTCGGCGAATGTCAACCATGGAAGTTCACCACATATCCTTTTTGTGAAAAACACAGTCTGCAGAATAGGTCTAGTATCTTCCCTCCGACTCCCCTTCTCCCCATCTCCCCTTCTTCTCTTCTTCTCTTCTTCTCTCCTCCTCTTCCCCTCTTGCCATTCATTTCTTTCTCATTCATCTCTCACTTCACCATCGATATATATCATATATCAATCTTCGAATCATCAAAGGAAGTTATCCCTTTGAACCCATTCAACTACAAGCCTTCCAAGGTTTCTCCCCTCCGAGGCTTCACTCCGAGTCACCTTACAACCTTGGAAAATCTCACTTCAAGCTCTCTAAATCATACCTTCGAAGCAGCTTCATTTCCCATCCACCCCCACTCCTAGGGTTCACAGAATCTTCATCGCGTGAAGCATACGGACCTAGGGGTGCGCACAAAAAGTGCTTTATATTTAATATATAAAATTACAGCTCTGATTCCCATCACCGCACTCGAGATGAATCCGGACGAATTTCAAGACTTTTCTTCGCCGGAATTCTTTAACTGGCTTGATGCCATGTCCTCGAACAAAGCGAACATCGATCCGCGAACCTACGAAATCCATCAAACTGCATGGACCCGATTCCCGCGATGGAATTCTAGGCTTGTTCCTAAAAACCTCGTGCGACTGGGCACAAGAAACATTGGTGTTTTTGTTCAAAACTGGGTCCGCAACACGACATACATCGCTGAGACAGAGGGGTTTGACCCAGTTACCATCGAGGACGTTGGCGACTTTGAAGGAACTGACGAGACTATGTCGGATTCAGGCGAATTGGATGAACTGAGAAATCAGTTCCCTCTCCAGCTGGAGGCTGTGCCTCCATACCCTAAGCAGTCTGACTCCCCCTGCAATGGAAGTCTGTTCGAGACGCATATGCAGATATACAGACAAGACGATTATTGTCGTCTGTCTGAATGGAGTTCGGGTCGAACAATGGACAGCGAGCCCCTTTTATCGCAGCATCGACGAAACTCTGGGACGAGGAGACATTCTGCATTGTCGTCCAAGTCACCCACAAAGCCTTTGACAGGCTCTGAAAAAGAGTCTAATATCGGAAATGTGATTGCAGGCAAGTTCCGACAGGCTTTTGTCCAGGGCATGGAGGCTTACCAGGGCTTCATCCAGAGTCGGATCAGGAGATGAATGACGGGTTCCTTCGGTGCCTTATGGCTCGGTGAGTCAAGAGTAAACTCTTCCGACTCTGCAGATTCCGGAATTTCGCCACAAGGCTTAAAGAATCACCAAAGAGCGTGACAGAGCTATGAATTTGGGCCAACTTAAGGATTGGATCCTAGAATTTCTGAAAAGGCACGGAATCCTTGGAGTTGACGTTGAGGTCATCAATACTGTGTTAAATCATGAGCCTCCTTCTTTGCATGGCAAGCGAGCACCCACTTGCCACAGCGTTGAAAAAATGCAAAGGGGAAAACATAAGACTCCTTGATCAGCGTTGCAGTCACGATGGCGAATGGTATGCCCATTCTATATGGGAAAGGCTCAGACCAAGAAACTGCCGACAATCGCAGTGATTGTTGACCCGTGGACAAGTGGTCTCACCTTCGTGTCCGAATGCTCTCTATACTCGCGCCGTTCGGTGCAGCTAGTCGGCATGGAATTCCTCCCAGGAACCCTCTCCCTCTCAGGTGGGATCTCCTATTCAAACCGGGATGAGATGACTCCGCAAATGGGGCATTCGATCGGAAACGTGGCTGACACCAATGCTGGAGCGCTTGGTGGGTGGGTGAATTTTACCCACAACGGGCTTGTCCACCGAGGATTCCTTAGCTGGAGGAAAAGTTCAAGCCCTCCAAGATGGAGGTTGAAAGCAATGAGGAAGATAACAATGGGTCTCCAGGGGCTTCGCCTGAAACTTTCCGGCTCAAAATTCCGAGTCCGAAAAGATCAATTGAGAGCGACAGTGTATCTGATGTAATAATGGGAAGGGCCACGCAAGATCATTGTTGGGCCGCCTGGGTGCTCATGACTTTCAAGGTTGTATATTTAGAACGTTCTATGTAGCATTTTCAGAAAACGGACTTTTTGCTTGACTCACTTGAAATCAACCCGCAGGGTGCCCGTAGAACGCTTGAAACTTTTTGTTTCAACTCAAATTATTACCTGGGCGCGCTATCAATTGATCGTAAATGAGCGTCGCGTGGTGGACGTTGGCAGTTTTGGAAACCACAATCAATTGATTGATTCCGGGGTTCTTGCCCCGCTTCTCACCTTCTTTCCTACCCCGTCGCGCAGCACCCCCCTTTCCCGCCCCCGACGCTTACCCACTGGACCTGGCTGGTCGTGGCTTCTGTAAATTTGAGAAAGAACATTTTGAATGACTGGCAAAGCCACGGTTCAACCCGGGCTGGCCCGTCTACGCACAGACCTTATTCGGCTACAAGACGGTGCTATTGGATGGCTACCTCGCGATGCCTTGCAAGTTACGAGGTACAAGTAGCAGCTCATAAGTGAGTCTGCAGCCCGCTGGCGTTTCCCAGTGCGCCACAGTCGCTGGGCACCGGCGATATACGCGTATTAAAAACGAGAACAGGATGACTTAAGATGGCGGTGCCCGCTGACTTTCGACCAGGGCCAGGCTAATACGCCTTCTCAGGTTGCTTACGGCTTATTGTGCCTGCCTGGACTCTGATGAATTTCTAGATTCTACATTACTTCGCCTTTTCCAAGGTTCAATCACAAGGTCGATGGTGCTCTGCGATACTGCTCTTGGCTGTCGTAGTCTCTGATTGAACATCGATACCCGGTCGGTTGCAGTTTGCTTGTGGTTCGGCCTTCTTATTCATACTTGCCCGCCATCAACCTTTCATAAAATACCCAAATGTCCGAGTCGGAGGTTATCGAAGTGGTCGCTTGTGTGGCAGCAGGTCTGATATCCGTCACCTTCATCGTTAGATCCCAGCCTGACAACGCTGACTGACACGCTCCAATCTCCATCATCTAGTCATCTGTCTATATGATAACGAGAGCCAATTTCTTCACTCAGTCAAGCAGAAGTGGACACAAACCACAGAACATCATGCCAGGACCGTTGCGATTTGGCCTGACGATGTGGATAAGTCACTGCAGCGTGGAAAAAAAGAAATTCTAACGCGCTGGAATGATTATGCTGCTCAGCTAGGTAGCCAGTATGAAGAAGGCGACGTGATAGCCCGTGAAGAGATGAAAGACATTGCCACTTTCCTTCACCGAGGGTGGCTTGCTCGTATACCTCTAGTTGATTCACATGCTGAGTTAGATTTCTTATTGCATGTTTCGGAAGTCGGTTGCGGTCGTGTTATCTCGGCGCTACAAGAGCTCTACAGCCGACAAAGACCGATTGCACTTCCAGCGCAGAGAGCTGTGCCGATTGACCCGACGCTTAAATTAGACTACTATATGAGTCTAATTAAGGCGCTTTCTAACTGGGGCTTGGGTACCTTATCCCTACCAAGCTCACATCAATCCCCTGGCCAGATACCAGAGAGTAGCAATTTCTCTCACAAGTTGTCCAGTATATCTGGAAGTCTGCTGGAACTACAGACAGATTTAATATCACTACAGCGGGACGTACTTGTCAAAAAATCACTGGCGGCCTTATGGTCCGTCCTCAAAGGACGAAAGATGCCGGTCGGTTGGACCCACAATGAAATTAAGACTCTGGAATCATGGTCGGAATTGCCATCAAGTCCCTGGCAAGCACCACCGCAAGAGAGGGTTGAGAATAATCACTTCTATATATCACACCCGCAGGAAATTTTCCAGTCTGCTTGGACACTTAGTGAAACGAAATCTGAGCAGCCGCATCTTGAGCTCCAACAGCGCGAAAGTCCAGCGACTGCCACTACCGAAACTTCATTGCCACTCCAGCATAGCAGAAGTGCATCCTATACCATGGAAATCATGTCTACAGAGTCACCCTCGTCAACTGCGGCCAACGCACTCACTCCAAGCGCTATACCGATCGTTTCCTCTCAGTCTCTCCGGTCTCTTGGAAAAAGCAAGTATTATGCCGGCTTTTGCAAAGGAGCGTGGAAACTACAGTCTGGGCTTGGTGGATTTAAGGTATACAGTGAACCATCAGGGCCCTTTAATTCGGAAAAACAGTGGCGTTGCTTGTCTTGCTCCTTTCAGATGCCGACCGCACCGGGCATGGATATACACCACCTGAAATATGACGACAAAGTGTTTCTTGACAAGAACACCGGAATAAGATTTCGATGGCTATTTCTTGCGAAGAGTCACATGGTGACCAGATCGCCAAACCGCGGTGCTCTTGGCCAATACCAAGGGCCCTTTGGTTGCGTGTTCTGTCCTCGAGAAAGAAATACTCCCACAGTCCCCTTTGGCACTCTAGATGACCTACTCCAGCACATCGGGGCCACGCATCGATCTTTAGAGCCACTGGTGGCCCTGCAAATGACACAGTGTATTCTTGGAAGGGTTGCAGACCCGGAGGAAGCCTTCGATATCAATATACCTTCTTTCTCCACAGTCAAAGGTGGCCCTGACCCCGACACAGCTTCCGATGACATGATTAAACAGGAATCACCAATGCCCGATGTGGAGAGAAACTATTTGTTATTAACTGGAAAGGAAATAGAGGAATCTCAACGCGCGGAAAATGATTTATCTCCATCTATGATCAAGACAAGATCGGCCGGGTTGGATGTCGCAACCCCTTGGGATCTCAACACAGCCACACTGCCCGAAATTTCTAAGTTGGATTCACCGAAACTGAGACATGATCTTTCAAAATCGATACAAGAGACTGGCGATTGCAAGATAAACCAACCACAAAGCAAAATTTCAGATTCGGCCAGCCTTTCTTCCGGAGATGTTTCGGACCTGAGCTCCACACAGACTACTATTACTCATCCCGAGCAAGGCGACGACGACGATAATATATCCAGCTCACACGTCGGAGGCTTGGATCATATATTAAATGCAGCTGCCTACTACGACGCGCTTGACTTGCTTGAGGTTGAAACAGCAGAAATTTGTGGAATTGGATCAGGCCCTCAGATACAAACGGAGAATATAGACGATTGTCTCAATACTTTGAAGAGGGCGAGAGATGGCTTGAATCACCTCATATCACGAGGTTTCTGCGGAGAGACACTGAATATTTTGGTTGAAAAGCCATCGCGACCGAAAGTTGCAAACGTCGTTCATATATCGCTTGATGAGCTGAATCAGCTTATTTCGACCATCGAGCTTGGTAATTCATCCATCGATTCCGGCTCAAATGGTCCGGATATCCATTCAAAGTTGATGGAAAAGCTTTTCGATGACCCTTTGTCGGAGCCATCTCTTATCATGAAAATGCCGAGCTTTTTGCAATTTCTTAGCATAATCATACCACTTGGGCTACTTTCATTCTCGGGTTCCCATGTGTGCCGATTCGATATTAATGTATGGGATCAAGTGATGGAGGAAATTCCTGTTGGGTTTGGATATTCCTTCTCTCTTCGGCAACTAGCATGTTTAAAGGATTTTGTTGGTGGGCCTGCATGGGTCCTCGGAAAAAGCCGCCCAACCCCAGAAATAGAGCGAGGTGGGATGAAAGTTTCCCTGACAGTCCAAGATCTTCATGAGCTCTGGGGACCAGTCTCGCTGGTACGAAGGGCACCGAATGAAAGTCTATTAATAAAAACAGAAAGGGGATTTATTGTGCCCCTCCAAGGCCAGATCACTTTGGATGATGATTGTTCATCAGAAGTCGAGTGCCACTGGACAGAAGAAGAGCCGGTTTCTCTCCAACAACAGCGGCAGGTCTCATTAAGCAGCACGTCACGACTTTTGATCGGCACCCCCATCGTCAACATGAGCGCGATGAAATCAAACCCTGAATGTGGATCGCAAATCTCTGAAATCCAACAGGGAATATGTGATCTTCTCCAGTTTCCAGGGACCTGTAACGAGTACTTTAGCATGGAGGGCCACGATATTCAGTTCTCCGGAGGCCAGTACGTCAACCTGGGACTGGTGATAAAGCACAAACGAAACCCAGCGAGAACACTCAAGTCTGCACTCATCGCGGAATGCCTCAAGCCAGACACTGACATCAAGCCATATCTCAAGCTATCTATTGGGCTAGAGATCAGTGCATGTACTGGAAACGCCCAACGTGTGACTCTGTGGGATGCATTACGCTTGGCACAGACCAAAGAGAATGATTTCGGTGCGCCACTCAAATGTGTTCACGCTATTGCCGATCCAGCCTGCATTCAAACATGCTGGACCCGTTACACCTCCTCTAATATGGACTCGATATACAACTCCTTCCCCGCTACCGTCCTAGATCATGCCACAGCACGGCAGATCATCGTCAACTCAATTATCGCACTTCAACGCACGGGGGTAGATCCAATGCAAAACCTACAAGCGTACTGGCCCTTTTCAGATCCGCCCATGACGAAACGCATAGAGCCGACACGCTCTAACAAATGGCTCGACGTGATCTCAGACACACGTGATACGGCAGCATTTGCAGTCATCAGCCAGCGCTGCTTAGAGTTCCACGAGGCAGGTTTCAGGCGATTATGCTCATATCCGTGTCAGCAGGCACATATCCGACATAATAGTACATGTTTATCCATTTGGCTTCTGCCTCGCCCTGTGTTCCAGCGAGAGCGGGGGCTCAGGCGTCTTCAAATTGGCAATCAAACTTCGACGCAAGAGTGTGACTTGAGTGTTTTGTCTTCAGGTAGCACGTTACGGGTTGGGAAAAGAAATCTTGTTGTAGCGAAGCCGTGGCAAGCATTTCACAAGCCCATGATTGCTACCCCTGGCTCGAATCCGCTACTTGGCGTGGGCCTGGTATGGGCGAGAATTCCGGATTTTCGAGAGCAGGTCAATCCTGATATCAAGGGGGGCGAGCCTATTGAAATGGTGATTTGCTCTTCGGAGACAGGGAGAGATATTTTACGATGAATGAGCGAACACAGGAGTGTAGATTCCAATATTGTCGGCGCACTGAAACTTGAGTTGCTACTCACAAGTAGCTATTTTAAGTTGTAGTTTTCTCACATGCAGCAAGGCTACTAGTAATATGACATTTAATCTATTTTACTATTTTACTAAACCCCTTCAATGTTCAGAACACATTCTGGAGCTTTTCAGCGAATTTTGGAATTAATTTTCCTAGCATAAAAAACAACAACAACATGCGTGTGGATCAACACTCAATGAAACGCAGGACAACAATTAATGTCAAGTTAATTACATGTATGGCAAAATCTTTCCTCGTTCCACTGGTAAAGTCCGGGACAAAAAACCACGCGTATATGACGTTTAAAAGACTACGAGAAAATTGATAAAATATTAATTCATAAGTATATTTTTGTTGAGAAAATCATCAATAAAGATGAAGTTGTTTATTAGTGTTTATATAGAGTATTTTGGGTTGTCAATAGACTCATGGCCCCCTATTTACAGGATAAGGGTGCGGAATCATGTTCCGAATCGTCGTCAAGGCCTTGGCAGACAAGAGAGGGTTGAACAAGATCAAACCAGATCATCAGCCTAAAGAATCAAGATAGTTCCTCGGAGAATTCGATGATTCTCTGCTCATAGAACATGATTCAGGCTGCATTGAGCATTCAGGTTTAGGTTTAACAGACCATACTGTTGATTACTAGTCAGCTTCACCAGATCGCCCACTGAAGTGAAGAATCCAATTGCATCGTACCTGTTCGACATCTTTCTCGGAGCAGCAGTAGACATCGCCGCCAGAGCAACTCTCGCCCAGCAGGCCAGTGGCGATATTACCAAGAGATATCAGGCCGGCATTGCCATTGCCTTGGCAAACAACAACCTGGTCACTTTTGCAGGTGCTGTCTCTAGTAGCGATGGACGCCGCGATGGCAGAGGAAGCAAGGGCGAGAGTAATAAAGAAGACCTTCATGATGGATAAATAGAGATTTTTGATTATGAAGAGTGGTCAAAATGGCTTGGTGGTCTTGAATTAATTAAGTAAACTATCTATCAGAGAAACGCAAGCTCCAGCTCGACTTTTATAACCAACTGACACGCCAAGAGAAGGCATTTGACTTTGGAAATACCTGTTGAGAGATTGTGAAAATTTAAAATCTCTTACCCTTAGAGTCTGTCATTCATGTAAAATTCAGTAAACTGAACAAGGCTATTGTGACAATGACATGAACGACTATTTTGGTCAAGGATATTTCTGTTCCGAAAACAGCCATGTAACGCTGATATAGTAAGGATCGGCGAGGTGAATGCAACCTTGAATAGCTTGAATCTGGCTCTAAATGAAAATCCAATACAATTGGATAGTTCTAGAGTTCACAGTACTAAGTATCGCCTCCCGCTTCCAAGGTTCCGGGGCATCCGCTCGACCCCGACGTCGAGCAAGTCTGGTACTGTGAGCTCAGAATCAACGTAAAGGAATAACAAGCCATCCGCTTAACCATGTATGAGAATCCTGCTATACATATTTTTCTGCGTTTTGTTCTGTGGGTGGTTGATGGAGTTAACATTCAGAATCTTGGAACATTGAAAGCTCACGTCTATCCAATTTGTCGGGAAAACGGAAAACGCGCTTCCGCTGTCTGTTTAGCGCTGCATATGCGCGTCAGCGTTTGCAGGAAAGATTTAAATTTTAATTAAAGCACTCGATAATGTCTTACTTAGTAATTTCTGGACTCAACAAGGCTTTCAGTATTATTCATCATGTTCAACATTGAAACCAAAATAGTAACCGAGACCCACCTTTGGAATCCGATTTGGCAACTCTAGCCAGTTACGAGGCCGAACCTAGGGACCGCTATATCTTTTAGCCTATCTAGGCCAAGAACTTGCGCCTAACGCGGGGCACAGGGGGGGTTGCGGAAGCATAATCTCACCTCAGCTTCAAAATGTTAGGCCATGTTGGTGACTTGAGTGTATAAATTAACGAGGGTATTAGCCCTTTTTTAAATGATCATTTCCCTCGCCCTATTGCAATAACATCCCAAGTGTTTCAATCAATCTCGTTTCCAAAAAGAAATCGGTGCTTGTAATTATGTCTGAAGTTCAAGTTCCCAAGAACCAACCGGTGAAGCTCACCATGACTCACTATCGCCAACAACAACACTCGCACGAGGCTTTCATAAACTGGATCGTCCAAGACCATCTGCCGCTCGCTATACCCGTTTTTGAAAAATATGGGCTTACTGAATACAGCCTGGTATGCAATTATTGATCTCTATGACCCTATCCATACGACTACGCCTAATAATCATTTTATGCAGTTCATTACGCCATCTTCTCTCAACGACTCATTGAAGCAAGCTATAGGAGAATCTTGCCCTACCTGGGATTTCGCTGATTTCGACTGCTTTATTGAATACATGCTTCCGAGTGTAGAGACTGTCATGAAGATTATGTCAGACCCGGATTGGCAGATAGCAATCAAGGACGAGGATAAGTGGGTTGATATGCCCAAGGCTCTGATTTCGGTGGGTTATAGCACTGGGAATCTACTAAATAAGGACCCTGCAATTTCTTTGTCTGAGCATATGAAATTGGGGAAGTGAACCTCAAGTGGAAGCGCAGGTCGATATTTTGTGAAAAGAACGCGGGATATTACGGGTTGAGTCGCGCCGGGCTGCCCCGCACCAGAGGCATAATACTTTTTTGGCAGCCAACACACCGCATTCCAAAGATAAAATGAAAAGAACATTTTGATTATAAAAGGACTACTGCACAGCAGTACTCGCTAGATATTATGTTGAGATCAAAACCCGCCCGTCACGTCAGAATGGTATGAGGAAAAGGAGAAAGAAGAAAGGAAATTAGAAATGGTAATACCAGCTTTTCATGTCAGCTTCATTGTATATTGAAGATGGCTCATGAGGCTGCCCTAAGGCGAGGAAGACTAGTAGGTCATACCTCCCCTTTCTAGCTAAAGAGCTCTCGGTCGGCTCACTTGGTGCTCTTGGGGCTTGCAACCTATGAAGAAAGCAACATCAGTCCCATAAAGTCCAGACTTTGAAACAAACCAAGAGACAGATCTAGATTACCTCGATAATAGCAGGACCAGCAACGATATTGTCATCAGTTACCTGGCTCTTGCCCTTTGTGATGACAACATAGCTCTGACCCGCAACACCATCAGGGACAGTAACGGTAAAAGATTTATCACCCCTGTAATGCAGCGGAGTCCAGACGGGACCAGTAACGGTAATGAAAGCAGCGTGAAGGTTGCCTAGGTTGGAATCATCGAAGCCACTGCCAGCCACTACGCTGACTTTCGAGCCGCTGCGGATGGTGCTGGTCGATTTCACTGTCAGTGAAGGGAATGCCTTCACAGGGAGCTTTCCGTTGCTGGAGGGGCATGAGGTGATGAATGGCGATGCAACGGTGTACACCTCGTCGAGGTCGAGAGGATCGTCAAAGGGCTGGGGGAAGGGGACTTCGCCGATAGTCGCACGGAGGTAGGCGCTATGGCGGGCCTCGACCGTCAGAATACTACCGGCGGCAGTAAGATAATCTTTGTTGGCAATGGACGCGGCAGCACCGAGATAGGCGCTGACGCCGACACCTAAATGGTAAATGTCAGTAGAGGTTTTGCGGCTATCATGGAGAAAAACTACCTTCGAGAACGCTGGCAAGGGCCAGAAATGTCTTCACGTTTGTTGAGGGAAAGGAGTAGGTGCAACGTTCGACGGGAGAAGCACCGGCCGCTAGAGAGAATTGAGCTATTAGACCATGCACACTCCGAGTCTTCATATGGGTATCTATCACTCACCTGTAAGAGCCTGTGTTAGGAAGGCCACGTGTTTCTTCTCGTCCGACGCGACTTCTTGCAGGTTGGCGTAGAATGGATCCTGGAAACCAGCTTCCAGGAAATCTTCGCGAGTGTAGTTCTTGAGCCCGTCCTCATAGAAGGTGGCCTCGAGGTGCTCGAGCGTCAGTGCATAGTTGAGGATGTCGGCTGAATTGGTTAGCGTTATTCAAGTCGTATAAGCTGTCAATTCCGTGGGAAAGATGTACCGTCGGTGATAGTAGTTTCACGGGTAGCAATAGGACTAGCCTGGGCCATGGCGAGCACCGCACTGGTCAGAGCAATATTGATGACCTTCATTGTGTAAGGGTGTAGAGTCTTTCGCAAAGTATCTTAGCAGACTGGACTGTAGGCGCTGGAATAGTAAAGATAAAGATATTTAGTGGGAGCCGAGCAAGATCATTTATAGATGTCCCTTGTGTTGTCAAGGTACCATAAGGGGTTCAGCATGTGCTATGTCTTGATTCTTAACTAGCCAAACAGAATGCTCTAGTACCTGTCTTTTTTAATTCGGGCATTTTCCTACTCGGAACATATTGATTGGGCAAGGGATTGCGATCGGCGTCAGAATTTCCTAGATCCAGGCAAAGCTCGTGCGTGGAAGGGTTAGTTTGACGAGAAAAAAGCACAACAAACAGGTTACAGGTCTCAGGTCTTTACTCTTAGTATGTCCAAAGTAAGCGAAAGCGAGAACGAGTCCGAAACTACCCAATTGAAGATTAAAATTATCCCGCGCTACTTTACTTTCAATAACAATGTAAAAAACAAAATCAAATTGCCCTTGGAAAAGTCCATTCTTCGGAAGAGGAGGAAAGCCCCATACTAGAGACCATTGATGAATTCCGGGAGCAAAAGCCGACCGAGAGCGAAAACGAGAACGAAAATGCGCGGGAGCGAGACGTTTTGCCTCGCCAATTAAGTCCGGAGAAAAGGCTTGTAAGCACTTGAGGCGAACCCAAGTTTCGAATGGTATAGCGCCAACATTGAAACATTAAATAGGACATTTAAGTCATATTTCCATTCTTCTTTACAAGGCCCATCATGCTTAATGAGTTATGAATTCAAAAAACATGCGAAATTTGAGAGCATTCCTTGAAATAAGGTCTTCGTTATCAGATACATAATCTTACATACAAGCCGTGCAGCATATACACAAATTTTCTTCTTCCCTCCCTTCTTTTTGATGTTCAATATGTGACATAAATTCATCCTCCTATAATTGTACCGTTGGGCAACGTGATTGTCTTGTTCTCAAAATCTAGATCATACATACCCAGCACTTCCAATGATGTCGCGCTAGCATAGTATTCAACCAGGTACGACTGAATACTTTCCTTGGCACTGACGGCGGAATCAAGCGAGCTTGTCTCCTCGAGAAAAAAGAGTACAGCTATTTGACAGAATTCCATCACTTCGGACAAGATAGTGGTGTTTGTCGTGGACTCAGTTTCCAGGGGATTTGTGACTGTTGTATTTTTGGCGTCCGAGTCGTCGTAAAATATGCCCTCCATGCTAGCCAAAGACCGAGAGGCAACATTAGTAGCCTCGGAATTTGGAACCTTTCCAACTTTTTCACCGTCGATAGGTAGCCCAATCGATCGGCGAGATTTGCGAGATTCACTGCTTGACTCCGCCCCACTGAAAGACACGAGGGTATTCTCAGTCTTGCATGAGACATTGTTCGTGCTAAACAGAGCCATGATCGTTGCTTCATGGAGAGGTATTTCGAATTTAGTTTGTGAGTCGGCAAAGACGCTCGGGAGTAAACTACCCATCGTAGCGTTCTTTGACTCTGAGAGATCAGATGTCACACAGCTACTATCACCGACAATCGCGCATTGGGATCCAGTGTAACCATTAGTGCAGATGCAGGAACACCCGCTCGCACTCGAAACACTGACCCCTCCGTGCTTGCAGGGCGTAGTACTCTCGCAGGACTTGGCGCTGGAATCCTTGGACTGGGCGGCCAGAAGAACAGGAAGTAAAATTGCAAGGACAATTATGAGTAAAATCAAGACGCAGATGATGATGAGCCACCTCCGTGACAGGCCCAGAAAACGTTTTTTAGCTGGCGTACCACTTGAGACGTGATATTTCTCTAGATCGGCATTGCGGTTAGAACGCCAAAGAGACACAGGCAAGAACCAACGGCTCTTGGATTCTGATAAGCCAGGCTGTGGAAACTCGGATAGAATATCAGAGATTGACCCAGAGTGACGGCGGGAATTACCTAGAACGAACTGTTAGATTTTGCCTCTACTGACATAAATTGATGGGGGGCGGAGTGAACAAAACTCACTTGCGGCGCGGAATTCAGAGTGATTGCTCATTGCAGAAAGATTAATTCGACTGGTACTCCTACCATGGTCCACGGTTGAAGCCATTTCAGTAGCACTTCGGATCAAATCAATCAGGCTCAGGGGAGTGCTATGAGCCCTAGAACTACGCCCAGCTCTCGAATCCGACCGGGGAGGCTCGAGGTCATTGGGTTTCTTGTCACTGATAGTCGGAAAAGCTCGGGGTAGGCAGTCCATCTCTTTCTCCAGTGATTCGGTAAACACTTCTTCGTCTTGTTTTTGGGTATTGTTCCCTCGTGGCATGGAGGGGTTCTTTGGATGCATGTCCTGTTCAGATTCGCTCAACGCGGAGGAAACAAAGTTTCTTGCTGAAGCATCTGGTGGAGACGGAGTTGCAAGGGCAGTGGAATCCCGATTGAAGGGGGGTTGTTCATGGGGTAATGTTGGGCTGTCCAGATTTGAGAATATAGAGGCAGGATGGAACTTGCAGATTGTGCGTATCGTTGCGTTGTCTCCCTTCTCGAAATTAGTATCCCTTGACATTGAGCTGTGACGTTGGTAATCATTACCCCAGCTGGACGGGATAGCCTGGCTCGAGGCAAGGGATACTCGAGTCCAGCGGGGATTGAGGCTATTTTGTGGGAAGCTGGAGACGGGTGGTTCTTGGATTGCATCATGAGATGTTTTGAGTGGCGACACGAGACCAGCGGCTCGTAGACGCGGATCATCCTGCGGCACCGGAGGGATCTGCGAGGGTGGCGGGCACCATGGTGGTGGGAATGGTGGGATATCAGAAAGGTGAAGAACAGACGATGAGGTGGTAGACTGTCTGAAAAGATACTCGGTTGCGATTGATGTGCGAGACCTCAGGTCAACCGTGCTGGTAGGGCTGGCGCAGGATATTTGGTTTGTAGAAGTATTCTGAGGTGTGGTAGCATGGGGACGTGTGAATGATGCGACAGGTGGTGTTGGTAGAGATAATATGGAACTTGAGCCGTTGCCGCTGCTTTGAGAGTCCGTTGATGGCGAAGGGTCCTTGTTCGGACACTGAGTTCCGATTGTTAGAGGACCTCGCGGAATTAAGTATCTGGGGTGGTGGTTGATATTATTGCTCGGTGAGCCTGGATCCGGAAGTGACCGCTGAGTTTGCTGGTGAAAGTTCCTCAATGGAAGGGGTGTGAGCGGTGGATGTGGTGAAACTCGCCCTGGTATATACACCCGATTCTTGAGGAACTCTGTAGTTTTCTTCGTGGACTTCTGCTCGTCAGGTAGTGGGACTTCAATGGACTCCGGTCCAGACACCGGTAGCTCGGCACCCATCTTCAATGCAAAACAAGACAAAGCTTTCTATGGCATCAGGTGGGAAGGTAGTGGTGGGCTCGACAACAAGCACCTTTATTCTGATTCCGAAATTGATGACAGGGATTTGTGCCAAAGGAATGGAAGAATGAAGCCCAAATTATAGTAAGTGCCTCTTAGGTAACACTCAAGCTCGTTTGCATATACTGTTTAGTTATGCAATGCTTGAAGCGAGGCAAGAGGAATAACTGGCTCCAGAAGGATTCGAGAAAATTGAGAAACAATGAATATGTATAGAAAAGACAGGACCGCCACCCAGGAGGAAGGGGAGAGCATGAGACAGTCAATAGAGTAAGAGATAGATGCCCAGGTGAATGAAGGATAGATAGAAAAAAGGAAAAAAACAGGGAGAGCAAAAGACGAAAACCCAGGTGGGCGTCACCTGACGTGTCACAATATGCCATTCACGGCTTGTGATTATTACAGGCAAACGGAAATCAGGGATCTAGTTAGAGGCTTGCCAGCTTCTAGAAATCAATGCTAGTACGTACAACAAACCCCCAAGAGCTAGAGAAAAACAGGAAGAACTAGGATCCGATAACAATACTAGTACACTCGAAGTCGCAAGCCAACATTCGAAGTCCTCTCAAATATCACGAATGCTTTGCGAGTATTTGTTATATCGAGTACACCATCGGAGGTGCGGAGATTTCCCTGTTGAATCTCTATAAGTCCACGATTCAGTTTGTCAAAATGCAGTAGGATTATGAAGTGGCGTATAACAAAGCCCCGCAATGTCAGGAGAATTCAGTCAATTATGCCGAGCCGTCGATGGCGAACCCCCGCCTGGACCAAGTATCGACAGATTCGACACTAAAAACATAGACTAAAAGTAGGTAGAAACCGCCATCGAATTCAAAAGCGAGCTAGACAGTAAAGACCCCGTATAGTAGTTCATGCTCTGGCCTCGTGACGGTGGTATAGTATAGTTATGGCTGAACACTACTGCAGGCACGAAACAGTGCGGGGCTTTGGTGGAGATTTGCGGAGCGACCCCCTCCCGTGCACTGACCCTAAGCTAACGATCGACCCTGAAAATTACCTTTCTAGATCAACGCGGCTCAGCTAATGCCTCCAAGGGGACTTAAGCCCAATTCTTTCTAGAACAACGCTTCGCGCATTCCTAAGCAAGATGGCGATCATACCAGCACTTGACACAAAGATCAATATGTTGCCCTAAGAAAGCCCACATCCGCATAGGATATTAAGTCCATGCCAAGAAATTCAAGTTTCACAACTGCAGAATTAGTTTAGAAACGACTTAAAGTGTCTCCTACATCATTGGCTGGCTTTAGAATTTTAATGCATGTGCATAGCAGAACTATGATTGATATACGTGGGAATCAAAATTATGCCTGTCTACTGTGATGTCTTGTTCAAATTTTCTGGACATTCTAGGTGAAGATGGATACATCCACGCACATCTGGATGGATTCCAACTCCAATGTTTATACGGCTCAAATGTGATCAATAATACGGGATCTACGAGTCTAATTGCCAGATACAGCGAGTTTCTCAAGTAAGGGGAGCCCACTGCGAGCTTTGTGAGGGGTTTCGGGGTTTTCGGGGTTTTTCCACTAGCTTTTGCTATGGAGTACTCCGTACAAAGGCGAAACACCCCACGGAGCTGATATCACCTTGGAAGTGGGTTGGTATACGTAAGTTACTCACCCACAACGCACTTCTCTGCCCCATTTTCCACGCATCATTTGAAGATCCAAGTCCACTTGATCCTACATGATTCATGCCGTTATATTTTCATCTTTTTGAAACAAAGCCGTTGTCCTAAAACTGCCATGCAGTCATCTAGATGTGGGGCATCCATATGTCATAGTGTCATAGCGGAGATTTTAAGGAGCGGATAAACGGACTATATGTACGGACTATCCGGAATTTTTAGTCAAGATATTGAGTCTTGAGAGGCTGGCAAGCGCGCTCTCCTTGGCGTTGCGTCGGTGTTGTTAGCGTAGATGCCGCAGAGACAAACCCACTGGCTAGGTCTACCGTATTGGCCAGTAGTTCCAACTGACTGAAGGAATTGTGGGCTTCCAAGCATTTTGAAAATTCTGATTCACGAACGGTTTTCTGCGCTTAAACCACCAAGTGCCCACAACCCAGCCCTGGAGCGCTATATGCCGACATCTGGAAAAACCCTAAGTCAAAAACTTGCCGTGTTTCACTCATGAACCGGATCCACACCTGGGCAGGTCCACCGATGCTAAGAAAGATCCTGAGATCCAGCGCTCTAGACCCCACTATTGGTGCAAGTGGATTAAATGGTAGTCCTTGCGCCCCCACTTCAATCTACTTTGGTACGATATATGGAGCTTTGGCTAGTGTCCATGTGGATTCCACATGGTTCATTCCAACTTCTTGCCTTACAAGCTAGTACGGATAGGGAGTATAGTTTTCTGTAACCGAAGGTACGGAAGTTTGCGGAGTCCCGGAGTCCGGAATCCCGTACGCCAACTTCCTACTAGTACGTTATGGAAAAAACTTATGTATATGACCTTATTTTGTTTTCAAATGTTTTAATTTGAGCGGAGAACAAGGCACAAGATATAGAATAAATCGAAATCTATTCTCATTTCCTTCTATTAATCATATTCCCATGCCAAGAAATATCAGTTTTTTGGCTCAAGGGATGCTGGAACAAAACATTTGAATTTCTACTAGGAACCTGGTATACCAAGCACTTGAGTATCGTATTGAAATATTGGAAGCAGATCATCAAATTACGAAACATCCACGGACGGGTATATATTTATACAGGAGGTAACATTTATGCAGGAGATTTGCCTCACATGAGAAAAAAGAAGCTGTTCAGGTGGATCATACGCCCGGGGAGGAATTTTAAAGTGTCCTGTAGATCCGAATCTAGGTGGACAGAGTGATAGCCTCAGGGATTATTGGGTTGATTCTCCCGGGTGCTCATTTTCCAGTGGGTCTTGGAGCTTCGCCGATCTCTTTCCAAGTTTCACGCAGTGCGAAGTACAGTACTCCCCGGCAGTGGAAAGTTCGACGGTCGATGAGTAGACATCTGGATCGAGATGGCTAAAGTGGACCCCTCGGAAAATTTCAGACTTCTCACATGAATCGTTGACTCATTTTCTTGAACGAAGGTCGTTCAAAACAAAGATAAAAAACAACCCCTGATACGGTCTTCGTTTTACCACCAGAGTGTGCACATGTCAATAGTATCCATTCCTGCTTGTATCCAAAGTGCTCAATTTAACCAAATGGTTCACACCAGCTCTGCTCTTCTCGCACTTTGCAATTTCCATGTGGCCTAACTATCCCAAGTATCATCAACAGTGACAGTTGTTTCTCCACAAACAGCAGGAACGGTATATGATTCGTTATCACCATCCGCCCAGACCACAGTCCCATCACTCTCAACGAGGATGTACTTGTATTCAAACGACTCACCCGCAGTGAAATCAATAGTCACAAACCAGAGATTGTCTGAAGATGTGTAATCAGCTGCACTCAATGCTATAGCATCACTGGTATCCCAGTCACCGAGGGCGCTGATGGAGCCAGATATATACATGTTCTGACCATACTCTGTTGTCGCAATAAGATCGAACGTGACAGCGACACTCGTAGGGGTGGTGCAAGCTGTTGTAGTAGTGCTGGTACTCTTGGTGGTGGTGGAGGTAGTGGTTGTAGTGCCGGAAGAAGCAGAAGATGTAGTTTTTGCTGTAGTGGAAGTAGTTTCAGTACTACCACCTGTCAATGTGGCCGGCCACGCCGTATCTGTGGCTGTGCTGTAAAGACCCGTTGCAGAGGTTGCAACGCAAGTTGCTGGCACGCTGCTGGCCGATGTCTCGCCCCAGGAAGGAGGAACAACAGAGTTACGGCGCATGTTAGCCGTCAACAATGCGGCATACGACCAGGTCAAATCCCGGGCAGACAGCTCATCGCCATCAGCTTTATCAAATTGCTCCGACATAGAGCCATTTGTCAATGCATGATCTTGCTATAATGGTATTAGCACATTGCAGCATTTCTTTTTTGTTCCGGTCGGACGTACCACAATGCTGAGGAATCCGTCTGCGTATGTTTTGACGGCATCCACAATGGAAGTGTACTCAGAGCTTGAGGAAGAGTAGGTTCCTGTAGCAGCAGAACTATATAAGTCGGTGAAGAAATCCAGTGAGGTAGAATCAATCACAATCTCCGCGTTATTGTTCCACTGGTAGAGTGCATCATAGAGCAATTCCGCGGCTGCCATAGTACAAAGGAACCATGGATTACCGTCATAATACGTGTCTTCGGGATAGCGCCCAATGGCACAGGCAGTGCCCTCGGCTGCATCATCATTGATGGTAAATAAGTCGCGGAAGGAGTCTACCACCACCTTATGGTTGGCAAGGGCGCGCGATGAGCATGGCTGGAAGGTTGTGTCGTCGCAACCGGCTTCGGGATCAAAAGTATGGATACTGCCCAGAATAGTGTTGACGTCTTTTCCAGTACGGCTGCTCTCATCAAAGTTGGCCAGAATATAATCGCCCAACCAAAAGGACTGCAGGTAGCAAAGAATTTCGGGGGCCTGGGATTCACAATAGGTGCATGAGGAGCCAACAGCCGAAGAAAATGCAATACCCTCCACAAGAGCGCGGTGTTGAACTGCGATAGTGAAAAAGGAAGACCCATCAACCTCCTCCCATAGGTCTAACTGGTCAGTATTCTTTCATATACTAAAAGACTATTGGCGTTCTCACCATATCCTGTTTCGTTCCAGTATTGCGCGACGTATGAGAGATCGTTGCGCACAATGGGCCAGATAATTTCAGCAGCGTACGCTTCGTAGCCGTTTGCCTAGAAGGTTTAGCTTCTTAAGCCATAGTGGAATCATTCTTTGTCATATAAGAGCAGATATGCCATACATTTAACCACTCGCCAAAGTCCATGAGTGCAGTTGCTCTGAGAGCGGGCCCATCACGTTGGGGCCGACCCCAGGAGCCTGTATAGGCCGTCAAGTCCACGTTAAAATGCGGCTCACCTAATCCGCCCGTGGTCAAGTCACCAGACGGGTTGGATACGGTCTGCAGATAGGCTTGTGCATCGATGTAATCCTCGATGATGCCCTGCAAGCTCGACTCGCCATTGCGAAAGAGGTCAACTAGAACCTTCATGGTGAGAGCAGAGTCCCGGGTCCAAGTATAGAAATCTATCAAGCTGTGTCAGACAATCACGGGATGAACTGAGCGGGTTCAATACGTACAGTCCGGGTCATCGGTACTTGGACTGGCGATAACAACGCCGCTGCTCGCGGATTCAGCAAATGCACCGGCAGACCCGATGTTTTCTTGTATAACATCAAGGGCAACCGTTGTCTCTGAGGCCAACCAGGTGTCCAAGCTGGTGGTGGCGCGAGGTGCAATGTTGAGGGCAGATGCCGTCACCAGCAGAGAAGAGAAGAAAGCAAACGGAAGAGCCATTCTGACAGATTGCTGTTTAAGTCGGCTGTCTCTGCTGGATGAAAAGCACTGCTAGATATAAGTATTTATACTGCAATCATTGCTTGCGCAAAACTAATGTTTCATAAACTACACATAGTCAGTGTAGAACGCGTAGGGAAGAGCGTATAGAAAAAGCCCCACTTCCCCCACAAAACGCCCCACAAAAACGCTTGCGCAACGATTCCCTGCTTGGCGGCCCATGCTTGCCAATCATCGCTCTTACTTCGAACGCCCCTGACAGCCACTTAAGCTTGTGTCCCGTAGGCGAAGGGAGTTTCCGTGCAAGATGCAGGTCACTTGGACCGCTGAAGAAATTCCAGGGGCTTTACCCCTCAGCTGGAATGCGGCGCTGACGAAACGATGCTGTCTACGACCGGCCACTGCGGCCAGTTATCGGACATGCAGCCATACAGATGGAAGATTCAATTTAACCGAGGGGTTAAAAGAGGTTTTATATGATATTAAGCGAGGCTCCAAGCATGTTTCTAGAACCTTGGAATGCTTGTACGGAATAAGCTTCTCCGGTATATCCCCGCCATGAGTCCAACGGGCGCAGTAGAGCGCGATGGATTGGCCTAATTGTGATCATTTCAAATCCCGAGAGAGAAATACCGACTTTCATGTGATTTTTTTCCAAGGCTGCCCGTTTCCGAGTTTTGTTTCCTTTCCTACGGGAATATAAGGATAGTACCTACCATGAAGAACACACTCAGCGCGAATCCCCACAATTCGGGGTCTTCAATCGATTCATTATGATATTCAAACCCATTGTGACGACTGCCCTCTTCATCGGGAGAACTATTGCTCTTTCCGCTGCAGAATGGCGCACACAATCTATTTACCAACTTCTGACAGATCGCTTTGGTCGAACTGACAACTCCACTACCGCGACGTGTGACACTGGCGATCAGGTAGACAATATGCCCTCAATTCAACTGCATATTCTGACTGTATAGATCTACTGCGGAGGCAGCTGGCAAGGTGTCGTCAATCATGTGAGTTTGAAATTTGAAAACAAAACATATTCACCATACTAATTGTTAGCTTGATTATATCCAAGGAATGGGCTTCACGGCCATCTGGATTTCGCCCATCACTGAACAGCTCTCCGAAGATACAGAGGATGGAGAGGCCTACCATGGATACTGGCAACAAAAGATGTGAGCGCTGTCTATTCAGCCCTGTCTTTGAATTTCACTGACGATACAGATACGATGTCAATTCTAATTTCGGGACCGCCGATGACCTTCTCGCGCTCTCGGATGCCGTTCATGCGCGGGGTATGTATTTGATGCTCGATGTTGTTCCTAATCATATGGTTAGTCCTCCTAATCTCGTTTGATGAGTACATGTGGGGCTAAGAAAATAACATTGAATTGACATTGATTAGGGATATGATGGTGATGGGGATGACGTAGACTATAGTGTCTTTGATCCCTTCGACTCGTCCTCGTACTTCCATTCCTACTGTCTCATCACTGATTACACTGACATCGAGATGGTGCAGGATTGCTGGGAGGGGGACACCATTGTCTCTTTGCCGGATCTGAACACCACGCAAACAGTTGTTCAGGATATTTGGTATGCCTGGGTGGCCGACTTGGTGGCTAATTATTCAGGTGAGATGTTCATTAGGGTAATTTTATTGCAAAATCCTAATACCTGAGATTCAGTCGACGGACTACGCATCGATAGCGTCCTTGAAGTTCAGCCATCCTTCTTCCCGGCTTACCAGAGTGCTGCTGGCGTCTACTGTGTGGGTGAAGTTGACGACGGTGATCCATCCTTGGACTGCCCGTATCAGGACTATCTGGATGGGATTCTTAACTACCCGATGTAAGAGACACCTTAAATCCGAGAAACAGCCATTACGTTATAATTAACGAATGAATCTAGATACTATCAACTCCTGTACGCCTTCGAATCTAGCAGCGGCAGCATCAGCGATCTCTACGATATGATTAAATCAGTCGCAGATGACTGCTCTGATCCGACGCTGCTAGGAAACTTCATTGAGAACCACGACAATCCTCGATTTGCATAGTAAGATAACATATCGTGACAGATCTATTCTTCAAATTTATACTAACATCACTTAGCTACACCTCGGACTACTCTCAAGCCAAGAATGTTGCCTCGTTCATCTTCTTTTCTGATGGGATCCCAATTGTTTATGCGGGACAAGAGCAGCATTACAGCGGTGGTGATGTTCCCTACAACCGTGAAGCCACATGGTTGTCCGAATACGCAACAACTGCAGAGCTCTATACTTGGATCGCCACGACCAACGCCATCCGCAAACTGGCCATATCGCTGGACGACGATTACATCACATACGCGAACGACCCATTCTACACCGATGACAATACCATTGCTATGCGCAAAGGAACGTCTGGTCTACAGGTTATCACTGTGCTGAGCAATTTAGGCGCAGACGGATCATCCTACACTCTTACGCTGAGTGGCAGTGGATATGATTCTGGAGTTGAGCTCATCGAAGCCTACAGCTGCACGTCTGTGACAGTGGACTCGAGTGGCGACATAGCTGTGCCCATGGAGTCTGGACTGCCCAGGGTATTTTTACCCGCATCTTCAATCGAAGACAGCGATCTCTGTGGTGGAACCACCACGACTTCTACAACTACAACTGCTACCAGTACGGCCTCAACTACGACTTCGACGAGCACAGCTACATGTACCGCTGCATCAGAGGTCTCAATCATTTTTGAAGAAATAGTGACAACCACCTATGGTGAGGAGATTTATCTTAGCGGCTCCATCTCCGAGTTTGGGTCCTGGGATACCTCAGACGCTCTGGAACTCTCGGCATCAAAATACACCTCTTCCAATCCGGAGTGGTACTTGGAAGTAAGTTTGCCTCCGGGGACTAGCTTTGAGTACAAGTTCATAATGGTGGAGACGGACGGGACAGTGGTTTGGGAAAGTGATCCCAACCGCAATTACACTGTTCCCTCGGTGTGCTCAGGGGTCGTCCAAACAGTGGTAGATACTTGGAGATAGTTACTATGTATATGTACGGCATATTTCAGAAATGCTTGAATATTACTCCTTGTGCAGGAAGAGAGTGGGAATTGATTCCAAGTAGTCAGTCGGAACAAGTGATGATGCAAGACCCACCCGTAGACTTGTAAATACAGAGCGGAAAGGATGGCGTCGAATGCTGATATCAGATTCAAATGTTTAATACCAAATTTCGCTCAAGTGCTATTAATGTAGATAGTCTCATCAACATCGTGAACAAAAATGCAACATAATGTATATTTCAAGTTTTTTGAAAGCCCCCCTGTCGAAAGTTGAATGTTTTGAAAGCTTTTAAGTAGGTGTATGTTGCCATCGCCCAATCAAAACGACTTCAGTTCTGAAGATACCTCTACTCCATCTGCAGCGCTCGAGATACACCCTCAACAGCTCGGTGAGAAGAACCTCCAATAGGAGCTCCACACTCGGGACATCTAGCTTGCTCCATCGGCATGCCGCATTCTCCAATAGCAAACTGAAGGAATGACCAATTAGCTCGTTTGTTCTACACGGGTAATGGGGGACAAATTGGAGAGATAGGTAGGAATCCAACTTACCGGATGTCCATTGGCGCAATTGTACCAGTGTCTAGAATGAGTCGCGATTCCTCCTCTCCCACTGACCATAGCCGTCTTGATAGATTGAAGCTCTTCCAAAGTGACTGTCTCATATCTTGGCCCCTCAAACAGGCGTGCCATCTCTTGTACCTTGTCTTGGAGCTCGGGGCAATTTCCCAATTTTTGGCAAAGTTCCAAAGCATCACTGAGAAGTTGACGAGTGGCTTCAGTGCGCTCTTCGAGAGTCTCCAGGCCTGTAAGCTTGTCTTGAAGATCTGCCTTGTCTTTTGTCACACCCGGATGAATCCGGTGATACCACGCAACTAGCTGGACGATCTTTGCGAATGAGATTGTCGCCGTGATCGCTATGCGGGAGAGACTTCCCTTGTTGGCTTGACTTATCAAATCTCGGAAATCACACAACATCCGGGACAATCTTTTTAGTAGTTTTTCGCCCGTCGGTGTCGATGACGCAGCAAAATCACTCCTTGACTCCATCACTTCAACAAAGTCGCTCCACATGAGTTCTTCGGCTCTGTGATAGATAAGTCGCGCGCCGAGGCTGATTTGATTGTTAGATCCTCGTTTCGTTATTTTCATCGCCTCCGTTCGGGCTGAAAGGGAGGCTATCTCGTCACTTGGTGACTTCTTATAAATGGTGATTGCATCCCTAAGCCGTTTGATTGGCTGGTTCTCGGCGTCCATGGTTTTCATAAGGGCACTGGCCTCCTTTCCAAGCGCTAAACAAGCCTTCCACCGTTCTGTCAAGGATTTTTGTCCTGTTTTCACTTTTGTGGAAGTGAGATTCTCTGCAATTTCATTCAAGCGGGTTTCAAGACCCTGAAGCTCGGTGCGGCCCTTGGTGAGGAAGCGCTTCCAAGTCTCATCCATGACAGCACGGTTAATAACGCGATTGTAGCGCCTGGTCACGAACTGGCGAATGGGCACTTTGCAGTCTGGGCATGAGGGTGTGGTGCTCGCAAGAGAAGAAGAGAAATCTTGGAGGCCATCGAATTTGCCATCTTTATCTCTCGTATAGACTTCATTAAGGCCAACCATTCCATCGACTGACTCGCTCGTAAAGAAATGGCCACATCCAAGGACAATGATAGGAGTTTCATTGAGGTTGATTTCAGCGTAGGTTTTCCATTCAATGAAATCTACACGGGCATCTGCCTTGTCCCCGCACTCTTGACACAGACCCTTCGGGCAATCTTCTCCGCAGAGGCTTGGGCATTGGTGGCCGCATTCAAGAACCTTGGTGCATCTCTCGTCACAAGGAAGTCGATCGCAAGGAGCTGCACAAGGCATTGAGCAAGACCCTTGGTGGTTACACGACCAGGTGCATCTCTCAATGCATGGTGCGCATGCTTTTCCGCATGTTGAGTCGCATTTTGAGTGTGAGCATCGAACCTGTGGAAAATATGATGAGCAATTTCGAAAAACGACAGCATGATTTATTCTCATGGAACTTACCTCGCACTTTGCCTGACAGACACCGCAGCTTTCCCCACTATGACATTCTCTAGCACATCGATGATTGCAAACACCGTATGGACGATCACACTGCTTTTTGCAACTCGGGTGCGTAAACGTCTTTTTTCCTTCACCAGTTACCACGAGACAGGTCCCGCATGAGCCCCTGCAGTTATGACCACAAGTCAAAATTTCAGTGCATGGTTCCGGGCAAAGGAACATTGGGGATGTGATATCCCTGAAACAGGCAATTTCGATTTTATGACCACACTTAGGGCCAACCTTTTCAACCTTCACATCGCACTTGAGAGAACCCAAGCTAGACATTTGGTGACAAAAGACTGACTTTCTAATATGGCCGCAAGGAAGCTCGACGTCGTTGATCTTGATCATGCAGGGGCCGCAATCATCACCACAAAGCTTCGGACATTCGTGGGCACAGGTCGATCGGATACGTGGACAAGGTTTCCCACATGCAAAGCCGTCGTGCATAACCACCGAATGGCACTTGGCCTGGCATTGATGACCACATGGCTCGAGTCGACGGGTACACGGAAGACTGCACCCACCTTCTGGACTCTTCCTCTCAAAATCATGAGGTTCAGAGCAGATGATAGACGTATCTGGGTGTCGAGGACAACATAGAGCCAATTCTGTGCCGACTGCATTCGCACGCGTGAGTTGAGAGTGCACATCAGCCCACATCGGGACATTTAGATATGTTTCAGCATTTCCAATGAGGTACATGCCGTGTTGGGCTCGACTGAGGAGCACGTTGATGCGGTTCTCAGTCCGCAGGAAGCCGACCTTGCGCTTTTTGTTGCTGCGAACCAGGGATACAATGATGACTTTTGCCTCTTCACCCTGGAAGTTGTCGACGGTAGCAAGGCGGAGTGTCTGTAGCAAGGCCTTCTTCTCGATAGCCTTGGGAGTGTTCTCTTTGGGACTGTCATCTTCAATCTTTTCAAATCCGTCGGCAGCTAAGGTTTGCAAGTCTCGCTCGCTGAGACAGATCTCGAAATCATTACTTAGAGATGTCCTGAGTTTCCGCAACTGCCCGGTATAGGGAGTCAAAAGGGCGATATCTGTGGGCTTGTATTCTCCCTGTCGGACAAGATGCCTGACAAGAGCAGTCGCCATATCAACCTCCCACTCATTGCTATGAGACTTGACACGGCTCCCGTCATCTGCTGAGTCTTCATCGCACCGATGATCTAACCAAAATAGATTATTCCGCATGCCAACAACATTGGGTAGAGACTTCACACTTTCATGGTCCTCCAGTTTTGGATAGACGCTCCTGATGAGTTGTGAGATCTCGGGTCTCATTCTTCGTTGCACATCGAGTTGTGCAACAGGAGCAGGATTCAGACCCGGTTCACCGACGGCGCGCCTCTCAAATTGGCTTCTGTCTAACTGCCATAACTTTCCAGTCGATGATTCAAGGCTAAGTGCATGATTATTCACCTGTGGCCGCAGCTGTCGATGATCTCCAATTTGTATGAAGTGTTCGACGCCTGGCATGAGGGCTGAAGCAACGTGGGCTTCCATGACCTCAGCTGCTTCCTCGCAAATGACAACTTTTGTTTCTAGGCAGCGGAGGGTATCAATATTTCGTGCAAGAGATGTTGTTGTTATTCCTACCACATCCGCTTGAATCAAGGCTCGGCGGTTGATCTCATTATGAACTGCGTTAATGTCCTTGCGAATATCCGCGGCGCGATCAAGGGCCTCAAAGAGGGAGGCAGTTCCAGTTTCCTGCCACTCTTTGAACCAGCTTTTTGCAAGAATTTTGCGGTCTGGTAACGAGAGACTGTGAATATCCTCCCTGGCAGCACGTATGAGGCCATCCAAGCGCACATCGTCAATTTCACCATCGTTTTCGTCTTCTTTGGGATTCATTGATTTGACTCCGAGCCAATTTAGTAGCTTGTCTTCAGTCACCGGGGTAAATCCATCCGGGTTCGGTTGGACGAGCTGTCTGTGCATGGTGGGCCATTTACGGTACAAGAAATTATCCATAGCATCCCAAGACAGGCCATTCCGAGACCGGTGCAGGGGTTTCATTGCATATCCAGCATTACTCATGCAGTCTTCAAGGTCCCCGTAGGACATGCCGAGGGTTTGCGACTCTACCCTTGTCTTTTCGATTCCCTTGCTGACAACACGAAGGTTTTTGCTTTCAAGCTCTGTGGCCTGACTGCGACCCCCTATGCGTATAATTCTCTGGATGTCGACATCAAGAAGATGCTTCAAAAATTGATCTAAAGCATGGTTGGTATAGCAGCTGGAATTTCGTCAGTAAATAAGCAAGAGATGATAAAATTCGTACATACATCACAAGAATTGGACCAAGATCTGCATTTTTCTTGATTTCAAGGAGCGCTTGAACAAGCTTGACCCCTAGATAGGACTTTCCGGTACCCGGGGGGCCTTGAATGAGGGCATACTCTCGTGAAAGAGCCGCGATCAGTCCCCGGCACTGGCCAGGATCGAGACCAGTCTCAGCTTGCAGCTTCAAGATGTCAATATTCCCAGGGCTGCTTGGGTCCAATGCGATATCCTCAGCTCCAGAACTGGCTATTGAAGTCAGAGGGAAGATAAATCCTGGTTTTCGCGCGTATGCCGGTGGGGGTATAATTTGGCCATTTTGATCATTCTTGCGGCCTGGCAAGATCCATCTTCGGAACGCCAAATCCCCTTCAGCTTGGATGCGCTGGAGGTTCTTCAAGATGGGAGCAAATGTGGCAGGAATCAAACCGTGGAAGTCGGCCAGAACACCGACCACCTTTTCGCTGAATAGCTGGCCCAGGAAGACGAGTTCGTTCTCTAGGCATGCCGCAAGCTTAACGGTGATACTTGGTGGAGACTTTGCAGAAACAAGACAGCTCTTGTGCCATTCTTTCACATCCAGTTGATTTCGGTCTTTAGCAGCATTCTTCACGCTGACTTCGAGGAAAATTATCCTTCTGTGAGTTCCTTGGGACACTAAGAAGCATACTAGGCTTCCTTCCTCCAGCCGACTAGAGTCCTGCCACCATCTGCATTGCTCATTGGTGGTCTTTGTGCGGAGTTGGGGCGGAGTTGAGAAAGATACGATCGCTTCGAGTTCGTTTTTATCATTGATGAATATTTGCCGCACTTGTGCATTCTGATAGATATGCGCTTGTGTATCTTTACCTGAGAAGTATTGAATGCGGGACAAACTATCCTGCTGCATCAGATCTCGAAGGACGTCCTTGGCCGAGCCGAAGATATCATGGCGAAGAAGTCGGAATGTTGAGTCAATGTATCTTTGCAGAGGATCGGCAATGAAGTGCGGTTGAAGAAAGTTGGTGGAGGGTAGATATTCTGCATTGTCGCTCACAATCTCTCCGTGAGTAGGAAATATCTGAATTTGGGAAATATCTGCAAAATCGTTGTCGTGTCTCCCGCCAGGTATTTGCATATCCATTGGAAAAGACGAGAGGATCGATTCGGCCTTCTGCGCAGGTTTGGTAGTAACCTCGGATGGGACAAGATTGCGGTTTGCACTAGCAATCAAGCTTTGCATGACCTCTATTCTGCTGTTAAGGCCGTCAAGGTCGGCTGGCAGACATTTTTCGGTAAGTCGAAAGCTTAGTTCACTGGTAAGGTCGAGTAGTGCGGGGAGGTCATCGTGAAATCGAACGCGTCGGACCCTTGACAAAAGCTGGTAGAGAGTATTCAACACTAGCTTCATCGTTTCTAGAGAGGTCACCATTGAGGAATCTCCATTGTTCTCTTCTCCTTTGCGCATCATATTCTGACAGACACTTTTCAGATATCTGATTGCTCGATCGCCATTCGTGCCACCGAAAGATGCGTATAGAGTGCCGACAAATGAGTCGACAGAAAGACAGTTCAGGAGAGAAGGATGCGTGATCACCTCGAGAAACGGCTTGTCGTATGCGAAAATGGGCTTCAAGTCCCCGAGATAGCCTTCTTCTGCAGTGGCCAATATAATGTCATGTCCATGCAAGTTGTCATCCACAAGGTCTTTGGCGAGGAACTGGTGATTCTCTTTGCCATCTGCTTCAAGAATCTTGAGGGCCCCATCCCAGCACTCAAAGAGCTCCTTGTTTCCAATTTCAGACAGGTCAGTCCTCATGATTCCACGTCTGAGAAGTCTTTTCCAGTCAAAGTACTGATTCCGAGCATGCAGATCATGAGCTGTGGGGTGATGTTCGGTTGGTGATGACTTGGATTCAGCAGCTTGGCCATGCGAAAATCTGCACTTATTACCATAACGACACGTGCCTCGCTGGAAGTGCATGCACGGTGCTTGCGACCGAGTCTGCTTTCCGAACCTGTTGGGCCCTCCCCGGTTGCTCATATTTCCCCGAGATCGCCAGCTTCCGCGGTATGCCATGGTCGAATGAGATAGACGAATACCGAGATGGATAGAGGCTGAGATGAACGGAGATGGACGGAGATAGATGGAGATTAAAACGATGAAGGCCGGACTGTTGTTGTAGTTGTTGAAGTAACTTAGATGTTCTGACTCAAAAGCTTGCACAGAGATCATGTGTGGTCTTTATACGCGATTTTTAGAAGGGGGACAGGATCCTCTTATATAGTCCAGGATACACTAAAAACTGGCTTCCTTTAGTAATATAGGGGTTGTTCTGAAAGGCTTTGTAATTTGCAAACGGCAAATAATTCCATCATATCTGTTGCCAATTAGAAAGGCTTGCTTCTGTTCGTTAGGCGTTTTCCATGTTGACTGCGGCAAGGAAACCTTGGAATCGGCCTCACGATTCTTTGCCACAAGAGATATTAGGGATATACTAGTAGATAGTATGCAAGATAGCACAGGCATATGTTGGTAGGGTCTCCAATCGGAATCCAAGGGCAGGCAGGCTACTATGCTGGGGGAAGGCGCGTCAGAAGCCACATTCTACGTGTCAAAATTGCGCCTTCGGTTTGGTTAGCCCCAAGTGAGATAAATGTTGAAAATGAAGACGAGTTTCAGCCTAACAGACACATATTTCCATGTTTGACTTAGCCATAGGAATAGTAGCCTATGGTTGTGTGGTAACTTCATGGATCTCTGTGGCAGTGCGTCACGTCCACATCTGACAGGCCTAGGCTATTGTTGGACATATTACGCGCCCAAGTGAGGCGTTTCGTTTTTAGCAACACTCAATGCCAGTCAATCCAACAAGGATCCTGAGGTGTTTTTGTAATTGGTTGACAGCCAAATCATGGGGATCAGGCGCAGGCTCGCAGCTCTGTGAAGTAGTACTTGGAACAAGTTAGAAGTTGCTGCCTTCTCTCCTCCTTGGTAGGCGGTCGGCCCACTTGCCCTCGGCTGACCTTCCCGTCCCGCAATAAACGCCAGCATGCAATCGCAGCCCAGGAACATCAACACCGCATCCTCCGCATTAACCCCCCATTTCTAATCCCCAATATCCCTACAATATGGATCCATTTTCAGCAGAGGGCGGTTAGTATCCACCAAACCCCCCCTTCTCCTGTTAGCTCACTCATGTGTCTTTTAGAGCTCCTCAACATCCACAATGCCTTCCACTCCGGCCAGTACCAAGAAGTGATCGACTTCGAGACCGCCGCCCTCTCCCCCGAGAACCAGCTCCCCGCTCGTGTTCTTAAGCTCCGTGCCCAGATTGCCCTTGGCCAGAGCGCCGAGGTGCTCGCCACCGTTTCCAGCCAAGAAGATACCCCCGACCTGGCCGCTGTCAAGGCCCTGGCTCAGCAGGTCTCGGGCAATACCAGTGCCGCCCTGCAACTCGCCCAGGAGCTCGCCGAGAACTACCCGGAAAATGCGACTGTGGAGGTTCTCGCTGCTACGGTTCTGCAGGCTCAGGATCTTAGTGAGGAGGCCTTGGCCTTGCTGACCCAGCACCAGGGTAACCTGGAAGCGTGAGTGATGCTTTCGCATGCTGCATTGTAACCCCCTTATCAATTGATATCCTGACATCTTGCGGCTTAGTGTTTCCTTGATTGTCCAGATTCACCTTCAACAAAACCGAGCCGACCTTGCCCTTAAGGAGGTCCTGGCTGCCAAGCGCTGGGCTCAGGACTCGCTACTAGTCAACCTGGCCGAGTCGTGGGTTGGCCTGCGAGTTGTACGTGGTCCCAAGACCTGCCTCAATTGCCATATATTTGCGATGCTAATCTGTCGACTTTTACGAACAGGGTGGTGAGAAATACCAGTCCGCTTTCTACGTTTACGAAGAACTCGCCTCCGCCCCTAGCACCGCCGCTCCGCTTTCCATCGTCGGCCAGGCCGTCGCAGAGCTCCACCTGGGCCGTTTGCCTGAGGCCGAAGCCGCCCTTACTACCGCACTGGAGAGATACCCCGAAGACGCCGAGTTGATTGCCAACTCTATCGTGCTGAACGTGCTCTCCGGGAAGCCAAGCGCAGATCTGGAGGCGTATGTGACACCCTTACATCCGTATTCATTCCGGGATATGCTAACACCGACATGCAGTCGTCTTGAGCAGGTTCAACCATCACACGCCCTTCTCGCCGATATTCAAGAGAAGAGTGCCTTCTTCGATACCGCTGCGGCTAAGTACTCGGCCAAGGTTTCCCAATAGGGTTGGGAGGTATTGAATTTTAGGAACCTTGGTTAAGTCTTGCAAAAAGAATACACCGTTTGATTTTGTTGAGCCTTTTCTTTTAAGCCGGGGTGTTGATGTCCTGCTTTGTTTATGAGTTGATACGACCTCTGCTTAGTGCTATGCTGGAAACTTCCGTTTTCACTTTACATTTGTGACTGAATCAGTCGATAGGATTTTGAGATAACATCACTATATTACTTATTACTCCAAAATATTTACAAGTTCCTCAAGTCTTGCTTTAGGTTACGGGAGCCAAAGGGGTTATGGCGACCGAGTAATATACGAACAAGTCTATTCGATCTTGTTCATCCTAAGAGGTGCTGCTCATCACAAGTCTTAGCGTGGACTAGGAAATCACATATTGCTGACGTCTGTGTCTAAGTCTGTGTGAAGCTCAGAGAGGAATGGGCTGACATGATGTGTTGTCATAGGACACGCGAACAAATGACAAGATTGTTTGGAGGGGAGGGGGAAGGTGGAAGATGAAAGGTGAGATGAAAGGAAAGAGATGAAGATGATTGTAAGATCAGACAATCGAGGTATTATCATCAATTGATTATATCTTGCGCGACGAGGCGTATGAACAAGGTACCTACAACTACTTGTAATACTACTAGTACTATGTAGCATCGAGGGCACCAGTGTCTCGAGCCCTACCAGTACCCAGTCTTTGCCTCTGAAGTTGTTGCAATCATACATTTGAGTCGTTGCCAAGATTAATTTCTCCCAGGGAAACGAGTATCATGGATTGGTTGATAATACTCGAAAATGCGGAATCAAGTCTGAATAATTAGCGCTGTCCTGTCCGTTCCCTAGTTTGCTAACTGCGATATACCAGCCATGTACTAGTTCTTTCTAACGTCGGAATCAAAGACGAGCCGCAACCCATCGCCGCAGCTCATTGCCCGTCTGTGTCCCCTCTTTGACACCAGCATCAACATAAAGATGCGCATCATGAGACTCGTCTTCACCAACAATAAAGGTAGTATTGGGGAAGACAGACTACAACCACATTAGTTTCAAAGGAAAGGAAAGAACACACAGCCATGGTGGGGAAGAGGGATCAACATACCTTCACGTTCTTCACAAAAGCCTCAATAGGCGAAAGCAAGACCTCATCGCTACCGGCCAGAATCAAGATTCTCTCCGTCATGGCATCAGCCCACCACTCCACGGGTGCCTTGCTAGGCTCGCTCCAATTATCACTCTCCCCCTTCTTCCCAGCCAAGTACATATCCGACCATTTGTCCAGTGCGGAAACGGTAACAATATCTTTATAAGCGTTCTCAGTCATGGAAGGCCAGTCCGCACTGAAACTCACCCAAGGCGCAAAGCCGAAGACACCCGCCAAAGGAGTCGATAGCTTGAGGGGCTCGATTTCCGGGTGCGGGTGCGAGATGTGCAGCAGGGTAGCCATGGCTAGGTTCCCGCCTGCGGAGTCGCCGCCCATGACTACGTCTGCGGGGGATCGGTTAGTATCCTCAAGAATGTAGCGGAGAGCGCCGACTGCTTGGCGAAGCTGAGTTGGATATGTGCCATAGGGGGTCAGTGTGTAGCGTAAGAAAAAGACAGCGATGTCATGGCCATTTTCATTTAGGGTTTGGATCAGGTCGATCCAGAAGTTGATGTGCGAAGGGAGGGCGGCCATTGCGAAGCCGCCGCCTGTTGCAATGGGGTCATGTAAGCTTTTTTGGGGGCTTTTCTCTTGCTGGTTGAAACTTGATCGGACATGATCTGGTATAGAGAGAGAATCAGGTCTCACCGTGATAATAGACAAGCACATTCTTTGCGTTCTTATTGCCGATCCAGTAGCCGTCTGCGTTGTGAGGCAGAGAAACCTGTTCTGGGACGAGACCCCGTTTTTTCATGGTTGATTCATATGCTTCTGGGGTCGATAAGTCGACATATCTAGATGTAAGATGTCAGTACGCGCATACTTCTTGTTGTCAAAAAACACCTACTGTCTCTGTCGGGAAGAGTGAGGATCATTGCGTACAATGACCCCAATCAAATGATGCTTGAACTTCTTGGGATAGCTGTTTCCACGGAATGGGGCTATGATAGAGGCGTAAAGCGCACTGGCCATGATCAAAAGGTTGGAGAAGGGTAGTTCAGCCCTTTCCCAAAACCCTAACTCAGGGACATCGAGTCTTTTGAATGTGCCAGACATTATCGGTTTGTTTATATGGAACTAAATTATAGACAGCAGTAACAGACTGGACCTTGTAGGACTTTGTAAGAAGGGAAGAAGGAAATTGGGGGCAAGGTCCAAATATAGCGATCCCCGCATTATTTTCAGGCGTTCAACTGGACCCGCCGAGGCTCGGTAGTGGATCCCGAAATACCGATTTGGCCCGCAACTTTCCTGCAACTTTCAAGAATATTCAACAAATCATCATGCATTATTACTACTTTCAATTTCCATTGCATACTATGTAGTGATTTCAGTGGTCTCCCCTATTTGCCTTACAGATTGGCACGGCCAGCAGGAGCTATTGCATATTAGAACATGAGAGGCTATCATTGGTTGGCCGGGTTCTCACCGTCCAGCTCACAGAATGCCTTGTATGTTGTGAAAACATCCTCTTCGCCTTCACCGCTGCCGGAATTCTGAATGATGCACTCTGCGTCAGCGCCAACGAAAAAGACATTACCCTCCTTCACTTCCTCGGTCTTGTGTCCGATGGTGATGGTGCCCTGACCACGAGTACAGATCAAAATGCTAGGACCAACAATAGGATCAAACGTCGCCTTGGCACCCTTGCGGTTCAGATCGGTCTTGACCACACTGAACTCCTCGATCGGGGGATCATACAGGAGCGAGGATGAGGCACTCGAGTACGCCGTCGCATTGAATACAGTGTACGGGTAGTCCACGGGACGGAGCTTCTGCTCCTCGATGGGGGCGTATGAGTAGGTCAACATCTGGGTCAGGGTGTCTACATCCTTGAATTTGGGAGTAAATCCGGCGCGCACGACGTTGTCAGAGGAAGCCATGCACTCGATGATATCACCGGAGACATAGGCGTGGATGTCATCGGCCTTCAAGAACATCGCCTCGCCGGGCTCGAGCTTGATGAAGTTAAGGAAGAAGAACACGAACAGGCCAATATCGTTGGGGAATTGTCCGTTGAGGCGCTGAATGATGGCAGCCAGCTCGGCGGGGTCACTCGGATTTGTCTCAACTTCCTCAGACAAGCTGCCGAAGCTCGCCGGCGAGCTCTCTGCCAATGCAACCAGTGCCTTTGAAGCAGCCTCGATCTTCTCCGAAGATGACTCCATCAGCGAGGTGAACAGGGATCGCAGGGCGTCCTTGTTTCGCTGTACCACAGCCTCGTCTTCTGACTCTTCATTGTCTTTCACGATTTTCTGGAATTCGCTGGTGGCCTGCTCGCCAATCAAGGTGCGAAGTGGCTCGATTGCTTGCAGGAAGTGGATGATCTCGGCGAGGGGGCGGAAGCCGCACAGTCCCTCGAACGGTGTGATGGCAATGGTCATCTCGGGCTTGTGATTGTCATCTGCCAGTCAAAGGAGTTGTGTTAGCATCTCATTAAATCGCCATTTCAGTTCCAAATTTCGCATACCGGGGTAGTTCTTAGGGTCCCGGGCATGGAGTTGCTCTGCCAGCTTCTTGTTGGGGTGGGCCTGGATGCTGAGGGCTTTGCCAATGGAAAGCACCTTGAAGAGGAAAGGAAGTCGACCAGCATAACGCTCGCTGACCTCTGCGGACAGCAGAGCCTGGTTATCTTGGACAAGATCGAGAAGAGTGCGCTGGGTTTCGACATCCTTGGAGGGCAGGGAGGGGTGGGTGCCCATCCACAACTAGAGTGAATATAGTCAATATCCCAACTCCGTTTGGCTTGAATCAATCACAAAATGTCTCACATACCTCTGCATAGGGCTTCTCAGCCTCGATTGAGAAATCCTGGGCCGCTGTTGTGGCCGCATATCGAGCTGCAGCTGAGGTCTCGCCGACCTTGCCTATGACGGAGTTTAGTGCGGGGCATTCAGTGGTATCGATTCGAGCTCACCCCAGTCGTAGCTGTTGACGCCTGCAGGAATTTGTTAGTGGAGATGTTTTATAATAGAAATGGAAGCCTAGACATACCGCATTGTAGCCGAAGTAATGGAATCTGCATCGTGAAGTGTGGTTTTGGTGAGTAGAATGGGGGGCGTCACAGCGATTTTCTATTACGCAGAATCTCCACGCCAAGACTCTCGGTGAGCTGCCACCAAGGGTCCGGGGGGTTTCCCTTTATTAATGAATACAAGGGAGTGGACACAGTCGGGGAAGTTACCCGAATTTATTGCTATTTATGGTAGATTCGTCTTAATATTGACAGTCATGTCGGTTTCCAAGATTTATGGAGGTACTTGAAAGGTACCTCCTAATGTTGTCCGCAAACGTCATAAATGTACACATACTTCCGTTTTTAAAACATTGACCAAAACCAATTTGCGTATTGTCATTCCAATAGGAATGGAGCTCAACATCAAGCTTATAAGTTTACAAAAGACTCAAACAAAGGATTTTGTCTGTAGTAAACCTAGTATGAATGACTAAAACTACTAAGCAGGAGAAGACTTTTTATGTTAGAGCTTCATAGTCAACAGTCGGGGATACCTTGTAAACCTGGAGCATCTCTTTCGCATCCACTATTTTCTCGTGATTTTTTGTTCCTTCATATCTACTAGATATTACTACTTCGCCATGCTTTACACAAAAGACATTATAGGTTTTCGTCTCAAAGCATGCACGGTTGAACACAGTAGTAAAAATGCCAAGAACAGGCGCGCGGTTAACCCGACCGCCTTGCTTATCACCGCGATCGAATCTCTCGGAGCCTCAGCTCTCCGACAAGTCGCTGACCTCCGCTTTTTGCTTCTCCCCATCGTGAATCTATAACATCGGACACGCATTCTGCCCCGCCGTCTGGCACATAATATACAGATATAACTCACCATGTCGCGCAATCGACCTCGGCCTAGAGACAATGGTCTCGGCAACAACGAGGAGATGGAGCTGTGGACCCGCATAAGCCAGGACATTCGCAAGTCCAAAGACAAGTTCGACCAACAAGCGTCACTATCCGTGCAGATTAAGACCCTGGTGGAAAAAATCACCCGTGATGGCAACAGTGAGTTCCAGCATCTTACGCCCTGCATTGCCCTTCACTCTGCTGGCGCGTGAGCACCTCCGCACTGGACGACCCACCGGGTCGACCAACCCCCGCGTTGAGTGACGCGTGCCGCCTCGCGGAATACACCCACCCACCCACTTGTGCAATATAAACTAAAAGTAAGACTTTGAAACCCTAGAACCGACGATGACCGAGCACGACCAGCTTGATATGTGGCTACGCCAGAGTCAGAAACTCAGTGAGGAGGAACGCTCCATCATGATGGATGAGCCGTGTGACGTGATCAAGAACCTAGAGCTCCTTACCGCGCTTCGCAAGGCTTCTGAAGCTGAAGCGCCCCCAAATCGATCGTCTGCCCTCTCTAAATCCCGGAAAAAAAGATCGGAGATGGAGAGCTCGGCGACCGATTCTCCTGGCGCTTCGGGCGTCGAGAAGTCTATTCGCTCCAAGGGCACTGTTCCGCGCAGTGCTAGTGTGTCAAGCACTCAGGCCCGCGATGGTCGCAATGATGGGATTACGGTGAAGATTGAAGAAGGGTCCGAAGGGACCAAGGGGACCGTTGCTGAGCGCAGTGGGCTCCTCGTCGTAGGGTCTCAGGTAGTCTTCAAACACGATAAGAGTAAACAAGGGGTGGAAGGGGAAGGCATACAATGCATCATCAAGAATATCTCTGGTGATGGACACAAAAAACGGTACGTTTCTTCACATGCGCGGGGCACTTGCAAGCTAACGAGTTTGTTTGCAGATGGTATGATGTCCAGGATCCAGAGCCCAATGAGAATGGAGAACAGGGAGCCGTTTACAAGACCACGGCCGCGTCTCTTATCCCTATCCCACAAGTGAGCGGCTCTTTGCCTTCGTTTCCAATGGGTAAGCAGGTCCTTGCCAGATACCCGGATACCACTACCTTCTACCGGGCCGAGGTTATGGGCGCGAAGAAGGATGTGTATCGTTTGAAGTTTGAAGGTGAGGAGGATGACAAGGAGATGGAGGTTGACCGACGCTATGTCTTGGATATTCCGAACAAGTAGTGAGGTTGACCCGGAGATTATTCTACGATAAGATGACGATACCCTTTAGCGAGGCGCAAATTTGGAGTTTGGCAGATGCCCATGGTTAGTATGAGGCAAGCACTTGCCTTGACTTCCATCACAGATATGCAATAAAATCTACTTTTTTATATTGAGATTGGACCTATCAAAGCCCACGTATGCTAGTCTGCTTTTGATTCAATTCGAAGGCATCGATTCACATGTGCAGATCAATCCTGGCATGCCGTTATTGCTGAACTCTCAATGAGGCCTGACATGTAGATGCGGATTTCGGACTCATCTTCTCAAATGCCGGAATCACTGACATCTGGATTGATTGAAGTCCTATCAAAGAACTCCTATCAAGCAAATGAATTCCGTGCTAAATCCGTATCTGCATGTTTTCAATGCACATGTGTTCTCGGAAACAACACAGGGTGGGCAGAGAGGCCCAAGGCCATCTACATCAATAAGAAAAACTTCATTTTTCCAAAGATAAATAGTGCAGCAACATATTGACCATTTATTCGGCTTTCCTATAATCTGCACCGGGACCGCATGTTGTTGTTGTTGTTGGACGAGGACTAGATGATAATGATATTAACTATGCCTCGGAACATTAGTTAACCAGAAGGAACTGTCGGCTGGAAAGATTGTGGTATCATTGCCTTAGAAGTTAAGCACACCAAGTTAATTAGAACCCCGATGCTATTCCAAAATTGCGTTTCTCCTCCAAGCAGGTCAAATTATAAGGGTCGGGACTCGGATGTATAAAATTTAAGGATAAAGCCGAACCAACCGAAGATGGGCTAGGGAAGGAATTCCCTTAAGTAGATGGATTGTGGAGCCAATCGATTGCATTACGCGATGGAAGCTGCTAGAGTAAGCATTGACAGCGATGAGTCAGCCCCCCCCGCCTCACGCCGAGGGCCCCGAGGGACCGAATGATAATTGACGCCATTATCCGCCCGCCTTCGGAGTCTGTGGATGTGATCAAAAAAAAAGGAAAAGAAGAAATCAGTTGTCTGGGGGCTTCACTGTGTTCTACCTCCCTTGGACCCCACCCGAAGCAAATTCATTCAACTCCCATCCGGTCTATTCTTCCCCACCAACCGTCACAATGGCAAATCTACCGGCCCACGCCTCACCCAAACTCGCCCCGCATTTGAACCCCCCTACCAGCCGACCAGATGGCATACTCGACGATGTCAGTGAAGCAAGCAGCACGGAGACTGGCGAGCAAACACCGGCACTACCAGAATCGCTGTTATCTCCTGCATTCACCCCACCCGCAACCCCCGGCGGCACATTAAACCTGGACCTGAACCCGACCAAAATACTTCATCAAACCCAAGCGGCGAACCTCGTACACCCAAGTGAACATGCAAAAGGCCCAAAGCTTCTCCAGCAGCTACCGCAAGTGGAATGTATAGTTCGGGCGCGAATCCCGACAACCAACGGCGCTGAAATGTTCCTGCACCTCTACCTTAATGACTTGGATAATAAAGAGCACTTGGCCATTGTGTTTGGAAACAATATTCGCAGTCGCAGTTTAGATCGTGTACGGCCGGGCGAGACCGAGATGGACCGCATGATCCGCGGCGCATATGTGGGCAAGCTGCACCCGGGCCGAGTGAGCAGTTGGGTCGACGATGAGAAGCCTGAGTCACAATCATCAACGACTCAGAATATTGAGCCCCCCTTGGTGCGCATCCACTCGGAATGCTATACAGGCGAGACTGCGTGGTCGGCTCGGTGCGATTGCGGTGAGCAGTTGGATGAAGCTGCACGACTCATGTCTTTCCCCGTCGAGGACCTAGCGTCCGACGCGCCTCCCGAGGCACAATCGCTGAAGTCACGCTCTGCAGGGGGCGTCATTGTCTATCTACGCCAGGAGGGTCGCGGAATTGGCCTTGGCGAGAAGTTGAAAGCTTATAATCTGCAGGATCTTGGGTCTGATACCGTTGAGGCCAATCTTCTCCTGCGACACCCGGCAGATGCTCGGAGCTACGGCTTGGCAACAGCCATGCTACAAGATCTTGGCTGTGGCGCGGACGTAAACCCGGAGGGCGTTCGTTTGCTCACCAACAACCCTGATAAAGTCCGGGCCATTGAAGGACCCAACCGCGAAGTACTGGTTAAGGAGAGAGTTCCAATGGTTCCCCTGGCATGGCGAACTGGTGGAGAGCGAGGGATCAAGAGTTCAGAGATTGAGGGATACTTGAGGACTAAGGTTCGTCCGTGCATTACCGTCGCAGCTTTAACTCGCGCTAACAAAGCCCTGGTGATAGATCTCAAAAATGGGTCATATGATCCAATAATCAACGCTCCTCAGCCGTCTTCATTGTCTTCTCCTTTATTATTTCCCGACCGTTTTCCCTTTTCTTGCTAGGCGAGTTGGTGGCTTATCCCGTCAATGAGGAATAGTGTAGCATTCTTGTACATGATCGACATGACCTATTCTTTTGGGTTGTTATTTTCTTTCTCCAACATATTCCCTACTGACTTCTTTACCTTGGACATGATTGTTTCTCTTGAATACCGGTATGGCTTAGGGGGATATCGGTATATTTGTCTTTGAAAAATGCTGCATGACTATATAGAGTCTTATCTATTTTTGGATGAATGGAGTTTTCAGGTTTTTTTGATCTTACGAATCTTCAAGTGGAGCATTTTGCCTATCTTATACTCGTTTTGAAATCGTAAACGGAGTAAAATCTCGATGCATGATGCTTTGACTCTCTAGTGCACGTACTAGGGAATCCACTCTGGATGGATCGGGAGCTACAGTTTTGAGAAAAGATAAAAGAAAAAGCAACATTATTCCAGGCCGCTGAAGGAGAAGAACTATTTCAATCATTTCAATAGTTAAAAATTGTTCGACGGGCCTCCCCGCTCTTCCCGAAACCCAAGAAACTCAAGCTCGCTGCCCGTGATGGGATTCTCTCCTTGACCCACTCATTGCCCCAATGCCAATGCCAACTTGCTCTGCGCCACTGACTTGAACGTCCCGTTTTGAGCCCCCAAATTCTTCTCTCCCCCCCTGAATGGCTTTGCCTGTTTTATAACGCGTGTGTCAGGCATGTCAGGCCACGCTCCGCCTGGGTTGAGCGACTATGCAGCGCCGTCGCCACCAATCGAAATAGGTATCGAGGGCCGCGCACAACCCACACTCATCGCAAAGTCAGAAGATTCGCCAGTCCCATCTCGCCCGATGTCGCTAGGTCCGGACACCCCATCTATGGAAGATCTCGACCCTAGTGCGCCCTCGACAACTGCTGGGAGGAAACGCAAGCTGAATAGCGCTTCCGCACGAGGTGTCGCCAATCTTACCCCAGACCAATTGGCTAAAAAGCGTGCGAACGACCGCCAAGCTCAACGAGCCATCCGCGAGCGCACCAAAATAAATATTGAGGCATTGGAACAGCAAGTTCGAGATCTATCTTCACAGAAGCCGTTCCTCGACCTCCAGGCCGCCTTACAACACAATGAGCGAATCAAAACTGAGAACAGAGAGCTTCGACGGGGCCTCAAGGCAGCAATGGACATTATTCAACCTTTGCTTGCAAGACCAGAAGTCCCAGGTATGTCGCAATTGATCTTTCGCTGGAAGACTAGACTTTTAACATCTATAGATTTCCCTCCTTGTTTGGCGCAACCGCGCTCCGCCCCTCTAGCCCATACACCTCTCTTCCCTGAGCCCGACCATCTGACACCAAACCCCAACGCCGCAGTCTCCTCTGAAAAGCCATATGCCGAATCACTCGCAAGCTTAGATACGCCCTCCCCTACACATTCTGCGCCTGCTATGGGAAGCCGTCGCAATAGCAGCAATGGAGTCCTCCAGCCTGCCTCATACCGAGCGGCCTTCTCTCAGAATATTGCCCATGGGCTAGATTTTGGCATGGAAGAGCGACTCGGCTTCAACTTCCTGTTGGATCCTTCACAAAACGTCGTTCCCAAAGTCGACCGTCTCCGGCGCAGCAGCTCAGAGAACCTGCGCACCTCACATCCCACTCCTCCTCCACTTTACTTGCAGCAACCGATGAATTATCCGCCCGAACAAAGTACCGCCGCATTCTCTACACCCATTAAAAATACTGCACCAACCTGCACCTTGGACAGCATCTTGATGGATTTCCTTGATAGTCGACAACGCGAGGCCGCCCAAGGAATCCCCCGACAAAAACTTGCTGGACCACCATATCCAAGCGTCTCCTCGCTACTAAACCCGGAGAAGGGTGTCAACTCCCATCCTGTATCAAAGGTCTTCACCGACATCCTCCGCACATTCCCAGATATTTCCTCTTTACCAGAGCAGGTAGCCGTTCTATTCACCATGTTCCTCCTTATGCGCTGGCAGATCTACCCTACGCAGGAGAACTACGACCGGCTGCCCGAATGGCTCACCCCACGACCTACCCAACTATTCCAACCACATCCCGCATGGATAGACTATCTTCCCTGGCCACGCATGCGTGACCGGATCGCTACATCCCACCAAAACTACCCCTTCGAGAATTGGTTCATCCCATTCACCCGAGGAATGTCCGTGAATTGGCCGTACGAAGCCACAGACTGTCTATTGTCGGCCGGTGACTCGGACGAGCTGCTCATCAACCCTGTTTTTGAGCGACATATGCGCAACCTCAACAATTGGTCTCTTGGCACATTGTTTGCGGAGACTTATCCAGGTTTGGTAGACACTACACGGATAAGACCAGAGTCGAAGCAGGCACATTCCCCTGCCCACTCGATGTAGGCAAAGTCCTCTCGATTCTTCGGCACCTCGGCCAAGCTGGACTTGGTTAAAGTCCCGGATGTTTTGTTATAATTCTCCTCAATTTAAGCGTGGGTTGTGGGTGGTGTTAGCTTTTTTTCGAGAATATTCTCACCTTTCTTTTTTGTTTTCTTTATTTTCTTTTGGCTTGCCATTTTACAAACCTATATATCGACAATTATTTACATTGTCGCTTCGATACATATCACAAACACTTGTTCTTGCTCCTGTTTCTACGTCTCCTTTACATCTTACTTGGCCATGGTTCGGATTAGAAGAGAAATACTCGCTCATGATCGTCATATCTACCTACAACAAAGTCTTTATCGTCTCCATGAATGAACCAACAGTTTGATATTATATGTACAGAATTATTTTCTTCCTCCAAACCTTACGCCCCTCAAATATGGCCTCGGGAGATAGATCAATCGGCATCAGACCCCAAGTCGCAGCTTGATACCAGGTGGCGTCGGGCATTCACCTAGGGCCAAATCTTCCATAACCATTGCAACGATTTTCTCAGCCGTGCGAGATCCGATGTGTTGGTCCCTATTCCCCTATTCATACCAACGTGAAGATTCCCAAGATCAAATCTATTTTCAGGACCTTGGTATGCTTGGTAAATTGTCGTTTCTTTGTTTGTTATCTCCCATGACCCTTTAATGGGGGCCGTAATACTAACTTTGCGTTAGCGTTGCGCGATGCTTGCATTTGGTTTACAGGACGAGAGTTCGGCGTCAGCTTACGCCAGCTCGACAGGATGCATCAGGCTTACGCGACATTTACACTAGCTCGACAGGATCGCCATCATGCACAAATCATGCGCATATCCTAAGTAAAATCAGTTTTACAGGACGAGCGCCAGCTTATGCCAGCTCGACAGGATACATCAGACTTACGCGACATACATACTAGCTCGACAGGATCGCCGTTATGCGTAAATCATGCGCATACTCTAAGTAAAATCAGTTTTACAGTACGAGAGCCAGCTTAACAGCCCTGGAGGGCTTCCAGAACATCATCTGGACTGTACATTCAAATCTTTCTCGGTCAATTTAACATCGACACGTGAACGGAATCCATGTTCCTTTTTTCAGGATATTGAAACGGTTCTTCCAGCCCATATATACACAATACTAGCATTTTCCTTTCTATAGATTATTACCTCCAGCTGTAGGCTATTGCTTTCGGCTCTTCTCATTCCAGAATGCAAGCCCAGCTTTTTGTCGCAGAACACCATACATAGAGCTGCTGTCGAGACATTCACCTCCATAGTTCCGAGCAGCTTCCATGTTGGCACGAGCCAGCTCAAGGCCGGGAAGCTGAACATCTTGTGCCTTTGCCATCGAGATAGCGTGGTTCGCATCTTTGATGGCTAGGGACACACCAAAGCCAGGCCGAGAGTCCAGGGGTGGTGCATAGGCTCCGGTGGTCAATCTGCAAAGCGTCAGAAAAGGGGAGTTATCATTCGCATATCCCAATAGACTGCGCATACCTCTTAGAGTATCCTCCGGCCACAGGACCAAAGGCTTCACCAATCAACTCCTCCATGGGCCCCGTTCCAAGTCCAGTCTTCTCAGCAAAGACCTGGGCCTCGCCGACGGCCTCCATCATGTTAACAGTCACAATGTTACTAGCGCCAAGTTAGTCGTCGAACCCATTTTGTCAACAGCGCAAAGCACATACCCCGCAATCTTCAACAGAGAGGACTTAGTAGCATCCTCACCACACTCAATAACCTTGCGACCCATAACATCCTGAATAAACGGCTTCACAGCATCGGTCGCGCTCTTAGGACCTCCAATCGCAAACACAAGCTTCCCGTCAACAGCAATGGGATTTCCGCCAAACACAGGTGCAGAAACGAATGAGGCTCCGCGTCCCTTCAGCTGCGCAACGGCCGAGCTCACCATGTCGGGGTGAACGGTCGAGCAATCGACAAAGATCTTGTCCTTGAGAGACTCACCAGATTGGGTAGCAGAAGAGATGAGGCTCTGCAGAACAGAGTCATTTGCGACCTGGGATTACATTTTTAGTTAAGCTATGTTCCCGCCAGTAGCGCGTTGTAATGGCTTTGTCTCCTTATCGGTGAATGAAATGAAATTACTAGTCCATTGTCCACATACCATGGTGAAAATGATTCCGCAGCGCGACACAAGCTTCTCGAAGCTTGGTTCGGCGATGGCGCCTAGAGACTGTAGCGGTCCACCGCGCGACATTGTGCGGTTGGTGTAGAGCAGGTTTAGGGACTTTTTGGCGACGACGTGTCGCTGTAGGTTGCTCGCCATGGCGAGGCCCATGGAACCGAGGCCATACTGGTATTTTTGTTAATTATCATTTTTGGTTTTTGTCTTAACTTTGGTGGTTAACTACTTACCCAGCCGATTTGAGTCATTATGTGTGTTCTGAATGTCGGAGCTGACCGTGAGATTGGCTTTGCTGATGTTTATCCCTGTGCGCACACTTTGCGGCTGGGGTTAGGGATCCGTATTATGTTGGCCTGGTTGTCAAACTCTGGAATGCAATCAATTTATCAGATGTTGTGCTGTGTGAGGAGTCCGATAAGTTATAATGTTCGTACCGGTTGAAGAAGCCTATCTGGTGGAGCGCGCTCGGGTCGTTTCCCGAGGGAATCGGAATCGGCCGATAGGAGATTCAATGTTCATGTTCGAGGCTAAAACATTCAATCTTGAACCATTTGAAGTATCTCACAGACAATCTCGGGCCGACAATATTTGTATCAATTGATATATCTTAAAATTCCAGACCATTTTGTCGGTTGTAAACCCGTTGACATCAAAACGCCAAGACATCTGGAGGATCATTCATTGATTACCAACATTGAAGATGTCGTCGGCGTTACAAAAGAACGCACCAGTCCTACCTATAGAGATATGGTCTGAAATTCTCGTTCGGGTAAGTAAAGATCAACATTGAGACAACGATACAGTCGCCTAATTTTATGTTATAAAAGCTTTACTGGACCGACCATTCGGCATTAAAGTCAGCTTCTTTAACCAATCGCAAGCTACGTGACATTGCCGCGCCTATCTTATTCCGAACTTTGCAGATGGAATTATTCCCCTCAAATCGAAAATGGCGTCTGAAGAATGTGGGCATAATTCCATTGAAGCATGTCAGAGTCATTGTGGTGACAGGCATCGGCTGGCAGCGCGGCATTGGAGACTGGGCAGGGGATGGCTTATTGAAAGTGATTGAGTCTGCCACCGGCCTCCAAGAATTCCAGTAAGTTGACCGATGATACCTTTCGCCTCATACTAGCCGCAATGAAAGGGCCAACCTTTTCTAACAAGGACGACCTTGCTTTTTGAAGCTGGCGGCATTTTAGGTACATGCCGGGCTTTGCTCTTTTCAAAATTCACCAGCTTTATCCACATGTTATCGTGCATATCAATAGCATGGATGTTTGTCTGGCACAGCGAAGGCGACCCCGTCATCCCATCGAGCGATCTATTCCTTATCTTGAATGCCTTCGCTCCCTTACCTCGGAGTGGTTTGACTTCGATTCTATATCCAAACCTCCTACTAATGCCAATGCTAGCTATCAAGCTCGCCTGAAGGACATTATATGCGCCAGTCATAATTTGGAGACTTTGAAGCTCATCAAAAGAGGAAACGGCTCGTGGCCCCCTCCAAGGGGAATGATCACATTGCAGGAAGGCGATGTTCTGCCGAAACTGAAGCATCTACACCTTTACCATATGTACCTTGATGAGACACAAAGCCTTTTGTGGGCAAAGTCTCTTCAGTGGGAAACACTCGAATCCTTATCATTGGTAAATGGTGAATGGGTTGATTTAGTTCCTGGTATCGCAAATCGTCTAAAGAGCCTCAAGTCATTTGAGGTTTCCCTCTCCGAATCTTACCCCAAATTGAGGGATTGGGTTCAATTCGATGAAAAGCTAGATCCACCGCCTCTTTACTGGAAGCGAGCAGCACAATTGTGTCTCTTTCTCGAATCCATGCCTCTTCTTGAGAAGTTTGTTGGCTACTATGTTCCGCAATCAATTCTTGACACTCTTTCAAAACTCCATGGCGAGACACTAAAGCATTTACGGTTTCGGAGCACGCCTCGCGGACACTTGGCTCCGAATGAGCGTCCTTGGCCTCCAAGCATCGAAAATCTAGAAACTCTAGCGGACCGGTTTCCCAATCTTCAGTCTCTGGGTCTTGACCTTGACTGGATATATCAAGAATGGGTGCGTATGATCTTGCATTACAATCTTACTGGTCACGTCGCTAATCAAAAGCTAATTATTCTTCATAGCCTTATGAGACTATGACCAATATACGCCAACTCAAACATCTCAAACACCTGGAAATAAATATCCCTAGTGTATTTTCCCGATTTGGCACTCCAAAGCATGACTTCGGTGTCTTTGGTGTGAATAAAATGGATGACAATGCCTGTAAGCGGCTTATACGATTCTTTGAAATGGGCTTAGACTCCGTTGCCCTCTATTCGTTACACATCAAAATCGGAGAATGGGAAGATGCCAAGTGGTCTCCAAAAACTCATTTTCCCAGGAATGAGCCGATGATTATTGGGGAACGCGACTCCTCTGGGGGCATGCACTTTCATCGCATATACCCACCCAACCGAGAGAGCAAAATGATTGATCCATATATGATAATGGTCCCCTATTCCCGAGATCTTTATCAAAGCCTCTTAGAGATTCATGGCTATGATCGCCCAGGCTCCATGGACAGTGGCAATTCCACTCGCGTGAGTTCCGACTCGATGTGGGGAACCTTATTATAAGAGCAAGAGCAAGCTGTTTCTCATGCAATATTTTTCAAGTATTCACATAGGACTACATGTACCATCAAAACTAGGAATTTTTTCCATTTGACTTTTTTCATGCCTTGCCCAATGGATATCTTAGGCTACATACACATGTGCATATCAGTACATACATGCCAACATTTGAAAAGCACTTGATTGTAATTGATATAATTAAGGTAAGTGAACCTGATGTATATTAGTGTTTGTTGACGGGCTGTATGTTGACGGGCACTACTATTCTTCATCATCAGTTTCTGGATCACTCCATCCACGTAAAATACTTGTTTTCCATCAAGGAAAATTATCGAGCGCTGACTAGGACCTTTCAAATTACTAATATTCAAATTTTATTGCCATTACTAGACTGGTAACTATACTTATGTCAATCATCTTGTTTGAATAATACATGTATTCAAACGTTTCAGGCTGATTGAAAACAATTTACATCAATCAATAGGCAGTTGCAGCGACCACTAGGGAGAGGCAAGCGGTCTGGACTAGGGCTAAGGCCTATGAATATTCTAGTTAGATGAGCTGGTAAACTATTGATCCATACTATTATTCAAAAGCTTCACTCAAGTGCTTTTAATATTTCCATCCATAAGCCACACATGTGTATGCCCCTTTTGAATATTTGCAGGAAGACAATAAACATTAAACCAGCACTTTCAAAATGTGTAGGACCATTTTACTATATATCGTTGTCAAGTGTCACATGCGGGCTGTTGACCTTCAATGTTTTACCAGTCTTTGAGCTTCGATCAAACTCTGGAGTTACCTAAGTAGTAGCTTCTTGTTATCCCCTTCCATCAATCTTGCTATGTTCTTTTGGCAACAAGAAATTCGCTTTTATCCTGTATCCTTAGTAGAACTGCTTATTTCAAGTCAAATACATATAGTGGCTGAAGCAATTACAGTACCGTAACAGGGGCGGCTGATACCCACAAATAATGGTGTGTTTGCGGGGAGAACTGACGTATGGTAACGTCACGTAAATAACGATGATGATGATGGCGCAGCAGCCAACTTCAATGTGTACCTCCTCCTCACCATCCACTCATCCTCCCCACCTCCACACCTCCAATTCCCCTCTCCTGGGATCTCCGTGCATAGATTTCACCCCAACTCTGAAATCTTCATCTCCTTTCATCATGGCGGATCTGCCCATTGGTATGTGCGCTCCCTCCTCAGGCGACCGTGTTGTCCCCCCTCCCCGGCTCCACCTAGCTAACTGCCCGCAGTCCTCGATGGAGGAACGGGTTTCCTCAAGGTCGGCTATGCCGGTCAGGTATGTCAGATGATACTCTCATGCAACCATTGGGTCTTCCACTGACCCAAATCCGCGCGCCAGAATTTCCCAGAGCACCAGTTCCCATCGATAGTGGGGCGGCCTATCTTGCGAACGGAGGAGCAGGCTGGCGACATCGTCGTGAAGGATATCATGTGCGGAGAGGAAGCTGCCGCCGCTCGGTCGATGCTTCAGATCAGCTACCCGGTACGTCGCAGTTGTACGAGGCTCCGGCCCTCGCCGTTTCCTACCCCGCCCCTCTCCGCAGAAGGCAGCAATGTAAGGCCTATCTTTGTTAATCAGTCTGTTTAGATGGAAAATGGTATTGTCAAGAACTGGGATGATATGCAACATCTCTGGAACCACACCTTTTACGATAAGCTGCAAATCGACCCTACAGGCCGCAAGATTCTCCTCACCGAGCCCCCGATGAACCCGCTTAAGAACCGCGAAAAGATGGCCGAGGTTATGCTGGAGGGATACAACTTCGGAGGTGTCTACGTGGCTATTCAGGCGGTGCTGGCACTGTACGCCCAAGGCCTGAGCAGCGGTGTAGTTGTGGACTCCGGTGACGGTGTGACCCACATCATCCCCGTGTACGAGTCGACCGTGCTGAACCACCACATCCGCCGGTTGGATGTTGCTGGTCGCGATGTCACTCGCAACCTGATTGCCCTTCTCTTGCGCCGTGGTTACGCGCTGAACCGTACCGCCGATTTCGAGACCGTTCGCCAGATTAAGGAGAAGCTGTGCTACGTTTCCTACGATCTTGAGCTGGACAAAAAGCTATCGGAGGATACCACCGTCTTGGTCGAGTCTTACACCCTTCCCGATGGCCGTGTGATCCGCGTTGGTAGCGAGCGATTTGAGGCGGCCGAGTGCCTCTTCCAGCCTCACTTGGTCGACGTGGATCAGCCCGGTATGGCCGAGCTGCTCTTCAACACAATTCAAGGCACCGACGTCGATGTCCGATCCAGCTTATACAAGGCCGTCGTGCTTAGCGGTGGTAGCAGCATGTACCCCGGCTTGCCTTCTCGATTGGAGAAGGAGCTGAAGCAGCTCTGGCTGACTCGCGTTCTGGGCGGAGACCCAGAGCGTCTGAACGTACGTATACGGGAAAACATAGCAATTGGAAGAATTCGAAATCTAACTATTTTACAGAAATTCAAGGTCCGCATTGAAGACCCCCCACGACGGAGACATATGGTGTTCCTGGGTGGTGCTGTGCTCGCCAACTTGGTAAGCTTCCTATCTCCTTTTCTTACTACATTATTTCATATCAGGCTAACAAAAGATCCCAGATCGCCGACAAGGACGACATGTGGGTATCCAAGCAGGAGTGGGAGGAACAGGGTTCACGTGCCCTGGCAAAACTCGGCCCGCGATAAGCGATGTATTAAGGCGGTTGTTTACCTTGATCTTTATTTCCCCGTTTTCTTTTGCTTCGCACTCCCGCATGATCTGCAAGCCGTGTTTTGTCTCCTTTTCTTTTCCTTCATCTCCGACTATTCCTCCTGTCAATATCCTTCCCATCAATCTTGTTTCCGCTTCTCACTGCCTCCTCTATATTGTGCCTAGACTGGTCTGGTGCGGGTGGATCTGGGGCTGTTGACCGAAAAGAGAGAAATCTTGGAATATTACCTTCACAATCCTCGCAATCAGCCCAACATGGACCTGGGCAGTAGGCACTATGTATGCTATCATATACCCCGTATCCTACATCGCCGCCGTAGTCTAGTGTTTTGGTGATGCAGGGAGATCACAAAGATATCTCTCTACGGTTACTGGAGGCAAATCAGTTCTGAGGTCTTGAAGCCCAAACTATGCCTATTGGTTACCAGTGCCCTCTTATTCTACTTTCCTTGCAGAGCTTTTTACGAGAAAGACATAAATAGTAGTGAGCAGAGATAAAGATTCTCACAGGATGCTCTGATTGGGACGAAAGTGATTTGATGAGGCCAAATAGATCCTTTCTGAGCCACGCACATTCATCCAGAGCGTTCAGAACCACGGTTGTTCTGCTGTAATCGTTGATTCAGTAAATCATTCGTTGCTTGCAGGTTGAGATGTCTCGATGGGTCTACCTGTCCTGAATCTGGGTAAAAGTATTTTGAACGTCTTTGCGAATAAGACATTGAAGTTACCAAATTTTCGGGGAAGACATCAATTAGTCTGGTGTCAGGATGAACGACTGCTGTGCTTTAACAGCCTTGAACAACCTCAAGAAGCTCGGGTTGGCGATCCTTCAGATCGGAAGGTTGGTCTTGTGTTTTTTGGGGGACTCATAAAGGCCCCAATCAGGCGAAAAACGGTGCGAAAAACGGTGCCTTTTTCACATTTTTCAAGCGCAAGGGCCATAAGCTTCAGTGATGCAACATTTGACAATTTCATCAAAGCCGAATCAAGCGACCCCAAAAGTGCCGGTTATTCTTTTACGATATTTGGGCGGTATATTTCTTTGTATGACTTTCCACAGGTTGTGCTTCGAACTAAAATATCAGCAGTCATAAAATTACTAGTAGTCATACTTCAGGCTGCAACACCAACCAGATCCATGCCCGCGGACACTGACAGCAGGCGCTAACAGCAAGTGGAAATTTTTCAATATTCGTACTAAGTAGTGTATATTCATTCAATCTGATATTTGTTCCAGTTCATGGTGTCAACTTGTCACATGAAAAAAGGGATCCTGAAATGCAAAGAACCGGCTGTCAAAAAGAAAAAGAAAAGAATGAAAAAGAAGAAAACTAAGAAGACAAGAATGGAAGAACTTGATAAGGAAACCCTGAGAAGAAACCCGAAAAGCGCTATATCAAAAAAAAAGCTTACGCCTCATATGCATTTGGCGATACAGCCAGTATCACCGCCAAAGTCGCAATAATCAGCGCAATGGCCACGAAAGCCGTGATTGCCACACTGCCACGACTGGCGGGGAACTTTCCACGGACAATCCAGTGCTGGCTCTCAAAGTAACGATGGAACCCAATCATTAGCACTAAAACAGCAACACCTATGAATGTTGAACCGAGTGGCTTTCCTACACTGCGGAGCTTGGATGTGTTTTGGGAGGAGGAGGACATTGCGAAGGCGTCAAGGATAGATGATGAAGGGAACTGGATTCCAGAGTGATCTAAATTGTTGAAATTTGCAGACGCGGTGGCAGTGTTTAAGCGGAATAATTGAGTGACGGCGATGCCGATGGAGGCAAACGCCAGGGAGGTGCGCATCCATGCAAGGAATGTTCGCTCTAGTAGTCGCGGTTAGCAAGAAAATCGCCGAATTAAGTTAGGCAGATAAGAAATTCTTACCCAAAGCCAAATGATCTCGTGCCACGCTACCCTTGTTCTCAAGTTCTAGTGCGCCGAATCGGTCCACGAATCGGCCGAGCCAGGATCGCTGGGGGTCATCTTCCGCTGACTCCGCTTCATTAGTCTGGGATTTTGGGATTGCAGCTTCTGCAGCATTGCTGGATCCAGGGATGGGGTTTGGTGGCTCAGTAGCCTGGTAGCCACGCGTTGATGAACTAGGCCCGTTTATGGGGGTGTTCTCAGTAAGCTGCTTCTGTGTTTGCTGGGACTGCTGATCTCGGGAATAATTTCGGGACGCGAAGCTCGAGCGGGACCGGCTGCTGCTGATCGACGATGACAGTGCCGAGTCTAAATGAGTAGGTGAGCGTGACGAGGCTGAGTCTATATCTCTGGCCTCACTGTTGTTGTGGGCACCTGTCGGAAACGTCGCCGATGGCTCAAAGGTGTTCATGATGGCGTGCTCGCGCCGTGACCGTTGGTCTGGGTGTTTTGTCCAATCAGAGAAGGGTATAGAAGCAGGTGGTATGCGGCCAGGGGGGCGCCAGGCACTGTCGAAGTGTTACGAGGGGGCCCGTGGTGGGGATGGAACGGATATTGTGGTTATAAGATCGAGTATTCCTGACTGTTTGATCTGGATTGATTCACACTGGGGTATACGCTGTTGTAGGAATATACTGGAGTGGCTTATTTCCCCGCTGAAGCACCCATCATGTGGCCTCCTGTCAAATGTGACAGAACTGCCAGTGAGAAAAAGATCGGTCGATCTCTGTTTTCCGGGGAAGATCACATGCTCCACTAGCCTAACTTGATATGGCGTCATCCCGAGATTACTTTAAGTAAGCGGTATAGATATTCTGCCACCGATCCTGGTTAGATAATCAAATGTGTTATCTCAAGGTCCCTCAGGGTTCAGTTCACCATTCTTCACCCTCTCACACCTCACATCCTGAGCCATGATGGCGCAATCACTACCACCTCTAGCTGGTAAGGTAGATCTTTCCAAGAAACTTTCAGAGTTGCGGTCAGGTCAAGGCCGATCCCGGAATGCCTCATCTCGTGATTCAGCCCCAACCACCCCTCCTTTGCCTTCGCCGCCAGATCTCGCCGCCAACCAGTACACCCGCCCCGTTCGCCGCATCCTTTCCAACAAAGATCACGATCTATTCCTCGCCTCGCCTACCTACAAGCTCGTTCTAGCATTCGTCCTCGGTCTTTCTGATTCTGTCAGAGGCCGCGCAATTCCAGAGAAAACCAGCCCCACTTCCGATGCCATCTCCAAGATCCTCAGCATCGTAGGACGACTACGCTCTCTTGTAGAGAAACACCCCGCCTTGGACCAGGGTGGGTCGCGATTCGGAAATCCTGCATTCCGTACTCTTTTCGACGATGTGGTCACCCAAAGCCCGACATGGCACACCGACATTCTCGGATTAACAGACACCGCCGCGATCGACGAGGCATCCACATACTTGATCCACTCTTTAGGCTCAAAAGACCGAATCGACTATGGGTCAGGTCATGAGCTGAACTTCATGATGTGGCTTCTCAGCCTTTACCAGCTCGGTCTACTACCGAAAACAGATTTCCCAGCTGTGGTCTTCAAGGTCTACCTTGAATACATGCATCTCATGCGGGATGTACAATCTACATACTATCTAGAACCAGCCGGGTCTCATGGTGTCTGGGGTCTGGATGACTACCATTTCCTCCCATTCTTGTTCGGTGCTAGCCAGCTAGTGGATCACCCGTATATCACACCATTGGGGATCCATAATACTGCTTTGCTTGATGAAGAGGGAGACAAGTATCTCTATCTTGATCAGGTGCGGTGGGTGGATAGTGTCAAGACAGTGAAGGGATTGCGCTGGCACAGTCCCATGCTGGACGATATCTCAGGTGCGAAAAATTGGTTCAAGGTGGAAAGTGGCATGAAGAAGATGTTTGTCAAGGAAGTCCTAGGCAAGCTACCCATTATGCAACACTTTATGTTTGGAAGTCTTCTTCCTGCAGCAGAAGGTATGGGCGAGCTCTCAGAGGATGGCAATGACGGTCAGGACGACAGCCATGCTGGACATGACCATGGTCCTGGACAGGCCCATACAGACTACTTTGGTGACTGTTGTGGTATTAAGGTCCCTAGTACAATTGCTGCAGGTGCGGAGATGCGCAAGCGGATGGGCGGATCCGGGTTGCGCCCGATTCCCTTTGATTAGTGAATCGCAAAACTTAAAACTGTACAGTTCGGAATGAATATGAAGAAAATAATGAACAAAAGAGTTCCCGAATTAGTAACCACCCCTGGCAGCGATCATCAATTTAGCTCCAATATAGCCCACGGAACTCAATACCAAGCTAAGAGACACCAGTAGAAAATTGATCAAAAACGGATAAAGCAAACCCTCGTAAGTACTAGTTTCTAAGCCCCAAAAACCAGAAAACCAACCAAGTCATAGTCCAATCTGCAATCTGCAACAGCATTCTGCCTTATCAAAGACCCCCCACACCGCACAACCTGATTGGCCAACCGCCCAAACCCCCAACTTCACATCTCCAAACCCAAAGGCACACCTCTTCCATCAGTGGCTTCAGTGGCTCACTCGACCCAGCCAAATAAAAGAAAGCGAGAAAAAAAGGAAGGGAAGAAAAGAAACCTACCCAAATAAGAGGCCGGTGGCAAACCTATACCCAAAACCCCAACACTGCAAGGTTTCTCTTCCAGACGAAAAAAAAAATAGTCCCGATAGACCGCAAAGAAAGGGAAACCCACTCCCAACCTTACTCCGCACGCAATCTTTTACAAGCCCGTGCCGGGTAACCAACCAACACTCTCCCCTATCCTATATCTTTCCATTCTATTCTATTCTACCCACTCATGCCGTTGGACGATTACTCCACCTCCACCGGCGGGGGCGGCAAGCTCAAGTTGAAAGGGAGCAAAGTGAGTGGTGGACGGGTGGATAAGAAAAAGAAGAAGAAGGGAAGCAAGAAGAAGGATGGGGATGGGGGATGGGAATGGGAGTGAAAAGGTTGGGGGCGATCGGGATGAGGACCGAGCCAAGAGCGAAGATAAGGGCTCTTTGAGCGCGGATGCGACGCCTGAGCCTGGATCTGGATCTGGATCGGGGTCCGTGGGGAAGACGGAGGCGGAGAGGAAGTATGAGGAGATGCGAAAAAAGAGGGTGTGTATTGGCTTCTTTTCTGTTACATTTCTTTGTTTTCTTGTCTGGGCTTGATGCAGGGTGGGCGTGGCTAATGGTTGGGGATTGGGTTTAGATGCATGAGCGACTCCAGCGGGACGGTGTCAAGACGCATAAGGAGCGTGTGGAAGAACTCAATAAGTATCTCAGTCGACTGAGTGAGCATCACGATATGTACGTTTTCCTCGTTGCTTCCTCCCATTTGCTCGGAATTGGAGCCGAAAGTAACTAACTTGACTTGTCGACAGGCCGAAGATTGGACCGGGCTAGACCAGGTTGTTTCACAAGGATGTTTGCTACGTTATTCCTTTATTCATGTATTATAAGGCCGAATTGAAATTTTGGAAAAAAAGTGTGGTATATTCACATACGGTAATCCAAGAAAATAGTAATCCCAAGGCTAAAACAGAAATAGCAGGAATTTGCCCATGCGAGTCCCATAGGATCTCTATGAAGCGGCCCCGAAAAGATCAAGGCAAATTAGAATCTTCATGCCAGGCGAATGCAAATAATCCCCAGTGACGGAGAAGAAAAGGGAGAATAGATCAGAGGAAGATAAAAGAAACGCCATGTAGATGAAGCCCACCCCCAACAACAACAGTGACAAAGAAAATAGAGGGAAAAACCGCAAAAAAAATCAGTCCGGCCGTAGCCACAACAATGTCATATACAAAACACCCCAACAATAAGGTAAGAAAAGAACAGAAGATGAACGCAAGTCGAAGGGAGTCAAGAAGATAACAGGGAAGCAAATGAACACCGCGCTAAAGATTCAACCGGCTGAATTGATCAACGCCGATCACCGGAATCCCTTTCCCCTCTCCACTCCATGTATAATGAAAAACGAAAAATAAAAATATAGAAGCAGATCTTTGGTGTTGGCATCTGGAAATCCGTGGCGTAGGGAGATTAAGAGGGATGGAGAGGCGTGTGTGGAGATGTAGGTAGTAGCACCAGGTCTAGTCTCATACACCCTTGACGACGACCGTCCGCTCGCTGTTTAGCTTATCGGCGTTCCGCGCATGGGATTCCTTCTTGCAGTCCTCTAATCCAGAGCAGGAGTGTGCCTCGAGCATGCGGTGCTTTGAGCAGAAATGACCGGCGCAGAAGCTGCAGTCACCGACGATCCGCTGAGCAGCCTCCTTGCACTCCTTGAAGTTGCATCTGGGCTTGCGGGGAGGAGCCATGGTGGAAATTGGAGTAAGGTTGTAGTTGAGGGGAGAAAAGTTGGTTTGGAGAGAATAGTAGAGAGAGGAAGGCGGAAGCGGAGGCGGAGGCGGAGGCGTAGGGATTAGAGAAAGATGGTGTGGTGCGGATCTTGTTGGATCAGCAGCTGACCGGGTTTGAGATAAGCGCCGGGTATCGGGTTGGTAGGAGGGCGGTTGTGAGGAGAGCGAGTGGATCTGCTAGCTAGACAATGCTAACGCTGATGGGCGCTGGGTTTGTAGTTTGTAGTTGTAGATGTAGATAGAAGAGGAATATGGGCGGTTGTTCTCAAAAGTCCAAGTTGGTTGAGTTGGTTGAGTTGGTAAGGTTGGAAGGAAACTGGGAAGGTGTGAGTTGGAGAGGGAATTGGTGAGAGATGGGTTTGGACGTTGGGGAAGTGAAGAGTTCCACGGAGGGCAGTCAAGATTGGTGATACAGGGGAAAGGGGAAAAGAAAGCACATACTTTGGGGCGGCCACGTATTATATATGATTCGGAAGGCACGGGAGAACAAGAGAGAAAGTCAAACTTCTTTAAATGGCTGAGTCAGTCTGAGGCGTGGAGAGTGACGGAATCAGTCTGGAGGCGGGTCCGAGAAGGTTCGATAGGCTAAGTGCAATAGTATGGGCCAGTATGGCTACTTTAACCCTCCACCTTTTCTTGGTTCAAATTCGGGTGGATTTTCTGGATTTCTTTAATTAATTCCTGATTAAAAATTGCACCTTAACCCCCTATTGCCGGCACCGAATCTCGGCGTGGCGTGTTTTCTATCCCCTAACGGAGTAACCCCCTCTTCTATTCCCCTAACTCCTCTTTAGTCTCTTAGTGTATACCTAACTAGTACACTACCCTAATCTCTCCCCATTTCCATATACAAACCTGCACGGCAACCACCCCTTTTTGCGCTTCCTGCGCCTCTTCGCCTTTTTCGTTTTCCCGCACGCGACCCGAACAAGGTGCCCATCGAGGCTGATCGGGTCCAATGATCGGAATGCGTCCGTGCGGACCTGAATCTGAGCGGCTATTCCACATCCAAGTACTCCGTCCTCCGTCCTCTCCTCCTCCGTCATCTAGCATGACCCTTACCAGGAGATGCACGACGACCCATTTCCGTACATAAATTTTTCTATCGCCAACTCAAAAAGACTAACTATTTCAAGTTTAGCTTCACTTGACACTTAATCATTTCACATGATACACCATACAAGGAGTTACTTCCAAGATTATTTATACGGAGTACTCCGTACGTGCATAGTAAACGAAGTATATGAACTAGGTCTAGCCTTGACTCTTACTACTTAGTACATAGCAAAAAAAAAAAGAACGGTTCACCTGACTTTTTTTTCTCCATCACGTGTCCGAACCAGAATAGATCGAAACACAGGGAAAACCCGAGAACCAGGAATGTGAAAATGCGAACTACTCTTTTTTTCTCTTTCTTTTCCCGGACACTTATTAATCACGTTATCTTGGTTCGAACTGCCAATTTCAGGCGCTGTTTTACCCGAGGGGGGATTGTCCCCAAGGTTTAGTTCCACCGTGGCACACCGCGCCACCCACGGGCCCCAATAAGTCCAGTGGCAAAAGGGAGTTTTGTCATGAAAAATAATTTGAAACTAGTTGAATGATTTGTGATCAATATGGTCTATTGGAGCCCAAGGGAGAAATGAAAATGAATAACAGTAGAGAGAGAGTTCACAGACCGCCTACCAGGTGTCCATGGCGGAATTGGATCAGTCTCCTTGGTCAATGCGTTAGTAAATGAGGCACGATGATCTGCGGGGAGCTATTACATGGACGACCACGTACTCGACGTGAATGTGAGATGTTGATCAATACTCCATTTCCCCCCTAACGTATCATTGACTTTTTGTTCAAGTTTTTCAAGTTTTTAGCCGAATTGCTTTTTTTTTTTTTGGCTCTAGTTCTTTGACTCATAGTATTGCTCCACGGTAGTCCTACCCGAACTACCCTGCGGAGTATACGGAGATCTAACCGAACTACACGAAAAACCACCTCGTATACTCCGTTTTCCCTTCTCCGCCAATGCCCACTTAAACATTGCCAACCCAACCAACCTAAATCGCATCTCCGGCCATTCTCTCATTTGGGACCGACTTGCAGATTGCATATCTCCACCGCTGCAGCATCCGGCCCGTTGCAACTGTGCGGGTCATCCGGAATCCACACTCGCCGGTCCCGTCTACGTGTCTAGGGCGTATTTCAAATGTGCTGGCATCGCCATGTAGGTGGACATTTTCATGAAAGTATCGGTGTATGGACTAGGACAAAAGAGAGAGAGAAAAAAAAGAAACAGAAATTAAGGGACAAGAAGTGAGAAATGAGAAAAAGAGAAACGCCCATGGCCCTGTGCCCGAGTATGCGCCCGAAACCCCCGTTGCCCCTGGCCAAAGCAATGAATCATGAGGATCGAAAAAAAGAAATAAAAAAAAAGAAATTTTCTACCCCAGTTTTCATACTCTGGGGTCAGCTCGGGGATCGGTCTCTTTGCTTGCAACCGGCTCTAAATAATCCTCACGTTCCGCAGCTTCATACTCATGAATCAGATCCATCACCACCGCTCGGGCTTCGTCGAATTCACCCAGTCCATCAGCAAAGGGCGGGGTCTTCTCGTATTGTTGAATGAAGGCATTGCGTTTACGCAGCGGGTCGTACTGCTGAACAATCCGCTTGAAGAGAGTTGCAACAGAGGTGTGGTTCGCCAACATCAGACCGCTGACTCGGTTCGTATGTTGCAAGTATGGCGATTTCTTGGTGAGTGCGACCTGGATGCTAGCGGGGCCCCATGGGATAAATGAAGCCAAGCGACGTTCACGGATACGCAAAAGTGACTTGTGGACGTCTGTAGGATCTGCCTCACCCTGGATGATGTTGAGAATGCTCATATAACAGCTGGTCTTGCTTGGGTTGATGGAGACCATGCGGTTCTTCGGTTGAAGTAAACGGCGCATAACATCTAGAACGGTGGTTTTGCGGACAGTCTTGGCTTGTTCAATATTATCACCGGTGAATGGCGTATACGAAGTGACCAAGAAGTGAGTGCGCGGTGTTGGGATCAACGAGGCGATGATGCCTGCTAGATCATTGTGCATGTACCCTGGGTATCGTAGGGGAGTAGTAGATGCCGACATGACCGTTGAAACCTGCGAGAATTAGCCTCCAAGCCTGTGGTGATTTCCTTGAATAACACTTACAAGCTGGTTAGTCTGATCGAAGTTGGGTTTTTGCACATGCAATCGGTCGGCAACAATGCTTGCCAGTGCCAGATTATCCAAGACAACCTGCCAGTGATTTAGTTATTGAAGCAGATGCAAATGAGCGGGTATTCGTACCACAGAGTCAGCATCTTGAGTCAACCGACGCAGAGTGAGCAGACTGTTGTAGGGGTTTACAACCACGTCATTGGAATCCGAGAAGACGGAGTATGTCTGAATGAGCTTCTTGGGGAAGCGATCATTCATGCGCTCCAAAAGAAAACTTCCCAGGCCGGAGCCTGTACCTCCTGCAATCGAGTGCAGCAACATAAAGCCCTGGTGGAAATGGCGAATTAGCTTATCACAAGGCTTGCGCATGGGGTTTTATCAGACGAACCTCGAGGGAATCACTTCCATCCGCCTCACGATCGATCATGTCAAATATCTCCTCCTGCACACCCTCGCCTGCAGCGTAACCGGCACCCCAGTTATTACCAGCTCCAACTCCATTTTCTCCCATGAAGAAATTCTCGGGGTTGTAGATGTTTTTGTAGGGGCCTGATTGAATACTGTGAAGGACCTGTCGGCGTATCAGTCATGGCTCAATATTTTTGTCTTCGATCGACAGCGGCCTAATTTCAATGGAAGGGCTGGAATCATACTCGAGGCTCTAGATCGAGGAGAATCGCGCGGGGAATGTATCTGGTGTCGTCACTCTGTAGAGATCGAGTCAGTATGAACTATCAAAAAACGCCGCGCACTTCGAATGAAGACTGCCATCTGAGCCTCGACAACTCACCTGGTAAAAGAACACATCCTTGCGGTCTCCGCCTTCCGTCGCAAACTCCTCCAAGTTACCATCCTGGCTGATTCCATGCTCCAAGCACAGCTGCTGCCAGAACTGGCTGCCGACTGTGTAAAGAATAAACCGTCAGCTACGGTGATTCCGATGATTTTTGCTTTGTTTGTTCAATTCCCAAGCGACTCGAGCGGTGGAGAGGTCGCAGTGCTAGAAATTGGTCGAGGCTGCGGAGAAGGCACATACCGTTGTTGCCGCACTGGCCGGCTTGGATCGTGATGATTTCCCTATTTCGCGAACTCCGGTCAGCTTTGCGTGCTCTATGGGAGCTTCAGGTCGTTTTTGGGGTCCTTACCTAGGCATCGTGGTCCAATGGCGCCGTTGGTAGAAAGATGATTTACGCGTAACGCGTTGTTGCGGGGAACTTTTTGGCTGGGATTACGAGCTGTAGCCTCAGGCACCAAATTGTAGGTTGGACATCAACATCACCACCCAACGAGTGAACGTAAGCGCAAGTTTTTGATATCATTAATTTTGTAATGACGCTCGAAAGCATTGATGACATCTAGTTGTTATAGCTAATTCAATAATCATCTGTCAAGTAGTATGACCCGCTGTGCTTTTAGATCATCTCGTCATGTCCGCAGAATATCAGAATCCTGCCTTGCACGATGTCACTAGTGTTCCAGCTCCTGCAACCACACCATCAACAATCCTCACTGTCTGTCCCTTAATATCCCCATAAACACGTATGCATCCCTCTCGTACAGCCTCTTCCATTCCTGCCATCCCCGCGCATCCCATACAAATGGCACCCACGGGGACTGGTGACTCCCGAAGCAGTTTCTGGGTAGCATCGATGATCCTTTGCTTCACTTCTTCGGGCGGGGTTGTGTGAAGCTGCACTGCCGTCAATCCAGTTGTCTCAACACCGGCGAAACGAGAAGAGCCGTGGCTGGTGCCAAGCATCTGAGTAACGGCCTTGCTAAGCTCCTCCTTCCAGGCACTGCCGGTGGTCACGATTCCAAACGACTCTTCAACCTGCTTCTTGTCCAATTCTCCCAAGCTCACAAAGTCGAATGCACTGATCAACGATAGCGAAGCAGTAACGCTGGCTTCAAAAATGCCCGTCACATACTTCTTACGGTTGGACGGATGGGTCTTCTCGAATTCTCGGATATGCTGTCGCAATACACCCACTAGTGGGTGGGCCGAATAGCACGCCACCAGGAATGCATCATATTGCGAGATCCGGTCCAAGACTGACCAGCAATTGAGTGCCGATTGGGCGGATTCCTCTCCTGAATTGATACTGGGGATGGGCTCGTAGGTGCGTCCGTCTACCGTCACTGGCTTGTTTGGCGCTGTAAAGTATTCATATTGTACATCGGAATAGTTGAGTCGCTCCAGTATTGGTTTGAGGCCATCGGTCATATGGGTGGAAGTATTGGGGTTGATGACCAGGATTCGGATAGCGCGCTCGACGCTGGGTGAAGATGTCGCCATTGTGGCTTTTATTGAGTGAGGGTCGGTAAAATAGTTCTCTCGAAAATGTAGAAAAGGAGACCCTCAATAAATGGAATCCACTTTGAAGCTGCGGTCGGTCCCGAAGGAAAGAAGCATTCCGCAATGGTCCCCGCCGTTATCGACACAATCGGCTCACTCCGCAACCCCTCCCCCGCTCCAGATCACCTCTCTCCAACTCTCCAATTACAACCACCAAAACATCCCTGCTCAGCCACCATGCCTCTCATCGCACAGAATCCATTGCCGCGGGTGATTCTCGGGCTTATGACCTTTGGCCCCAATCCCGCCAAAGGTGCCCGTATCACCTCGCTGGACGAATACAAGAAATCTTTGGATTATTTCCAACAGCAAGGATTCAATGAGGTCGACACTGCCCGGATCTACAATGGTGGTGAACAGGAAGCTTTCACAGCTCAGGCTGGTTGGAAGGAGCGTGGTCTGAGTATTGCTACGAAATGGTACCCCAATTCTCCGGGCTTCCACAAGCCCGCCGTCTTGCGTGAGAACTTTGAGAAGTCCTTGAAGGAATTGGACACGAATATGGTTGAAATCTTCTATTTGCATGCTCCGGATCGATCAGTACCTTTCTCAGAGACCTTGGAAGAGGTCAACAAGCTCCACAAGGAGGGCAAATTTGTTAACTTTGGTTTGAGCAACTTCGCTGCCTTTGAGGTAGCTGAAATTGTTACTCTTTGTAACGAAAGAGGCTGGGTTCGCCCGACCATCTTCCAGGCCATGTACAATGCCATCAGTATGTGACAGCACATCTTCCCAAAAAAAAAGGAAAGGATTCAACAAGACTGACTCTTTGTTCTATGACAGCTCGCAATATTGAGGTTGAGTTGGTTCATGTCTGTCGTCGTTATGGCATTGATATTGTCGTCTATAACCCACTGGCTGGTGGTCTTCTCTCTGGAAAGTACAAGACCATCGATGTGCCCGCAGAGGGACGTTTTGGAAAGAACAGCTCCACGGGGAACAACTACCGCAACCGCTACTTTAGAGATTCGAACTTTGAAGCCCTTAGCGTCATTGAACCGGTTGTTGAGAAGCACGGATTGACCATGGTCGAGACTGCGCTTCGCTGGGTCCACCACCACTCGGCTTTGAAGATCGGTAACGGTGGTCGCGATGGCATTCTTATTGGTGTCAGCAGCTTCTCTCAGCTGGAAACCAACCTTGCAGATGTGCAGAAGGGACCTCTTCCGGAGGAAGTTGTGGCGGCGCTTGACAAGGCTTGGCTCATTACTAAGCCCTATTCTCCGCCCTACTGGCACTTGGATCTCAAGTACACTTATAACACTCAAGAAGCTCTTTTCAAGCCTAAGGCTTAGGATGGGGTGTTGTACACATTAGTACTAGCATAGATACTACTAGGCAGATGAGTTTAGAATCGGTCGAGTAGAATGCTAGCCATATGGTAACAACCAAGTCAGCTAGCATTATGTGCTTTCACATATAGCCTGTGTTCCCTCAATTCCGCTTGTCCTGTCCCTTGCTTTCAATGTTTGTTTCCTCAGGCGCACTAACTGCAAAGTCATGAGTATAAGTGGTGTCATGTGGAGTTTCCATGTCATTACATTCCAGCAATTATACTGTGGAACTAGTTAGGTCCCGAGTACTCATTAGATCAAATAGCTCCCAGGCTTCACCGGACATAGTACAATGCTATACTACTAATACTAGTACGTATCCAGTCAGGCGGGCTATTTTGGTCACTCGCAATGGACGCCTGAGACTACAAAAACGCTAGACCCAAAGAGGTCTAGTCTCTGCGTTCAGGGACAACGTCACATGACCCACTTATTTCCCGATGCGGTCTAGGGCCATGATGACGAACGAAGGCGTCCATTTCCACGGGGCCCTGGGTTTCCCCAGTCTACATCTCATGAAAAATCTCCAGTCTGGCAAAGTCTGGCAGTGTCGGACAAGTCTAATCTAAATTTGAACTTCAAAGCATTCGGTTTTATTCCGCTCAACGTGGCCGCAACCCCGGACCCCTGTTCGTTCGACGTACGTACGTGGCTACAAATAAAGCTGCATCCGACCCCAACAGTTCCTTGATCGCATGCAGCGCCCCAACCCCGACTTGTGATCGATTTTTGTCTCATTAAAAAAACCTGTTTGAATGTGAAATTCTTCAATCAGACCGGTCATCTCCCTCAGTAATCGCCAACTCTCTCTGAATGGGTTGAATATTCTTTAGCTTTGATTCCTTATCTGTTATCTCTGCGCTGCAAGGGTGCCAAGTGGGTGGACCCATCGTTTTTTGGACTACTCGGAATTACTTAAGAATCAAGATTGCGACAACCCAAGTTCAGAAGACAAGCCAACGCAATTGTGGCTTCAGATAACATTGAACTTGGAGAGTCAGGCTTGGGTCGTGATTCCCAGGATTCAGGCGACGACATGCATCGCCCCCCAATGCACCGACCAACGGACGGCCGTTCGGAACAACCGTTACTCAAGGACGATGAACGTCGTCTCTCACGATCCAGTTTCGACAATGGTGATGCAGAGGGACGACCTATGTTACACCACACCCGCAGGCCCACCATCCGGAGTAAAAGCCCCGAAAAAGACGCCGCCAAAGCCACCCGCAAAAAGTATTTGGTCGCTTTGGGCTTTTTATTGTTGAGCTTGGTTAGCTTTGTGATACAAACTGAAACTGCCGTGTATATTCAGCATGAGCTAGGATGGAATAAGCCGTACTGCATGCTGTAAGTTGGCAAGAGACGAGGTTGGCGATATCGATCTCTCTCAACATCTACACAACCCCTTACCTTTCTTCCTGGACTTGCAATGGCTTACCCGTTCCGTTTCCCACACGCAGCTATATTACCCACGGCTCTTGGATCTTGCTCTGGCCGTTCCAGCTGCTCATTCTCCGAATCCAGAAACGAAAGCTATCATGGGAAGCATTCTGGCGCCGGCATGTCTCTCTCCTTCGAAGCACCGCCCAAATGGTAGAAACCCAAGAGGTCCACGTATCTTCGCGTCACGCCCATCGTTCCCCGGTCCCATATATGCTGAAGACGACGGCTTTTGTCACCAGTGCCCTTACTATCGCCGGTGGCTCGTGGTACGTAGCCGTCAATTTGACCACCGCGAGTGACTTGACCGCAATCTACAACTGCTCAGCTTTCTTTGCATACGCTTTTTCGATTCCTCTACTTAAAGAGAAGCTGCGGTTAGACAAAGTCCTCGCCGTGGGTGTTGCGATCGTCGGCGTGCTTGTCGTGGCATACGGCGACCGGCCGGACAAGAAAGTCTCCAAGGGCGGAACAACCAATGCAGACGGCGAAGCGCAAAGTCGACTACTGGGTAACGTCGTTATTGGAGTGGGGAGTATCCTCTATGGGCTCTACGAGGTCTTGTATAAGCGGTTTGCGTGCCCTCCAGAGGGCACTAGTCCGGGCCGGGGCACCATCTTCGCGAATACATTTGGCAGTCTTATTGGAGCATTCACCCTTACTGTCCTATGGATTCCAATCCCAATCTTCCACTATCTAGGTTGGGAGGAATTCCGCTTCCCTACCGGCGAGGCAGGTCGGATGCTTATTGTTTCGATCTGTGCCAATGCTAGTAAGTTTTTATCTTTTGGTTTTCTGCAACATCCAACGTGAGACTTACATTCTGTTCAGCATTCTCCGGATCTTTCTTGGTCCTCATTTCCCTCACATCTCCTGTTCTCTCCTCCGTCGCTGCGCTCCTAACGATCTTCCTCGTCGCTATCGTCGACTGGTTCCGTACCGGCCAACCTCTTTCTTCCGCAGCCATTGTTGGCGGCGTCCTCATCATAATTGCATTTTTCCTCTTGAGTTGGAGTACTTACCGTGAACTCAGCGAGGAAAGGAGAAAGCACCTTGAAGAAAATGATCAAGTTGAGTCAGAAAGTGACGAATAGACCATCATACTTGATGACATGCAACGCACGTTTTATATTTGTTCATCTTGAGGTTTTTTTTCGCCGTTGTTTTATCATAACTTGTACAGCTATAGTACTCACTTAGAAACCCTACAGCATTGCATTGGAACATGGATATTTTAGACGCGCGTGTCTTTTATGCACACTTTTCCAATTTTGTATGTCCTCTTTCTTTAGATCCTCCAGTGTGCCACCTGGCATGCATGCTCCGCAATACATAGAGACTGGACGACCCATGCAGAGACAATTTTACCCACGGTTACTTACTAGGTAGGTAGTTGGACACTTCAAATGTTGATCCGCGTATAGGCACCTTTTTGAAAAACAGTCAGATCGGACCCCCAGCCCTCAAGTGCTGGAGTCCCGCTGGAGGTCGATAATGTTGATTTAGGTACAGACTTTGCAGATCCATGCAGGACTCTCCCTGATTTCCAGACAGTGGATGTCACCGGAGCCGGGCCAACCTTAATACATACATATGCATCCATGGATGTCATCAGTATATGTATACTAATCCTGTCTAGGTAACTGCTCTCGGAACGTATTTCCCACATGCATCAATTGATTGAAGCGGGATTGGTTTTAATCCATCAACATTGAATGATGCCGGTGTGCAGTTTACATATATGACTTTCAAAAACTGTAGCAGCGACGGTATTCAATGTTCACATGTGCAGAATATATCTAGTCATAGCTGCACAGTGGCGACTGTTAGTATCTCTAAAGTACTCAGAATGAATACTGTAGACTACTACATCAATAGTCATCGATGGGAATTCAAATTGAAATCACCTTGAGTAAGATATCTTAGATCTCCCGGTAGAAACGCTTTAAATGTTGACGCTTTTCAGCACATGATTGATCTGTGCATCCATCTATCAATCTGAGCATCTAATTACACTTTCTCTAGGGCTCATAACCACCTTTGGAACGTAATGTTGAAATAGGGGCCCTAGAGGCCGACGATACACTTGAATTTTTCAAATGTTGCATAAACGTAGGGTATATATGTAGCTGAATCAATTGATTCATGAATTCAATTAATCTGGATTCAAGTGAAACTTAGGTGTTGGGACATCTGGAGCTTGGCTGATGACATTCCATAGATCCAATCACCTAAGCATTTGAAAATCAAGGCATGACCGGCTCCCGGGGCCGGACAACAGTGGAGACATGAGATATATTTTCCAAGGTTGAACCGATAACGCGAGCACTGTCTAGGCTGCAACATTCATCAACGAAAACGACTATTGAATTAACTACTGGTAAATAGTAGGAGACGATATATCTAAAATAAAAAGCCTGGGATTCGGAACCATAGGATGGGTCAATGTGTTGTGATACGGATAGTGCTTCAAAGTTGGAAGATGTCCGAATTTTAGTTATAAAGACCGAGAATCCGATATTGACCGGAGAAGAACCAAGGAAGCAGCTCAGCCTAAATTATCCCGACGTATGCCCGATCAGCTGCGCCAGTCAGTTTGTCGTACCCAAAGAATTCCAGTATACGTGCTCGGGCAGCCCGAGAGTTAAATGAGAGAAATGTGGCACAATTACCCGATCAGGGATGTCATCTCGGATCGGGAAATGCGCAAGACCCTAAATATTGGGAACCACGGTTTGGCGGGTGTAACTACCGAGGCAGTACAGGGTTCATTTCTCCAGATGAGCCAAGGGAACGACTTGGTCGGCATCCCGGAGTAAACCAAGAACCGTTATGTTATACACAGGCCAGGCACGAATACGACAAGTCCGAAATCTGATTTGATACTGGGTAATGGTAATTTTCTGGCAATTGTCTAGACCTTTTCTCCTGTGCATAACGCCTAATGTATGACGAGGCCTTTGGTGTGGTTGATTGGAGGTGGCGATTGCATTATTGTCCGCGAATCAGATCCACTGCATCCATACGCGTACGGGACGTGACAGGTTTCAGGCCACTGTTTGTCTTATCTGAGATCTCAGATTCGACATTTCGCAAGGGTATCGATACAATACCGTTACACTATACTAGTACTATAGTGCGTGAAAACATGAAAGAACCATTCGGCTCCTTCAAGGTTCCTCCATCTCCAACCCGAGATCTGGATGAATCAACCCTTAGATTGATGCCTTGGACTAATGTCCACTTGGCATTACCCAAATGGCGTTCGATCAGTTGAATAAATTGAATCCTGGAAAAGCCCCCCGTTACCGTCCCAATTGGCTGCCGATCACCGCCCCACGCGTGCACCTCGAACGGACAAACCCACATGTAATTTGGCATGGACATGGAGATTGTTGATTGGTTCAAGATCTGGACCGGACGCGAGGGGGAAAAACCAAAAAACACATAAGAGACCAAAAAGAGATGTGTTTCAATTCTCTAAGCCAGGAGCCTTGAAACTAGTTACTTTCGGACCGTTCAGCTGGGAACTAAACTTCTTTTCAAGGCCCCTGGTCAACTGGTCCAATAAGCGCTGTCGGGGCACTCGCGCTACACTATTTATATCTGATCTCACTTGCCAAGACTCGCGGATGGACCAGCCAATCTCCCGGGCAATGGTGTCCTCCACCGGACTCCATAGTAGACAGCAATTTTTTTTGTTTTTTTCTTTTTCGGAGATGTTTTTTGTTGTTGAGGACTAATAGAATTTGTATGCATACAAAAGTCCCAAAGATATAGTACTGGGGATGAGTGTAACCTTGGAACCAAGGAAAAGAGACTTATATTCCATACAGGGGATAAGTACGTATCACTGCAGAATTACGGGAATTAGTGTAGATTTTAGTAGAGACTAAATGTATTGTCGTCCCCTTTCACCCCTTTGACTTGCATCTTCCCCCCCAGCGTGGCGTTCATGGACCCACCATGTCAAGCGAGATTTGTCCTCCAAGTGATTGGCCTTGTCTTTAGACTCATTGGTGCCTGCAACCCACTTTTTCTCCGGATGCGTGCGCTCGGTCATTGGTGCGCGCGGCCTGGGACCCCAGGATCCTCTAAATGGGCGATGCCCGTAACAGGCAGTGTCCCGGCCCCATCAAATGGGTTTTTTTTTCTGTACGAACTACTGGTAACCCGGTGGCAACCAAAGTCATGACGTCCTCTATTTCCCTGATGTGGCTAAAAAAAACCCCATAAGCCACTAATTTGTCGTATTGGGAATAATGGGAGAAATATTGGGAAGTTCATGGCAGTTGATTCTTCAGGGCTTATATTCAGATTTGCCTAGATAGGAGATATGGGAAATAAGGAAAATACAACTAGTACTAGTATGCAAAGAGAGAAAAAAAACCCTTTCCCTTAACAAACCTTGAAAGGAAAAACCAATCTCTTTATGTATGTTATATGCAATACAATAGGGCCTTTGTAGAACATCTAAACTTAAAAAGCCACCAAAATGTCTAAAAAAGTCCTTCCTTTCCAGCCGAGTCAAGGGAGTAGGCATCTGGGTCGCCCTGTTTGAAGAGTATACATGTCAATGGCATGAGAACTGGTCATAAAAAGAAAAGAACGAGATGAGATGAGCTATGTATATTTACAAAGCGGAATTACATAGTATACATAGTAAAATGCAATACTTACAATTCCAAAGTAAAATTACTCTTAATCTCTTTTTCCTCCCATTGTTTTCCCCAACTTCCATTGGTTCACGGGCCGGATGCAACGGGTAATACGGTTTTATGGTTACGCCCGTAAACCTCTCCCCTCTCCTGCATTTGTTGTTCTCTCACTCCTCGCCATCTCAACGACATACCCTTTCCTTCTGGCCCCTTCCCCTCCTTGGCCTTCGTCGTGGCCGTCCGTTCCTTATTCAAGCCCTTTATTCGCCCATATTAACTCGTCTCTTTATTTTTTTTAACCCAAATTCATTTTCTCTGCCTGGTGCGGAAGATTCAAATGACCTTTGTTCGAGGTTGTTAGACTGACCTCCAGATTCCTTGCGACTTTCTCTTATCGCCAGGGAAGTCGAGTGGTCTGGAGGTCTCTTTTGTCCATCTGGATCTTTTCGACCATTGTTCTATTCTCCTTTGCGCTTTTTTCTTGAACTTCACTTCACTTCTTGCACAGCATTGATGGCTTCAATTTCTCTTCCCCCGCAGCCCCGGTCGGGCTTCACTCAACATTTCGATTCACTCCCGTCCAACGACCAGTCAAATCGTCGACTTACAATGCCTCCATTGCCAAATCCACCATTTGTGTTTCCGGCGCAAGACCCGGACGCTCCAGTCTCGGTCGACTCGGAACGCCGAACGCCCCCGGCTCTGCCAGCATTTTCTTTCAACCCCGGATCTGAGCCTTCTTTACCGCCAGCACATGTACCAAACCGACCCAATGGGCATCGTCGACGACCTAGTGAATTTGTTGGGGACAATCAGTTGGTGACACCAGGGTCAGGGGATGCCGACAAACGGGAAGAGCCGTCCGCGACACAACCAAGCCCTCCAGCATCCGGTCCGCCACGAGGCCCAGGAAGACGCAACCATGCTCATCGCCGCTCCCAGGCTGTATCAGGAGTCGATCTTATGGCCATTCAAAAAGCACTTGCAACCCCTGCGGGGAGTGCACCTAATACCCCTGGCGACCCGTTGGATAAGCGACATGAAGATATTTCCAGGCCACTTTCCTATTCAGCTGGAAGTCTTGGACGTCCGACACCTCCTGCATCACCCCAGTTTCCGCCTTCTTCCGATATTCCCCCCGTCCCACCTATTCCGGCCGCTATCCGGATTGAATCAGCCTCGAGTCACGAAGATGTGGATGTTGGACGCCCTGTTTCTGCAGTCTTCCATGAAACCCCAGAGAGTCCCGCGATGATTAAACATACACCGCCGGAGATTGCGACGCCCCCAGCTGAGAAGGCACCGACACCGACTCGTAAGTCAAAGACCCGGCCGAAAACTGCCGATGCGTCTTTGGCATTCGACTTCATGCAAGCCCAAAGTGTGCCGGATGTGCCTACTGTGAAACGCTCCAAGTCGACCGGGCATTCTCGTAAAGGAAAGAGTCGGTCTACGTTCCTCAATGCAAACGTTGCGCACAACGCCAGTGATGATGCTCATTCGACTGACACATCTCGACCTTCTTACTCTGACGACGGGTCCGAGACCTCGAGCGATAACGAGCACGACGACGAGTCTTCTTCACCTAAGAAATCCAAATCAAAGAAGAAGCAGAAGGGTGTTCGCTCATGGGCGGGTGCTATTCTGGGCAAAGGCAAGAAACACGCGAAGCATGAGACTGACGTCGAATCGTCGCTTGAGAAGGAGAAGGTTAAGAACAAGCAAAAGAAAACACCGCCTGCTTTGACGCCTCCCACTCTTACACGTACTAACTCGGAGGCCGCCTCCGTCATGGAAGTTGATTTCGATAATGACGATGTTTTGATTATTCGGACTCCCACCAATCCCGAAGGCCCTGTTTCACAATCTGAACGTAATCTGGACGACCGCCCTGCGCCTTCTTTAGAGACCTCGTGGAAGCCGAGAAGCTTCTATGAACAAACGGCACAGGATGAAATCCTTAGCAGTCCAATAATTGATCTTGATGCTGCACTGGGTCCGTTCAACACCCCTGACATGCGGCAAACTCGGGGAAACCTGAGCCAGTTTTCACTGGCGACACAGCGCATGTACAGTGGAGGTCGAAGAGGAGAATTTGTCGGTCCTGAGATGCGATACCATCGTCGCACGGAAAGTGCTCCAGTGATGCAGCCCTTTGACCGCAGCGCGCTAGGCCCACTTCGCTTGGGTGGAAAGGGTGCTGAAACTCCGGATGTTTTCTATGAGGAGGAAGAGGATGCTTTCCTGGCTGAGAACCAGTCACCCAGGAACGGGCGTGAACGTTTCTCTCTGGGCCCTGCTCTAGGCCCTATTATCTTGCCAGAATCATTGAAGGATGATAAGAAGTCAGCAGAGTCTGTCAAGAGCGATGACAGCGCAGATACCTTGACTCGGGCGCCTGTATCTAACCACCCTCAGCCTGAGCCTCGTCAGCCTGAGTCCCCTCCTGAGCCTCAGACCGAGGGCCTTGGTATCCAGGCCGGTGACGAGCCTGTCAGTCCGATGAAAGTTTCTGCTCCTAACTCACGAGATGTCCCTGAATCATTTGAAGATGCTGCCAATCCATTTGCCGGACAAGCCCGCGACTCTGTCGAGTTTTCCAAGCCAGAGGAGACACCTCCAAACCAAATGGGACCTCCAAGTCCTGACGTTTCTCCTGGCTTCCTGGCCGTTGACAAGCGACCATCTACATCTCCTAACCAGCTGCCACTCAACATTCCGCACTTTTCGCTCTCTGCAGGAGTTTCGCCTTCCGACTCATCCTTCCCATCTCCTGATGTGCCCCGCTTCACCGACCGCAACTTTACAAGCCATTCATACCACCACCTTCCCTCAGACTATCCATATCCCTATGGCTCGTCCGAGGATGTCCCATCCTTGACGAGTAGTGCATCGACTACGGCAAACACCAGGAACCGCTTTTCCGCCACATTCTTCCCTCGCGCTCGCCTGTCGACGGATCGTGCTTCATCTTTCTCAGCGGCTGTTCACAGACGCAGCAGTCAAGCCAATGCCTCCAAGAGGTCCAGTCTTGCCAGCCTGTCCAAGCTAGTCGGTGGTCCACACTCGGAACGTAGCAAACTCTACCACGAAGAAAAGCCTCCTGGCGATGCATCCGACAAGTTGAAAAAGAAGAATCATCGGATTTCTCGACTTATGCATTTCTGGAAAGTGAAAGACAAAGAGAAGTCTGCTCCTGAACCGCCCATTCCGGAGCGGCCGGTATGAACCCCGACTCTTTGATCTGGATGCATTTTATTTTTCCCCTGGCGCAACAAATCTCGGCATAGCGATATCCTCTATCTGTTTTCCGCATATCTTCTTCCTGGCTCATCTCGCTGCCTCTTGGCTTCTCCCCAACCGGACTGTACATATTGAAACTCCGGGGTCTATCTCCATTTTTTTTTCGTGTGGATTCTTCTTTTGCTACCTATTGTTTGGCGGTCATTTTTACCTTACAACTGATTTCTCCATTTTTTTGCGTGATCTCAGACTTCTCTTACGAATTTCTTTAACCCCAGATGATGGTCCGCCCATGTCTGAGTACGATACAATCTCGTTATTCTTGTCCATCGTTTATGTACCGGTGACGCCCGGATTGATTGACTTTCTCTACGATCGTTGTCCCAAGTCGGACCTCCCATTTTTTTATCAGATTGTTTCTACTTCTTCTCCTGTGGTTGATAAACCCAGAATACTATTACACCTCTTCCACCATGGACAGAGAACTTTCTATCACCTTTTTCCTTTCTCTAAGTCATTCAGTCACTCTTGTATTCGGTACTTTGGCGCGTGTGTACTATTTATCTTTTGGTGGCAATTTGACTCGATAAGATAAGCTCCGATAAGCCAAAAAAAAAAGTCGTTAACTTCCCCGCGCTACAAATCTGCATTCCCACTACCATAGATCGATCCCGAGTAATTCGATTACTCATATAGACATATATATACCAAAATGAAGGGCCCTAGACAAGGAAACCGCAGGGCAGACCGCGACACATTGGAAGCCAAGCCCAAGCCCAAACTCAAGCCCCAGCCCCAACAACTCAAGCGCCAACCCAAGAAACCCGAGCCCGTCGAAGAAGACCAAAACCTCGACGACGAGGCCGCCAACACCAGCGGCATCAACCTCTCATCACCCATCCCGCTCTCCCTCCAACAACTCCTGCTAGACGTCTTCAAAACAGCCCTGCTCGCCTCGCCCGCATCAACCGAAGCCAACACTTCATCCGAACCTCAATTCGAGTCCCTCGACATCAAAGCTTTGATCCAAACCATCAAGTCGCACCTCTACCAGCGCGACTTCGATTCAGCCTTCACCGAAGCCGGCGAGGATCATTTGCGCGCTTATGCCTTGCGCTGGAGCGCCTCGCGCGCGCTAGGCTATGCAGGCTTATTCAAGGGCGTGCTGAGCTGGATGCGGCAGCAAGACGGCGTGGATCCGAATTCCGGTTCCCGCGTCGTCTGCCTGGGCGGTGGTGCCGGTGCAGAGATCGTCGCGCTGGCCGCAGCCTGGCGCCAGCTTGACGATCTCGACAAGGACAAGGCGGCCGTCGCTTCGCTGAGCGAGCAGGCGGAGGGCCTTTCTCTTCAAGAGGGTGCAGCCGGCGCAGCCGGCGCAGACGATTCCGCCCGCGCGCACAAACGGTCCATTGCGGCGGTCGACATTGCGGACTGGTCGAGCGTTGTGAAGAGGCTAGCGGGAACGCTTACATCTGCCGCTGTGCCGGCGCCGTCGACATCGAAGCACAAGGCGCCACTCTTGGCTGCGGGCGGCGAGGTGGACGTTGGGTTCCACCGGGTGGATTTGCTGGGGCTTCCGGAGGAGGAGCTGAAGGATGTTGTGTTGGGTGGTGCGGAGCATGCGGTTTCGCCTTCTTCGCTGCTTGTTACGTTGATGTTTACTTTGAATGAGCTCTTCTCCACGTCTATGCCTAAGACGACGGCCTTCATGCTGCGGCTGACGGAGATTCTGAAGCCCGGTGCTGTGCTTTTGGTTGTTGATAGTCCTGGTAGCTATTCGACGCTGAAGTTGGGTAAGCCTGGTCCGGATGGTGTGCAGCAGGAGAGGAATTATCCTATGAAGTTCTTGCTGGATCATACGCTTATTTCGGTGGCGAAGGGGCAGTGGGAGCTGGTTTATACGCAGGATTCGCGGTGGTGGAGGAGGGATGCGCCACGGTTGATGTATGATGTTGGTGATGGGGCTGGGTTGGAGGATATGCGATTCCAGGTGCATATTTACCGCCGCATATAAAAGGGGTGTTTCCTTTCGACAGAGACGGGTTGCCTAGGTGCTCAGATGGGGGTCCACGGGTTCAATATACATATATACCATTTTCTTTTCACTTTGCAAAAAGTTTTATATAGACAAGGTTTCAAGGTTCAAATTGATCAAGTCTGTTCAATGTTACATCCATCCATCGCAAGTTTGAAAGCAAGATAAAAGAGCGTAGATAGGGAGAGCGAGAGTTCTGATAAGAGTAGAGGTATTGGTATTGCTACAGGTCAGAAAAAAAGAGAACCAGATAGACACGCTTTTGCCAATCTAGTCCACACGCCACAGGATCAAGCACAGCCGAGCAGGCGCATCAAACACGGCGTGCGATTAAATGATACAAAAAAGAGAGGGATTTCCCAACGAACAAAGTGATCAGATCAAGACTCTCTCATAAACACTTCCGGAGAAAAGAAAAACCGCTTAACTCCGCAGACCAAGCAAGAGGCTAGTGCTCTTACCACCATCCTTGCCCTCACCACCAGGCAAATATGTGACATTGGGGTTGTTAGCGAGGGTCTGAGCAATCTCACGACTAGCCTCGATACGACGAATCTCAATCAATCCGCTACCAGCCTTGGCAACGGCCTTGGAAATGATATCGGCGGACTCGGCCTCACCCTCGGCGCGGATAACGTTAGCCTGGCGCTCCTGCTCGGCGCGCTCGACGATGAAACGTGCACGCTCGGCGTCCTGCTGGGCGATTTGCTTCTGCTCGACGGCCTTGGTGAACTCCTTTCCGAAGGTCATGTGGGTGATGGAGACGTCCTCCAGAGCGATGTTGAACTGCGAGGCACGCTTAAGGAGGTCTGTACGGATGCGGTTGGAGACAGCTTCACGCTGGGTGATGAGCTCGGCGGCGTCGAATTGGGCAACGATGGCCTTGAGGACTTCGTTTCCGATGGAGGGGAGGACACGCTCATCGTAATCGGTACCGTAGGACTAGATTCGAGGACGAAAATATCAGCATATGAAAGGCCGAAAAGGAGAGGTTGGTGGATCATGTTGCGTTGTCGGGGGAAAGGGTAGGTAGCTTCTCATCTCTTACCTGGTAAATCTGAGGCAGTTTCGGCACATCCGGACGGTGCATCACTCGCAGCGTCAAGCTGACCATCTGCAGATCCTTACTTCCGGTAGTGGTGGAAATGTTGCGCGGCTTCGTTCGCACATCGTAAATGATTGCCCGCTGCAACCAGGGCATAAGGAAGTGTGTTCCTTCGTTGACGACCTGCTCCTGCACACCGGACAAGCGATCGAAGATGACAGCTCGTGATCCGCCCTTGACATCGTAGATGGACGCGTTGAACAGCAGCACACCAGCTGCGGCGGGGCCTGCCAGCCGGTAAAGGTTATAGAGGGCGTTGGCCATGGTTGTGAAGTGGTGAGATGGAATGACCTGATGCAGATGTTGGAGGTTCGTTCAGTTTAGTTTGATGGATGATGTCGGGGTTTTCCAGCCCGATCGGGCTTAGCGTGGTTCGAGCCAACTTCGTTTCCCGAACCTGAACGTCTTTTCCTTCTCGCCCTGTAATCCGACCTCAGTTTCTCCTCTCTTTCTCCTTCTCCTTTAACGTCCTTCATTCTTTCACAATGGGTGGTCACGCTAACGCCAAGACTGGCCAGTGAGTTACCTTCCCTCTGTCCCCGTGGCTGGCGTGGGAGTCCGGTCGCACCCGCTCGATTGATGACCATTACCCGAGGGGTGTGCATGACATGGCGGACTCCGCTCCAGCTTTCAATTGATGTGATATGTAGATTGGTATAATGTACTGACCATGTGATTGTAGCTACATCGGTGTCTGGGGTAAAATGGGTACGTGAACGATATGCCTCGATCTTCCGAACGCGCAAGCCGGAATCTCCACGATCGCTGGATCTCGACCTTCAAATCGACAACGCAATCGTGGACAAAACCGACAATTCAACGACATTACCCAATCGGAACCGAAACACTAACCTATACACTTATACAGGATGTCCCACCCCCCAGCGCATTGCCACCTACTCCCTCTCCCCTAACCGCCAGCGCCCCTTCGCTGGTGCCTTCAACGCCGCTATCTTCAACAGCTTCCGCCGTTTCCGCAACCAGGTCCTCTACGTTGTTCCTCCCTTCGTCGTTGCCTACGCCACCATGAACTGGGCCGTTGAGCGGTAAGATCAACCCATCACAATCCCCCTAGGGAGAAAGACCATCACACACACACACACACACACACACACACACACACACACACATCAGTCGCGTTCTGTGCTGACAAGATACATAGTAACGAGTACCTCAACTCCAAGCCCGGCCGCCTGCTTGAGGGTGGTGGTGAGGAATAAATGGAAGTTTTCCATTGAGTGGAAGTGATGGCCGTTTTTAATCTTTTGAAGTTTTTGAGTTATACCGGAGTGCACACTCGAATGTGCCGGCTGTATCAAATGTACAGTAAACTAGAAAGCAATCCACCGTTCTGAGGTTTTCCTATATAAGTTGGCGTATTTTCATAGTGAATTTGTAGCTTCTTAGAGAGTATAGTGATTGTTTTGTAATGTTTAGTGTATATACTGGGGTCATCGTCATTTGGCCCAACACGATTGGCTCAGAGGAGTCCTAGACCCTTAACCGCCCCTCTTATCACTGTCCCCTCTCTCACTACACTAGCTCTTATGTACTAGTATCATGTACCACCTTTCCATGAGAAGATCAATTGAATAATTTTGCTGTGGACCGCATAATGTAGACTCTTGGCTTCTCGTGTAACTTCCCTATCAATAGTACTTTTTTTCTCGCTTTGTATGCTCGTAACTCAAGTCCCCACTGAAACCGGCAAAGTAAAAAATTCGCCCAAAATAGTCAAACTTCCGCCTTTCTTTTAATCTTTCGCATGCGCTCTCTTCTTCCTCGTTCACTCACCTTCTTCTCTTTTTCTAGCAAACGCTTTTCTTCTACCATAATGAGCGAGATTACCCACTCTACCATTAAGGGTATGCCTATTCTACTCTTCTAATCTTTACCCCGCCATCCCCAGCACCACATCCCACTTACCCCTCCATTGCCCGTCGAGTCCCGAAAATACTAACCCCCACCGATCTCTAGATGGTTGGTTCTCCGAGCAGTCCGGCATGTGGCCCGGTCAGGCCATGAACCTCAAGGTCAAGGAGGTTCTGCACCACGAGAAGTCCAAGTACCAGGATGTCCTGGTCTTCGAGAGCACCGACTACGGCCGCGTCCTCGTTCTGGACAACGTTATCCAGTGCACCGAGCGTGATGAGTTCTCCTACCAGGAGATGATCACCCACTTGGCCATGAACTCCCACCCCAACCCCAAGAAGGTCCTTGTCATCGGTGGTGGTGACGGTGGTGTTCTCCGTGAGGTCGTCAAGCACGCCTCCGTCGAGGAGGCTATCCTGTGTGACATCGACGAGGCTGTCATCCGTGTCTCCAAGAAGTACCTCCCCGGCATGAGCATTGGCTTCCAGCACCCCAACGCCACCACCCACGTCGGTGACGGCTTCGCTTTCCTCAAGGAGCGCAAGAACGAGTTCGACGTTATCATCACTGACAGCTCCGACCCCGAGGGTCCCGCCGAGGCGCTCTTCCAGAAGCCCTACTTCGAGCTCCTCAACGAGGCTCTGCGTGAGGGAGGTGTCATCACTACCCAAGGTTGTTGTTCCCGTTTCCTATGTCTCATTGCTTTTGCCTCACCACCCCCCCCTCCTCCCCCAAATCCTGATTCCCCTTCTTGTCCTCTCTACCTCGCGTCTCTTTTCTTTTGTATATTTCTCCCCCCAGGTGGCATTTTATCAATTGGGACACTGGATCCAGACTATTTTGGACATCTTAGTGAACAAGCACACAAATGAACATTGGCTAACATTTCCCGCACTATCCGCAACCAACCCGTTTCCGGGTCGGTTTCGCCGGGCTGTGCATTTTCTTTTCTAGCCGAGAACCAATGGCTTCACCTTTCCCTGATTGCCGACCTCAAGAAGTCCTGCAAGGAGGTCTTCCCCGTCGCCGAGTACGCCTACACCACCATCCCCACCTACCCCTCCGGCCAGATCGGCTTCATGGTCTGCTGCAAGGATGCCACCCGCAACGTTAAGGAGCCCCTGCGCTCCTGGACCCGCGAGGAGGAGGACCGTCACTGCCGCTACTACAGCGCGGACATCCACCGTGCCAGCTTCGTGCTGCCCAACTTCGCTCGCAAGGCTCTTGGACAGTAGATGCATTTCTCGTCAAGATATTTTATTTTGAATTTCTTGGGCTATAGCGTTAGCAACATAGGGTGATAAAAGTATGGCGAGGTTTCGGATTACCTCATGATGAATGAAATTTTTTTCTAGGTTTAAATTGTTTTGTATTGAAGTAATGCTAAGGGCGATGTCAAGGTGTAGGGTCCATCTTGGAGATAAGAAATCCAAGCATCGACAATGTAAATCGATGCCGGTGCGAAAGCTGCAGGCACGGAAGCCAATAAATTACCTTATAGATACAGACCCTGAGAGCAAAGTGCGCGGGAGAAGGATGCACTTTCGGGACGTTCACGATATCTATCCTGCCCGAAAGTGATGCTGCAGCCCTAATTCCAACTTCTTACGGGGACTTCACTACCCCCGAAATTTACGACACGGCACAAGATATTATTAGCAACCGGTAATACAACTCCAAGAACCTGGTTCTTAAGAGCATCATCACGGGAGACGTTGTTATCTCATGGAAGGATATGATCATTGCCGTTGTCGACAAGATTCAGGCTGCTCGAACTATCACCCCACCACAGGACATCTGGACATTGTATCAACCGAAATCAAATAGTAATTACACCATACTATAATTGAGGGGCTGGATTCAATTTGGATTTATTATGTTTTCTTAGGAATTTTGCGTGCTCTGTTCAACAGAGTCCAGAAATACCTAATTGCACCAGAATATAAGTTCAACTGCTTCCAAGGTTTATTCCCATGATCGTCATGAGTCTCGTTTCAGAGAATTTCTCAAATCCCTCTTGCTTCAAGCGCACTCCTTAATGTCTTTTGAAAACCAAAGACATGCTCCGGCCCTAACATGGTATAATGGGCACCCCCAACATCGTGAAAACGTGGTGGCGATCTCGAAAAGTCTTTCCAATTACTCAAGTGTCTACTAAGCCATTCAGCTTTGGACGAAGCCGCCACAGCCAGAGGATTGCAGTAGAAGACATCGATGGCAGCAATGGAACTGGACGGATCATAATCAACCGCCATACTTTGAAGAGCAAAGGCCAAGCAAGCCCATTTGGTAATAGCGTCAGCCGACAACGCCAATTCGGCAAGGCGATCCTGATCGGCTTCCGCCATCACCTTCGCGCAGGTTTCCTCCCGAGTCGCTCCCTGCATCTCGACCGCAAGTTCGCGCGCACGATCCTCCGTCATCAGATCCAAAAAGTATGAGAGATGAAGCAGGCATTCTTTGTAGTCGAGTTGACGCATGCGGTCCTTGATATGCGGTGGCAGATTGAAGGAACCCAGGAAGCGAACTTCATCCCCGTTGCTCTCAAGTACTTTGCCCACCTCGAAAGCCAGCATTGTCCCGTAGGAGTATCCGGCCAGTGCGTATGGTCCTTGGGGCTGCTTTCGTTTGATGGCGGCGTGGTATGTGGTGACAACCTCGTCGATTGTTTCGAAGGGCGTCTCGCCTTCGTTGAAGCCTCGTGCACGTAGGGCGTAGACTTTGCGATCCACCAAGAATTTGGCCAAGTTTAAAAAGACCAGTACTTCGCCGACTCCCGGGTGGACAAGCCACAGCGGCGTCTTGTCTCCTTGGGCTTGCAGTGTCACTGCTGGGTTATAATCGCTCGCTGCATGGGGGCTTTGCTGGTCTTCCAAGGCACTGGCAAGGTCGCGGACAGTGGGGTTTGTCATCAAAGTAATTATTTGAATTTCTTGCGTAAGGCCCAGTTCTTGTTCGATCTTCTTTTTTAACTTGATGAGTTCCACCGAAGTGATGCCCATGTCAAAGAGGGAGGATTGCACATCAAACTCTTCCTCGGGCAGGTCAAGAGACTTTAAAAAGAGGCTTAGCAATTTTTGCTCCAGTTCATTGGCAGGGTGGACACGGGCCGTCGCTCTGTACAGCTTGATTGCTTCAGAGTTGACATCTTGATAGGTACTGTAGTCGCCCTTTTCAAATGCCGCCTTGATCTTGGTTCGTGACAGTTTGCCCAGCGCAGACTTTTGCAGTTTGGACTCATCGAGAGGTAAGATCTGTGGTCGGGCACCTGTCGACATCATGGCAATTTTGGCAATGGCATCAGCTGTTGCAACTCGTGTAGCGTCGTCGCCGGGGCTGTAACTCGGTAGGTAGACCACGCATATCATTTCGGTGTCAGCCCCTGGGGGGAACGAAGAAAAGCAACATGTAAAGCTCGGAATTAAGCCAGGGATTTTGCCTTGCTCATCCAGGGCAGTCTCGATCTCCTGAGGGCTGTATTTGACGCCATTGACAATCATTGATTCTTTCACCCTGCCATTCAGGTGGAGATTGCCTTGATCGTCAATCGAAGCTAGATCACCAGTCCGAAACCAGCCGTCGCTGGTGAACGAATCTGCGTTCGCGACTGGGTTGTTGAAATAACCCTTGAAGATGATTGGGCCGGCCAGCTCAAGGTTGCCCACAGTATCAGCTGGCGCAATGGCATTTTCGGTGACGGTAGTGATTCTCATACTGAGGCCTGGCATGCATTTTCCAGCGGATGCAAACTCCAACCCACGCTCAATATCAAATTTGGGAAAATCCAAGTTGTAGATAGCACCACCGCAGGTTTCAGTCATGCCGAAGCCGGTCGCAATAACAGTCTCGGGAGCGCCGTACCGACCAAGTAGCTTTACCACGGCAGCACCGGTCTTGGTAACGTTCGCTTCACCACCTGAAGCCACGTAACGCAGACAGCTAAGATCCCAGTTGTATGCAGTACAGCAGTCACCGTGATCCTCCAGCGCGGCGCGGATTCGAGCAAGAAAGAAGTTGGGCGCAAAGGTACGAGACACACGATGGCGGTCGATGATATCCAGGAAGGCGAGGGGCTGAGGCAAGATATCTTCTGCCTGGACATGTACCTGGTCTTTGTGTGCAAATATAGCTTGCAAGTGGATTTCCAGAATGGCCGCAACATGATCGCAACGAACCCAGTTCAAGAATGATGATTTTTCTGGCAGTGCTACAACCTTGTACTTACTCTCCAGCGCCGTGAAGATTTGCTGGTGCGTGAAAATCACTGCTTTGGCGTGACTGGTGCTGCCAGATGTCAACATCAGCATAGCAGTATCGCCTGGTGCGGCATCGCGATAGATCTCTGCGACTGGTGCGTTTGCCGTGTCTAGCGACTCAAGAGCGATCGGTGTGATATCGTCCTGTCCTCCAAACTCGGACAGCTTATTGGCTGTGGTCAGACAGCTAGGAACTTGGAGGGTCGTAGCCAGATGTTTTATATGCCATATGCGCGCCGCGGAATTGTTGGAAAACGATGTGGACATGGCTGGGATACATCCCGCTAAAGTGACGGCCCAGAACCACACAATATTTTCCCAATGTGTATCCAAGTGAATAAGAACCACCCGACCTGGGCGAAATTCTTCTGGTCGGCAGCGTAGTGCCCAAGAAGCCTTCCGGGCATTGTCCAGCAGCTGGCGGTAGGAGTACTGCTGGGGCTGGGTGGTGTTCTGAGGCGGATAACAAATGACATTTCCACTTCCCCCCTGGTTGGCAACTGTCTCAAGGAGGAGCGTAAGATTGGTAAACGCCATGTTCGCTAGTCTGGTGGATGAAGCTTCTAACCCTCTTCTATGCACATGAAGATTATGGAAGTGCCGATAACTTCGGAAGCGCTGCACATATAGATAGTTATTCAAACCTAGAGAATGGCACTACAAAAAGGCTCATATCCAAAGTTGGATGTCTGCATGGGCCTTGCTCTTGCTCGTGTCTGCGTGATCATTGCTAACATTCTTTTGACTGCAACATAAATGCTGCAATTCATTTTTGTTTCAGTGGATGCAAGGAGCCACGGGCGTAACAGTCGACATAGCACATGTGAAGTCATTGGTTTCCGGTCTCTGCGTCAGTATCAATATTCGGAAATATTCAGTGTCGATTCTGCTTAAATATCAGGCGAGAGCCATTGAACCTCCCTAAGGTCCTTTTTCTTCAAGCCAAAAGCAAAATGTATGACCTCGAGAAGGTACTTCCCCCTACTGTACTTGCCGTTTCGTCAGACAAACCGTTGACACAAATAGGTAATCATCATTGGAGGAGGCCCCACCGGCCTCGCTGCTGCCATTCGCTTGGCTCAGAGCAACAAGCTGAGTCCGGTCATCTATGAGCTCCGCAATCCAAAGACTGCAGGACTCGGGGGCTCTATAGGCATCCCTGCAAATGGTGTACGCGTCCTTCACCGTCTTGGTCTCTGGGACACCATCCGTCCACGCAGCGTCGATATCATCAATACCGTCCTACATTCCACTTCGGGCAGTGTTTTGAGCGAAGTCGATATTGCCACGGAGGCCAAGCAAAAGACAGGATTCGGGTATCTCCGCATAAACCGAGTGGATCTGGTTGAGTGTTTACGGGACGGTACGGAAAAATACCAGATCCCGATCCACTACGATAAACAGATCACATCGATCGACGATAAGGGAGACTCTGTCACTGTAACCTTCTCCGATGGCACTAGTGACACGGGGTCTCTTCTGCTGGGTTGTGATGGGATCCACTCTGCAGTACGCAAGTTGCATATTGATGCGGAGATCGCACCCGTGTATTCGGGAATTTCCGCGATCTCATCCATAGTGGACGATTTGAAGGATCGAGATCCCAAAGACGCGGTCTGCTTGCATTCAACACTCACCCCACATGGAATGTTGGCGACTGCACCCTGTGCTGCAAACCAGATTTTCTGGTTTTTCAGCAAGGAGGTGCCGCTGCCAGCGGGGTCGACGTCGGCCGATGTCCGTGATGGCTGGCTACTTCACCGCCAAAAGGAACTGGCGGAATGCCGAACTTCACTAGCCACCGTGCTGGACTGCGTGCAGGGCCAATGGGGCCAGTACCTGAAGCAGCTTGTGGACAATAGTCAAGATATCCATTTCTACCCGCATTATCGCCTGCCCCTTGGTGGTCGTTGGTTTGTTCCCGCAGATACCCCGCAGGGATCGCCCCGTGTCTTATTAATGGGTGACGCCGCACATGCAGTACAACCTCATGCCGGACAAGGTGTCGCCCTCGCTTTCGAAGATGTGCTCCTATTGTCTGGATTGTTAGCCCAATATCAGGCTGGAGATCATAATAACCTGCAGGAAGTGTTTGACCTGTACGATCAGCTTCGTCGGCCGCGCATACAGCGCATCAATGAGGTTGCATTGCGCAATGGTAAGATGCGCCGAAATCAGTCACCGTGGACAGTCTGGTGCAAGGAATGGTACATGTGGACTATGTTACGTGTCAATCGGTTCTGGGGCATGTCTATGTCCGGTGTATTGAATGGAGATGTCCTGTACGATGTGGAGACAGAACTAAAGCAGGCAGACCAGGAGGGTTGAGTCTTGGTTGTCAACAACCCAATAACCTATCAAAATTCGTAATATAAAAGCTACCTTGCTTAAAATCAAACTCAAACTCAACCATCTTTCATTTTACAAACATTTGAACTGGAAAATCCATCAATATTATCAATTACAATGACTATTACGACACCTTCCACGTCTCCCCAAGTGGGCTGGATAGGCAAGTCCCACCAGCAGTCGAATCACAGTGGCTGAGCCTCCGCTAACCGCGGAAAATCCCTTTAGGACTTGGAACCATGGGAATCGCCATGGCGTCAAACCTTCAAAAATATCTTCATGACCAAAGTCTCCCACCATTGCGAGTCTGGAATCGCACTTCCTCCAAGGGAGACGCCGTGGCGAGTCTCGGTGGAGTTCAGTGTGATACCATTGGCACCCTTGTCAAGGACTGTGATATAATCTTCATATCGGTACGAGTAATACGACAACTTGGGTTGTGAGCTAAGCCTGCTGATCAATCAAATATTCAGACTAGCAACGATGATGCACTCCACAGTATCGTGACAGAAATTATGTCCGCTAAAAACCTGACCAACAAGGTGTTTGTTGATACGACAAGTGTCCACCCAAACACAAGCAAGGATGTTGCTAGTAAGCTGGCAAAAGAAAATGCCTCTCTGGTCTCTGGTATGTTGCTCGAGCCTTGTTATTTTTCTTCATCACGCTCATACCATGCAGGACCTGTATTCGGCTCTGGCCCGATGGCTGCAGAGAGAAAGATCTTGATGGTTGCTGCCGGTGCCCCATCCTCTATACAGCGAATTTCCCCTTACATCAAAGGCGTGATAGCGCGTGATATGCTTGAAGTAGCAGAGCACCCGCAAGATGCATCTTTGCTAAAGATTATCGGGTGCGTAGTATACTTTGGAGTCATGCAATATTTGTGACACATTGGCTAATTCATACATACGAAAGGAATTTCCTCGTGGGAGGCTTGACAGAGATAGTCGGCGAAGCTCATGTCTTCGCCGAGAAGAGTGGGTTGGGCTGTGAAATAGTTGAGAAGCTGTTGGAGGCCCAATTCGGACCTCTGCCGACCATGATTTCCAAGCGGTTGACCCAGGGGGTATACATGCCGCCCAAAGGTATGGATGCTTGTAGCCCAGATAAACTCTATTAACTTGGGCTGATCAGAGGAACAATCGATATTAACAGGCACACCTCCATGGTCAAATCTGGATCTCGCCCTGAAAGATGCTAGTCACGCTGTTGACTGTGCTGAAGCTGCGGGAGCAAAATTGCCAGTGGGCGAAGTCATAAAGGACCACCTTCAGCGTGCCAAGATTTTCTCTCAAGAGCAGGATAGGGAGCTGGACGCGGCGGCTTCGTATGGCATCATCAGATGCGATGCAGGTCTGGAATTTGGGAATGACTTGATCAAGAAGAGGGATGCATAGAGTTGGCGCTATTCTCATGCAGTATGCATGCATGGTATATTGACCGCCCCTCGTGTAAATAGAACTAATGAGAGGTCACAATGAGAAGCTGCTTTGCATACCTTGTTTTGCGTATGGTTTGGTTTTCCTGTATGGGTGGGTGGAAACTCTCAATCCCTTTCATGCCACCAAAGACTTTCCAAGGTTGCTCTTAGTGCTATCGCCTTCATTTCACGGGCTCAAACGTGCTGTTTGTGCAAATTCTGGACGCAATGGATCTAGCTAAGCTCATCAGTTCGATCCATGAGGCCGCAGATCACCTTTCCGGCCCGACAGAGGTTGATACTCAGCAGCGATTAGAGTTGTTTCAGGCCTGCGAAAAGCTTTCTGCGATTATCGAGCAGCCGCGATCAAAATTAGAGAAAGCCACTCATGCAGTAAATCAATTCCCGATCCATGTAATATTGCTTTTAGGGGTTCACCATGTTAACGTCAAGTAGATGACCCCAGTGGTAGCAGTGCGTGTCGCTATTGACATGGGAATTTTTGATTTTGTTCAAAATTCACCAAAAGACGAGTTCGGAGCCCACGAAATTACATCGCACGCCGGTGGAGATCCAGTGCTTGTGGGTATGATATGAAAAGTTCTCTTTTGTGTCAAACATACCGAACTCTCAGCTAATTGATTCGTTATGAGATATAGCCCGCCTTTTGCGATTTTTGACAGCCATTGGGATTTTCAATGTCACTTCAGGAGGCACATACAAGGCTGACTCCGTGGTGCAGGAGCTTGCAAAAGGGGGCGATTTGGAAAGTCGAATCCTGATGAACTTGTAAGTGTTCACACATAACGCGAATTTAGAAAGCCCCCACCCAGCCAAGTCTTTGCTTATCCTCATCAGTGATATCCACGCCCAAATATATGCAAAACTTCCCCAATACTTGAAAGAGACGCAATATGCATCTCCCTCAAACGCCCACGCCGGGCCATTCCAATACGCCTTGGGCACAGATGAGCATTACTTCGACTGGATGAAGTCACATCCGATCCAGCTCAATGCCTTCAACCGTACAATGCAAGCTGGCGTCGTGCGCGATAATACTGCCCGATGGACGGCAATATTTCCCGTGGAGCAAGAGTTCCAGAGATTCCAGATGCAAAACACCCCTGTTGACAAAGGTTTCCAATTCGTTGATATTGGTGGAGGTATCGGCCACGAGATCAAAGTTTTGCTGGATACCATGCCATCTCTTCGGGGGCATTTTACCCTTCAAGATTTGCCCGGTGTTGTCGAAAGCATGCTACCAGAACTCAAGACGACCGATATAACGCGGAAAGTGCAGGATATGCCATATAGCTTTTTCGAGCCACAGCCCGTGAAAGGTGCGCACGTCTACTTCTTGGGTCGTGTTCTGCACGATTGGCCAGATGTCCAGGCGCGGAGCATCCTAGGGCATATTCGAGAAGCGATGAATGGTGACTCGATGCTTCTTATTCACGAGCGTGTGCTGCCAGATATTCCGACGAGGGTTCACCTGTCGGATGCTATCATGGATCTCAATATGATGATCTTGTGTTCGTCGCTTGAGCGGACGAAGATGCAGTTTGATACTCTGCTCAAGTCTGTGGGACTGAGATTGGCTAAGACATGGCGGCCAAAGAATGCTGGTCTTCAACAACAAGCTGTGCTTGAGGTTGTGCGTGAAGGGTTTCCTTGATATTAGAGGGTGGGAAAACAAGCCGTCACTTTGAAATGCATATTGTTAGTGTGCACGTAGCACGACCCACGAGTATCATTGAAAACGCAAGATCCAATATTTCCCTTCAATTGTAAATCGATCTTCCGTAGTGGGTAATTTATATTTGATATTGTAATGAAATTCAAGTTAGAGGTGTGAAAGGAAAAAAAATTGAATCTAGAAAATTATTTAGTGGTGGATTAATAGCACGTAAAATCAAGGGCTTATTGGCACAGACAAACCTCGGCCCCCCCTTTTTTAGTAAAAAGTTGCGCATATCGTCACAAAACTTTCCGATAATTTTGACCGCCCGCGTGGTATTAAGAAAGCGCGCGTGGAAGAGAAGGTAAATACTACGTGGTTTGTTAACTGATTTCTGACGCGTGACGCGATTACTGCCGTTTGTGCCAAGCATTTCAAAGTCCTCTTAGACTCCTCCTAGACTCCAGGCTCTAACTACATCAACAATCATACAGCAGCTTGAAGAAAAGGTGGCAAAACGCTTCACTCATATTCTACATATCGAATGGATGAAAGCAGCAGCGTGACGTTAGTCCTTCATTCCAAAAGGCAAGCAGATTAGCCCGACGCAACCTAGAGCTGAAATGTACTAGAATGTGGAATTTGCGGTGAAGGAGTGTTTGCTCCACTTCCAAGACTCTTGAATCTTGATAGTACTATGTATGTGGCAGTTGTCACAACTTAGAAGGGCGGGCATACTTCGTGGTGTCTAGTATACACAGATCTGCACTGTCAGTAGTAGGGAAATGTATGGCGCTGGAACTTGATTGGCCATTTGCAACCAGGGCCTGTAAGGAAGGCATGGATCGTCCGGCTTCCCTCACGGAGCGTGCCGATACTTACAAACCTACAACAAGTCCCTTGCGTCGCTTCGACCGATGACTCTAAACTCCTTAAATGTGGAGCTAAATATTCGAGCCACTTGTGTTGCTCGATCGCATCTTTTGTTGCTGGCCTTCAATACCTAAGGTATTATTCGGAGTCCTGACTTTGATTGTCACCTTGTTTTGGACAATATACCTGCGGGTTTACTAGGCCGAACCGAATGAAATGGCCTTGCCAACCCTCATATCTGAGAACTTGAGTATCTCTCTAATTGGCGCAACTCTAATTGTGTTTTCTATCCATCGATGGATCCAATACTATCAGTCATGGGTATGTATTCAGACTCCACTCCGAATCCATTAAATCTTTCTTTCTTCGCATTCAAATTCTCTGACATCCAAATGCCATTCAAGGTCAAAGTTCCAGTCATAGGGGGGCAAGGAATATTCGAATCCAGGAGGGCTGCTCGCCGTTGGGGTAGCTGTGGCCCCCAATTGCTTCAGAAAGGTTATGAACTTGTAAGCCTTCTTCTTTCCCCCACTTTCACCACATACTTTTGGATAGACATCTTACTGCATATTCATACAGCACAAAGACTTTGCATTCCAAGTCGCCACACCGAACGGCTGGGATGTCTGTATTTGCCAGGATGCAATGATCAGAGAGTACCTCAATGCCGCAGATGAGTACTTATCTTCTACAGCTCCAATTCAAGGGGTATGAGATTTGACATTCATTTTGAACCTTTCTCCCATAATTTCATGCATGAACTGACTTGGCGTGTGACTATACGTAGTTCTTCCAGTCAAAGTTTACAGCACCTGGTTTATTCCACAAGATACCAAGTTCGGCGATGAACAAAGGACTTACATGGTCCCGAACACGGACTAGATCGACAGACCAGTACTTCCCGAGCTTTATTGAAGAGCTCGAGTACTCATTCGAAAATGAGATTACAGCACATATGAAGATAGACGACGACTGGAATACGTTTGATTGTTACACAATCGCCAGACGTCTTATAATGGGACTTGTCGCCAAATTATTGATCGGTGATGGATGTCGGAATCCAAAGAACATTGACCTTTTCTGTGACTACACAGCGGAAATGATAATCGGGGGCCCGTATATAAGGGGGTTTCCGGAGTTTTTGAAACCGTGAGATCTGCCCACCTCCTTCACTGTGCGAATATTGATTCTTTTTTTCGTCTGGAAAAGTATGATCGCACGCTCATCCCGCGTTGTAAAGCTTTCCAATGAGATGCAGAAACTATTCCTTGATCTGATTGACAGAAGGAAACTTAAGTCGAGGGAGATGGAAAAAGAAGGGAGACAACCTGAGGTGAGTGTTTATGCCGTTTTTTTTTATCTCGTTGTTCTGATAAACCGTGGTTCAATTCGGTTTACTAACACATCGCCATTCGTTTGAGTTTAGGACTTGACAGATTGGTTTTGGCGATGGTCCCAACAAAGTGCAAACAACGATCTCACAGAATTGGACATCGCTCAGTTGCTCGCTGCAAACACCTTCGGGGCCGGCTTCAACACTACAGTAGTCCTCGTGCAATGTCTCTGTGAGCTTGCCACCAGGCCAGAATACGTTAATATCATCCGGCAAGAGGTTGTATCAACTCTTGAACCCAGAAATAACATCTGGACCAAGGAGGGGATTGATTCAATGAGAAAACTGGACAGTTTTATCAAAGAATGCCACCGTTATCACTGCTTTGATTTCGCCGGAACACCCCGCGTCGTTAAAAAAGATTTCACTTTCAAAAATGGGCTTAAAGTGCCCAAAGGAACAGTTCTCTTGACTCCAAATGCGGCTATGTTATTCGATGAAGAATACGTGCAGAACCCTCTTGAATTTGATGGTCTTCGATTTTTTGAACTTGCAAACAGTTCTGAAACACCCGAGATCTTCAGGTATACTTCTACTAATGCTCGCTATCTTCAATTTGGAGATGGGAAACACGTCTGGTAAGTTAACTGCTAGATATGAGCTGATTTTTCTGGTTCATTGGCCTTTACTGACGGAGATTAACCCTCTATTTAGCCCAGGTCGCTTCTTCGCTGCAGATGAACTCAAGCTCATTCTGGCATATCTCTTGCTTAATTTTGAAATCAAGATCCAGGGAACTTTGCCGAAGGACTTTAAGATCAAGAGACATAACTTGCCACACCTGGGAGTGAACCTTCTTTTGAAGAGATTGGAAAGGGAAAGCATCCATTAAACAATCAGTGGCAGGACCTCAGGACTTAAGGTCACATGAAGTCAGTACAGTTTGGGAGTTCATTCCCTAAGACTAGAGACCTATGCCTGGTAAATTCAACGTTTATTTTACCATTCGAAATATCTTACCTGCCCAACTGTATGATCGACAATCTTGAAAAATTGAACGCTTAAAGGCAGGTCTGAGGCATAAGCCTATCTTGGAATTTACCATATTAGGAGATCTACGTAACCTTCAAAAATTTGAAGGTAGAAAGTTCTCTACCAATTTATAAATCTTTAGCTGAGCTTTTCAAAAAGGGAGAATTAAATCTGATTGTATCTAAACTTTAGAATATTGTAAATAATATTGTACAAAGATGAAATTGTGAAAATAGCAATTCCCCACATTGTGTCAACATTGAATATCCATTGGAATGTACATTCTTGAAAAGCCTTGAAGTGCTGGTGGACAACACAGCTTTGGAGGTAACAGGAGGCAAATGCATCTCCCCTTGGGTGTAACGTTCAATGTTGGGAGCGCTTCTACGGTTGACAGACCTTGAGCCTGCGGGCCTCGTGGTGTGCAGGACTTAGACCCCTGTCACTGCGAAAAAAGAAATGCATGTGATCAAACCTTTGAATAAAAAACACAACATTTAGGTAGATATTTTTCTCAGCTCAGGCAAGGAAGCCACATACACATTCTGGAACATCGCTCTTTCGGAGCCCAATGAGAAGATACATACACCTACGGAATTTCATGGCGAAGAATTTGCGGTGTGCGAGCTTCCAGGTTTCCTTCCAAGAGCCTCTTGACACATAGGGCTTTCTGAGATCATATGTACCTGGTAAACGTTACATATCTTTGTTTTCCAATTCAGCGATTGAGTTCAGCAGATCAAGTAGTTGTACAAATTCAGCGAGAGTGTGACAGGTATGCAGATTGAGAAGCAAGGAGGCTGTTACGAGAAGACTTTTACTTCCTTGCCTTCATGTTTCTGGGAAATGCTGACTGCATTCAAGGGTCAGATAATTAATAGTTCGAGAAGATGGGCTGGGCACGAGGTCTGTTGCAGATCGTCGGATTCGGGGAATAGAAAAACGATCTATTGGGAGATTATGCAGGATGGCAGTATAAAAGTTGTTGAAGGCCCAAAGGAATTGGACCTTGACTCCACGAGATTGTGCTGGACTTGTATCAACACACACCGTTTCCAATATACCGAAAAACGCTGTTTTTATTAGCATGTCTATTCCGTCGGAATGCACTGTGCTGGTAGTGGGCGGTGGGCCTGGGGGGTCGTATGCTGCCTCGGTGCTCGCGAGAGAAGGGGTTTCTACCGTCTTGTTAGAAGCTGATTTGTTTCCTCGGTAAGTCAAGCTAGCCCTTCAGATCAGAATGAAACTGCAATGACTGACTTGATTCTTAGCTATCACATTGGCGAGAGCCTGTTGCCATCGACGCGGGAATTTCTAAAATTCATTGACGTGTATGACAAGTTCGAAAGCCATGGGTTCAAACACAAGGTGAGCACGATAAACCGGAAAGAGGAAATGACTCGATGACCAACGGAATCAAATGCAGAATGGAGCTTCATTCAGCTACAATAGCAAGCCAGCAGCATGTAAAGATTACCATCATGTTATCTGAAAGATCCACGACTGACTGAGCACTGGCCAGATACAAACTTCCTTGCATTTGGTGGACATGCTTGGAACGTGATCCGCTCCGAGTGCGATCAAATTCTTTTCGAGCACGCTGGAGCTAGCGGAGCCAAGATATTCGACGGAGTCAAGGTCAATGGGATTGATTTTGAACCAAGTGGCTGCCAGGAAGACCATGACAATGCCAAGTTAGGACGCCCAGTGTCTGCTTCATGGATACGCAAGGACAAAAGTGCCAGCGGCACGATTCACTTTAAGTACCTGGTGGATGCAAGTGGACAAGCCGGTATGGTCAGTACCAAATACATGAAGAATCGGAAATATAACGAAGGTCTCAAGAATATCGCGACTTGGGGCTATTTTGAGAACGCTGGAGTGTATGGCAAGGGAACTCCCGCCGAGGGGGGACCCTTCTTTCCCCGGCTTAAAGGTATATTCCCTCGATCGTTCTGTGAAAAAGCAAGACACTAAATCAGCCCTTGCTGTTAGATGGAAGTGGCTGGGCGTGGTTCATTCCTCTCCACAACGGCACAACCTCTGTTGGTCTGGTCATGCAACAAACCAGCTTCACTGCCAAGAAAAAAGCAATGGAGTCACCGAGCACGCGTGAATTCTTCATGCAGCACGTGCACGATGCTCCAATGATTTCAGAACTGCTGGAAGGTTCCAAACTCGTGTCAGACGTCAAGTCGGCTACGGACTGGTCGTACAGCGCCCCGACCTATGCCAGTCCCTATATCCGTATTGTTGGAGATGCAGGGTGCTTCATTGACCCACTCTTCTCCTCGGGTGTTCATTTGGCATTCACTGGGGCGCTCTCTGCTGCCGCCTCCATCTGTGCAGCAATCAGGGAGGACTGCACCGAGCAGACGGCAGTCGATTGGCACACGGAGAAGATTCGCGAGGCGTATACACGATTTCTGCTTGTGGTTACTAGCGCATATGCGCAGATCACTGGACAGGAGCGTCCGGTCTTGAATGAGTATGATGAGCAAAATTTCGATCGTGCTTTCAGCTTCTTCCGGCCTAGTAAGTCTCCATGTTCCTTCAGCTTTCCCTTCAGTTTATCCTGTCGCACACAGTACTAATCAGGTTGGGCTCAGTTATCCAAGGGACGGTGGAGGTAGGCGGAGACAAGCTGAGTCCTCAAGATGTGGCAGACTCGGTGGAATTCTGCATGCGAGTGATTCGGAAGGTTGATGGTACTAATAATCTGACTCCGAATGGAAACCAGATGGGTGCAGATGAACGTGGCGAGTTGACCTGCGATCGCATCAAGAAGGAGGAGCTGAAGTCGGATCTCAACAAATTCCGTGCTGACGTGGTAAATGGGATGATTGTCAACCTTGAACAGGGAGCTTTGGGGTTGGTTCAAGCGGCTTGATAGATAGCAGACGGAAAGAATCGAAAGTGGTCAAGCATATTTTAAAAACTTAAATTGTATCAATTTGGGAGATTCCAAGGTTGCAGGTAGCTCAGAATGCAAGCCTGGAGACACCAGGAGAAGCTGATCTTGTTGTCGTAGTTGTGCCTCCACTTTAAACACACAAGTCCCCGCACAGATCTATCAATTGGGAGTTAGACTACTAGCATCACTTTACCAATAAAGCAAGAATCTGCAAGCCCCTTGAATTGAAGAAAATATTGGAAGTTGCAACTGCAGCTGCAATCAATTGACGTTGGATTCCCCTGCCGGCAGAATCTGTCGCTACAGGCTACAGCTTCTAAGGCGGTCAACCTCCGCCAATGGCCTCTTGTCGCAGCAGTTATCTAGTACACACGTTTCTTTGACGGACAAGACTAGAATGCGAGGATGTGAGCGATCCTAATTAGCCCCATACCTCTGTCCCTCTATATGTACTTATACAAAAGTGGATACAGTACCGCGAAAGACCCACACCAAATCGCGAAGAGGCTGTCAACAGTGTAAGGATGGACATGTCAAGGTATTTTCTGCCTAGTTCAAAGCCGATAAATCTAGTTTGTTTCCTGCAAATTGACAAACATCTAGTGTGACGAGAAACAGCCAGCATGCAGTTTATGTATAAAGCGGGAACTGGCCTGCACCTACTCTGCCACCCCCAAACTGCCGTCTAGTCGAGCATCGTCGACACCCCGCTCCAATGAAAGCGAGGATCATACGGCCGCATGCAAAGCACCGTCTCGAAAAAGACTTTATGAGATGAGGCTATTTCATCATTTTCTCACGAAAACCATTAGTACCTTGGGTAGCAGTGCGCACCTTAAATATCTCTGGGAAACGGTTGTGCCGCACTATGCTACGTCCCACGACTATGTGATGGATAGCATACTGGCTATAGCCGCTCTTCATATCGCATCAGCCAACCCCGAAGACTCACAAGCCTACATGTGCTCAGCTCTGGACTACTACACCCGAGCTCTTGCGGGCTCGCGCGCGAGTATAGCCTCTGGGAATATGCAGGATGCTGATGCTTGCGCTGTCTGCTCGATTTGCATTCTGGTTGCTGCGACGGCCTACTCGAACAATTCGCAGGAGAAAAACGCCAGGGACCCACTCGATGACATTCTTGAGAAACGTAGGATTCTTAAGGGTACCAGATTCTTTATGCGGGGGCTGGATAGGGCTTCCATGCATCCGCTGCTTGAAGAATGGTGCTTTGGTGATATCGATAAGGGCGAAGACGTGCAATTTCTAGAGGAGTACAGACCCCATGACGTGATCTCCACGCATTAACTAATAAACTTCAGGCTCGATCCAAAACTGGAAAGCTTGCATGGGTAGGTTCGTTCCGAGGAATTGACAATGCATGAACTAACGCAAAGACAGAGAAATCGTAGAGAGACTCGAGCAACTAGGCCCTGAGTTGGAAAGTTCGTTTCCTCCAGATAAAGAGGTTCTCAAGACCGCACACCGGCTCCTTAAGGATGCGATTTGTTATTTGCCCGTATACGCAGGACTGATGAATTGGTCTCTTGAAATCAGCGATGAGTACATCCAGCTACTCAAGCAAGGTAATTGGCTAGCTCGAGTTCTTTTCCTGTTCTATGGATTGGGACTGCATATTAGCTCGAAGCGATGGACTTTTCAAGATTCAGGGCGTTGCTTAGTTATGCAGATATTACCTCGAAAGAGTGAGGTGGACCCCAGATGGGTTGATCTGGTTACATGGGCCGGAGAATCTTTAGAATAAAAGTTTCAATGTTCCATAGGTTCGTAATTGTACCTACTAGTAGGTATTTATTAACTAGTAATCCTAGTAATGTATTCAAAAACCAAGATAAGCTTTGATAGCGGATCTACCCTGGCAAGACTATCCAATCACAGATGCCACTAACACAAAGATGGCCGCCAAGACTGCTAACTGACCACTCACAGCCCGCAAGAACGGGAACGAAAACGAACACGGAACACGCAACACGCAACACGCATAACAATTTCACAATTTCAAGAACCCGCAAAGATCCAGAACTATGGAACGGCAAATTCCCTGAGCCCCAGATTTAAATAATACTTAACCCCATCGCTTCTTGCTTCTGCCTGCAAAATATTTCAATTGACGAAGCCCTTGCTCCAAAATGACCAACACGTCTACCTGCACGAGTGTCTCGCCGGAATGCCCCGTCTCAGCGACAACATACGGATACCGACCTAACCTAGGCGGCAATGTCTTCTTCGTGGTCATTTTTGGACTATGCGCCATCTACAACTTGATAATCGGCATCAAGTCGAAGCAAAAGATGTTCACAATTGCCCTGACGGTGGGTAGTGCGATGGAGCTGGCGGGATACATTGGTCGAATCATCATGCACCAGAATCCATGGAACAACAGCGGATTCGAACTCCAGATCATCTGTCTTATACTGGCCCCCTCGTTTGTTGCCGCGGGTATCTACTGGTCCTTGAAGCATATCGTGCTCTTCCTTGGTCCTGAGCACTCGCGCGTGGCTCCCCGTCTGTACCCGTGGATCTTTGTGGGCTGTGACATTGGCTCTATACTTCTCCAAGCGGCTGGTGGTGGTGTTGCAGCATCTGCCACGAGCGCAAACCAGACCCTCCTCGACGTGGGTAACGATATCATGATTGCTGGTATCGCCTTCCAGGTCGTCACAATGGCAGCTGCTGGCATTGTCGGCGTGGACTTTCTCATTCGTCTTACGCGCCGACGCCGCTCTGGAGAAGGGGCTGAAGAGGAGAAGTTGTCCCGGCTATCTGCCCGCAAGTTCTACCTCTTCTGTGCCGGCGAGGCGTTCGCCTATATTACTGTTCTGATTCGTTGCATCTACCGGTACGTCAGCTTTCCTCACCACCTACCAAGTTCATAACCGTTGCTGACAGATGGTAGTATTCCTGAGATGGCAGGTGGATGGGGTAACCCTCTAATGCAGAATGAGAATGAGTTCCTGGTTTTGGACGGAATGTAAGTGGTCTCGGGAAGATGATTACTTTCTCGACCGCATTGTTGACTGGTTATATCTAGGATGATCGCTCTTGCCGTCGTCACTCTTACCATCCTGCACCCTTACTTCACCTGTCCTTTCGTTCGCCCAGATCGCACCTAGATTTCTAGATTTGAGGAGCTATATGCCGCCCAAGTTGAGGGCTAGACTTGATAGAACTGTGAATTACTGTGACCTGGCTACATACCTTCAAGACGGGGGTTATTTTCTTCGTAAATTTTGAAATATACAAAGAACGGTTGATACCTTGACCCGATTTCTTAGCGTTGCCTGTGAAAGCACAAAGTTAGTACTTGAAATAATACTATCAGGCATTATACTCAGGTCTACTCAGCACCAAGTAATTGCATACTATCTTGCGATGTTTGCTTTCTAAATACTGACTGGGGATTATATGATGAAACTTTTGCGACTGCGTATTACTATTGCATACTTACTAAGTATAGTAAGTATACTATAATTTAAATTTTCACCAGAGACTATGAGTAAACATTTGAAGTCTTATTGTACTCAAGTGCTATCTATAGCTGTTTTTGCTAATTCCGATTCTGCTATTAAACTACTACCTCTGGTAAATTACAGGCGACAGTAGAAACCCAGCCGTTTTCGACGCCAGAAACCACCATCACTATTCGGCTTTCCCCCCGCAAAGCGTAAATAAACCCCAAATTCCCCGCACTTCAACTTCTTCCAGTCCAATCTCACCACCCATCATAACTACATGTATAACCTTGAAATACCTGATCAATCACTGCCAAAAAAAAAACCACCAAATCCCCCGCCTCCAAAACTCAACAAACCGTAATGTCCCCCACCTACAAACACCACATCGCCCTCCTCGGCGGCGGCACAATCGGCCTCTCAATGACAGCCCTACACCTCCGCCACCCCGACACCCGCGTAACAATCTACGACCCACGCCCCGACTTCGAAGACCAAGTCCACAGCATCCTCCCGGCCTTCCTCGATGCCCCCAGCGCAAACACAAGCACATCCGAAAAACAAGCCATTCTCACAACCCTGCTCTCCACAGCCCGCCTCACCATCGCCAAAACCCTCCAAGAAGCCGTCCAAAACGCAACCATCATCCAAGAACAATCGCCCGAGCAAACAGCCTCCAAACAGGCCCTCTGGCAAGAAGTAACCAAGTACACGGACGCAGACGCACACCTGTGGAGCAGTTCGTCGGGCATCGCGGCCTCGGTCCAGGGCGCGCTGTGTGGGCCTGCCGTTGTGGAGCGCTTACTCGTTGCGCACCCGTTCAACCCGCCGCATGTGATGCCGCTTGTGGAGATTGTGCCGGGGCCCGCGACTAAAGCTGAACGGGTGGAGTTTGTGCAGGGGTATTTTGATGGCGTGCCCGGGCCGACGGTGTTGGGGTCTGGTTTGAATATGAACCAGGCCCAGGCCCAGGCCCAGGCCCAACAGCAGCAGTCGTACTACAGGCCTATTGTTCTGCACAAAGAGGTTCCCGGGTTTGTGGGGAATAGGCTTGCGTTTGCGTTGTTGCGGGAGGCGTGTTATCTTGTTGGGGAGGGGGTTGTGTCGGTGCGGGATCTAGATGCGCTTGTTAAGGCTAGTTTGGGGCCTAGGTGGGCGGGGAGTGGGGTTTTTGAGAGCTATCATGCTGGGGGTGGGGAGGGTGGGATTGGGGCTTTTTTGCAGAAATTGGCGCCGACTATGAAGGATGTTTGGGGAAGGTTGGGGCAGGTTGATATTTTGGTGGATGGGGAGCGGAGTGATGCTGATGATGAGGGTGCGGAAGCGTGGAGGAAGGTTGTTGTGAGACAGGCCGAGGAGGCGTATGGGCCTTCTACGACGGCGGAGGATCGTCAAAAGAAGGAAACTATGCTGAAGGGGGTTGTTGAGATGCAGAATAGACTTTCTTGAGTACTACTAGTACCGAAATCTAGGTACGCAGGCAGTACATACGAGAGTGAAGCTATAAATTTACGATATCCCCTAGAAGCCTTGTTTGGCAGACATCGCTCTATTTCATTCTTAAATATTGTGTATAAGGGCTGTCGCCTCTTAACTAAAAAACAATCATGACATTTTGACGCATTTCGTCGTTCCTTACAGGATCTGCTGGAAGGCACGGTTAACAGGGGAGCGCACGTTGTGGCCCTTGTAGAAGTCGATGGTGGCAAGAGCACGCTTGCTGATACCCTCGGGAGTGAACTCGAATTTCTGCGGATGGTAAGTAAAAAATCGAAAAAGAGAAAATTAATGATCAAACTTACGGCGTAAACCTCCTTGTAAGGACCGGAGGCACCGAAGCGGTTGAGACCGAACTGCTCGTGGGCGTAACGCTCCCAACCCATGGTGGAGCAAGCCTCAACGGAAAGAACGGGGATACCGTCGGGGAGGACAGACAGGCGGTAGGCCTTGTCCTGGGCATCGAAGACCTCGAAGCAAGGAACGGAGACAATGCGGGCAGCGACGCCGTGCTTCTCCTGGAGGTAGGTGGCAGCATCGATACAGATGCCGACCTCGGAACCGGTGGAGATGATGGTGACGGCAGCGTTGGGGGTGTCAACAGCGACGTAAGCACCCTTGAGAGCACGCTCAATGGTGGAGTTCTCGAGATGGGGAAGGTTCTGGCGGGTCAAGGCCAAGATGGAGGGAGTGTGCTTGGCAGTCAGGGCAGAGTAGTAGGCAGCGCTGGTCTCGTTGCCGTCAGCGGGACGCCAGACCATGCAGTTGGGCATGGCACGGAAGTGAGCCAGAGTCTCAATAGGCTGGTGAGTAGGACCATCCTCACCCAGACCGATGGAGTCGTGGGTAGCGACGTGGATGACACGGACGCGGGACAGGGCCGACAGACGGAGGGCACCGGCGGCGTAGGAGACGAAGTTAAGGAAGGTACCACCGGCGGGGATGACGGTACCGTAGGCAGCCAGACCGTTCATGACGGCAGCCATGGCGTGCTCACGAACACCGTAGCGGAGGTAGCGGCCAGACCACTCACCAATGCCAAGCTGAGGGGGCTGGAAGTCAACAGCGTTCTTCCAGCGGGTGTTGTTGGAGCCAGTCAGATCAGCAGATCCGGACAAGAGCTCGGGGACAACACTGTGAATCTTCTCGAGGACAGCCTCGGAAAGCTTGCGGGAGGCGGTCGCAGGGTCGGTAGACTTGTAGGTGGGGAGGCTCTTCTCCCAGCCCTCGGGCAGCTTGCCAGAGAGACGGCGGGAGAGGTCAGCAGCCTCGGTGGGGAAAGACTGCTCGTACTTCTGGAAGAGCTGGTTCCACTCCTGCTCCTTGGCGGCACCGGCAGCGGACTGCTTGTGGTACAAGTCGTAGACCTGCTGGGGAACGACGAAGGTCTGGTTGGGGTCGAAACCGAAGGAGGTCTTGACGTGCTGGGCATCGTCAGCCTTGAGGGGGTTACCGTGGACACCACCGGTACCCTGCAGCTTGGAGCCGAAACCGATGGTGGTGGTGAGCTTGATGACAGAGGGCTTGTCAGTGACCTGCTGACACTTGCGGATAGCGTCCTCGATGGCCTGGAGGTCGTTGTCACCGTCCTTGACCCACTCGGTGTGCCAGCCGTAGGCCTCGAAGCGCTGCAAAACGTCCTCGGTGAAAGCGCACTTGGTGTCACCGTCTTGAAATCAAAAGCGTTAGTCTTCGCGGTTTATTACATTTTTGGTGTGGAATTTGATAGCATTGGGCCAATCTTACCGATGGAAATGTGGTTGTCGTCGTAGATGGCAATCAGGTTGCCAAGCTTCAAGTGACCAGCCATGGAAGCGGCCTCACTGGCAATACCCTCCATAGCACAGCCATCACCAAAGAACATGTAGGTGTAGTTGTTGAACAGATCGAAGCCGGGCTTGTTGAAGACACCACCGGAGTGGGCCTGGGCAATGGCAAGACCAACAGCGTTGGCGAAACCCTGACCGAGAGGACCAGTGGTAACCTCAATACCGGGGGTGTCGTGGGCCTCGGGGTGACCGGGGGTGATGCTGTCAAGTTGCTAGGGAAGATCAGCACAAGATCATTTCTGGTTGTACAATTCATCATAAAGAAGGGAAAGAATAGAAAACTTACACGGAAAGCCTTCAAGTCATCAAGAGTGAGCTGGTATCCGAAAAGATGGAGCAAAGAGTACTGCAGCAAGCAGCCGTGGCCGTTACTATTCGATTAGAGCGGTTAGAGGGGCTGACGATCTCAATTGAGGGGTAGGTTTTTTTTTGCCGCGCGGGGCAAAAACAATGAGCTCCCGGAGGACGAGAATGTTGAGCAGGTAGCACATACGACAGAACGAAACGATCACGGTTGGCCCAGTCAGGGTTCTTGGGGTTGAAGTTCATGAACTTGTTGAACAGAACGTGAGCCACGGGGGCCATGCCCATAGGGGCACCGGGGTGACCCGAGTTAGCCTTAGCAGCGGCATCAACCTAGAAAGCACAATTAGCATCGCTGTGATATATTTGGATATGTAAAGGAGATTGTGGCGATGCGACCAATTGACCAAAGCTTCAATCCGAACTTCGCTCGTCAATTGAGACCCTGGATCAACCTCGCGCCTAGGGTAACTTACCGCGAGAAGGCGGATGGTGTTGATAGCCAACACGTCCAGATCAGAGTAACCCATGATGGCAGATTCTGGAGATAAAGGTTAATGATTAGGAGTAAGAAGATAGGGTTACAGGCAACATACTCTTTCAAAATGACTTAAGAAAGGATGGGGAGAGAAAGGGAAAGGGAAGAAGGGGAGGAGGGGGACGTATTTGTTGGTGGGGTATGATGTCTGTGGTGGGGCAAGCGCCGCTGCAGTCCGGGCTTGGTTGCTCACGGCGCAAGAGCTAGAATAACCCCCCGTGGGATGAACATCCTCGCGCACGGCCTATGGAAGAACTCATCTACACGGGTATTCTGGCTCCCATTGTAGTCTAGAGCTACGCCATTGCATCACCCAGCATTATTTTCTACAGATTTTTCCAGGATTACAAGTATAAAAAGGGAGTTTTGGCCGCTGGTATAGTGGCTGAGTCAGCGAATAGCCAGCTCAGTCATGCAAGCCAAGAATTCAATTCCAATAAGAAATTCATATATGTAAAGTAATTCGTACCTTGTACCTAACAGAATAACACTCCTTCTAGACTAATAACAGAAAGCAGAGAAAATCCCACCGGACTACTCCCAACCGTTGGCCCTGTGATGCATCCACATCTACACCGGGAACCGCTCGGAGGACCCTGCTCCGGTCTCATCAGAAATTAGCCGATCCAGTATTCATTTCCCTGCTTTGACGGCTATATAGAATATTTGGAGCTTAGCCAGAGCTAATGGATCTCTCGGTCTATGTGCGTAGATTTGATTATCAAACTCATAAAAATTGTTCAAGGTCATGAGGTACAAACGTGCTGCAGGTCGGCTTTTCCCAATCAGGTTGATCGCATTTGGTACAACCTTGGAAGATCTCGATTCTTCCCGCAAAAAGGCAAAAAAATTCAAATCCAAACTCAACTGAAAACAGTATCCGTAAGACATTGAAATATCTCCACATACTACGTAGGAACACTCGGTGAGGGGGGAAGAGCCCATTGCCGCCGCTGACTCAGTCAATTGGGGGAGCTCTTCAATGTTATTGCGGGACACGATATTCCGTCATAGGCTTCTCTATCTCAATCTCTCAATGGTGAAACCTCACATACACCTGGGCACCTGGGCACTTTTTTTTTTGTTTACTGAAGTAACTATACGCGTCAACTTCAATCCAGTCTCCCGCTAGTTATCTCCTCAGCTTCCAAGGTTGACTCAGCCGCCCTATAATGCCGGCGTCTCAGGCGACATGGATACCCATGGGCCATTGTGCACATAGTGGGGGTTCACAAGGGCTGCAGGGGTTCAAAAACAAGCGGCGTCCAATACCTTTAATGGCAGTCTAATTTTGACAATAGCCAAATGACCCCATAGTAACCCCCACACCAACGAAGCATATCCATCCAGCCCGTGCCTGAATGTTAGTTATAGTTGTTTCGGTCTTTGAATATTCCAAATGCGTAACATCGAAGTGGGTCTCCCACGGAGCAATTCTTCCGTGAGCCCTATTTATTATCTACTATACACACTTAAAAGGAAAGAATGTCACCTGGTAATTATTTAATGAGAGATATTATTAATGCACTTGCTAGATATATGAGTAGAACTTTTTAAAGCCAAGTTTCCAAAGACGTCGTATAGCTGACAGGGTTCCAGAGAAATCACTCCTTACTAGTAAAAGGCAGATAAAACGATGGCCCAGTGTTGTCACGACTAGTAGTTGCCCTCTCAGCAGGACGTGACAACTCCCGTCGAATAATCTCAGCAAGCTCCTCCTGGTCCGCCAGAGTAGTCGCGGTAGCGCGTCGCTGTAAGGTGGCTGCCTCTTCCGGCTCACTGATAGGCGTTTCCCCTTCCAAGGCATCAGGTCTGGCGGGCTGCGCCTGTTTCTCTGCAATTGCCGCTTCTATACGCTGCTGCATTGACCGCTCATCTCCTTCCTGTTTGATAGAGGCATAATGAGCGCGTCTATAAACACCAATTGAGCTGAGAGTCAGGCTGACAATCTCGTAGGCGAACATGACAGGAAGCGCGTAGTTGAGTTGGGGATTGCAGCCACCGGACCAGATATCGATCAAAATTTGGAATACACTGTGCGCGGGTATCGCATACCCCACTTGGAAGAACGCAGGCGACAGTTCAAAAGGAAGCAGGATGGAGGTGACGTTCAGCACGACCCAAGTTATGAGCGCCATCGGCACATATGGAGGCGGAAGCCAGATTGTGAAAACGTCCAGGGTGAGGAAGTTCAAGTGCGCAAAAAGCCAAAGTACCATCCAAGTGAGCATGAATTGGCCGCCATTTACCTGCCAACCATATTTGAAGATCCAGATGGAACCCGCAACGCCCAATGCCCCGAAAAATGTGTAGAGGCCAGATAAGATTTGGCGTACTACCACTATCCGGTGAGGAGAAACAGTGGTGTAGAGTTTGAACTGGAGGTAGAGACCATTGATAAATCCCAGGTAGAAGAATTCCTGAATCAGAATGAGGATAATGACGAGAGTGTTGTAGATCAATCTGGACCCTTGCACGGTAGGTTGGAGGTTGATCGCGGTCAAAGTCCAGGGGTCAGACAAGACGGATATGGCTGCAGAATCTGAGCTGTTCACACTCTGGATCAATTGAGCTCCGTTTTGTTGCAAGTAGGCCACCCGTGCAGCATCTGATAGCTTCGTCAATGGTTGAAAGACGGCCGAGTCAACTACGGTGGGATATCGCGCTTCGTTCCACACCATAGTGAGGACATCGCTGGCGTTGTATGTAGAGGCAGCCGAGCCTCCTGCCACCCCGGCGACTAAGGAGTTGGATGCATTGGATGAGATGTAAAATGCTCCCCAATATTCAATGTTGCAAACAGCCTCAACAGTCAGATCAGGTTGAGGAAATACGAGCGGCGATTGCTCGATCAAAGTTGGAAATTCCGGTCCTTTGAGTTTCTGATAGGCATCGCGGACTGCCGTACCTATTGCGCCACCGTCATAATCGACGAAAAGAATGTTGATTTTGTGGATATGTGTTGTTTGTTGGTAAAGTGAGCCGAATAGGTAACAAAAGAGGCCAAAAAACAAAACAACAAGCAGGAAGAGGTTGATGCCGGCTGCTTTTAGTACAGCAAGTCGAATCGGCCGAACGGTGGGGTGATTGATGCCGAGCCGCTGCTGCCGAGATTTCGGATAAAAAGCCATCGGGACCGTAACGTGATCGGAAGTGGGCTTCCAAATTGTTTGCTTAATCTGTGTGAAGCATCAACTGCTTCCTACAGGGCTATTTATTCATGAATTGATAGAGAGGTGAAGTTGATGAGTCATCGAAATTTTCAGATGCCGGAAGAGGAGCTTTGTAAGGAACGGATGTTGCGGGAACTGACGGGCTATTGCGGTGCTTAATATGTGTGTTGGCTTCAAGCCTCAGAGTTTGTGGCGGCGGCACTTGCTCGTGTCAGATTTGGGCGATTGGAAGTATGCATGCCGAGATCCATGGATGACCCTGAAAGTTCATCCAAGTCGTCATGCGACCTTAGCGAGCTTACCCTTGGCTCTCTACGAAAAGATAAAAGAGTAAGCAGTAATCTAGAGTTAATCTGATTCAACATAGCTTTGGTTTTAGTACCTGCAATCTCAAGCATCTAAACAGTTGAATGCAGAATAATTAAGTTCGATATAGATGCCGATGCCGATCTCCTACATACCAAAGCCCGAACGGAATCAAGGGGTTTGGATTAGAAATCTCGTTCATTCCCTGAATCCACCTCCTATTTCTCCCTATCCCGCAGTGATCAAACGCCGAAAACACCCCCACAGCTCGTTGCGCGTGCCGCCATCATTACTCTATTATGCGCGCTTCTTAAAAACCAATTGAGCTCCATCCTATGCCAAAAATCAACACAAATCCCGAGTGACGCGTCATGCAATTCATATAACGATAAAACACGGGGACAGAACTTACCATTGGGAAAAGAGTCGCAAATACTCTAATTTCTTCAGATTTATCCGTAGCATGATGTGTCCAGTCGAGTTCCATCGCAGCCTTGCCAATCATCGCGGCCATGGATAGCGGCACATACCTCCTCGCAAGGCAATCGTGTGAACCAGCCCCGAACACAAGCCAATTCTTCGTTTTCGACTCGGCATCACCTGTGATCCAGCGCTCGGGATCAAAAACTTCCGGCTCGGGGTATGCTTCTGGATCATGCAGAGCCGGGTAACACGAAGGAATGATCATTGATCCCTTGGGGACAGTGTAATCCGGTGTAATAGGGAAGTTCTTCTTGGCCAGGTATGGCACGAAGATAACCGGTGGCCTGTGACGGAGGAGCTCCTTGATGACGGCGCCGGTGTAGGTAAGCGATTCTAACATGGCGAGATCGCAAGGCTTGGTCTTATCGCCGTTGCGTGCGGCGAGGTTCTCTTCACGAAGTCGATCGAGTACATCGGGTCGCTGGGCGAGGATCTGGAAGAGCCAGGTTGTCGCACTGCTCGAGGCATCCTGGGAGGCGAACAAAAAGGTGAATAATGTTTCGCCAATCTCTTCGTTTGTGAATTCGCGGATCAGATTTGTGGGCTTTTCAGCGCCTGTTTCGCCGGCGGCGATCTTGTCATAATACCTCTTTGACTCAATCATGTGCAGTACCCAGTGATCCACGATACAAGTTGGGGTTGCCCCGGCTGCCATGTTTTCTTTGCACTTCGCTGCGCACTTCGCAAACTCGACATGAACTGCATCGGATATCCGCTTTCCTTTCCATGGCTTTGTGAATGGAATATAGATCGACAGAGGGACATTCACCAGCTCGAGGGCGGCGGTGGCGTGATAAAAGTCATCGGCGATCTTCTTAACTGCATCCTGAGATATATAATCTCCGAAAAAAGTACGGCACGAGATCGCACAGTTAATCTCACGGAACATTGTCATGAACGCCATTGGTTGGTTCTCATTTTCCTTGCTGGCGGTGACGAACTTCTCAAAGTAGTCGGCGAATACTTTCTCTTGAATAGGGAAGTAAGTTGCCAAGGCTCTGTTGGTAAACAAAGGCGTCAATCCTCGACGATACTCGGTGTGGGCTTTTCCTTGAAGAAAGACCCATGACTTATGTCCTAAGATGTCTTTGGCAAGAGGTACTATGCAGGGCTCGGCGTATGTAGGGGATTTGAAAACTTTGTGTGCGATATCTCGGTCGGAGGCGAGTACGACAAATCTGCAAAGATGTGAGTGAAAGTTCTGGTGGCATAAATTCAATGTCAATTGTTTTGGATGCAAATTCACGTACTTGTGAAACACGGACACGCAGCTAAGGGGCCCACTCGCCCACTGAGCCAGGTACTCTTCGAATTTTGGATCGAGAGCTTGGAGAAATGGGCCGATGAGAGGAATCTTAAAGGAAGGCCCGGCAATAGAACCTTTTCGTTTGATATACATGACTTTGGGTGTCATTAGCTCAAGGAGTCATCTCCAATATTCTGAATCGCATACCTTGATCATAGACGACAACACCCAGCAAGAATGTTACGACATATTGCCAGGTAGACCAGCCGGCAATACAGTTGGGTAGAAATCCTTCAAATTTGGAGGGACCAGCAAGCCAGTCCTGTGAAAGATCATGCTGAGCACTAGAGTTACTGACGAACTCAAAAGCCATGATGGTGACTTTCGCAGCGAACACAGCTTTGCAACTCCCAAAGAGTGAAGAAAATTATGCACTTCTTCCGTGATGTCGCGTTCTTATAAACAGTTCAGTCCCTGATTTTTAATATTGATCACACATTAAACACAAGAATGCGATCTAAGGGGAATCATCGGCTTTCCTGGATATTGTGGACTTTGGGATATATGGACCCCTGGCAAGGTCAGTGTTTTATGGAAATTAAATCATCATTGCCCAATTATAGCTAGCATTAGCTTGCAAGACCTCTCAAGTATCCAATAACGAAGCCGTGTTGCTAGTATAAGATTGTATTAGGATTTAATACATGCATGTCACTAAGCAAAGATGCCATAGATTGGACACGGGGTCTAGTCCTATTTGGGTTAGCGTCTTGACCGATTTCGGGGTCTAGTCCCAGTTAGGCAATACGCCATCAATTTCAGAGCGGGGGATCTGCCAATCTGCCAATCTGCTGTCGTCTGGACTCTGGAGCATTGCATGATCATTCGGAATTGCCGGGAGAAAATCAGTAGCCCCTTAACTACGGGGTATGAATGAGCCCATATTAAGGCGCCACATCGCCACTTGGAAGGAATGTCAATATATTTTCCTACATAGTCGAAAATACTTCATGGAAGATTGCAACTGGCAGAAAGCAGAAGCATTCTATGAAAACCAATCTTATGCGTCTCCCTAGCTTATATGCGTATGGAATCTCACTCAATAATAATTGGCCAATAGGGTAGCAAAATAGGGCTATTTGTAGCCTGGAGGCGCCCAAGGCGGTGTGGGGGCTTTTCTAAGAGGACTAGGCTGTCTCCACCAACAAACGCTCTTCCTCCTGGAATTAATTATTCAACCTTCAAACGCGTCGTTGAATCCCTTTCCAAAATGCGCCAAACGTTGCGCCGGTCTTGTGCTGCGTGTTCCAAGTCTAAAATTAGCTGCGATCTCCGAACCCCACGCTGCTCTCGGTGCGATAAGCGTCAAGTCCAATGTGTCTATGCCAATGAGCCCTGGGCGGCGCCGGCTACCGCCGGACGAGAGAAAAGCGCCCTTATAAAACATATCGATGATTCTGTTTCATTGACGAATTGCACATTTGGGTCTCTTGACCCATTTGATTCGTATCCACAGACGAGGCTTCCACGAGAACAAGTTCAACGTCTTATATATGGCTGTATGTACCAGCTTGGTCGAGATTATTGGGCGAAGCCTCACTTACAACTTTAGTCCTTCATAAAATCGCATTTCAATATTACCCTCTGGATATGAGCACTACTTCAAACCCATTTCTTATTTCTTGGTGGCCGCTTGCTCTGGGCGATCCGGCTCTCTTTCATGTTTCTTTGCAGACAGCATGCCTTGACGAAGAGTTGTTGGCACAAAAGGGCTTCCAATCATCTGAGCTCCTCATGGCTGATTCTGTCGCTTTGCTACGGCGCAAAGTTGAAAATATGTCACTGGCTGTGCAAGATGGAACTATGAACTCCGTCATTACATTAGCAGCAATTGAAGTAGGACCCCTGAGACATCCCACAATGTTTCAACTCCCATTCTGTTCAACCGCTAACAATTTTTCCCAGTTTGGCAAAGGGAACGTTGATGTCAGCCAGATGCATGTTGACGGGGTTAAGAAGCTAGTAAATATGAGAGGCGGTATCAATTCAGTGAGGCAGACCAGTCCACTTACTGCGCGAATGGTCAGCTGGTGAGTAATCCCCATAAAAACTATTACTGCTGGCCATGGATCTGACTATATTGAAAGGGTTTCAATGCTTATAATGGGCTATCCTCAATTCGAGACCCAAGATGATGTAGGCCTTGGAGATGGTATACCTTGCATCCCGGAATGGCAACTGGACGCAACCGCCCTTGACGATTTATCCGGATTCAATAATCTCGACATAGACTACGACGTCTGGAATGTCTTCATACGCCTCCGCAGTGTGCTAGAACGATCACAAAGAGCGCCTTTCTCATCAACACAACTTCATGACCTCACATGTTTTGTTATACACCGACTCCTCCTCTCTGCCCCGAACATGGAAACCGCCCAACCGTCACCAATCACAGAGTCTCTGCGCTACGCAATTATACTATATATGCTCATCATTCAGGGGCCAACATACTACTCACATGCAGTCATTATGAATACAATGGTCACTCGGTTCGTGGAATGCTTCAAACAACTAGAATCAACACCTCGTGTGTATGATTCCCTGGACGTTTGGCTTATTTCAATCGGACTGTTGACTTCTGCAAATACAATTCACTACCAGTGGTTTGTTGAGAGGGCACAGATCGTCTCGGCGTATCTGCAGCTGCGTGATTTCAATGATGCTCTGGTTCAAATTAAGAGTGTCTTGTGGCTGGAAGCACCCCAGGGTGATGAGAACTTTCGGTCCCACTGGGATAGTATTTTATATGTTGAAAATACGCTAGAGTCTTTGCAACTCACGTTCAGCGTTTCGCCGAGCAGGAGTAGTGCCGAGCTCTTATGAAATACTAAATTACTACTAAATTAATATATAATATGTCTTAATATTGAGCACTATATCTTGATATTGAACGATGTCAAAGTTCCAATTTGGTCCAAAATTTTCAAATAATATGACCACCTGGACAACCTCGGATGCAGCTTCAAATGTTTGCAGCTTTCATCCGCTGTTGCAAATTTACATGCATTCCAAGCTTTCCTTTGTTCTCCTCTCCTCTTCATCCCCGTGCCTCCTCCCCACCTTAATGATTGAAGGTTCCTTTTCTCTGTCCTCACCATTCCGTCCTACCACTTCCCACAATCACCTCCCATCACCATCACGTGCTTTTGAAGAAGATACTACTACTCCAGAAACCTCTCTGAAAATTGAGTTAGCTTCAGCTTCCAAGTCTCCCCCTATGACATAGTATGACCATGCATCCTCTGACATTATTTGAAGAAGCAGGTCCTCGCAAGCCCTTGAGTACCAAAGTGGAAACCAGCCACCTCTCCGACTGCCATAAGAGGGCACCACGATTGTTCGCCATCAATCGCCATCAATGAAATGGATTTTCGGCAAGCAAATTTGCACTGCTTATTGCACGACCGAATTTTCACTGATTACCGAAAAGTACTGAGACATCTCCGCGACTATCATGAAAACTTGTGCTTTTATCGACTGGGTGATTGGAAGTCATATGGTTCTTGTTGGTACTGCTTATCGTGCGAAGAGCATGTTTGGTCTGGCTACCAAGTTTTTCATTTGGCAAGGTGGAAACATATCTCGCTGAGGCACCCTGAAATCTTGAAAGATTTTATGATCGAGCCAAGGACAGTGGGGGAACTTGATGGTGACAGCGATGTGTCTTTTGAGAATAACACATGGTGCGAGGGTGGGTGGATTTGACAAGTCACAGTGGTGGATCGAAGACGGAGTGACAGCAAATCAATTACTTACATCCATTTGCTGAAGAAGGCTAACGGTGGTGCCCCCGGTATTTCAATGTTGGTTCGCATCCACATCACCTGAATGAACACCTTCAGTGACTTGACTTACGCTCGACTTGTGGGCAATGTTTACTATGTACCGGATAGGAATGAATGAAACCTGAAGGAACTTGATATGTATCCGAAACCCCTAAAACCTTTGACGGGAGAAGCTTCCCTGCTCTCCACTTTTGGACCATGTGTCGCGCTCGACGTATGCAAATATGTATAAACAAAAATAAAATAAAAACCAGAGACAAGATTTGAACATTCGAACACTACAGCCGAAGCATCTCAACAGCCAAATCATAAGCCACAGTTTTCTGCTCCCACTCCCGAGAACCCACAACAGCCTTCTTATCCCAACCATGATTGCACCTCGGCATCCGCTGATAAACAACATTCCGCTTCGGATCCTTCTTCAACTGCCTCGCAAGCCTTTCACCCTCATCAGCAAGAATATCATAACCAGCAGTAATAACCAAAACATTACGCGGAAAACGCGCGGGGTCAGCAAAAACAGGCAAAAGCCTCGGGTCCTGTCGATCAACCTCAGCCTGAACATAACAACGCGCGAAAAGCCGCATGGTGGAGACGGGAATTGTGCGCCCACCCGCCTCCGGCGCTACCAACGTCGCAGGATCATTATGACCCTCTGTACTAGGGTAGAAAGTGATGACAGAACGGAACGTGTCCTTGGGGAACAAGGTGGAGGCTGCAACAAGCGCCAGGTTTCCACCGGCACTGAAGCCCGATACAGCTACGCGCGAGAGATCAAAGACGGCAGGCTGCTGCAGGACCCACTTGACGACGTCTTCGACGTCGTGCACAGCAGCGGGGAAAGGATTCTCTGGAGAGAGGCGGTACCGAACATCTATGACAGTGTAATTTGTGCGCTGGCTTACTTCTCGGCAGAAGACGTCGTCGCTGCCGTGAGCAGGGATGACAAAGCCGCTGCCGTGGAAGTTGATCAGGACGGGGGCTGGGCCCACGGTTTTAGTGGAGGGTTTGTAGACATGGACTTTGATGTTGCGGCGCGGATCCCGGGATGGGAGGTTATGGATTGCGTCTGGGTTTGCGGTCCATGTTCTGCCTTCGAAGACTCGAACTAGGAGTCTAAGGATTAACGCGCTGATTTTCAGGCGGAGATAGGCTAGGTAGGTTATGAGCCACATTCTGATGTCAGTGAAGAATTGGAGGCACTGATCGACGGAAATTGGGCGATCGGGGTTTCTTATATTCTCCACCACCATTTTGATCTTGGTCGCGTGCAAGATTTCCTGGACAGAATTTTTTTTTTATTTAGGAAAATTTCTGCTCTGTTTTCCTTGGTTATGGTCTGTGCGGCTTATGCGGCCGAGGTCCACTAATTTCTCGCACAAAGAAGTTGGACGCGCAAGCAGGTTTTTATTATTGAAACTGACGATGTTGCTGCGAAAATGCAATTCCAAGTTTTGTGGCTTGAACAATGGCGTAGTCATTGCGATCTCTCCAGCCTTGGTGCCTTACAGACGCGAACTGGTCGCGGTTCCTACAGTAACTGAGATCCTTAATTAAGGAAAGTGGGTCGGGCTTTTTTTCCTGGCCCACAATCATCTCCCGGTCTTCGAGAAAAATTGGAAAGTTCCAATGTTATTTTAAATGTGAAGCATAAGTCTGCTTAATTTTAGTGTTTCAACGTTGGAATTTATGCCGTGCTAGATTGATCACCGAAGCATCCACCTCCACGAATCCACGATAAAGGCTCCACTCTAATATTCCAGTATATGAACCCAGGCCAATCCACCACGACTACATCGCAAGCAGTTTTCGTTTACTATGATGATGAAAAGCTCAAGTTTTATTATAGTAGCTCCGTTTGAATTAAGAAAAAGGTTTGAAAAATAATAAATGGAGAAATATTGGTACGTGAAGGGCATTTCGATGGCATGACTAACGCAGGATTTCATTGACAACCAGGGGTGATCATCGCGATTCTCAACCCGCTGAGATATCCCCTTGGCCTATCTTTCATTTCTCTTTCGCCGAGAACCTCTCTGGTCTGGTTGAGAACGGTTCAAAATGTCGTGGAACAGATTCATTCAATCTTTTACGCAAATGCCCAAGGAAATGTTCCGCATAAACATGGGCCCCTCTATTCGACTGCGAGCCCATGCAGGTCCTGAACGACCACAACGCAATTTCGATCTCCTCACAACCGCAGGCAAAGTCCTACCAAAGGCTCTTGATCCAGTTACTTATGAATGTAAATTATTGACAGCTTTAAGATGTCGAGATTGAATGACTCAATATCCATTTAGGGCCCAATGGCGCCTCTATGCGCCCAAATAGCAGGTCGCAACAGTGGTTGGTTCGAACTTCCAGGGGATCTCCTATCTATGTTTTCTCTGTTCCTGCGGGTTTGTGTCACGCATTTCTCGATATTTGACCTACTTCACTCATTGATTTGAGCACGTTGCATAGGAACCGTTTTGCCCGATGATCTTATTTTGGTCCACGAATACAAGGATCATTACTCATTACAGGCTCGAGTAGAGATGATGGTGGAAGGTACCCAAGAAAGTGGTGCGTTTTCATGAGTGATGAATTTTGCTGATATCAACCCAAAGATCTGGACGCAAAGATCAACGCGTTTATCGGCACGGCTGGGCAGCGTTTCACAAAGAAAGAATGGTTGCAGTTGTACCCTCGAGCAACTGAGACCCATTGAAGGGAAATTAGATGATTCATTCAAGTGCCGCATATGGCAAACCTCCACTCCGATAATTCGAATTTTTTCGATTGATGCTTAAATGGACTTGTGTGCAATTGTTCCAGTGCTTATAAAGAAAATTTCTGCTATAGCAGCAGTGTCTGTCTCCAAGGATCACTACATGTAGAGTTTATATGAATACTAAGCCATCAATTGATTGCGGAGTATAGTATCAATTGATTCTGTGCTGTTTTAAGGGTAGTACACATATCATGAGGTGAGGTTGCAATCAGGTACGGTAACTAGTGTGGCTGTGGGTGGCGTTATAGCCGAATGGGCCCAGGTGAATCCCAAATATTGAACAACGCCATATTCAAAATACTTGCACGGTTAAACAAGACGCCTCGTGGCAAAACTACCGAAGCTTGTCATATGATGCTGTGTACCCAAAAACGGCTTTGGCACAACCTAAATGATTGTATACTATACTACCGAGCTATGATAGCCGCCGAGTGGAGGTTCAAAAGAGCATGACAAATGTGCCTGATAGTGAAGTTTCGATAACCGAAATGAGGGGTACATCTGCAGCTCACTCAAGCTGGACTATGCAATGCAGGAGGACAGACCGGTACATTGTAGAGACCCACATTCCAGAGAACCGGTCTACAATATTGAACGGTGATCATTTATCCACTTGACCCCACTTCTCCCTTTCTCTTGGGGCATTTGGGCTGTATACCTACTAGGTAAAGGCAATATGTTCAAGTTCAATTCCATGAGGTCAATTCTATGGCCAAGTCCATTGTCCGTCTCCAATGTTTCGGTTCATTTCATGAAACCATGCTGAGCGGCCCTCCCTTCCTATTGCCCCAGCAGCCCAGCTCTCCCTCATTTCAATTTTGACGAAACTATTCCCAATTCTAATTTCTAATTTACATTATCTTCTTCCTTCATTCTTATTAAATCAATATATTTCCTCCTCATTTCAATAAGATATTCTCACGTTTCTGTCCCCGCAGGATGGACCCGGATATAAGCGGAGGTAATTTACGATGGTCGAGACTCAAGGGTAAAGATACCCAAGTAGTATGTGCATAAAAAAAAAGAATAATTGATTTTAGCGACATTTCAAAGAGCCTAGCTGCTTCGATTCTGTCATTTCCCAACATATGGGCGAACATGCTTGAATCAGGAGTTCGTAGTGGTGCGTTCATCAACGGCCTACACGTCATTGACTGTACCCGGCCGAGCCATAAGTACACAATGCAAGGATCAGGCCACTCAACATTGAACAATCAACTCCCAGAATCCTTTTCATTTATAAAACCAGGTTTTGCCGGGACTTCCCATGGAATTAAGTACTTTTAATCATCATTGAAATCTCCCCCTCTTTTACCACCCCCGTCGTCTCTCACATATCTTGACCATACAACCCAACACCACCATCAATCCAACTTCAGAGCGACATTCACCACACAATCCATCACCATGACCTCTCATCCCAATGATGCCCAAGCTAAGAGTATCTCGCCCTATGGAGAGGCACGCTCCACGGTATCCGGCCAATGCCTCGACTCCGAAGAAGTCCGCAAGATGAACGCGTACTTCCGCGCCAGTCTGTACCTTTGTCTCGGCATGCTTTATCTCCGTGAAAATCCCCTCCTCACAGAGCCCTTGAAGAAAGAGCATCTCAAAGCTCGTCTTCTCGGACACTGGGGCTCCGATGCAGGCCAGTCGTTTACCTGGATCCATATGAATCGCCTGATCAAGAAATATGAACTGGATGTGCTTTTCATTTCCGGTCCTGGCCATGGCGCACCTAGTGTTATCTCTCAGTCCTATCTGGAAGGCGTCTACACGGAGGTATACCCTGACAAGACCGAAGACGTTGAGGGCATGAAGAAATTCTTCAAGCAGTTCTCGTTCCCGGGTGGCATCGGAAGCCATGCTACGCCTGAGACACCGGGTAGTATCCACGAAGGAGGCGAGCTCGGATACTCTATTTCCCATGCTTTTGGAACTGTCTTCGATCATCCCGATCTCATCACCCTGACCATGGTTGGAGATGGAGAATCCGAGACTGGTCCGCTTGCGACGAGTTGGCACAGCACCAAGTTCCTTAATCCTATCACCGATGGGGCCGTTCTCCCTGTTCTTCATCTTAACGGGTACAAGATCAATAACCCGACTGTTCTTGCACGTATCTCTCATGAGGAGTTGACCGCATTGATGGTCGGTTATGGCTGGAAGCCATATTTTGTGGAGGGAAGTGACCTGGACAGCATGCACCAGGCCATGGCTGTTACCCTTGAGCAGTGTGTCAAGGAAATCAGAGAATACCAGCAGCAAGCCCGGTCGTCTAATAAACCATTCCGTCCCCGCTGGCCCATGATTGTTCTTCGTACGCCAAAGGGGTGGACTGCTCCGCGAGAAATCGACGGCAAACTACTGGAAGGCTTCTGGCGCGCTCACCAAATCCCCATCACCGACGTCCTCACCAACCCCGCTCATCTAAAGGTTCTTGAAACTTGGATGAAGGGATACAAGCCCGAGGCACTCTTTGATAAGAACGGCAAGCTTATTCCAGAGCTCAGGGAGCTCGCGCCTACTGGCAACGCGCGTATGAGCGCCAACCCAGTCGGAAATGGCGGTCTCCTGCGCAAGCCACTTCAATTGAATGATTTCCGTGACTACGCGATCAAAGACATTGTGCCTGGAAAATCCTCGGCAGGAGGTATGGCCAACATGGCTAAGTTCCTCCGCGATGTCGTCGCCAAGAACATGACTACATTCCGTCTCTTTGGTCCTGATGAAACCGAGTCGAACAAGCTGGCGGAGGTCTACAAAGCCGGCCAGAAAGTTTGGATGGCGGATTACTTCAAAGAGGATAGCGATGGAGGCAATCTTTCTCCTCACGGTCGTGTAATGGAAATCCTCAGTGAACATACTTGCGAAGGCTGGCTGGAAGGATATATTCTTTCTGGACGCCATGGTCTCATCAACAGCTATGAGCCTTTCGTACACGTCATCGACTCTATGGTGAATCAGCACTGCAAGTGGATTGAAAAGTGCCTTGAGGTCGAATGGCGCGCCAAGGTCGCTTCCCTCAATATTCTGATCACAGCCACGGTCTGGAGACAAGATCACAATGGATTCACTCACCAGGATCCTGGATTCCTCGATGTGGTGGCTAACAAGAGCCCCGAGGTAGTCCGGATTTATCTCCCACCCGACGGAAACACTCTCCTGTCCGTCATGGACCACTGCCTCCGCAGCGTGAACTACGTCAACGTCATAGTAGCGGATAAGCAGGACCACATCCAGTTCCTGAGCATGGAAGATGCCGTTGCACACTGCACCAAGGGTCTCGGAATTTGGGATTGGGCTAGTAACGACCAGGGCGAGGAGCCGGACATCGTGGTCGCATCTTGCGGCGATGTCTCGACTCACGAAGCTCTAGCAGCCACTGCTCTTTTGCGAGAGCATCTTCCCGATCTCAAGGTTCGTTTCGTGAACGTTGTGGATCTTTTCCGGCTTATCTCGGGAATTCATCACCCGCACGGCATGCCAGACCGCCAGTGGAAGGCCATTTTCACCGATAACAAGCCGATTATCTTCAACTTCCACTCTTATCCCTGGCTCATTCACAGATTGACCTACAAGCGGCCTGGTCAGCACAACTTGCATGTTAGGGGGTATCGCGAGAAGGGCAATATCGATACTCCGTTCGAATTGGCGATGCGCAATGGAACCGATCGGTTCAGTCTGGCCATTGATGCCATTGACCTTATTCCTTCGCTGGGCAATACCGCGGCAAGTGTGAGGGAGAAGCTAGTTAATGCTCGTCTTGCTGGTAAGGCGGAGGCGTTTGAGAATGGTGTTGATCCTGAGTACATTCGCAACTGGGTCTGGCCATATGCGAAGGACTAACTGGGTAGACTGTCTTGACGAGATATGAAATGCGTCAATAATTTTGTGTTTTACTCTTATCTTAGTTATCAAATGCATTAGTGATTAAAATCAAGGCGGCGTTCTGCGGCTCAATAACGGACTTCACCGGAAGTGGAGCAGTACAAAACACAGGGTCCAGGACGCCTGATAGCAACAACTTTCTTTTCACAACACGTCACACGCCATGCCTCCTCCTAGATTAAGTGAGAAAATTGACTCAATTCAAGGAGTACGAATTGCAGGGCACCAGTCTACTTGGAACATCAATTTGGATTATTCTGCAGGTTCTCAGGGCACAGTAAAATCAATCACCCCGCACGAGTCTTCCCGAGATGTCATTCAAGCGCCCCTCGCTTTACCGGCCCTGACCCACCCTCATATTCATTTGGACAAAGCATTCGTCCACAACTCGAATAAATATTCGCACCTTCTCCCTCGTACAGGCACATTTCAAGAAGCCTTATCATCCACCACTAAGGCCAAGGAGAATTTCACATATGACGATCTTCTCAAAAGAGGAGAATGGCTATTAGCCGACTCCGTCTCGTCGGGGGTCACGGCCATGAGAGCTTTCGTGGAGGTTGACCACACAGTTGATCGGACCTGCTTGGATGCGGCAGTCACACTGAAGAGCCAATGGAGCGAGGTTTGCCACATCCAGATCGCTTGTTTCGCTCAAGATCCCATCTTCTCCGGCGAACACGGAGCGAAAAACTGCGATCTGATCGCATCGGCTCTACGGGATTATCCACAGATTGAAGTACTGGGAACAACACCCTACGTGGAATCCAGCGTGGAAGCTTCGAAGAGCAATATTGAGTGGGCGATTGAACATGCCTTAAAACATGACTTACACGTCGATTTTCATCTGGACTACAATCTGGATCCCGGCAAGGAGGCACTGATCTGGCATGTTTTGCAGACACTTCAGCAGGCGGGCTGGACACGTCGAACTACGCGGAAACGCGTGATGTTAGGACACTGCACGCGTTTAACCCTCTTTACCGATGAAGAATGGCAGAAAATTGCCTCTATCATTCATGACAATGATCTCCCCGTCAGCTTCGTTGGTTTACCGACCAGCGATATGTATATGGCCGCGCCACCAGGCCAAGAAAACCCCCAGCAGCAGCCTAGGGGTACCTTACGAGTGCCTGATTTGATACGCAAATATGACCTGGATGCAGTGATTGGTGTCAACAATGTGGGCAATGCTTTTACCCCATGGGGCTCTGCTGACCCCTTATTTTTGGCCTGTGTCGGAGTCGGGGTTTACCAGGCGGGCTCGCAAGATGATGCCGGGCTGTTATATGAATGCGTGTCAAATCGCGCCCGAGCTGCGATCGGGCTGTCAACCGATACTGGTCTTTCTGTACAAGCGGGTGCATGTCCGGATCTTGTGATTTTTCATAATCGAGACGATACCGGTTGTGGGATATCCCGTCCACGTGCAAGCGCGGCTGAGGTGGTCTGGGATCCACCGGCGCGGACTAGCAGAAGTGTCATTACCAACGGGCGAGTGCAGGTTAGACCTGCAGGGTTGAGTGATGACTTGACGTATAAATGGACATCTGGATGATAGAATACATCCATCAATGTTGAATCTCTGTAGAGTTTCCATACAATTTTGAGAATCGGGGATATAGTGGGTCATGTGATTGCGTATGCATTGGCTGAAATGCAAAGCACAATATTGGCGTCTGAGCGTGTGATTCGTCTCATCACCTGAGTTTTTCCCTCATTTTTTTTTTTCAAGGAATAAAAAGTAAGCGATGTGATTATTTCATACCTAACATCTATAAAGTTCCCCAAAAAAAAAACATATATAGACTTACCATATAGATGAAAACCCTGGATGAACTACTCGATATACTCTCCAGAGTCTAGATCCCCACTAAACCACTAAACTCAGTGCCTGGAACCGGGAAACGTGGACAACGTCATGGGGCGCGAGTTGTACCCAAGGGGCCCAAAGAGATTAATCAAGTCCCAGGGGCAATAGATTCGGTGCAACACGTCGAATCCTCCGGGTAACACTCAGCTCGAATTCAAATGAGAAAATCAGATGAGTCTTGGTTAGCGGAACAATTATAGACTTCCAGGCCCCAGAGCTTTGGGCGTGAGACCAAGACCGAGAGAGAGAGAGAAACCACCCAAAAAGACCCCTGTCAAAACTTAACTCATCCAACTCCTCTCCTTCCCCTCCTCTCACTTCTTTCATCATTCCTTTCCCCCCCCTTAGTCGTTCAGCTGCATTTTCCAAATCACCCCCTGTTTGCCCAAACTCTTGATCTCCAAACGAACAACGGGTGGATGCACCAGCCCGTGGGGCTCGTGTCGACCGTTCGTCAGCCTCTCCCCGCTCGCGGCCTTTGACCGCTCCAACTTCATCTATCCAACCCAAACTCGTCTTAGTCGTCATGTCGGCTCAGGCGCCTGCCTCGAAGTCGCCTACGGTGGTTCGGAGTCAATCTACTTCCTCTCGCCCCGCCCATTGGGCCCCCTCGTCGGATTTGCCCCATCGGACTCGAAGCGTGGCGGTCCGCTCGTCCAACACGTCCCAGCCCCCTCCACAGACACAATACACACACTCCAAACCCCCCTCTTATGACCGCCGCCCACCGGCAAACCACGCTGTGCTAGACAGCGTTGCTCGTCGGGATTTTGAGGCATCCAATGTGTCCAAGATGCCGTCTCGCCGTGAACCTTCCTCTGAGCGCTCACAGGAGCGCCCTCCCACGGCAACCCGGACCGAGTCCACCCGAAGACACCAGCGCACTTCCTCCACCCAAGCTCATCAACGGGATAGCGTCGACATGACTGCCACCGCTACTGCGGATCGCGCAACCGATTCCTCGCAGAATGCGACCGCTCCGACCGCCCCCACAACCACCAGGCGTCGAGCGACGATCACCACGCCAACGGGCCAATGGGCCCTGGGGAAGACTATCGGTGCGGGCAGTATGGGTAAAGTGAAGCTCGCGAAAAATATGGAAACTGGAGAACAGGTATGATTCCCTCATCTCTTCCCCAGCTGTGCTTCATTCCCAGTTGTGGTTCATGCTCTCGGCCATTTAAACAAGTCCTAACTATCAACCCCCGTTCCAGGTCGCCGTCAAAATCGTCCCCAGACTTTCAACCGAAGAACATCGCAATGGCCGGGAATCAGAGAGAGCGGATCGGTCAAAAGAAATTCGAACGGCTCGAGAGGCCGCCATCGTGAGTCTCGTTAGCCACCCATACATCTGTGGAATGCGAGATGTGGTGCGCACCACATATCACTGGTACATGCTGTTTGAGTATGTCAACGGTGGTCAAATGTTAGATTACATTATCTCTCACGGAAAGTTGAAGGAGAAACAAGCCCGCAAGTTCGCCCGCCAGATTGCGAGTGCTTTGGACTACTGCCACCGCAACAGCATCGTTCACCGTGATTTGAAGATCGAAAACATCCTCATCAGCAAGACCGGTGATATTAAAATCATCGATTTTGGTCTCAGCAACCTTTTCTCTCCCAGAAGTCTCCTGAAGACCTTTTGTGGTAGTCTATACTTTGCGGCTCCGGAGCTGCTCCAGGCAAGACAATACACTGGACCCGAGGTAGATGTTTGGAGTTTCGGCATTGTTCTCTACGTCTTGGTTTGTGGTAAAGTGCCTTTTGATGACCAGAGCATGCCTCAGCTTCACGCGAAGATCAAGAAGGGCGTTGTGGAATACCCACCTGGTCTAACAACTGGTAGGCCTTTCCCCTACGCTAGCTAACAGGGGATTTTTTTTTTACTAACCTCACATCACAGAATGCCGTCATATCATTTCTCGTATGCTTGTTACCGACCCAAAGCAACGTGCCAGCTTGGCCGAAATTATGAACCACCCCTGGATGAACAAAGGCTTTAATGCGCCTCCCGAAAACTACCTTCCTCAACGCGAACCTATTCAGCTTCCTTTGGACCAAGAAGTTGTTGAGAAGATGACAGGCTTCGATTTTGGCTCTCCAGATTATATCACATCCCAGTTGACCAAGGTGTTGGAATCGGAGGAATACCAACACGCCGTGCGTCTCAATTACCGTGAACATCCAGTTAATAGCCAAGCGGAGCGAAGGCGCGGTGTCTTTGACTTCTATAAGAGACGCAATTCCGCTGCTAGCCGTGATACACTATCTGCGCCTTCCGCTGAGGCAATCCAGTTGGGCAATGATCCCTTAAATGCTTATAGCCCGCTGGTCTCTGTTTATCACCTGGTCAAGGAGAAGCTCGACCGAGAGCGGATGGAGAGTCGCCCCGGTGCTCTAGGTATTCGTCCACCCACGGCTGAAGCGGGGGTCCCCGAGTTGGCACCCCCAGAAGCCGCCCACACCAACCAATACTCGGTCCCGGGAGAAAAGGACACCAGCCGACGATCCCGCCCTCGGGCCCGAACCCATGGCGAGGAAGAAGTAACAGAGGGCATGAAGAATCTCCATACTTCCTCGCCGGCTGGACACCCAACGCCCGACACGCCTGCAAAGAAGGAAAGCGCAGCTGCCGGTATTTTGCGGCGTTTCAGCACCCGCAAAACTAAGGAGCGCAGCCGTGATGTCGAACGGGAGCGTATCAGCACCCCCAATACCCCGACACTTAATGTTCAACCCCCTGTGGATTCCGCATCTCCATTGAATCGTGGATTTAGTGTCCGACGAACTCGGCGACCCGAGCCATCTCCACCTCTTCCATCTGCGGGAAGCCAACCTCAACACCAGGACCTACTTGCAGCACCAGGCACGGCCGATTCATCTTCGCAGTCTAGTAATTCCAAGTTCCTGGGACGTTCTACCAGCGTCAACTCTGCTGACTACCGGCCTCGAAGAACTGCCCGAAGGGGCGATGGTGAAACTTTGGATGTCGAACGCCAGCCTCCCTCAACGAGTGGCTCAGACCAAGTTGACCCCAACATTCAAAAGGAGCAACCTGTCACGAAGACCGGTGGCCGCACACATACCGCACGTACCATGTCTCTCGGCCATGCCCGCCGTGAAAGCATTCAAGCCCGACGAGCTCGGCGGGAGGCCGCTCTTGAGGCCAACGTACCTGAAGAGACTGACGAAGACATCACCGGTGCAGGCACCGCGCTGGAAAGCGCTAACGAAGGAGAAGATCTATCTAAGCCAGTCTTCCTCAAGGGTCTCTTCAGTGTGTCAACTACAAGCAGCAAGCCCTTGCCGGTCATCCGGGCTGATATTATCCGCGTTTTGAAACAGCTGGCTGTGGATTACGTGGAGATCAAGGGTGGCTTCCGCTGTCGACACGCTCCTAGCATTGACCTCGAAAAAGTGGTTGATATTAGCCCTCCTAGCCCAGACCGTCAGGGTCAGGTTTCACACCGTCGTCGCATCAGCTTTGGCGGGCTTCTTGGCCATGACGACAGCCGCGACGACAGCCGTTCGGGTTCTAACAAAATACACCGCCGGCCCCAGGCGGCCCCAGACCGCAGTTTTGTCTCAAATTCGGACGCATCTGATGAATACGTTGTCCGCGATGCCCAGCCAAGTACTACAGTGGGCGAGCGGGTGGTCGGAGAAACCACCACGCGTGTCCAAAGCGACACTGGCGAGAACTTGGTACTTCGCTTTGAGATTCTCATTGTGAAGGTCCCCCTGTTCTCTCTACACGGTATCCAATTCAAGAAGGTCTCCGGTGGCATGTGGCAGTACAGGGAGATGGCGAAGAAGATCCTTGATGCTTTGCGACTGTGATTCAGATCCCAGAGCTAGATATTTACTACAGGCCATGCATATGCATAATCTCGCTTGGAATGGAGAAACAAGCATAGAAGCCTCGCCTAGATGGCACATATTTGTTATTCTCTTTTCCTCTCAAGTTCTCCATTGGGCAGGGTTACGGGTACAGGTACATTGATTGATTGATCAACGAAATTCCGAGCATGAGAGCATTTCCTATATTTGTCTTTTATCCTTGCATTGGGGAGGGGGGGCTCCCTCTGTCTTGTTTCCTCTTTTTTCTTCTTCTCTTTTTCTTTCCGCTCCCCTTACCCTCTTCCAGCTTTTTATTAGCCTATCATTCCGGTTTGCATTCACCTATCCGGGCTTATCCTGCCTGTTTCCCACACTGTCGTTCTAGAAAAGCGTGTCGGTCTTCTTGTACATTAAAGCTGAAGACATGTCCTGAATGCTTCTATTGATCTTTTTTTTGTCCTTTATCTGTTATCTGCATCCCTGCAGTTCTCTTTTAGCGTCGAGGAGGTAGGGAATTGGCGTTGTATAGCTTTTGGTGGGATTAGCCCACGCACGAGTCTTCTTTTCGTCTATAGGTAAAAACTGATCCAGCCATGAATGTTTATTTCTCATATGCATTTTACCTACTAATTCCGGTGATCTCTTGATATCCATGGATGTACTCGGTATATTCTCCAGTAGTAGATCGACAACTAGTCACTAGTCCTGACTCCTTATAGCTGAACGAAATGAGGCCATCTCGGTGCACGTGACCTATACTTAATATCCAAAAGTAGAAATCAACTAGAGTCAGGTGACCGCATGTTTTATCACGTGACACATACTCGCCCCCTTGATGGCAGCCTTGGGCAAGCACTGTGTATTTTATATATGGTGGTGAGCCGTTGAGTGCTTACATGGTCTCTAGCATTTCATATCTTTTCCCATGAATCAGGATTCATGATCAGGATTCAGGTGTTCAACCTCGTGACGCTAGGTTTGGTTAGGCTGAATTCAAGGATCCGCTTCAACTAACAATGGCCAATCAATGCCATTTTCATCTCCTCTTGATGAACGGCGACGTCCAGCCAATGAGATGGTCAGTTTTTATGCAATACTGAGGGCTGTACATACAGTAAACTCGAGCGGCGAGCCAATGGTATTTTTGTCTTGCCGCCCGCTGCGTGGCTACGTGTCCACCATGAGGCTGAGGCCAAACATTCCTTCTTGGGGGGGAAATAATCTGTGATCTCCCAACCTCAGCCGTCTCTGCTTGTTCCAGCACCAGTATATGTGATCTTCCACAGCATGTCGAGCCCTTCGGAATACACAGTGGGCTGGATATGTGCCTTACTAGTGGAATATGTTGCCGCACAGGAGTTCCTCGATGAGGAGCACGAAAAGCCGAGCTCTGTTTCGCCAAACGATACCAACGATTATACGTTAGGCAAAATGGGCGAACACAATGTTGTCATTGCGGTCTTGCCTGATGGGGAGTACGGTACTGCGTCCGCCGCAAATGTGGCAACAAATATGATGAACACCTTCCGCAATGTCAGAATAGGCCTTATGGTGGGCATTGGTGGTGGTGTGCCAAGCCCGCGTCATGACATCCGTCTGGGTGATGTCGTGGTCAGTGCGCCTCGCAATGGTGAGGGTGGTGTCTTCCAATACGACTTTGGCAAGTCGATTCAGGGTGAAAGCTTCCAGCATACGCGGTTCCTAAACCAACCACCCACTCTCCTTCGCACTGCAATCATGGGAACAAAGGCATCTTATGAGAGAAAGGGCCACCGACTTGTTGAGGCTATTAACAGCCTTCTTGATGCGAACCCTAGACTACGAAAGTATAAAAAGCCAATATCAAGCACGGATAGGCTGTTTATAGCAGAGGCTCTACATGACTTAAGGGGCTGCTCCGCATACTGCGCCAGTGACCCATCAAGGTTGATATTGCGACGAGAGCGAGAGGAGCACGAAGATAATCCTGCTATTCATTATGGCCTGATTGCCTCCGCAAATCAATTGATGAAGGATGCTTTGGCTCGTGACAAACTTGCCGCAGAGAAAGACGTTCTTTGTTTTGAAATGGAAGCGGCTGGGTTATTAAACACATTTCCCTGTTTGGTGATACGGGGCATCTGCGATTACTCGGACTCGCATAAGCACAAAGAGTGGCAAGGATGGGCTGCAATGGTTGCGGCTGCATACGCTAAGGATCTTCTCAAAAGAATTCCCTTGAACAAGGTCGAGGCTGAAGAAAGGATCAGTGCTGTTCTCCATGGTTAGTCAAAATCTACCTTAGGTATATTATAATGGAATACTAATTTATTTCTTTATATAGAGGTTTTAGAGAGCACCACTCAGCGCCTTTACGATCAGCAAGAAAAACACCATAAAGAGGATATAAAAAAGGCCTTTACCGATAAGCAACAGGCTTGTCACCAAAGTTTCAAGAAAGGTAGTTACACAGACCAGAAGAATATCAACCCTGAGCCAGCCGAGGGAACCTGCCGATGGGCTCTACAGAGCCCTGAGTATGTTCGTTGGTGGGAGAGTTGTGGTAATGAGCTTCTCTGGATATCAGCTGATCCAGGTTGTGGAAAGTCCGTTTTGGCCCGGTCAATTGTTGATAACTGCTCCCGGGTCCCCGATCCGACTGTAGCAGTTTGCTATTTTTTCTTCAAAGACAACGGTGAACAAAATACTCTTGCAACTGCCCTGTGCGCAATTCTACATCAGCTTTTCAGCCAAAAGCCTCATCTTCTAGATCATGCACTACCAGCCTGGGAAAAGAACGGCAATGACCTTCAGAAAGAGGTTGAAGAACTTTGGAAGATTTTTCTAGAAGCAACATCGGCCAACACATCCTGCAAAACCATTTGTGTATTTGACGCACTTGACGAATGTTATGAAAATGACCAAGGCCGCTTAATTTCGAAGCTCGAGCAATTCCACCACCAATCTTTATCAAACGCCTCCACACAAGATTCCTTGTTGAAATTCCTAGTGACCAGTCGTCCATATGACCACATCCAGTCTCAGTTCGATAAAGTCACTCAATCATTTCCTCAAATTCACCTTAAGGGGGAGGAAGAAAATGAACAAATTCGTGAGGAAATAGATTTAGTTGTGAAGATCAGAGTCAAAGAGCTAGCTCATAGCGCAATGTTGTCACCGAAAACAGCCCAGCAGCTTGAGCACAAGCTTCTCGAAATGGAACATCGCACTTATCTTTGGCTATATTTGGCTATGGACGACATCCGCACAGCCTTCCAGAATAGCCTTCGACCTGCCGAGGAATCTATTCAGATGATACCCGATTCCGTGAATGCGGCATATCAAAGGATCCTTAGTCGAGTGCCATCCGAGCAGGTGGATACAGTGAAGAAGATGTTACAGATCATCGTTGCGGCCCGGCGTCCATTATCAATCGAAGAAATGGGTATGGCTCTCGGCATAGCTCTCTATCCACAGTCAAAGTCCCAAGCGGAGGCCGGGTTAGATACCACCAACTTAGGCGCAAAGCTTCGACGCTTATGCGGCCTGTTTGTTTTCCTCAATGCCGACCGCAATATTCATCTCATTCATCAGACAGCTAAGGAATTTCTAATCAGAGGGGATGCCGCCAATCAAACAATGTGCCAGTATTCTTGCACCTTTACGGAAGCGGAGGACCACATGGCTCATATCTGTTTGCGATATTTGTCGATGGACTTTCCTAAGGGTAAATACTTTTTTAAAAATAACTACTCTTTTGAAGAAGATTGCCCATTTGTGACATATTCGACAACGTATTGGGCAGACCATGTGCGATGTATGACACCAAGCACAGATCGAGAAGTCTCAGACCTGCTACACCAAGTCTACAACACTACTTCCGAAAGCTTTGGAAGTTGGTTTCCAATTTTCCGTAGAAAGCATCGAAATCACCCTATGAAAATGAGAATGAATGAAATGAAAGCAATACACCTGGCAGCATTCAATGGACATGAGCAAGTGGTCTGTGATTTACTTGCTAAGGATACAAGAGTTTCAAACTTGCCCGATGGCTTTGGGATACATCCGCTAGCATGGGCAACATTGAAAGATTATGGCAACATTGATATCCTACGTATATTGTTAAGAGGTGGAGCCGACATCAATGCCCAGAGTGAATCCGCCGGTAGTGCTCTGCAGGCTGCCTGTGTGAGCAGATTCAGGAAGGCTGTCGAGATGTTACTCGAGAATGGAGCTGATGTTAATACTCAGGGTGGACATTACGGCTCTGCTCTACAGGCTGCTTGTGCGCGCGAAGGATCCATTGAGCTTGCGGAGATATTACTGGAGCATGGAGCCGATGTTAATACTCAGGGTGGACATTACGGCTCTGCTCTACAGGCCGCTTGTGCGGATGGATCTATTGAGCTTGTGGAGATATTACTGAAGCATGGAGCCGATGTTAATATTCAGGGTGGATATCTCGGCTCTGCTCTACAGGCCGCTTGTGCGGATGGATCTATTGAGCTTGTGGAGATATTACTGAAGCATGGAGCCGATGTTAATATTCAGGGTGGATATCTCGGCTCTGCTCTACAGGACGCTTGTTTGGAAGGATCTATTGAGCTTGTGGAGATATTACTGGAGCATGGAGCCGATGTTCATACTCAGGGTGGATATTACGGCTCTGCTCTACAGGTTGCTTGTGTGGTAGATTCTACTAAGCTTGTGAGGATATTACTAGAGCATGGAGCAGATGTTCATACTCAGGGTGGATATCACGGTTTTGCTCTACAGGCTGCTTGTGCGGAAGGATCTATTGAGCTTGTGGAGATATTACTGGAGCATGGAGCCGATATTAATACTCAGGGTGGACATTACGGCTCTGCTCTACAGGCTGCTTGTGCGGAAGGATCTATTGAGCATGTGGAGATATTACTAGATCATGGAGCCGATACTGCTGTCCTGCATGAATTCGACCGCAAGGTTGCCCTCCAGGCTGCTAACGCTCTCGAAGCCACAGCAAAATAATGAAAGTGCAAATATTCACTTATACATTTTCTAATCCGTGGATATTGACATATTGTGAACTGTTAAATATGCCATATGTGTGTGTCTCGACTCTCGAAGAGCTCCTAAGATCTTCTAGGTGGTCACTGGCTGTGCAGGGCAGTCAAGACATAACACTCAACTTTTAATTGTTTCAAGGTTTGTGGAAATCCATCGGTTCCGTTGTTTAAATTCTCTCGTGGCTTTATGTTTGGAATTTTCTGTCCATTTTCCTTCCACACTTTTCAATGTTGTGGGACTCAAGTAGGCATCGAAATCTTTGAAACTTGTATGTCAGTGGACAAAGCCTCTTGAAGTCAAGAGTAAACACATTTGCATACTTATCCTAGTAAATGCCCCTTGGGTGAAACCAAACTCACACATACCAAATAATTGATGGCTTCACTACTCTAAGATATATTGTAAGTAGCGTATATATATTAGCGCTCGCACGGTCGCATCCGCAACTGTATGAGTTAACGCATTGCCATAACCAGTTGATAGGTTTTAGGGTCAATATTCAGCAATTATAGGTGGGGGCACCTATAACAACGCCTAAAGTGCTGCCTACGGCTCGGCATCCGGGCCCAAAATATTGTTATCGTTATCGCGATTTGGCGCCCAACAAACCCCCGGCCTCTAGGTCCTTGATAGCCCATTAATTAGCATGTTGCTTATTGAACCACTGTTATTCTACTTCTTATAAAATCAATAGAGAACTAACCATTCTTGACCTAGAATATATTACATCTCCCAGAAATTGGTTTTAGTTATAACTATATGTATTGCCTAGTCATCAGATTTGCTAACTAACATCACATCCTTTCAATGCTCATTGGTGACTGGTCCAGCACAGAAAAGTGGATACAATGAATGCATCACGTGGTGCCGGGAGGCACGTGATATAGCGCCCCTAAATTATGATTTTAAGGATTAATTTCTTATATATTGGTGGCTAGATTAGCTTATAGGGCATTTAATTTTCTTTATTGATAATTATAATAACTTAAATAACAATTTTAGAAGGTTTCAGTGCCCAAGCGAGACTTATGTAGCTGGCCGTCTTATTTAATGTTAGTGACTAGACAAACTACGTTTCAACACAAAGCTCGGTTACATACTGCCGCCTGCGGGTTAATCACACGGCTGTTCTTATCCAATAAAACACATATAACTAGAATTCCCCCAAGTGTGGCCTGCCTCACCACGCCACGCTAGCGCCTACTTTGATATTCCTGACCTACTGATCCACTTAACCTCCCCTAAGCTCCAACTCTGGAAAAACTTCTTAGAATTATTTCCGATATATTTCAAAATCCGAAATATTCAACTAGATACATTTTTTAACATAAAACCATATATCTAATTAGCAAACATTGATATAAAACATGATGACTCAGCAAGAGACGCTCGGACCACCCCCTTTCCTATCGTATTTCCACTAATAAAAATCCTCTTAGCTACAGATCCCTAATTTCTGATGTTCTAAAGGCGCGCGTTGCCTCCATAGGCCTCTAGGCATTAATTTTGGGTGTTTTTGGGTGAGGGCCTGCCACCACCACAAGTAGTATTGTCGTGCCCCGAACCTAAGAAGAAATTTTGACGTTATTCGCACGCGGCACGCAAACCACCGTCTATCTTTCACTTCACGATTCTTCCCCCAAATTCGTTTTCTCCCTCGTCGACTCCCCTCCCCTTGCCAATTGCCAATTTCTTTGTTTCTTTAAGCGCACGCCCCACTTCTATGTGTTTTTAAAAACTCTCCTGCTCCCTAATCATCATTTCCATCACTGTCTTCGACTATCGTCATCGTATTAGTCGATGGCTAGTAGTGAATCCGAATTCACTATGTCCTCGAAACCCAAAGTTGCGAAAAATCCCCTGGAGAAGGCCATGGATTTCATTGATCTCACCATAGACAATGAAGGGGATGAGGTTCCGGTGAGTTTTCCCATTTTTAACGCTCTTCACTTGACTGCTATCGCCACCGTGTATATATATATATGCGTGTGTGTATGTGCATGTGTATATGTCACTCTTGCTAGACCTCGCCGTCGAGGGGAGCGGACTATACATACACTTATATACACACACACAACACACATATATATATCACCAGTTGACTCGTGCAAATTCCCCCACATCACATTCCCTTGTTTTTTTCACATTCTTGGTTCGAAATTGGAATTCGGGTGTCTGGCCCTTCCGTTTCACCTAGCGAGACCCCTAGCGGGAGAGGTGTGGGTGGTCGTACCTGCCTCCCCCGGGGCCAAAGCTACCCGTGTCTCGGCATCCCTGTTCGCGATTCGTATCCTGGCTTATCCTGGCTTCGTCCACGGATGTTACTTGATCTGCACAATCATGTACCCGTTCCACGGCATATCATTCACCAGCGGGGTTAGGACCAGTGACACTAATTATGGGCTTTTGCAGCTTCAGGCCCAACCTCAGGGTTCGGCAGCGGCGTCCCCTGTGGCTCAGAACCAGCCAGCCCGCTTGGAGAACTCGCCTAGTCCCATAAAACCAAAGACTGATGAGGGTTCTGAACCCGAACCTCCTAGCTTGGTCTCTCGTTCCTTGGTCGCCCGTATCTTGGCCACGTTAGATGGCTCTGATGAATCAGATCAGCCGCCAGCTCAAGATGACAAAACCGCAGACTTGGCTAAACGACGTCCGGCAAAGAGATCGGCCAGTCCGTTATCTGACTCTGTATCTAAGAAGAGCCTAAAGTTGTCACCACCAGATGAGGCCGATAGCCCAGACGAAAAAAGCCTGCTTACCTCTCCGACCATAAGGTTGAAGTTGACTCTCAAGAAAAGGCCCATGAGCCCAGAAGTCCAACTGCCTAACAAGAAAACCACCAAGCAAAAATTACTGCCCGGTGCCTCTTTAAGCCCCAATACTCAGTCTGTCAAACAATCTTCCACCCAGGCAACTCCAGCCACCTCACCTGGACCCCTGACATCTAGTCCCGTTCCTCAGGTTGTGATACCAACCCCTTCTGCTAAAGTGAAACTTCTTCTCAAGCCTCGCACCCCTGCAAAGGAAAAGATGGGCATGTCCGAGAAGTATTACCCCATTGAGTCTGTTCTCAAGGCGAAGGCCCTCCAAAGAGCCTATCCGAAACGCGAGAAAATTGACCGAAACGAAATATCACTCCCTATCGGATTTGATTCCGATCAAAAATCCCCCTCAGCCCAGTCGGAGATTGAAATGCTCCGCAATTACCTCGACAAGAGACTCAAGGGTATCAAAGGACCTGAAGTCGTTTTCAATATCGACGACAATAAGCTGACCATGCTATCTTCCACCTTTGACTTCGTCAACGACTACGTCCTCCTTGATGGCGTGAGTCGTGTCGAGCCGGGCTTCAATTCGGGCTGCAACTGCACCGGTCCTTGCGATCCTTCCAGCTGCGACTGTCTCTTCGAAGAAGAAGACACGAACACGAAGATCCGTACGTACCGCCCATCGGCCTCTGACGACGAACTGTTCGTCCTGGACCCCAAATTCCTGGAACGACGTTCAAAAATCGTCGAGTGCTGCGGGCTCTGCAGCTGCAAGGGGAAGTGCTGGAACACAGTAGTCCAGCAGGGCCGACAGGTCCGATTTGAGGTCTTCAACGCCGGACAGCGTGGCTGTGGTAAGTAAACGACTCATCCCCCCGCCACTCTCACCTCACCTCACCTCTCTCTTCAACTCAAATCTGATTTGAATCTGAATCTGAATCTGAATCTGAATGCTGACCTTCGTTTCTTCCCTTCTAGGCATCCGTTCTCCCGACCCCATCGTAACTGGTCAATTCATCGACCGTTACCTTGGCGAGGTCATCACCGAGGAGGAAGCCGACGCCCGCGAGGCCGCGAACCAGATGGGCCAATCATACCTGTTCGCCCTGGACTGGAAAACGGAGAAGAACGACTCGGACGGCGAGGCCGAAGTCGAGAGCGAGAAGGGAACCTTCTACGTGATCGACGGCCAGAAGTTCGGGTCTCCGACCCGTTTCATCAACCACTCTTGCAACCCGAATTGCAAGATCATCCCCGTCTCCACGACGGAGCATGGGGATGAGAACCTTTACTCCTTGGCCTTCTTTGCACTGCGCGACATTCCCGCGGGTACGGAGTTGACCTTCGACTATAATCCCTTCTGGGATGGGTCGAAGATCATTGATCCGCACGCGGTCAAGTGTCTGTGTGGCGAGAAGGAGTGCCGTGGCCAGTTATGGCCAAATGCCCGTAAGCAGGGACCGGGTGTTCGGGGCACCCAGAAAGGCAAGGCGAAGGTATGGTGAAGGTGAGGCCGGGCTGTCTAGCCTGTGTCTTGCTGGGTCCGTATCTTTCGGCCTTTGTCTGTCCCCCCGGGTGTTGGGATGCGGGGTTGTGGTGGGTGTGTCCAGGTGCGACTGGTGTGTGTGTGTGCCTGGGCGTGTGTGGTGTGGTGTGGTGTGGTGTGGTGTGTTTTTCTTTTTTTGTTGTATTTTTATTCTTGTACCTTTTTTTTGTTGCATCTTTTTTTTGTTGCATCTCTTTTTTGTTGCATCTCTTTTTTGTTGCATCTGTTTGTTACTTCATCATTTGTTGCTCCATATTTTTGTCACTGCATCATTTGTTGGTTCATCTTTTTGTTTGGCGTCTGCATAGCGAGTGCTGCTTTGCATCAAAACCAGGCGCAGTGTATTTATTATGAACATATTCCGAGATACCCCGGTGGCCACAGCCCATGCATTATGGGGGCGTGGATTAAAAAGCATCATTAATGTCTTTTTTTTACTCAATTTTCCGTCAGATCAGTAGGTCAATATTGATTTTAGTAGGAGAAAAAAGTAAAAGGTATATTGAAAACACAAAAGTAAACGCCAACAGAGTAAGCCGAGCGTGTATATATGGCTCGTGCAATCTGTACATGCTTCGCTAGCCCCTTAAGTATACAAGTCAAAATTTATGAATCGATACGTCACTTCGATACGTCACTTCCAATGCAGAAAATGAGCGTCAAATGACGGAACGAGAGAAAGATAAAGACAAATTAAAGGATTTAAAATAAGAGAATCCCTATTCCCGACCCTCCATCACCTCGAAAATGCCACCCATAACATAACGAGGTGGTTGGTGTTGCTGTTGTGGGACGCTACCTCCATTTGAACTCAAAGCCGCTGATTGGACCTTCATATTTGAGTCGATCGCCACGTGCATGTTGGTGTTCATGCTCATGCCCATATTCATATTCATCTTCATTTCGACGGGCCTGGGCTCCATGAGATCCAATCCCTGCCTCTCGATCGAATCATCATCGCACCTTGAGCGCTCTTCGCTTAGCACAAGCTCCACAGCAGATGGTCTGCGGCGAATGACCATAAGCGAGGATCGACCACGTAAGACAGCGCAGGGCAGAACGCTCACTGCGTGGGGGTGTGCATATGCGCCATCATTGGATGCAGATGTAGATATGGCTGTGGAGTGGTGGTCGTCGTGGTTTTGATGGTATGTGGGAGCAATCGAAGGTTGATTTTGATGAGGTTGGAAAGACAGGTTGAAGAGGTGGTGTGGTGACGAAGTGATTTGCCCTCTGCTGGTGGTTCTAGCCCGGTGGCGGAATGTGGAGGTTGGTGAAGAGGGTGGGGAGGTTGTTCGGGAGCTTGGTGGGCTTGAAGTATCGCTTGTTGATGGGCGAGATGTTTGGAGAGGAGAGAATGGAGTGGGTAGTTGGTCCATGTTGAATTTGGTCGCGCTGTTTCTTTGCGAATTTCTTTCTCTCTTTGAATATCCGTTTTGTTGTTATTGGTTTTGGTGATGTATGTGGAATGCGGGAGCGGGATCTACAGATGAGATCAAGTACTGGTTCAGCTCGCAAGAGAAGTAAGTTGGAACGTAACAGGAGGAAAGGTAAGCAAATCCAGGATGGAAGCTTAGGTTATAAGTATCAAAAGAACCTTGGAAAATATAAGGCTCATACTGCAAGGATGGAGCTGCAGGGAGGTTGAGACACGAAATGGATATCGGATGCGGGAGAACGAACGCATCCGGATGAATGGCTTTGTGCCTGGATTTCAAGGATTCCCGCTTTCGGGAAAGTCCACGCCCTTAATACATCAACTTCCGAGAACATCACATACTAATTGTCACATCTCTATTTCTTTTCTTGTTCTATTGCCTACATAGGCAATGGGTGCGTATCTCGTGTTCCAAGCTTCTTACCAGCCTCATACCTCATACTGAATTCGGCTATATACGACGATCCAATAGTTCGGACCCACTTGATTCAGCCACCCCCGATATTGAAAACGTTTCTATGGGGTACTTGGATGTACATAACATCACAATCTATTGAAGGAGAAAACCATTTATAGGATCAATAAAGGAGATAGCGAGAGAGAAAAAAGAACACTTGGGATATAAGGAAATGGTTAAATCCCACGCCGCTGCTATGCAAGATGCTTCCAATGGATGCCAGGACTGAGGGTATTGTACAGGGGGGAAATCGAAAAACAAAATCTAAACAATGGAAAACTCTCCTCTACTGTAAATCAACTTGCAGGAGCAAAAACAAAAAAGAGAAGGGAGAAGAGGAAGATAGAAGAATGTCCAAGACTGAAACAATTCGTCCAATCCATCTGTCGGTCGTAGATCCATACTCGTCTCTTCATGGGAGACATCAACATCAATACATTAAGGTGAACCCTTCTCAGTGGATTGGGTAGACCGGTTAGATCGCTCGGCGGATCCATGATCCCCAGACCGCCGCTGCTGTGTGAAGCTACGCCGGATACTCTCACCCCAGACGGAGTTATCCAGCGAGTGCATCACATCCTGCACGTTCATGGTGCTTTGGCGGCCAGGATCGGTACCCGTAGCAGAGTCACGGCGTTCACCAGAGTCGAACGACCCGCGTTCGCCATACATATGGCGCGGGGTTCGCGAAGGACTTATACTTGCCCAGTCCGTCGGGGTGCTAGTACCCGACGCGCGACCACCGCTCATGGTAGTGTCCAGGCGAGGCAGGTCGTGCCGGTTGGCAGTAGGGCTGGATTCGGCGCGGCGATGGAAGGTAGAGGAAGGCGACAGCATTGGCGCAAATGGCCCGTCAAGATCAGGCTGGGTTTGCGGCGTCATGGTGCCGGGAGCGGGCTCCTCGTGATCTTCGGAATCATCCACGGGGTCATCGACATAGATCTCGGGGACCGTGAATTGAGGAATGGCCGTCATGCGAGAGCTCTTCTTGCGGTCAATGGCACGGCGGAATTGACGGGACCAGTATAGAGTGTCAAAGAAACCGACCACGGTGTTGCGGCGGACGGCTTCCTCCACACGTTGCAGGCGTGCTCGGCGCCGGAGGAATTCTTCCAGACGCAGACTCTTGCTATCGCTGATGACATTGTAATGGGCGAGGATCATCAGGCATTGATGGAAGGAGATACCACGGTCTGGGTCTGCTGATACAAGGACCTCTTCGTAAAAGGTATTGAGCCGCTGCCGCCGCTCTCGAATGGTCTTGACTGGGATGCGATTGAGAATGCGGTTAAGCTCTTTCAGGTCGACCTCGTCGACAATGTTCTCCCCGTTGGGTTGCATCATCGGATTCAAGGAATCCTGCGAGCGCATATGTAGGGAGGAGCGGAAAGAGACAACCGAGTCTCGGCGATTAATTCGACACTGATCTAGAATCGCACCAACAGTGAATTCGCCGTCATAAATGCGCATCGAGAAGATACCGGAGAGCTCTCCCAGCAACCGAGGGAATTGCTCTTTCGAGATGAAACCAGTGCCATCCGGATCGTAAGTTGACCAGGCATGTTTGAAGCGGCGGGTCTCTTCACGGTTCACCGCATATAGGCCACTGCTTCTTTGGTAGACGTAAGAGAAACTTTCGAAGATAAGCGAGACGAATAGTGATACGAAGATGTACATGCTGATGATGTTCCACGCGATGAATAGAGATCGAGCCCAGCCGGCACTGCCGCAGTCGTCTTCAAGGAAGTCGGAACTATATGTGCAGAAAGGTGGTTCCATGGTGGCAAAATCCTCCATGACCTGGTTCCAACCCTCTCCGCAACTGGATCGGAAGAGTAGAATAAGGGATTTGGGAACGTCGCGGAAATTGAGATTACTGCTCTCGTTGCTCCCAAACTTCGTGAGGCCAAAGGCTTGGTTCATGGCAATGCCAAATACTAGAAACAGGACGAACCAGGTGGCAAGAAGGTTGCCAATGACTGGCAGACTAGCTGCGGCTGTCTTGAACAGCTGGTCCAGCTGGTTGTTTCGTGGAATAAGAAGCAAAGCGATGGCGACGAGGAACAGTTTGTTCATCTCGAGAACAGCCTGTGTCGATAAAGCGATGTGCAAGATAGTCGTGATCCATGCACCAGGTACAACTACGAGGGAGTATAGATCCCATGAGCTTCGACTGAACCGATGCCACCCAAGACCGACAAATCGAATCACAACATTAGCCAAGTAGACGAACATGAAGACGAAGAACAAAATGGCTGTGTACGATTAGTAAAGGCCTCTCACCCCGGAAAAACATAGGATGGTAACTTACAACGAGACATCTCCCACACTTCAGGCTCTGGATAGAACTCAAGCACCAGAAGGATCAAATGTAGACAGAGAGTTGCAGTGACAAAGTGCGCCCACCGCCCATGTTTTTTCACTGCAATTCGATAGCACCATTGCTGCCACTGGGCACTCTTGTCATTGAGGGACCTTTTTGAGGGCGAAATTTGTCGAAGGAGTTTCCGCAACTCGAGCCAAGATCGCTGTTCGGCAGTCAAGAAGGCAACGCCAGTCTGTTCTGTGTAGTTGCGCATGAAAACAGACACAAACAGCGTCAGAACAAACACGGCTCCAAGAAGGTTGAAGACAACAAAGAAGAAGCCGTTGGCGGGGGCGTAGTTGTCTTGTGGTTGCAAACCATGGCCGACAATACTCATCACGCTTTCTTGGACATCGATCCAACCTTCCTGAGAGACAATCTGGAAAAGAATGAAGAGGGAGTCGCCGAAATTGTCAAAGTCATAGTAAGTGTTGGTCACAGTTCGGGGGCCAATGACATCCCAGTTGTAGGGCGAGCTATAGTATTCATTGACACAAAACGTCAAATTGCCCGAAAAGTCACCGTCGTTGCAGGTTAAGAGTTGTCCATTGAATAGATTGAGGGCGTAGATGGCGAAGGGAATCAGGAAACTCAAGGATACCGCAGCTGCAGCAACGACCTTCATTCCCCCTAGGATGATAACAGAGTGGAAAGTGTCTTTGGCACTATCGCTGACATTCAGCAAACGCAGAGCTCTCAGCGCTTTAAAAGCACCGATGGGTCTGGAGATACTGAAGTCCTTGTATAGAGAACTTCCGACGTTAACCCAGAGAGTGACCAATACAATTCCGTCAATGAAACCCCAAGAGCTGCGAAAGAATGCATTGGGTGTCCAGAAGAAACCATCCGCAATCACCTTGATAGTTGCCTCGACGGTGAAGACGACTGCAAAGCCCATGTCGGTGTAGACGAACCAGTTGCGGTTAGTACGGAAATATTGTCTTTGATACAATGGAGTCGTGATGCATGCAAGAAGCACCATGGCCACAATTGCCGTGTAAATGATAGCTGAGAATGTATACCACACTGGTTTATATGGATCCACACCTTCAACTCGTTGGTTGCCGCGTCCAGGCCCAACGATTCGCTGGCACAACTTTCTGACTGGGTGGTGTGGCCCAAACATGTAAAGCGACTTGTTGTATTTAGGATGTTTTATAAGATACTCTCGCTGTGCACGCTTTCTCGCCTCGGCCGCTGAGACAACTTCTCTGGCCATGGTTCTTGGGTCTAGGTCTTCATAGGCCCGGGAGAATTTGAGCTTCGAGTAGAATGGGTTAGGCTCCCGACCCATAATGAGTGCATTCGCTTTGGCCATGGCTTGCGAGATGAAACCTGGGTCGGTAGTCTCCGCTATCGCACCATCAGGAATTGCATTCTCTCTGCTCTGGTTTTCTGACCCCTCTTCTAGAATTTCCTCTTCTTCATCAAGGAATTCACGGACAACGGCATCCTTCAGCAACATTTCCAAGGCAGCGGGTCCATGATCAAGCGGGTCCTTGAAGCGATCCGAATCACGACCCAAGCGAAGGATCTTCGAAAGCGCAAGGTTTCCTTGAGTAGCTTGCCCGATATGCTTCTGTTCTAAAAATGCCCGAACCTGCTGAAGACGCTTCTCATCCTCTGACACATCAAAACTCTCTTGAATGACCGCAATGAACATGTTCAGTATGATGAAATTGGCCACGATGAACCACATGATGATGAATGAGGCGGAAATCCACGCAGTATTGAAGTGGGTGGTATATGCGGTAACATTATACAAAATAGTTGTCCAATTTTCACTCGACAATATCTGATACATACCCAGGAACGAGTTGTAGATATCGGCAAATGTGATCATGATGGAGTTTCCCGATGGATCCTCGGAAGGGATCTGGCTGCGAAAGAGTTGCGTTGCAAAGATGGCAGCGAGAAAAGTCATCAAAAAAAGGAAAAATATCAGGTTGAGTAAACCAACGGTGTTTCGGAAGACAACCAAAATAAGTTTCTTGGTCACGGGGATTGCCAGTACAACTCGGTAGACCCGAAGAATTTGAAAGAGAGTCAGGACGGTATAAGCACGCCCCGAGTTTTTGATGGGGGGTATTTGAATGATGCAAGTGACAATAACAAGAAGCAGGTCAAACCAATTTCGGCGTTTCACATGGAATGCACGCCAATCGGATGCAAATCGCAAGACAATTTCAAGCAGGAAAACGAGCGTGATCACCAGCTCGGTGTTTGAGATAAAGCTGGCTCGGTCTTCTCCCATGGTTGAACTCGTCAATGCTTGAATGATTAGGTCGTAGACAATGATGAGAATCCAAAGGTATTCAGTCTTGTCGTAAAATCTTTTCAGCGTGCTTACTTTTCGAGTGGTGGTGTTATCTTCTTCGATATTGTCGATTTGTTGGACAGCAAAAGCACTGCGTTTACTTTCCTCTCGAATGACTTGAAAAGAATGAGTAATGACCGCAACGAGCAAGTTCACCAACCACAGGCTGAGAATGACAAGGCCAAAGGCAAAAAACAGCGCCGCTGCGAGATAATCGCTGTCGGTGGTGTAGTAAAGCAAATCGGTGAATGTGTTGGAACTCATGATGACAAAGACCGCCTCCAATGATTGAAGGATGTTGTCAAAACTCACTGTTCCATTATAGGGATTCGTGCCTTCAACACACAGGGAACCTGCAGGGCATATATAGCCTTTGGCGGAAGAACTACCCAGAACAGTACCGGAGGCATCAAGCCAAGGCATGTTCTCACCCGTGGTGCTATTAAGATACCCGCCACAAAATTGAAGAGTACCGTATGCATCGTTCGAGGTGAAATTGGAAATTCCCTCAGGGTCGATCCAGACACAGGTTCTCCGCAAACTGGATTTAAAACTCTGTATACCAACAATCGCAAATAGAAGCCAAAAGAATCCAATGAGAAATGCGACATGCACAAGAAGAGGAGCAGCTCTTTTCAGACTTCGAAGAATTACAGAGGTTCCGTTTGTAAGAGAAAGAAGTCGCAAAATTCGAAGACAACTCAGCATTCGAAAGATGTAAAGCTGATGGGCGGCCTCAAGGCCATGTAGCGAAAGGACAAAGGAGACCCAATAGGCGATGACTGCCACGAAATCTAGTCTGTTGAACGAGTGTCGAAGGAACGCACGGTGGGCGAGTCGAGAACGGCGTTTGTGGAGAGGATCGTCGAAGGTTTGCTCATCCAATGCATTCATTCCAGTGAACGTCCGCAAAATAGAGGCTTGGGGCTCGGGTTGCAGGAATGAGACTTTTTTCTTGGTCGTCTGCCGATGAGGAGTAATGAGGTTCTTGGCCTTCTCTGCCATGGCTTTCCTAATTCCAATGTTCCGGTCGAGCGTGCTATACTCCCTCGGGTTGAATAAGAAACCAGAGACCAAGATCTTGGCGGCAATTTCGAGGGTGTAGATAATGAAAATAACAAAAAACACATAATCTAATGGGGAGTGGCCCCATCGTACTGCCCAAGGTCGGTTGAACACCGATTGTGAAGATTCCACGATCAGCAAGATAGTTTGAATCACAATTACTACCAAAATGAAAGGCTCCATGTATGAATGAACGAGGATATCGCAAAGCCAAAGTCGCAAAGGGTTATTGGGTCCAAAAATGTTCAGCGATCTGCCTCGGAAAGGATTATTTCGGTACTTCCACATAGTACTTGACGTCCGGTTGTCTCTCGGCGGCAGTCCGGGGTCGGTATCATGGGCGAAATCGGTCATTGCAGGTAGAACTGGGGGTCCCTCCAGGCGTGAATTTTTATGAGACTCCTCTCGTTCAATTGATTGTTGCACAACTTCCGGTTCATTACTCAAGTTGACCACTCGCTGTGACATGGATTTCACCATCGAACTGGCACGCTGCAGCGCCCCGCCGGGGCTCGATGGGGATAGAGAACGGGACCGGGCGCTACTGCCACGACGTGGGCGCAAACCCTCCTCCAAATGAGGGAGATCATCACCCAAACGCGATCCATCACCGGAGCGGATGGATTGGCCAGCAATATCACTGCTTGGTCGACCTTCTGAGACAGGGGCACCGCTGATCGGTTGGAGGTATCTAGGATCGGTCAGGCGTGCAGTGTCGTCTTCGTCGACTCGGGGCGGCGCGTAATAGTCGGGTTCATGAGAGTTGTAGTTGTCCAAGGGTATATTATCGAGATCAGAGGCTCCATCGTTGAAATCGTGTCTGGCTGAGGGGCCTGATAATGATAAACGCGGCGCGTCAAAAGTAATGCCGAACGACATGGCCTGCGCGAGAGCGCCTAGATCATTCTCTTCGTCTTCATTCGGTTGTTGGAACGGATTCCTGTTTGTATTTCCCAAGTCGACCGGCGACTCCTCTGCAACGCTCTGGTATTGTTTGCGCGACCCTCTACTCATTAAAGATCGTCGTGAAAAGACTCCGCCCCCCACACTGTTAGTGCGGCCTCTGCCATGACCATCTGCGGGGACATTGATGTCGGATCTGGACAGATCCTGAAGCGGGATCTGGTCGGAAGTGTCATTCTCGCCAGTGGTTTGGCTATTCGACGCCATCGTCAGGCAAGGGTAATGATTATCGAACTGTCGACATCGCAGGCTGTGTGTGACAAAACCGCGACCGGTTGGGAGGGGAAATGGCCAGGGGACTCGAGGGGTAGTTCCGGGATTGTGAGTAGTAGTGAAGAAGGTAAGATTTGATGCACGAGAGTTCGGTTCATACCAGCCGCTCGGCTCGGAGCATTGCTAAAGCCAAGACTTAGAATTGGGGCCAAGCTGGGTGAATTTTTGGCAGCTGAATAGGTGTTTAGACTAAAAAAGTTGCCGGTCGCAAATCCACTAAACGGGAACAGCGCCAATACACTTTATGGTGATTGGCTGGTTTTCAGATTACAACGAATCCGGTGGCTGAGGAAATCGGCTTGCACCGCCTGATTGTCTCATATATTGAATTACATGTAAGACTAGAGAGATTCTAGATTGAGACCTGAGAAAGCATATATAGATTAAATTATATCGTATTTGCAAGACTCAATGACTACTGGTATTTGGATATTCAGCAGTGTTTTTATTTTATTTTTCAACATCTCAGGTAAATATACTAGTGACATTTCCGTGGTCCACCGGGAGATTACACTTTCCCCCCTTACGGATCGCGCTATCTTAGTTGATGACGAGGCCTTAGTCAACAGACATTTTGAAGGGGGAAAAAAACGGAACAACGTTGGTGGGGTTTGCCAACGTTACCAAAAATAGTACAGAGTATGTAATGTGCTTTCAAATCATTTTCTTCTCATAATCGAGATGTAAAGGTTGTGGTGAGTACTAGTAATCTAAAACATTGAAAGGAGCATATTCATATCAATCCGTTTCCATCTTCGAATCATCCTTCTTGACATGTTGCCGAACGCCATCTAAGAATGCCTCCACTGCTTGAGCCCCACCCACGGGTACACCGCCCCGACGCATAAATCCTCCATTGGCCACTGGAATCTGCAGGGCTTCACTGATACTAGGAAGTCCACCGTCGCGGAGAGCAACAGTAAGGCTAGCTAAGCTTTGGGTGAACTGCGGAGATCTGAGCACCTTGCGAAGAATGTCTTTCTTTTGACTGAGGTCGAGAGAAAGAAGAGCCGCTTGGGCCAACTCTGGGTCCGTGTCCGCCTCCGAGGCTTCCGCATTGCCTTGGGCAAGTAGAAGTAATGCTGGTGGTAAGAAGCTTAGGAGATGATCGGCAGTAGACTCGTCGGCGGTTTCAATGAATGGCAGGGTGGTGGGGGGTGGCAAGAGGTCCTGAAGGGTTGTAGCAGGTCGCTCGGGTCCCGGCGATTGAGACTGGCTTTGACCACCTAGAGACCGCAAGAAACCCTGGACAACTGAGGATGGATCGGAAGCGTCATTTGCTCTAAAAAAAGATGAAGAAAAAAAAAATCAAACATGTCAGACTTTCATAAGCTCTAATTGCCACGGGCAGAGATATGTACCTACGCTCGTCCACCATCAGCGCCACCTTCACGCGACTCCTGGCCTTCCTCGCGAATATCCCCTCCAGTGGCGTCTGCGCCAGCACCACCACTGCCTGCGCCGTGATGGCTTGCATCATGGTCTGTCTCCACATCCTCCATGGTCTCATCATCATCACCGCCAGATGGTCTTTGGGGGAGGTTGGCAATCTCATGTTCCACGTCAACTTCCTCGCCCTGCAACAAGACATCGACAATCTCTCCAAGCTTCAGATCTCGGGGGCTGAACCAGCTCGCGTCGCCATTCTCATGTTGGGATTGAGACTGCAACCAGAATAGATACCTCTGGGAGCTAGATGAGAACTTCAAAACAAAGACTCGGCCATTTGTCAAGTCCTTTGTGTAGGGCGTAAAGCTTCCATCTGTAGGGATCATGACCAGGTCGACATCGGGCTCGTTAATGGGCGAGCTGCGAGGCCGCCAGCAGAAGTGCACCAAGTCTTCTTCGGAGTAGAGATAGATATAGCCCGGGGTAGGCTTAGGTTTCACAGTAGCAGGGGTTGTGGAGCTCTAAGGTTCAATCAAATGTTAGTTCTGCACTATAAGGAAGAGGCTTCTCAGAAGTTCACACGAGATGCGATTGATGAGGTTTGAGGCACGTACATCCAGATCACAGATACCTGCTTTGAAGGTAATGATGGGAGCTATCGACATGATGGAAGAGTATCGCTATACAAGCCAGCGATCGGGAAAGATTGATTTGTTATGATAAATTCCACACCAGGTGGATGAAAAGGTGGTTTTCGAAAGGAAGCGTGAAGGTCTGCGGAGAGAAGCTTCAGGATACGTCAGTTCGTGTTTGTGGTTGAGCAGCTGACTTGCGTTGAGTGGTCGCACCGGCTGCCGTTGTTTCCGCCTTCATAATTAGGCTACAAGGCACGTGTTATCGGGTTCTTATCGATATCTTATCAGCCCGATCAGGAAGCAACGTCATGATCTCCAGAACTTCAGATTCTACAGTACAATGATCAACCTACGTATTAAAGAATCGAAATCATCTTTCGATTACCAGGCAAATGAATCTGAATTTAATGTCTAGTTTTATCACCTTCAGCTGTTAAGGTATCAACTATCCTTAGAAACCGACTATAAGATACTTAGTACGATAGTCCTCCGGGATTTGAAAATACCGTAAATCCCCGCAAATCCCCGGTACCTACTCCAAAGTTCGTCTGAGTAGTACCCGGGGGTATATATGGCACACCAGTCTCGCTGTTCTGTCCCTAAAACCAAACGCCACTCTCCGTTAATAAACACGTTATTTTTCAACTCCTCTGGCCTTACACATCCTGTGCTATGACTCTGAAAATACTCATCTGCGGTGGAGGTTGTGCCGGACCTGCACTAGCTTTCTGGCTCGCCCGCGCAGGTCATCGCGTTGTCGTGGTGGAGCGCTTCCCTGCTTTAAGAGCCACAGGTGCTCAGATTGATCTACGAGGCCAAGGTATTGAAGTTGCCAAACGGATGGGCCTCATAGAGACCATCCGCAGCAAATTGGTCGACGAAGACGGCCTGGCATTTGTGGATTCCAAAGGGACAGTTCATGCAACTTTGATGGCCAACAAGTCTGGAAAAGGTGCACAGTCTCTGACATCGGAGTATGAGATTATGCGCGGTGATCTCGTGCGTATATTTTACGATGCTACAAAAGACAATGTGAAATATATATTCGGCCAGACAGTTGAGCAATTCGAACAAGACGAAGAACAAGTCGTCGCGCATTTCTCAGATGGTTCATCCGATACGTTTGACATACTTGTTGGAGCAGACGGCCAAGGATCTCGTATTCGCAAAGCTGTTATTCCTCCAGACTCGGATCCATATCTCAGGTTGGGTGTGCACATGGCTTATTGGTTCATTCCACGTGCCGAGGGAGACAACAATATACGGAAATCCTATATCTGCTCGGGCGGTCGAATGATCCAGCGCCGAACACACAATCCGACTGAGACTCAAGTCTACTTTACTCTTCGGGATTCTACTCCTGAAATTTCGAGCATTCACAGGGCTTCGGTAGAACAACAAAAGGAGTTTTGGACTCAGCGATATCGCGACGCTGGGTGGCAAATTGATCGATTCCTCAAAGGCATGGAAACAACCCAAAACTGGTACTGTCAAGAAGTTGTTCAGATCCGTACCAGTACATGGTCCAAGGGTCGGGTGGTCTTGCTTGGAGACGCTGCTCATTGCCCCTCGCCATTTAGTGGGATGGGAACCAGCGCGTCTCTCGTCGGTGCTTATGTTCTGGCAGGTGAGATTATTCGAAACTCTGATGATCTCCCGCAAGCATTTGCAAATTACGATAAGGTCATGCGACCATTCGTGGATGAAATTCAAAAGATGAATCCTCGTCTAATAGGATACGCCTTGCCTGAGTCAGAATGGGCATGCTCAGTTTTGCTTTTTATTGCGTGGCTGGCTTGTTTGCTTCATATACCTCAGCTCATTGCAAGGTTTTCCAATGCCAATAAGGGTGGGTGGGTTGTTCCAGATTACCTGGAACTTCAACAGGGCTAAGGAAGGGCTTATAGTACGGAGTACCTACTATCCATGTACAACATTTGAAGCCTTATGTACACTCAGCGCAATGGATCAAAAGTCATTCATGAATAACTACATGAATACACATACTTTGATAAGATTTGTTTTCAAACGAGACAGAATGAATTTGATATTTTACTGAATTTTTACATTGTCCAAATTCCCAAAATTTGTAGTAAAGGAAAAATGACTTGTACTTAGCATGCGGAAGTGGATCTAGAGTTTTGTTAGGGCAGCGTTGGCCCCACTTAAACCTTGGAAGAGCAAAGACCCGCTCGATCGATCCCGTGACTCAGGAGATTGCTGACTGATCACGGTCCCCCAACGCTACTCGGCTAACCCTGCATCACGTGAAGTAGGGCTTGCGCTTCCCACAAACCCTCATACCAGACTCCACTTGCAAGTCCGCACATCAACCTCCAACACCAACCACCAACCCGACAACCACCTACACCGTCCCAGCAGCCACGATGTCGGACGCTACTGTTGGCCAGACGAAGCAGTTTGGAAAGGGTCAGCGGACTGTGACGCACCCGGCCCTGCAGGCTCAGAAGTGGTACCCCGTGGATGATGAGTCGAAGCCCAAGAAGGTCCGTATACCACCACAAAGTCAATCGAAACAATCGAAAGGAACAACGCCAAGGATATGAGCATGGGAAAGGCGACTGGGATGAATGCGATAAATGGCGCCCGGAGACGGTCGAAGGGTCTCTACACGACAAAAACCGACACATTTGTTGATGAGATCGGGTATCAACCCGCCACGACTGTGGAGTTTTCTTGAGACTTCTCATGCAAGCGCATCGCATTTTCGCATTCATTCCGGCAACCCAACCCCGCCCATGCCACGCGCATTACACATTCGATTGTTTCGACATTTTTCAAGATTCAATATTCTGACATGATTTGTGCATATAGGTTCGCAAGACCATCCGTCCCGCTAAGGTCCGCGAGAGCCTCCAGCCCGGTACCGTCCTGATCCTCCTCGCTGGTCGTTTCCGCGGCAAGCGTGTCATCCTGCTCAAGCACCTCGAGCAGGGTGTTCTCCTCGTTACCGGCCCCTTCAAGATCAACGGTGTTCCCCTCCGCCGTGTCAACGCCCGCTACGTTATCGCCACCTCCAAGCAGGTCGATGTCTCCGCTGTTGACCAGAAGACCATCGAGAAGGTCTCCGCTCCCGGCTACTTCACCAAGGAGAAGGCCGCTGAGAAGAAGACTGAGGACGCTTTCTTCAAGCAGGGCGAGAAGGCCCAGGTGCGTTATGATCGATTCCGATCAGGAATCTATTCTTTTATCTTTGATATGGATCACAAACTAACGTGAATTTCGCTCTACAGAAGAAGGTTGTTGCCAGTGCCCGTGCTACCGACCAGAAGGCTATCGACCAGTCCATCCTCGGCGGAATCAAGAAGGAGGACTTCCTCGGCAGCTACCTTGCCACCACCTTCAGCCTGCGTAACGGTGACAAGCCCCACGAGATGAAGTGGTAAAAAAGTGCGATGCGGCGGCCGCGGGTTCGGTAGATAGTTGAGGAGGACTCATCTTTCAACGAGGGGCGGCTCGGTTGCAAATCGGCATCCTTGGCGTCACGGAGGGAGCGGTTTCATGATTCATGTAACTCCAAGAGGAATCCGTTTTATACATGTTTTTCGCTGGTTTCTAGGATTTCTGCGTTTAATTCGGATATCCGGCTGTTGTTTGCCTCTGTTCCAAGCCCTTTTCCCCTCTCGGCGCGGTCGATTCAGCATGACCTCCTTTCCCTTTTCTCTTCGGGGAATGGAGGGAAAAGAGCCGTGGTGTGAAGAAAGACTTCAAACAAAAAAAGATTAAAAAATACCTCGCTCCAGCAGCCCCGCTGGATTCTCTTTCATGTTCAGTATGACATACATCTCTTCCAATTCCCAGGTACAGACGGCAATCCAAAAAATTGGGTCATTTTTATTACTATACATTGGATGCACTTGTAAAATCTATCTAAGTAACTTGACGTACTTTGTAGATTTGAAACAAGCCACAGACATCTGGATACAATAATACTTTAATACTTTAAATTGAGTGGACACATTTAACTGAGCCTCGATTTGTGCGATAACGACGTAATCAATCCTTTTGACATTGATATCCGGGGACTCTAAACATTGACATCTGGAACATCGAAGTACTAAATCTCCACAAATTGCATCTATCCGAACCATCCATAAAGAGCACCCAACATCAGCCACGCAACACCCATGAGAACGGACAACATTGAATTTATTCCACCTGTCTCAAATTTCAAGAAATGAACCTCAAAAATCCCAAATGTGCTGAGATAACATTGAACTGGATTATGTATCGAATCCAAATATATATATGTGTCATTACATATAGCGTGCTTTCAAAGTACTATGTAACTGGCACCCATTATGGGCATCGATCAGCCCACATGTGCACACAAACATGGATGGGTGAGATCAGTACACACATGTGTATTGAACCAGGAAATTCTATGTACCAGTGTGCTATGTACTATTAGTAGGTACTATGCGGATGCACTTAACCAGTTGACATTAGTGCCCAGAAACCAACTCCCACCAAAAATATATCATCTACTATCTAGGTTGGACGTGTATTCCTCCGCAGCGTACCCTCCCGAATCTTTCTCTTCGAAGCCTCCATTGTCTCCCGAACCCGCTTCTCAATCTCCTGCTCATCCAAATCCGCCATGGGATCCTCTCCAGCTCCAGCGGAACTCGTAGTGCTCGATCCGAATGCCCAATCCAAAATGCCCCAAGGTCCAAAATTGCCTGTGCCCTCTCCAATCAAATGCTCATCCGTGCGACGCGCAATCCCACCCATGAAAAAGTTGGTTGGCATCACCGTGTATCCGCAATACGCAAACGTTTCCTCAATAGACACAAAAGTCAGGTAGAAGATATAGGTAAGCATGTGAAACCGGAGAAGCAGCGCCGGCAAGTAAGTTGGAATAAAGCGGATGAAGATGTACACCAAAGGGTGGTCGTAGTGTGCCGTAAGAGGAAACGGGGTCCTCAGACTATGGTACCATGCCTGGTGGCATCGGCTCAGATACCTAGTAAACACCGATCTCGGGTTATGCAGGCCGTAGCGGTGAATATAGTAGGTCAAGCCCTAGCAAGACAGAGTAAAGTTAGTAACATGTTCAGCAGCAGGGAGGAAAATGGGTCCGTACCTCGCGAATCAGTAAACCAAGTACCAGGCCCTGGCCCATCTGCCACGGCATGGGGAGCTTCATGGACACTTTGACCGCACTGCGGACCTGGAGAACCTGCACCAGAAGTGTCTCAATTGCACCTTGTAGAACGGTCGCAAGAACCACGTTGAAAATCGCCCAGCATGCGACCTTGAGATCTCTCGCGCGAACCATACCGAACGCCCTACCGGCAGGTAGACCGGCCTGGCCATGCGCCTTGATTATCACGGCTGCACTTGGCGTGAGGACGTCGAACAGGAAGAATATGACCGACGGTAGCAGGAAAAATGTGAGCCGTACAGCGGCTGAACCGACTAGCTCGACGCGAAGTGGAGAGTGCGACAGCACGAGGGTCGACCATGTCACGTAGAAAAAGATGAAATTGAGGCTGGTCGCATAAGAGGACATGGTGGGGATCAAGACGAGGGAAAGGATGGGGAGCGAGAATAGGGTGTCCATTGTGATTTATATTATCGCAGCCGCAGCTTGCAAAAATGCATGTGCCAGAGTAAAGTTTTGGATGTAGTTTGGATGCCGATCGGGGATCACGATGCGGGGGAAGATGATTTGCTACCCTCGACAGATCAAGGGATTTAAGACATGAACTGGATGGCAAGAATAATTTAAAAATACATCTTCGAGTCAAAGATCTTTGTCAAAATGAGATTCTTTGAAGCTCGCTGGTGGAGGGGTTGCAAAGAGATGAAAGAAAACTAGGGTGGCAGGGAACTGATCTCCACTACGTCACCGCCACCCGCATTCCACATACTATTTACGTCTACTGCGGGAGAATGAATTGGGAAACAAAATCAAAGACACAAGACAAAGAATGAATTTTGGAATCTAATCAATACTAAGGATATACAGTCCCCAAGTAAATTGAGGTGCAAACGGGTGGACGCCGATCAGGCCAAACGAACGAACAGCCAGAAGGACAAAGGAATGCAAGAGGGTATAATACAGTCACCAAATCATAAACCATCAGGATGATCACATTACTCGGCGCAAACCTGTTGGGGGAGACCGTTGGTTTTTCCCCAGTTGAATGCCTTGTTGCGGAGGTCTGGAATGACCTGAAGGAAGACCAAGTTACTCAGCCAGCTGAGGAAAGTATCGCCGACGATGTTGTTGCGAGGGCTGGGTCCAAGTGCGGTACCCTTCATGACATTTCCGACGAACATGGTGGTAATGAGGTATTCCCCACGCTCCAAAGCTTGGATGGCGATCTGTCCAACCTCTTCAGGGGTCTGGGGCTTGTCAGACTCCTCGAGCATCTTGGTCAGCTCGGGCTTGATCTTCTGCTCGTTGTCAAATCCTGGGCTCAGAATGCCCATGGGGAAAACGGTGTGAATCTTGACATCAGCAGCCGGGGCTGTGTTGCGGTGTCGCTGAGTGTAAGCACCGTTGTACATCTCGATCTCTTGGCTGAGAGTGTCAGACAAGGAGCGAATGGCAGCCTTGGCAGGAGAGTAGGGTCCGTAGCCAGCGATCGGGACAAAGGCAAGAGTAGAGCACGTGAAAATGAGGTGACGACGGGGGTTTCGCATCTGGCCACTGGGGGGAACAGGAGCAAGCCAGTTGCGGAGAGTGGCATGGGCCATGTTTGCAGCAGTCCAGTAGACTGTGTCCATCTGTTGACGCTGAAGGTCGATTGGCACGTCGATAAAGAAGCCGGGATGGCAGTATCCAGCACAGCACCAAACGACATCAGGGGCAGCACCGTCATTCCAGGCAGTGACTTCAGCAACGACTCGATCACACTCAGAGGCATCGGTGAGATCGGCACAGATGTACATAAATCGCTGCTTGATCGAATTCAAGGCCTTGAACTGGAATGAATGTTAGAACAGAATCACAGAATCACAGAAAGAACATGAAAGGGGCAGAAGGATCAAACCTTGAGTTCTTCCACAGTTTGCTCAAGCTTGGAGGCAGTGCGAGCAACAACGACGACATGTGCACCTTTACCGGCCAGTTGACCTGCAACAGCTCGGCCCATGCCATCAGATCCACCAGTGATGACCACAGTCTGGATGAAAAAGTCAGTGAAAAAAGTTGGGAGAAAGGGTTGGGGGCTTGGGATGGAGGGTTTGGGATGGAAAGGTGGCAGATTTGACTTACACGGCCCTCGACCTGGAACTCGTTCTTGCGGTTGAATCCGAACATCTTGACGATCGTATAGGCAATGACAGAGCAGACGAGTACAGATATCCCGATGACTGGGGCTGAAATATGAGATGGAGTGATAAAGGATGGTAGTTGAGGCATGAGGAAGAGGAAAGAAAAGAAAAGGGAAGAAAGTGGGAGGTCAATTGCGCGTGCCTGCCTATTCCAGATGTTTTGGTGATATGGATATTGAAGGCAGGAGCGATGCAGAGAGACTCGGAAGGTGCCCGGATACAACCATGAACATGAATACAAGGTACAATGTGGCGTATTTGGCGTTGGCTGTAAAGTAAAACAGTATTGTCATTTCCGCCCATGCAAACCACGCAAAATATCCCTTCTGGGCGTAGTGTATCACGGGCGGTGAAAGCAGCCCAAAAAATTATTTTGTCCGCGCAGTCGAGAACCACCGATTGATCAGATCAGCAATCATATCCACAAGTTTCTAGTTATGGGTGGTAAAAGAAAGGCCGGTGGTCGCCCCCCAAAGGCTGAAGCTCCCGCGCGCACCAAGTTCGACATTGAAGAACGCTTTGACGACTCCGAGGATGAATTCCAGGCCGGCCGCGACCAAATTCTGCTGGATGAAGCCCCCGAGGCCAAGCGGCGGCGCAGAGTTGCCCAAGATGGTATGTCTGGTTTTGGAATTTTGGCACAAATCTATGCCAGCCGATCTGACTTGTTATACAGAAGAGGATCTTCAAGATTCCGAGGAGGAGGTTCTAGGCTACGACGATGTCGACGAAGACGAGGATGATTTCCAGGACGAAGAAGACTCCGAGGATGAATACGATGATATGGGCGAGCCGAAAAAGCGAGGCGCAGAGGACTCCGACGAAGAAGAGGAGGGAATCGCAGCATGGGGTTCATCAAAGAAGGATCTTTACAATGCAGACCAGATCGAGACCGAAGTCGATGCTCTTGAGGAAGAGCAAGAGGCAAAGCGACTGCAACAGAAGCAATTAGAGGCTATGAACGAGGCCGACTTTGGCTTCGATGAATCCGAATGGGCAGACTCCGGAAAAGGCGCGGACGACGAAGCAGAGAACGCTGGAGATGTCACCGAAGTCCTCCCACAATTGGAAATTACCGAGGACATGAGCAGTGACGAAAAACTCAAGATCTTGAAATCGAGGTATCCCGAATTCCAGCCCTTGGCCAAGGATTACGTCGATCTGCAATCAACCTACCAGACTTTGCAAAAGCAGGCGAAAAAGGCCTCAAAAACCACAGATGAAACTGCAGATGAGCCCCAGCCCGCACCCGTGGCTGTTGTGAAACTGCGCGCTTTGTCGGCATACCTGGGTACCATCAATATGTACTTCCTTCTTCTTACTTCTTCCTCCGACGGCACCGAGAGTCATTCTCCGATGTCCCCCACCGAGCTCCGACAACATCCCGTCATGCGCTCTCTCGTCAAGTTCCGCAAAATCTGGGAGAAGGTTCAGGACATTGAAGTCACCGAGATCACTGAGGTGGTCAAGAAGTCTCCAGCCAAGATCGAGTCAACTAAGGTCGAGGAACAACCCACCAAAATTAAGGAAACTAAGAAGGTCAAGGAAACAAAGAGTCTCAGCAGGTTTGAGCGTGCAGCTTTGGCAGCACAGGCTAAGGCCGATGCTCTTCTTGAGGAACGACTCCGTGCGACAAATGCCGGTCTGGCCGACTTGGACGACTTGGTCACAGAGCCTACCCAGAAGCGCAAGAGTCAAAAGACCAAGACCCTCGCCAAGGATGACGACTCTGACTTCGGTGACGAAGATGCTCTTACAGCTCGTGAAGCCGAGGAGAAGCTTAAGCAGAAGCGCTCTCTCCGATTCTACACCTCCCAAATTGCCCAAAAGGCCAACAAGCGTCATGCCGCAGGTCGCGATGCCGGCGGTGATGCTGATATTCCTCACCGCGAGCGCTTGAAGGACCGACAGGCCCGCTTGAACGCCGAGGCCGAGAGGCGTGGTCGCCAAAACCCTGATATTGGCCAAGACCTTGGCGGAGACAGTGACGAAGAAGACAATCGCGTCCGAAAGGAGCTTCGCAATGAGGGAGCCGGCGCGGCAGATGACGAATACTACGACATGCTTGCGGCACGAGGCAAGCAACGCAAGGATGACAAGCAGGCTCGCGCTGACGCCCACGCGGAAGCAGCCCGCCAAGGCGGTCATGTTGAGGCACAGGAGATTATTGGACCGGATGGCAAGCGTGCCATTACCTACCAGATCGAGAAGAACAAGGGTCTCATGGCGAAGCGCAACAAGGACGTGCGTAACCCGCGTGTTAAGAAGCGCAAGAAGTACGAAGAGAAGAAGAAGAAGCTTGGCAGCATCCGGCAGATCTACAAGGGTGGTGAGGGCCGTGGTGGCTACGGTGGTGAGCTTACAGGTATCAAGAAGAACCTGGTCAAGAGTGTCAAGCTCTAAGTTTGAAGCGTTTAAAAAGCATGGATATGTGTTTTGTCTTTTCGCAAGGCGTCTACTTTGGTTCATGGCAGATACAGGATTTGATGTGTATATACAAATTCGATTTCATACTCTCACGTTCAACACCCTTTCCAAGGTCTTTAATTGTATTTTTCAAGTTCCTTTTCTACTCCGTACAATTCAGTGCATTCAAGCGAATGACCCACATGGGCGATTGAGGGGTTACAGCCTATGGGACCTACAAACCGCCTATTATTGCCAAAGAAGCACAACGAACATGACCAGACCACGTCAAAGAGCACAACAAAGAAACGAGGACTTGAAAGTTGAAATTCTTTTTTGCTGTTCTATATTCAAGTCGATCGTAGTCCAGAACAGAAAGAATGACCAATCAGGCTCTGGATACCCCAGAGATTTTAGAGATGATCCTGCTCTAGACGGATATGCTCACGCTTCAATGTTCCGACATCTGCGCCACAAGTCTGTCGTAAATGCTGGAGTAGGCCTGATTAACACTTCGCCATCTATCAAAAAGGCTTTTTTCTACAGATAATATCAGACCATATACAAAGCACGAGTTGGGTGAAGATGAGCAGGGTCAATTTAACTGGCTATCTGATTCATATTGGCACACAGACTTCCCCGGTATTCTTGTTCGTGACCTTTTTCGCGAATAAATATAGACCCGGGGTGAAACAGCCTAGGGTTCATACAAAATACATTCGAGTTCACTTTAGAATTGCCCTAAGATCCATGACAGTCAGCAAGATCCCGCAGTCAAATATCACTAGGACGCGGGTATGGGATATGTTTGAGTCGAGGGGACTCGGAAAGATGTGGCCACCGAATTTCTGCTAAGATTATAGATCCACATCCTGTAACGGCTCATGCTAAGCCAAGTTAGAATAGACAAGATGCGCAGAGACCGGGAAGTAATTAGACTTACCGGCAGGGTCGTTAAGCCGATACCCCTGTACTTTCTTGGTCTGAAGGGTCAAGTAGACCTTCTAGGATTGACTTTGCGTTCCGCTGCAGCTCTGCGTCTGTGAAGTCTATCGCGAGAAAGTTTCTCGCTAGAGCGTCCTGAAAATTTAGTCAGCGACTGCGTGTTGAAAGACTAATTCTTTGGCAACAGGGCAAGCTAACTGCACTTTGAAGAGCTTCCATCTCTTCCGGCAATACAGCCGTACACGCAGCGATGAGATTCTCGCCTCGGGCAGCGAGTAAGCTAATCTCATTGGCGCGGGTGATGATGGATGGATCGATCCCATTAATTGCTGCGCAGCTATAATCCGATGTTAATTGTTTAGGCGTCTTTAAGACGAAAGAATTTAAACCGGAGAGCTCCTTACATAGTACCAAAACTTTTGTTGCTCCGCCCCTTGCGAAAGCTATTGAAAGTGTAAGTATCTTGTTGCGCTGCAAATAAATGGAGGCAACAGACTTATATAGGTATGTGACCTGGTCTTCGCCCTTTTGGGACTCTTCGCAGACCTTGACCTCCATGTGTCCTAGTTGTAATTTGGGGCGCAACTCAAGGAATCCATTCTCGAAAATCTCATGATAGTGTGTTGCAGCAAGGACCTTCGGAGAATCTGTGAGATCCAGCAAGTGCTCGAACACTCCACATGCCAGACCTATGCCATCTGTTTGAATCAGTTCATATTCCAGGAGTTTCTAAATATCGTTGACAGGCTTAATCACATACCAGTTTCGTTCGTCCCTTTGCCAAATTCGTCGATGAGCACTAAGCTCTTGCTGGTGGCTTGCTTCAAGCAAAGGGAAACCTGCTGCAAGTCACTCATAAAAGTGCTCTGGATCTGGGATCGGGTCAAAAACTGGCTCAAACAAGAGCGATAAATTTTATTCATATCGTACCTTTGACACACTTTCTTGTGTATTGATTTTCGTCAAGATCTTGTCTGTAATCCCTAGCTCTGCATTGTCTGCGGGGACAAAGCTACCTGAGTTAGAAGTATTCATTTTCTTTGTTGCAAATAAAACTAGTTACCTTCCTATCTGGGCGAGATACACTATTAGAGCTACCTAGAATTTCGTAAGTAAAAACCAGAGTGAGGTCTCTAGGGCTATTCACCTGCTTCATATAGATGCTCTTTCCCGAGTAATTCGGTCCTGTCAGCAAGAGCATACTAGGAACTTGGCTTTCAACCGCAAAATCTTCTTGACCTTGGGTTCCTCCCACGAGAAGTGTGTCATTTGGGACGTAAGAAGGAACTGTCATTTCTTGAAGCATGTGGCTGGCTCATGTTAGTAGAGATCGAATAATATCGCGGGGGATCTGTTTTACCGGCCACCCTTAATCTTGATGATATTTGTCGATACCATCTTAGGCCGAGTCAAGTTGTAAAAAGTGGCGGCCTGTGTCAGAGCGACGTTACTAAAAGAAAAGTTAGGCTTGATAGCTGTCTACCGGTCTGGCGTACAAACCAGTCAATTTCCCCACAGATATCAGATGCCTCCACCAAGAAACTCTCGTATTGAAGTACTTTTTGAGCTAGATCATACACGATCTCTATCTCTTTCTCTGTGGTATATCAATTTAGTCAGACACTGATTGCCTGGATTATTTTTTGACAGCAAACGTACCACAGATGAGTCCGTAGACATCACCGAGTTTTTCATCCAGCTCTCTCATACGAAAGTCTTTGAAGTACGCTCGATTTTCCGTAATGAATACCAGCTCCCAGTCTCCATGGGACCCAGAACATGCAGATTGCCCATTTTCGTTGAGAGGAATAGCAATATTGAATCCAAGTTGAGGAAAATAGATCACATTCACATCAATTCCAAGGTCTTCTGGAATAGTCGATGCAATATCGATGGCGACGTGCTTGAGGAGACTATCCAGGCCATCATAGCGGTCTTTCATCCGATCGAGCTCTCGGTCGAGGCCCTGTTTGACCACGGTTCTTCCTTGCTCATCAGAGCCGTCAATGTCAACCTGAAAATGTTAGTCACGATCCCAAATTCTCTCCATGTCAGACCCACTATCTCTTGAATCATTCTGCCCACCCTGTGAAGTTGAGCAGCTTCGAAAATTCGGAAAGCCTTATATTTTTTAGCACTGGATTTCGTGATTGATCTTTGCAGCTCTGACCTTTGTTCGTAACTCCAGCTTATCGGCTCCTGAAATCTCTTGTAGAGCAACATGGATGTCAATTGCGTAGAAAGCAAACTGTGGGCGTTATTAGTGTAGATCAGCTATACGCCAAATGAAAGTATACGCACAGCTAACAAGCTTTCCCAAACTGTTGCCTTGAATCCAGTAATTTTCCCGCTTCCTGTACTAATGCCCTTGTGAAGATTGATCATTGCGGGCCGGAGGTTCTTGATATGTTTCAGCCCCTTGGTCATCTTCTCCAAAGCCGCCATATTATCGGGTCGTGAAAATACCCCGATGAAATCGTGTCTCTCTTGGATGACATCAAGACTCAGACTTGGACGGAAAAACATCTGCTTTAGTCTGGCCCTTCCCTGGGGTGTGTATGCAAAGCGCCGAAAGAGGCCATATATCGAAAGACCCTCTTTTCCAGAAGCAGACGTATTTCCTGGACCTTGATTGAACATGTTGGGGTGGGATTCAGATTGTAGGATCTGAAGTGATAAGAAAGCATTGCTTCCGATCCACCTATAGGGTATTTTTAAGCCCAATTTCCTGTTTGGGGGAGGGGGCTAGTTTTTCAAATACTTACATCGTATCCTTCAAACTGAACATCTCCATGAACCTCACACGGAATGCACAGCCATCGATCTGCTCCATCCCGGTAGTCGCGGCTCTGCGTTTTTGAAGGTATGTGAGGACTGCTCCAGCACATCCGATCGTTACAGGGTTATCCATATCTATAGTACTGGATATGTGATGGAGTCGTCCTTCGTGGAGCGTGAACCCCATCTCTTCAGGGTTCACTTCTTCGGATCCTGTCAGACCGCTATGGGGCACAAAGAAGCGGATTCTATCCTCATGAGAAGATGATGCATCCAGTGCAACCAGTCTGTTTTCTGCATTGGTGTAACTGAAATCCTGCGTGGGACGAACATCCACCTGATAGGGCAAGTAGGATGACGATGCTAAACTCGTATAATTCATTAGCCATATCTTGCCATGATAACGTCAGTGAGAGTAGTTAGAGTACCATCCCCATTTGTAAGGCTCTGGTTTTGACCCTGTAAGCTGGATACGTCAACTCTCGGGGGTGCCAATATCACGGTGGGCTTGATCTGGGTGATGACTTTCCATGGAGTCAGCAATCTTCCAATACCATTTGAATAATTCGTTGACCAGCAGACATACGAATATCAATTGTTTCCATCCCCCCAGATCGACAATCTCCAAGCAGGTACATCTTCTCCTCTTCCGCCGAATAATAAGCACAACCTACTGTCCCATAGTCTTTGAGATCGATAGCGACGATGACATGGCCAAGATCATCATCAATGGAACTTTCCGGGTAATCAGCTTCATACTGTATCTCCGTGTGGAATGGAGTTCGCAATTGTCTCGCAGCTGAAGATGACGGATGGACCGAGTTTCGTTGGACGTGGGATTGTGCACTTGTCACCCGAGCCTCGAAGTGAGGCCTTGATTTTGTAGTAAGAGGTGATATGAGAGGTTGATTCAAGGCCGCTGGCGAACGTTTTCTTTTCGAAGAAAAGGGCATCACTGAGGTCCCAAGGAATAATTAAATGATGAGTGTGTTGGATATTAGTAGGTGAAGGGAAGTTATGGTAGACCAAGTTGTACTATCCAGGTCACGTTGTCTTTGACTTCGAGCCTCAGGTCAACACCGTAATCAGTTACCCGACTATGTGCCTGAAACCTTGGGATTATATGTGAAATTACTTATTAAGAAATTTTAGTAGGTATTTGAATGGTTCAATTCGATATGGTACATAAAATATGGAGGCTAGTATACAAATCATGAGTGGAGATTCATCCGTAAATGCAAATGGTGATGTACAATTCCAACATAAAAACACCGTCGTAAATGCCGCAAAAAGACAAACAATAGAACAGAATTATGACTTTTCTTCCACGCCTTTAGGAGTCACAACCAAGGCAGATTTGTCATCGGTGAGGGAAACATGAGCAGTCTGGCCAGAAACAATTTCGCCACGAATGATTTTATCTGCCAGCCGGTTGCCAATTTCTTTCGCGATGAGTCGATTTAGAGGACGGGCACCGAACTTGGGATCATAGCCTCGCTCACATAACCAATCCTTGATCTCACCATCGACCTCAAGAGTCATGCGGCGGCTATCAAGGCGGCCCTGCAGCTCCTTAATTCTGATATCGACAATATCGCGCAAGGCTTCCCGCGAAAGGCGCTTGAAAATGATGAACTCGTCTATCCGGTTCAGGAACTCCGGCGCGTAGGCGTGCTGGACAACGTCCATAACGGCTTTTTTGATATCTGGAGGAACTTCGGATTCACCGCTATCCTTGTAGGCATGCAAAGGATCACCTCCAACGAGGATTTCGGCACCCAGATTAGAAGTCAAAACAATCAATGTATTCCGGAAGTCAACCTTGTGGCCCTGGGCATCTGTGAGGAAACCCTCATCAAGGACTTGCAAAAGTAAAGCAGAGATGTCCCGATGAGCCTTCTCAAACTCGTCAAACAAAAGAACAGCATATGGCTTCCGCCGGACAGCCTCGGTAAGCTGACCAGCATCGTCGTAGCCGATGTACCCAGCAGGAGAGCCAATCAAGCGACTAATGGTGTGTTTCTCCTGGAATTCACTCATATCGAAGCGCACAACAGCATTCTCGGTAGAGAAAAGGAACTCGGCCATCTTCTTGCAGAGCTCCGTCTTACCAACACCAGTCGGTCCCAGAAACATGAATGATGCCAGCGGGCGATTTTCCCCGCTTAGGCCCGCCCGTTGCATTCGAACGGCATTGGCAACTGCAGACAGAGCTTCATCCTGTCCACGAACCGACTTTCGAAGGGTGTCTTCCATGTGGATCAACTTCTCAACGTCTCCCGCCATGAGTTTGTTGACTGGGATGCCTGTGGTCCGAGAAACGACATTGCCAATGTCATCAGCTGTGACGGAGTCGTGAATCATAGTCTCCTTCTCCCCATCCTGGTCCACTCCTTCCTTAGGCAATTTGCTTTCCAACTCGGGGATCTTAGAGTAACGAAGCTCTCCGGCCTTGGCAAAGTCGCCCTCGCGTTGCGCCTGTTCCAATTGGAATCGCGCTTGCTCCAATTCTTCCTTCGTGCGTTTAATGCCGTCGATTTCGAGTTTCTCTTTTTCCCAGACCTCAGTCAACTTGCCAACTTCGGTTTGCTTGACTTTAAGATCCTCTTGAAGCTTTTCTTTTCGCTCACGGCTACTGACGTCGGTTTCTTTGCGCAAGGACTCGAGCTCGATTTGAATAGTGGTGATGTCGCGCTCCAACTCTCGAATGGGATCAGGCTTGGATTCTTGCTGCAAGCGAAGCGCTGAGGCTGCTTCATCTACCAAGTCAATCGCCTTGTCGGGAAGGAAGCGGTCGGTAATATAGCGATTGCTGTAAGTCGCAGCAGCTACGAGGGCACCGTCGGTGATTCGGACACCATGATGAACTTCATATTTATTCTTGATACCACGTAGAATGGAGATCGTTGAGGCGACAGATGGCTCATCAACTAGGATAGGTTGGAAACGTCGGGCCAGAGCGACATCTTTTTCAATCAGGCGGTATTCAGTTAGGGTGGTAGCACCACAGCATTGAAGATCGCCCCGAGACAAAGCTGGCTTCAGGAGATTACTGGCATCGATGCTGCCCTCGGCCTTTCCCAGTCCCAGTAATGTATGGAGCTCGTCAATGAAGAGAATGACTTTGCCTTCAGCGTCTTCGACTTCCTTTAGCACGGCCTTGAGGCGCTCTTCAAAGTCACCGCGGAATTTGGCACCCGCAATGAGGGAGCCCAAGTCCAGCGAGATTACGCGCTTGTTCTTGATGCTCTCAGGCACATCGCCTTGGACAATGCGTTGCGCAAGGCCTTCTAAAACTGCAGTTTTACCAGTACCCGCCGCACCAATCAACACGGGGTTGTTCTTGGTACGACGCGATAACACCTGGATCGTTCGGTGAATTTCTGCATCTCTTCCAATGACTGGGTCCAGCTTTCCTTTCTTTGCCTTTGCTGTCAAATCGACACCATACTGTTCCAGAGCAGCCTTTTCTGGCTCTCCGCTCATGTTCATGCGGTGAGTACCCCCGGGAGGATGAGGCCGGCCATTGGCATAATTGCGTATTGAAGGAGCAGAATTAATTCGAACATAAGGTGCAAGTAGCGACGCGGTCCTTGGAAGAAGTGGGGTTGAGCGAGAGATTGTTGAAAGTAAGGGTGTTCGCAGTAGACGACTACGATTGTACAGAGAGAGTCTCGCCGCCATGGTGGATACTCTGGGGTCCGGGGGAAGAGCAATATCTGGTCGATGAGACAGCTTTAATAGTTGAATGGCAGCATCATCACGATTCTTCTGGAAAGCTCCACCATCGCGTCCGAGTGGCGGATACTCCACTAACCAATGGACCAAGCTCCGTCACCACTCAAGTCACGTGGGTGCTCAAATTAAACGGGAGGAAAAAAAAAACCTTTTACCCCTCGGTCTCCCACCCACTTTGTTTTCTTCTCTTTTTCCCCTCTTAACGCATCCCCCTTTTATAATCCACCACCTTAAAAAAAAGTCTCCCTTCATTCACAATGGGTTTCACCGACTTCGTCTCCGAGACTGGCCTGACCTGTAGGCATTCCCTTGATCTTATATGAACGTCTGAACTATTTGGACTGACTCTGTCCCGCAGTGGCCAACAACTACCTGGCCACCCGCAGCTACATCGTTGGGTTAGTGACATCCCACCCTGGCAGATTTTCTCTATTTCCCTACCATGTCTATCTTGCTTTGACTTCTGGCTTGAATCACCCCGCTTTTTCATGATGAGAAACATTGGTCCGTGTTGATGAGGCGGCTTAAGACCCCGCTGCTTGACTAAAACCCATTTGCGAGCAATCGCGTCTCTGATTCTTTTTGACTTTTTCTTCAAATTGCATACTATTGCTGCATGATGAATGCATACGTCCATGTCGAACGCTCATACTGACTGTTCTTGATATAGCAACGGACCCAGCCAGGCCGATGTTGTGAGCTTCAAGGCCTTCAGCGCCGCCCCTGACGCCGCCAAGTACCCCCACGCTGCCCGCTGGTACAAGCACATTGCCTCCTACACTGAGGAGTTCACCACTCTCCCCGGTGATGCCTCCAAGGCTTTCACCACCTACGGCCCCGAGTCCACTGAGCTCCCCGTCAACCCCAAGGACAAGCCCGAGGCTGAGGAGGAGGAGGATGATGACCTCTTCGGTTCCGAGTCTGAGGAGGAGGATGAGGCCGTTGTCGCTGAGCGCAACAAGCGTCTCGAGGACTACAAGGCCAAGAAGGCCGCTAAGGGCCCCAAGCCCGCCGCCAAGTCTTTGGTCACCCTGGAGGTGAAGCCCTGGGGTATGTTCTTTTTTTCTCTCTCTTTTACGATGATCCAAATCGCTCAATACTAACATAACTGTTATAGATGATGAGACCGACCTTGCCGTTATGGAGACCAACGTCCGTGCCATCGAGATGGACGGTCTCGTTTGGGGTGCTTCCAAGCTGGTCGCTGTTGGTTTCGGTATTAAGAAGCTCCAGATCAACCTGGTTGTCGAGGATGAGAAGGTCTCCACCGACGACCTCCAGGCCCAGATCGAGGAGGATGAGGACCACGTCCAGTCCACCGACATTGCTGCCATGCAGAAGCTGTAAAGAAGTTGCCTTTTTATGAAGAAAAAATGGCGTGATGATGGATTATTGATGTTTTAAGGAACCCCCTAGTAACGAATTTAGAATCCGAGTCCACAAGTGGCCGGTTTGATGAAAAAATTAAAAATTTTCATGATCATTATTATTCCCTACTGAATCTGAACTGAGGACCTTTTGAATGTTGAAAATGAAACCTGAATTTCTTTAGCGCCGCGCTACCCCTCTCGTTAGCTTGCTATTTCTGTGCATTTGAGTACCTAATTGGTTGGGCTGCAGTCAACGCTCGGGGTTGGGCATATCCGATTTCGCAACTGCATCAAACTCTGTCCTAGCCCAATTCGGTCTTTCATTGCGCGTGTGGACTTTCTTGTCTCTCATTTGAAGTTGTCGACATTGAAGCTTCTGCAATATTGAACTGTTGAGCTTGGCTACCTACTAGGTACTATCCTTCCAATTAGCAGCGAATATTGAAATTATGCACCACACATGGTATACCTACCTACATACATCTCTCTCTAATTCCTCCCGACTGGACAACCTTGAAAGACTGTAAATTGCCAGTAGGTAGCCCTGCATAGAGGTACTAATAAGTACAATGAAAATCTTCAAAAACTTCAAAACCAGTGGACCTCCAGGGCTGCACACATTGCACAGTGGGCACCTGAGCAGTCCGTCCCGACCTCGGAATCGTGGAGCTCTGGAGCAAGTACTCATCCAATTGATGGATCCATAGTACATAGTACATCCTTACACTACTTTAATTGAAAGGTACATACATAAGAATCGGTGGACTTCAATTTTGAAAGCCCTTCACCTCGGGACATCTGGAGCAGATTGATGTCAACTGGTTGTAACTGAGGTTGAGGTATGTATAATGTACACTGTACATATATGTAACTACTAGTAGTATATCGTATCCACTACCTACTATGTAGTTATGGAAATCCATGAATGGATGGATCAATGGATAGAATGCTTCACTACCAAGGTTGGAAAGTAATAGTCTTCCTTGCATATATTTGAAAAGAAAACAAAATTGATTGTAGTTGACTTATATACCATTGAAATTTGAAACAACAGGGCTCATTTGAATATGTTCAAATCTTGTACATTTTACTTGGCAAGAAACCGGGGTTTGCCCGCCAACGCAGCTTAGTCATCCAAACTGCGGGACCTGTGGACGCAGATCGAGGTCAAGTTCCCTCATGAGGATCAATTGATACGAACCAGGAACCCTTATCCCCGGATCCAGCTTTTTCAGCATCAGGCCAATACCACACCTGAGGACCTCAAGAACCGAATAATCCTGCAGCATCTCGCGACCAGTACCGGGCTGACCAGGTCTCATTGACACCACCGAACCCCCAATTGACCACATCTCATCCACGATGAGCTTCTTTTCACGCGTGGTCACACTATTTGGCCTTGTTTTACTAGTTCACGCGTACGTTTCAGTTCACCTTGAAAACCCAACTGCTGTCGGATGCTATTGAACGAGCTAACACTACTCAACTACGACAGAGGCTACTCCGCCCACGAACACACCGTTCTCTTCAGCAATGCCAACATCGCCGCCATCGCCACCGTACCGAACGATATCATCGTCGAGATCCTGGTTGCAGTCCTAGCCGTCTCGACTGGATTAGTGCTGGGCGCCGAGAAACTCAAGCCGATTAGCTGGCGTGACTGGGCAGGCGAGATCGAGCGGGACGGTGGTGCGCGGAACCCGTACATGGGTATGGAGGAGCGATTTGGATTTTGGGATATTCGGGTGAGTAATAACCCGTGCTCGAATCGGTATCCAATGAATATACAATTTGGCGTTCATGGCTATTCAGCCTTCAGGAGGGCCCAGACCCGAGCCCAGGTCTGGACCGGACCGGACAGAATGGCTATTTTTCTGCGCCAAGTGAGAATGTGAGCTAACTGAATGATACAGGCCAAGCGAAAGGAGTTTGCGGACTGGGTCCGTGGTCCGGATGTGTTGACCAAGGAGTAAATTTGATATTGGATCCTTGGATTTGGAAATGAATGCAAAAAAGCAAACCGGGGCCCCATTTTTCGACTTCCGGTGCTGCAGTGATTTAGAAATTTGTGTATAATGGCATTCACTGCGAGGGAGTTTTGCAATCAAAAAAATCAATATGTCTAATTTGATCGTGTGGTCGCTGATCATCCTGGCTTATTGGTCTCTTTTGCCTGCAATTGTTTTCTTCCCCCTTTTTTATTTGCTTTTCTTCTAGACCAAGCCTCCCGCGCCAAGCCAGACCTGCATGCAATGGACGAACAGCATGAGACGGGGCTTTTCGGCAGTCAGGAGTAGAGGCCGGACCTCTCATTTGAAATTGGATTGGTGTGCCTGGATTCAATTGCGTTGGAATTTGCGGCAGAGATCAACAGCGCATAACGGGTGCAGTAAGCCCATACAGTAGAAAGGCATTATCTGGACGATCGGTGAGGTCGAGGAAGAGAAAAGGGTAAAGTTAATATGCGCCTCCAAATTGATCTACCCAGCAGGGGTGCTGTATCAACCCTGGATGCCAAGCTAATCTTGTGTCGTGCGATTATGTTTTCCCAGGTTCAAATGTTGGTCTGTTATTGTCGATGCTGATCATACTAGTCCGTAGCTCCCCCAGAAATGGATCCACCCATCTCCGCAAGTTTAAAAAGAAAGCCTAGAAGTACTACTACCCAGGAATTCGCAAACAGTTTTCCTCTGACTGTTGTCATCATCATGGTATCATAGTAGGTAGTATATGTAAGTTGAGAGTACAGCGTACGTATTGCTCGTAGGACAGAAGTCAGACTGGGCTGGAGCACCGTTACCCGCCACGCATTCAAGCTTAAAGTGGACAGTCTGAACGGACATTCCCTGCAGGGTCTTGCATAGATGTCAATGTCCGCAATGTCCGCAGGGGGAGATAAAATGAGCAGTCATATATTAAGAGGGCTGGGAATTTGAGAGGAATTTTGTGGCTGTCAAATATTTAGCGGAGGCATAATCCGTATTCCGTAGCTGGCCATGATATTTCCATTTCAAATGGGACAGTGAGGGGGGGGGGGGGGGGCTGGCGCAATCGTATAGAGGGATCATACTATACTGAATGAAAGAAGTAAATGAGTTAGAATTTCGGTTACTGGATCTCAAGGACCCACTTTCCAGTCCTTTGATCTTTCTCCCGGAGTAAAAGAGAGAGGTGGGATTCGTCTTCACCTATTCTTGTTGATTATTTATGACTGAACCTTGGTTTTTGTCTCATGGCGTGTTTGAGTGAGTTGTTTCCCTAGAAATAAACGAGGTTGGGACCTACCAGATGCCTCCGAGTTGACTAGAACTGACGCCTAGTCAAGTGATGTCTCACCTTTCCCAAGGTGATCTGTGATATTTCTGGGTTTAGTCCCGCGCCGCTTGTCTCACCCGGGGACGCCACATCAACCCCTCCCTGGGGATCTGTTACTCGTTTTACCCCGACAACGGGACCAAAACACAGAAGCAATGAAAACCATCCGACTCTCAAAGAAAATCAAAATAAAAAAGATGACTGTAAGACGGATTCGTAGGCTTCCGCGCGGTCTGCCAAGAACACATGTAAGCAATTGGAGGTTATTATGTCCTTGAACATGTTCACCAAATCACCAATTGAACTCTTATTGCCACCGACCACTGAAGGGCGACAGAAGCCAAATTTGCGTGATTGGACGGGATTTGCCACTAGTCCGATGCATTAGCGGAGGTTTATAGTACTGTAGTATCTGGCCGGCGCGTTGTAGGTGCGTCGCAATACAGGTGGGTCCTGCTACTAATCTAGGAAACCAAGGATTGTTTTTGTTTTTTTAAGAGAAAATCAATATCTGGGCACTGCTTTCAAGCTGACGAATTAGTGCTGCAAAGGTAGGCAGCCGGTACGACAAGCCCCTAAACGAAAATAGAATCGACCTTGCAGATCGAGGAGGCGCTAGTATTTTTTCCATCTGTGACTGGACCACGGGTCACTTCACGGCGTTCATTGCGAGTCTATAAGACAAGCCGAGTAGACCCCGTTTGCCTGCCTTAGTACACAAATACTGGTTTTACGCAATAATAATAATAAATAGCACCTTTCCCCCCCAACTCTCGCTACTTTGCTTCTTTAATCTCCACACTTCATTTCTCCACTACTATTATCTCCATCCCCTATACACACACTCTCTCGTTCAAGATGCGTGCCTCAATTCTCTTCACTACTCTCTCGGCTTTGGCCTTGACCTCCGGGGTTGTTGCCCAGGGTGGCGTTGAGGAGAGTGCTTCTACCACCTCCGCTGCTACCAGCACGGTAAGCTAGAATCCCAATGAACGTTTCATGAAGAGCATCAATCGTCTAACGCATGGCTTTTTCAAATAGATCAACTACCTCACTGAGACCAACTCCCTCGGCGTTGTTACCGGCCAGCCTTCAGTCATCACTAGCCAGCCTACAGTCGTTACCAGCCAAGATGCGGCTGCCTCGATCCCTGCTGGTTTGACCGCACCTGTCGTGACTGCCAACACAAGCAGCTGGACTAGCTCCGCTCGCAGCAGCACTCCTCTCAGCACTACCACTGGCACTGGCTCCACCTCCACTGAGACATCAACCAAGACCTCCAGTGGAACCTCCAGTGGCTCAGACTCCTTCAGCACTGGCACTAGCACATCCACCTCTACCGGTGGTGCTGCTTTCGCCACCGCTGGAATGGGTCTCGCTGCCGGTGCTGCTCTCCTTGCTTTCCTGTAAAGCAATTGATACAGTTTTAGCTGAATGGCTATCTATAAATGTCATTCAGTTCGCTATCTGTACTACAAATACCGGGAGAATTCCTTTGGGAGATTATCGTGGTATTTGGATGTGGACCTAGATGACTCTTGGGAGTGTCTTGGTCCACTGGACGAGGGACGTGAAAATGCTAGTAAAGGTCATTTCTTCTCTTCTTGACTTTCATTTTTAATTGAACATTTTAATCGTGGGGGGCTTGTAATACGTGCAGCCTGACTTTGTTTGTTTATTTGTGTGAATCGGATCAGCATACTCATGGCGCAGACCCTGTTTCTCATTTTCAGTTTATTGTGATTCCTCCCATTTGATATGAATTAGCATGATATCTCAGTAAATAATGAGCAATTATCTCTTCAAAACTTGAGTTGTCCAATCCTTCTAAAGCTGCTGTTATGTGAATCTTGAGTGAAGATCCAATTTGGCTTCTTATTTCTAAATAGATAAATTGAGGGCCTCTAGAATTGAAGGATTTGAATTTGAGGTTTCATGTTTCACTAGTTATTGCCAAGTCATGTTGAATATCAATTGCTCAGTAAGGGGACTTTAAGGTGAGGAGTATATAATATGTACAGTATTAAAGCCCACGCTAAACCCTAATAGGAAGGGTAATGAGCTACTACGCGTAAGTCACATGCTTCTCGCGAAAACGCGCGCACGTCACCTTCATCTGGTCTAGCGCCCCCAAACACTTCAAACTGTCCAAACAACCCCGTCGTTGAAGTAACCGATTGTTTTGATTGCTGCTCTGACAACCCACATCCCCACCAACAATGGTAAGTGAAGTTCGGGTCCAAGCCGCAAAACGAAATCAAAATCCCCGATACAGAAGAATGATATAGAAGCACGTACTAATGCGATCTAGGTTTTTCATCTACGACGTCTGGCGGCAGACCATGCTGCCCTGCATTCCAACCTCCCGCCGTACTACCTCCTGCAGCCGGATGATGGGCACTTCGCTGCAGCCGATGACCTGTCGCAGGTGACCATCATGCTTACCGGGCCAACCGGGACTCCCTACTCCCAAGGTCTATGGCGCCTGCAGCTGAAGATCCCAGAGGACTATCCTAACAGCCCACCTAAGGCCACATTTCGGACCCGCATATGGCATCCCAATGTCGAGGAGATGACTGGCGCCGTCTGCGTAGATACTCTAAAGAGAGACTGGCAGTCCAAGCTGACTCTGCGCGATGTTTTGATTGTATGTGATATAGGAAGACCTTCGCGGAATCGTATTCCAGCGACCAAGCTAACCCTTGCCTTTAGACTATCTCTTGTCTTCTCATCAACCCTAACCCTGACTCCGCTCTGAACTCCACCGCCGGAAACTTGCTTCAAGAGGACTACGATATCTTCGCCCACCAAGCCAGACTAATGACCTCCATTCACGCTCCGATCCAGCCGGCCTTCCAAGCCGCCGTCAACGAAGCGAAATGCCGAGGCGAGGATCCCGGCACCACCGTCCCCCGCGAACCAGATACTCAGAACCAGCGCCCGCGCAAACAACAGCGCGTCCAGACAGGCACAACCATGAAAAGCAATCGCCCGCCATCCGTGTATCTCCCCCACGCTCCTCGCGACATCGCCACCCACCCACAATCCATACCAGAAGACCCCGACCAGATGGAGATAAGCGATGACGAAGAGAACGACGACCCAGCCAGCGCAAGCAAAGAAAATAACCCCTCCCTCTCCCCAACACCCGTCAACCTCGCACCACCACCCACCAGCCCCCGCAAAAACGCCTTCGGCAAACGCCCACTATCCGTCCTCTCACTCGCATACTCGGAAGACCCAGACACAGAACTGATGCTTGTGGACTCGGACTCGGAGCCAGACAACGATTCCGGTCCCTCATCAAATACACCTAGCTTCGGCTCTTCCGACAAAAACATCGCCGCCAATACCTACACTCCCCCCTCCGCCGTAACCAACTTCTCCCGCCACATCCGCAGTAACCCACAGCGCCGAGTGCCCAAACTCGCCCTGAGCAGAAGGGGCAACACGCCTACCCGCCTCCGCGAAGATGTTCAGATCTACGAGGACGTGCCAGACCGCACAGTAACAGATATCTCGCGCCGCTTCGGCAGCGACGGGAAAGAGAACCGCGATTCCGTATCCGGGTCTCGTGGTCTGAAAGACGTCTCTGGGCTGCAGGCTGAGAGGGTGGCCCAGACTGTTGCGCCGCAGTCTATGCAAACCGGGCACCCGCAGAATTCCGCGGCATCCCTAGTACCGAAGTCATCGCCTTCGAAGGTGTCGAAGAAGGTCCCTGGTCTGCGGAAGGGAGCTATGCCGAAGGTCAAGCCTCGAATTGGTCTTCGACGACTTTAAAGTGCAGAAGCCCATAATTTATGCTTCGCTTTTTCGCACTCGTTTTATTTTCTTGATTGGGATTCTTTATTGCTAGGAGGGCACGATACCCCGTTTCGCTCTTTAATTGAATTTTGTTTGCTCCCGGTGATATGCCGGGCTTAGTTATGTGATGGAGAAGGTGAAAGAAGCATTGAGCGTGGAGCATGGTTTTAAGTTGCATATTATGGATAACGGTGTTTTTGAAATTTTGCTTTTACCCTATGAGCATCCCGGGGTCTGGCTCAGCTGGACTAATTCTTATTCAATTTAGATATTCAATTTATTCTGTGCCTACTACTACCCTTGTCAATGGAGTGTTTTGAACGTTTTGAACATTTTTGCTTTACATTGATCTATGTCATAGACATCACTCATAACCAATAACATTGGGAGTCATAATGCTTAACTCAAGTGCTAGCTATATAGAAGGACGAGATATTATAACAATACTGGTACGTGTGACTAACCTTGGAAGCCTTGCTGGAGTTGAAATAATGAATATGTGTAAGATACCTGAATTAATGGAAATACTATCCAGTACTACTATCGAGCTATGATCAATCTTTTCCATCCTATCTCCAATTTTGGCGGAAGATCTCCAGCCCCACGCACCACTAGCATGGAAGATGGATCAAAAAAGAGACTGACAAAAAGCTCCGAGCACAAAAAAACCTCTCTCCCGAAGAGGACTTAAAATCCTCAAAGCACAAAAAACAATCGCTGCGACTAATAACAACAAAGGGTTAAGTATGATAGTCCCAGAGGACTGAGGACAGATATTGATCGAATGAAGCGGATTGGAAATCCACCATGGATGGAGGAAAGGGGATATCAGGAAGCAACCCGATAACAATATGTTCGATCCGCATGTTGGGGAGGAAGGGTTATGTCCGTATGAGCGTGATAACAGGAGCGAAAGCCATGTTACTCAACGCTCAAAGAATTTGCAGCATAGACATGCAACAATATATCCCGAGTAAGGAGAAAAGAGATACCGTGAAGTTCCTTACAGAGCGTAAGGGTTCACAGACCGAACGGTAAGGCATCTAGAAAGAACACAGCGGTTAGCACGAATCATGAAGATATCTGATAAGAACTTTGAACATACGGTGGGCTCTTGCTCAGGTCGGTCTTCAGGATGATGGGAACACGGGACATCTCGGTGACATCCTGGATGAAGTCGCCATCCTCCTCTCTCAGCTTGAACAGCTTCAGGTACTTCTCCTTGTTGGTCATCTTGCTCTCTGGCGCATCGCTGGTGCTGGAGGCAATCTTTGGGTCAGAGCGAGTACGGTGGGGAGCCTGCGGGAGGTGGCCGTTGCGAGTCGGCGAAGGGGGCATGCTCTGGGTCGACCGGTCAGCCGAGTTAAGAGACACGCCGGCAGCTAATTCAGTCACCTCGTCCACATCATCGTCATCATCAAAGAGCGCATTAACGTCATCTGCGGACATGGTACCAGTCTCTGTTTGCTTCCGCATCGCCTCATCACGCTCACGGGCACGCTCACGGGCAGCCTCGGCCTCACGGGCAGCAGCAGCCGCTTGAGCAGCACGCGAGTTTCCAGGCTTAGGACGCTCATCCTCGGGAACATACGCGGAAGAGGGAACGCCCTTCTCCCAGTAGAGCTCAAGCACGCGGCTATCCTTGCGGTACTCAGCCTTCTTAAGCGGCAGCTGGTCACAGTGAACACGCTTCTCGAAACCGTACTCAGGAATGAGAACGTCAAAGGCAGATTCGTAAACACAAAGGACAATACCCTCACTGATGAGATCGCCGCCAATCTCGTGAACCTTTCGGTCCATGTTACGGCAAGCTTCAATGTGAACACTCTGCTCCTGAGCATTGTGGGCCGAATCCTTCTTGTTATTGGCAAGATCGGCAGTCTTGGTCAAAGATTCAATATCATCAGTGAACTCGATAGCTCCATCCGAAAGAATCGACTCAAGCTGGCGGTGCACAATGATATCGGTGTAGCGCCGCGATGGGTTGGTGAAATGAGTGTAGACAGGCACATTGAAGGTGTAGTGCAGACGCTGGTCATCAGCCACACTGGAACCAACAAAGTACTTGGCGCGCTGCATAGCCTTCGCAAGCAAAGTTTCCATTCCCTGCAGTCGATAATTAGTAAACTGAAAATATTCTCGAACTTGAACACAGGAAGACTACTAACCTTGCGAAGGTCGACGTCTTCAACCTTGCAGAGTGTGCTCTGCAAAGTTCCACTGCTAGAAGCATCCATGCCAAAACCGAGTCGGTTCATTCTCTCCACGAACAGCGTCAGGCGACGAGGGTTGGGAGAGGGCTGGCGACGGAGGAATGCCTTGTCAGGCATAGCACTAGCAATCTTACGGGCGACGAAGAAGTTAGCCTGGCGGCTGAGCTCTTCCACGAGCTCGTGAGCTGGGGTAGAGTCGAAAATGTTGAACTCCACAGGCACATTCTCGTCATCAAGCTGCTGCAAAATACGCAGAGAAGGAACATTGGTCGCCCGGTTACCGAATCTGGCATCACGGAACTTGTGTGCAATGGTCTAAAACAATTAGTCAAAATAAATAGCAAAAGATTGAAGAGAATTAAGACTCACGTTCAACAGTTGGATGTTGTCTGAGGTGATACCAGCTGTGGTCTTATCCGATTTCTCGTTAATCACCGCATTGACCTCTTCATAGCTGAGACGGCCGGCGCTCTTGATAACACCCTTTCCGATCCAAACATCATCATCAATGGCACCAGTCTCAAGGCTGGCCTTGAAGACAACGCTGACAGTCAGGCGGTCCTCGCCAGGAACAAGGGAGCAAAGCTCGGTAGAGACTCGAGAAGGCAGCATGTTCATGACGCGGTCGACCAGGTACACTGCGGTACCACGCTTCTTGGCCTCGCGGTCAACAAGTGAGTTGCTCTTGACGAAGTGAGCAATATCAGCGACGTGAACACCAATCTCGATCTTTCCATCGGCAAGCTTCTTAACATGGAAGGCATCTTCCAGCGCCTTGGTGTCCTCGGGGTCGATAGTGAAGATGGTCTCTTCACGGAAGTCACGGCGCGAAGCTAGGGCATCGCCTTCGTTCGCAACGGACCATTCCTCGTAACCGATGCTCTTGATAACAGCGTCAGAGAACTCATCAGAGCCAAAGTTGTTGTCACGGAGCAAAGCGTCCGTCTCAACCCGCAAGTCACCCATCTCACCGAGCTGTTCCACCAAGGTACCGAAGGGGTGCAGAGAAGTGATAGGCCAACGCTTAATGGAGGCAACAAAGATGCGATTGGCATAATCCTGGTGCTTCTCAACGAAGTCCCGTGGGGCTTGTTCGGTGGGAATAGCGATCAAAGGAACACGCTTGTCTGTGGGCTTGAACCAGACAATCTTAGGCTTGTCCTGGTGGCGGTCCTGGTGACGACCGTGAGCACCATCTCTCGCCTGGCGCTCAGCCTCTTGCTTCTCCTTTGTAGCCTGGCTAGAGGGGCGAAGAAGACCCAGAGTTCCGGAGAACATTTGTCCAGCAATGCGCTCAATGACCGCAACAACGTGTCCAGCGTAAAGGGGCTTCTGCTCGTCGCTAATCTCATCCTCTTCGACTAGCAAAAGGCTCTGGCCTTCGACTTCGACGTCATCATTCTTTTTCTGTGTGGGTCGTTGGCGAAGACTGCCACGACGGCGGATACTTCCGTCCGGTCCGACCTCCTGTCTATCACCGTTGGAGTCAGAGCGACCCAGCTTGTCGTTACCCGCGTTGCTGCCAGAGCGAGCATCGGTGATATCCTTGCGCTTCTTCTTTTCCTCCTTTTCTTTTTTCTGAGTCCAAACCTCGTCGACATCTAGGAGCTCGATGGCGACGAAGTCACCCTCCAGAGCACGGTTCCGGTCTTTGCTACCACAAATGAAGATATCGGCATCGAGATCGGTGGAGGTCACATAAGCATCAGAACGGTTCTTCTTGTTGACACGAAGAACACCAGCCACCAGCTGACCGTTGCTAATAAGGGCAGGCAGGTTGGCCTGGGGCAAGTAAGGGGTAAAGAGTGTCTTGCGTTGCTGCTGTTGCTGCTGCTGCTGTTGTTGAACAGACATCTGCGGCGGGGCGTGCTGGCTTGCACCAAGACCACCCATGCCTTGGCCATTTTGCTGCTGTTGGAGAGCCTGCAGTTGTGCAAGCTGGATAGGGTTCAACTGTTGACCACCAAACATCTGAGGCGAGGCCATCATGACCTGTCCCTGAGGCAGCTGGATCAGCTGGGGTTGACCAGGGTACTGGAATTGACCGATGGAACCCATTGACTGGTTCATAGAGGGCCGTGAACGGTGTCCGGGCTGGAATCCGCCGCCTTGCTGCTGATTGAAAGGTTTCTGCTGGTCCTGGTTCTGGTTCTGATTCTGGTTCTGGTTGTTAGGCTGGCGCCAGTTGCCGTCGAAGTTCCGGGACCCTGTGCGTGCATGACCAGGCTGACTGCCTCGGCGCTGGTTGTCAGACTGACCAGCGTCGTTGGCGGGTGCCGCAGGGAATTGGAAACCACCAGCACCACGGCCAGAGATAGAGCCTCGGCTGCCGCCAATGGCCATCGACTGGCTTCGACCGTGGCCACCGCCACCAGAGCGAATGTTACCGGCCCGTTGCAGACCAAGTCCCTGGGGTGCAGGAGAGGTGCTGGCTTGGGGCTTATCATCCGATCCGGATTGATTATCGGAGGCACCGGCACCCGGGGCAGGAGCAGGGAATTGGAAACCAGAAGCTGTTCTCTTCTGCTGTGCGAGTTCAGCGGCCTTCTTCGCCTCGGGCAGAGCGAGGGAGTGTCGGCGCTGGTGGCCACCACCAGGCGGGCCTCCACGACCGCGGCCGTGATTGGGGTTCTCATTCTTCTGATTATTCTGACCTTGTTGATTGTAATCGGCGTATCCAGAGGCGCCCGAGGATGGAGCAGGGGGAGGGCCCCCCATTGGGAGACCGGGAAGGGCGGACTGATTGCGGCGGTGGGAGTGTTGATTGGCGTTCATGGGCAAACCAAGCTGCTGTTGCCCTTGCTGTGGGTTCTGCTGCTGGGGAAACTGGAAGGCGTTGACCTGAGGTGAAACACCACCCATGGAACCACCGGGAGAGAATGCGTTGACCTGACCCAATTGTTGAGGCTGGAGAAGGCCCATATTCACGTATTGCTGGTGTGTAGCGGCAATTTGCTGTTGCTGCTGCTGAAGCAGCTCAATCTGTTGCTGGATGGCAAGTTGTTCCACTACAGCATACACATTAGTTCAAACTTGTTTGGTAATTGGGAAATTCGAGGAAACTAAGGCCAACATACTCATCAGAGGGGTAAGTTCAGACGGACTTCTCCGGTGGGCGATATGAAGCTTGCGCCCAGAGGGGCCAGGGACCCCGGACTGATTCTGTTGATCCATGGTATCTGAAGATGGATAATTTTCACTGTTGAATGGAATGTGCGAGAAGATCTCTAAGAGATTCGACGATAAGAGACAAGAGTTGTCTCCAAAGACAATCGAATCGAGTTCTAGGGATCACCGACCGACCGCGAATGAGATGGTAATATGTGCGGACGATAGTTTTCAGCAGGAAACGTTGGGAACTATACTGCAAGAGAAAGAAAGAGAGTGATAATCAGTATCAGAAGGAGGAAAGGTTGAGAACAGGAGAAAAATCAAAATAACGAGTGGGTGATGAAAAGCCGAAATTATGAAGGAATGAAGACGAGGAAGGAGGGGACAGGTCGTAGTTGGCGAACAGGTGGAAGTTGCGACGGTTCGCTTGGACCCATGAAAGTCCAAGGAGACTCTATCATCAGGACAGGGAGGAGATACAGTAAAAGCTTCCCCCACAGCACAAAACAAGCAAATGATTTGTGGCCATGCGCGCCTGTCAGAAAAAAAAGAATCAAACAAATTTGGCACCCTTACCTGCAGGAGAGACTAATGACGAGCTCCGAGCCCTAGCATTCCAAAATGACGTCTACGCTGTCAACGTGGGATGAGTTCTGCTAGAAGCCAACAAAGCACTAGCGGTCTGTACACAAGTCGGTCACTGTAACCGATGGGCAAACCGAGTCAAGTCAATTGCACGTTCAATGCACTTGGTATCGACGATTGCAAAGACCGACTGAGGGGGATACGCTTGCTCGATTCGAAAGTAGGGAGTTGGAAGGACCGAGTTGGCGGGTAGAAAGCTTGGTGGAATTGCACGGTAGCCAACTACAAAAGCCGAAAAGGGTGGTAAATGGAGGAATCAAAGAATATCCTCGGGTCGAGAGACGGTGAGATCAGACTCGAATTTGTCCGGAAGAACGGTGGTTGAGAAGAGCTACTTCTGTATGCCAACGAATTTCGAGCCAGAAAATAGGCGGAGTGGGTTGCACGTCCTCGAAGAGAATGACAACAAGTGAGTTATGGGGTAGGATGGAATCGAGACGATGCAGACATCGACCGATTCGATCAGAAGGAGCGATGGGGAAGAGAGAGAAAAATAGGAGGAAACGGGGGGGGGGAGAGTAGAGAAGGCGAGGAGGGGGAAAGGAGAAGAAAGAAGGTGATGATGATGGATCCATACACGGCGGGTGTGGGGAGAAAGGTTGTGTAATTAACGTTTGTCATGGTAATTACAGAATTACTAACTTTTAATCTTCACGAACCGACGAAGCATTTATGGTATTGGATCTCCGTCACATATATGTATTGTAAGTACCTTTACGAGTGGTTTTTTCCCCAGCCGGATGCCATGGATGATCTCCATTGCTTCCCGACAACCTCATCACTCTTATTCTCAGGGACCTCCTTTGCAACCCATTTGAGCCTGCACCCTTGATAAAGTACATACAAGTAGGTTTTAGGTAGGACAAGCTGCGTCAAGTGTGGGGGAACCGAGTCCGGTCGGTTTGGGGAGACCGGGATCTACGCCCCCCTCCGATAAATACTATAATACTGACTAGTAGCTTTTCTGGAGGTAATGAGCTGCACTAACTTAAGTCAATTGGCTCTAGGATTTACATCTTAGTCCACACATAGACGCACCTCACCCCAGACTTGGATGACGTTTACCAAGGCCACGCCGCCAGCTTCTTCTTTGATTTTTTTTGGCCTCTATGAAGAAGACTCTAGACTGGCTTAATGGGTTTGACTTGTCCTCAGGGAATTTTTGAAGCATAAATGAGTGATGCTCATCATGATGCAAATGAACCAGACTTTGCTCATGCGCGGGTCTGGATGACTCAGCTTTTAAATTACGGTCGTATCTTATGTATTTTCCAACTTGTTCCTCCCTTGGACTGAAATCGCGATAAACATTGCTGCATTGGTTGGCTGCCCTGGGACCAATTGCTGATAATCAGGAGGTAAGATCCTATTCGTCAATACCTTTGATGCCCAGCCCATAGAAGTGGGCACCATTGTCTGATTTATTTTCGGAAGTGAGACAGACCAATTGAGAGAAGTGTTGACCTAACTCGGAGATCTACTTTATTCGGCTTCAGATCGATCACCAGTCTTTTCCCCAAACCTCTACCCTTACTCTCGCTTCTTCACTCGCTCGATCCACCAAATCTTCCACCTTCCACCTTCCACCTCCCACCTTACAACTTTTCAATCACTCTCAACTTCCATAACGCGCCCTCACTGTGATTAACCTGCCACTTCAACTCAATAAATAGATTGGCAAGAGCCGATTTCGTCTTTTCTTCTTTAAACCTCTATTCATTGCCTGTGAGAGAATGGCTCCCGGGCCCACTGCCCATTCGACTTGACTGAAACAACAAACTCTTTGCTCGCGTCTTCGAGGGTTTAATCTTATCCACCATTCCCGGGCACCGTCTCTTCGCGATTGACAACTCGATTCTCTCGCGCTTCGGACACTTACTTGAATAGTCCCTCCACCTTGCGACTGCTCTTCACGACTGGAGACTTGATTCACCCACATATCCCACGTTCCACTTCCATCTACCCACCCCACCGCGCGCCTACATATTCAAGTGACTAAAGCCTCAATTCCTTCGCGGCTTGCAGGTTTACTCTCAATAACCTTCTCGTCCGCCAACTTGCCAGAAAAACTTTCATCCTACGCCGTACTTTCAGCTCTCAACCAACACGTCATCTACCAATCTGTCTTTGCGCTCCTCGCGACAAACTCCTCATAAATCAAACCTCAATTCTCTCGCGTCCCCGGCCCTTTACTCTAATCTACCTCTTGGGACCGTTCCCATTCGCTCTTGATTTCCTCGCGAAGCTTGCCTTCGGTCCATAAATTTACGACACACTATCATCCATCTACACCATGGTCAGAATTCACGTTCCCCCATTGGACAGTCCGTCTAAGCAGCTGATGCTTGATCTCACCCGGGACTTGGAACAAGTCAAGCTTTTCGACCTCGAGCTCAAGAAAGTTCATGCCTACGAGCGCAAGGTGTTTTACGAAAATCTCGACCGAATTGAACGCGAGCAGGAAGCGGTACACACTGCAGCTCTTGACCAGGCTGCGGCCTTGCATGACCAAGTTCGCGAAGAAGCAGAGAAAGTCTTGAGGGAGCACAACCGCGCTGAAGAAGAAGAGCGCCGCCGCAAGGAAGAGCAAGCTCGCAAAGAACGAGAGCGCATTGAGCGCGAGAAAGCAGAGAAGCTTCGGCGAGAACAAGAAGAAGCTGCACGCATCGAAGCCGCGCGCGAGGCTGAGCGCAAGGCCAAGGAAGCGCTGAAAAAGAAGGCAGAAGAGGAGGCTGAACAAGCCCGCCGGACTTCTCAGGAAAAGAAAGAAAGGCAAGAGCGCGAGCAACGGGAAAAAGTAGAGGCCGAACACCGAGCCAAGGCAGAAGAAGTAAAGAAACTCCAGCAAGCAGAAGAGGAGAAGGCCCGCAGCCAGCAGGTACAAAAGGTTGGTGGTGGCCGACTTACTCCTGAGGAGATCGGTATCCAGGAGCGATATGTGGCGCTCCACAAGACCCTGAAGGACATGCGCGCATGGTTACGAGACTTTGGCAAGAAAGAGCCGGCTGTGAAGAAGGCCATGGGAGACATGCGACGTTCCATCAAGAAGTCGGTGGGTCAGCTGCGAGATGGCAAGGGAACCAATAAACAACAGGTAAGGCTACAGACCATATACGCCAGGGTCCCTGATGCATTGCTAACATATTTGCTTCAAATATAGACCCAGCAGATCCGTGCCGAGCTGGAGAAGACCTTGACCATGGCAGAACCTTCTGTGGATATCCGCCAATTTCTTGCATACCCACCCGAGGAAATCGCTCAATCGGAAAACAAGGTTCCTGCCATGCTCATTTATGGCCTAAATATCTTGGTGAAGTGTTTGATCTCCGCTCTTGTGACCGAAGCCGCCATCCAGCCTGCACATGCCGAGCCCGTGGGCATCCTCGCTGCGCAGATCTTCTCAATCGAATCATTCATGTTTAAGGGGATTCACATGTCCGACATCTTGTGGGCCAAGTACCGTGTGGTCTGTCCGGCCCTTTGGGGCTTTTCTGGCGCGGAAGATACAGCGTCAGGTCGACGTGCTCTGGGTTGGTGGCATGTCGAAGCCGGAGGACCTTTTGTGACTGAACAAACACACTTGGATCGGATGACAGCCCTTGGTGCCGGATTTGCAGCACTTACATTGCGCAACTTTGGCAAAACCCAGCGGCGAAATCCCTTCCCCAACACAATGTTCTGGCAATCTCTGCAAAAGATTCTCTCACTGCCACCATCCGAAATCGGAGATACTCAGGTCACTCTGCTACAATCTATGCTTCGAAACTCTGGGGACCGAATCCTAGAATTCTTCGGACAGTTCGGGGTTGTACTTGTTCACAAGGCTGTCGTCGATTTGCCACCAACCCTGAACCGCAATACGATGCCAGTGAACCAGCTGAAGCTGGTGAAGGAGCTATATTACCGGGATCACCACATCCTCGTTTAGGATACCAAGGCTGCATGCAATCGGAGTTTCTGAGTGGAGGTTCTTCAAAATTTTTTCACCATCTATCATCAGCGATTTCCCGGAATATGGATGCATATGTGCAATTATCAGCAATTTAAATGCCAATATGAATATACCCTTTTATTTTATTTTGAACTTCGCACGCTATTAAAATGAAACGAAGTACTAGTATGTATGCAAAGTCTGACACCATTGATGGGGCGTTGCACCCCAGCTATGTTCGATTCCAAGGTTGCCTGCATTATTCAGATCCAAGCGGCAGATCAAGTGAGAAAGCTAACTACTCCCAACGAATAGCCTCTTCAAACATCCTCGTCGTATCATGCTCGCCTACCTACTAGAAGCATGGGAAATTGATGATTGACATCCAGTAGCTTGAGACTACCTGGTAGGTACAAAGATGAAAGTATGCATCGAACATTGCGTTGGTGTGATCTTTTATTCATTTCTATGCAAACCTCCTCCAGCCCAGGGTAGCGAAACAAGCCACAAGCAAAACCGATAACCGCTCCTGAAGTCCCCTCCGCCTAGCAATAATGTGGACTCCCCACTCGAGTCCAGATCCTATCTCCACCGACCCGCACCATGGTTATGCATCCCTTGAGAAGATCTAGGTTAAGCTGCTTGCCACCTTGATGTCAGCCATTCCCCACAAATAACGACATGGCTTATTGGAAGTGGACCTTTGGGCCCAATCATATTGAATATGACCGTGGAAATGGGAATGAAGATGCCTTAATGAGAACTCCTTCCTGTGCATTCAAATTACTCGGGATTGAGATGGAAATGTTTGCGACTCCCACTAGATACATATTGCCTATGTATGTGCCTAGACATGTATCGGGTAGCTGCAAATGTGGGCAAAAATACAGATCTGTGCATGTGGGCAATACAAACTCGAAGGTGTTATCGAGACTCTGAACAAAACTTTTCAGCCTTGGAAGGCCGGGCATCAAATCAGAGGTCACACATTGGGAACTCCAGACGTGTTTGATGGATGTATGCATCTTCTGCGGTATGTACTTGGAATATTTGCGTTGCCCACCTTCAAATGTTCAATGTTGTCAGCCTCCAGACTGCTTTGCTAAATAGATACTTGGTACATAGTAGGTTCAAACGTTGAGGCACAATTTCCTACGCAGGTACCAAAGTCAACCTGGCCTGACCAATTGATCATGAATACCATACTGTCAACATCCACAATCACATCCTATGCCAGTTAACATACTGAGTGGTGAGATAATCGTATCCAGTCTCAAGAGGGCCCAGATTCAGGCAGACATGCTCAGGTAGGCAGGTGGAACCTATCCGGACTTTCCGCCTCAATTGAGCACCCGAGAGGCAAATGCTTCTCCAAGACTGAGAACCATCGGCCTCGACTCGGGTGAACCAGGAGACCGCAACCCCGGGAACTACGCCCGGTGGCTCTTTTGTCCGCATACTACCATGACATTAATTGGACGACTAAGTCGGAGTCACCGGCTGGCCAAGAGCTTTTTGTTGCCATCCGAGCGATCCCCCAGTATTAACTCCACCTTGACTCCAATATCCAGGGTTGGTTAGGATCTGGACAATGGATATGGGACAATGGTGGAGTGACATCATGACTTGATTGGGTCTTGGCCTGTTTTCTTGGCGTTCAGCTGCAATTGAGATTTCGCTTCTGATGGTGATCATTTGTACAGGGGAAAAAAAAGAAGATGATTGATTTGTAAGTGAAAAAGGGCTTATACGCTTATATGGGATAGAGTAGTAGTCGGACCAAGTATGTGAAAGAAGTTCTGGAAAGGCGAAAGCCACGCAAGTGGATCCCCAAGACCCTGAAGGAATGTTTCACCCACGCCGGGCCCAGAAAAGTTGGCTGCAGTGCCCAGTGATTGGTTAACCCCTTGAATCAGGGACCCGGCCCACACAGGACCCTGCGCACCCGACATTGGTACCAATAGTCATTTCCCCCGGTCCAACTTCTCCTCCACCTTATTGCCTTTACCACTGACGTTTTCTCTTTTATAAAAGAGTCCATTCCTTTCCACCCATTGGGATCTTTCATTCATTTCCCCCCAAAAAACACTCTTTCGACTTCTTTTCGAGTTTGTACTTGTTTTTATCCTTTTCATCTCGGTCGACCTTCGCTCTAAAGACCAATTCCACGCCCCCCATTTCCATAATGCGTGTTTCTGGCCTCGTCTCCCTCGCCCTGGCCGCTGTCCCGGCCCTGGCCGACTCTACACGCGGTACCCTGGGTTTCTCACTCGGTGACAAGAACGCCGATGGCACTTGCAAGTCTACTAGTGACTACGAGGCCGATTTCGATAATCTGAAGGACTTGGCTACCCTTGTCCGTACCTACTCCGGCACCGAATGTGATACCCCTCAAAACATTCTTCCTGCTGCGAAGAATAAGGGCTTCAAAGTTGTCCTTGGTATCTGGTAAGAAACGAAACCCAATCTACTACCTACAAATGCGATGTTTGGTCCAATTGCTAGATCAGATCGTCTAACATGTTTTTGTTTACTAGGGTCGGCGCACAGGATAGCGGTGATTTGAGCACCAACGATGCCTCCTTCACGAAGGATTTCGCCGCCTTGAAGCAGGCTGTTCCCGGATACGAAGATGTTGTTGAGGCCATTACCGTCGGCTCCGAGACCCTCTACCGTGGCGACCAGACCGGCCCGTCGCTGCACAACTACATTGGTCTTGTCGCCAACCAGTTCACCAGCATCACCGTTGGTACCGCTGACAGTTGGAACAAGTTCGCTGATGGAACTGCGGATGACTTGTTCACTCGCGACACTGCCTCTGCCCCTCTTGTCACATACGTTCTTGCCAATGCCTTTGCCTACTGGCAAGGTACCGCGATCGATCAGGCTTACAAGACCTACTTCGATGACATGTCCGGTGCCATGACTCACATCCAGAAGATCGCTGGTGACAATGCTGATAAGATTCACATTATTAACGGCGAGACTGGCTGGCCCACCGGTAAGATCAAACTGAAAGCTCCAAAATTTGTGTATGAGAACTTTCCACTAACAAATATCTTTTATCTAGACGGTGGTACCGACTATGAAGCTGCCATTGCTGGCACTGCCAATGCCGAGACCTTCTGGCAGACCGGTGTCTGTGGTATGCTCGCTTGGGGTGTTGACCTGTTCTACTTCGAGGCCTTTGATGAGTCCTGGAAGCCCGACAGCATTGGTGACAATGGCCAGGCCTCGGACGAGAAGCACTGGGGTCTGCGCACTGCTTCCCGCCAAGACAAGTTCAACACCACCTGTGCCAACTAAGCATGCTGTCTCACTTTCTTTCTTGAAATATTTTTTATTCATTTTGAATTTGAAGATGGGTTAGATCAGAGGCCCGCGAAGGAGACCTCCGAGTAGATATTTGATTTTTTCTTTCTACTTTTTTTTGTTTCAAGCTGTATCTCTTATCTATTTCTCCTAGATCTATTTGCGGCATTTTGACCTGAATGGAAATACGGAATTAATGTATTTTTTTTTTTATGTTTGCTTCCGAAGTCGCATACTCGTACAGGAGCCACGTAGAGATGCAGTACTAGTCGCACATTTTTGCTCCATCGCTGTGGCGTAACATGCACGGTCTTTTTTGTGTTATTCAGGTCCCACGGCGATGGGGTTCGGCCGATGGCCCCTTAACATTGAAGAAATTAGTAGTTACAGAGTGGAATTCGATGGTATTGCCGAGTGTTATTCTTTTTGGACCTCTCCGAAGGATTCGAGTACTGTGTACTCGAAAACTCGAAACTACTCCATAGTATGCAGTGTATGGTCATATTATGCGTCTCGTACAGTATGATCTCCCACGCGCATTGTTTTTTTCAAGGTTTTGGTGTTACGAGGAAAATCATTATGTCATCATGTATCTTTTCACCTTTTCACGGTACTGAGCAGATGAGAAACCATGGTTCCATTACCCCTGAATCCATTCTCCACGAACCGCAGATTCAATGTTTGTTGTTTACTTAAATATCATGGAATCCGTGAATCTCTCACTTGGTTTCAGCAAGGGGATGCAGGAAAAGCCACAGGTCCAAGCCAGTACGGAGGATGGGTACACTGTACTCCCGACCTCGGTCCCCAGTTAGTCTTAGTTTAGTGGCGGTCAGGGCCAATCCTTTCCTATAATTGATCTCCGGGGTACCTGCGCGACCAGCGCAAGGGTATGGAAGTTGCTCCATTTCGTCCTATTAGTCAACCGCTAAGGGGAACATGTGCCGAAAATTGATCCAAACGGTCAAATGAGTTAGTGATCAATGGTCCAATGAATTTAAACTAAGTCCAGTAGTTCCCCCCTCTTTGGTATTGGGTACACGGACATTGCCCCCATCCATTATAGTCTAGCCAGGTACTAGGTACTTGCCCCGTGGCGTGACATAAGCTCATTATTCTTTGGATTTTGGTTCCCCTTTCTGTCCCTTTAAGCTCCTTGCAGTTATCTTTTTTCTTGGTTCGTGACGCTTTTTTGCTTTCTTTTAGTTGTCGAATCTTTGATTCTTGGCGGAGGAAAATACTAGCGCGTTCAGATCCTTATCAAAGAGAGAAAAAAAAAGGAACCCAAAAAGGGGGGACAAAAAAAGAAAAAAAAAAGACATCAACTCAACGTCTTGTACACGCCCTTGTTCCCGATCGCCAACGGGTCGTTCTGCCAGGTGGTCCTCAATTCCGGTTGGATTTCCATGCGTCAACATTCTGGACGATAAGCGGAGCGGCAAGCGAGTGCTTGCTGCAGGAGTCGACACGGAAGGTGGGTAAATTCTTTATTGGCTTTGAAGTTGATTGTTCGCTGTCTTTTCGGTTGCATTGAATTCGTTGGGCAAAACCCGCGTCATCCACGCGATTTCTCTCCCCTTCCGAGAATGTTCTTCCCCAGACACACCCCTCCCCGAAAAATCATGCTAATCATTCCATGGTTGATGGATCCCCAGATCTAGATTTCCCCGTATCTTCCGCCCTTTCGGCATCTTCTTCATTGTCCCCGACTAACACGCGCAACTTGCGTGCCGAATCGCGTCTGGCCCCGGCCGTGTTTTTATCCTCTCCGTCAGGAGACGAGAGCTCCAGCTCATCCGCTGGTTCTCCCTCCCAGAGCGTCACTCTCGATCCCCCGTCGCTTCCATTCAGATCGGCCACCCTTCGTCCGACTGACTCGCAAACTTCGTCGCCCGACAATCGCAGAGCGGAAAGCAGTGTCTACTACACCACTGCCTGGGGGTCTCCGTATGCAGCACCGAGTACCCGGAGATTATCCTTGACACTGAGCCAATACGCCGGCATCGATAACGGAGCATCGAGAGATAGCTCCCCCACCCCATCTATCAATCCCCCGGAGCTTCGGAGAGCTAGTGTCGCCGTCAATTCCGAGGATCTTGCTGGTCACCGCGGAGGAAAGTCAATTCGTGATTTCACCCAGGATTGGATCAATCAATATTTATCCGGCCAGCCCAGGACCGCCGAGCGCAGTAATTGGCTGAGCGACGATTCGGGAAGCGAAGCACCTTCATTTTTTACGGCCAAGAATCACCTCGCCGACGATCTTTCAGACGACTGGCTTGGTCTGGAGGAAGATAATCGCGAAAGTGAGCTTCTAAAGACCCCGACGCTATCCGATTTTGTTGGGAAAAAGACGAGCGCCCGTGGAAAGAGCAAGAAAAACAGCCACAAGCGAACGGAGACGCTGAGACAGGAGGACTTTTGGGGTTTCGCATACGACAAAGAATTACCAAATATCACCATGTCAGAACATAACGAGAACCAGCTGCCGGCTGTGGAGGTGACTTCACCAAATGAAAAGCCATTGCCACCGCCGCCAACGACAACAAACGACGAGGTCTCAACACCAGAATACGCAGAGAGATCAGGGGGGCCCGATGTTTCGAAGAAGGAGGCCGAGATTAGCACACCGTCCATTCAATTACCACAGAGGAGGAGGAAGAAGATTGTATGGAAGGGTAAAGCATGTGTTATCGATATACCGGTCGATGATCCTCGTGGGACTGAAGCATCTGGTCAACATATTATGAAGCCCGAGGAGGTTGAGGCTCGATTAAAACAGTGGGAGGAACAAGGTTATGACGTTCGAGGATTCACCATTGGTGATGTGCACGACACCGCCGAACCAACTGAACTGGGCAGTTTGACTCGTCCTTTATATCCGGATCCAGCTGAGACGCACGACGAGGGCAAGGCTCAACCCGCCTTCATCCGTTTCCCCGACAAGGCCGTATGGGATTCCTATGTGGCTCACTTGCAGGAGGAGAAACTTCGGGCTCTTGGTGTCTCCTTTGGTGACGATGAACCGGGTCCTTCCATTTCTCCCGCCTCTGGATCCATGAACAATTCGCAAACGCCATTCCCCGGCTTGGTAGCATCGCCGCCCATTCCCAGCGCATCCTCTGCAAGCAATCCGCTTGGCGGTATCCATCCCTTCTCACCTCAATTTGGCCAATCCACTGGAGCTGGTGGTATTGGGTCTCTGGCCTCGCCGGCATCGCAATTCAGCGTGCAGACGCCGTTTATGGGCATGAATGGCATGGATCAGAATATGATTTCTGGCTTCCCATTCCAGTACCAGCCTACGCCACCCGCCCAGGGAGCTATGACCCCACAAAGCCTGATCAACATCCGACAAGCAAATGGCTCTGTTGGTCCAGCTGGGCTCCATAATTTCACTTCGATGATGTCGCCTGTATCGCCGATGCATGACCAAGTCCCATTCCATTCAGCCTTTAACGATGGGTTCCAAGAGAAGGAGATTTATAACGACCGCTTTGGAAATGAGGTTTATGAGGATGGTCCTCCATTCCCAACTCCTCAGACTCCTGTCAACGATCCGAGCCAGTTCCACGCTTCTAACGTAGAGATTGCTCACCCGACGCCCCGCGGCCATGGCCACAACTTGAGTGAGACTCTGCAGAGAGGTCTTGAAAATATGACACAACCCGAATATCGCTTGAACCACCCTATCGAGCACAGCATGGAAACAGATGAGCATGACGCAAGTCACCACGATCTCAATGCCAATATTCTCAAGTCCCGCTGGGCCTTACCGGAGAATCATGCTCACCACCAGGTTCAAAATGGGCCCTCTCAAGCGGCGCACTCGTTCGCCCAGCACCCTCACCAGTTTTACAATGAGCAATATGCTCACGATAATGCCCATGAGGGCTCTGACTTTGATACCAACCCTAGCATTACAGGGACTCCTCAGACTCGGGGTGCGCAGCCAAATCAAGGGCCATGGCACGAGGCGAAGCCAAGCGCTGGCTCTTTCCGCGGTCACCACTCCAGGCTATCTACTTCATCTTTCAATGTCGAAGCCAAGGAGTTTGACCCTACCGCTTCTTTCGGATCCCAGCCCGCCCCATTCGTCAATCCTGCGTTCCAATTTGGAGGTGTCGAACAGCCCGGTTATGGCTTTGCTCCCGCAACTTCTTTCCCTCCTCCTGGCATTACGAATGCGCCCATGAATCCCAACCCGAACCCGGAGCCCAAACCGAAATCCAGCTTCAAGTTTTCGGCTGCGTCATTTAACGTGGATGCGCCTGTTTTCAACCCGTCTGCTAGCATCACCTCAAATCATACCGCTAAGCAGCCATCTGAGAGCCGGGCAAAGATTTTCGGTGATATTGATATCTCTGAAATGCCAAAGGGAAGCAAGGAGTCTAAGGCTGTTCCTATCGTACGACCGGATGATGAAGTTGAAATCAAGGAAGAAGAGAATGAACAAGAGACTCATGAGGATGTTGAGGGACGACCAGTGCCAACTGATCGTCACAAGCGCGCTCGCCGAGCTGTTGGCCATGCTGAAGGCGAGGCCCGCTACAGCATTTCAACCCACCCTCTGGGCGAGTCCGGCAACGCTCAAGCATCCAACACGCTCCAGAATGTCGCAGAAGGCAAGGAGAATTCTTTCCCTGGGGACATTGACAATATCAGTCACAAGCGGACCGAGCGCGATGGCACTCCCGACAGCGAGGCGGATACCTGGACTCTATTCGATGCCCAGCGCGATGCTGATGCGCGATCTCACTCTTCAACTCCTGGCCCCGAGGAGCAGTCCAAGAACGTCACGGAGTCTATTGAGGAGACTGGACTGGAACAGTCAGGCGACGCTCCTGTGGGTCACTCATCGCAAGAATCCCAGGACAAGAACATGCTTTCTGCCACGGCTAAACCCTTCGAATTCAAGCCTGTTGTTTCCTCTTTCTCGCCGAGCGGTATCAAACCCCCCAACTTTGGAGAACAAAGCCCCTCATTACGAAAGTCAGAGGATCAGCAAGATGAGAAGAAGCAGAAGAGTGGTCTCTTTGCTTCTCGCTTCGCTACTTCTAGCCCACCAAAATCGCACCCTCGTCCTCTCTCACAAACCATTGCGCTATTCCAGGAACCGGAGACTCTCACTGCTCAGCAGAAGCTCGAATACTACCGCGAATCTGCGGATGAATCCCCCGATGATGATGAGCTCAACGCAATCATGGAGCAGCTCAACGATGACTCAGATGTGGGTATTGAGCGCCAGGCAACCCCTCTCCCTCTCACCACGCCCCTTCCTCGCCAATACATCTCCGAGTCTGTCGGTGGACCGACCAAGGAACGACCGTTTGGCTCTGCAGAGGGCAGAAGCGAAGCCCCCAGCCCCAGTCCCGGTGGTGGTCACAAGTCCTACAGGCTTGATATCCCCAAGCTTGGCTCAGACATCGATGCTCAAAGCACTGGCAATTTCTCTCCGGTCAAGAGTCTCATCTCTCGCATCCAGTCTCCCGTGCGTCAACTCATTACTGAGAACGACCATGTCAGCGATTGGGACGATATGATATCCTCTGGTGAGGATGAGAAGTTCTTCAACCGCAACCGCTTCTTCGACCGTCGCATCAATGACATCGTTGGTTCCGCTATTGATGATCGTCTGAGTCCAATGGAGCGCGCTTTGGCTGTCATCCAGCAATCTGTTGCCTCCCTCGCCACTGGCGCTGCTACTCGGAGGGTCTTGCGCAGTACATCTGCCGAACTGGAAGACAGCGATGCTGATGACGAGGATGACGGCGAGGAGGCGCACGAGACATCGTCTAGAGACCGTTCGCCCCACCATATGCGTGACCGCAAGGTTGAGATGTTGAAGAGCATTGTCATGGAGGCTCTTGTCACCCATGATATGCCTCACCGCTCGGCTCCTCACTCCAGCCACAGTGAAATGGCTCTGCTCAAGGAAAGTATTGCTGAGCTCCAGGCTTTGACCATCAAGAAGCTTGCACAGGATCCTGTCGGTGACATGCGCGAGATTCTCGAGGAGACGCTTGCTAGGCAATTGGCCCAGCAAACTCCGCGCTTGTCTGAAGCCGAAGAGATCGGCGCGGATAGCCTCATGCTCCAGATCGATGGTCTTAAGAGCATGTTGCGACTTGCTGATGAGCGCTCCGAGCAGGAATACAGAGCACGTCGTGAGGCACAGGAATCTATTGGTGAACTCCAAAGCCTGCTCAAGCTCGCCGAAGAGGATGCTGCGCGTCACAGTGCCGCCGCTGAAGATGCCGAGGCTCGCTTCCTCTACTTCAAGGAGGAGAAGATTCCTCATCTCGAGAAGATGCAGTTCCGATCCGAGTCCCTTGCGGAGGAGAATGAGACTCTCAAGGTTACCCTTGCTGAGCTTTCTTCCAAGAACATCGCTCTTGAAGGCACCCTGGATGAGTACCGTGTTACCAGCGACCACTTCCGTCGTCAACTGGAGACCACCAAGGACGAGAACAAGTCTCTTCATGAGACTGTTGATCACCTACGTACTCGCATTGAGGACAGCATGCATGCTCGCCAGAATCTCACCGAGAAGTTTGACCGTTTGCAATCTGACATGGTCACTGTTACTTCCGAAGTTGTTCAGGACCAAGCTGCTGCCCGTCGCAGGGCAGAAGACCAGACTGCCAAGCACAACGAATTGCGCGCAGCCCATGCTCGTGAGATCAAGCTCCGTGAGCAACTCGAGCAAGATGTGCGTGAGTTTGAGGTGCGTGAGAGAGAAGCCGCCAAGATCAAGTTCGTCCACGAGCAGTCTCTACAGGAGAACAGTCGTTTGGAGGAGATCATTGCCAATTTGCGTGCCGAGAACCAGGACTTGCAATTGAAGTCAGCCCGTTTCGAGCGGGAGTTCAACGATGCCCGCGAGAGCGGCATTATTGAAGTCCAGCGCACTCGTACTTCTATGGAAGCGGATCTTGAGGCTGCCAATAGCCAAGTCAACATTGTCCGCGCCGAGCTGGAGGCCCAGATTATTCGTCTCCAGAGCCAGGTCGATCATATTAGCATGAATGCCGATACTTCTCGGGAGCGCTACGAAATGCTCCTCGAGGACGCCAATGACTCGAAGGTCACTGCCATGTCCATTGCCAAGGAATCCCGGGAGACTGCCCTCGAGGACCAGCGCAAGACACATGAACGGGTTCTGAACGATCTCCGCGAGCGCCACGCCCGTGCCCTGCACAACTCCTCCGAGGATCGCCAGCGTGGTGAGGCTCGTACTGAGGAGCGTCTGGCTCTCGCAGGCGAGAAGGTCATTCATCTTCAGGACCGTGTGCAACATCTGGAGGAGAAGCTTGAGATTGCACAGTCTGCTGCTCGTGCTGCTGCCGAGGCAGCCCAGAAGGCTGGTTCAGCTCCTATCACTGTTCCGGCGCCTGCACCTGTACACGCACACTCCTCTTCGCCTTCCATGTCTTTCAACAAGGGATCCAATGAGCCTGATAAGATCTCCCCGCAGGCTCTTCGTGAGTCTATCTTTGTGCTCCAAGATCAGCTTCAGCAACGCGAGACCCGCATTGAGGAGCTTGAGCAAGAGGTTGCGTCAGTGGACAAGGATGCTCCCAACAAGATCAAAGAACGAGACAGTGAGATCACTTGGCTTCGCGAAGTGCTCGGTGTTCGTATCGATGACCTGCAAGACATTATCAAGACCCTCTCACAGCCTTCCTTCAATCAACATGCCGTGCGCGATGCAGCTATCCGTCTGAAGGCAAACTTACAGATGCAACAGCAGGAGCGGGAACGTGCCATGTCTGGACCGACTCTCCCATCGCTTCAATCCATCGCCGCATCCCCCCGGTCCCTTCCTCTCGCTGCTGCCGCAGCTTGGGGAAACTGGCGCAAAGGCAGAGAGAATGCCAACGGAGGCAATAGTCCATCAGAACAGACTCCATCCAAGTCCAGCAATGCGAGTGCCTTCCTCTCTGGTTTGCTGACTCCCCCAAGCTCGCACGTCCGTCAGAATGCCCCTCACGCCTCTGCTCCGGTGCGCTCATACGCCGAAACCCGGCCACTAAGGGGATTCAGTTCTCCTCGTCGCGACTCAGTTCGGTCTGAAGCACCTATTCCGGAACCACCAAAGACCCCTCCACTTCTCCGTCGCTCAAGCTATGACCATGATGCAGAGCCGGCCAACTACGAAGGAGACAGCTTTGCTACCGATGATATCGAGAGCACTGTTGGCGGTATGGTCTCAGCTTCTCCCAAAGAGACTGGTGAAGAAGGTCCCTTTGGCCCGCAGATATCTTCTGATACTGAAGAGGGTTCCGACGAGACTGAAGATTGATTGAGGTCTTTTCCGTCCTGCATTTCACCTTGATTGCCCTGGATTTCATCTTTTGCCTAGATTGCCGTGAAAAATTATGCCCCATTTCTGTTCTCTTTGCTTTTAGCAATTCCATTCAGTCAACGTGTCTTGATATCTTGGATTTTGCTTCTCTTTGCTTCTCTTTGCTGCTTATGTTTCCGGCGTTCTTATTTCTATCCCTCCTCCTTCACACTACAACCTGCCACTCTTTGAACCGCACATACATCTTCTCTTCGACTCAGATCTGTGATTTTTTAACGTCCTTTCGGATTTGATACCACCCTGTGTTTTAGTTTTATCCTTTTATCTCTTTCTTTTGAACATCTTGTCCGCGGTGACAATTTGGTATCCCTGTACATTTGTCTTGCATTTTCAAATAACCGTTCGCTCACCCTTTACGCTATACTACACTCCTCTTCATGTCCCATCTTTTACCCACATATTAATAGCTAAACACACTCTCTTTCACATTGTTCTATATTATTAAAGACTTTCAAATTTTGCTTTTTTTGTTCGGTGCAGTACCAGTTATACACCTCCAGCTTATGTACACGCGTTGACTCGTTCACTTCGTTTCATTTAGCATATCCTCATATTAACAACAGCTAGCTGTTGAAAATTTCTAGAAATGGCTCTATCGTGTGCTTACATGCATTGTGCTTTCACCTTCTTTCATAACTTCGCATCATGATTCCACCCCGGCATATCAGCAAGATCTTTCGCCGGTGCACTCCGCCTCGACTTCAGTGCATCGCCCCCAGGTCTCCATCGCCACTCATAAGCCAGCTCCTCCGATAAAGAGCTTTCCACCAGCTCAACAACGTGCTTGCCAATATTCGGCAGAAGCTTGAAGCTATGTCTGTAGCACGGGGAAAAAATTAGCATTAGGCCATTCGCGTTGGTTATCATCTGCTTTCCTTACCCGCTATCCCCAGTTGCCAAGATGAAGTTCTTCCACCGTGGATGCTCACAGATCAACAAATTAGCATCCGCAGTATCGGTACACCAGCACATAGCTCGATTAAAGAGTTCTTTGTGCGTAAACTGCGGCATAAACCTCTCTATCGCTTTCCGGATTGTGATCTCTGATGCATCGGGGTATGTATCGGTTGGGTGCTTGGCGTGTGATCGAGGCACAGAGATGAGTTTTGGAGAGGAAGCTCCATATGGCTGATGCTGCTTGAAGCGAGAAAACCCGGGAAACTCATCGCAAACTTTGATCACCCCGTACTCATTAGGCTCGAAAAAGAAGCCATATTCTCCATCGTATACAACAGGGATACTCTTGTACTCGGATACCTCCTCAGGTGTAAGTTGGATATGTGCATAGACCCAGGCCTGAAGGTTGGTTCTTGGTCAGTGAGTGGTAGGTAGAATGAATGGTCGGTCAAAGGAGATTTTGCTCACTGACTTTGGAAACACATTGGTCCTCCAAATCAACTAGTGTTGGACTCCATGCACCGGCAGCTAGAATTACCTTATCGGCGTGGTAAATTTTTCCGTCTACCGTCTCTATACCGATGCATGTTGTTCCATCGGTCGCGAATAGGGGTCGCTTGAACGTTCCAGCCCTGTTCCTGTGTTAATATAACGAGCAATAGGGGGGAAGACATTGCTCTCAACATACCCCCCAAAGCCAAAATTGACGCCTTGGCTTTTCAAGAAGTGTCCTATCGCATGGATGGCCTTGGCAGCCGCAAGCCAGCCTCCGTCGCTGCAGTATAAGCCTTTCCATCCCTAAATCCCAAAATTGGTGAGAAAGATTCGATTTAGTTCCAAAAAAAAAAAAAAGAAGAAGAGGTACCTTAGTTTGTTCTTCTGTGAAGGGGCGAACTTTTGCCCGAATCTCCTCCCCATGATCTAACCAGGTATTTGTCTTTTCAAGTCCGATCCCCGCATCAACGAGAGTTTGATACTTGCGTTCAAGACCCTTAATACCTTCTTCTGAAGAGGAGCAGTCAATCTAAAATACATGTCAACGTCAACCACTAGAACTGTCCATGTTCTATCGTCCCACTACTTACCATCCCGACCTGATGAAAGAACGGCTTGAAAAACGGATCATTCTTCCACATATCAAGCGCTTCCAATGAAAGCTGTAGATCGGCCGCGTTGCGCAGTCGTATACTCATGATCTTGTTGAGATCATATCCGGCAGATTGGGGGGACGGAATCGGATATACATCAAGCACGGTGATGTTTGATGGCGTGTACCCTGAGCGCAGGAGGTGAAGGGCTGTTGATGAGCCTATTGTGCCGCCTCCACCGACGACTATTACTTTCGTTGTTTTGCGAGAATACGCCATGTTGATTGTTAGGATAAGTATGCCAGCTGGGATGTATGATTGTAAGTTATTATTTCACTTCCAGAGGACGACGACTTTGAAACGACCAAGAATTGACCAAAGCTTCGTCTGCATCGCGCCATGTTGATAAAGCTTTGGAGAATAGATGCTAGATACGGGTGAGTCAAGCGAGCGATCTCTATTGGTGGGAATTGGCTTAGCGTGTGTAGCCTCGGAGCGGAGAGGGGAACACTAGCGCACGCTTTTCGCGTGGACCTTCTATCATGCAGAGGAACTAGAGGAGAGCCTTGGCAGAGCAATGCTTTTATCGAGAAACCGCTAAGCTTATCTCTTTATCTACGTTGGAGTCAAGGTGGAGAAAATGGGGTATCTTCCCCAGCTTTTGTTTTGCCCATACACTCGGTTGATAAAGGTGTTCCACTTGCCCAATCACCGTCACTGCCTTGAAACTAGCATATACTCGCATTTTCGGGGTCACAAACCATTTGAAGCCTTTCTTTCGCCTGGACCTTCAATGGGCTCGGAGAAAGTCCGTGCCCATATATGGCGGAAGTTGGAACAGCTGAGCTCTCCGACTGGGAGAGCGTCTGAAGTTCGATTTTAGCGTGGAGTGGCTATGGAGATCATGTATAAGTATAAGTCATCGCTCCCCCCTACATGGCTAGGATGATATGTTCGGTACTCGCAAGTGCTTATTTGGGTCATATAGACGCTCATCATGGCCGACTCGAAAACTGCGGTTTCGAAACCCACTCTATACAATGATACCATCCCTGATGTGGCAACAGGCACATACGACAACCATCATGTCGACATGGAGCATTATAGATCTACCGTTCCGCTCTGGAAGCGAGTGTGGCAGCACAGCTTAACACAAATGATACTTTTGAGCATCCAGGCTTTTTGTGGGCCAGCCATGTCTGATGCGATCACCGGTCTTGGTGGTGGTGGACTCGCGACTCCTCAAGTATCGAATATTTGCACCGCCATCACTTACGCCCTTCTTGCTGTTGGTATGTGTACAGATCCTACAGCCGGGATGACGCGGGAAAGCTAATGAGATTAAATGAATGCTTTAGTCTGCTTCATGGGTGGTCCCATTGTGAACAATATTGGCGTCAAATGGGCCCTTGTCATCGGCGCAATGTCCTTTCCGATCCAGGGGTCTGCATACTATTGTAACAGCAAGTTCGGGAACCAATGGGTGAGTGGTGACTTTTTTTGGGCAAGAGCCTTTTGTGTATAATATCTGACGACAAGATATTTCTCTTAAGTACCTCATTCTCAGTGGAGCTATCAGTGGTATAGGGACCGCTTGCTGGTATGTCGCTGAGGCCGGAGCAATCATGACACTTGCTCCTTCTGGTGCACGGGGCAAATACCTCGCTTTGTGGATTGTGTCGCGAAATCTTGGGCAGCTAGTTGGAGGTGCAATCAAGTAAGTTACTAAGAGCTTCGGCAGTGATAGAAGGGATGGATGAATTTCCCGCTAACGGCTTTCTGCTAGCCTGTCCAAAAATCACGATCAAGGAGATAGCGGCGGTGTTACCCCAAATACATACCTTGCTTTCGTTATTATTGAGTCTCTTGCGTGAGTGGAGTCGCAAGTCGAAAAAGTTTCGAGGGCTTTTGTATTCTGACTTTTTACAGTCTACCGTTTGCATTGTTGATCATGCCTTTTCAACATGTTGTCAGATCCGATGGCACGAAGATCATCACTGCAGAAACTCTGTCTACCAAGCAAGAGTTCAAGCGCATCTGGAAGACCATCACCTCAAAGCTTATCATGCTTTCTGCACTCTGGGCACTATGGTCGTTTTTCTACAGGTAGGACCGCTGAATACACCCCTGGAGATACGAGAAGATACTAGTACTAACGAATGACAAGCGGCACCTGGTCCACCTACTTGGGAACCTATTTCTCTGTCCGTGCCCGCGCTCTGTCATCGCTCATTTCGCCTCTCTTCTGCATGTAAGTCTCTCTAATATCTGAAGGAACTATGTCTAGAATTAACGTGACACCTCTCTCAGCGTCGGCTGCTTCGGCCTTGGATTCATCCTCGATATGAAATCCGTCAGCCAGCGCCGTCGCGCCCAGATCGGCCTTTACACAGTCGTCATTCTCAATGTTGGCGTATACATCTGGTCTATAATCATGCAAACGAAGTTCGACCGCAATGACCCTGGAGATATTGATTGGAGCGACAGCCTATACCCCTCAGCTTTTCTGCCGTATTTCTTCGTCCAGACTACGGGCCCCTTATCGCAGTCATACATGTATTGGCTTATCTCATCCTTTGGAACAGATGCGCAAGGTATGTTTGCCAGTCTATTTTTTTACTGTGTTGATACTAAGTACTATGGTAGAAAATGTTCGAAATGGTGCCGCATTCAGATGCATCGAAGCTGTTGGCCAGGCTATTGCCTACGGTATTAACACTCAGACGAGCAACATTCTCGTTGGATTGTATGTTTCCAAATTTGATCTCTATCTCGCGTCACGGACAAAATTGGCTAACTGAGATTTTAGTTCTGTTACGTTTGGGTTGCTCGCACTTGCTTTATTGCCCATGAATATGCTGGTGAATACTACACCAGATCGCATTCCTGCCGACCTTGTTGCCGAGCAGCAAGATGCAGCGCAGGGAAAGATTGAGGTCTAATAGAGTTGACCTTAGAATACATTTTGCTAGTGTTCCAAAGTTCTTTCAAAGTTCTTTCAAAGCATTGCTACTAACTCGGGCCTGTTTATCTCGGTGATGACTTATTATAGACGGATCTTATATGCACAAAGGTTACCTTGGAACCACCCAACCATTCAATATTTAGAACAATAGGATCATTTTTGGATTTCGAACAAAGAAGTCCTTAGAAGCACTTGAACATTAGTTATTGGCTGATAAGTTCAATACCATTGCGGCGGCCGATACCCGCCACCCCTCTGCCATCAATAACCCAATCTCAACTTTCCGACCTGCAGAAAGTAAATTACGAGTAATTCCAAAATCATATTTGTTTTGGAACTCCATTATATGCAGCGCTACATTATGAATTAAATCCTTAAGCTCCGTTATATATACCGCTCTATTATATATTATATTACTCCCTTTTCTCCAACATTGATTGAAGCAAATCATCACAATAACTAGCAAGAAAGCTTGAGAGGCGGAGATCCCAGTCGCGTCAATTAATCCATTCTCAAGTCTCCAGACTTCTCAAGTCTACTCTTAAGCCTATTCTTGAGTCTATTATCGAGTCTATTCTCAAGTCTCTTCTCAAGTCTCTCGCCCGAAGAATTCAAAGCCGTCGTCGAGCTTATTGCTGACTGCGCGTCGGACATCAAGACACGAACCATGCTTACCGCACAGCGTGCCTCAATTGATTACCAGCTCACAGTGCTCAACACAAACGTGACCGTTAAGATGGCGAACGTCAACAACGCGATCACGAATGTGGTCGACCCCGACCTTCGAGCGGCAGCGACCGAGCTGGCGAGGCCAATGATGGAGCGTGCTGCGTGAGGCACTTTGATCGTTCCTTTCATTCACTCCAGATTGTTGTACTTCTACTTTTCATTTCGCTTGCTTCAAATTGCTCTGCTTTCGTTCGTTCTCAAATTGTACTGGTTCGTTTACCATGTTTACTCAAATTGATTGCTATGTTCTTTCTTCATGCTGGGACAGCATTTTGTCCCAAGTTCCAACCGAGGATCTATTACCCGGCCACCCCTATTGGGTCACCCCTATTGTTATCTGCCGGGCACCACCGCCCTTATATCACATGATAGCGTGTATCTTAGCGGGCAATCGCCCGATCATAGTTAGGGAATGCATGCATGTACCGACTTACGCTTACAACGTAATAGTTGGTAGCATGTCTCAAGTCTCTTCTCAAGTCTCTTCTCAAGTCTATTATAAAAGTAACCCATATTTAAATCAATCAAATTCCTTAAGGAATTCTTATGTATAATAAATACAATACGGGCAAGAAACAGGGCGATAAAGCTAGAAATCCAAATTGGGTTATGGCAGAGGGGTGGCTGGCGGGTATCGGCCGCCGTAAATACCATGGATTCATTGATACCAGTAGGTACAAAACAAAGAGGTTCATACATAGACTCGAGTTCCAGATGGGGCTAACAATAGAAGGAATAGCTTTGTATTCAATGTTTCGTATTAAATTTGTCCACCTCACCTTCAAATCACCTAAAAATATCCCCTTTCATTGAATACACTTAATCCGGAATCATCTTCAATGTTCAACCCAACTCAAGATGATACCTCTCGAGGCCTACATAATATGTATAAAAGCAACTCTGCTCACCACCAGGACTCTCTATCAATCAATCATCACAATTACGATCTCAAATCAACCTCCTCAATCTCAATCTGCTTTGGTCCCAGCTCAATAATCTCCAATCTCAAGTATACAAAATGGTCAACCAGAACCTGCCAGGCGTAGTTAGCCGAGGCATTTACTTCCATATCCGTTTTTCCTGGCACCGTGACATCCACCGTACAGACCTTGGACTAATTATATATGCTCGTCGCGGCATCGCAGCCGGATACGGCTGGTTTGATCTGGAGCCCATGCCTGACCAGTTCCTATTGAATACTGGTGAGCCGGTTCTGAGCTTCCACGTGAATGGACCTTTCATGGATGAGCCGGACCAGTTGCGGGCTGCTGACAATGTCCTGGCACGGTGGGAGGCTGACCTTCGGGCTGGTCTTCCACTTGCCTTTGACCGCGGCGAGCTTTTCCTTGAGGAAGGAGGCACGCGGAACTATGTGGTTGTTCCTGATATGCGCGAGGTGGAGTATTATTGAGCACCTCTCCCACTCCACATTTTTCTATGTTAATTGGACTTTGGTTCAGTTGACTTCATATATTTCAACTTTACACCATTTGAGCCTGGTCCAGGTGGCCCTTTACCCTTGGGAGAAATCACAGGCTTTGATTTATAGCTTGTTGGGAGAGGCAAATCCAGTGATGATGTTGAGATTTATATGTATGAATCTTGACATTGGGAGTTTTCGAATGGGCGACCTTCTTGACCTTGGAGAAAGACACATTTGAATGCCTAGCGCTTTCAAATTTTTATCGTGATTATTTATAGAGAAGAGTTCCGAATCTGATAATTCAATGTTTCAACATTTGAAACTTCTTTTTACCTAACCTTGGAAGTAGAGCTAAGATTAATACATCAATTACCTATTTATCTCCGTGTTTTGGTAGGTTAGTAGGCTACATGCATGTGTACAGACTGCTTAACTAGGTTTAACATATTGTTAGCAAATGAAATAAGTTCAATGTTGAGAACAAGCATCATAGGAATATACATCGCCTAGTCAGAGAATTTATAATAATATTTCAGTTTTGAATCTGGGTTTTCAGCGATCAACTGTCTTTTCGAAACCCAAAATTTGAATCAAATCTCTTTAAAAAATCCAGTAGTCATGTCAATCATGTGAGAAAGATGAATGGATGAAGACTCATGAAGTACTACTGTTGCAAGTAGTTCTGAGCCTGAGGTGTTTACATGGTCCGAGCGTCTAATTCAAGATGGTCCGTGCGTATCCAATTGACACCTTTCGCGTTGGCCCAGACCAAGACTCTCCAAAAGATCCAATCCCGATCCCACCCCCGACCCGCCAATTCCACGACCGAACATATATCAGAGTCTCGAACCGATCACAAAAATGCGCTTCTCCGCAGCCACCCTCCTAGTCAGCGCGCTGGGGTGGTTCTCCGTCGCGACCGCACACACCATTCAGCTCAAGGCTCACTCCCGGGAATGTTTCCACGAAAGCCTGCACAAGGATGACTTGATGACAGTGACTTTCCAAGTCGGCGACAGAGAGTTTGGTGGAAGCGGGAACCTCGAGATTGATTTCTGGGTACGTCGATCCAGCATGTGCTCCGATCCCGAGCGAAGTGGTTGCAGGTGTTTTAGGAGAGCGAGCTAGCAGACCGCTCTTCATGGATACACGTCTAGAATCACGAAGCAGGGATCGGAGCTACAGGCGAAATGCGAAATCATGGATCCTCATTTCAGGCAAAGTTGGGAACTAATGTGCTGTGTGAACTATCTAGGTCGAGGACCCCCTGAGGAACCGCATGTACTACAAGCAAGCCATCTCGAACGAAGACTACTCTTTCACCGCACAAGCCGACGGCAAATACAACTACTGCTTCAGCAACGAGGGCTGGACCTCCAACTCGAAGGAGGTCTCCTTCAACGTTCATGGTATTGTTTACGTGCCGGAATCGGAGATGTCGCAGGATCCCTTGGAGGCGGAAGGTAAGACTGAAACAAGCCCATCCCCATATAATCCGAGTGAGGGGATTGCAAGAAGGAGGAGAACAATGGGCTGATCATGGTGGTCTAAATATCTAGTCCGCCGATTGTCCGAGGCCGTTTCACAGGTTAGAGATGAACAGGGGTACATTGTTGTTCGTGAGCGCGTGCACCGGAACACAGCCGAGAGCACCAACGGCCGAGTCAAGTGGTGGAGCACCTTCCAGTTGGCTGTTGTTATCGGAGAGGGTGTGTTCCAGGTGTGGTGGCTGAAGAGATTCTTCGAGGTAAGCTGCGTTCCATTCGAAAAGAAATAAGAGTCCGGATGCTAACAAATTATTGAATCAACAGGTCAAGCGCGTTGTCTAAGCACTCCCAATTTCTTTTCAACATTTGGATTTCGAACTTCGAACAAAAAGAATATGATATTGATATGAAATACTATTGTGTGGACGGCGATTATGGATTCCATGTAGATGTTGAAACGGCTGCATTTTTGGCGATCGCTTTTTTTCCCTTTCATATTCACCCTCCCCTTTTACAATCACGGTGTCATGCAAACATGCTTTCGATAGTTTAATATTATCTGTACTACCAGAGATGCTTGACCCGTGGGAGTTGTAGTTGCGTCTCCTGACAAGTGGAAGACGTATGCATTGCAGCATGAACCCCAAAGCCACGACGCGTTGATTTTCTGCGACCAGCCATCTGAGCTGCATTTACAACTGGCCTGATACAAAAGTCGAGGAATTGGGCCTAGATTGTACAGAAGATGGTCTGATTTCATCTTGACGCCCTATACTCGTTCCCAGTGCCCAAAGTTGCTATAAGACCGTCCGACCCCGCAATCCCAACCCCCAATTCACTTCCTACTCCTTTTGCTTTTTCGCCGGTACTTTTGATACCCTGTAAGGGGCCAGGCGCGCTTCGACGTAAAACTGCTGAACTGCGATGTTCCTTCTCAAGAACCACTCCGATTAAGTGTACCTTACATGAAACCCCCCTCCAAAACATCAACATAGGATCGGACATCAGACATGGCCCTCGATGAACGGCTCGGAGGCAACAAGACCGGCGCTTCAGTCGAATCCGATGGCAACGATTCTCTTTTCCACTTGTGCTGGGCACGACAATCTTGCTCGGATTGTTTGACAAATACCGACAGCTGCAGTTGGTGTGCTATTGTATGTGTGACCGTTTACCACATGTGTTGAACAAGAATGATGCATTGTCTTTTTCTCTTGTTACATATTATTGTTACTTCTCGTATATAATACGAGGCCATGGCGATACCTACTCATTTTTCTTCTTCAATCTTTTCTTGTCTATCAGCGTACATATTGGATTCATTCTGATTTTTTCCCTTCTTGTTTTCCATTGTTGCGCCACTGCATTCTGATGTTCACCTTGTCTTGTTTTCTGAGCCATCTTCCCCCTCTTTCCCTCCCCCTCTCTTCTCCCCTTGCATTCCAGTCCGCGGAATGGGTTTCAAGCCCCTACAATCTACCTTGTTGGATACATCATATTGCAATCGGTAGCACAGCTGACACAAGATGGCGATTAGTCATCTACCTGCGTCCCAAACCCAGGGAGAGCCCCCATACTAGCTCCTATCGGATCTGATCAAATCTGTCCGCTTGGGTCGAAAGAAAGATGGGATCTACGAGCGCGTCCGCTAGGATGTAATGTGAATACAGTGACTGTTTTATCGGTGATTGTATCTATAGCAGGGACCATGGCGTTGATCGGCATTGTCGTACTGATTACCTGGTTGGTGAGGCGCGTGCGACGGAGATTGAAACAGACGGAGTATGAGCGGTTGGACGATGAACCCCAGGACTCATCTTGGGCTGGGTGGCTCGATCTGGGTACGCTGTTTTCATTGGCCGGCTTATTTGGCCAGGGGGAGACGCAGATGCAGACGCAGGGGGAAGAGGCGAATCAAGCGTTGGCGGAGGAAGGACAGGACGATCCGGAGACCAGGCCGTTGCTTGCGTAGTCGTTCGTTCGTTCTTATTATGTGCATACATAAACATTAAATATGGGACCAATAAAAAAGCTATGTTTTCTTCTTTAATTGTACAATAAATTTGTATTTTTAATAAATGATCACTTTTTTCAAGTGCGGACGACCCATAGAGGGGTAAAAATACTTGAAATTCGAGACTAGACATACAATACAAATAAAAAATCACAAATAAGTGTCCTATCGACGATCCCAGGATCTACGCCACGGAGATGATCATATCTCTGACGATACGAGTGAGATCCAAGAGAGTCTCCTTGGTTCGCGGAATAGCATGACCACCACCGTGATCAAACAAATCGGCGGTATCGGGATCACACACATTATAGAGTGCCATCGATCCATCGAGGAATGGATCAGCGGCACCAACAACATGACAGGTAGGAATCGTGATGACTTCACTATCGTACTCGTCCGCCAAAACAATGCTACCAGTGACCGGATCCTTGGGTGGCCAACCACACATGAAAACCGCGCATTTGAGCCGAGGAATGCGCCCGGTTTCCCTTCGCAGTCGCTCCTCCTCCAGAATGAGCGAAGCCGCGATCTCAGCACCCTCGGAGTAACCGAGAACCCCTTCAATCTCAATATCGTTGTCTAGCATTTGGATGAGGCGACTCATGGCTTCTTTGATAATAGAGAAACTGGGGTTTCCCGCCTTTTCAACTGCGTATTTCATGGTAGCTTCGGGTGTCTCGCGCCGAGGGAAGTCGCGCATGTTGAATTGCACCAGCTCGGGGAAGTCGACTTGCGTGAAAGTAAAATTTGGAGGCGGACCAAAGAACCCCTGGAACTCTGGAGGGGGGTAGACTGGAGATGTTCCCTGAGTGAAGGAGAAGTTGGCTTCTCCGCTTGATCTCAAGGCATCGCAGAATGGGCCTAAGATTCATGCGCATAAGTTACTATGACTGGTAGTTGAAACCACAAGGATTTTCGCAGATTGATGAGCTTACCGAGCTGCGTTGCTAGGGCCTACAAAGGTTGTGATTAGCCCGAGAATTCTATGCCAAAAGAAGAGTTTGGGGAAATGTATGTACCTTGGAGTTGGAGTAGCCTCCGGGTAGGCAAAGGAACTTCATGACGGCGTTAATAGGGTTAGAATCAGCAAGAGGATCAAAAAAGTGGAAGTGCGGGAATCAGGAACCGCGGGGCCTTCTATTGAAAGGCTTGCGTATGAAAGCTTATCAAGTTAATATGATGATGTTGATGACGATGAAGATTAAGTCCCCTTGCCCCCTCTCTCTCCCTGGAATGCTTCATGCACCCTCACGTTAGCAAGGGCAGGGGATTTGACTTGTTTTAATGGCAAGTGCTATGCAATGAGAGCGCCCCCCGGCCACAAAAAGGCGTAATCATTATGATCGTGTGCTCAGATCCTCCGAGTCAGACCTGCGCACTATAGTGGCGATCCACACAGGACCATCAGACTAGAGAACGAGGTATTTGACCTGGCTCTGCAGGGTGAATGTGAGAAAGGCACAGACTATAAGCATCCCTACCAATTCATGAAGCGTCCGGTATGGAACCTTGTAAGTTGACTATTGATCAAAGATCGACAGCCACACAACTGGCAAGCAAGGGCGGCTTTCCCACCACAAGCTCATGCCCTTCCTAATTCTCCAGAACATGTGGTTAAAAAACATCTGAACTTGTTCATATCTCATTCAGTAAAATATCTTCGTCTCTTTTCTCCGAAATCGATCTCGGAAAATTTGTGTCATTCCATTGTTTGTGGAATTCCACGGTCATTTCAGTGAAACGTATAGATTTGGACTTTTTGGACAGTGAGACGTGATCGACCGCAATCTAGATATGCATCTTCAACCACCCTTTGGGTCTGGTACACCAGTCCCCGATAACAACACGATGAAGGAAGAGGAGGTGGTGGGCGACGCTCCGAAGCGCATGGCCATTATCGGCATGGCCTGTCGTCTTCCGGGACAGGTTTCCACGGCCGACGATCTATGGGATTTATGTTCAAGAGGAAAAAGCCCTTGGTCGGAGGTGCCTAAGGGCCGATTCAACACGCATTCATTCTATCACCCGAATCCAGACCGACCCGGCTCATACAACGCGCAAGGCGCCCACTTCTTGAAGGAAGATGTTGGGCTATTCGATGCCCCGTTCTTCAATATCACCCTTCAAGAAGCGCGCACAATGGACCCGCAACAGCGCATCCTCCTTGAATGCACATATGAAGCGCTCGAGAACGCAGGTGTCCCGGTAACCTCGATCGCGGGTGGAAATGTGGGTGTGTTCGCAGGTGCATCCTATCCAGATTATGACGCCAACAATTGTATGGATATCGACTCGATCCCGATGTATGCGGGCACTGGATGTGCAGGTGCTTTGCAGTCAAACCGCATTTCATACTATTTCGACTTCCACGGACCCAGCATTACTGTCGATACTGCGTGTTCCTCTAGTTTGGCAGCTTTGCATTTGGCCAGCCAGAGTATTCGAAATGGAGATTGTAGCATGGCGATTGTTGCGGGGTGTCACTTGAATTTGCTGCCTCAGGCATTCGTTATCATGACGCGGGCCAGGTGAGATTGTTATCTTCCAGTCGCGTCAGGGGAGGACTACCATTTCCGAAGACTAACATGATCGCTTCCACAGATTGCTTGCCGATTCCGGAAGATCGTATGCGTTCGATGACCGGGCCAGTGGATTTGGCCGCGGAGAAGGCGCAGGTTGTATTATATTGAAATCATTGGAGGATGCCGAAGCTGCCGGCGATGCTATCCGTTCGGTACTCGTGAACAGCGGTACAAACCAAGATGGCCGAACGCGTGGTATTACCATGCCGAACAGCGAGGCACAGGAGAAATTGATACGCGACATTTACAAAGCTGCACATATCGATCCATTTTTGACCGGCTATGTGGAAGCTCATGGCACCGGTACCAAAGTTGGAGACCCTCTGGAGGCTAGGGCGTTGAATGCAGTCTTTGGAAAAGGACGCACCCCAAAACAACCACTGTTTGTTGGCTCTCTGAAGTCCAATGTGGGGCATCTGGAAGGGTCCAGCGGTATTGTGTCCGTGATCAAGACGACATTAATGCTGGAACGTGGTTTCGTGCTTCCCAATGCGAACTTCGAAAACCCGAATGAGGAGATTCCCATGGATAAGTGGAACATGAAGGTAAGGAACATCGGAATTCATTAAAGCCGAGCATTGATTTAACGAGTTCCTCGCAGATTCCGAAGAAGCTCGTTCCTTGGCCGAGAGGCAAGACCTACGCTAGCGTGAATAACTTTGGATTTGGCGGGTCAAATGCCCATGTTATTCTTGAGCGCGGTCCTGTAAATGGTGGTGAAGGAGCTGTAAATGAAGACCCTCTCACGCGGAGGGTGTATGTATTATCTGGTTACGACAAACAGGCAGCGGCGAAGTTGGGCGATGAAATCGGCTCGTACTTGCATCGCCACCCCCCAATTTTCACCGATAGACTGATAGACAACATGGCCTACACATTGGGCCAGCGCCGAACCCACTTCAATTGGCGCATGGCTGTCTCAGCTTCCAATCACACAGAATTAATTGATTTCTTGGCAACTGCCAAGGAACCTGTTCGTTCTACAGGAGAGCCCACAGTCGGCTTTGTCTTTACTGGCCAAGGCGCACAGTGGCATGGAATGGGCAAGGAGCTCCTCAAAGAGTACCCGGTCTTCCAAAAGACCATGCAGGATTTCGATATCTGCTTGAAAACTCTTGGTGCTACATTCTCGATCATTGGTATGTCATCGACCTGATAGTTTGTCCTACAAAATGCTGACTCCTCGTCTAGATGAACTTGAACTGGAGGATCCGAATGCAAGCTCCATTTCTGCGGCGTATATGAGTCAACCAGCGTGTACTGCGGTCCAGCTGGCTTTGGTAGACTTATTGTCGTCATGGGGTATCCATCCCAACGCAGTTGTTGGCCACTCTAGTGGTGAAATCGCTGCGGCTTATGCTGCCAATATCTTGACACTCGAAGAATGTGCGCGCATTGCATACTGTCGAGGTGTCGCAGCTGATCTGGTTGCAAAGGATACAGCTGTCCAAGGTGCTATGTTAGCGGTTGGAGCAAATGCCGGAGAGATCCAGCAGATCCTGGACGCGATGAGAGGACAGAGAGCTGTAATTGCATGTGTCAACAGTGACTCCAGCGTCACATTGTCCGGTGACAGAGATGTCATTACTGATCTACAGACTGCTCTCGATAAAGAAGGAATTTTCACACGGAAGCTCCTTGTCGATGTTGCGTATCATTCCCACCACATGCAAACAGTCTCGCAACAATATCGGTCTTTACTTGGAAAGATTTCCCCTCGCCTATCGGAGATTCCATTCCACTCAACTGTTCATGGAAAACTGGTGCCAGGAACTGCACTAGATGCTTCATATTGGGTTGAAAATCTGGTTTCCCGTGTAGAGTTTGTGAAGGGAGTCCAGAGTCTTCTCACTACAACTTCGCCGGGCGGTAAAATTGATACCCTCGTTGAAGTTGGTCCTCATCCCGCTCTTCAGAATCCTGTGAAGGACATCGTCAAACTACATGACGCAAAACGCACAATGCACTTTGCACATACCCTTCAGCGCAAGTTGACCGGAGTAGAAGCCATTCAACAGCTCGCGGTAGCAATGTTCAACCGCGGGTTGAATCTGAACTTCCAAGAAGTCAACTTCCCCGACAAAACCTCCAGAAAGCCCCAGGTTCTGACGAATCTTCCAACATACCCCTGGAATCATTCCGAGAGCTACTGGTTTACCTCTCGGGTATCCAAGAACATTCTTCATTCGCCATTCCCACGAAACGACATCCTCGGTACAATCTGTTTGGACAATATTGACCTCGAGCCTCGATGGAGAAACACTGTTCGTGCAGACGACCATCCTTGGATCCGACAACATAGGGTTCAGGAAAACAATGTTTATCCCATGACTGGATACTTGTCAATGGCAATGGAAGCGATGGCTCAGCAAGCACATCTGCATCACGTGGTGCCAGACAAGGTTGAACTTCGAGATGTTTCTCTCAACCGTGTCCTCATGATTCCTGACACCGGGTCTGTGGAGACTATGTTCACCTTGCGGCCATCTCGGGCGGATTCCGGAAGATCTATTCTCGGCTGGCACGAGTTCAAAGTCTTTTCTTGGGCAGAGGGCCGTGGCTGGGACCAACACTGCACAGGTCATGTGATGGTTCATGAAAAGAAGGATGTCAATCCAGTCAATGGCTCGCGCCAACAGAGTATTACACGGAGTGAAATTGCGCGGATGATTTCTGAGCTACAATCTCTATGCTCTACAAAAATTGACCCGGATGTTCTTTACAATGATATCAGAAGCGGTGGTGTCGACTACGGCAAGCTTTTTGAAGGGCTGTCCAGGATTTCCGTAGGTCCGAATAACCAAGCATTGGCTAGCTTTGAGGTCCCAGATACAAAGACCTGGATGCCTAATGGCCACGAGACCGACTTAATTGCCCACCCAGCAACGCTTGATCTATGTTGCCAGATCATGTGGCCTATGCTCGGATTTGGCCAGCCAGGTCTCAAGCAAACACACGTTCCATCCCACCTTGACCGTGTAACACTGTCTTTGGATCGAAAACTTAGCGCCGGTACCGCCTTGCAGCTCTTTGGCGCTAGCTTGGTAGTTGAAACTCCTGCCACTCAGGGCGCCAACCGGATAATTGCTACCAGCGCAGAAAACTCCTCGGAGGTCATTCTAGACATGGATGGAATCACCCTGGTTCCGCTTTCAAATGACATGCCCGGTAGCAAAACCAATGCCCCGGAGCCAATTTGCTACAAGATACATTGGGAGCCTTGCTTTGACTTCCTTTCGAGGGAAAGTTATCGACAAATTCCTCGTGCCCAGGTCGATGATGGGAAGGGGGGACTGAGGACCCAAATGTTGGAAACCATGTCAGTTCACTGGCTTCGCCAGGTCTTGAAAGCTGTGCCCGAAGCAGAGTTCCCTCAGCTTCAAAGTCATCACCAAAAGTTTTACCGCTGGGCTCAAAAGACATGCGAAGCCGCACCTCCTTATGATATTACCCCTGAGCTCATCGAGCAGGTGCGAAACTCTAACGCCGCTGGCCGGCTTGCATGCTACGTTGGCGAGCGTCTGCCTGAAATTCTCCGAGGAAAGCTTGATGCGCTTGCGCTCATGTTGGAAGACGACATGCTGGGAGAGAATTACAAAGCCCTCGACAGTCTTCGTCAGTCTTATGCTCATGCATCAGTCTGCATCGACAAAATGGCCCACCAGAATCCCAACCTGAACATTCTCGAGATTGGCGCGGGAACTGGAGGTGCAACTTTGCCAATTCTGGAAAGTCTTGGTGGGCGCGAGCCAGGTTCCACGCCTAGATTTGGTCACTACACTTACACCGATATCTCACCTGGATTCTTTGAAAAGGCCAAGGCTCAATTCGAACCTTGGGCTCATCTCATGACATACCAAACTCTGGATGTCTCAGCCGACCCGCTCTCTCAAGGATGCAAGCCTGAAACCTTCGACCTTGTTGTGGCGTGTAATGTGTTGCATGCGACTCCTAACATGAATGAGACCATGTCCAACATCCGAACTCTCATGAAGCCAGGTGGCAAGCTCCTACTGATTGAGGAGACCAGATCGTCAGGCATTCATTTCCCATTTGCTCTTCTTACTGGATGGTGGTTGGCCAACGAGAAGATTCGGCAGGACGGACCTCTTCTTACGGAAGAGGGATGGTCCAATGTGATGAAAGCGAATGATTTTACCGGCGTCGAATTTTCCGTGGAAACATACCCAGGAGCATCCTACCAGACCGGATCTGTCATGGTGTCAACAGCGAAGACACCAAAAGCAGGCCCCTCGAACCCTGGAGATATTGTGATCATCGGCAGTGACTCACTGGGTAGTGTTTCATCTTTGAGCCTCGAAAATGGCTTGAAAGAGCTTACAGATGTTGTACCAACCACTGTTTCGGATCTTGGCACAGCAGATGTCACAGACAAGTGGTGCATCTTCCTGGGTGGCATGGACCGCAGCATTCTGTCGCATCTTACTTCACAAAAATTCAAGGAGATCCAGCGGCTTATCGGTGGTGCCAGAGGCCTACTGTGGCCTGTTCGTCACACAAAGTCCGACCCACAGTCACTTGGCTCCAACATGGCTATTGGTCTGGCAAGAACTGTTCGCTCTGAGACAGGCCTTCAGTTTGCGACACTTGACTTGGGAGAGAGGGAGAATGTTCCTGACGCGGAGGCTGTGAACCACATGTTGAAGGTCTTTGACTCCGTTTTCTGTCACAAATCTCAACTCAACCAGGGCGATATGGAGTTTGTCATTCGCGATGGCCATGTATCTCTGCCCCGTCTGCTCGACAACCACGTTCTCAATTCGAGCGTTCAACTTGATACATCGGATGCGCCTCCACAAATGCAGCTCTTCAAGCAAGAAAGAGCACTTCGACTTACTGCTGGACAGGGTCGTGTGCTTGATGAGCTGCATTTCACTGACGATGTGTCGCATGATGGGCCGCTCCCCGATGATTACATCGAGATTCGTGTTCAAGCAGCTGGACTCAACTTCCGCGATGTCTTGCTTGCTATTGGCCAACTCCCGGGCGACAAGCTTGGGCAAGAGTGTAGTGGAATTGTGTCCAAGGTTGGAGCTGCCGTGAGAGACTTTAGCGTGGGTGATCGTGTCGCGGCTTTGTCCCCTCGATCACTTGCAACATTCACCCGCTGTCATTCCTCATGGGCGTGGGTGATCCCATATGATATGTCTTGGCAGCTTGCAGCATCAATTCCGGCTGTTTTCTGCACAGCATTCTACTCTCTGATCGAACTGGGACGACTAGTTGAAGACGAAAGTGTTCTAATTCACGCAGCAGCTGGTGGAGTTGGACAAGCATCCATCATTATCGCGCAGAAGATCGGCGCTAAGATCTTTGCAACAGTTGGAAGCGTCGAGAAGAAGAATTTCTTGATGAAGACGTACGGTTTGAGGGAAGAGCAAATCTTCTACAGCCGTGACACTTCCTTCTCCCGAGGCATATTGAATGCTACTGGCGGACAGGGTGTCGATGTTGCCGTGAACTCGCTCAGCGGAGATGCCTTGCAGGCGACTTTCGAGTGTGTCGCACCCTTTGGTCGATTCATCGAATTGGGCAAGCGAGACATCAGTCAAAACTCCCGATTGGAGATGGCTCACTTCCATCAGAATCTCACCTTCTCCTCGGTAGATTTGAATATTGTGAGGGAGAAGAGCTTCAAAATGACAAGGCGGTTAATGCGCGAGGCATTCTACACCTTTGCTAGCACGAATGCTCAGGCACGTTGGCCTATCACTGTGCTTCCTGTTTCCGACATTGAAAGCGGATTGCGAGCTTTGCAAGGTGCTCAGGTTATAGGAAAGTTGGTTGTTCAGATGACTGACGACGCCAAGGTCAAGGTAAATTACCTTTCTAATCTCAGTTTTCACATTGTAATGCGAGATAATGATGCTAATTCTTATTCCAGGTTCACCCGGCAAGGAAGGAGGAGAAGCTCCTACGTGCCGATGGCACTTATATTGTTGTTGGAGGAACCAGTGGAATTGGCCTCGATCTCGCCAGCTGGATGCCCGAAAAGGGCGCAAAGCACATTGTCCTTGCTTCTCGCAGTGGAGCTTCAACTGAGGCCGCCAAGCAGACAATTCAAGATCTCACCCGCCAGGGCGTTACTGTAGAGGTTTGCCGATGCGACATTTCTGACCCGCAAAGCGTTGAACAGAATATGATTCCACTGCTAAGCCGATTGCCCACTGTTCGTGGCGTTGTCTATGGTGCCATGGTTCTTCGGGTACGTTGTCTCTCTCTTCTCATTGAAATCAGCCATTGACTAATCATTGCAATAGGACACTCTCTTCGAAAAACTTACTCACGAGGACTACGAGACAGTCATGAAACCCAGAATCCACGGAATCTGGAACTTACAAAACGTCCTGCAGAGCGCGAGCGTGAAATCAAGCCTCGACTTCTTTATCACCTTGTCCTCCGCAGCCAGTTTCGTTGGAAATCTTGGCCAGTCCCCATACGCTGCAAGTGGTACATACATGGCTGCTCTAGCCGCCTACCCACAAGTCTCCGGTGTCCCATGCACAACAATCGATCTACCAATCGTGCGCGGTGTTGGATACCTATCTGATGACTCCAAGCGTGAAGAGATCGCAGCGACACTTGGCACTGACTCTGTAAACGCGACCCAGATCCGCGGTCTGGTCGCCGCAGCAATGCGCAACGAAATGCAAGAAACCTGCGAAGGCCACTGTGTAGTGGGCTTCGATGGTGTGAAGAAACAAGCTATCTCTGACCAACGATTCTGGGTGAACGACACCAAGATTTCGCAGCTTCTTCGTCTTTCCACACTGGCGGGATCTGGAGGACTGACTGACGCGGCGGCATCTAATGACCAAATATCCCCGGCTGCCGCCATCCAGCTATGTCAGAACCGTGAGGCAGCTGAGGCAGTTGTTGTCTCCGCGTTGGCAGAGAAGATTTCCAGCATCCTCATGCGTCCTCTGGAGGAGCTGGATCCTGCCGCCCCAATCACCGTGTACGGGCTAGATTCGCTCGTGGCGATTGAGATCAGAAACTGGATCAAGCGTGAGTTGAAGTCGAGTATGCAGGTTCTGGAGATTCTGGCTGGTGATTCCTTGCCTGCTCTTGCGGACCATATTCTTCGCAAGTCGGGCGCTCTGACCCCCAAGATGAAGGCGGATTGGGGACTGGATGGCTCTGAAGTGCGGACTGTTCAAGCTTGAAATAGCTCAAAGGAGTATTGGAAAGATTAAGCTGCTATTTTGATCTATTTTTGTATTTTTTGAAACTTTTCTGTAATTGAAGGGCCCGAACTTAGAATTTGAACATTTTATCCTACTATTCCTAGCCTTCAAATGTTTTTAAAAGACTTCGTCCAAACACGAGCGCGCAAACCAAGCAGCTAGATAATTTTCTTGATATAAACCTTTGAAGAGAAGAGAGACTAACGGGCAGGGTTTGGCAGATCAAGACTCATATCATTGACCCGAACTATTTGAAGCACAACAAGTACACACAACCTTTGAGCTCGGTAAAGGCTTGAGGAGGCTAAATTGAAAATTGAGCTCTAAGAAAGGAGACGAAGACATTCTTCTAAAAGTGAAGGAGATCACCCTACTAAAGCCTGGACATGCCCAGGCCCCCAAGCAAATATTTGAAACAGAAACAAGGGAAAACAGACGTGAAAAAGGAATAGTAACAGAACAGATAATATTGGGGTTAGGGAGGGGGAAGGGAAAAAAGTTCCCTTCCCAGCTGACATAATCATCAAGCACTCAGGCCACACAAACCCGGCACCTAATACAAATTATCCATATTGAATCATTCTAGATTGGTCCACATCTCGCTCATCCAAATGTTGTTCCAATCCTTTGATGGTGCGTACGAATATTTCCATCTTTCGAGATTGCGCCCGGAATGTCTGGGATGGGTTGATCTGTGACTCTTCCAATTGTTGGATATTGGTGATCAGATGTTCAATTTGCCCAGAGGGACGCGCCATCTTGGCCGCTTCGGCGATCTGGGCCCGGGATCGAACTCCTGAGACGGTGTCATGTAGATCCCGCTTATGCTTCGGGACCTTCTTTCCTGTCGATTCTCTTTCTCCTTCCAGGGTTGGACTGGTTTCTATCGTGGTCTCTTGGCGGACGGCATGCTACTGACAGCCCCTCCCTCAAAAAGGCTCCGTATTATGACTGCTATCCTCGGATAGGGACAGTGAGTCGAAAGACGACGCGGTCGCAAAATGAGGGGACAGTCAGACGAAAGACGATGCGGTCGCAAAATGAGGCAGGAGAAAACGAGAAAGACCCAAGACGCCGTAGAAAGTAAACGTACACCACAATGCAGATAAAAATCAACGAAACAACTCGTATCGGCTCCACAGTGGTGGACTCAGAACGAGACGAGTATTAAGCTGCTTAATGCGAGCCTTCGTCCTCTTGGGTTGAACAACCACACGGCCACCTCAAAGCCACCATTACCGCCAGGATTGCTAAAACACCATTATACTCTTGGCTCTGCTCTCTTTTCCTCGAAGCTACACAGCTTGCATCTCATTTTTCAAGGTTTTGATGGACTCTTTGAGGTGCCTCTAAATTAACAACCGAGGACCGCACGTTCCCTGAAGAGAATCTTGTTGATGATGTTTGGTAGTAGGTCTACCTTGAGCCTTCTTCCTTTCTTATTTGAGCTTCATGACAGTTTCTGGTGAAGGACTGACTGTTCACACTGGTTCGAGATCTCCAGATAATATCTCCGATGACCCCCAAGGTTGGTTTGAGAATCCTTGCCATCGTTGTGTTCAAATGTTCATCAATCCGGCTCCACTCTTATAACTCCATTTTGCAATTGGGTTCCCGTGCTGAGGATTTGCACTCGTGTTTCGCAAATCCTGCCGATTGCCTATAATACCACCAGGATAGACGTCCAGTGTTCCTGTCCCCAGGAGCCCGTTTCATCATGTAAAGCAAGCTCGTTGAAGTCTGCTCTGACCACACTTTCCGAATATCTTTCCTGTTTGGGGTAGAAAGTAGAAAATGTAAAACAAATCTTGCTCGTGTGTATGTTTCCCTGAACCTGACGGGCCTTCAACAGCCCTAAGTTGACCTCGTAGCTTTTTGGAACATCTTCCAAACTGAAAACTGCTATTCTAGAATTTCTCCCAAGTATGTTAGATAATCATCTCCCAAAACATAATTAAGCCAGAAAGACACATACCAATAAGTCCATCAACTTGCGGATATGTTGATTGGAAACGCGTTATTTCTCCGTATGAGCTGGAGTATATCTGGATACTGGTCAAGAAACCGTTGGTGATGTCAGGTTCATCTTTTCCAAGCCTTCCTAGAAATTGGTGCTGTTCTTTGCATCACGTCGTAATCGGTTTCCGGTTGACCCTCCGAGACGGCCAGGCGGCTGAGTTTAATGGGATGATCGGTTGGTATGGTATTCCCGAGCGCCCACGACATTGTTGTCGTAGAATTGGATCCACACAGTCCATAGCTACCGATCATGTAGAGCCATAGGAGGCAGTGGCATTTGGCTACCGGTAGCTTCCTTTGTGGAACACGAGATACTCTGATAGCGGATTCCTATCCACGTACTCTTTCAGAGACGCATTCGTGTGTGTGTTTCGCATATACAGCATTCCAGAGTCGTGGAAGTGTTCTTGGTTATCCCCGCCGTAACACTCTTCAGGTGGTCGTCGTTCAAAGTACTGACTCTTCCCATGATTGGACACCCATGATAAAGTAATCTGCGAACACAAGGTGTACCACGTTCAAACATAGTGAAGAACGACATTGTAGTCCCGGTGAAGTTGTCATCCCCGGCTTTCTTGACAGCTATTGTACTGCAAGCGCCCCTTAATGAGGACAATAGGTACCACCGTTGGTACTGTTGAAATTCTTCAGTCAGCACGGCGTTTGAGGAAAAGGTGGTCAAAAACTTGGTTCGAGAACTGTGGAATAGTGAGGTTCAACCTACAAGTAGCATCAAGTCTACAAAGCTCTGTTCCCCGAGTCAGAGTATCTAAAAATAAAACCAAGAGTGAGTAGCCATGGAAGGAAGGGAGCAGAAAGTTGAGTGAAAGTACCTCAGTTTTCACAAAGTTTGTTGAAGGATAAAAGTTCGCTATATTCATTAGTAAGTTATTTTTGAGTTCAATTCGCAAAGAACGTACCAGCTTGGCGAAGAAATTCATTTGGTATGATTGATTTTGCAAACTTTGGAGGCAGAATATGCAACGGTGAGGTAGTTTGTAGAACCTTAGAATGCATAGCGTCGCGGTGGTCATGACCACTGTTCATGCATGTATGTGGTAAACACTCGGCCATTCTGCACTGAGTTTATTGGATTTTGTTCAGGGTTGGTGACAAGTCAAGAAGATTGACATTGCCTCTCGAGCATGCTCACTAGCAGTGTTGATGAATCTTTCTTGAAGACTCTTCAAAGCTTTGTGAAGTGTCACTGCTCAGGATGGGGATATGATCTGGTATGAATTGAGAACGAATCCTCATTGGCGTAGGTGTAGTATGAAGAAAGTAAGCCCAGACTGCGTCTGTATTTTGATAAAAAAAAACGTCAGCTGAATTCAGATCTTGAGAGGTTTCAAGCTTGGTTCCACTGGGTGGCCTGAATCACCAAGGATAATCCAAGGGTTGTCAGGTGCGAGTGGAGCCGAGAGAACTGAAGATGATTAGATCTGGTGGTCATCAAGTACCCCTCATTTACTTCGAATTCATTCATGCACGTCTAGTGCACTTGGAAATTTGGGGGCCAAGCACTGGGTAAACTCTGGCTGACAGGGCGAATGAGTGCTTACATGTAAATATTGATGAAATATAATTGATTCATGTCATAGTCGTGGCAAACTTGCTGGTCGCTTAAATCATGCATGTCTCAATGATCAGGGATCTTACCTTCAGCTGAGATACTGCATAGTGCCAAGTGGCCGGCTGATGCAAGTTATCTTCCCCACATTCCCCTCTGCGCTGGACTTTTAGACAGTCTATTTTGATTGAAGTCTCCAAGTCTCAACGTTTCTCCAATATTTCCAGCTCAGTTCCGCGAAAAGCATCATACGTTGGATTGAAAGATGGGTCTGCCAATCTACGGTCAAGAAACAGTGAACGATCCAAAGCCATGTGAAGGTGGGGTTGATGCGCTTATCTACTAGTAGCTTGATCACAGTGCTAACTGACACAGAACCACACCCTACACCTGCCTTGACCCAGAGACCAAGAGATAATCCTAGTGGATTTACGCAATTTCTGTTGATGGTTATGGGCTTTGAAGTTCTGCTCCAGCATCGCAGTATGGGTGACATGGGAATAAAGGGAAATAGCCACTGAGGGGAATCTCAACGAGTCTATCTGCATGACGAAATGAATGTTTGGAGGTACGCGAATAAATACCGCGACCGCAAAGACCTGAGATTGCCAGTTTTGACCTCAGTCTTGGGATGATGACATGATAACGCATTTCTCGGGCATATGGCGTCTCATATTCAAATATCACACTTTATTTATAAATAGTCTTTATCAATTAGCACTATATTGTGGGACTCTCTCTATCATCCAATCAAGACAGAAATATTCCAAGAAAAGAACAGAAACCGCCTATCCTCGACCCTCTATCAGACTTCCGCCCCCCGACGGCGAATTCTAACGGGAATCTTTCCCGCAGGACCAAGAGCGCCAAACCCGAAGTTTCTCGAACTCATTTTCATATCCTTTTCACCCACAAGAGGCTCACAGTCATACAGCGTAGTAAGAAGGGCCATGGTCAAGATACTGGTCAGCTTTGCAAGATGTCGACCGGGACAAGGAAAATGACCACCACCAAAAGGCATCCAATGGCCTTTCGCTCGATCCATCGAGAACGTGAATAATTTGCCCTGCTCAGAGGATTGCAAGAACCGACCTGGCCAAAACTCTTCTACGGGATGGGATTCAGCTGAGCCACTGCACCAGACATCAGGGTCCATATGTCCGGGTGTCATGCTGCTGATAATGAATTTATTCTTGGGTAGAACCCAGTCTTTGATCACGAGATCGCCCTTTGAAGGATATCGCACCATTAGGCCGTTTATCCGTAGACGAAGAGTCTCGCTGAATACCGCTTGCATAACGGGCTGTTGCAGTAGGCGGTCTATGTCGAATCGAAGACTCGATTCCGTTTGTGATATTATACAGGCTTGTGCCTCACTTCGAACTTGTTCTAGAAGCTCCGGGTCCTTGGAGACTTCGAGCGAAGCCCAGAAGGTTGAGATAACCGTGTTTGTGTTTGCACTGCATTTGAAATCAGTATTTTGGCCTGGAAATGAACGTTGTTGATACTTAAGGAAAACCCACCCCCATAGGAAAGCAAATATCTCAGATGCAATTGCCCCTTCATCAAAACCGTCCATTGCACTAAAGATGCTATTCATTTCTCGGAAGAACTTCGTTCCCCAATAAGGATCGTCTCCTTCAGCATCGATGGATGAAGAATCAAAGTTCGCTCGTGCCCACGAGTGCCATGATCGTATCGACGCTAGCCCATTGTTTCGGGCAACAGTTACCCTGGACGCGAAAAGTCGTGGCAAGAACATCAAACTAGTGACTTCGTGATCAACAGCCCACAGATCTTTCGTAAAGCCCGGGTGGTTCTTCAATAGAAATGGTCCACTCATCGAGTCCAAGATAGCAGACGTAACATCAGTCTGGAAGAAATCCATAAAGTCATCCCACTTCGTCCATTGTCTCCCTATATTCGCATTCAGAATACGAGCAGTGAGATTGGACTCAAACTTTTTGCTCAAGGGCGCGAGTCCAGGTCCACTAAGAAGACGATTGAACGCATTGCGGGTCAAGTGGTTCACACGATTCTTGTCGGCCACCCGACTATCTGAATCCGGGACAGCGGACTCGCCCGAGTTATCTTCGAGGTAAAGTTTTGCAGCAGAGGAAGGTAGACCGAATACGTGGTGAAGGAAAGCAGCATGCGCGATAAAAGGTGATACGGCGCGTTGGCGCAACAGTGGCTGGATGTTCTCGGGGCCTTGGACTATGTAGACTTCTTGGCCCACGATCTTTGCCTGTACGGGATGGCGGCTCCAAAACAAACGTCTAGTCGACTGTTAGCCAGACAAAATAGATGGAGTGAGAGGAGAGTATCATGTAGACCGACTTTGAGTTGATCACGAATTTCCGAGGGTTCCACAACAGCCCGAGTGGTATTTCTCCTAGTAATGGGATTGCATAGGGAACCACGGGAGGCTGCTTCAGTTTACGCTTTTTGTTTGCATCCACTGAGAACTGTCGTACAGATAGTACATATTGCAAGGTAAAGATGCAGAATGTCAATAAAATAGTTGGAAATAATAATTTCCCCCAAGCGCCGTCACCCTCAAGAAAGGAATGCAGGTGCGTGGCTACAGTGAACGACATCGGGGAACTTGGAGAAGAAAAAATTGGGATTGACTGCAGATCTTGAACTGACGAGATCTTCGAAATGTTCTTAGCAGAATATCTCTATTTATACAAGTACTAATCGATATCAGGCTTCACTGCCTACTAGTATACGGTCATCCGGCCCAAGGTTTCCTCGCAAGTGCCTCATAATTCGACAAGAACCTTGGAAGCGAGCGAGAATGAAACCTTCCATGTAAGATAGTTGAGTTCTTCTATTTTCAGTCGCTCAACTTCAAAGTTGCATGTATGTATCTATTTTGGCCCCATGTATGGGAGAATTTCCATTGGCTAGCCACACTCGAAAGCCTGCAGGCCCTAGATTCTTCAGTCAACTTGCCTTTGCAGGGTACTTTAATCCAGTACTCAAGCATTCACGTCAGCTTCGTCACTTTGTATCTAATTAACCCCGCCTTTGAAATGGGGCCAGATCACATGTATTTCTGACAGAACATAATGTAATACTGCTGGTAGTATATGCAGAATGTCAATGGGTGTGGACATATTAGGGAAAATATAATTCAATAATTGGACTCTTTGCAGTTCTGGGGTCGTGCGTTTCACTTTTCTTTTTTCCACTTTGATATTTTCCATTCCTTGCTCTGAAGGCTACGAGGATAACCATGGATATCGCCGCTGAACTCGCTGGAAGTGGCTTGAACTTGAACTTGACAGCGGCGGAGCGAGCTGAGGTGCAAAACAAAGTCAACCACACCGGAAACATCTCGTTGTTTCAATTTAAAGTCTGTTGATACTGAGAAATGGATACATATGGCTGGTTTGTTTGCTCACGTTTTACCAGGTTGCCATCGGCGTCCTCTTCGGCCTTGCTGTTATCGCCTTCATCAGCCGCATCCTCCTCCGTCTAATCACACGAAGGCGACTCTTCCTAGATGATGCCTTCCTGACTCTCGCATGGGCTTGCCTGTGTGTAGGAACTGGCATCATGTACCATCGCGTCGGGATTGTCTACCTCGAGTTCGCCGTTCTAGGAGGTGATACCGCCGCCTACGCTCTCATCATCCCACAGATAAACGCGTTGGTCGCGCAGGCAACGTGGCAGTTGGCATATCTGGTGATGCTGTGGACAACGGTATTTGCGGTGAAGTGGTGTTATTTGATATTTTTCTTCCCTCTACTGCGGAACATGTCGCGATGGTTCATTTGGTACTATCGCGCCGCGGTTGTGTTCTCCGTTGCTTGCTGGATTTTGATTCTCGTTGGAGACCAAGTTCTCAGTTGTCCATATCTTGGGGAAGAGGCAGGAGGTATGTACATCTCTACGACCATGCGCAATGAAGTCTCTAACACAGGTCTAGAAAAATGCTTCCCAAAACTCCCCGTCTCGCATACAGCTTTGATGACCACATTCTGGGCCTTTCCTATACTTGACGCCGCAACCGATATAATCAGTACGTACCTCTTCGAATGAATACCTAGCGCAGCGGCAGACAGACATACTGACAGCTCCCAGTCGTTAGCATCCCACTCGTGCTCCTCCGCCAAGTCCGAATGGACTTGATGACCAAGATAGGAGTGAGCTGCTTCGTATGCCTCTCCGTCTTCATGTGCGCGTGTGCCATCACGCGCGCTGCAGGAACCTACTACCAAGGTGCCCTCAACTATCCCTGGCAAGACTTCTGGCTTCACGCGGAGGGCTGTATTGCGGTGATGATGGCATCCATCACGGCTTACCGGTCAACTCTAATTGGATCAAACGACGTCTCTCATCGCTTCCGAATCTACCTGGACAAGATCAAGCACCCCTTTTCCTGGAGACAACGCGCGTCCGCGGAGAACACGAATACTGGAGGCGAACCAAAGACGCAGACTAATCGATTCAACCTGCCTCGTATCCCGAATGCCACGATGACTGGGCTGAGGACTTGGTTTGGGGCCAAGACTGCACAGGGCACAGTCCCACTTGCTAGTCAAGCTTCGACGATTGGTGAAGAATTCTCCGATTACCATGCTTTTTTGAAACCTAAACACTCAGCTGGTATGTACTTTGTGTAACTGGGAGAAGCGAGAAGCTGACATGTTTTTTTTTCAAGGTACATCGGATACGGGGGGCCCTTCGAAGCCTTCGGGTAATACGTTATACCAGTCTCGATAAAAGGGGTAGGCCCTTGCCGAACATTGAATCTATAGCCCGGTCTCTATATCCTTCACCAGTACGCTTTCAGCAAACATTATAGACTTTTTACTAGCCCGGTCTTGCATTTTCTTAGTACAAGCATAAGATTGCAGCGGAATATTTGAATATAGTGCCGAAATGGAATATCCTCTTGTTCATGATTCTAGCGAATAAACCTAGCTTTAAAACTGCACATCTGGAATTGAGTCAAGACCACCTGGATAAAACATTTTGTCGAGTGATTCTCATTTCAAGCACCATATGAAGCCATTGATCCTGGGGTCTATATCCAGATTGGCCCTTGCATACCTGAGTAGTTTCTTAAATCAGCCCCAAATCCATCAAATATTCACCTTGCAAGGGTCTTTCCCGCCCTCTTCGAAAGTATTCCCGCTCTCAGATCTCACTACCCACAGTAATGAAGATAAACATTCAATTGTAAGATTCTTGACCAACACATGCATCTTTTGCGCCACTGCATAACGTCATATTTCAAGGCATGAACCTAGTAGTCCCGCCTTTCATTGCGAAAATGAAGCATTATGCCCCACAATGTCTGCATGAGCGCTCAGCCTCGCTGGACTATTCAAAGTTACGCGAATGAACATTTGAAGATTTCGGTAGGAAGCAAGCCGAGAACAACTCTGAGAAAGCATTGGAATAGCCTGTCTGTGTAGAGTAAGATAAGCACGCACCTACTCAAGTGCTAATAGGAAGGTTTCAGACGCCCATTACGGGAATAAATTACTAGTAGTAGACACAGAGCCGGCTGGCCGTTGACCTCTGCATTAGCGACCTTTCAATGTTGAATTTGGCTTGGGGGCCGAGTCACAGCAAGCCGAGAAATAGTCGATTGTTCTTCTCCACATGTGCACCATGCTTCATTGGTTCAAATGATGTTAATATAGATCAGCTAAAGACATCTGGATGGTGTCAAGGTAATACATATGGCATATCTAACTGAAGCTGTTTTTAGAATTGACATCTGGAGTGACAATCGTGATGGGCCCGAATCCAGCAACTAGCCCGACCGCCACAAGGTGTTGTTGACTACAGGCCGTCCGGGGAGGATAGGTGCGTGTGCCCTCGGAGAAAAAGAAAATGGGGGTTGAACTGAGTATTGGGGGCCCGAAAATGGGGGAATACCGGGCCGCCTTATGCCAATCCTTGCCGGCCAATCATAAAATCCTGGAGCTTCTAACCTAAGCTGGTAAACCAAAATTTGGAAATTACCCGATGGCGGGTTATGGCGCAAAAAGAACATGCGTGTACTGTGCACGGATGTCCCAACATTTGAATGATTGGTCTGGTTTCTGCACATCTCGTACCCAGGGCACTGGAGAGAATATGTGTATCATCTTGTTAGGCACCTTGTGTTACTTTGCAGGGCGGAGTTTGCATTTGCATGCATTGCGGGCGGCACTTGCTAGGATGGACAGAGATAAGCGTCTCACAAGGATGAAACTCATGTCCGGTATTCTCTTTGCTCCTTTGGCTGAACGGGATCGGTTTGATTGGATGATGTTCGCGGGATAAGATACTTATTTGCAGCGCCTCTCACATCATTTCTGAAGGCTGGAAAATTTGTGGCTTGCATTTCTCGATTATAATCAGGGCTAGAAGCAAACAAATCTATTTTTATGCGGAGGCAACACTATGTACTTGATTTTATGAAATCACAGTAGGCATTCAATAGAGAAGGTAGTACTTAAAAAGGTATTTTGTTATTACTAGAAAAACAGCCTAGGGTACAGCCTAACCCAATTGGGTTAGGGCTAGGGCGTATTTCCACGCGCGCTGCCTAGTAACAGAGGGGGGGGACAGACTAACCCAATTAGGTTAGGACTAGGGTGTATTTCCACGCGCGCTGCCTAGTAACAGAGGGGGGGACAGACTAACCTAACTGGGTTAGGGCTAGGGTGTATTTCCACGCGCGCCGCCTTACAACAAGCCTATGTTACTAGGCAGCGCGCGTGGAAATACACCCTAGCCCTAACCCGATTGGGTTAGGCTGTACCCTAGGCTGTTTTCCTAGTAGAGTGTTATTGGGGTTGTCTGTGCTAAATGAAGAGTCCCAAACACTGGTTAAATTATCCCCTGGGCTGGTACGCTTTGCCTTCATTGAATTTAATTTGCTTATTTTAGAACTCCGACTCCTCAATTTCTTAGCAAGACATGAGTTCCCCCCTACACTACTTGAGCACTTGTGGTAATATACATGCATTGGTGTCGCTACTTCAATAACTTGATGTAATGCAGTGCTACACAAAACCAACCGTTCTAACTAATGCAATGTAACTCGACAGGGGTACCCATCAGCTGGATGTGTGCCAGCTTTTTCAGTCTGGTAAGCCCTCTCCCCATGTACAGTCTTCGGGGTTTCTTTAGTTAGACCAACCCAGCGACTAAGCTTAGCGATCGAACTTTGATTTTGCAGGTTCATCGCATCCCACTCGTCATAGGCTGGCGAGATATCGAATTCCCGCGCCGTCATTACAAGAACAGTCCGCATCTCATTGTAGACTAGTGTTTGGCCAATGCAATTTCGGGGACCTTGTTCGAAGGGCCGCCACGCAGCTGGGTTGGGGTAGAGCTCGTGGTCCGGATCGACAAGCCAGCGCTCGGGTAAAAATTCCTCTGCTCGGGGCCAAATTCGCGGGTTGTAGTGGACTGACGGGTGGAGAATATTCGCACCGATGTCATCTAATGGATAGACGTTTCCGTGTCGGTCGGTGAGTGTAAGCCCTTTGCCTCCCCCACGGGCGGTCGAGGCGGGTGCGAATAGCCGGAGAGTCTCTTTGATGACGGCGAGAGTGTAAGGACACTGATTCAATAGAGCGGGCTTGGATTTGAGGAGGAGCCCGGTGGTGGACAGATCGTATCCGAAGACGCGATCATGTTCTTGGCGCATTTGCGTCAACACATCGGGGTGCTTAGAGAGCATGTAGTAGGTGTAAACTATGGTACTAGAAGTGGTATCGTTTCCAGCGAAGAGAAAGAGGCGGATCTGGTAGCTAGCATACTTGGCGAAATGCTCGTCTAGTTCGTCAGTGCTGTCGGAGCCTTTTTTGAGGGTTGAGTCGGCAAGGTAAGCTTCAAGGGCTAGTGCAATGACTGATTTCGCACGATTCGGGCCAGATTGCGACGACTGTGGTGACTTCTTCTCCTGTTGGATCTCTGTAAATCGCTGGTGTAGCTCATCCTTTATGCAGTTCTCTACAACCCGGCTGTAGTAGTTTTGAAAAAATGGTCGGAGCGGATTGAGCAGAATGCGAGGGTCCCAGAAGGAATGCCATGCCGTTATTACATGCAGCGCATGGGCAAGCTTGTGCTGGGAGCGTTGATGACCGGAATCCATGTCGCTAGATGCACCGTTAAAAGATAGCTACAAGATAGAAAATATAAGTGTACTCACAGGGTTACTTTGAGGATGATCTCCATTGTGAGGCTAGTCGTCAAATCATCAAGTCGCAGAATCCCCGACCCAGCCTTTTCCCTCAGAATGTCGCAAAAGACCTCCACAGAGTCCACGACAGCAGGCATGAGATCCATCATACTGCTATTACTGAATCCTGGATTGAAAACTGCTCGCCACTCCTTCCATTCTTGACCACTCATGGAGTGCAGATTAGGTCCGCCGACAATAGGCTTCATCATTGCGAGGTGCAGATCAAGCTTTGGAAGAACATGTTTCGTTGAGATCTGCACTGCAGCATCGGGATCGAAAACGATAAAGAATGGAGGGTAGATTGGCCAGAAGTCCATAAGGAAGATTTCTGTATCTTTGTATTCCAAGGCGAGGTCTTGCATGGCAAGTTGGACAAAGGCATCGGCCGGTAGGCGGTCGACGTATTTTTGAAGCACGAGAAGATGGCCAGTCACCCAGTTCCATTTTGGCATCGGCTAAAAAATAATCAGTATCGATTGTGATACTTCTACTCGAAGCTGCAACTTACGATTCCCTGCTTGCGAAGCTTGTTGATTTTGCAGCGGTTTTGATATCCGCAGTACACAACATACCCAATTGTCGTCAATAGAGGCACGCTAAGCGTGAAGAGGGTGTGGGAAAAAACCATGATCGGTGACAAGGGGAGTATTTTGCTCCAAGCCAAGGAATGGGTAAAATGTTGAAGCACTTGAGACCAGGAGAGGTTAAGATTGGGGGAAGCTTTGAGCCCAGTGTAATCAAGAGTGTCACGTGGGGGCAGGGATTAGCAGCTGTCGGGGAATTGAGACAAAGAAAAAGTCATTTCATTTTATCATTTTGATTTTGAAGAAGAGTTTTTCCTATAAAATTCATAATGCTCTTTGATGTTCTAAAATTCTAGAAATCTTTGGTCTTTGGCGTCAGGCATGAAAAGCACACATCAGGATGGCTCCGACCGGCATCCAAAGCACTCAGAACCATATCCATCATCTCACCGCGCATCAGGCTTTCATAAATACCACTCACTCTACTACCAATTGTTTTCTTGTCATCCGTAGGAAGGCCTTGTCTGGCGTTATACAATGGATCATCTTTGAGACCGCAGTGCAAGGGTATATTGAGCTTCGAACGGACCCAAGTATATAGTTGAGCGGATCCGTCACCCAGCTGGGTAGCCACCTCTGCAGGGGCAATCGTCGGACTGGGATAAAACAGGGCATCGGCTTTCTCTTGAAGGATTGTTTGAAATCGCTTTTTGAAAGCAGCAAGCATCGACACTGAACAATCATGTTCGTTGTTGACCAGGAAATCAGTGACAGGCGACACCACAGCATCGACAACGTGTGGAATACGATCTTTCCAGGTGTTGGAATTCCAATGATACCATGTTGACTCGATTAAAGGACGCAGAGAATGGGCAAGATTCTCGATTTGACACCCATCTAAGCCCAGATCAAACATCGCTCCATCTGGTGCGAGGCTCTTCAATCGATCGTGGAATGCGGAAAGAAACCGGACATGGTTTGCGCGCATTTCAACAGCCTGACACGACACGTAGATATGACAAGCACTCATGTGCGCGACCAAGTCTGCGGCTTCCATGGTACGCCGGGCTGAAATCAGAGCCAGCGAGTTTATACCCTGGTTATGCATCTCGGCAGACATGACGTGAGCAGAAACAGGATGCGCCAAAGCTGCCAGTTCAGACATGTAAGCCGACATGTTGACATCGATACCTTTCATGGTGTAGTTCTCGTGATCGCTTGAGTTGAGATTAGCCTCGAGGCCATTGTTTGTATTCGGAGCGATGATCTCTGTGACTTGTGACCAAAGCATACGGCCGATCATTTGAAGAGCCAGGCGTGTCTTGTCCATAGCAGAAGTGATGACGACAGCCTGGAAGTTTCCGCCCGAGTAAACCTCTCCATCACCTTGTTCTGTAGGATTTATGAGGGGATTGTCGGATGTAGAATTGAGTTCGACCTCGAGCTGATGTTGGGCGAGAAGGAGGTCCTCTAGGTACGGCCCGATCCACTGTGGGGCGGTTCGTGTGGAGTACCGATCCTGCCAAAGCCCTTCCCCGGTTCTTTTCCTCGACTCCAGACCATCGACGAACTTGGAGCCGTTCAAGAACCGACGGATGTTGCTAGCTGCCTCGATCTGACCAGTGTGTGGGCGTATAGCGTGAATAAAAGGCTGCGCCCATTCAACATTTCCACCCATGCACTCTGCCGCAAATGCCGTGAGCATCTGGGCGAGCAGTGCAAGTTGTTGCGCGTCGTAGAGTACCAAACTGGCCACAGCTACAGAAGGAGCAGTGCCATTGATGAGACCGAGCGCTTCTTTGGGGCCTAGTCCAGAAGGTGATAGCCCACTCTCTTTCAAAGCTTCCGACGCAGGTATAATTCTGGCATCTTTGCCTTTGCCGACCTGCACGAAAACATCCGGATTGCCCGCAACGGCTCCAGCGATATAAGACATGGGCATCAGATCTCCAGATGCAGATATCGTTCCTCTGAGCGGGACCATAGGGGTTATTCCGTGATGCAACAAATCCACCAAGCTCTGGAGCACGCTCAATCGCACTGCACTATGGCCTCGGAGGTTCTGGTTAGCTCGGGCGACTATTGCACCGCGAACCCAGGCGGGGGGCATGACGTGGGAGGGCTCGCGTTCCGAATTGCTGGCCGGGTCTTTGTCCGCTGCGGTGATGATCGCGCTCTGGGTATGCTGCAGAAGATGGATCTGTAGATCAAGGACATCACTAGTCCTGGTGTCGGCGCTCCCTCCGAAACCAGTGTTCACCCCATATACCACGTATTCGTGTGCGAGATAATTTTCGAGGGTTTTGACGCTGAGGTCAAGTCGGTGAGCGAGATGTTCGTCCGTACTGATCGTAGGCTTGATGCCATGGCGGGCAACTGCAATGATGGACGCAATATCAAGGTTGTTTCCATCTAGGACAATTGTCTTGGTTTGGCCCTTCAATTCCTGCAGTTCTTTCCATATGCGAAGTGTTGCTGCGGCATGGGGGGTCATGTTGGTTCCGGTCATTATGGGAGAATATATGGAGAAAGGGGTGGTGGGTAAGTCGGAGAGAGTTTCTGGTTGTGTGTTTTGTTTCCTAGGGACAGAGAAACCTTATATCCGCGTACCTTTGTTTCCCGGCGGTGGTTGAGCAGTTGATGGAATGCTCTGAGTATTTCAGCTCCTCAGATCCGTGTACCCCCGCTGTAAGCCCCAGATTAAATGATTACACGAAAAGCCACAGGGCCAAGAAAAAAAGGAAAACAAAAATCAAGATGATACGTCCAAATTCCCCGCTGCTAACCGTTCATCCCCATGTCAAACCATTGTTGGCTTGTCAAATGGCAATGGTTAGAAGGACTCCAGGCTCCTGGAGATACATGGTGCTACTGGTGGTAGAAAACCAGTTCCTCATAGATCCGTAAAATGTACTCCTTGTAGATTTCTAAATTGGCCACAACACCACTGTGATTGATCCAATGACCAGCCGCAAACACTCTTACTAGTAGATACGCCATATGCACATGTAAGCGAGGGTAGCATAGGTGCATAGTACGAGAACACATGCTTAGTAGATGCGCAACACACTGGAAAACCCCTCATAGAAAGGGAATGAGGGAATATTCAAACATTGAATACTTGTGAGTTGTAGCTTTGAAGTTCCGATCTGTCGAGATTCGATGGTCGGCATTGCAAACAGACTAAACAGACTAAACAGACTAAACAAGCCAAACAGTGACAGTCACATGTCGCATTCCTTGTATTTGTTGAATTGGAAAGTTTTACTGTGTACTAGTAGTTACTACTAGTATATTGTATGGGGTATGCGCGTGTAATTTAAGCAAACAAAACAAATTACGACAATTCTACGGCACATAGAAATTGATGACTATTCAGTATTCCCAGGTTTTCTTTCGCGACAGTTTCCTGTCGCTTATTATCTGAAGCCGCCATAATATGCGTTGCTTCACAAATTTTCCAAGGTTCACAGCAACTGATCTTACATCTACAGTGCTGAGATGTTTGTCAAATGTTCGAAGGCTATGATTCGTCTGAAGATATCTAGTGCTTTCCTCACATAAGCATAGCCAGGCCGGCTTCGAGCGCCTTTGATTTAGGCGCTAGTAGATGTCGAAGTCTTCCCGATCACCTGCGTCGCGACTCGCGCGTCACGCGTGTATACTTAAAAAACAGCCGTAGAAGTATACCTTCTTTTGGAACCACTTCCCAGGTTGGAAATTTGCTCAACTTTGAATCGCGCACAGCCTCTATCAATCTAGACGCCTTGTTAAATTTAATACTAGTAGTATTCTAGAAGTCTACCTTTTTTTGGAACCACTTCTAGAATACGCTTATACAGCAAACATTCCTAAAAAAGCAAACGTCTTTGAAGAAGCAAACAACCTTAAAGAATGTGCTCAACTTTAAACCGCGCGCAGCCTAGGATATAAACTCCAAGTCATAGCAAATTTAGCAAATTTGCTCAACTTTAAATCGCGCGCCGCCTATATAAACTCCAAGTAATAGTAAATTTAGCCTTCTAGATATAGGTATATCATATATGCAGCAACAAGTTTGAGAGCAAGCTGGAAAAAGCAAACATTTCACACGAACCGGTATCAAATTCTTCGCGGGGGCCAATCATCTATCACGGCCATTATCACGGTCCCTAATCCGCCCGCATTAATCCGCATTCAGGTTTGGTGAGTTCGCAGCCCTGAGTCTTATCATTATCGCGTGCCTCAGGATCCGCCACCCGACGGTGACCTCCGACAACTCTATTCAACCAGGCTTGGTTCATCACTGGCTGACCATTTCAAAAAGATCCGATCCTTGGAATTCCGAAATGGAGATCTCCGATGAATATAATCTTCCCCTTTTCAATCTTGATAACCACTTGGGCAATTGATAGGGCATCAACCATATAACTCGGATATCCATGAACAATTAAATGACATGCCCTGATGACAGTCGTTTATCCTACAATGAGACAGTGCCAGGAAAAGTACCGCCATTAGTCCAATCATGTCTCTTCTGAGCAGAGGATCAAAAGCGGATTCGCCTTATGATTCTGGACCTCAGCTTTTGAGGGATGTATGGGGTCTTACAGCCGTTGCTATTCTCGTGGTGCTTCTGAGATTCATTGCGAAATTGCGAGTTGCGAAGTTTGGGCCGGATGATATACTCATGGGCTTTGCACTGGTTAGCATACATTTCTTTTTTCCCTGTTATCAACTAGGAAGATTCCATCGCGCGCAAAGAATGGAAGGAAGTATTGTTTTGTTCCAAATTGACGTCTGTGGTTACTATGTCACAGTGTTTAGCGACGGTCGGATCTATCATGACCACCCTCGGCATCAAGCATGGGTTTGGACAACGGGTAGACGATATTGACACTTCCATTGTCCCAACTGTCATCATGTTTGACTACCTTGCACAAACATTTGCGCTGGCAGGCGGGGCATTAGGCCGGGTTTCGTTCATCGTTTTTGTCATCGGAATACTCGTTTCAAGACACTGGCACAGAGTGGTCTTTTGGGGACTTGTGGCGATGCAGCTGGTAGTAAATTCGATGTTTATCATCATATTGTTTGTGCAATGCCCTGGCCATGCATCAGCTATTTGGGAACATTCGGACAAATCGAAATGTTGGAACACGCGAGTGCAGGCTTACTATGGATACTTCCAAGGAGGTTAGTACTAAGAGAATAATTTCCAACGACTACGCTGATCTTAATGATTCAATACTAACATTTTCACCATTCACGCAATAGCCTTCAATTCAGCAACCGATCTCTATCTTGCTGTCTTTTCAACCTGCGTATTCTGGACCTTGAACTTGAAGTTAAAAGTGAAGCTGGGATTGGTCACTTTGCTTGGGCTAGGCATTTTGTGAGTGACGATCTGTGGACTCGCACTAGTTGATCAAGCCGCAGTCTGACCAATTGAAACTAACGCGCTTTGATTTGGTGCAGTGCAATGGTCGCCGCTATCATCCGAACGGTCCAGACACGCGTCCTCGCATCCTACGATATTGACCCGACAATTGCCACAGTCGACTACGATCGCTGGCTGTACATTGAGACATATCTTGTTATAATTACGGCTTCGGTGCCGTTTCTTCGGTCATTATTACGCTCAACGAAGAGTCAACCTGCAAGCTGGAATACTCATGAGCTAAGCTCTCCTTACGCGGTCGGCTCGAGTATGCACACAGCTCGGACCAGAAAGCGTGAATCTTCAATGGACGGGACACGGATCATGGCTGTTTCTGAAGCTCATGCGAGCAATGATGCTTTTCACAGCGATGGTCATGATGATATACACGACTCGGGATACTCAAGAGAATCTGTTATAATTTGTGTTTGAGATTCATCTCTTATGACTTTTTTTCATAATATTTGATTTTCAGAACGGTACGATGTAGCGAATCATTGGTAAAAGCTCGGAAGTTCGTAATTCGGTCCGTCCCCTGCGGGCTTGTGCCAAGTTTGTTGTCGGCTCAATCGAGTATCTTGTCGGCACTGAAAGCTTCATTCAACTCCTCTCCTTATAGCGCCTTCTCGTAGATATCCCATCTTCCATTGCCGGATCTTGCAATGTCTCACTTTCTGTCGTCTTTTCTCATTTCCCGTCGGGTCTGATCCTCATATATAGCCAATTTAGACTTCAAACTGCGAGCACAACACGCTGAAGCTTGATCAAATTTGCCGAGCTACCCGATTGCCAAGAACCAGGAACACACACAGTGGGTTATTTCGTGACTGTTAAAGTTGCAGAATCAAGGGTCAGTGACAGTCGGCAATTGAGATCTGTCGCCGACGGCATTTGGAAAAAAGCGAGGGTGGAGAGCAAGATTGACGATCCGTATATGCAAGTATCAACATTCTGAAGCATCAAGCATACTCCCCCAGATGACGTGAACCATTTTCAACGCGCTTCCCCGTGGGGACAAGATTCTTAAAAGATAAAGCGAGCCTCTCCTGATATATGGACTCATGGCGCCAGATAAAAGCTCATAAAGTGGACCAACGGACAAATCAGATAGAACTTCCACCAATGATCGAGCGGCATTTTAAGCTTCTTGGCAGCCGAGGGACTGTGCGGTGTTATCCGATTTAAGCCAATCAAAATTGCCGATAGCGCGGCCTCATTCCATGCGCTAAACAAGCCATGGGACCCCTAAGATTGACGGAAAAATTGGCCATAGGCCAACCCGGTTTCTCCACCACTCTCAACCCCGCGGCCGCCCCCGCCATGTTTTCCCCAATGTGGCCCCATTTTGTCTGTCTAACCTCATTCTATTCGCGCCACAAGCCCTGTCTGCACGGGTCTGGGGGAGTGGTGGCAGAGGTTACACTCCAACGATGATGATGGTGATGATAATCAATAGCCGAATGTGTCCACCGATGTTTTTCATGGCCCACTCGTTCCATTGTGGAGGTGGATTGCTAGATGGTGTATAAAAAGACTCCATCCGGGGCCCCTTCTTTTTTTTATTTCTCAGTTTCCGGGGAACTCGTATACGGCCGGCCGTTTATCACCAAATTTTATTTTTCATTCCAAGACTTTTTTTTTTCTATTTTTTACAGCGGTTTTCTCAGTGAGGCTTCCTCACCAACACCAACACAATGGCACCTCGTGCATTGAAGAACTACCGCGTGTATATCCTCACAGCAGTCGCCTACCTAGGCTCCCTGCTCTTTGGTTCGTCCCCCGTCCCACGTCAATCCGTTTCACATCAAGTGCAAGACTAACGCATGACCAATCCAGGATATGACACGGGTGTAATGAGCTCCGTCCTAGCGATGGACAGCTTCAAGAAGGACTTCGGTCTTCCAGTCTCATCATCTGGCTTCGCCTCGGACAAAAACGCCCAAGTCTCATCTAACGTCGTCAGTCTCCTGACAGCAGGATGTTTCTTCGGTTCCATCTTCGCCGCATACATCAATGACCGTATTGGTCGTCGATACTCGCTCATGATCTTTTGTTTGATCTTCCTGGTCGGTGCCGCCATCCAGGTCGGCGCCCATCATGAAATCGGCGTCATCTACGGAGGTCGTGTGATTGCCGGTCTCGGTATCGGCGGCATGTCGAGTATCACCCCCGTTTTCGTCAGCGAGAACTGTCCAGCCAAATACAGAGGTCGCATTGCCGGTATGTTCCAGGAGTTCCTGGTCATCGGTAGCACGTTCGCCTACTGGCTGGATTATGGTGTTGCCTTGCACATCCCCGAGAGCACCCGGCAGTGGCGCATTCCCGTGGCCATTCAGCTTGTCCCCGGTGGACTCATGCTTGTGGGATTGTTCTTCCTGAAGGAATCTCCTCGCTGGCTGATGAAGCAAGGGCGGCAGGATGAGGCGCTGACCTCTTTGGCGTACATTCGCAACGAGCCGGAGGACAGCGAGGAGGTGCAGAGGGAGATTGCGGAGATTTTCACTGCGATGGAGGAGGAGTCGCTCGCTACCGAGGGCGTTACCTGGAAGGAGTGCTTGGAGAAGAGCAACCGGTACCGCTTCTTCTTGGCGTTTGTCATCATGTTCTGGCAGCAGTTCTCCGGAACAAACAGTATCGGATACTATGCGCCTCAGATCTTCGAGTCAATTGGTGTTAGCTCGACCAATTCGTCGCTCTTTGCTACCGGTATCTATGGTACTGTCAAGGTTGTCGCGACAGCCATCTTCTTGTTCATTGGAATTGACCGATGGGGTCGCAAGAACAGTATGATCGGTGGTGCTGCATGGATGGCTGCCATGATGTTCATTATTGGAGCTGTCTTGGCCACTAACCCTCCCAACCCCGATGCAAGCGGCGTCTCCCCAGCTTCTACCGCCATGGTCGCGATGATTTACCTTTATGTTATTGGATATTCTTTCTCATGGGGTCCCACACCCTGGGTGTACCTGGGCGAGGTAAGATCTGCCATGTTATCAATTGTTAATATTCCCACTGACCTTTGCGCTAGATTTTCCCCACCCGCCTGCGTTCATACGGTGTCGGTCTCGGCGCAGCCACCCAGTGGCTTTTCAACTTTGTCATCACCGAGGTCACTCCTCGTGCCATTAACAAGATCGGCTGGAGGACTTTCCTCATGTTCGCCATCTTCTGTACCGCCATGGGCATCTTTGTCGCTATCTTCCTCAAGGAGACCAAGGGTCGCAGTCTGGAGGATATGGATCTTATTTTCGGCAATGTCGACGAGAAGCAGCGGCGCGCAGATGTGGAGCAGACACTCCACAAGAGTGACTTCTCCCACTCCGAGCATGTGGAGGAGCACGAAATGGTGGACCCCAAGGAAGAAGGCCAGGTCCATTTGGAAGCGAAATAAATGCTCCCAGGGCTAACCCCATCCACTTTGCCTAGTTATCTGCCATGCTTATGAGAGCAGTGCTTGGGATAGTATGAGATAGATGTTAAGATTATAATGAATCAATGCGTATATACCACGCCAATATCAACCACCTTATGATACCATCTTTGGATTAAGACGTTTTTCCAAATCCCGAATCTCAGCATGAGAAGGCGGCGTAGGCTTGAAATATGAATCACAAATTATGATCGCACAAAGTGAAGCCTATGCAATACATGACACCCATCAGTCGACCGAAGCGACAAAAAAAAAAGATCATTTGCAAAACTCACCAGACAAAAGTCAAACCCATCAGCCACCAATATCTCCATAATGGACCTCGTCGGCTGAGAATAAGCTCCTTTCCAAGTTGCCCCCATCGACAACGAACTGGACACAGTCCTATTCCTCGTCACACTCTGCCGCACATCAGCGACCTTACGCCCCGCAGCCCAAATGCCAAACGTTCCAAATCCCGCATTAGCACTCCGCACCTCCAGCGTCACCATTCTCTCACTGTCGGTCTTCGCATCTTCAGCAAGGGCATTTCGAAAGGTCAAGTCAAAATTACTCTGCAGCCCTTTGCGCTTTAATTTGGCCAGGTCTTCGCCGTCGCTCTCAGTACTCCCCGGTAATCTGATGCGCCAGGGCTTCTTCTTCCATAGTGATCGTTCAGCCTGTGCTTCGAACATGGGTAGGCCCGACGCGTCACGGAACTCGCGGACGCGTCGGCCGCTTTGGTATTTTGTGCCTGTCACGGCTATGAGGGTGGAGTCGTCGCTGTCATATTTTATTTGGAATTCATCTGCGGAGTGGGGATCGTATTTTGGTTGGATCCAGAGGAGTCTTTCGAACTCGGCTATGTGCTCACTGCGGAGGCCGATGGGGCTATGGGGGCTTTGGACGTGTCTCGATCGCATCGTCATGATGCTAGTTATTCTTAAGTCTGGGGTTTTTAAATGTTGCGTGGTTTGGTTAAATTCATTTGAATGTTGGAACGTGTTGATTGGAATGTATGGGATGTGCGGGGGTAGTTATATGTCATTGGGGGACTGAGCCATGGGTAACATTGAACCGTAAGCAGGGCAGCTGATCATCCGATCGGGGGCCAAGCATGGCATTTACAGCCTTGTGCGATCGGAAACTTGCTAAAAAAGAAAACGATGAACGTTATTCTGGGGTATTCACGAATCAGCGTTCAAGGTTGAGCATTTAACTACCTATGCATACTAACCTGAACCCTGGAAGGCGAGCGATCTGGAATCTTGTATGGCTGAGTCACTTGGAGTTTATCTGTGCACTTTCCATTTGTAGTAGATGGTCACTTGTCATTTGTCACTTGTCAAGTTCGAATATTTTATTAAGCGTCAACGGGGGATGTTTCTAGCCACGCCCATTCCATCGTTACTCTCCCCAACGGGATGCTAGCGACTTTCTCAAAAGCCGCCTCAGTAACGTCAAGATCTGTCTCCGCACACCCAACGCACCGGTCCACGACTTTAACATCCACGCTCGCCCCGTCACGGCGAATCCGAATCTTCAGTCCACATAGGGGATTGTCGTTGGGATTTGAGCTCGTCGAAGCCGCATCGAAAATGATATGTGAGACTGCGCAGATCATTTCAGACTCTGTATTGGTATCACCGCACGCCCCAAGGCCAGGGTCATAGTATGTCAGGTCTCCGGAGTATGGGCCCCCGTTGGAGGTCGGTAAGGGAAGGTTGGATTTTTTGCTTTATGGGGGTCAGTATGATGCTGTTTGTTTCCTTTGTGTTGTCCAGGTTCAAATAACTCACTTTTTACCGACTGTGAGTCCAACGGCGAGGCCGATTATTAACGCGATTAGGACGGTAGCAACGATAGCGCCGATGACAAGGAGTTTTCGCGATCGTTTTTGAGACGTCCACCAGGCTATTACTGGTGCGACGAAGGGCCATTTTTGCTTTTGATCTCCGACAACCTCTTTTGTGTCGGTCAGTTGCGGTGTTGCTGTCGCTTGCGCCGCTTCGGCATCAGCGGTCGCAGATGTGACTGGGACTGGGGCTGGGACTGGGACTGGTTTGCGCTTGGGAATTGAAGCCTTTGTGCTGGTCGCATCTTGTGCGGTAGATGTATCGTCGGACATTATTATGATTTTTATGGTATTTAGCGATGGGGTGTCAGTGGAAATCGTGTCTTGGTGTTCCGTCGGGGTTCGTTTCTTGCGAGTGATTCATAACGGTCGTGGCTGGGTATTGGGATATCCTAGACAATGCGCCTTGCAGGTGAGGCCCCAAACGACTTCAAAGTGGAGAGGGGAAAGAAGCTTGTTTATTAAGGGTTTTTCCAGGGTTTTTCTCAGGGGCTCTTGTTAGCGCCGGTTGATTTAGAATCGGATGAAACGCCAGTTGGACAAACGATTGCGATAAGAACAATATAAGTGTCAATCTATTGGCTGAACTATTTTCCACTTTTCTTTCGTCTTTTTTTCCCTTTGACATTTACATAGTTTGAGTCAGAGATTTCGTATTCGCCACTTCCCAATACATGCATAATCAACGTTGAAAAAAAACATGCATGACCGTTATACGATCGTACCTAAGATTCCAATTGCACCCATTGATGATTTCCCCCGCAACATCATTGGGGCTCGGCCCCACAAGGAAAACGTGGATCGCAACGGAATAAATTCCTCCCCCTCATATTTCCTCCTTTCCCACAACTTCTGGGCTATGCGACCGTGTCTTGACGCTTGACACACACGCGGGAATAGCATTCCATACGATATACATGGCTCAGACTGCACTCACTCGATCGAAAAGTTGATTGTCGCAAAGTTGACACGGGCGCATCGCCCTAGCTACAACCATGGCGTCTCGCACTAATACCAGGCAGTCCGCTGCCTCGGTAGAAGAGACATTATCTCGTCGCGATACCCAAGCCACTAAGAAAGAGAAGTCAAATTTCGGGAGCAAGATGAAGAAAGCATGGCAAAAACTGGGATTGGACAAGCAAACCCTTATACTAATGATGAAGTACGATATGAATTTTGGACTTTTGCTCCAGGAACGAGATGGCTAATTGGAATCTAGGGGCGGATTGGCTCCGGCAATTGCTGTTTCCATGTAAGTGGACCCACTTCCTAATTGGTTCCGCAACTGACAATAGAATTAGCTACCAGGCTTCAGATGTGGCAGATGAGTATACTACACTCGGCTACCTTATAGCGATCGTATCAATTTTGGGATTCGCTATTATGCCCCGCGCCAAGTTTATTCAGATGATGATCTTTGACGTTTTCGCCGTCTGTATAGCGGCCTGCTTTGCCTTGTTGACCATGTACTCCAGCGTCAAGGCACGGCAACACACTGAGACGGGTACCCCCTCCGCCTACAATTCATCGGCTTCGGCAGTCAGTGCTGTTTGGCTGTTCTTTCAAATTTGGCTGGCTCATACATTCCGCGCCAAATATCCGCAGTTCCAATTCCCTGTGGTTCTCTACTCGATCTTCGCCAACGTCACGTCCATCTATGCGCCACAGGAAACCACCATAGCTTCTTCGATAACGCTCGTGTTGAAGCTGCTGAAGACATTCCTTAGCGGATTGGCCCTGTCAAGTGGAGTATCGCTTTTTGTTTTCCCCATGACTTCGAGAAAGGCGGTCTTCAAGCAAATGGGCGGCTATATTGGAAGCCTCCGGGGGGCTTTGAACGCTCACGCTGCATACTTTCAGACATTGGAGGAAGATGATATGTTTGGTCGAGCAGAGACGTATGACTCCTCGCAAGAGAAATGGGGAAAGAAGGGCAAGGTGTACAGCCCCGAGGCGGAAGCCATTCGTGGTGCGATCCGGGGCATTACTGATATCCATGCGAAGCTTCACGGCGATCTCACCTTTGCCAAAAGAGAATTTGCGCTTGGAAAGCTGGGGCCAGATGATATCCAGCTTATTTTCCGTCATCTTCGCCAGATCATGGTTCCTGTTGTGGGATTGAGCTTTGTTGTCGACATTTTCCAAAGACTGTCAGACTACAACCGGTGGAACGAGCCTATCGATACGAACGCCGAACCCATTCCTGACCATGTTCGTGAACAGGTTGTTCGAGATTGGAACGACATTATGAGAGCAGTGCATGACCCTTTTGCAACTATGATCCAGACGATCGATGAGGGATTGCTGCATACTTCCTATGTTCTCCACTTGGCCAAGCGCCCAAAAAATGTGGTAGTGGCAAATACAATGACCGAGGACCCTACAGAGGATGAAAAGGACGTGGAGGCTACTGCTGGTAACACAGCACCAGGCGACAAGGGATTTGCGGAGCACTTTGAACAAAAGCTCAGCGAGTTCCGAAGTGCCAAGAAAATTGCCTTGCAAACATGGGCCGAAGAAAAGGGAATTACATTGCCTCCAGACTTTTTTGATCACCCGCCTGTTGATAGTCTGAAGGGTGATTTCTTCGATGCCTCCGCCTCACACCAGGACCGCAGTCGGCGCCAGCTGTACCTTTTCCTCTACATGGAGCAACTCCTGTACTCCACGGGCCAGACTGTTCTCGGATTTGTCCAATATGCCGATGGCGTCGCTGCGAAAGGAAAGCTATCACGTACTCGGCTCATCATTCCTGGGTTTAAGCGTAGTTGGAAATGGGCCAAGACCTTTTTGAGTGCCCCCGATCACCACGAAGATGATCACTTGGGCGATATCCACACTCAAAGCACTTCTCTTGAACTTGGAGAAGCATACCGGCATCGCAAAGACCCCGAGCATCTGCCTCCGTCAAACACATTCCAAAAGATTGGAGACCGGATCCGAGTTGTCCCACGTTTTCTGCGCTCCTTTGAATCTTCCTATGGATTTCGGGTTGCTTGTGCGACAATGACCATTGCAGTCATTGCTTTCTTGCATGGCACACAGGAATTCTTTACCAAGCAGCGACTGGTGTGGGCCATGATCATGGTCAATTTAAGCATGTCACCTACATCGGGACAAAGTATCTTCAGCTTTGTGCTTCGAATCGCCGGTACCACCATCGCCATGGTTGTCAGTCTGTTGATCTGGTACATTCCTGACCAAAAGACACCAGGAATTATCGTCTTTTTATTCATTTTTGTTTCGCTTGGTTTCTACGTACCAATCAAACTATTCAGATTCCGCATCGTTGGCTTGATCAGTGTCGTCACGACAACCATGATTATTGGATACGAGCTCTCGGTCCGCAAGGTCGGGGAGGCGGTTGCAACTTCCAATGGACAGGCCTACTATCCTATTTATGAGCTCGCTCCATATCGTCTGGCCGCAGTGAGCGGAGGTATTTTCGTGGCGTTCATATGGACGTTCTTCCCTTATCCGATTTCCGAGCACTCGGTACTACGACAGAGCCTAGGAGCCTCTTTATACTTGTTGGCCAATTATTACTCCATCATCCACGAAACCTTATCTGCTCGCATTCGTGGTGATGAGGGTGACGTGACGCTTAAAAGCTCCGCGGGCCGCAAGTTAGAAAAGGCCCGACACAAGGTCTTTTCGAAGCAAATGCTCATGTTGGCCGGATTGCGGACGTACTCCGGGTTTCTCACGTGGGAGGTTCCCATCGGTGGAAAGTTTCCCAAAGAACAATACGACTCGATCATTCTCTGCGTTGAAAAGTACGTATTTTGGTGATATTATCCCGACCCACGGCATCTTTGACTAACATCATACCCCATTCTTATAGCATTGTGAGCTATCTCAGTTTACTCGGATACGCATCCGACACCTTGATGCGTCTTAACGAAGACGACGACGAGTCAGGATCAGTATGGATGCACGACTTCCGCCGCCTCGTTGGCACCGCCAAAGTGACTACCCACGAAGTCACATCCCTGCTTTGTCTTCTGTCAGCCAGCATCACGAACCGCCAACCATTACCCCCTTATCTGAAGACTCCACGGCCATATAGTTTTTCCAAGCGACTAGAGGCTCTGGACAAAGATATCTTGAGCATCAAGCACATTGCCGAGCCAGGGTTCGCCGCGTTTGCAGTCTTGCAAATCTCCACTCGTTGTATAGTCGGAGACGTGGAAAGACTGATGTGGTGAGTTCGAACTTCCCTTCTAGGATTGTGCGAATGCATGGAGATAGCAGGATACTAATGGTTTTTTTTTTCATTTAGGCATGTCCGAGGCTTGGTTGGGGAATTGGACTTTTCCTTCCACACAGTCAGCACGACAGATGCCAGTATGACGCATTCTAGAATGACATCGAGGGCTCCATCTAGAGTTTCTGTAAATGAAACACAGGCAGCTGACCGCAACAAGAGAGATTGAGTGGTTGGCCAAATACATGTATAGACTCGATTTACATAGCTTCTGCTTCTACGGAATATACCCTCTACATTCAATGTTGAATACTGCTTAGTCTGTACTTTGTTCCAAGGTTAGTAAGACTAAAAGAATATGCCTCTTTGACGAGTCTCCAAGTACTACTAGCTTATCATTGTAATAGTTATATACTAACTAGTAGTTTGTTAGGCAGCGCGCGGAAATTGAGATAAGAGATAAGAGATAAGAGATAGGATAAGGGATAAGATAAGCAGGATAAGAGATGAGATAAGCAGGATAAGAGATGACAGCTTTTTGATAGGGTTCTCAATTTGGATAAGGCGTGTCTCTAACAAGGTGAGCCCCTGGTATACTAAATAAACACCCTTCCCAATAATTACTTGTAGCTGGCAGGACAGACAAATCCATCCAGCGAAAACAAACTCTCTCTAACTACTAAGTACATAACCTGTCACTGTAAGGCTGACTCCAGGCGAAAGAATTCTTTAATAAAATTTTCAACTCGCATGCAGCTCATAAAACATCACTATTGAGTCACAATGCATTCGCCAGTTCCTTGTCAGCAAAGGTTGGCTGGGTAGCTTTGAAGTTCTCCTAAAGCCACGGAGGAAAGTATTCGTTATGTAGAGGTCGCCTGACATTAGCAAATTGACCAGGCCTTTCGCCAACCTGATCTATGCACGTGTAATATTACATTCAGTGCTTTGATGATCGTTTTCAACATTTGAAGTTTTAAATGTGCTAGTCTTCAAGTCTATCAATACTAATTAGTGACATTATTGAGTTAAGAGCTAAGTCGCTTGCCAACATTTTCCCTCTGGATAATATAGGGAAATCCACCATTCTTGGTATTCAAAATCAGATCTTTAGGACGCAAAAAAGGGCCTTTCAATTGATGTTTCTGAGGCATGAAATATCGGAAGCGCAGCGTGCACATCAATTGTGATACATGATATACCCAAGTCAAAGCCGAGGGCACGGAGAACAGTCGAACCAGGATTTCAAGGGTATTTCCAACACGGTGGTGACAAACATCGAAGCCTTCCAATATAAGCCCGATGGCGGCAAATAGTGAAATTAGATGATTAAAAAAATGAAACAAGGCTCAGATCGGCTTTTCTATCGTAACGCCATAAGGAACATGAACATAAAAGTAGAAAATCATATACAAACATCAGCATCGGCATCAACATCGGCATCAGCATCAACATCAACATCAAATCGGATTCATCATAGACACATTCGGCACAGCGGGCACCATAACAGGCGTAGAGGGATTAGGCGTAGTCTTCGTAACAGGAACCGGCGACACAGTCGTAGGCACACTCGCATCAAAATGACTACTTCTGCTCCGCGACATATCGCCCCTCGAAACACTGCTAGCAGCCGTACTACTCCCGGCCTTCCCGCCCCGCTTCACCATCTTCCCCAACACACCGACAATCTCCGCCGCGTCCTCGAAGCTCTCGTCATCCATGCCTTCCTGCGCGTTATATACATCAGCGATTGCGCGTTTTGCGAGACGGCGACAGGCGATTGGATCCTGGAGACAGTCGTACAGGTAGGCGGCGTATTCCAGCTTGACGGACAGGCGGAGCGGATGGGAGCCGGGCAGGAGCTTGTCGGCTAGCATTGCGGCGTGGGTGAAGCAGGCTGTTGCGGTGGCGGTGTAGTCGAGTGGGGGGAGGAGGAACGAAGAGACGGGTTGGACGGGTTGGAGTGGTTCCAGGCCTGGGGGGTGGCGGGTTTTAGATCTCAATTGATCTTGGGATTGATTTTGGGATTGGTGGTGAGAGTCGAAGGCGCGGAGGGCTGTTAGGGCGTCGGGACCGTAGATGGAGTCGTGTTTCATGTTGGGGGGTGGTTGGGAGTCTTGTGGGTGGATGACGGGTCTGTTGTGGAAGAGGACGACGATGTGGTAGAATGAGGCGCGCAGCTTGTAGGATAGGACTTTCAATTCGACGTAGGGCGCTACCATTGGGAGGATATAGCCTTCTAATATGAAGAGGCCCTCGCGGGAGAGCCAGATGATGTGATGGTAGAGCTGCAGCGACTTTGTTTCGCGGGTTGTATCTAGTCGGCGCAGGCGTCTAGCTCGGAGGAGCTTCTTTGATAGCATGACTGATGTGCCGAGGACCTTGTATAGCATTGTGGATAGGATTGGGCTTTCGAGCGCCATTGCGGCGGCGAAATTGCCCAGGGCCTTCTGGTCTACTTCTGAGGAGGCCATCCATAAAGCCAATGATGCGGAGGTGGGGACCTCCTGGTCGATATAGTCAGCCATGGCCGTGTCCGCGGTGATAGAAGGGATTGCAGGCATGGTTGATGACGCAGGTGTATAGAATAGGGGTTACAATAAAAGAGAGGATGAAGAAGGAGGCTGAAATAAAGATGGGGAGAAAGAAACGAGCTTACCTATGTCGCTAACGTGCAAACGAAGCTTCAAACGAACCTCAAACGCAGCGCGTACAGCATGCTCCAATCAAGCGCTTGTTGCTGAAGACGCTAGCCAATTGCGCCGATTGGATGTCGGCAAACCCGAGGGATCTGTGGGATAGAGCAGCCTCCCCAATTCCAGCACTTGAAATTCTGTCGTTCCTCAAGTGTATACAGAGCAGGTTCGACCTGTAAGGTTCAGATCCACCGTGAAGCCGTGCGGATCGCAAATGTACCACAATCGAACCAATGGGAAACGATCTCTAAACTCCAAAAGTCCAAGACAAAAAACCGCAATGCAAGTTTCCTGGTGTAACGCTTCGAGAAAATATTATTAACAAATATTAAATGTTGTAGTTATGTATCGAGGGTCGTAGTGTCGATCGGGGTCTCTCTCGGGGGCAAGGGGATTCGAAGGGTATGCAGCAAGCGCTAGTAACGCAAGGCACGGTCGGGGATGAAAAAGGAAAGCTGGTGAAGAAAGAAGTTCAGACGCATTGTGTGGCAAGGGGGATTATTGAAATGAACGGATTGAAGGCAATTCTTGACAGCGCACCACTTTCCGTGCGGGGAAAGAGTTGGAGCACGGAAATGTCAAGTGGTGATCAATCAGCCCGAGAAGGGGAACAGGGAAAGAGAAAGAGCAAAGCTTTAAAAGCAAGGGCCGAGCCTCTTGATATGACGCACGGGAAAAGAAAAACGAAGCTGGAGATAAAATGGCTAATAATGGGGCCGAGTAATGTACATGATTCGTATTTGTTACTAGTTTCTGTGCTAGGGAGATTGGCATTGGCCCCGAGACACAAGTCGCACAATTGGCGTACAATTGGCGTAGTAACTATTCCCACTGCTTTGTACTTTGTACTTTGTACCTGGACTCTACTTTCTCTCTCCAACAGCCATTGGGCCGTGGGATTGATTAGAATGAAGCGACTCGTCTCTCCCAGTGCTGGGGCAAAAGAAATGCCCAATGGTGGCAAGAACCCAGCCTCCGCAGACTAAAAATTGCAGGATGCGCTGTCTTGCATGCACGGACTAGGTCGAATGAAATTGAGGCGCGCTACGTGGCAGCGGCTCACCAGGATTATGCAAACCCGATTTCAGTCCAATTGGACCGTTCGCTTCGAATTTAATTTAAAATTCTTTAGACGAATTGCGTTTGGCGTTGGGATTGGATATGAGTTCAGGTACAAAATAACTTTGCCAACGTGGCATGACTGTGGTTTTTTTTTAGTACTAGTGGTGGGGGTATTCCCATGTACTCTGACAGCCCCCGTACAGATGGGTACTTGATGGGAGATTTGCGTTGGTTGAGATCACAATGATTTATGTGAGTGATGTGAGTGATGTGACAGGTCCAAGTCCATGACTGGTCCATTTTATGCAAGTTATTCCTGTTCAGTCAAGAGGAAATGTATGAGGATCTAGATGTTAGTACCGTATCTGTTTGGGCGCAGGGTAACGCGGGTACCGATACTTAGCGGACAAGTACACCGCTAGAATGATGTCGGCTCAGCCTGCCATTAGGGATGAACAAGATCAAAGCTGAACAGAACCCAACACAGGAAAAATGAGGTAAAAATGGAAAAGGGGAAAGGGAAAAGGAACAAGGAATAATAATAAAAATATGCCTATTCTACACTGAACTCTCTAGAAATAAGAAAATAAGAACACCGTGAATGCATGGATCTTCAATCCACTATGCAATCAATGCAAGTCCTTGAGTCATAAAAACATCATGCCAGTTCCACCTTGTCATTCAATTCATTCACGTCAAGATACCCGGTAAATGCACGCGAGAGGAAAGCCTGCCACGCTTTATTCACTTTTTTGGTAATCGTCACCCCATCCGTGGCCGACGCCGCCGCCTCGCCTTGCTCTGCGATGCGCACAGCCAGCTGGAAGAAGCTCCGCACCGTCAAATCCTTCATCTGATATACATCATCTCCAGTACTGTACTCGACTTCAAAGTCGATGTGAGTGTCGGTTTTGCCAGCGGCATAATCCGCATTAATTTGGGTAATGTTGGCAAAGTATTGGGTGTAGCTCAGCCAAGTCAGAGCTTGGTTGGAGTAGGCAGGGCCTGGTGGGCTAGTAGAAGAAGGTTCATCGGGCACCTTGAAGTCGGGCTTCTTCTTCTTCTTCTTCTTGTCCTTCTTCTTCTTCTTCAGGATCTCGGCGTCATCTTGGCTAGCATCGGATTCGGGCAGGGCGGCAGAGTCCATAGAATTGTCGTCAAACGCCTTGGCTAGCCCGGTGATGTTGTATTCGACCACACGAATCGTAGGGAAGTAATTTGGCACCACACTAGGCGAAACCAAGGATGCACTGTATCGCTCAGCCCAGGGGCCTTCGATTTTCTTCAGAAACTTCTGGCGCTTCTTTTCCTCCTCCTTCTTCTTCTTGTGCTTCTTGCCGTGTTTGCCCTTCTTTTGGGCATCGACATTCTCACTCTCTTGCGTATCGACAGTTGCTGAGTCGAGATCATCAAAGAATCCATCGGGAGGCGATGGGAAGTCTGCCCACTCGGCCCGTAGTGAACTGATATAGTCGGTCTTAGACTGAATGCCTACCCGTTTCTTGGTAGTCTTATCAGTCAGGAAATCAAAGTCCACGTCATGGCTATCCTGCATCATGAAGTGATCCACATTCATATGTCCATATGCGGATCCAACGACGACGTCACGATAACGATTCACCCATAGGGTATACTTCTGCCAGCAGGTCTCGTCCCAGCTGGTCTTCTCCTTTGTGTGGGCGGGTGGGACATGGCCGATCAAAATAGCCTTCATGTGGCGAGAACGTAGAATCTCCAACTGCACGCGCAGCCACTCCATATGTTCATACCCAGGCTCTGACTTGTCCGCGCATCCATCCACCGCACTGTTCGAGTCGAAGAAGTACATGGTGTTCAAACTGATCACAGACAGCTTGCCAGGAATGACTTCGGAAGTGAACCATCCACCCTCAACGAAGCTATGGCGCTGATCCTCGGGAATAAAGTGGCGCCACAGGTCTGCATACCGTCTAGTCCATACATTCGGACCATCCAGGAAAATGTTGTGCGGCGCGATGTCGTTGTTGCCAAAGGTGGGCACAACGGGGACAGAGACGGGTGGTACGCCGCTGGCACCAATATCGTTCTTCCGGACACCGAACATCTCCACCCATTTCTCAGCCATGAAGTTGTTTAGATCCAAGATCTCGTCGTCGGTTCGCGGCATGCGCTCGTCATTATCATGGCGCGCCGAGTCTCCCGTCCAGATAACGAAATCAATATCATCCTTAAGGTTGTGCTCGATCCAGTTGAATGTCTCGTTGATCAGCGACAGCGGCGAGTCGCACTCGGTGCCTCCGGCTCCAAAGTATCCCGCGTCGCCCTTGCCATGGTGGCAGCTATCGTCACTGCTCACGCTGCGGTATTTGTAGTATCGGTCGGGATGGAAATCTAGTAGCAGTCGCGATTAGTATTTACATCTCAGTCTCGCCATGCGGTCGTCCCACGACTTGGGGCTTACCAGTAACATGTAAAAATCGGCCATGTAAGGGGGAAGCCGACGATGCGCCCGTCGGCAACTGCGCCGCGTGTATTTCTTCAGCAGAGGAATCGCCCAACACCTGCTGCTCTAGCGGGGAGGCCCCGATGGCGCCTGCGAACAGACTCAGCAGCAAGACGGATGACCGCATCTTGGAACAGACCGATCTTCTTGCATCGATCGTTGCGGAGAATTTTGCTATTTTTTTTTTTCGCGCGAGATCTTGGCCAGATCTTATCGGCAGGGGTCACGTCACTCCGCGGGTCAAGCAGCCGGAACGAGCTTAGTCACTTCAGCCCTGTCGACTGAGAACTTGCAGTTGAAAAAAAACCTGTTTTTTTTTAGGGAGAAATTTGGATGTTTGAGAGGTTATAAAGTCTGAGTTTTCATGCCCAAAACCCATAAAGTATACTGCGTACCCTGTGTACCAAATCCTTTGGGTGTTCTGTGGGGGGATCGACGTGGTGAGGGTTCATGTCCAATGGTCGCCAGTGCTCGCCACACGTGTTTGAGGACCTTGGCAAGAGTTAAACCTCATTCCGTCATGAGTGGACTCAATGGCTGAGAAGTCAGAAAAGCTCTCGTGCTCTATGACTTATCTTGGCCTAGTGGTGATTTTACGAGAGTTAGTACACTTAGTATGCTACAATCTTTGGATCTAAGGGCTTAAACCGATTTTTGCCATTTTGTCATGTTGTGTTACCTGAGAGCGAAAAAGAACAACTTAAGGTTAAGCCCTGGCACGCGAGCTGTTTATGCTTAAACACCGGATTGCAGGGTTCTTGTGAGATGCTACTAAAATTTGGAAGATCAAATCTCAAACTCCTTTGAAATACTCAATTATATTTGGACAACTGTAAAATTATCTCTCAATTAAAAACATCCGACCTCGGGGGACTTATCCACACATGCACACGGCATCCACCAAGTCCCGTGTTTAGAACACTAGCAAGTGCCGACCTGCCCACACGGACAGGTTACACACAAACCATGATCAATCAAAATTTGGAGCCTAAGCATCCGCTTCAATCTTTTCGGTGACTGTACCGTCAACTTGCACAACAACCTTGTCCAGGCTCTGTGATGCCTTGACCGGGTTGGGCTGCTGGTAGACCCATTCAAGCTCCTCAAGAGTACGGCCCTGTGATTCAACACTATTTTCACAAAGCATTCGTTAGTCGTGAGCTCACACAATGATCCATGACCTCGGAGAGTAGTAGGATCACTTACCAGAAGAAATACCAAAAGACAACCTCAAGCAAATCCCACCCAACGAAAATCCAGAAGTAGTTCGTCGAGATGTTACCGAGTCCGATCGGAGACGCGAACTGACTGATGAAACTGATACAGCTGACCATGAAGCCAGACAGAGCTAGACCCTTGGCACGAGTGGTGGTCTCCAGTGCCTCGGCGGGCATGACACCCTGCAGCGGTGTATAGGTAAAGGAGAAAATGACGTTAAACAGATAGTAGAACGCCAAAGCAGCTTGACCTTTGCTGGCGCTAATACTTCCTGTCTTTGCAATTGGCTCGGAGATAGCGGCGTTGATGGCCATGGCAATAGCACAAGCTGTACAGGACTTTGTTAGCCAGGTTCCAGGATATATGATCTGGGCGTCAAAACTTACCCAAAGTACCGTAGATAAGCACTGGGCGACGCGGCATCCGATCGGTCAAGCAGACAGCCGTTCCAGCACCAACGGCGGAAATAATCTGGTTGACAAGATTGAGCAGCAGTTGCATAGAGCTTGACTTGTATCCCAGTACGTTGAAGATGGTCGAGTTGAAGTAACCGAGACCATTGCCAGACCACTGTCCGAAGACTGAAATCATAATGACTTGCGCGAAACGCCAGCGACCACTGTGGGTGGTAACGAAGGGGCGGTCTAAGAGATATCAAGCACTATATTAGTACGTTTTCGACAAAGGCGGATGAACGGCCAAAGAGAAAGGATAGCACTTACAGTCCCACCATCTCTTATCAATACCATCAATTCGGATACCTTCCTTCATCTCCTCAATTTCCAGACGAACGAGACGGGCATGAGGATCTCCATTGCCGTGGTATTTGGTCAGGAAAGAGTGGGCCTCTTCCTCTCTTCCTTGGGCGATGAGCCAACGGGGTGACTCTGGGATGAACCACACGAAGAAAATGACGAGGATACAAGCGAAGCATTGGCAGATGAACGGAATGCGCCATTGCCAGTCGGAATTAATAGCGTTCGTGCCGTAGGTAATAGCCGCAGCGGGGATAGAGCCACCGAACCAACCACAGTTGTAGAAACCTAGTAATACCTTGTTAAATTCCATTATCAACATATTCCAAGGTTTCAGATAGATACTTACCGACGGCGCGACCACGCCAATGTGGCGGTGCGATCTCAACGGCGTAGGCAGGGGCCGAGACAACCATGATTTGAATTCCGACTCCAAGGATAAAACGTCCAACCACGAATTGGGCCAGCGTCTTGCCAGAGGCGATAATGATGGAGCCGAAAATAATCACCCAAGCACCGACGAACATACACTTGCGACGACCGAGTCTGTCAGAGATAACCGCACTCAGTGGAGTAGCGACCATAGATCCACTGGAGAATGAAACAATAAGTTAGAATTTTCATATAATGTTTGAGCGGGAGTTCTCCAAGTACTCACACTGTGTAAAGCGAGGTGACGACAGAAACCTTCTCTCCGGTCAATCCGGTCTTGAAAACGTCCTGGTAGTGGCTCATGGCCAGAACCGATCCCATCAAGGAACCTATTCATACATTCGATTATTAGCATTGCCCCTTGAAAAAGAAATTGGGCGGCGGGACGTTCGAATACATACCATCGTAACCATTGGCACAGGCACAGAGGAAGGCCACAAAGACACAGACTAGGATACTCGTCAGAAATGCCAAGCAAAGGAGTTAAAGGGTTGAACAGGCTGATCAAACTCACAGTACAGATGAATAGACGTTTTACTCCATCGCTCAATCTGGGTCTCCTCAATAGCAGCGAAAAGTTCGGCCTGGGCAAAAAGTCAGCCTTGCAAAGTAAAAAAAAAGAAAAAAGAAAAATCCAAGCGGGCACAGCTCATGACTTACATTGCGGACTTCCTTTGTCTTCGCACCCTCACGCTTGGCAGTTTCACCATACCCAGCAATAACCCGCGGAGTATCCTCCACCTGCGAGATACCATGTACCTCTTCCTGCTTGGAGTCGGACATATCGAAACCTTGGAATATACCTATAAGCTAAACCCAAGAAAAATTGACTTGTCCAGCTGGACCAAAGAATCTCAGATTTCCGCGTGGCACAGAAATACTCCGACGTGGGACAGGTTGAGATTCTTATAACACACGACCTACCTGGGGCGTAAGCTCAAAACATGCTCGAAATTAATTGCATGTGTAGCGCTAGCCAATCCTGCAGTTCCCCAGAGGCTGATTCGATTCCCCGTGTGACCCCAGACTCGGTGGACCCTGGCAGCAATACACGGCGCCAACGAGTGGCGTGCACAAGTAGCTCCGTATCCCGATAGGAATCGGGGAGTTCCCCAGTGAGCCCATACTTGTTCCCCATGGGTGATAGGTAGGATGCGCCTGCCGCGATCCGAAAAGATTCAGGACTTGGTATCTGGAACATCGGGCCTGCATCCCGCTGCTAATGGTAGGAGAAGCTCGTGCTTTGCTGAAAGCATGGGCCAGCTTCATCTCCGTGTTTCTGGGTCATTATTGGAATGCCAAAAGCCCGTAATTTTTATTGGCTAATTTTAATTTCTGCAAATGATTACCTTCAAGATTACCTATATTGGGAGCAACTAAACCGCTAAAGCGGGCCAAGCCATGCAATAAGGAGGCCTGGAGAGCAGAGTCTGCATAAGAAATATGCAAGGTCATTCATTCACGGTCTGCTCAATGGATATCCCCAGTTTACTGTGCAACGTATGGTAGTCCCCCTCGATCATGTCTAATTTTTCCACGCATTACTTTAAGGGTCCTATTGTGGGTCATGATCGACTCGAGAAATCCGCACGTAATTTTAACTCATGCCAAGTCCCTTGCGCTGGGGTAAACGCCCATATGGGCCATAATCCACCAACTGGGCCCTTTGTTAGCGCGGAGCATCCCTCCGTGTTGAATCCTCCACGGGTCCTTCCCCACAATACGCTAGTCTTCTCCATACTTTCAACTGAGCTTAATTTCATATTTTATATCAAATTCTTTTCAAATGTTCTTTTGAGATCGGCCCGAGCTTCGCAGGATTCAAGACACTGCCCTCGGGTTTGCCACATGGCGCTCCCGACCGAGCATCTACGCCGTTCAGTGGACGCTGATGGGGCCATGATTAGACAGAAATTGAAGTGTTTTGACCCGACAGGGTTAGGCTCATCACGAGCTGTGATAGGCTCCAAAGTTAGATCCAGAGGCTAGACAACATCGAGTAAATGGAGCTGCAGGGGGTTGCGAATTTGGCATGATGGCTTCTCCGAGGAATGTCAAAATACCGAGCCCGACCGATGCCCATTCTTGTAAGCGAAGACTAGCCTTGGCAGAGTATTTTATTCGTATCGGAAGTTAGGGATAGCGCCACAACCATTTACCTCGGTAAATGGGGTCTAGCTCGGTGGATTGGCTGATTATTCTGGTTGCTTTGCACTCACTTACTGAGTGTTAATATCTATTAGCTTTCCACCCTTCACGATTTCAAGTTCGTTAATTGGTTAATACATCTGATAAGTGAATGTGATCTTTTATCCTCTTATCAACCCGACTCGCGCTCTGTCTGCTGTTCATGAATTTTCTTTCTCTGTCAACAAGTACCTACCAGGTCAGCTGGTAGAACCATTCAAGGAACTACTCCTTTCTTCCAACCGTCCACGAGAATGATAGTGCCAGTTCTGAGATCGAGTGAATTTTCCCCTTGGCCAGTAATTATATGTTTCTAGATGTCCACATATACACCTTGAGGTAAGCAATTTCCACAAAAACATCGAAAGAAAAAGAAACATCTCCACATATCGATTCCAAGGTTGATGTTTTCGTGATGGACCTGCCCGGCATGATTGAATTAAGGATTAAATTGAGGATTGAATTCAAAGAGGATTGAATTGAGGATTGAATTGAGAATTAAAAGAACATTCAATGTTGTATACCAAAGAGAAGGTTCCAACATTGAATCTTTGGTGAATACATCCAGACCCGGGGGCCTTCGTTCGAACATTGAATATTGGGATTAGTAGCACACCAAATGTATTTATATCCATCTAGATGCCGTTCATCTTCAAATTTTGCCTTCCAAATTTTCTGAAAGTTGACCTCGAGTACCCGCAATTCCAACTTCCAAGGATCATCAATCGACTTTCCCCAACATTGAATAGCATCTGCTGAACACCCAGTCCTACAGATATGGCTTCTTCAACCGGATCATCTCAATCTTGCCCTTCGAAAATGAAAAATGTCCCCAAATCGCCTGTGCGACTTGAGGAATTGAAAACCGAGCTCCAACCAATAGTTGAAGCCCAACCAAAAACTTACAAGAAACAGATTGCGATTCTTTTCTACTGGGATGATGACGAACAATCCGCGAAGCAAGACATTCAACTCATGACTAATTTCTTATCCACGTTTGGTGTTAACACAAGCTACTTCAAATTGTCATCTCATCCGCAGTCCCTGGTAGAAAAGAAGCTCATTGAGTTCGTGGAGGAAAAGATCTCGCGTCAAGAAGCAAGATATCCAACCCAAGACTTGCTGCTTATCCTCAACTACGTTGGACACGCCTTCTGGGATGAAAAGATCAAGGATTTGAGACTGGGACCCACCTATCAAACATACGTCAAGTGGGGCACGATCCATGAAGCCTTTTTTCGAAAAACCCAAGCCCCAGAGAACACCGATGTCCTCGGAATTCTCGACTGCTGTGAAGCTGGATCCGTAGCGAGGCTTAAGAGCCCGCCCACAAGAGCCACCCAGGTATTAGCTGCATGTGGGGAGCACACTGACACGAATTCACAAAACGGATTCTCTTTTAGCAAGCGACTATTTGCCACGGGTAAAATCCTTTGGGACAATGGAATGAGAACCATAACAACCGCAGATATTCTCCAGGAGATTAACACACACCAGATATGGCGGAAACACTACCCACCTGCACAGCTGGTAACTTATCTTGGCCGGAATCCAATTGCTTCCACTTTCAAGGACCCTAAAAACTCCCCAAGTGCTCCGAGGAGCCCGAACAGCTCTTCAACATCATCTTCCGGAACATTTTCCGCTGAGGTCGAAGCAAGATACACTGTGCGTGGCGAGTTGGAGAATGTTCGCCAGATTTTCAATCGTTTTAACGGAAATACGCCAGCTCGGTTGCAAGTGTCACCCAGTCATTCATGTGCTAAAGATGGCTTGGTTTACCTCACTCTTAGGATGACATGGTACAAATGGGCGATATGGTCAATGGTGGTGGATATTGAATTTGTTCGAGAAATTACCACTCACTCTCCTTCGCCTGAGGGAAGTCAACGTCAGACTCCACCGTCTGGAGACAAACGTTCTTCGCGCGATATGGGCTCTAGTGGAAAGAGCCCCAGGGACAAGAAGCGGTAGGTTGATCCAACTCAGCCCCGACTTACAAATGCCAAACGGGATTATGCTCGCCTTTCAAGACAGTGGAAAAGAGAGATTTATCATTCACGCTCCATACGCAGAAAGGGCGAGAGGATGATTAAGCTGGGGTGATGGAGGGAAATTACAGAGCTGAAGAGATAGGTTTAGAAGAAAAAAACAAAAAATTTCATTTTTTACAGCAGTCGAGGGTAGCACAAAAAGGTTACATGACAGGGTTCGAGTCCATAGAGATCAGGTTTATCTCAGGAATTCCAATTTCACTACTCTTTGATCCTGGGTCTTGTGGCATGCGTAAGAAAAATTCAAATAGACTCATTCAAATGTTAAGAACTGGGTGCTCCGTTTTCTTTCATTTTTCGCCAGAAACGATACATCAGGAGGGTTAATTGCAGTAGAAGACCTAAAATTGGATAGAGTAGGATTGATTCAGCTGGCTATTGACCCTCACTTCCGGTTAGTAGGGGTCCAAAGACAAGGCATGATTTTCAGGGTCTGACGCCAATTTTCAAGGCCCTGGTGGGGCAATGTTCTTTGATCAGACAACACATGAAGAAATCCTTGTATTCTCTACCAATAACCGAGTATAAGCTCGCCAGGATCTCAGATTGATCGACATCCGCCAAGCATATACCCTGAAAGCCCGAAGCTGTAAACGTACCTCAATAGACAATTTCTCTTGGCTTGCATGCGCACGTAGTGTGCTCTGAACACCATAAATACCAAGCCCTATCACTTACTGTTGTTCTGAGAAGCAGATATTTCAACATCAATTGAACATTTGAAACCTCAATCGAAGAATTTCAGCCTCTAGTCCACGATGAAGTCCTTCCAACTTGTCGCTATCTTGCTCGCTTTGTGCACTATGGTTTTGGCCACCCCGTCGGACCTTCCTAACCACTGTGTCTATGGTACGGAGCCGATTGTCCCTGGCACTAAGTGTGAAAATCCAGGTGATTGGGACCCGACGAAGAATTAATTCCAAATGTTGTCCATGAAGTTTGGTCTGCTTGGCGAAGCTTTGGGATAACTACCGTAAGCTGAACTTCTACATCTGTATGCCTAATTTCCCCCTAACAACAGTTAACATCAATACTTGATAGGATTCATTCAAATCGCCTATCACAACGTCAGATTTGCACCTGTTTGAGGCCTTTCCAAGGCTGCTGGCAGTTTTGTTCTCCAGGAGGTTTCTGTTTGTTTCAATGTGTTGTTTTGCCAATCTTGCTGGTCTCGTGTGTTGGAAGATCCGGTGTAAACATTTGCATCAATGGTATTCACACGCGTTTTGTTTTTCGATATTTTGAGATCCCACTGTCTTTTCCTGTGAAATCTGCTCCAACAGATAAAGAACTTCCAAGGTTAAAGTTCCAATGTTATATTTGCAGCTACATATCGAATTTTTGCATTCCCGAGGTCTTATCCCGGTCTGTTGACTATTAGTAGGTAGTCACTGGTAGTAGATAGTAATTGATTATGTAGTATGAATCTTGAATTTATGATTTCTAGTGAAGTCCTTCGCTTTCTAATGTTGTATTGGTGGGCCAATGCTGTAGGAATGCCTTCGCAGAAGCCGCCGCTGTCATCGCCGCATAGTCCTGCCATATCTTATTCTTGTGACTGTCGGCATAATCACACACACCTTTAATGACGACACAGGGAATTGAGTCCCATACCCCGGCACCTTCCATCTCGAACGCTATTACTTTAGCTTCATCTGCAATTGCCTCGCGCTTGATCCCCGACTTCAACACGGTTTCTCCGGACGCAATGAGCCCGAAATGTACCAAAGGCCTATTTTTCTGATTTTGCCGCGAACGCCGTACCAGTCTTTGTTGGTCGCATTTGAGCTTTTCACAACCAGATTTCCTCGCTATGTCGCAGATTCCGTCCACACAAGTGGGGCAGATTGTCGATTCGTCTTGGTGTCTGTGGCAGTATTTCGCCTCGAACAATTTGTCCTGTCCGTTGCCCGGGTAACATATTTTCGTTGTACCGTGTGCCCCGTAATCTAAGTCATCGAGATATCCTGCTATTGTTGTTTGTAGGGTTCGACGGTGCATATCAGTTTCTAGCCTGACTAGAAGTGATAAAATCTCGCCACTAGGCCTTCCTGGTTGGTCTTCAACTGTAGCCTTCCGACGGAATTGATCAGAATCCTGTCGCCCAAAAGTATAATGCACAATCCCTTTGCTAATGACAACATCTCCAAGAAGAATCTCCTCGTTAGGCGTAGGGGAAGGAACACCCCCACAAATACCCACTACCAGGGCCAGCTTGATATTTGTGAAGCTCATAGAGCACATCGTCGCCACTTTTGCTGCCGGCACTGGGCCCATCCGCTCTTGGTGAGCCAGGACCACATTATGGCCTCCTATTGACCCCACGGAATAGGAGTTCTTATCGTTGTGCTGCTTTCCATATGTATAAATACCACCGTCGTCCTCCCAGTGCTTCTCAAAATGGGCGTGTACAGCACTGGCTTCCCTTGGAAGCGCGCATATGATGGCGACTTCGAAATCATCACGACTTCGCGGTCTTGAATGGCGGTTTTTTTTTGTCACCGGTAACCTCTCCGGTTCCGTTGAGAGTGAACAGCCTTCCGATATTATTTGTTTCCCACCGTGGGCAGGTTGGCTTTGGGCATTCTCACATTCCGAAAGTTTGGATCGGGGTTTCTCGGAGGTTTTTGTTCGGCCGATTGCGGGATGTAGATGTGCGGAACTTTTCAGCGACTGTAGAATCACATCTTTGCTTTCTTTCAGACTTGACATAGCGACAGCGGTTTGATCGCCGTTAAGTACGCGACGCGTATTAAAACCTAAGGTCTCTCCATGGCGCTTCCTCACAGGATTCTTAGTGAACACTTTACAGATCCCAGTCTGAACAAGACTGGGAGGTGTTAGCTGGTCAACCTGTTCCCAGGTCCAAAATGCCCCCTTCACCAAATCTTGCTCTAGCGGGCGCACAATACTGTTGTAATAAGTGTCGACGAAATCCTGGTTCAGAAGAAGGGTGTCGGTGCTCAAAGGTTCGAAATGAGCAAAAGATGCCCGGTCAATACAAAACTTGGCAGCTCGAAGAAGGCCTGAATCCAGATTGAAACGTTTCATAACTTCCTTCAGCAGGTACTGAGCGACGTAATATGGTTTGTGCTTGATGGACGCGAATGAATGTTCATCTTGAATGTCGGCAAGATCTTCTCCCAATTCAAGTTCAATGAGGACGATACCCAAAGCGAGGATCGTTGGGAAGGGGTGAACTTTGTAGCCTGTGGACCGAGGTTGGTCGGACTCGGTGCCAAACTCAGTGCCAATGAAAACTTTGTCAAACAGTGGGTTTGGCAGATCATTCTGCATTTTATAGTAAAAATAGATGTCATTGACAGACATGCACTCGCTCAACCATGGCCCTTCGAAGAGATGTAAAATGCATCGAGCTAAAGTCACACCTATGACTCGTTTGGTGGCGTAGGTTGGCTTCACAGTTGTCAGCAACTCGCTTAAGCTCATTTCAGCATATTTATCCTCTTCCAGTATTATTTCAAGTGGTTGAGCTGATCTCTGCTTATCCCACAATTGGTTGTTACTATCTGTTTCGAGGTACAGGCAAACACCGCGAGAATGGTCGTCATAATTTATGAGGCAAGCAGGCGCTTGTGCTTTCACACTAGGGAAATTATTGTCAGTTCCATTTGCAAGACGGGTGAAAATTAGGAAGATCTCACCCTCGATTCTTGGGGCAGACTCTACACTCCTGCAAGATATCGGGACCAGTTAAGAGCACAAAGAAACTGTCGTTCTTCCGATCTTTTGAGCTCCATTGTGGATCTAAACAGAATCTCGCCTGCACGCAGCAACCTAACCGTCCGTTATGGTCGTGTTCGTCTGAATGACAAGGCCAAGTACCGTGGAGAATATTATAAAGTGATTGTGACAGGTGATGAACACTCTCCTCTGTCGAGATGCCAGCTTGAAGTTTGGGAGGCATTGGGTAATTTTTATCGTCTGAATCATCGTCCAGATGACCGCTGTCGTATAATTGATCAACGAGAGAGTTCCAGTCTTTGATCAGAGCGTTGAGTTGAACAAATAGTCGCTCGTCCTGTGTCAGAAAGTCATCAAGTTGAACCTGCCATGTTTCTGAAGATGAGACAATCTCATGAAACATGCCTAGTATAGGCAGAGGGTGTAGAATCCATCTTTCGACCGCATCAGAAGGAGAGGGCACTGCCGTCTTGTTTACCAAAAAAGCTAGTATTCGAGGCAAGAAAGGGCTGCTTGGTTGTATTGATGGTCGTGCAAGCGAATTTGGATATTCACGCCTCACATAATCATCGCGGAGAATTCCGTTTAGTGATTCTGCGATCTGTTGTAGACATCTTTGCAGTGGCTTTCGACTTGCTAGAGCTTGGATAGTATTGGCCGACTTGAGATCAACCATCAAAGTCACCAAGGATGTTCTCAGACTCCTATGTATGCCTTTCGATCCTGGCCGGCTGCGACCGATGGCCTGCACCAGTGCCGATGCCACGTCGGCAACCACAATGTCAAGGCTCTCTGTGGGCATTTGATCCGGGTTTTCCTGCTCGGAGCTTCGATCCATGACAATATCACTGGTAACCACTCTTGTTGTTTGCGGAACGAAAGATGAGAGGAGGGAGTTACAGGGGCTGAAAAAGGGACAACGCAGTGCAAGATCTCATTGGGCGAGTCTCGTGATCTGTCAGCATGCATCAAACCAACCCCGCTCCAGGTCAGAATTGAGGCTGAGATAGACGGAATTGACAACAAAGCGTGAATGATCAGATTTAATCCTGCCCATCACTCGTCACCAGTGCGTTCGAAACCCCCCTCCTACCAGATATCCGGTTGCAAAAAAATAGACCAGAGAGCCACCGGATATAACTATTCGAGTTCAGGATCGTAAATTGCGATGGCGATAGCCGATAGGGCCACAGAAGTCGTGGTTTTACTTGAAAAATGGAGGACATCATTTAGTCCTGCATCTTCCAGCATTGATGAAGCAGAGAACCAGTTGTTTAGATTCAATCTGTGGGCATCCAACAACTCTATTTTTGAGTCGCGTCGCGCGTCGATGGACTGGAGACTGCGAAATGCCCCTCTGATTCAATCAGCAATGGAGGACCTCTTGGACGACCTCAAGATCAGCTTAAGTGGCAAGTCTCAATATCCTAAGGGTTTGAAATATTTTTCTAATTTCTTGATGTCTATAGATCACGGTGCTAGTCTTGACGGAGATCTGCGGTCCAACGCGATGAATCTTCCCACCTCACCAAGCGTCATGGAAGATATCCTCGACCAGCTCTTTCGATTGACTCGATCTGTCCGTCGATCTGGGGTACTCCGCCGGTTTGTGAAGATTAGTGACTATACCGAATACAGTCCGGAGGGGGTGAATATAAGTGAACATTTCAGTTCTGCTGCTAGCGAGCTTGTCCCGCACTACCTGAAGGAAACAAGAACTAGCGATGAACTAAAAGATAGGTTGATACGGACTATCTGCTTGCGTCATAAAATGTTTTCATATCTGAAGGCTCGAAAAGGTCAACTCCCAGAAAAGCCTGCTATTCCAACTCGAGCCGGCCCGCCTCGGTCAGTTCTCGCGCCGAGTTTCAGCGTAACGAAACCGGTTTCTACAATCGCCAAGAAAAAGCAAACAAATGAATCCCAGCCCGCTCATAGAGCCAGACCTTCTGTCATGACGGCCACGACGGTACAATTTGATCACGTCCCTGCGAAATACTCGGTCCAGGCATCAACTAGCAAGGAGCCAGAGATTATAACAAGTCACTTCGAACTTCCTCAGCCACCGTCTGTGCCAGAAGGGCGAAAGGAAGCCGAATGCCCGTATTGCCTTTTAGTATGCCCTGTGAAGGAATTTAGCGGTGACAATTGGATGTATGTCGCAACATTCTTTACAAGAATTTCCAAGCTGACGTAGTATCCGTGAAACAGAAAACACATACTGGAGGATTTCATGCCGTACATTTGCATCTTGAATTCCTGTCCCACTCCGGACACATTATTCCATTCGACAAAGGATTGGTTACACCACATGAAACACGAGCACGTTGTTAACAGCTGGTCATGCGTGGATAAAAGAAGTCATACTTCCAGCTTCTACTTTGACAGCGCGTCTGAATTCAAACTTCATATGCATCAGTGTCACCAAATGAGTTTTGAAGAAGCTGATCTAGATTTGATCACTGACGCTTGCTTCGAGACTAAAGCAAGAGACATGTCACTAGAAGATTGTCCCTTCTGTGATAAATGCCCTTCGATGGATTTTCCACCTGAGCATTGGATTCAGCATGTCGCTCAACATCTGTTCAAATTTGCTCGTATATCACTCCAAGGCTACCTTGAGGAAGATGATGAAGAGTCAGATATTTCTGGGTCCCAGAGTGAGAAGGGGTCAACCTCACATCAATTTATCTCGCCCACCATCACAGATGGACTACTGGACCAGTCCTTTGAAAATGAAGATTATGAAGCCGACCACCTCAATCGCTTAGATTCAAAGTACGAAACTCTTGACACCGGTCATGTTGTGTGGTCTGATTATTTTGGATTACTGCAAGAGCCAAAGGGTAGTCTTCCGACTGACCCAATACTTCAAGTGTTCATCGCGCGAGCGGAGGAGCTCGGCAAAAATCAAGGCTCAAGCAGAATAATTGCCGAGGGGTCTTCAAGCTTCTCGGTAAGACAGCCAGTTCCTTTGGTGCAAGACTGGCCCATGTTCTCTCAAACTCTACGAAAAGTCATTACCACAGAGATTGTTTATTTGCACAAAATAGAAATTTTTCAAAGCATCTACCAGACCAGGCTATCTCAATCTACAAATGAGCCTCCGCGTTTAAGAAAATTCATCAGCGATGTCTTGAAGAACCTGGATGATGTGAAAATGGTCAACGAAACCAACATGCTCTTGCCTCTCCGGAATCGCCAGGAGATGCAGCAAGCTTCTGTTGTCGAGATTGCTGAGATCTTCCTGACATGGAACTCTATGGCAAACTCAATTTATACTGATTACATATTACGATTTCCACGCGCGATTCATGTCGTCCGAAGCGAAGCTGACAGAAATTCCGATTTTCGTGCATTTTTGGACAAGATCCACTGGACTCACGATTTTGACGCCTATCTTGATTTGCCGCTAGCTAGAATGCAAGAGTATAAGTCACTGCTTTCAACATTCAGTCCAATCCCCTTTGAAAATGATTATCAAAAGAGCAGAGTTGTTTCAGCTGTGAAGGCGGTTAATCTTGCGGTACTTCAATATGAGAACAGTATGAAGCAAGCTAGAATGATTTTCGGTCTGCTAGAAGAATTTGGAGGAGAGATCCCAGAAGAACTCCGCTTTATTCTCGTGAGTCTAGTGAGGCAAAGCTTGATTTACAAGACTCGGCGAGGCTCGCTGACATCTTCCAGACTCAAGATTCCATCGAGAAAATGGCTTTAGATTTCGATGAGGAAAGAGAAAAATTGCCTTCCGAAGCGTGCAGTCATGACACATTCAAGAATATGGATGAAGCTCTAAGCAGTGCGCGCGCAAGTGATAAGGTTTTGTTCGATTTAGTGAACAATTGTGTAGATACAGATGGTATTGATTCCACATACTCCTCGCGTGGGTCCGTGATGCCAGCTCGAGCTGGACACGACTTCACATCGGACAACACAACCTTCCACTCCACACAAATTCAAGATGCTGCCCGGGGTGATGGAGCTTCAGCAAGCCGTGACAAAGAGTATTCAAAGCCCGAGAAACCTTTTAGGTGCATATTGGGCGGGTGTAAGCTTACTTTCGGGCACGCTGGCTCATTGCAAAGGCACATTGAAGACAAACACTACCCGCGCCAAAGGATCCTTTGCCCGAAATCTGGGTGTTCTGAAGTCTATCATCGCACTGACAAATATCGCGATCACTGTCGAAATACGCACTTGTGGAATCCTTCTAATGAAGAGATTCGGAATTATTCAATACCGATCCCCTGTCCGGCGCAATGCGCATTGTGCAGTAAGGTTGTCCATGAGTGGAAAGAGTTCTACCGATGTTTCAAATCTCACTGCCTTGTTTTGTCTAATGCCCAGGAGTCCATCACTATGCCTCATACCCCACATGCGGACCATCGCCCTTCCGATACCGATTTTTTTGGTATTGTTGGGGATTTCATGATGTATGGGGTGAACTCATCGGACCAACCTCGCAAACGAGAACGCTCGGAAGGGTCATCGACTGTTGAATATCAATCTACCTTTGAGAGAGAAAGCAGCAGACGCAAAGGGTGAGGCACGTGCTCACGTTTTTGCATTTTGCTAGTCGTGCCAAAGTTTAAAAAGTTCAATGGTATCCTGCCACCTTTGTTTGTGGTCCTCGACTGGACCCAATCCCACATCCAGATGTCAAGTTATGCTTCAAGAGTCAATTGTGAGCATTGTGGCTACACTACGACAGGTTGCTACAAATGTCAAGTCACAGCCACTTGCCACAAGTGAGTGCTTTGATGAGATGTTTGTCTCGCCACAGCTATGAGAGGAGTTGCGATGCGATGTGATTTGAAAGGGACGGAGTGGGTTGAGAAGAGGAAGGAAGAAGGGAAGAGACGAAGTGAGAGAATGCTGGAAGGACCTCAGGTTCCGCATGCGGGACCTGTGGTCCTTGACAAAAGCATCGTAACGTCGAGCCTCAGGTGGAAACTCTGCATGAAGGGATTCGGAAATCTTCGCCATTGCATGACACTCCTGTGCTTGGTACCAGTAATCTAAAAGATTAGTTGGATCAGCTACGTCAAAAGTGGAATACGGGGAGTTGAGTAGTTGGATAGGTGGGAGATGCAGAGAAGGGGAGCAAGACGCCAGCTGGCGTTGATACTTTTGCACTCGGAGGGATAATGGATGAAAATTGATTGACTCCGTCAGAGGACAAATCTTCTGCTGGTGTGAAGCCAGCGAAGACTGCAATTGATAGTATTTTTGACTGTTCTTTTTTTTGCATTAGGTAGTTATAGCAGATGCCACCTGGGCATAAGTTCTATTCAAATGTTAAACACATTTATAGGAAAATGTGGGCTGCAGCCACCTGTGTTCAGCAATAGACCAACTAAGCTAATTCGACTTAGAAATATAAACACTTTACGGCCCAAGGGGGATATTGCGTAATTTGGAAGGTTCACCACTTTGACAAACCGACATCTGGAGTTGAAACTCCTGCTCAAAGTTCAATATGAGCAAGATTGTTTCTCTGTTACTCCATTGATGGAAGCCTTCAAATCAAAGTTGGTAACATTGAAAGATCACCGTAGCCAGTAGGTGCACTAACGACGAGTCTGAAGATGCGGGTAGTAGCTGCGGTGTTTCCAAGGTTCAAGCTTACACCTTCCAGACCCTTTCTAGTTCCAGATTGACCATGATCGGCACTGGACTACTCTATATTTGGATATGGGGTATAATCCAGCATGGACCATCGACTGCTGTCAACTTGGATGCCTCGATGAAATAAAGGCTGCGAGGAGCAATTCCCATGGGAATGAAAAGCTTTTTTCGTGGAAAAGAATTCCCGATCCGCTTGTCTTGGTGGCTTCACGGGACTCCCGTGACTACCGTTTAATTTGCCATTGCCATCACACTCATCACTAAACCACCCTCTAAATCTATCAAATCATTGGAATAATTACAGGGTGTGGATACAACAAGACCTTTGCATTTGTGTCTCCGCTATCCCAAAGGGGACATGATGCACTAGCCTTTCTAGGAAAATCGAACCTGGAGCCTATGTCCATCCTCTTCACCCTCGTTTTCTGCCCTCTCTGCTTCTTCACCTCGCGCTTTCTCTGAACCAACTTCCACGTGTGAACCATCCGGCGATTCCAACTGAAAGACGTCGTCTTCATCTTCTAGATAGCACTCGTCGAACTTTTCCAAGAACGCATCCATCTCGGTCTCGTCGACCTCTCCGCGCTTCATCGAGTGGGCAAAGTTTGGGTACTGGCTGCTGAGAAGCTTGCGATCTTCCGAGTTCCACAACCTCTTTTCAAAGTCGGTGAACAAAGCCTCTGTTTCCACGGGTAATGATACCTTCATCTGCTTGGCCGTTACCTGCACTAACCGTAGCATCGCTTTCCCCAACGGCCATCGATTGGCAAAGGCTTTGGCGGCCACGCTCAAGCTCACGAACGCCCCACGACTCGCTTCTTCCTCCATATCCCCTAGCAATGTGAACATGGAAACTGTGATCCAGTGCACGTTCGCCGGAGGCATTAGCTCGAATCCCCACCAGTCGCGGTGCATGTCAATCAGTTTCCCACTCTCCAGCGCAGACTCTATACAAATCTGTCGAGACTTCTGGCGGGTTGATGTCGCCCACTCGGGACATTGACCTCCATCCTCCTCCTCTGCTGTTGGAAGGTCTCTCAGGTACCCGAATACAATCTGGATTGTGGTGTGGTATTTGAGACTGCTCAAGAAGTTAACAAATGACTCATAGTAGCTAGGATCCAAAGACGAACCGGAACGCCAATACATGAGGAGGGAGCTTAGTCGTTTTCAAACACTTCGGCATCCTTTCGTAAAACTCCAGCATACGTGTATGCTTGTCTTCGGTTGCTTTTACCAATTCGATATTCAATTTCTGCTCCCCCTTACCGAACAAGGACCAACTCAAATCATACTCGATGACACTGAACTCGCTGAATGTGAGGAAAAGGCACTGCGTGTGAGACTCAACTGTGTCAGATCTGTGAGGATAGTCGGTCCAGTTCTCGCCATGAAGGTCATCGTGAGCAGGGGAATACGCTCGATGTGGCATCTTTATGAGGCCTCCTTTTTGGTACGCGAGACCCGTCATCCTACACATTCCAAGATAGTGGTGTTAGATACTATATCACATCCGACAGACGTTGCACAAAGGGGCCTTACGAAGCTAGATTGAATAGCCCCCAGATGGTCATATCAATAGCCCGTGACTTGCGTTGCGTATCTGGATCGGCATCTGGTGGTGGGGGTTTGTGTTTTCGAGCGAGCTCATGGACAGCATAGGCAAGCTGACCAAGATAGATCCAGCCGCTGCGGTCTTTACCCATCATGCAGGTGCTATTGGGCATTTATAAGTACTGCAACCTGGCTATAAAAGGATGGACAGCTTACCAGGCATATAGAACTCCAAGCCCTTGAACAAATGGGACTGTCACTTTGCCATTACTTTGGTCAAGGTGCTGCTTTGCCTCTTTATAGAATTGCAGCCCTCGTGACCATGCTTGTCCTGCAACGGCATATGCCTCAGGATAGTCAGAAAACGGCTGCAAAGTCACTCTTTCATTAGTCCAAATATTTCATGGGTTGCAAGGTTCACAACTTACACAAGCGTCTGCCAGAATGATATTCACTAGGAACGGTGAACAAAATTCCGAATCAAGATTACCAGATTGCATATCTCGAATGAAAAGATCACGATCAATCCAGTTGAGAAACGGATGTGTCCAGCTAAACCACATTGATATGAGATGTGAAACAAATTCATTGTCCTTGGTGACGCTCGTCCATGGAGCAGCGGGCACCTGAAATAGTACAATATCTGAAAGTCGCTTCGGATGTAGCCGTGCCAGCGCTGCACGTTTTTGAGACTCATTCAGATGTCGAACACCGCTACGAATCTCAACAAGCTCCGGCGTTTTTTCCACTTTCGAACGTTCGATAAAGTCATCAAGGAATAATTGGACTTCTTCCAGGGATGCATTGCTGCGGATCAAGTTGAGGATCTGCGCAGCCTGCGTCTTGCTGGTTTCCTGCAGCGTGAGGACTAGACGATCCAACAGCGATGCTTTTTCTTGGTAGGAATCCAACTTCCGTTTCAGTCCATCCTTCCGACGCTGGTCGCCTTCTTCATCAATGGTACATATCGCGCCTGTCTTGACACATCGATCACATGGCTCCTTTCCAGAACACTGATACATTTATTGCCATAATCAATACCCTGTTCAGTCAGAATTCGTGCTTGGGGAGAGAGAACTTACCCTCACTTTTCGGCTTTGGCAGTTCTTGCAAGCCGTTCGCGCGTTTTTTCGCTTCCTGATATTTGACTCATCTGGCGATTGTCCCGCGGATGAGGATTCGATTGAAGGCAACAATGGCCTTTGCCTCTCGGTGCTGCTGGTCATGGCGCCTAGCTTTCATACGTTGTCGCGTCTGCTATAAGTTCATGGCCAGTCACGCGGGTGCGCTTGACCTGCCCAGAGCTGAGCCCCACGTAGCCTAGCCTTTTTTCCGAGTGCCCTCGCCCCGCTTATCCAGGTAGCCTGCAGTTCCGGAGTGCAAAATTAAGCACGTCTTGTTGTCGACACAATTCTGATTCCTGAAGGCACTAGGGCCACGTGAGAGTGGGGTGTGATGCGACCGAGTGAGAGTTGATATTATTAACTTTCGTGTCCAGCTTCAATACTAGCGTTCATTAATTTATTTTAGCGCGTCGGAAAGCTGATCGCAAACCCTTCTCTCTGGACCCCCAACATCCCTGATTGGGCTTCGGAAATAATTCGCCAGACCACACAAACCCCAATACATGTAGGGTGCTTACAGGCTTCCAGTGATGGGTCACTTGTGCAAGCGGGTCCGGCTCAATAAGCCGCCCAGTCGAGAAAGACCACCTACCCTTAGCTCGCTTTAGCTTCGTGTCGACTTTACGGCACACCATTCTGACCCTCAAACATGCAGCGAATCTCTTGGAATCGATAAACCACATGGGCGGCTATCTGAGCTTCTAGCTGCTTTTTATCCAAGCGTCCTTGCCCCTGCGGCAAAATTGAGAGCCAAGCTGGGATCAACATGCTTCTTCTGTTGACTCCAAGTCCCATTGGTGCGCGAACTTATCACCCCGCGGGGGCCACCCTCGGAGACAATTTCCTTCACTCAACCAAGTTCCCTCCCCGATTTAGAGGTCTTGGCAGGGTGAGATTACGAATTACAAAGCAGGTCGATCAATGGCCAAGACCAGGATACTATCACTAAATTCACATACGAGAAGCTTCTCATTGCAAGCCACTATGTTTGCCAAATCATCCATACCCTGTTTTGTTTTGACGTGTCTTATTTTTTTCCCCCCTTTCTTACTTTGGCCACAGCTGAGGTTGCACAAAAATGGGTGTTTGGCAAATGGCATGATCGTTGCGATCCAATCTAGCCGATCATGTGTTCTTCCGACCGATGATAATTGCCGAGAGAAAAACAGGATTTTCGCTCACCTTACGTAGTACCAACTTCCAATTTCCCCTCCTTAGCCCATAATTAAGATTTTGAAAGACGGAATCCTTTCCCGAGCTTTTTTATGCCAGGTTTGACTAGATTTTGGGCCTCTGGGCCTTTGGGCCTAGAGACGGCGTGAGCATCCACTCGAAGATCTCCATCCTACTGATACCCGTGGACTACCAAAAGTCTCGGCTGTGTTCGGTCTCGGAGTAGGCATGTCTAGCAAGCAGCCCAGACCGTCACTCGAGTGGAAAAACACACATTCACCAACATTGAACATAGATAAGGATTCCATTAACAAAAAAAATAAAAACGCGCTGAAGACTTCGGAATTCATGAATCCCCACTTAATCCAGTTCGGCAATATGATCCTTAAGTCCGGATTACAAGCGTCGGGCCCACATTAGTATGTATGAAACTCGCTCAAGTCGAAACAGGTCTGGATACGGCAATGACACCGAACTCGGCCAAATATAATCCATCTCTGCCGACGCCGAAAAATCATAAAGAAAACTCTTCACAGACGACCCTTTAGAAATATTCTCATAATCAGGCTGCGCAGATCCCAAGTTCAGGAAGCCATCTCTCACCCATCAACGAATAATTCCTACCGTTATTCCAAGTCGCCACCGTACCCCAAGGCTTCGCGTCCACCTGGATAGAAATATCACCCGTAATACCACAGTGCGCGAACACTTCCCCCATGTCGGATTTGATATCCGTGCTCTTCCAACCCCGTTACACCCCACATCGTGAACAAGTACATATGTGTCGTCCCTAGAGCCGAATTCGGCCTCGTCTGCTGGGTCCAGCACAAACCAGACGCAATTTTCGGAGGCCGCTGTGGCGGTGGCGGTGGCTTGCGTCTGGGTTGTACTGGTACTTGTAGATGTTGACGACGGTGTGGTATTGGTTGGCTAGTCGGTTATTTTGGCACATTGCGCGAGAACCCTGGCCGGGCCCGTAGTGTAGTATAGGGTAGTGTAGGTATAATTTTGGTGTTCGAAGTTATGCAGTGGCAGAAACTGCCAGAGTTGGCGTCCAGGTCTTGTTGGGTGTTGTGCAGGGATCGGGGCGAGGGGCGAGGGTTGAAAAATCTGACATTGGGGAGGTACTAGTTGTGTCGTTGCATTCGGTTCCACATGGTTTGATGATCTTGTGTATGAGCGTATGGCTATTATCTGTTGATGAAAAGCTGCATGCGGGAATGGTGCGATCGAATGAGAGGCTGTATACCGAAGATGAGGTTGTATCTGTTTCTGCGGGAGCAGCTGTTGTAGATGGGACTGTGTCCGTGTCCGTGGATGATGTTGTCGTGTATGAGGTTATATCCGTATCGGCAAATGATGGTGTTGTCTGGGTCATGGTGTATCACTGAGCTAGAGCGACGAGGTCACTCGCCCTAAAACCCTCGTTAGAAACAGGATAAAATGCGTGCCCGTGTAGCAACCTTGAAATCTTCACTTGGCACCCATCCTTAGCGCAATCTGAGCCCGGTTGTTGATATTTTCCATGCAGCCCAGGGGCACACGTGAGGATGCTCATAGACCCAAAAATGTACGAGGTAGGACCCGAAAGTAAGGTTGAGGTCTTCCAAGAATGGGCAAAAGTGCCGGTACTTTCTTTCCGGGGCTTGAGCATGCTACCTGAAGTAGTGTGTATCACCCGTTTGTCTCACCCACATACACCAAGCATTACGTGTCACCTAGTACAGTATCCATACTGTGGTAGTGTGATCAACGTGGATGAACTGGAAGGTTAATCCATTTTTGACAGGTTCGGCCTATCGGGTGCTACATGCAGAGACCCATGAGGAAACGGTACGGCCATATATTTTCTCACCCGGCTCGATACAAGAAAGACGGTGTTCAATGCAGACTTGCTACCCAGGTACAGCCGCAAAATTTGTTGGAAATTAGTAATCCCTTGGCTCAAATGTGGGACAAGTCGGTGTAAAGAATTCCTGCAAGCGATATTATGTCCAGATAAGTCCACAATGTTCAATTGTATAATTGTCTATAGTGATTCACGCCCGCGCGGGCCGAATATCCTGAGCAAGGCCCTATCTCGGGGGATTTCCAGATCCTTGTTCCTTTTCAGGAGCAACACGCTCCTGCTGGGACGAGTTAAACGATCCAGATTCCTCGAGCTCAAGACTTTCTTCGTCGCGTCGCCAAAAGTCTTTCTGACCCCGCGCAGCCCGCTTAACCCACGGGGGCAAGACGCCACCTGGAAGTTTCCAAGACCAAGGATCCGACTCATCTTTGTTGGGAGGAACAATCCGACCGCCGCTAACCTTCTCCAAGATCCACGCAATGGTGTTAAGCAGGATATAGCTCAAAATCCCAGCAATCAGTCCGTACGCGATGCTGTATGTGAACGGCATGATGGCGATTGTCAAAAAGGCTGGGATCGCATCGCCGTAGTACTTCCAGTTGATGTCGGCGGCTGATTTCGCCATAAGCGCACCGACAATTACGAGGGTGCAGCCCGTTGCCCATGCAGGAATAGAGGCGAAAATTGGGGCGAAGAAAACAGAGATGAAGAATGCGAATCCGGTCATGCAGGACGTGAGGCCTGTTTTGCCGCCTTCTGAGATGCCAGCGCCGGATTCGACAAATGCTGTCACTGGTGGGCTGCCCAAAAGAGCACCGATGGAGATGGAGATTGCGTCGACCATCTGGATTATTTGTTAGCTTATTTCACTGATTATGTTGCAAAAATGGGAACTCACGTAGGCGACTGCACTTCCTTCGAAGTCTTGGGTTCGCTCGTCGATGGCACCTGCAAACCGAGCCATGGAGTACATGGTTCCAGTGGTGTCCAAAATGTCGACATATAAGAATGTAATGAAAGCGAGGCCAAATTGTGATCCGTGGCCGGAAATATCCCACTCCTGCGCAACCAGAGTATGTGTGATTGGGTGGAAAGTTACAACTTTCTTGAAGAAATCGAACATACTCGTTCCCAGCTCCGTGTATGGGAAGTAAGTCACAGGAGTTGTTCGAGGCCATGAAATGATCGAGACAAGCAGAATACCAATGATAATAGCACCCTTGACCCGGTACATCATCAACAGGGCTGTAAGAAAACCACCGCAGAAGATACCAACCCACATGGTTGCACTGCGCATCTTTTCGCTACTAATACAGAGACCGGTTTCGTCATCAAAATACTGCGCCGCACACCCTGCCAGCTGAATGGGGGTGTCAGATGCACCTTGCACTAAGCCAATTCCAGCGCTGTAGGTCAGGCCAATAAGGGCAAGGTATAAACCAATTCCAACACCTGTGGCAAGCTTGATAGAAGCAGGAAGTGCGCGAGCCAGCCATTGTCGCATACCAATCAACGTTAAGCCGAGGAAGACCCAGCCCTCGACAAAAACGGCGGTCAAAGCCACGCGATATGGAATCAATCCCGAACCGTGGGTACCGACAACAGTGTAGGCGAAGTAGGCATTCAAGCCCATTCCCGGAGCGAGCGCGATTGGTAAGTTGGCGAAAAGACCCATGCAGAATGTTGAAAGAGCGGCAATTGCAGCAGTTGCAGTGACCATGTCGCGTTTCACTTCTTGCACGCAGATAAGGTATTGGGCGTTTGTGGCGCAAAAATCAGACATGCTCTCCTCAGGACAGACACACGTGCCACCTGTCTCCGATGTGATATTTGCGTTGACGGAGATGATATATGCCATCGCGAAGAAAGTCGCGAGTCCCGCGCGCATTTCCGTGAAGAAGAAGCTACCCTTTCTTTCCTTAGGCTGTGAAGGATGATTATTAGCAAGAAGGAAATGCGATTGTTTGTTCTTCATATGAAGCACAACTCACATGTCCTGCGTTTTCCAGTCGAAACCATCTCCCCACGAGGCTCTGCGCAACCCGCAGGTTGGTATCGTGGATCCAGCTGCTGAATCCCATTCCTGCCAAGCTGATAGCTTTATCGTCTGGATAAAGGCAGAGTATGAAACCTCCGTGGCCTGTTAAGACACAGTGTCGAGATGAGAACTCGAGCAGTGAGCTGGGAGAGCCTGCTTTTCAGAGGAAATAAAAAAGAAATGGATCCCTCCGCCAACCAAACTCGTCTGATAAGACTGACAGAAAAAAAACTTCATTGGCAAACCGATGTCCATCTTTCCGCCTCCGAGGCCCTTGGCAGGCTTGGCGGGATGGGTTGACGGCCAAAGAATCGCATACTTCTCTGCCGAGTGCAAATTTCCATGGTCTTTGGCTCGGCAAGTATGCTAGTGGGTCCAGCTGCAACGATGCATTTTGACAGCTCAAACTGTCGCAAAGAACTCATCCCTCAATATCTCAATGTTTATTGCAGCTGTGCGAGTTGTATGACCCCAGACAGCAGGCGAAATCGTCTCATGATATTGCAGACTCGCCAAGATTACCAGTTCTCTTGGCCTTTCTCGGTCCTTTCACATTCGGAGATTTACAGGGTCCAACTGATAACGTCGGAAGAACCCGATAGGCCCGGAGTAGAATTTGCCATTTTCGATCGGAATCGGAAAACTCAAGGCGGTGAATAGTTATTGGCATAAACAGGCCGCCTTGCGGAACAGATGTTGAAAATAGAAGGCGGTATAAATAATGCCGAGCTCTAATTGACCGCCCAAAGGAGTATACTGACGCCAAGAATCCCGCAGTTGCAATCAGCTTGAAGGTATGCTAGAAAATCCGATACCTGTACTAGAATTACCCGGAGACAAGAAATGGAAAGACCAGATTACTTTATCTTTGAAACCTCCTTACAAAGTTAAAGTTCTGAGGCCTCACGAACACTTGAGCCAAGACTCCCCGCTCTTTTCGCTTGCAACGGATGCCCGCGGATCAACATCAACCTTTCACTACAAGACGCCAAGCCAAATGCAGACATCCCATTGGCCTACATTGCTCTTGATTTTAACATTTACCATCCCACGTTCACTGAAGTTTAAACCACATGATAGTTTCCTCACGAGTCATTTACATAAGGTTGATATTCGAAATCCACATTTCCATTCCAACGACCCTTGAAAAGACGGAATGCATATAAAGTAATCGTGAAATTTAACTTTTCTTGGTCGCTATGTGCATAGCCTCCATGTTCGAATGAACTAGCGAGATCCATCACGAATTCATCGACAAAAGAAGCAAGTGCTTAGTAGAGTCCGTACGAGGTACGGAGCACGTGTGGAGAACACCGCGCTCCGCAGCTTCCGTTTTGGGGCTCATCCCTTGCTGCTTTTAGCTCGCTGGGTAAATCACACCGAACTTGCCTCAATAAAATGCACTCAAGTGCTTAGTCGATTGATCGATCTGGCCGCGCTTGGTTTTGTTGATCTCCACCATGATGGGGTCCTCTCTTACCTTTAAGTTCTATCCTTATTTTCGTTGATTCACACTCCATGATTCGACACCCACGAGAGACTGCATGTGATCCAATCGTATCTGACCTCGGTCAGTTACTTACACCTTTGACTGTTTTTCCATGGTCATCAGTTGCAATGTACCATTTAGGTGTTCCTATGATGCAGGGTATAAGTACATCTCCATCTATTATTTATGCACTCACTTAAACTAACTTTGAGACCTAAAGCTTGTTACGATCGTTGTTCATGATAGAGATTATCATCTAGCAACTGATAACCTAAAGGACTCGGGATTCACACCAACAATGCCTGATCGCAAACCAGCTCCTGAAATACTCGAACGTCTCCCAAATGCACAGGAGCACAGGAGGTTTTGCAAGAGATCAAAAAAGGCTATAAGCGCCTGGATGAGTTGACAATAATGATTGATTATTCAAATGAACAACGGACATTACGTTTGGTCCCCAACTCTTTTGCCTCCCAGTGCATCATCTGACTTCCGACACAAATTCAAACACCGATATCTCTCTACCGATCGGCGATTGATATTCTGCTACGTCCTGCGGGAACTGTTTATCTAGGCGTGATTTGCTCTTTGAAACAAAAGTCACTGAATTGATCATTACTTACTAGATGTCAAGGGTCGCTGATCGCGGGAGGATCTTTCGATATTTTTCCCATATGCGTCATGTCACCGCTTTGGATGCGATTGGCGCTTGTACGGGTCTCAATACATAAATGGACTAATTAATGCATGACCGATCACATCTCAACCATCAATCAACTGTCGACACGTGAAACTGCGAGGGCGCCTAAAAGTCCCATCAATTACAAGGCCGCTTCCACGCATGTGTAATAAATCTCTATGAACTTCTAGGACATCTGGAGGGATATAATCCTCAACCTTCCCTATCACACATTTCATTTTTATCCAAGCTACAAGGATTTTGACTAAAGTACTTCTCAAGTGTTGGATTGAGGATTGAGGTGGTTTTGTTCTTCTTTTTCTAAATCAATGCAGAGGAGCCAGCGACCTGTCTATTTGGCCAATTAAATCAAGACACATCACAGCGCAAACATCGCCGTGACAATCGTGCATACATATGTGTTTTGGAATGATATTTTTTAGATTATAATTAGACACAAGAAAGATCTTGCAAAATCCTCCATTTCACTACCACGATAGTCGGTGCCTTTCGATTTCCTACTCTTGCAATCTTCATCTCAGATGGAGGGACCCTTTGGGAGGTGAGCGATCTATGGCAAGCTTGAACGATCTAGGCCTAATATTTTTAGATGTCTTTCTTCCCCCTTGTTCACATTTACTGTTGGTGAGAATAGGAAGGAGGTGACCGTACATTCTTTTGCCTTGGCAGGACTATCGGCGCCCTTGAATGCTCTCATGAATGGCGAAATGATTGAGGCAAAAACCAGACACGTTGACTGGTCAGATGTTGATGAAGACACGTTTACTCGGCTATGTGAATTTGCTTACCTCCGAGACTACACACCCCCGACGGCTCGCTTGATTGATGGCAGCTACACACCCCCGACGGCTCGCTTGATTACCGGCAGCTCTCCTTCCACAAAGGCTAAAAAGGCGGCTAGGAAAAAGAAAAAGAGTCGCTCGGATTTCAACTGGAACTGGGCAGTTAGGCCTGCCGAGCCTGAAGCCGAGCCTGAACCCACAGAGTATCCACGTGAAGCCGAGCCAGAGATGCCTCCACTTGAAGCTGAGCCAGAGATGCCTATGCCTCCACCTGGATCTGAGCCGGACGTGTCTCCACCCGAAGTTGCCTGTGACGATCCAGAAATTCCGTACAAAGAGAGAAGCGTGTGGACTAGGCAATTGTGCGGTACATTCGAGCAGAGCCTTGTCGTTCCTAGTTCGCATCCCACCGATTCGAACTATGCTTTCAAGCCACCTCAAAATACCGGGTCCTGGGAAGACTTCACCCCTGTGTTTCTCGAACAAGCTCGACTATACGTGTTGGCCGACAAATATGGCATAGACTCATTGTGCGAACTTGTATTGTCTAAGCTGCATCGGACACTAGCAAGCTTCAAACTTTATGATACGGGAGTCAGTGGTGTCATTGAACTTGTTCGTTTTGTCTATATGAACACACGACCATCTTACGGCGAAAATATTGACGCGATGAGGAATTTTGTAACGCGTTACGTTGTTTCTGTTCTTGGTCAAATTGGTGAGAATGCATATTTCCGAGAGCTTTTAGAAGACGGTGGTCCTTTCGTCAACGATTTCTGGAAAATCATTTGGGGAATCGACAACAACTCTGGCGCACCTCAGTAAAAGGTATTGCCTGTTTACACCTAACATCTGAACATTATCTACTTGAACATTCAAATGATTTTGGAAGGTTCAAATGTTCAATGAATGTTCAAAAGAACCTATGAATCTTCCAAGTTCAGGTCAACAGGTCCAAACCATTGATTCCGCGTTCTTCGCGCGCGGATTTTGATAGGTACCCACGGATGTCGGAGTGACTCAGTACATAATGTACACGGATGTATATATTCAAGCTCACATGCAGTACAAGCGAAAACCAAGCATGGAAACATTCAAGCATGAACAGAGAAAAATGAAGGCAAATTTGAAAACCAGAGACTCAGGAAGATTCTTGGCTTTATTGTCGCTAAGCTAGTGTTAAGAATCCCAAGACACCTTCAAATGTTGGTACTGATTTTCAAAGGGGGAAAAAACCACAGGTGATCAGGTTTGCACGAATGCTAGCCAAAGACTAGCTATAGGGCAAGCTTTGTGAACCTAAATATCAACAGGCGGTTTGGCCGAGTGGTCTAAGGCGATTGACTCGAAATCAATTCTCTTCGGAGGCGGCGGTTCGAATCCGCCAGCCGTCGTTTCTTTTTTTTCTTTTTCTTTTTTCTCCCTCATCTAGTTTCCCATCACCCAGTCAATTTATTTAATTTCTGTCCAAGGTTGAAAAGATTTGAATCGATGACTTGCAAGTATATTTGTTGTTCGATCGCCCTCCCTGTAATGTAAGGTTTCACAGGATCATTGCTACAATTATACTCCGTATACTAGTAGGTATCACTAGATCCATCCCGCACATGCAACCAGCGCACCTATACTGGATACAGCTCGGTTCCTATATTTAGCTATCCATCAGTGCCCCAGTAATGTTCAAACAAAATTCGGAATAAAAATACGGGTGTCAGAGGCCTTCTCGTCGCCGGTAAGCGACACAAACTCGTGCCACGTGAAATCAATTCGCCAAGCGACATGTCCATCCGTGGTTTCTGAAGACTGGAACCGACTTGTCTCTGAGATAGCCATTAGGGGTTGGATATTTTGGCTGGTAGTTTGAAAGCCGACTTGATGATTCCTTTCCGTATTAGGAGAATGTACTTTGTAGCTAAAAAAAAGAGGGTCGTGTACCATGGAAAAGACAAGGTCCAAGGGCCAACGAGAAATCGAATTTAGGCCGGTGGATCTTCAGATGGCGTCATGGCTCATTGGTCCTTAAACGGAAAATGCCTGATAAGATGGTTCCCGATCGCAAAAAGTTCCAGATGAATGGATTGTAGGTACAACTTACTAGTAGATGTATTAGGTGCTCGCGTTTCATTCGAGAAGGAAAAGCGCGAAGAAAGTCCCCGTTCTGCATCTGTGGCGCGTCGATACGAAACAAGGAACGTGATGCTTCAACGGCGATGACGCATGATGGCACAACACCCCCGGGCCCTATTTTCTTTAATATCTAAATCATTGCCGTGGATCTTTTCTATCATTCCATTTCATAAACAACACTCGCAGCCATGACCCGATCGGACTCCCACTACCGTATCAAAGTAACCGCCGGTCCCAGCTATGACCCCGCAACCCACCAAGATGTTCAAGTAAACGGCGAAGCATTAGCCTTGGAAGGCGACCATGCTTCAGCCACTCTAGCGGTTCGAATTCAGAATTTCAATGGTAAGCATCAAAGACCCCACTTGAACTTAACAACTATTGAGATAATAACAAAGGATACCCGGAGACATCTCCCCGCACTAGCGAGTATTTCAATCACCCTTCTCGCAAGAATGACACATATTCAATCGCGTTCTCCTTTACTCCCAACGCCGACATCAATGGAAATGACCTGCTGTTTGGGAATGACTTCGACCACCCCATCCGCGACCTGCTCCCCATGGGCTTTAGCATGGGAGTAGGCATAGCTCAGCGATTCATCGATCCCACCCTGCAGATCGACGCTTACGCAGATAAGCCCTATATGTTTAGCCCAGCCTTGGCCAATTTGAACCATTTCCGTGTGGGCGCTAAAGATTCCCGAGAACAACTACTCAAGGGCGACACTGTTGTGGAAGAAGGTGTCGACGATGGAGAGGACTTGCATCTTCCAAGTACAGGCGCTGCGCGTCGGAAATATTTCCAAGCCGAGGACAAGCGCAAGGCTTTCACTTTTTCGGCTGGACGCCAGTACGTGGGTGACTTTGGGAACTCCTTCTTGGACTTTAATGGTATGTGGAAGTGGTATTCAATTGTGTAAAATCTGAACTTGGGAGACACTGTGAGCTGACGATTAGTATGGATAGAATTGAGTCTCAATCTGCCAGGATTTAGCCTGCCAGTACGTAATCTGGTGAACAGTGACAACCATGAACTGCGATATGTTCTCAAAGACTCCAAAACCGATGCGGTCTATCTGGTTGTTGTATTTACGGTGATTCTCGAAGACGAGGAGCAAGGGTCAAAAGCCTAAGGAGCCGGATCGGGCTACCATGGGTCGCCGAATTTCATTCCCCGACATTTCAATTACCGATGTCTCATATCCCGAAGAGTCGAACCCCGAATTTCGATACCGAGAAGTAATAAGGAGGATATTCGATAAATGATAACAATGCTGGCTTATTTGCCAAATTTCATAGTCATTCACCCAACAGAGACCTTGGCACATACCCGGGTAGGAGAGAAACAAGAGCAGACGGCGGAGAGAAAGGTTTCCGCCTTTTGTCAGACGACCACCTGCATCTATGTCATTTCCAAGACTCATGTAATTATCAGACAATATTTCTTTCCTAAGCTTGAAAAAACCCGTTCGAAAGGTTGCAAGAATTTCAATCATCATAATGGCACCTCATTGCATTTGGAATACCTACCTCACAGGATGTCACCTTCCATTGAGTCGATCGCATAAATTAGCGCCGACCTTAGATACCTTGCAGGAAGCCGCACTATCAGCTAAATTGGCCGAGCGACATGGTCGATTCTACTAGGTGAGCGTGGAAGGTAAATTTGCTGCCGTCGGTGATTTCAAGCAGGTATGTTTCTTTGCTTGTTTGTTTCAGCCCCCAATCGGTGTGATTGATAAGCCTCGGCCTTACTGAACCCTTTGTCCGATGCATCTGGGAGGTACTAAAATCCGAAGTACTACATAGGTCGACTGCTTCCTGACGTTCCAAATTGAAATTCACTCATTGAACTCTCTGTCTTCTATTTTCTAATTCTTCTCTTATCCAGCTTACCCCGATAACCCGACATGCCTCAAATTCTCGCCATTTTCGGTGCCACCGGTCAGCAAGGCAGCTCAGTCCTCAACCATGTACTGAATGACCCAGAGCTCTCCCAGCAGTACAAGCTCCGCGCCATCACCCGCGACGCGAACTCCGAGAAAGCTCAGCAGCTGAAGGGAAAGAATATCGAGGTCGTGGAGGGCGATATCTCAAGCCCCACCTCTCTGGCCACGGCCTTGGCAGGCGTGCATACTGTCTTCGCCATGACCACACCATCCCTTGGCCCTGACGCATTCGAAGTCGAGCTCGGCAACGCCAAACGGATCGCCGATGTTGCCGTGAAGCAAGGCGCCGAATACATCATCTGGAGCACTCTACCCTCCGTTCGGAATATCTCCAAAGGCAAATACACCGCGGTCGCTCCCTTTGATGCTAAGGCTGCTGCAGAGGAGTATATTCGAGCACTTCCTATCAAAAGCGCATTTTTATCTCTTGGGTCATTTATGGAGAACTACCAGTCGCAACCCTTCCTACTCCCTACAAAGGCTGATGATGATACCTATGTGATGGCCCGCCATATATCGCCCCAGGCAAAGTTTCCTCTACTTGACGCAGTCGGTGACACTGGCAAGTTTGCGGGGGCTGTCCTCGCCGATCCCATCAAGTTTGATGGAAAGCGACTCCATTGCGCTACAAAGCTATACACTATCACAGAGATAGTCGCCCTCCTATCCAAGAGCTCTGGCAAGACCATCGTTTACAAGCAGGTCTCGGTCGAGGATTTTAAGGCAAGCTTACCTTTTTTTCATGATGTCTTTGCCGAGGGATTCAGCCTATATGATGAGTATGGATACTTCGGTCCTGGCACGGAAGAGTTAGTTGCTGAGGCTGCGGCGGTCGCCCGGGGAAAGCTGTCCACTTTCGAGGAGTACCTGGAGAAACACCCCTTCCAGCTTCCGTAGACCCCAGAACACTTTGTTCTTTTTTGTACCTACTAGTTAGGCGCAAAACCCCTCTTCAATTGTCATTTACTCACTTGCGGGCCAGGGCCTTTACTTCAATTACCCCAAAATGGCCTGAGTTTACTTGCGATGTATAGGGATAATTCTAATAGCTCAGGCCAACGGCAACAACCATTCTTAGAATCTCTGGATTTATTGGTGGTCGCTCCCAGCGAGATAACTAAACATAGAAGAAAAACAGAAAGAAAAAAAGGAGCTCAGCGGAGGATACAGGATATAGACCTGGAGGCGTAAACAGAATATCCGATAGTAGATTATTGACTAGATCGAGCTTGGTCTCCTAGGTCAGGCAGTTGGGATATTTCATTTGATGGTAGGAGACTGTAAGGCACCCCGTAATCCGGCACCACCTGTCCTGTTGAGTACTGCATTACCGGGTTCTGGTACGTATTGAGCTGTCCATAGATCGCGGGCTGTTGGGTGTGTGTCTCCATAGGACGAGCCATACGACCTTCGAGGTCCGGATAGAGGCTCTGTCGGTCGTAGTCGATAGAGGTCTGCGTGCGACTTACAGGCGGTCCGTAATAGGCATATTCCTGACTAGCCGCAGGATAATCTCCAAATATTGCCACCGCAGGAGGAATCCGGACGTACTGGCTATCCAGAGATCGAGGAGAAGGTACCTGCGGGAAAGAATCCGGGAGAGGACGTTTCATCATGGTCCGAGGTCCCTTACGAATGCGCAACTTGACTCCTTGATCGGCAAATGACCGGGAGAGAAATGTGGATTCCATCATGCCTGGGAAGCTCTTGACGGGTGATACTGTAAAACAGTCTGACATAGTGGTCTTGAGATAGGTGATTGAATATCTTCGCATCTCGAATAAGGTGAACATCAATCGAAATTCACCCGCCATCTTCACTGACAGATCTCCAAAGACGAAAAATCCTCCATCACTGTTGTTAACATCTTTCAACGGGTGAAGAGACGAGACTAGTGTTCCAGCCAAGGGGGTCGGCAGCACTACCGGTACTGGATGATTCTCTTGAGCACTATACAAGCTGCAACACATGAAATAGAAGGGGCTTTGCAGATAATGTTGCGCAAGATAAGATCTCTCATCGCGCACCCGGAGCTGAACGATTGGAGGTGGATCGATAGGTTTACGCTCTTTCTCCTTGCCTCCAGCCACACGCGCCCGGTCGGGCTGCTGGCGAATAATCAAATCAAAGTCAGATCTCTGAGCTTCGCGCGAGAATGCGGCGTCAGAGAACTTTGATGCACTCATCACGAAGACGGGTGAAACCTATATTCGGGTATAGCGGGTATGATCAAAATAGATTCTGGGCCAAGTCAAGTGAACCGTGGTTTTTGGTAAGATGAAGACTGTGTTTCCGGGGAACATACATGATGAAGGGAGGAAGAAAGAAGTAATAGTATGATTAGTTCCGAGTTCATAAGTTGTTCTTCCGAGTACTAATTTGGTAATTACCGAATCGGGCTCCGCGTTATACAGCATAGTAAGTAAAGAGCGCCGCGCGTGCCTATCTTAAGTACGAAGTATATACTCTTCTTCAAGTACTCAGTTGATACTTATATCAAGTACTGAGCGTATTCCATCCAAAGTATTAAGCACGTAGTATGTATACTTCGAGGTGGGATACCCCCGGTGCTACTTACTAGGCAGAGACATGCTTGGAATTCGAGCTGCGCAGCGCTCTCTACTTGCATTAGTAACCGCTAATACGATATATAACGATACGGCAGTCGAGAATTATGGCGACTTGGGCTCGATACACGATTGATACATGGGTAAAAAAAAAGAGGAGTATTCAAGAGAGTTCGAAGTCAGTGCCTCAAGGTCGGTACCGTCGGCATAGAGCTCATGGTGGTTATTTCAATTGGTAGATAGTTTATACCTTTCACCAAGAACTCGTTTTATGACGTGTGAGAGAAATCCGAAAAGTAACTTCAATTTGACAATCAATCAATGGACCACGTCGGTCGCCTTGTCGCTCGCCTGAATAGTATTTCGCCATAGCAGTTTCTATGGAAATGATAATCCTGGTTCAAGTTTTGCCTCATGTGCATTTTTTCTCATACCAGTCTACTCAGCATTCAGCATCTCCAAAGTAAGATTACTGCACCTTATTGTCCGATCCCACAATCTTGCATCCCGCAATTTTCCAAGGTTAAGTCCGGGGTAATCCTGCTGCTCCCCACACGCACTAGTCTCAACATCGACACAAACACCGAGCTTGCTCCGCCGATCATGACCGGACTGCACCCATGAAGCTTCAATGGCACCATCAACCCACGGATAAGTTTCCAGAGCGATAAAATGGCAACTAGGATTGCGGGGACGTGGAGATTGTGGGGAATCTGATCAAAGTGGCAGTGCTCGATTGCAGTTTGACGCTTCAAAATCTAGTTTTCTGTCGCAATTCATCCATCTCTTGAGGCATTTCTTGTTATATTCGATGCGATGTGGTCATTATTGCCTTTCGCAATCTCTGCAGCTATACTTTACGATCGGGCACTGGCCTCGCCTACTTTGAGATATGATGGATTCCCCCGATCAAATACGAAAGATGACAATAGTTTGCAAGTAGAGACCTCTAGCGGCACAGGTGAGAGGAAGCATACTGGGATACAGTTCTATGTTCAAATACCATGCCCATGATGTCTTGTTAATCTTTGGAGTTTGCAGTCACCGGATTGATCAACGGAACCACTCCTGATGTCCGCCAATATCTCAACATCCCATACGCAGAACCACCGCTAGGCAAGCTTCGTTTCCTCCCACCTCAGCCACTGAACCAGCGGGACAAAACAATCATTTCGACCTCCCTAGGCCCAGCCTGTCCTCAAATTCCAGGAATATCAGCTTCCATCGACTCGGAGGTTGTCACACAGCTCCAATTCAGCGGCCCAACAGCAGAAGACTGTCTCAGCCTTGCAATCTGGGCACCGCTCCACCCACAAAAAGAAGAAGGCCTTCTCCCGGTCTTCATCTTCTTGTTCGGTGGTGGATACACTACCGGCGGGATAGACGTCGAATATCAGATCCCCGCACAATGGGTCCAACGGAGCCAAAGCCATATCGTCATCTCAGCAAACACCCGTGTCAACATATTCGGCTACCCGGGATCCGGAGCTCTGAAACACCAGAACCCAGGCCTGCTAGACCAGCGAATGGTAATAGAATGGGCAAAAGAGAACATTGAAGCCTTCGGCGGAGACCCCTCGCGAATAGTCCTCTGGGGCCAGAGTTCCGGAGCCGGAAGCGTGGACCTACTGAACTTCGCGTATCCCAAGGATCCCATCGTCAGCGGATTCATATCAGACTCAGGTTCTGTCTTCCTCAACAACCAGAAGTCAGACCAGACGTTCTCAAACTTCAGCTACGTCGCATCTCAGCTCAACTGCTCCAGCAATGACCCCAGCGCAGAGTTAGGCTGCATGCAGAACGCGAGTTACGAGCGTATCGAGGCAATCATACTAGCCTACGAGGAAGCAGGCAATAATCCACTCAAGTTCGTGCCCTTCGTAGACAACATCTCCATCTTCGCAAATTACTCAGACCGCTATGCCCTCGGCGCAATATCAGATCGACCCGCCATCTTCGGGAACAATCTGCGCGAAGGCTACGAGGTCGTCACCTGGCCCGATAACCCCAAAACAACAGCTCCCAACGAAACAGTCGCAAATACATACACTGACTACGCATTCCTGTGTCCCGCCATGCTCTCAACAAACTACCGGGATGGTCTTGGCTTACCGACATTCCGATACCAGTACCGGGGCAATTTCAGTGATATCTCACCATATTTCTGGTTCGGAGCCTTCCATGGGTCGGAGCTGCCGATGCTTTTCGGTACGTATGGGAACTATAGAGGTCCACCTACGCAATTCGAGAATGAGGTTAGTTATACCATGCAGGATTTCTGGTTGGCGTTTGCGCGGGACGGGGCAAAGGGGTTGGAGGGGTTGGGTTGGAAAAGGACGGCGGATGGGGGTGAGATTAATGTTCTTGCGGAGATGAGAATGCGCAAGGCTTCTGTTATGATTTCTGCGGAGGATATTGATACGCCTTGTACGCAGGGTGTTGTTGATACTATTCTTGGGGGTGCGAATCCTTTCGCGGTCATTGTCTAGGACCGACCCGCTTTTTCTTCAGTCATGTTACATGTAAATGACAATGGAACCACCAGTAGCTGAAATTGTTTCGGATTTCTTCGTCAATTATCAAGTCAGTCTAAACATCAAATAATAAAATATCTCATATTAGCTTTGAAAATGAATGCAACATCTTAAATCTTTAGCCTATTTCCCCTGACTTCGTTCTGGTTCAATCTACTCCCAATTGCTCCATTCGAGTTTGGGCCCATTGTCCAAGTTGCCCAAAGTAATTCTCCGAATCTCCACCTCTCCAGTCTCGCAGCATAAACCAAAGGTGCCGTATATCTTTTCCAGCTTGTATTGCGACTTTATACTCGGGTGCCTTGAGGTATAGCATCTAGATTAACGAAAGGGTCAGTCTCTGCCTTGGTCCAATTGATTTGGCATAATCATGACGTATAACAACGGACCTGAATGTAGTGGCGCGCCCATGCTGTATATGTTTCAAGATCGGACTTTGTATCATCTTCAGATAAGCGGGTCACAGATGGCTCGCCATTCTTACCGGCAGTCAAATCGACAGGAGAGACTGCCACTAAAGGGTCCGATAAAATTGCCGGGACAATGCATCCGGTTTCCCAGTCATACAACGATGTAACAAGGGGCGTTTCATTCGTCAAATGATTTATCGTAGTGTTATGGATGCCAAAGTCGCCGTGCTCAAGAACAAGGCGATACAGGCATCCGTCGGGGTGATCCAGTGGCATGATATGAGGCAGGGCTCGTAAAAGAGTCTCCTTGGCTTTTAAAGCCACTGGACCAACAGTCTCGTTATCACCCTCCCAGCCTATCATGTCCCCTTCGGTTCGAATAGTGGCGTTGATTTTAGATTCCATAACATACATCAAGAATTCGCGCGTTGGGGAGACCGGTACGGAAAGTGTTTCTGGCATGAATTCGAATACACGGCTGAGGAAATATCTCGTCATGAAACTAGGCGGTGGATTATACCGGAACAGACTAGCCCGTATATTCGCTAGCTGATCAAGGAGATGTATCTAGTAAAGAGCCTCACTTAGCATTGGCTGAAAACAGAACTTGTATGCATCATACCTTGTGAGTCGCATTAAGCTTTTTCCACACATTCTTCTCACCGTCCGCCTTTTCGAACAGAAATAGCCGACGACCAGCTAGGTCTTGGGGAATAGAATCTGTCGGACTAGAGTACAAAACTGGCCCCCGGTGGTAAAGCAAGCGCGATGTAAGAATTTCGGGCTCTATGCATAGCATATTATAGACAGCGGCTTCAAATATAGCTTCTGACGCTTGAGCCTCTACTGGAAAGCCGTCAAAATGGGGCATATTGACATCGCTTCGTGATAGACGAGCGATCATATCAGGCCCTCCCGAAGTTTTAATGTGGAAACCCTATTAGTCCATTAGGGGTTAAATCTGTAAAGTGAAAATTGGATGAGCACCTACATAGTTATTGGAGCCTTTCTCAACGGCCGGAATATCTACCACCTGAGAACCGATATGCTTTTCAATCTCTTGAATGAGAAGGTTGACGTTCCAGAGTCCTTGAAAAGGGCTTTTACCCTCACGGACCAGAGTAATCAATTGCTTGCCATCATACTGGCTACCATCTGCCATAGCTGGCCAGTCGTCCTGGCAGCCCATCTTGGTGGGTATTTGTGTGTGTGCTCTTTCAGAACAAAGGCCAAGGGTCACGACTCACATCCCAATTTCAATTTGAACTTCACCGCCCTGTTTCCCGCCCGTATTCAAATGTTGTATTTGTCACATACAGGAATACTATCTTAAGGGATTTGAATCATTTGATCTAAATACGGGTCACTTCACTGTTTTAGAATAGACTTGAGAAGGGACTTGAGAACATTGAATGGATTTTATGACTAGGATCTCTGCCTCTCTTTCTTTCCAGTTGTTGTGATAATTTACAATGTTGGAGAAAGAGAACTAATATAATATGGCATTACATATAACATTGAATAGAGTTCAAGGATTCAAAATAGAAGCAAGTACAGGGATTCAACATATAATAGAGTTTAAGGATTCAATATATAATGTAGCGCTGCATATAATGGAGTTCAACAAATATCGATTTGAAATTACTCGTAATTTACTCAAGTGCTGTCTGTTGGTCGGAAAGTTGAAATTGGGATGTGAGCCTTGGGTGGCCTGGTGGCCTCTATCGGCCGCCATAACCCAGGCCGATCCCGGCAATTCCTTGGTGGCCTATGGCGGCCGACCTCTCTTCACATACATCCAACACTTCAACCTTAATCAACCCACATCACTTCCTTCCACTATTACACCCAACCCGCTGGAATCTAACCCAAAGTTGACCTCACAGAACTCAGCATGTCTGTCATCGAGAGTAATTATATGGTCGAAATGGAAGGTACCGAGATCACCACCAATGCCATTGCACTGATTGTGGCCTACAATCGAAAACCTGGGTTATCCGCGAAAAGATCAATAAACACGCCCATTTGACGAGTAAGATGTATGCCGAAATAGGCTGGGGACCTCCATATGCTGCGGCAAAGTTTCGCTGTTATGATAAGTCTGACCCCGCCCGAAAATTAGCATTTATGCGAATCCAGCGCCAAGTCCCCCGCTATGGTACTGAATGGGCTTCACTCCCAACTCGAGCTGCTCAAGCAATCTGTGCGCATGAGTCACCTTCGGAATTAGAAGCCTTCAAGATTTTCAAGCAGAAGAATTGCTCCGATGTTCCCCAGCTCCTGGAATATCATGAGGGACAACAGCCAGATAACGCGCTTGTTCCTGGGGGATTTACTTCCACTGTTGTTTGGGAAACTGTCCCAGGGTGCCCTTTATCGAGTGAGCTTTTCTGGGGATATGACCGCACAAAGAGGGACTTGATCCGTGCAGAGTTTTATTCTGTTCTTCGGTAAGTGTATAACGTCTCACGGATCATCAATTAATAACTTCATGGGGTATTTCAACTGGGTCCTAACTATCTGAGCAGTCGAGTCGCAGAATGCGGCATTTGCCCATCATCGACTGGTGACGCGATGAACAAGATCATTTATGACGCAAGTATAGGCAAAATGTACGCAATTCTCAATCCTTTAAGACCAATGAACCTACACTAACTATGTCTTGTTTCCATAATAGAAAGATCTCAGGTTTTCGGGCTTATGAGCCGAATTGGAGTGAGGGGTATGAGAAATTCGCTTTGCTCATTTTTGGCCTGGCCAAGTTCCCCGACCATACAAGATATGATTGGGACAGTGATCCAAGCACATGGATACTCTAATTCGGCTACGTTGGTACTTAATTTTTTGTTATCATAGCTTGTTTCCCCAGGCTGTTCTTCTCACACGGAATCTGGTTACTATTTATTTGCGCCTCTTCGTGAGGCAGATCTTATCCCCAAAGATGTGCGCCTCTTCGTGAGGCAGATCTTATTTCCAAAGATGTGCGCCTCTTCGATGTATTTGCTGCATGAGATTGCACTTGCCCTGGATATTCTTTCCAAGTGACGTGGCAATGAACCGATACCAAGAGAATGCGACGAATGCTTTGCTGATTCAAATTTAGCCAATGTGGAACTCGACTACATGGACCCTGCTTTTACCTTGAGTCTTCGTCCAGTCCAGTTGTCCCCAATGAGATGACAAGCAACTAATCTGTAAAACACCGTCGGTCAAGGTGTAATATTTTTTGAACCATGACCTCATTATAGAGTATTCCGGTTTCTATGGACCATTTTGACACGCCGCCACTAAAACAACTGACAATCGGCAAGCCGGTCTATCCGTAACTGAAACAAAACTGGTCAGCCAGACTGGACGATGAACAAGATTATGTGGAAATGCAGAATCGTAACAAAATGACCGACTGTGATCATGACCAGAAGGACAAACCTGAACCAGTCCAGTACCATGGCGGAGGTACCAATACCACCCTTAATACTGCCATTTCCCATATCTTGCGCGATAGTGCTAGCTGTCACGGAGGCGAGGTGCTAAGACATAATCTTTGAGCATGTGTTGGCTTCACCTAAAGGCTACTGGTCACCAGCACCACGGAGAGGTCCATGCTTGTCACTGTTAGATCCCCAGAGGGGACCCCGGCCAACATCCCGTGACCGGTCGGCTATGCGATCTGCCTCACGAAGAGGCGCATACTACTCTGAGCCTGGAAGGCGAATGTGATCTGCCTCGCGAAGAGGCGCAACGTATTTTTGATGCGATCTGCCTCACGAAGAGGCGCATACTACTCTGAGCCTGGAAGGCGAATGTGATCTGCCTCGCGAAGAGGCACAACGTATTTTTGATGCGATCTGCCTCACGAAGAGGCGCATACTACTCTGGGCCTGGAAGGTGAATGTGATCTGCCTCGCGAAGAGGCGCAACATATTTTTGATGCGATCTGCCTCACAAAGAGGCGCATAATACTCTGGGCCTGGAAGGCAAATGTGACCGTGGAATCATTTTCATAATTCCATGGCATCCGGGTTCGGCTCAGGCTCTTGCTTGACGTCGCCCTCGATGGCTCCCTGGACAGTTTCGCCGTTTTGGCCAGACGCGCCAGCATCTACACACTGGCCCTGGCTATGGCCTTCGCCACTTGCATGACTACCCTGGGTCCTCTGGTGTTGGCGGGTCCTCCGGTGCTGGCCACCCGACTGACCGACGCGGGATCGGGCGGGCAGCGCCTGTACACATACATGTTAGAGCTCTGGAAGCATCATGCAGGCTTGGTATTCACTTACTCCCCTGGAGACTGCTATTTGTAGTATGTATGTCCGCATGGCATGGCTCATGGCATTGTCGATTTCCTGGTGGGCCTGGGCTTCGGTCATGCTACCACGACCCCGGCCATGCAGCGCCTAAACACATACATGTTAGAGCTCTGGAGGCATCGTGCAGGCTTAATATTCACCTACTCCACCGGAGACCGTCTCTTGCTAGTCTGTCCGCTCGAAATCGTATGTGATATTGTCGAGTGACTGGCGGAATTCGACTTCGGCCATGCGACGAGCACGACGAGCATGACGACGAGCACGACGAGCAGCACGGCGATCACGGCGATTGCCACGATCACGACCACGACCGCCCTGTTGCGATGTTCATTAGCTACCATTCAACCGAGTCCTCACAGTGATTCAAGACTTACACCACCGTGACCACCGCTATTGCCCTGGTTTTCAGGCGCGGGGTTCTGGTTAGCCTCGACAGGCTGCTGGTTGGGCTGGGGCTCAGGCTGGGGCGGTCCCCCGGGCCCGGCAACGTTTTGACCCTGTTGGGTCCCTTCACGCGAGTTATTCATCGCTACTCAAATGTTAGCTATCTAGAAAGGTCTGAGTGATGAAGGGGCAAGAGAAAGAGATCCTTGCCTGGAAGTAGTGGGGAAAAAAGCGTGTCGTCGAAATGCGATGAAAAAAATGGAAGACGCGGGAGGGATGAAGATGTTATGCTGACCTTGAAGGTGAGAGATAGAGAATAAAGGCCACCTGAAAACAGTCCGCCTCAAAGCGGTTAGACTTTGCTTGCACTTAATCCACTCATAAAAGACATTGGTGGTTGTATTGTACACGTTACGAAGATAGTACCTCCACACGACAGCTTGTACCTGAAACCAACATGTATATGGCGATAGTTGTTTCAGCCTCTTCTTTTTTCTCGCTCTTCTTTGTTCCCGTTATACTTCCTTTGTCCCTAATTATGGGGGAGTCAACCTTGGGTATTCAAAGTCTATTGTCAAGTCTACTGTCAAGTCTATTGTCAAGTCTATTGTCAAGTCTATTCTATATAGACTGGTCAAAAACTTCAAGGCTCAAACTTTCCGTATGCTACGATGGCTCGGATGAGACCGAGGCGTAACATCATGACATGTAAGGATCAATCGGCTTATCTTAAATCCGAAAATGAACATCAGTCCGTTGACGCAGCCCCCTTGATCTGTTTGTCTATCCATTATTCTTTGGCTCACCCAGAGATCATATTCAATCTTCCATCTTCATAATCTAGCCAACACACAGTCATCAATATCTATGAACTAGTAGACCTGGAACTGATCGCCATTCAGTACTTGGATAGCTGACCCGTCAAAATGGTGACAAGAGGAATATGGAATCTACATTTTGGCGGTACAGAACATTTGAAAGAACTCGGTCTTTACAAATGAGCAGACGCTGATGGCCCTGTAGGTCGATGGTATCGGTTTCGCCTTTGTGATTCAAAGTCCCGAGTCAGCCCCCCCGATCACCCGCAAATCCGGCAAAAAGTCCGTGATCTGCGGGCCCTGCCTGACAAGCTCGATGAGTGGGAACCAATCCCGTTCCGCAGCCCCATGCACTGGAAACTTAATTACATCTATGCCGTTGATCAAGACGCCGGTTATCCTGTCATATCATTCTGGAAGATACATAAAGGTTCGCAGATACCTGTGTCAATACAACTTAGCCTTGACACACTGTACGATTCCAACGCTATTGACACAATGGGGTACATATCGGATGTTGAAAAAGGTCCCCTTCCTAGACCTGGCGAGCTTGAAACCCCATCAAGCACCAAGAAAAGTAATACGAATGACCTCAATATCAAGTCACGAATCACGGGGGCGCTTAACATAAACTTTGGTCCTCCTTCTCCTACGAATGACTTACAAGCTCAATTCTTCACCGACTTCGTGTTCATTTGGCGCTCTTACATCGACGATCCCTTGGCTTGGAAAACCACCTGCCCAGTTTTCAAAGTAATAATGATAGCCATCTTGCGCCTTGCCGCCTGTGATTTCGAGGTTTCGGATGTTGACGATGTTACATCTGAACTGCCAATTTCTTTTTCTTCTATCCCTTCTTGGACTTATCCCAAATCGGACACGTTTTGGTTCCATGGTTACCTTGTCATCTTACAAGAAGATATCGTTTCCAACACGGCGATAATGCAAGCTATGGTGAAAACCAAGTTGCATACGGAAGGTTCCCAGCTTGAGCCCACGCGCTTGATACTTCTTTCACCACAATCCGTCGCATTTGCCGAATATTCTCGAGATTCATTTCTGGTTTCAGGAGCTCTGACGCTGCTCTCCAATCTATCGGCAACTCAGTGTCCCCCTGGTTTCCATAACTTGGCGCGAGTTTTCACATCGGGATGCTGGAGGAGCTTTACTTCAAATGGAGAAAGGACTCTACTATCGGAGTCCGACGTACCTATAGAGATTTTCCACATGATTTTCCAGGAGCTGGAACCGCGTGATATGATATCATTTGCACAGGCTTCATTTGCGGCTGAAATATGCTACTACACATCAATGGGCCAGTTCAAACACACCACGGTTGAAAAGTTTGAGTATCTGATTCCCTGCTGTGGCCAGCGTATCGGGCTAGTGGAAAGTGGTGTATGCTGCTCTAATTGCTACCTGTGGCAGCATATGGAGTGTATTGGCCTTGAAAAATTTGTCGACAATTTCGTTTGTACCCCTTGTCTCGAAAGCACATCCCCTGGCCCGCTTGAACCGGGAGGAATTCAGAGCTTCAATCGCGGGAAAGCTAGGGGTGGATGTCAAGTAACATTCATGGGTTCTCCTAAATTGTTGCAGCTGCGAGTTACGAAACCTGCACACTTACGAGGAGAACTACGGCTGATCGGTAACCTTTGGAAAGTTGCACCTGCTCAAGTAGACTATTCAATACTCTTTAACGGCACTTTCTCTGGACTGGCTTACGGCATGGAAGAAAAGCGCAAATCTGACCCTTCAAATTTGTACTGAATAATCAACATGCTATGTTTAACTAATTGAACAAAATTCCATTGTACGGAGTTAGCCCGAATGAATTGCTGATTAATAGTGCCTGCCCTATTAAGGTAAGTCGGGCATAGTGACCTACGTATTATTGTCTCATGCTGCGCTCTTTACCAGTGATCTAATTATTCACCACTTTTGGCGATCAATAGATCCAGTCGCCCAAAAGCAGAATATCATTCTTTCTAGAAACGGGTTTCATGGCACAGGGCGGTGCAAATTCGACACAGAAATTGGACGACGCGTAGAGAGGCCGACTAAGGGCCTAAGAAAACAGGGTTTGGTGATATGGATCAATAGCAAAAATGCCTCAGTTAGCGAGCATAAACGCCAAGGGCCTGCAAGGCAATGCAAGAGGAGGGGCGAAAGTAAAAATGCGACTCACTTGCGTGCGGTGATGGAGGGAAAAACAGGGGACTTTTTAGAACCACGCACCATCGAGGCCCTCGAGGGCATGAAGTTAAGTAACACTAAGCCTATGTAGGAGCGCTAAACCTAATATGGTAATTCATAGGGTACTCATACTATTGCAAATGCTTGGGTAGAGCAAGTCAAGAGACGGGGATACCCTATGAAACCTGATCCGTTTTTGATTTGAGTATTCAAAAAAAAAAGAGACTACCAAGTCCTCAAGTGCTCTTGACTCTTGAGAGCCAAAAACGAAGTATTAAGTGTTGGAATACTCAAAAAAGAATGACCAGACTGGGGCTCGATCCCAGGACCTTATCGGTGTTAACGATACGTGATAACCAACTACACCATCCGGCCAATTGATAAATTGAGTTCGCAGTTTATGTAATATAAAGTTAAAATATTAATCGCTGGGTCATGAAATTGTTTCAACCCTTTAGAGTCAATTTACTGCACCAATATTAATTATTTAGCCTCGAAATTCAACAGGATTTATCAGAATGACATAGAGAGTATACTGTATGAATTTTATTACTTCAAAGTTCTTTTTGGGGTGGTGGTGAAGCAATTCGTGTAAAATGGCGCAAAACAGGATTGCCAAAGCTGATTCTCGCTTTTTTTTGCGCATTCCCTTACATTCCTTTTGTTAGTAAAAGATTTTATATATCGATAATACCACCACCGTTGGTTATTTCTGCTTTAAAAAATTCATGTGACTTCTGTATACCTAAATGATGACTCCTTGTAAGTATTAACTGATTCAAACCAATAATGGTGGTGTAGAAAGAAATTGAAAACCATGATGGAGTTATTGCTGGCGAAACATTTCGCCTCGGGCCTCTCGATATACTCTCCAGTTTTCAGCCGAAGAACTTTAGTTTTACTTTACTCCGCCAAAAGTCTGTATTTTACTTTTGAAGTCAACAAGAGAATAGTTGGTAATCTAGAGATTATTCTATAAGAAATCCAGTCTCTTCAAGAGGCTTAAGGCCTGGTGATGAAGCAATTTGTGTAAAATGTCGTAAAACAGGGTCTTATAAGCCTGTTAATCTGGTTCCTACCACTATTATTATTGCCTCTAGATACTGGACAAGTCCCGTCTCAGTGTGCCTTTTTCACCCCCAGCATCAAGATTTCGATTTGTGCAATTCGATCAGAAAAACCAATCTTGCTCTCCTTCCTAGCACAAGTACAAGTACAATCGCTGTGACGGTGTCGTCATCCTATAATAATTATGTCAACGAACAAGTGACCCGTTCAGCATGGTCAATGATATGGAAGGAAAGCAACAAATAGGATCCACAGGCAATCGGAATCAGTGTTGTTGTAGTTTGGATCCACATTTCTGTGAGTCGGGGACTAGTCCACAAAATAGATGGCTCGCGGTAAAGCGGCAACAGGCCAGAAATACTAGCGACCGCGGCCGAACACCTGTACACATACGGAGTAGAGGCACATAGTGGACTCAACCCTTACCCAACTTGGCACTTTCAAAACCATATTTAATCATTGTCAGTGGTGCATTCTCATGAGTCAGCGATTCCACCTTTCATTAAAGATGTTTGATTTCAAACTGGATTTTTCCTCATCTTCATCCCATTTCATTCTATACAACCTTTCCGAAAGCTGAACACGTGGGAAATCGTTGCATTTTCACATCCCTAAACAATACCCTTACCCTTCACAATGACCGGGATCTACGGAACAAATGACCCCGCATTCGATTCGGTGCGGGGCCTCTTACAAAAACATCTTGCCTCCGGAAGCGAATTGGGTCTTTCCCTCTGCGTCAACATCGATGGCAAAGAAGTCCTCGACTTATGGGGCGGTCATGCCGACGTGGCAAAGACAAAGCCGTGGGAAAAGGACACCCTCACTGTCATTTGGTCCTGCTCCAAGGTAGTCACCAACCTAGCCGCCATACTGCTCGTCGATCGCGGTCTGCTCGACGTAAACGAGAACGTCGCGACATACTGGCCCGAGTTTGCAGCCAACGGCAAAGAGAATGTCAAAGTCTCCCATATCCTCAGCCACACTTCCGGCCTTCCTGCATGGGATCTCCCCATAACCCTGGAAGAGGTCTGCGATAACAAAACGGCTACGGAAAAACTTGCCCAGCAAGCCCCGTGGTGGAACCCCGGCGAGGGCAGTGGGTACCACCTTGTCACGCAGGGCCACATTATCGGCGAGATTATCTTCCGTATCACCGGCAAGTCGCTGGAGAAGTTTGTTGAAGAAAATATCACGCGTCCGTTGGGCGCAGACTTCCAGTACGGAGTTCCGGAGGAGCGGTGGTCTCGTACGGCGGATGTTATTCCCCCTCCGCTCCCGTCTGTTGGAAGCCTTGATCCTGGTAGTGTGATGGTTCGAGCTTATATGGGATCGCCTCTTCCGGCGGAAGTTTCCATGATGCCGGTTTTCAGGAAGGCTGTTTTGGGTGCTAGCAATGGGTTTAGTAATGCGCGGGCGATGGCTCGGATTGGGTCTATTGTGTCGCTTGATGGCACCGCTAATGGGAAGTATCTTGTGGGTCCTAAGACACTTGCAGAATTTCTTGAAGAACAGGTTCAAGGGCATGATCGTGTTACCGGGGAATTTGTTCGATTCGCTCTCGGCGTGGCTCTGTCGGATTCGCGGACTCGTCCTTGGATTCCAGAGGGCGATATTTGCTTCTGGGGAGGATGGGGCGGCTCGATAATTATCATGGACCGTGAAAGACGGATGACCATCGCGTATGCCATGAATAATATGGCTGGAGTTGGAACTATTGGAAACCCCAATACTGAGGCATATGTCAGAGAAATCTACGAGGCCGTGAAGAATATCACTGTATAATAGTCATCAAATGGATTTCTAGAAGTTGCATTATATGATATACAATCCATTTTTTTGAAGGCTTGGATGTCCTGGTGGACATATTGAGATGTGACACCATGAAAAAATCAAGCCATATACGAGCTTCCCAATAATCCTCCAAAGGAATATTAGGAGGACTTCTTGACCTTTGTGACTTGTTGCCTGGAGCCAGTCTCAGCAAAGACCAGCTCGTCACGTTCCCACATCAACTCCACCGCAGCACCAGCCGGTCCAGTAAGAGCCGTCAAAAGGCCAACCTTGAAGAGGAGGCCCGTCCAAGAAACCGAACTCAGGATTTGCTTGTGAGCAACAGTGTGCAGCTTCAACGCCCACAGCAAAATTCCAGCCGAACCGATCATATAGTCCCAACGCAAGAAGACATGCACACCATCAGCCACCGTATCGACCTTTAATCCGGACCACGGAACAGGGAACGAATACACCTTGGACGGATGAAGCGCATCAGCGTAGCTAGCATCAAACACCGCAGGAGCCACAACCGTCGCAACAGAAACAACCAAAGTAACGAGATGGCTGAGTCCTGCGTGAATAAATGCTGATGCGTAGACCCATCGCAAGCTTGAAATCGATGCACGTTGGTTATTCGTGAAGAGTGGGCCAAGCACGTAGTAAGAGGCTGTTGTAAGTATGGACACATATGCAGGCCAAGGGTGCCACGATGCGATCGCAATCTGCTTCCAATCCACAGGAATCACGGATGGCGCGGGGAGAACCATCAAGTTAGTTGGGACTAGGAACCCGACCACAAACACGGTTGGCAGGACCGCCAGCACGACGCGGGGCACACGGATATTATCGGCGTGGGGGCGGCGCGCGGTGACGGAGCATCCCAACTGGAGGGCGCAGAGCAAGGGAGTTGCGAAAGCAAAGGTCAGCACCTGAGCCGTCAGACCAAAGATTGCAGGGCTAAAGAGGGAAGTCAGTAAGTTAGATTGCGCAAGCATGAGATTCGCATCGTTTGTGCTTCCAGTGGTTTAGCTGGCACTTACTAGGCCGCGACGGTGCCGGCATTGCCCTTGCGCCACGATTCCAGCACAACCAACGTCCAAGCCGCTCCAAAGGTGCCGGAGAACCCGATACTGTGAAGCAGGAGCGTGGGGCTTTGTCCATCCAGAGCCGGATAGAAAAAGGTAGTGAGCAGTGTCAGGAGGCGATCGATGGGCTCAACGCCCGTGTATACGGTGCGCAGGGGCTCATTGAGGCCTGGAAGCTTGCCGGAAGCCACGGCCTGTTTGCCTAGCTCGTCCAGTCCATTGGCGTAGGAGAAGTAGAAAATCGCGTAGAACACGAAGGCGCTCAGTGAGAAGAGAATCACTCTCATGGTTGCGGTTGCAAGGGAGGTTGGATTGGAACGAGCATTTTGTGCGGGGGCGCAATTGCTTATATTGCACGGAAAAAGCAATGACGATCCTACCTCGTATTAATCACAGATGTGGTTGCGGATCCTGGACCGAGGCTGATTTACACCAACCGAAATTCTCCATGGTTGAAGATTGAATAGATTTGTGCAACATAAAAATCTTGGAATGCCGATCATTGACTGTTTCTATATTTCACATGGGCCGTGTTGAGCATCTTGCATGCCGAAATTGGGTTAGTCGAAGAAAGTCCGTGCTCAGATTGTAGTCCAAGGTTCAAATGGTGGAGTAGATGACTAGTAAGTCTTACAGGACATGGCTTATTCACAGAGTAGATTTCGTGCAAGTTTCCAAGATTGCGAGGGCATCTATGTGTGTATTGTACATTCAAGACTGTTGTAAGTGCTTAGTAGTAGGTATTGACTATGACGAAATGTAAAGACGAAACGCGAACCAAATTAACGCCTCTGAATAAGGTTTGCTTCCCTCGGCAATGTGGGACTTGGTGTTCAAGCCGTTTGGGATTTACAATTCATTATGCAAGATACAATGAAGTAGAATCACTTGCGCAGTACTGCACTTGAATCAATTCCACACAGCTGCCATCAATTCATGCAATGTATTTAATCATATATGTATGTATTTGCCAAGTTGCTGGGAGTTCATCTACAATGACCAGAGAGGAGCTCAAGGTCATCCCTAACAATATTCAAGATATGCGCCCGTCGGATATCGTGAAAAAAGGGGCCAAGAAAATTTGACATGAGCCCGTGCTACTTCTACGTCCATGCCGCTACTCACCAGCGCAGGTAAAGCCGTTGAGATAGCCTGACGACTCGAATTTGTGGGACCAGGCTGTGTCACCAGAGCCAGGCATCAAATTGTACCCCGGAATCGATCTTGTTGGCATCGAGCCATCCATGACGACAAAAGCTGACCATGAATGGCAGACTCCTCAAATAGGGAATGTTTTGGCGTTAACAGGCGATGTGCGATGAACCATGTAATTCCCAAAGCCACGGATGGCGTTCACTCCGGCGACCGAACGATTTATCGAATTTCGGAAATGTGCGCTATGGGTAGTGCGGGGTATTTCGTAGTTCAGGGCTGGTAGACTGGGCTAGAAAAAGACAGTTGAGATGGTCTGAGAAGAAAAGGGTGCGGAGGCATGAAATGCTGTTCGTGATGGGGCAGGTGTTTTTTAGATATGCCCGTAAGCTGACCCTTGTCATTCGATTGTGGATAGGCGTGCCTAGAACAAAGAAACAGGAAATGGCCTTCTAGCATATTCCAAGAGATACCGGGTAAGCAGGGATGACAAAGAGAGAGCTGCAAGGCTAGCAAGACTAGCATGGCCAGCGTGGCCAAGGTTTCAAAGTCCGGATATTTGGGTTTCGTTGATTTCGCTGATTGGATCCGTCATCTCATGGACAGCTGTAAAAACTTGCAGATGGTGCCCAATTCTTCTCTGGAAGCTGGCAGAGCCTAGACGAGGCAATTCTTTGTGATCAGAGACATGAGTCAGAAGTTTTCAGAAGTGCAGGAGCTAAGGTAAAAGAGGAAGAAGGAAGAAAAACAAAAGTTGAAACTGCTGTACATGTGTCAGGTGATTACCCCACTGTTGAGGGAGTTGACCGCTTCTGCCAACACAGCTCCAAATTTGTTTTCTCTCTCTTCCCCACGTTAGGAACCACCTCACCCATTCCTTGCCGATCTTTATCTCAAGCTTCTTCGGGGACCGTCTTGAATGTTGGCAATCTTTCTTGAATCTACTTACTGCATGGGACAGGCGTACGCCTTCCCCGAACATTCAAGATGCTGAGGGAATCCGATATAGATTCCCTGAACAATCACTTAGCATCCGTGAATCAGGAAAACCAACGCAACCATGAGAATTTACAAGATTTGCTGAACCAGTTTAAAAGCCTTTTGGATGACTACAGCTCCCTGAAGAGTGATTATGAGGAGGTCAAAGAAGGTCGAGAGAAGTACAAGAGGCAAGCCCGAGGCCAGGTAAGCTACTAGTAGCGGGCGCCTAAACATTCTGGGAAAGGTCACTAACTGTATTTGCTACTAGGAACGGAACCCATTTGTTCTAGTTCTTGTGGATGGCGATGGCTACCTTGTAAGCTCTCAACCCAAACCTTCTTCAATTTTAACGCTTTTTTAATTTAGCTAACGAACTGTGATTTCAGTTCAAGGAACATTTTCTTAAGGCTGGAAGTGAGGGTGGCATTAAGGCCGCCCGCGAACTGAGCGACTCCGTTAGGGAGCTGATGCATTCGACAATGGGAATGCAAGCTGACTCGTGTCGGATCATGGTCCGTGTTTATGCCAATATTCTTGGACTGTCTAAAGCCCTCGCTCGCGCTGGCATGGTTGGACATGAAGCCCGATCCCTTTCCCCATTTACCTCGTCGTTCACTCGCGCCCAGGATCTTTTTGACTTCGTCGATGCTGCCGAGAAAAAAAGAAGGCAGCGACTTCAAAATTAGAGGTATGTGCTCAAATTCCCCGCTTCTCATGGCATCCACAATTCAATTTTATTTTGTCATGCTAATTGTTCTTCTAGAAATGTTCCGCTTGTTCGTGGATCTTAACCAATGCCGTCACATCTATTTTGCAGGTTGCCACGACACCGGCTTCGGCTCTTTGCTGACTCCTTACCGGGGCAGTGACAGAATTACCCTTATCAAGGCGGCCTCGTTCCACCGAGAGTTTGAGGACCTAAACCTACCAATCAGAGAATTACCCTCTGTATTCATGTCTACTCCCCTCGCTGTCACAAAGCCAGCTGCACCAGTTCAGGCGATCAATACCAAGGTCACTAACGTAGCTAATGGTACTAAGCCCATCTGCAAGCATTTCCAAAAAGTATTTCGCCCGTTATTATCCTCAAGTCATTCATGTGAATTTGCGCTTATCATTCAACCAGGGAATTTGCAAATTTGGCGTCGGTTGCAACAAGCAACACGTATTGCCAAATCAACAATTGGCTAAATCAGCAGATTCGGAGTCGCCATCCCCTAAACAATTGTGGTCCTCTCCGACCGTTGTGGGTCGTTCGCTGGAATATCTCACCACCATGCTGCCTCCGCATAGCCTGAAATGCGAGGAGTTTATCCCCATCAATAAGGATGGTGACCGTCTCGATACTTATTGCCCTCACCCAGCTGCCGAGGCCTTTGACGAATATCACCGCCGAGCAAAGGAACACAGAGTGTGCAATAGCTATCACCTCTCTGGCGAGTGCGGTGATATGGGCTGTCAGTATGACCACAGTGATGTCTCCAATACCATCATCGAAGTACTCAGATACATTCTCCTCCAACACCCTTGCTCACGGGCTGGAGCTTGTCGATCCATTAAGTGCTACTTGGGTCACATTTGCCAAAAGCCTAACTGCAAGGCTGTCAAAAGCTGGCAATGCCGTTTTAACCACCGCACACACACGCTTGACCTCCAAGTCTCTCAGTGGGTTGCGCCTGTCGACCAAGTCGATGCTGACGAAGACCATGACGCCAGTTCATCTATCAGTGGCGAGTCTTTCCAGAGCCAATCGCCGAGCAATCTAACCTACATCATAGCTTAAATGAACAATCGTCGCTTACTGATGAGCTATTTCAACTGGGCTCACTGTATGCTTGAAAGAATGGCGAGGCGTTAAAGCCGGGGATTTCGATTTATCTAGGGTGAATTTGTTATTTGGGATGCCGGGCTTGTTTCTTTAACAAAGCCTTTGGGATCAGCTCGGTCATTACAGTGGTGGATTTGAAAAAAATGGGTTGATAATATCCTGGTTGCTTTTTACCTTATGCGTCTGCAGTGCCTTTACCTGCCACATTAAGAGTGTTACGGTAATGAGTATGGTAAAGAGCCTACTGACTATTACGTGCAGAATTTGTCTTGATGGTTCTACACAACTCAAAAAATTGCAACCAGGCTTGCTTCGTGTGAGATAAAATCTATCTTAGAATTACTGAACTACTACCAGAATGATATTTCTTGCTTACCTACCTACTGTCTTTCAGGCGATGAGGTGTATTTTGAAATCTGGGGTTCGCTACCTCGTCACAAGTGAAGAAAAATGGTTCTTGGATTTGAGAACATTGACTGACCTATAAACACGTAATGAGCCACATCTAACGACCACTACTACACCCCAGAGAACCAGTTCTTGTTGCAGGTCTTCATCCTTTGACATACATCAACACACACATCACTCCAGTCACTCGTGGACCCATGCAGTCGCATAGAACCCTACAAAACACCCAACCTTCGAGCCCAAGACATGCCCTTGGCAATCCATCGTCGCATGCCCGAAAACAAAACATTGCGTGATCATCGATCCAGTCCTTGACTTCAACCTCGCAAACTTCACAGCCAGCACCAAATCCACCGACGCTCTCCTCAAGACAATCCGCAAAAAAAAAAAAGAAAAAGAAAAAAGAAAAAAGGCTACAAGGTCACTCGGCTGCTGGAAACACACGCACACACCGACCACCTCTCAGCCGCATACTACATCCAAGCAAATCTATGGGCAAAAGGTCAACTTGAGCGCCAATCTGGATAGGAGAAAGCATCATCATCGTACAGAGTCTTTACCCACACAAATACAGCATCCCCTGAGAGGAGCTCGATAACTGACATGCTACCATTGTTGTATGCTGTGATCAAACGGGGATGGACCAGTTCTCACCCTTCCTCAGCCTTCATCGAGCCTTCGTTAACGACAACTCAGCTTTCATCAAGCCTTCATCGAGCTTTCATTTGAGCTTTCATCGAGCTTTCATCGAGCTTTCATTTGAGCTTTCATCGAGCTTTCATTTACGACCGCAAAATACCGACCACCATTCAAGAAGCCTCTTTCTGCTACGATGCCTATTCAAATTGGGATTTTTCCTTAGGATAGGGCGGAGAAGTCTCTCCAAGCAACCTACAGACGTTTACGAGACAATACAGCCAAACATCTACGGAAGACCCCGCAGTCGGTCGTTACCGGGGTACACTCATGGCAGGAGTTTCTCGACCTCACTAATAACCATTTCACGGACTGCATTACAGACGGTGATTATCTTGATGACGTCGGAATGCTTTACATGAAGATGACTCAGCCAATCACTACACTCAAGTCGTTGGCTGGATGGGAATCTGCAGGCTTAATCAAAGTCTCACGGGTACCACAGGGCAAGCCACCAGTAGCCAAGTTTCATGGTGTTTTGTGGCTGTACATGATTGGAAATCATGTTTTGTGCGGTTCCGAGCTTGCTCAACGTATGCCGTGGGCTCTGGGTACCACTCGGGAAAACGATCATTCTATCAAAATCGGTCGGATGACAATTCTTGCGGACCGCTCCGAAGAGGATTATGAGGTTGTTGCGATCTTTATTCACCACGCACGACGTACTACCCGATGAGTGGAACAGGCATCGATGAACACGGACTTCAATAGTTGGGTTTTGGTTCCTCCTTCGGAGGGAAGCGAGTCACCAAAATTCATGAAGATGTATGAGCTTTCGGGATTCCGCTTGCGTTTGACCAGCTCTTACGCCCGGACGAGACTTTCCGTATTGGCGAACTGACAGCCGTGGCGATGTACCTGCCAGGCCGTGGATAGTAGCTACTATGGAAAGAAGTAGTATACGTGTATGAAATGAGATTGATATTATATGTGAAGACTCTGTTCAACTATTGAAATCTTCAATATTGGTAATGGATCGCCCAAGATTGCTCAGTATTACTCGAGGGCGGCCAGGAAGGATGGTCGCCCGCAACCTTAGAGACTATTTACCTACGCTGTTGCGAATCTTAGCATAAGCCTCCTGAACATCCTCACGAGCTTCCATAAGACCAAGCCACTTGTGAATCAAAGGATGCTTGTCAAGCGTAAGACCCGCAAAAGCATGCTGTTTTACCCAAGGCTCGAAATGAAAGTCGACGGCAGTGATTTTGCCAGGCAAGATACTCATGCCCTCCGACTTCTGCAACTGTCCCTCAAGGACATCGTAGCATCGATAAGCCTGAGCAACGTATCTCTCAAGCGCATCATCGTTCTTCGAAGAATGGTAGTGTCTAAATGAATTTCAATTAGATATCGCCATTCGGGCTGCCTCCACAGTTCTAACGAAATGATCACCCACCTAAACCAATTGACCTGTCCCGTCATCGGACCAAGCGTTGACAAAAGGAAATACTCCCATTTCTCAAAATCAACAAGGTCCTGTCCAGTAGGACCGGGAGGTCCGATCGTATTGTTCAAGTCGTAGACCCGACGGATGTAATTCATGCATGCGCCTGATTCCCAGGCGGTAACCCCTGTGTTGGGGTCCTCGATTGCGGGGACTCGACCGTTCTCGTTGATCTGGAGATATGCACTTCCCTTTACGCCGGTGGCACCGTTGCTGAAATCCCATTGCTTGACGACGTATGGAACTTTGAGAGCTTCCAGCGCGATTGCGATCTTGACGGGATTGGGGCCCGAGGCGTGGGCGTGCAAAATGACTGGTTTAATGTGAGGATTCATCGTTACTAGAAGGTGTAGAATATGGTCTTTTTCAAATTGTAACAATTTAAAATGTTTTTCAAGTTGAAGAATAAAGAATGCGGGAGGAGGGGGAAGAAAAGACCATGGGGAAGTGATTGAACCATGATGTCATGTATTTGGCCACCCCGTGATGTTAAATAGCTTCATGGCCAATGATTCTTGCACTCGAGAGGAAATGTTTGGTTCCAACGAATCGTACTTGCGTTTAATAACTGAGACCCACAATAGCTTCCTGCGATTTGGTGGCACTGGTCGAGCAATTCCGTATGGGTCTTCTAGTCTCGGAAGTTGGTCAAAGCAATCATCTATATAGCGACCGCGGTTAAGCGACCCGGGATATTCAGCCTGATTGTGGTAGCTCTTTAAGTTTAGAATTGAGCCTAATAAAACAAAGCTATAACGGAAAATTCTCCAGTCCTTCTTATGCTGACTTTCTTAATTGTTATTTTGCGGGGTCGGGCATTTAGCCGGAGTAAGACCGGAGAAAAACATGGGGGTGTGGGGGAACTAAAAGCTTCAAAAGCCCCACTGCAGCGCGACGATCTCTCATTATTGTTTTCCATCCGACACATTGACGCTATAGACATTGCAAGATGTTTGCGCCAAGGCCGTGTCTCTCTCTTGCACTATGGCTAATAGCCATATTCTCGATCCCACAATTTGGGTATTCCGATGCGTCAATTGGAACAGGAAATGGTCTACAAGACATTGTAAGCACATGAAAATCCATTCCGAAACCAATTCAGCACGGCAGAATAGTACTTACGACTGGATGACAGGTGACCTGGGACCAGCATTCACTTCTAGTCCGTGGAGAGCGCCTAATGATTTTCTCCGGCGAATTCCATCCCTTTCGTCTTCCCGTTCCTGGTCTATGGCTTGATGTTTTCCAAAAAATCAAAGCAATGGGCTTTACCGGAGTTTCCTTTTACGTGGATTGGGGTCTTGTGGAAGCGAACCCGGGCCATGTTGTCACAGACGGGATATGGGATCTGGAAAAATTCTTCCAGGCTGCGAGCGAAGCAGGCATTTATCTTATTGCCCGACCAGGTCCATACATCAATGCAGAGACAACAGCCGGTGGGATTCCAGGATGGGTATTGAGAATCAACGCAACCATTCGATCGGATGACCCTGAATACCTGAAAGCAACTGCCAAGTATGTGTCGACCCTGGGTCGGATTATTGAACAGGCACAGATCACGAACGGCGGACCGGTTATCTTGGTGCAGCCCGAGAACGAGTATACGACATGGCCCGACACTACCGACTTTCCGTCGCAGATGAACCGAGAGTATATGGCCGCTGTGGAGGAACAGCTTCTTGATGCTGGTATTACGGTTCCGTTGATCGTTAATGATAACCAGGTCAAGGGTTACTGGGCACCAGGGTCTGGGTTGGGGGCTGTCGACATCTACGGAATTGATGCGTACCCATTACGCTATGACTGTGAGTTTATCTGGACTTCAATCGAATATGAATTAGCTCGTGGAATTATTTGTGAGTATACTAATTCCCGTTCTTCAAGGTGCAAACCCTAGTGTATGGCCGACATACGAATTCCCACATAGCTGGCAGACTATCCATGAGCAACAGAGCCCAACTACACCTTTCTCCATTGCTGAGTTTCAAGGAGGATCGGGAGAGGGATGGTAGGCAAATTCCGACTCTTCGGATTTACCAACCCACTGACTGTATATCAGGGGAGGCGTGCTTGAAGAAATGTGCGGTGAGCTTTTGAACGAAGAAGCCGTGCGGGTTGTCTACAAGAACAACTACAGCTTTGGTGTGAAGCTTTTCAACATTTACATGGTAAGATCTTCCTCTCAACTCACCTCTCACGTATTACACAAGCTGACCAATAAGACATACGGTGGCACAAATTGGGGAAACCTCGGCTATATGAACGGATACACATCATACGACTACGGCGCGGCAATAACAGAGGAGCGCGGCATCTGGCGCGAAAAGTACAGCGAAGAAAAGCTCGAAGCAAACTTCTTAAAGGCATCACCTGCCTACTTAATCGCAACTTCAGGCATAGGAGTCAACGGGTCCTACGGAGCCCCGGCTTCCATCGCAGTGACTCCCTTACTCGGAAATGGCACAAGCACCAACTTTTATGTCGTTCGACAAGCAGATTTCAGTTCCACAAACAACACACAGTATACGCTTACCTTGCCAACAAGTATCGGAAATGTCACCATTCCTCAGCTGGGTGGTAGCCTGACTCTGTATGGCCGGGATTCTAAATTCCACGTCACGGATTACGATCTCGGCGGCATCAATTTGATCTACTCTTCAGCGGAAATCTTAACCTGGGCTCGGGGTGCCGGATCGACACGTGTGTTGATCCTGTATGGTGGAGCGGGTGAAACACACGAGTTTGCCTTTGCTAGTCATCTTGGAAATCCTACCGTGACCGAGGGAGGTGAAAGCGGGATAACAATCCGTCTGAAGGGGTCGACCTGGGTGATACATTGGGAGGTGAAGTCTGATCGCCGCATTGTTCGTATCGGAGATTTGGAGATCTACCTGCTCTGGCGAAATGAGGCGTACAATTATTGGCCGCTGGAGGTTACTGCTACAGAGCCGATCGGGAATTTTTCGTCGCCATCTAAAGAATTGATCCTTGTCAAGGCTGGGTATCTCATGCGCACGGCGAGCCTGTGTGGTGACGATGTTTGTTTGACTGGCGATGTCAACACGACAACGGAGGTCGAACTCATTTCTTCGCCGGCAGAGAATGTGAAGGGTATTGTGTTCAATGGGGAAAAATTGAAGACCTTCACTACTGAAACGAAGAAGCTGTCTGCTACTTTGGAGTATGATCCTCCGCGACTGGATATTCCTGTTCTGGAGAATCTAGAGTGGAAATACTTGGATACTTTACCCGAAATAGGCAGCTCGTACGATGATTCGGCCTGGATCGAATGCTCCAAAACCTCGACAAACAACCCCCGAGATCTGACTACACCGAAAAACCTATACGCCATGGACTATGGATTCCATACAGGATCATTGCTCTACCGTGGTCATTTTACTGCAAATGGGCATGAGTCAGCTCTGTCGTTGAACATCTCCGGTGGTACAGGTTTCAGTCATTCGGTCTGGCTGGGCGGCACTTTCCTAGGGGCATGGACTGGATCAAGTGTCAACTCTACAGTCATTCAGAATATTCCAATCACCAAGGCTCTCTCTGTCGGAAGTTCCCATGTTCTGACCATTCTGATCGATAACATGGGCCAGGATGAAGAGGGACCAGGAACAGATGTGATCAAGTTCCCCAAGGGCATTCTGAACTACGAGCTGTCGGGACACAGTCAGAGCGATATTTCTTGGAAGGTCACGGGTAACCTTGGCGGAGAACAGTATCGAGATCTGGCCCGTGGGCCGCTGAATGAGGGATCGATGTTTGCTGAACGACAGGGCTATCATTATCCCAAGCCACCTAATGCCAATTGGAAGGTTTCGAGCCCAGTCAAAGCTGGAATTGCGGCACCAGGTGTTGGGTTCTACACAACTTCCTTCAAACTTGACATCCCGAGTGGATGGGATGTTCCAATGAGCTTCGTTTTCAACGGTTCATCGATACAACAAACTGGGCTCAATTATCGATGTCAGCTATTTGTTAATGGGTATCAATTTGGAAAATATAGTAAGTGTGGCAACCACGCAATGGTACTTACAAATGCTAACTGAGAATTTAGTCAACAACCTCGGCCCTCAGACGTCCTACCCGGTTCCAGAGGGTATTTTAAACTACAGTGGAACCAACTACATCGCACTGACTCTCTGGGCTCAAGATGAAGAAGGCGCTAAGCTGGGTGGGATCTCTCTGATACCGACGGCAATTATTCAATCTGGGTACAGCAAGCCGGGACTCGCGCCACAGCCTTCATGGACACGCCGAGCAGGAGCGTACTAGAAAGCCGCAAAAGGGATCCAGCTTTTTGAGTGATTCGAACATAGGAATTGATGCAAAGAAGAACAGTATATACAAATCGAGACTCTATGTGCGCCCGTGTTCGATACCAACATGCAGGTCATCATAAAGCGTAGAATCATTATTAGAGAGCAATAGATGCGACCAATGCATCCATGGCGGAGCAGTGAGTAGAAGGATCAACAGTGCCAACAACAGGGCCCGACCAAACAACTCCAAGTCCATTTTGGTCGTTACGGTCATTCTGCCAAATACTGTCCGCGCTACTGGTGATAACCCTCTTGTAGCTGTCGTTGGGAGACACGCTTTGGAGCATCAACAGATTGCGGATGAAAATGCCCTTGAATTGAGTCCCATCAGGCTCGCAGTTGGGCTCGCAAACATCATGTAGAACGCCATTCGTATCGACCAGTGACTCAATCGCTGCCTGTGCGATTTCGTTCGCAGACTCGAGATATTTGTCGTTTGGTGCCGCTTTGTTTAATTCAACAAGGCCGCCAAGAACAACACCCTGGTTGTAAGACCAACTGAATAGCGTGTTAGAATATTCAGGAGTCTCGCGAGGGTCAATGATACTTCAAACTTACACTGTAGCTCCATTGTTCTGGCAATTATCCAGCAGTCCGTCGTTTATTGTGCCATTCGATCCAATAAATCCCTGGGCCGCGAACCAATTCCACTCTTTCTGTGCCCAGTCGACATAGTAATCTTTGCGCGCCGGCACGCGATTGGCCAGGTGTGCTGCCGCGGATAGGAACAGCTCGTTTGTAATGGCGTTCACGTATGTGCTAGTGGGATTCCATGGAAGACCTCCACCGCCACACCGGGTTCCCCAAGCCTCCGTCTACAAAAGGATCAGCAAAAAGGCCAAAAGTGACAAACACAACATATATAGGATGAGGAATCTCTTACCAGGCCAGAGAAAATCCCCTCCGCTAGCTGGAGGTATCTTGTCTCTTCTGTGACATCGTATGCAGCAATCCATGCAAGGGCCCACCAGCCATCATCATCATAGGCAGAATCGAGCCAGTCCGAAGCATTACCAGGGCTGTTAGACCTGGGAGTAAGAAACTCGCGCTTGCTTGTTGTTTTCTGCTCCGGACCGGGGTTCGGGTTGGACACGGGACCCACATTGTAGGTATTGTTGAAGACGTAGTCCGCAGTATCCATGGCATTGGGATCGAGGGCCGCCAAATCAGCTATGACAGTCAAGCAATTGGCGCCATTCCACCAGCCAACCGTATTCCACATTCCACTCGACTCATTGTACCACTCCTGAAGAGCTTGTAGCGCCGTTTCAGCTCTGGACGTGGGATCATCAGCCACAGCGATACCTGAAAAGAGGGATGCCGTAAGCGCTGGGACAAGGAAACGGGGAGCAGAGAACAACATGATGAATTGAGGCGTGCCAGAACTGATGGCTTGAATTGGACCTACCGAGCTTCAAATTCCCGAAGTAGCGATCGCGCGCTGTTTAAATATGCATTGCTCACGTCCCTGATCGTCGAGCTTGGTTCCTGGGAATAAACGAGTGACAAAATAAATATGCATTCTTGTTGCGAGATCCCTTGATTGGCCGAGCTGATGGAATCAGAGTCACGCAGACCCACTGATGCGCCTCGCGAAACCCCTGATTTGCATGATCGACCAATCCCGATGTCACAATGTTTGGCAAACTTGGAGCGGTCCGTAGGTCGAGATCCCTTCTAACGGAGAGTGTGTCAAAATCATGGGTATGATGTACCGCATTGACCTCCGTTAGCTTGTAAATTGATTGTGCTATATCAAGGGGTGGACTAGCGCCGTGTTCAAATGTTCTCTCGTTGTCCACAGCAAACCGGATGGTAAATACTAAAGCCCCTTGCAAGGCTGAAGCCCCGCTTTAATGTTCATCCTGATTTCTGTAGCACCGATCATTTGGTCATTCGGCAATCCGTCGTGTACCTATCCGAAGTCATGTCTGAAAGTGCTCTCATTCGCCTTTGATCTCCGAGGCGGACTTTCAGATCCTATTCCATTAGGAATTTATAGTAGATGGATATGAGCATTGAGGATAAAGATAATCTTATTCGCTGACCGCCTCTTTACCCCTGACTTACTAAGCTCTGAACCAAAGTCCACGAATCTTATCTTGATCAAGATTCAAAGTACAGTCTAGCATTCCGAGCTCAAAGCTCAAAAAGCGCGGATTTGATTTCTACATCCAGCCTACATAAAGCGTGGTCGCCCACATGAGAGACATGCATTGTTTCTCAAATGCACAGTAGCATGCGATTAATAGGTGTCAATGCACTCTGGTGGAACTGACGTCAGCTATTTCTATGCACCCCCTCGGGCGCTAAATGTCTCATGCCATGCATCAAACTGCATTACGGCCACGATGTCCTTGAACATACGAATTCATAGCGTAGACTTTTGATCGCTTTTGTACCCGCTTTTTTAAGACAGGAATCTTGGTGTCAGATTTGTCCATGTCGGGTCAATTTCATACTCCGTGCTTGGTGAAACCATGATTTGCTTAGCTGCATACTCAATGAGACAGAGACAAGGGTTGAGTTGATGTAATGAGGAAGCATCTTGATCTCTTGTCAGTGAAGTTAAGCAGAGCTCAGATGGTGATCTCAATACTAATTGCTTCTTCGTTAGAAGCACAATGTTGCTTTAATTGCAGTACATAGAACCTACTCGATGGTTTTTATTAACGTCGGTCAAGTGAGAATCAGTTCTCAGGATTGAAAATTATTTGCAAGATAAACGAAGCGCCTATATTCCAATCAACCGGATCAGATAACAGTCTCTAGGATCATCACTAGATTCCGTCAACGTGGGGCTTTTTAGGCTTCGCGATAACTCTGAGATCATAGCGTGCATTCCATCCCTTGCCACAAGGAATCCACACCACAATAGCTCGTAGAAGTTCAATGTAAATTCCCTCACCATATTATAAAGTTTAGCTCAACAAGCAGTATTAACATTTGAATGAATACAATCAACTCGTGATGGATTTTATACCAGCACTGAATTTTTGCATGAGGTTTAATCACTGCTCTCCTCACGATAGCACACAGTAAATGAGTACTTTGATAGACTCCTAGCTATCTACATAGACCGGTTCTTTTTTTTTTAAAAAAAAAGAAAGAGAATACCAATAGCACCGAAATCAATTGTTCAGAACTATATCGCACATATAATATGATTTATCATGGATTTACGGGTATTAAGAAGGGAAATTACTCATCCGGCTCGCTGTCTCTATCACTAAAATGATACCTACAATATTACCAGTTTCCACAACACTTTTGCCCTTGAAAGAGCCGAAAGAGCCTCTGTCTTGAGTTATGCGGGGAGCATGAAGTCTGTGAAACATAGATACATCTAGGCTCAAGTCAAATGTTTGGAATGATGTTTGTCATTTCAGATTTATCTATCTCTTAGGTCTCGATTGGTACAAGGGCAATACAAAGATGAAATTTCTTATTGAGCTTCAAGAGTGACCTTGCAGCACCGGGATATTCGGATTCCACCACACCATATCGGAGTCTCTGGAGAAGCAATTGATTGTCCCAGAAACCTTCTCTGCTTCGTGGTCGGAATATTCGGGTTTTACGAAGATTTCTGGAATGCTTTTCACTGGCAACATTCGTGATTCCATTACAACAAAGTGATAACACAGAACCGGCTACACTGCATTACTTGCAACATGCCCCAGATCAATCTAGGCTTTATGGGCGTCGATAAAGAGGGTATAAATTGGCTCGTTTCCGGACCCTGGAGATGAGTCTTGAAAGTCATCAAGATCTGATTACACTTGGTACTTCTGTCTAAGATCCACCGTTCAAACACCGAAGCACAAGGCCACCATGCCATTCAACAGCCCAGCCCACGATATCTACTTCAGTACGTGAAACTTTCAAATGATATAGATCCCCACCCAAAAACTATCTTTTGGAGACTTCAAGACTAATCACCATATAGGAACCTGCATTGGAACATGTAACCATGACGGAAATATCCGAGTCTACATGCAAGATGTCATGGGGAACTTTCGCGAGGCTACTTATGATAGGGAATGGTCCAATGGTACAGAGAAGAACGTGGTCGCTGCAGCTAAACTAAAGTCACCTGTTGCTGTCGCCTCCATGGAATCGGAGGATGTGAGTACTGCAGTTCGCGCAATATATGGATGGAATCACATTGGACTCTATACATTGAATGTGATGATATCAACATTAAACTGACTGCCTACATTCTAGATCCATGTTTTCTACCTGGCACCTAATAATATGGTCAAGAGTGCGGTCTACGATCACAAAAGAGGTTGGAGTGTAGGTGACATGGGAAGAATGGAAATTCACACCGCACCCTACTCCATGATGGCAGCAAATGAATGCTCCGGTCTGCATGGTGGGAGGCTGTATGTCCAATTGCCCGACAACACCATCCAGGAGTTTGGCTGGAGTGGTAAGGCCATTTTTTGCCTCGACATTATATCTAGCATATCCTATGCTAACATTCTGGATAGACGAGAGCGGTTGGAAGAAAATGACAAATCTCGGCCCAGCATTGCCCGGTACAGCGATTTCATGTACCAGCTTCAAAGCACCTCGTGTGGGCCTACGGTCAGTTGCTTCAAGATCTATGAGAATTTGAACTCTGTCTAATCCAATATCTGCTTTAGTGTGTACTTCCAAGATAACCATCGAGTCGTCAAGGAGAAATGTTTCGACGACGGCAGGGGCTGGTATGACGGAGGTTTCAAATATACGAGCTCAAAGGCTTTGCCTCCGAGAGTGGGTATGGCTTGTACTAGCCACAATATCTCTTCGGATAAAGTTGGCATCAGTGTTTTTGTTGTCAGCGCCCAGGGCTTGCAGGAGATGGTTTATGATGGCAGTAGATGGCGAGAGGGGAAGTTGGATGTGGAATGCATTCCTGGAAGCGAAGTCGCAGTTACTTGCTGGGGAAGTGGGAAGGATCTGCAAATGAGGCTTTACTTCCAGAAGGGAGAACATGTTAGCGGTATTAGCGAGTGGATGTTTAGGAACGAGAAGTGGGAAGCTGGGAAGGTGGCACTTCCTCCTGCTTGATCTGCGCAGGGCAGTCGGAGTTCTAGTGGAGAATGATGGCAAGTATAATGAAAGCTCAGATTGAAATGATTTGTCTTTGAAACATTCCTATGGTTTAATATTTGACGTTCTTGGAGACTAAGTCTTGGTTTTCTTGGTACCACACCGCCTTTGAATAATACCACACCAATTTTTGGAATTTGTCAGAGCTACGCGCGCCTCCGATTTCCCAGAGCCAATCAGATCCCGATTCCCAGGTTTGAAATAAGAAATCCGCGTGGCATTAAACCACACCGACTGAACTGACACCCCAAGAACTACCGCGGTCCACAACCTTCCAAGTTCCAACCGTCTACTCCGCATTCTGTACAATCCATTAAATTTCAATTTACAGATCCTATACAACGGAGAATCTAGAAACCATGAACCCACCACAGCCATCCAGGCCAGGCCTGACCATAACAAGAGCCTCCCAACACCACATCCCACCCATCAAATCAATGGTGGACTCCGCTTACTCAAAATATATCGAACGAATTGGCAAACCACCAGCACCAATGTCAGCAAATTACCACGAACTCATTGAAACACATGATGTCTTCATTTTACAAGATGACAAGAATATAATCGTGGGCTGCGTCATTCTTGATGTTAATCAAAGCACATGTCTCCATTCGGTCGAAATCGTCAACTTGGCCGTGGACCCCGCGGCTCAGGGTCGTGGGTACGGCCGCGTGTTGCTAGACTGTGCGGAGCATGTTGCGCGAGAAAAATGCTGCTCTGCGCTGACGCTTTACACCAATGTGAAAATGTATGAGAATTTGGGATTGTATGTGAAGATGGGGTTTGTGGAGACTGGGAGGAGGACTGAGGATGGATTTGAGCGGGTGTATTTTCGCAAGGAGTTGTTGGGTTAGGCGAAATCCTGAGTTTCGTCGTGTACCTGGGCAATAACCATGTGAATACTCAGGTGAATAATCCTACAAGTTTTTTTTTTTTCAAATATCCAGTTTCATTCATGTTCACCAGGTGGCGCTTCCAAGGTTGCCAACGAACCTTGGAACTAATCCCTACTTCAAAAGGTAGAAAATCCGATAGAGGAGCACACTCGTGCTGGAAATAGATTGATATAGAACATCCATAGCCATCCTCAAGCCACAGGCACAATTTCACATTTATGCGCCGCGGGCGCAATCAAAAAGAAATGCCGCGGCTTCATACTTTCCCTCGACACGCTCGCCGCCAACTTCACATCCCCACATTGCCTGAAGAACTCAGTGGAAACCAGACGCAATTCCATCCAAGACAGGTGAATGCCCAGACAAGTTCGCGATCCGGACCCAAAAGGCGACATGGCCAGCCGCGCCTGCTCAGAAGCCTGCTTACCACCCGGCAACCACCTCGACGGGTCGAACTTCTCCGGATCCGGGAAAAGCGCGGGATCGCGATGGAAAGTCCAGCACTGCGTGCTAACGGTTGTTCCGGCTGGGACGTAGTGGCCTGAGAACGAGACGCCTCCCTCGGGGACAGAGCGGGGGAGGGATCCGGGGGCGGCGCCGTATAAGCGGAGCGTCTCGGTGATAGTGGCGTTTAGTAGAGGGAGGGTCTCGAGATCGCTTTCTTCCCAGTTGGGGCGTAGGCTGGCGAGCTCGGCTCGTAGTTCTGCGTGGAGGCTTGGATGCGAGAGGATGGCCCAGATGAGGTATGTGAGTGTGACGGCGGTTGTGTCGGAGCCTGCTACGATCAGGTTGCTGGCTTCGATGGCTACGTCTTTTTCGCTGAGGGGGGCGCCTTCTTTCTCTGAGGCGTGGACGAGACCGGAGAAGATGTTGCGTGTGGAGGTGCGGCCGCCGCGGTTGTTGGTTACTAGGCGCTGGCTGGCCCTGAGGAGAACGTCGCCGTTGCCGAACATGTCGCGGAAGGCCTTTAGGGGGATGTAGGGCAGGATGAATTTGAGGAGGGGAAGTTCGGCTAGGATGCCTGAGCCTTGGGTGACTGATTCCAGGATGCGGATGTACTCGTTTTTCTGTTGGAGATCGGGTCAGCCATTGATGAAGATGTATCCGAGCAGAACGCTGTCATGGATTGAGCTGGGAATGTGAAATGAGCATTGTATTACCTCTCCTCGTTGGATCATCTCAAAGGACTCCCCGAACATCAAATGCGTGCTCACGTCAGTCGCTAGGAAAGTCGCCCACTTGAAGATATCGCAAACACCTGCTGTCGTGAGATCTTTCTGGATTTGCGAAATCATCAGCTGAGCCTTCTCTCTCACTATAGGTTCCCATGAAGTCCGGAGTGCAGATTTAGAAAAGGGTCGTGCAAATAATTTGCGCCTGTCTGCATGCTTCTTGACATCCCGCATACTGAACACGCCCTCTCTACCCCTAGTGAATGTCTCATACCACTCCGTCTTCAGGAACCCTGATCCGATCCGATGTATTTCTTTCACGTCAGGCAAAGATGAGACGGAGACCTCGGTCGGTGAGATGCGGACGATCGGTCCATATTGCTGGTGCAGCTCATGGATATAGTAGACCTGGTTTCCGGTGATGGTTGCGAGCTTGAGGGGAAGACGCGTGAAGTTTGAAAGGCGTGGACCTGGGATGCGACGGAGTGGCGAGACGAACCCCTTATACACTGTCTAAGAGAGAAGAAAAAAGAAAGGTGTTGGTGAGTCTGTTTTATAGGTTTTGTTTGAATCACCCGGGAGTTCTTTCGTACATGTAGAAGCCAGGCCAGCAGAGTTAATATGGGATAGAAAGCGAGGCTGAGTCGATGTTCCATGTTGTTGGAAACGAGTCTCTTGACTCTCGGGCTGTGATAGTCAAAACAAATCACTGTATGAAGCAAGATATACTCGTTCACATTACTATTTATACTCTTCGAATGTGTTCGGCTCTCCACTTATTCGGGTCTGTGGGGGTCGAATTGCCCAGATTATCCTTAGTATTCCCCACATTCCTTGGTTTTCCCCGCACTAGACATCTGGACCTGGCGCTTCTTTCCTGATGATGATTCTGGTGGTAGATTTTCTCGAAATAGTCCGGCTTCCCCAACTGGAACTGGGGCTTCAAATATTTTGAGCATCAAAATTCCCACGCAACTCTACCGCACGGGAGAATCATTAATTGTAATCTACTATTGATTACTAACATGCCTATAACCCTACACTTTAATTTTCAATATTTGATGAGGTCTGAATCGAATAATAATTTTTGAAAGTATTGAAAAATAGATATACATCCATGAGAATCTTCATAATCCCTACACACCCAGCAAAAGCTCCCCTTGGCCTTTTGAAGGTATATACAAAACTCCATTCCGGAGTGACCAAGTGGTAGAAGGGGGTTCATAGGAGAAAGTCAAAGGAAAATAAGACCGGGGCGGGGGTGGGGGTGGCGCCTAGTAACGTCGAGGGTCATGAAAAAGGGCAGTAGTAAAGTGACCAAGAGATTAAAGGGCACAAGCAAAAAGGTATATGCACGAGCATGAAACGAAAAAAAAAAAAAGAAAGAAAGAAAAGAGGAACTGGTCGTACAAGCTTAAATGAAGTCATATCATCGGTTCCACGCCCGTGATGATGGCTCCGCAAAGTCTTCTTTGCTAGAGCGTCCGCTGGCACCCTCCGATGGATACGCAGATGCAGGCTCCGTTGTGATCTCGATGGTTGTCTCCTGGTACACCTTGCCCATGGGGCCCATTTCAAGACTCGGCTGGACAATGTTATCGGTCGAGCCATCGCGGTCTGTGTTTTGGGAGATGCCATGTTTCCTTGATTTGGGCTCGGCGGTGATGGTGGTCAAATGATCTCCGCGGCGTCCCTTGCTGCTTGCGAACTTGCCGTATGAGTGGTCCTGGCTGGGCTCAGAGTCGATAATGAGGTTGCGGCGGGTGAGAGTGTATAGAACGACGTCCACAAGGCCGGAGCTTGTCATGATCGCACCTGGGATACGTTAGTGGGTGTTTGGTTAAATTGGCAGGTTAGGCCAGGATGAGAAGGAGATCTGTAAATAGTATAGTACGTACCAGCACAGCAGAAGAAGGTCAGGGACGGAGTGCTGCCGTTTGCGGTGGCCATACGACCGGCTGCGAGAGGGAGCGAAAGAACGATGTAGACGATGGGGTAGATGGTCATGTATCCGACAACGCGGCGGAGGCGCTTCAGACTCTCGAGTTGGCTGTTACCCAGGATGGAGGATTGGGAGATTTGTCTGCGGAGCTGGAAGTACATGATGGCGTAGAGACAGACGGTACCGAATTCGGCGAAGAAGATCCAGATGTAGTGAGTCCATAGGCGAACAGTTTCGTAGTCCGCGTTAATCCAGCACCAGGCGCCCGACGGCACGAACACATCGGCTCCATATTTGGCGATCGGGATGATCACAATCACGGCGATGAAAGCCCAAACACCGCAGACGAACATGATGAAGGTTCTGTAAGACATTTTGCGGCCCCAGACAACCAATAGGAACGTATGAATGGCAATGGCCAGGACGAAAAGACCACTGCCCGGATCTCCGATCTGAAGCCACAATCCTTGCAGGAAGCAGGCGGCTGTGCCGGACTTGATCTTATCAGTGGCGATCCATTTCAGGCAAATCAAGAAAGCAAGTGATTGTTGAAAGTCGGCCAAGACCAGGTTGTAGATGAGAATAATGTATTGGTTGTAACCGATGTATCTGGTGTATGATCCCCTCCAAAAGATTAGGCGGTAGGTGATGAAAGCCAAGAGACTTCCTGTTGCCAAAAAGGACATGAAAGCCATGACAGTGATGGCGATTAGGCCTTTCCGTTGGATGGAAGGCAACGGATCGATATCCAATGTGATATCCTCATGTAGTCGAGGAGCCAAGGCATTACCAGAATGGCTGTCCGCCGACAGCATATTGAGAAGGGCGAGTGCAGACATGGTGAGCTTCAAAAGTGCAGTATAGAATTATAATAAGGGTATCAAAAAGGGAGAAAATCGGAGAATAGCGAATGGCGAGCCAATACCAGCGTTCAATGGCGTAACGTCGGAGCTCGGAGTGGTTTCAGTCGCCAGGCTGTAAATCCAGCAACCTGTCAGTCGGCTGCACGGTTCGGTCCGTTCAAGAGAGTGTGGCGGTCGTGTATCCGGTTGTCGAATAAACTGACGGACAAGAGGAAAAAAAGACCAGAAAGAATGCAAATCGTAGCGTGGCCCAGGAATATTAAACGTGCGTATGACCCAGAACCGACGACATGGAAAGAACCCACCTATAGACTACGCCGGGCACAGCGAAGTCTAAAGTCGATAGGGGCATTGACCCTGTTTGAAAAAGAGTTTTGTTGCCGTCATGCCCACAGGAACCTTGGACGTGGGCATCATTTCCGTTGGGGACCCATAACCAAGCGGAGATCCAACCAAAGAATTGAGACCAAAAAGGCTCTTTATCCACAGTGCTGCATATAACTTAGTTCAGAAGTGCCAAGTGCCAAGGGGTATCCACTTCAGGCGACCACCCCTCTTTGAGTACAAGTCGGAGTGGAGAGAGCGTGGGAATCCTCTCTCAAGCATCGAATTGAAAATGAAAAGATTGGCCCACAAGGCTCATATCCACTATGATAAGCGGTGGCTCACGACAACTGCACAAGTGCCGGAAAAGGGGGCAAATTACTCAAGAACTTCGAATATGTCCAATTTTTGGGGAAAAGTCGTTAGCTACAAAACTTAGATGAATATGGAGATGTAAAGCATGTTAACTCCGTAAGCCACAAACTTACTCTCCGCACCGGCGTGGACAATGTCCACAATGCTTTGGTATTCCGACCACTCACAGACCATGATCCGGTTTAAACCCTGTCATGTCAATGCAGGGGTGACCTTCTGGAACGCTAGGGGAAGACACGGGCGAGTTTTGCCACGGAAATATTACCAACCCCCTGGACGGAGTAGGCGGTCCCACTTGATACTTCTAGCTTAATGATGCAGTGGACTGTTCATGCGGTGATTGGTGTTGTCGCAGCGTAACCTGGTTACGTAGCGGTGTACTCCAAGGTACGGAGGACCCGACAAATGAAAAGATTCGGTGAGAAGCCGAGAGAATACGTATGCGGTTTCCGACTAAGCAGGTCATGGAACTTGCACGGAGATCTTCAAGATCAATGTTCTGAGCCAAGGGTGGTGAATTCTGATGGATGCTTATTGAACTCCGCGGACCCGCCTGGAAGTTCGTGGGAATGAGACGCATGCCAAGCCAAGACCGCGAGAAAAATTTGGTCGATCGCAAAAGCATGAGAATCAATTGTTCGCAGATGGACTCCGTATTTTGTCCTCACTCCGTGACGAGAATGTAATATTGATCTGGGCAACGGCTTGATTGGGGCGGGCGTTCTGCGGAACAAGCCTAGTTTCCACGCTAAATCATAAACCACACCGGCTGCCCCATGCGATGGAGTCCGGGTAGGCCGCCCGGGGCACAAGTAGGCAACGCAACTAAGTACTCTCCGTACTAAGCAAGTGACCACGCACAGGGTTGAGAAAATTTCAGAATTCCATCTCGGCCTGGTTCATGAATTCCGGCAGTCTTTCGGATCGATGTTTCCCATTAAGGTTGAAGGGTCGTGTGGCAAGCAATGTGGCGTTGTCGCGTCGATCAACACGGCTCGCGGAAAATCTCCCTCGGGGATTTTGTGTTGTCACTTCTCTTTTTTTCCCATGTGCCATTCAAGGTCCGATCCGCAAATAGATAAACCGTGTCGAGCAATGAGCCATGTGCCGAGGATCTAGACAAGAAAAATGTTCCCAAGGAGGTGATGATCTGCGGTAGTATTGACGAATGGCTAGCGTGTGGAGTGGATCAACATGTGGTCAGGATCAACAACCAGATCAAAGGATGATTATACGCTAGAACCGCCTCGGGTTCAAGCCGCTAGCAGCGATCGTGGAGATTGCACACTGCTCAAGGGCTGTTAGTAGGGAGCAGGGGAAGAACCAATGCCGGGTATTGCGCTCACCGTCGTTTTACCGAAATATGGCGTTCAGCACAGACCGAGATGAATTTTTTTCTTTTCTTTTCAATAAACATGGCATATGTACGTCAATTGTCAAGAGAAATATGTCAAAACCAGGCACAGATGTATCCAAACATTGAAAAGCGGAGATATCTGTACAGATCCAAGGTTCCCCGAGGTTTCAGGGTTTAAATCGTAGTGCATATTCAATCCATGGTTCAACAGAACCAAACTCCCAGGGCAGAACCCTTGATCTCCTTCACCTGCCTGATCCCGTTAGTTACGCTACGGAATAGTAACTCGGTTTTTTTTTCTCTTTTCTTTTAGCGTTGAATATTGTAAGACACGAGATTGTCATTGGTGGATCTCCTATTTAAGTCCGTTGTCTCACACTAAGCACAACCTTCTATCTAGCCTAGTCTAGACGCGCTATTTAACCATCGTTCTAGCTATTTTCGACTCTGTTCTGTAAACTGTGCGTGGTTATCAGCATGCTCCGAGAGAGACACAACTCCAATGATTTGTAAAGTCCTCAGAAATACCTCAGTGAAAGACCCGATACATACTAAAAGGTAAAACTACCGAGCGATTCACACTGCTGTCAACCTGAGGTGTCATGATGGGCCCCAACTTTAATACTGAGCTTACGTTCCCATGACAAGCAACAGCCACCATGCATGGGAGTCTTGGCCCATGGATAGCTAGCACAACCATTCACTAAATCGGGATCTTGGACTCAATTTCCAGACTCACGAGCCAAGAAACTTTAACTTAGCCAACAGGCTAAATGCAAATATTGCTTATTAGCGTAAATCTTCTCCTTGGAAGAGCGCGGGCAAAATGTTCATTCGCGGGGATAGTAATTAGTACTATGTTCCCCGTATTCCACAGCATCCCCCCCCCAAGTACAGAGTAACTCCAATAGTGTGCCAATCTGCCGTCTTGCTATGCATTTATCGTTCACGGACCTCTCCAATCTACTAGATCTAGTTGAACCCTGACCAAGTGCTCGGGTCAATATCTATGCATATGTGTCCTTGCTGCCTTGCCATCAAATGACCTACGAGTCCAAGAGCGCTACTCGGAGTACGAAATATAGACCAATTGATACATGGATGTATGCATGTGCAGTCAATGTGACCAGTTGACATTTTAGTTTATGTAGCACGATCCGTCTACTGTCCGCAAAGCTGAATTTAATAGTATTGTTCATCGAAATCTCATTTTCCTTCAGTGCTATCTTGCTGCAGATTCCAAATAGACTAGCCGCAATATAAGCGCCAGCTCGCGCCTTGCAGGTGCCTCCAAGATTATTGGGAGTAAGCACCGACCGCATGGACCTGTTGTCGGCATGAAGCGATCGATCGATTTCCATGTCTGGAAAAGAGCAATTCAAAGGATCTTAAGAGTCCCAAAAGTGGTTTGCCAATAGTTTGCGCCCGATTTCTAGTTTGACTTGGCATTGGTGTTGTCTCTGAAATCCCAGTAGTGCAGGGGCGTCGAATGCACATACAGGTACAAATTAGCTACGCTGGAAGGGGAAAAAAACATGAAGTCAGTATTCCAATAGAGAAGACTCGAGCCATAGTAATGACTTTGGGGAAAATACAAAGGTGGGCGTGATTTTGTAGCATGGCCCATGGGGAGGCCAGTCGCATAGTAAGGATACTAGTACGCATAGGGAAAATAAGTCACGTGCCCTGATTGTGTGCCCTAGTTCCACGCACCTCAGCCCTGAAGGTCAGGTGCGTGGGTATTAGGGCAGGTTTGTGTGGCTATTAAGGATACGCGCGGAAAATTTGATTTTTGCCCGAGCCTTACCCTAATCCCACACATGAATTGGGAATATTGACCTAACCCCACGCACCTGAGGTATTAGGAATATTGACCTAATTCCACGCACCCGAGGTAACAACTAGATTTACTACCTACAGTAGTGCAATCAAATTCCACTCACACAACGGCCAAGCAATCATTAAATCAAATGGGATATTCATTTTTTAAGAGTTAAGAGTTAACAGACAGGCACATTAGAATGTACCCCGGCTCATGGCAATCATAAATCATAAAGAGAGCAAAGAAACAAGTAGAACAAGATCGACCAAATGGTGGACACATACACACACAGAAAAAGATGAAAGAAACATTGGCATTGGGATGTATGACAGTTCGTGGACAAGGAAAGAAAGAGTTGGGTATCATCAGTTCATCAATCAAGCGCACCCGATGCAATAATATGTCCATCTCGTATGAAATCCAAGTCCCGCTAGATGTTCAAAGTCAAGAGAAGGAATTAACGGCGCCTAGAGTTGCGCTCACGGCGTCCAACCTGCGAGTCTTCTTCGTCCTCCTCTTCAACTGGGGCCGGGGTACGGCGCTCAGTGCGGCGCTTGGGCCGGCGTCGGCGGTTGGAGCTGATGTTACTAGCAGAGTCATCCGGTGCTAGAGAGCGGTCATCGTCATTGAGGAAGTCCTCTTCTCCGCTGTCAAAGCCGACACCCGAGAAGGGAGTACCTAGGCGGGCTTCGACGAATGAGCCACGTCGACCCTGGCTGGCGACGGATAGGCCGGCTCCACGTTCACGTAGTGCACGGCGGACGACTTCAGCCTTGAGGTGTAGGGTTTCAAAGGCGTCCTCGAGAGCTTCCATGCCGAGGAAAATGTCGCGTTCGATTTCAGCCAATGCTGCGATCTCGGTCTCTTCATCTAGGGCAATCGGGCCACCGTGGGCTGGTGATGTTGGACCTCCGTTAGGTTGGCTGCCCGGGCGGAAGCAGCCATCCATATAGTTAGGGGTTGGGCCGCGGGAGATTCCTGCGGCGCTGAAGGGGGTGTTGGAACGGCTGCCGTTGTAGCGAGGGGTAGCCTGTGTTGTGTCTTCGGCGCCGCTACGAAGGAAGCCGTCGAAGCGGCCGGATATGAGGATCTCCCATTCCTCGTCGTTGATCGCGGATAGTGTGGCGAGGACATGGTGCAATCCAGGGTTGTTGAGCATAAACATAGCTGCTTCTGGGTCGCGCGGAAGTGTCGTGAGGCGGTAAAGACGTTGAATCGCTAGAGCCGAGGAAACAAGTGCAGAGGGCTTAGGTCGAGGTTTTTCATCATCAGAACGGGGAACTGGGGTGGAAGAGTTGATGCCAAGAAGGGCGCAGAATAAAGAGCGTTGGTGTGATTGAAGGTGGGTCAACATGGCGAAGGTCAAGGTCTCATCATCGACCTCCCCAGGCGCACTGCTGGGGCCTTGGTCTTGCTCAGAAAGCCATTTGTCAACAGCAACCTTAGTCTTGCGGGATTGCCGAATGAAGTGTTCGCGGTACTCCTCGGGGACATCAACGTCAAGCTTCTGCATTGGAATGTGCTCCTCGCCAGCCAAGTCAGTGTCGATGGTGGATGGTTCCATAACGAATGGAGGCCACATTGGGAGCTCCCGACGACCAGAAACAAGCTCCAAAACCTCTCCCCAGCTCACCCCGGATGGACGCTCCTCCTCTTCATTCCGCTCACAGATCAGACAGCTACAAGGCTCTGAGGAGATATCACGTGCGAAGACTGCTTCCAGACGGTCTAGTAGTCGTCGCGCAACCGATCGATATCCAGTCGCCACGGCGATAGATCCACTTTTGCTCATCACTTTTTGGTAATCATCAAGAAGGCTGTTGAATGGATCGAAGAATTTGGCCGCAAGTTGTTGGGGATGAGTACCAGACTGGGCGAAGGGATCGGATGAGCTGGACCCGGGAAGCAATGTACGTGGTACCTGGTGCTTCAGACCACCATGTTGTAGCAAGTAATCAACTCTCGGAATAGTCAACGGGACGGCAGGCGGGGGAGGTGGAGGCGGAGGTCCGCCGAATGATGGGCCAGCTGGGGTGTGTCTGCCATATTCGACAGATTCATCACTAGGAGTGTGACGGTGTGAGAATGCCGAGCGGTTTTGAGTTCGCGATGGAGGCTTGACAAGTGGCGGGGAGGAGGGTTTTCGGGATGGTATATACTGCTGGTTGGGAGCAATAGAGGTTGCATCGGACCCGTTCGCGGATTCGGTGCCGATATCGCGGGCGGTTAGATTTGATTGAGACGGCGACATTGTAGACCGGCTAGATCGTTTTGGCAGCTTCTTCTCCTCAGAAGAAGAGATCTTGACCTTGGAAGGCTTGTGGCCGACGCGGGGTGATGATGATTCCCTTTCCCTGTCCTTCTCCTTGTCCCTGGCCTTTTCTTTCTCCTCTTTTTCCTTTTCAGTCCTGGATGACCGAGACTTGGGTGTTTCTGCGCGCACTGTCCTGCTAGTCTTGCTTCCATCATCCTTTTTGGACTTGAGGCTTGATGACGAGCGGTTCACCTCAGAGGTCCGGATCTTGATGCTGGCCTTCTTCTTCACCTTCTCCTTCTCCGCGCTCTTGTCCTTTTCCTCATCCTCGATGGGCGTACCTCTTCGAGAGGAGGGTTGGTCCAATCCCGTCAACGGTGGGCTGGGAGGGGCATGGTGGTTTTCGGTGCGTTGTTGATTCTCCTTTCCGTCATCCTGCTCTGTGAGGTCGGTCGGGTCTGGGGTGGGGATATTTCCCCCTCGAACGTCTTCCTTGCGAACATCCTCCTTGCTGTGCGCCTTGGAAAAATTGGGATAGGGGAGGCTGGTCCTCGATTCGAGGAAGGAGGCAGTGCCCGACCGGCTTGCAGTGTCGATGCCGGGCATGGAGGACCGACGTGGGGGCTCACTGTGCGAAGTCGAAGTGGAGATGGAGGAAGGAACCGGTGGTTCAAGCTCGGGATCCTTGGTTGCAGTGCGGGTGGACCGTACCTGGGAGAGCTGGGAGGAACGCTTGGGACGTTGTTTCCAGTTCTTGGCCTTGGGCTTTGCGGTCTTATCGGAGGTACTGTTTGGTCTCACTGGAAAAAACATGACTCCCAGAGAAATCGCAGCCGCACGAGGTGGATCCCTTCAAACCCTGGGGCCCGCAAGTTCATCGGTCGGGCTCCGTTTTTTACCTCAGTCTGTGCTTTTTTGACAAAGCGTGGACAAAACGGGATATACCGCTAGTGAGGGGGAAAGATGTTAATCCTATTTTGGTTCTCCAACTGTGCAGCGTTATGCTCTGCCTGGCGCTTAGGTTGGGCAGTGAAATGTCACTGGTCGGTGGCTCAGCGCTTGCGTCGATCGCTGTGCTGCGGGAAGGACCCCGGCATTCCGTTACGGGGTAAGGTAGAATGATAATACAAATAGAATTAAAGAGTAATATGACAATCAGGGACTAAAGGCAGCATACAAGCATCAGGTACGATGCATGAAAGGTTTGCCGTTGATGATCGGGGAATGAAAAGGATCCAGAGTCCAATGCGGTGAATAGACCGACAAATGAGGCCCCGCTTTACTGACGTGGAGACTTTAAGTTACTGCATGGAAGCCTAAGATCAGTAAGCTCAAGGCTGAATCATTAAAAAACTTCTAGTATGAAGTTACACAATCGGAGAAAATGGAAAAATGGGAGATCTAAGTCAAGATTAGATTATGAATGAACGGTGGAAAACAATAATAATGCACCATAGGGAGTACTAGGGGGGTATCATTTAGTAATTACAGGATTGGGCCTATCCCAAGGTCAATCCTCGTGGAATTCATTCCTGGCCTTGACAGGTGAAGTCTCCAATGTCCAATTCCCATCTTCTTCATGGGCTACTCCACCCACTCGGGCAGCTCTCAGTATCTTCTCACTCGCTGCACTGAGATCACCAGTGTGATGATCCCACACCCAACCTTCCTTGAGCCAAAGCCAGGTCAAGTAGGCGCGTAGTTCTTTGTCTTTGGGAAGAACTGATTTCCACTCAGGAACAAATCCATCACTAGTGGCGCCAGTCCCCAGCCAATCTGTAGCCACTCCCCGTAACTTGTCCCGACAGAAGATGCGCCAACTGTCCAGGGAATAAGCACCAACACCAGCAAAGTGAGCAACTTCCCATGCTGATCGATGGTCTTCATCATCAACACATTCATCTCGTCCAATATCTCGACCATCCAGCTTATGAGGATAGTGCAATTTTCGATAGCGTTTGTTTTTCACAGGGGGGTTGTTTAGCCAAGTTTGCGCGAGCAAGATGCACTTTCTAGCACGCTGATTTTGAAAACCAAGACAATTGATCATGGCTACCAGATCTGACTCATCAGCAACAGCCATAGATTCCAGAGTCGGATATCGCTCAAACACTTTGAACAAAACAGGCAAAGCTACCCCTCCACGGGTGCGGTTAAGAAATATGGTTGCAATAAGTAATTTGAATGGATCGTGGGCCAGCTGCTCCTGTACAAGACCGAAAGATTGAGTACTGAGTGGGGGGAAAGGAAGACAAGACTGTGGATCGCGCGGTGGCTTCGGAAAATATGGGGAAACTTTGGGTAACTTCGTTCGCGGCGTCTTGGGATCTTCTGGAGAGACAAAAGATGTCTGTGTAACGAGACTTTCAGGAATAGTAGCGGATTCTGCGGCAACGAATTCCGGGTTCTTCACGGGAGTTGGGGGTAACACAAAAATGCCCTCGTCATTGTAGTAGTTTTCAGACTCGAAGTCAGAAGGAACATCACTCAAGCTTGAGTCTGACAGCAGAACGACCGAGTGGGGATTGGAATCATCAGGACATTTGGGTAGTTGTTGGGGAATACTCGGTTTGTATGGACGAGATCGGATTGGCAAGGCAGAAGGCATGTTGACTGTGGACACTTGGAAATATTTGGATGTTATTTCATCACTAGGGGTCACCTCATCACCAGAGATCACTTCATCACTGTGGGTAACCTCTGGCGAATCATTGGTCCTCGAAATTCAATCCGAAATTTCCCAGTCGTTTGGATTTTCAGGCAATGGGCTGCGCCGGAAGCTTCGCTTGCTGCTGTTTGACGCTTGCGAGAGTGGTGTCGATAATACTGGACCTTGAGGTGGGATCATCTTCGGCGGAGGGGTTTCTGGTCGTGGCTTTGAAGTTTCCTTGCTTGATTGGTTGTCCTGTTTATTTTCCTGGTTGTTTTTTTCTCTAAGCTCGTTCCGCTTCTGCTTCCTCTTGTCATTCTTCCTCTTGTTTTTCTTCTGCTTCTGCGATAGCCGTCTCTCATTTCCGTTCTCCGATGGAAGGCTAGGAGCATTGGTAGGTTGTGCAATGGGACGAGGCTGCAATTCCGGGGTTGGTTGAGAGTCAAGACCATTGCTATTTTTGCCTTTTTTCTTGTTCTTTTTGGAGACGGGTCGATCTTTCTCCACCTGGTCGTGTCCTTCGAGCTCAGGCTTAGAGTTGACTTTGGGTTCTGGATCCGGTTCTGAGTGGGAATTCGACTTCGATGGCGGTTGAGGCTTTGTCTCAAGTCCGGACTGGGCCTCGAGTTCAAATTCACGGGGCGTTTCGGTAAGAATGCCTTCGTCAGGAGCATCCATCCAGAAACCACCTTGACTGCCCTCGCTTGGACTAGCCGGCGGCGAGACCACGCTCAAGCCTCTCTCGATCGAGACACTGAGGTCCTGTATGTGGTCCGGGTCTAGGCCATTTTCCTCGTTTGATAGAAATGGTTCCTCAACGGGCTCGCAAGTAAGATCAATTGTTTCAGAAGGACCAGCGGGTTGCTCTTCAGTCTTCGCAGGGGAGATTGGGCGTAAAATAGGCGATTCGGGTATTTTTTCAGGGCCATGCATACTATCCACGGAGGAAATCTTCTCCAGCAGCCGTGCTTCAGAAGAATCATGGGCTTGAGCCGGGGCACGGTCAGTCTCTTGACTTTCCTCAACCTGCACCACAGGCTGTGCTGGGATAGTCAAGTTTACCGAAGCATTAGTTTTGCTTTTCTTGCAGCTGGGTGAAATTTTCTGCTCCAGGCTTCTTTTGAGACTCATTCGAGCGGGGCGTGTATCATCTATTTCGGCTCCAAATGCCATCTTGTCCGAGTCCCCACATGTAGCGTCTGGAACATCAGCAAGCTCCAGGTAGATCCTGCGCACATAGCGATGCAACTCTTCAACTTCCATGATCTTCATTCCTGCGGACATCGCCGTCCTTTGCAGGTCAGCCAGAAACTGACATCTGGCGGATTTCAGCACGGGTTGAACGTATCCTTTGAAGAAAGAATGCGATATGACGTATTTCAAAATCTCATGACCCTTTTCATGACCCACAGATGCAAAGATCAAGTCCTCCTCCTCCATATCAATTTCCTCGCCCTCCTCCACACCACTTCCCTTGCCCTCAAGCTCCATCTTATCCTCCGTATGCAGATCGCCGTTGAAGCTGGGTGGTGTAGAATCTTCTCCAGCGTCACTGGCTATCTCAACAACTGTAATTTTTCTAGTCGCTGTCACTCGCTTGCGTTTCTTGGTTCTTGCGGCCTTTGTTGCGCTGCTGGACATGGATGGAGATGGGGAGGAATAGGAGGAGTTGGCGGTAGGAATACTCTTCTTCTTCCTCTTTTTGTTCTGTGAACTGACAGGCCCAAGGTGCACAGGTGATGGGCTAGAGCTCTTGTCACTGGTGCATGCACTTTTCACAGTCCAGTTCTCATCTTTTGAGGATTCAAAGCTTGCGTCTTCGGACAGAATATCATCGACGATGCGCAGGATGTCTTCGGAGAAGGGTTGGTAGGTCTCGAGATCTTGGCTGGGAGGAGGCATGACACAGGAGACATTGTCACTCGACGCCATTTCTGAAACAAAGAAATGTTCTTTCTATTTGCCGTTCGGGGTTGGGGGGGATTGGAATAGGGTACATATGTGGATCGGAGAGTAAGGAGGTATAATCTATTCTATTCACGAAGAGCTTGTCAGTCCAGCCCCTGAAAAGTGCGTATGTTCACAGCAACTCACTAGACGCAGAGCGTTTTGATTCTAATGAAGAAGACCAGGGGCTTCCACACGCATGATCAGCTTCATATTCCAGGCCACACGTCGCTAATCTTCAATGTGCGTCACGACAGAACCATAAATAGGCACTGAGAACCTGCCCAGTAGAATAGCAGGGGCCAATGACACGAAAAGAATACGCGTGGTCGCTCAAAACGCACAATCAGCAAAGCAAAACACCACAATCCGTGCCTTTCATAAGCACTTTCAACCCGTGAATCTGGTGTTGAAAGAAAAGCGGGCTCCGCGTTCCGATCAGCGCACGGACCATGTTTAGATGATATGATAGATCTATAATTCTCTCTTATCGCCGTTATCGGTGAAATGTAACGAACTGCCGAATCTGCCGATACTCAAATTATTTCGTACTTTTTTTCTTTTCTTTTTTTTTTATTCCCGGGGTGATGCATGCTATATGCTATGTTTTGACATTCAGAGATTCAATGGCGATCTATTCTAAATGGCATATCCGGCTGAATTTCGTTGACGTGGTTCCCCAGCAGCATCGAAGGTTCCATTAGGCAGCACACGAATAAGCTGCGCGCTGCTTAATCCAGGGGCCATCCAACTAACGTTGTGCCCCCTGCTCTCCATGAAAGCCACAGTGGAGTTGTCGAATGCATACTCGAACAATGATTTGTTAGGAAGCAACTGGTCATGCAACCGAGGCTTAGCCAAGGCATCAGCGGCATCCAGGCCATGATCAATTACGTTGATTATGTTTTGGACTGTGGCAGTGATGATTCGACTCCCTCCTGCCGATCCCGCAATCAGGAACAGCTTTCCATCGGGATCGGTGACAATTGCAGGGGTGATGGACGACAAGGCTCGCTTGCCGGGTCGGATGTAGTTTGCCACAGATGGAGCATATCCAAATGAGTTGGATGCTCCGGGGATTGAAAAGTCTGACAATGGGCATGAGAAGGATAATTTAAGTGACGTGGTTGTTAGGGGACTTACCGTTCATGATGTTGTTCATGATGATTCCTGTCTCCGGTACCATCAATAGGCTACCAAAAAGCGTATTGATGGTACTGATAATAGAGATTGCAAGCCCGGAGTTATCAGCCGCAGCGATGTGAGAAGTACCTGGTCTAATCTATCTGTGAGCTAGGAATTCAGGAGCCGCAGACCGGGAGAGGAAGTCCTTACGTATCCCGATTCTCGATACCAGAAGGGTCATATGCTGACACGTTCAATGTGTGAGTATCCGAAATCTTGCCTCGGATCTCATCAACCGTCGTTTGTTTCAGCATTTCACGCTCATGCTCAGATACGCCAGAGACGAATTCAGGGTCGGCTAGCTCAGTTCGCTTGCGATTCTATCAGCATGGGTATTCATTGGCAAGCAGGCCAAGTCTTACCTGTCCATATCCGAACCGCATAGCCTCAACCATTCGATGGGTGCTGAGGTTCACAGCGCTTTCAGACGAGAAGAAATCTTTGTATCCGTCCAAGATCTTAAGAATACTCAGCGCGACAGCACCGCTAGAAGGTGCCGTTCCACTTGAAACTGTGTATCCACGATAGTCAATCTGGGCCACATCTCTGAGCGCAACTTTATAGTTCGCCAAATCCTCCAACGTCATTGTGCCGTTAGCAGCCTGAACAGCATTAATCATCGTTTCAGCGATCGGGCCCGAATAAAATGCATCTGGACCGAGTTCGGCTATCGTTTCAAGTGTACTTGCAAGACGCTTCCGAGTAATGGTGTCCCCCAGACCTAGGCGGGTACCATTTGGAGCGAACTCCAAGGCCCATGTTGGATTCTTCGACAAGAAATCCTCTCGATTGCCCACTGCCAAGTTCATATATCTTACCAAGTCCTCCGTGACGGGAAATCCTTCACGTGCAGTTCGGATGGCAGGTTGCAAGACAGTCCACCAAGGAAGGGACCCGTACTGTTTGTGGAGATACTCCAATCCACGAACTTCGCCAGGCACGCCACTATTTCATGCAAGTCAACGCCATGTTTCAAAGCACAAGATTACCTGCCTTACCTTGCCAATCCTCCATACATCGAAGCATCTGTATTGTTTTCGTACATATCTTGGAACGCCGCAGCTGGCGTCGTCTCTCTGAAGTCGATGAATTCGTAGGATCCATTAGGTGCCCGCACCACCATGAATCCACCCCCACTGATACCACTGTGGTACATCCCTGGGTTTTCCAATTAATAAAAACCAATGATTCATTTAAGGCGCGTTAGAAGCTTACCGATAACTCCAACACAGAATTGGGCTGCGACCGTCTATAAGCTGCCATTAGCTGCCATTCAGGCTAGCACGAAAGACTGCAATTCCGAAAACGCTGTATTTGGAAGACTTCTGATCCACTAACCGCATCAGCAGCATTTCCGCCCATTTCAAGCATTTCGATTCCATGGCGAGAGCAAATTGAGCTCTCGGTAGCAATAGCTCCCAGTTTTCCAGGCTCTAAGCTCCCAGACAAGGCATTATTCCCCTCTCTGCCGGGGATCATCAAATCTAGGGGCGATAATTTGATTCTTGCCGAGTATATGATCAATAGAATCACGGAGAATATCACGCTCAGCCACCTTCTCTGTTTCAATGTATTCAAAGTGGCACGCCATTGCACGTGCGGCTTTGGGGACTGGCGAAATCCCGAATCTGTGCTGATAGTATCTTTACTTTCGGGAGACAATACAAGCTTCTAAATTCAGGTTAAATCATGTTACAGGTCAAGCGGTGAGAGTATGATGAATCAAGGATCAAGCCGAGGTCCCTTACCTGCTTCTCCACATCCTGAGTGGTCATGCTTTCAAGCATGTTATGAAGGAGGCCAATAACGCACTAATCGTAAATCAATTCACAAAATCCAGTCTGAAGGTTTGTCAGTCAGAGTCAGGTACATAGCAGGCCAGATATGTCTTTGAAGTTCGGGGGCTGGGATACCAAAGTGTCGTTCGGCGATAGTTGTACCAAGAAATCTTGGAGATAAGGAGAAAACCGATAGGAAATGACCGAGAGTAAGAAAAAAGTCACCATCCATATAAAGCGCTGAAAATATGCACATGTGCAAGCTGGAGAAGAGAGAGAAGGAGGAATGAAAAGTGCTGAAGATCCACGGGCTCATTTCCAGTATTTGAGTTCATCGTCCGCTGATTGTCCCTGTGGATACTGTTTTGTCGTGCGAGCTATCGGGCAATCGGGAAATCGGGAAATCGGGCAAAACCCCGCTGATAACTGCCCCAATAAGCTTTAGGGCAACTTTAACCATTCAAATTCTTAATAAGCATTTTATAGCATATCATAGGATTCATAGCCTATGACCTTATCGCTCTACTTTGGGTTTATGCATATGTCCACGTGAGTAACGTAAAAGTGCAGAAATGGAATTATCTCATGACTAGAATCTGAGAAATTAATACAATAAGAATTCCCATCCTGGCCTTTTGCGTTTCGACCAAAAAATTCATAGCAGTAGGGTAAGAATTGGAGAAAGTTGAAGTTGGGGGAGTCTCGGATGGGCGGCACAAAATGTCAAGAAAATGGGCTGGAACGCCACACCGACAATCTACATACCCGTAACCCGCCTGCACCGCCATGGCCCATGACTAATAATCTCGCATATAGCTACTCGTCACCAACTCATTCGTTATTTGGGGAACAACACTTCATGATTCTGATTTGACAAATCTGTGTGCTAATGGCGCTTGATCGCCTTCAATGCCCTGTCTCATCCACGAAATAGTATCTTGCCACATAGGCGGGATCTCCTGTAGTGGCTGTATTGTCTCAAGGACGAGTCGTCGACCCCAATCCCGGACGTACCAACGATTGCACACGAGGCGCATGGCAGTGGCATAATGTAAGAACAGAATGCGGGCAACCCAGTCTCCGTCTTGGACCAACGTGATGAACTCTTCTGCGATGAAAAGAGGCCACGCGATGACGCCACCGTGGGCGCCAATTTTGGGCCACGGCTCAATGGCGTGTTGCAAGAATTGCAATGTGGAATTATACAAAGCCTGATTCGGTGATGGATTTGTTTTGATTATGGATTCCAGGGATCCAAGGGATTGCATTATTTTTCTAGTAATGTCAGCTTGTCAGGCCACTTTGCTCTAGGAAGATTCGCAACTCACTTGTGAATTTCGAACAACTGCTCGCGGTCTTCAAAGTGCACCTCGCTAGATAATGGTAAGTATGAAAGCTGGGCAAAAGGTCTTTTTTCTTAAGGGGGTTCATCTTACTCGCTCTGCGGCGGGGGTTCTAGCGTCTCTTCCGTATCAGGTGGACTAAGCCACCCATCGAGCACTCCTTCTATCTTGAGGTCGTTGAGTTTGTGAAAAAACATAGCGCTACCGGAAATCAATGTGCGAACTTCCATCACTCTTGAAAATGCATCGGCGGTGTGGGAATCAGTTGATATCACAGGAAATCCCTGGGCGAACAGCAGGATGAACACTGAAGCCACAAAAGCCGGCTCATATTGTTGCTCGGTGATTTCAGGTAGACATTTCCCAAGACCAGCGCAGGTCTGACTTTGGTACCGCATTCCGGCTTCTAGCCATGATTGACGGTTATCGGTTTCAATAGAGGCCAAGTGGAGGGCGGTCAGCGCTAGGATACTGTCCAGGAGAAAGGGATGGGAAGTGGCCAGCTGAGGAATTGTGATCGATAGATGGTACGCAGATAGTCCATCTTGCGATAAAGATAAATAGGTCGAGGTGAGATATTGGTGCATGAGCCGCATCTCCAACATGCGGGTAGGCAGGGGCAGATCACCACCCGGTGTCAGCGGTCCACTGTCAGAACCATCCCGAACACTGAGTGAGTTCGGACTGTCCGGGTCAGGTGGGTAAGTGCACTCAAGTTTGCGCTTCCTGCACAGTGTGCACTTTGGTAATTCTTCGTCGCACTGTGGATCATGTCAGCCTGTCGCGTTGATGGGGAATTGGAGCCAGATCCACGTCAACAGTTTCTGCAAATCCCACGACGACCGAATTGCGCATTCCCCAACCTATGAAGAATCAAGGTGTCGCGTATTTGCAATTACTTGACGGGACAGCAAAGTCTGCATACCTTGACATGTCTTCTTTTGCACTCCAGGCAGCCCTTTCGGGATTTGGTGTGGCTACGGCGGAACGGCATCGCGAGCCCACATTCACCCCGCAGCACACGAATATGAGGCTTCAGCGCTGGTCCAGATAGAGACTGCCCTCATTGCCCTTCTTTCAGGGGAGGAATTAATCTGATATCCCCGGGCCCGACCTCGGTCGTGGGGGGCGATCTGCATATGACGCGCTGCCATTGGGTGGCCAAACTTACGACCGCGATTATGTCAGCATTCCCGTTGAGCTTTCGGTGGATCAAGGACTCAATGCAGGATTCCGTTGACCTAAAAATTGGGGTTTTTCATCTCAAAGAGTCCAGAGGGTAAAATTATCCGATTTGGAATCTGCTTTAGAGCGATGAAAGTTTTCGGGGCTAAATAACCCGCATTGTGGTTTTTGGGCGTTTCAGGGTTCCCATCGCCGATCGGTGGTTGGACAGCTGCAACATTAGATGGCAAACGCCTGAATATCCACTGTATGTAGTTCCGTTTGGATTTTTTTGCAAACCTCGGTCAAATGAACTTTGACAAATGCAGAGCACATCCCACTTTGAAGGCGTTCAACATGGGCAAAAGTGTACCTGCATTGCCCTTTTGTTACAGCTTCAATTGAAAATAAGGCCCGTAGTAATTGGGACCACCATGTCCAAATGCCAATGCTATTCATTCAAAGTCTTATACGGGGCTTACTGAGCTTAATGTATAGCTCGGAGGCTCGTTTTGTTTTTCTTGGAGCAAACCCGTTTCCCAATAATACCACACTCTGGTTTGAGGCTGTGCGCGCCAGAACGTTTTGCGAAGAGCAATAAAAACTGGCCGGTTTGTTTTGAAATAAAATCTGGACGTGGCATTAAAACACTCCAACTGAGATGAAGCCATGGCCACCAGTAGGACCAGCTCCATCATTATTGAGCGTTCGCCTCCCAGCTCATCACGAGCATGTGGCAGATCGTTCTAGCCTCATTATGGAAGTAGCACTCCTTAAACTTTGGGCAAATCAATAATTCCCAAGAAAATCGGTCATCCAAGTTTCCTGCAGGATATAAGCTTCAATGAATAGACTGAAAGTTCGAGATAGAAACGTAGATTCCAATTCCATTCAGTAGTATACTATGGAAAAAAGGTGCAAAGCGACCGTTCCTTTCAAATGTTCAAATGGAGTGTTCATTTCCAACATGATCGTCGTACATATCATGAAGGCCCAAGGGTGCTGCCATGCACTGGAAGACCTTCGGTTTCAACTGATAGCCCCACATCGAGTTCTTGCAAAACCACCACGTTTTCATTGAAGATATAACTCGTGCTCTTGGATTATGGCTTTTGCACTCGGCACTTGGCAATGGTTGCAATCCCGATGCCACGCTGCCCCAACTCTCCCCGCAAATTCCCCCTCACCGTGGAATTGTGGGGCCGTATTTATTATCCATGAAGATCATATCTAATGAGAATGTTTCCAAGATTAACATGATATTCGAGTACTAGGCAAATCAATCCCGGTACCAATTCATTGAAAATGGCGCTCCTGATGCTCGACGGCTTCACAGAGCTACTGACATCTCATCCATTTTCTTCGGCCTTTGTCGCCATCATTGTCCCCATAGTATACATTCTAACCTGCGATTTCTTCCTCTGGCTCCGTCTCCCTCCAGGTCCAACGCCAATTCCATTCCTCGGCAACAAGTTCATCATCCCAACCTCTTCACCATGGATCCAGTTCGAAGAATGGTCTCACAAATACGGCCCAATATTTACTCTCTGGATCGGCCGACGCCCTACAATCATCATATCAGACCCCAACATTGCCGTCGACCTACTCGAGAAGCGAAGCACAAAGTTCAGCTCTCGGCCTCGCTTCGTAGTCATGGGTGAGCTGTACTGGGATAACGCCGGGATCCTAGTCCAGCCCTACGGCAAAGAATGGCAAATTCGACGAAGAATGCTCCACCAAGCTCTCAATCCATCCGCACTAAAATTATACAAGCCAGTCCAAGAAGCCGAGGCAGCCCGGCTATGCGGTGATCTTCTCAAGACCCCACGCGACTACGAGGGCCTCATCGACCGATTCACTGCCAGCGTGGTCTTCAGCATCGCATACGGCCACAGAATCGACTCTATGACCTCGAAGATAATTCGACAAAGACTACACTTCATGCAGTACTCAGCATCCCTCAATGTCCCCGGTCGCTATCTAGCCGAAACAATCCCCTGGCTTAAATACATCCCCAATATCCTCGCGCCCTGGAAAGCTGAGATCCAGCGCCGAGGCCGCGAAGAGGCCGCCGTGAACATGAGCCTACTCAACCAAGTCAAAGCCGATCTTACCGCTGCAAAATCACCCTCCGACATCCCGGACTCGCTTTCTAAATTGCTCCTCCAAGCCCGAGACGCAGATCCCGCCTCTTTCGGCGCCCTCAGCGAAAGAGATTTCTCCTTCGTGCCTGCATCCCTCTTCGGCGCAGGAAGCGATACAACAGCAAGCACACTATGCACCGCAATCCTAATGCTCATCACAAACCCCCAAGTCCAAGCAATTGCCCACGCAGAGCTTGACCACGTCATCGGCTCAAAGCGCCTACCGGCATTCGCCGACGAGCAAAGCCTACCATACATCAAAGCCCTCTGTCAAGAAGTACTGCGTATCCGCCCCGTCGCCGTGCTCGGCGGTACGCCGCACGCAAACTCTGAACCGGATACGTACAAAGACCACTACATTCCAGCAGGCACGACCATTTTGTCGAATAGTTGGGCTATCAACCTCAATCCGAGGTACTATCCGAACCCCCACCATTTCAATCCGCTACGGTTCCTGGTCGGAGACCCAAGTGGACTTCCGTACCTGCCATGTCTTTCAGATCAAGATCTTGCAGAGACGTCGCCGGAAAAGAGCCATCCTGCGAAAGAAGGGCATAGTTCGTTTGGCTGGGGCCGACGAATTTGTCCTGGGGCGGGACTGGCGCAGAACTCGCTGTTCATTGCGTTGGCGCGGCTGTTGTGGGCGTTTCGGTTTGATCCGGTGCGGGAGAGTGATGGGTCGGAAAGAGTTTATGACTCTTTTGCGTATACGCAAGGATTCAATATTCGGCCGGAGGAGTTTGAGTGTGGGATTTCTGTACGTTCTCGGGAACGTGGATTGGTTTTAGAGGGGGAGTTAGAGGAGGCTGAAGTGGTTATGGATCGGTTCCCACCTTTTGAAGAGTGAATTGCAGATTTGAGATCCAATAGGGTAAAATCAATGTTGTGCTGATCAATTTAAGTAGTAAGGTATCTAGGATACATGCTAAGTCCCAACATTGAATAGAGGGGTAGTGACAGCAGAAAATTCATAAAAATAGCGCCAAATAGATGTTGGATATTTGAATATGAGAGAAGTAATGGAGAAACAGAAGAATCGCCGACAGAAAAAGGAACAACACGATCGTTCATGCAGCCAATCTAAAGGTCCACTCTAAACATCTTGCTTGTCCTAATGCGCTCGCCATACACATAGAATAATACAGGCAGTGGGCACATGGCCAAGGCAATAAAACCGAGCAAGGAGTTGCCCCAGCCAAGTCCAAGCGTCTTATACATAGCCGGCCCTGCGAGTGGGAGGACAGCACCAGCTAGGGATCGAAGGACAGTATTGGCTGCCATGGCAGAGGCTGCGTAGATCGTGAATGCGTCAACCAGGTAGGTACTGACCACCATCTAGATGGATCGTTAGTATGGACGGTTCTCATAGAAAGTATGATCCTAATCGACTTACAAAAGCTATCATCATGCCAATTCCTAGCAGTGATGTACCGATAATGGGCACAATCCAATGAACCTTATAATATGCCGTCCATCCATAAACGAATAGTGATACCGGAATAAATAGGGACCCGGGGATCAGAGGAGGTAAACGATACTCTGGTTTCGAGGCTCCCCCATTTTTGGTTGTGAGATACGTCAGTAGGCGATCTGACGTGGCGCCTAATGTCCCAAGGCCAACCAGAGAGCCAATACCAATCCCAAGATATGAAAGGCCGACTGAGCCTTGAGAGAAACCGTATTGATCCTCAAACACTTCGCTGATTGTTGTGAACAGGAGATAAAGGTATCCGTAGATCAAAGCGACGTAGAGGGATAGTAGAAAGACAATTGGCGAGAGGAACAACATCTTAGTCGGACGGACAATCGAGTGTAGGAATAGCTGTCTTGGAGTCCGACCAGTATCGAGTTTTGAGCGGAGATTGGGATTTCCAGTCTCTTTCTGCAGTCTCTTTGTTTTCCAAGCCAAGAGAGCCGGCGGGTAGGATTCTTTTATTGTCAGCACTGAGCATATGCTCACAGCTCCGCTCTATCAATTGCCAGTCAGTATGAATCCCCGAATGAAGAATATTCAAAGTTTTCGTTCACGCACAGCTATAGCAAGAACCCAGAACGTCCACCGCCAGCCCTTTGCTTGAGCCAAATATCCACCGGCTACCAGAAGTCAGCACAAATAAACAAAAGCCCTCAAAATTTCAACAAATCATACCAACAGGTCCAATGACTGGCCCGATCAACGGCCCAATACCCCAAGCAGCCATTGCACTGCCTCTTTTCTCCTGCGCAAACATATCGGCAATTGACCCAGCGCCAAGCGTTAACGGACAGCTTCCCGCACAGCCCGCAAAGAAGCGGAAAACAATCAGGCTCCCGACTTCGGGTGCCACTGCACAAGCGATGGTGAAAATCACATAGAGGATGTTGCAAGCAGTGTACATGACTCGTCGACCATACATCTCCGAGAGAGGGGCAATGAGAAGAGGCCCAAAGCAATATCCCAGTAGATAAACGGAGACCACGAAGGACTCGATCTCTGTGCTGGTGAGATGGAAGCTGACGGCCAGTTCTCCGACTCCAGGGGCAAAGATCGAAGATCCTAGGGGCCTGTTGCATGTGCGATACTAGGTCAGTAGTGGCACGTGCTCACGAGTCTATTGGGGGTGGGGAATGAGATTGCATACGTGAGAAGGGTGATCAAAGCGATTGAAATCGTCGCATTGATTTTCTTCTTCGATGTCCAATTTAGGGGGTTCTCGGGGTCGTCGGGGCCATCCCAGTCGACGATATTAGGATCATGGGGTTCTTCCGTCACCTCAGTTGTTGTGCCATTTGATGCAAGTGCTTTCTCGAGATCCACTCCGTCGTGGTGTGGCTTGTTTTCCTCGGCCTCACGTTGTAATTCATGGTTGCTTGTGGCTGGCGTTGAACCGTCAAGGATGGAAGTCTCTGGATAATGAGCAAGTTAGAATCAATCTGGTTGTATTCTTGTCATGTGGAATGGCTTTGATGCCGTGAACTTTGGAAGGAAAGTATGTAGCGGGTACCTTTAGTATCCATAATGCCAGGCTTGACCTATACCTAACAGTAGGTACCCGATCTGATAAGCTCCTCACCAGTCGCCTTCCTTCCGGATGAAAGAGATTGGTAGTAAGTGGGAAAGATTGAAAGGAGGCCGCGGGGGGTAAAGTTGTAAAAGCTCCGATGGTATCAGCACCGGTGAGATAAAGTTCGGAGCAGCACTAGCACCGCGAAGCTATATAGGGCAGATACTGCCAATGCGCTCCACTACACAGCAAGAAAGGTATGAAAATGCACCTGGGCACGAAAAAAAAAAAAAACCGGAAAAATAATTTTTATTTCTAACGCGGGGAAAACTAGCGAAATGCGAGCTTAATAGGTCGATGGCCTCGGGGTTTAGCACAGACGCGACTTCCGGGCTCCAATAGTTATCCACATAAAGTCTGCATTAGATGCCGTCCGAGTGTGGGCACAATCGGATGCGCGCCATTCAATTTCCCGGCTTACGCTTAACTTTGTGTATTGGATTTTGTGCGTAGTAGTCTCAGGGTAAGAGTGAGGTCAGCAGATCTTCATAAAGGCGCCACATTTTCATTCCGAGATTTGAATTTATAATCCAAATTTCGGGATATTGATTGAAAGCCGATGTATCAATATCGGCTTGATTGCTGCACTTTAAGTCGGTGGGCCCAGTGGCCCCAGTCGAACAGGGGGTATTGTGGATACGGGCTAAAATGTCCACGGGATCTCCGTGGACTCTGGGGTGTGTAGCGTGGAAGGAGGGGTAACACGCATTAGTAAACATGATCTTCTACGTTTCTCACTTATTCAACTAGAAAAATTTTAGTAAATTATTCCACTTGATTCAAAATGTTCTATTTTCTAACGTCGTCTACTTTCCAAGGTTTCTCAATGTTAAATATTCTCTCTTTCCTTGTGACAGATCTCTCCTATCTAACATCAAAAGTTCCGAGACATGGTTGCATCATGCCAATTGCTAAGCATATAGTTCGAGTCGCCATATACTTCATAAATTGTTAGATGGAGAAAGAATTTCCAGAAACCATGCATGTTTTGCCGGATTACCTGTAATCTACCACTCCCACGTTGCTAGATACTAACATTGGTTGTAGGGTTCCAAGGCTAACACCATCAGTTTCTTTGGTAATCAATCCATTCAGGTTTCGAATAATGAGGAAAAGTGTCGCTCATATCAATATCTATATATAATAGGGATTAAATAATGTAACACCTGAAGCAATCACATGTGCACGAAGATAACATAAATGCTGCTGGTGCGGTTCAGGACAATGGCGATAAAAGTTGCCTTCAACATTGAAATTTTGCTGCATCTCAGATTGATGCTGTCAAAATATCAGTCGACAGATTGAAACGTTGCGAGCTGATGAATAGTGGCTATGAGCCATCTGGACACCTTCATCGTAGAGCTTGTAGCTATTTCGAATGTTCACACCAAAGTATTGCAAGGCGCAACTCGAGGAGTCAACAAAATCATTATTTCCTTGAAGAGGGACCCGCTGCTTTCTCATCACCCACTTCCCGAATAACAAGCCAAAGACCCTTGCGAAATTCAGGCTCCTCTTCATCCTTGGATGGCTGTTGACCCCGGCTCCGCATCCCGTCATTTCTCTTCTTAAGCGCCGCATTGAAACGCGTCAGTTTGGATTTCTGACTCCACGGAAGAGCTGCATCAACCTCAAGCTCAGCAATCCACGGCTGCAATATTTGGATACGGTGCTGTTGCATATCGACTTCTTGGGATAGATCAAACTCGGCCATGGGCAGCGCGCTCATTTGCCGAATAAGAGGAGCGTCCTGATCGACCTTCCCCTGTGAATTCAAAATGGGAATATTGGCGATGTGGGCAACGGCATCCAACTTGGCGATCTCGGCCTTCAACCCACGAGGTTCGAAAAGCTCCTTGTTCGCTTGACGAATGGTAGAATCAGCACGGCTTTTTGTGATTCCTTGACTGCCCAAATTGGCGAGACCGCTAACTGCTGACCCTAGCCAGTGAAGCGGGAATAGAATCGGGACAGATCTGAGCATCCCGCCTGTTGCGTCGAGCACTTGCATTGGCGGGCTACTGGTCATGACATCGTTAAGCTGATCCAAGAATCTCATAAAGGATTCCTTGGGTAGTTGGTGTTTTGTGAGTGTGGGCGCATAAGCGCGGAGAAATGGTGATTCGTTCGCAGGAGCGATTGCGGGAATTGCGATGACTCGCCCAAAGCTGGGAGGTAATGGCTGGCTTTTATTTGTCGCTGCTGATGAACTTTCTGCTCTAACTTCAGGAGGACTGTACTGTGGAAGTTCTTCGTCGGGAACAGATGGGTCCACTGCTTGAGAGGTGGATTGTTCTCCTTCGTGACCGCCAAGGTCCTCGAAGGGGTTCCTGGATTTCTCGTCACTTGCCATGGTGTAATATGGTAATAAGGAAAGCAAGTTCAGGGTTGGGGCTTTCGATACTTATAACTTTTGTTAACATTAAGAAGTGAGATAGTAGGGACTTTAAAAGTGGGTACGACGTTGGGGGCTGAGTTGGGCTGCTGAGAGGCTGAGTTCCGACGGCAATCATTACTTGATTGGGAATGCTTCGCGAGCCAATCAGCGATCGATAATAATTCGTCAACGCTTGGTACATTGCCCTCTCAGCAAATCAGATTGTCGAGATCCAATTCCAATCATGCAAAAAACTGACTTCGAAACTAAAAAATTAGCTTCATCACTTCGTCACTCTAAACTACTGTGTCTATTCCTGAGGCTCAGCCTTCAAATATTAGATAGCGTTCCATGTTTGCGTGCACATTTCTGGTGACCTTAGAAATATTTCCATAACCAAGCCGGGGCCCGACGTTTTGTTAGTGTTACTGACCTACTAGTATAAATGGCCCATCATTTCAATTTATATCTACTGCATTTTTTTTACTTCATTTTCATCAAACGGGGCAGGTTAAGTATAGCCTTATATCTATTCAGCAAGAATATACTGTAAAAGATGGTCCATGTTCGTCAAGCAACAAACACTGGTGGAATATACGTAGTATGCACTATAGAACGCGGTAAGGAGAGAAAAAAGAGGAACATTTGAAGGTTATAGCACTTCAGGTATTCAAACATGTGAACATTAAAGGGATAACTAGCCCTACGGAGCGGCAAAGAGGCCCAAAGAACCCCAAAGAACATGTTTATACATCCAAACTTTTTTAGTATGTGGCTAAGAAATCGTATGCCTTATTTTGAAGCTCATACATCATATTCAAAGTATGGATCGATACGTGCTATCATGGTACATACATGGCAAGTCTTGAGTGTGGTTAATGCATTCATTCATTAATTAAAAGTCAACTGGTGTTCACCAAAATTGAAAATCGTGATGAAGACTAGTAGGTTTAATTTATGGGGATGATCGAGATCATCATCATGGATCGTACAATCGATGTTGGTGGTGCCCTGTAACCGCAAACGGAGTGCCGGGTCTGGACAACTTATTCAGGGTCACATTTTCCTTATAGGACAGGTAACTGGCGCTAGTCCGTAGTTGGTTTACAGCCAATCAGATATCTAAGATCCGATTACATCACGTGCTGGTGGGTCAAACTACACGACGCCCATTGGTCAGCTTTCTAATTATCTGACGGCCCCACACACTCGGACCCGCTTATCTGATCCAGATTCCAGGGTCGACTCTCAGTTGCACTTGCCCAGAACAACGAGAAAACCAAGAACAATTTTGCAGGTCGTGCAAGCTACTAAGCACAGATCCCGTGTTACACTATTCCTCCCAATAATTTCTCATTTCCTTCATTCAATCCCCATTCTTCCATCTTTGCAGTGATTCGTCCTTATTATTCCCAACCACCTCGGTGGATCGGCTATTGCACTCTCTGGTGCAGATCATTTGTCACCTACCATGGGCGTGTTCGATGCCATTAGAGGTCGCGATGATGCCGGCAAGCTGACAAGGAGTCTAGTCGATCCTCAAGGTCTCTCAAGCTCTCAGGTTAAGAATGACCACACCGCCACTTCGACTACCAACGCGGATGGAGATGACTCGGTTGAAGATAAAATTGAGAGGCATCATGCAATCAAATATGAACCTCCGGCTGAAGTTGAAGGAGCGGATCATGACGAAAAGGAAATTGACCAGGACTCATCTCATGTTACCGAAGAGGTTGAGTTAGGTCAGCAAAGGGCCGAAGCCGCAGCTCTGGTTTGGAGCCGGCCAGTCGCCTTCATGATCTATGCATGGTGAGATTGAGCAATGATTTTGGCAAAAATGAATTCTCCTCTAACTTTCTCATTCTATCTCAGGATCTGGCTTTGCTTCTTCATGTTGGCTCTGCACTCGTCAATCGGCGCCAACCTGATCAACTACGTTTTTTCCGACTTCGATCTTGCACCGCAAGTCAGCACATCATATATTCTAGCCGCAGTCATCGGGGGTGTCATGAAACTTCCGCTGGGTAAAACACTTCAGTTGTGGGGTCGCGCAGAAGCTCTCCTCTTTTCCACGGCTATCTACATGATAGGAATGATTGTTTTGGCAGCTTGCGGTGGCGCGAACTCCTTCGCCGCTGGATACGTTCTCTACTGGGTCGGGTACTACTGCATGTACCTGATCCTGGACATTTTTATTGCCGACACATCTGGTATGCGATCTCGTGCATTTGCCTTCGCCTTTGCGACAACGCCATTTATCTGTACCGCATTCACTGGGCCTCTTGCAGCCACCTCAATTCGAATCAATTATGGCTGGCGTTGGGGCTATGGAATCTTTTGTATCATACAGCCGATCGTATTTTGTCCCCTTGCTCTTGTGTTCAAATACTATGAGCGCAAAGCAATTCGAATGGGCGTCTGGCAACGAAGGCCCAGCGGACGCACACGGATGCAGTCCATAATTCACTACATCCATGAGTTTGACGGTAAGTGGCCCTTGTCGTGGAATTAACTATCTTGATACTAATACGGATTAGTGATCGGCGCCTTTTTGCTGATGATTGCTTGGGTCCTCTTCCTACTCCCATTCAGTTTGGCCCAATACGGCCGTGCGCAGTACAAGAGCCCTAGTTTTATCGCCATGGTAGTTGTTGGATTTTGCATGCTATTCGCCTTCGTAGCATGGGAGAAATGGGGGGCTCGAAAGCACTTCATTCGATACGAACTATTACGGAAGCCCACTGTTGTGGGTGCGTGTGCTTCTTCTGCGATCATCTACTTCAGCTTCTACCTTTGGGACCAATATTTCTTCAATTTTGTCCTCATAACTTACAACCTTGACTCAACAATGACCGGATATGTCAGTCAGATCTACAACATCGGGTCTTGCTTCTGGGCTCCTATTCTCGGTCTTTTCATCTGGTGGACCCGACGATTCAAATATGTGTGCTTGTTTTTCGGTGTCCCCTTGATGATTCTGGGATCGGGTTTGATGATTTACTTCCGGGGAGGAAATCATGGAATTGGGTTCCTTATTATGTGTCAGATATTCATTGCTTTTGCTGGTGGCACCATGGTGATCGGCGAGGATATGGCTGTCATGGCCAGTGGAGGCCGCGAGGGTACTCCAATAATGCTGGCTCTAATTGGCCTGTCTTCAAGCATTGGCGGTGCGATTGGCTACGCTGTTTGTGGCGCAATCTATAACAATGTTTTCGTCGAGGCTCTCAGAAGTCATTTGCCTGATGATTTGAAGGCCAACGCCACCCAGATTTACACTGCTGGCATTCAAGTTCAACAGACCTATCCATTGGGATCTCCTTTGCGAAATGCGGTCATTCATGCTTGGAGTTACTCCCAAAAGATGAACTGCATTGCCTCGACGTGCATCTTGGTCTTGCTCTTTCCAGCGGTCGCGGTATGGAAGAACTACGACGTCGGCAAGAAGCAGAACAAGGGAACCATGGCTTTCAAGTAGAGCCTATCTACAACTGCCATTCGAAGTCTAACATTAGAGTCTTACTATGTGAGTCTCAGGCCTCAGGCATTGCTTTTTCTTCCACACCCAGGTGTCCGGCACATCTGATGCAGGCCTAAATTACAAAAGCCGTTCTTGCTCTTTCATGTATGTATACTTTAGCTTGCATTATCCATAATCAAAACTCAATAACAGAAAATGACATTCTGAGAACCTAATATCGTCTGTGAAGTTATCCTCGTACGGGGACCCCGCACACTCGAGGCCCTTGCATCTCACACTAACGCTGCAGGGTCTCTCCGCTTGTCGATCGTGTCAAAAATGTGACGCTGCAATCTAACATGGTAACATTCCCCCACAACAATACTCAGCGACCTCCTTCCTTGCTCACAACATCGAAAACACCACCCAGCCAGACGCGTCAGGCGCATGATTCACCACCACATTCCACAACCTGATAAAAAATCATGCCTTACTTGAATGCTAACATCCTCGCGACATATATAATATTCATCTTGCAGCTCTCACAACCATCATCATCTACACAAGATGACATTCAATATGTCAACCCGCTTATTGGTTCAACAAGTGGCGGTAACGTCTTCGCAGGTGCAAGCCTCCCATACGGCATCGCAAAACCTGTCGCAGACGTAGACGGTCAAAACACCGGCGGCTTCTCCACAGATGGAAGCAATGTCACCGGATTTTCACACATGCATGATAGCGGTACAGGAGGCAATCCATCTATGGGTCAGTTTCCCTTGTTTCCGCAGTACTGCACCGACAACGTGCTCGACAACTGCAAGTTCCCCAAGACGGCCCGCGCAGTCCACTACGTGAATGACTCGGTCACCGCGCGCCCGGGCTATTTTGCCCTGGAACTAGTAAACGGCATCTCGGCAGAGATGACGGCTGCCCGGCGGACAGCACTGTACAAGTTCACTTTTCCCGAGAACAAGACTCAAAATGGTTCGATGCTGGATCCGGTCATCAGTCTTGATCTGACAGATTTGTGGGACAGTCGACAGAATGCGACTATCAGTGTTGATCCCGAGTCCGGGCGGATCAAAGGCAATGGGACTTTCCTGCCCAGCTTTGGCGCGGGGTCTTACCAGGCGTATTTCTGTGCTGATTTCGCCGGTGCCCGGATCCTTGATAGTGGCATTTGGGTGAATGACCGGGCAGGCTCGGAGCCGAAGGAGCTGTTCGTTACACGCGGTTTCAACAATTTCTATCTCCAGGCTGGCGGGTTTGTGAAATTCGAGCGGCCGACCGACGGTGCTGTGACGGCTAGAGTGGGTGTTAGCTTTATTAGCTCGGACCAGGCGTGCTCCAATGCTGAAACAGAGATAGCTGATCCACTCAGTTCGTTTGAGAGGCTGCAGAGTGAGGCCGAGAGTGCTTGGAAGGAGAAACTTGCTCCTATCAGGGTCACGTCGGGAGGCGTGAGCGATGACATGTTGAGCGCGTTCTGGAGTGGCATTTATCGGACGATGCTTTCGCCTCAGGACATGACTGGGGAGAATCCATTGTGGGATAGCGATGAGCCATACTTTGACTCGTTTTACTGTCTCTGGGATGCTTTCCGGGCCCAGCATCCTTTTCTTACAGTTCTGGACCCTAAAGAACAATCGAGGATGGTGCGTAGCTTGTTAGACACTTTCAAGCATGAAGGATGGCTCCCTGATTGTCGCATGAGTCTCTGCAAAGGCTGGACGCAAGGAGGCTCTAATGCAGATGTCGTGATTGCAGATGCGTACATCAAGAATCTGACAGGTATCGACTGGGAGCTGGCCTACAAGGCAATGGTAAACGATGCAGAAAACGAGCCTCTGGAGTGGTCGTATGAAGGACGAGGCGGTCTTCAAAGCTGGAAACGGCTGGATTACATACCATATCTGGACTTTGATTATTTGGGATTCGGAACGAATTCTCGAAGTATCTCCCGGACGGTGGAGTACGCGTATAATGATCATTGTGTTTCTGTGGTGGGCAAAGGCCTGGGGAAGGCAGATTATACAAGCTATGTCTCTCGGTCGAGTAATTGGAAAAACATTTTCAAAGACGACCAAGCTTCAATCCTGGAAAACGGCACGAATACTGGTTTCACTGGTTTTTTCCAACCCAGATATCTCAATGGAACCTGGGGGTTCCAGGACCCAATTGCGTGCAGTGCCTTAGCATCTTGGTGCTCGCTAACTTCGAACCCATCCGAGACATTCGAATCGAGTATCTGGGAGTATCAATTGTACGTCTAGCTTTCAAGAAATTTATGGAGCATTGGCACTGACAGATTTTATTCCAGCTACGTCCCCCACGACATGGCATCGCTGATCACCCATCTGGGGGGCTCTGAATCCTTCGTGTCCCGCCTGGACTACTTCCATGATTCTGGACTCGCCGATATCAGCAACGAGCCCGTATTCCTGACCGTCTATGAGTACCACTACGCAGGCCGACCGGGACTTTCCGCAAAGCGAGCCCACAGTTACATTCCGCAAACCTTCAATGGCTCCGACAACGGGCTTCCAGGCAACGACGATTCCGGGGCCATGGGCTCATTTCTGGCATGGAGTTGTTTAGGCCTATTCCCCAACCCAGGACAAAACGTATACCTCATATCTCCGCCGTTCTTCGAATCGGTTGAAATCACGCATCCAGAGACCAATCAAACGGCCATAATCCGAAACATCAATTTCGACCCCACGTACAAAAATATCTATATCCAAAGCGCCACGCTCAATGGGGAACCATACTCGAGGAGCTGGATTGGCCACGAGCTCTTCACGCAGGGTTGGACGCTGGAACTAACGCTTGGGGACCGAGAGAGTGATTGGGGTACAAGCAAGGAGAATTTGCCTCCTAGTTTGAGCGACTCGGTGGTTCATGATCAGTTGCAGCGTGCATGATAGAATTAGGTTTGGTTGATTATGTGCATGTGGCATCCAATGAGGGATGGGGTTTTGTAGCGGTCTGTCGAACTCTTTTTGTTTTGAGCTACTCTCGGACCTTTCTGCGGAGCATATCCCATGGGGTCCGTGGTACGTGCATTACTGTGTACTGGGAAACGATGATTGGCGGAAAGGCGGTTAGTTGTTGTTTTGTATATAATTTCCATTGAATTACCATTAGTGAGAGTTTCAATGTTCAAATTCTGTTCCTTATCGTTACATCCCTGAAATAATCCGCTGAAAATTTTCGAAGTGTGTTGACCCGTATCTATTTCCAGTTTCAAAGTTGGGTTCAGAGACAACCCTTGATCTATCTTGATTTTTGAATGACTTTGGTGCCTGCACCTCGGGAGCGGGTAGGAACACTAAGGCAATACTACTCTCTATGGACTCTATCAGGAACCCTCAACAGAACCAGAGAAATGGAACCCAGAAGGTATATTGCTCCTGCCAGCGTAAACGGCAGCCCGAGCCACGCAGGCCCCAGATGCAAACCCAACCGAAAGGCATAAGCCAAAAGCGGACCGGCAATCATCATCCCAATTGACGTGACAGCTGAAGCAGACGAATAGAGGGTTCCCATCTGGTCCGGTCGGATCAGCGACGTGACGAAACTGCGACATGACACCGCAAAAGGAGCCCCCAATGCGACGAACACAATTCCCGTAATTAGAATTGCTCGGGATGAAGCCGTTCCGATGATGAATAGGCCAAGGGCGGAGATGAAACTGCTACCTTGTGCTATTCTTAGGTCTTTCAAACTGCTAGGAAGATGGAAATACTTTGTGAGTATGGAGGACACGGCTGGCATGAGGAGCAAGAAGTTTGCTAAGGCAAAGATGCCGCGTAAGGAAATGAGGAGGCTGGACTTGAAGATTGTTAGCATTCAAATTCTTAATGATTGGTAGTGACCAAAATAAGCATGCTTACATTGGCTATGCTCCAATCGAAACGTTTAGATGTATACTGCAGCAGGAGACTCGTCGACTGCTTGCTGATAGCCGCAATGAACAGCGAAAAGAGACATATGGCGACGGCTGTGTTACCAAAAATAAATTTGGTCGAGTCACGAAGTTTGCGCATGTTGACCTTGATATGTTGACCGAGAGAGTCATTCTCATCTGAGTATAACTGCGCTTCTTCCTCGCTAGCCTCGGTCGTTAAAAAGACCTTAGATTTGGCCTTAGTCAAGGTTTCTGGCATTAGAAGCGCAGCACCTGATCCCAGAATGGCAATCCCAAGTCCCAATACAAATGGGATCCATGGATCACTAGCCATCAGGTATGCGCTGACTGGGGTGGCTAGAATTTCAGACAGAAACACCGCACTGCCGAGGCGGAATAAGGCCGTAGCTCTATAAGGAGTAAGCAAATGAACTTCACTGCATGTATATCAACTAGCCGTGCCTACATCTCTTCCTCGGGGAATACGTCCGCAACCATAACCAGAGCAATAGATGAAAGGGCATTATCCCCTCCGCCAATGATCTTCCATAATCCAGACAGCCAGACCAGCCGCAGTGGCAGGATTGTAGGATAAAAGCCTTATATTATCTGCATTAGTCGAACTGCAATTCACGCACAAAGGACTGAAGCAGCACTTACACACAACTCGAACCCAGCTCTCGCCGAGGAGGGTTCCCAGAATACCCAGAAGGAGAACCGGCTTACGTCCCCAGCGGTCCGCTAAAATGCCATACGGGACAGAAAGTAGGATGCCTAGAATTTATTCCTATCAGCTTGTAGTAGTAATAATGGACTCGCGTTGATTTGATCACCATACCCGGTACGATATCAGAAGTCTCCTTCCACCCATTCACAAGGGCCAATTCAACCTGCACTGGCTCGGACTTACAGACACCATCAGTTAGAATTGTACCTGCTGGTTGACCTTGAGCATTCAGGTAGTTTCGACAGATGATATTTTCGAAGACCTTCGTTTGGGGTGCGGTAGTAAGATAGAATCCAAAATCAATGGCAAGGATTAGCGCGGTCGTTGCAATCATCACCGTCAGCTTCTGTGATCGCGACGCGGGCGCTTTTTTGGCCCCCAATAATGGTGCGGCTTCATTGTCAGGATTCATTGTGTCGGCGGGGGTTGCCATTGGCCCAGGTTAGTGATTGGGTTATGTCCAAAGCCACGACAAGTCAAACATCAACAGACAGGATTACGTTGGAGAAATTTGGACAGAGCCCTGGAGAGACAGATGTACGGGCTTTGCCATCCTGAGAATCGGAATTCGGAATTCCCCTGGGAAATGTCGTGGCGCTATCTGATGCCCACAGCGCTAGCGGAGTCCGGAGTCCGGAATGATTTATAAGAGTACTAGTATACAAAGAAAAGAAAGATAAGCCGTTATTTATGGGCCTGAGGCTCTCACTCCCATTCTAACCTCCCAAGATAAGATAAAGCGTAGATTTGTACTCGCAGTCGAATCTCCTAGTAGTTCTTCTTTCCTCGGCACTTGCGACTTCTACCTACGCACGAGGAGACCTGGAGCCCATACCTACTAGCGGCCTTGAGCTTACTGGATTTTTTACTACCCGTAGTTATACATATGATTAATACTCCAACTTTCTTCTATATTCTACGACTACAGTTCTACTTTCTCTAATATCTCCTACTTCAAAGCCTCTATATATTCTTACCCACTAGAAATCTAACTCTCCTAGGAGCTCCTACCAGTACTGCGAGCTAGTGAGCCCTGGAGGTCAATATGGCCACCCGGCGACTCTGTAAGCCGCTTACACCCGTATACCCCCGACCACAAAGTCACGGCGTATTGTTCCCGGCGCAAGGGTTAACATACCATGTCTCTTCTTAGGTTTTTCAAAATGTTCTTTCTGCATCAGACCTCAACGCCCAGAGCACACCCTCCTCCAATTTAACCCAGCGAATAGGGACTACCCGCTGACAACGGATGATAAGCTTGAAAGTTAGACGTCCACCATGGAGGTGGGAAAGCCTCGCGGGCACTTTTTTTTCCCTGGCGCAAATGGGAATATCGGGTCATGCGCAACAGAATGAGACCTTCGATCACCGGGTCCGGGGCGATCCTGGCCCGCGCGAGCTTTCGGGTCATGCACCGTGGGGGAGACCCGGCGATCGGCAGTCAAAATCCCTGCTCATGGTCCCTGCGCTCCCCATAATTTCGGGGAGGTAGGTGTCGATAACTCCAAATGGTTTTCGTGCGTCAACGTCAGATGAACCTCGGTGGGTCTTGAATCTTGATAACCGATGTTCTGTTCTGCCAGGATCGTCGCCTGGGGCTTGCGGACTGCAGCAGTAGTAAGTACATATAATTTGCAAGGAGAGCCTTGAACCCTTTTTCTCGAAGCTGATATTATGTCAACTGGTACCTTTGTTCTTGTAGAGATTTGAAGAGTTCAGCTCCGCCACCTGGGCACGTAATACTTGAGTAGTGAGAAGACGCGGGCTAGGTAATCTAGGTAATATCTAGGTAATAGATCTGGAAATCTAATCGGTAGAAAAATCCTAGCTATAGCTCCAAGGCTGCAAGGTTTCTGATGGGTGTATTTTGTAGTAACACACCATGACTAGTGTAGATTGATGCAAGGTTTCATTGTCCTGTATTCTCTACCTACTATCTTGCACGAATTTAGGGTCGACAGTCAAGATAATGTCGCCATGTCGTATCCTCGTGATACAAGAGGGCGATACTAGTGCCCTAGTACGGAGTTAGCTGCATGGGGCTGGGAGTTTCTATGACGACAAGTGTCAAAGCGAGAAAAATAAATCTGTTGACATTTCACATGTGTGTAACGAAGATGATGGAACATAAAACTAAACAAATGAGGCACATCCACGACATTTACAGATTCATGGTTCTTTGATATCGAGGGTTTGAAGGTTCATTTCGGACTCTTTGTCGAGACGCGTAACTATATATGGGTTGTGCTTTATGCCAAAAATAGCGGGGGGCCTTGGAGGGGGACTACATATGCGGAAAATCAAAATAAATAAAATAAATCAAAATATTCAAGGGAAGTAACTTCAGCTGCAGGTGATAACAAATGAAAGTGACTGGTCTCCTGACGGGTCCCCTTGAGTAGCCAAGCGATCACGATCAGCCAGTGAGCACGGGGATCGCCCACAGTCGCTCGCGCCTGGAGGATGTCGCGTTATGAAACAAGATGGGAAAAAGGGGGTTTCTATTTTGACTTTATCTTCCCGGGAATCCTGGACTCGTGGGAGAAAGGTCAGGGGCTTGCATATGAAGAGTATTAATAAACTGCCTTAAAACCTGAGGAAGGCAGCATTTGAAACCCTCCACATGCATCTCTTTTTCCCCATGTTTGAACTTTGGGCCCCATAAACCGATTCAGATCCAAACCCACTTTTTGTTTACCTGATCCTCTTATCGTTGCTTATCGTCACTTATCGGGTCTTATCGCCTTATCGCTGTATCACTCGCATTGGTTTATCGGTACACTAGTCCCAATCCAGTAATGCTACTGTATTGGGTCTAGCCATATTACTATATCAAGACTAGTGTTAATCCACGCGCCTTCCAGTTTTCGACGCGCAAAAAAAAAAAAAAAAAAAAAAAAGAAAAAAGGGCCATCTTTGAGTTCCTTTGAAACTTCGCAATTTGCTCGCGCCCTTGCCCCTCAGTCTCCAAGGGATATCACCGTCCCTTCCATTCCTACTTTTGGATTCACAGAGTTCGCCTTCAATTGCTCTGTTGCCTCCCTTGATTCCCGTCATACCTACTTTCGGGTTCGAAACTTAACTTTTGCGGCGCTTGATCCTTCTCCAGTGGGGTCATATACATTATGGTGTCTTTCCAATGCGAGGTGCGTGAGAATTGCTTGTCGCGGGACCGATTCCCCTCCTATCAAGGGATCACAAAATGTCCAGCTTACTGACGGTGTCACGTAGGCATGTGGTGATGTCTTCACCAAGAAGAAACTCGATCCCCATCGCAGCCAGTGTCGCGGCGCGACCTTTTCCTGCATCGACTGTATGGTTCACTTCTATGGAACTGATTACAGAGCTCACACGGTATGTCTTGTTCATTATAATTGTCACAATTGTCCTGGCAGAAGTCGCGTCCTCCACGCAATCATCATGTCTTACCACATGGCTGGGGGAGGAGAGGGTTCACGGTGCCTCAAGACCAGCGCCAGGACAAGCATTCTTGTTCCTTCTCCGCGGTTACTCAATGTAGCCTACGCTAACAATCCTTCCTTCTCTTAGTCGTGTATCACCGAAGACCAAAAGTACCAAGGCGCACTGTACAAGGAGAAGCCAGGAAAGAACAAGAAGGGCCAGAACCAGAATCAAAACAATGCCAACAACAAGAACCAAAACCAAAACCAGCGCAACCAGCAACCCCGCGTAGAGGATGCCTCTGCGTACGCGGCGCCACCCCGGGCACCTACCCCCCCTCCTGTCGCCGAGGCCAAGCCAACCGCGGACGCCATGGCTGACGAGGGCAAGTCCGTCAACGTTTTTGATTATCTTGTTACCGAAGAAACACCCAATGCCTCCAAGGTCTCGCTAGCTGCTCCCAAGGAGCAGATGACCATGGTCGCCGAGGCCCGCTCTCTCTTCGAGCCCAGCACTGCTCTTGCCAGCCTCGATGCCAAGACCGACGATGAAGGTAATTACGATATTGCCTACGAGGAAAATGGCTTTTCATATGGCGCCGATCCTATTCCCCCATCCATATATCCCAGCAATGTTCCTAATTATTCGACAGAGTTTGTGACTCCGGCCCCCAAGAAGAAGAAGGGCCGCAAGGAGGAGAAGCGCGCATCTGGCTCCGTTAGCGAGAAGAAGCGCAAGCGCGGCAGGGAGAACTCCCTCAGCCCGCAACAGGAAGTTGATACCCCTATGATGGATGCCCCGTCAAGTGTTATGAACAACGCTGGTACCCCTATGCTCAACCACTCCGGTCTCACTGGTGGACTGAACCGCATGATGCGCTCGCCTTCGCACGAAATTGACGACACCCCTGCCCACAGCAACCGTGCCTACAAGGACGTGTCATCACCAATCAAGCGTACCCGACGCAGCAGCGGCAAAGAGGCAAATGGCAACGGCGATGCCGGCCTAGGCATTTCGATCAAGAACCGCGCTGGACGCCTCGTGTCATCCATGTTTGGTGGCACCGGATCTGTGGTTTCTGCCGGCAGCGGAGGTCACGAGAACGGATCCCGCGATGTTGCCCGTCGCGGTAGCGCTTCTAGCGGTGACATGCAACTGGAAGTCCGCAAGAAGAAGCACCGCTCCCGCGATGCTTCCGACTACCACGACGACGGCCGCAAGTCCAAGCGCAAGAGCTCCAACCCCACCGATGGCGACAGACCCTCGCGCCGCCTGAAGCAGGCCGAGGAATCTCCCCCGCCGCGAAAGTCGCCAGGTCACCGTCTACCAGCACTCCAAACCCCCAGCTCGCTCAGAAGACGTGCAGCATGAAATGGCATCTCATTTCCTTTCGCTCGTCTCCCGTGACAGTGAGCGTGGCTGCTCCATCAACAAGGCTCTGAAGCGCTTCCACCGCGACTTCTCTGCCGAGTACGACGATGACCGCGAGCGTCGCCATGATGACGAGAAGGACCTCTGGCGTGCTTTGCGCCTGAGACGCAATGACCGCGGTGAGATTGTTTTGTTTGTCTAAAATTGTGACAACTTGGGAGGAATATCAAAACAACAATCTCTTTTCATCTTATTCTTTTTTTATACTATCTCTGTGGAATGAAATGACTGTGTTCCACGAGAGAAATGGGATGGGCTTTTTTGCATAGCGCGTTTACTCAATGTTGTACTCTTATCTTAAACTTTGGCAGGTCTATTTGTCTCACATATTGTCCTTACTCGACCTGACGGACTTCAATTCGCATTAATGTCTACGTTATGATGTGCTGGAAAATTATATCCGCCAAAATGTAGTGGATACATCAATAGATCAGAAGGGACAATCCAATATTTACTATTGAAGTGATACCTACATAGTACCTTCCCTTCCAAGGCCAGAGTTGAGCACATGTGCACGAATCAAAATCCAGACCTTTCGGGCGCCGTCAAGATGGGCCTGGAGAACTCGAAGACAAGGTATAGAATGCGGTCAGTGTGAGATTCTTTGCACTGCCACTAGGGCATGCAAATGCAGATTCGAGCCTTGGAAACAGCCCCGTATATTGGTGACATGATTTATATACAGCAGATAGCACATATGTCCAGGAATAAGCAAAACAATTAAAATTACATTGAGGTATCATACCCCCGTACATCCCCGATTACCTCGATAACCAACCCCATCTCTATGAAGTCGATACTTGCGACTCATACTGAGGCGGCGGGTGTATCGAAGGCGTCACTACTGCAGGTCCTTCTTGGGCAGCAGGTACAAACGGCTGCGCAGACCTGCCATGCGGCTTATGAGCCACCTGCGAGCCACACTTATCGCAGTAGTGGTCGAAATTCGTATACATCTCCACCTCCGTGGGAATGCACATTAAAAACGGCACTATAAAACAAAAAATGATCGTGCAAATCCTATGAAAACCGTCAGATCGAAAAGCCACCAAAGCGCAACGGAAGTCTTGATTCTTGAACGACAAATGGAAGAACAAAACATACCCGCTTGACCCGCTCGCCCCGGGTTTCACGGCCCTGACACTCGTCTTCGCTAATTGATGACACAGGGGACAATTGATGTGTGCGGGGAAGTCCTGGAGCTGATTTAGTGGCGTCGTCACCACGGGTTTGGGAACTCGCGCGGCGGGAACTGCGTTATTGGATGCGCGCGTCGGTGTATATGCCGGTGTATAGTCTGGGGTATAGGGTGGAGGTGCTGTCATTGCCCTCTCCGGTGTTCTGGGCGGTACGTAATTAGTGTATGTTCGCAGTGTATATATTAAGATAAATGTATAAGATAGTGCTTGGAAGACGTACTGGATCGAGAGAGGATCTTCTTCTGATTGGCGTGATACATTTGGCGGTATAGCGTGATCGTTGCTGGTATTTGAGAGCGATTCCAGTTCGATGGGGACCGGTACCGGCGTCTCTGATGTTGTGGGCGGATTCGTATGTGAATTCTCCATTTTGTATGTACCCTGTCGGCAGTTGTTTTTGAGAGAGAGGAAGTTAAAAAATTATCGTAGATCGTTTACTTATCTTGGATAGCTGGGAAAACTGGGGGATTTGTATTTGCGACAAGGGACTCCGTACTCGGGATCGAATCATGTTAGAGCAATTAGCGTGGTTCAATGTTCGGGACGACCTAGACTAGTAAAGACCATTAACTCCGCAGCCATGTTTTAATTGGTCAATTGCGCTTCTGTACAGCCTCAGGCTGTGGCTCATTATGGTTAGTGAAATGACTAGAGAATAAGGGTATTTATGGTTCTTTGGAAACAGGATTCTCGTATTTTATCCTACACCTGCAGCTTTTTGGATTGCTCAAAAAAGGTACCGCTTTGCGCATCATTATTTCATGAAGAACCGGTTCTCAAAGTCGTTCTTGATCTTGGAGGATGTGCATACCATTGATTTGATTTTGTATCGATACAGCGCCTGGACACAGAGCTAAGTTTTCAGGGCTCGGATTTACGCTAGCCATTCGGAGTGTCCGAGACGGTCCGGCTTCGGGGCCAAGAGATTGTTGATGTTTGATTGGATGTATCGCGATGGAAAAATTGAGCCTCTTTTTACGATGTATCCTGCATACATGCTCAGCCTCCGGACACTGCTTTCAATGCCCCTTAAATTGACATGGCTGGTTTTGGTGGCGCAGTTGGAGAGGAGGAAGAAGGAATACTCCGTAGAGGGGTTTAATCAACTTCCTTAAATTTCCTTGAAGTTTCATCCAACCACCTATCAGTACTAGTAGGCACCAAACCTGTCTAACTTGCAGCAGTGGGAACACCGGCTGGACTAGATAACGGAAGCATTCAGGGAAGGGTACATTGGACTCCAAACAGTCACAGCCGAGCTATGATGATCTTCTCAAATGTAATAGCCGGTTTTGAGCTTCATGTTCAAATTGAATACAAATTGGAGTACCTTCTATCTTGATCAAGCCTTGCAAGTACAAGTGATGAACCCAAATCACTCCACTTTTCTCCACTCATGACTCACGCTGTACAATGATTGACTCACGCCACTATGACACCGCCCTATATACCGCCTAATATTGCCGTTGGCAAAAAAGAAGAATTGCTAACGGTTCACGCTTCCACATGCTTCTAGTTCCTTATATACAACCTCTCGTGTGTCTGGAGCTTTTGAGTGTGCTTTTTCTTGCTTCAACTCTTTTTTCTCTGGTTTCAAACCGCCCATACCCCTCCCAATCTTCCATACATTGCTCCCCCTACTTTTCGTTCGAGAGCTGTCAAGTTCCCCGCATCAACAATCAAACATATCTTTACCAATTCTGTGCGCTGCAGTCTCACCAGACAAGTGTATGAGCGGAGTGGCATTGACAAATCAGTCATCCCTGGTCTCCCGGGCCATGTCCGACCCTGTAGCAGCCCCCGCTGCTCCGACCGGTACTCGCCCCCGCAATCGACGCCGGAGAGGCCCCGCCAATCGCGAAGGCCAACAAAACAGACCAGCCCAGCCCGCAGATGGCCAAACTCCAGTTCAAGTACCACAAGCTCAACCCGAAGCTAGCCCAAATCCTGTGAGCTCGGGTGGTCAACCTCGTCCTCGCCGACCGAATCGCGAAGGGGGAGGATCTAGACCACGAAGGGGTCGTGGCAATGGCACGCAAAACCCACCGATGGAAAATGGAGAGCAATCCGGACAGCCACCACATGTCCAGTCGCGCGGTATGCGTGCGAAAGGATTTGGAGCAAAGCTGACAAAGCCTGAGCACGAATCTGGTGATCCAAACGGATCCCTGGTAGATGGCCTCCGGCCTGATGTACCGGCCTTTGTACCTGGGATGCCTTCTTCAACCATGGAATCTGAATCCTTTTCAGCGAAGGGCAAGGGCAAAGGCAAGCCAAAACCACCGCCCAGAACGCCAAAGGTTACGACAAAATCTGTAGCCAACGATATCGCAACGCGGATTCACGAAGACATCGCTCACAACCTTTACGAGTGCCCCATATGCACCAGCGAGTTAGGCCGGAGATCCAAAGTCTGGTCTTGCGAATTATGTTGGACTGTTTTCCACTTGAGTTGTATCAAGAAGTGGTCTACAAATGAAGGTGCGGCTGCACAAAATAACAACAGAGAGCCTGACAATGGTGAGGGCTCCGTCAACCCTCGAGCTTGGCGATGCCCTGGCTGCAATCTCTCACATGAGACCTTCCCCACCAGCTATACCTGTTGGTGCGAAAAAGAAGTTGACCCAAGGTCATTCCCTGGTCTACCTCCCCACTCCTGTGGACAGACATGTTCTCGACCACGTAAGGGCTGCCCTCATCCCTGTGATACGACTTGTCACGCGGGTCCATGTGCACCTTGTAATGCAATGGGACCGACCCAAGATTGCTTTTGTGGTCGAAACTCCAGTCAAAAACGATGCCAAGATACAAATTATGAGCAAGGATGGAGCTGCGGAGAGATTTGTGGTGACCTTCTCCCTTGTGGAGAGCATACCTGCACTCTTCCATGTCACGAGGGCCTATGTGGGGCCTGTGAAGTCAAAATTGAAGCTCGTTGTTATTGTGGCAAATTAGAGACTGAGATGCTTTGCAGCTCAAAGGAAGATGAAATCGACAGCCAAATGGTTCGTGCTGATGGAACCGAAGAAGAATGGACCGGCCTCTTCAGCTGTAGTGATGTCTGCAGCCGTGCCTTTGACTGTGGAGTGCATTCATGTGAGAAGAGTTGCCATCCCCAAGACTCGCTTCCCGCCCATTGCCCAAGATCGCCAGATGCCGTTCTACGATGCCCCTGTGGAAAGACTGGACTGAGCGACATCCCCGGTTATACCCCTCGTACTTCCTGCGAAGATGACATTCCCCATTGCTTGGAATCATGCGGCAAAATGCTACCGTGTGGTCATTCTTGCGATCAAATTTGCCATACGGGCCCCTGCGGATCCTGTCGCCGCCATGTACCGGTCAGTTGTCGATGTGGCCGCACCACTGGAATGAGTGTATGTCATCAAGGTGATCTTCACGCCCCTTTATGTCCCCGTACGTGCAAGGCCACGCTGCATTGTGGTCGCCATACATGCACAGAGAGATGTTGTCCAGGAGAACAGACAGCCATTGAGCGCCAGGCTCTGCGGCGCAAACTCAAGGCCCACCTCCGCCCTTCAGACGAAGATATCGAGGCCGAGCACATATGCACACGTATATGTGGTCGCATGCTGAAATGCGGAAAACACACGTGTCCTGAGCTCTGCCATAAGGGTGCTTGCAATACCTGCCGCGAAGCAGTATTCGAGGAGATTGCCTGCAATTGCGGAAGATCCATTCTGTATCCACCACAGCCATGTGGAACGAAGGCACCCCAGTGCTCTTTCCCTTGCAATCGTCCTAAGACCTGTGGCCACCCTCAAACTGCGCACAATTGTCACGATGATGAGGAGGCCTGTCCGAAGTGTCCCTTCTTGACAGAGAAGCCATGCCTGTGTGGTAAGCGGGTGATGAAAAATGTGCCCTGTTGGCTTGCTGATTCCCGCTGTGGTCAAGTCTGCGGGCAGCCAATGAAGTGTGGTTCCCATTTCTGCAAGAAGGATTGCCATCGATCGGGAGACTGTGAAGATGCAAACAAGCCTTGTCAACAAGGCTGTGGTAAAACCAAAACATTGTGCGGTCATCCATGCACTGATCCTTGCCATGCGCCATATCCTTGCCCGGAAAAGAAACCATGCTCATCTACTACAACAATCACCTGCGGTTGTGGACGTCTGCGTCAGCAAAGACGATGCAACGCCGCCAAAGCAGTCACTTCCAAGGGCCAACTACAGCAGCCAGAGCGCCTGCCAGTGCTCACTCCCTTGGCATGCGATGACGAATGTAGCCGCTTAGAACGGAATCGCTCCTTGGCATCTGCCCTGGGCGTTGACATCGACCAAACAACCACCACGCAAGCCATATCTTCCTCCAATCTCCCTTATTCTACCGAAACTCTTGATCAGTACATCAAGCTTGCATCATCAGTTTCACTTTCGACTCTGCAAACTTATGAGTCAACACTACATGCATTGGCAGTGGACCCTTCCAATCGATCAACTCGGTTCCAGCCCGCTAAATCCACCCTTCGCTCATTTACCCATTCCCTAGCAACAGACTGGGGCTTCGTCACTGAAAGTCACGACCCCGAGCCGCATCGTCACGTCTTTGTCTTGAAGCCATTGGCTTGGACACCATCTGTGTTCGGCACGGGTAGCGGTAACTCGATCGGTATTGGCGGAATGAGCGTGCGGGAGTGTGTGAAGCTTCGTGAGCGTGAACGCACCAAGGAGCGCGAGGCGCAACGTGTTGCCGCTCTAGAGGCCAAGGCCGCCCGTAATGCAGCAAAAGGAGAATCCGGCGGCGTGTCTGGTGACGGCTGGGCTCAAGTTGCTTCTCGGACTAAGGGCAGTGCTAGTAGTACTAGGAGTACTACGCCTGTACAGAATCCGTTTAGTAGCCGGACTCTGTTCTCCGCACTGTCTGGCGAGGGAGGACAAGACCCATCGTCTAAGAAGGAGCGCTTGGTCCTTCGGTCGGGTATTGGTGCTGGCAAAGCATTGCGCAAAGAACCAGCTGAAGAGGTATTGGATAGCTGGGAGGAAGCGGAGGAGAAAGAGGAACAGGTAGAGCGCGAGCAGGAAAAAGGCACTCTTACTGAGGATCAACAACCGATTGATCCCATCTCTGATGCACAGGATGCTGCGCAGCCGGCTGAGACAGCTGATGAGGTTGCCACCGATCTGGTGAATTGAGTTGTTGATATTGAATGCCTGGTTGGAATCATGACTGACTACGAGAAAAAGAGGAAAAGGTTTTGTTGTGCATACATATGATACCCAGGTAGTGAAATTGAGGACCTCGGGAGCTCCAATCTCGGTTGCGGGGTCTTCAATGTTCTTTCGTTATTATTTCGCATGTTTTTTTATTGCATATTTAGGCACAAATCGAGCTAGCCTGGAAAAATGTGAAGTCATTTTCAATCTAACCATTTAAACTTGCATATGCACCTAACTGTAAACATGCCATGGATGTTGTTCGTATTCACCTGGGTAGCGGCTAAGGTACCTCCACTCATATTCTCCACTTCTATTCAAGCTGCTTCTACATGTTCGTGTCACCAAATTCTGTAAGGCTTGGTTTTTTCTACTGAATGATCTGATGATCCTGTAGGTTCACGATTTGATCGTTGGGTGATCGAGATCGTATAATTTTGTCACTTTTCGTCATCACAACGTAAGAAGGGAAATACACCTATCAACGCAACGAGTTGCCTCAACCAAACAACATTTGAAACTGCATGTGTCTATATTGGGCACCCCAACAAGCGTATAGACAAAGAAAAAGTCATGATGATTCAAGCACTCGAGTTGAAAAGCCAACCACTGCCCAGCAGGTATTTATCAACCAAGAGCACCTACATACCACAAATATCTCCCTTCAACATTGATATTCACGATACATAATCCTTTCACCCTTGAATCAGTCTGAACTACCAATACCATCCTACATTCCACTCAAAATGTCATCCAGTTCCGATCCAGGCTCACCCCAGTCATCCGCCAATATCTTAGTAGTGCACGGTACAGAACTCAACATTAGAAACCGGTACAACAACCTTGAAAACCCCATAATCTAACCATACTATCTACCAGGACACGGCCAATCAGGACAATTCATCTCCTGCAAAACCCAATTCCTCCAAGAACCCCTAACGAAAGCAATCCAAGAATCCCTCCACAACAACCCAGCCCAACAACAAGTCGACACAATCAACTTCTACCACCCAACCGCCCTCTTCCCCGCCAACCCCGACCACCCACACCCCGAAACCAACACCTCCTGGGCCTGGGCGTGCGGCGGGCCCGAAAAAGACCAGGCCTCAGGCTACGTAGAGACAATCCGCTACCTGCTCGGCGTGGTCGAAGAGTACGGGCCCTTTATCGGGATCGTGGGCTTTTCCACCGGCGCCGCTATAGCCGCGGCCATCACGTCCATACTGGAGAAACGAGAGTCGCTTGACGGCGTTCCGTTCGAGGTACATGCATACTACATTAATCTTTTTGTTAAACAGACCGTTCTGACGCTTGGTTGATCAAAGCAGATCACGCACCCGCCGTTGCAGTTTGCGGTGTGCTTTAGTGGATTCCGGCTTGAAGACGAGTTTTACGATTGTATCTACTCGCCGAAGATCAGGACGCCTGTGCTGCATGTTATGGGGAACTTGGATATGATGGTTGAGCCTGCTAGGACGAAGCGGTTGGCTTTGTCTTGTGCTAACTCGTCTGTGTATGCTTTTTCGGGCTCGCATTATATTCCGAGGTCGGATGAGTTTGTAAGGGTTTTGAGCGAGTTTGTTGAGAAGGCTGTTAGTGGGAGGATGAGATGTGATTCGGAGTCGGAGGATGGTCATGATGATGGTGAGGATGAGTGGGAGGATGTATAGACATAGTTAGTAGAGTATGTACTACTTACTATAAGTACTGCATACTAGTACTCCACTCTTTCTGTTTGATTTGGACATTTGAACGCTCAGCTACATACTATTAGTTATAATATTTTTGAACATCAAGCTTTCAAAGTTCTCAAGTGCTTCCAAGATTCGAAAGTACTGTTCCAGACTCCCAATCCACCTTTCCATCAATCCATCCTGTGACATTACTTCACACCCTCCATCAAGCCCCTCGTCCCCCATCATTTCATACTTCAACGCAATATACCCTCCCCAACCGAAAGACGCCCCAATCACATCTACAGGCTGACCTCAAGAATTCCCAGGAAAAACCTTAACAAACATCAAGCACCCCTCCCCAGAAGCCCGATATGGGCCGTGTAGCATGCCTGGCAGACGATACGCATACGCCCCAACGCCCCAGGCCCGATCCAGCGACAGATCTTCAAGCCCACCCTGCAGGAAGCACACCTCTTCAATGAAGGTGTGGGTGATGGGCTGATTGGCCGTCATGGTATTGGGCTCCCACCACTGCAGCACGGATTTGTGCTCTGCGCCGCCATTTAAAGCTAGCTCCCAGATCCCGGGGCCGATGGGGTTCCATGGGGTTGATGAGTGGGGCGTGCCTGGCTGCGGCAGGGGCGGCGGGGTGGTGAATTCTTTCTGGAAGAATGTCATGTCGCCTGACTGGTAGCTTGGCAAGTGGTCGGGAGGCTTTGGAGGCTTCTTTGCTTTGCCTAGATCTTGCAGTTTCTTGCTCTAATCGAGCCTTTTGAACTCCCAAATTATTGTTCACTAGTACTATTAGCTAGCACTTGAGTATTTACATAAGTTAAATGCTAATTTGCGATTATATAAGCAAACATAGAACGCGATTAACATTCTACTAACTAGGCTAATGATTAGCATATTGGGCTAACTGGGCTGTTCCACCGAAAGACTGCTGTATACTACAGAGTACAGGAGACGAAACGACTGCAATCCTGAAAAATAGCTTCGACCTTATGTAGAACATGTAGACACGTCAACTGGTTACATACGGCTGTCCCGACTTGGGAGCCACCTTGAAAACAATTATAACCATCTTTTGACAGGTACAACAGTGGTAGAAAGTTGGATAATGTATATTCCCGTTAGCTGTACAAAATAGCAATACATAACATGTGAATTAAAAATAAAACAGCCCTGGCCAGCCTTCGGAGGACAAAAGAGCCCGCGCAAGACAGCGATAAGAACAGATGATGAAATGAACAGCGAATAAAAAAAGCAACCCCGGAAGGCGGAAGGCCTAAATCGATTGCTTGAGACACTCAAGCATGCCAGAAACAGATGCGAGTAAATTTGATAATGAAGAAGGTGAAGTGGGTCCATTCAACTTGACGCGCGTATGGCCGCAGGCGCAATGGGACCCACGAGACAAGCTAAGGGCCCGCTGGGTCGGGTCAACCTGTCACAATAGAAGAGAGGGCAAATACAAAAGAAGCTCGTGTCCTTTCATCATTAGAGCGGGTATCATGGTGGTATTTGGTCGGTTAAGGAAAATCAGGTTGAAACGGACTTTGGCGTAAGCATTGGGGGTCGTTGATCCAAAATCTGGACATTAAGCGGCGGGTTCTAGTTAATTCTTATCCTCCATGCATTCCTCGGTGACGAAAGAAAGGATGTGATCAAAGTAACCTGGCTCGGCCACAGAATCATTATGGGCTCCGTTCGGTAGGGTGCGCCAGATTTTGGTCTCCGCCTCGCAGACAGCGAATAGTCCGGTCATATGAGAGGGCCTATCATGTATTTTTTGTTAGTTTGTATCATCTTCAGCGGATCTGGAGTTCTTGACTCACGGCACAATTTCATCCTTAAGACCACTCAGGAACAAGATAGGAATCTTGCCGATTTTAGGCAACCAGTCCTCGCTTTGCCAAGTCTGGTGGCAGAAGCGCACGAGAAAGCGCGCTGGGGGCATGATACTAGAAAGTTTATTAGTGCTTACTTCTTGTGAGAACATCAACCAAAAGAGAGGGGAACTCACGAGGGAATCAACTTGCGAATGCTAAGGAAAGTGTTCTCTAGAATCAAACCGGCAATATCGCCCTGGTCTTGATTGGTTGCGACCAGATTGATCGCGACTGAGCCACCCAAGCTCTGTCCGTAGACAACAAACTTTGTGTCGCAAGTTTCCGGGCGCTTTCGCAAATAATCCAAGCCAGTCTGGGCATCAATCTTCAGACCCACTTCGTCTGGTGTGCCAGTGGACTTTCCATAGCCTCGGTATTCGAGCATGAAGACGTTGCATTGCAGAGCATCCTGGATTGCCTTTGCGATCGGGACACGATGGCCGATATTGCCAGCATTGCCGTGGAACATAATCACTGTAAGGTTGCGACTGAAACGACTCTTGGACTGTTTGAGGAAGAGCGCATGCAGAGATTCGCCGTCTGGTGTTGGGATGTGAAGCTCTTCAAAATCGGTGATGCCAAATTGACGGGGACTTGGCACATGGGTTCGCGCATCGGCTGGGATATTGCGGGGGTAAATAACTTCACTGGAGTCAGGGTTAGTCTCGGGAGGTCCAAGGCGAGGTTGAAGGTAAAGTACTTTTGCTTGAAGTAAAGAACTCCACTTGCGACCACAGCCAGACCTGAAGATGCTAGAACTGGTAAACGGAGAAATTGTACAGCGTTATTGGCCATGCCACCAAAGGTCCATGATGGAGACGGCGGAGGTGATTGAGACATTGCGATGCGACGCGTGGGGGAGTCAGCGATGAACAATAGGCGATGGGAGCAAGAAAAAAGAAGTGAATTTTTGAGCAGGAGAGTAGAGTACAGCGCTAAAGGAAGGGTGTTTAAAACAATCCGCCAACTTCAGAGGCACATTAGGGGGTGCCTTGAGGTTAGGCAGTTTTGTTGTCTTGCGGGGGGGCTGGCCCTTGGCTCCTCAATGAGCCTCTCACCGCCCAGCCGGACGCGTTGAGCTTGCTGCCTTCTTAGCTCCAGCGATAAAGACATCATCACCTCATTCCCACACAATCTTCAACTCCACCATTCATCTTTGTTCCTCGCTTTTATTTACCTGGCAGTAACCTTTATTCACATTTGACCGATCAAAATGGTTCACCAACACGGCCCCACTGGCATGCTGGGCGAAGGTGAGTTGAGCTATCGTCATCGGGCCGGTCGAGGAGCTAACATCCATCCAGATGGCATCCACGTTGATATGAACCACTTGAAGAGCGGCGAGGTCAAGTAAGTTATGAGATGATAGAGACGGAGTGACTCCGAGCTCCCATGAAGATACACAAATGCTGACCGGTCATTCACATAGCCTCGGAACCTCAATGTGAGTTGATCGGAGCTTACCCTCATCCCTCACATCAATTTTAACGGTCCAATAGCATGGCAATCAACTTCAAGGATGGTGTGATTCTCGGTGCCGACAGCCGAACAACTACCGGTGCTTACATTGCCAACCGAGTCACGGACAAATTGACACAGGTGCACGACACCATCTGGTGCTGCCGATCCGGTTCCGCTGCCGATACCCAGGCCGTTGCCGATATTGTCTCTTACCACCTGAACATGTACGGAGTGGTGAACAACGAGGCTCCCAGTACCCAGGTGGCTGCTTCGCTCTTCCAGGAATTGTGCTATGAGAACAAGGACGCTTTGAGGTGAGTACTGGGCTTGGGAAGGCAATTGAACCAAGGGCAAGCACTAACCCTCTTGTTTTCTTCCTCGTTAGTGCGGGTATCATCATTGCCGGATATGATCCACGACACGGTGGCCAGGTTTACTCGATACCTTTGGGAGGATCGCTACACAAGCAGTCGTTCGCGATCGGCGGATCAGGCTCAACCTACATCTACGGTTACACGGATGCGCACTGGCGGGAGCAGATGACGGAAGAAGAGGGTATCGACTTTGTGCGGAACTCGTTGCAAGAGGCGATCAAGTGGGATGGCAGCTCTGGTGGTGTGATTCGACTGGTGGTCTTGACTAAGAAGGGTGCGGTGCGGCACTTGTACCTGCCGGACAACGGCTACACTGGGCCTGGAGTGACAAATTAAACCTGTACTAATATCAAGTGTGTGGTTCGGTCCTCTGAATGACAATGGATTATGATCAACTCGATCACCCTGTTATTTTCCCTGATTTCCTCCTTTTTATTTTTCTTTTCTTTTTTCCCCATGAATCAGGTCGGAAGTTCGAGATATCTGGGGTTGTGCTTAGGTCACCCGGCAGTATTAACTACTAGTACTGTTGATAACTAGTAGCTCATGGTACTGCATACTCCATAAAGGCTTCAGATATAAGAGCCTCATGCGGCAGATGAGATTCAAATGTGATGCCAGTTGTTGAGGGTGACCTAAGTAGTACACCTGTCATATGTTAAATTTGACGCTAGTCATCTGTCATGTCTCAGACAACTTTGGACAGGGATCGAGATATGTACAGAAAAAAGAAGCGAGGGCCTCGGCATTTTCTGGCCTTTTGGGAAGAGAATCAAATGTTAATACCAAGTCTCCAGATGTCAACTATTGTACTCTTTTCGATCTTTCTGGGGCATGGGTGTATTAGTAATTATATGCAGTACGAAGACTGTGCATTGTTGATGCGCATCATACCTACTAGTACTAGTACTTGGTATTATGTATAGATCATATAGATCGGAATGACTTGATAGAATTTCCAAGCGATATCTACACGGAACATTTCAATGTTGATATCAATCACAAATCAAAGTCAATGGATCGAAGTCAATTCCATGATTCCATAATGAATGACCACGGGCACGCAGATCGCGATGTCATTCGTCCGATATGAACTCATCCACACCGTCTTTCTCTTTCCTTTTTCCTTTACACCATGTACTAGTATTCGGTATTCAGAAACCCCCTTATCCCCTTATCCCTTGAAGTATTTCTGTTGTGAAGTAGTTAATGCTTTTGCTTCTCTTGCTTCTCTTCTCTTTCTCCTTTTCTCGACTTTTCTCGACTTGTCATCTCTTCGTTACCTTTTTATATCTAGTTTAATCTCTGTTCTCTAGGATTTCCCTGATTTGAACCCTGCATTGGTTGAAACAAGAATTATCCTTTTCTTTTTTTCTTTTTTAGTTCTCTTAAATCTCGCATTTCACCTTTTACTCGGGTCATCTCCACTGTCACCGTGGAACCAAGAGAGATTGTCCTTGATTGAACTGGGTTCGTTCACTTTTTTTTTCTTTAATTCTTCTTTTTTTTTGGGGTATTATCAACTTGTCTTAAACCTTTTCTCTTGCCTTTCTCGTGTTCTTCTCTGCGCTGGCAATGGCGTGGATCGACACTCCTTGAAATTCCCAACCTTCTTTAATCATCGCGTGTTCTGGACTCGGGGACCCCGGACCCCCTTCGTCATCGAAATGTAGGCCAAAACAGCAAAAAAACCACATCCTCTCTCTTATAAACCCCTCTTTTCCCCCCATCTATTCCCAGTTCCAATAAACCTCTGTCTTCAAATCCATCCTGAGTTCCCTGGGAAAACCTCCCTTCAGAAACTCTCATGAACCTTCGATTCCGATGTTCTTCCTAATACTGACCCGCCTGGTGCCGAAAACAGACTAAAGGGATATGGGATCCATCGTTGCAAACCACGTGTCAGATCAGAACGATAGAATGTTCAGCAACGGAGGAAACGCAGAGGTCTACCAGCGCACGTTTGAGGGCCGCTCTAGATCGACCTCCTCTAATACGACCCCCACCACAACCACCGCCCCGCCACCCATAGGCTCTGCTCGGCTGCCCGCGCATTCGAACGAGATCCCCGCCTACCTCACTTCCCACACTCCAAACCCCTCCAAGGACCCGTCCCATCCTTTGCCATCCATGACCTCCTCCAACTATGCCTACCCGACCGATTACCCTTCTCATTCCAACTCCAACACCCCTCTTGGCCATGTGGACAGAGACTCGATGATCGCCGCTCCATCTGCACCTGCACCACATGCCACCCCGGCCTATGCCCGATCACCAGAATCCCCGCGCCTGCAGCCAACCTTCAAGTCCATGCAGTCTGTCCCGGGCTCCGAGGCAAACTCCCCCAGTCGCATACGCGTGCGGAGTTTGTCCCACATTCAGAGTATTGCCAGTGAGGAATTCCTAGCGCCACCGCCGCGATCACACGCTGGACATGGATTGCCACAACGCCAATTCGAAATTAGCTCCATGCCAGTGGGCGATGTGATTGAGATGGTCGCTGGTTTGCTCACCAAGATCACCACCACAAATGACCTGCATCATGAGCATACACATCGTCATATTCCACCACCAGATGGAACCAGCAACCTCAGTCCACAGGCTACCAGTGTGCTCGCATTCCACGGGAAGAACGTGCCCAGTATCACAATACTCAGTTACCTCACTCGGATTCACAAATACTGTCCTACCACATATGAGGTTTTCCTCAGCCTCTTGGTCTACTTTGACCGCATGACCGACCTGGTCAATCGGGGCCAGGTAGAGTTAGATCATCATTGGGAATCAACAGCGAGTGAATTATCGGAATCTTCTGATGCAATGGACACATCCGCAGATCGCCATGCACAGAATTCATCAATAGTGACACCACCGTCCTCGGCACGTATGACTGCAGAGGACCCACACAGTCCCAATGCCTCGGTTTCCCCAGCTCTGTGTCCTCAAGCGGAAGACGAGAGCTTGTCCCAATTCTTCGTGGTTGATAGTTTCAACATCCATCGGCTGGTCATCGCGGGCGTGACCTGTGCCAGTAAATTCTTCTCCGATGTTTTCTACACCAACTCACGATATGCAAAGGTATGTGGTGTATCTTCCCCCGCCATTCTTGTACATTCACAATTCGCTAACCAATCTGGATTCCTAGGTCGGTGGTCTTCCGCTTGCGGAGCTGAATCATCTGGAGCTCCAATTCCTTCTACTCAATGACTTTCGCCTGGCCATCACGGTTGAAGAACTCGAGGCATACGGAACCATGCTAGTCGAGTTCTACGCCCGGGAGATCGTCTCACAACAGCAAACCTCCGTCCCCCGACCCATCCCAGGCTCTGGCACTGGCTCTCCATCCGACGCCATGTACATGCGGACTCGCGAGAAGCACCGAGACCCTGCTGAATTTGCCCAGACCCCGACCCCGCCTTAGGTGCTTGTCATCTCTGGCAATGTGTACAGCATCCGTTTCCATATCGCTTGTCCACGCACCTCACCTCGCCTCGCCTCAACACGCTGAGCGTTTGTTTAGTTGCTCGATGGTGATGGTTCGTAATCCAAGCTTATCAATTCTGATTCTCTTCGATTTGGCGCCACATACCCTCTTTGTCTCTCACCTTTACACATATCTTCTGGGCCGTTGCCCGAATTTACAACTTACACGTCACGAACTGTATAGATTTCGATTATCAGCCGGCTCAGCTGAACGGGGTTTCTTCTATGCTATTCCCCCTACCCGCACCTCATACATTTACACTTGGGCCTTTGATGTGTGTGTTTTTTTTTTCTTCCTTTCTTTTTCTGCGTGGGATTCTTCTTGCTTCCTGATCGCCTTTTCAATTTCCCCCCTTTTCCTCTTTCTGGTTGTCAACCATAGTTGGGTGCTGCGGCGTTTGATTGCATTGCGTGTTTTGAGGGATTTTTGGGTTGTTAGGACTCTATCAGTCTGATCCATATACTCTTTCCAGATGGATTCTTCTCTTCCTTGCTGTATCCAGTAATCTCTTCTGAGATAGCCTTTCCTACCGAAAGATTCGCTGTCCACTCCACCACTGCCAACTTGTCATCCTTTGCAATCCCCGCCCCCAATCCAATGGACCACCGGTCACCCCCCCCCCCCCCTGATACCGATCTTATTTAGCTGCAGCGCAGCCACCGACACAAGGAATGTACACGCACAAACTCCTTGTGATCTGATCAAGAGACCAGCTTCGAATGTAAAATTAGCATAAGCCTCCCAACTGGGCTGCAACCGTATATCTATTCTCAGACCTCATCTTAAGCTTGGAACATTTGCTGCCCAGGCATAAACTAGCCCGAAAATTATACCCACAGCCACTAGACTTCTTACCTCGGCCCGGACCGGACATGAGTCCACACTTGGGCAGCCTACGCCTGCGGTAGAACCTTATTCTATCAATAGCCATCCCGCATTGGAATATGCATGTTGATCTGTTGGAAGTGGAGCACTGGAGCTACCAGTTGACCTTTCCCGAGTCCATGGCACTGGGATCAATGTTATATCAAAGTCATATGCATGGACTCGCATGTACCGAGGTCCGGAGCCACACCTTCAATGTTGTCGAATGACTTCAAAAAAAAACACAGAATTCTGAACAAGCCTCCTCTACGATCGCCCAATGTTCAGTTGAATATCTGGGACCGCGCCATAAACTGCCAATCACCGTTATCTTTTGATGCCATACGGCCCAGGTCGATCCACTATGGTTCCAAGTTTGGCGAATACTAAACTGATGACTTGATCGTCAGCACCAGATTGCCCCCTGAGTTGACTCGGACTCCAGGTTTTCGCCTCAGGGGGAGATGCATTGACTGGTTGGTGCCCCCAGGCCCTGGCCCCTCAAGTGCTGGCTCTAGTTGTACCTAGTCGTCGGTGGATATAAGGCCCGGCCCCCACTTGTCACCGGGTTCTTGGGCTACGGCCCACGGGCCCCGGTCCCACACTACCTCTCAATACTGCCAATAATAGCTCGTCAATCAAAACTTCTGAAAGGGCATCAGGACATAAATATGAACATGAACACTGGCCGGAGACTCTCGTTCATTTCTCCCAACTCAGGGTACTTCGTCGACATGTTACAACCTCCCTGGCCGATTTCCATCCACAATAAACAACATTCCTCAGCAGCGCAATCTCTCCTCCACCACCCTGCAATAAGAAGCATTGATCTATCTGCGCCCAGGTAGGTTCGAAGAAATACACTCTTCCCAGGTTGTCAAAAGGTGGAAATATTTATTGATCATTTTTCACTACAAGTCATATCTATGAGCACCGAGTTCGAATAATTGATGCTTGGCCGTTGACCGATTCAGAACCTAGATCCAGAAACACCAGTCATTATGGATAAAGCTCTTGGAAGCAAATCTGAGATAGTCTCTTACAATTGCCCGATCGTCCTACCGCCGGTCCTGGCCAACTCTCGAATGACGACTGCTCCCTTTCTGTTTGACCGTTCTGTCCTTGAGAAACGTGGACGGGGCCTACATATCAGAATCGAACGTCAGCAAGAAACCACAAGCCAATCACTATATCTATGCATGCACTCTCACATCTCCGGTGAGCTTTATAGCTCAATTCCCTCAGAAACCTCTCTTCGAAACACCCTGCGCCATCTCGAAGACTTTGGGCAGGAATCGGACCTAGGCATTCCTGCATTCCCTGGACAAACAGTTCCCAGTCACCTCTGTGTCTGCGAATCATGGCCAGCTTTCGATGTTGAGCGTTACTTAGTTCTGAGCTCGCGCTTTTATTGAAATGTTCGAGCAGGTTGGCCCGGTCTTGGTATCCCTTTTTACACGAAGGACATATGTAGTCGAGCTTGTTGCCGCGAATGATACTGCGGTACCACGCAATATCATGTGTCATTTCCTCCACTTCCATGGCTGTCTCCTGATGAGTTTCCTCGCTCTGAAGAAGCAATCGTGTTGGGTAGATTGGCTGGACAATTAGAAAGGTCATGCCTTCCCCGAGCTGGGCGGGCTTTTCAATCCAGATGGACTCTGCGGGACTCAGAGCCACTTCGTCTATGGACGAAGAAGCCTCGGCTTGTAGGATTGTGTATATGGCAAAGGGCATGTTCTGCGGCGTGTCGGCCGGTCGAGTAGTTTTTATCAGAGCATACTGGGCGTGCTAGATGTATAAGCCTGTTTTAGAAGAAAGGCAAAGAAAATCGCATATGAATACTGGTGCGACTGTACTCACTCCCTCATATATCAATCGGCGAAGCGGCAATGTAGCCTGATCAATTTGATCTGTCCATATTTGAACAATACCATTCTCGTCCGCATCGGCAGCTTTGGCATTGCCTTGCAACCAAGGTTTCAACCCAATTAGGACCTCCGAGATCTTCTCGATTGTGTCCTCATTCCCAACCTTTTGAAGATGTTTGAAAGAAGCCATATTTGCAGTGCGAATGCTCAATCTCGCGTGTTCGCTTAATCCAACTGAGCTGGGAATTTCTCACGACTGGCATCATCTTATGTTAAGCGCACGAGTCAGCCTCGTCTGGGCACCTTCAAGGCAACCTTGGCACCTTGACACGACTCCCGGCTCCCGACCTATCACCACAACGATCAGAAGTGCCCCTCTAACAGCTCACATTGACGTACATGGAGAGGCTTAACGCCCACCGCTAGTCCTCCAATCGCAAGCCTACGACCTGGGGAAATATCCTCATCGGCGCCTTCTCAATCCAAGCACCCTCGCTCCCCTCGATCGAGGACCCGTATTCAACAACAGGATCATGATAGTACCGGGTAGACTTCCTTTGTGACCCGGGTTTTACAACGGTAGAGGACGCTATGTCACTAACTTCTTTTCACCGCATGTATTGAACACATCCCTGCTCAAGCCTCAAACCCCCCGCTCCTCCAACGGCCCGAGCTCCAAGCCCCCAAGCGCCGACCTGTTTCAAGAGAGTATTTGTATTCCTGGTAATCTTACACTTCACGTACACGGTAAGTAAAACTATCAATCAATTGATCCTTATATATTATCCAGCAACCCGTTTTCTTTGCGTAATTTATTCGAGTTCTTCTTCATTTCCTATAATCTTCCTTCCTCATCATGGCACCTCTTCCACACACATCTCCTCCACCAACTCCATCAATTTCTGTGCTTTGCATCTGTCATGGATGTGAGGTTATATTGTCTCATATCTTATCCGATAAACGGGCCCATAGTCGTTCCATACATTGTTTTGTTTGCCGGGCCGATCGAGAGGGAGGGTTTTTTGTAGGTTGAATACGATGGTTTTATTGAGATACACTATTAATGTATGCACATGTGGCCAGGTACCTTCTATCTTGCAACAGCGCATTGAACAGGAACGCGACCAGATTAAGAAGGACCTGTTCATAGACCTTAGTGAGCAAGCCGCAGAGCAGAAAAACGAAGACACACTTGCTCGGATCGCAGCGAGGGATACAATGGAAGATATGGGTTATTATTAGCAATAGCATGGGTGGTGGTATAGTGGGGAATTTTGGGATGGAAAGAAAGAGGCCACATAAAACAGAGGTTTCCAAGTACAAAGTAGAGGGCTGGACTTGAGGCGGAGTTGGTGCGGAACGGGACCGCAGGGCAATGTGCTACATAACATTTGAATACATTCGACTCGACCTGGATGACTGTGACGAAGGAGTTATTTGTAGAAGTTTGTATAGATAATCCCAAGGTTACTGTATATTTCATTAACAAAAGAATTCAAAATCAAAATGCAGATCTGATGCAACGCTATAGGTACATTCAGTCACCACTGCTCACTGTAAATATTTGTTTTCGGGGAGGCATATTGATAACAAAAAAAAAAGAACACATATATCCACAAAGGTAAGAAAGTAGGCATCAACTCGTTAAAAAGCATGAATAGTCAAGGCGTTATTCGATACGTGGTGGGCTCCGCGACTTCTTGCCCATGGGGCTCCGGCTCACGCTCGTCCTATACTTCGATCAGCACTGTACTCATCCCAAGCATATAGACCATTTTAGAGCAAATGACACTTACGATCGTCGACGCTCGCCTTCTTTCCGGAATCCCTCGATGATCTTCGCCATCTCCTTGCGTCCCCCAGGCGCATCAACCTTCCGGCCTCCAAGACTCATGCTGATTTTCTCATGCGCACTGGCCATGAGCAATCGCTTGAGAAGTAAATGGCGCATGTTCAGACACACGAACACGCCACAGTCGCTACCGCCATCCTGCTGCGGCGAGTCACGGAGATGCATGAAGTTGATAGGCAAGTTCAACAGAGCTCCGAACTTCCTTGTCACGTCTGCAGCCTCCCACTGGTTCCCTTGGTATAGCGAGTCGTAGTGGAATGCGATGCGGTCGACGACAGAGATGAGTAGCAGCGACCAATGCGAGCCGCCTTCGGCTTGTGTCACGTTCCGGCAGTCGTTGATGGGGAGGAAGACGTGGGTGGCGCGGGAGAAGTCGGGGAGGGCCTCGCGGAGGGTTCGAGGGTCGCGGGTTTGCGCGAGCATGAAGGACATGCTGGGGCGGAGGAGAATGATGTTGGAAGATTGGTATTTTGTCAGGAATTCATGCTCCAGGTATCTGCAGGAGCGGGTGGATCAGCACAAGGATCTTTGGCAGAATCAATCAAATACCGACTGTTGGTCGAGGGCAACTTACTCCTCCCAGAATGAGATGACCTGTGATGAATTAGCTTAATTTTTCGACTGAGGAGCTGTCGCGCTGACAACCCACATTATCCGTGAGCCAGTCGTTCTTGAGAGTTTGCATGTCCTCTCTAGTCACTATATGGATGTCAATTGTTGGTCGAGGTCTGTCTCACTTGGGGAGCTGGGAGTCCATACACCGTACGTCATAGTCTATCAACGCACAGAAAGTCTACTCGTTAGCATACTATCTCACCAGGAAGGTCCTCGGTGCACACTCACAGCTCAGGTATGCATCTTCGGGGGTCAACTGCGCAAATTTAGCAATCGAAGCCTCCAGGCAACCAGCCTACTCAAACGCACCATATCATTGAATCTTCCCCGCATCTTCTTCTGCAATTTACCTAACCCGCCGTCCAGCATGATGATAACAGTATAAACGATTTCCTTAAATCAGACTAAAGTCGCAAGTATGATTCGTCCAAAATTCGCTGTCGGGAGAGCAACAAAGAAGTGCGCACAAGACCAGATTCGAGATATGCGGTTCTTTCGCGGCGGAAAATGGGGCTGCTAGGCAGACAATTAATCTCGACTCGAACGGGAATCAGATGCAAGGATCGGTCGCGCAAGTTTGTACGTTCGCTGTAACGCTCAAGCCTCCGAGTCGCAGACCCCACCAAAGTATTTAAACTGTCGGGAAATGGTTGTGGCGAGCAGTGGGCTTCGAGGACGGCAATCTGCCAAGATGATTCGCGTTCTCCCCAGTTCTGCACTGGCGAAGTGGAGACCGGTCGGGTGGTCCTCCGGATTGGACGGCTCGTTCGGAGGGATAGGCCGTCGTCAGCCTTATAGTGGCGGAGGGAAGTGGAGGAGGCGTTAATATGCAGAAGTCTGTGGATGCAGCGCTAGAGATGGGAAAATCAGAGTGTATCAACCAGTGATGTCACCGACGGCAAGGTATAAATCTCGAGTTGGTCGTTCAGCTTTCGCGGGGTTGGATGAAAGGGGACCTCGGGTGGCGGGTTGAGACTCGAGAGGACCAGACTTGCTGGCTACTGGCTTTGGGAGGACAGTGTCAAGGTCAAGGACATCACTCTGGTTATTGTTGAATTTCCAAGAGGGCCAGGCACCAAAAATGACCAAATCCCTGCAATCTTCGGGGAGTTGGGCTGCGTGACTATTTGTCACGTGGGGACCAATTGGAGGCGTTTCTTTCAAAGGTTAACGGGCAAGTACATCATCAAAGGAATGTTACTATACATTGAGTTATTTAAGAACCTGATTTCGTATCTTAGGTATTTACGGGGAAAGACAAAATATATTGAATAATCATCATCAATAAAATATGGGGTATCTAAACGTACATCCCAGTGCACCGGTGACTCGTGAGTATTCATCACGCGTATCATGTACCGGAAAGAAAAAGACTGGTAGCAAGGGGCATGAGGGTAGCTTGACATAATAGTAAAATAAAATAAGAAAATAAATTCACGCTTAAAGAGCAGATCACGATGAAAGCAATGTCATAAAGCGGGAGCCGACTTTCTGTTCTGTCTCAAAATCTGTTCAACCCTAGGTAGACAGAAATGAGCAGGACATGGCGAAAGTCCAAGCAGAACCGGATGTAAATAACGAGTATGGCTCGGGTTTCCTCACGGGTGAGGCATAGTAGCAGAAACTATGACGACAGCTTGGCAAAATGTTTCATCCAAATCCAGCCAATCTGGCTGGTAGAGTCATCTTGGTTGCGAGCAAGCCATAGTTCACCTTTCTCTCCAAAGACGTCGAAGATTTCTCCCGCTACATAAGTCAAGTAAGGGTAACCTGCCTCACGTCTGGCACGATCGATATTAAATTCGTACAGACTTGCAGCAAGGAACAAGACCGTAGGTTCGGTAGGGGTATGAACTCCAAGATCTTGCTGGGGTGCACTGTCGGCGGGACCATCATACATTGGCATGGCAGACGAGAAAAGGCCAGAGTATCGATCTGTAGCCACTGGTTGGTCGTTATCGCTACTAGTAGTGGCTCTGAGAATCTCAGCAAGTAAAGGCCCATCAATGCTGAGCCTGGGCAGACTTGGGAATGCCTCGGTTGCAGCCGATTGCTGGGGGTCCTCGGCGCCAGAAGAAGGGCGGGTAACTTGTTGTAGGCTGCGTGAGGTATCTGGGGATTGGGGAATGGCGCGCCCGGAGAAAGCCGAGTCAGCCCGGTGACGGGTGTCGCTTGAAAAGCTATCGACCCGGGGAGACTGGAAGAGCTGCCTGACGCCATTAAAATCCTGAGAAACCTTTGGCGACTCTTCTACAATCGACCGGCGGTGGATAGAGCTAGTGGCTGTGGAGGCTCGACGTGTTGAGCCCATAGAAGGCCGACGGGGAGAGCTCACGCTGCCAACTCCTGCCGAAGGGGTATTGAAGTTGACAAGATTCACGGTGTCAGCCAGCAGGGCCCCATTGCAAATGCCAAGAGAAAGAACCTGCGCCTCGGCCAGAGAGTAGTCACTGCTCCAGTCGCTAACCAGCTTCTCGAAGTCTGGGAATGAGTCCACGTGAGCTCCCACCTTCTTTTGCATGATCCCCCACCATGTTGTCTGGATTTGAACAAAGTTCTTGAGGCAGGCTTCCATGAGCTTCGCAGTCAATGCATATAGCCTTGGCAGCTCTTCCTTCAAGGTTTCGTTCAAAGCGGTATATTGCTCGCCCTGTTCGGTGGTTTTCTTATCAGGCTTGTCACCGCGATCAACCAGGGCCTTATAGCGACCATAATCAATCAAACGCTTATCGCGCTTCTTCATGACTCGCTGGGGCCCTTCGTAGACTTTAAGCAACGAGACCATTGGTTGAATGACAGTACCGCGAACCACGGCAAGATGTTCCGGCAAGTCCACGGTGATGATCTCCCTCATCGTATTCTTGAACAGGCGCCATTTTGTCTCCAACTCGTGGTATTGGGTCGGCGAAACATTGAACATGCCTTCAATGGCAAGAACAAACTCATTGAATTGTTCCATGGCCCGTGACTTTTCTTGGGTATACATCTCGACATCACGCATGACCACCTGCAATTGGAAGAACCCGTCGCCAAAGCTCTGAGCCAGGGCGTCGTATTCCTTGTCTTCGACTAAGTCGGACATCCCCACTTGTTGCCGAAACTTCTCTGTGCGACGACCGAAGGCCTTGGACAGGCCAGCCCGGACATCGGACTGGTTGCGTTTCCGACCAACTACCTGGCCCACAACGTCAACACGCTTTTTCATGTCATTGATTCTGACAGAAACGTTTGTAACTTCTGTGCGGGCGTTCAGAAGCTGTGCGTGGTCGGGGTGATCAGTCGGGGTTGCAGCTAGAAGTTCATTCAGGAGAAGAGGGTATTTGAGAATTCGTTGCACGGGCTTGACCAGCAATGAATCTAGATCCCAGGCAGTGGTAAGATCTGCCGCCCATTCGCGACATTCCCGCAGCCAGATATCGACTTTCGGATTTCCCTGGAGGACCTGGAGTTTCTTGTTTGCAGCATCATAGTTTTTCAAATATTCAGAATAGACTCTTTCCATTTGAGCCAAGTTTGTAATAAAGGCCTCCCCAATCTTCGTGGCACGATCATTTTCGAGGCCCGAGAATCCTCCATCCGCCGATGTATCCTCAACGACGGCCGGAGGAGGTCGATCAGCATTTCGTTTGCTGGTCCAGCGCTGGGACTTGGGCATAACGTAAATACTTCTGGCGGCTTGCTTAAGTGCATCCTGGAAAGATTGGGAGAATTGCACAATTTCAGCAGAGTTGCCAAAAAGAATTTTCACATCCTCTAGCGAGAGGTCCAGGCAAGACCCCGAGGTCCCCTTATAAATATCATCCACGACCTTCATATCTCGCCCGAAAGTGTGTTCCGTGTCAACGAGCTCTTTGATGACGTTCCGTCGTTTCTTGAGTCGTCTTTGCTCTGGTGAAGGCGACTTCCTCGAGTCCATGCTCACTGGATTTTCAGCAGATGGTGCCAAGGATGTGGCAGAAGAACCTGCAGCTTGATCGGAATGAATTAGATCATTGCGACGAAGTGAAGAATCTTCGCTGCTTCCAGCACTGTGAGATACCACAGGAAGGTGGATCGGGAGACTATGATGGCCATGACTCGGCAGCGGTTGACTGTGGATGCTGTGAATAGCGGCAGGGGGTCCAAGAGAATTGTGAGACTCGACTGGAAGCTGGGTGTGAGATAGCCCTAAGCCTGCTTGATATGATTGTTAGAAACTTGAATTGATAGGCCAGATGAGAGATTCTGGCATATAGTACATACCGTCATTCATGAAGTCAGGCCGGTCATTGGCAGGCGTAACTTGATCATCCTCGGCAGCCATCTGCATCCAGTCCATAACGGACGGGGAAGCATCCTCCCAGTCACCAGGCCCAACCAGACTTGCCGCATTGGAGTGACGGTTAGCGAGGATGGAAGGGTCTTGGAATCTGGGCACTACCACAGGCTCATCTGTCAAGCTATCCGTTGGGGCATCAACTCGCATTTCGGGAATCCTTGCGTCTTGGTGTCTATCATCATGTGGTTCCGTTGCATACTCCCTTTGTCTGGGGACTGGCGTTTGGCGGGCGGCCATAAGACCAGGAGAGGCCCGAGCCGCGGAAAGGGCATGATCGGGAGCTCTACCTCGAGCCAGTTCCTCCAGATATAATTGTGTAACACGACGCGAGTCCCATTTACCTCTCTTGACTAAGATGGGAGGGGTAGAGAAGAGATTGGCCGATGGCAATTGAGATGTTTGGAGCGTATCTGGGCCCATTAATCCCAGATCCTGTAGAGGACCATCCTCATGTTCATCATCAGCGAAAGATGCCGGGCGTGTTGATATGGCTGAGCACGGTTCAGTTGGTGGCTCCTCGTTGCCGTGAGTGGGTATATGGAGAATCGAATCGTCGCCGCTATCCTCGTCGCATTGTTCGTCGCAAGTCGATTCTTGGTTTTGGACTGAAGAGGACCATGAGCTCATGCTCCATCTATGATCAGATGGATTAGCAGCGCTCGACTGCTGCTGCTGTAATGGCTGGGCTTGTCTAGCTTCTTGAGGATCCTGAGAGTTAGGAGATCGGAAGAAGCCAGGCCCAGTAAGCATAATTTGGATCGACTCTTTATCATCAGTCTCAGACATGCTGCAATCGGGCTCGTCGCATGATTCGCTACTGGAGCTAGATTCACGAATCTGCATGATGTGGTTCAACAAAGTGCGGTTTGTTTCGGCCGCACTAGGCTTGCGTGCTGTTAGGTGCATCTGTGGCTCTGGATCGATATGGGTATCATCAGAGCCAGCGGAGTTTGGTGTAGCACAATCCGGGGCTCTTGATTCATGTATGCCATTATTCGAAAGGTCACGTTGACTACCACCGGGGAGCCCAAGTGTTGGAGAATCCATCGTGGTATGGGGAGCACCGCTCTCCGTAACAGAAACCGATGTATTCAAATGAAGCTGGGGCACAGTTCGATGTTCCATGCTGCCACCAACAGCAGTTTCTGTCGGTTCTGTTACTGTTGTAGCCATCGCTAGAGGTAAAGGATGATTACTAGTAGCTGCACTCGGTGTTGTCTGCTCGTCTTCGGGGGATTCGGGCACTACTATAACCTTTGTACGACGTCGAAGTTCCGCTTCCTCCTCTTCTTTTCGTTCATTCTCTTGAACAGAACGATTGAAGGCTTGCTGGATGCGTTGCCGACGAGTTTCAAAATCCACGTTGCCTAGCTCGGGCAATTGACGTTGGCGTGGTCGGTAATTGTTTCGCTCTGCACCACGATCGGCGACTTTTTGCAGGGACGATAACCTTTTCCCAATTTCAGGAGATCGAGGTGAGCGTGGTGATGATGAGCCAGCCGTGGAAATAGGTTGCCGAGGCCGTGAGCTTCTCAATGGCGGTGATTTTTTGAATGGTGGAGCTGAAACGTAGGCTTGTAGGAGCTTATTCTGGTCCGCTGCTGAATGACGGGTTCGGCCAGCGGCCACGTCTCGGCGGCCACGCGCTGTCATCGCAAACGAAGCGGGGCCATCTTCTGTCGTACGAGGAGGACTATTAATACCAGAAGGTTTGGGAAGTCGACTCGTGCCCTTCGGAGCCAATGAAATAGAGTTGGATCGATTCCTGAATGTCGCATTTGCGGTTGGAGAAAGAGTTTCTGAGCCGGAACCAGAGCTTCGGCGGCAGGAAGAGATCGGAATGCGGGATCTGGAATTTGGACTTTCGGGGGAGGCGTCGCCCGGCTTCCACTGCTGCAAGGGTGCTGAAACCGCCATTTCAGAATTCCACGGCTCGGCAAGGGGCTCGGTGTAGGGATTCACAAAGTCGCTTCGCGATCTGCGGTGACTGAGACTCTTCTTTCCACTAGATTGAACTGCCTCGAGCGAGTTTGCCTGTCCCAGGTACCACGCCGTTGGCGTCAGCGGTGTTCGTATAGAGGCTGGATTAGCCGGGTCCAGAAATGCCGGGTTTGGACTTGGTATGCTACCGTCGGAGCCCCGCCGTCTCAGGTGCGCCGGAATTCCAAGGCCTGGACCAGCCAGCTGCGTATTAAGCGTCAACAATTCACCGAACAACGGTCTGCGTGGATGCGATTCAGAAATCCGTTGATGGAGAGGCAGCGGAACCGTTGTCAAGGGCCGTGTCGGTCCTTCAACTTGAGGCAATGATGGTGTTGACTCAATCTCGACAGTGGGGCTGCTCACGTCGAAGATCGGCGGTAATGATTCACGCAATTGACGACGTCGTGACAAAGAAGAGCGTTCTGATCCGTGTTCACTGCCTGTCGGGCTCGCGGCGCGTGAAGTTGGTCGAGATGCGGAAGGTAGGGGGAGGACAGCGTCAGATGTACTGTTGAATCTGTTGACAAGGTCTCTAAATGAAGGTTGTCGGGGATTGATAGCGGGCCTTGCTGCAGATACATTTGCAGTGGGGCTTTCTCCCAAGGTGGGCGAATCAGATACGGAGCGATGTATTGGGCGTCTGATGCGTGAGGGCTCCAGGACGTTTGTTGGCAGAGCGGACACTCTCTCATTTGGGTTGAAGGGTCCCGTCACCATGTCGTCCCTTGCGCCTGTCACATTGCCAACACCCGCGTGGAGTTGTGCTGACAAAGATGGTGTCTGTCGATAATAGTCGTCAGGATCGGGAGAGTCACGTCCAGTTTGGCCGTCAGGTTGACCGCCAGAATGCAGGTGATTTGCGGATATCGAATTGAGGGACTCGAATGGAGATCGACGGGAGGATGGATACGTGGTGTTTGCCAGGGTATTGAGAGGGGAGAAGGGTGTGATCGGTGAGACCTCAAAGGAGGAAGTGGAAGCATCGTTTACGGATTGGCCATAGGAAGGTACCGATGATTGTCGCCCAAACGGAGACGGCTGGGAATGCCGGGAACCAGAGGCTTGCTCGACACCGCTGCCAGACATTTTTGCATGCCTTGGGCCGACGTGGACTGGTGAATAGCCTTTCAGATTTCCAAGGTGGGTATGCTGGTTTTTTTTTGGCGTGATGCGTTGTTCCGGGGTGTGGTCGCCCAACGAGGTGTCGCAGGTAGAGTTGACTCAGGCTACAAAGCAATCCCGGGGTGATGCACCCCCATTCAGCATCATAGTCGAGTTCCCCCAAGAAATGGACCCGACTTCTTGATTGTTGCTTTTCAAGTTGCCACGTGCCGAAAGTCCAAAGAGAAAAAAGCTTTGGTTTGAACTCGAAGCGGTGGACGAAAGGTGCAGAAATGGGGGAGAGATCGACTAGGTAAGCTGTGTGGAAGTGCACAAGGCGCCAAAGAAGCCGATGACGAATGAAATGGCTCAAGGAAGAAGAGTGGATCCTGACGTTTGCTGTACTAACCACTGAAGTTGATAGGATCAACGGGGAGGGGCGGAAGAGTTGAGGATGGAAAATGGAGAGCGGGCCAGATCGTTAGCCTTTTTTTTTCCTCTGTGCACCCGGGGAGTTTATTGGGAACTGCAATGTCGATCAGGGTTATTTTGCAGAAACGAAGATGAAAGAGTTGGAAAAATAAGAAAAAAGAAGAATGCGAGAGTTTTGATTTTCGGAAAAAGAAAAAGAAATTGACGTGTAATAAGAAAATAAGAAAATATGAGATTGAGATAGAAAGTGTGAAACCGTGGGATGAGATCAGTGGGTTCGGGGCCCTTTGTTCATTTCATTGTATTGGAGTCCAAATCTAGGTACTGTATTTACAGAAACATTGAACCATAATATCTACTAGTAAAATACTATTGGAACAATACTATATACTATTTCTTATATACCCTTCTTGTACTCTCCATCAGTTCAACTTCCCCCTGGTTTTTTTTTTCTGATATTCCAGAGGTTCTGGCCCCCAATCGAGTAAAGTCCCAGGAACCGAATTCAATGAATTCCTGCCCCTGCCTGAGAAACATGGAACAGGCTGACGCAGTGGAGACGCAATTCCTTCAGAACGGCCTTTCTAGACCTCTTGCCTACCGTGGGTCGCTTCGTCCCAAATTTCCGATCTTGCCGATCGCTGATTGGTCAAGAATTTCGACCTTCAAATGCTCGGACTTTTTTTCCTCTAGAATGTTAGATCTGATCGTCTACGATATCGGGGGCGTAAAGGCCACATTTGGCTACTTAGCCTTCCAAACAGGGTAATTTTCCACTCTGCCACTTACCAATTAAGGGAAATTTCAAAAGGAGATTCTTGCACGCAGAAAAGAAAATACTTTCAGCAAATCAAATTAATTTCGTTCAGATGATTGGGCTATTAATTCTTGACAAATTTTCAATTTTCCATAAATCTCCGCATCTGGGAAATGTAGAGCCTAGGTAGTTATATATAGGTGTTGACATACGGGGTAGATGTACATAGCCCTATCAAACATTTGAAATGTCCTTCCTACACAGCACTTGAGCAAATCATATGTACAGCATAAAACAAAGAAAACACAACAAATTGAATCGTTAAAATTGTACTATCATATTCAACACAAATTTAAGAAACAAAGTACTTGATTAAGTTCAATAGATCCCGAGGTCGGCAGTTTCATCTCTCCTCGTGGGAGTCGTGAACTCCCCCTACTTCCAAGGTTACGTAGCTACCGGGACTTTTAGACGCGTCAAATTTCGTGTCATTAACAACAAAATCGGGTCAAATGGCCCACACAATGGCCCAGTAAACAAGGAAATACTTCTTTCTATTCCTGATTCGCAAAAATTAAATCGTCCACCTTTCAACATAATGGGTAAAAAGAGGAAAAGGCCCAGCAAGAACTGCGGTCCCACGTCGTCTCAGACGAGTATCACTGCAGCGACCGGCCGTTTCAAGTCCCCCAAAGACTCCGCTGCGCGAAATAACCTCACCACACACCCAGTCATTTCGCTGTACTACCACCAGGTTTTGACCCTACGCCAGTACATCTTGAGTCAGCTACCTCTTTCCTCAAAATCGCGACGAAAGCGCATCAAATCCCTGCGATCCTCACCCGACCGCAGTCATGTCCAACCATTGGTAGACCTGCTGGACTCCACCCTGGTAGGCATCCTGAAGCTGCCATCTCCGAATGTTGACTCCGAGTGGAAGCGCGCCTTTCGAGAGTTTACCCAGTCTCAGTCGCGGTCGGTCCTGGTCAGCACGGATACGGGGCCGACATCCCCACAATCTGAAGTATGAAATTTTGAAGTCGGCACTTGTCTGAGTTCCAAACGACTAATGTTTGGCCATGTCTAGGTAGTCGATTTTGTGATCAGCCAACTCTTCAAACAGTCCTCTAAACCGCAGCATTTACTCACTCATGGGTTTCAACGCTCGTTCCAAGGAAATGATGATCTCCAGACCAAAATCCCGGGGATCGTGGTTCAATTCCACAATGAAAATGTTGCCATCCTTCAGCAATCACCATGGACAGAGGTCCTGGATCTGTTAGGTGGGAATGGCGACGAAATTATGCTGCGATTGTTGTTTGATTGCGGCATTTTTGCTCCCATTGATGCTTCAAGGGCCATCTACTCCCAATTAAGCGGTATGCTTCATCTGCTTCATTGATCAAGAAAAAATCGCTCACAACTTGGTAGGAACACCGCTTGCATTTCTGGATCAGATCCATGAATCTGGCGAGAGAGCTGGTGAAAAACCCGCCAAGCCAATCCCGGAGAAAAAGCCGCCACAGAAGACCAAACGCCTTGATCGTAAGGGTGAAATTTGTAATCCCAACAGCATCGTCTTCCTTCGGCGCAGTATGCTGTATAGCCGACATGCATCTTGGTCAAACGGGAAACTGGTGGCCGGATTGGGCAGAGCTCGTAAGTTTCAGATCCCCCAAGTCTTTGGTCCTGGAATTTTCATTGATCGTTTGGATAGATGTCCTCAACCGCTTCAAAAACCTGGACTCGGCTGCTCAGACAATACACGTGATGATGTACATCTTTGCACGGCAGTTTGGGTTGCGAAGTGTTTTTGTGCCGACGGAGGACCGTAATGAACAGTTCCTAAGCCACGGTCATGCCTTTCGCGAGGATGAGATATTTGCTCGCGATGACGGTGCAAAGCTTCCCAAGCGGCTTCGTGGCCAAGCTGTCGAGCTTACACAGCAGCTTCGAACCCGCCAGGCTCGCTGCTCATATGAACAGTTGTTAAAGCATTACTGTCCCACCGAGGTATGTTTTCTTTGGATCCAAGAACTTGCTTGTCCCAATATCTAAATTTCACAGCCCAACGGACCCTGGAAATTACAATCCTCATCAACACCCATGGATAATGGAGAACCAGGAACTGAACCTGGGTCATCCATAGAAGAGAATTTGATCACACAGTTAAAACTGAAGTCCCCTGAAGTCACTAAGAATGGAGTTCTAGGGCCAATTTCTAACCCTACAGAGCATATCAAGGTCCCTGGAGTCGATGACTTGACCCGTGAAAGCCGAGTTCCGAAACCCAAGCTGACACTCACGGATTATGCTACACCGGCCTCCTCAGTCTCTGCTTTCTGCCGAGCCGTGCTGCTGAGGCTGATTCCCCTCAAGTTCTTTGGTGATGGCTCAGACGGTTTGTTTAATCGAAGGGCCATTATGAAACATATTGATTCTTTTATCAAAATGCGCCGATTTGAAAGCCCTAGTCTGCATGAAGTGTGTACAGGCTTGAAGGTTTGTTTCCCGCTAATATAAGGCGATAGTTGAGAAGTTTACTGACATAATTTCTAGATTGCCAATATTTCCTGGTTGGCCTCTCCCAAACTTCACAAGCCGCAAGGTGGCGAAAATACGAAAATGTCTCTCTCCGACTTCCAGAAGCGCACGGAGATGTTTCAAGAGTTCATTTACTACATATTTGACTCTATTCTGCTCCCTCTCGTTCGGGCTAACTTCTATGTCACCGAATCTCAAATTCACCGCAATCGTCTATTCTACTTCCGTCACGATGTATGGCAACGTTTGACAAAGCAGCCGTTGGCGAATTTAAAAACAGCCATGTTTGAAGAGATTGAGACATCTCGAGCCCAACGATTACTAAATCAACGATCTCTTGGAGTTGGTTCGTTACGACTACTGCCAAAATCCTCAGGGATCCGCCCCATTCTCAACTTGAGGAAACGAGTCCTCAAGGAGCAAACCTGGGGCGGGAAAAAGCGATCTTATCTTGCAGCCAGCATAAACTCTAGTCTCGCTCCAATTTCCAGCATGTTGTCCTATGAACGCAAGCAGCAGCCCACGAGACTGGGTTCCTCTTTACAATACGTTGGGGATATCCATCTCCGGTTAAGAGATTTCAAGAAACAGTTGATTCAACAATCGGGTGCAACACAAGCAAATCAGCTCCCCAAACTCTTTTTTGTAAAGCTTGATATCCAGGGTTGCTTCGATACCATCCCTCAGAAGCAGCTTCTGGGTTTAATCGAAGAGCTGGTATCTGAAGAATCCTATCTTATTACCAAGCATGTGGAGATGACCCCATCTGCCTTTGACATGCGAGGAAAACCCTCGCGGAGGTTTATTGGACGTGCTGCGCCAGCCTTGAAACAGCAGCCTTTGCAAAAAATGGTGGCTGATCAAGCGCAGGGCGGGAAGGCCAAGACTGTTTACATCGACACCATTAACCAAAAGCTCCACGATACCGGTGATTTGTTAAGCCTTCTTGACCAACACGTGCGCAACAACCTTGTCAAGATGGGCAGGAAATATTTCCGTCAGCGCAGTGGTATCCCACAAGGCTCCGTCTTGTCTAATCTGCTATGCAACTTTTTCTACGGGGAGCTGGAACAGCAAGTGTTAGGCTTCTTGCGGCCTACGGACTCATTACTTCTACGCCTCGTCGATGACTTCTTATTGGTCACAACGGACGTGGACCAAGCGATGCGGTTTTTGAATGCCATGGTTCCTGGTCAACCATCATATGGCGTGGTAGTCAACCCAGCCAAAAGTATGGTCAACTTCACCGCCGATGTAAAGGGTATTCATATTCCTCGAGTAGAGGGATCATCACCCTTTCCGTATTGTGGAATTTTGATCAACACTCATACGCTAGAGATGATCCGGGACCAAGATCGTCTTTTGGAGGGCGGCGCCTCTGCCGCTGCGTCTCTCTCTGACACATTAACAGTGGAGACCAGTCGCAACCCGGGCCGTGTTTTTCGTCGCAAAGTGCTTGGGCCATTCCGACTCCAGATTCACCCAATGTATCTTGATGATGGCCACAACTCCCGAAGAGTTGTACTCACCAACCTCTACACCAGCTTTATCACTGCCGCGATGAAGATGTATCGATATATGAAATCCCTCCGAGGCCGCACCCACCCAGAGCCACCTATCATCATCCAGACAATTCACGATCTCATCCATCAAACTTTCAAGACGATTCAAACGCGACGCGCCTCCAAATCCGCACCTATGTCATGTTTTGTTCAGTTGTGGCACCTGAAGTACCTGGCCGCATCTGCATTCCGGTTTGTCTTGAAGCGCAAACAAACGCGGTATGTGGCTGTGCTTTTGTGGCTTGCCCGATTGGGGAAAGAGTCGCGGCCATCATCGGATGGAGAAGCCCTTTGTCTTCAGCAGGTCCTGAAGAAAGGAACAACGTTATTTGAGCAATGGCGTTTTTAATGTGTGAGCTAGTTACAATTAGCACCCTTGGAAGCTAGTTCTTATTGCCAATGGTTTGATCCAATTAGCGTGCTGTACCGTATCTGACCAACAGGGAAACTGTCGGGGACCGCGGAACAGGTAAACTTGGATAAGAAGCCGAGTGGCCCAACCCCAAGATCAATGGGGTCGAATTCCGTTCGCGTTCCTGTGTTATTTACAGTTACGGTTCTACTTAATTTTGGACTCCATACAAATAGAGGGGAAATTGTCGATTCCTTCCTAGTTAGGTGTGGGTTTGGGAAACGAAGGTACTTGATCGGTACCTGTATTATACATAACGGCAAGTAGTGCAGCACAAGTTCCTCCGAGGTATCCGGATTCCCTGTTCTCGGCCAGACCGCACTGCCTGAGGCTCCGCTTGCAATCAATTCAACTTCGTTTTCATTTCTTGAAGCGACAACATTCTCTTTGGCAACGCGACACCTTCATTTACGGCGACTTTTTCTTGTTCTTTTTTACACACTCTCGTTTCTGTATTGCATTTTTCTTCTTCCTCCATTCCCTTCCAAACTATTCCACTTTACATCCCCCTTTGGTGGCCCCCAATACACATCCCGTAATCTCGGGCCTCTCCTGATTCGTTTTTCTTTTTTTTTAAACAACACATTTACACCCGTTATACCTGATCTGGCTATCACCAGTCTGCGGCTGAGCCTGCAATTTCTCTTCTTTGACCCGTTGATCGATTGGTTATTGTGTGTTTTGAATTTGTGTCTGAAGCCCTGCATCCTGCATCCCTCCCCCTCCAGAAACGCCTACCTCCCCGAGCCTTGCGTGCGATCTCGAACCCCTTCCGCCCTTCTCGTCGATTCTTTCCTATATTGTTGCTTTGAAGACCGGTAATATCTGAGGAGGACCGAATCAACCAGCTTTGAGTGCAAACTACATGAGATCATGACCTCCGTCTGCCCAGCACCTAATTCCCCGCCCGAATTATCCGGGTCCAAATCTTCCAAATCCTCCTCCTTCCATTCCTCGCAAATCGGCGGTGCCGATGGCATCTTTTCGGATATCTCCAATTTCGAGGAAATCGGTCTGGAGGACGATGCGGAGCTCAAGCTTGCCGATCCATCCACCCCTTATGCTCGCCCCGGCTTGACTGGACGGTCGCCTGCCGCCAGATTGCCCTCCAAGAATCCAGCAACAACGACACGCGATTTGACCGCGACTCCTAAGCCTCGAAAGCGAAGTCCCCTTCCTCCGATACACAACCAAATAAATGGAGCTATCCGCGCTCCGAGCGCCTTGTCGGCGCGATCTCCCAACAGGAGGGACTCCGTTACCTCCCAAAACTCGGGAGGATTGACTCCCTCTCAGCCTCGAAGGTCACGATCAGTATCCCCGTTACGACCAACATCCAGCCGATCCACCTCAAGTACCTCTCTCGCCCTATCTCCGTTATCTGCACGCGCACCTATCCAGAAGCAAACTTGGCAGCCTAATCGCAAGTCCTTGAAGGATCTCGAAGAGGAATATCATGACTCGGATGATGAGCTTCCCGATGATGCCAGCTTATGGAATATTCCGATTTCTCCTCGCCCCGTCTCAGATCGTCCCAAATCTCGTGGCACGAGTCCGAGTGGCCGTAGTCCCGGCCCAAGGCCGTTGCCGATATCCCATACCATATCTGAAACACCCACCGAAAACCCGGCTGCCAATGCCTCCAAAGCAGCTCGCATGAGAAGAGCCCCGCAGCGATCCAGCTCTGCTGGTCCTGAACGGGGTCAATTATCGCCTCGCAACCCTCGCGCGTATTCATACAACAGTTATCTGTCCGACCTGTCAGAGGAGGCCAGGATCATCACGGAAGCTCTGGAGCACCATGCTGATGAGAATGGCCGTAAAAGAGAGGATGCAGTACAAAATGGCGGTCCGCGTGGACCTAGTACAGAGTCTCCGCGAGTCTCAGAAACTATCGAGCTGCCCCCGCTGCAAAAATCTAATATAATGATCGATCCTTTACCTATCAGCAAGGAGAAAGAGAAGGTTCTCACGAGGACACGTCCAAGTTGGTTACCACCCAAGGATCAAAAAGAGGAGAAAAAGCATTTGAAGGAGTATCAGCAGATGATGGCCCAATCAAAGGAAACCGGTAAGTTTACTGAATATGCGAGGACGAAGTATGCAGCCGACTAATTTTATGGCCAGACAAACGGAAAGCTGCGCGAGCTGCGTCCGCTCAGTGTGAAAAGGACTCCACGCGAGACACTCTCCAAAGCATCTGGGATGAGTTTGTAAGCCCCAACTGGGATCGGGCCCTGCGTGAACCTCGTACTCGGGAACTTTGGTGGCGTGGTATTCCACCCCGCAACAGGGGAGCTATGTGGAAGCGTGCTCTGGGTAACGAGTTATCCTTGACCGATGAATCGTTTACAAAGGCACTTCAACGAGCCAAGGACTTACGGTCTAAAACCGAGAAGGAACCTAGTGAAAGCAACAAGCGAATGCTTGAATGTTTTGATGCGATCGAGAAGGATGTGTCACTGGCGTTCCCAGATTTGAATCTCTTCCAAGAGGGCGGGCCGTTACGTGACACTCTTATCGATGTGCTGCAGGCATATTCGATGTACCGCAGTGATGTGGGATACATCCATGGCCTTCATAGCATTGCGGCTCTACTTGTTCTCCAATTCCCGACCCCAAGCTCTGCGTTCGTCGCCATGGCCAATGCTCTCAATCGTCCTCTTCCAGTCGCATTCCTTACTTGGGACCGTGGTGCCATGGCACGCACATATAGCCTGGCTACGGACACTCTACGTTACAAATTTCCACGTCTGGCTATCCACCTTTACGAGACACTCCAAATGTCAGATGAAGAAATCTGGGAACCCATTTTCCGCACTCTACTCACCAATGGCTTGGACCTCGAGCGTGTTTCGCGTGTTTGGGATTGCTGGGTCTTCGAGGGCGATCGCATCATGATCCGTTCCGCCGTCGCTATCCTTGGCTGCCTCCAGGCGCAACTCTTCTCTTTCCACCAAACAGATGACCAAAGTCGACTTTCTGTGCGCAACATCTTGGGCTGGGGACCTCGCCACGCCGGTGCAAACAACCAGAAGCCCAAAGATCGACACAGTGCGCCCGCGGCCGCTGGTTTCGGTGGCGGTCAACTCTCGAACCCCGGCGTGGCTGATTATTGGATATTGACTGCTGCTGGTGACGAGGATGGTTTCATAGCCGCTGTACGGGAAGCTGGAAAGGTCCGGAAACAATAGGACGCTGGGGACTTGTTTGCTTTCTTTCCACAGCGCATGTGATTATGCTGCATACTCTCGCTTTAAACTATTACTTCTACTTTTACGCGCCACTACTCTTCCAACTCTTTTGTATGCATTGGCACATGGTTGTGTGCCCAGGTGTCCTTTTCCATTCGCTGAATACCAAGAGTGCACTTGCGACGACTTGCTATTTTTGTCCTGCTGTATAGCTTTTGACTAATTTTAGGTGGCTTGGCCCCACCTTTACGCCGATTTGCCTATTGTCTATTACTTGACGTTCTACACATTCGCTGATTGCGTCCTTTCTTTCTACTTGGACCCCTTGCGGCTTCATCTTTTTCTTTGTTTCTCATTTTCACTTCTCCCCATTGTATTTTTACTCACATATCCCTCGGATGCATCTCGTTCCTTTCGGAGTCGTTAGCGGTATACGTAGCAATCGAGGCTCTTCATATTCGAATACTGCGTTTCTTGAATTTCCAAGGTTCCCAAAGTCGATTGTAAGGTAGTTCCATTGCTTCTTGGTCGTGGAGGTGAGGTGAGTCTCGAACGGACGGTTGTCGAATCGATGGTCATAGACTCAACATTCCAAGGTTGAAGGCCCTGGACTCGAGTTTCATCCAAAGTTTGAAAACACCAACTTCAACTGAGATGTCGTTGACTGCGAGAAATGTTTATGTTAAATCTCTGGAAATAATACAGTAGGCTTGTCAAAATCGCCTTGCGCTTTGACTGTTTTCCAAATCACGTGGGATGCTCTCTAGTAGTCTCTACCTTGTCGCATCCTCGGAAACGGCAAGTTTGATAATCCGGCTTCTTACCATACCTTATAGCTGCTGGTTGGTTCTGCTACTACATAATCGCAACTTAGTACATGTAGTCGCCAAAAGCACGCGGCATATCCAAGTGCTGCGGGTCGACATCCTTATAAGCATAATGATTGGCTGGTTTACCTCATTCGTTGACGTGGGCTAGCGCTTAGGCCATGCACCCCCTCCTCCTCATGCCTTGGGCTGATGGCAAGGTGTGTCTGCGGTCGCACTCATCCCTCTTTCCCCCTCCCCGTCCCTGATTCTATTGAATGGCCAAGTCTACAACCTACGGGCACTTTTGAAGCCAAGCGGTACACTTTTATTGCTGCCCATTCATTTTTGCATTCGTGGCGGCGACAGCGGCAGCGGCAGCTTATACCCAACACTTGTTTACCCATATACGGCACGCCCATGGGCCATTGAAGAATTGAAAGCGGTCCACATAACGAGCATGGCGTCCGCAATATCTTTTAACGGTTCAAATCCGGGGGCCCAGATAGGCGTGAGCCACGGCTCTATCACTAACAACTTCTACGCGCCCATTCCAGGAATGAAAGAGACAGAAAATAAGCCTCGTAAGTCAACAGAAGCCCCAAATACAACATGAGATGTCCTAACACTCTCGAAGATGATCATTCTGCAGTCCACTATGTTATTCCGTCTTTGGAAAATCGAGACTTTACTGGTCGTGATTCCACGCTGGATGAGCTTAAGAAGAAGCTATTTCTGGAACCGAGCACGGAAAAACTAGCGCTATTTGGACTAGGCGGCATCGGCAAAACCCAAGTTGCTCTTCAGCTTGCCCGCTGGGTGAGAGCGCATGTACCAGACTGCTCAGTTTTCTGGGCTCCTGCCCTGAGTCTCGAGAGTTTCGAGCAGGCTTGTTCGCAAATCGCGAAAGAGCTGCAAATTCCTCTGAATGCAGATGGTGAAAGCGCAAAGGAATCAGTACAGCGACACCTAAGCTCTGATAAGGCTGGAAAGTGGCTTTTCATTGTCGATAATGCCGATGACGTGGAAATGCTTTTCGATAATCTTGATCAGTACTTCCCCGCTAGCAACAACGGCGTTACTTTGCTCACTACTCGTTCCCGCGAGGTGGCACTGGCATTCGCAGGAAGAGACATAGTTGAGCTCCAAAAGATGACAACGGAGGAAGGGATTGCTTTTATTACTAAAATTGTAGGAGAAGACTCGCTTGGTGACCAGAAGTCCACTATTCAACTGTTAGAGGAGCTCAACTTCCTACCCCTGGCTATTGTACAGGCAGCTCACTATATTTGTCGAAATGGTGGAACGGTCACACGATATCTTCAGCTTATGCGTAACACCGAAAAAGATCGGATGCGTCTAGCGAGCAGGGAATTCTACGATAGCACTCGCTATCGTAAACTGGCAAACGCGGTGGCCACTACATGGCTTATCTCATTCAATCAGATCGAAGACTCTGATCCCTTTGCTGCTGATTTGTTAGGATTTATATCTTACCTTGAGCCAAAGGCAATCCCGCGATCTATTCTCCCCACGCTCTATTCAGAAGAGGAGATGGAGTTTTCACTTGGTACGCTGTGTAGCTATGGATTTCTCACCAGGAGGGACGACAAAAATATGTTTGATGTGCATAGCCTAGTACAGCTATCAACTCGAATGTGGATGACAGACGCGCGGAAGACACAACAAATCATCACAACCTTAACACGACATATGGACAAGCGCTTTCCATCTGATGAATACACAAATCGTGACACATGGAGAATGTACCTACCACACACTCTTGAGATTCTCAGACGAGAGGAAAGTCAAGATTTAAGTGAAAGATATACCCTACTTTCTAAAGTTGGGGATTGTCTTCTGACCGATGGCCGAGCGAAAGAAGCGGTTACTGCTTTTGGGAATGTGTGTGCATGGAACGAAAAGCACTATGATGAAGAACATCCCTCTCGACTGGGATCTCAGCACGAGCTCGCAAGCGCATATAAATCCAACGGGCAGATCAAGCAGGCTGTGAAGCTACTTGAGCATGTGGTCGCAGTAAAAGAGAAAACGCTGTATAAAGAACATCTCTCTCGACTAGCATCTCAGCATGAGCTTGCAAGGGCATACCAATCCAACGGGCAGATCAAGCAAGCTATGGAGTTACTTGAGTATGTGGTCATAGTAAAAGAGAGAATACTGGATGAAGAACATCCCTCTCGACTGAGATCTCAGCATGAGCTCGCAAGCGCATATAAATCCAACGGGCAGATCAAGCAGGCTATAGTACTGTTTGAGCATGTGGTCGCAGTGCAAGAGAGAATGCTAGATAAAGAACATCCCTCTCGACTGGTATCTCAGCATCAGCTTGCGGGGGCATACCGATCCAATGGGCAGATTAAACAGGCCATGGAGCTACTTGAGTATGTGGTCTCGGTGCAAGAGAGAACGCTGGATAAAGAACATCCTGATCAACTGGCATCTCAGCACGAGCTCGCAAAGTCATACCTATCCAACGGGCAGACTAAACAGGCCATGGAGCTACTTGAGCATGTGGTTGCGGTGCAAGAGAGAACGCTGGATGAAGAACATCCTGATCAACTGGTATCTCAGCATGAGCTCGCAAGGGCATACCTATCCAACGGGCAGACTAAGCAGGCCATGGAGCTACTTAAGCATGTGGTTGTAGTAGAAGAGAGAACACTAGATGAAGAGCATCCTGATCGACTAACATCTCAGCACCAGCTCGCAAGGGCATACCTATCCAACAGGCAGATTGAGCAGGCTATAGGGCTATTTGAGCACGTGGTCGCAGTACAAGAGAAAACGCTAGATGAAGAACATCATAATCAACTAGCGTCTCAGCATGAGCTCGCAGGGGCATACCTATCCAACAGGCAGACTAAGCAGGCTGTGGAGCTACTTGAGCATGTGGTCGCAGTACAAGAGAGAATACTGGATGAAGAACATCCTGATCGACTAGCATCTCAGCACGAGCTCGCAGGGGCATACCAATTCAACGGACAGACCAAGCAGGCCATGGAGCTACTTGAGCACGTGGTCGCAGTAGAAGAGAGAACGCTGGATGAAGAGCATCCTGATCGACTGGTGTCTCAGCGCTTACTTGCACGGGTGTATCAATCTATTGCTCGTACCAATCCAACTGGCAGAGGAAGCCGGCAGTGGAGCTACTTAAGCACATGGTCAAGGTGCAAGAGAAAACGCCTGATGAAGAAAATCCCTTTCGACCGGCGTCTCACCGCGCGCTCCAAGACGTGAAGTAACTGGTCGATCAAAGTACATAGGATTGCGGTGAACATAGTGTTATCATCTCCCACTGATATTGGATCCAGTCTGTCCACTGTCCTCGGGCAATTTTACTGCACATATATAGACTTACTAGACGCTGAATCTCTCGCTACGTTGCCTCATACATAGCACCTACAGGAAACAAAACCGCGGTAGCCGGAAGCTTGTCACATTTGAATGAACAAAATGTTGACAGGTTGTAACAATTAGTACTATGTAATATACAGACATCTGGAAGGACTTTGCAACGGCTAGCTCTGGAAATATCGAAGACCATATTCAATGTTGGTATTGCTGGCCACAAACATTGAAGAAAATCTTGTGTCTTCAATCGTTGAGAACCCCGGAGAATACGTCCAGACTGGGTGATATATGTAACAGCATCACTTGAAACATTTAAAAGTCCAGCTTAAAACCCCGGAACCCTTTGAATATGTTGGAATTGTTATGAGAAATGATCTGGAGCAAATGATGCTAGACATAGCCCAGAAAATCCCACAACACGCGTCCCTTGGCTCTTTGAAGGATGCCATGGCATTTGTGTAGTAAATTACATGAATGGAACGCACCCGCGACACGCACCTCAATCTCCCACAGGAAAACCCGAAGAAGATTAAGGTACGTGGCCCGGCTACGCTACTGAATACAGGAATAATTACAAACTTGTATCCTACAGTGCATCTCCTACATCTTACAGGCAAGGTACACCCGGGCAGCTATCTACTAGTAGATATCCAAATAAATACTAGGTGAAGGATCACCATAGATCCCCAACTCCCCGCCGTGCCGCCCCCAGAAACCCAAGCTCCATTCCGAATTGATATCAACACTCCACACACATGCATGCAGCATGCACCAACACCCTAGTCCCATGTATGCTAAGCAAAGATAGTACCTAAAGACTAGATACACGAATCAGGGGCCATGCAGACAAGAAAGAGAGAACATGCGCACGCATGTAAAGAGCGTAGATTGAGACCCGGACATCGGAATGACGTGGTAGGAAAGCCCAACTCCAGCAAGCTTGGAACATGGAAGGTGAAGACCAGATGTGCATAAGGATAGCTATGAAACAGAGAATGAGATCTGGAAACACAGTCTTGAGGCTTGGTTTTAGAACGGGATATTGGGGCCCTTTTATAATCTTCTAGAGACCCGAGTCTAGCAAATTTGGCCAGACAGCAGGATTCGGCTTGGATGGCAGAGGAACAATCGGATTCCAATTGATTTTATTGTTTCAATACGATGGCGTGGGGTTTATTTCGTGATTGGTTGTTAGGGTTCTTTGACGGCGTGCATAACTCCACCTCGGGATCTCTGGGTTGAAAGAATGCATGGTGGAGGAATGGTCAAGTGTAGACTGGTTTGCCAATTGGGGATATTAGCTTTTGAGACAAGTCAATAAAGAAATCAGTTTGATAGAGTCGTGATTTCCAAAAATAGAGATTAGTTGGCTATGGTTCGATTTGTGCATAAAGAAATCCAAGTGTAGTGGGACGAACGGTGGACATGTGGTCGAATTTGTTGATCAAATCGTGGATATCAGCCCTCCAGAAACCTTGGGAAATGGTGCAAAATCCACCTTGAAAGAAACGAACGTCTGAATAGCATTCCCTGGAAAATTTTAAGCCCGTCAAATTTAGCAAAGGGCACAAGACACAAAGACTACGTGTTTGGCGTAATAATCATAATTGGCCTAGGAAGCCTGCATGCAAGTACACATTGTAGACCCGTTGGGCATGGGAAAAAAGAAAAACCAGCCAGCGCGCAACCTCATTTCATTTTCTCGTATTAACAGGGATTTGAGTCTGCTCAATCTCTCCATCTCTCTCTCCCGTTCGAGGCCCATGATCGACTTCATTAGGAACTTCTTGGAGTCGTCACCAAAAAGTCCCATCCACCCAAATCTTCACCTCCATTGGATCATCGGGAACGAAACTCGAGAGGTGGGTTGAAATGGGGGGCGCGGCGGTAGAGGTTGAGGAGTCGGGGAGTCAGAGGATCGGCGAAAAAGAAAAGCGAGGACACAGTTTTGGCCGAAGAACGATCAAATGAAACCGAACGTGAGGGATATGCGAGAGACGAAGAGATACGAAAGACATGGCGCGATGAATTGTTGTTTTTCGAGCTTTTTAACGGAGACGGCGGGCCTCGCGCTCGGACTCGAGCAAGCAGAGGATGTCGTCAACCTTGACTGTGGGTGCGGAAGAATAATCGGTTAGCGATGTTGATTCGGGTGTTGATTGCATTGTGTGGTTTCGAAATAATAGAGTCCATTGGTCGATTGGTGGATCTTCAATATCGGATCTCAAATCTTGAATCCTTGACTTGTTTTTCGTATTCCATATCCTCCGCGGGGGTAAAAAAAGAACTAAAGAAATCGAAATCGCGTACCTGGGCCCTTCACGTTACGGATGATGGAGCGGGAAGTGTCGTCCATGAACTCAACGCGGACCTGGGTGACACCACCACGGGAACCTAAAAACGCAGAAGAAATCATAGATCAGTATTCTGTTGTATGTTGATAATTCGAAATCCCTTCCAGCAACATGATCCCGGCGATTATCCAAGTATAATTTGTCGTGCCTTCGCGGATCTCGAAATGTTGAAATATCGAATTGTTTCGTGTAGGATGTAGGAGAGGTCAAACGTACCGGTGCGACCGAGGACACGGGTCACCTTGACGAGCTTGACGGGCTGCTTGCTGGAATCCATTTTGAAGGATTGAGGGTGAGCTCGGACGAGGGTGGTGAGAATTTGGGTGGACTGGAGGAAGAGGCGGATGTCAAGATGAATTTGCCTTGTGTGGGTTACCAAATTACGCGAGGGCTCAGGGCTGTCAACACCTGACCCGTCAGGCATCCGTTGATAAATGCGGATGCTGAGTCACCCGATCTGCGACTGAGGCTGACACCTCGACGCCTAAGGCAGAAGTATATTAGTCATCGACTCTGCCATTGGGCATTTTAGTTATGTTTGAGATGCATTCCCTGCCCACTTGAATTGACTTTTGATACCAATTATTTTCATGAACATCAATGTAGAATGTAGATAGATATCTTTGGTAGCGTGAGGCATTTCAGGGTCTCCAACTCCCAGTGATCGTAGACACGTGGGTGCATTTGACCTTGGCTCTGCGAATCAGACCCATAACCAAGTAAGATACACCGGAAGTAAATCGGAGTACCCAATCGCGCTGCCCCTCCAATTTCTGCCGCAAAGAGCTCCGGTCTGCCCGCAACCACCCTTATCCTCCTCACCTATACCTCCAAGCAATTACCTCAAGACTATATAAGTAGTCTTTGAATCTGCCATTGAATTGATCCTCAGATCCATTCTTATCCCAACGAACCCCGCAGCCTCTTTTTTAAAAAACCCCATCTTCCGTGCCCCGCGCCGCGCCCAATCGCCATGGATCTCGTCAACCAGTGAGTCAATCCCAACAAAAGAAGCTCACTACATCAATCGCAAGACAAACGCCCAACTAACATTCAATCGCGAACCAGCCTCGAAGGAAGACTTCTCTTCGCCGTCCCCAAAAGCAAGTCTCCCTCCAACATACATACCAATGACTCATTCCCGCAGCGAGCAGCACGAGAGAGAGAGAGAGGACATGACGCATATGCACATGTACCCTTTCACCCATTATATTGAAATTTCAAAACTAACCGCGCAACAATCAATACAGAGGGCCGCCTGCAACAAGCCACCCTCGACCTCCTCGCCGGCTGTGACGTCCAGTTCCGCCGCGAAACCCGCCTTGATATCGCCCTGGTCAAGAACCTGCCCATTGCCCTGATCTTCTTGCCCGCCGCTGACATCCCCACCTTCGTCGGCGAGGGCCGTGTCGACCTGGGTATCACCGGCCGCGACCAGGTCGCCGAGCACGACGCTACCCTGCCGACTGGCGAGGCCTCCGGCGTAGAGGAGATTCTCGACCTTGGCTTCGGCGGCTGCAAGCTGCAGGTGCAGGTTCCCGAGAAGGGCGATATCACCGAGGCCAGCCAGCTCGTCGGCCGCAACGTTGTTACCAGCTTCACTGCGCTCTCGGAGCAGTTCTTTGCTAAGCTGGAGGGTCTCGAGGCCGGCCAGAAGAACCTGAGCACTAAGATTAAGTATGTCGGCGGTAGTGTTGAGGCTGCTTGCGCGCTGGGTGTTGCTGATGGAATTGTCGATCTTGTCGGTATGTTTCTGTTCTGTTTTGTCCTGTTCTGTTCTTGTATTATCACAACTGGACCAGATTGCCAACTGACACCCTTTTTCCAGAATCCGGTGAGACCATGAAGGCTGCTGGTCTTAAGGCTATCGATACCGTCGTGACTAGCACCGCTGTGCTCGTCAAGTCGCGTGGCTCCAACACCGACCTCCTTAACTTGCTCACTTCCCGTATTCGCGGTGTGATCACTGCCCAGAAGTTCGTGCTGTGCCAGTACAACATCCCCCGCTCTGAGCTGGCCGTTGCTTCCAAGATTACTCCTGGTAAGCGCGCGCCTACTATCACCGCCCTTGAGGAGGAGAACTGGGTTGCTGTCAGCTCTATGGTGGAGAAGAAGCGCATTGCCACTGTCATGGATGACCTTATTAAGGTCGGAGCTACTGATATCTTGGTGCTGAACATTGCCAACTCTCGCACTGATTAAGCCCGCGTCACCTTTTATATCTTTTTCGGTTCCTCTATATTTGGTTCCTTGGTTCTGATGATCGTCTTGTTGCGTATTATGAATTGTTTTTTATGATTTTGTCTGGGTTTTGAAAGTTGAAGACTTGGAAAAAACTTGGTATATAGAGCATTGGGTTATAAAGCGAGTTTTAAAAAAGGACATGGATGTCTTTGTACACAAATCTTCTCTAATATCTTCTATAACATCTTTTCTATATAAAATTCATCTCTGTGCATAGTATCATACACAAATGTGCAAGTAAGGGTAAAACAATGCATGTCCACAAGATGGAGGTCGCAATCAACATGAATCGTAAATCAAGGGTTTCGTAACAAAAGTGGTATCATGGCATGGAAATGGAGGAGAAAAATCAAACCAAAAGAAAACGCAAACATGGAACAAAATCAAAATGCACAGATACTTTCCCAAATAGAGGGTGAATCCAAATCCATCAAATATGCATGTACTAGACCCATCAGACCTCTAGTTCTGACTGCCCATACCAACACCTTCTCTGCGTCCTCGAACAATAGCTCTCAGACACTGCCCAACACCCTCAAGATCACCAAGTAATCCAACATGGCCACGGTCACTCTTTACCAGACCGCCCTTGATAATCCGGTAACCGGGTGGCAACATGGCAGCAGAAGCAAGACACACACCATCGCCAGCAGCAAAAGCCAAATCATCATAGCAATCCTGGTGCTTAATCGCCTCACGTGAAGTGACCCGGGCCCCGTAAACGGTGGGCACACTCTTGCCATACAGCACAGCAGCAGGCGGGTATTTATTACCCGACTGATGAGCAGGTCGGAAGTCCAGCTCCGACTTGAACTGCTTGACCTCCGCAAGAGTGCGTTGCAGATACTCGATAGCCGCGGCACGAGGGATGGTGCTTGTCGTGGATGCTTTGCTTGAACCGGCACTACCGCGCGGGTGCGACACAGGGCCCACGATGCCATCGGCGGGGAGTAGGAGGTTCTCCGGGACCCTTTCGATTTTGTCGGCGATAGCGCGAGAAGGAGATTGGGATGCGGAGCGAGGCGGGTTCCGCGCAGAGATTTCTTCGTCAGTGGTCGTTGTTTGGTCATGGTCTTCTGCGAAATCCTGGACGCTTGTTTCGGGATCGTCGCGCGGGCCGAGGGAGAATCGCTTTCCGATGAGAGCGAAGTCTTTGAAGCCGCGGCCGGTGGCTGTGGTAGGCGGGAGACATGGTCCGATACAGGGGGATAGACGGTGTTCGTCCCAGTTTGCGGCATCGAAGAAGTCAACGCGGTATTCTTCTTTGGATTGCTTGTCGATGAAGCAGTGGCCGTCTTCTGGGAGGAGGGCGAAGCTGGTGCGGAAGGTGAAGTTTACCTGGGCTGTTAGGACGCGCGAACTGAGCAGGACGTCGTCGCCGTTGCGCAGAGGGCCGAGGATATTGACGCAGTGTTGGGGAACTCCGGCGTATACAACACCGGCGAAGAGATCGGGGCGTTGGTTGACGGCGTGGCGAGTGATCAGGCCGCCGAGACTGTGAGCGATCACGTATGCACCGCGTCTTTGTCCGGTGGTTGAGTTCGGGCGATTGGAGGGGAGACCCTCAAGGAATTCGATCAGCCTTCGAGAAAGGAGATCCGGGCTCAGTCGCCAGTCATAACCGTAATCCCAGACACGTAAATCACCGCGGATGGCATTCTCGGACTTCCGGAGTCGCTTCATCAATCGCCGACACACGTCCACAGGACCAACATGGGAGAGTACGCCGGATGGGATGATAGTCTCTTCCATGCGCTCTTCGTCTTCTCGGGTCAAACCCACCTCCAAATCGACCTTGCGCAGATTCAATCCCACCTTCATTGGAACCCACAACTGCCGATTGGGTGCCTTGGCAGATCGCAGGATAGATCCTCGATAGCCACCCAGAATCACAACATCCCCAGTCATTTCAGACATGGCCTCTTCCAGGATGGGATGCGTGGTTTGTGAGTTCTGTCGTGGCGGAGGCGGCGGGGTCGCAGATGCATGCACTGATCCATTCATATCTTTATCAGCCGAGGCAAACGAGCCACCCAGATCTGGGAAGAACGGCTTCGAATTCCAATCATTACGAATATCCTGCAGATTCAAGGCTGGCATACTAAGCAATCGGCTACTTGAATCTTGCAAAGAATCTTTAATCGCCTTAAACCGACTGTTGACCTGAGAATGAATATTCTCATATCGCGGCCGTTGTTCCAGCGATGACGCCGTGGACGATGCACGTAAGTACAGCGATTGATCCGAAGATGAGCGGCGAAGACTTGGGGGTCGTCCGGGAGTCGTACTGGGTCGTCTGGTAAAAGAATGTTTTATAGCAGAGCTTTCTTCCATTGACTTGAGCTCCGGAACATGATGACCATCATCCGCTTCATCAGATTCATGACCTGCGCCTTGGGAAAGCGAAGATGCCGGTTGGTTACGTCGGTCCAACGATGAAGTTCTCTTCTGCAGCAACGTCGAGTTCGAGCCCTTCTTCTTCGGTCCTTCTACGGTTTGACTGCGAGCCCGGTTATTATTGTTACCAGACAGAAATGGAAGCGTCGGTCGCTTCGTCAGGGCGCCCAGGTCCGGGAAGAACTTCTTCAATTCCCCAGACCACGCTCGCGGGCGACTGGGAAGCGACGTCTTGAGCAGTGACCGGGTAAAGCTTGATCGATGGCCGTGAGAACCGCTAGACTCCTTGTGATCTTGCGACGCGGCCGCTGACGCAGAGCCTCCGGTGTGGGGGCCGCGTGGCGTCAGGCGCTCCACCGGCAAGGACTGTGCATGAGGATGCACGGCTGGAGGCCTCTGAGTCGTCCGCTTAGCTTGCGAAGCTTGTTGGGCCGCCAAATTGTCAGATTGCAGCGATTCGGGTTCCGCCGTCAGCTCCGAAACGAACAGGCCATCCTCGTCGACGGTGTCCGGGACCTCAGTGAAGTAACCGCCATTATCCTCCAAGGCACGATTTTTCTCTTCGGCGGGTGTTGCGCGTGCTTTCATGCGACTTTGGGTGGGACCAATGCTGACACCGACGACATCGCTGGCATCGTCTTCGTCTACGTCGCTGTCGTAATGAGGGGTTGGGCCATCGCTATCGGAGCTGGAGAAGGAGGAGTATTGGGATGGTGATTCGGATGCGACCGCGTTACCGGAGGATTCGGATGAATAGGATATCTGCTGGTCGGGCGCTCTTCGGATGGTTCGTTTGTCTTGGTGAGGGCCTAGCGGATCAGGCTGGCTATTGAGGAGGGACACCATGGTATGAGATCGCACAAGAGAGAAAGAAAAAAAAATAGAAGAAACCCGACCGCTAGGTTCAGGGCATTGAGGTCGTACAACCCCGAAAAAGTTTATACAAAGCTTGGCCCAGACAGAGCTGGGGACTTGGCTTTATGCAGGATGATGCAAACGGACGTAAAATACAGAGGGAAAATTCGATTTCCATATAACACATAAGAGTAACAAGTGAGTACCTGAAGATAAAAGGTGACGTGAGAGAATCCAATGATCATAAGTAAGCCATTGAAGACCGAAAACAGGAAGGTTCCACACTACACAGCCTCCGGGTTAACCGGAAGGTAAAAAACTCTGTAAAATCCACGTGAAAAAGGATACATCAATAGTGATCAATAGTAAGACCGTATAAGCTAGTTTGGCTACTTTTAGTTCTAGTTTCAGCCCCAAAAGTTGTGTCTTGAATTCTTCTTTTTCTTTTTTCTTTTCCTTTCTTTTCATGATCGACGCAGGTTCATGGTTAAAGCCAAGGCCCGGGAGATCGGTGGACTAAATTTCCAGAATTGATCAACTCCATACAAATACGCTATGACATCGACCAAATGTCATACTATAATCATGATTTCTAACCAATTTGCACAAGTCAAGCTTTTTGTTTGCCGAGTTGTTTTCCAACTTGTTGGGCTGATCGCGGGGCTTGACCAAATTCTCCAATCATATCCTGGTGGGATGGTTAGCTACATATGCGCTTGCATTTCTAAGCTGTCATTTGCTGCTTTAGGATCCAGGCCACGTAAAGTGGGACTCAACTGGAACATAATAAGCTGGGCCATTTCGATGTTATTAGAAATCTTCTTCTAATATTTGTCGATACAATTTCAAATATTCTTCTTTGATCTTCCGTATACTTCGCACTTAGTCAAAAGCCGAAATTCGGACGAACTTTCGCTAATCCAGCCCCCACTGCGGCTGACTTCCCCCCACCATCAGCCTTAAAACACTTAAAACACCAAAAAAACGCAAGTATGGCGAGGGATGAAGATAATTGCCCTTGGAATGTAGGATGATCTATTTTTTAAACTATATCAGAATTGAGAACCCAACTCTATCCCGATCGCTAGATCTTGCAACCTTAAACAGTTGAACTTGAAAGCTTTAAAGTAAACCTAAGATTTATATTGATCTAACTTAAAAAATGGAAAATCTCGTTATGCCTCGGCATAGATATACATTACATGTACCAATCAATAACTTACCACAAACCAAAATTATCACTCACGACGGGGAGTCTCCTTGAAATCCTTCGTAGAGATCTCCTGTTCACCCCGACGCGCAATTTCCTCATTCCATTCAGCACTCTCATGGGATCCAAACGCCCGATCAACTGTCGCATTGAGTGCCCCGCGTAGTGTCTCACCAGCGCCCTAAGAAACAAACCCATTAGCCACCCAATCCCCAAGCCAACCTTCACAGGCACCGCCTGCACAAACTTACATGAACTCCGGCCGCAAGCCCCTTTATACCCTTCCCCACCCCCTCACTGGCGTGTTGCGATTTGAATCCCTTCTGCGATTTCTCCATCTCCTTCTCCATCTTCACCCGCTCAGCCGTACTAGGCCAATGAGAGATTCGAGGATCGCCCTCCGGAGCATCAAAGCCTCCGGTAGGTGAAGGTGGGCGATAGTAATCATAATCGGCCTTGCCAGCGCCAGCTCCAGTGCCAGCACCAGCACCAGTCTTGTACCCGGCGCCAGTGGCGCTGTTATAACCGGTGGTCGCGGGATCGTACTGATTGCGCTGGTCTGCTCTGAAGGTCGGGATGCCGGCGGAACCGGTTGAGGAGCCGGAATGCACTTCTTTACGGGGAGTTGTCATTGTGGCGGGAATTAACGATTCTGGACAGATATACAGAGACAAATTGATGAAATCCGAATTTAGGGATTAGAACTGGAATTCCAGGTTGGATTCGTCCTTATTCTCTTTTTTTTTTTGCGATTTATATACTTGAGTATTGACGTCATCATGACAGAGCTACTCGGGAGGAAAACATTCTTTATCAGTACTTAGTTGGACTAGTAGTAACTAGCAGTATGTACTCTGTATCGGTCTGATAATTTTTGTAAATAAGTATTTTCCAACCTTCCAGACTCAATTATGGATTTTCGGTTACCTCCATATAATGACCCCAGCGTATTGAGCCGAGGCCCAAGTCTCGGTGTGGAGCAGTTTTCCTAATCTGGGGTTGCTCCGATCCTCATTATCTCCAACGTTTTGTTCTTCCCCCAGTATAATTTTCTTTCGTTTCCCCAGACCCAAACACACCCTCTTTTCTTCCAATCCCTGTCCTATCCAGTGCCCGATACAAAACATAATCTCCATACTGAACTACCACACGCAAAAACCTCAACCACCCACCATGTCCTATAAACAAATTCTCTACAACAAAGCGCCCGCGCCCTCCATCGACCCAACCCTCAACACCGGCACCTTCCGCCTAAACACCACCCCGCGCCCCACAAATGTCCCATCAGACAAGCTGCTCGTGCGCGTGCACTACCTCTCCCTGGACCCAGCCATGCGCCAATGGCTCACCGCCAAACGCTCCTACATCGCGCCCGTCGAGCTCGGCGCCGTAATGCGCGGCCAAAGCATCGCCCAGATCGTCACGGTCGGCAGCAGCCTAACCTCGACCTTCAAAACCGGCGACTGGGTCGTCGCCTACTCCGGCTGGCAAGAATACGCCCTGATGGGCGCCAAGGAGGTGGAGAAGGTCAGCCTGCCGGCCGGCGGCCGGCCCACCGACGCAATGTCCGTGCTGGGCATGACCGGGCTCACGGCGTACTTCGGTATGCTGGAGGTTGGACAGCCCAAGGCTGGCGAGACGGTTGTGGTCTCGGGCGCTGCGGGCGCAACGGGCAGCATTGCCGGCCAGATCGCGAAGATTAAGGGCGCAAAGAGGGTGGTTGGGTTGGCGGGGAGTGATGAGAAGTGCGAGTTCTTGGTTAAGGAGCTTGGGTTTGATGTTGCGATCAATTATAAGGATCCGCAGTGGAAGAAGCAGTTGAAGGAGGCGACGCCCGAGTATATTGATGTGTTCTTTGATAATACTGGTGGCGAGATTTTGGATGCGTGTCTTGCGCGCGCGGCGCGCGATTCGCGGTTTGTGATTTGTGGTGCGATTAGCCAGTATAATGCGGCGAAGCCGCAGGGGCCTACGAGCTTTATGAATGTTATTGTGAGTTTATGGGAGGGGATGATTGAGGGTGGATTGGATTGGGATTGTGGCTAATGATTGATTACGCAGTCGCAACGTGTTACTGTGAAGGGATTTATTGTGTTTGACTATGCTAAGAAGTATGGGGCTGCGTTGCAGGAGCTGGCTTCTTGGCTTTCGCAGGGTAAGTTGAAGCGCAAGGAGCATATTGTGCCGGGAGGGTTGGAGGGAGCGCCACAGGCGCTTGTTGATCTGTATGCTGGTGTGAATACTGGCAAGATGATGGTGGAGGTTGCGCCGGTTAGCGAGGCACTGGGATTGAAGGCTAAGCTTTAGATCAACGTAATTGTGCTTTCAATGTCTCTTCTTGATTACCTTTTTTCCCCCTGCACAGACATGTTCGAGTGTATGTACCACTAGCATAGGTATCAATCTTGCATCCCGCAAATAAGCTCTGAATTAAAGTTTCCATTTGTACTTAGGCCAGATTAGCCATCTCAAGCGACAGAAAATACAAAGGATGGATTGACTTGTATTCGATGTACCTCGAAATCCCGAGTCAGAATCTCGCTGCATCACATACTTCGGATGATCATCGGGATTTCTACGGTGCTTGTTCGGGGTTTACTATTACCCTACCCGCCAAACTATAGAAACAGCCCTGGAGAAATGTAGGATTTCGCAGGTTTTATCTCGGTATATACTAGTAGTAGGTATGCCTTTTTTCAATCGATGTCCAGGTGGAGACCCAGACCCAGACACGTGGACAAGTACCTATGAGGGAGAACCAATGTTGGAAAAACATTCAATATTGAAAAAAGTCCATTAAACGCATCAATTGATAGCACCAAGACCAGTTGACAGAAAAACCCCAGGCTTTACATTTGAACATCCACCTGTGCATGCTTCATCCCATTGAATTCCCTAGCGATTATTCGTGATGTCGCCATGATTCATCCCAACCTGAACCCCGTAATTATTCCCATCAAACCGAACATTATCCCCCTGCGTCGTATAATTATTAACAGTACTATTGTGATAAGTATCACCCCCCTTCAGCACCTGCGTAATCTTCTCCTGCTGCGCAGCAACCTGCGGCACAATCCTCCCCAACAGCTCCTTCGCATACAAAGCCGCCGTCATAGCCGCATACCCCTGCCACTCCTTATTCTTATGCGAATCGGCATAATCACAAATACCCCTAACAACCAAGCAAGGAAAATGATTCACCAAGCCCGCAGCCTCCATCTCAAAACACAAAACACCATGCTTCCTCGCGAACTCATCCCGAACCCGCGCATCCTTCATAAGCTGATTCGCGGACGCAATCAGCCCATAATGAATAGCCGGATCATCCTCCTCGTCCGTGCGCGGTGCGCGCAAAACCAGGGCCTCAGCCCGCTCGCCGCACGCAACCGCACACGACGATTCAGCGACGCCGTCGCTTTCGCCCGGATGCACGACATCGCTCTTGTAGAGCCGGTCCGTCGCCGGGTCGGGCCGCGAGTACTTCTTCCGAAGCCGCGGGTACCTGACGAGCAGCTCGGTGACCAGTCTGTCGATGGGGTTGCCTTTGCGCTCGTACTGCGATGCTAGGCCGCTGACGGGCGTGCGCAGGAACGTCGGCGCCTGGTTGGTGAAGCCTGTTTGCTGGAAGGACTGGTCTTGGATTGTTTTACCGAAGTCGTATTGGAGGATGCCGCCTCGGCCGTTGTGTGGGATGCCGACGACGATGTCGCCGAGGCGGATGTCGTGCTTTGCGCTTGGGGCGCCGCCGCCGATGCCGACCATGAACGCGAGGCGGATGTTGGGGAAGGCGTGGACCATGCCTTCGGCTACCTGTGCGGCTGAGGAGGTGCCGTACTCGCCCATTGGCAGGACGGAGATCACGACGTTGTGCTGTCCCATCTTGCCGAGGGTGTAGTCATTTTTGTGATTAGGGGGGAGGTGAGTCGGCGGTTCATGTTCTTCGTCCAGAGATGCGGTGGCAGCCGTATACTCGGTGCTTATGGCGCAGATCCAGCCCACGGTATAGTCTTCTGGCTTGGACATTGCGAAGTCCTTACTCGGGAAGTAGGACTCTGTGCTGGGTGATTGGGATCTATAAAGCTGTGAGGTTTGGGGTCCGAAACGCACAGCCTCGATTTTGAGACTACGTGGCGGCGCATAGCGCGGGGCTTCTTGGTGAGGCTGAAAATTGCCCCTCACTTGGGGAGATTGGGGGCCATTTCTCCTTGCGCTTTGATCTTCGCGACATCTATCATAGTTAGGGCTAAATGCCTGCCGTGACACAGCCTCACGACATTCAGTCCTCATTCGAAGCCTGCACTTGTGGTGGTACAGATGTGTTTCTTTGGGTCGGCATATAATATCACAGTCACACCCTGCGGCTGGATTGGCCAAAAATCCCACCTGGGCAGATTAGACGTACATGATCTGTTTCAGGAGCGAGCTATCATTAGGGGGTTATAGATAGTGGGATATTGCATCCGACATGTCTTGACCTTGGTGAAGGTCGATATGGGTATCTTATTAACTTGAGCTAACTCAACGCCCCAATAGTCCCGCCTCACATATTGATACCCGGCTCATCCATTCAGATTGTAACAACTGCGAACTAGTGATCCGTTTTCTTGCAGTAGGGTGTAACATCGCATAGATAGCGTTGCCTCGTCTCTGTAATGAAGTAAATATCGAATTAGAATGATTGTGCAATATGATTGAACAAAAAAGGGGGAAATCCACAAAAACAACATACTTTCCCAAGCGCTTCGATCGGCGGGTACCCATCTTCCGAGCAACGGCCGTAGAGATAATCAAGATAAACCGGATCCTCATGATGAGGCCGAGCACTGCGCCAAATAAGACGCCCGGTAATAAGTGCCACATAGATAATAGCCGTAGCCCAAATATCCGCCGGGCGAGGATCATCATCATCACCATCACGATGAGGCAGATCACCATGTCCCAGGACAGCACGTGAACGAGAATGAAAGCCCTCTGGCGGGATATAAGGCAGACTCATCCCGGGATAAGACACGGTCGAATGTGCCATCTCGCCCGATGCCCGAGCCGAGGGGTTAGTCTTGGAGGAAGAAAACAGCCACGGCAAGGAAAAAGACCACGCCGCCGCAGATGCAGATGCAGGATGAGATTGGGAGCGAGGACGGAATGTTTCTTCTGTTGGAACTGCGCACTCAGACCAGATGCGGCGAATATGGCCATCTCCGAACCCGGCCAGTTTGACGGAGCCGTTCTCTGTCAGGAGGACGGTCTCTAGTCGGATATCGCGGTGAGCGGTGTTTTGCTCGTGGAGGAAGGAAAGGGCGCCGAGAATTTGGGCTATGATGCAGTCTGCTTCGTTGGTGGAGATGGGTCCGCCGGTGTGAGAGATGAGTTCGTGAAGGTTGCCCCCTGCGCAGATGGGCATGACTAGGCAGAGCTCGGAGCGTTCGTTATAAAGGAGGTCGAGGATGGCGAGGATGTTGGGGTGATGAGGATGGAAGTTGGCAATGGATTCTGGAGATCCATGAGATGATCGAGAAAGGGGATTTGATGAATCGAGAATGTTGCATCGGTACACTTTGATGGCGAGGAGTTGTTTTGATTTGAGGTCGGATCCGGGGAGTTTGTTGAGATGTAGGCGGACTGTGCTGTTGGCACCATAATGCAAGATATCAAGACAGCGGCCATATTTCTCGGTGAAAGGAAGAGATGCTTGAATTAGGGGTTGGTCGGTCGATCCTGTGGTAGTTGTGGTCTCGGACCTTATCAATGGCCGTTGTTCTGTCGAAACTGATGCTAAGCTTGGTTCATGTTTGAATACGAACCAACCGCGTTTTGCGGCGCTTTGACTGCCATCATGAAGATGGGAGTCAGGCGACCACTTTGGATGCGTCACATAGTGATGATGAGCGAGATGATCGTGGTCGGATCGGTGCACGGTGACGGCTGTCCAGGCGTCAGGGTGACGACGCTTGTCCTTCATGGATATAGTTACTTTGGCAGAGCAGGAAAAAAGAAAGCAATGAAAGCTAAAGTTGCAAAAGAAAAGAATGAATTCAACTAAAGGAAAAAGAAAAGGAGGCGCTAGAAATGCTATTGCTTTTTTTTTCTCCGCGATGCGCATGCCCTACAAGCGGATTTTATAGATATGCTTTTCGGCGGTGTGTGCAGTCTACTACAGCTCGTAACACATGTCCTACGAGTTCCATGGGAACGGGACAAAGAAACAGAAAATACGGGAACATCGTAAGCTGTCGCTTAGAGCGGCCATAGTGGCTACGTGAAACGATATGGAAAAAAAACACGCAAAAAAAAAAAAACGAGAAGTGGTGATACTGGAGCCTGTAAAGTGGTTTAGTGGAAGGAGCCGCGATTGGACATGGCAAACAGCGCATGATAATCGCAGCTCAATCCAGCAGATAACCAGACTGAGGGATTTTTCTGGTTCAATCTGACAAGAGCAAACCATTAGCAAAGGGTAAAGATTTCCCTTTAGTCTAGCTCGTAAAAAAAAAATGGGGGTAGGGAAATTATAACCATAGTCGCACCGGATGGAGTAGTTCAGCGGAGAGAGAAAAATGAAATCTGTGGCGAGGAAAAATCGCGCATTTCTCGGATTGGAACATGTCCACCATTTTGTTACCACCACGTTCTGCCATGTGGCTGTGTCAATGAAATTTGCATGCGCGATTTGATTCCTGTCACCATGATGGAATTTTTTTCCCACTTGTTTCGTCCTCTTGTAACCGGGGGAATTAACCACGGAACACTTGCTGAAACCGAGGGAATGATTTAGGGCTGGATGAGTCGCAGAGGCTGGTTCTGGTATGGTCACATTCAGGCAGGCCAATTTATGATTGGCTTTCTCAAGCTATGGGGAAGTAATGTTACCGTACGCTATGGGTATATCGTATTGTCGTAAATGTGGGTTTTACTATGTCAAACTCGATTAAGCTTGCCATCCATTGCCATTATTTCCCATCAATTCGGTACCTGATTCCACTATGGAAACCTTGGTATCCCCACTTACTATACTATGAGCGCTATTTTGTTTTTTTTTCCCTACTTCCTAATCAGCTAGGTCAAGGCGTGAAAAAAAATCCTTTATCCACCGCACAGAACTTTTCCATCTATAGCCAAATGTAGAGCTAATCGAATGGCGCCGAGCATTGATCAACCGGTTTTGATCTGTTTTAATAAAATTTTCTTTTCTTCTGCTCGTATTGGCAAGGATTTCACATGGAATATCATATGGGGTTAGCTAATATGGGCTCCCGCCTTCCCAATCCATCCTTAGCCACGAGGCGTAGTTTCCTCCGGTTTAGTTTCGGCCAACCTACATAAGGCCCGGGGTCGCACGTACTACTTTTTTTTTCTTTATCATTCAACTCTTTCACTTTCCGTGTGCCTGCTCTGGTGTTTGGCTGTCTGCCTACCCTTTCTATCGCCTCCCTCCTCCCCCCTCCCCCCTCAGACAGCGGCACTATGGACTCTCGCACTCCTGATGATACGCCCAATGTCGACAGTGACGTCGACATAGAGGCAAATGCGGAAATCACAAAAGATGAAGAATCGACAGAAGCCCAAAATATGCGCATCACTTTCCACAACTCTACTGCTGATGTAGAGGGAATGCGCTCCATCTACCAACCAGCTCAGCTTCGACGTACCCACTCTTTGGGTCGTGAGACCGTTCGCAGTACCCGCAGTATCCCCCAGACCGCAGTTGGTGGCGCTGCCCCAGGACTTCCTATCGAATTTCGCACCCTCTCGATTCAAATCTCGGAATCTCAAACTCGCCCTAAGGAGATCGTGACCGAAACACCCAAGGAGAAAGTCCCCAACCAGGATTACTTCGAGAGCTTGGATTTCCACACAATCACACAAGATAAAGTCTGTCAAGAGTTCAATGTTGACCCGCGCTTCGGTCTCAGTGCCGAGTCAGCTGCGACACGTCTCCAGCGGGATGGCAAGAATGTCATCGCTCACCATGGCGAGAACTATTTCAAGAAGCTGTTCTTTTATGTCTTTGGTGGCTTTTGTTCAATTCTGTGGGTGGGTGTGATTATCTTCTTCATTTGCTGGAAGCCTCTCAGTAACCCACCTTCGCCAACCAATCTTGCCATGGCCGTTCTCGTCATGATTGTCATTGCACTCCAAGCCGGTTTCTCAGCTTTCCAGGACTGGTCCACCAAGCGGGTAATGAACTCGATTCTGGGTCTTCTTCCATCAGAGGCCCTGGTCTTGCGTGATGGAAAACAGCTCCGTCTTTCTGCCACCGACCTGGTGGCTGGAGATATCGCGCAAATCAGTGTGGGAAATAAGGTCCCTGCCGATATGCGTCTATTGCAGACCTCGGGAGATATTCGCTTTGATCGTGCCATCCTCACTGGTGAGTCTGATGAGATCGACGGCGCTACCGATGCCACCGACGCAAACTTCCTCGAAACCCGCAATGTCGCCATGATGGGTACTCTTGTCACCAACGGAAATGCCACCGGCATTGTGTTGCTGACAGGTAGCCGTTCCGTTATGGGTCGTATTGCTAGTATGACTGCTGGCGTCAAACAAAAGCCTACCTTGATTCAAAAGGAGATCAACCGCTTTGTTACCATTATCGTTGCCATGACTATCTGCCTTGCCTTGCTCATCCTTTTCACCTGGTTGGGATGGCTTCGCAAGGATCACCCAACTTACATGAGCGTGGTAGCCATGCTGAACAATGTCATGGGCTGCGTGGTAGCCTTTATTCCGGAGGGTGTGCCCGTTGGTGTTGCGCTGACACTGATGATGGTCGCTCGGGCTATGAAGAAGAACAACATTCTGCCCAAAGGACTTGCCACCGTGGAAACTTTGGGATGTGTGAACGTGATTTGCTCCGACAAGACAGGAACCCTCACCCAGAACCGCATGTTTGTCAAGTCACTTGGCATGGTTGACTTGGAGTACAACACCGACGATCTCGTGTCTGGCATGGAGTCCTCCGAAGGGCTCAAAAATCTTCTCCGTGCTTCAGTTCTTTGCAACGACGCTACCTTTGACCCAGAGACCATGAATCTACCAGTCTGGGATCGTATTGTCAATGGAAACGCCACAGATGCTGCTGTGCTGCGACTTGCTGATAGTGTCGGCGCCGCTGCACCAAGCAACCTGGATCCTTATCAGCGCATCCACCAGATCCCTTTCAACTCGAAAAACAAGTGGATGCTTACAATGCACGAAGACCCGAGCGCTTCCAAAGGATACATGGTCTACGTCAAGGGTGCACCTGATGTTCTTTTGGACCGCTGCTCTACCTATTGGTCTGGCGTCAACAACGCGATCCGCCCACTGGACTCACAAGCCAGACAGAAGCTTTCTGAGTTCCAGGCCAAACTTTCTCGTCGCGCCGAGCGTGTGATCATCCTTTGCCAACGCCGCTACGTTCCCACTCACCCCCTGGGATCCAATGGTTTCAGTGACGAGATGCTTGAATCCGGTGTCCAGGATCTGACTGTGCTTGGTATTTTCGGCATCATTGACCCCCCTCGACCAGAGACTGCTCAGACTGTGGCCGCATGCCGACGTGCAGGCATTCGATTCTTCATGGTCACCGGTGACTTTGGATTGACTGCCGCAGCGATTGCCCGTGATATCGGTATCTTTGATGGCAATGCTGAGCCTGATCTCATTGATGATCTCCGTGATGGATTTTCCTCGGACAAATCGCCGGCACCCTCCAGACGCAGCTTGCTTTTGGAAGGTAGCAGCCTCTCGTCTCTTACTCATGAGGAGTGGACCACTGTTTGCGACTATGAGGAAATTGTCTTTGCTCGTACCAGTCCCGAGCAAAAGCTCCGTATTGTGTCAGAACTCCAGGCAAAGGGTAATTTCGTCGCTGTCACTGGTGACGGTGTCAACGATGCGCCTGCATTGCGTGCTGCCGATGTTGGAGTCGCCATCGGCGGGGGTAGTGATGTCGCTATTGAGGCTGCCGATCTTGTACTGCTTGAACGATTCGATTCGATTATCGAAGCTATTCGTCTTGGTCGCTTGGTATTCCAGAACCTCCAAAAGGTTATTGCTTACCTGCTACCCGCTGGTAGTTTCTCCGAGATCTGGCCTGTCCTTATGAACGTCTTCTTTGGCTGCCCGTCTCCTCTCAGCTCCTTCTTGATGATTATTATTTGTGTTTTCACTGACCTTTTCCTCTCCTTGTCATTGATCATGGAAAAGGAGGAGTTTGATTTGATGAGCATCCCCCCTCGCAAGCCTCGCAAGGATCATCTGATCAACCTCCGCATTTACGGCCAGTCCTATCTCTTTGTCGGTGTGATGGAAGCTTTCAGTGCTCACGCTATGTTCTTCTTGTACATGTGGAAGGCCGCTGGCATTCCCTTCTCCGATCTGATTTTCGCATTTGAGAAGTACTCCGCTGGATTCCACGGATACACCCAGGATGAACTCGACCACTTCAACTACGTTGGCCAAGGCGTATACTTTGTCACTCTTGTCATCATGCAGTGGGGTAATATCTTGTCTGTTCGCAGCAAGCGCATGTCTATCCTGCAGGCTGATCCCATCCGCCCTGCCCGCCGCAATCCTTGGCTCCCTATTGCCATGGTGATTTCGCTCGTTATCGCAATCTTTGTCACCGAAGTTCCCGGTATTCAAAGATTGTTCCTGACTGCCTCTGTCCCCATCGAATTCTGGCTCATTCCCCTTGGCCTTGCCATGGGTGTCCTGGTTATGGATGAGCTGCGCAAGGTTCTTGTGCGCTCGTTCCCGAAGGGCCCAGTTGCTTATGTGGCGTGGTAACGAAGGGGGATATAATGTTCTTCTTGCTTGTGATGAAACCAAATTCAAAAGAACAAATGTGGCTTTGACGGAAGGTGTTTGTGGCAATGCCCACTTTTTGCATATTTTATTTTACTTTTTGATATCACCTCACATACCTGTTCAGCGTTTTTTATGTCGGATTTGATCTGGGATAGATCCGGGTGGATTATGACTCTATTTATTGGCATAGATTAATGAAATTACCCATACACGAACTCTATGAAAGATAATCTTCTCGCTTGAACATTAGTAGATCGAGGATATTTGCAAACATTGACTTCATCTTTTCGCTGCTTCAAACAGAAGTACTGCCCTAAATCTAGTAGAACGACCTCATATATCGAAAATCCCCACACATCCCCGGCAACCCTTCCATCTACTTAGTAGACGTGTATATAAGTTTGGCTTGAAATTTCTTTCTAAACACTACGTAGTATCTTTGTACCTCGCCGCTGAATTATGAAAGTCAATCGACTTGTGTTCGAATGCTATCCAGTAAGAAGCTATTGCTGTGTGGCTCCAACATAAAATGGGAGTGGATCGGCCTAAGAGAACAAGAAGATCAAGTCCAATAAGGAGGAGGGTGAGAACACAATGCTGTAGTATTGGGTGCTGCAAGGAAGGAAGAAAGAAGGAGAGAAGAAGAGAACAAGCTATCTACACAAGAATAGATAGAGTGACTGAGTGAGAGTACAGATCACATGATCAAACACGGCCCAAGCTTACTAATGGGCCAAGCGGTTTCATTGATCCCCACTATTGTCGCCCGCTAGAAGCGGATCTCGTCTCTAACCCGACTAATAATTTACATCGTTCGACATTGTGAAACCTCCTCATGTAGTAGTAGGAATCAGGAAGGAGCGTGGGTTGACCGTTGAACTAATTGAGATCCGTGCATACTATTAGTGGATACTGCCTTCAAGCCAATTGAATCAGAGCACTCTGGCTAGGACAGTGTCTACTGACTTGTTGTATTCTTCTCTAATTGCCAACCGCTTACTAAATCTTCATGAAATCCAGCGACTTCCCGCTTTCCACAATTGGCACCATCTCTGTTTCAGACACTCTGACCTCCAACAATGCTGGTCTTTTACACTGGAGCATCCACTTGATACTTGCCTCAAGGTCAAATCGATCAGCGCAACGACGTCCCTGGCAGCCCATACTGTGTGCTAACTCCACAAATTCAGGATTACCAGGCTGGTCGTGACAGACGCGTCCTCCATAATCCGAACGCTGCACTTGTGTGACCATCGCTTCACTCTCGTTATTCAGAATAATCACTTTGATGGGGATTTGATACTGCGAAGCTGTCAAGAGCTCCTCCATGGTCATACAAAACGAAGCATCGCCGTCCACATCAATCACATTGTGGTCTGGAAGGGCTATCTTTGCACCGATAGCAGCAGGAAGACCATAACCCATGGTCCCTAGACTGCCAGATGTGATCAGTGAACGAGGACGTGGCCACCGAAAGTACTTTGCCGCCCACATTTGGTGTTGGCCTACCCCCGTGGTGATAGTTGTGGGGGTCGTCATCAGTGATACTTGGTGACTGAGCTCGAGAATGACCTCTTGCGGAAAGGCAAAAGATTTCTCCCGAGGAACAGATAACTGGGGAGGATCTTGCTTTTTCCATTCGTGGATCTGGTCCAGCCACTTCTTCCGGTCTTGTTGTACCACCCCAGAAAGAAGAATTGGAAGTGTCTCGGATAAGTCGCCGTGAATGACTTCTGTCGGCTCAGTGATATTTCCCACCATATCTAGGTCGATGTCGAATTGTATGATTCCTCCTTTGCCATCAAGGGCACTTTTTCGCGCACACGGTGCAAAGCCAGCTGGATCTCCCACAGCTCGCTCTTCCAAACGAGCGCCAAACACCAAGATCAAGTCGGCATTTTGGATGGAATAGTTTGCTGACGGACATCCGTAAGTTCCCATCATCCCGAGCCAAAGAGGGTGGGCTTCGTCAAAACAACCCACTCCAAGCAACGTTGTAGCAACAGGAATATTCGCCTTTTTCGCAATATCCGAGAGAAGAACGGATCCTTTCTTGCTGGAAATCACACCGTTTCCAGCGCAGATAACCGGACGCTGGGCCCAGTTGACGAGGTTAGAAATACAGCCAACCTGATCATGGAGATCTGCCGAGCTAAAAGAACGGGCGGGACTGACAGCCCCGCTACTGCTGCTGCTGCTGCTGATGTTGTCTTCCTTCTCGGACCATGCAGATTCGCCCAATGCAGCCTCGTCGAAAATAGCGCTGCTCACATCTATGGGGATTGCAATAAGGACTGGTCCCGGTCGCTTGTCCATTGCGTGCTCGAATGCCGCATCTACCGCCGCGGGTAGGTCTCTGACATCCTGTACACAGATGCTGCATTTCGTACATGGCCGTGCGAGTGCCATCACGTCGACTTCCTGGAAAGCACCAGTGCCTTGGGCCGATGTATTGACTTGACCGCAGATTGCCACCAATGGGGTTCCATCCTTTGAAGCGTCGAGAAGGGGCGTCATGATATTAGAGGTTCCCGGCCCGGAAGTGACCAGCAAAATGCCGGGCTTCCCACTGGCGCGGGCATATCCCTCTGCCATATGGCCCGCTCCTTGCTCATGATGAGAATGGATGAACTGAATATCGGTCTTATTGTATAGAGCATCGAAAACTGGGAAGACAGCGCCACCAGGAACTCCGACTACAGGAGTTAGAAACATTAGAAGAGCCTCGGTTGGATGATCGCACTTGAGTATGATAGTACTTACAGATGTGCTTGACATTGTGGTAAATGAGAAGCTCGCTTAGAGCTTGGCCGCCAGATAGTCCGACAATAGTGTGTCTGTCCATGATAAATGTAGGTGGCTAGTTGGGAATGGTGATCTTGGATATCTATTTGCCCTGTACGACATCAATTCTGTACGTGATACTGGCTTTATTTATACATACCTTCATTTATTCTTGGTGATGTCAACAGATAGAGGACAAAGCGGAAGTCGAATATCTCTACTGCTTTCGGTTTTTCGATTAAAGCATGGGGACAAAAGAAGATGACCCCGGTACCGTTCATGCATACTCTGTGAAGCGAGCATCATCTCGATTTCCCTTGATCGATTACCTTTGAGTCACATTCATAGGTGTATCGAATTTCTGCGACTGGAAAATCGATGGTAATCCGATATATGGATTAAGGTATGGTTACACAGGCTTCAAAAACTATCCAAATTTGGAAGTGTGACGAGCACGTTGTGTCAAAACTGTCAAGCGGTTCATCCCATCGGGAACGTCCTGCATGTACTTTGTTCAAGGGTTCGTTCGCCACCCACACCTTGGAACTTTACAGGCACATGGTTATATTCCAGTATGAACAATCTAATAAACCCAATATCGCCATCTGAATTAAACCTTTCCTACCAACCCATCATGGCCAACCATCTCTACCAGTACTCGATTCTCAGCGCCCTAATGCACGGCATCTGCCGCGAAGGCACCACCGTGGAAAATATCCTCGCACACGGAGACCACGGTCTGGGAACCACAACAGGTCTAAACGGTGAAATCATCATAATCGACAATGAAGTATACCATTTCCCCCCAGATGGCAAACTTGTCAAAGTCAAAGCAACGGACATCATTCCATTCGTAATGGTCACCAAATTCGAACCAACCTTGACCAAGCATCCAACCTCGCTGAGCGTATCCACTCTCTTCCACGAACTCTACCCGTTGCTCCCAGCAAGTCAAAATTCCTTCTTGTCCATCCGAGTCGATGCACTCTTTACCCGGGTGACATTCCGCGTGATACCGGGCCAGTCGAAGCCTCGCGAGTCGCTCTCGGAATTAGCAAAACGACAAGAGATACGGCACTTGATCCAGACTCGAGGTGTTCTTTTCGGATTCTGGTCACCTGGTTTTACCAGTGGGTTTAGTGTGGCTGGGTTCCATCTTCACTTTTTGTCTGAGGATCGCATGCAGGGTGGTCATGTTATGGAGTTTGATGCGGAGGATGTCGATCTCCGAGCCGCTGCGATTAATCACTATGATGTTGAATTTCCGGCTTCGGGGGGTTTTCAGGATGAGCCTATTGGTGAGGTAATGGCGAGGGATCTTCATGCGGCGGAAGGTCATTGACATAGAACATGCCATACGGAAACCATTGGAAGTTGGAGTATTTATCAAAGCCCTGGAATCTGGAAGCTAGGGGTGAGGGTAGCAATGTCAGAAATGACTGATCTATATAGACACTCTATGTGGGGTGAAGCATATGGAAAGTTGATCATATGACCTCGCAAGATTTGTATGGGAGATGTCATTGTTTAGGATACGCGCGCTTTTTTGGTCTGATCTATTTTTAGACCTTCCCAATTAGGAAAGTGGGACGAATGTTATGGGGATCTCAAAAGGGTATATGGCTACAATGAATCTGTTTGTAGTTCCACTCCGGACTGCTTCCTTTACGTCTGCGGATAAAGATGCCGAAGTTGGTGTTATCTGTAGAATCCTCTTCCTTCCCCATGCCCCAGGAATGATAGGTACTTTTCCACACTTGGATACAAATTGGGTATTTCATACTCACCCTCAACATTGAAGGGCTGCGTATTATACATGTAGGTGTAGATGTAATTTTATCTATCAATTGATGGATTTTTTGAGTCTTTCTTGTATCTATTAACCATCTAAACATCTATTAAGCTCCCAAGCTGATATTTTTCATCACTTCATAAAAACGACGCTCAAGGACTCTCCAGATACTTTCTCTATACCTTGATTTCAAGCAGTCTACACTTGCTGTCTAGAAACCGGTTCCTCATCCGGTTCAAGAACCAATTGAGTCTGAGAAGTACTAACCTGCCAAGTAGTCTCCTTGTGAATTTGATCCAAAGGCATGGACCCTTCCGAGTTCTCGTTGTATTTCGGTGGCCTGACATCGTTGTGGTAAGACGATGGTTGGCCGAAGATCGACGGGAAGAGGTTCTTCAGTAGAGAGGGGAGGCAAGGCATGCAGGCGCAAATTATAGCAACGTCACATTCGACGACGCTCCAGTATACTGCGGGGGTATTCGCATCTAAAATGTAAATCCAGTTAGAGGACATAAACCGTGTGAGCATAGAAAATTACGAGATAACTTACAAGTTGTGTTCGATGACTTTGAGAATACGACCAGGGATCGTAATCTTAGGCAACTGACTATGGTAACTCTATATTTGGTCAGAACCGGACAAGAAGCACTGGCAAGAATCCATAAAGACAGAAAAAAAGGGGGAAAGAGGGGAGTGAATAGTAGAGACTTACAAGAAACCGGTGCAGAACATCAAAATGACCAAGATCTTCTTTTTTGTGTTCAACGCTGTGTGGATCAAAGGCCAAATTGGAAGGCTGATGATAGCCAAATCCATCGCAATCTGAACCGCGGCTTTGTACCAAGAGTAACCATTGATGTTGATGCAGGTTCCCGCATATTCGCCCGTCCACCCCGACCAGAAATACGGGACGGGCGTGCATTGAAAGATCATGACAAATGTGTTGGAAATGCCAAAGCATATTGACAGGCCCATTAGGCAGTAGCAGACTAATTGGAACCGTTCGGTGGGGAAGATGCGCAAGTAGAAGGCGACAAATGATAGCTGGGTCAGGGCTTCTGCGGCCATGTAGCAAACTTCTGCTACGTAAAGCAACTATATCGAGAATTGTTATAAGTCAGGAGCAATCTGGGGAAAGTACAGAGCTTGGCACACTTGGTACTAACCTCCAATTCTATTGTTATGTGCTCGAAAGGAATCGTCCATATATTCGTACCAAGCCCAAATTTTTCCACTAGATCAAAGTCAATGGCGAACACATTTTTTTAAAAGAACCGCGCAGACTTACTAGGGAACATGACGCAGTTTAATGGAGCGGCACATATCAGAGCTGCGACGATTAATCCATCGTCAAGTCCAAAAAGTCGATTAAACACAGTGCGTTGAATTAAACGTAGCGCCACCATTATTAGAGCCAGCATTCCCAGAACTCCAGCTAAAATCGGAGAAATAAGAGCTTGGCTGGCTTGCGGTACATCACATATAGACATGGTCAAATTGGTGGCGGCTAGACGTATCAAGTCAGTTTTGATAAAAAAAAAAGCCACCCAAAATTAGTTATACGGAGGCTCTTACATAGGCCCGCTTTCACGCCACAATCTGAAGTCGCGCAGTCGGTCGCTGATGTGAAGAACGTGGAGTCCAAGCAGAGACATGTTGTATTCGACAATAAACATGAAGTCTCGTTGGCGGCTGCAGAGAAGCAATTGAACTGTTCAAGGTGTAAAGACGTGTGAGCTTCATCCAGAATAACAGATCCGCATCTTCAAGGGCTCCATACTGCGCAAGAGGCAAGGCTGCCGAATGGCCCGTCCGCCAGGGACATGATGAATAGCGGGTCAAAAGGTTCTTGACAAGGACGCAAAAGGCCAGTGGCAGGGCTTTTCTTTTAAAACTCCACGTCCATGGGGCAAATTGCTGATCTTCGCTTCAAACAAAAAAGAAAGAAAAAGCAAAGGGAATAGAGAGGGAAAAAATAAAGGAAGATAGGCAAATCATCAATTAAAAAAGAACCCCTTATGCACTCCCTATTCGTCATGGCTAAGTAGTGGACCAGTCAATTCGTGGCCCTGAATGCTGATGGCTCACCAAACTATTTGTCACATTATGATATCCACTGTGCGAAGCGTTATTTTGGCAGTCAAAAGTACTTCTAACGCTCGGCGCATGCAGCGTAAAGATCCAAAACAATAAGTAGAACAATAGCCCCGGCGCCAGTCCAAGCTCCGGCAAAAACGAAAACGCCAGGATTCAGGAATCAGCACGGTCCGGCCCCTTGGGTTTGGAGAACAAAGTTGGTCAGAGAAAGACGGCACAGACCGCGCTACCCGTCCCGCGGGTGTAATCCGGTACACAGCTCGATGTTGCTATTCGATAGAATGTAGAAGTGACCCACCAAGATAAAGCAATTGTGCGTCCCCAAGCTGGGTTTCTGACATTTGAATTTTCGCCCCCTAGACGCCAGTCCATGCTGTCGGGATTCGAAGAACGCCTCGCACGAGGGGTTTTTCATATCCTGCTGTTCTGAAAAGCAAATATTTGAGGAATTTGAAATTGATCGTCACCCCAATCCCAAGGTCGAGAGCGGGTGAGTGACATTTCATCTCTGGGACGGCGTTCGGCGTGATCCACCGGCGTGCAGCGATTGGCGGGCGCTGTCAGTGTGGGGGGAAACTGCCCTCCGGCTAATCAAGCGATGTACTCCGTACGGAGCACGCACGTACACGGTACGGAGTGAGTGGAGCACATATGAAGTTATGAACTCAAAACCGTTTGCACAAGAGGAGCCAATGGCACTAAAGATAAAAGTGATCGCGTTCTCGCTGTCATGGCTGTTCTCCTGAAATTTTAGTAAATTGACACATCCGGCGCACAATGCCATCTCAAACGCTTGTAGGCGTAGTCCTAGTGGCGATCGTGCTCTATGCGACCAAGCTCGTGGTCTCCCGCAAAAAGGCTTCTGGGCCTCTGCCTCCCGGTCCAGTGGGGAAGCCGGTTCTGGGTAACATTGCAGACCTGCCCGCTCCAGGGGAGCAGGATTGGGTTCACTGGGCAAAGCACAAGGAGCTCTATGGTAGGCATTCTCGACTGACACTCCAGGACAATTGGCATATTCATATACCTCGTTAAATAGGCCCAATCAGTTCAATTACCGTCATGGGTCAGACCATTGTGATCCTAAATGACAGTCGTATCGCCACGGATCTTCTTGTAAAACGTTCTGCGATTCATTCGTCGAGACCCAATTTGGTATTTGCATCGGAAATGTATGTAAATGAGTTGCGGTTCGGTAATTGGCTGGCGCATTCACTGATTGGCATTCAGGGTTGGATGGGAACACATCATGGCAATGCAAACCTACTCGGACCGATTCCGTGCTTATCGCAAGGCGACGCAACCCTATCTCGGACACGAAACTGCTGTGTCGCAGTACAATTCTCTGCAAGAGATTGAGTGTCATCGATTTTTGTTACGAGTGTTGAAGGATCCGTCACAGCTGACGCAACACATTCAAACGCAAGTTTCTTGTCCTGTGGGAAAGAGATGAAATGTCGACTGACTGTCTGCAGTGAGGCGGGTGCCATCATTTTGAAAATTGCATATGGATACACCATTGAGCCACACAAGTTAGACCCATTGGTGCAAATGGCAGGTCTGGCCCTTGAGCACTTTGCCATTGCGGGAACTCCTGGCGCCTGGCTTGTTGACATGATTCCGGCTTGTAAGATTGGACCCAACTGTGTTTTCTTTTTATCAGAACATTAACTCCAGCAGTGAAATATGTCCCATCTTGGCTCCCTGGAGCAGGCTTCAAGCGTAAGGCTCAGGCATGGAAGAAGAACCTCCAGAACACCGCCGACATCCCATATGCATTTGTGCAACGGCAAATGAAAGGCAAACAACCCGAGCCCTCCTACTTGTCGAATCTTTTCAAAGCCGACGGGATACCAGCTGCTGGCACGGAAGAGGAAGTCGTCGCAAAATGGACAGCAGCATCGCTGTATACCGGCGGTGCCGATACCGTAAGTATAATTTCGCCAATGAGTGAGCGCCCCAGCTAACAATTAGCAGACCGTTTCCTCCGTTGCAACCTTCTTCCTGGCCATGACTTTGTACCCGGAGGTCCAGCGCAAAGCACAAGAGGAGATTGATCGCGTCCTGGGCGCTGGCCAGCTTCCCAAGATGGCAGACCGCGCTAATCTCCCGTATATCAATGCTGTTGTGAAGGAAACTCTGCGTTGGCATCCGGTCGCGCCGATGGGTATTCCGCACATGTCTAATCAAGACGACATGTATGAAGGATATCACATCCCCAAGGGCTCTTTGATTATGCCCAATATCTGGTGCGTCATTTCACCTTGATTATTTTTTCTGCGAAAGAAATCACTAACAGATGATAGGGCGTTGACTCATGACCCCGAGGTATACCACGACCCGATGACCTTCAAGCCCGAACGCTTCCTGGGTGTCGATGGCAGAGAGCCCGAAACAGATCCCCGCAGTGTTGTATTCGGATTCGGACGTCGCGCGTGCCCGGGTCGTCTTTTGGCCGAAAACACTGTCTATTTGAGTGTTTCGCGGTCGCTGGCGGTCTTTAATATCGGCAAAGCAGTTGAAAATGGGAAAGAGGTGGAAGTGAAAGCGGAATTCCAGCCCGGCGTGATCAGCCACCCGGTTGCGTGGAAATACGATATGAAGCCTCGTAGCCCTGCGCACGAGGCCTTGATTCTGTCTGTGGAGAAGGAGCATCCCTGGGAGGAAAGTGATGCCGCGGCACTGAAAGTTTGATTGGACCCTGCGCTTAGGAGCTTAGGATCTGTCTTGCTTGCTCTAATGTTTATTTACATGACTTCGCTCTATGCAACATCAATCATAACAAATAAATCACCGCATAACCATCTCCCATTCGATTTCTTCCGGATTCTTCCAGTAATCCGTCCCACTATGAATGAATCCAAGCTTCTGCAAAACTCTTCCACTTCGCGAATTCTCTCTCTCCGTCTCAGCAACAAATCTCCTCACGCCTCTTTCATCAACCGCCCATCCCATAACCGCTTCAGTAGCTTCCTTAGCCACCCCCGTGCCCCAGCATTCCGGTGCAACGCCATATCGCACCTCGACCATCTCCTGCCAAGGCGGAAGAGCGGGGTCACCAGCCTCGCGTGCTGGCAATGAAGTGGTCGATGCATGACGGATACCAGAATAGCCAACCCAATTAATCTCATCCAGCAGCGCCAAGTTCAGCCCCAGAAACTTCTCTAACTGGGAATCTTTGAGAAGCGAAAACCGCGTTTTTTCTTGGCGAGCATTTGTGCCATTGGAGCGTGATGACTCAGGCAACAACCCCACGGCAAAATCCCCCACATCGTACTTCTTCCACGAACGGGCAATGTCGCGTGTTTCGATCATTTCCCGGGTGTCACTGTCACTCCAGTTCTTGATTGGGAATCTGCTTCCAAAGCCCATTTGACAGAAACTCGCGTCGGCATGCAGCTTTGCATATAGCTTTCGGTATGTCGCTGAAGACACGGCGATTGGGGTGGGAACCAAGACAAGCCTATCGGTCAATAAGGCAAAGGGCTCGGGTAAGCCGGAGAAATGAATTGAGGTCATATTCAAGGTCGGGTATGAAATTTTCAATGGGGGTAGGGTGAAGGTGGCAGGCAGCCCTGGAAAGTACTGGAGGTGAAGAACCTGTCAGGGTCCACGGGATCATCAATTGATTAAATGCAGGGTCAAAGCGGGCCGCGGCTCTAAAGTGCAGTGGGGCGCCATAAGAACCCAACTGGAAATAGTGAAACCAGACATGTCGACAGCATACAAGAAATCGACATTGAAAATGGGGTTCAATTTAAAAGCATGTCTCTGTTAGGGTGAGGTGAACAAGGCACGTGCAATGGAATGTCAAGAGTGTAAAAGCTGACCGTAAAAAAAAGTTTATTGAGGGGAGATGGAAAGGACAAGATTCTAGGATTTGAATAGTTCCAATAAAGAGTAATCAACATGATTACGGGAAATCATTTAACATGTAGCTTGGGCTTCATCATAATCCAGAAAATTACAGTTCCAGTAGGTAAACTTCACTGGTAATGTGTCTATTAGTCCTTTTCCTAAATAGGACACTAACAAATTAAAAAAAGGTAGGGTCAAAAGGAACAATTCAGGTCTGCTTTCATCAACCGGCATCCGTGTGGTCGAGTTGGCAAAGCCCTCCCACTGTGCACAATTTCCCCAAGGTTAGCCGTCTGGGCTTGGGGGAAGGTGTCGGTTACACAGGGAAACATCCCCCAGAGCAGATCTCCCCCCAGCGGCTACATGCCGCCAGAGGGGGGGGGGTCCCTCTGGGCTAGATGTTTGCCATTTTTTTATAATTGACCGTGCTGAATTTTGATTTCCGCTTTATTTGAGCTCGATCCGACTATCTGGGGTGCAGTAAAATAAGAGATTCGCGGAGCTTCGGTTTCTTGACTGATGCATCTGAGGCTATTCACAACATTCTTCACAAGTACATAGGGAAATCGATTCAACCCGCGTTCGATCCCAGGTTTCGGCGAGCTTTCTTTTTTTGTCTCATTTTGCCATACATTAGTTGTTCTTCATGATAGCGATGAAGTTTTCAAATATAGATGTACGTTTTTTATATGGATAGAATATGTGGGGCTGTATCCACTACCTACTTGATCATACATCGTGGCCCGGGGACCACTTGAATTTAATTGGACGGCAGTGCACGAATACATACTAGTAGTACACATGTGCATGCATGCCGAGGAGTCATCACACCACGAGTATGTGTGTGTGTGTGTGTGTGTGTGTGCATACTACGCGTTGAACCTTCAATCGAGTGGTTCGAAAGTTTAGGTAGGAGATCATAAGGGTAAAACAACAGTTTTGCGAACCTGAAGCCCGCAGTCGGGCAATAATATACAAATTGATACAAACTTGGCACCGACCAAGCCTTTTTCTAACATTGATTGAAGAACAACAAGCACATGAGTCTAAAGCTGCTCAACACTCGCAATCAATCGATCAAGCATCTCCTCCTCAACAGCGCCTTCCTTCTCCCCAACAACCCTCCCAACAGCCCCCACAATCGCCGCCAACCTCTTCCTCTTAATCGACTCCTCAAGCTCAGCACTCTTCCGCCTCGCAAGATCAATAACAGCCGAAGGCAAATTCGCCAACCGCGCCACATTCAACCCATAACTGCGGTGCGCAACGCCCTCCGTAACCTCATACAAAAACGTAATATCCTCGTTCCCTTCCTCCCCAGACTCCGTAAACCGCATATGCACGTTCCGCAGTTCCTGCCCCGGGAACGCACTGACCATCCGCGACAAATGCTGGTAGTGCGTAATGAACAGCGTAAGCGAGCGGATCGAGCGAACCATGTAGTCCAGCACGGCCTGCGCGATAGCGACGCCGTCGTGCGTGGATGTACCACGGCCCAGTTCGTCGAGGAGGACGAGCGAGCGCGGGGTGGCTTGCTTGAGGATGTCTGCTGTTTCGGAGAGCTCGACCATGAAGGTTGATTCGCCGGCCAGCATGTTGTCGAAGGCGCCCATGCGGGTGAAGACTGCGTCTAGGAGGCCGAGGCGGGCTGAGGCCGCGGGCACGTACGAGCCTATTTGGCCCATGATGGCGATTAGCGCTACTTGGCGGACGTAGCTGGATTTTCCGCCCATGTTCGGGCCGGTCACGAGGAGGGCGCGCGTGCCGTCTGTGTCGAGGAATGTGTCGTTGGGTACGTAGGTGTCGGTTAATAGTCGCTCGACCATTGGGTGCCGGCCTTGCTCCACGTGGAGGCATGCATGGTCTGTGTATTCTGGTTTGACGTAGCCGGGTTGTTCGGCTATCGTCGCGAGGGATAGGAGGCAGTCTAGTGTTGCTAGGGACTGGACGCAGTCGCGGAATGTTTGGTACTGGGCCGCGATGTCTGCTAATAGGGCTGAGAAGGCTTGATCGCAGGCTGCTGCTAGTGCCTCCTTGTACTGGTCTCGTTGGCGTATGAGTTGAATCACTTCGGGCGTGTGGAACCGCGAGATCTTCTTTGTTCCGCTGACTTTGATCCAGGACGCTGGAACACGCTTGATTCCTAGAGAGTTGTTTTCGACCTCGATCAGATATTCAATTCCAGACACCGTGGCGTATTGGACGTGTTTTCTTCCAAGGCGCTCTCCAGCTACGGTCAGGTGCTCCTGTAGGTCGTGTTCGATGCTGGCAATTCCCATCTTCTGGTCGCCGATGTCTTCGGTCTCCTCTTCTTCGCGGAAGAAAGAATATTTGTCATCGGTTCGTGCAGCATGAAGGTTGATCTTGTCTAAGTACTGGGTGACATCTGCTTGGATGGTTGGAAGGGATGCAATAGCTTCACTAATCAAAGGTGACTCGAATCCCGTATCGGCAGCAGATTTCACATCCGCAAATTCCAATGCGATCATTTGCATTGTTTGGAGAACGGTCAGAAGCTCTGGTCGAGAGCACTTGATGGAATTAGTTTAATTCAACAAAATGACCATGGAAAAGCTGCCATACCTTGCCGTAGTAGATGCGAATCAAATTTCGTTCTAGATCACTCTTGATCTTACCCAACAATCCTCTAATCCGATCCACAGGAACCGTGCGAGCAGTGTCCGTCAGTTCCTCTACTGCATTTGTTCGTTCTTCCAGGCGGGCCTTATGTAGCAAAGGCCGCCCGACCCAACGTCGTAACAGCCGCCGACCAAATCGCGTCTGAGTACGATCCAGCATCCAGAACAGACTGCCTTTCACCGAGTGATCCGTCTGGTTCTGATAAATTTCCAAACTGACAAGCGTATTTCCATTGAGAAGCATGTGTGACCGAGCAGAAAATGGCTCGAAATACTTCGTCAAATCAAATACATGTTCCAGTCCATAATCAGACATATGCTCAATCATAGCCGAAAGACAGACGGTAGGGTGTTCAGAGAGCTCAAGCACATTTCGAAGTAGCTTGGCTGTCTGTGCATCCTCTTCTGTACCAGACGCTTTCATTTTCCCAGCATAAAAGCTTGCAACATGGCTATGTGCCTCGGCAGCCGCGGTTTTCTTTTTCGGAATCCGTTCAACACGCACTGCATCTCCGAACACATTCGTCTTGCTTCCAGAAAGATGCTGCACAAGCTTCTCGCTGGCACGAGACATCTCCCCAACGATAACGATCTCACAAGGCGCAATATGCAGCAATCTCGTTTCGATCTCACTTCGCATGAACCCATCTTCAAAGTCATCGTAGATGACATCTCCAGTGGCTGGTTGAACGGCGACGATGCCAACGTGGACTCTCTCGTCATTTCCCCAGCCTTTGGCATTGGCTTCAGTGATACATAGCATGTACCCTGTAGCTGGAGAAGAGTTTCCTGCAGCGGGCACAGACCCCTCGAGTCCCTCCATATCATCGATATAAGTTCCTTTCGTATAAAGATTGGTCAATTTTCGGACAAATGGCGCATTGCGGTTGTCACCCGCAGCCTTGAGGGCAGCCGTCTCGATCTGGCGCACTACTCCGACTTTGTGACCAGCAGTGACAAGACGCTTCACATGCACATGCAGTCGATGAACGGGTATACTAGCAGAAGCGAAGCGGCCGATATGAGCCTCGGAAGGGTCTTTAGGTAAGAAGAGGATCGTTGTTAGCTTCAAAGATACATTCCAGAGAGGACCTCTTGAACAACAACACTCACGTTCATCAAATCTGAACTTCCCCGGGATACAAACGATTCCCAGCTCCTTCGCCGCAATCCGGGCATCTTCTCCGAAGAAGCGAAACTTGTACCCGACCTCAATAACAAGCACGGTATCCATATGCTTGCGTTTGATATCGATAACCTGCTTCTCCATAGGAGTAAGCTTACTACCGCCTTTCTTAGCAGCAGCACCCTTTCCCTTCTTAGGTGGCGGGGCAGGCTCGTCATCTCCATCGTCATCCTCGCCCTCTTCAGCTTCCAGGGCACCAGCGCCGGCGTCACTGCTAACGTTTCGTCCAATCCCAATCAGACAGTCTGCCCCTCCGAGCCTCCGTACAAACTTCTGGTGTAATTTCTCCCTTTCCTTCCTTTCGCTTGCATCTCTTGTGTTTTCATCTTGAGTCGGCGGTGCGGCGGCCTGTGAGCTTTGAAACTTGAAGATGTCCGTTCGCTGGCTGCTATTTAGTTGAGATGGTGGGTTTTGTATAGCTTCTAGGGAGTGACGACGCTGCTCTTCGGGATAGGGCCGTTCTTTCGAGAACGTTTGGGTGGTGGTGCGACGATGTCATCGTCGTCATCGTCGGGTATGGGGTTGGATTTCTTCGGCTCCGGCTCTGCTCTCGGTTCTGGCTCCGGTACTGGTGAGGCAGATCTTTTTTTGGATGATTTTGTCGAGGGGGTATTGTTTTCTTTGGGGGTGCCGGAAGATTTTGGAGTTGAGGAAGGTTTTTGGGTGAAAAAGCTCGAGATGGTTGGCTGCTTGCGCTTCAAGGACGGAGATGGTGCGGAGGAGGATGGTGAAGATTGGGGCGCCATCGTAACTGGCAATGTTGGATTTCGCGATGTTGCTTATTTCTAACTTTTGTTTTCACACATCTAGTAGTCAAATTAGAGCCAGAGAAGCAGTGATGCCTCAATCGTGCTCCGGTTGATCTATCGATCTCGACGCGTACAGACGCGATTGGCGTTAAATGGGTTGATGACTAAGCGCCTTATCGTGTCCACGATAAAAAAGCATCGACTTGTCAAGGCTCAAGGGAAAGACCTCGGGGCTTAGAATGGAAGTAGACAGTTTTCATGGTTCAACTTAATCTGATTTCTATTACAAGGCTCTGGGTATCTATAGTCACCAATAATCATAATCCGTACCAGTCATGAGCCGTCGCCACAGGGCAAAGGAGAAATAGTACACATCACCCTCAATCTGCTCAACATCCAAACACACCCATGTTGTAATGAAAGGATACAGGTCCAGTCATGATCGAACATCTCAGTCCAAGCGCATGACTGTCAGTCTAAAGTATGTATGGCCCACCAAAAACAAATGCTGGGCTCGGAACGTCCAAAAAACTGGAGAGTACCTAATCTGCGTTGGTGGCTAAATACAGCTGAGCAAGGTCATGCTGATCCTGTTCGGAAATAGTCGCCTCGGAAGAGGCCTCCCGGTGATGCATGTGGGCATTTGTCCAGTCATTGGCGTTCATTGTCTCATTGTTTCCATATGAACTTGCTTCATAGTATCCCAACTTTGAGTCCGGGGCGACCAGAGGGTTGGATCGATGTCCAATCTTTCCAAGTTCATCATCGGGACCGATACCGCCATATGTCGCCTCATCGTAGTAGTATCGAGGTGCATAGCCGGCATTGTCAGTGTCGCTTTGTCTTGGGAAAGGTGAGTTCCAATCGGGGAAATCAATTCGACCATGGGTGTTCATGATAGGCTCGATGTTTTCCTTGTCTTGGGTAGGTTGGGCAGGCTTCGCCACCTGATTGCTGATATCTAACTTGTGGTCCAGAATCAAACGAGCCGGAGTCAAGGTGTCCCGTGGGAGCTTGGGAACTTGGAATTGGTCTGGCCCATCTTCATCAGCAAAGATGGTAATTGCACCACGTCGTTTTCCAAACGCTTGTGCAGCGAGTCCAATCTCGCTGTCATTTTCATATGCCGAATTCATACCCTTCAAGCCTCGAGGCAACAGGCAAGGGGATCCGTCATTGTTATCAAAGTTTTCCAAGGGCGTCTTTTTACGGTTGTTGCTGGCGGTTTTTTTGGACTTCTTTCTGTCTTGGGCGTGGAGCACGTTAGGGTCTACCCGACGAAGAACTTGCTTCTTAGGACGTGCCATGCGTCTCTTTGGAATGGGTGTCTCGCCTTTCAACGGGCTGTAATCTTCAACATTCCCGGAAATGACACGCTGCTTCTGCAAGGACCCGGTCGGCGAAAATATGAGCTCAGTAGGTTCCACTTGCAACGATGTCATCTCCATCATCTTCAACACGCTTTGATCCTTCTTTTGGTTGCGCTTGCGTCGCATCTGCTGGGTCGCAGAATCGAATATGTCCATGCCCGGCCACAAAACACCCTTGAGTCTGGCCATTTCATCTGCCCGCTCCTTGTCAGCATCGATCTCGTCCAAAACTTCAGTGCGCATTTCATCATCCATAAAGGGGTCTGGCTTCTTGCGGCCCATGGAGGATGATTGACTCGGTCTGCCTCTGGTCCGAACGCGTTTCGGAGTTTCTGGCAAAGCAGGGTAGGGCTTCTCGGTGTCTCCACGGTCTTCCTCGTGCTCCTTGCGCTTCGGAGTATCAGTTGGCGTGATTGAAGTCAGAACAGAGCCGGTAATTGTTTGCACGGCGGTATGGGCATGGGGCAACACAGGCGTAGTCGACGTGGTGAAGCTTGAAATCAACGACGCGTCATGGGTACTCATACCATTCTTCTCTTGTTCTGGGGACTCCACCAGGCGAGGGTCCAGGAAGTCAGGGAAATCAGCACCTTCGGAACCTTCAGGAGAGGGTGTTCCTTTTGAATTCGACCGCTGCGACCTTGTCTGCGTACGCTGGCCATTGGATTTGACTGTCTCTTTCGTTTGTGATCTCCTCTTTTTCTTTCGATCTTCCTTGGACGTCATCCTCTCAGACAACAATTGAGCGAGGCCATTGGTGCTATACCAATTGTCGTACTCTGCAAGGAGCTCGGTGGCTTCAGGTTCCAGTTGACTGCGAACTTGAAGCTTGAAGTAGTAGGACAGATGGGCCTTGGAGGCAACATGAGTCAGAAGGTGCGAGCTGTCGCTGAACCGAGGTTGCTCAGGGCAGATAACGCATTGCAGCAAGGTGGAGTTCATCTTTCCGACAAGATTGGCACGTCCAGCCCAGAAGGAAGTAACATGCAAAACGAAGCACAAAATACAGGAAGACAAAGAAGCAAGAATCACCGTGCAAAACAAAACGCCGAAGGAAATATAAGAAAGGAAGAGAGAACGAAGAGGAAAGTGTGGGCGAGAATGGGATACTGTCGGTCACGAGGCTCTGTATGGGAAGGTACGTTATCATCCTTACGAATATTTGTGGGAAGGAACTACTCACATAGTATGTGTCTTGACAAAAATACGAAACCACAAAGAAACCTGGAAAGGGGATTGAATGAAAGATTTTTTTTTTTTTTGGAAATTCAATTGGTATCTGGTTTAAAACTATTGGATCTATGTAGAGCAGTTATGTTCATGAATGAGCCACGATGTCTTAACAACCATTAGGTCATTGTGGGACGGTATGAAGCGGAATAAGTCAAAGTGGACAGTTGCTCTCCTCCTGTCTTGTATCCCAGGATTCATGGAAAAAGGAATCAAGGGTTATTAGATGACAGGAGGGATAGAGGTATTGGTGGACAATGTGCAAAATAATCATGTTCAATTTGCCAAGCATCGAGTAATGACAGATTTTGGCAGGCAGCTGATGTGCGGTTAGTATGTTTCCTAACAATCTGGCAAGAATTTTGGCTACTCACTATACAGGGTCAATTTCCTGCAGGCCTTCAACGCCAAGGAGACTCAAGCCTGCCAAACCAAAATGGGTATGGTATACATCAACCATGTTTCCAGGTCGGTCGGCAAACCCACCTCCTTCAGTATCCTTTTGGGTTGTTAGAATGGCAAGACACAGGGTGGTGGGTGGGTGGTTTACTGACCTGACATTGAAGAACAAATCCAGCAAGCTTCTTTCCATCAATCCAGTGAAGTCGGTCAATCATAGCTAGACTTGATCCGACCCACCAGGTATAGCAAGAGTCGGGAAGTTTTTCAGGTCGCCCATTAAAGCCGCCTTTGTCGATTTGGCGTTCGCTCAGCCAGGCACCCAGGCGGTCCTTATTCACTAGATCCAAGCGTCCGGCGATAGAGAGAGCACCAATGCAGGTGAACACTTGTCCTGAGTGAGACTCCGCGCCAGGAAAGAGGCCATAAGCCCCGTCCAGGTTCTCACAGCTCTGAACGTAAGCGACCGCCTTGGTGACATCAATAAGATCCATGAGACCCAGGAGTGACAGAGCATTGAAAGCACCGTAGAGGAATCGAGTATCAGTCTCTCCCCACTGGTCTCCCATGAAAGAGCCATCCTCGCGATTCTGTAGGCTCGCAATGACTGTTCATTGATGTTAGTGTGGGTAAAAAAAGGTCATTATACAGGAAAAATCGTACAAGAGGCGACTTTCTGCTTGCCCCCTCGGCCTCTTTTCTCTAGCTCATCCACTGCATCAATCATGACCAGGATCTGGACTGCAGAGACAGTGTACAGCATGTGAGGGTCATGGTCGGGGGCAGCACCGAATCCTCCGTTGTCTTTTTGACATGAGAGAACAAAATCAATGGTTTCATCTCGGGATAAAGCATCAGGGTGACCGAGGAGATGTAAGGCTGTCAAACCCCAATAGACACCATTTAGTCGCAGATGTTCGGTCAGCCAATATTCCAGCTCCTCTTTCCTCTATTGTCAACCGTCAACTGTTGCCCCATGCTGTAAATTCCCTAAGGTGTTAAGAGTGAGAGTAAAGCACGCACAGTGTCCAGGTTCTTGATGTAAGCGACGTGTTTCAAGATGTGTAATTCCTGGTCCAGCGAGGCACCTCCAGCCCTGCCTGGGCCCGATACCAGGGCCATGTCTGTTTAAGGTGTAGGGGTAGAGTGGGGTTTACAGGGCCCTGCAGCCAGGGTTGATTGGATGAAACGTTAGTAGCTCGTGAAGAAAGAGGGGAAAGAAAGCTTGTTCGGCAAAGGCCGGAGATCGAACATAGAATCAGTGTTCAGGGTAAGTAGCTCAAATCATGCTGTCATCAATGCCCATGCATAAAAGGCCAATGCCAGGCTGTGCAGAGCCGCGGGACTAAACGGAGCTCCCGCCAAGCGAGAAAATGTGGCTTGATTTAGCTCGGTCCTATTCAGGGATCGCGCCTTTTGAAAAGTTGTGTGTGCACGTGATTGTGGTCACGCTAATCCTGATCCGTCGGGTCACATGATGTATAGGGCTCCCAATGTGGATAGTGGACCACAAGTTCAATTCTGTCTTTTCTGTTACACTAAAGAGGACCTGCTCCGTGCGTCAAGGTGACATGCCCCAAGCGCCACTAGTCTAGGATTTCCATGTCCATGTTTCAGAATTAATGGAGCAATAGCCCCAGGCATCCAGGAAAACACTTCCTACTCGTGCCGATTCGTTATCAAGCCCCATAATAGCCCAAATTCCCAGACACATGTGCAAAGGAATCAAGAGCATTGAGAATAGAAAGTCACCAAGTGGGACCGATTGACTGGCTCCAATCCGCCACCTGCCAACTTTTTTTGTATCTGTACCTGCGAATACCCAGGTGGCCTAACTTTGCCGAGTCAAGTTCGAATGCCAATCTTATCCATGCTTCCAAGGTTTTTTCGTGTTTATTTTTGCAGCCCTGGAGGAGCGCCCGTGGACATGTCAACACATATATTCCAATGAAGACGTGACATCATGTTTAACATTCATCTATTAATTTGAATGCTTTGACTCTAATTTGAGTACTATGTACATCCAGATATACGTGCTATATACATATATTGCCGTTGCATCAGGTATGTATGGTCATGGCTGATAAGTCTTGAACAATTCAAACATTTGCACGCGTACTATGTATATACACACTAGTAGGTATGTAGTTAAGGGGTATGCTAGTACATGCACGGAGTATATAAGCAGCACTTGGCAATTGTCATGGAATTTCCGGACATGTATGGAAGGATCCAGCACCGCATGGACAACATGAATAAGGATATTTTCCAAGAATAGCCTTATCTGTTTAAATTTCACACTGTGCAACCGATTCTAAAAATCCAGTCCAACCCCACTTCCAATTTAGTCCATTTGGAGCCCATAATTATCTGGTTAAGGAGGGGCACTTTGGGAGAAGGGGAACGTGTGCAGGTCAAGGTCAATGGTCAGAAATCTGAAACTCGGGTTAATTAAGACACAAAGGGGGGAAAAGTGGGCCAAGTCAAGCGCCGTGCACACGTTTTGTCTGACGACAGCGTCGGGATTTGCACTGTTTGAGTAGAATTTAGTGTTAGTGGGCCTTTTGCATTGCGCGCTTTTATTGGTTTTTTTTTTTTCCTCTTTGAAGAACAAAATTACCCCTGATATCCTGGTTCTTTTTTTAGTAGAGTCGAAACTACAAAGTATACGAATGCGACCAAGGACCAAGGAACAAAATCATAGCAAATTTCCCTTTTGTTCGGGTACCTGCTGAAGGTCCCCCATATGTCTGGTTCGATGTATCAAAGTCAGGGGAATCCAGGAACAAGGAAACCATGGATGATAGGCCAGGTACGACAATAGCACGAATGACAATGGTTCTGGAGGGTCCCACTGGGCTTCCAACGTAAGGCACGCGCATCATCCCGTGGTTCCAACTGCCAGACCCAGCGGCTCCAATCATTAAGCGGTGGAGAGCCTCCGATCGGTGTAGACTTGGCCAAGTACGCAGCACAATGTTCTGTTACTTCTGTATCACTGCTTAGGACCGAATATCTTCATTCCTGATCAGCCGAAGTCAAGGGATAAAGTAACCTAGAAATACCCACCAATCAGGGTTGAATCCAAGAATCCGAATGTAAAAGAGTCACTGGAATGAAAGACAAAGAAGTACAACATTTGAAAATGATAGACGTCAAATCCATGGAACCGGAGACATGATTGACATATAATCACTTCAGGTACTCGATACTGTGGTCGCCTTTGATTTCCATCCTTGGATACTACTCCAGTGCTATGTAGAAGTACTTGATAAAGATGCGTATACAATTTCCCTCATTTCAGTCCCCACTCGTACTGTCTTTTATCAGTGGATCTCTTTTTTTTTTTCTCAATGGGTTTCTCCATATTTTTCTTTTAATTCAGAAAATCCGACTTAACTAAAACTGCTATTGCATAATTCGCGAATTACTACATTCTTCTAATTTCTATCTCACTTTGATTCTTCAACGTTTTATCAGAACATTGAAGTTTGCTAGCGCGCGACCTTGACCTTTTACTACTTTGTGCACGGTGGTTCCCCTGCTAACGAAGCCACTACAATCTACGCTAAAGTCCATTAGGGGACTTTGCTGTATTGTTCAACGTTCCGCGTTTTTCCCCTAACCTTCGTCACTTTACTGTTTACCTTTTTTTTTTGTTCATTTTTTTGTTCTTCAAATTCTCTCGTTTTAATTCTGGATTTTTACAAACCACCATTTTTTGTTCTGAAGTTCACCCCCTCCTTTGTGAGAAAGCCGCCTGTTACCCGAAATCCTTCTGCCGATCTCTTCGAAAAGAGGGGGGAAGAGAAAGAGTACTTGCTTCTTTCAACAACCTTGAAGCCAACCTCCAGTACCGTGGGAAACTTGTCGTGTGAGCATATCATGAGGGGAACACTGGTAAGTCTTTTCAGGCATCTGCGAACCGTTGCATTGTTTCAGCGACCCGGTGCCTGGCACCGGTTGATGCAAAACATGGCTTTGAATAGCCCCCTGCATCTGTCACCAATGTGCTAGTTTCACTCGTCTTTTTTTAGACAAGTTTCTTGCTTCTCAATGACTGACCGTTGAATCTGCAATACTCTAGATCCCATCCCCTCGATAACCTTTCAAACTCTCCGACGATCGTTTCGACAACCGGTGGGCTGAACCTCCGTCCCACGGAGCTGAGAAGCCTCTGTAAGATCACAGGTGGTCTGCAGTGATTAGGTACATTTTGCTATCGGCTTGTCCTGGTTGCTTCTCCCATGCTGACCGAAGCTCCTTTTTCTTGACGCGCAGCTGGACAACCCCGGTTCGACAACAGTGCATACACAACACAGCCTGTACCACAAAGCCCCCCCCCAATCCTTAGCCCTCAAAGAATCCATCGCCTTGTCGCCCAACATGCCATCTCGACATTCGACTGTGCCCAATTTGGACTTCAGCTCCTTCAAATCAGACTCAAACAATGGGAAGCTTCCGTCGCCTCTTTCCCCTGGCCACAGTTCCGACGGCGGATTGAGCCCCTTGACACCGCGCTCTCCCAAATCAGCGTCGAGCTCACCCCTCTTCAAGGGTGCTACCATTCGCCCCGTCACCCATGACTCAAGCAGCAAAGCGACCAGTCCGACATCTCCGACCTCGCCTCGCACTTTGACCGTTGAAACAACCCAATCCGCCAACGAACCCCCCACCCCCGGTATCACAGCCATTCCACAATATTTCCCCTCACCCAAAGGATCCAAACATTCACGCGACCAATCCAGGTCATTCTTTGGAAACCTGAAAGCGCCAAAATCTTCTCACCGATCGCACCGTTCAGACGGCTCCGACGAAACATCTACAGAACCCCCCAAGAGCCGCGGGACCTCCAGAGATAGGAAGTCTTCAATGGCGCGCATCTTGTCTGAATCGACTCCCGATTTGCCCGCCATGATTGCTCGATCAGAAGAGGCTGAAAGACGTAAGCTTCCGTCCCACATGCGCCTTCCTTTAATCCCATGTGACTAATAATTTTTCTATATAGTCAAAACTTCGGCTGGTGATAAGACAACACAAAGGACAGGCCACAAAAAAGCCAGCACCGAGCCGGACTCTGCGCCTGCAAAGAAAAATAAGCGATTTGCCAACCTTCTTACAAGATCTCGATCTATTCGAGTGGATGAATCATCTGGAAACAGAGCCCCGGGACGCCGACCGTCAACGGGCCTAGCCAAATTGGAGGAATTTAGCAAGACCGAGGCGCCCAAATCCGAGCCTAAACCCGTGTCCAAGCCTACGCCATCTACCACCGTCACACAACCAGAGCGCCCAAACCGACCGGCGGGAACTCATCTTGAACGACCGGCGGAGATGATCCCCATCCGCAAGGAGAAGACTGGTGGATCTATGACCCAGTCAAGTTCATTGAGCCAGGTATCTGGCGCATCAGCAGCTATTTTCAATAACCTCAAGCAGTCTTCAAGCGGCGCTGCAGACCGTTTGGGCAAAGCAGGGAAGGGTTTCTTCGGCAAGATTACACGAAGTGGCAGCACCAACGAGCGAGAGTTGATCACTGATGACTCTTATGTTTGCTCTGTGATTAACCTCCCGCTGATCGAGCAGGCAAGAAAGACCCGCATTGCAAAGAAATTGGAAGACTGCAGAGACAAGACCGAATTCTGGATGCCTGCTCTTCCATACCGCTGTATTGATTATCTCAACTTCAAGGGATGTGAGGAGGAAGGCCTTTACCGAGTTCCTGGAAGTGGCAGAGAAGTCAAGCATTGGCAAAGACGATTCGATTCGGAATTAGATGTTAGCCTCTTCGACGTTCCAGACCTTTACGATATCAACACCGTCGGATCATTATTCAAAGCTTGGCTTCGCGAATTGCCCGAAGAGCTCTTCCCCAAAGCCACCCAGGACATGATTTCTGAAAAGTGCGAGGGTGCCACGACCGCCCCGCAATTGCTCAAGGATGAGCTTTCTAAACTCCCGCCATACAACTACTACCTCCTCTTTGCCATTACCTGCCATTTGAATCTCCTTCACTCCTATGTCGATCAGAACAAGATGGACTACCGCAATTTATGCATTTGTTTCCAGCCTTGTATGAAGATCGATGCATTCTGCTTCCAGTTTCTGGTCTGCGACTGGAAAAACTGCTGGCAAGGCTGCTGGACTGAGAAGGAGTATGTTGCAAAGGAGAAGGAAATGGACGAGCAAGAGCAGAAGGTTGTCGACGAAAAGGCCAGGACCGTTTCGTCTCAGGCATCTTCTACCCATGAACGAGCCGTCTCTTCTAGCTCGAGCTCACAAGCCGAGGAAGAGCGACCTCGTCCTGAAACCTCCCGAGGCCGACGAAAGGCCAGGCCTCAAAATATCGAGACCGGTACTACACACTCCAGGAGCATGTCCCAGCTTCCGGAACTTGGCCCACCACTTTCGCCTATCAAAATCTAGGGCACATTTGTTATGATATGCTCAGCTCAGCCCTGATACGAATTCTATCTCAATATTTGGTAACATGAGTTTTATTTGCAGTGGCCTGGTTCATTCAGAGCTTCGCTTTATTCGGCTGGTCCGATTTTGCGCCTCTGATTGGGAAATTGAACCAACCGATGGCCTTGCCCTATCTTTTATATTGCATTCATTCTCTTGTCTTTGTCTTTGATTTATTTTTTATTTTCATGTTCCGTCTTTTTACTGGGCGTTGTCATTTCATCATCACCTGGTCTGAGACCAACATTGTCAGAGTGCATCTCCTGGCGTCTGCGGTATCTGGATTCTCCCATCATTTTTGATCTATTTTTTTTTTCCTGTTTGTATATCTTACGTTTTTCTGCAAGTACACTCAGAACCTGGCGAATGGCGGGTTTGATCTATTACCTCTCTTTTCATCTCATGTGCTCTCAATTGACAACAAAGGTTATTTGCCTTTGGCTAGTCTGCTTCAAGTTTTATGCTACTCCAGATATCCCCTCTGTGGCTCTCTCATCATTATCTTGCCTCGCGTTGTTGTTCTACTTCTCCTCAACTGGGGGTTTTTCTTTCTTTGTCTTGTTTTGGCGTTAACATTGCGAGTACTGTACAATAGCGGCACGGGGATGGCATTTTTCGGTTCAATGAAGACCTTGATATCATTGACTGTCACGGGATACAAATGACCAAATTGTCTACAACAAACCTTGAAACCTAAAAAAAAGATAGAGATTAAAAAAAGACTAGAATATGAGGTATTGAAGTGATATTGATTTAAACAATGCTTTTAATATGGTCCGAATTGACCGTCATAAAATGGAACTAAGCCCGACTCCAACCCCAACGCCCATAGAAACATGATGAGAAATCTCGAATACACAAGCTCTTGAGACATAGAGCAGTCACAAAACACACAGAACTTTCAACCAGTTTATTTCTTAGTACTCCGGCGATCGTTAGCCCGCATCTTGCGGTCATTTCGCTTCATCCGCTCCTTGCGCTCAGTGCGGTTCATGCCACGGATGTTGCCGCCCTTATCAGCAGCATCTTCCTCCTTCTTCCACTTCTTCTCGTCAACCTCAACAAGCCACTGGTCCTCACCGGACTTGTTCTTGCCCTTGTATCCCCAACGAGGCACCCACTCGCCAGTCGCCTCGTCGTATTGGAGCTTCTTGCGGCGCTCCTTATCGGCCATCGCGACACCGGGACGCTGGCTGTACTTTCCGACACCCTTCTTGCGCGCGAACAGCTCCCACTTGGTCGGGGGCTTGGGAACGGGCAGTGGCTTGTGGCGGGGGAGTAGTGTCTGGGGGGCGGGCAGAGAGAGGAGCACGCCGTGCTCGGCTGAGGAGGTGATATTGCATGTGGTCAGGAGCTGGTTGAGGAGGCACTGAGCGCCGTCGCGGGCGACATTGTACAGAGAAGTGTTGAGGGCTTCACCCTGGGGGAGCTCGATGGGGTTAGGGTCGTTGGCCAAAAGGTGTCCCAGGTCGAAAGTGTAGGGAGTGGGCTTGTCAACGGTGATAGGACTGAAAAGGGCATGTTAGTTTTCGGATGTTGATATTTGCCAAAGTTATGTTCCGTTCCGCAACGATTAATGAATCGAGCGATATGGAAGAAATCACATACAGTCTCTCGGCTTTGGAGCCGGCCATCTCAACGTCTGCCATTTTGAAGAACGGTAAATAGCACGGAAGCTTTGGAAGTACAGAAAAGCGTCGAAGAGGGTATCACTCGGCAAGGAAAAAAAAAGGCCGTTCTACTTTTTCTGCCGTTTGTGACTAAGCATAGCCCACCGCCAGCCTAATCGGGCCAAAGAGAGATTCCCATAGTCAAATTATTATTGCTAGCCTCTCTCACCCCGACTTTCACTGTCTCAAAGCCCACCAACTCTCCCACCAACTCCCCTCCCCACCTCGCCAATTGATCGACACTGCGCCTGGCGCCAGTGTCTGTGACCAATGGCCTCCGCGTGGTGCTGGAGCTGCCTCTCGCGGCTTCGCCCAACAACACCGCGAGCAATCCTCCCGTCCGCAACTCCCCGGATTTCCAGCGCCGGTTTCCACTCCACCGCAGTGCAATATGCCCAGCCAGCGAAGAAGAAGGGTGCCAGTCTGACCCCTATGCGGTACCGACAGGGCCAGACATTGCGGAGAAAGAAGAAGAAGACCACCGAGCGTTCGCGTCCCCCAGCTGTTGGAGAGCGCAAGGCTATGCGGAAGCGCATTGTCCTCAGCAACCCCAATGCTTTGGAGGTTGAGGGCATGCAGGAGCTCTCAGCTGAGACTATGATTGATGCTCGTCTTCGTGGTTCTGTTCTTGGACTTCCTGTGCCTATGCTGGATCAATTGAGAGCCGTAGAGGCTTTCAAGCCTAGACAGGGTTGGTCTATATTCCGTCGGCCGGGAACTATCTTGCGTCGGGATGCTCTGGAGATGGGCCGTCTCTTTGAGAAAATCTCTGGCGATGGTGATGCGCCTCAGAAGGGTAAGGTTGTCAAGAAGATTATTACTGGATCCAAGGGATCTGGTAAGACCGTGCACTTGCTGCAGGCTATGGCTATGGGATTCACCAAGAAATGGGTTGTGATCACTGTTCCTGAGGGTAAGACTCGCATTTTTCTATGATTGGGGTTGGGTGAAAGCAGCTGCTAAACTATGACTATAATAGCTCGAGAACTCGTCTCTGGTGACTTCGCCTACACTCCCATCGAAGGCTCCAACCCGACCCAGTACATCCAGCCCAGCGCCACCGCCGCCTTGTTGACCCGTACTGTCGAAGCCAACCGCGAAGTTCTGTCTGGTCTCCGTGTTTCCCAAGAGCACCCCGCGCTGAAGAACCTCAAGCCCACTTCCACCCTTGTGGATTTGGCCATGATGGGATACACCGATGCCGCTCTCTCTTGGCCCGTTTTCCAGGCTCTGTGGAAGGAGCTCACCGCTACCGCCGCTGCCCCCGGCATGGAGAAGAACTTCCAGCCCCGTCCCCCAATGCTGGTTGCCGTTGACGGTCTTGCCCACTGGATGGTTGAGAGCGCCTACCGCGCTACCGACTACACCCCGGTCCACGCCCACGACCTCGTCTTCGTCAAGCACTTCCTCTCGCTCCTGCAGCCTGGTGCCGCCCTCAAAAACGGCGGAATGCTGCTGTACGCTACCTCCAAATCCAACAACCCCTCAACCTACGCTCTTGAGGTAGGCCTGGATCGCCTAGCTGCCCAACAAGAGGGCGTCAAGGCTTCCTCTCCCGAATACCCCCAGCCAGAGGCATACAGCAAGGCTGATGTCCGTGTCCTGGACGTTTTCAAGCCCCAGACTACCTCCGGCCAGGAAGGCATTCTCGAGCTGCAGACTCTCGGTGGTCTCACCCGCGAGGAAACCCGTGGTTACCTGGAGTACTTCGCCAAGAGCGGTCTGCTCCGTGAAACCGTCAACGAGAAATGGGTCGGCGAGAAGTGGAGTCTCTCTGGTGGTGGCATTATCGGTGAGCTGGAGAAGCTCGGCCGTCGAGTCCGCACTGCTGCTGCTGTAGAGCCCACCGCGGTGTGATGTTGGATTATATAAAGGTGTTTTCTTCTTTTTCTTTTTTGCCCCTGCATTACTACCCAAAGGTTTTTTGGTTCCTTAAAATCCGGGTCCTGGGTCCTGAGTCCTCGGTCATTTTGTATTGTAAATGGACTTCCGGGCCTGGGTTCACGCCTCCTGTACTTTACAAATCTTCAATCTCTGTTTTTCATCGGTGTATGCATATAATGGATATTTTTTGACAATTCTGCATTCCCTAAATTTATCTTTCCAGACTCCAAACTCCAAAAAGTACATCAAATCAAAAATCAAATCAACATCGAACATGAAAAAATCTTGAATCACCGTGGCACCTGTGAATGCCCTATCTAAGTAAAATCATAACAAAGAGGATTCCTCCTTCGAACAGGCCTCCCATCCCGCCTATCCCTCTCGTCAATCCTCTCCCTCTGCTCCTGCCTATAACGAACCAACCGCTCCGCCTTAAGCCTCTGAATCCTCGCTCTCCTCTCCTCACCCGACTCAAAGCGCTTTGCCTCTATATTCTCAAGTTCCTTAGCCCACTTCTCATGCTGGAAATCTTCTGGCGGCCGGAACTTGTTAAGCAGTGCCAGACGACGCTTTTTCCCAGCCGGAGGATCCTGGTCTTCGGGAATCTCGTAGAAGTCCAGAGTGATGCCGTCGGACTTGATATATTCGTTTCGTTTCCTTTTGGTAGACTTCGTCTCCGCTTCCGCGGGGATCTTTGCAGCGCCTTTTTGGGGATGGAACTGTTTGACCTCCACCCTTGTTCTTTTGGCGGATGCTTGAGCTGCTGCTTCTGGGTCGTTGGTGGGCGCTTTTCTCTTTCTTCCTGATGGCACAATGGGGTTTTCAGCCGCTGGGTGATCCGTTTTTCTTTTCTTGTTCGCATGGCGGCTTTCGGTGCTTGATTCGGTGGCGCTCATTTTTCTTTTCTCTTTTCTCAAGATCTCCGTGCAGAGCTGGTTTGTATCATTCCTGCACCAGGGTTCTCGGATGATGATTTCTTCGCCCTCTTTGATGTCGTTCTTTGCCCATACTAGTATGCGGTTGGGGACTTCGGTATCATAGCCCCAGCTCGCGTTCCCGCTTACTTCTGTTCGGAAGAGACTGAAGCCTGGGAACAGATACATGTTCATGAACGAGGGGTCATGGTCTTTGAAGGATTTCTTGGCCTTCAGCATCGTATCTTGTTCCTCTGGGTCCTTAGGTCCCTTGAAACTGTCAGCAGGTAAGATTTCGGGTCCTTCGCCTCGGCGCTCCTCATCCCACGGAATAGCATAGTTGAGCAGCTTGCGCATGATGCTTTGAATAACCCATGTGTCGAATGAGAGATCTCGGAAGATATCAACGCCCAGATAAGTCAGGATATCGAACGGGACGGTCACGTTGCCAGTATACGAAAATGGAAACCAATCTTCCCTGTTGTCATTCGCGTTGAGAATGAGGAGCTCGTTGATTTCCAGTGGAGACAGGTATGGGTCGTCTTTGCGGCGGTGCAGTGTTATTTCGAATATGTTCCGCAGCAGAAGACTGTGCATCGTGCCCCGCATATCATTGCACTGCACTAAATACTCTCTATCCTGCCATTTCCTGATAACGGGCCTCATGCTGTTGTGTAGCCATGACCAATCTTTGCCACAGCTTCCAAAGTGGTGCTGCTTGCTCGCGATCTGCAGACAAGATTTCTCAGTATTGTTGTTGGCTTTGCTCTTGCTTTGCTCTGCAGATCTACAAAAGACCCGGTCATCGGGACCCGGAGCAGTTCTCCCAACTGGGAAACAGGGACATCGTTCGAATTTAGTTGAGGCATAGATTGAGAACCGAGTCGCCGCGCCGACGTCGAGCTTTCGCATGCAGTTTTCACATCTTCTTTCGTCCTGAACGGCGGTTTCATCTTTCTCCATTCGGCGGGGCTGAAGATGGCTTCGGATTGTCGGTTCTTCGTTGTGTAGTAATTCCCCCCTGTTGATATCTCTTGTCGCGAAGACCCCCAGTGAGTTCACTTTCTTGGCAAGAACCTGACATTTCTTTGTCAAATAATCGTCGTTGCCGAAAATATTCAAATCAACCGTGTCGACGAAGTCCTGCACTGTACGATCCACTTGCATGGGCTCGTAGGGATAGGTTTTCTCAGCTGAGACACTGCCCTGGAAACGCTCGTGCCAGAACAAGTGCTTGTCACTCTTCTTTTTCTCTTGTCGATCCTGTTCTACAGTTTCGATGATCTCCTTGAGAATCTTGGGAACCTCTACATCTCGGTTCTGCACCATCAGCATATTCGATCCCAGGGAGGTGTATTGTTCATTCAGATCGAACCAGCTGTTCAGCGCCATTAAACTGAGAGTGATTATATGGTCCAGCGTTTTGAGGAGACTGTTGACAAAGTACCTCGGGCCTCGCTCTCTTAATTTCTGAATTTCTGGCTTGAGGGCTCCATCTATACGAGGTTGAACCAGTAAATGCTGTTCAATTGCATGCCAGACTCGCGGATAGAGACCTGGTCGTCGACTGCGTTCGTTGTCGTTGGTCAACACATCACAGAGAATCTTTGCGCGGTATGCATCGCCCAATGCTAGGTCAAAGTACGCTTGTTGGTAATGACAGTATGCGCGACTGGTCCAGTAGGCTGAGTTATAGGGACTCAGGTGGACGGCAAAGGTATACATGTCAAGGGTAGTCATCCACTCATTTTCGAACGGCTGGAGCTCATATCGCGGCGCCAGGCCTCCATTGTCCGCCGATTGAGTCTTCCCTTCCGTCCCTGTTGTCTTTCTATTCCACTGCTTCAGATCGCTTTGAGGCATTATCCCACAGTATCTTGCTAGTTCGGTATTTCCCGCCCGCTCAATGAGAGCCCTCTTATCCCCGTCGGCCGATACGCCTCGTGCCACCAACAACCGTCTGATAGAGGACGAGGACCACGATCTCAGATCCTTGAGCGCGCTTTCACCGATGATCTCATTTCTGTGTTCCTCGATTATTCCTGAGGTTTCCCAATCTTTTTCTAGGCCGTCTGCTTCAAATTTGGACTCTGCATCTTCGCGCGCCACGGGGAGGAGTGGATCGCTCATCAGGTGTTCGTATATATTGTGCACCAGGACCTGGGCGTTTGGATCGCCGGTGCTGTGAGGGTAGGGCCGGTCTTTGTGTCGGCGCCATGCTTTGCCGAGGGCTCGATCTGGGAGGGACCATACTTGGTAGGCGATTTTGGCATCTGTTTTTGAGACGTAATTGCCTAGTTGGACCTCGTCGAAGATGTCTGGTTTCGGGACTTCTCTATCTGGTCGCATGGCTTGCCAGGACGGTCTTGGGAGGAAAGCCTTGGTGAAAGTTGAAGATTCATTTTTCTTGTCTCCCATTGTGTTATAGGCGTTGCGTACTAAGTTGTGACTGACTTCAGTTCGTAGAAGGGATGCAACAAAACTCGATTTTCTAGCTCGGTGCTCGCTACGTGGGATTTCCCAAGTTCTTTAAGCTATGGTTTTCCTAAGATGTCTAACAAAGACATCATGACTACAATTCAAAGACAAAAGAAAGATCTGGAGCACTTGAGTCTCGGGGTAGCTAAAAGTAGTGAACAAAGAATGCCTAGTTCTAGCCTAGTTAAACTTCAAGTTTTGAAAGAAAATGATAGTTTCTTCGTATAGTTCCAAGAATAGACATGGCTGAGCAATTCAAGTGCGTTATTGGGTTAATACTACTATATGCGATCTTTTCGTCGGAGTATTGCTCCTATTTGTTTGAAGATCTCCATTAGTATGAGACCATGTACATAGTAGAATAAAGTAAGGGTTCACTTCATCGCCACCGCTTTTTCAATGACACCACACTCAAGGGCGAACATCGGTTTTTAGAGGGTTATAAGGCAGCGCGCGAGATTTTCCGCGCATTGTGCAGCACATTTGAAAATGCATTAGGAATTGCCTTTTGCGTGCCAAGTCTGTAAACCAACTGGTCAACGGTTTGATAGCATACAACTCCAAACAACAACTTTCAGGATTTTATGAAGAATATACCGTTCATACGGCTCCGAAATAAGAAAATGGTCAAATAAAAAGGGAAAAAATAAATTCAGGATTATTCGGTCACAGGACATACTAGTAGTTGGTCAGGGGGGATCTGATATGCATCACCAGCTATTTTTAACATGTGGGATTGGCTGGTGGGGGGCCTACGTGTTTGTGTCCCGCTTTTTGCTTTGACTCTTGAGGAAGTAGCGCGCTCCTGTGCTTCCTGCTGCCTTGCACTTTGGAATTTAGCTTATATCGTGCATGTGAAGCTTGTCTTCCGCCCCTTTCAAGATCTTTTCCCTTCTCTATCTCTCGGTACTTTGTACTTGGCCATGATCCATCATGTACGGTTCAAACCAGTCCGATTCCCAACAGCCAGAATGGCGACTGCCAGCGCGCCGGCCTAAACCAGCTTCTGAGTCGGCACAACCACCGCCGCAACCCCCTCGGCCAGCCGCAGGGGCTGTTTATCACCCGGCAAACTATGGGCCAATGTCCAACACCGCTGTTCCGGCGCGGCCGACGTCGTCGTCGCCCGTATCGCCGTTATCGGGTCAGAGTCAGACCGACCCCCGGAATTGGGGAGCGCCATATAACAAACATACGATTGTTGCCCCGCCACCTCTTCCAGTATGTGATAGTCATGAATAATGTACAAAGTGAGGGTTTTCCAGATACTGATAGATGCCAAAGCCTCGGCCATCAAGCACCAACGAACGGCCTAATATCTATGCGTTATCGCAGCCGCAACCACAGCCGCAGACGCAGTCGCAACCCCACTCGCCCGCCTTGAACAACATTCCGCCGTCGTTCTCGAATCAAGATTACGAAGCGTTCGCGGATGCTCGACCTCCATCGGCAAACAGTATCCCACCGCCTTATAATTTCCCGCCGCGTCAACCCGAGGTCCAGAACCAGCAATATCAGACTTCTAATGTTCCGATACTACCCCCTAAGATCCCCCAAGATCATCCCTCAGTCAGCCAGCAGGATACTACTAATGTTCGACCTGCACTGCTTGCACAGGGCATCGGCCCGGCAGCTACGCAAGGCTCGTATGGGCGTGCTGTGGATCCCAATGCAACCCCCACATATGCATCTGCATTGGGCCCGGGGACACCGTCCGACTGGGAACATTTAGGTCCAACAGAGGGTGACTTTGATGATGCGCCGTGGTTTCCACCTAGAGACCTTGCTCCTCCATCGATTGAGACTATTCAGACACCTCCTGGTTTTTCTACTGGCCTAGCCAAACCTGCCATGGCCAGTGCACCGACTTCTCAACCCCAAGACTATCCTCCTCAACCCCAAGGCTATCCTTCTCAAACCCAGGGCTATCCCAATCAGCAGACTCCCAGTCCTACACCCCAAGCTCCCACTCCTATGTACCAGTCTCCAGGGCCACAAAGAAATGATACTATTTCGCCTGTCAGCTCCTCTGGCGGGAATAGGTTCCACGCAGCACCTCTCAACCGCGTGGACAGTGTCAGCACTAGCAGCGTGTGGTCAAACCGCACTGATAGTATTGACAATGTGATTGATGCATGGACCAAACCTTTGGACCCCGCATCAAGGCCGGCTGATTCCGATAAGGCAAGCTCGATATCACATCTAGATCTCCAATCTAAGGGTAATCAAGACAGCCCAGCGGAGACCCCGAAACCCTCGCAATCTCCTCCTGCACAAGAGACACCAGCGAACGTCAATAAAGAGGCTGCTGGCTCTGCTGAAGTGCGAAGCAATATCGCACCTCAACCAGTGGATCCATATGAGGATCTCGACCCATGGTTCAAATCATCACTGACGCGCTGCATTGCGATGCTGCGCAAGGAGGCAGTGGCGGATTCGGATGAAGAGCGCTTCAAAATATTTACTGCTTTCATGGCCAAGGAAACTAAACTCCGTGAAATCATGTATAATATTGAGCATGAGCCCCCAGTCGTTCAACCCCCTGTCGTTCAAGAGACTCGTTCCTCTGAAGCTCCACATCCATTGGTGATTCCTGAGAAGCGCAAACCATCTCTTGAGTCTGGACTAATTCCCGTGGAGATGGAAGAAGTTGAATCACCTACCAGAATCACCGAAGATGAAGAGGATGATGACGATGACGGCGCGGGAAGTGAATATAGCGCAGGTGGTCGTCCTATCATAACGAGGCGCGGGTCAACGGCGCAGAAGCCTAAGTCTTCGCTAGTGCCCTCAGAAGATGTACCCAAACCGCCTGCTCGGACTTCTTCAATGCATCTATTAGAGGAAGCACAACCTTTAGAGCCCCTCAATACGGAGCCTCCGCGTCCAATTTACACCCCATTTCAATACACTGAGGGCCCACAGCGTGGCTCAGATAATCTAACATTTGCTCGTCCTGCTTATCAAGCCTACTCTGATTTACGGCAGGCATCGGCTAGTGGACGGGTCATGTCCAATGTCCCTCAATCTCAAACAGGACTCTCTGTTTTGACTACTTCGACACCTCCGTCTGAGCATGATGAGACTTTTATTGGTCTAATCCGGCATAAAAGCAATGCGTACCAGGCAGACAGTCGGCGGAACGCTACGCCGCATCCACCATTGCCGGAATCGCTCCGACAAGGACGACAAGAAGATATTGTTGCAGATTTGCGTACAATTGTCGGGACGCCTTTAGATAAACAATCCGAAGGCTCCTGGCACATCACAGCAAAAGAGGGCCTAGGAAAGTTCTCGGGGGATTTATCCTACGTTCAAAAATCCATTGACAGCTGGGAAAAAGCGGCTACAACCCGTCGACGCGCTCTTGATGGCGATCGTACCGCTCGACAAGACCATTCGGAGGCGGAAATCGATACTCTTTTCAATGATAAAGAAATTGGCTATGCCGATATTAACACCTTGGAGGAAAATTTCCGGCAGACTGAGGCTCGTACTCAGCTTGATGAGGAGCGGAAGGAAGTAGATCACTTCATGTCGCAAGTGTTCAATCCCGTAGATGAACGTTTGAAAGAAGAGATCTCTGCGCTTCGCAAATTGTATGAAAATGCCCTGAGCCAGCTTGATCGGGACCAGAAAGGAAAGAGCGCCAGTCTTGGCCGATACAGTCCATCTGTGACCCTGAAAATGGTCCATGACATCCACAACCAGCTCGAGATCCGGTTCCAGAAGCGGCTTGAGCTTGCGCTGGATTGTGAGCGACGACGTAAGAGAGCCGAGCGCCGTCCGTTAGTCTTTATGGGTGACATGTCTACCCTCCGACAGCTTGATGGGGACTTTGACCTTATGGAAAAGCGGAACATTCTGGAGGCAGCGAAGGACCGCGACGGGCGGGCCAATCAGTTGATGAATTCCTTCGACGATGCCATATTGCACGGCTTAGGTATGAATCAAAGCATCCTGGACGAGCTTTCGTCCAAAGCAGCCCGCCTCGACCCCACGAACCTCCGTGCTTCCGGCCTACCCGATTCTGAAGTCGAACAGATCCTCAAGTCAGCGGTAACCTTCGCCATGTCACTTCGAGCCGACTCCGAGGCAATCCTTCGGAGCTCGGGGGTCGCAGAAAAATCGCTAAACGACGCCGATTACGCCGTCTCCGTTGCCGAAGCACGATATGCAAATTCGGAGCCGGATATCTTTGAGCGTCTCGAAGCCGAAAAGAAAAAAGAGGATTCAATCCTCGAACGTGACTTGAACTCAAAGCTGCAGAGTATTCAAAAGGGCCCCCAGACCCTTGATCTGACTATCAAACAACTTATCCGGGACCTGGCAAAGACCCCGAGAGTTGAGGCTCCGGTTTCTGTGGTCATTGAGGAAGCGACCCCTGTCAGTCACACCGACAGTGTGACGTCTGTAGACCTACCCTTGGAACTTCGCCCTGCCACTGTGGCTCCCACTAGTCAGACCCCGCCAGCACGTCGTTTGTCGGATCCTAAGAATGATCACCAAGAGAGGCTACGTCGGGCGTTGGAGGAAGCAAAGAAGCGCAATGCAGCGAAATCTAGCCAATGAGGAGGAGCATTATGCTTTTGGGAAGGATTGGGTGCAGATAACACATCCATGACGCCACGAATTTTTTCGAATTTTTTTTTTACCTGGCATATACCCCTTGGTTCTTGTTTATCCCTGTTTCGATACCCTTTGAGTATGTGAGCCACGTGTGTCTTTGTTTTATTTGTTCTTTGTTCCTACCGCTTAGATACATGCATGTGTAAATACTGTAGAAGTACGAGCACAGGCCAATAGTAACGGCGTGACATCTGGAGTAATTTTCCCCGTTACACAGGCATCAATACCGACCCTGAAATTCGCTTGAACTTCCAGACTTGTTCACATAACCTGATTCGGAGCATTATCCAACTGCTGATCCCGGACAAAGAGCTTGGAGGGAGATCTTGCCAACTCTTTTGATCCTCCGACGTACTTTTGACCGTCTTGACCCAACCAATCCTGTCACGCCACTCAAGGTGGCTGCGCCGTGGGCAGGGGCCAAATCAGTCAAGTGATTCAGAGAACATGCACAGGCGGCTTTTGCTTTTCCACTGATCTAAACAGCATGGAAAACACGTCTCCTCTTCCAGGACCTCGGACGTTCTTGGGTGTGAAATCAGCCTGACCGAGTGCTGAATACCCGTCATTAAGCGCCCGGGCAGTGGGCACAGTGACAGTAGGTATCAGCTAAAACCTCACCCTTAAACGCCTAAATGTTTTGTATTTTCCTTTTTTCCCCTCTATTTCTCACTGATCAGCACATATGGGGCAGAAAACAGGCTCACATCAAACGGTCGCAATGATGTCTGCGGTGCTCGGGCCCCATCTTGCAGGGATGAAAGGACATCTCCAGACCCAATACCCAGACCGGCGGGTCGTACTGTGCCGCACAGCAGCTCTGAGGCGTGCTCGGATTCGCTGTGTCCCTGCACTAATCAATGAGACTAATCATAATCGATTCAACGGTCCATCTTTGCACAGTTCGCGCGCAGCTTCCCCTCTTCGACCTACGCTAGGACTATCGCGATCGTTGAGCTTATGCATGGTGGTCATCCGAATCACCAACTGTTCCAACCGGACACTAAGGACTGGCTATGAGGCGTCTGTAGCGGTGTCTTTACTCCGCTGCGTGGCCTTTCTCCCGTATTTGTGAGGAGAAATGAGATTCCTCCTACGCCTGGGCATTTCCTTATCTGGGAAGGGAACTTTGACAAGCTGCATAGCTCATTGATCTGGGATCCCTTGCTTCACTCCCCCCTCCAAGGATAATCGCATGAGCACGGGGCTTGTTTATGACACTTTGGTATGCAGGTCAAAAGTGACATACTAACTAATTTGTTTGTTTTGGTGCTGGGGCCTCGAATTAATGACCAGGTAGTTAGTTGGGTGGTCAACCGACAAGGCAGCAAAGCCCTGGATGGGTCGAATGGAAAATTCGAGATTTATTCCCCACTGGGATCAATCCGCGATCGCTCTGCGCCGGCACAGACAAGATCGCCAGCCAAGACCTTGCTGTGCGATTTCCACATTTCCCGTTCTCAGTCTTAGGCTTGGGCTTAGTGCCAATCTCAGGCTTTTACACCCGAGCCTACTGATCCATTCTCCCTTTGCCGGCCAGGAGCCGAGCCAATCCGCCAGCACCAGTATCTACGCCATCGGAGCAAGCAACTTGCCACCTGCCACCCCAGAATTTCGTGTAGAACCAGTCTCTTTTTCCCCCGCCAAGATAAACAACTGGAATTGATCTATCAAGTTCGTCTAAATGGCAAATTTGATACACGGGCAAGATCTATGTATTCGATATACACGGAATACTCCCAGGTCTTACTGTGTTTGTCCCTAGCCTATGTACTAGCCTCGGCCAAGTTCATGCTCGGAGCAGCCACCGAGACCCCAGATCGTTTCATTCTCCTAGTGGCAAGTCTGTGCGCAATGATGCTGATCAATATCACTGTGCAAGGCATAATCCAACGGTTAAGCCTTGTTAAGACATCATCCCCTTCAACCTGCGCCCTACCCAATCCATCTCTCCAATTTTTCCCCCCGATTTCCCCCATTTCCCTTTTCCACTCGCTGTTTTCAAACCCTTTGTTTTAGCGCTGTTGGAAAATTATCCTAGTACTCTGCGGCTCGTGGGTCAGCTCTGGCTCTTTTATTTTTTATTTTTTATTTTTTTGCCAATTTCTGACTCCTTTTTTTTAACTGGACCTTGAGCTTCGGCTCCGCCGAAGTCTTTGTTTTTGCGCCCCGAAGATCATAGTTCGAACTCGCAACCCCAGTCTATCCTGCGGGATGCGGTCAAATCGAATACAGGGATGACAGGAACTATGAAGAAATGGGAATTTGTCGAGCCACTTTTTTTTCCTTCTATGGCGGACCTAATTATTTAAAGCGGGCGCCAGAGAGATCCGTTCCATGGTTTCAATGTACCCGCTCCCGTCCATGGGTCGGAAGAACTCTCTGAATCTACCCTTTGCCATCAGGAGTCCACTTATACACAACTTGGTCTCTTTGCCCCTCGTATTTCTTGAATCTCCCTCGCCCCCTTTTTTTCGGACCATGACTGCTCCGACAAGACAGTTCCACAGACTGTCAATCGGTGACAACATGCCTGAGACCCGGTCCCAATTGACTCGCACGGGACGGCCGATCCCTTCCGATGAAAGTGAGCGTGAGGATAGCTCTGTTGAGGGGAGCGAGACAGGAAGTGAAGAGGAGGAGAGCAGTGATGAGGAGCCTAGTGAGAGGACGGTTCTCGCGCGATCTGGAATCACCTATGATCTGAGGGATCTAGATCATGAGGTCGAAGCTAGTGCTTTGGTGGGCTTAAGATCCCAGTTTGAGGTCGTCAACTGTCGGGCTTCGAAGTCTGGCTATGATTTTCAGCTATTGGATCGACCGCAGGTGCATGTTGGACCAAATTCAACTACCTGTACCTGCTTGACGTTCCAAGCGCGGCCAGAGGCCGCGTGCCAACACATTTTCGTAAGTTTCTTCTCTTGTCCACGCACAACAAATGACTTTTTTTTTTGGCTTTTCTTCCTGCTCTTCCAGCTTTCTACTTTCTGTACGACTGTAGAAAGACATTTCACTAATACAACTACAACGGTAGTGGGTCCTCGACCAGCTTCATGCCTACTTCATCCCTACACCCTCAGAGGCCCAGGCGACTCTTTCCATCGACGGCCGTCCCCAAGTGCGTCCTCGCGCCGAGGAACTTCTCAATGGCGTCAGCTTGGGCGTGGTAGCGGAGCGTCTAGGCTGGCAATCTTTCCGAGACCAAGGTAACGGCCACTATCACGGAATGACTCGAGCAGAAAAAGTCCGCGACGTTCTCAGCGCCTTCAAAACGAAAACTCTTCCAGAAGACTACCGCCAAGATTTACGAGAAACCGAGTCGACAGAGGATCGCACCGCCGAATCCTGCGTCGTACAGGGCGACCTTGAAGCCACCGTCTTCCGACTTGCCGTACACGACGACAGCGTCTTCAGCAGTATCTGCAAGGCAATGCCCTCCGGCGCATGCGCGGCAATCTACTTCCAGAAAATCCAGGATCAGACCCGCCGTCTCATGTTGGACTTCGACCAGTACTGCCTCACGGGCAACTTACCCATCGATCCGAGCAGTCCTGGCGCCGGTATCGTCGAGGCCAGCGAGGTGGCTCTTCAGCTTCGGAGTATAGTCTCACGTATCCGGTCCAATCTTTCCTTCCGTTCTCCTTATGGCTCCGACGGCGCGGTGGGTGCTCTCGTTGAGATTCTTGAGATTGTCGCTTCGCGCAATAGGGATTGTCTGGGTGGAGCGAAATGGGGACGAACTTCTTTCCATGGCGAGGATGAAGATCAGCGGAATATTCATCATTTGCTTATTTGGTCGGACGACGTCGAGTTGAAGGCCGATGCGGACCTATTCGTTATTAGCGCCCTTGAGGACATTCACCCTTCTTCTCTGGCTCCAAGGCTCCCGGAGCTCCGCAATTGCTTGAGCAAAATGGAAGTGAACCGGGCGCCAAGGGCCTATCTTGTTCGACTTGGTGCCTTGATTCGCTCTGGCGAGGCTGCTATTGCTGCTGCGGGAACCTCTGGATCAGGACAGAAGAGGCCTGCCGGTGGGAACGGGCATTCCGGAGGTTTTTCTAAACGGAGTCGATGATTTTCGTTCCTGCTTCTCGTGGGCTGTAATTTGCATCTCCATCGTGTTTCCATTTTTTTCGTCTACTGTCTTGTTTTGTCTATATTGTCATGTTTGGGCCGGCTATCTCTCGTTCATTCATTCCAATACCCCAGCATTTGAATTTACCCTTGCGAAAAGGGAAAAGAGAAGAGACAATACGATCCTACATCCTGTCTTCCACAATCTCACACACTTCGACATTTATCTAGCATACTCATTCTCAATCTACGATGCATTCCACAAACCAATCCATCCAAAACCCTCCCCCCAAAAAACCCGCTCATTTGACCATGACATACCCCCAAACCAAACCCACATCTACTACCCACAGCCACACAATGAAATCATACCCCAACCTTAATCTCATTTTACGATGTACCTTCCCATACCACCGAGCTCGACCGAATATATCCATGGAACAGAAGTCCCATTCAAGTCCCACGGGACTAAATACGACCATATCATGGCGTCATAATAACCCAGGGCGCCGGGAATTGGGACCCGCATCCACGGTCCGGCTTTCACGGGACGTGTCAGTCTTTCGAAAGGACAATGTGGAAATCGCCCGATTCGACTGATTGAACTACCGAATCCATGGACCCGTGGATGATTCTGGTACGGTTGACCCCACTTGGGTTTTGGGTCGGGATCTTGAAATCCCTGAATTTGGAATTATATGAGAATACAAGAATATGCACTTTCAATATCCCCCTTTTGGCGAATTTCCACCTATTATTGCAGTATTATTTGCTTTCGAATGAGCGTTCAATGTTTATGCTTAATTCCAATGTTGCGAGGTGGTGGTAAGCTTCATGCTATCCTTATCAATCGCTGCGTTCGGAAACCCTTTTTTGCACAAGTGGATTTTTTAAATGTTCTCTGTCTGTACCTCCTCCGTGCGGGCTCCGTTATGTACTGTGTACTCTGTACATGTATTCTTCTCCGGGGACCGGGGCTGCACCCAAGTAGTTAGCTCTCGTCGGTAAATGTGGAGATTTGTTTTGGGGTGGAGATGCTGGTTTGTGTATGTACCCCGTCTGCCGCGGTTGCTATTACATACTCGCCCGGTCGTATAGGCGAGAGAACATTTGAAAAGAGAAGAGAGGAGAACATTGAGGAAAGGAAGGAAAGCTGCCTCCCGCCCCTCCCCCTTTTTTTTCGCGCGAGGTGAACGTTCGGACCTCGAGGTACAAATGTTCTGTCCTGTCTTTCAACGTGCGGACATAGGCGGATTTCATGATACGGAGTAAGAGGTCAAGTCTACGGAGTAAAGGAAGTAAAGTAGGAGATCATGTGGAACTGTGGAAATGTACCGACAGGACGGATTCGGTCCACTTTGTCGCTTGTGATACTTTATGGAAAGCCACTGTCGGGTTTGTCCGGAGCTCCCCGTGTATATGTTGCTATTGATGCAGGCTTGAATATCCATAGGGGAGTTAGGGAATAGATTACCTTGGGAATTTTGACCCGTATACATACCTCTAGATGCCGTTAAAATTGGTAAAGCGTTGAAGCGTTGAAGCGTTTTGCTATTTCCCCGATAACACGGCATGTACTGACATGGTGAACAGGCTGTTCAAAAGAATTGATTGTACAAAGTAATGATCATCTAGCATGGCTATTTGGAATTATCACGAGAAGCTTGTAATAATCGAATAATGATAAATAATCGGTGGGGATTCGAAAAGTGAAATCCCACGCTCATAGGCCCGTGCGTCTTAGTTGGACCCAGAGATGGAGCCCTTGGTGGAGAGACGAGCTAATTTGCTTGATGCTTCTTCACAACTCCCTAGACTCCGATTCAGCGGGTCGGATCCGAAATCGTGTTGGCTTCGGATGTGCACCGGGTATGCAGCAATCTTTGGGATTTTGGAGAAGTTGGGGATTGATTAGCTTTTACTTAGTGAGTAGAATCAGATGCTGGCTACATTCGTCTGGGCGCTTTCCACTGGCTGTTATCGCTTTCCCGATATGGTATTCTCCGTGTGCATATCCATGGATGCACATCGGAAGCTGTTCATTAGATGTTATGCAGTACTCGGCTGATAAAGGAATGTTGAAAATGCTTCTGTGCCTTGGATTAATACCTGCATACTATACGCGTGGTCAAAATAAAGATTATATGCTTAAATATTAGTATGGAAATTAGAATCTACTAGGTACATTCGTGGATCGGCCATTGGCCATGGATCAATTGCGGCATAAACCTTGGAATATTCCAAATGCCCTTTGAGCGCTTGAATCTTGGACACTTCAATTGATACCTGGGTATTCAAAATGTTACCGACAGTTCCCACCATGCATGTGGCCTAAATTGCGGTTGACCATCTACTGTCCACGGGTCTACCTTGATGGCATTTCCAACGTTAAAAAATTGAATTGACCAGGTGGATATCAGAACTTTTCTAAGTGCTCAAGTGCTGGAAGAAACTTCAAAGTTCAAATGTTGTCTACTAATTAAACGTTTATCTTTGAATGCGGGTTGTTGCTACGGCCGCCAAAACATACATATGTACATGTAGCCTTAGAAGTGAAGCGTACATATATTTCGATCATTGCCGATGTCTTACCAAATAATCTTGGAATTTGAACATTGAATGGACCTCCGTTCTTAAAGCCTAGGCACTTCATCTGGAAACAAGGACTTAGAGCCTCAGTTGCATGGCTAGGATTGATTCAAGTCCACAAAAACATTGGAACTTTGGAATTTCCATGCAAAATTCATGATATCGAGACGAACCAGATCCGATCGAGCGGCAAAGTAGCCTCCGAATGAGGCTTAGCGCGTAGTATGGCGCTAGACTATAATTAGCCAAGCCGGGCAATATTCTCCAATAAGCACGGCCGGCTGGCCCAATGGCAAGGCGCTTGACTACGAATCAAGAGATTGCAGGTTCGATCCCTGCGTCGGTCAATTTTTTGGACTTTTTTTGGACCATGCAGACGAAAGAGACAGATAATTCAATTTTTTTTTTGGTTACAGACAAAGTGGCAGTTTGGAAAATTTGGGCTAGTGTGATGAATGGTATGCATCAGGTTTCATCCAGGTGTAGCTGAAAGCCATCAATCGATGGCGACTCAGTGACAATCAAGTCCCCAACTCCATCTATCGACTGGCAAAATGGTTGTTTGAAACACCCACGACTACTCTTGTTTTGTCGATATAGCAATGTCTTTCTGTCTAGTATTTTGTAGATATCCAAGTAAACTTTCTCTCTAGTTCAATTTGCACAGTATAATGGATTTTCGATTGCTCAAATTGCATTTTGTGGGATGCCGCCAGGTCTTGTTAGAAGGTGACCAAAGAAGCAAGAAGAAGCGGCAAGCTTGAGCTACATATATAAGAGAAGACAGAGCACTGGAAGGGGAGACAGGCCTGCAATGCTTCTCCTGACACGCAAGCCGACAAACTTGGAAGGCGCGAGTGCTTTCAATGTTTACGGCCTCGGAAATGTACATGGGCGTGCCTCTGACGGCAAGCTGCAACGTTTTCTCGGTCGACAGAGCCGCCAGAGCGTCGACGGAGAAGTACAGCGGGTAGGAACCTCTTTCTGCCTAACTTCTCAAGGCATGTGCCCGTAGAGAACGGCAATACTATTCATCCGGGGCAGGGGTGTCGCCCACTCCCGACGTCGCTGCCTGGAGCGCTTTGAGCTTTAAGCAAGAGCTCTTGCTGGTACATAAGAATCGGTTCCCTTTCGTTTGAGACCCTTTCTGCGTGGCATATTTCTCTTTAGGCTGTCGGTGATCATTCTCGGATTCTCGTTACCATGACCTCTCAGGTAAGCTACATATCTTGCTCAGTGCCCACACATGATGTTCAAAGGTTGAAGAACTAACCAAGCTCACGTCATAAGATTTTCTATCTGGAGGGCCAATCCATCAATACAAAGAACGTCACCCAGCTGTATCACCTTCGCCCCACAGTGCACCGCGTGGAACTTGAATCGGATTCATTCCGACATACCATTCCGCCATCAGTGACGACAGTAATTATAAAGCAACAGAAAGATGAATGGGAAGAAGAGTTCCAAAAGGAAATACAAGCCTATGAAAAACTAAGCAAGCTTTCAGGGAATAACCATTCCTCAGCTCTATGGCCAAGGTGCTTTCAATGGGATCCCTGCGCTTATTCTTTCCGATCTTGGTGGGACCACTCTTTTTGACCTGGGTCTAAACAGGTCCCAGATTGATGACAGAATGTTGGAAAATGAGCTTTACGAAGCTGTCAAATCGTTGTATGACCACGGAGTCGAATACTGGGACGAGAAGCTGGATAACTATCTCTTTTGCGAGGATGGCAAAGTGAGGATTGTCGATCTCGAGCTTGTTGAATTTCCTAATCCTGATGAACGTCTCCCTTGGCCAAAAAGCTGTGGCTTGGGCAGTGTGTATAGTCTGATGAGAGAATTCAAAAATAAAAGAGATCGACCAACGGAGGCCGAATACTACGCGATGTGGAGAAAAGATATCGATGACGAGGCCAAAAGACGCCTAGAGACCCCGTCTACAGGCTCGATAAGAGAGAAAATGTGGGGCGTTGGGCCGATTAAACCTGTGAGTCCGATTTACATTGGAGCCGAGTGCTTGCAGGCATTTGGGGAAACTGGCTTTGGAGGGGAGGCCTGGAAATAATATTTGATCGTTGATATGTTGGAAGGGACACAACTGATGCGTTAGGGAATTGCAAGTCTTGTTGTTATTTATAATTTGAGTGTTTCTAGTCTGTTGCCATATATTGACAATTAATTTGAAATTTCCCTTCAAAAGAAGTTGGAATATTTGACATGCAACTTCCTAATCAAGGCATGTGGATTATGGTCTCTACATAGCACTAGTAGTTAGTTATCTGTTCTACCACGCTGACACACCACATGCGGGGTTACAATGCGGGGTCCTTGGGGGGCCTCGATTTAGTCACTTGAGATTACGATGTCAGAATGTTCGAATTACTCGCATATAGCTGAAATAGCCATTTGCGCGCTATCTCAGCTTTCATGATGTCTGCCGTTATTTGCATACTAGAGCATAGTACCTTGCATAGGTCAGCTGAGGAGACGTGCATCTAACCATTCATTAACCGCTTCGATGTATGACGAATGGCCCCGCTTCAAATGTTCCGGCACCACAGCGCTGCTAGACAGAACTAGCCATAGCAGAATAAAGTTGAGGACCTTGGTGAGGTCCTAGATCTATAAAATCAACTCAACAATTTTAATTCAAACATTCCTAATTCCCATTTTTCAATCTATTGATTGAAACCCTCCGGGTTTCAGTATCTCACGGGGGCATGTCATGGTCAACCTCGGTCCAGCCCCCACCTTTCCCCCTCATCCTTAACAAGGTTAACAAAGCGTTCCAAGAAAAATCCGCAATTTACGACTCAATTGAATTGTGCACCCGAGGTAGGGCCACGCATAAATCCGGGGCAAGCTCATAATGGATAATGGACAGGAAATCATAAACCACGGCCCCACATGTGCATTAACGTCACCTCCAAGGCTCCAACCTAGACTCTATTTCTCCTCTTTCTTTCTTGGCAAAGAAATCAGATAAAGTTCCACAACTCCGCAGATAACTCCTCTCCATTTCTGCCTTTTCTCACGTATCACACTGACAATAATTCATCTCGTCACCAAATAACTCACTTTCTTTGTATAAGCACTGCTCAGTGATCAATTTCAGCATGACTACTCCCGAGATCTCGATCCCTCAGAAACAAAAGGCCGTTGTCTTTGATCAACCAGGCACTATATCAACCAAGGTCGTTGAGATCGATGTACCGGAGCCCGGAGATGGCGAGGTCCTCATCAATCTGTTGGTTGACTGAACATTTCACCTACCTCTGGATAATACTAATCTGTGTATTGTAGAACCCATTCCGGCGTCTGCCACTCAGACCTTGGAATAATGACAAACACTGTATGCTTCATACCCCTTCACGCCAATGCACCAACAAGACCCTATTCCTAACTCGCATAATCCAGTGGAGCACGCTGCCCTACCCAACCCAGCCCGGACAGGTAGGCGGCCACGAAGGCGTAGGTAAAATCGTCAAACTAGGCCCAGGCACCACAGCCAGCGGCCTAAAAATCGGAGACCGAGTCGGCATCAAATGGGTCTCCAGCGCATGCGGAAACTGCCGTAAGCCTGAACCAAACCCCCTCCCAACCTAACCATCCATCCCAAGCTCCAACTAACCTCGCACCCACCCCAGTCCCCTGCCAAGCAGGCTCCGACGGCCTCTGCTTCAACCAAAAAGTATCCGGCTACTACACGCCCGGCACATTCCAACAATACGCGCTCGGCCCCGCAAACTACGTAACCCCAATCCCAGACTCTCTCTCCTCCGCCGAAGCAGCCCCCATGCTCTGCGCCGGCGTAACAGTCTACTCGGCCCTAAAACGCAGCAACGCCCGGCCCGGCCAATGGGTCGTGATCTCCGGCGCCGGCGGCGGCCTCGGCCACCTGGCCGTGCAGCTCGCCAGTCGCGGAATGGGCCTGCGCGTTATCGGCATCGACCACGGCAGCAAGGAGGAGCTCGTGAAGGCGTCGGGCGCGGAGCACTTTGTTGATATTACGCAGTTCCCTCGCGATGATAAGGGCGAGGCGCTGAAGAAGCATGTTAAGGGGTTGGCGGATGGGTTGGGCGCGCATGCGGTGCTGGTTTGCACGGCGGCGAATGCGGCGTATGCGCAGGCGCTGCCGTTGTTGAGGTTTAATGGCACTGTGGTTTGTGTGGGGATTCCCGAGAATGAGCCGCAGGCTATTGCGAATGCTTTTCCGGGGATTTTTGTTAATTCGCTTGCGACTGTTACGGGGTCGGCGGTCGGGAATCGGGTGGAGGCTGTTGAGACTTTGGCGTTTGCGGCGAGGGGGGTGTTGAAGGTTCATTATCGGGTTGAGAAGATGGAGGCGTTGACGGAGGTTTTTAAGGATATGAAGGAGGGGAAGGTGCAGGGTCGGGTTGTGTTGGATTTGTCTTGATTGGGTTTTGAGCTTGAGTTGAAAGCCTACTAGGATATTTGTATGTGCATTGCATATCAAAGCTTAGCTTTCCCATACTACATATATCAATGGATACCAGATCAATATGTACTCAACCTTGTGACGGATTAGTTGCATAACAAGTGAAAGGGAAATATTGGACGAAGAAAATATCCTCTTGGTATGAAAAATGCTTCAAATGTTTCATTTTGGCTTCGATGATTGCCGAGGTCTGGAATGACCTGTCATCGTTGAGCCATTATAGCTATCCCCGCGCATTACACTACTAGAAAATCTCCGACTGCCAAGGTTGTCGTCATTCAAGATGTTGCTCTTGAACGATTCGTCGTTGCATGTTGTAATTGAACGTTTTGTCTTGTTCGCGCATCGACATCGTACTACCCCGCACCGTATCCCCGCAACCGGATCATGCCCCTCGATCTCACAAAACACCAAGCAAACATGGGAGATACCAAAAGCACAAAGAAGACCAGACAGCATGCATAAAATTGGCTTATAAGCAAAAATAAAAATCACATTTCATCACAGCATAACACGCCAAGATCAGATCGTCAGCTGCATCTCATAGCGTGAACTCGAGCAAGTTACCCGCATAATCGCGGGCAAAGAAACGTGTGGGGTATTCCTTCCCTTGAGTACCTATAATGAAAACAATACGATAGGGATTAGACCGGGACCAGAAAAAAAAGAAAAAAACAAGATATCGAAGTCGACAATGTATAAAAAAACTCCCTCAAAAAACACCGCTTTCACTAACCTGAATCCATAGCCCCCGGCTGATCGGCCGCCATCGGCGCCGACGGACCACCCCGAACATGGTGATCGTGAATGCCCTTCTTAATCGTCTCCAGCTCCTCAGTCGAGCCAAGCTTGAAGCACGGATGCCGCGTGTGTGTTGGATCCGTAGGGCCCTCGTTTACGTGAATTTGCTGTCCGCTTGATCCGATGTCGAACCTGTGCCGCGCCGCGCCGATCAGCACATACAGATACACTTGGAAATTCACATGTGCTCAGGCTAGAGCTTGCGATACCAGTAGTAACTAGTAGTCACCAAGTCAAGTAACCCAGCTATCAAATCTCAAAGCTAACCCAGCCCACATACCATAGGATAGTCCCCCTTTGAAGCTCTGGAACCGGCGCCGGACTTAATCCGAGAGTCGAGCTATAGAATTCCTGTGCATCGTCTAGCGTGCCCGGATGCACGGTGATGTTGACGTGAGCGATTCCTTGGATCATGATGGGTGGCAGTTTTGAAGGTCGTAGGTGGTGAGTTGCAGGTTGGGTTCGTTTGAATGTTCGGGTTCCAGGGTTGCTTATTTGGAGGTGAGTCTGGTGACTGGTGACTCGTCTGGGTACATAAGTGGGTCGGCTATGGCCTTTTATGCCTTTTGTATCACCCCCACGCTCGGGCTCCGGAAACTAGATCCCGATCGTGATTGGGTGATGCCGCGCGAGCTTCGGATTTTCTTGCACTTAAAGTTGGACTCTATGGAGTCGCGTGCAGTCGCTTATTTCGGGAATGGTTTCGTGTTCTACATTTTTGAATTTCTTTCCCATTTAAGCTGACATCGCCAGCTTGATATCAGTGGCTTACTAATTTGCCTCCCTTTAACTACTACTCGGATGCTTGCGAAACATTTCATAGGATTTACCCAATTGGTAGATTGGTGTAGTTGAAAAGTAAGATGTGAAACTGGGCAATCAATCAGGAGCGCTTACTAGTATATATCTAATGAGCAAGAACAAGACCAATAGAAATTCTGGAAGAGATGAAGTCGAAAAAATAAACTTAGCCCAAACCCAATCAAAACCCGTCAGCAACGAACCACAACACATCCAGACCTAAACCCAGACCATTTCCTCAATTTTGTTATTCCGCGAAATTAAATCAACATCCTCCAACTCGTTGCCCTTCTGCCATCGCCACCACTCTGAATGGCAGAACACCAACCAGAAAGAATGACTGTCTCATTGCCAGGAATGGAAACCCAGCTATCCGTGCGTGGTTTACTCTATTTCCAAGCCGCATGTATCATCCTAGAAGATGATAGAAAAGGCCCCGTAGTCTGTGTGAGCTCCGCATACGTTCACGGACTCTGGAGCAGCCGTGTCACGGCTGTAGTTCCAGAGACGGAAATAGAAGTCATAAGACTCGTGTACGGTTAAAAGACCGCTGCCGGCAAGAAAACCTCAAGCTAGAGTTGTCAAAATCAATGGCACATTCTATAGTAAACTAATCGACGATCTAACTATCAATTGTTGCTTGGTAATGGTCAGATTATTAGTTAAACTAATTATACATGTCGGTATACGTAATTGATGTGCAGTGAACACGGCCTGAATCATCTGATAGGTCAACTTGATTGTGAGGGAAGGCGCGCTTTCAAGCGCGCGCTCCCTTACAAATCCGTCTCCCTCTAGTTACTTGAGATACCGAACCGATACAATGCCGGCTACTAACTCTAGACTCTACAGGTTATTCATTCTGTAGGATCTGGTGTGTAGCTAAAACTTCCTCATATTGATCTACAGTCTTCATTCCCTATACAGCTTCCCTATACAGCAATTCCCGCGCCATGATATTTTGTACCTAACAAAGTTAGATCAAGACCCAGCATAATTTTATTTTTCTTATTGAGTTACTTCATTTTAAAGATCCGATTCCTTATGCAACAAGAAAAAGGGGGCGTATTCTGATTCGCAGCCTCGCTATGTCCATGCATTGTGTAGTAGGCTTAAAATCCGACGCACGTATTGTTGAGTTATCTGCTAGAAAAACTTGAGGGCATTCGTCAGGCTACGAGGGTGCAGGGACTCTAAGACAGATATGGGCACTGCCGTTGATGCCGTTGATGCCGTTGGTCGCTAAGCGGTTCCAAAGCATTCTACGGTCGAGATGGGTGATGAAGAAAAGATTGAAATTGAACCTTGTGGGATTTTGTTTACTTAGGCAACCTTGGATAAGACAAAATGGACAAGTAAATGCTAATCGTTCCGAAAGAGCCAATTGTACAAGGCCAATCAACAGCTGTATGTCTTGAAGTCTATTTCGTATTTGCGTCAAACGCGAATTTATTATTGTAGGAGAGTGTATGGGCTACGCGCGATGTTTAGGCCAACGCAAAACGAAAAAGGAGGGACCCCATCTTATCACCACGTGAAATAACTTATCTACAATCACCGGTAACAACTGGTAACGACTAGTATTTGCTACCTAAAGCCCATCAGGATTCAGGTCATCAGGTCACTTTTTGACCTAATGATCTGATGGTCTACAACTCACGAAAAAGGAAAGAGGAAAGATTAGCTAATAGCTAACTAATTAACAGTTACATTAACTCACTAATTAGTTAGACTATGCGATAGCTTACAAGCAAAAACGCAAAACGCAAAACGCAAAACCGCGACCAGGAGCTTTTGTACAACGTTTGGCTCAATTTGTACCAAGACTGATATTTAGGTGCCAAAAGGCGCTAGTTTCCCCCCTAAATAAACCCAGGTACTTGACGTTCCGAACAGAAATGAGGCAAGAAGGCAGCCATGCAGAACGGCCCAAATGTTGGAATCGCTGCATCGCTATGTCTGGCAGCCACTCCAATGATTGGTCAAGACCCAGTCACTTCGGGAACAGCAAAAGCACAAAACTGCCTTGACTGAAGGCGGCTGAGTCGGGTGGCCCAGTCGGGGTTGAAAACGATTTCTTCTTCCACGGACGAGTTTCCGTAGCCGTATTATTACAGCACTAAGCCCGGTTTGTATGCGGCATGGTAAAATCGTAAAATGAACTGGTCATGCTAAATTACTAGTAGTTATAAGTAGTAGGTATCTTACTATATAACAGTCTCATATCATCGTTCCCACTTCCTGTTCAACATCTCCTCCCCACGATTTCACAGCATTTCAATTTGTGAACAATGTCCGGTTTGTCAGAAGCCAGTTCTGAGAACTTTGCGAGATCGTATGTACTATTCTGTCTCTAGTGATGATGAATCTCTATCTAAACGCTTTTTTGGTCTAGTATGATTCCACTCTACCATAACGCCTGCGTCACAATTCGAATCAGTTCTAGTGACCACGAATACAAAGTCTCGAAGGATCTTCTCTGCAGAGAATCCAAATATTTCTCAGCAATGTTCGAGGGCAAATTTAAAGAGGGAGTACAGCAGACAGCAATTTTGGAAGAAGTCGAAGGAATCGTTTCGGTTCAAAGCCTCGAAGCTTTCTTACAATGGATATACCTCGGCAAATTCAAATTCGACTTGAATCAACTCGAGCACCATATCACAGCCACAATCGAACTGGCCCGGTTTGCAGATATGTGCAATGTATCTGAAATGGCAACTCAAATTGGTCAGTACCTGAAAGATATTCTGGTCGCCAACCCGTGTCTTGAGCATGCATATGGGTTTTCTGGGTTCCCTGTCGATACCTGTTGCCTCACATCTCAGCACATCATTTCGGCGACTTTCTTGCCTCAAGGGCACGTAATTCGCCGCATTCTAGCTGCGGTATCATCAAATGACTACCTTCTTTGTGAAAATCACAAATTTGCCGAAGTGGCTAGAGAATATCCCAACTATGGATTTGACCTTCTCCAAGAAGTAGGGTTGGCCCTCAAAGGGCTGAGGTTGGAAAATAGATATGCCATTCATAAAGATCCTATCACAGGCGAGACTCGCAGCATCCACGGGTTTCGTTCATCTTAATCTCATTCCTCTGGCGAAACATATGCGGATCGATATGACTCATACAAGTCTATTTAAGCCTAGACTAGTGTTGTTATAATACAGTCTGGGAAATGTTTGAAAGTCTCAGAAGGGAAGTGCTTAGAGAGTCAATTCATATCATACCATCTGTCTGCCCTTCAACTGGCTCCGAGAAATCATGTGATGAACCTTTATCCCCTTGCATCATATCAAGCACAGTCCAACGAACTGGATTTACAGAATGCAGAAGGATGTTAGATATCAATTGACTTTGCTTATAACTCTCGCATATCTTCTAACCAGGTAGAATTTGGCAATCAGAGTACTAAATGTAAGTATAGTACATGTAATACTAGTAGATAACGCACGCGTGGATAACCTTCTATTACACGCCCCTGCCCACTGTTCAACTATTATCTAACTTCCCCTTATTTCCCACCACACGCTTCGATCGCGTCCGTTTTGCCTCTCCCAAACATGCCACCTTGGCTTATACCACGCCTCTTACTGTCTGAATTTACATGGCCTGACGACACTCAGCCAATAAAAAAAAATACCCCCGACGCCTCGATCAACAAATCCGCAACTCCGTCGTTTTTGAGGTTTCTTGCATAAACACCTGCGACGATTCTCTCGATCATATTGCGGTTGGGTCGGGATACCTTACGACAATCAAATTGCTCAGCTTCCATTTGGGCTTATATTGAAATGGTCGGATGGCACGGAGATAGAGGAGGGTCTCGCCATGCAAGTCGTCAGAAGGGCTGGTTTTCCCGTACCGCGAGTAATATGCTATGGAGAACTATCAGATATACCACATGCACCGATTTTGATTCTGATGACTCGCGTTCCTGGTCAAAAGCTAGGCCAGGCTTATGAGTCGTTAAGTATCGAGGATAGGAGGTCGATCTTACAAGAGCTTAAAGGCTATTTGCAGGTGATGCACAGGTGGTCGAATCTATGGGGCGAGAAGAGGATTTGCTCGCTGAGAGGGGTAGTTCCTAACCATTTTGCTGGCCCGTTCGAGTCGGAGGAGGAACTTAACAAGTATCTTATATAGCCTTCTTGGTCGGGTGGTTTTGAAAACCGCATATCAAAACAAGCTCACAACGTTGCTACAGACATGAAAAAATTACAGCACCGCATTCCGTTTACTCACAGCGATCTTAAACACCATAATATCATGGTAATGGGGGGTCGGATCACAGGCTTCCTTGACTGGGAATCGGCAGGCTGGTATCCTGAATACTGGGACTTCACTACAGCATTGAGGTTCACACCGGAGGACTTTTGGTGGTATAACTTCGTTATAGACCTCGGGGGCGGCGCGTATTTGGCGGAACTGAAATGCGAACACGCACTGGCCGCCTTGACGAGCTCTTCATATTACTGGTGATGCCGAGGTTTTTTCTGTCTAATTGTGCTTGTTCTCAATTTTTTTTTTTTAATCTGGATAAGGCGCACTATTCTCCCCATTATGTATGCTAAAGCTTATATGAATGCAGCCCTGTCCAGTGGGGAGTCTGGACCTCGGGAGCTATTGATTATCACGCCTGGGAAAGCCACTGGAGTTCCATATGTAGTAGATAGTACATATACGTACATGAGCCTCATGATGAAGACCCCATACATAATCTTATCAAAACTAGGGATATAAAACATCAATTTAAGAGATCTATCATTTGTGGTGCGCATAAAGTTGAATCAAGTCAATCTGTAAATTTGGCTTCGGAAAAAGGTATAGGTGAACTATTATATTTAACAATGCAGCCGACAATGTACAACTACTTCTCCACAAATCAATGTATCAATCCCAAAACTAGATCAAAGAACGGAAAACTCTCATAGGAGCCGCCTTGAACCAAGCACCCCAGGTAGGGTACACGATCTTGGGTGGGAGATCGACATCCAAGATGCCGTCACGCATTCCACTGTAGACATCAATGTCCTCAATCTTGGTGAACCAGCCTCCACGCTCAAGCGAAGGATCCTTGTTGAAGTATGTGTACACTTGCCAGAAGATGAAGAAGCCGATGGCAATCGGAGCAGCAAGGTAGTTCATGAAGAAGTCCTCGGCGTTCATGGGATACACCGACACGTAAAACTCGGCAATAAGACAGAGGACGTTAAGACTCAAGCCAATCCAGCTACCAATAGCACCGAAGGGGGCAACGTAAGCGAGATCGTTCACGTCACGACCATTGTGGCTCCAGGCCTTGCGGAACTGGATGTGTGCCAAGCAGATACTGCCCCAGACGAAGAAGTTGGAAATACCGGACAAAGCCAGAAGCCAATCGAAGATGATGTCACCGGTGTTGGAGGCCTCGTTGATGAATGCGAGGAAACCGAAGCAGATCTGGAGGAGGATGCAGTAAAGAGGGCGACCCTTTCCGTCAATGTAAGCCATCCACTTGGGTGCCATGCCGCGACCGGCCAGGGCCTGAATCGTACGACTAGATCCGTAAGTCGCGGAGTTGGCGACACTGATGACTGAGATAGTGATGACGGCGTTCATGACTGAGGGAAGACCGGAGATACCGGCGTTCTGGATGGAGACGACGAAGGGGGAGGCCTTGGTGTTGGAGCCGGAGGCACCGAGGAGATAGGCGGCATTGTAGGGGACGATGAGACCGACAATGAACGTTCCGAGGACGTAGAAGATCATGATACGCCAGAAGACTTGCTTGCAGGCCTTGGGGACTGACTTGGCGGGGTTCGCGGCTTCGGCAGCGGCGAGACCGGTCAACTCTGTTCCACTGAAGGCAAATGCGGCGGTGGTGAAGACTGTGCAGAAGCCGTAGAAGCTAGTGAAAGCACCCGGGTCGTGCCAGTACTTCGCTCCAATGTATCCTCCCTTTGGTGCACCACCGCAGTCGATGACGATACCGAGAATGATGAAGCCGATGACAGCGGTGACCTTGATAACACCGAGAGCGAATTCAACTGTGATGGTTCAGTCAATATACTGGATGTTCAATGATACATGAGAAGTTATAATGATCTTACCTTCACCATAGCCTCTAACACCAAAGATCTGGATGGCGGATAGGACAACCAAAAACACGGCGATCCAAATACCAATGTTCAAATCATCTCGCCAGTATTGAATAGTGATACTAGCAGCGGTAAGTTCGAAAGGTAAAATGACAAGCCAATTAAGTGCGTAGTCCCAACCGACGGCGAAACCCCTATTTCCAACAAAGATAGGACGTTAGTTGAGTGTGTAGTAGCTGGGGACCTATCCACAAAGAGACTTACCAGGAAGGACTAATGAACCGGACACAATAAGCGAAGAAAGCACCGTTTTGAGGGTAGAGCACAGCCAATTCTCCCAGTGCTTGAACAGTCAACAACAACATGAAACCAACAATTAAATAACCGAGAAGCTTGAAAGAAGAAAGTCAGTACATGTGATGTATCTCCTCCTCATGTCCATTGGAACACTTACCAGAGAGCCAGGACCTCCCTCCCGCAGAGCCTGTCCCGTACTGACGAATAGACCAGCACCAATGGCACCACCTGAAGAAAGAATTAGCCACATCACATGCAACGCAGACAAGAAAAGCCAATCCCATACCGATAGCAATCATCTGCATATGACGGCCCTTGAGATTTCGCTTCAAAGTGCCCGCTTCGATATCGGTATCAGGCGCGCCCGATTCACCATATGGTGGAGGAACAGCATCGGCAGACGACGCCGGCTGGACAGCCGACGGCACCTTTTTCTCAACATCTACCTCTTGGGCAGCCATTCTGTAAAGCACAAGCGGAAGTTCGTGTTGACAGAAAAATAAAAAGGGGGGCTGCGGTGCAGCCTGGGGGGTAAATTGACATTATATAGGATCAAGGCGGTTCAGCCACGAGGGAACCTAGTGCCATGTTTTCGCCAAGCTCAGTTCTCGAAAAGGCCAAAAGTGCAAAAGGTCGAAATCTTGCCTACGGGCCACGCGATCCTCGCTGCGATCAGACCATCAGGATTTTGGGAGATAAGACTCTTTGAGCGAGCTGCGGTCCGCGTTGGGGTCCATGGGGGAACCAATTAGGGTGCTTTGCTCCGATGCTACTCGGGGCTTATCACGAAGAAACTGGCGCCCGAACCTAACCGCAATTTAATCGTGTATTTGATCCCTGCTCAGTGTGGCGAGGGGAAGAGGGGACCATCAGTACGGAGTATCATGTTTCTGATTTCTCCACCGCTATCTGCGGGAGTCCTGTGGGGGGCCGCGTGTGTGTAGATCGTTTTTAGTATTTACGGAGAACTGCCTACGTTAAATGAATGAGCACCATTGTGCACTTTGAGCATAACCTTGGAAATTCTCCCACTCCCCCCTTGCATCACCAGGGCAAAAACAGTTTTTTTTCTCCCCCTCAAGCCGAAGTAATATTTTTTTTTGCTTGGAACCTTGAAATCGGTGGCGATAAGCCTAAGCCTAGTGTGGAGTTGAGGTTGTATCGTGTGCATAGAGATAAGCCGGCGAAATTGAACTGAACTTTGAAAAAGCCGCCACACTGTAAAAGGCGGGATTAATGGCGACTTGATAAGCCAATGCAAGAGAGAAGATGAAGCCATGGGGTAGACCAAGGCTTAACGGGGCTTAGCTTTTATCGACATGGACGGAGAGATGCTTATCGGGCCAATCAGATGCGGATCTCCCGGAGAAGTTTAAAACAAGTCCGAATTGGGGTCACATGGTATGTTTGATTATGGTTTTGCTCTGGTTGTGCACGCTTTATCGTGGTATTTCTACGTATCAGGTATTATTCCAACCCTTGATAAGAGTATCTTAAGTGTGTCATCACCAGATTAAGCAAGTAATGCAATCAAGGTTATCAATTATCAGTTTATTCCCTTTCCTGTCATTATCGTCGATGCAAGTCAACAGAGATCCCTGTGCATGCAGCTATGGTTCACCCCTGAAAAATGGCTTCTAGAAGGGAACAGCTCTCAAAGAAGCTTCGATCCAAGAAAAAAAATAGAAGCTTAGAAGCTTACAGGGGTATTAACTCTCGGGAAACTTCCGGCACAACCTGACCGAAAAAAAGAAAAAAAGGACAAAAGACTAAATCAGAGCTGCATTTTCTTACCTAGGACGAATGACAAAGACAATCTGAAGATACGAACAGGCGTAAGTCGTGTCAGCCCAGGTGATGATAGTCGGAATCCATTTCGTTCCTCGCTCGAATCCTCCCAAAACCAAAGCTGAAACCCCTCTAGCATTTGGCGTTGATAAGATTGCCTGATACTCCGGCGTACCATGACACCAAGCCCGGCACCGTGCATCGGGCGCCGGAAGGCCATTTTGGAGGTAGATATCACAAACAGTCGCCGTGGTCACAGGGTTATTCACATTAACTCGAAATACATACCGGAGATCCTCAGTCTCGTACTTTCGGTATGTGGCGATAGCAATGTCAGACCAATGAGGTCCGTCGATACGACGGCTGTCCAGGGCGCAGATCACGCCTGGTCCTGTTTGTAGAACGTAATCATTTCGTGTTGTGCCGCAGCCTGACTTTGACGACCGGCGTCGTTGCCTAAGGACTACTCGGGTGTATTTGCGCCCGGTTGAAAGATGACGAGATCGGAGCATGAGCTTGAGATTGCTGGGTGGGTAGTAGCGGGAAGCATCATTGATGTCTAGGGGGAAACTTCCATTGAAAATGTACCAACCATAATTGAATCGCAGCATTGACATTGAAAGGCGGATGGGCGTTATAATGCATGAGTCGTCGCTTGGGTCGTCTAGCCATTTTTGCCATTTTTCTCCTGCTGCTTCAGCCTCACCGTATTTATAGGTTGCTTTGAATAGATTAGAGTCAGCCATGGAAATCAGGGTCTATATTGGAGGGAAATGATGAATGGTATGTATGGTAATGTTCAGATCAGAGTGAAGTCTATAGCTAACAGACATCGAATCGCTTGCCATCTTATACCCATCGATGGACTACAGAGGCGCTGGATAGGGGTTTAAAGTGTTACTATGATATGTGCATACAATGGGACAAGGACAGAGTACTCCAACATTGAAGTTTCAAGGTTCAAATATTTGAAAGATTTTCTTTTTTTCATGATATAGACAATGGTCGTTGTCGAGCTAGATAAAGCCCCAACAGACAACAATGAACCTAGAACAATGAATACCACATGTCTTGCAAAATGGACAAAAAGGATGAGACAGATCACTAAGACAACACTGATACTGGATGACCTAATAAAGTATGGTGACATATACATTCGTAGTAGAGATCTGGAGCATTCAAGTATTGATTCTTTATGTGTTAGAGATTCAGAATGATTGCAAAGAAGAAAAATAGACAAAGGTTTTCAAGTGCTAAGAGTATGCATTAATTATGAGACTCTGAGAATATCGAAGGCACTAGTAGTGCGCACTGTCGCGAGATCGATCGAACCGTCCGCCAATGACTTGGAACTTTACTTTACCTATTTGAGCCGAAACATCCTCAAACGGCGTATTCAACGTATTTCAGTAAGTTCCAATACATCGGCTCAAAATAACTAGCGTGTCCTATGGCTGGATCGACAATATAATGATCTCATCGTGGATTGGTTGACATGTGGGGGACTGTGGAACATCCCCGCATTTCGGGCTGACAGCCACGAGGAAGATCCCGTCCAAGGCTGCCTTGAGTACTCCGTACCGGTGACTCCGTCCAACCTCCTAAGCTTCCAGGGTTTAACTCGTCCCAAATTTAGTTGATACCCACCCCTTAGCTCTTGGACCTCATCCGTGTGCATGCGGACCTATGAACATCCTTCTTGACTAATCGGCATTCAATGTATGGTGCCGTCACATGAGCACCTCGCTGAATTTTGAGAAGGCTTTCGACGTGTCCGATGGTCGTCCGTTGGAGGTCCGATGGAGCAGTCTAAGCGAGCGGCAGCTTGCGTTGTTACTGGTCGAGAGCTTTGCCCGGAAGTGGTTTGCCTTTCTGCAGGAGAGTAAAGGTTCAGGGTTCCGGGCAAATTCTCAGCCCGGGTGGAAGTTGCCTCAGCCTGGGCAAGCCATCGATGCGGAATGCAGCCTGCGGAGGGGGCTCAGCTCAAGAAAAGGGGGAAAAGAAAAGGGAAAACAAAAAAAGCAGAGCTGAGCATTGTTTATCAGTCGAATGAGAGTGAAGGTTCAAGGGCTGGACTTGGTAGCCCGTTGTGGGCAACAGAAGGCCCGGAGAAAGCCGAAGCACGCTCATAGGTTAATCCGAGAGTCGACTACCATCTTTCCCTGAATTGGAATACACTTCCCAATTTGTTGACTTTCTAGTTTCCCCCTCTTGTCATTATATTTCCATTCGGATAAAACTACCTCTATAGGGGACTTTTTTCTTCATGTATCCAACGGTTTATTCCACCTCCGCAAAATCGTTCTGTCACTCTCACTGTGGATGTTTTCCCCCGCGGGTAACGCTAACCGCATTAGTGACTGGAGCGACATGTGGAGCAAAACAGTAGCGAAGAGTTGATGGCCGAGGTAAGACTTTAAATTCCCGGATTTCTCCCTTGACTCTCACCCCTGCAGTCTCTGATCCCGTGAACAAGATTCATGCAAAATTGCGCAATTCCAATCCCGTCAATCTCAAATACCATGCGTGCATAAGCGTTTTCTCCCTTGAATCTCCAGATTCTCCACTTCTTACCCCAGCAAGTGCAACTTGTGCTCCGCTCGGGCGCAAAAGAATAGACCAAAAAAAAGCCAAAGGAAAAAAAAAACCAAACAGAACAAAATGAAGACCGAAATCGGTCCCGAATTGGCCGATGATCAGGCTTTGGCCCGGCTAGGTAAAAAGCAGGTCCTGAAGCGACGATTCGGCTTTTATTCCATTGTCGGCTTTGCCATGGCCGAGTTGATCACGTGGGAAACGGTCCTTACACTTTTCTACGAATCCTACGAGAATGGTGGCTCCGCTGGTGCCATCTATGGCTATATAATCGCCTGTCTTTCTACCCTATCCACTTATACCGTCATTGCCGAGTTGGCTTCTATGGCACCCATTGCCGGTGGTCAGTATTATTGGGTTTATATGCTGGCCCCAATGCGGTGGAAGAAAGTTTGCTCTTATCTGATTGGATGGTTGACTTCATTGGCATGGATTGCCACAATTGCAACCGAGACTATCTTCTTGGGTACCATGATTGAAGGGTTGGTCACCTTGAACTACCCGGACTTTGCTCAACAGCGATGGCAGAATACCCTATTAGCCTGGGCTAGTGTGGCTGCGACATTCTTCATCAATGTGGTCATCCCAAGCATCTTACCCCGGTTTGAGATTGTTATCCTCGTCCTTCATTTGGCTGGTTTTATCGGAGTCACTGCTACTTTACTCGCAATGTCGCCGAAGAAATCTGCTCATTTTGTCTTCCAAACGACATTGAATGAAGGTGGTTGGCCTACTCAGGGCATCTCATTCTGTGTGGGCTTTATCGGAAACATTGCAACCTTTGTCGGTGCTGACGCTAGTGTTCACATGGCCGAAGAAGTTGCCAACGCTGCGACTGTGATTCCACAAGCGATTATCACTGGAATGACGCTAAACAGTCTCCTCGGCTTTTCTATGATGCTCACAATTTTGTTCTGCCTGGGCGACGTCAAGTCAGTCCTGGGTTCATCAACAGGCTTCCCTTTCATCCAACTCTTTTACAACAGCACCAATTCCTACGCAGGGGCATCGGTCTTGACTGCCCTTATCATGGTACTAACGATGGCATGCTCTACTGGTATCACCGCCACCGCATCTCGTATGACCTGGTCCTTTGCCCGGGACCAGGGATTCCCCTTCTCCCACTACCTGAAGAAGGTGAACAAGCGCACCCAAGTACCCCTCGTATCTGTCTCCGTAGTCTGCGGATTGGCCTGTGCCCTGACCCTCATCTACATCGGATCCACCACTGCCTTCAACGACGTCATTTCCTTGACCGTCACCGGATTCTATTGTACCTACTTCCTCCCCAGCGCCTTCCTGCTTTACCACCGGATCAAAGGAAATGTTCTCCCCCATGGCACCATGCTTGACGGAAGCCACCCCGATGCAGCCACTAGCGCCCCTGCCAGTACCAAGGAAAAGCCCGCCTTTGTGCAACCCAAAGAACCCGGCGAGGAAGACCATCTCCCTATCTCTAGCCTAGGCAGCCCCGAACGCAACATTGTGAATGAAGACAAGCGCCCATTGGAGTTTGAGATTGCCCAGGCCCCCCTTATCTGGGGCCCGTGGAAAGTCCCCGGTATTCTGGGAACCATAAACAATGCGTATGCTTGTGTGTACATGCTCTTTGTCGTGTTCTGGAGTGTCTGGCCTCCACAGACACCCGTTGACTACACGACTATGAACTACAGTATAGTTGTTACCGCCGGTGTTTTGGTCCTAAGTGGTATCTGGTATCTTGTCCGTGCGCGCAAGGAATACAAGGGCCCCCTTATCGACGAAGAAGTTGCGGAGATTATGCACCTCACACCAGGAGCGGTGAGATCGCAATGAGGCTGAAAAGTTCCGGGACATGGCGATGAGATTTGATGTTGAGAAACGAGAACCATGTATTTATCTGTTTAAAAAAGGACCAAGGATACCCCAAAATGAAATACGAATCAAAGTCAACGATTAAAAATCAACTCGAAGGTGTGCATCGACTTAGCAACAGAAAATCACATGCAAATAGTACATTTCAAAAGAAAATGATGCATAAATCCCAAACACGAACAACTAAAACACTCATACTTCAACCCACAAATCACAATCAACGATCTACACCCCTTACCAACAAATCACAACCCACCCCCACAAACATGTTCCCAGACATTCTCCGCAAGTCTTCACCCCCAACACGATTCGCCCGATTAGGTTCCGGCACTTACAAGAAAAAGGAAAAGCGCCACGAGCCTGCAGAAGACCCACCGCGTGTTTGCAGGGGGAGGTACCAAAGCGGGCGTCCGGGCAGGCCAAGGACCATGACGGATCCCGAAGCGTGTTCTCATCATCACCTTTGATTTGATACCGCTCGACCGCTCGATCCACGATCTACTTGTCGTACAAAATCAACAAACAGGGGGCCCTGCCTATTCTCAGCTCACGCCCCTTTCCCGCCCCGGGCCCTATTTTTTACTAATATTTAGTTGGTTTCAGTTGACGGTATTAATATGGCCGATGGATCTGGTCGCGTTGCTGGCTTGAGTTTACTACTACTTCGCTTAACATGAATCAACATCGCGATAGAACGGAGGCGTTTGGTCCGCATCCGCCTGCGAAGCAGTTTGTGCTTTGTTTCGATGGCACGGGGAATAAGTTTGCTGGAGATGCGTCCGATACGAATCTTGTCAAGATTTACCGTGTAAGATCGGGGTTTCTTTCTCTTTTTCCTCATCCTGCCCATCTAATGTATCGGAAAGACGAATGAAGGAAGAATAAACTAGACGCTTAACTTATTACGGAACATTCTATACAGATGCTAGATCGAAGCCAAAGCCACCAATATCACTACTACCAGCCCGGCATAGGAACGTACGTGACATCGCACACACTAGGAAGCAAGAGCCGGCTCGCACGCATCAAATCGGCCTACAAAAAGACCAAAGATGTCGCTCTCGGGTCCTCGTTCGACGAACATGTCTTGGGCGGCTACAAGTTCCTCATGCGCTACTACATCCCAGGCGACGACATCTACTTCTTCGGCTTCAGCCGCGGCTCGTACACCGCGCGCTTTCTAGCCGAGATGCTCGATTTCATCGGCCTCCTTCAACCGGGTAACGAGGAGTTGATCCGATTCGCCTGGAAGACGTTTGCCAAGTGGCAGCAGCGCAAGGACTCCACTGAAAACGACAACGAAGAGCGGCATCGGCTGTTCAACTTTATGAAGGCGTTCCGAGAGACCTTTAGTAGGCCTGTTGGGCGGATACGGTTCATGGGCTTGTTCGATACGGTGAACAGTGTGCCGATGTTTGAGAATGCGTGGATGGAGAGGAATAAGTTTCCCTACACGGCTAATAGTACCGCGCGGGTTATTCGGCACGCGGTATCGATTGATGAGCGGAGGGCGAAGTTTCGGCAGGATTTGATCTCGCAGGTTAGGTCTGTTTCTGGAGGTGCAGGGCATAAGTTGAGGCACTTGGTTGATCATGCGAGGGGCAGTGTGCCGGATATTGTTTTAAATGTTTCCGGAGATGAGAATGGGAATGATCGGGCCGTGACGCATGGGCGTGCGCACGATCGGCCCGGATCTCGTCAGGAGAGTGACCGTGGAGAAGAGCGGTATCGGGCGTCGTCGCCGTTGCCTAGCCGGAGGACTAGTTCTGAGTTTCTGGCCAATGAACGCGTGAATGGTGGGCTGATACCTGATGTGATATCGCTTAAGAGCGCCGTCTCGAAAGCCCACCTTCGAGTCCCGAGTTTGCATATACCCGGCAATGAGCACGACGATGAGCAAGACATTTCTGAAGTCTGGTTCCCTGGGCAACACGGAGATGTCGGTGGAGGCTGGAAGCTCAACCCGAAAGATAAATGGCCCTTAAGTCATATTCCGCTCCTGTGGATGGTCAAGGAGGCACAGCTTGTAGGGTTGGAGTTCGACGCGGAGAAACTTCGACGTTTCAATTGCTACGAAGAGCCTGGGGCTGAGTACCCCGGACCCCAGCGCAAACCGAATGACGGTCCAAACGGTGACTCTGCATCGAACGCTCGCGACGTCCTAAGTGGAGAAAGTGATGCTTTCGTTCAAGCCCTTACGCAAACCATGGATCATGGCATAGTACATGACTGTCTTACTTATGGGGGAGGAGTGTCGTTTTTATCGACATTGTCCTGGCGGCTGATGGAGTACTTGCCTTTCAGAAGAATGGATCTCCAGTCTGATGGGTCTTGGAAGCCAATTCGCTGGCCGCTGCCTTGTGGAGAAGTGCGTGATATTCCTGATGATGCGCAGATCCATGTTTGTGCTATCCATCGCATGGAGATTGATCCATCATATCGGCCTGGGAATCTCATCATTGGAGGTGGGGGCCGAGGTGTCAAAAGAGCCCCAGAGAGATATGGCATTGGAGAGTGGGAGGTGTGTAAACATGAGGATGATCTTGTGAGACGAACTTATGTTCGTAAGAAGCCCGCAAGCGTTTGTCAAGATGAGAAATCCTCCGAGTCCGTTTGATCGGTTTGATCTAGATAAGCGGGGGCTACAGTGCTTGTGATTATGTAAATCCATGGCTTGAAGCTGTCACCTAGTCCTTGATATTAAATGATGAGGTAATCGTCCTGGTGTGTCTTCCCCGCGCTATGTGTCTGTAAATGATAAGCATTGGTGGTTTGAATTGCAGGTGTAGAAACTGGACTCACAAAAAGCATCCATGGAACATTACTTCGATCATGAGTCGGCTTTTGAGCTCGCGCATGCCATACCTTCTCGAGGAGCGTTTGCGGAGCTGAGATACTCATCTCTGATCTGGCTTTGATGTCTGCCAATCGTAGCAAAATATAGTGCCTTGAATGTGAAGAAAGACAGTCGGCCCCCGCAATAAAAAGAGGAAGAACCAACAGTTCAATCAAAGGACTGGAATGTGGAATGTTTGAAATTGAATCTAGAATTGCGGTGACTGAAGCTTGTATGAAAGGCTCAGCAGCGGATTCCTTCTCATCCAGAAGACGTCGTGTGCGCAGGATGCATGTATGACGATAAGCCTCAACAACATCTAGCCATAATGGATCATTATTGGGGTAGAAGCAGCGCGACTTATCCCATATATAAAACCTGTTGATCAAGGACTGTAATCTGTCGCTGTATTCTTTGGAATCTAGGCGACCCATAGAATGAGCCTTGGCATGCTCAAGTGCTTCTCCAATTAAGAGGACTAATTCGCGAGGACAGCCATTGACCGACTCAAACCTCAAGTTGCACAGTGATAACAACTTCTCGCGAAGATCTTGAGAAAAACAAAGTCTTCCAGGGGCAGAAAATGCGCGAATAATATCCAGCCTGATACAAATAAGTCAGATTGAGTCCACAGCTCTTTAGTACGGACCAGACTTACCAAGCCAAGTTGCTTAGGAAAAAGACCGTCCTTTCATCAGAAACTGACAAGCGCTGATCCAGCATTAACTGGGAGCTAATAGACATAGCACCAGAAATGTGAGCCCCATGAGATGATATGCCCGATTCACATATCTACCAAGATTAGCGCTGGACAGAAGCGAAAGCAGAAAACTTACATCATGTAGAAGAAGGATTTGGATAGTAGCAAATACACCATCTCGATCATTGTCGCTGAAATCGCCAGAGCATACCTTTCTGATCACCACGCTAAGTTCGGCAATTGCCTTGAGGCGATAGTCTACCGCGATCGCTTCATAAAGATGCTTATCGGATTTCAAGTGACCCAAATGACATGCAGACAGCGCGAGGACAGAATATAAAAGACCGATCTGCTCGTATGCCAGCGGAAGGACATACAGGCGATATGGGTTTTCACTGTTATCGACTGACTGTGCTATCTGATGAGGGCAAATGACATGATCGTCTATGGCTCAAGTTAGTAGAGAAAATGAATGCTCATATAGAGAGGGATGGTCAGATAGTACAATGAGAAAGCAGAGTTGCAGTTTCAGCCGACTTGAGCACCTGTTCAACTTGTGATCCTTCATTTGGAGTAAGACTCTGGGAAGGAGGCACTGTTCTACTTGGCGTGCCCGAATATGAAGAGCGACTAGACTTGCTGGTCTGTGCCGAAATCACTGGTGATGCAGACTGCGTGTGGTCGATGTCGATCGGGACATCTAGATTCTTCCATTTGCCTCGACTGGCGATCCCGCAAAAGCGAAACTTGTCGGGATACCCGCCACACGTCAGTCCTTTGCTAATGCATCGCTTGCATATTGGCTGTGCGCGGTCACATTTTCTTGATTTCTGACGGCATGTCAAGCATGCAGCGCCTTTTTCGTATCGTGAGAGGTAAGCTCATGAAAAGATAGCGGGACCCATGCGAGATTAACGCACCGTTGGGTTTCATGTCAGATGAAATGAGATTGCATTACCTAAATCTGCGATCTTCAGAGCTTGATTAGGCGCCAATGTGGTTTGGATTTTATGACAGGCATTACCAGCGCTATGTTGTCTAGTCATCAAAAGTTAACGTTGAATCAAGCTAACGTTAGAGGGGCCTGAATTCTGATTATGTCATCTCATGTCTACAGTTCGTTGCCCAGTACGCATACTGTAGTAAGCCAACATTTAAATACACTCGATGAATACATCTTGCCGACCGAAGAATTACTTCCAATGTCCAAATTTCCAATTTGAAAATCAAAAAACTTGAACAGAGGCCCTAGAATTGATGGAAAATTTGAGGTTAACTCATATTTCGGGACTCGGGGGAATACATGGCATCTTTATTCCAGTACTCCACACAACCTTCCAAGAGTTGAATACCGTATTTTTCTTCGAGCCAATAGGAAACAAAGGAACATTGAAATAACGGTTGACAGTAAAATATCGGTAATTATTTCTGATTTCAATGTAGATGATCAAGGTCAGAGTACGTTGACAACTGAGGGGTTGCCATAGCTCGGGGATCGGAGTAATGTTCTCGGGGTAATGCTTAGCCGAGGTGCGAAACGCTCCAGAAGGTGTGGCAACATGCATTGTGATGCATATATAAAGCACATTAAGGTACATGTTTCTGTCTTCACAAACTTCTCCGTGCAAGATACATGCTGACTACAGTTATGCAGCGAAACGTCTTCTGAATAAATCTCCGAGCCATTCTGCAAGTGCTATACCAGGGTCCATATACCTAAGCACTTGAGTAGCACAAGTTTGCCGATCTGTGTGGAAGCATTCGCAAGCTTTGCCAAGATGTAGTAGCATTTGGACTAGAATAACAAGAACATAGATCTGGTAATCAAGTTGTTAGCAAATCAATACCCAAATCACTCTAGATTAAATGCCACAAACCTTGAAATCTTACATAAAGCATTGGTGCATGTGGCCAGCCGAGAAGTGGAGAAACGCGGGGTGCCCCGGTTTTTTCACCCGACCCCAAATCTTCACTTTTCTCTATCTCTCCCTCGGCCATTCTTTCTCAGATCATCGGACTATCGCCGTGATATTCAGACCGGCCCGGCCCTTTGCGGATACCATTCCGAGCGTCGCATTTACTCTGTACGTCATGGTCAATCGCCGATAGCACGTTAGCCTCGCTGTTGCAAAATGCCGAACCCTGCACTGTCCACGCAGCACTTCGCCTCTGCCAATCAGCGGCCTGGGGATCTAGATAGAGACCAGAGTCCGGGTGAATACTCGTCCGGGGAGGATTCCGACAATGATCTCGTTGGCAATGGCTCCGGAAATGGGCGCGCATTGAAACGAAAACGACCTCTCACTGTCTCGTATGTACCCGAGCCCATCACGCTAGCCTGACTGGCGCAAGCCATACGGCACATCAATGATGAATAGTCCCCCGCTAACGCTGTTTCTAGGTGTGAACTGTGCAAACAGAGGAAAGTCAAGTGCGGTATGTGAGACAATCGCCGCTGAAAGATCGGAATCCAAGCTAAATGAGATCCTGGCAGATCGAGTGCAACCGAGCTGTGGCTGGTGTACTCGGAACGGTCAATTATGTGAGTATAAGGAACGGAAAAAGCCTGGCTTGAGGGCCGGGTATGGTAAGGAGCTAGAGCAACGACTAGGTAAGAACATGTCTTCTAGCTTTTGATGTTATTTTTTGAAGAGAAAGGCCTCGAAAACTAACTGGACAACAGATCGACTGGAAGAAGTCATTCAATCCCAAGCAAGACTCATCGAGATGCATATCTTGCAAAATCCACATTCAATGCCAAACCACAGAGGATCAATCTCCTACAGTTCCCCATCTGAACCATCTGCGGTCCATGGCCCTAGTCCCCGAGCGGCGCTCTATTTCAACGACCCTGCCACTGCAATGACTTTGCCTTCACGGCATGCAGATGTCTCAATCACTAGCCCTTCGGATACTTCGGTTAAGAACCTGGTTTCAAATGGTCTGCAAAATGGGAGCGTATCTACCATGGGATCATTGCCACCACGGAGTGTGCATAATAATGATTTCACGGGCAACGAATCATCCTTGTCTGTACCTGTCAGCATTTTTGCAAATCAAGAACAGTCATTAGCAGATCCAGACCTCGATCTACCGCCATATGATCTTCTATACGCCCTAGTGGATCTGTACTTTGAGCACATCAACTCTTGGTGTCCGATCCTCCATCGCCGATCTACATTGGACACTTTCTTTGGCCCATCGCCATTAGAAGAGGCCGACCGCATGGTGCTTTATGCTATTGTTGCAACAACATTACGCTTTTCAACCGACCCCCGACTCAGTGAACCAAATCGGAAGCGTTATCACGACTCTTCAAAACAGAAGGTATTGCTGTATGGTCTTGAGAACTCATCCGTCAAGGCCCTACAAGCACTTGTAATTTTAGCCTTGGACTTGGTGGGATCATCAAACGGACCTCCTGGTTGGAAACTGCTGGCTCTGATTACTCGGTCTGTGGTCCAATTAGGATTGGCGGTCGAGTCAAAGTCATCTCTCATCGCTCCAGTCTATCCCTCTATTTATACTCTCCGGGCCGTCACATTGTCCGAACCCGACTCATGGATCGAGGACGAGAGTAGACGTCGTCTGTTCTGGATGGTCTACCTTTTGGATAGGTATTCAACCCTGGCCACGGCGTTTAACTTTGCCTTGGACGATAGAGATATCGATCGAAAACTTCCCTGCAAAGACGAATTCTTTGTTAAGAACCAAATGGTGGATACGAGGAGATTTCACTACTCAGGCGACCGTGCAGATTATCTTAGCCATGCAGATACTGTCGGCTCGTTTGGACTTTATATTGAGATCCTGGGAATTCTTTCACGTGTCCATGTATTTTTGAAACGCCCAGTGGACATCGGGTCTCTTTCCGATGTTGAAGAATGGCAATCAACCTACCGAAAGCTCGACAGTGAGCTGACGACATGGGAGTTCAATCTTCCTCCAGAATACGCTTACGAGAATTCCTCTCGTCTTTTCAACGGGGCCAAACCGAGCCGAAATCTGCACAGTGACTGGGTGCAGCTTCACGCTACCTACCAAACGTAAGTCTCAAACTCACCCACAATATACCCAATGTTATGATACCCTAACTTGACTATTCTAGGGCTGTGATTCGTCTTCATTCCTCTGCGGCTTATCCCACCACCAGATCGCCAATATTTACCCCCTCATACAGCGCAAGCCAACGATGCTTGTTAGCAGTCGACAACATCCTCTCAGTCACCCGCTTCGTAGTAGAGAACAACATGCTCGACAAACTCGGACCGCCATTCGCCTTCACGCTCTGGGTCTCAGCCCGCCTTCTCCTCGTCCACGGCTCAACCATCGCTCACACCGTCAGCTCCGACATCATCTTTTTCGTCGACACACTGTCCCGCATGGGCCATCACTGGAAGGTCGCAGAGCGATACAGCAACATCCTCCAGCGTGTCCTCGACGAATACGGCGAATACCAGCAGTCCGTCGCCATGGACGGCGAGCGCTCAACCCCCTCTACAGTCAAGATCCTAGCCGACATGCGTCGATGTGCATTCGACCTCGACTTCCTCATCTCCCGCCAACCGCGCGAATCGCCCTCTTCGGCCAGCGCTAACGGAAACGACCCAAACCGCCCACCTGCCGCTGCCCTGGCTCCCCGCAACCTCGCTCCAAACGAACTCGAATACCTAGACGTATTTGGTTTCTTCAATGTCCCGCGTGTACCGCCCGCCCGAGCTCCTGATTCAGTTGCAGCCTCGCATTTGGATATCTCGGAATCGGTATCGAATCCCATGTCTATACATGGACTTACGGGCAATGGGTCCGTTGTTGATGGACACACTTCCTCCAATGCGAACGAGTTCAATATTACCAATTACTTGATCCCGACTCCCGAGACTGATTGGCTCTTCAGGCCTGCGGGATGAAATCGTTGAATTCCGGATCTGATATTTCTTTTTGGTATGATTTCTACATCTGCAATTTGGGAGTGAAGCCCTCGTGGGTTGGTCACTCAATAGGGTCGCGATTGTGACTCATTTTTAATCGTGATGGAACACGCATCGCGCAGGGTTTCGAATGCGAGCCTACTCTTTCTGGTTGCTACAGAAGCTTCCGCATGAACCACGCACAACTTCATAAGCTAGACCCGGGCAGGTTTATTCTTCAGAGCTCCAGGGATTGCTACATACATAACTAGCCATGTGTACATTTCTACCGTGGGACAGACTCCCATGTATATAGTTACTTACTATGTTTAATCAAAGTATTCATGACAGAACATTTTCGAACATTTCAACTCTTCTTTCGCCTGCCTGGCCGAGTGGATTTGAAGAATTGGAAGCTCAGCCCTGGAGGTAGAACTCGGAGCTTGAAGGCGTTACTAGGCACCTGGGTACAGCAATAGAAAGGCTAAGTTAATCAAATTCTACAAAGACATGGCAACGAATAAAACAGTGAGCCCACAAGAATAATATCGACAAGATCATCTTCAAAACCCATGGATAAAGAATACCAGCCACGGCGTGTAATGAGATGTAGCATGTAATAATAGACAAACAGATCGTAATAAGAAAAAAGGGCAACGACATGCCACATGATCACGCGCATATCGAACATTCATAAAGCAGGCGGAGCAGGAGAAACGAGATAAGAGTCATGGTGATCATATATGCTGGACAAGGAACAGAAATGTACGTGTTAAAAGGGGGAAACGGAACATCATGACCGGATGCCAAAAAAGTAATACTTTCATAGAAGCCCATCATATTCATCCATAGAAGGGAATCAAGTAGATTCTGGAGTGGAAGCAGGCTGAAGTCGCACCAGAACTTCCTCCAGGAAAGCATCAAGTGTGACATCAACACCACCGCCCATCTGGACTTGATCCTCCATGTCCCAGCGATGGAGATTGGTGAATGCTTTTGAAATGTCATCAACGATATGGTCCATGTTCCGATGGACGCGAACGCTTCGCTCCCACTGCTGCTCTTCTTCAGGAGTGGGTCTGCTGTTGGGGTTTCGTGCTGGGTCGAGACGAGTAAGATTGCGACCTCGTCGATTCATAGCTGCACGCAAAGCGGGAATGATCACAGATCCGTAAGCGGTGGCGCGATCGTTGTCTACCGGTGCTTTGGCTGGGGGTTGTGGAAGTTGTTTTGGCTGCTCGTTTCCACGAGAACCGGGAGTAGGAGTGTGTTGTCTAGCAAGACGCTCCTCGTATTTCGGCGCAAGCTTAGACTTAAGTCCGGATGATGGTTTCGCATTCGGGGATGATGCGTCGGATTGCTTTTGAAGAGCTGCAACGGGCGCTTGGCGAGGTTGAACTGGGATTGCATTGATATCGGGAAGGGGACGCTGAACGGGTGCAGGCTTTTTGGCGAGCGGCGATTGTTCCCTTATTTGGTGGCTGGAACCGGCGACAGGAGATTTTGGCTGAGGGGACACATCGGCACGGAGGCCTTTAGCGTATTCCATCATTGCCTGTGCATATCTTTCGTTAGGGCCTCTGGCGGGAGAATTCTCTTCCAGGGTGATTGTTGGGTTGTTTGCGCGGGTTTGGCGGGAAGGGGTGTTCAATGGCTGGCTGGTTGTCTGCTTTACCGGCGAGGATGGAATAGAGGGGGGAAGGGGCTTTTTCGATGGAGAGGTTTCAACGGCGGGATTTACAGGATTTACAGGATAAGATCGAGTTGGCATTGGCTGGGGTGGCGGCGCCTGTTTGGCCTCGTCTTGCAAGTCCCATTCCTCTGTTTCCTGAGAACGAGAATTGGTAGCGGAGTCGTTCATTGGACGTAATGGTGGCACGATGTGTCGGCCATTGGCAGGGCGGACAGTGCCAAAGTCCCAAAGATCCTCATGTGCTCCGGGATCCTGCGTAGGTTCATCGTAGGGTTCATCATCATATTCGTCATCATCATCTCCTTGACCTCGGTGAGTCGCTTGCCAGCGCTCTGCACGTTCAATAAGCTCAGTGAGGTATGTTGTCCGTTTCGCTCGTTTGATGAACGGGTGCTCCAGCAGCTCCTTGGCGGATGGTCGCTCCTTGGGATCCCGCCGCAAGCACAATTCCACAAATTGTTTGAAAGGCTTTGTGAAGTTACCATTGAGGGTCGGAGGTGGATTCTTGGGAATCAAAAACAACACTTTCATCGGGTGAATATCAGCATAAGGAGGATCTCCACATGCCAGCTCGATTGCCGTAATTCCCAAAGACCAGATATCCGCTTTGTAGTCGTAACCTGATTGCTTGATGACTTCCGGAGCCATCCAAAAAGGAGTTCCAACAAATGTATTCTTCTTGGTCATTGTCGCCGATAGTTGACCGGAAACACCAAAGTCTGCCAATTTGACCTGCCCACTGGCACTCAAGAGAATGTTGGCAGCTGTTGCCATGTTAGCTTTTTGAAACCTCGAGAGCTATGAAGCCAAGAAATCATCTTACCTTTGATATCCCGATGCAGCTTCTTATCTCCATGAAGGTAATCCAAGCCTCGAAGAAGCTCTCGCAGAATAATCGCAATGTACTCTTCATGGATCACACCGGGGCGCAACAAGCCATGACAACTGCCCCCAGAGCAGAACTCCATAATGATCCAAAGATGAGAGCCCTTGAGGTATGAGCCATGGTATTTGGTGACATACGGAGACTTCAGCTCAGACAAGATCGCAATCTCCTTGATAATCTCGTCCACTTCATCTTCGGCATTCTCAACATCAATAACTTTTATGGCCACTGAATCTCCAGTAATCTTATCCACTCTGATATAGGAATTGGCAATCAGTACACAATCAAAAGTAATGCGCGCATTTGATATTCGGGACCAGCCTTAACTCACCCTTTGTAGACCCTGCCGAAGCTTCCACCACCTATTCAAGTCCAGAATCAGCCAGTAATTCGTTTATAAAAAATTGCCTTAACTCACCAATACATGCTTGTTTGGTGTAGAGGGTCTCCGGGTCGATCGGTCCGGGCATTGTGGCGGCTTATCTGGCTTTCAGGAGAGGTTTGGGTTTCATGCGGCGGAGAACTGCAGCTTTGAGATCAGTAATCAGAACAATAGAAGACAAATTATCAGACTATCGCAGTGAGGGGCGCTTGGAGCAGGACGTAAATTTCGTTCTGGAAAAGTGTGGCTGAGTACTGGGCAACGTACTGCGGGATGGGACGAGAGAGGGTGACGAGGTGATTGACAAGCACAACGCAGGAGTGCAGAAATCCAAAGACCAGCGTACTAGCTTCATTCACTACCTGAGATTCCCATATAAGTAAGGAGCCGGTCAAATGATCAAATTGAACAGTGGTGTGTTCCACTTCAACTTCCACTTCCACTTACCAACAACAGAGTGGGACTTGGAACCGTCAACAAAGATGGAAAAAGGTCGTACGGAAATCAAGATGGGTCTAGACCCTTCAATTCAATAGTATATAGGCATCAGTCATATACCATCATGGAGCGCAATCAATATTCATGAATATAAGGACGAGGAGTATATATGGAATCGCGAAGGAGATATAACGGAAGACATCCTTGCGTCTGTTTATCGACGCGGGGCCGATTCTGCCAGGCGGTGTCAGTCTTATCTAGATTCTAGGGCGATACGAAGCTATCCACAACTCTACCTAAACTAGATATACAGTCCCAATACTCAAGCGCAAAATAAATGTAAAAAAATGGTGGTATTGTTCATCTCTCGTTTAAAATCTAAGGAGCAAGTGATCGGATCAAGACGGACTCGGGCAAGTTATTCCTCCAGGTACCCGATATTGACAGTTCCGTTCTTAAGCCCCGCACTCTCGATGTTTGTTTGGAGTGATTCTATTAGATTGATACCGAGAGAGTTCAGGTCAAACTCCACACCAACCTTATCTTCAACAGGAGGCTCTGCCTTCAACCACTCGTAGATTCGCTGGACAGGGTCTGATAGCGCAAATCGTCGAATGACACGGCCAGCCGGGTGACGGAATTGGATGCGAGTAGTTGTGGCAGGGTCGGCAGCCGGCTCAATGTGGGGTCGGTCACTTGGGATAGAGGAGAACACTGAATCTTCAGCCTCTTCAACGGGCTCTGCTGCAAGCATCTCCTCATCGTCGGCCGCTCTACCCTTGTCTTTGATGTCACCAGTGCTGCGAGTCAAGTCATCTGGGTCATCCAGCTTCGGGGCGGAGGATCCTTCTGCACCAAGACTGTTCCTCAATGCCATGTCCAGCATCTCTTCCTCCGTCATAGCATCAACGGTTTTCTCTTGCTTGTCTGACTTCCGTCTCGCGACCGGGTTGCGCACATTGAGGTTCAGGCTGTAACGGTCAAGGAATTCATGGAGCTGCATGAGGAATTCAGGGGCCTTGATAACGGGCTGACCGGTCCAGGCTTTGACCTTTTCACCAGTTCGAGGGTCGACAATGGCGATATGAGGGTAGTTATCGGAGACGTCACTAGCTTGGAAGTAATATTGGAGGTAGGATGCAGCCCGGGGATCATCCTTGGAGAATTGTAGGAAGATGAAGTGTTCTTTGATAGTTTCCTGGATGCCTTTGTCTTTCCAGAGGTCACGATTCAAAACCTGACAGTCGAAGATAGACTGGTCCTGAATGTTGACCAGCAACCACTTCTCATTGTCCCGACCTTCTTGGCGAGCGACATCCCAGGGCAGGCGAGACATGATTTCGAAGGGTGGTCGGTACATTTCGGCCAGCATGTTGGATTTAGACGAAGCATCCGATGCTCCACCTGTGGCTTGCGACAATTGTTCTTGGGGGTTTGACGAGCCGCCAGTCCAGATGGAAGCCGAATCTTGCTGGTTGAAAATGCCAGGTCGGCCTACATAGTGTTAGCAAAGCTTGTGATTCACTGCTCAAGTCCAGAAATAGACTTACCACTTCGTCCGGCACGTAGATGGCCCAGAATATTGGAATGCATGCCATCGTGGAAATCAAGATCCGGCCCCACCAGGGTCTCAGTGGTGCGCGCCATAGGCGCCCGTACTCCGTCATCGTCCTCATCCTCATAATCATTGCGAGTTGGGCCTCCACCCCCGTACATTTCCTCTTGTAGACGACGAGCCATGGCTTCATCATCATCAAATGTGGCGCCCGCGCCTGCTTCTGCGGATTGGGCTGGCCGACTATCGTCATCCGTGTCAGAATCGATGTGAACGACGCCTGATTCGTCTTCATATGCGGGAGTGCGGCCGTGGGCTTGTTGAGCAGGTGTTTCTGTCAAGGGTGCACCTCCATTCTCGAAAAAGAGCTGCATGGCCTGCTCGATGTTGAATTCAGTGAGCTCCAAGTATTGTGCTGCCGTCTCAGGCGTCGAGCCCGTAATCTCGGTGAACTGGGCTACCACGCCGTCCTCCATGGTGATGGTGAGGGGATGAGAGGGTATCAAAGGAGAGTATAGAGAGAAAGAAACGGGCAAAGGAAAAAAAAATGGAAAGTTGATTTGAAATAGAGAGCTTGAAATTGTGAGAGTAAGTGAATGTGGAGAGGTAATCGGTGCAAACAGCTGCAAACCGAGGGGACAATAAGCTCCGCGAGTAGTACCCCACGTAGATGAAAGTTATTCAAGTGAAGTTGTAGCATCCAAGTAAATTCTATTCAGATGAATGTTTCAAAAAGTACTCTTGTAGAGCTTATTCACATGCTCTGAGTTTAAGGCAGACAAAACGATCGTCAGCAGTGACGTAGGGCTCTTTTCTTTTTACCTAGTACTTGAAGCATATACGGAAGGCCTTAGAGACCAGTTACGTGACTATGGAGGACTTTGCGCCTTTAGTCTCTGTGGTCTACTGAAATACTACTCTTACCGCTTTCGGCTTAAAAGAATGCGACGCGACGCGTCTTGATTGTCCCGACGCGTAGGCGCGGAGACTTATCTCCCAAACCTCGTGCCAGAAGGCGCTTCCCACACTTCCTTATCCTCAACAATGGCAACTACAATTCTTGGCAAGCGCACTCGCAATGCGGTAGAAGCGGAAGGTAAGACCCTCAAGTCAAAAAAACTCAATAAAAATTTCTCGCTGACTCCTTTCCAGCGCTCCCCGTGCGGACCGCAAGCAAGCGCCGAACTGTTGCACCCCGGGCCCATCATGAGGTCGACGCTGCGCCTATTCGTCGAACCCGCTCAACTCGCCTCACTACAAAGATCCAGGATGCAGAGCAACCGTCTGACCAAGAAAATGGAGATGTCATTAAGAAAATCTCAGAAAAGGCGCATTCCAAACACACACTGCGCGATGACCAGGGTGGGTCTCCGACAAAGATCAAGTCCCATTTCCGCACCTCGAAGCTTGTGGAGGGTAAGCCAAGAGAATCGGAATGATGGATTTAAGCAGGTTTTGGTGACTGACAGCTTGCAGATGAGAAACCCGAGATCCCCGACAAGCTTGACAAGCTTGACAAGCTTGACAAGCTCACGGTACCCGCTCCTCCGATCGAATTTAAGACCCCGCAAAAGGCTCGCTTCCGGGACGCGCTCCAGCAATCACCTGTCACTCCTCGCCACCGGGTGCAAGTGGGAGCTAGATCTGTGACGCCGCGTACCCCTCGACATGCCGATCTTCTTACTCCTCGCCCGAGTGCGACCCCGACCACCACACAAACTGTCTATTCGCAAGCCCGACAACTCTTTGCCCGTGGCGCTACATCCGGTCGACTCGTAGGACGAGAAGCGGAGCGTGAAAAGGTTGCCACTTTTCTTGAGGATTGTGTTGACTCCCAAAAAGGTGGATGTCTCTATATCAGTGGACCGCCTGGCACAGGCAAAAGCGCTATGGTTAATGAAGTATGCCAGGACATGGATCTATTCAATGTTAAAGTTTCCCACGTCAACTGTGTTAGTATGCGAAACTCTCGCGATGTTTACAGCAAACTCATCCAAGATTTCGGTGACGAAAACGAGGTATTCAAGAAAAGCGAAGCGGACCGATTGAAGGACATGTTCATTCCATCGAAGGCAAATGGTCTATTCCTAGTCAGTCTGGACGAGATGGATCATTTACTCCAGGGTGACTCCGGTGTACTTCAATCTTTGTTCGAATGGTCTTTGCACAGCAAGTCCACTCTTGTCCTCATCGGTATTGCCAATGCATTGGATTTGACCGACCGATCCTTGCCACAGTTAAAAGCCAAGAACTTGAGACCCATTCTTCTTCCATTCTTGCCCTATAATGCTACTTCGATCGCCGGTGTGATCACTGCTCGTCTCAGATCGTTGCTTCCCGTGGGTGCGGACTCCGATCCTAAATTCGTACCTTTCTTGCAGCCGGCAGCGATTCAGCTTTGCGCAAAGAAAGTTGCTTCGCAGACGGGTGATCTTCGCAAGGCCTTTGAGTTGATCAAGCGCGCTATCGATGTCATTGAGCAGGAAACAATCCTGAAATCAGAGAAACAAGCTGCTGCCGAGTCAAATCTGTCTGTCCTAGTCGAAAACGAGAATCTTTCATCGCCTTCCAAATCAGGCTCTGCTCCTCGGCCTACTGCCATGTCTACTTATACAGCAATGACAGCACCTCGCGCTAGCATCGCCCACATTGCCCGAATCACAACCGCTGCTTTCGGACAGGGCACTGTACAACGACTTAAAAACATCAACCTGCAACAAAAAGCTGCCATTTGTGCGTTAATTGCACTTGAGCGTAAGCGTCGTGAAATGGAAATCCACAGCACCCCCTCCAAAACTCGATCAACTGCTCCAACTGTGAAGCAGGCCTTTGACACATACTGCACACTTTGCCGCAATGATAACATTCTCCACCCCTTGACTGCGACTGAATTCAAAGATGTCCTAAGCAATCTTGAAACAATGGGCCTAGTGGGAGACTACCAGGGCCGGGGCCGTGGTGGTACAGTTGCCGGTGGCTCAGATGTTCGCCGAACTCCTTCAAAGTCAGGAAATGTGATGTCAACCCCTCACAAGGCAATGAACGAGCAAGGTCTTCTCTGCTTTGTGTCCCAGTCCGAAATCGAAAGTCAAATTGCCGGACCTGGTGAAGGTATTCTCAGGCGTCTGCTTCGTGGCGATGGACTGTGATGTCTGTCTAGTTCCCACACCCATTGACGCCTCGATCATTTTGGAGCGCTCTTCACCATCGTTTTTTTCTCATCATATTTTATTCCCCACACGGCATTGCAGTCCTTCTTGGGACATCTTACCCTGTACAAAATTGTACCGCATTTATGGAGTGGAATTTGCATTCTTCTTGTTTAGCGCCGTTGATACGATTTCCATTTGTCTCATTCCCTTTGTCAAAAACATCCACGCCCCATAGCATGCACGAACTTTTGTGTTCGTCGACAACCAAAAAATTCAAAAATTAGAACAAATAGAGAAATAAAAACAAATAAAACAACTTTGAACATACCAACATAAGGTTCCAAAGCCCACAGATTGGAAATAATATTAAAGAATATCAATTTGCATTCATTATTAGAGGAACATCTACAGGGGTTCTAATCAAATAAACTACAAAAGACAAAGACTGACAGGCCAGGAAATTCGTACATGTGCGAGAGGAAGAATCGAGTATACATACAAGGGTGCGAACTAGAAGGAGAAGCATAAGGGAAAAGAAAAACAATGCATCAAAACATGAGATAAAATATGAAAGGAGAAAAAGACATTTCCAAGGAGAACAAACCCGTATAATCAGGTGGGGGCTCTTAGATACTAGTATTGGCGAATAGCACAAGCAGGTAAAGCAGGGCAGGTGAAGGGTATGTAATGCATACATGCGTGAAAAGGCATGACGGGCGAAGTGGAAAAGTTTTTTTCAAAAACAAAGAAAAGAGTCGAGGGAAGAGAATACTGAAACAGGATTCTCGAAGGCTGTGTCGCTATACAAGGTCTTCGAGATGTATTTGTTCTAGCTGGTTCTCTTCCCGGGAATGTCAAGGTGCATCGTTTAATCATCCATGGGCTTGTCTTCCAGAGTTACACCCTTGGGCTCGCTTTCGGCAATGCTGCTCCGGTTGCTATCGGTGCCTGTGGCGCCGACGGTAGGTCCGGTAGTAGGGAAGCTCGAGAGACTTCCGAGGCCGGGCTTGCGAGTGTACCGGCCACCAGCGGAGCGAGGAATAGAGGCTCGCTTTTCAAATTCGGTAGCTGTAGCAGCTGGGGTGGGTGTTGGGGTAGGGGAACCTTCTGAGGCAGTCTCGGGGGGAGGAGGGGGGCTTTCAGAACCCGAAGAGGCGGCACTAGAGATGGCTGCCGAGGCGGGAGACTCGGTTCCACCGTTGGTTGCGACTTCGGTGATATTGGTGTTCACGGCCGGGGGGTGCTCGGAGCCAGTGGGAGATCCATTACTGGTGGGCACGTCGAGACTGACGACAGCACGGCCTGCGGGCCGGCGGTCAGCCGGGCTGGAAACATTAATTGGGAATCGGCCAGTTTCAGAAGCGCCACTGGAACGGTCCCGACGGTGTCGTTGACGGTTTGTCGGGCTGGTAGCGCGGCTGCGGTTGACAATAGCACGCTGGCGAGCCTCCATGGCGGCACGTCGGTTGCTCTCGTCGGTGCTGATTGCTCGGGGGCGGCTGGAAGTCGAAATACCCAGTGCACTGGACTGGCGCTTCAGTTCGCCGAAGATAGCGTCTTTGTGAGCAAACAGATCACGGATCAGGCGGTAGCTGTGGCGCTCATCCATGGTGAGGCTGCTCTCGATGCGAGGGCGGAGGATACATGGCGACAGGACCTGGGCCATTGCGGCAATGTACTGTTCATCGGCCGAGGTCAAGTCAATCAGGCGTGTGAAATGGGTCATGATGGCATCAAGCGTGGCAATGTTGACGAGACGAAGTTGTCCAAGCGTACTTTGCAGGACCTTAATTCGTCCCTCTTCCGTGGTCTCGTGAGCGGTAGTCGAGTAGATAGTTTTGACGATTTCGTAGACTTGTGAAGAAACAAGAGAGTCTGTAGCATGGTTAGTGTCCGTTACTTGGAGGAATCGGAAGGCGATCACAAACCTGGCAATTCAAGAAGGTACAATTTCAGAACGCTAGCAACTGTGGGTATCTCAAAATTCGGGAGGATTTCACGATAGTCCGCTTTGCTGTTGTTCAAAGCGTTGCGCAACTGGTGCGTGTGAGACAGCTTAGGATTGTGGAGCCAGATACCACGGCGGGCCTCATCACCCTCGAGCTCCGGGTAGCCTGTGAGCAAGTTAGCTTGATTGTTGATTTAGCTGTCCATCAAATTGTCTTACGGTTGTCCAAGTAGGTCAAAAGCGTAGTCACCAAAATTGGGACACGCTTGCGGTCTACACGAGCTCTGGCTTCAAGATCGACGCCGAAATTTTGCTCTAAAGGAAGATCAGCCGAGCTCTGTACTTCAAAATAAAATTCGTTCTGGAGATCTCCACATACCTTCGACGGATCCGTAGTAGTTTTCGTAGGCTTGTACACGCGGGACAAACCCGCCGGTACGGTAATTCTCTAGGAGATATCTCAAATCTCCCAGTGGCTGGATCGTTTCCTGATACAGCATCATATGATCGACGGTGCTCTGGAGGTTGGGAATGACGTTGCTGATAGCGCCAGAGAAATCAAGCACTACAGCCTTGATGGCCTTGAGACGGTCCAGCTCACACTGCTCCATGAATCGCAAGTTGTCAATGACGTCCTCCTCAAGGCGGCATCGAAGCTGATCAAGCCTTCGCACACCAGCCTTGTAACGCTCATCGGATTCCAAAGCTTCTCTTCGCAGCTTCTCTGCAGGGGTCTCATTAGGGTAGGGGTTGTTGAGAGGGTTCCAGCCAGCGATCATCTCCGAGACTGACGAAATTGGAGAGTCAATGCCATCCTCGCTGTTGGAAGCCGCAGAGGCTACTCGCATCAAAGACTTCTTCTTCTCGGGAATGCCAGTGAGTTGGAAGACCCTGGTGCGCCACTGGTAATTCATCTTCGAGCTGTTGGCGAAGACGCTACCCATGTTGCCAACCAGGCGCAAAAAGCCACCGTCCACAAGATCTTGTCCAATACGTTCTGCCTGGGCCAGGTTAGAGGCTTCCATGTATCTCTGAACGTACTCCACAATATCCGCGCCTGTCGAAACATTTTGATATGTGCCAATAATAGGCACCTTGGCCTCGCCAATTCGAATGTTATTCAACATATGCAAAAGAATCTTCTTGATATCCTCGGGGGAGTAAACGCGATCTCCCAATTCAACCGGCTCCTCATCCTCGGGGTCCTCCTCGGTGGGAAGAACAATCTTCGGTGTCGGCTTAACCTTGGGACTTGTCTCGGGATCCTGGAAAGCAAGCTTGTTCTCCTCTTCCAGATCTTCCACCACTCGGCACTTGTTGAAGTAAGTGCTGCGAAGCTTCTTCACCAATTCGACCTGTTTCGAGTGTTCCTTGATCCGTCCCTGGAGATTGTCATGGGAAGTCTGGACTCTGTATTCATGCTGTTCGCCCCAGCGACGGAATGGGGCCACGACAAGTTCACGAATGTTGTTGGCAATTTTCTGATGATTCCGCGAGGCCTCGATCATCTCAGTACGGACACCTTCGTAAGCCTAGAAAATCGCGAGAAAAAAAGACATTGGGTCAGCCTGGTCCAGTGAAGTCAAAAATTCCTAGGATACACCCTCGTATTCACCATACCTTTCGCACACTCGCACCGTCGTCCTTGCTGAAACCTGCAGCAGATAACCGGTCCACGCTTGGCGCGATATCTCCCATGCGGAGACCATATTGCTCCTCCGCTTCTGCCCGCATCAATGCGATCATCAAAATCTGCTTATTCTCCACCACGCCCTGCTGCAACTTCCCGTATAGGACACCCAAGCCGGAAGCATAGTCGGGCGTCCAGAAAGAGTCCGCAAAGCCAGGCATTGTGACGGTGGCCGGCAGGAACACGGTTCGGATTAATTCGGAGAAACGAGATCGAGGTAGGTAATCGGCAACAAGTCAGGAGGATATGATGATAGTTGAGAAGAGAATCCTGGTTGGAATCGGAGGTGGGAGTCGGAAGGAAAGATTATGTTGGGCGCAAAGCGTAAGAGAACTTCGGTGAAATTGGTGGGCCCGATCTGAGATTCCTCCGGGATGTCGAGACCAGCAAGTACAATAGAACTCAAAGCAGACCGGCTAGCTTGAAGAGTAGATTGGAATGGAATCGGTTTCGTTTCTGTTGAGAAAATGGAAGGCTAGGACGTTGCGCTTGGCGCTGGGAAGAATTGAGGCTCGAGTTGCAGATGGGATCTTCCCCGGGGAATCAGAGCGCGCGGCAGGTAAGCGCCAAGGAGCGTTGACGAAGGTGGGAAAAAGAGCGTACGGCGAGCGTATAACTCGAATAACACAACAAGGCAATGATAAACAAAGCAAGAACAGTAAAAGCAGCGTCTAAATGAAGGAATTAAAAAAAAGGGGTGGGGTTTGTCTTGCAGGGAATGAGTTGCCTAATGATGTTGATGAATTTCCATTCGGCGTTGGCTGGTAATATTACGGGTACATCTGAGTACAGCCTTGCCAACCTGTGGCTCCACCACACTATTTCTCGGTACGGAGAGTACTATTTTTGGGTTCCTGGAAAATATTTTAGAGAAGTGGATATGACCTTGTTATCAAGCGAGAAAAGAACAAGAAGTGGTCATGGTTTTGTATTTTGTCTCACTGTCGGCCACTCCTCCTGGAATATTCCTGATATCGTTCATTTATTCAAGTCCGAGTAGTACATGTGGTACCTGAAGGGACAAGACAATGACGCCTCAGGCATACGTACTCAGCCACCTTTCCCCGAAACTTTCAATACCGTAACGCCCAATACTCAGCCACCAAATGCCAATCATAAGCCGTTTTGATCGTAGTGACGGAATGCCCAGATTGTCTTTCTATGGAGTTTTCATCATGTTTTGAGCTTAACTCCCGACTCTTCTGCCCCAACTTAAAGTGGCCTGAAGATTAGTGAAGATACCCACTGCATACAAAGTTTCTCCATCCTGTGTGATACATCTGATGTTAACAACATTTAAATTGATCCCTAGGTCCGAGAGTTGGGATTACGACATACACCCATGCATGTGGATAGTTATGTATATGTCCAACATTAATATGTAGAGAAACATTTGAAGGAAAAAGCACCACACACGTTCCCCGTGGACATTCGCCCACACATTGCATGCGTACACATGCATAGGTATGGATCAATAAGTAGAAACTAATACCTTGATTTTATTGGTATTTGAAGAAAATCGTAAATTTTTTGTTGCATATATGGTATGTTAACATTTGAACCTGACATCTGGAAGTATCTCATTGACTAGTACATCTGAAACCACATGTGCATGTAACTAACTAGTTAGTTATCAATCGAAGGGATATGATTAATAAACACTGAAAAAGGAAGATGTAGTGTGGTTTCATTGTCGCAAAGCCAATGCCACATGCAATCAACAGAAGAACTTGTAAACTTTCTTCCATTTCGGCCATGCTTTCTGCTCCGCCAGTTCCTGCTCACGTAGACTGTGGATATCCATGTCCCGACGACCAGTCACTATATCCATATCCCGCGAACGGATGACCTTGGTCTTAAACCAAAGCTTGTAGGGGATGTAAGAGAGCACGATAATGGGAGCAGCAAGGTAAGCCGAGAAGAAGCTCTCAACCCGTGCGCCCGCAGTGAGCTCACCATAACCGACAGGAGCAAACCCAACCCAGAACTGAGCAATCAGGACCAGAACATTGAAAATCAAGCCAATCCAGGATCCAATGACACCGGGTTGCGAGCGGAAAGCTAGCTCGTCCAGGGTATGGCCTTGAACTTTCCACGCACGGCGGAACCGTATGTGACAAAGACAGATGGATCCCCAGGTGAAGATGGATGAGAGACCTGAGATGGCCATCATCCATTCAAAGGCGGTTGTTTCTTTGCTCGATGCAGCGAGAAAGCAGAGTAGGCCGAACAGCGAGGCGAGGATAATGGCACAGATGGGACGTCCCTTTCGGTCGATGTAGCCCAGGATTTTGGGAGCTTGACCCTGGTCGGCGAGGGCGGCGAGGGTTCGCGAGGAGCCGTAGACGGAGGAGTTGCCAACGGATAGCACGGCGATCATGATAACGACGTTCATGACGGAGGGAAGACCCTTGATTCCGGCGTTTTCGATGGCAATGACGAAAGGAGAGGCGTGGGCGTCCGCGGAAGAGCCCCCAGTGACAAGGCGCTCCTCGGTATACTTGACCAGCAGACCAACAATGGTGAGGCTGATGACGTAGAAAATAGAAATACGCCAGAACACCTGTTTGATGGCGGTAGGGAGAGATTTTCGAGGGTTGTCAGTCTCGGCAGCGGCTAGACCAACAAGCTCCGTTCCCGCAAAAGCGAAGGCAGCATTCACAAAGACACTGCAGAGACCCTTGAAACCATTGTGGAAGGCACCGGGGTTGTGCCAGTATGCTCCTCCGATGTATCCTCCTTCGGGACCACCACCGCAATTGATGACGATACCGAGGATGCTAGTAAGAAAGTTAATGATGAGTCAACCCAGACAATATTTAGAACAGGAGGGTAAACAGAAACGCACATGAAGCCAATGACCGCAGTCACCTTGATAGCCGCAAAGACAAACTCAGCCTCGCCATAACCTCTCACACCAAAGAGATTGATTGAGACAATCACCACCCAAAAGATGATGACCCAAGCAGCATTGGAGATACCAGGACTCCAATAGTCGATGGTAATAGATGCCGCAACGATTTCGAGGGGCAAGACGATGAGCCACTGCATGGCATAATTCCAGCCCATGGCAAAACCCCAAGCTGGGTCCAAGAACCGAGTAGAGTAGTGAGCAAACGAACCAGAAACGGGGAACAAGACGGCCATCTCGCCCAGGGCGTGACATGTGTTGTAAAGCATGCACCCGATCAAAACGTAGGCAATGACCACTGATGCTGGTCCACCAGTGGCCAGAACGGTTCCCGAACCAACAAAGAGACCGGTACCTAACGGGGATAATGAGTATTTATCTATATTTTGGTAAGATCTTGGTGTTCTATCACGAGGCGCATACCGATTGAACCACCAATGGCGATCATCTGAAGGTGACGACTTTTGAGACGGCGCTGAAGTGGCGAGCGAGCAACATTCTGTGACGCAGCCTCCATGTCAAAGGTTGAGCCGTGGGCTCCATGGTTGTAATGGGCATTGGGGTCGCGTTTGAAGCTGTCGATGAAACGGCGACCGAACCCATCTTTGGTGGGTTGTGAGTTGCCATAAGCTGGCAGAGGCTCAGAATCTGCCTGAGCCGGGGCTTTATCGGAAACGTAGTTCTTCTCCTCCTCCATAATGCAGAATATCTCTGTTGTTAGGTGACCGGTAGTTACATGCAATGGAATGAAGAGGGGGGTTTGGGAAAGTAGGCAGACAAGTGAAGCAGAAGAAGAGAGAGAAGGAGGAAGAACAGGAAAGTTGGAACGCTTTAAAGATGTCTTCCTTTTAGTACCCAAGATCAAGAAGAGATATGCATGAGTGAAGTAAGAGATAGTAATAAAGAGAAAAGGTGGGGTTAAGGTTGTCAAGTCACGACAAAGCAAATATTATGGGGAAGTGAATGCTTTAAACCCTTTTTTTTTTACCTTGGATATTGACCGAGGGATTAAATCAATCATAAACCATTAGCTTCTTCCCATCGTGGACTTAGACTCCAATCCCGAGATGTAGCTTGGAATTCTGAGTTTCTGGCCCCTTGGAGTCAAAGTAAACTTGGCAGTCAGCACGGATAGTAAATATTAATTAGTAATTGATAAAATCTCCATGACAATTTGATTTTCCACATGGAGATCACAGCATCATCTACAAGATTAGTTATTAGTACTCTTATTACCCTATCGGAGGGGCTCGGGTTGGCCGCAAACCGGACCCTGATCCTCGAAATACTATAGTACTTTCAACTAACTTGAACAAGAGCAAATAAACGTTCGAAAAAAGATTCGAAAAACTCAGTACGGTTTAGGCCAAAGAATCAGAGGAAAGAGGCATCGAACGCCACTTAATCACCTGCGCGATTTAGGGGGATTTTGGCCTGTCACAAGTGTGCCTCCGTACAACGGGACGATCGCACTTGGGTCCAAACTTCAAAATGTCCTGCAGCTTACCGACACCTTCAATCTGCTGGATTATTGTTGTTAACTTCTATTTCACTTAATCTCCGATTATTATCAATATAACTTCATATATTACCAGACGTTTGCTCTATCAATCTGTCTCTTCCTTTGTTCTAGTCAGAAACCAACCTCGGAACTTGAATGAACAGCCAAGCTTCTGGTTGACCCAATGTACTCAAGACCCACTAATCTCCGCACTCTCCACGCGATAGATGATCATTGCCTGAACAGAACCAGAAACTAAACCTTCTCATCTTAAGCCAAGCCCCTCTCAGAATCGAAGAAGAACACCGCAACGAGGAGAAGAAGTTCCCTTCAGAAAGAATATGTAACTAATTGGTTTACTTAGATGCACCAAGAAAAATTGGCTGCTTCTTCAGGCTAGGATTAGCGTCTGACAGGGATATTCGTGGCTGCACTGGGGGGAAAAGCCAGCCTAGACCCCTTTTATGACTGCTCTTGCCTATGGGAATGCTTTCCGACGAGGGGTCTGTTCCTATGGCGTGCGCTTTGGACCGCCCCAGGAGGCGTTCGGCATGGGGTAACCCGCCCTGGGCTCAAAGTTGTAGGCTTTCAGCAAAACAACATCATGGAGTATGGTTCAGGTAGACTTTCTTGAGACTGTGCCAAGAAAGAAATAAGAAAGAACAAATCAAGCGCTCACTTTCAGGGCTATGCTTCGGCCTCGCCGGTTGACCATGTGTCGTTCTCAAAGTCCAAAGTAGGTAACAAAGGCTAGGCAGATGAAACCTTGGAGCCACACGCTTAGCTCCCCCCCTGCTGATTCGTTTGGCTGACCGGGTGGCTTTCTGGTGGTTTACCACTGATATGCATGGAAGGCCGGGAGAACCAATCTTAAAGCAAGGGGATCACAAGGTGTAATTTGCTCGTAGTCATTCGATGCAGCTCGTATAAAGGGAACATAGCGCAATGCCCGTAGCACTTGTGTGATTTGAGGTGTCTCATACGCCGAGCTGCTCCTCGCTTCTTGGGCTGCGTAAGCTCAGCTGCCAAGCCTTCCGCGGGGCCGGAATTTATGGGGGTTGGGGGTTTTGCAGCTTCAAAGAATCAAGCTGTCGATCTTATGACAACCTTCTTTCTGTTGCACATGTGTGTGGAGCAGACTGATAACGGTGGAGTATGGAATAGTGGACCTGTTGATATGTTAACGAGACGATGCCGATCCACGGAAACACGAGAACCTTGGGATGAGGATATCCTGAGAATTGACCCAGATTCTGGGCAGAGCTTCGTTCGAATGTTATCTGAGCCTTGGCACCTTCAAGTTCAACCTTGGCCCACAGACCTGGAACACCGGTTTTTTTTCGGGATTTTCTTTTGGTACCTCAGCCTCTACCTACATTCCTTGCCATGCTTGTTCTTAACGCCTGGCACGCTTTGTCATTGGTTGCAGCCATGGGTCAGGGATTCAGGGTAGTATCAGCACAGGGTAGTCATTTTTCAGTGAGCCTTGGCGAAGCTATGATCTCTGAATAGGAACCATGACCGAGGGATCTTGTACGAAGAAAGTAGTATGACCTAGTTGTACTAATGCATGCAAGTGAATACATCCTCGGCAAGCACCGGTTCGAAACTTGGAGTAAAAGAAACGCCCAACCCCAGCTAATCATTTAATTTCAAGAATTAAAATCTCCAAAATGTACACTTTATTTCCATGGCTTTGAAAAAATCAATGCTCTTCGCTAAAGTATGGATCATGAAACTTGCTTCCATAATAGGCAGGTGGTAGGTACATTGGAGGCGACCAGCATGTTGAAGCCATAAACCTATCACAAGTCCAAAGCACTCATCCAGCATAACTAACCTTGCTATCCCTGGGCAATTGCAAAACACACCGGGTCATACATAATCGCTTTAGAGTTATCCCGTCCGTTAGACCAGTGTGGTTATCCGGTCGAAATGCGGGGATGTGAAGCCGTTAGGTAATAGTTTCCACACCACTCCCGTCAATCTGGGGTAACGAGACTCTTATTGCCCAAAAGCACGGCATAAATGCCTTGGTTTTTGAATTGAGGCCATTGGGCAGGATTTGGTGTACGTGTACACATGGCCTATGATATGGGTGAGATCTCGGTTGATTTTAGCCTTCAAGGTTGCTTTTCGTATTCGGGGCTTGTTTCCAAAATTTGGAGCTGTTGTACTATGATGGTCTCAAGGATTCTTATTGGTTAGAAGTGCTCTGTTCCTGCAGATAACCTCTGCTTTTTATGGTGTTTTTTTAACTAAATTTGTAGAAGACGTACTTGTTTACATTCAAAGAATAACCCTGTCGGATACCTGGTTCCACAGGAATCGAGAGGGGTTGTCAACGATTTCCTCCTCGGTACTCGAACAAGCAAGGAATCAAGATCCATCTAACGCAATGCCAAGGTTCAGTTGGATACTTGCTGCACGATTTAGTCCACTTGTATCTCATTCTTGGAGTGAAAAGTGTGGAGTGGTCTGGAAAATATGGGGCAATTTCAAGTCCCGGGGGATCTGCCCATCAGACTAAGCTACCCCGGAAGATTCAATATGCAATGATGTCAACATGGTTTTAGAGATCTGCGTGAGCGTTTGTTCCCCGTGATTAAGCTGGTGAAGGGAGCAAAATAACCGGCCATAGCCGCTATTGAGATGTTGATCGTGATACTAGTGCCATTACCCGGCATGGAGCTTCCTTATCACTTGGACTTGGGCGGATATTTCGAAAATCACTCTAAAGATCGATGATTGCCAAGGAGTAGGGAATTCCGTCTTAAAAAAAACCAAGAGTAAAAGCCAACTCTCTTTATTTATCTGTTGATGAATCGTGCTTGGCGTCGGAGACTTCTTTCAGAGTATGGCTACTCAAGAGCAAGGATCCTCTCCAAGGTTGCAAGAAAAAAAATTGCTATCGATCCCGATAAGACTGGATAAGAGAATTGGAACGGCAGAGTTTCATAAAATAGTGGGATTAAGTCTTTCTATAGGACTTTTCATGTCGTTGTATTCGGTATCATAACACACAAAGTTCTTTTCGTCATTTCTCAAAACACCCAGCTCAAATGCTTAGCTGGAGACTGGGCCTTCTCCACCAGGAATCAACTGTATCTTAGGTCAGAGATAGGTTCAGAAAGCAAAATGACCGATGGGCTTACCATGCAGATGTTGTTTCCATTCAATAAAAGCTTAGGAAGCTTGGTTTGGGCACCGGTGTAGTCACTGTATATCGAGGTCAGTATCATCAAGAGTGTTGCAAGAGAAGACCAATGAAGCCAAGTCAATACGCCAAAGGTAGATAATCAAATCAATCATCAGACTTTGATATTGCCGAAACAGGGAACGAGAGACAATGGCTGTCGCATGAATCTCAATGGAGATAATAGAGTGATACTCACAACTCTGTGACATCTTCCATGACCATGTCTAAAAAAAAATTGCAATTAGATACCTGTGATTTGAAGCAAGAAACACTAGAGGGATACTCACTAACGTAGTCATCGAATCCGAGGAGGGTACCCGAGAACTCTTTTCGCATGTTAGAAACGTCTCATCAACCCCGGTATTCTGACCAGTTGCGCTCACCCTTGTCACCCTTCATCACAACCCAGATGCGGGAACCGACACACTTGTCGATAAGCTCTATCAGATGGTTAGTGGGGTTCCCAAGAGGGGATATTTGACGGGGACTAACCCAGCGGCAGCAGTTGGGAGGCCATGATTGTACGTTTGTTGGTAGAATGTTAAGGTCTAATAAAAGCTCTTATGGTAGTTTCACAATCAGAGATGGCGGAGTGAGCTAGATGAGAGATATACAAGTCAAGGTGCATTTCATCTTTGGATTTCAGGAACTTGCTTTTATCCGGGCCGACGGCGCTAGTCCATTTTGGGACTAGCACCACTCCCCGGACTTGATGCTCTTTTTGTTGTCATGAATTTAATGTTCGAACTTCTGACTTGGATTTCTTCAATTTGCTTTTGCTTGGTCGATGCAACGACAAAAGCTGAAAGTTGAGCTCCGGCAATTCTCACCCTGTCAAGAATCGTGTATGGGGTCCCACTATGCTTGTTGCGCAGCATGCGAACGTGGACGAGCCTCTCAGCGGGCCTAAGGTCTTCGTCATTGGCCCCGACTACAAGTGGCAATACACCCACACATTGTAATGCGAGCCTTTTGGCCAGAGAGCTTACTTCTCAGGGGTATGTGTGGTCGTTGAATAGTGCATCCGAAGCTTCCAATTTGTTGACGGAATTTTAGCCATGTTCTCCGCACCTTGGCCCGAGGAACCCCCCACGAAACCGTCCAACCCCATTACCCTCATTTCCGGCGTTTGAAACATCGGCAGCCTCGACGAACTTTTTCAAGTACACCCGCGGCGCGGATTCGGCTAGAAGATGACGAAGATGAGGAAGAGGAGCTGCTCAAAACTGCCAAGTCTTCAAGAAGGCCGGTGCGACAGCAAAAGAGCATGAGAACATTAATCATGTCTCGGGAACCGAAACGTCCCAAACCGAAACCTATTAACCCGGAAAAGGTTCGCGAGATCAAATCGAAGCTTCAAATGCTCCCAAATCCCCGCCAGTTAGTCAAGCAGTTCATTGCCTGCAGATACATTGATCTAGAAGATCAAATCGAGAGATCCCACAACGTCGTTCAGGAAATTTATCGTTCTCACATTGAAGATCTACAATCTTTGATCCTCCGCAGTGAGGCAGCTTGTTGGAGGATTGAACATGAGTATTGCAAAGTCGTTTACCACAATACCCCTAGGTGGACAGCAGCAATCTCTGACGTGAAGTGTGCTGTTACCCGCTTGCGCTACGAGTTCATCAGTGCTGCCATAAAGGATTCGCAGCTATCCATCAAACACATGGCAAATTTCCTTCAACAAGATTACTTGGACCCTCGGCAATCGGCACGAACCAAGATTGACAGCCTTCTACACTCCGCGACAGATCTATACCAGAATTATACTTTACTGCAGTCACTTGGAAGGGAAGTCAATAATGGACTAACTGAAATTAAAGATTTAATTCATTCCCTCAAATCTGCCGACCATCGGGGAAAGTTCCAGGGCTTTCTGAACAGATTTGTGGCGCACAAGATGGTCTTTAAGATGGCTATACACAATTACCGTTCTGCCTGGGCCGAAGGAAAGAGAAGTCCGCTTCAGGTCGAGTCACAAGCTTGGTCCGCCCGAAACCTCAGTCACATTATCTATAATAATGAGCACCGGCGAGAACCAGGCGACGTGGTATCGTTTGTGATCCGAAAAGGGATATTGCAAGGCGATCAAAAAGACATAAAACTATCAGAACTGGTTCATTCTTCTTTTCATAGGACCGAATTCAGGATCGCCAGAATTCTACGCGCGAAATTCCAAAAGAAATGGAATGGGGCACTTGCCGATAGTCCCAAGCTACATAAAGTTTGGCGACAGCTTGATGTGATGGCCATGTTCGAGATGCAACAGTTCATGATGAATGGGTTGCAGTATGAAGTCTGGTTGTTGATGAAATCCCTTGAAGGGAGGTACGGACCAATGTGGTCTGGTCTTAACCCCGAGGCAGCTTCAAAATATCATCTGCAGCTACACAGGCTCAGTCAAGACCTCTCCAATTCTCGAAGGCAGTTCGCGTTAGAAATTGATTTATACAGACTCATCAACTGGGCTCGGCTGGGTATTGAAGATAGGCTACACAAGCTAGGGATGCCGAATGATCGCCAAGAACGGGGACTTTTTACAGTGGAACGGCCAATCAGTCAGGACTATGCACGCTTCAACAACTGGGCAAACAAGTTTGCTGCCATTTCGTTCAGAAACTTGACTTTGGTCACAATCCTTCAAGCTGAAATTCGGGGAAGCGAGGACTTCCTGCGAGATGAATGCATCCGTCTGACCAAAACTTACCTCAAACAGCCGAGCTTTGTGCCAGAAATAGGCACCGCAAGCATCGCGAAAAATGACAGCCAGCAATACGAGGAGGTCAAGGTAAAGCGTACTGTGTTTAGAAAGCTGTTTGGTGTAGGAGAGACAGTCACCTCAGGTGACTCATTGTTCTCTCCATCATATGCAGCAGCAAAAGAGTCGGCAAACCTGTCGGCCAAGTCTGAAAACACGGATGGTTCTCATCCAACAGAACATTCAAAGGATCCCCCATCAGCATCCGGCACTACGAACCCCGTTATTGTCGATAAAACGACTTCAAGGGCCGGAAAAAGGCAATCAGTAAAGCAACGTGAAATGCGGCCCGTTGTCGAGCAATTCCCCAAGGATTCGGTGAAAAATTCGGCCAATCTCAAGCCTACTTCGCCCAAGAGAAGAAGAAGCGCTCACCAATATGACTTCCCCCACCCCATCGAACAAATAGGCAAGGAATCGGGTAATCTCAAACCCGGAGGAACCCAGAAGAAGCCAAGGGTGCAGCAACAAACCTCCCAACAAATCTCACAGCCTAAACAAGACCAGAAACCACCTGTCGGAAAATCGACTACACCTAGGCCTACTGGGGTTGAAAAAGAAAATGCAGCTCCATCGTCCACAGCCAATGTGAAACTTAACCGACCTACGAGAAAGCCGCATCTTTCCAAACGACAAAAGAGATCTACCCTTGGTCCTGCACCAAGCTCACTTTCTGGTCGCAGCATTCAAGGCAAACTCGACTTGAAATTTTTGGGTGGCTCGCCAGCCAGCTCCAGGTCATACAGCACCAGAACATGTGTTTTTGAGGCCAACGTCAATGAAAGCAATACTGGGTACATGGATGAGCAGTCCTTGCGTGTCGGTGCTTCACCGAAAGAGGAAACCATTCAAAGTAGTTCAACAGTATCTGCCCATGATCTTCTCTTACCAGCCGGAGGGGAGCTCTCGCAAAGTGAGAGCAAAGCTAAAGCGGAGGCAACATCGCAATTCTGGTCCCATAGTTCGAAACGCGGGCCAAGTGGTCAGAAGCTGGCCGTGCATTACTGCCGAACCTTAGAAAGCACCGAAGAGGTCGCCCAGCTTTTCCTCGATAGCAAAGTCATCGGCTTCGACATGGAATGGAAGGCACAAGCCTCTTCTTGGGACAGCATCCAGAACAACCTGTCTCTGATCCAAGTCGCAAACGAGGAGCGCATCGCGCTCTTCCAGATCGCCCTTTTCAAGCCAGGCCAAGCACTAAAGGACCTTGTTGCACCTTCTTTGAAGAAACTTCTTGAATCGCCCGATATTACCAAATGCGGCGTATCTATCAAGGCAGATTCGACTCGTCTGCGCAAGTATCTTGGTGTCGAAGCTAGGTCTATCTTTGAGCTTAGCCACTTATTCAAGTTAATCAAGTATGGCCTGACTCAGCCGAAACTTGTCAATAAGATTGGTGTCAATCTTAGCAACCAGGTTGAAGAGCATTTTGGGTTGCCTCTTGAAAAGAGCGATGATGTGAGATGTGGTGATTGGACTCGTCCTCTGAACTATCGTCAAGTTCAATGTGAGTTTACTCTTGTCTCAAGATTGGGTGAATCGGTATGCTGATGTTTTTTTTTGTCTGTGTAGATGCCGCGACTGACCCGTATGCCTGTATCTGTCTCTTCAATGTCATGGATAAAAAGAGACAAGCCATGGACCCTATGCCGCCCCTCCCTGCACATGCTGATCTCAACCTACCCATCGTGCTTCCACCTCTCGCCAAAAAACCCTTGGCTTCTAGCCCGGTTGAGGATTCCGATGATGTTGATATTGGTCAATCTTAAGCGCCATGGCCGTCAATTTTCAAGCCTCCACCTAGGCACTCTGCACATTTTCGGAGTTCTTCCCTCTCCTTTTCCTTGTCTTCTTTTGCACATAGACCATTAGCGGTTAGCGTTCGAAGGCTTGTGTGCCTGCAGATACACTTTGTATTTATCACGTGCAATTTTTTACACCTTTTAAATAATTGATGTTTCGAGCAGCTGATAGCCAAGCAGAATAAAGACTTTGAAGATTTCAATGTTATACAAATATTCGACGCTACATTCTTCAATGTAAAATGTAAAACCACGGAAGAATCAATTATGTAGAATTCCACGATAGAAGCAATTTAGAGAATTCGTGCAACAGTTTGTAAATTTGAGACAGAAGAAAGAGAGAGTAGACGTCCAGCTAATAAAACTAATTCCTCTAAAGGGAAAATCAGGCCCAAACATTTGAACATTTGAACATTACATTTGAGGGCAGGGCGAGCTATTTATGCGGGCGCAACATAAGGCGGAGCTTATGTACAGAACGAGGTAGTTACAAGTTTTGGGACGCTATATGTGTAAACTAACATTTGAAGAAAGGCAAAACAAGTAGTAACCGCATGTCAACTGGTAGTAATTCCACAAGTCCGCCGTTTACACATGTATATAGCCAATATCTCAGTCACTCAATTAAGCTGCTCTCAATAGATATAGCCCTGGAAGATCTTCAATGTTACATATATAAAAACACATTGATTCAATGTTATGTACATACATCCATACAATGTACTACATAATGTTTATGTAAATTGTGAGCGTCTGAAAGTGCAGATGGGGGTATATATTCATCCAGATCAAGTATATACATCTGTGGATACGCAGTCCACGCCTCAGAAAGCCATAATATGTACAACATACAGTCTTATACATATGCCCGAATCACCCTCGCAGAGGGAGGACCTTTGACAAGAGCACCTCCTGTCGACAAAGCGGACACTCCGGCTTCTCACGCACCCAATCCCTAACACACACCCAGCAAAACACATGACCACATGTCGTAACACTCGGGTCCTTGAACGCCTCCAAGCACAATGTACATTTCCGCTGCTGGCCATCCGGAATCCACGCAACTGCACCCGGATCCTCGTCAAGGTCATATCGAGGAGAAGACGCAGACAAAAGAGGCACAGAAGCGGGATTCTGGATGGAAGCAATAAGAGCTCCACCCTGAGGCGACGCAGCCTCAGCCTCAGAGCCCTCAGCATGCGCATTGTTCATACTCTCGCCAATCTTACGCACATGCAGGAAGCCCTGCACAGCCGCCTGAAGAACCATCAATACGCCCAAAACCTCATACCCGATGCGCGCCTCATTCTCGTCGATCTTCTTAGTGAAAACGTAGCGCAAGCGCCAGATCCGTTTCGATAGATGATAATATGTGCCCGTGAAATAGAAAGTCGCGATACTAAGCGCATAGATAGGCGAGACCGATGTCATCGAATCCAGATGGTCCAGGATATACTGCTGGATGCGTAGCTTTGTGAAGAACGGCTTGGAGACCGCTTTATTATAATTATTTTGGTTGTGGGTGTTTGGTTTCGACGCCAGACCGGAAATTTGCTGCTGTGTTGCCCGGAGTTGCTGTCGTGCGATGCTCCGCTCTAGCTTGTTCCGTACCCGCTTTCGCAGGGCGGGTAGGAGCCTCTGCAGCCACCAGGGGACTAGGATGCTGCTGAGGATGTATCCGACGCGCCGAGTGATCGCTGGTAGGCGGAGAGAGTCATCTTCCAGCTGGACGAGGTCGCAGTATTCTTCGCCTAGGGTGCGGTTTCCGATTGCGGTGGTGAGGGAGAAGTAGAGGAGTTCGGTGAGATGTTTGATGGCGTCGGCGTAGGAATGGGCGAATCGGGCACCTTTTAGGGAGCGAATGATTGTTTGGGCTTGGTGAACGAGCCCTGCTGTCATGTAGGCATCCTTTTCGTGGGAGCGGATGATATCTGGGGAGGTTGCGAAGGGGTAGAAATGGGAGGGGAAACCGAGGGTTCCTCCGTCCGGGGCTGGAAGGGAAAGATTGGGGTCTTCTTCGGCCATGTTGGAGGGTAATTGATTTTGTTAGTCGAAAGGACTATGAGTGGCTCGGGAAATGGCCAATGGGTTATGTCTTGAAAGGGTGCAGGAACATCATCGATGGTGAGAGGTATGGTATCACCTGCCAATGGACAGTAGAGCAGTTTCCCCAGAGTCGCGCGATTTCCCCGACTGTCGAGCCTCGGTCCCCCGGTCCGATAAAATCAGGTGACTTATCCGGAGGGTCGGAGTAAGTGGATTGCCGAAAATGGGTCTTGACTCTTGACTCTTGTATATTCTCAGTGCACAATGAACGACTTACACATCTAGTCAGTTCTTTCTACAAAATCACAGAGAAATCGACAACTCTCAATAGAACGAACCTTCGGAATCAACCATCCATCCCATTTTGACACAATTAATCCCGAACTACATATTTTACAAAGCACAGACCAAAGTACCGACTACATAAGTCACTTGAACCACGATTGTTTTTTGGAAATACATACGGCACTAAAGGACTCGTCAGGATCAGATTCGAAGTTATGAAATGGGAGAGAGTTGGAATTCCTAGGCCTTAGTCTAAGAGCTGGCCTGGGGATCATTTGCTCCAGGCGTACTCTATGTAGTCGCATGTTTACTTCGTTGTCTCTCTTTCTGCAGAAAGACATGAAAGTCCATGGACATGTGCAACAAAGACTGCCCTTCAAAGCGCAGGATTTTCTTTGATATGTATAACTTACAAAGAAGTGCCTACTAAGTAATCTGTATATTCTCTTGTCCTTTAGCTAGCGAGTAGACTGTGATTGTCGAATTGGACCTGAATTAACCTAGAGGGCGTCATTTGTTGAACACCCATTTAGTGGTTGACTGTTTTCAATTGCCCTTATTTGTTACCGAAGACAGTTTATTCAATTCCTTCAGATGGACTTGAAGATAGAAGTATATCAATATTTCCCAGAATTTGGCAATGAAAACGGTCAACTGGTATGTCCGCACTAGTAATTTATCGCATAACGGCCCCGCAAGCGGAATACCCGATAAATTACAATAAATACGCCGTGAGAGGTCCAGACCCAAGTGACGCGCGCCCAAATTGATTGAAATTGATCCATAATTATACTCTCTTTGGTTGGGCTAATTATAGGGCGTGTTTCTCTTCTGTATTTAATTCTTTCCAGGGCCAAAGAAAAGAACCTCCTTTCCCCTGATCCATCTTCTAAAACTCAGCCAAGTGCAAAGTGGGTTTTGAATGAGTGGATGCAACGATCACCATTTCATCATTGCAATATACCCAAGTGGAAAGCACCAAGGCCCGGAAGCGCCCCCTGACTGCCGATCCAGCAAGATCTTCGTCATGACTGGGGTGGACGGGCTCCTCATTGCCTAATTATACCCAAAGCCATTACAACTGACCCTCTCTTTAGTGGAGCCCATCCACGCTGCAAGACGAAGCCCACTGCGGGCGCGTAATTCCTCGTTACTACCGTGCTTATTAACATCTGAAAGCGGCCGGGGAAAAAGTTCCCTTATCCAAAAAATCCCCATACCTCACCCTTAGTCACTCTTTTTGGTTGCTTTGCGTGAGCCTCGTCTTCTCCTTGCACCCTCTTATACCCCACGGGGGCTTGTACTTTGTTTATTTTTGGAAAGATCACTCCTCTACCACTTGAACCTCCAACACCCCTCCTACCACCCCTGATCCATGGAATAATGGGTCCAGATCAACATGCGCAACTGGATGGCTTTGGGCTGGTCTTTCCCTTCCCCATTCGCATAGCAGCTGTATTGGTTGCAGGTAAGATTCCGTTCATGACCAGACAGTTTACCTCAACGGCGTTCTGATCTCTCCTTACAACAGGTTTCTGGGGATGGGCCATCAACCTACATTACCTGTCCAAATTCGACATCGTAAGTGGCGGAACACCCGAAAATATCCACGATACAGCCTCATGAATGCTAACTCGTTCACCTTTGATAGGACGTCCCTCGCCTCATCCACTATCCTTCCCATGACCCCAAATCCCAACCTCCACAACAACCACATCATGTCGGGGCTTACCGCCTAGCCACCCTCTTCACAATCCCTCTATCCATCTGGCTCGTTGTCACCTGGATTGCTACACGCCAGTCTCCAGAACTGGTCGAACGCTTCGACTTCATCCCACAATCGGTCTTCATTATCCTTCTCCTTATCCTTATCTGGCCTCTCAATCGTGCCTCCCGCGCCGGCCGGATCCGGTTTCTCCTGACATTAAAGCGGGTCGCCATCGGAGGTCTGGCGGAACCCCAAAATGGCAAGTTTGCTGATGTTCTGCTGGCGGATGCCCTGACAAGCTATGGTCGCATTTTGGGGGATCTGTATGTCAGCTTCTGCATGTTTTTCACCGACGGCATCTCCGCCACCTCCAAGCCGAACCGTGCCTGTGGCACCGATATCGTTGTACCCATCATCATCGCGGTTCCGAGCATTATCCGACTTCGCCAGTGCTTAACAGAATATGTGCGCGCTCGGCGAGCCTCAAATGCAGACTCAAATACCGGAAACCAACATCTGGCTAACGCCCTGAAATATGCCACCGCTTTCCCGGTCATCTGGCTAGCTGCAAAGATGCGGAATTACAACCCATTGGAATTTCACGGGTTCAGCGAGATGACCATTATGCGTCTTCTGTAAGTTTTCTAATCTCTTGAGTGTTCCGCATTTTACCCCGCTCGATCTAACCGATCTAGATTTCTTTTCTCGTTGATCAACTCGAGCTATTCTTTCTGGTGGGACGTGGTAAAGGATTGGGATCTTACCCTGTTCTCCCCCGAGCGTCGGGATAGCCGTTATCCGTTCGGACTTCGAAAACATCGATACTTTACTTCCGATCGGTTGTACCACTACGTCATCGTCGCAGATTTTGTACTCCGTTTCTCATGGCTATGGCGCGTGCTGCCGGGACTCTCGTGGATCCCGGAAACCGAAAGCGGTCTGTTCCTGCTCATGCTTGGTGAAGTGGCTCGACGCTGGATGTGGGTGTTTTTCCGAATCGAGGCTGAAGCAAGTAAGTTTTTTTTACCCTGAGCACAGTCGCCCGCTCTATTTCCAGAATTTACGATTATCTTGGCCCCAAAAACCAAGAACCAAGAACGCAACTCGAAGTTTCATTCGCTGACCGTGTGTGTGGCATAGTCCGAAACGATCACGGATCCGGCGCAGACGATGTTCGCCTACCAAAATACAACGGCAACGGCAAAATAACCTCGGATTGAATTTGACAACTTGCTATACGCGATTTTTGCCTTTTCACCTATCATCTTCCACGTTCCACCATCCAGTCTACCCTGGAATGAGTACGAGACACAGAACATAACTTCATTAGCGGCTTTTGATCAGTATTTGCTCTCATCCTCTCCAACCTCGGTTATTTTCCGATATCATCCTTCCCTTTTCAGTTTAGAACAATTATAGACATGAGACCCGGTTTTCTGGTTTTCCTTGGTGTACGGAAATCCACTCCTTGATTCGCCTGTATGCTTGTTTGTTTTTTGCCTCCGTTGACTCAGTCGATTCTCCAAATTCGCACGCACATCCTGCACGGTTTTTGTTTCTTTGTCTTGGAATATCTGTTACTGGACTAGAGCTCTTCTGAGCCTGTCCTGGGTGTCTTTCAATGTTTTGAGGGCGGCTTAATGGACTTGGTGTTTGCGAGGTATCCGCCGTGGTGGCGAGCATGGGTTTCTTTCTCTTGGTTCTTTGTTTTTTTGTCTGGTCTGAATAGGGCCAGATCGACGGATGCATCTCCTGGGCCTTTGTATATAAGTTTTTTTTTGCCTGGTTCATCACCCTTCTATCAGTTTGAATTGTCTTTGGGGACTTCGGGCTGGCATGTACATTATGGAACCATTGAATAGCTTGCTCATGGGTTTGAAACAAAATTCATTTTGCGAGGCGCTTTACAAATGACCCCCTGTAGAACTTATGTAGCGTACAGAGGGAGCCAAAAGGCTTCTTTCAATACTAACCGGCCCCTTAATAATTACCATTTGTCCGGACCCTCACTACGCTCCTTTCTTTTTTTCTTCCTTAGTGCTGATCGTTTGTTGTGTTCGAGCTCATATTTGAATACTATTCAACTTGCCTGGTCCATAAAAAATCTCTTGATATCAAGAGGATTACTTTGTTGAACGGATTTGGAAGAAGAACGGGAGATTATGGTGGTACCCAAATGCTAGTAGATAGAGGAAACAAATACTGGAGATAAGTCATTTTAGTATTCCAAGATTATGGGACCGTGGGTAGTCTTGGCCAGAACGGCACCAGGGCTGTTAGCTACCACTAGGTATGGCTGTGTTCATTCAGATCCATGTTTGGACCTCGGGAGCAACAAGTAAGACCTCCGCGGTAAAGCAAGTCCAACTCCTGGAACCACCTTCAAGTGGAAAAAGTATGGTTGACCAGTTCGGTAGTCGGCGATTTAAGACGAAGATGGAAATGTATATGAATGTTTTTTGTATTTAATGACAAGAATCCAGATATTGACATGGTAATGCTGAAAAGAAACGAACTTGGCGCCAGAATTGCACAAGCCCTGTGGAACGCTCAGTAAAGGAACCAAATTAAAATAAAATCGTAATAGAATGTGAGTGGGTTACTAAATATAGCACACGAAAATGAAATGTAGTCAAGACCGAAGCTCAAATGCAGCGAAAAATACTGCTTATATCATCCATGTCGTAGAACATATTTCAGCCCATACGCCTCACCGACGACCAGCCTCGGAGTTCCGAGGCGACGTATGACTTTCAAACAGGTCCTCCAAGTATGCACTTGGAGCGCGGCCCCCGGGAGCTTGGTTCAGGTTCAAGGAACTCGTAGAATCACCGACGTACGAGTGGCGCGTATTATGCGGCGCATCATGATAGGTACCAGTAGGCGGGAGAGACGGGGATCCGGAGGGGTAGCTTGGGTTGACCGAATCGCGGACGGGGGTGGAGCTGCCAGCAGCAGCGTAGAACCCGGCAGGGAGGTAGTTGGAATTACGATTGCCTGCAGGGGTGTTCAGACTGTTATGCGACCCTGCCCCACCACCTGCAGTGGGGGAGTAGAACAAGCCGCTGTTGTTGCTGGGGACTCGTCGCGATGGCTTGTAGCTGGCGCGAGTGGCTGTGCCGAGTTTGTCGAGGGAGACGTCCATTGCCGGCGCGGAGGAGTACACGGGTGTGGATCGCTTCTTTCGGCTGCCACGCAGGAGGCGCTTGGACTCTGCAGACTGCGCCATGGCAGCGCGCCGGACTGAGCGATTCACTGACCATGCCACCATGCCCCGCCATGCTAGGACGGCTAGCCCGATGAAGCCTAGGATCGCACCGACGGCGATGAAGACAGTTCCTTCCGGTGTGTTTGATGTTTGCATGTATGGGGCACCGGCGGATGGGGGTACAGTCACGATCGCAGCCGCAGTTGTGGTTGACGATGAGGATGAGGATGACGACGTTGATCCTGTTGTTGTGGAAACGGAGGATGTTGTGGTGCTGCTGTCAGACGTAGTCGAGGATGTTGAGGAAGTAGTGGTTGAAGTCATGCTTGTGGATGTCGTTGATGACGAGGACGTCGTACTTGTAGTGGTTGTGCTATCCGTTGTTGATGTAGAAGATGTGGACTCTGTGGTCGAGGCAGTGGTGGTAGAGAGATCGTCGGTGGTCTGGGCGTCGGTAGTGGCCGCAGGGTCCGCAGAAACTCGAGCGGCGATGGAAATCAAACATAAGAACACGATCAAGAAAGTTGGCTGGGATTTCCCAAGCCTCTGTGAGAAGAACCGCATGTTGCGCCTACTGGTTGCACCTGTTGCCCTGTAAACAGTCGATCGTTTCCCCACAGCGGGTCAGTCGGGATAGGCGGAGGTGCAGTGAACGTCGAGAACAACGAAATCTCCAATCCAGGCACAAAGAGCACCCTGAAAATCGAGTGGTACAACTTAATAGGAGAGAAAGTGCCCCCCAAGCGACGTTTTCGCCGCAGAAAAGTTGCTGGCCCTGTGTTCCTACTAGTAATTCAGGGGATCCACAGATCCACAGTCACTAGGCTTTTTGAACGAGGGGGCAACGCATGAAAATCTTCAGTTTAAAAACGAGCGACAGTCTCCTCACCAAGAACAAGGAGCGCCAGAGGGTACTGAGACAAATTAGACGACGGGAAGTGCACTCGAGAACCCGGACGAAGCGAGAAGACGCCAAGTCGCCTTCGCTACGCTAAAACAGGCGCCTTAGGCCGATGTGTCACATGATGACTTGATTATACCAGAAATAGCCATTGTGATATATCATACAAAAAAATGTCAAAGAACAATGCCCCTAACCCGAGATGGAAATGATAAAAAGCCAATTGTAGCATGCATGGCGCAAGGCGTGAACCTGCATCCACCCTGCAACGATAGCTCACTCAATTTACTGCTGCTTCTTCTGCACAGCGGCTGATGTATCCTTCTCAAATGCAGCGTAGGGAATCTGGAGACTACTCAAAGCACTGATACCAATGTACAAGATAGTAAAGAAGAAAAAGGAGGCCAGGAGACCCATGAAGATACCTGTTAAAATATTCAAGTTAGTATTGGGGTACACTATGGGCATAATCAAGAGGTATACGAACCAGGAGTGAAGAATTGGTATTCGTCAAACAGAGATTGGTTGCGATCCGACTCAGATGAGCTTGAGACAGGGGAGTAGGAAGAGTAATCGCGCTTCAACTCCATGTGGATACCTTCCTGGTTGAACTCATCGGAGGGCTCGTAAACGACGGAGTCGCCGTCGGGGAACTCTCGAGGAGAGGTGACATAGAGGAGAGTGTACTTGGATTCGGAGGGAATGCGATCGATGATATCGGCAAGAAGACCATCTGAACAATTAGAGCGGGACCAGTATCATCCATCTGAGGGGTTTACATACCATTATCGGAGAGCTCGTGGGCGCGGTCTGATCCCAGAGAAAGCATGGGAAACTCGATATCAATAATCCGAGGACCAGACTCAAAGTATGTGGGATAAGATCCGGCTTTATTTTCTGGTCAGCGATAGCTCTCATATCATACCCGTCACGCCGAGTATGGGCCACGATTGCAACTCACAGGAACCATCGATCGCGGTAGTTTGCGCGTTGCACTTCTCAACCAAGAAGTTCTTGATCTGCTTTGCATCCAGAACCCCCGCGACCTCATTCACGCTCATCTTGGATCGAATGGACCTATCCTTGCCAAGCATCTTCGCTCCGAGGCGGGGTGCCGCCTTGTGGGTGAGGAAGTCGGTGCTGTGCACACCAGGCTGGGAAACAACAACATAGTAATCGGATGGGCAGGTATCCAAGGCGGAGGATACTTCATCAAACACGGAGGCGCCAGATTTGATGTATGCGGAGTTCGCTAGGACTCTGCAGGAACAATTAGCTGGTGGGTGAAGCTTCCAGAGGATCAGTTGGGACATACTCGGAAGTGGAGGCCAGAAAAAAAGGAGAGGTATCTCTGAAAGCGTCAGCTACAGCTGCCCCAAGGGCGAGCAGCCCGAATCTGCTCAGCTGCATTGTGTCTGGTTGGAGATGGTGTTCGGGGAGGATGATGTTGCCAACGGGAGGTCCGACTTGGCCTCGGAGGCGGTCGACGGGGCCGGGCCCGCCTTGAGCTTTTTTAGATCCAACTTTTTTTTTTCTGGTTCGATCATACTTCTACGATAACGCCGTCTTTCGGTCTTATATACTTGAATTTGCGGTTTCTTGGATACTTGACCTAATCGCCATCATGGGGGGAGCCTACAACAGAAAAACCAACAACACCCGTGCCTTTCCTAAAAAGCGCAAGTTGACTCCGAAGGTGGAGGAAGTCAATTTCGACTCAGATGCCCGCCAGGAATGGCTCACTGGGTTCCACAAGCGCAAGGTGCAGCGCGCTAAGGAAGCCCAGGAGGTAGCAATCGAAAAGATGAAGGAGGAGAAGAGACACGATCGGGCGAAGGTATGGGATTTTCTTTTCAAGCCGAAGAAATCATTTGCTAACATGAATTTTCTCCAGCTTCGCGAAGAACGAGCGGCCGACATGAAGAGAATTATGGAGGAGCATAAGAGCCACCTGAAGCGCATGAAGGCGGAATTCGACAGCGATAGTGATTCCAATGCCGACGAGGGCAGTGACGAAGAGGAGTGGGGAGGTATCGAGGAACCGCCGGCGGTTGACTACGAAGCCGAATATGTTGACGAAGACAAGTACACTACTGTGACTGTTGAAGAAATGGATACATCCCGAGATGGTCTGCGAAACTTGGCGAAGGGAGATGATTCGGAAGAGGAAGAAGAAAAGCCAGCTACAAAGACGCCCGAGGCAGAGGCGAAACCCGAAAAGAAGTTTCGCAAAACCACCCAGAAGCCTAAGCAGAAGAAGAAGCAATTTCGCTACGAGAGCAAAAGCGACCGCAAGATCACTGCTTCAAAACAGCGCTCATCAAACTCGAGGAAAGCCAAGGCCCGGAGAGAGGAATGATGAAGAAGCATATTTTGACCAACTAAATCGTTTATACCACCATATTATGAAAGTGCTTGGGAGTTCTTGTCGTTTTTTTTTCAAAGATCAGTTTGTCAATAAAAAATTCTATGATTCACGAGAGGATTGTCCACAAAAAGGCAGTTGGTTCGTACAACAGATGAGGGACACCGTACTCAATATGGCATAAAGATGCTAAAGGAAACCATCTCTGACATGTGCAGAGAGGTAAAGAACACAATCGAACACATTGTGACAAAAAATAGCTGGAAAAAGGGGAAGAAAGCCTGCATCCAACCCAACGTCTCCTTACACTGAACATCGATACAAGGTAACCAAATCCATCTTAGACGTTGCTGATAGAGACCTCGAGCTCCTGCAACTCCCGCTCCAGAGTGCTGTACTTCTTGGACATCTCCTCGTACTTGGCCTCCCACTGGTCGCGCTCAGTCTCGAGAGCCTGCACCTTGCGCTCATAGTGGCCGGCCTTGACGTCGGTCTGACGGAGCCTGAGATAAAGAAGCCAAAGGTTAGTGTACGAATAGTAAAGTTTTCAGGAGGTGATTCGCACTTCTCGTTGGTCTCCCGGAGGGTCTTCTCGTTCTCCTCAGCCTCCTCCTCGAGGAGCTGCACGCGGCGCTGAAGGGCCTCGTTCTGGGTGTCGTGCTGGGCACTGGCACCGGCAGCATCCTTAGCCTCCTTGACGGAGTTTTCCAACTTCTCAACCTCCTCCTCAAGTAGGGAGTTGCGGTGGTTGAGCGATGTGATCTCCTGCTCCTTAGACAGGCTCTCCTGCTCCAGGGTCTTGATCTTGCTGGCTAGCTCCTCATTCTTCTCGTGGGCGTCATCGGCCTCAAGACGGAGGGTGTTCATGCGCTTTAACAGACTGTATTAGCATCGTGCTCTGGGGTTAGGGGGTAGAAATGGGGGGTATGGTGGGCATGTGCTGCGGGTGATATGCGCAGTGGGAAAGGAACAGCTGTTCAAGCTACCCCGCCAGACAGGGGTGCTCAGGGAGACTCACCTCCTTAATACGATCCATTTTGAAATAATCAACAGAGAAAGACGAAATATGTATGGGTTGAAAGGAAGAAAAGGCTTTCGCTCAGCGAGCCAGAATAGTTGAGATGAGTTGGCGGGGTTGGTGGTTTGGGGAAGGAAGAATAGTTGCTGACTACTATTTACAAGTTTACCTTACCACCAGGCACCCTTTCCTTTATTTTACTGCTCTTTACTGCTCTTTACGCCGTACCGTACACGACAGTCGCCCCGCTGGTCCGTTCGACCAATCACCGCCTCCCGATCACCGCGTCTCCACGGGCAACCGCTTCCCGACAACAATTGCTCCCATCTAGAACTCGTCCCAACCGCGTCTTCAATTCACCGTCTTTTCGAGATTTGCATGTGTATCCACAATCACCATCCGCCACAATGTTGGCTCTACGTGACCAGGAAAATCTGGTGAACACCCACCAGACGACCGCCGCCAACAAGCCTTTGAACCAAGGATCCAAGCCGCTAGCTCCCAAGACTCCCGGCAAGAAAGTGCGCCTCAATGACGAGAACAACACCATCGGATTTGGAAAGCAGACAGTAAAGGGAAATGGAAAACTGGGCAAGGATGCGTTCGTGACGCCTATGGGTATGCCAACCTGGAGGGATTAGAAAGACCCAAGAAGACTTGTCTAATCCGAGTATGGAACTGACGAGTTGCTTCACTAGACACAAAGAACCGAGCTCCTTTGGGTAATAAGACAACCAACCTCAAAGCGAAAGGTCTTCAGACACCGGCCCCGTTCGGCGGAACGTTGAAACCCGAGAGAACCAACCGGAGAGCTTCTTCCCAGAAAGTCAAGAAGGCTGCCCCAGTCACTCAGCAATCCCAGACCAAAGTTCATCTTGATGTGGCCCAAGATGATGTGGCGGATATTGAATATATGCCCCCAAAGCCTCGAGGTATGACCTCAAAATGTAAAGTGAATAGCTTACTCCAATGGTTGCTAACGTGTTTTAGATCTCCCGGACATCCCAGATGATATTGCCTACGACACCACATACCCTCAGTTCCGGCCTCGAAACCGGGCTTTGGGACTGGAGAGCGTTTACGGGCGACAAGAAGTCGGCAGCGACGGCCTAACACGGAAGCAGCGCAAATTCAAAGAGGACTCCGCCAAGTGTGACAAGATGGTCGACGAGATGATCATGAGACAACTCGATGGCATTAGTTTCAACGAGCAGAGCGAAGACGAGGCCATTATGCCGTCGGCTCCAGCACCGCTAGTACGAACCAATCGTCCGAGTGTACCATCCACAAATGCCAGACCTTCGCGAAGCATTTCTACACTCCGTTCTCATGAGGCGGCGGCTGCCTTGTCTGCACCAAAGACCAGATCTGTTTCGGCCAGACTGGCTGCGGCTCCTAAGCCTAGCTTAGCATCGTCCCTGCTGATGCCCAAGAAGAAGGTCCGCGTGCCGACTAACCCATCATCCATGCGAAATGCCGCAGCCGCAGTGAACTCCAACACTACTATGGGCTACTCAAAGGGCCGTAGCGTCTCGTCTACTCTGCGGGAAAATGAACTCAACTCCAAGCCTAGCGCTGTGTCACCCGAAACCTATCTAGAGCTTTACGGACCACCTCCCCTGGGATCGGCCATGTGGACTCGGTGCAAAGCTGCTGGCTTCTTCGACGCGGATGAGAATGCTGGACAGGAGCTCCAAGATTCCCTCCCCACATTTGCCGAGGATGAAGAAGCTTCCAGCTTCCAGCTTACGCTGTAGGCGTCACACCGCCTTTGATTTTGTTGCATAGTTTATTGAACCGATCACTTTCACATGATTCCTACGATGTATTTTTTTCACATTTTTTTTTCGGTGTTTGTATTTGCTTACTGGGGACTGGAGTGTCTACAATTGGGATCATCGGCAGGTTGGAAAGGGGGTTATTATCGGCGTATCATATGGCAATTGAAGGTCTTCGGCTCGACCGCGGATCAGCCTGTTTCAGGGCCACCCCACTTCAATGACGATCGCTCTTTGCATAGCCAGGCGAGAGCGCACGAATAACTTTGCCGAACAAGGCAGAATATTTCCACTCTGATTGAACGTCATCTTCAGGAGCCCGAGCTGCCCGAGGACCCTGCATATTAATTAGAGTGGCCGTGGTAGACGGTAGAAGTACTAATTTGCCCCCCTCAGGCTCAGGTACGGGTCCAAAGTAAACTAAAAGTAAACTTCCAAGGTTGTATACGTAGTCTCTCCCCCCGAAACGCACGGAGCACACACCCACTTCACACTTTCACCGCCCCTGGAACTGCCACCATATTATTTACACCTGGGGCTCTCCTTTTTACCTTCCCATCCCTCTCAAGTTGACACCTTGCAGCAATGACGACCATCCACCCGGAGTCCACTGAGGACTTCGAGTTCATCGTGACACCGGATGCTCCTCAGCAGAGCAAGCCCGAGTTCGATTGTGGTGTTCCAACCACCCTGGTAGGTAGCTACATAGCTCAAAAACACCTTGATTACACCTATTTCTTGACCCCAATTCTAACTTATTATTGATAGTACCCGGCTATTAAGAATGCCCCCGTTCCCGCTGACTCGCCTGGCAGTGACAGCTTCTCCAATGGCTTGATGATCGCTCTCCTCGTGATCGTGCCCTGGTGGCTGGCTCGTCAGGTTGGTGGAGGATTCTACACCACCATCTTCTTTGCGATCTTCACCTCTGTCCCTGTCCTCGTGGCTTTCTGGAGCGTCTCTTCTTCTATCTCTCCCCGCAAGACCGAGAAGGCCAAGTACTGCGGCCGTCCCGTCGAATACTACCTGAACTTCCACAGCGAGCATGACCGTGCCACCTACCGTGGCAAGAGCAAGATCCCCATGGAGGTCTTCTACGAGAAGTACTTCAACAGCGAGGTTGACTTCAAGGTTGATGCTCTTGAGGCTCTTGAGTACCGTCACGATTGGGCCAACTTCAAGTTCACCGTTGGTCTGTTCAAGCACTTCCTGTTTGGCTTCATCCCTGAGATGCTGCTGCACACTCGTTCCCAGGGTAAGTTTTCTCAACTGTTTGATCTGAATTGGAAATCGCGTTTGATTCTAACCTTTCAATCTAGACGAGGAGCAAGTCCGCGACCACTACGACCGAGGTGATGACTTCTACGCTTGGTTCCTTGGCCCCCGCATGATTTACACCTCCGGTATTATCAGTGACATCAACCGCGAAGAGTCCTTGGAGGAGCTGCAAGACAACAAGTTGGCCGTTGTTTGCGAAAAGATTGGCATTCAGCCCGGTGATAAGATGCTTGACCTCGGCTGTGGTTGGGGTACCCTCGCTAAGTACGCTTCGGTCCACTATGGCGCTGAGGTTACTGGTATCACTCTTGGTCGCAACCAGACTGCTTGGGGTAACAATGGTCTCCGCAAGGCTGGCATTGAGGAATCTCAGAGCCGTATCGTTTGCTCCGATTACCGCGATTCTCCCCGTGTTGAGGGCGGCTACCAAAAGATCACCTGTCTCGAGATGGCCGAGCACGTCGGTGTCCGCCATTTCTCTACCTTCTTGTCCCAGGTTTACGACATGCTTGAGGATGATGGTGTTTTCTTCCTCCAGATCGCTGGTCTCCGCAAGTCTTGGCAGTACGAGGATCTCATCTGGGGTCTTTTCATGAACAAGTACATTTTCCCCGGTGCTGATGCTTCTACCCCTCTTGGCTTCGTCGTCGACCGTCTCGAGGGCGCTGGCTTTGAGATCAAGGGTGTTGACACCATTGGTGTCCACTACTCTGCCACTCTCTGGCGCTGGTACCGAAACTGGATGGGCAACAAGGACAAGGTTGAGGCCAAGTACGGAAAGCGGTGGTTCCGCATCTGGGAGTACTTCCTTGCTTCTTCTACCATCACCTCCCGCCAGGGTGGTGCTACCTGCTGGCAGCTTACCCTCGTCAAGAACATCAACTCCACCCACCGTGTTGAGGGTATCCACAACCAGTTTGCTCTCACCGGCGCTCGCCAGGCTGCCATTGACCGCGCCAACGGCACTCTGCCCAAGGCCCACGTCATCAAGAAGGACCTGTAAATCATTTACCAGCGTCCGTTCTCTTTGGCCCGTTGATTTTATTTAGTCTTTATTAGGCTACATTGAATCTGCAGGGCACATCAATCGTTTCGGAACCAATGCGGTGTACTTTTTCGATTGCACAGCGCCAGCGGCTACGAACATAGAATTATCTTGACACGCATGATATGAGTATGAATTTTGAAGTTGATAGACCGAGAAAAAGTTTTTGGGAATTGGCGATAGGGCCCGTGGATCAAGATCAGGCCTGGGGCCAATCAGTTTATGTGCTATATGCTTATTTTCCATGACCCCTTCCTGAGGTCTTAATTGAATCTCACGTCTTTTTTGTGACTCTTATCTTCATGAAAATTATCAATTGATAGTAGACAGTCCCCAGCTGCATGTGGAGGCAAGCATGCGGGGAATGTTGGTAAATCCAGTGATATTATTCGCTTTAAAAAAGCTTTGTCCCTTTCAATTAGGCGATCGCGTCCTAGTACTAGTTATGACTAAAAAAATATGTACATAGCCAATCGGAGCTGTGTCGTACTGAACTTTTGCCCAACATTGAAGGCGAGCTTGCGTAATCCCCATTAGAATTGGGTATCCTCTGTTTGAGGGTCAATTGCCCAATACCAGTAAGTCCTCCTGCCTGCACATGCACGAGTGCAGCTGATGCCTTGACAAGTGGACTCCAAAGCTTGACGGGCAATTCCAATAATCTCAGTCAAATCAAGGATGTCATGGAGCACCATAGTAAAATGTTATGTTTCTTCTCAAGATATTCAAGCACAACCTCGACTGTTTTTGCTAAGTCCTTGGCAAACATTCTGTACCCACCAGAATCCAGCCTGGCGCAAGTTGGTCATGATATGTCGACGAAGATGGATTAGAGACCCGCGGCATTGAATGTGAGCGAAATTAAATTATGTCTTGGAGCTCGATGCTTCCAGCGCATTTCCTTAAGTGCAAATTCCAAGTTTTGGACCCTTTCATATTTGTCTCTAGTACTTCCCATCAGTACTCCGGGTCATTGTAGGTTTGCCGTACTTCTCGTAATTCGAATGTTTTCCACGTCATGGGCCTAAGGAAGCACAGTAAGCATAGGCACCCTCAGATATGAAATGAGAGGCAGACAAGCTATCACAGTCTTCAGCAACCTTGGAAAGTTCTTCCAGACCCTTTCCCCCAAGGCTTGGGTTGCGAGATAGGAAATGAAAGTAAACAAAGACAAGCAGCACCTTTGGTATACATATGTCCTGATACATGACACTTCTCCCTTCTTAGACGACGCTTGAGGGACCAAGCGACTCGATCGTCGTCCTATTCACCCTGGGCAAACTTAACATTGTAGTCCGTTTGCAGGAATGCCTACACTAGTCCTTTTGTTGGCTCCGGTGCATTTCCATAGGCTTCGTAGACCGTCCCGCTGACCTGTCACTCAACTTGGGGTTCGGACGGTCTTGCTGCAGGACTTCCAGTGCCAAGTATACAATATCACGAACATCGAAGTCGACCGCACGGCGATGGCGGTCTGCTTGCTTTTTTTGTTGTGCTTGTCCGAATGTAAAATTGAATATGGCTCATGAGCGAGCACTTTTCTTGAAATCGGATGCCGGCTACCACTCATCCTCTGTTGTTGGAAGCGTCTTTCTCATCGGTGCTCCCGTTCCTGAGCTTCCCCATTTCCCATACAGTGCCCAGAAAACCCAGCAAAGGAGAGTAAGAAAGCCCAAGAACCAACATCGTAGTTCCAGGTGTACAGAGAGCAACGGGAGAGGAAGAGGCGATGAACACGCAGTTCCCACAGAACCCCGTAGGGAGGATGTAAAGTCTCTCTATTTTGTCACGACTGGCCCAGGCGACTGGAGCTCCATGGTATGTGAACAAGTTTTATCAACACGAAGCGCAAGAGGGACATAGAACGTGCAGTCGAATACTTGTTGCGCCCCTCGTCATCGCTTGGAAGCTGTGAGCTATGTCTTCTCTAGGTACCCGCAAATAACATCTGCTTCTTTCAAATTTTGATGGGTGCAGCACTTGAGGGCCAGCGAGCCCACAAGAGAAGTATCCGATCCAGCATGCGGTAAAGCAGAGGTTTAGATCTGGGGGCACGGGACGCGAGTAGGCGAGGTCTTTCTGCTTAAAATACATTAACTCAGTAACCCATAGCCTCGACGAACTGGAGGCTTTGACTCACTCGAAGGCATAAAAGCTGCGAGTCAACTCCTCTGCACGTAGTCCATACCAAGAATGTTTGCATGTGTTCTTGAGTGGTGGGAGTGGGAAGCTGGAAGTTTTCTCCCGCAGAAACATTGAATTTGATCAAACCTTCCAAGGTTGGGGTTTAATATTGGAGAGACCCACATGATATCTTCAAGGCCCGAAGAGAGACCCTATATATCTAGTATTTATAGATATAGATAGATAGAGTATGTGATGTCTGATGACCGAGATTGATGAGACCGTTCGAAATGATGATGATTCAAAGAATTGTCGCGTCGGTCAAGGATCAGGCTCGTCTGCCCACATGTGCAGGTGTATGGAGATGGGGATTGAAGAGTTATCACCGGACATCAAGAGACTTTGGAGAGCGTTTTGTTGAATCTTTTTGAACCATTTGAAGCTCAAATCGTGGTATATAATTAACTATCAGTTGTTGTCTCTGTCAAAGAAAGATGTTGCTGTTGGTGGGGTATTTATAGTGCAGAACCGAGGAAAGACAAACATCTACGGAATTTTGGAACTTGCCGGAAAGTTGTGACATCAGAGAACTCGATGGCAGGTGCCGGCTTCAAGAGTTAGATGGCTTCATTCCCGAGCTTCTCAGGTGCATACTAGTAGCACTGGCTGCTCTGGCGGAGAGATGGAATTATTCCCTTTAATCGCAAGGAATGTAGATACCTTGATTTTAGAAGTATTGAGCCCCCCCCGGGATAAACATCTACTAACATTGAATACCTGGCAGTCGACTTGGGACTGTGCACTTGTGAGCATCTCTGTTGAATCTAGATTTGGAACGTCTACACGGGTGCAAGCTGGGAATAATTTGCACATTCTTCCGGGGTGTTATAGCAGTGTATTTCCAAGCATGGCACTTAAGCCGAGGCTATGTAGCAACAATTTCAAGATTTCAAAAACAAACCCATTCTCTAAACACAGATCAACCGAGTCGTTAAGCCGTAATCATGTCAAGACATGGCTGCCTAAGCCCAATGTTTCAGAGCATATGCAGTTGAATATAGTCAATCTACTTGATTCGCGTGACCTCAAGTTCATCCTACGCAAACACTGTTAGTGACCCGAAAACAGATTCTCAGAACGAAAACATACCTCAAACTCGCCAGGCATAATCAAACCCTTGACAGCCCAGCTTTCCACCCCAGCATGCTGGCGCACATACTCACGATATTTCGGAGCTCCGGGCCTCAAAACATTATCCGCCACCACCAAAGCGCCCGATTTCAAAAGACCCAGCTCCTCACAAAGCCGCAGATCCGGCGTATAAAGCTCCTCGTCATGATCCAAGAACAAGAAATCAATGCTACTCAGCTTTCCCTCCGCCTGGAGCCTCTTCAGCGAATCCGCCGCAGACCCCACAACAACCTTCACAACATCACTCAAGCCAGCAAGCTCAATCAGGTTCATCGCAATCGACGCAATAACCGGATCAAACTCCAGACTCCAAAGCCGGACCTCCTGGCCCGGTGCAGCAGCCTGCCGCATAGCGTCTCCAAACGAGATCGCAGAGTACCCCACATACCCGCCTAGCTCAACAAGCACAGCAGGCTTCTCGCTCTTGATAAGATCATGCACCTTCTGACCCTTGTCACTGCCGATGTTGATGAGGAAATCCTCTTGTCCGGCGAACTCGTCCATCACGGCACAGATGGCGGCGGGTGAGCCGCGCAGCTGCTCCAGCGAGGGGTGGTTGTAGATGTGTTTTAGGAGGACGGCCTCGCGGCCATCGTGGGACTCGACGTAGTCGTCGCTGCCGTCGAATTTGGCCAGTGATGGGTACTTGGCGAGGAGTTCGGGGCTGCGGCCGGACATTTTTGGAATTGTGGGTGGAGTGCGGAGGCGAAGTAGATTGGGGAAGTAAGTTTGGGACGATTGGGGGGCGCTCAATCCCATTTATAGTCCCGGGTTTTGGAGCTAGCATTCATTCGGATGAATTTTGGGCCGTGTCTAGACGGTGCTTTGCTTCTATTGGAAGCTTGTCGGATTCCGTGTTTCTCGCTCCGGCTTGCTTGGTTGGGATTGCATTGTGGTGTACCGTGTAAGCGTGGGTTTTTTTTCTTTAGATCGGGACCCCACACTGCTTGTTTAGTTGGAGAGCAAAATCTAGTTTCGTGTACCCACCTTTCTGTCCATTGCTTTGTAACCCTGTGTTTTCAAAGTTTAGAATGTTTGAAGGCATGATTCATGTCTATGAACAATAGTATTATTCTTTCGAGAATATTTAACCATGGGCATTCTAAACTTCTAAAGTTAAGATTGCACGTGAGGGGTAAACTCGTGGAGCTTCGAAGTACTGACCTGCACGTGGGTCATTGTGAGGTAGCACCAACCCTTCCAAGACCCCAAGCACAAAAGTAAGACGTGATTCAATAGGCTGTAGCTGGTCACCTGAAGTTTCACATTTCCAAGGCTCCACACTTCACTCGTTCCTATCATACGGTCTCATTGTAGGTCCCTGCCACTTGTGCCGTCCACGAACAAGCCAATCAACACAGGCAAACAACATAATAAATCCAAGCACAGGTCCTGCATAGTTCATGTTTTCCGCAGTAACCGGTAGTGTTGCAGGGAAAGGGAGGAATATTGAAAAATAAGTAGCGAAGAGAATGGCAAGAAGATTCATGGGGAGGCCAAATTTCCCCAGAGTGAATGTACCCTTTGGGATATCATGAGGTGCCATGAAGCGCTTCATGACAAGCAGGACGAGAGGAATAAGATAAGAGATATACAAGCCGAGCGTGCTGAGCGAGAGAATAGCGTTGAACGCAGCCGTCGACCCGATCTGGATGAACGAGAGAGCAAACATGCAGGATGCAACTAGGGACAGTGCACGGAGAGGAATCTTGTAGACTGGGTCAATGACGGCAAAGAAGTCGGAGAAGGGAAGCCCATTGTCTCGAGCAAAAGCCCAGGTGAGACGCGTAACGGAGGCAAGCCCGTTGAAGAGCGCAATCCAACCCGGAAGCATGCCCAGAGCCATGAGGACACAACTGGCTGCTATCGAGCCGGTTGCTTGATAGGCAATGGTGATGATGGGGTAGCCTGTTGCGCTGAGGACGGCTTCGGTATAGTTACCCATGCAGTAGAGGACGGCGACCAGGTAGCCGAAGGCGAGAACACCATTGATCAAAGTTCCATAGATCATGGAGCGAGGAACGACGAATTTTGCGTTTTTCACTTCTTCGGCCATGTGGATTACGCCATCGACGCCTGTCAATTAGGTTAGATTGTGAGATTGTGAAACATTCTACATCTCTGACAATAGGCCTTCGATATGGAGAGACGTACCAGCAAGGGGGGTGATAACACCAAGAAGGCCGACGGAGAATACAACTCCAGAATCCTTCCAGCCACTCAATCCACCGACAAATGTATCCCAGACGAACGAGTCGGGGTTTCGAGGGGCAAGTACAACAAAGACGGCGATGGTGACGGGTAAGAAGACAACATGCATGATACCCGCCGCCACCTCGATGCCTCCAAGAACACGACGAGCAAATATATTTATGATGATGGGGATGATTGCAACTGCCCACATGAGCAGCGTACCACGCCACCTCTCAAGCTCATACTCGGGGTACGCCAGCACAACCATGCCCTGGATCTGGGTTCCGATGAAATATGGTGCAATGCAGACGAGAGCAGACCAGGAGAAGACGGTGACCCAACCTGATGATGTTTAGCATTCGAGTATCAGTCTAGAAGCGAGGCGGATAACCGAGCACGTGAGGGCTTACCCTGGAAGAAGCTTATGAATCGACGGCCGCGAGGAGCGAGAAAATAGCTCCAGTGATATTGAGCACCTGCCGTGGGATGTCTGTCGAATTTGAGGTTAGCATTGGTTCATGGAGATCGATTTCGTGCACGTACAGAGAGGCTAATTCGGCTAACGAGCACGCGATCGCCAGATTACCCACGGTACTCAAGATTATTCCATAAACAATCGCTGCAGGGCCGCCATTGTACAGGCCTGCGAGCAAGCTGCCGCCAGCGGATTCCCAAGTGGCAAGCAAGCAAGTGGAGAATGCGACGGACGAGAAGAAGTTGAGGTATCTCTGGTGAACAGTTATTATGTGTCCCTAACAATTGAAGAATGGAGGATTTTTTACCTCCATGTGCTGTTTTTCGCGCAACGTAACACTCTCATAGGCATTATGCCCACTCCCTGCTGGCCCCGAACGCACAGTTCCTCCGCTCTTTAATTCCACTTCGTCCTGCATATTTTGCATATTGAAACATGAATAAGGATAGGAGAATCAGAAGAAAAAAAATCGACAAAAAAAATCGACCGTCCGTCCTGAAGATAGCAAGAAGTACTTTGGCCTCTTCATTTGCCTCCTTTTTCCCCTTCAACACAGGCTAGACAGGGATCTTGATTGCGCAATGAATGCGAAACGAATAGTCGATACCTCGGACGCGAGGTATTGCGCCGCATTGAAATGATTCTGCTCGCTTCGGCGCAGAATCCTTGTCATTCACATTCTAGTGGCAAGACCGGTGCAACCTAGTGCTTTTTAGGGCTGCCGAAAGCTGCACTGGAGCGGGCTATCAGGAGATTTTCCCACGCGGCCTCGAAGCGAGCGGGGAAATGCATGCAACATCTATTTTGCTGTAGGATCGACAGTCTTCACGTCTGAAGCAGGCAAAATTAATTCACATATAGATTGAAAAGTGAGATCTTTATTGAATTTCTTTCTTTGTGAGCTTACAGTTCAAGAGCCGTTCGCAAATAGCGTTTAGTAAGGTTAATGGGGTGATCCTCTTTAAACTCGGCCCCACGATTTCCGCTTTGTCCTGGACCGTATGCCTAATGAGGTTGTGGGGCAAATCCCGGAAATTATTTTAATCTAATAATTAATATAATGTCTTGGTCCTGTCGGACTTAGTCTAACACTATGGCCTTGTTGGATTTATCCGGTGGCAGGATAGTATTCGTACCCTGCACCAATGGGCATGCGATGGTGCCACGCAAAATGGACGCCACCTGGGCACCTTTATGCGGCCCCTGGACAGTTAGTAGGGATTGAGTTCAAACAAACAACAAGGATTGTAAAGTCCCAACAGCGAGAGAATGGAGGACCAGGGGTGTGAAAAAAGAACTGTTTTTCGTATATACTGGCACCCACCTCGGCAAGGTCTCAATGTTGTAAACGAGATCATGATGCGATGGCCGACCAAACGAATGCCTTTGAGGCCCTGTCAAGCGATAATCGCGGGGCTATCATAACCCTCACCTCGGTGTCCCTTTTGATTGTTGCCATCATCTTTGTCCTCGCGAAGTTCGGCTCGGCCATTTATTTCAAGCAGCGACGGACAGCGGTCAATACTCCCATTTGGCTCGCTTTGATTCTGGCGATTATTCAAGTTGTGGTTTTACAGAAGGCGGTTTACCATGGACTGGGAAGACATCAGGACCAGTTGAGCGAAGGCGATATCCAAGCCTGGAGCAAGTTAGCCTTCACGGCCCATCTTCTTCTAATCGTCGTCCTGTCGTTTTCCAAAATATCGACAATTCTACTGGTTTGGAAATTGACACCAAGCAAGGGTCTGCGCCGCAGTTGCTTAATCACCGCTGGGATAGTTGTTGGGTGGTCGATTTTTGCGTTGCTGAGTATAGGCTTCCAGTGTGATTTGCCCGATGCGTGGCTATACTCTCCGGAGCGATGTGTTAGAAAGGTCAGTATGCCAGTGTATGCCATGAAGCTGGACCATCAATGACTAATATCCCATCTGATTCTAACCAGGGAGCCTTATTTTACCCGATTGCTGTGTTCAACATCCTCACGGAGATAATTATTGTTGTCCAGCCGTTCATGATGATGCGGAACGTCCAGATGGCCTCACACAGGCGGGTGAAGATCCTGTGCTCCTTTTCATCACGATTATGGTACCTCAGCACGAACCCCAAGACTTATGCCAAATTCCAAATTATCATGTCAAACACTGACCCACCACAGCATAGTAGGCCTTGGAATTGCTCACCTTGCCCTCATACCTTCATTCGTCCACTCAACGGACGTATCCTGTCCGTAATACCCTGATTCCTTTCGAACCCCCCAACACCTTATTGAACCAATCTGACAAATTCATCAGGGGACATAGTCAACTGGGAAGCAGTCGGCCAAGCAATGATGCTCACAACAGTCGCCATCGCTTGCGTCCCAACGCTTTACCATATCTTTGCCGGCCTTCACTCAGGCCTGACCACCACCCAGATTCCCGATGGCATCGGGCTTGAGCTCCCGCCGACCAAGGCCAGCGGATATATCAATCAATCTTCCTCAGGGGTAAGTCAGTCGAATTCGAAATCTCAGTCACAATCGCGAGAACGGATCAAAAGAAATGGACGGTCAATATTTAATGGGTGGGGGAGTGAGATCGGGGTTATAACTGAGGTTTCCTCGGGCCAGGATTTGAATCAAAATGGCGAGGGTGGTAGGCAGTCTAGCTCGAGTGAAGGGGCGGAGAGTACGCGTCGTTTGACGCATGAGCTTCAAGGGAAGGCAGCCGTGCTGAGAACGGTGGATGTGACGGTGGAAATCGAGGAGCATTATCACGAGGACCGCGTTTCAGAGTGAAGGGCCTCATGTTCGACAAAAATGGTGCATTGTCGGGGGAATGCTTTTCGTTGGTAGATCGCCTTGTCCAAATAAACAGCTGAAAATGATAATCATACTAGTATAAATGGCTCGATTTTTTAGAGTATGGTAGTTTGGAGGCTATTTGTTTTGAGTACTTACTGTGATTTCCTTGATACCACACCGCTTTTCCAGATTTCCACACGCAGCTTTGAAGATTTGCTGGGTTACGCGCGCTCTTGATCTGCCAAGACCAATCAAATGTGAGGAATTCTCATGGAAATTAAAAATAGACGTGGCATTAAATCCAGATAACAAATAGTAACTCGTCAACTTCAGCCACATTTCCTGAATTTCTTTTTTTTTTAGTCAATAGCTAAAGTAGAACCCGGAGATTAAACCGTCTTTCACTGTTATGATTACGGTGAGAAGAAATTTAGGAGTTATGTATTGTCGTTACGTGCTATCATGGTTGTCATCTTCTCGACGTCGCTATACATTGCGGCACCAAGTTTCAATATGACTCGTCAGTCAAAAATTGCATTGTGATTTGATTACGTCCAAGTCCAACCGTACTAATCAAAACATTTGTGTCTCCAAAGATTCAAACCAAACACGAACAAACGAAACAAACATGATGAAATTGGTATTGAATGCGCGCTGCCTAACAAGTTGACAACCTGTCAAGGTTTTTTTACCTTCATGGCACAGCCTCGCAGGCTTATTGGATTTTCTGTACAAAATATCGGAGGTTCCGGCTGAATCGTCAGTTTTTTCTCTCTCTCTGAATGGTCATTCTAAATCATATTTGTTCATCTGTAATGTAAAATTTGTTCTTATAAAAGCATGCGTAAATGTAATCGTATGTCAAGTTGTCAACTGTAAATGAGCAAAATCTGGCTAAAGGATGCGTAGAATATCAAACAGAACCAGAAACAGGGAGAATGAGCTGGGAAAGTCCACCAGCAACATTAATGGTATGCGTCTGAGGAACGATCTTGTCACTGCGCACACGATCTTCTTCAGTTCCCAAGCTTCGCGCATACATTGGGAATGAGCCACCAGCGACAACCAGTCGAATCTGTGTACCCGCTTTGAATTGATGAGCGCAGTCCACTAGATCCAGATGAAGAGGCTGCGACATATCGCGCTTAGGGTCGAGTGCCTGGTACACCTCGCAAACATTATGAGAAACGCCATTGCCATCGACCTCGCTGAGATGCAGGAACAAATCTGCAAAGGGCGGGTCGCTTGAGTGTGAAAGTTGGACGGACGGCGCGCCAAGAACATCCAGGTCTTCCACGAGAGGCTTAGTCGTAAAGGCCAGAACATCTGATCTGGTGTCGTAAATGCTGTCGTCCACTCGTCCACCAGACATCTGATTGCCACCCAAGCTGGGGGTTGGATTTAAAGGATCAAAGACAAAGGACGTCGGGGCTGCATCTTGTGCAGGTTTCTCCGAGTCGAGTTCGATGGAGTCTTGTAGATATAGGGTTTTCGAGTCGGTGTTCGGGGGCCAGGTAGGCATCTCGCGCCACTCTTCGGCGCCAGTGACGAATATGCGAGCGCGAGACCGGCCGTACTTTCCATTCTTGGCGACGTGTTCTCCAAAGAAGTCCAAGATCTCGGGAATGGAACGCAATCCGCACCCTTGCATATGGGTCCAAGGACCGATCACAAGGTTGACATTGACACCCCGTTCAAATAGCTGCTTGTATTGCTGCAGAGTCTGCTTCTCAAAGGGATCATACCAGCCACTCACCAACAAAATAGGAATATTCACACGCTCAAGAGCAGACACCTGCCGCCTCTCTTCCCAATAGGCATCATTCACATCCGGATGCACCAGGTACTCAAAGAGCCAAGGGGCCCTCTCTTTAAAGTATTCCTTCAGATTGGATTCCAGCGGCAAGGTCGCAACCACCTTCTCTAGTTCCGAAGTCGCCAAGAAACTCAGGCCAGGTAACTTCGACAAACGCTCAAGAAAGCCCCCGCGCTCCTCATCTCCACGAGACATCATATCACCCCACGATGCACGATCCAGACGGAAAGCCCCCGTGCCCCACGTATACATGCCGCTGTCATGAAGTCCAACGGGAATGACCGCAGCCACACAGTCCGCAGGCGGATCTTGCAAAAGCGCCCATTGGCTGTAGCCCAGGTACGAGGCTCCCATCGTCGCAAATGTACCAGGGTACCAGGGTTGCTGGCGCATCCACTTGACGATATCCTGACTATCGCTTCTCTCCTGCACTCCGGGGCGGAAGATACCCTCAGAGCCGTGGGTGCCGCGTGTGCTGACGAAAAGCGCTCGGTAGCCCCGAGCGACGAAGACGCGCGAGTTGAGAAAGGAGATACCCGAGCCTCGACCGTAGCAGCATTGGGTCATGATCAGGCCCAGTGGCTCCTGGCCGGCGGGAAGCTCTGGATCGTAGAAGTCGGCGGCGAGCTTCACTCCGTCTGACATGGGAATCTGGACGGCTTGTGTTGTGTAGCTGCATTGTTCTGGGCCTGCGCCTACATAGCGTGATCCGATATAATCAAGGGTGGCTCCTGCAAAGCCACGCTTTATGGGCTCTCCTGCCATCGTGGTCTTCTATTTGATTGTTGTAAGTGGGAGGTGAAATGCTAGTTGTGCGTAGGTCTATTCAATACTGTTGGGACGCGATTCGTGGTGTTCCCAACAAGGTAGATCTTCAAATATATGTAGCTGGTGTAGGTCCCTTTCGGCCAACTTGCAATGAGAGGTGACTATTCGGTATACCGTATGTAGCGTCGATAACACTAACGGAGGTAGTAGATTGCCAGAGCTAGGCAAAACGTGGGACTTGGAGCAAGAATCTGGGAGCGCACGGAGCACATAAGCTTGTGATATCCGGTTGATGCCCCGCACGCCGATCCACCCGGATGCGCAGTCAGCCGGGCAGCCGAATGTCACTTTTTTAATCAAGGGATATTCTGCGAGAAAGAATTGGCAACATATGGAAAAGAGAGACAGGAGGCAAACCTTGGAAGTTTTATGTATGGATGAAATCAAGGATCTAGCTATAAATCCCAGAGATTCACATATGATTCAAGGCTGAGATATTTTGAAAGGGAATAGGCAAAATTTACTACACGTACTGTAAAATAGGATCTTAAAGATCTGGAAATCACCGAAAGAGCATATTGCATTATTGCTCTTGATAGCTTATCCAATATTCAGAAATGAAGCTCACACGAGGCTGTAATTCCTTCTTGTTGTCTTCTCATTCATTAATCATGATTCAAATTTGAGGTTCTCTATATCAAGCCCTGACTCGGATCATGGATGCCGAGATGTGGATACCGGTAAAACTGAACAACACCATAAGTTATAACCTAAATATCAAAACGTATCAAATTGAACGGCCTCAACGGGGATGATATCAATGACAAACCACTTTAGCCAGAATCCAGCTTTACCCGCACGTTATAGTCCCCAAACTTCACCCTTGGACCCTTTTTTACGCGAGCTGATACGAACTGCTTCATGTTGTTCATCTTCATGATTGGGCCATTCCGAGGTCAGTGATCCATCTGTGTCAAATTAGGGAATTCCTGATTTGATACTCAATATTCAGGCCCCTACATAGTGGGCTTTTTTTTAAAAGTCTTTGGCAGGCAGGCCCACAAATCATCGTATCATGCAAGGGCGTCTAAGTAGTACATTGTAGGCACACGGACTAGTCTCCCTATCCATTAGTGAGTGCAACTGCATTTTCACGTTGCGTCTTTTGTTTTTTCTTTCCCCCTTTTCTCTTTCTTTTTTTTCCCTACGGCACCTTAACAGTTTTGTATATACGTGTACATCTTGGTGGCTTTTATATTCTTTTTCTAAACCCCCTTACTTCCGCCGCTGCCTTTCGTCAGCATGGCAGCTGGAGCTACCGCAATAAGTGGAGATCTGCCTGACTACTCAGGCTATACGGGTATCCCAGGAGAAAGCGATACTACTACTACTTCGACAATGCCTTATTCCTATGATTCATCTATCACATCCACATCACTTGAAACCGATGTATCTGCCGCAAGCTACTCCTCTGCTATAGGCGCCAATAATGGTCTTATGGCCGGTACTTCCATCGAAAATACATCTTCTACCTCAGGTAGTGCATTTGTTCAGCCGACAACGTCACCCATCCAAATCGATTTGCCCAAATCAGGCGGACTTTCTGCTGGCGCATCCGCCGGCATTGGGGTTGGAGTTGCACTAGGCGTGCTTGTGCTTGTGTTGATAGCCTTTATCGCCTATAGGCGTAGACGAAAGCATCAACAGGCTGATAACGACATCCCGGTCATATCAGAGCTTGGAAGCCAAGGCCCAAAGCTTGAATCATTGTCAGGAGGATCAAGGTTAGAGAGTCTTGGCGTCGATGATAATAACGTCCGCGTTGTACCGGAACTTGGAAGCGATGGTCAAAAGATTGAACTATCGGCGGGAGGATCGAGACGAGGAAGAAGTGGCGTCTTTAAATATAAAGGCCACAATGATGATGTGCCGGAGTTGGAATGAGTTGATTTTTTCATAATCACATGGGTACGTCTTGACATCCCGCTGCCTGGCTAGCTTGGCTGAACTTGTCCTGACTTGCAAAATCCAGGTTACGATACCAAATGCATGACCTTCGTCAACGATGACAAAAGAATCTAATATGGGGCAAGGCGAATCGCTCTGCCGCGGGATGAATGTTTGTTGTCACACCCTTTTGTTCTTTCTGGGCTATTTTCATTTATTTTGTAAATCACAATTCCAAATACTGGTGGTGCTTCGTCGTTTTCAAATGTTCAAATGTTTGATCTCATCGGTCAGGAACCTGGAAATTCATAGGGGCTATGCATAGTTAAGAAGGCGCCGTTTATGCGTTTAATTGAGCAATTTGAATTAATTACCACAAATCGGCCAGCACTTTGTGAAGAGCATGATTTGGCTATTAGAAGGTAAAATCAACGATTTGAGAGTAAATCGAAATCACTGTGTTGCACAAAATGATGGTGGTTAAATCACTAGTAGGTCTTGATAGTTACTTGGGGTTATGGTGGGCATGTAATACATTTACTAGGTGCACGCAAGTTTTGTTAGGGGGAGGGGAAATCGGCCAATCGTGAACGGTCTTGGCATTCGGGAGCGCGCGTTGCACTTCTAATCTCAAAAAGCGCTGTGTCATTATCGATAAATCGCGTGGCAAAAGTTGAAGTCAAACCTTGGACTATTATAAGCATGAAAAACATCAAAAACATCAGAAACATCAGAAACATCAGAAAAATCAGAAACATCAGAAACATGCTCTCTAGTCTGCCTTTTTCTTTTGCAAAACAGCCTCTTTCTCTTCTTTTGGTGGAGATTCGTAAATGGAGGGCAAGCCGATTTTCCCTGTCGCGTGCTGCAAACTTGTTCAATGTTACTATACTATGGATGCTGGATATCCAAAATCTAATAAAGTATCAAGGACCAAAATCTCACAATCCTAGTATTACCCAAGACCCGAAGAATTTTTCCGATGAGAGTCAAAAAAAACCTTGTAAGCAACAATGCGAAAACAAAAATATCTACCGTAGTACTGCCCACCACTGCCCACCGTGAGAACTGACTCGGAATTATATAAATGGCCGAATTTGGCGTTCTACAATAAAGCCACCCAGAATGCACTTAAAGAAGCAAAGTCGTCCTGCAATGAGAATATCCATGTCGAATCAGAAGAGTAAATATGTGACCTTGGAAGTCTACACCCCCGGCAAGAATTGTCGCCTCTCTTACTATACTATTTTATTTATCTCTCAAGAATCAAGATACCGTTCTGGTTTGTTCTCCCGGTTTATCTCTCTCACTCCTATTATTTCCCTTCCAAGTTTAACCCACTATTCTCTTCCTAACCTTCAATCTCACTGGCTTCATATCATCTTTACCTGTTGGTTATTTACTTCTGACTTTGCTCATTTCCTCTTGTCATTCTTACCTACCATTTCTTTCTTTTCACAAGAAACCTCCTTTCGAAGGTTCCTGCTTCTGATCCTCCCTCCGACAGCCATCACAGACTCGGCATATCACCTGCTATCCAAAATTATTTTTGGACTTGTGGCTACTACTCTCGCCTTATATCGATATTTAATTCAATTCGGCGCACCTACCCCGCTCGAGATGCAACATGTTGAACGCAACAAGGTTTTCAGAGAAAGATTTCTTTACTCTCGCCTACCGCGATTCAGAGAGGTGGAAAAATCAACGACGCCTACAAATGTCTGGTGGAAGTGATACAATTCACCACTTGATGGACTCAGCACAGAGGCCTTCGAAAGCGTATAAACAGTTTGAATACGATCGGTCGTTGCCCCTGCTAACCTCCGGGGAACTTTCGCTCAGCAGAGACCACAGTTTGAGATCGATACAGCTGTTCGGTCCCAGGTTCAAGAACAGATCTTGGATGACACAGTGTATCGAGTCCGCTGTCGTGCACTGGATTGGCGCCTCCATAAATGCCTCACCTGGTTACTGAGCTACATCCTCATTATACGAGAGGAAGGTTGAAATGAAAGCTGCGATGGGAGGTTGAACTCACACACAAACATTGAATCACCCTAGGAGGAGAGCCAGGCTTACATCCGCAACATATCCCTGAATCAAGACATCCCTGAATCAAGAGATCCCTGATCCAAGACATCCCTGAATCCAATTCCTCGCTGACCGGAATGAAGGAGACAGGAAGGCCTATATTATCGGGGGATGGATGATGAGTGCTCCGTCCAACGAGAAAAGGCTATACCGCCGAGAAACATGGCTGTGCTTTTCCAGAAAATAATTGCAATTGAAGACGATGCAATGACAACATATGTTATGGCACATGATCAAGCATTATACCAGTTGACGAGCCGAATGTCCGTTTGTGTTTATCCTGATTCATATCTCGTTTTGCCTATTCATGGATTATTATGCGAGAAGATGATCATTTGGCATTACGGTCCAGTCCCCGCCGCAGATCGGCGTCTAAGCCGAGAGGCAAACATCTCATCTCACGAACCTCTCCCAAACCCAAACTCACTCACGCCAATCAATCGCGAGTTACCTCCAAGGGCACTTACTCAAAAACCGATGCCATGGCTACAGTGACTCCGAAAATTGTACATGGAGTCGTGAGTCATAAGCGTCAAGACCATACTAGGGTGCGGGGAAGGATCTAAATAGTACTAACTTGTCAGGATGGCTCGAGGCTCGAGCCGAGCCGCTATCCATGGATGATTTAGCCGATGATCGAGTGTGATCAATTGATAAATGAGATAAACAACGTCGATAGAGATTAACATTATACGGCACTAAAGAAAGGTTCCCCACATAGACCAGCCAAGTTCGGAGATCCCGATCTTCGTGAGTCATGACTTTATTTCAAACTTGGGGCTAAAAATGCTATCAGCAGTCGGGCGTCCGTCTCCAGCCCCGGATAAAGCTCCTTCGCCATTTCCATTATGATTACACAATTGGAGAACTACACAATCGATGTCCTAGATGGCACTTGGCACTGATGGTAGACTAGGAACCAGGATCACTGAGTCACAATCCAAATGGATTAGCCTCTTCCAAAAGTACCTTGTTCAGTGATTTACCCCACACTCGAGCACTCGAGTACTTATAGATCGCATCCTAGCTGCAGTTTTTTACAATTCACCAGAATAACCACTATTCAATTCCTCCAAAGCATTCAAGGCTACTACCACCCACTCAGTATCAGCTATCATATCTACATCAGCTCTTAGCCACCATAAACCCGATTCTGCGAACCAAGCCAAAATGTCTGCGTCCCCATTCACAGCCTCTCCCACATTCTCGATCCCCAGTGCCCGCCTGCACATCTCCTACTTCCTCCCGGACTCCCCCTCGCACAGCGCCTTCCTCGTCAAGCTATGGAACACCGACGAATTCATCAAGTCCTCCGGTCGCACCGGCATCGACACACCGGAAAAGGCCTCCAATTTCCTCCGCAACCGCGTCCACGCCGACTATGCCCGAAACAAGTACGGCATCTTCCTAGTCTCGCTCAAGCCGCACGAGGACGCATCTCTGGCCGAAAGCACCCCCATTGGCACAGTCTCCCTGATGAAGGGCGAGCCGCCCAATTCGTATCTGGCGCCCGATATTGGCTATGCGATTCTGCCCGAGGAAACCGGGAAGGGATATGCGACTGAGGCGGCGGTTACGTTGCTCGAGTATGCGCGGAAAGAACTCGGGATCGATTCGGCGTTCGGGTTCTGTGCTAGTGATGATGCCCACAGCGCGAGGGTGCTGGAGAAGATTGGGTTCGAATCGAGGGGAGAAAGGAAGTTGAGGGTTTTTGGGGGGAAGGAGAGTGCTGTTTTTGTGCTGCCTGGTATGAGCCGGGACTTGACGGTTTATGGCTTGGATGATTGAAGGAGAATTAGGATTTGGGAGACTGTAAATAGCTTAGGATGTCTGCAATACATTTATTCCATCACTATCTTTCATTGCTTATTGTGTTTCTTCCCGACCTTGAAATTGCATCACACCTTTAGAGTAAATTTACTCCACCATTATTGATTATTTAGCCTCGAAATTGAAATTCAACAGGATTCATTGGAATGACCTCGAGGGCATACTGTACGAATTTGAACTTTTCAACGTTCTTTTTGGGGTGGTGGTGACGCAATTCGTGCAAAATGGCGCAAAACAGGATGGCCAAAGATGATAATCGCTTTTTTTGCGCATTGCCTTGTATTCCTTTTGCTAGTAAAAGTCTTCATATGTCAATAACACAACCACCGTCTATTATTTCTGCTTTAAATAATTCATGTGAGCTCTTTATATCTAATTGATGACTCCTTGTAAGTATAAACTGATTTTAACTAAGAATGGTGGTGTAGAAAGGCAATAAAAACAAGGATCAAGTTATTGCTGGCCAGACATTTCGCCTCGGGCCTCTTGTAATATAATCTCCAGTCTTCAGCCAAAGAACTTGACTTTTCCTTTACTCCACCAAAAGTCTTTTTTTCTTCTTTCAAATTCAACCAGGTGGTAGCTAGTAGTCTAAAGATAATTCTGTAAGAAATTCGGTCTTTTCAGGAGCCTTTGGGGCTGGTGATGAAGCAATTCGTGCAAAATGGCGTAAAAAAGGATGGCCAAACTTGATTATCGCTTTTTTGTGCGCATTGCCTTGTATTCCTCTTGTTAGTAAAAATCTCTATATATCAATAACACCACCATCGTTTATTATTTCTTCTTTAAATAATTCATATAAGCTCTATATACTCAACTGCTGATTCTTTATAAGTTTTCGCTAATTTGAACTAATAATGGTGGTGTGGAAAGGAGTTAAAAACAACGATCAAGTTATTGCTGGGTAAACATTTCCCCTTGGGCCTCTCTCGATTACTATGTGGTTATCAACCGAAGAACTTAATTGTCGCTTTATTCCACCAGAATTGTTTGTTTTTCTTTCAAATTCAATATGGTAGTATTTAGTAGGCTAGAGAGTATTCTTTGAAAAATTGAGTCTCCCAAAGCTCTTTTTGGGGCGGTGATGAAGCAATATATTCAAAATGGCGCAAAAAAGGATGGTCAACAAGAATTATCGCTTTTTCTTGCGCATTGCTTAACATTCCTGTTGTTAGTAAAAAACTCCATATGATAATAAAACCACCACCTTTAATTATTTCTACTTCAAACAATTCTTGTGAACTAAGTGAGCTTGATATGTGATTATGTGAAAATATCAGCAGATTCTAATGAATAATGGTAGTGGGAAAAGGAATTCAAAAAGATGATACTGTTATTGCTGGCAAAACATTAATGATTTTTGGACCTTATCTATAGCTTAAGGGCTTTACAGATTCCTTACTTCGGTATTTTTTCTCGGAGTTCATCTTTACTGTGATCTTTACTGTGATCTTCACTGTGAATCTGTGATGACATATGAAAATGACGTCATGGTATATGGCCCCTGTGATGCTCACGTGTAACTTGCATCCATGGATGATGGATGTATCCGTGTTTTCTCTTCCTATTAATTGATCAAGATTCCCCTGTCAATATGCATGAGCCGATCATACCGAGGATAGCCTCCCTTCTGCAGAGGATAAAGCGACCGGCATGGACTCCCCGGTCACCACTCCGTTGTTCGTACAGTCCTAACGAGTGCAAACCCCGGATAGCTCGGCTGGTACCACGAAGAGAAGCTTCCTTCACAAAACAGAGATTAAACATAAATGGCAATCACTTCCCAGACGAAATCAGTCGGCTGAACTCCTTCAAGCAGCAGGTGTTTGATCAATCCATTGCGCTATCTCACAGTCGCATGAATGACTCGACTGAATTAAAGTGTGCATTGTTCAATGGCGATGGGTCCACGGTTTTCAAAGAGACCCTTCTCACAAAAGCCCAAGTGGCCCAGCAATATGGCATTGATGCTCGCGATTTAAGGAACGCGGATCTAGTCTCCGAAGGCATTCCCCATATCCTGGTCCGACCGTCTGCGATATTCGTCAGTGTTTTCACACTGCGACTTTTAATCCAATGCGACCGAGCGCTTCTCTTCCTTCTTGATTCAGAGACCGATGGCGTGAAAATGCAAGATGTGTTCGAGCACAATTTGCAAAGTAGAGTGAGAACCGAACAGGGCTCGGGACTTACGCCTGGCCTCCCTTTCGAATTACGCGTTGTGGATGCAGCCCTCGCATCTGTCACTGCAATTCTTGAAGCCGAACATTTAATCCTCAGCGATGAGGTTGAGAAGCGTCTCGAAGATTCCAAAAAGGAAGATACCGTCCACTTGGCTCTACGTGATCTGCTGGAGCATGGAAAGCGACTGATCACCATTGAGCAGCGGGCCCGCCAGGTCCGCTCTGCTCTTCAGGAACTTCTGAATAATGATGATGACCTTGCAACTATGTATTTGACAGATCGACAGGCGGGGAAACCACATGCCGTTGAAGATCACCAAGAAGTCGAATACTTGTTAGAAGCGTACTATAAAAATGCAGATGCCATAGCCGAATCTGCTAGTGCGCTTGTGGCCGAGGTCAACCGTACCGCCAGAGCCATAAAGTCGATTCTGGACGTTCGCCGAAATCAGATCATGATTTTCGAGGCTCATCTCGAGATTTGGATGCTAGGCTTTGCTGTTTCGACCTTTGTGGCTGGTCTCATTGGAATGAACGTGATCAATTTTATGGAAGAAATTCCTTATGCATTTGCATGGCTTGCATCGGGATGCGCTATAGCGACTCTACTCATCTCGAGAGTTGGTATGTGGCAGCTCAGAAAGTTTAGGAAAATGCGGCTTTAGAAAATATTCCAACATTGAATTGAGCCTACGTGGTCTACACTGGAAGTCAACGAAGCACTTATATTTATTTCATGCCAGCTCAAATCAGTCATTTAAAACATCAATGCAATAGACAATACCCATCATATTCACAAATGGTTTCCAAAAGTCATCAATTCCGAAATCCTAATTATTGTGGTCATCAAACATTATCCAAACACATGATTAAAACAGCAAGGCAAAGCCCGAATACTGTCGCAGACATCGCTCCTTTACATCGCTTGCACTCATCTAAGCAGTGAAGTCACAAGGCAGCGAACCACAACAATACCCATGCTCAGAGCTCAAAGCACCCTCAAAGTCAATGTTATGACAGCCATCACTAGTGCGCCACATAAGAGCAGCAAAAGAATAATCCCCATCGGTTATCTCAGAGAAGCTAAGATTAAAACGTCAGTTATGCTGCAACGGAAATATGACATTCAAATATTTACTCAACAGTGCACTCGGTGGACGTGCATTCGTTAAATCCTCCCCATAGATAGCCCATGTAGACAGACCCGCTGGTGAAGTCGGTCAAGGTGATGATCTGTTCGTAAAGACCACTAGAGCTGTACGAATAGGCAGAGGCTGCCATTGAGCCTGTGAAGGCGGTTACGGAGCCCACCAGGGCAGCGGTAGCAAGGAGATGAGAGAATTGCATTTTCAATGTTGGAGATGGATTGAAGGCGTGAAAGGCTTGGATATTTGAATTGATTGTTGGTGTTGCTTGAGATGAGCCTCAGATGATTTTCGTTAATGACGAGGAGATTATTCCCTCCCAGTCTTTATAGGGTTTCGAACAATGGATATCTACTAGTAATATTGGTTCGGCCCCTTTACTACTCCAGTCCTTCTAGCTGCGACCGTGATACTGTAGGATTGTGGCTCTTTGCACACTACTTGCTTACTGCATAATTAATCAACATTCATGGATACACACCGCAAAGTGCCCAAGTGGTGAGATCTGCCAAGGTGAAGTGGCCCCTTTGAAGTTTCATGACGAGTATTCTCCGGGGGTTTGAGGTGAAAAGATCTTATCATAGATCTGTATAAGGGAGTGGGTTTCGAACAGATGTTCAACTTGTGAACTATAAGATATTTAGCTACTGGTTATGCAGACATAACTAATTCTGGTCAAATTTTGCCCGCCAGGACTTTATGCTGTCTTGTGGTTATCATGTTTATTTCATTACTTCATAGCAGTAGAATTATTTGATGTCGAATCCAAAGGTCGGTGAACTGCTTACTGACCCTGTCATAACCTGGGCACTATAGAGATCTATTTTAGATTATTTGAAGCAGCCACATTTCATTATCCAATCAGCACTAGACGGTAGGCTCGTGGGTAAAAAGCCCGCCTATACAGTAATCGCAGTCCATACCTCAAAGAGATAGGCAATACGTCCGTGCTAGTAGGTGGCGGGTACTGCAAGCCATACACAGCCCCCAACGCTACATAACTGGACATAAAAACGATACGCATGGATGTAGCTGGATCGTCTTTGATCAATAAGAGATCGAAGATGGATAAAAATCAAAATAAACTTGCTTATGTACAACGTGCAGCTAATCTCCGTAATTTAAAGTCTGTAGCTGCACATCAATGTATAGAAAAGCTTTTCCTATGATACCAAGAAGTCTTACAAACATTTCAACACGGCGACAGAGCTTAGCATGCACTGCTACTCTGTGCACATTTATAACTATTGCTCCGTCTTGGCCCTGCACTAAAGTCACATCAGATAGAATCCTGATTCATGCTGGCTCAATTACCCGACGGTTGATATGCTCACAGTTTGTTTATGGCGGGTCGGGACGTGGTTCATGCGGGGTACTACTTAAGGGATTCTTGTAAGTAAGCTTCTAGGGTTGGAAGCGAGTCAGATTGATATTCCCTCTCCCCTTGCACCTGGTGGACTTGGGCTGCAATGGATATCACTTAGTTGTTATTAGTGGACTTGACACAAACGGGGGAAACTGGCGTGAGATTCCAAGGTTGTCCGGTTTGTTTACTGGGGTTTACTGAAGTCAACAATGGTCTAACTTGAAGCGCATTGGACGTCCTAGCTCGGCTGGATTCATGGCGGCATAATGCCTAGTAGACCTTTTTATTAAAGCTGCATGTGTGGAGGCTAAACAATCAATTGAAACAAGAAGAATGTCAAGTCCATTTTTCCAACGTATATTTGAAAGCCTATATTCTAAATCAACACCGTATAGATAATCTACCGGCACTTACTAAAGCGCACCATAGTAGGCTGCTTATCCCAGAACCACCAGATACCCTGCTCCTCCCACCGAGGCAGCTCAATCCCTGGCGGTATCGACAAGTCATACCTCCACAGCAGCCGCGCAAGGATAATCCTCAACTCCAACCAAGCCAGATTCTGACCGGGGCAATTATGCGCGCCCAACGAGAACGGATTAAACGCAATTTTACTATCATCTTGGAACCGAGAGCCTGAAGAACCCTCATCAAGCCAGCGCTCTGGGGCAAATTCCGCCGCATGACTGAAATTGCGCGAGGCACGATACGCCGCAAATGGGGGAACCGAGACCACCATTCCACCGGGAACAAAGCGTCCGGCAATAGTCGCGCCATCCGAGGGGACCTGGCGGCGCATGCCATCTGGGATTGTAGGACAGAGTCGCATGCCCTCGTTCAAGACTGCGTCCAGATAGGGGACAGATTTCAAGGCTGATCCGGTAATATCTTGTTCCGAGGATGGGAATGTCGCTCGGAGAACTCCGACCAGCGTGTTGAGTTTTTCCGGACTGCGGAGGAGATGGTTGATGACGCCCGTCAGAACCGTAGTGACAGATTCACTGCCGGCGGCCACGATCATCATAGAGTTGACCTCCATCTCTTCCTGCGTCATGGATTCAGACGCCAGCATTGTCCCGACTAGATCCGGCCTGCTCGCGCCGCTGGTGACCCGGTCGCGGACATTTTGCTCAGTCAGCTTCCACATATCCATGACGCCCTGTAGCGCAGAGGGTGGAGTGATAGCCATTAGAAATGAGTAGACTGGCGGGTAGAACTTCAGAGCACCGACGACGATAGCAGCCTTGAACTGGCTCACTGTCTGAACCCAGGGATGATACGTCAGGCCTTCCAGACAGCCAAACGAGGACCCCCAGGTAAGATCGCCGATCACGTCAAAGGCGAGATAATTGATCCATTCGACAACGTCGACAGCAGCCGATTTGTCCTTGTAGAGATGATCGTCCAGCTTCCCGAATAACTTATCCACGTAGTGCTGGATAAAAGGCTCTTGGTCCATGGCGTATTTGTCGGAGAATCCGGGCGCGAGAATTTTGCGCAGGCGCGCGTGTTCGGATTCAGAGCATGCGATCAGATTGGCGGCTGTCTTGCCCGGCGGCTGGTCCTTGTATTGGTGTGGGCGGACGAATTCCCGGCCTTTGGTGTAGATGTCGCGCCAGGCGGCGGGGTCGATGATGGATAGCTCGTCGGGCGCGACGCGGACGATGTCGCCGTATTTTTCATGGAATTCTTTGATTCGATGCGGGAGAGTACCCCCCATCATTGACTTGAGGAAGGGAAATCGAAATGCGCGCCATAGGAGCGGGCCTGGGTACTTTGAGAGTGGGTGAAGCCATAGATTGTTGATTATTTGACCGGTGAGGTACTGGGGGGTATCAGTGACTGTGGGGTAGATTTGGGTTAAATAGATGTTGTTTGCATTACCAGAGTTGGTAGGAGGATGAGGATAGCGACGATCGCCATGATGTTTGGCGTGGGGCCGTGGGCTGGTGGAGGTAAGTGAGATTGGAGTTGGAGGGTCAGATGCGGCGTTCAACGAGCTCAGGAGCTGCGGAGAATTGACTTCAGGAATGGACGGAAGATTAAACTAGCTAGAAGAGGAGAGTAAGCTGGAACAAGCTTGAGTCAAGGTTGAGCAGGTCAGGCTGCAATTGCTTTCTTAAATTCTTTGTTCTACTTTTAACCCCACGCGTCGGGAAGGATGTCTCCACACAGAATTCGGGGCGGCCCGTACAGTAATGCCACGGCCTTTACAGGTGTCAACAAAAGTGGGCTCATGTGGAGTTATTTGATCTGCTTAGTTAAAGGATTGTAACCTAACTAACTACTAGATTGTAAAGATTTACATGAATAAAACATTAGACTGTCGCAGAGCACCGAAACCACTTAATTGGCCCCCTTTGCTTGGTAATTGCTATGTTCGATAAGTTGGATCATATCTATCAGTCCGGCTTCCTTTAATCTGTTATTCTATATTAGCATTCAAATTATTATTTTTCTTCCTACTTCCCTGAACCACTACTTCAATCACTGATCAATAAAATCATTACAATGGCCTCCCATCCCAAGTTCTTCCCGGAGCTTATCCAGCCCGAAACGATCATTTCGAAATTCCGCAGTGCAATAACCATCAGGGAGTAGACGCCGCTTATCTGGAAGGGGACAACCCTCCATGGCGCAAGAATCAAAGTCAATGATGACCGGAACATCCTCATGGCGATCCTTGAACATCACATTATCCAATCGCATATCGTTGTGGACAACACCAAAGCTATGAAGGTGCTCTAAACCAGCCTCGATTTGTCGGAGACAATTTTCTCTATCAACCCAGCGACCATCTGCAATGCGATCTTCAAGCGTCTCTTCATATCTTTCGAAGCAGAGTCCGGTAATGCGACCGTTCTCTACGGTACAACCAAGATAACGAGCGACGTTCTCATGCGTAGTATCGAATAGCAATTCGCAGATTTGCGCTTCTCGAAGTACCCAAAGGCTGAGGCATGCTGAACCATCATAGCCGGTGAGTCGGGGGCGTTTTGTGAAAACGCTCGGATTCTCGGGATTAGGACATATGGTAAAATCGCTTTCCGTCTTGGGGAAGATGTGCTCTGGGAGGATCTTCTTGAGGCTGGGGTGGTTGGATATACTGGGCATATCCACTGGATGTGTGATGCGCTCGGGGACCTGGGCTGAATAGTAGTTGGATGCATCACGGAGAATGACATGAGTGTTGAGGAACTTTGGGCTGCCTCCGAGCTCCCATTGCTCTGACATGGAGTGAAACTCCATCTCGATGGTGGTTCGGTGTTATTGATCAGGCTAGGGGGAAATTTAGTCTAACCACCGCGAATCTTGTCGCTGTTGGGTATTTTGAAGAACGGTGAGCAGAGGCCCAATTCCACGCAATTTCAATCCCAGCCACCCCCTTTAGTCAGGTTCTTGTCCGAGCTACGCGTCAAATTCTTTCCTGTTCCAAGGTGCTAAGGTTTAAATTTAAGAGATGGTTCATTTCGAATGTCGTATTCAAGATCTGATCTGATTCTCTTCCTTGAATGACTTAGGTACTATGCAGTGTCCCAATACAAAGGACCAAACCCGCGCCTATCATTCTAGTATAAACATTGACAGTGTACCCACAGCTGAAAGCGTGTATAGTAGCAGCTGCTCATCCCGTGAAACGACGCCTGCCAACTTGATACCCCTGTATCTCCTAAATTTACTCGCTATCATCTCACAGTTCAAGCCGCTCAGAAGCCGGACGCCGACGCATCAAAATCTCCGCATCCGGATTAGGGAAGATAAACTCATGAGCACGCAGATTCTCAGGCCGCTCATTACCATGCTTGAACTTAAATTCATAATCCATCAACAGCCTCACAAGAATAACCTTGATCTCAAGACTAGCAAAGAAGCGACCCGGGCACGCATTAGCACCATGTCCAAAGTTCAGAATGCGGTCCTGCGTCGTCGAGAACTGATGAAGATGAGACTCGCCCTCTCGCTGGCGCAGCTTGTAGTACCGGAGCCCATCAAACACCTCCGGCTCGGGGGTCACGTCGGGGTCGTTCTGGATAGCGTTGACTGCCATGCTGACATGGGCGCCCTTGGGCAAAACGGTCCCATCCGATAATACTGTCTCCTCGAGGATTACGCGGTGCATGGAGAGAAGGGTTGGCGGGTTGAAGCGCTGGGATTCACGCATGAAGGAGTCCAGTTTGCGGAGCTTGGAGAATGCGGGCTTCTCCCAGGACATCCAGGGGCCCATTTCGGCGATCACGGAGCGGATCTCGGAGCGGATGGGCTCGAGGAATTCGGGGTGGGCGAGGAGGTCGTAGAGGACGTGGACTGCGTTCATTTGCGATGTGTGGATTGAGGCGAGGGACATGACGACTTCGAGGTGGGCGAGGGATGAGGGGTCGCTTTCTTCTGGGGTGGCGATTTCCATCATCCATGATAGGAGGTTGAGTTTGTTTTCTTCTTTTTCTTCGATTCCTTGCGCTTCTTGCTCTCTTCTTCGCAGGATCTCGGGAACGAGGAGCTTCTTTGCTTTTCGGACGTAGGCTGTGCCTCTGTAGGAAGAGGGCATGAGCCAGTTGAGGATTCCGTGGGTCCACATGGGGAATAGTCGAAGGAAGACGAGGGAAACGAAGACTGTTTTATTGTGAGCATTCAATTGCATTTTGGAGGTCTTTGCGATATGTCTTACCATTTTCTGTGAATTGGGTTGAGACCTCTAGCCATTCTGGATTGCGGCAGAGTGGTTTGCCAAGGAAGATTCTTGCACTGACACGCGCGACAAAATCCAGTACTGTGTGGTAAGGCTTGATTGTCACCCACTCGTCTGATTTTATGTTAGTATTCAGTTACTTTGTCATGGTAAGAAATTAAAAATAACGGAGATACTCACCCTCTGACTTCGTAAGTTCCTGCTCAATGGCAAAGTTGACCTCATCCTGCATGGGCCTCGTGAGAGCATTCAGGTTGGGAGTAAGTTTAAGCTGCAATGTACGAAAGTGCAAATTGCTGCGCAGGATAATGTGCATATTTGTCGACGAGCCCATCAAGTTGTGAACATGTGCAACCGTCGGGCTAGCAACATGATTCGGCAACTTGCGAATGTCGTCAACATACTTGGGAGGCAACACGAGCATATCCGTGTCAGCGCGGCGAAACTGAAAAATCTTGTCCGTGCACTGTCACCCCCGCGATTAGTTTCAAGTCTCAAATCCAGGTCACATAATGTCTAAAATATCACTTACTGCACGATACCCCTCAGCCAAGACTTCTTCCGCACGCCGGAAGAACCTATAGTTTGACACCATGATGGGCTCCCAGAGTGTGTTCACGCCAAACACGGGGACTTTGTAACCAAAGACATGAGACCAGGCGAAGGAGAGGAAGTAGCTCCCGATGATGAGAGCCGGAGCCGTCAAGAGCCATGGAATTGATCTATCATCGGCTGTGGAGAGGGACCCATGGGGAAGAGCCCATGACTCGGTAATGTTGGCGGCCATGTCTCCGTGCAGTCAATTTTGTTTGGAAGCTCGAATGAAAGGCCAAGAGGAAGAAGGGAACAACAATTGATCTTATGAGGACCTGAGGAACTGCCCTACCCCCAAACTTGGTAGTACTCACTAGCAGGACGGACACTTTGTTGTGGGTCCGGTATAGGTGCATGTATGTTAAATACGTGGCTGAAAATGCGTATCTTTCAAAGTGTTCCACTTGGGCTATGTTGGATGGGCTTACCCCAATATGTCATGATTAGCACTGGAGAACTTGATCAATGATCAATGATTGGTAGTTGCAGTATGGATGTTTACCCCAAGGGTGCCGTGTCCTATCTCACTGACACCGGACCCGAGTGAGGGGTTGGGGGCCAGGGGCCATAGGCATGTGCAGGAAAGCGAGATGTGCTTCTTCTACGACACCGCTGAGATGGGCCCAGCTCATAGACCCTACTAGTGACATCTTCACCTAAGCGCTTCTCTTTTGGGCTCCAGGGCCGCCCAGGTGGCTTGCAGCTTCTATCCAACTACTTTAGAGTAGTATATGCACGCACAGTACATTAGTGCTATCTCTTGGACGTGCATAAATATAGTTTACAAAGTTGATGCTAAAAATACCAGAAAGTTTCCTAGACCTGTTTCCAAGTTTCCATTGAAATCTAAAACTATAGCAAATAACGTCATGATCAATTGATGAAATTAACAATTCCCCAGCCCGCTACAATGAAGTTTGAAGAAGCCCTCCATAAAACATTACAATCCTCTAGTTCTGCATCCGACTAGCAATGTCCTGAGCAATGTAGATCTGTCCAAATAAATCCGTCACATCCACAAAAGCCTGGATCTGCGCCGCTGTCGCCGTGCTCACTTCAGCTGAAAGGCGCGTAAGACACACCTGCATACATTCCCGTTCAAACCCCGCAATATCAATCAGATCCTGCTTGCTATCGTTTGAGTTTCCCAGCACGTCCCCATTGAACTCGCTGAAATCGAGGCTGTTTAAATTCTTTTCTGCCGCGTCCCGACGCTGAGACCCGTAATCATTGTACTGCCGACACATAGTGGCCAGGTGCAAGCCCAGGGCCCGGGCAAAGAACTTTTGCTTGATAGAGGAAAACCCAAATGATCCGCCTTTACTGATGAGGCAAGAGAAGAATGAGAATGAATAGGGACAGCTGGTGTCATGGGCGCCCGTTGTCCGAACCCAATCGAAATATGATTGACTGGTGACATTTCCATTTGCATCCGTGTCTTGGGCTCTCATTCGAGAATTGTCGGCGTTATGGGACATGTGCGCGAGGAGGAATTTGTGTATTTCAGCAGCAACCTGTTTCTGTGCGCTTTCCTCGATGCTCGTGATGCAGCGGTGGTTCCGGATATGTCTTATATATTTCCGGATCACCTCATTGACCTCTTGCAGCGACATGATGTGCGATTGGCCCCGGCTGTCCTCTGATTCTGGAGATTGTGGTTCCCGGTCCCATTTAGCAATCGAGTTTTCGGTGTTTGAGAATCCGTTCAGGCATTCGGCTCGAATGGTGGCTTTGAGCTCAGCCAAGCTCGAATCTGGGAGCTTGGCGACTACCGATTCCATGTATTCGTCGGCTTGATAGTTGAGCATCGATATAACCATCATATCCCACATTATCCTGCCGGAAAGAGGATACTTCAATCCAGAGTTAACACTCGTCCAGGCGATTGGAATGTAATCAAGGTATTTATCTTCTGTCATGGCCATCTCGTCTCGGGGGAAAATGTCGAGTCTGACGGTTCTCAACAGCCCCGAGTAAAGATGAGCCTCTGCAACAGCCAAAACCATAGTCTTTTCTGGCATCGTTTGGAATAAGGGCAAACGACCGAAGAACTTGGACATTTTTAAAAGCTTCTTGCCTGGCATATCGAAAATCCGCATGACTTCCGGGGTCCATGTTTTCTCTCCCGTTGGGGCCTTCATTGCTGCAAGGCAGTATGTCTCGGAAAGTGCAGGTAACTTGTACGTGACCTTTTCAATCCAGATAAAGTCCCCTTCTGCCCAATCATTTGAGTGAACTGTGAGATATTCTCTTCCTTTTAGCAGGGAAGCTTCAGCAAGTTCGCGAAGAGATTGCAACCACGGGAGACGGAGCATATATGCAAGCAAAAGTACGCTGTATGCAGTCCTTTCCAAGGAGCTACTCCAGGAACCATTCTCAGATTGTCGGTTCAAAGTCCTGGAAAAAAGCTGACAGAGTATAATCGGCACCCGATATCTGATGAGCTCGGTTGGGAAAGTCTCTAAAAGCCCTTCGCTCCAAACTTCAAGGAGGCGAACCAATGCGCTGCTTAAAAGCATTTCGGTGTATTCGGATGCCAAGTTCCATTTGTCCCGCAGACCTTCGTCCTCCCAACCCGAAAGCAGGAATTTCACAGACTTTTCGATCTGAGGCCCATACTCTGCAGGATTGCCACATGTCAGGAGGGCAATCAAAATGTTTGCATTTGCGCTGAAACTCGGATCACGTTCGAGCTTGTAGGTTTGAAAGTGGTCTACAGCCTCGAAGCCTTTCACCAAAGCTGAAGGGTCTTCCTTAATACCAAGATTTGTGAGCGCAATAAGGGATCGGGCTGTGTCATCTGCATCTGGCAGAAAACCGGGCGCAAATCCAAGTAGACCCTTCTGCTTTTCAAGAAGCTGCTTCAGATATGTTCCGATAGTCTCGATGTCCACGGAAGCAAAATCATCGATGTCATATCCACTTGCAAGTAGAGTTGAAATTGTCCACGATGTCTCGAAGACTGGTGTCGGGAATCCGCTAGGAACTCCTCCACAATCCCCATAGCTCCGAATAACATTTTTGAGGTACTTCTCCGCTGCATCATCCCATTTGGTTGAGTGGATGAGATAGGCCGCCGTAGAAGCCGGGGAACCCAACATTCCCCCATACTCCGTACAGTGGTGGGATAACTGATCAAAATCTACCTTTCCAATCAGCCCTTCTAGGGAATGAAGCAGAGTTGTTTGATGCTTCGATGTCACCATTTCTGGCCTGAATTTGGACAGCTTCCGCTTGTGAAGTTTCATCAGTGCTGCTTTCCCCGGAAAGTCCAGATCAACGCCTCGTTGTGCCAATTGATAAAGTAGACTGGGGACCAGAACTTCAAAGCCCACGTGCAGAGCCGAGTCAACATCCCAATCCTTGAGCGATTTCGAGAGCGCTGCAGTTGCTCGAGTGATTCTGGACTCGTAGTTGATGGGCTCATGATCGAACTCATTATCGTCTTCCAAGCCTTGTATATCGTGGTGCACCAACAATGACAACAATCCCGCCATGGTGTTTAGGATTCCATCCACAGGCGATGCATTTGTTCCCCAGGACCCATCATCATGCTGCTCGCGAAGCATATACTTGAAAGACCGAGGAAACGCCCATTGAGGAACACCCGCAGCATCCACTTTGCTGACCATTGATAGCCATGCGGTGTCATACAGGGAGATGCTGAATCCTCCAAACCCATTTTCGGCTTGGCAACCCTCAGAGATGTTGGCCACCACCTGATGAGCTCTTTTAACAAGGTCAGGGGCTTCTGCCCCCAGCTTTCTTCGTTTGTCAGGAGCCATTGGTTTGAGAAATGACTTGGAGAGATTCAAGTGAGACCTTTGTGCAAGGTAGAATGTCGATCAAACTCTGTGTGATGAGCTAAGTCGATGCGATGCAATTGACCCGGCAAAGAGGTCATGGCATCCTGGGCACAGATCGTAATACTCTTGCCGCTTGGAGTCCTCCTTGTTCCGGAAAAAGGCTTTAGTCCACAATGGGCGATGATAGCTGAACGTCATACTCGGAATGTATTTGGATGGTATGATAGATTGCTCCGTATCAACTAGTGACTTTGACAAACAGACGGCGGCGCATGAAGCCCGTGGTGTCAGCGGTGATCCACTATTTCTTGACACGATTGCTTGACGGAAAGGATACGCGACATGTCTGGCATAATCTAATTACTCCGGTCATAAACTTGTGCCTAGTCTATACTTGGCCAAGGTGGTGCTGTGGAAGTAATTTCAAAGTGCGTGGTGAGTAGGCGCCCATGTGTTATCTCCACTGCATGAACCCTGCAGCAGATTACGGAAAGACGTTAGGCTGACCAAGGGTGATTGATAGGTTACATCGCTAATGACGTGATAAGCGTGCAAATAAGCACTAGTCGCCATTTAACTCTTTCTCTGCAGACAGACATGGTTTGATTCTGGGACCCGGTAGCCCATACGTAGGATGGAGAGGCGGAGGTTTATCCTCATTTGGACTGAGAAACCGGTCCTGCATCTTGTTTCTTGTGTACGAAGTATAATCTATGAGCAAGCTTCCAAGGTTGGGGCCATAAAACGGGGTGGTAAAGGGTAGAAAGCGGGTGAGCCACCAGGGTTTGTGGCGTTTGGATTAAGACTATTTTTGATGGATTTCGGCCGATCAGGGACGGGCCATAGATATTAGGGAGCGTAGAGAGTGATCATCATTGGTGCATCAGTCCAACTTAGTTTAAACGAGTTTAGTAACTTTTAATGTGTTTGTACACTCAGAATTGGCCCCCACTTGTTCCACTATTTCTTACTATTTCTCTATTCTTAACCTTCTTATTGGGCAACAGGAGTATCAAAGTCCGCCCCCAACTTGGAACTCCGGAGTGGCTTCGGCACCTCCAGGTGATACGTCCATAATATTCTCTGGTGTCTAGAACTTGGGTTGACTCTCAAGCATGATAATAAGCACTAGTCAAGACATACCCCTCTCTCTCTGCGCTGTTGTGATTGGGAGGGGGTTCAACTGATCTTGCACTCCACGTGCGGGGTCGTACCACCAGACTCTTGATGATAGCCAAAAAAAAGAAGGAATCCGGGTTTGGTGATCACAGAGTAAACTATTGGAGCAGACCTGGATTTGCCAAAATTAAAACATTAGACCAGAAGCTGAGCTGCCCGCTACGATCCAGGGTGCCTGACTCGGGAACATGTGTAATGAATTATGGGATAGAGAATGACCTCGAAGGACATCACCCGATAGAACAAAGAGATCCCTGTAGGTGTAGGGGTGCTACTCCCCCCACCCTCCCTTTTGAAATACCCAGTAGAACACTCTAGCTCTAGATACAATTTCCTTATAACATCAACAATCTTCAACTATACCTTGTCGTCAACCTCCTAGCCCACCTCACGTCAAGTCCTAAAGCCATCATCATGTCGACCCTCGAACCTATCAAGCTATACTGGAGAAGTAAGGCACTCAACAGATCTCCCAAGAATAACCAACTAACAAGACCACCCCAGACCAGGTCCCCAACCCCTCCAAAGTCCTCATCATCCTCGAGGAACTCAACCTCCCCTACGAAACCGTATGGGTCGAGCTAGACGGCCTCAAGCAACAACCCTTCACCGACGTAAACCCCAACGGACGCGTCCCAGCCATAATCGACCCCAACACAGGCCTCACCCTCTGGGAATCCGGCGCCATCGTCCAGTATCTCATCGACACCTACGACAAGGACCGCAAAATCTCCTTCGACTCCGCCCCCGAAAAGTACCAGCAGGTCCAGTGGTCCTACTTCCAAGCTTCAGGCCAGGGCCCGTACTTTGGGCAGGCCGCGTGGTATGTCAAGCTCCCTTAACTCAAATCTCCACGAATGTTTGTATGACGTACTGACATGCACCGCCCAACCCAGGTTCAACATCTTCCACGAAAAGGTCTACGGCGAGTCCCCCGAGTCGGCCAAGGTGCGGTATGGTCAGGAACTCAAGCGCGTCGCGGGCGTTCTGGATACGGTTCTGAGCAAGCAGGAGTGGCTGGTTGGGGATAAGTGCACGTATGCGGATTTGGCGTTTGTCATGTGGAATATGCAGATTGCTTTCTTCATGGCGGGTCGCGAGGGCGAGTATGCCTGGCGCCCCGAGGAGTACCCGCATTTCACACGGTGGCAGAATGCCATGTTGGCGCGGCCTTCTTTGCAAAGAGTTATCTCGGTTCTGGGCGAGCAGGAGGTTAAGAGCGCGTAAAATAGAGATTTGTGGCTAGAATGCAATGGTCGGATGTCAAGTGCCTTGGAAGCGGCCAATTCAATTCACTACACTCCACCTGGGCGGACAGTATTCATTCACTTCACGCATCCATTCAATGTTAGAAATTGCATATCAAATCAAATCCCATAGTCAATAAATATGGGTATAAATACGGGGTTTTTATTGCTTGCTCCAGGGCTTCATCTTTCATTTATTCCAACTGCCAGGTGAGATCGGCACATAACTGTTGCGACATCTCTGCTTTTAACTACCGTCACAATATCTCGGCATCAATTACATTATCAGCGGAACAAGAAAACGGTCTGCACTACCCCCTAGGAAAATGTCACAGGCATTGGAAATCTTTTGCGAAAAATGCAACGTACAATTCGGAGATTATACAAGCGCATTGGAGCACCTCTTTGACGAGCACAATGTCAACGTTTCTGTCCTTCTAGAGCCGAGTTATGACAGCAATACCTGGTCCTGCCACGAGTGTGATCCTTGTCATTGGGAGGTTGACGATTTGAATATGTTTTGGCATATCTGGGAACGTCACCGCGAGATTGTCGGATTTCTCGACATATCGGTGGACAGTAGGGACATTCCTGCACAATACTGGAATTCAGATAACTAGGCCACATGCAAGAGAGCCGAATGAATCAATTTGTTCCAACGAGGTAGACCTATTAGCTTTCAAATGTTGTGTATTCCTTGCTTTTTTCATTCATACATACGTGACATTGCTATATTTGATCTTTGAAACAGAACTCCTACCCGTTCACGCTAGCTATTAATTCTAGAATCTATTCACATGGTGCGATGAGCCCCGCTCCGCTTGCTCCTGCTCGGGCATGGCCGAGATCTCCTGTGACACGAAGCTTGCGACGTGGATCTTCATCTGCTGCCCACTTTGTTGCGGGGACTTGGCTAGGGGATACTCTTCTTCGTATGTATGTTGCCCCATCTCTATATCGCCACTTGCAGTTGTGTCTATTCCCAGCCGTTGCCAATCGCGCCGGGTGTTAGATCGCTTGGGAGAGAACGACGAGTTGGCATTGCTTTCGATCGTGGCGGGTCCGTCACTGGACGGTGTGCTGCCTTTTCCGGAGCCGCCACTGCGCATGGAAAGACGGCTCCAGATGTTTCGGGCGACGCTTTGGACGCGCTCGTTCCCGCCGAAGAAGTGGCCGTATGTGGGCAGGCAGGCGGCGATGACGCTGACATTGGGCTCAATCGTGCCCCATGTAAAAGCAGTGGTGACAAGAGAGTAGCGGTTAGTGCCGGTGGTCGCTGTGGATTGGGCGATGTCGATGTAGATGTAGTAAAGGCGGATAGTGGATGAGATACAGCAGCTATATCCGAGCATTAGCGTCTCGGTAAAAAAACGAAGGGAATTGAAGGGTTCTTGCTTACAAGATTCCTAGCCAAAAGATACCTAATACTTGGATCTTTTTGCGGGTGGACATCATGAGGTGATGGATGACTGGAATGGGAAAGCAAAGTACGAGAACGTCGAAGACTAGGCTCATGGCGGCAAATGCTACAGAGAATGCGTTGTAGTTGTAGCGGAGGGGATTTTTGGCAAATGGATCCCAGGCTGCGGTGATGGGATCTGCGCAGAGGAGTTGAGCCTGTAAAGGTGTAAGATGGTGATTCCTTGATTTATTTCTGGGTTGTTTTACTTACGATGATCATAGCGAACCCCCATGAGAGCAAGATCGCAATATAGATCCGCACGGCGGTTTGAAACCAAGGTGTGACAAAGATCCTTCGATAGAAGAGGAGGATGGAAACTTTCACCAAGACCAAACTAGCGATCAGAACAAAGCCTTCGATCCATAACGACTGCCGGTAAAAATTAGTCTTGAGAATCTTTCAAACGCAGAGAATAAACCAACCCGAAGGAAGACGATAGTGGCCGACAGAACTGTGCCCTTGGTATAATTGACCCCGCCAAGCGCCGCGGCCACGAAGATATCGATGGAAATTCCCCAAGCACAAATCTGCGCCAAAATAATTACATAGTCATCCAGGAATAGGCGCTTAGCCTTGGAAATATTGGACCAGACCCGTAAGAGAATGGCAAGTGTGCCCAAAATGGGGAATATAATAGCGACGACCAAAAGGGCAGTGGTGACCAAGGATGGACTCTGTTCCCCTTGGGAGGTCATGATTGCACCTGTGGTAAGATAAATTTTTCAAGCATCAAAAACAAAAGCTCGAGCCAGCTGGCCGCTGCAAATGTTTATATTCAAGTCTGACGAAACAGGGTTCACAAGTGCTGGCATGATGCAACCTAACCTTTCCCAACTGGAGTGCAGTCGCCTTCTTCTTTTGGCCCCAATTCGAGATCGCACCTTGGGGGCTGCTGCAGGAAGCAGGAAGTGCATGGCTATCAACGCCTGAGCGCGACGATTATTGCAGGCCATGCCGCCACGGGGCTGGAATGTTTGGCGAGGGTTTCCGTCATGCCGACACTCTGAAGTCCGTCCATAGAATACCCTGCAGAATCAAGGTGTCAGCACGACGGGAATAGATTAGCACAATCCTTCAGCGGAGAAAATAGATCATTGTCCCGGGGGTGAATTGCTAATTTGTGAATGATCCATGGGGTCTTTTCTGCAGGAAGGGGTGGGAAGTGGGCCGTGGCTTGTTGCCCCCCCCCCCCCCCCCGGTGGCTTCTTACACGGGCCACGGCCCAATTGCAGGCTGGGCTCCCAAGTGCACGCAGCACGGGAGCCAAAACCATGAGGCCCATACAGATATGGGATTCGAAGGATTTAAAAATGGATTCTGAAATCGGTAATGATCACCTCATCTGGTTATCGTGACGAACCCAGACAAGACTAGTTACTTCTCTCGTGTTGATATTAACAGTATCTCCCGAGTCCCCGCCACCTGCTTGCTTTTCTCCAAAGTTCAAACCCCCCGCACGTGCAGCTGGTTGGAAGGAAATTCCCAAAATGTCAATTTCCCCGGTGCTCACGCATGTGCTGCTCACATCAGCTCTGGTCTGGGTGAGCTGGTCCATAACCAGCTTACTGACTAACGTATCTCGGGCTCGAGCGACCGCCCTACCGTACGTGATAGTGCCATGCTCCCTCCTGGGCGCCCCTTGGCTCCTGAGCCAATCACTGCTGCTCCCTATTTTCAAAGCCCTCCCCCAATCATGGACGGAACATTGGCTTCCATTACTCATCTTCAACGACGGCTGGCATAACGGCTATGAGCCCTTCGAGCGCGTCGGCACAGACACATTTCTGGCCGTCTCGCCCGGGGGCATCATTCTATACACCTGCGACCCGGATGTTTCATCCCAGCTATTCCGCGATGGCCGGTTCGCAAAACCGGCGCATTTGATGGCGGTTTTGAATATCTTTGGTCCGACTATGACGGGGACGGATGGGCCCGAGTCTCGGCTGTACCGTCGCATCTCGGCTCCCTTTTTTAACGAGGCAACTATGCGGCAGGTTTTTGCGCATTCCGTTCAAGGCGGACGGGCTTTGGGGCAGGTTTTGGGTCAGCGGCGGACGGCGCATCGTCAACTCCGCACGCTCTCCGCGCGGCTTTCGTTGCATTTGCTTAATCGTGTCTGTAATCAGAATCAGACGCAGGATGAGCTGGTGAAGGCGTTGAGGTTTGAGGATTCGGTCCCGGGGACTCATCGTATGGGCTATAGTGATGCTGTGCATACCTTGCTCGACTATTATCAGACTGTCTTTCTCTTTCCTCCTGGACTTCTCAGTAAGCAGTTTTCTTTCTCTTTTGTTCCTTTTTGAATCTTTCTCACGCTATATCCCAGGGATTTCGCCCTTCAAGGGCCATCGCCAAGCCGCATTGGCATACGCTGAAATGGAGCTTTATATGCAGGAGCTTATAGATGAAAACAAGTCAGATCTCAATGACAAACCACGTAGTTCATTAACAAAGCCAGAGAGTCTACTAGGTACACATCCTTTCCTCGCTCCTAGGCTCCTAGGGCTCTAGCAGTCATAAGTTTATACTCTGAACGTTCTCAATCTAACAACCATGTCTTAATCCCCAGATCGGCTCGTCCAAGCAGGACTCCCCTCACCTAATGGAGACGCCGATGCCTTGCTTAATACGAAGCAAGTTACCGGCAACCTCTGGCTCTTCATGTTCGCCGGCCATGAGGCTAACGCCAACACTCTAACTTTCATCATTCTCCTCCTGGCCTGCCACCCAGCCACTCAACGGGCCATGCAAGCCGACATTGACCGCATCCTCGGCAACACCTCCCCATCAGAATGGAGCTATGAAGCTCACTACAAGCCTCTCATGAACAGCCTCGTCGGTGCCGTCATTAACGAAGCTCTCCGCCTATTTACCGTCCTTCCCGTCCTTCCAAAATACGTGCCGCCGTCGGGGCCCCCAATCCCCATCACAGTCCAAGGCCAAACTCACCCCTTACCCCCAGCCACGATCGCATTTATAAACACCAGTGCCACACACCGTCATCCACGCTACTGGCCTCGTCGCAACGACTCAGCCACCAATGCAACCCAGGATCCTCGAAAACGACCCTTTGGGATGTCGGACTTTGATCCCGAGCGATGGATCAATCCAAGTAACGAGGATCAGACCGGTTCTCCTAACGAGGATGGGTTTTTGAATCCGTATCCTGGTACTTTCGTGCCCTTTTCTGAGGGAAGTCGTGGATGTTTGGGATATCGCTTTGCGCTTGTGGAAGTGTGCGCTGTGGTGGTGAGTTTGTTCAAGGAGTCATCGGTTAGACTTTTGACGCGAGATGAGGAGGACGGAAGTCGTGCTGGGGTGGTGGATTCGTGGGAGGCGGCGAGGGAGCGAGCTGAGCTTGCGCTCTCTGAGGGGGTTAGTTTTGATATGAGCTTGCGTATCACACGGAATGTGCCGGTGCGTTTTGAGGCACGGGCTTAGGATCGAATGGTTTTCGTGGGTGGAAACAACGCCGACTGTGCACGGGTGGCATCTGGAGTACCTAGTGCACATGTACATAGAGATTTGCTAGGTATGCCTGTACTATTCACCTGCAGGAAGACAGGTAGATAGTACATATCCATGGATATACAGTACTACCTACTACATAGTATTGATTTAGATAACGAGAAATGCTTCATCACATTCAAATAGCACATGTCAAGCATCGAATAAATGTATTGACGGCTCCACGGAAGCACTATAGCGGCCTCCTTCCCACCAAATAAAACCACTCCGCATCCACACCGGCTCCATTTTGGAACTCAGAACTCAGATTCTCCAGCTGTTTTCGCATGGCTTGCATATTTGCGGCGTCTGCTTTGATAGCCTCGAGACCGAGACAGACTTCCTCGATACCCATGAGAACACAGTGATTCCAGAGTGGTCGCTGCGAGTTCTTCAGATGCAGACGATCATAAGCAACTGGTATGAAACCAGCTGACTCGATCATGGCGCAATCATCGGTGATCCACCTTCAGATCCGTTAACGATTCGCTCCCGGTGAGCGGCTAAAATAGTAATCAGGTAGGAAGCTAGTGACTCACGATGTGACATCTGGTGGATGGGTTTTCATCATTCCCGCGACAGCCCATGTTTGAGTCCCGGGAGAGTCAGCATAAGCGGAGATGGCATGTGCGGAACGAGGATCCAAATCAAGCCATTGGAAGAAGCCACCCGGTTCTATACGGGGTTTCACTTTTGTTAGTGGAAAGCGAGCGCATTGCCAATACGATTGGATGAGGGTGCGCGGGTAACCACATACTCAACAAGCTCATCACATTTTGTAGAAATGTCTCTAGTTTCTCCTTGCTCAGCAAGGTGATGAAAAACCGCACATTGACGATATCGTACATGCCCCGACATTTCTCCGGGAATGGCTGAAAGGCATCATGCTGGTAAAGGGTTACCGCTGGTCGTACCCATGCCGCCACTGGATACTGGGCAGTGGAGATGTCAAAGGCGTCTATACGACAGTTCGTCTCAGGTAGACTTTCGGCCAGCTCCGTCGACCAGATCCTGCCGATAGGTCAGAAATCCCCCCATGGCCACGTGGAAATTCAGGGCAAGGATATGCTTACGCGGTCCCGGCGCCGATGTCTGCCACGTGAAGCGACGCCGATAGATCGATTTTGTCACGGATGGCTTGGTGCAGGAGCTGGTTCCCTGTTAGGTTCGTGAGCAGGGTATGTTGGTAGTTGAGACTTTGAAGGCGGGGTTAATGGAGGCGAGCTTGGTCAATGAATGGATGGATAATAGTTTCTTACCGGATACTAGATCGGTAATTTCTACTGAAGATGTAAGCGCTGGGATCGGGAGGGCTGGCGCTCATGATGTTCTGAGGTCTGGCTGTGAATTCTACAGTCTGTGATAGACGAGTGAGCAATGACTCGAATGAGATTCCAAGGTTGTTGAGACCTGTCGTATCGCGGTGTAAACTTGGAAATTAATTCTCGGGCTGTAGAGACTCGGATAATATATGCAAGTGCTTACTGGAGGCGTTGAGAAAGTTCAGTTGAAATTGTTTCAAGGTGGGATAGAAGTGGCTAAGGTAGGGATAGAGGACTGAGAGCGATGTAGCAGAACTTTGGAAATACGGAGTACGAGATACGCCATAGCCTTCGAAGTGCGTGGGTGAAAGGATTGCGGGGCGTTTCTGCAGTTTTCTTTGTTATAGATAAAGCGGCCAGGGAAAGGTCATTCCGCGAACAGGTCCATGCGCCCGAATTCAATATCGGATTATGGATACTCTCGCCAAAACAACACTGGAAACGAGAAAGGGGAAAGCAAAAGGCCCACTAGAGAAGCCAATGCTGCATGCATGACCATGTGGTAGCCACACGCCTCGCTTGCAGAAGATTCACGCCTTCTTCAGATCCTTGCCCCCCCTATTTACCCTTTCAAACCCCTGTCGGAATCATGCTGTGGGGTCATCCGCCTCCATTTTCCTATTGAAGCACTCGTGGACCTGGTTTATCGGGAACTGGATCAGGGGGAGAGTTTTCGAGTTCTTCCTGGGGCTATATGTATGCACATTTCCCGCCACCTGCCTTGTTTCAAGTGTTCCAGTCCTGGAATATCCACAGCCCTGCTTTTGAAGTTGTGATCCCTTCTTGAAATTGCTTTGCATCCCAACTTCATCGCACCATGAAGTCCCTCTCTCAACTGCTCTTGGCTGCAGCCTTGGGGTACATTCCTGCTTGTGCCGCAGTAACCATATCGACAAATGGCCTAAGTAACGTCACTATCGGAAAATCCACCGGAGGTGGCTCAATCTGTGCCTCGGGCTATGTCACGATCCCCATCTCCGTGACTGGCACCAAGTTGGACTACGTGCCCCCAACCTCAGCTGCAGGCGTGACTCAATCCCTGGTGGAATTGTTCCAAGTCACCGACTCCTTAGCGAATACGATAACCGGCACCCAACTCATTTCGGGCAGCTATCAAATTTACGTCAAGCTCTGCATACCCAGCTCAGCATCAAAAGCAGCTAGTGTCAAGACTGTTCAGCTGCTGACACACGGTGCCACATTGGACCACAACTACTGGGACATTGTCACTGGCTACAGCTACATTGACGCTGCCACCGAAGCTGGTTACGCGACCTTATCATACGACCAACTGGGCGTCGGCAACTCGGCCCATCCGGATCCCATCCAGGTGGTGCAGGCTAACAGCCAAGTTGCCGTCACACATGCTCTCGCCCAACTTCTGCGCAATGCAAAGATCGGCAACTATAGCTTCGAAAATGTGGTTGGTGTGGGCCACAGTGCTGGCAGCAGCTTGACGCAGGCCGTCACCACTCAGTATCCGAGTGATTTTGATGCGGCGATCTTGACTGGCACCAGTACCAATGACAACTACGTCTCTCTTTCCATGGCCGCTTTCAACTTGATCAACGCCAACTCCGACTCATCGGGTCGCTTCAGTAGCCTAGCTGCTGGCTATTTAACTCAGCAGACCTCTGTCGGCATCCAATTCGCTTTCTATAGCTACCCTAATTTCAATACCGCTGCTTTCAATAGCCAGGTTGCGAACAAGCAGACTAATACTCTTGGTGTCCTGCTCACGCTTGGGGGAATTGTTGCCTCGGCGCCCGAATTCACCGGGCCTGTTGACGTGATCCTGGGTGAAAACGACTTTGTGTTTTGTGGTGGCAATTGCTCTTATCCTGAGAATCAAGCTGCGCTGGTTCTGTCGACCTTCTATCCCAGTGCGTCGTCGGGCAGTCAGACCTATCTTGCTTCGGGTTCTGGACATGCTATCGCCGCGCATGACAGTGCCAGCGCTAGCTTCACCCAGATGATTGATTTCCTACAGTCCAATGACATTTACTAGAAAATTAGACAGATGATGTAACTAAAGAACACATTTTCAATGTTTGAATGAAGCGAGGTATTTGATGCGCTGTTCAATGTTGTGCAGCAGTTCCTTCAAATGTTCAAAAGTTTCAAATGTTCTTATCATTTCCAGTTTTACGTAGGCCTGGAGGTAGCGTGATATATCAAGAAATATGCCCCATACTCCCCACTACCGCCATACGCAGAGTCATCCTGAATGAGCTCCGCTATGAGTTCAAAGCCCATTCTTTTGTAAAGCTCATATCCCTCTGTAAAAGCGTGCACAAAAATGTCTAGCCCCATCCTGTCCGCCTGTTCTATCCCGCTCTTCACTAATGCCGTCCCAACACCTTTACGCTGGTTGTCCGGATGTACAGCAAGGTAATCGAGACCTATCGAAGACAAAGTTAGTCTTGGAAGCTATTTACTTCCCTCGAAGTTCAAGCTTGGATCCAAGCTTACTTATATGCGATTTCTTGGGCGTCACTTCGTTCTTAAGGGCGGTGACACGGTCTCCCAGCACGCTATCATCTTCGTTGGGGTCCCAGACTGCAGTCCCGGCAAGCCGCCGAATCTCGGCCTCAATTTCGGGCTCGATCGCTGGGACTTGGGCCTCGGGCCATGCAGGTGTGCCATCTGGGCTTGTTTTATGAGACGACGGCAGGCACCATCGGGCGTAACCAAGTATATGACCGGTCTCTGGATCCACAGCCTTTTGGTGTCGAACGGTCTCTCGGTCGTTTAGCAGGTTACGCGGGAAGCGTAGGGTTACCTGCGAAATGTGGTACTCGAGGGTCCGATGGCGCCAGGCCAGGACCCAGTTGGGGTCGGCCCAGAAAGCGGGGATGTTGTTAGCAACTAGGGCGGGGCCATCGGCAATGGTGCATTGGGAGATTTTCAAGGGAGCCATGGGTTAGAGGTTCTGGGAAGCGCAAAATCCGAAGATATTTGCGACAGATAAAGGAGGAAGGTCGTCGTATTTTCGTTGGACTTTAATATTCCAAGATTATTAACCTGCGGTGGTTAAGTGTACTATTGAAGCTGGTGGAAAGTGCCGGCTGAACCGAGCGACTGGAGAATGGAGAATTTGTACGATATATCCCTTTCAATGTCCATCGATGTTGGAGACGGGAAGGTCCCTTTAGGCAGCCTTGGAAGAGCTTTCCATCTGCCGAAGCCCTTGGAGCTAACTAGTAACGGAGTCCGGGCCCCGGGGTGGGGTCATATCGCCCCCAAATTCCGACAAATTCGATGGATAACATTGAACGGACCTCGGGGTTCAGTAGATTCTAGTTCAGGAATGGACATCCAGAGAGATCGCATAATAGATGTGAGCCAATGAAAAGGATTGGGCGATGACATTGCTCCATACATAAGAGAGAATAAATCATAGAATAATTGCTAGTGCGAAAGCTAAAGTAATTGCAATATCATCATGTCATGAGAAACCTTGTCCAAAATCGGGGATATCAACCAAGAAGGCAAAAAAGGGTATAAAGCATAGATCATATGCAAATTAGTCAAGCCGCTTATACAGCTTAGCTTTGCTTGGAGTGGAAGGACCAGCGCAGCAGGCATTCTGAGTCGCCTCAGGGTGGAGAGTAGACTTGTTGAAGGACTGGGCGGATTGCGGTACATCCAAAGCAGGGTTTTTGGTGAAGAACCCGTCAGGCTTCAGCATGACACTGACACGCTCCATAGGCATGACAGGGAAATCTTCGATACGAGGGTTGTGGGTAAGACCAAAAGTGTGCCAGAGCACCACGTCCTCGTTCTCGGTCTTATCTTTGCGCTGGATCCAGGTCTCGACTCCCTCGGCGCGTCGGCTCTGGTTGGTGAATTCTCCAGCAGCATACAGCTCATCATCCTGGTATTTGGTCACCCAGATAGGCTTCGTGCCAAATTCAGCTCGACGGTAGCCCAGTGAGTTTTTGTTGACCAGCAGCATCTGGCTCGGTGCGGTCTGGAGTTTGTAAGAGACCGGCTTATAAGTGACAGGGTTATTAATATTATCGTTGCGAATTTTGAAGACGCGGTGGCGGTCAACGCTGGTATTTGCCCAGCCGGAAGTGCCCATCACAGTAGGCTCAGTCGTGTATCCAACCAGCCAAGGATTGTTCTCATCCTCTGGCATTGGCACACTGTCTTCATAGTAGACCGTGTTCTTGAATCCGTCGATAGCAGGGTCGATCCGGAAGGAGAACATGTGTTGATGGAAAGGGGCCATGACGCCAGGTCCCACATTGGTGCCCCAAGGAACAGTCTGGCCATTCTCATTTTCAAATGGAACAGTGGAGAGAATGCCAGTGGCGCGAACCTCCAGTTCGATATTGCCAGCCTGATCAAAGATGTATGCAAAAATGTACTCGTAGTTGGCAACTGTACAGATCATCTGCAAAACCAACTGTCGATTGCGCACAACTGTGGCAGCGCCAGATCGATAATTCGTATGCTTGTGTTGCAATCCATTATCTTGTTCATGCATGCAGATGATATTCTTCAGTTGTACTGGATTTCCCTTGCAGTCATTTCGGTATCCATTGAAGTACTTGATATGACCCAGACAGTCGCATCCGAGAGACAATTGATTGGCATTCATACCGAATCCAGTATCACCGACATCGAACGCCTGCTTACGGTGGTATGGTGCACGAGGATCTGAGAAAATGTCAGTAAAATCCTCCGAAGACAAATCATACAAGATAACCTACCTCCATATGGAACCGTCATCTCCGAGATCGCAAGACGATAGAATACATTCCGGTTGTCGTAGGTGATGTTATACATGACAAGACCTTCTCTAATATTAAATCCAACGCGGAAACGCCACTTCTGCCAATAGACAGAGTTTCCATTCGCGGTGTAGGATGGGCCCTCGGGCTGCTGTACAATATAAGGCTTAAGGTCGGTGCGAATAGGTTCATCGAGGATATCGTGAGCGTACTGGATCGCCTCGACAGGCTTCCAAGGTTGAGTTTGCTGAGTCTCGGCATCTCCATTACCAGGGAGATAATCCATTCGGATAAGCTCGTGGGTGAGGCCGTCGAAAACAGGCGAGAACTTGCATGGTAGGGAGTAGTGGTTGTGTTGAGGGTGGTCCACGGAGATCAGATACATGAAGCATTGGAAGAGCCGTCGTGTCTCGTTCTCGTTATCGGTGCCGTACATCCAAGGGTCATTGCAAACTGTCACTCCGGGGGGTAGTTGCATTTTCTCAATTTCGGCAATCACAGCAGGGTGTTTCATACACATTGCCTCGATCTCTGCGATCTCATCCGGGTCAATCGGTCCCTGAAAGTTTAATTCGTCAGACCCAAGGAATCATCCCCAACGAACCGATTTGAGACGTGAAAAAAACGATGGAAAATTTCTACTGCGTACCTGCACCTCGCGTGGAAGTTCTTTCGCATAAACGATAGTTCGCGTATCGGCATTCAGAATGGCCTTGTAGAATGCGCCAGTGTCCAGGCGGTGGAACAAGGTGTAAAGAAGGCGAGCAGGTGGGTTGGGCAATGGTCGCCGCAACCGCTCGGCCTCAATATATGGTATAACATCTTTCTTGATAGGTTCATTCACGTCAATTCGCTTATAGCGCAAAGACACGCCGGGGAAAGTCGCCTCAAGAATGCGCACAGCAAGCTTGATCTCCTCCGGGGTGATAGGGTCAAATGGGTGCGATCTGGTCACCATCCTCTCAGAAACAAAGGTTTAGTAGGGAATAAATTGCAAAAGATATATTTAGAGGGGGGCCACACAATATGGAAAGCTCTCAATGGAAAATGGGGTAATGGAAGAGGGGAAGATTGCGGCGGTTTTAAATGTCGTGGATCTTATCAGTCCAACTGCAATGGGTGGCTGGACTTTCCTGATCGGGTAAGGTTGTGGACGATGAATGTGGAGCGACGATCGCTAGGCTCGGGCGATGTAGCACAGCATAAATGTTTGTGAACAGGGTCCATTCATTTGCTTAGTTTGGGGAACTGTTGATTCTACATAGATCATGAATTAAATCCAGTCTCACGAACCCATTCTATCTTACCGAGGTAAATCCATGGTTTTTTCCTTGTTTAACAGGCTGTTACAGGCTGTTACAGGCATCTTTTCGGTGCAAAAGACACAAACAATCAATTCTTCTTATCATAGATGAGGGTCACGTGCAGCGTGACATTGCCCCGATCGGGTAAGGCTCGTCAGGGTCGCCCCTCATAGATTTCCTATCAATTTCGCGGGGAAAATGTCATTTAGGATCAATTGATGTCAATTATTTCCCAATCATGACAAGTTTTACGACCAAAGTCACCGATACGGGTTGGGCCCAATCCTCACCACCAGCTATCTCTGGTACTGTCACCCCTGCCAAAAAGGTCCGAACTCGACAAACTGGCACTGCATGGACACGTTCCGGCTGCCTAACCTGTAAAAAGCGTCGCAAAGCCTGCGATAAGGCCAAGCCGAGGTAACTCTCACCACCACATATTTTTCTGATGGATTTAACTTACATGAAATGCATAGCTGTAATAATTGCAAAAAACAAGGCCGACCTTGCGAGGGCTATGGCTCTCTGTGGGCGGAGCCTCTAGGCCCGTCCGCGCAGATTTTCAAATCAAACGATGCCACTAATTCCACTGCTATCTCGAAATCAACATCAAAAATTGAATCTTCACCTTCAATTCCTCTATCACCATCGTTATCACCATTGTCCAACGCATGGCTAGAGGCACAGTCATATGTCTCTATATCCCCAAGTGGATCTATTCCGTCGTCACCACGGTCTTGGTTGAGCCAGACTGATATAGATCAAAATCACGACCAACTCGAACGACATAATCAAGGTACTGGGGCATTGGAACAGTCACTAGCAGTAGTCCCACGGCCACAGAATTATGTCAGTCATTTATCAGATCACGAATCACACTATCTCCAATATCACGTCCAACAAGGTTCTCGCCTTCTCGCCAATCTCGAGAGCGACGACAATCCGCTTCGATCATTGCTCATTCCGCGAGCAATGTCATCTCCACTTCTTATGAGAGCCGTATGCGCAATCTCTGCACTTCATCTCGCCAACCGTTCCCAAGGCTTCAGCGCACAAACTGCTTCAGCAACCTTTTATGGTAGAACCCTGAATGGGCTTCGTTCGGAGATTGTTGGATCGTCACCAGAGGACCTGTCAGATAATACCATGCTGGCAGTGGGTCTACTATGCAAATATGAGATTGTTCGAGGCAGCGTCAAACAATGGGTTGTGCATCTCAATGCGCTTCAGCGCCTGATCACCACCCGCGGAGGCCTGCATTCAATGGATCCAGATGCAGCGCATTTCTTAAGAGGACTGTATGTTTGACCAATGAGGCTATATTGTCATCAGAGACTAACAAGAACTCAGATATTTGTATGCATATAATATGGCCCGGATCAGCAACCGCAGGCGAATCACTGCTGCAGAACCCTCTCCGGCAGAAACAGACCTCGGCGCGCCTAGACTGGATATCTACATCGGATACACCGAGGAGATCCTCGGTCTATGCGCACGCATCGCAGAGCTTCCATCCTTGGGAGATGATATAATATCCCTGCGTCTGGCAATAGCCTCAATGTGCGTAATTCCATCTCTACTCAGCCTTATGAATATTAACCACACACTAACGATCTTCTAGAAATGAATCACTCCTCACCTGGTCTCACACTTCCATCCCTTATACTATTCCCCAAGGCCTTACTTCCGCATCACTCGCGCGCCTCCAGCTCGTCGCTGAATGTTTCCGCGATGCAGGATTCATCTACCTGCACTCAATCCTCGATCACATGAGCATCAAACAAATAAGCAAAGATTCTTCTTCCGAGCTATATGCTACACACTGGGCATCTCTTATTTCCATCCCAAAGTCTACTGCTGTGCATCGCTGCCTTGAGCGCGTGCAAACTTTCCCTTTGGATGATCATTGCGAGTATTCGGCTCTCACGTTCCCACTGTTTATTGCCGGGGCTGAGAGTGATGTGTTCGCACATCGAAGTCTTGTCACTCAATCGCTTGCAAAATTGCAGAATAATTTTGGCATTGGAAATGTCAAGCGTGCGGCGGAGGTGCTTGGGATCTTGTGGGCAAGAAAGGATGCGAATACTCTGAATGAGGCTATTCAGACAGAGCTAGGTCCGAAACTGGATGTGCAAACCTCGCACTGGCTGGATATTTTGGAGGAGTTGAAGTGGGAGTTGATTCTTGCATGATCCCTTGGTTATCTCGTTGATTGGACTCCTTCCTCGTGGATCGACTTGCCTCACAACACTAAAAATTCTGTGTCCATGGACCATGGCCATTTGTGTAAATATAGTAATAACATTGAAGTCAAAAGTTGGAACCTTGGAACTGATTCCCAGAGCTGGATCAGAACATTATGGGAAAATGCACACATGTATATGGATACTACTAGTACAAATTACGATGTGTAGTAGACGGTGGTTCGTAACCGTGTTCTGTCCGTCCTAAACAGTTTTAGTCCCATCATTATATACTTAGAAGTTACTTCTTCCATTTCAATTGACACCTGAGATACACTCATCACATATGCACCTCACTGCCACGGAATCACTCGTCCTATAACAACTCATCAAGTCGTCTCTTACAAGAAGCGATTTCACCGAAGCCATCGCTCGAGCCGCCGAAGAGCGGCAAGCAGTATGTACACATGCATGCATATAGTAGACATCTCGACTAGGCACATCTTAATTCCACATATTCTTTAATCCCAGATACATAGATCTGTAGGTGCTCGCGGTCTACATATGTATCAAGCATGGCCTCACTCAAGTGCTCAAGATATGTCTAATGTTTCAATTCCACCTTCAGAATCTTGAAATCCTATCAAACCAAGTCGAGCATGGCCTCAAGTAGGAAGATCAATACCACCTACCTAAGTAAAGTTATAACACATACTATACATGTAGTAAAAGTTCATGATTTTCATAGGCGACGCGCGATTTGAACAGATGCAATGGACGTGGAGTTAAAATTATGTATACCACCTATACTATGGCATAGTGCCAATCCACAAATTTTCCCGAATCACGCATAGCCTACTAAAATTATAGTCACAGTCTTATTTCCACAGCCTCGAAATCGCGCGTGGTCCACCAAAATTTCAATGCACTAGTAGACTCCTAGTGCTAGCACAACCGTTATTTTATTTGTTGATTTGAAAAGATTTTGGTACCTACTAGTAGGCATGTAACCCTTTGTTCCACATGTTTATATGATTGATGCAAGTTAATATGTGATGATCTTCGCATGTGGTCTTATATTTAGCATTCAATATACAACCTTGGCAAGGGATCATAACTAACTAGTAGTAGTAGTTGTGTGCCCACTACGTACATACTCAGGTGGCTGTCTACAGTACTGAGTGGACGGAATTAGACAAAAACATCAAATGCCACCTGCACATGTGCATGTGCCCAGGTGGGCACATGATGCGCCTAAGCATATATACTATATGTATTGCAATTCAGAATCAAGACAAAAGGTTGTTACAAAATCACCTTCGAAACCTACCAGCTCGCATTATTTATTATTGTTTGTTGTTTTACCCTACTCAGATATCCATTTGAGCGATGCAAAAAAAAAGAATATGTTGATACCAGCTTCAATCCTGGAACCTTGGAACTATTGGGTATTTGGTATTTGAACAATCCGAGCAACCTTCATAGCAAAGTGATAGGCAGCACACTTCATAAACATTTGAAAGAGAGTATCCGAGAATCAAAATTCGAAAGTCGTTTTGAGGAGACATCAAAAGACTGAACTGAGTCAGCTCAGCCCCATATTCACCTCGTCACTTAACCCAAATTCACGCTCTGCCCTTTCGGTCCCATCGGCAGCTCGGATTGACCAACGGTCAAGATGGTCTTGCTCTCGTTCGCGTTGGCTGGCACTATCGCTCGTTGCGACACTGCCCTCCCGGCCATGGGACTTCCGGGAGCCTTGAATACTTATGGGACGCGACGATGCAGATCGTGTGCTTCCCGCCCCATCGGCATTCGCTCCAGTAGAGCGGCCAGTATCGGGTGACCCGTCACTGGTTGTATGATCCTTTTCTTTGCCACTAAACCAGCGTCGACGTCGGTTCTTGAGTGGGGTGGTGGACGAGAGGCTGATGCGGTCGGCATCGGTTTCCTTTCCGCTATCTCCTTGCTCTCCTCCTTGCTTTTCTTTTTCAATTGCTTGTGTGAGGTTGGATACGGTTTCCTCGGAGGCATTTGGCTCGTCATGATCCACGTCGACAAGCTCTGCATCGCGGAACCATTTGCGGCGGCGTGTGTATCGGTCCCATCCATCTTGACCACGGCGTCCATCATTCCACTGCGATTTGTTAGATATACAAATTACTTGGTTTGAGATTCTGGATGAATGAATACCTTGTTGTCATAGTAGATCCATCCTTCACTCGTAGCCTTGGTTTCTGACTTGCCGGTGGTTTCTCCACCTTCGATGCGCCACTCGGTTCCTGACGCCCATCGCCATTTTGCGTCACCTGTCCGGACATCCGGTAGTTCGAATGAGTCCTTCGACGGAACAGGATTCAAGTGCTCATCTGTCCAGGCGCCACGCTCCGATGGGAATAGCGAGTAGGTCCATCCGATTCCGAGCCAACGCCGTTGGTTCTCGTAAACAACGAAGGTGAATCGAACTCCGCCAGATTCCCTTCGGCGTTTGGTTGAAATGTTCAACCCCATTCCCTGAGCTTGGGCCTTTTGGGAGTTGGGTGGGGGCTCGGTGACCGACAATCCTGTGACCACGGCACACAGCCGGCGTACAAGACGAGATCTCCATAAAATGACGCGTGAGACCCTTGCGGGTCGCGAGTGGTAGGTAAGAACGACGGTACCGACAGTGATGACGATACGGCGTGTGGTGATCAGGTAAAATGGGGGGAGAGTCAAGGCGATCCAAACTGGCGTTACGAGAAGGATGCGAATAAATAGAGCTATCAGCGCAGGTCGGGTCGTTGCTGATGTTGCCGTCCGTTGTGTGGACAAAAAATCGGTCAAGTCTAATAGGGGCTCCAGGAGTATATTGCATCTTGCGGTCAAAGTGCGTAACGTCTCAACGATATCGTCTAGACTTTTTTGGTGGCGGGTGGTACTGTCCGTGGAGGGGCTGCGCTGATGCTTTTCACCCGTTGAAATCGTTGATGACAAAGGTGAGTATCGCCTTCCATACATACCCAGGATCAGCCCTACTACAACGAGTAAAGGGCCTGCCCAGAGAATGATGGCGTCACTGTACAACACCACTGCCCAGAAGGTGGCCACGAGCAAAAAGCTCTGCCATGGGTCTCCAGTGGTCCATGTTATAAGACCCACAAATTTGTTTAATGGGAGGAGGAAGGGGTGTGAGTAGGCTAATGCCCTGGTTATGGCGGGTGGTGTGGCCACCAAGAGTGGTGATTTTCGATGCACGATGACGCTGGAGCGCTGTCGCGACGTCAAAGCCGAGCCAGCAATAGTGGAGGGAGTAAAGGCAGCGACGGTAGGTGGCTGGGAGTCAGGATGGCCATGATCCTGGGCGATAGATGAGGGGGCCATGGAATCTATCCACGGAAGATCTTCTGTAGGCACATGAGCATGGGTGGATGAGAATATGGGGAAGGCTATATAGCTTGAAGCCCGCCAGGTCAGGCAGCCAGAATCATTCTGCAACTTACCGAGAGCTGCCATCCAATTACAAAGGCTTCATGGAGGAAGTGAATGTGCCGCCGATCAGCAGGCAGGCACCCATGGTCTTTATAGCGTTTTTGTTGAGAATCGAGGTTCGTTCGGTCCAAGTTGATCTGCGGGGAGTCGGAGGACATGTGACTGTGGGTGCGTTGCATAACAGACGCTCGTAAACAAGAAAGACAAAAGAAAAGTTACATTTTCATTAAGTCTCATAACTTATTTGATCGTTTTGATGAAATTTAAGTTGTTTTATTAGGTCTCATGTATTTCTAATATACTATAATAAGCCATGTTGAAATCGGGCCCCATAGATCCAGCTCCCCCGACCTGCCGACACTAAAACGCGCAGCCGAAATTTTCCCTTTCTTCCTCTCTTCCACCTCCTTGTGATCTTCGCATTCGGTCCTCAACGCCTCCGACATGGTATGTTCCCCAACCTCATTTTCAAGCCTGCTATCCGTTACTTGTTGAAAAGAAAGAAATTAATCAAATTTTCAATTGCTCCATAGGCTCATCGCATCGTCACCCAAGTCGTCGTTACCGGAGCGCGGGTCTTCGGCCGCGCTTTCGCCGAAGCCTACAGACAAGCCCAGGCTTCCGGAAAACACAAGGCTGTGAAGAAGGCCGCCGGAGTTACTTCCTCTACCCTGGCCCTCGATGAAGCCTGCAAAATCCTGAACGTCAAACCCCCCGTCGCCGGCGAAGCTGGCACCGCCGAGCATGTTATGGAGCGATTCAAGAAGTTGTTCGACATCAACGACCCTCAGAAGGGCGGTAGCTTCTACCTGCAGAGCAAGATTCTGCGGGCACGCGAACGCATAGAGATGGAGATCCGCGAGGCCGAACGCAAGGCCGCCACTGAAAAGGAACTTAGCGAAGGCTGGAAGCCCAAGGTCTACAAGGACCAATGAAGAGGACACGCCTAAAGCGCGATCCGGATTACCATTCCGATCTCGCTACTCCCACGCGATCTTTCCTCCCTACGTTTGCGTCGACGTCCGAGCATATAATTTCGCATTTTCGCCCTCGAAAAGAACCCCGGATTTCCGCTCGACTCTCTTGATTTGGCATAGCATGGCGTTTGGGTTATTACGGGAGAGAAGTTGATTGCTTTGTTCTCTCCCTGATTAGACTGGGGGATTTGATTCCTGGACCTTCATGTCTTGTGGAAGGATACTCCGACTGCACTGGAATCGGTCCCTCTGGCCTTCGGGTCTTGTGTATACCACCACCCTGTCTCTTTTACAACCTTGTCGACCCCTTCTCCACTCTGACTTGGAAACATTATGTACTATAACTGTATACTTGCACATGCGGAATGTTCTTCCCATTTGAATCGATCACTTTTGCCAGTACTTTCGTTACTTTTATTTTTTATTTTTTGCCACCGCCGGCCCTCTTGTCATCCTTAGGAACACATACACGGTATATCGGTAATCAATAGCGCAATTCCCGACAGTTACGCTACGGCGGGACTACTATGCTATCGACCTGTTACTTAGGCTCACTGAGACTTTCACCTTGCTAATGGTGAATATGTGAAGATGTCCAGCTAATCGCCCCCGCCATGGCGCCATCCCGATGTGGACAGAGCCGGAGGGATTTCTCACGGATCCGGGTTAAGTGAATGACAAGGACTCCACTCTTCTACCACAAGCCTCGATCGATCCTCGAGATCTCAGCTATTTGAAAGGATTTATTCAATTTTTAGCAACACCCCCCCCGACTCAATTGACAACAACAGACCTGACGGCCGATTGCCCACGCTCTCCGAACGCAAAAATATGCGGCCCTCTACCCCACTGTCGGCGGCCCTGCCCCCGCTGGTAATGGGCACAGCAACCTTCAACTCGCAATACAACGCAGACCCATTTGCCCTCCCAACAACAGAGCTTGTCCAGCGCGCCCTCAAGCGCGGTATCCGCGCCTTTGATACATCTCCCTACTACGGCCCTGCCGAAGAGCTCCTCGGCCGCGCCCTTGCAACCGACTTCGTGCAATCCCACTTCCCGCGCGACTCCTACCACATCCTCACAAAAGTCGGCCGTGTCGCATCCTCCACATTTGACTACTCGCCAGTCTGGATCAGACACAGTGTGCGCCGCAGTCTCCAACGTCTACACACCTCCTACTTGGACGTCGTATACTGCCACGACGTTGAATTCGTCTCCCCCGCAGAAGTTCTAACCGCCGTACGGGAATTGCGCCGCCTCCGCGATGAAGAGGGTCTGCTCCGCTATGTCGGTATCTCCGGCTACCCCGTCGACGTACTGAGCGATCTCGCCGAACTTGTCCTTCGCGAAACAGGCGAACCGCTCGATATCGTCATGTCGTATGCGAACTACACACTCCAAAACACCAGATTGCGATCAGTCGCGCTGCCTCGCCTTCTTGCTGCGGGTGTCGATGTCGTTCCGAATGCCTCGCCGCTTGGTATGGGACTGCTTCGTCGTGATGGCGTGCCGATCGGCTCGATGGGCGACTTCCACCCTGCGCCGGATGCGCTGCGCCGTGCTATCGGTGGTGCGGCCGAGTGTGCTGCTCGCCATGGAGAGAAGCTGGAGGTTGTTGCCATTCGCTTTGCGCTGGAGTCGTGGTTAAGAGCTGGAGCTAAGGCTGGAGCCCTCGGGGCGCCGTTGGCGAAGACAGCGGATTCCGATGCGGGGTTCTTGTCCATTGCTAATCTTGGGACTGGCAAGCGACTTGGTGTCAGCGTTATGGGAGTCAGCAATATTGAGGAATTGGATGAGACGCTGCGTGTCTGGCACAGTATTGTCGATGGACTGGAGAACTGGAATGACGATGACGACCACGATATCGAGAGCAGAATCCGATCTGCTGGTTCCTGTACCCCCAGTCAGGATGGAGTTGTTACCGGTGCTGTTCCTTCGTCTGCGACACACGCCTCTAACATCCTTACTCCCTCCGAAGGTCTTATCACCGATCACGTTTGGTCTCGGGAGCGTGAGGTTTATATTCTGCAGCTGGCGAAGGAGATTCGGGATATCCTGGGTTCACAGTGGGTAGACTATGTGTGGGATAGCCCTGGTCCCGATTTCCAGAACTATCTGCCTGATGAGCATATTGCTGCTTTGCAGAGGATTGTTGCGGAGGAGGCTGGAGGGTTGAAGGACGTTCCTGGTGTTGAGCCTAGTGGGTTTGAGGCCATGCCCACGCCGCCGTTGGATGCAGAGAAGCAGCTTGCTTAGGCGCTATCAACATTGAACTTGAAATATAAAGAAGCCGGATAATTGATTCTTCGGCTATGATGCGATACACATTTATACACGAGTGAACAATTGATCGAACTTAATGACATTCCTACACATGTTTTAATCAATATTTTATTCAAGAGCTCTATCAAAAAGAGGATTTTCCAGGTGTAGGTCCGAGCAGGACTAGACCTCAGACATCTGGACTGGTTTTGAAGTGCTGTATTGTCACCCTATAACGAAACCAGCATCAATTGATTAGATGTATCCATGTCGGTGTTCAATGTTGGGGCCGATCACTGCACATGTGCCCAGTTGGGAAATACCCCAAGGTTCCAAGGTTAGTCAAAGACGAGATACCCGAGTATATCGATCGCAGCACTAAGTGTTCAAGGAGGCTCCAACCTGCTTTCTCTATGCATCCAGTCCTCTCCAAGAACACACATATAGTAGTTTCTTGATGAGAAAGGAGGATTGGAAAGGGGGAGGCGGGAAAACTCCCGTAAATAAACAGAAAAAAGCCAACCTTGTCATGCGAATGCAATTACTCAGGTCTTCGGCGATTTCATTCGATCACTAATAACTCATCACCGTTATATAAAAAGTGGTATCGATTCCGTCGCGGTCGAGAAGGGCGGGTCGGGGCCGGGTTGGGACTCGCAATATTTTGGGAATCGATTGATGAGTGCGAAACGAGGCACCGAGACGACCGATTCGAAACCGCGGAAGGAACGATTGCCGAAAAGAGCTTCCACTTGATGAGATTGTTAGCAATTTCAAGGCACAGTTTAGAAGCAAGGAAATAATTCTGGAGACCTGGATTCTTAATTGGAAGCATAAAATCTCAAAAAAAAAACTAAGGGCATATGTCACTGATCATCGACGCAGCTCCAGGTTGGCTCCTTCGGACAAAACTAATAATGGGTATCACCTCGAACATATCGAAACTAACGGATCAGGATATCAATCATAGGCACTCTTCATCAAAGTCATGGTCTACCGAAAAGTCAACGGATGACTGTCTGTCGGACTTCCTCTTGCGCTCTCGCCTAGGGTGAGTTGGGGGAGGTGGTCCCGGTGGCAGGGGAGGGGCAGGAGCTCGTGAATACGGCGGGGGCGGTGGCGGAGGAGGTGGTGGTGAAGAGCCCTTTCGGTGTCGAGCAAATTGGGGCGCTTGCTCAAAGAATTCGCGCAACTGGTATCGCTGCTCGTCATATTCGTCAAAGTTGGCCCCAATGATATCTTTCAGCATGCTGTTGTATGGTTTGTAGGTTTCCAGTGCCCTTTTCAAGCTGCGGTGGGCATCTTTAAACGCACGGAAGATGAGTGGTATCTCCTTGGTGCCACCGGAAATGTCATTGGAAGGGTTGTTGGGATCCTCAATCATTAACCGATCTGGGTTGCCGAAGTACTGTGTAGATTAAGAGTTAGTCGCTCGAATCAAAACTGTCGAGGTAGAGATTCGTCTTACCTTGGTATAGTATGCCGGCGGGTTCAGTCGAATTCCAGTGGTCTGGTAGTCAAACTCGTTGCCGTAGAAGTTGAAGAAGTTCACCAGAATAGTTCCGGCATTTTGTTGGTCACTCTTTGGCATGTGTTGAAGGAGACTGGTTACCAGGCAAGTGATTGAGAACCCACCAAGACCACCAGTCGGTACCTCATGTAATCCTCGGAGGAGTAAAAATTGTTTGATGATGGATACGATTATCGGAATTATCGGGAACTCGCTCTTCCAGGCCTGGAAGGTGTTGTTGGCGACAAGACCGCTATCGTTGTCGAAAGACAAATCCACCTTGAGTCCAGTCAACCGATCAACATACTTGAGAATTGGGACGCGGGCATGAGCAATGGTTTCAACAGTTCCAGGGATCGCAAGGTTCTGATCCCTGATGAAAGCCGCGAATGAATAGATTTGTCCCTTCTTTTCGCCATAGTATTTTCTGCCCATGTCTTGGAAGCCCGCCGACAGAAGAACAAGATCAATATCAGCAACAGGAAGATATAGTCCCGACGCAAATGAACCAAATGCAAGTATTTGAACTCTGCCATAGCGTCTCTGAAATGCAAGTCGTAGACGATCTACCAGGTCGGCTCGGACGATTTGCTCGTAGTCATGTGGTTTGACAAAGTTGTAGAACGCAACAATCTCGAGATGCAATCTGGATTTGAACGGTTAGTCAGAGCCGCGTTGAAGTTTGGAGTTTGGACCAACCTTGTAGATGGGTTCTTGCTCTGCTCGGTTTTTGATAACCAAGGCGTGGGGTTTTGGCCATCCGATGGCAGCCAGTCTCTAAGAATGGAACCATTTGAGTTGAATTTCGCCTTGGGCTTGCCAACTTGAAATCTTGTTGGAAAGTTTGTAGACTGTTCATCACGTCCGCGTTTCGTCGCAGCTCCTTTGATCTCCATGCCTCTGGGGCCCCTGGGTGCGTTTTCTGGAGCCTTGTTCTCCGTTTCTTCCGATCCCGCAGATTGATTCATGGTGCCTAGAGATATGAAGTCCTCATTGTCCACTACCGCGGTGTTCTGCTTAGCCTCGCCAGAGCTGGCCAATCTTGCCTTGCGGATCAATTTGACAAAATCCACTCGTTTGTGTTGACTTTCATCCGGTGGGGGGAGCGCAGTGTAGGGATCGGGGTTGGACCACTTGGGGGTGGGGATGGGAGGAGGAAGAGGAAGTGAGACTGGGGACTCATGACCATCAATTCCTACGGCGCGTTTTTTGCGGGGTCGGTGTTCTTCATCAGAGTCCTCAGAAAAATCCATCTCGGCCTCTTCACTATCGCTCAGAGAATTTAAAGACGCAAACTTAAGTGCAGGCTTCCCGCTGCCATCTTCGGCCTGTAATTGTTCTGGCGTTGTCTCCCGTTTGGTACTCAATAACGGGCGTTCCGCAGTAGGGCGCGGTGCACGAAATGTGAACTCGTGCCTGCCCCGTGAGCCTCGATGATAGTCTCTAGGTCTACCACGAGTATTCCTGTCATTTTGAAGAGCATTGCCACGAAATTGAAACGGAGTAGGCATAAGGAAACGCGTGTACTGGGCGCTCTTGTGAAGATGCGATTGGGATTCCGAACAGGGATAATTGTAGATGGTCGCGATGCGATAAATGACGATGTAAGCGACAGTGATGGCGGTGATGTCAATTCCCTAAGTACACATAGTATATAGCGGAGCCCTACACTTGGGGGAAGTTGCGAAGGTGGCAGTCGAGTTAGGAATGCGCGTAAGTCAAGAATCCAAAAAAATTAATGTGCATGTGCTTATTTGGCAGTTCAATATTGTTTTACAGATCTAGAAGGCGGTGAGCGAGGCTATTCAGAGACCGTGCAAATGGAGTTTATCTAGGGCTTGGCCGCCACTTGCACAAGGGGTATGATCACAATTTTTAACTGCTGTGTGATTTGTGTAGGCCTGTGTCTAACAAGCCTACAAGGTCTTTTTGTGCCGCCAGTTCTGAGAAGCTAACACGATCATGTACCCAATGTAACCATCCCAGCGCCCTCGCACCCACTCCATGAAGGAGGCCTATGCTAATGTCAATCAACATTGGCCGGCCTTCATCATGCCAGAAGGCAGTCGCTCCGCACCGACTGCAAAACTCACGATATACACGGGCAGAGCTTGTGTAATGCTGCAGGGTTCCGAAGTCAAATTCCAATGGTCGACCGCTATGGAATATATTGGATTTGGGCACGAATGCCCACGCCTGGATGGGAAATCCACTACCCAGTCGACAAGATGGACAGGCACAGGTACCTGCAAGATACTTAGTAGTATCTCCTGCTCGTAGCCACCATTTGATATCATTCGGATTGTCCGAAGACTCGGTATGATACGGAACCAAAAGGTCGGGCCATGGAGATGATGCCTGAAAGGAGGAAGCATCAGGGCGAGTCAAATTGAACTTAATGCCGCTGCAATGGCATTGTGCATGTAACTCATCCAGGTTCGATGGAGGGCTTTCTGAATCTGAGGGTGCTTTCTGGGTGATAGCGTTTTTTCCAGCAACGGCTTTCAGCCTACAGTCAATATTCGTTATCGGTCCAGGGAGAAATGTCTTCAATCCCCCATCTTGAGCATCATCCACTTTCCAGTGCTGGATTGAAAGAACAGGTGGTGCATCTTCCGCAATTAAGGTCCCAGATGCAACCAAGTATTTCTCTCCCGCCTGCGCAAATATATGACTTCCACAGGTTGGACAAAAGAAGCGGCTCACATTCGTAGATTCCCGGTATTCTTGGAGTTGATCCACGGCTGGTACATCCTGCAGGAGGTAATATGATATGCAGAGTGATCCAGTTACTGAGCGACAGCTGTTACAATGACATAGCTGGAGCTGAGTGTGGTCCACAGAAGGATCCAGATGGACCGATAATGCGACGCCTCCGCACAGGCATGTAACCGAGGCGGCCATGTAGTGAAACAAGCGGCGCGTTCTTTTTTTTGGGGGGGGAGAATATCGCATAAAATCCAAATCAATCCAATGATATGAAGCTATTGCGCAACCTGTTAATTAGCAGTTTCCCGGTTGTCGGATACTTTACCCATGGAGTGAGATCGGTCAGATCAAACGCTTGTTGCACAGACAAGTTGCGTCAAAATATGTGCTCATGCGGGGCTAAAGCTGCATAAATGCGCTCTTGGTCAAAAGGAAACTCACATTTGGAGTAGCGAAGTAAAAGATGAGAAAATAGTAGAGTCACATCCCGCCAAGTCACGAGGGCCCCGTATTTATAAAGTCGCGGAGTTCCACCTCTTCTTCCTCTTTCACCATATCCAAATTTCCCTTACCTTTGTTGTAATCTGTCAACTCACTCCATCTTGACTCGCTAAATTCTGCATTACTTCATCTTCAAAATGGGTAAGTCCTCCCCTTGTTGACAAACAACCGGAATGAGCAGGGTCCCCCTCATGCAAGATACGGGGAGCGGGGTCATGGCGGGGGGAAAGATGACCACGTATTTCCACGGATATTTGCAATTGTGATTCTAACCACAACTACAGGTCCCGATCACACTTGCAGCTGCGGCGCTTCTTGCCAGTGCCCTGCCGGCGCGTGCCAGTGCCCGGTAAGTTATGTGAAATTGTTGTTGCTGTCAGTCTTTGGCACTTGCTAACCTTGTGTCTTGTCAGAAATAAATCACCCGGGGTTTCCATTCCCTCAATCGAGTTTCTTCCCTAACTCTTGCTCATATTTCTTCTTCATGACTTACGACTTGGATTCTTCGGGGATGAAATGATTTGGAGAAGGTCTAGTCCGAACTAGACCGGTGGATGACGCCGGATGAGGGAAGGCAATACAACAGCAGTGATATTTTATTTCCCCAAAACAACAAAAAAATCATTTTAGTCGATCACTCTTAGTCAATTTTGACCATTGGGCGGTCCCTGATCTACTTTTATTCCTCTTCACCAAGTACCTTGTGGGCACCGGACCCAATGTTTGGAATATTTACAGTGTAGTTTCGCCGGGCAAGACAAGCTTAATTGCACTGCAATCTGCAAAAGGAGGTTCGACTCAACAAATCTGGCGCCATATCGCACCTCTACAGCTATCGAGATTGAGAATCTGCAAGTTTTGTTGCACATGTGCGATGTAGTACTCGGGTATCAGCTGCCTTTGCTCGGATCTCAACTTGGAAACCAGTGGGCATCGGCCACATAAACAAGAAAAGGCCCCAACTCACTCTCGTCATAGGTATCACGGACCACTCTCTTCCAGACCTTCTTCACTTTACCCTGATTCGACAGAGACTCCACACTGCCACGACCCAATTTCCTTCGGCTTGCGCGGCTGGGCCTTGCCGAGTGAGTCTGTCTCGGTCACGGGAAATCATAGTCCTTTACCATCTTGTACCAGGGTCCAGGATACTGTAACAACATGTTCGAAATGGGCAATACGATTGCAGCGGAGTTTCGGTTATTCTCTCGGAAAGTTTGATCTCTGCAAGAATCTTTCTCCAGCCAATAACATGCTACCTTGCTGCATATTAAGAGGGTCCGTGGCACAGGCAGAGTATGATATGCTCCGTAGCTTCCAGTTCCAAGTTCCAACATACATGCAGGATAAGAAGGTCCACTTTTCTCTCTCGGGCAACTTACACGGCTTGTAACATTATTACAAGACTCCTGTATCGGGAGTGGGCCGGAAACGCCCAGTCGGAGAAGGATCTATAGCTCCGTTCGAAGGGCAAGTTGTAGCTGGCGGTGAACGCTACTACGTAGCGGTAGGGCAAGTTCCTGTAGCTCCGTGTTATCAGATGCAGCCTATATGATTTCTACTATTACTCGGGGAACTCCCTAGACAGCGGCCTAATTCCGTATTTTTCTCGGGTTGTTTCCTTGATTCTGTGCTCCGTACCTAACTGCTGATCCCTTTCACCCGGGATATTCCTTTTGATAGCCATCTGGGCCTTTCGCTATGTCCCCTTCTACCACCTACTGTTCCATGTCCCTGGCTTCTTTCAGGCAACTGGAACAATAAGAGCCCACGAAGCAAGCACTTGAGAGCCTCTAAGTTTCAATCGATTTGGGTAAGGCGTATACTAAGCACCAATAATACGGAAATGAAATGGGTTCACCAATGGGGCATTATAACGCCCCTCCTCCAAGGTCCTCAATCCACGCAAACCCCAGCCTTCTCATAGGCTGATATTCCAGGAAATGCGGCCCTGCACCGCTGCTGGCGCCGAAAAAGAAAGTAAATTAAAAAAAAATAGTCATTTCTCCCCACTCCATTCCGGGCGTAACACTTTAAACTCAGTATTGTGTATGTCATGACTGCATTCATGAGGTAATGAAGAATAGGCCCGTCCCGAATACTAGTGGATCTGTACGGAAATCCGAAACATGCTATGACATGCCCAGGTGAGGGATGAGAGAGGGTTCAAATGTTCATAGCACTTGAGTACTTGAAAGTTGAAATTGATCCCAGGTCCATCTACTACATCGCTATCGGTACTTTGAAAGGGGCTTGTAGGTATCGTATAGTCTCAAGCCATATTGTCTACGGGTACAGCCGTGGACCTTATCCATGGATGCAGTACGGAGACCTGAGTAAATATCAACGTAGTATAAATGGTACGTACGCATATGTGGTAAGTACCTCAAAACGCCAAGTATAGCTCCGCAATCGTAAGACCGCAAATATGCGCGAAATAATTCTTGCAAATTAAGGATATCTGCCCAATATCAAGCCACCGTAAGGAACAGAACGGCGCATGGAAAGTGGGTCTAACTTTCAGTACACTTGTCAGTGGTCACTGGCAGATAATAAGGCGACAACCTCACCTCTCTCTTTGCCCCATCACATCCGTCAAAATCGAATAGCTCAAAGGTGTACATGTATTCCTATTTCCTACGTACTAGTAAGGAGACATATATTAGCCAAAATACAACATGCTAGTAAACCGCATACCGCATTCCCGGAGAAGAACAAGGATGCCCGCTCAGGCCTATATATCCCATCGTCATCTGCATGAACCTAACCGATCTGAGCTTCGCCAGCAGCCTGATCGTCAGATGGCAGAGGCAACACCGATGCAAGACTCCACAAAAAGAAAACAGATCGGAGCAAACTTTTTGACCCCACCTCGCCTGGGTCCGACAGCAAGGCTTCAGTGATGATTGGTGACCCGGGCTGATCAAACGTGCCTTGATTGGAAGCAGCGTTAGAGTTGCCCTGTCGGTTGTAGGCGGGTAGCGCGTGAATTCAAGTTGTCACTATTAAGTGGAGAATGGAGAAGAGGGGGCCACTGTATGGTCTTACACTTGCAGTCTGTATTGCATAGCGGGCCCATTTGACTCGACCACGCGATGCATAGGAGGGGTTTTGCTTCTTCTTGACTTGGATGTGGATGCGCTGATAGGACGATGCGCTGGTATTATTGGAGAAAAAAAAGCCAAAAAACAGAATAAAGAAGGCAGAACAAGGCTCCCGAAAGGGTCGGCAGGGTATCGACAAATGAGCTCTATTCGTAGATCCAACTCCGGCATACGTTGGGAAGAGGACGTGTTTACTTGCCCTTCGTCAGTGAAGCTCGTAGACGGGAAAGTGGAAGTATAAAGCCACTGCCATATCCCGCCTCCTACACAGATCTTCTTTTATCCAAGCTCACCTGAAGTATCCTCAAATCGATTTCCAACCCAAACCAATCTTTTATATCTCTCTTTGTGGTTTCATCCCCAAACACTTCAATCAACATGTCTCCCTGCACTTGCACCTGCTGCGCCGGCAACTGCAGCTCCTGCTCCTGCTCCAGCTGCACTGTAAGATCCTCACTGCTTTCTTTCTGTCTTGTTTTGAAGATTTACCTCCCTTGCCCTTGTTCCCTTTGGTTCTGATCATTCTACCAGCACTAAGCCAGCTCACACGCCCTCCTCGCCGCCGTCCTCCTCCAACTCGACAACCCATACCAGGCCTGGACTCCCGCTGCTTTCGAATTAGTGGGTTCCGATGACCTGACTTGATTTGTCGGGAATGCGCTTTGCTGTCATGATCATGTCCTATCTATTACTGGCTGGTCCGGGATTTAGGGGTCTTTTGGATGGGTTGGGTTTTTGTTAGGTCGGAAGACCTCGTATATGTCTGTGTATAGGGCTATAGCCGTGCAATCATAAATTATTGGAAATCATATCATGCTATAGTAAAGTAACAAGTTTCGGGTTACAGTAGAGTATTAATCAAGTCTCTGACAGTCAAGATGGAGTATTTCAGAGCCTCTTCTCATATCGCTTTGGTTCAGTGTTGCGGGGTTATATGTGCCTCTTTTATACGAATATGCTGGAGTAAGCTGGATAGCTCAAGGATTTAAATGATAACTCGCTGGAATTTACTTAGCACAATCATCTCTAGATGTAGGTTGGAAATCCCAAGTCTAGAAACCGTATATAGTAGAACAAAACAATCAGGTACTAATGCAATGGACCGATCAAGTCTTCAACTTTACAGCTCATCCTTTGAACGAGGCACATCATCTTCACCTCCACGGCAGACAGCCGGAGTAGTCACAAGCATAGAGTAAACACACTTTTCGTCCTCAGCAGTCTTCAGGATTGCATTTTGCTCACCACATTCCAAGACAACCCTGGTAGATCGGTTGGGACCATTCCAGCAGGACTGGCCACGCTCGTATTCCAAAGCGATCTTCTCAACGGTGACGACATCTCCGGCTTCGTTGATCTCCTCAACAGTCGTGATTGCGATCTGGGTGAACTTGCCCATGGATGTGACTGACCCACCCTTCTTTGCCACCTGCTTCGTTGAGTCCAAGAAACAGTGCTCGTATTTGTACTCGCCAGCATCTTTCTCAATGCATTGGCCCTTCAAAGCACGGAAAATACCCGCAGTACCGTAGTCCTTTTCCAAATCAGATCGCTGGTCACCGATTTTGTTGTTCAACTTTTCAAGAGAGCCTTGGGCGGACTTGAGTGCATCACGCGCCTCAGTCACAGCCTTGGATTCGGTAGAGGAATCAGTGTTGGGCTTGGCCAACACTCCATTCTCTTCAAGGAAAGCCCTCACAGAGATAACCTGATCCTCAATGAACTCGACTACGGACGGCGGAAGATAAGCCGCGAGCTTGTAAACTGCGATGTATTGTTAGCTTAATCGTAGAGTTGATTGGTTCGAAGTCAACGGTACCTAGGTCAGAATCGGCACAGCCGTCTTCTTCGTTCTCCCAGTGCTCCCAGTCGACACCGGAGTCCTTGTCGTCGGCCTTGACAATCTCGTCCAAGTCACGTTCCTTGGCATCGTTGATAACATCACCAAGATCACGAGCAGCATAGTCCTCCCAGCTACGCACAGCGCGCTTTACGCCCTCATCGTTGAAGTTGGGATTGTATTCAATCTTGAACTTGGACAAGATCTCCTCAAGCTCCTTCATTCGCTCGCGGGTCTCATCTCTCTGTTGGCGAAGCTCCACAATGCTCTCCCGCAGCTCGTCCACACGAGCCTTTGCGACACCGGCAAGCGCATTAACCTTGCCCTTGCCCTTGGTCCGAACAACCTTCCGGTCCTGCTCCTCGACGACCTTCAACTCAGCCTCAAGGCTCTGGACCTTGGCCTCTGCGACGTTGATTTCAGCCTCCAGTCGGGAAACGTTATCCTGGATGTCCTGCTCCTGTCGACGGGCTTCCACGAGAAGTTGCTTCTTCTTTTTCAAGGCCGCAGTCATAGACTTTTGGTTTGCTTCTTCCTCCTTGCGCCACTTCTTGCCGATTTCCTTGCATCGGTCCTCGCACTTGGTGCCTCCGGGACGAGCCCATTCATCGCTACCATCACAGCATAGCTCGTAGTCACAGATTCCGTCGTTGACGCGCTGGAATGGCACGTATGATGGCCGGTGACCCTTGTTCTTACAGTAGAACCCAGGCAATGCGAGCTCCAACTCCAAATCACTATGCCCGGGACGATCGGCCACCATCAGTGGGGAATTGCGCGAGAGGTGGGAACAGGCAGCAGTGCCGGGCTCGTCGCTGCCGTCGGGGCAATCACAGAAGTCATCATTGACGGCCGAGAAGGGGATCTGGACTGCGGGATTGGAGATACAGGTGAATGTTTTGGCATCCTGGTAGAATTTCGCAACTGTGATTGGAGAAAAAACGACAATTAGTATGTTTGATGCTCATCGTTTTCCATGGTACCTTCAAGTATAACGTCTATTGATGCCCGCCGGGCTGTGTGGACACCTCGTCCGGGGGTGGGGACCTAGTAGGATCTAAACACTCACATTCAGGTGCCACACCACGGGGGCGGGCAGTCTTGTCACTGCTAGCTCGGGCAGAGGACCCGGCCACCGCCAGCAAGAATAGCGACTGAGGGAGTCTCATGTTTAAGGCATTGAGCTGGGGAGAAGTGCGGAGATAGCTTTCGGCCAGCTGTTGAGATGCCCCCGGCCAATCTAATCGGGGCTTAGTAAGCCCGCTATCTCTTGCATCTTTATTCTTTATCGCAGTGGCAATCAGTCAATTTCACGAACTCGATCTATTAACTGCGCATTATCGTACCGCTTCGCTCAATATGGGTAATGACGGTGGAAGGTGAGCTATGGTCATGATCCAGCTTGCAAATTGTACAAGACGATATTGGGAAGCAAAAGCTAACATGCTGCATCAGTATCCCCACCCGCCGCGAACTCGTTCGTGAAGCAGCCCGCGCTCCGACCACAGCGCAACTAAAAGAAACTCAGCGCGAACAGCAAGAGCACGCTTGGAAGACCTGCCCACTCTCACACAAAGTTCTCGCTCGACCGATTGTGTCAGACTCTGCTGGGAACCTTTATAACAAGGATGCTGTACTTCAATTCCTAATCGGCGATGACGCCGAGGGCATCAGCTCCAAGTCTGACTGCGAGGAAATCCTCTGCGGACGAGTGAAGGCACTTAAGGATGTGGTCGAGCTGCACTTCGAGGTCGACACCGAGCTCACGGAGCATCCATCCGATAAAATCAATGCACACCGTCACGAGCGCCGCGAGGGCTGGATTTGCCCCATTACCGCAAAGCCTCTTGGCGCGGGTGTCAAGGCCGTCTATCTGGTACCGTGTGGGCATGTCTTTGCGGAGGAGGCAATTCGCCAACTGAAGGGCGATAGGTGCTTACAGGTAAGCGAGCCCAGTATTTCCCAGAAAGCAACAAGTCCTGGCATTCTGACATTTCTACTCTTCAGTGTGACCATGCCTATACCGAAGATAATATCATCCCCATTCTACCTACAAAGGAAGAAGATAAGCAGCGTCTTATTGCGCGTGGTCAGAAGCTCGCCGAGCAAGGCCTTACTCATTCGCTCAAGAAAGCCCCCGGTTCGAAGAAGCGCAAGAAGCACGCCGCTACGGAGGACTCGGTGGAAACTGCTCCCAAGTCGGCAGCTGAAGCTACTAATAATAGGAGCAACACCTCTACTTCCACGTCTGGTGGCAATATCAAGAATGCCGCAGCTGCGAAGATCGCCGCTCGGGTCAAAGATGAGCAAGATGAAAGGAGTAAAAGACAGAAGAGAGCGGGCCTCAATGAAAACTTGGATAGTCTTTTTACCAAAAAGGATGACAAGAAGAGTGCCGATTTTATGACAAGAGGATTTACAATTCCTACTTCTGCGCGAAGGTAGCTGAATGTTCTTTGTTTGTTGCATCTTCGTTTACAACTAAGGGGAGTTTTGCCTGGAGTTCAATAGGAGTTGATCACGGAGTCAATAAGAGCCATGGCTACATATGTATGTTTTCCTTACCAGATTTTAGTGCACTGATTTAGTTTACCTCAAAATGTATACCTACGTATTTGTCACACGTACATCCACGGATACTGTATTCAACTCAACTCTCAGTGTAACTTTGTAAGCTCTCGAGAATGGGAGTTGAGAGGTTGGAGTGACTGTAATGAATCAAAATGCAATTGAGCAAAAATAAAGTATTTCTAGTATACACGAATATATGATTTCCTGATATCAAAACAGGTCTCCCAACAAAGCTTGTGCTTCCACATCTAGTGCACCACAGTACACAGATCTTTACAATGGGGAGCAGCTTAAGCCTAAATCGCTAATTGCAAACCGCGTATTTGCGTTGATCAGGGAAGGAACCGTCCGGGCTTCACTGCTTTCTTATCCTGGACGAAAACCAGACCCTTGTTGTACATTTCTTCGGAGATGGTCTTCTTTCGGCCAAGATCCTCGTCGGTGTCAGCCTTGGTCAAACGTCTGCGGGTGAATTTGAGGTTGGGCGGGAGGTAACCAGCCGCGTTGAACTTGGCCAACTTTCGGCTGACGTTGATGGGCTTCTCCTTAAGTCTGGTGGAAAGGCCGGACACGAACTCTCCAATGGTGCTGGAGGAGCTGATAATCTTGTCTGGAATGCGACGACCGACGAGTTGGGAGAAACGCTTAGCGAACTGTGGGGGAAATACATGTTAGTAAGGATATCATTTGCTTGAAGCGAAGGATAGAAACGTACGGCAAACTTAATTTCGGAGTCGGTTAATGAGAGAGCCTGGTGGGGTCCTTGTGCAATGTCCTTCACGGGCTCTTGCTCGAGGATGAACTCCTCCAATGACTCAACGGGAGTTCCGGTAGTTTCGCCAATCTGAGCAAAGACGAAAGTAAGCGCCTCCATGGTCTTCTTGTTGGGGAAGCGCAGGGCAGTGCTCAGGGACTCGGAGCCCAAGACAACACAGTTATCAAGCATCTCTTGAATCTTGGGGTTGTGTGTAGGAATGGCGCAGATGCCAGTGAGGGGCTTGCCCAGGATCTTCATTAAGCAGATCTCAACGGCAGCCTGGTGAGCGGCGAGAGGAACAGGTCGGACCTTGACATCGGCATCGTAACTAGAAAGCCATCCAATTGGTTAGCAAATCAATGCCTGGCGGAACCCGTGATTTTTAACTCGCGGAAAATAGCCAGATCCAGAACATACCGGGTGTAGATATCAGTATCCCGGTTCACGCCCTCGGTCAGCCACTTCTGCTCCTTGGTGTGTCCAATAATAGGCAATCCATGCCAGGTCTCGGCCTGCACGTATTCGGAGCCCGACGCCAGGGATTCTCCCTGAGTCTCTCCTGCGGCAAGACCGCCCTCTTCCCGGACCAATTGAGATGTACCGGTGTACGGATCTTCTGCGCCCGGGGGCTTTTCTGTGTTCCAGAGTCGGCGTCGAGTCCGGTCGAGGAAGGAGTCGGAAGAGGCATTGCGCTGGATTTGGCGGGCGAGCGGTGACACACGGGGAATTGTGGTTTGTCTGCAGTTTGAGCACACGTATAGTGCTTCCCGCAGGGGGATACGCATGGCTGGGCGCATGTTTGTGATGTGTGATGGTTTTGATGTTATAATCGAAGCTTGGAACTTTTGCGCGGCGAAACAAATCTCGGGGATCACGTGAACAGTCTTGGCGTTGATAGCGTCTACTAGAAGTACTATACGGCTGGTACTCTTTGAAATTCCTTCTGGATAAATTGCAATTTTTTGGCAAGGAAATCTTCTGGGGATGTAAGTGCACGCTTTTATCTGTCAACTTGAACGTAGCGAGCCTTGAGTAACTCTTTTTTTGGTACTAGTAGTTATACTACTGTTGCCAGGATGTGCCTAGCGGACAGCTGATCGGCACTATGAAAAAGCTCTAACTAATACGTTACTATCTGGACTCTCTACACACACAATCGCACCAGACTATTCTTCTTTAGAGATCAATTTCTCGTCACTTAGACTTTTACCCAAGTGTGGTGAAATATATATACATGCTTCGCTGATATCGTACTATAACAAACCCATAGATCCGTACATCAAAAATTCAAAAATGGCCGAACTTTTCTTTTACTCGCGAACGAACATACCAGCCATACCCATGCCGGTACCAATGCACATGCTGACAACACCAATGTCCTGGCCGCTGCGCTCCAACTCGGGAAGCAGATCAGCAACCTGGCGGGCACCAGTGGCACCGAGAGGGTGACCGAGAGCAATGGCACCACCGTTGGGGTTAACCTTAGCCTGGTCAATACCCAGCTTGCGGACACTGTAGATAGCCTGGGAAGCGAAGGCCTCGTTGATCTCCCAGAGGCCGACATCGGGAACGGTGAGACCAACGCTCTGCAGGAGCTTGGGGATAGCGACAGCGGGACCAACACCCATCTCATCGGGAGCACAACCGGCAACAGCGGTAGCGATCCAGCGGCCCTTGATGGCACCGGACAGACCCAGCTCCTCGGCGGTGGAACGGCGCATCAACAGGGTAGCGGCGGCACCGTCGCTGACCTGGGAAGAGTTACCAGCGGTGCTAGCACCGTCAGCCTTGAAAGCAGGCTTGAGCGTGCCCATCTTCTCGGCGGAGATGTTGTGGCGGATACCGTCGTCCTGGGTGATGGTGACCTCCTTGGCAGGGGCATCGGGGTGCTCAGGCTCAAAGAAGCGAGTGGTGACGGGGACAATCTGGGAGTCGAAGCGGCCGGCCTTCTGGGCGGCGGAGGCCTTGGCGTGGGAATCAGCGGCGAACTGATCCTGGTCCAAGCGGGAGATGCCGTAGCGGGAGGCGACGTTCTCGGAGGTCAGACCCATGGGCATGATGCAGTCACGGGCGTCCTGGGAGTGGGACTCCTTCAGCTCGGGCCAGAGGACTGTGGGGATGGCGCGGGAGCCGTAGTTGCGAGTCATGTGCTCCATACCACCACCGACACCGATGTTGAGGGCGCCGGAGCGGATACCGTAGGACACGGCGGTGATGGCGGCCAGACCGGATGAGCACTGGCGATTGATGGTGTTGAAGGGAACGGTGTGGGGGAAGCCGGCATGGATCTGGCCCATACGACCGGCCTTAGCACCACCGAGCTCCTGCAGGACGGATCCAATGGTCACGTCGTCGATGAGGGCAGGGTCCAGGTTGGGGTTGGCCTTCAGTGTGGCGCGCAGAACGCTGGCGAGCAGCTCCTCGGGGTAGGCATCCTTGAAACCACCCTTCTTGGCGCGAGTGATGGGGGTACGGAGCGAGGAGAGAATGACAATGTCGCTAGGGGACTTCTGGAGCACCTGCTTCAGACCGCGGGGAATTGGGGAGGCCATTGTGTGAGTGTGTGTGTGGTTTAGTCTATTATAGTTGATTCTGTCGTGAAAGATTCGTAGATACCACCGAGATATAGTATTCTCGGATAGGTCGGCGTGAATTGAGGTTGTAACACTGTATGTGCACTGCAATGACCAAGAGTGGAGAGGTTAAAGAAGAGAAGAAGCAATTCCCCAAAAAATTCCCCAACAAATCCGCCCGAGGCAAGAGATTCTTAAGGGAAATGCCGGGTGGAATTCCGGGGTCGGATGCAGTGTGGTTGACCAGTCCCGTTGCCCGGCACTGAAGATCGGCTAAGCGCTCTGCCATCCATGTGGGGATTACACTACGTAGGAGAATAACCTTGCTTGGCTAGACAATGGCTTTCGGTGTTGTGGGCTAACGACTTTGTGTTCACAGATACCTACCTGATCAGGTACCCTGTGCTTGAGACTATTGTCGCTATACCGATGTTTTGTCATATCTCTACGCCAAAGTTGATTAAGATACACATGAATTACTTCGGATGATGAACGCCGACCGAAGTGCCGTCGGCTGCTTTGTCATCCAATTCGGAATCGGATGGCGGGATCTATGCCGAAGGTGAATGTGGGGATCCCGTTAGACATCTGCAGGCTACAGGCTGCATATGTGCATACACCATACATACTATGGAAATAGCGCCAATGGCGCCAGCATAGGCATTCTTTGGGAAATCCATTAGACATTAGGGGATAAGAATAGAATCCATTAGACATTAGGGGATAAGAATAGAATCCATTAGACATTAGGGGATAAGAATAAAATCCATTAGATATTAGGGGGTAAGAATAGAATCCATTAGACATTAGGGGATAAGAATAAAATCCATTAGACATTAGGGGATAAGAATAATGTCAAACTCTTCCTTCAGATACTGGATCGGGTCGGGTCCACCACGCAATCACAGCAATGTTCGCTTCATTTCAAGCAACTTGGAGGGCTTGGGATCCTCGAAGGGTCTGCCCTCCATGGCCTTCTTGAGTTGCGGCTTAGTCACAAGCCAAATGCGAACCGACATAACGACCTCAAATGCCTCAAGGTACGTTTGAATAAGAGCCCATTTCTCTTGGTTGGCAATCTTCTTCCCTTTGCTGGTCTTCCAATCTCTTTGCTTCCACTTTGGAAGATGCTCAGTTACTCCCTCAAACAAGTACGGGGAGCTGGTCTGCACAACAAGAGTGTGCACGGGAGAGAGCCGGTTGCTGAAATCGGGCTCAGCCTTCTCTGGCGAGGCGTTGCAAAGGATGTCATAGACTGATTGCAATACGCGTTGGAAGGCCTCCGATGTGGCGGTTTCAATAGTGAATGAGTCGTCCACATTCGCCAAGGTTTTCTTTCCGTTATATTTGTTATTGTGTCCGAAAACCACTTTCATCTCGTATGAAGGTCTCGCAAGCTCGGTAGGAGGGTTAGGTTCGAGGTTGAGCTCGTTGACAGGAACAAGTCGACTGTCGATGGCGGTGACTATGCAGCCGGCGTGGAAAGGAAATGCGTTGCAGTGCGCGCACTTGGTGTTTGCCAGAGGGCATGGCAACAGGGTCCATTCACCATTGAATATTTTGAGATCATCATACTTCCACCAAGTGGGGTAAAAGTCCACCATGAAGACACGATTGGGAATAATCTCAACGTTATCTGAAGCCTCAGGAAGTCCTCGGCGCGCATTAAAGCTCGGGAGTAGAGCAGGGTAATGGCCACCGACGCAGATTTGCTCGAAGCGGACCTATTAAACAAGATGGTATCAGTATAAGATCAAAGGTGATTTGTGGAGAAATGCGCTATACGAGCAATACATATCTTTAAGGGTATTGTCACTCATCCATACATTAGGCTTTCTCTTGCGGTTCTTCAGGACATAGGGGACTTTTCCCTTGATGATGTCGCCACTTTTGATCTCAAGCGTGGATGCAGACCCGGACTCGGGCTCGGGCTCCTCGGTCTCCTCGGGCTTCTCGGGCTTGGACTCGGGGGCGGGCTTGGGGCGCTTAACCACACCGCTGTCACAAACCAGGCACCGGTAGAAGGATGTATCCTTGATATCTTCTTTGGCATTGTCACCTTCTTGGGCATTGTCACCTTCTTGGGCATTGTCACCTTCTTGAGAGTTGTCAGCTTCTTGAGCCACATTATTATCCTGGACCTCGCTGTTGGCGTCAATGGCGTGCTGGGCCAAGTTATTTCCGAGCTGGAGCAAAGCGGATTCGTAGGTCTCTTCGGCTTTCTTAATATTCCGGAAATATTCCTCAAGCGAGACGCCTCCATCGCTCAAATCCTCGCTGTCACTATTATTTCTCTCTGATCTGGCACGGTCACCGTCATCGTGAGACGCGCTGTCCTCCATCTTGTTGACCATGATGTGGATTTTAGGAAATTAATGTAGACGAAAGAAACGGGTACAAAAATTGGTAGGGAGGGGCAAGAGTGGGATGGGGGGGGGAGAAAGTGAGAGTATACCCCAGAGATAAACAAAGGGATCGGTAAACCGACCCCGGGGGAGCCGCAAAAACGCCCCGCTACCTACTACTATAGAACACCGATTCTAAGCTTCCCATTGGAAGGGTCAATTACTATGTATGAGCCGCACGGACTGCGGGGCATAGATGGAATCTAAGGTTCTGCAATAAGCACGGATAATTTGATGTTCAATTCAAGATACAGATAGATAAAAGAAACATATACCCATATTGACGATTTAACAAAATATCATAAGAATGTAGTGCCCTCCAGGGCTGGTTCGGCTTTCGGACATGATTTAACGGAATATAATATGATTGTAATGTCCAGGCACACGATTCTGACATTTTTCACAGTCAGCCCGATACCCCATAGCAATATATGCTTTGCCCTGAGGAATACCCTTGGTATTGTTGGGACGCGCACGGGAAGGAAAAGGACCGAGAGGTGGAAGGTAGGGTGTAGGTGACGGAAGAAGACTAATTTCAAGAGTCTGCTTCTGCAAGGTTGAAGGGGCATAAACGTCAAGCACCATGTTTGTATCGCTTTGTGAAGGATGACCCTCAGAAATAGTATGAGCCTCATCTCCATAGGCCAGCAGGGGAGGATTGGCGTTAGTGAAATAGCCTTCAGATTCCATCATAGGCATATCTGTGGCTGCACCGAGGCCGTGCATTGCGACAGTTGTGGCGATACCGCCGGTGCCGCTTGGTTGCTGGATATTATTATTGTATATGTGGGACTGAGGGGTCACACCCATGTTACTAGCCAGAGTAACCGGGAATCCTATAGTGGAGTTGCTGGAATGAACAATAGGTGCAGAGGGTAGCTCAAATGAATTCGCTGCAGTACCGGTCGAAGTGAAGTGTGTATTCCATAGCTTTGGACCCACATTCTGATTGGAGGTACCTCCGAGGGCAAAGCCGGAAGTTATGTAAAGGTCGGTATGATCTTCGGTAAGAGGTTCGGTAAGCCCAGTGATGGGGTCACGGATTTGTCCTGGCTGACAGAGCTTCTGTAAAATGTGACATTAGTAGTGATAGCATGAGGATAGCGACGTAGAGTGCATGAGTGAGCTTTGATGTAAGCAATGCGCGTTCCGCTATATTAAATAGCGGAGTCCCACAGCGGAAACGTACCTTATTCTGCTGATCATTTTGATCGTCATCTAGCTGACGCTTTGCCCCAGGCATGATTAATGATTGGCCAGCAGGTTGGAGCCGATAGCCGCAGACCCGTGTGTAAGGATTCGGAGTATAGAAAGTGAGCTAGGTGTGAGGAGCCAGGCGTGAAGAAGTAAGGGTTTGATTGAAGAGAAAAGCGTTACTGTTGTATATTTGTTGTTGTTTTCTTTTGGCATTGGTAGAGATATACCGCCTAGAGAGATATGCGCGTTTCAGAAATAATGTAAATTTCCCTTAAAGTACTAGTACTAGTAAACGCGATCATGAAACTCTTCCATTCATTTGTTTGTTACTCTTTGTTGCCAAATTGGGGTTATTAAGGCAATGACTCAGCGACGGTCCGATGACTTTTTTTTTTTTTACTAAGCCTGCTTAAGGTCATACTAGCTGACTAAGTCAATCTTCAACATGTTCACATGTATCTCGAGTTAGGTACCTGTACATGGAAACATAGAAACACTGAATACCACATCCAGTCATTTGCCGTTTTTGGTTCTAATAGATCCAATTTTAAAGTCCAAAGCCGTGGGAGCTGAAAGATTATTTGTTATGCATTAACTCCCGAGTCAGAGCTGATCTGACATGAGGTTGTACCATCAGAAAAAAAAAAGGTGATGGGCAAAAGAAGGGAATCCGATCGTCGTGGACGCACATGTGTGGGTCTTGATTGGCCAAGAGGAATCCCTCCGGCGCACAGAAACTACTAGACCTGACGTACAGAACTAATAATTGCAATTACACCGATCCGAGAGATCATATTTCCCCTAACAGCTGAAAATAGGCGAATAAAAAGCAAGGCCCGCTAACATGTCAATTGAACTTTGTAAGAAGAAGAAAAAAAGACGTATCATGTGTACCATTGTTTGGTTAGTGACTCAGTGGCTCGGTGGCTCCGTGGCCCACCATATCCCTTTCCCCGAATCCCATGTTGGGCTCCACTTTTCAGTTCCTTCTATTTTAACGGGACTTTCCACAGTCCTTTTTCTTCGGTTCCTGAATTTCTCTGAATTTCTCTTCTGCAAAGTCTGTTCTCTGTTCTCTCCTTTATACCTACTGTGAGTCCCTATTGTTGATTCAATCCTCAATGCGCTTTACATCTCTGACTCTGTAATTGCGACAGTTCCTATTGGCCCCGCTACCCACCATGCCTCTCGTCAACACCACCGAATTCAACGAGGACACTCGTGGTAAGTACCTGGAGAAGGGTCGCTAGACCTTAATAATTCCTCAATTCCTTTCAATTCCCCCATCCATCCATCATGCTAATCATCGCATCTACTAGTCCTCGGCTACGATCCTTTGTTGCCGCCACAGTACTTGCAGACTGAGATCCCCGCGGTGAGTCATTTTTTTCTGCTGTTCCTGCCCCGCTAAGCCAGACAACCCAAACTGACATTGGATTTCAGCCCGACCGTGCTATGAAGACAGTTCGCGCTGGTCGCAATGAAGCCGTCGAGATCATTGAACAGCGCGACGATCGTTTGCTGGTCGTTGTTGGACCCTGCTCCATCCACGACCCCGACACCGCTCTTGAGTACGCCCGCCGCTTGAAGGAGATCTCCAACAAATTGTCCAAGGACCTCTTAATTATCATGCGCGCCTACCTCGAGAAGCCCCGCACCACCGTTGGCTGGAAGGGTCTCATCAACGACCCAGATATGGATGAGTCCTACCAGATTAACAAGGGTCTGCGTGTCTCCCGCAAACTCTACGTTGATCTGACCAGCACCGGCCTCCCCATCGCCAGTGAAATGCTGGACACCATCTCCCCCCAGTACCTGGCCGACCTGATCTCCCTCGGCGCCATCGGTGCCCGCACCACCGAGTCCCAGCTGCACCGTGAGCTTGCCTCCGGTCTCTCTTTCCCCATTGGTTTCAAGAACGGCACCGACGGTGGCCTGACAGTCTCCATTGATGCCATCGGTGCCGCCGCCCACCCCCACCGCTTCCTCGGTGTCACCAAGCAGGGTTTGGCCGCTATCACCAAGACTGCTGGTAACGAGCATGGCTTCGTTATCTTGCGCGGTGGTAACAAGGGCACCAACTACGATCGCGAGAGCATTCGCGGTTGTCGCGAGGCCCTGCGCGCCAAGAAGCAGCGTGAGGTCCTTATGGTTGACTGTTCGCACGGTAACTCCAAGAAGAACCACCTCAACCAGCCCCTTGTCGCCAAGGAGGTCGCTGATCAGTTGCGCGAGGGTGAGACTGCTATCATCGGTGTGATGATCGAGTCCAACATCTACGAGGGCAACCAGAAGGTTCCCCCAGAGGGACCCTCCCACCTGCTCAAGGGTGTCAGTATCACTGATGCCTGCATCAACTGGGAGATGACCGTTGACACACTTGAGGATTTGGCTGACGGTGTTCGCGCCCGTCGCACTCTCCAAAAATCCCAGTCAAATGGTGCCAATGGCTCGCACTAAATGGTTGAGACGATAATGAAGAGCCCTATCTATTGCTTTTAATGTTCATTGAATATGTTATAAAATTGTGTATCATGGTCCAGGGGAGGAGAGATGTTGGATTTTATTTATTTTGTACTTGAAAAGTTTCCCCAAGGGGTCGACATAGATACCTTTTCCATATCACGATTCAATAATGCAGCGTTTCATATCTCGGTTTCAAACCATCTCTTCCAAAACTTCCAAGATTTCTTATCCTTCATTTCTTCTGCAACTGTGTAAATCTCTGCATCAAATTGAAACGAGCAAACAAGCGATTCCGAGCGAACTTAGTAATCTCAAAGCAGTGTAGTGTGTGTGCCCCAAAAATCAGGTAGCAAGTCCCGTGCCTCTCGTCTACACCCAAAACCAAAACATTGAAGTAAAGTCAGAGCTTACCCCAGACCCACACAAATCCCCCAGAATCTTAAATGACAGCTCCCCTCATGATTTAAAGTGTCCACAGGATCTACGAGATCGATCTTATTCTCCACTGCGGCGCAGGGACCAGGCGTGCAGGGTTTGAGGCGTTCTCGTCGTGAGAATTTCTCCCGGGGAAAGCGCTTTGCCGGGAGGGCCCCATGCGGAATCCGGCCTTCCCCCGTTACGGTTTAGTGGTGGACCGAACGTGGGTGGACGTTTTTCCCTCTTAATAAGCCTTGCTTGGGCTTGTCTTTGTCTTGGATCTATTGTGGGGTGGATAAAATGTCGTTATGGGTTGTTGCTGATGATGCCGCATGGTGATGTTGTTGAGTTGGGGATAGGGGAGGATGGGGCTGAAACATTTCAAGATCAATGTTGCCAAAATATTTCGATGAATCGAGCGGGCGTATTCAATGTAATGTTCATCCTAAGAGGAGGAAAATGTAGTCTTTCAAAAATGCTGTTGAACTATTAGTACGTTCACTGCTCATCAATATTGCGCCCAACTTATATTGACACTTGAAGGACATGATGGTGGTGTTTTGTGAATTGCCTGGTCGCACGACGAGAGCTGGCTTTCGTATCGAAAGGTAGTTAAGGTAGTCAAGGTAGTTACAGTATCTGCAATTCGTTGACTGGGCAATGTATATCGAAACTGGAAGAGGGCGATTTATATCACGACGAGAATCCCATCTGGTTGAACTTACGCGGGAACATTGAAGATTGATAGTAAGATCTCTTCACGAACATTTCGAATATTTCAAACCTTGAATCGACTATTTCTTGGGACATCTGGACATCTGGAGAGATTGGTCGATACGGATACCCATGTCAGGTCCTGATCTAGTACATGTATTTATCAACTGGTCGTTGCTTACATTGATATGTACGGTGACAACTGTGCACGACATATATGTATTCTCTAAGGGGGGGGGGTGAAGTATTGACATCTGGAAAATTGAACTTGTGGTTGGGGTTGTAGTTTGGGACCTATCCACAGGGATTTGAATACATATATATATTCAAGCTCTCGCCCGGTTTTGGAAACGCCCACCTGCACATGTGCATCATAAATTTCTCGGTTATATGATGGTACACAGCTCGCGTGGGGAGAGAATGCATTGCATGTTTATTTTGAATATACCCAGCGGTCGGTATGTCTCTATTGAGAAGAGCCGAAGCTGAGTCTCTTCTTTGTCGTGGTCTCGCGATGGAAATAGCTTTGCGGGGGCGTATTTGATGCTCCACTAATCCAGTTCTGGGACCCAGACACAGGTCTTGAGTGCGTGCAGCCTTTGTTTATCGGATTTTTGACCGACTTCATTTCGACGACATGGATTCCAGCGTCTTACATACGAATGTTGGTACTTTCAAGTTCTCCTTCGACCACTCCATTGCCCACGTTTTCAATGTATACAGTTCTTTTGCGGTGATCTGGTTGGAATATGGCCTAACAAAGGACGGTTCTTGGATCTTTTCGAAGGACAACATCGATGTTCTATGGTTACCTTGGGAGTACCGACCGAAGAACGTAGAGGTAGTTGATATCTCAGGGAATACTGTCCCGATTGCCTGTTCCTCGGATTGCCTCTTGATCTTGAAGTTTCCAGAGGATCCATGGTCTTCCTGAAGCTCTCATTATGTAGTTTGAAATACACTTTGTTCCACACATGTGCAGTGCCTTTTAATATTCAACCCATGGAGTGAACACGGTATTCCTGACATTTGAGTATTTTCTGTTTCAGAAATTAGATCGATTTGAAGGTTGATAAAACATCCTAAGACATATAAAGCTGGAAATGGAGTAAGGAGCTGGTTTTCTATGTACTGTACATCAATATACACGGAGGCTTCCCTCGGATCTCAAAACAACCACAATCAGGTAGAAACACAGTCCAGATAGAACCTTGGAAGGAAAAGAAAAAGAAAAAGGAAAGAACATTGACAACGCCAGAAACCCCCACGATGGAAGCAAGCTGCGAGGGGAAGACCATCACAACATGCTATGCAATAAAAAGAGACGATACTTCATATGTCAAGGATTCGGGACCAGAGTGACCCGGATGCGCTGCAGGTCATAACCCACACCAGCGGTATATAAGTCAAGCATCCGTTCCACCCCCTCAGCCCTTAGAGCCTTTTTTTTTTGTTGGACTTTTACTTTGACACTCACGCTGCTCTACCGTCCAGTCATCCAGCTGACCCAACCCTTAGTCTTCTCCTTTGTGGCCCGCTCGGCATTCTCGGCAATCACATCCAACTGACCAGGCGCGGATGCATCAGCGAAGGCCTTCTTCGCATCGGCGGCAGCGATTATGCTGGACTCGGAGGCCGGGGCGGATGTGGAGACGGCAGCAGTCTGCGCGGCGGGGGCACCGGTGTCCTCCACATTCATCTTCTCAAACAGGAATCGCTTCGCCTTGGCCCATGGGCGCTGTGCCTTCTCTTCATCGCGGTTCCGCTTCAGGATCGTGGCAATCTCCTCCTTCTTGATGAGCTCGAGCTGCTCCTCATCGGCGGATCCGTTAGCCTGTGCAATACGAGCTTGCTTGAGAGTCTCCATCTCCTTCTCGATCCACAGTGTGCGCTGGCGGCGGTTGTACATTGTCAGTGAGACCATCGAGTAGACTGTAAGGACACCACAGACGCCTAATTCGAAGAACGAGGGTGTTAGTAAACATGCATGTGAGGAGGATTGGTAGTACCGAATGCAAGGTCCAAATCCCGGAGAACCGGAGATGGTTGCTGGACCCTGTCCCTAAAAGAGGCCGAGGGCGGGAGATGGGAGGAGATCGGGTGTTGTGAATTACATACCGGATGCGACAATCAATGAGTAGACCATGCCCTTGTGTGCCCGGTTGGCAAATCGTCGTCCAAAATCAATCCACCGGTCCACACCAGACGAAGACTGAGCCATCCGAGAAGCCCGTGCCTGTGCTCGGAGTCGTTCCACCTTCTGCTTCGGGGTCTCGGGCTTGCCATCAGGGCCGGGCTGTGGCGCTTGCTTGGTCTGTGATGCGTTGTCCTTCGACTTCATGAAATCTGGCAGGTTGTAAGGGGCGCCGTTGGGCTTGGAGCTGGCGTATGGGCCCGTGGCCGTAAACCGCGTTGCGTCCGCGGCGGATCGGGACATTGTCGCGACGTCTCTCGTTCGCAGGGGGTTGTGGGGATGAGATTTCGGTAATTAGGAATCAATCGATTCAAGCTGCATAGGTCCACTTGATATTATGTGGCTTGAGTAGAGGTAAATGTGAGGGCGCGGCTTTTTGGGAGGAGAAACCGGGGTTTTGGAGGTTTGGAAAGGTAAATTTTCAGCGGCCGGATGATGCGCCAAGACCGGTCAACAGCTTCATCCCGATTTCGAATTATGGCACGATTCTCCCGATAACAACTTCATTTCTCTTGGTCTACACTTTGACACTTTAACGTCTTTGAGACACTTTAACACATCCAATTTTCTGTGGTTTATTTTCCTTTCGAGTCTCTTGTCATATTAAATACATTCTGATTTTCTCTGATTTCCCCCATCTCATCATGGCTGGTCATTCCGATGCCCCGGATTTGAACACGGTGCTTCAAGCGCTTTCCAGTCTTGCTTCTCAAAGTGGCTCATCTCAAATCCCTCAGCTCATTCCAAAACAGCATCATATTGCTAAACCATCACGGGTAGAGCCAAATCATACACCCCGACCTGTCCAAACAAACCTACCAAAGCCAAGCACCCCTACTATTGATCCCTCAACAATTACTACTTGGCCTGCAGCATTAAAATATGTCATGCGAACTGTGGGCCAAAACGAAGAAACCCAACTACGAATTCGCGGACTGATCCGGAGTCAGCATAGCCATGAACGGCAGTGGTGGAAGGGTCGTGAGGCTCTGCTCCAAAGGCAACAGGCTCGAGGGGATAAAAAGAAAGAGCTAGATGCAGTATTGTAAGTAATAAGTATTTTCCCACTTGATGAGGCATGTCCGGGCTTTCCTAACATTTTTTATCTAGACTATCGATTGGTGCACCTATTGACTCAAAACAGCTATCTGTATGTTTCCAACATCAATAATAGCTGTGGACGCGGATACACTAACAGTTTGCAGACAGCAGAAGAGGATCAAGCAGAACTTACCAATTACGATGCCAAGATATACAAAGCTTCTGTACAAATGGCGGATGCCTTAACATCAGAACTTCGCGGGCTCCAAATTCCTTTCTTTGTCCTCAAAAAGAGCCTGATTCAAGACTCATTGTCATCGGCAGAGCCTGATGGAGCTTCCGGTGGGGACCCAAGACTTTCCAAATCTGACCTTCAAGATTTGCAGCGTCGCATGCTGGGCATGCTTGAAGATCTTTGCAAAGACTGAAGATTTGAAAGACTCGATACGAATAATGAACTTTCGAAGACAGTCCCGCATTTGATGACCTGCAGAGGACCCTTGTTTCAGGCAGATTTGTCGATCCTTTTTACACTCTACATTAGAAAAGCCAGTCAAAATAATAGACATCACTTGATGGACCTTGTTTAGAGTAATTTTTTTCATTTTTTAGTCCCCGCATTTTAAGTTTGTTCTAACGGTGATTTTAGGTCCACTTTTCCTCGATACTGAATGACTAAACCTGGCGATCTCAAAAACAAGACAAATCCAGACCTCTGGCCTTCAACTCATTTTGCCGACCGTTTTTTCCTTGATTTTAAGTATTTCATTCAAAAATGATATTTGGTTTCGTCTCTGTGGAGTCGGTCCACAACGATCAGGGTACGGGCGTTTCTGCCAGTCGACGCTCCACAAAGCGCAAGAGATCCACATTGTATTTGAAAATATATGTGAAATGAGATCCATCGTCCCAGGCCGGATACTTCATGCAGCAGGAGCTGTCCCCCTCGTCGCAGTAGTCCCGAATAGATGAGGCATAGGGATCACAATACTCTGGATGGAGACGTGGGTATACCTATCATCGATTCATGTCTCAGCTTGACTTGGATTCCATTATTTCGGAGCATTCATCTTGTTTCAGACTTACCCCAGTTCCATCGGCGCATGTGCCTGCGTTCCAGGGCATCCCTGGGATAAACGTCTCTTCGCCGTATGCAGCAGCCGCGATCACTGCAGACATTGGGTTAGATTTGGATCTGACATCACAGGACCAGGAGGCAATTACCATTTTTGTTGTATTGAGGTTCGATTGCTGAAACAGGGTTTAACCACAGGGAACTAGTCCCACAGAGACCGTCCATCATGATGATCCCGCCCTGGTGGAGATTAGTATTGATTGTCAAGACGAAACGAAAATAAGAAACATCTTTGTCAGGAGATATGGAAACAATCATGAGAAGTGGATACAATTGACGATTCGACGTACCAGTGAGTACCCCATGATGAAGATCCTTGAATGCGGACATGAGGCGACATAGTCCCGGATATACTGCTGCATCAAGAGGGCCCCGTCCGCGGCGACGACTCTATGATCGTCACCACCATGATGATACGGCAGAGCAACGCTACTAGAGCCCGGAATCAGCTGCAAAATCAGGTTCTGCATGGTGACCATCACGTTCAAGTGATCGCCAGGCCCCTGGCCCCGAATAAGGATGGCATGGACGCCTGTCGCGCATAGCTCTGGCTGGGTGGTCTGCGAGTAGGAAGTAGTGATAATGAAGGTGAGCAGCAGGACCAGGTTCTGGAACAACATGACGTGCAGCACGATTGTCTGTTAGTTTTTCCGAGGTTCGCAATCAAGGTGGAAAGCCACAGCCGCAAGGATTGGTTTATCGGAGGTCCCTTTGAGTTTTCAAATTTTCACACACTCTCTCTGTACCTACTACTATTACTATACGAGGCACTTTTGGTCTCGCCACCGAGGATAAGCTCGTTATATGGCGGACTCGGGTGGGGTCACATCCATGGTCCCTTTTCTCTCTTTCATAGTTCTACAGGGTTGCTGTCGATTAAGATGAGTCCGGATGTTAAATGACAACAGAAATCTAAATCATGGAGGGTATGGGGGGAGAGTATCATCTTGATGTTGGTGGGACAGGCCGAGGTTGTCCCGAGTGGATCAAATTAGGAGCAACTGGAGAATTGACTCATTATTTGGGTTATCTGAGGACCGGGGTTGGTTTATCAAGTAAATAACCATGTCTTGACCTATCGAGACCTGGAGGTTATCATTTCCATTTTAGAAAGACAGAAAAAGAAGAAAGAGGTGAGCATGTGAAGTTATCCAGGAATCCAGGACTCATAGTTGCGTATAAATCAGAAAAAAATGTGGCAATATTCAACGCGCGATTTTGAGTGAAGAACGAAGAATCCATGTTACACTTGATAATGGTTCATGGTACAGAGTTGGAAATTAGCTCTCGGGAGAAGGTTGGACTGGCTATCATTGGGTTGCTATGGACCAAAAAACAGAGATCTAGATCCTAATATTCCTCTGGACTCAAAGCCTTTTCAATCAAGCCTCGAACCGCATCCCCGAGCTCATGAATGACGAGACCGGAACGTGGAATGGTGTGTCCTTTGCCTGTGTCAAAGAACTGTGCCGTATCAGGGTCGCAAACGTTGTATAAGGCGTATGCACCGTGGCGGAAAGGATCTAGAACCAAATGGAAAATTAGAATTAGGGTAGAGCAAAAGCGATAGAGAAAGGAAAACAGTACCATTTGCCCCAATAACGTGTAGACTGGGTAAATCAATCATCACATCACACTCATCCGCCAGAAGAACCCCGTCTACTGGATGCATTGGAGGCCACCCAGTGAAGAACATGGCGCATTTGATCTGTCGCAGGCGACCCGTTGCTCGTGCACGCTTCTGCTCATCGACAATCAAAGTAGCGGCAATGGAGGCTCCCTCGCTATATCCAATGATCCCTTGAATCTCGGGATCCTTCTCCATCGTGTCGTAGAGATACGCCATCACCTCCTCGTAATTCAGCCAAACGACGTTGCGATCGCCGATTAGTTCGCGCATCACATCTTCGGGATTTTGACCATCGGGGATCTTGCGGACTCGGCTGATCATCGAGTCCTCGGCAGCACCTCCATCATCGGCCCAGCGGAAATGGGGACCAACGCCGAAATATTCTTCGAAGCCTGCAAGTAGTTATTAGACTCTTGCTTATCTCGCATTTAGTCTTGCATTTTGATGGCTGATCAAGTTCAATCTTACCTTCTGGAGGTGTGATCTTCACAGGCGCATTGATGTAATGGAATGAAGCAGTGTTGTCTGCTTCCAAGTCTTTCTGCAATGGTGCTAGTTCTCCCGTTAGTATAGGGATAGAAAATCAACACAAGCAGCGTGAGGCTCTTTACCCAGCTGAATACCAATATTCTGTGTATAGTTAGCTATCAATTCAAACAATTTTTTGCAAGGTAGCCTACATCAACATTGCCAATGGCACCATGAAGGCAAAGGAACTTCATCCTGGACAGTGTCTAGACCAAGTGTGAATCTAAGTGTAGGTTGTACAACCTCTTATCTTCCGGACAAAAGCTAGGAACTAAATAGATGATAAGGAAAGACAGCAAAGAGACTCGAATAAGCTGAAGATGAAGAGATCTCTTCCTTTTTGACTTTTGATTTGTTCTTTGGGAAGTTTCAGAAATGCAGTTCATCTGTAAATCGAGACCTTTTCTGGCTTTTCTGGTCTTCTATTCTTATTCCTCTTTTTTTTCCCTCCGAAACAAATGAACACATGTGATCGACAAGCCGAACCCACAAGTTCGAAGCTCCTGTGGGTTGCATGGAACCGTGAGTCTGTCCCTGAATTTTGTGTCCAAGTGGAAGTGGTACATTGAACAGGGAAAGCTCAAAGCTACCAAAGGATCCAAGATTGTACCCAATGAAGCCATTGGGTCTTCTTATCCTCCTTATCCTTTCGGAAGGAAAAAAAACCAGAGCATTGACATCTCCATGGAACTTTCCAAAAATACAGAAAAATCCCAAAATTGCAATTAAAAAAAGGCAATTTGCAAAACCCGAAAAATCCAAAAAAGGGAAAAAAGAAAGGAATTATAACCATCTAGGAAAGTTACTTGTTGATCTTTTGATAGGAAGGTTGGGAGGGAGTAACTCATGGAAGACCTATTTAAGTGGCAATGACCAGCACCCAATGCTTCCAATGTGATAATCCTCATACCTTCTACCATTTCACAATGTCCACCAATAGCTCCGCCAACCCCAATGGGACATTGCCGGAACAAACACCGCAACCCATTGCCCTCATTGGATATGCGTGTCGACTGGCTGGACAGGTCTCCTCACCCGGCGATTTATGGGAATTATGTACTCGGGGTCGGAGCGGCTGGACCCCCATCCCCAAGAACCGATTCTCCCCCGGGGCCTATCATCACCCCGATCCCTCCAAGCCGGGCACCTTTAACCCCGCCGGAGGTTACTTTCTAGACGATGAGACCTTGTCTCAGTTTGACGCTCCTTTTTTCAATGTTACCGTCCAAGAAGCCATCGCCATGGATCCTCAGCAGCGACTACTTTTAGAGTGCTCCTACGAGGCTTTGGAGAGTGCTGGCATTCCCAAAGAATCCCTCGCTGGTCGTAACGTGGGTGTCTTTGTTGGTGGCAACTTTGCCGACTATGAGCTGAGGAATCTGCGTGATATCGAGACATGTCCTCAGTTTCAGGCCACTGGCAATGCGCCTTCCATTCAATCTAACCGAATTTCATACTTCTTCGATCTGCAAGGTCCGAGTATTACCATCGACACGGCCTGTTCTTCATCTCTGGTTGCATTGCACTATGCTGTTCAGAGTCTACGCAATGGCGAGTCCAAAGAAGCGCTGGTCGCTGGATGCAGATTGAATCTCCTTCCGGATTATTTTGTTTCCATGTCCATGTCACAGTAAGTTGCCCTTGCCCCCCCCCCCCTGTAACAACGGCCAATGGCATGATTTTGGGCCTTTTTCTAACTCTGAAAAACTCTAGATTGTTTAACGAAGACGGAAAGACTTACTCTTTTGATGAGCGTGCTAAATCTGGATTTGCGCGAGGCGAGGGTGCAGGCGTTGTCCTTCTCAAGCCACTCGACGCTGCACTACGTGATAAAGATCCCATTCGGGCTATAATTGCTAATACCGGTGTCAATCAAGATGGACGGACCAAGGGTATCACCATGCCCAATGGAAAGGCCCAAGAGGATCTCATTCGCCAGGTGTACAGGGATGGCCACTTCAACCCAGATGATTGTGGCTTTGCAGAGATGCACGGTACGGGCACCAAGGCCGGAGACCCCATCGAGGCCACAGCCGTCCATGGAGCGCTGGGTCAGAACCGCAACGCGAGGAACCCGCTTTACATTGGTTCAGCCAAGTCCAATGTTGGCCATCTGGAAGGTGCAAGTGGTATGGTTTCGATTATCAAGGCGGCCATGATGCTGGATAGAGGGCTGCTGTTGCCAAATGCCGACTTCAAGAAGCCCAACCCTAATATTCCGATGAACGAGTGGAATATGAAGGTCGTCACATCAACTCGGCCATGGCCTCGTGGCAAGAAATACATCAGTGTTTCAAACTATGGCTTTGGAGGAACCAATGCTCATGCGGTTTTTGAAAAGCCCCCGCCCCCGCCTGAGGCACTGGAAGACCCGGACGACGATCTTGATCCTGCGCACAAGCTTTTCTTGATCTCGGCCAACGACAAGGAGTCTCTGAAGACAAGAATTAGAGACTTTGGTGTCTACTTTGAGCAGCGACCAGAAGTCTTTGAAAGATCATTGTTCGGCAATTTCGCTCATACTCTAGGTAGCAAGTTGTCTCACCTTGCATACCGAGTTGCCCTCTCCGCCACATCACTAGATGAGCTTGGTATTCGCCTGGCGCAGTTGAAATCCAACTCCACTCGAGTACTGGCCGCGCCAACCATCTCGTTTGTTTTCACCGGACAGGGTGCTCAATGGGCTCAGATGGGCATGCCGCTTATGAAGGAATATGGTGTGTTTGCAGAGGCAATGGAGCGAGCGGATGAGTTCTTGCGACACCTCGGAGCGGACTTTTCTCTCATTGAAGTACTCGAGAGAGATACTACCCACTCGGAAATCAATTCGCCTCATCTCAGTCAACCTGCGTGTACAGCGCTTCAGATTGCTCTGACGGATCTTCTGAGATCATGGGGTGTCACGCCGTCTTCAGTCGTGGGGCATAGTTCTGGTGAGATTGGCGCTGCCTATGCCGCTGGAATATATGACTTGGAAGCAGCTATGGCACTGTCCTACCGCCGTGGCCAAATGACCCAGTTACTCAAAGGGTCATTTCCCTTGCTGCAGGGCACAATGATTGCGGTCGGGGCAAGCCCGGACACTATCAAACCGATGCTGAAAACCCTGAAGGGGTACGCAACTATTGCTTGTGTCAACAGTCCTTCTAGTGTGACTGTCTCGGGAGAAGTACCTGCTATCGATGAGTTGGAGAGTATCTTGCAGGCCAAGCAACTCTTCAACCGAAAGCTCAAGATTGATGTTGCCTACCACTCTGACCATATGAAAAATGTCGCAGAGGCATACCTATCCTCAATCGAGTCTATCAAGCCTTCCAGCACCGCAACAGCTACATTCTTTTCTTCTGTGACTGGCCAGATTGCAGAGCCATCTGAGCTTGGAGCAGCATACTGGGTACAAAATCTCACATCCCCAGTCTTGTTCGCCAATGCACTCACCACTATGTGTGCCGAGGAAGAGACTCGCCCTAACCTCTTGATTGAAATTGGGCCGCATTCTGCTCTGAAAGGTCCAATTCTAGACACCATGAAGACCATCGGTTCGATTACTGCGAAGATCGGTTATACTCCCACTGTTGTTCGCAATGCAGATGCTGCTCAATCTGTTTTAGATGCGGCCGGCGCTGCATTTGTCCGAGGAGCAACTCTTGACATCAACAAAGTGAATTTCCCTGTCAGCGGGGGAGCCTCACGCGCGTTCCTACGGGATCTACCTCGATACCCATGGCAGCATGGTACGAAATACTGGCACGATTCTCGTATCGCTCAGAAGCATTGTCTCCGCGACGGAACTCGGAATGATCTTCTCGGAGCACAGGCATTCTACTCGAATGATTTAGAGCCCACATGGAGGAATATCATTTGTCTTGACGGTATACCTTGGCTCCGCGAGCACAAGATGCAGGGTATGGCCGTATTCCCCATCGCCGGCTATGTAAGTACTTTGAACTTCTTTCTTTGAAATATCGCAAGCTGACACTACAAAGATATCCATGGCGGTGGAGGGCGCAAAGCGACGTGCAGAGAGCCGGGATGCAGTATTCTCTCAGTTCGACTTCCGGGAGGTCAAAACCGGTTCGGCCCTTGTCTTGAGCGAGGATTCAGACACGGAAACTACCATCACGCTTCGACCATTCGCCGAGGGCACACGCGGCAACTCCGACGTATGGGATGAATTCCGTATCTGTTCCTGGTCCGCCAAGCGAGGCTGGACAGAGCACTGCTCGGGATTAGTTCGAACCCGCGCGAACAAGAAGCAACAGACCGCCGTTTCCAACGCCGCTGAGACAGAGGTAAACCACTTCCAGAATCAGATCGCCTCCGTGCGCACCGCAACAAGGTACAGCATTGACACCAGCAACATGTATCAGGTCCTGGCCGAAGTAGGAGCCGGGTATGGGCCGGCTTTCCAAGGGCTGGAAAATTGTTTCTCTAGTCCTAGTCATTCACGCGCCGATCTATTTGTCCGAGACACGAAGTCAATGATGCCAAAGCAGTTCGAGGCTCCCCTGGTCATTCACCCCACTTTCTTGGATGGCTTGTTGCATCTTGTTTGGCCGATCCTCGGAAATGGCAAGATGGAACTGGAAACGCTTTACATGCCCACCATGATCAAGAACTTGTCCATCAGCAACAAAATTCCCTCAAACCCTGGTGAGTTTGTTAAGGCTTGGTGCAATGGAGGTCCGATTCAGCAGACGCCTGAACCTACCAAGTTCGATCTTTGGGTTACTCCGGAGAACTCGACGGAGGTTTTGATTTCCATGGAGGGGTTGATCATGACTCCGCTCAAGGATGCGAGTGCGCTTCGTGGCTCTGATCCTCGTGATCTTTGCTTCAAATTGGAATGGGTCCCACTTTCGAAGTCTGATGAACCAGCCAATGATGAGCTTAAGGAGCCAAATGGAAATGCAGCTCATCCTCATACAAATGGAGGGTCGACTGCGAATGGACACATCACCCCAGATGTCAAGTCACACATCAATGGCAACGGTATCCTACATCAAAGCGACATTCTCATCACACACTTCGGCAAGCCGGACGGTGCTGCGCAGAAACTGAGTGGTGCGATTTCAACCGCCACCAGCAGTTGGCTGCCATCAATTTCTGCCTTCGGCCAATTCGACTGCGCAGACCAGCATGTTATTGTGCTCCAGACCGGAAGCGAGACTCTACGCGACCTTACTTCTAGTGCCTTTGAGAATATAAAGAAGACTCTACTCTCCGCATCACATGTTCTTTGGGTCTATCGCGAAGACAGTCCTGACGCGCACATGATTGTCGGATTGACTCGCAGTCTGCGCTCAGAGGCTTTATCCAAGGTCGCTACCCTCGGCATCCAGACCGCCGATCTGGACGACTTAGACCCTATTCTGGCTACTATCGAGGCAATTTGGCCGGACGACGATGCAAAGCTGAGCAAGGACTTCGAGTTCAAGTTTAAGGGCGGCGAGCTACTTGTCCCCCGGGTTGTAAATGATGGTGCCGCCAACGCATTTGTCCACAACGAGACTCATGAGCAGACAATCACGACCCAGCCGTTCATCCAACCAGGTCGTCGATTTAATCTGCAGATTGCGAGCCCCGGATCTCTGGACACACTGTACTTCACAGATGGTATTCCCGAGCCACTGGCGGACGACGATATCGAGATCGAAGTCAAAGCCACCGGCTTGAACTTTAAGGATATTGTTGTCACGATGGGTCAACTAGCCCAACCATACATCGGAATCGAATGTAGTGGTATCGTGACATCGGTTGGAAAGAACGTCCAGCATCTGCAGGTCGGTCAACGAGTCATGGCCTTACCCCTGGGCGCCTACTCTACCTATGCCCGATGCAAAGCCACCAGTGCCGCGCCCGTTCCAAACTTCATGTCTTTCGAAGTAGCCGCCACCGTCCCTGTCGTCTTCTGCACAGCCTACTACGCTCTCTTCGACCTCAGCCACCTCAAAGCCGGTGAAAAGATTCTCATTCACGCCGGCGCCGGTGGTGTCGGACAGGCAGCGATCCAGCTTGCACAGGTCATTGGAGCCGAGATTTTTGTGACGGTTGGCAGTGTGGAGAAGAAGCAGTTCCTTATTGCGCAATACAATATCCCGGAAGACCACATCTTCTACAGCCGTGATGTATCCTTTGGCCAGGGTATCCGGCGAGCTACGAGCAACCAAGGCGTGGACGTGGTGCTCAACTCGCTGGCGGGTGATCTCCTCCGAGAAACCTGGGAGACTCTTGCGCCGTTTGGTCGTTTTGTCGAGATTGGCAAGGCGGATATTACGAAGAACACCCGTCTTGACATGTTGCCTTTCGAATATAATGTTAGTTTCTCGTCGGTGGATCTGACGAAGGTTGCTTTGTATAAGCCGGTCTTGATGAAGAGTCTGTTGGATCGGGTTTCGCAAATGATGAGCCAGGGCTCGTTGAGTCCCATCTTACCTCTGACCAGCTACAAGATCTCCGAGCTGGAGACTGCGTTCCGAACATTGCAGACTGGAAAGGCGATGGGTAAGATTGTGATTGTTCCACACGCAGAGGACCAGGTTCGGGTAAGTCGTCTACTTTGAAAAATTCACCATACCCATATCAACCCGAGGCGGAATTTGTCTGACCGTCACTTAGGCCGTTGCACCCAAGACCAGCTCCTCGTTACTCAAGGCCGATGCCTCTTATATCCTCATCGGCGGAACCGGTGGTCTTGGACGAAGCATGGCTCGATGGATGTCATCCAAGGGAGCTCGAAACATCGTCCTCGTATCCCGCCGAGCATCCATCAACGACAAGGTCCAAGCTCTAATCGACGAACTAGCCACAGATGGAACCCTCGTCGCAGTGAAAGCCTGCGATGTGATCGACAAGCAGTCCGTCTCAACGCTGATAAATGAAGATATGAAAGACCTCCCCCCAGTCCGCGGAGTCATCCACGGCGCAATGGTCCTTCGCGTAAGCATCATCAATCCCCATCCCCATCCCATCTACATCTACATCTAGTAGAACAAACATCCTCTAACACATACACCTAGGACATGCTCTTCGAAAACATGAGCCTAGAAGACTTCACCTCCGTCGCCTCCAACAAAGTAGAAGGCGCCTGGAACTTCCACAACGCCCTCTCCACCACACCCCTAGACTTCTTCATCGCTCTCTCCTCCGTCGCCGGCATAATCGGCAACAGAGGCCAAGCAGCCTACGCCGCCGCAAACGTCTTCCTAGACGAATTCATGTCATACCGCCGCAGCCTGGGCCTCCCCGGAACAACCATCGACCTAACAGCCGTCAGCGACTCAGGCTACCTCGCCGACGTCTCAGCAGCACGCCTGGAAGAAGTCCTCAAGAACATCGGCAGCGACACGATGGACGAAAGCGAGGTGCTAGCGCTGCTGGGCGCAGCCATCACGGGCGAGCTGGCGCGCTCGTGTTCCGGGCAGAGCATCACGGGCCTGAGCCTGGGCAAGACGGTCGAGCATTTCTGGGCGTCGGACGCGAAATTTAGTGTGCTTTATGAGGAGGCGAGCGGGAAGTTGGGGAGCGGTGGGGGCGCGGGAGGGGGCGGGCCCTCTGTGCCGCTGAATGTTAGGCTTGGGGCTGCGGAGAGCCGGGAGGTGGCGGTGCAGATTTGTTATGCGGCGTTGGCGGCTAAGTTGGCGCTTGTTTTGCAGATTGCGGTCGAGGATATGGATCCTTCTGTTACTGTTGCGTCGTTGGGGCTGGATTCTTTGGTTGCGATTGAGATTCGGAATTGGATTGCTAGGGAGGCGAATGCTAATGTGCAGGTTTTGGAGTTGTTGTCTAGTGGGTCGTTGTTGGCTTTGGCGGAGATTATTTTGAATAAGTCGCGGGCTTGATTTTTGTCATGTTGGTTTGCTTTTCTTGGTTCTGCTTTGGTTTGATACTTGACTTTTGTACTCGGGGCTGTTTTATGTTTGGTGTTTGCATGTTTATGAAATCTACCTATAATTTATAGAATACATAGGCAGCTATGCGTAATGGATTTTCTTTGACAGGTGCTTTCCTATTCGGGTTGTCGCCCCTTTCCTATTCGGGTTGTCGCCGCTTTTATGAGGGTGCTCAGACTCAGGGCCTCAGGCTCACTGAGCGGCTCATAATGATCACGTGATATAGCAGCGACGCTCATTGACCATGATTGGCTGCTTATTAACACATAACTATCCTTCGTTGATTATTAAGAGGCATTTATTGACCACCCAGTCTACTGGCAGTTTATCCCCGAAGAAGCATATGATCCCCACACTAGTTACTACCCCATCAACATTTTTTGATGGCCCTTAACTAGCATGCAGTACAACACTTGGGGTAAAAGGCGAAGGCTAAAAAATTGGGGCTAAAGGATTGGGGCTGAAAATTTTCGTAGATAATCATTAGCTTTTCAATATGTATTATATAGATAAGAGATAAAGCACTGTGACTTTTTGAAAGTACATAAAACATCAATTGCTTTTGAGACTGATATAAGAATATTGATACTCCGGGCTTATATCCAATGTAGACTAGTGTCCATCTAGGATGGGGTTAGGGATTCCTCTGAGAGTAGAGGAGGATGTACTAGTTTCGGGACGTACTATAACATTGAAACGAAAACGCCGTCGCACCTCTTTGTTTCATGGTTGCGGCGTGCGAGCATACATCACCAAGGGGAACGAGAGTATTAGCAAGTACACGTGTGCTGGAAGCTAAGTAGAGAAAGGTAGGTTTGTTGAACGGTCTTCACCTGTTATACCAATGTTCACCAAATTTTAATTTTTTTAATTTATTAATATTGTCATACCTGGCTTTTGGACCGTATCCGGATTATCTTTGATGTTGATAGTCGCTAAGTAACTCAATTAATCTAGGCTGGAAAAGAAATAACAGGCGTTAATGCATCAAGTTTTAATACGATTCTTGACGTCAGCCCTCAATACCGAACGAGCAAGAAATCACTGAAGCCAATGAAATTGGACCTTCCTAGATGTTGAATTGAACGAATTTTATCTAACCAGCATCATTGCTCAAAAGTTTAGCGCCCCATCACCATCGAGATACTTCCCGCATGGACCAGCAGCGGGGTGTTGGATCATATTCATAAATGCGAATTTAGGCTGATGAGAAGCAGAAAATTAGCAATAATTAAGTTTCGTAACTCTGGAATGCATGAACTCTAGCCTGTCTCAGCTATTGCTGTTAATGTTAATGTTTCCCTTCGCCTGGCTTCTCAAACTTCAACCACTTCTCCGGCACCTCAATTTGTTCTGCTCCCTGAACCCCCAAGAGCCAGTGCCTGAATTCACGATACTCCCCTTTTGTCGAGCCCGATTCGGGGCCTAAATCAAAAACTTTGCCAGACGCGGTTTCGAATGTGTCTGGCATCGTATCGCCTGTAAGCATATCGTTCAGAATCCGAACGCCGCGACGAGTCATGTCCATCATAGTATCGGCGTAACGCTTCGCATATTGGTCAATAGAGTCTTTTTCTCTTCGAGGGACATAATTGTGTAATTCGCTCTGTAGGATGACCGAGTCAGGATCAGCACCTTCAGCGAGGAGGCTGTGGCGCTCCTGACGCGCTATAGTAGCGTAGTCCTTTGGAATCCTGTAGACCATGGGTTCGTCGTCCGAGTCCTGGCGAGCTTCGTCGTCTGCATGGGTTTGAGCGGACTCGGAGTACATTGCTTTCGAGTGTTGGGCCGGGGCTTTTTGTTGCGACATGATAATTGCTCCAACGAGTTATTTGATTCTCAAGTCGTAGTAATTGCAATGGTCTTCGTGGAAGCTTTGAGATGCTTCAAATGTTAGAAGCCTAGAAAACAACTTAAAAGTGATAACGATAAAGCGTCGGCACTAAAGGGACTCGATCGGAGTTGAACACAGAGCACAGAAATCATATGAGGTGGCAGAGTGAATAATTTATATTAGCGAGTGGGGCTTGAGTACGAGTAGGCAGTGCCCTGTTTAACCCGGGCATCAACGAGGAGACCATTGGCGGACGATAGTAATTAGACCTCTGGAGCTGTGGCGTGTACCCAGTTAGCGAATTATAGCACTTGGAAGTTAGGCCAGGCTCGGTGGCAATTCGACGAGTACCCGGGCCCTTTCGGTGATATCCACACCGCTTCCCATTGTGGGTGTATCTTGGTAGAGAGAGAAGGCTGGCCAATCAAATTTATAAAAGCATTGCTATGTACGTGGGAAGAGGAATTTCTTGTTTTGAGCGAGTGGGGGGCCTTGAGGCAGCGTAGTGAAATTCGTTTTATCGGGGTACGTAGCTCACGCATGTAATTGGCCTGCTGTGGAGTGAGCTCAGTGAGCGAATCACATTACTGCGCAGGCTTATGTAACACTCACCGATCACTGGGAGATCTGCTCAGTGAGGTAAAGCGGCGAGGGGGTGAGCACTAATCCGGGAAAGGAAGCCAACAATCGTCAAAGGAAATCCAGTACGTAGGGGGTCATATATCATGCGACACATTTGCTATTACCATATAAAATAACATACGAAAATTCATGCCTTCAGTGTCACTTCAAGTCTTTATTTAACGAAGTCATAAATGGTCCTATTTGTATAAGTTATCCGATTACTTTTGTGGATCTGACTGAGGGATGAAAATGGACAGATGAGGTCTGCCCTACTTCTTTCTTATATGGCATGTATTATGTACGTACTAGTATAGGCTGATGACCCTTATCCATCCTTACAACGGCCGATTTCCTCCTTCCAGCTCATGCACCTCCGCCATATTGCCGTCCAACTCCTGTATCGGCTCAGGCTCTTGTGCTCCATGCATACCGAGCCCGTAGTTCTGGCCCGGCGCCCACTTCTGCTGCGGCATATCCTCGCTCCCAGAAATCGAGTGCATTTCATGAATCGGCCGTCCGCTTTCCGACGGTATTCCGGGAGAGAACGAGGGCAGGCTGAAACCTGCTGAGGAAGTTGACATGTATTTCGGGTTATTTCCTGCCCCAACTTGCGTGCCGTCGGGGCTAGAGAATCGCGAGTCTAAGCAAACGCAATAAGCCAATATACTTGATAAATCCAACCCGCAAGGAGGATGGAGATTGGTACATACCATGGTACGGCGACGCCGGGGATGAATGCTGATATCCATACTCGCCCGGATACATCCTCTGATGCTCGCCCTCAACAACAGACGGCGTGTGCCCGTGCCCACTCATCGCAGCAGCCTTCTTGTTCCTTCTCCGCATGAATAGCCAAACGAGCGCTCCGGCAATCACCAGCGCCGCAACGGCCCCAACCACGATTCCCGCGAGCACGCCGTCGGATAACCCACCCCCACCCCTTTCACCACTATCCCCATCATCGTCATCGTCTGTGCCCGCATCCAGGAACAGAGTGAATTGACTGGGGCGGGACGAGTTCCACGCAGCGGCAAGTACATCATCGTCTGAACAAGCGACCTCGTTCGAGGGACAACGGTTGTTCTTCGAGCAGCAGCCGATGAAGGGCGGGTCCGTGAAGGCGCAGGTATACCACTTCGAGTTCGCGGGGTCGATGCACGAGTTGGATAGGATGTCGTTGTAGATTGAGGGGTCGAAGGAGGCGGGATAGACGTCCTGGCATGGCGCGGTGCTGTTTGCGTCGACGTTTGTGCAGGGGTCTGAGGAGCAGCAGCCCACGAAGTACGGCGCCTCTGGGCACACGTACCAGGTGCCACCTGATGGGCAGGTGAAGTGGTTCGAGGTCGAGTTGGACATTATGATTATGACTACAAGTTTATTTTGTCTTGATAAAGACTATTGCATGCGAGAGAAAAGAAAAAGGATGAAAGAACGGAAAACTGCAGGTCAGGGATGCTCCACACCCAGTGCTGTGGGGAGTTTCTGATAGTAGAATGACCGTCGCCAGACAGAGATGGCTGAGGCTGACAGTTTGGTTGAACTAGCGTTGGAGCTACTGCAGACCTGACCGAGGATAGCGAATTTTGCGCGTCTTTGATTGATGGGTTCAGTGAGGGATTCTCAGAAAAGAGATTAAACCCTGATGTGCACTGCTAGGTACATTGTGAGGGCAGAGACGGGCTTAGGGGCCGAATATCCTGCTTTTACGACTGGTAGAAGGAAGGCAATTAAGGGCAAGACCAGCACTCAAGCAACGGCGGTCGCTCTTACATACTAGATTCAGCCTCATGCCGTATAATAAATAATAACTACCTTCCTAGTAGGGTCATGTTCGAAAACACCACCTTTCAGGGATCTAGTCTCTCAGCCCAAAGGCTTGATAAAGTGGAGCTAAGACGGCACAAGGCTTGGCTGCATTTCTATGCCTAAAAAACATGTGTTTGAAAAGTAAACCAGGTAGAGTAGAAAGGGCCCAACATATGAACTAAACAATCCACATGTGCATGCTAAATAACTTCATCATTGTTTCCTTGTTGTTTAGACCTAAATTCAACCTCTTTTTGCCCCTTTTGAGTATTATGAAAGGTATTTTGTGTTAGCATGAAGAGACACATATCTGTGAGATCTTCCAATATTAGATCCACATGCATACATCCATTCCTGATCGGGAATATCGGGTGTATCATCTTGCTGTAAAAAGCCATACAGTAGGCTATGTTTGTGTGCCAATAGTTGGATGCATGCAGCCTGCAGCTACCTGCAGCACTAGCACATATGAGTGTTAGTAGTCAAACATACAGGGTCCATATCATAAATGTATCATGCACCAGGGGTTCATCTCACTACGAGGGGCCGCAAGACTGAGGCTGAAGTACGGGGGTTCTGCCTACAATTTGCGGACACTCCAACACACAGCTATCTTTGGCCATCTCGAGTCTTTCGGACATTCTGCGCAAAGAAAACACCTCAAAGCATGATATTAGTATACATATGATGTGTATCAAGTACCACTCTGTTGGAAGTTAAGTGAGATCCACCTAACGTCGCATGAGTGGGGGCCCTCGGTTGAACGATACTGTTACTGGTATATGCCCCGAACCACCCAAGTGCTTGGTGTCTTGGCATTGGGCTATAGTATGCAGTCATCCTGTAGCTTAGTGCAAGCACTGCAGCTACATTTGTAGCCATATGACCAATCATACAAAACGATCTGTTGGCTTGTACATACTTGCGCCAGGGCTTCCGAGTCAAGAAAAACAGGTTAAACAGATGTTTTGAGCGGCATTCTCCGAGGATGAACGAACTGAAAACCCAAAATCCGCCAGGAGAAATCCAGTACATTGGTGTTTTGTTGAGAGAATTTGCAATTGGGTTAAGTCATATTGATTGTTAGTATTTCTACATGGAGCATTTTGCGTGTTCAAATCATTCACTCGTGAGACCCACAAGGGTAATGGAACAACAAGGGCGAATCAGATCGGACTGAGCGAAACGTATCAGATAAAGGGATTCCTAAGAGGTAGAAGGCGCTGTCTCTTGACGGTAAAGTGTGGGATGATAACGTATGGGGAAACCGATAAAATGATCACGGTGGAAGCCTCTCGAGATGTTGGCTCAGGGGGAAAATATCGAACACAACGAAATGTGTATGTATAGATAAGTTAGACGAGTTTGGGGTCTCCTAATGCGCACGGGACTCGAGACGGAAAAAAAGTCCACTGGAACTAGGAATTTGTCCGTCTAGGCGTGCTACCATTGTTGTGATCTGGTAGAAGGGAAAGATGGATTTCTATCCCCGTTGTTGCACGATTCCCGATTAGAGTCTAGTTTTAGTCAGAGTCACATGATGATGCCGGCGGGGATCGGATCGTTCACAAGTATCAAGCCTCGAGTAGCTGGTATGACAGATAGAAGATTGCTAATAAGTGGATAACAACGATGAGGGATGAACGATGGATTAGCGCTGGTTGGTTGGTTCGGTTGATTCGAAACTTCTCGTACTGGTTCAGGGGAAGGTTGTAAGATCGGATCACAAGATTACGACCAATTTCGAGCCTTTTGAAAAAAAAAAAAAAAAACAATCCGCATAGTACCCGGAACGTGAAAAAATTCCTTTAGAACGAGGAATTTACCCGTCCGGACTCCGGACATGCTACCATTGTTGTGATGCGATGGAATAGGAGGATAGATTCCTAACTAGTCTAAGCATGTCGGCGGGGTGCGACCTGCTCACTAATGGGGAATTATCACCCAACTCTGGATATCGGTGTTCATTGTGGCTTGCTCGATCCATTTTCTCAAGCCGTCGCTCATGATGAGTGATCGTTTCAATCACGTCGTAGTCGTTTTCAGATTGACCTTCCGGGACAGTCAATCGACCAATTTTAATGGAACGTTCGCTCGGTCGAGCATTTCCGAGGGACCATGGCATTATTTGGGCCAAGTCTGAGCCGCAAAGGACATGGTTGCCGATCATGTAAAACCATAGGAGGCCATAGCATTTGGCCACCGGCGGCTTTCCTTGCGGAGCGTGTGATACTTCGGTGGTACTAGCGGCTTCCCATCCAAGTATTCTTCTTAGTAACGCAGTGGTGTTGTTCAAAGCGCAGAACTCTTCCCATTATCTCGTGGCAAACGCTTCTGGAATCTTTCGTAGATGCTTAGCCGAGTTCGTGAGCAGTCGGTTGTAGATTGCCATGATGCTTTTTCCGGTCCGTCCCAAGGGAAGACCGATATCTGAACTTGTGGCATATTGTCTTCTGTTGGGTATGCGAAAGATTCGGTGGTTGAGTGCGTTGGACCGGGAAATCGAGGGGAAATATCAGCGTACGAGGGTATTCAGCGATCGACTTGAGGGCAAACGAGGGGAAGGTCGGCATGCGAGGAAGTTGGAATGGGTGGAATAAGGAGGAATTTGGAGCTGGGGGCTATGTAAGAAGGCGTTTCGAAGTGTTGACTTTTGGACCCCTATGTACTCTGTATCTCTCTCCTTTACTATATACTTCGCGCAATCGATTGGTGAGGTTGCATCTTCACTAGGCGCATGAGAAGCCGCACAATCTCATGTTGCATAAATGAGTTGCTGTGCCCTGCCATGAAGCCATCAAACGCTTTTCGAAGACGTCGAACAATCCATCAATGGATCGACTCCAAACGGCGAAAAAAGACTAGTTTGATAGCCGAGGGCGCCTGGCTCGATTTTGTTTCGGAGATTTTTGAGTGATTGATTGGTCTTCTGATTGCCCGGCTGTCATCACATAGCTAGCCATCAGGATATCAGTGAGAATACCAAGCATGCTTGATTTTACCCACCTTGGCACCAAGCTCCAAACCCAGCGGGATCACCGCAAGATTGATCAACAAACCCACACGACGATCACCATTGAAATGGGCGAATTGCCCCGACTTTCAGCTTGGTGGCCGGGTGGAACCTGACACGTTTTCGGTTGTTCTGGATATTGTTATGTCAGAAGAAAGTGAAAGAAGTTGACCCGTTTGGAAATTCTCAGACCATGTGTCTACATATCCCCTGCCAGCCTGCCAGGCTCTACATAGGGTTCCACGTACGCTGTAATTGTACCGAACAGAAAAATTCCCGCATCCTGGGGTACATACGATAACGCGACTGGTCTAATCTCAAGCCTTATTGGTTAAGCAGTGTGATACCCCTGCATCAAGTAGTAGTGCAGCGCCACTGGGGGGATTCTTGTTTTTTTTTTTTTCAAGACGCTTGCACAGGTGGTTTTAACTTGTATTGCGGATGTAGCCAATCGTTAGCCGCAGTGGAGAAGCGGGTATGGATTGGAATTCCTAGTGCGAAATGCGGGTCAAGGCGGGTATGTACTTGTCAGATCATATTCCTGGTTCAAGGAATGAGAGCTTGCACATGTGAAATCCATGTGGACGAACGAGGTGGCAAAATTAGCGAGGGCTCAGGTATATACAATGGACTCCAAGTTTGTTGGATTTTGGGGTGGCGAGGTTTTATAGGTACTTGGCAGTATTGGGATATTCCAATAGCTGGGAATTTTAATGGAGGTTCACTTCCAGCACTGGAGTGCAGATCATTCTTAGCGAGTTTCATCTTGAGTTTGACATATGTCCACTCCAGCACTGGGCTGGTAATCCACCGATATTGCACCTATATAGGCAGTGCACGTACCCTGGTCTTCAATATGGCCTTGGACCAACTTGCTATTGATCATGGAAGGACAGTATATGTAGGTTGTAGGTTGTAGGTTGTAGTACCATGATGTTAATATGTACATTTGATTCTGTCAAGTCTTTCAGACAACGAAGAAGTCACAAGAAGAGATAAAAAAGCAACATCCAAGACGGAATATAAATAAATTATACAAGAATAAACAAAGGTATAAAAGGTATCGAATATGAGATGGAACCAAGAAGAAATCAAACCATAGATGGTTTCAATTCTAGATCCATTCGATCCAAAGAAGTGGGAAAGGATTCATCAAAAAAGACAGAAAAGGAAAAAAATAGTATCAAAAAAACGCCAAATCGGGGTATGATATGCGTGGAACGATCATGGCCTGATTGTATGTACCCATACCCTCTCAGCTACTCAGCTTCTCTTCCCATCTCTTTCGTTCAAGTCCTGTATGTGGACACGGATAATAAGGAGGTTAAATTCTCCAGTTCTTTTGTGCCCTGAACCATATCTTCGTTTCTTCGCCGGGAAGTAACGGGTTCAGGGAAGGGGGGATGCGACGACGCTGCTAATCATGCAAAACGAATATGTAAACAAAAAAAATCAAAGAGATTATAAAGACATGTCCAGATCCCAGCGTGGGATTACTCGGCGGCCTGAGAGCGCAGATGGATCTCTTCTGTGGGCAGATGATCTTCCTCCGAGGAGATGTGGTGGTAGGACCGACCCTTGCGGCCTTGGAACATGCGGTAACAGGCGAATCCGACGACTCCGACAGTGCAGGAGACGAGGATGAAGATCAACAGGGCTCCTACGCCACGGATCACATCGTAGGCCTTGTTCACGGCCATAGCGACCTCCTTGGCGTCGGAGTAGGACGAGGTGGTGGATCCGGATCCGGAGCTCTCGCCCATATCCATACCATCCATGCTATCGCTGCTTGTATCGTCGATCGTGTCGGCAGCCTCGGTGTTGTCCTCGATGATTGTGGCATCCGTGCCATCAGTTGATTCGGTGGTATCGGTGGATTCGGCGGAGTCAGTAGAGTCGTCGGATTGAGTCTTGGAGTTCTCGTAGACCGATGAGATGAGAGTTGGATCGTCCGGAGAAGGGCTGTGGGCACCGAGGAAACCGACAGCTTGCCAGTTGCTCGGGATATCACTACGGACAACACGAGAGATCATCATCGGATTGCCATCACGATCAACAGCCTCAGCGGAGACCCAATCCATGTACCCGTCGACAATGTACATGGTCTCAAAGTCGGTCTTGTTAGCATGGCCAATGTAAATCGAATCACCGCGGTCGTAGGCCTTGGCATAGAAGTTCCAGCCAGCAACGTCCGTAGCACCGTTCCAACTAACGTGGAAGATGGTGGTGATATCAGTATTGCTGGTTCCGTATACTGAGGCCACGACATCAGGAGGGGTAAGGGGGCGACCGGTGAATTCGGACTTGTAGGCGCGGTAGGTCGAGTAGCGAGTCGAGGAAAATCGGGCGGTCATCAACAAATCGCCGTTGGGGGCGTGCTCACTCTGGTAGCCGCGCTCACTCCAGCCGATAAAGACGTTTCCGTTGGGAAGAACCTCGGCACTGCCACGTAGACGGGTCAGACCAGCGTCGGGGCGGTTGAAACGCTTGATTACGTGGGCAGTCATAGTTTCTGTGTTCAGCTCCACGTGTAGAACGGAGGATAGGTTCTCGTCGTTACCACGTTCATCGGAGGCGTTGTTGAGGAACGAAATCACATGGTGGGTGCCGTTGGAAGAGACGAATTTCACATCGTGCTGCTTGGAGAAGGTGAAGTCCTGGACGAAATCACTCTCCAGTCCACCGAGACGCCACATAACATTGCCATCGAGACCGGAGATACCGTAGATGGTGTTGGTGAATCGCATGGAAATGATGTAGTCCCCAGCAGCGTTCTTATCCACCGCATTTGCATGAACGTAATCCCATCCCGGGGCGCCTTGGACGCCATCCCATGCATGGAACATGTTCGATTCATGCAGGGCGATGTGATCCAGACTATTCCATTGCGTCAGAATCTCATTGGTCTCGATGTCGAACTCCGCAAACCCGCCAGATACAACCCAGCTTTTCTCGTTCGGTCGGCCAAAGTCCGCTAGATCAACCTCGACCTGGCGATAAACACAGGCCAAGACGGTCTTTCCACCATCCAGAATGTTGAACTCGTGCATGTTGAAGTCGTGCACATCCACCAAGGGCAGAACCTCCTTCTCGATCTGGTAGTGCTTATCCACAATCACACCGTGGCCCCTGTCAGCCCCATTCTCATTGTCCCAAGCGACGATAAATGACAGATGTGGCTCGCCGTCCATGTTGAGGTTTGCGCGGAAATCGAAAGCATTGCGGTTATCGTAGAGACTCGGGCCCGCCCAAACCAGGACCTAATGCAGAAAGTGTCAGCCATTTGAAATGAAATGGAGAATTAAGGCGGGGGAAGGAGAATCTCCAAATCAACGTACACCATCGTTATCATAGATGTAGGGACCAACTTGGTACTGCTGGTATTTTTGGGTTGGAGACTCGGGTGAGATCTGGCCATAAGGCGCAACGAACCAATATCCCGGGGCCTCGCGTGCCCGATCATGATGAGTGACCTCCCACTTCAGGGCTCGGACTTCGGGGAGCTATTGGATGATTACTAGTATTAGCAATACTTCCCCACGGATCACGCGATTTTGATTGATAACCTGAGGCTCAACGTACCGTCACAAAGGACATTAGATCCGCGTCATGCCGTTGCGCCACCGCATTATGCAGTAAAGATAATAATAATGCGCCTATGAACAACATGATTGAAGGAGTGGCCAGGAAGAAATTCTTCCCTTGATGTGATCGCAAGAGGTTTGAAAGGGAAGGGGGAAGGAATTGAGAGGGCAAAGGGGAGAGCGACGACGCCAGGCACACAGACGAGTAGGCGTCGTCAGTCCCGGGGGAAGTGGGCTTTTTTTTTCGGAGTGGAGAGGACGTCAGCTAGGGGAGAAAGGGTTGCCCCGACTTTCCCTTTCCCTCTCAGGAGAATAACAGATGGAATCTGACGATCCGAAGGGCTTGGCATTGTTTCGGTGGAACCTGAAATGTCGACTTTAGCGGAACTTTCGTATCTGGATTTTCCCATTTGCCCTTGACGCCCGTATAGTTAACCCCATTGGGGGCACAATAAGCATAAGAAAACATCATGGAATTTAGTAGATTCATTGGGCTAGTACAATTCAATATTCTGACAGTATACAATCTACAGTACAAATGCACTCTTATGCTGTACGACATGACTCCATTTCCCCCAGATGCTCTGCGTCTGTACTCCTCCACATCTGCTTGTGTTTTTAGTACATTGGATTTCCATGGGATACGTACAATAATTCCTCGTTAAGAACGGGGATAGCCGATTTGCCGGGATTCTCAAGACTGGGCACCTCATCACGCCCTATGACTGGCTCAGCCTCCAGTGGGTAGACCTTTTTCAGGGGAATTTCCAGTCTTGGCATGTTCGGAGTGGTTGGACTCTCAAGTGGATTTGCTCTAGCGAATTTCAAAAAGAAATTAAGGAAATTAAGGAAATTTAACTATATGGGCCTCGTGCCCCCACCACGGCAGAGATAGCGATGATCAGTTGAAAAACCTCATAATCACAAACATTGTCCCTACCCTATCTTACGGAGTATATTCAGTATACATAGATGAAAACATCCAGCAGATGCAACACTTAGTCAAAGATCAATCTACTCGGAACAATGGTCAAACATCCCAAAAATTATCCCAAGTTCCAGAACTACCTTTGATCCTTCGACTTTTGCCTCATCTCCAATGTCGATCTGTCAGAAAGAAGAAAAAAAAAATCAAAAGAGAAAAAGATGAGAAAAAAAAAGAGAAGGAAAAAAGAACAAACAGATCCACAACATCAACCGTCGGCAATTGGTTCGCTTTGGCACCGGATTAGTCCGTCCGAAACGACGCGAAGCTCTTGGCATGACTCCAAGTCAATCCAACATTTAAATCCAAAAAGCCAAGCTCATACTTAATCCGCTTAAACCAAATAACATTCGGATCGCAAACCATTTGCCCCACGTGCATTCAAATGTTATCCATAAATCTCTTGACCTGGGGATACCCTGCTTGAAGCTGTTGTTAAATCGGTAGAAATTCATGTCCTCATGACGTCTCCGTCTCCACTGTGACACCGCAGGGAAAGTCTGGGTCCGAAACGACGCGTAGTCAATAATGGTTCGCCCGTCCCATGCAGGTCTGGAAGCGACCAGCTCGGCGCCAGCGCCTCCTGGATCCAGTTGAAGACCCAGCTGGGCGATGCTGGCGGGTCTGCGGTCGGGACCCATGTCAGGGGGCTTTTTATCCGCCCTGTGTGCCTGCCCTCCGCCTCCGGTTGGTGTGCACAGACAGTCTAGACAGCGTGTTTGTATGTACATATACTGCCCCACGCCGCCCACGTCATGCCTCTTTAAATAGAGGCGCCGAAGGTAAGTTGAAGCGATATAGTTGGTGATTTTGTGGCGATGGAATGTGATAAACTCCGTGGGGAGAAGTTATCCTCAGATGTCGAGAAGCAAGCAAAGCTGACGATGAGGCCTTGTATGAAGGAGCGGCATTTTAGCGCGAATCACATGTCCGGATCACTGGCGACCAGGATGACTGCAATTTCTGTCCAATTCATAACACGTGGGTGTATTTGATCTTGACCTGTGCACAACAGAAGGGCGACCTATCATGGTTTGGTCATCTGCCTACACCGCGGTGCTGTTCCCATACCTTGCTGAGGTGAAAAGCTGGATTCTGGATTCTGGGATATGATTAAGGAGTTCCCGCTAGGATGTCAGCCCCTGACACTATGCCTGGGATACCGCCCATAGTGAGAGCTGGCTTTCGGATGGCTGCTGGGTAATGCGTCGGCGAGAACGAGGCATCCTTGGGATTCTTTCCGCGATGAATGCTTTACTGGACATGCGGGTTATGACTCTGTGGCAAGTTCAGCTGACTACCAAATTTGCCCACGTAATGAAGCTGCATCTCTACCAAGATAAAGCCCGCTTCGATGATTCCATCTCCACGAAAGGATCATCCGGCCGACTTCATCTAATTGCTGACCGAATTACAGCAAGCGTGGGGGTAGTTGAGACAATCCGGCGTAGTGGCGGTAGACAAGATCACTGATGACCCCGTGATCACTTGCCGCATTGGAGACGGAGGTTGGTTTGAGGCTCGTCCATGTGGCTTGGGAGTGTCCCATACGAACTCATGAGTTCTCACGTGGAACCTGTGCTAGCGATACCCAGAGTGAAACGTCAGGAAAGCTTCTAGGGAGAAAAAAAAACCTCCTTTTTGTCTTTCCCCTTCCCCTCCCCTCAAAAATGCCGAACTGGATATGCCTCGGGCCCATGTGGAAAGCATTGGTTTACATGACTTCATTGTTGGGGATCTTCAACGCTAAATGTCTGAATCCAGAAGGATTTTGGGCTTGACAGGGAAATCCATGACAAAGAAAACCTTTCATTGGACAAAGCTAAAACATCGATTGCGACCTTGTTCCCCGCAGATCACAACGGCATCTGTGGGGCAAGAGAGATAACAGAGAGCAAGAAGCCCTTTCCCGAAATCCTCAAGATCGGATCAGATCAGATGAGGGCCTCTGTGGAGAATGGAATCTTACATTCCCATTAACCCCCGACCTGGCTGCTTATCCACCGATTGTGGATTATGGGAAACCCTGTGTCCGTGTTGGTCGGTGAAGATGACCTACGAGGAGATGGTAATCAGATCATGCCCCGCGATGCAACTGAGACTGGAACTGAAACTGAGAAGAGTGGTACTTGCCTTGGGCGGGTCTACGACCCTTTCAGCTTGGGCTTCCGTCTCATCGGTGACGATCTTGTCAACCTAAAATGTATGATGAGTTGCAAGGAAACCTTGAGAGTGATATCTCAGTCTACCAAGGGTTCTCTAGTTCATACCTCACCCTCCCGATGACCCCCTGGAGACTTGATGAGAACGTAGTCCCCTTGCGTGATGGTCTCACCTTTCTTGTCTAGTACGTGATCAGCGGACATGGTTGATCTAGGCAGAAAGATATGGGCAAATTGGTAATGGTAAGGTTTCAATTTCAATTTTTAATATCAAGTGTTGCGGTGCTCTACAATGTGTGGAAGAAAGTGAATAAGTTTGGCCACTGTGATGCCATTTTTGTACAGGGGTGATGTCACGGTTAAAACATTGAGTGTAATGAGTGGCAGGTGTCAATGTTGACAATTTTGAATACGCACATCAATGCTAGAATGTTATGCAGAAAGGAAGCTAAAAAGAAGACGCTACGGGGATCTATCTCTACTCAAAGTATCCGAAACATGGCCGCATGGGCCGTGGTTACAGTGATGCAACCACCATGGACAACTCGTGACCAGGAAGCATTGGCGATGAAATGTTGCAGATTGGGAGACGTTTTCGTTTTTTTTTTTTTTTTTTTTTTTTTGGGTGGAGTATACTACGTGCATTAATAATTCAACCATAAATGAGCAAAAAATCAAAAGACACGGGTTGAAAAAGGAAACAGGGAAGATGATACAGCATTTGAAGGTGAATAGTGAATGGTGAGAAAAACCCCCAGGTTTCCACGAGGTTATAAGGGCGGGTTCCACATGAGTGTAACGGTCCCGATCAGTTGGGCCGGTTACCACCGTTGCACTCAAGGGGGTCATCGAGCATGTTACGGGACATACCACGCTTGGGAATGTATTGGGTATTTTATAGATAGTATTGCTTATACATGTTTCCAATTTAAGCTATTTGGGTTTTGTCTTTTTAAAACGGTCCTTGACTGAAGTATATGTCATTCTAATTATTGAAACGTCAAAGTTCATGTCTTAATCTTCAAGTCACTTTCAATTCTCGTAGGAACGACCAGTAATTATCGAACCAAAATTACCAAAAGTCTTTGCCCTTTAAACTTTAACCCTCGCAGTAATGCAGTAATTTAACAATCATAATACCGCCCTTGCCACACTCTCACAGAACACACCACTAGACGCATGATAGTACTTACCGTACCATACAATTACCCACTTCGCGCATTGCGACACCGCAAGGGCTTCAAAGTTGCACTCCGAGTGACACTTCAACAACCCAAAGAATGGACCAATGTTGATCCATGCTTCGGCTTGTTGACCCTTTTCCTCACTTTCTCTGGCTCTCCTCCAAAGTGCGGCCTCCTCTCTTTCTCTGTTGTCCACGGGTGGGGATTTCTCTTCTGCTACACTACACTCACCTCACGAATCCACCTTGAACACTACTGTGGGAGTGTCACCTAAGACACCCTCATAATCTACTCTGAATTACCTTCTATTTTTTAATCTTATCTTTGCCCATGTCGCCCTGATCTCCCTTCCCCCAAATTCCCCCTCCAATCGTTTCCTCCGTCACACTTCGACCATGCCGGCCCCACTGGTCAAAGTCTTGCACCGTCTGCAAGAGCTCTTCCAGAACGTCGTTGCCGCCCTCGAGACCATGATCCTCTTCCCCTCACTCTTCCGCGGCTTCAGTCACAAGCGCCGCAAGCCCTTCCTGGGCGCTCACTGGCGCCGTCGGACCCTCGATGACTTCGCCGGCGAGGTTGAGACGCTATTCACCACACCCCTGTCGACCGCAAAGATGATCGATATGTCAGAGAAGATTCGCGCCCAATTTCGCCATTGTTTGCAAGAGAGTCCCTGCAACATGCTCCCATCCTACACCCACGCCCTCCCAACCGGCAACGAGAAGGGAACCTACCTGGCCCTCGATGTGGGAGGATCGACATTCCGAGTCGCTTTGATTGAATTGTATGGACAGGAGAAGGAAATGCGCATTGTGCGAGTCGCATCGTCATATATTGATAATAGCAAGAAATTGTTGGAGGGTACTCAGTTCTTTGACTGGATGGCAAGCGAAATTGATAACGTGCTCAAGGACGTGGGAACGGATTACGGACGCGGCGAAGTCGCCCTACCAATCGGTCTCTCCTGGTCATTCCCGATCGATCAGACTTCGACTAGCAGCGGCTTGGTGATTCACATGGGCAAGGGTTTCCACTGCTCGAACGGCACGGTGGGGCAGGAACTTGGACAACTGTTGATTGATTCGTGTCGGACGCGTAACTTGAACGTCGAAATGGCCGCTATTGTCAACGACAGCTCCGCTGCTCTACTCTCACGTGCCTTTGTTGACCCCAAGACCCGCATGTCCTTAATTTTGGGCACTGGCACCAATATGGCCATTCATTTCCCTGTGCATGAGATTGGACGTAGCAAGTTTGGAGTTCGCCCCGACGGGTGGTTCGATTACGCAAAGCATGTCATTGTCAATACGGAACTTAGCATGTTCGGGGGTGGTGTTTTGCCCATGACTCGCTGGGATGATATCCTGAACCGCACTCACCTTCGTCCTGACTATCAACCATTGGAATACATGATTACTGGTCGGTACCTGGGTGAGATTGTTCGTCTGATCATCGTGGAGGCAGTGGATACTGCAGCCTTGTTCAAGGGCGAGCTTCCACACTCCTTGCGTGAACCCTACTCTCTCGATACTAGTATCGTCGCTTTTATTGAGGAAGATTCATCGGTTTCTATGGCACCTTCCGCTGCCCTCCTACAAAAAGAGCACACCTTCCCGAGCTACCCCTCCGTTGAAGACCTACGTTTCCTCCGTCGTGTCTGCCAAGTTGTCTCCCGCCGCGCCGCCGGATATCTAGCCACCGGTATCCACAGCATGTGGTGTTTGGGCAACGAAGTGGAATCCCCCACGACCGCATCATCAGCCGAATCTCTCAAGGAAGCTCCCGAGATCACCGTCGTTGAAAGTGCTGACTCCGCAAAGAAAGTATCTATCGCATGTGACGGTACCGTCATCAACAAATACCCTGGTTTCCGCGACACTTGCCAGGGTTACCTGGATGCTTTGTCCGAACAATCCCACCCTGGTTCCGAATCTGCTATTAGCTTGGACCCCGCCCCCGAGAGTGCCATCTTGGGTGCGGCCGTAGCAGTAGCCGTGGCTGTGGCCGAAAAGGCCGAGCAGCGGTAAAGCCCTTGACCGCCAGTTCTGAAACGAGTGATGCATTACACCCGCAACGCCTAGATATCCCGCGGTCGACGACGACCACCTCCTATTCTCTGTCAATTTTTTTCATTCTTACTTTCATCATCGGTCATCGGCGCATGATCCATTTTTTCTATCCCATTGGCTTCTGTGTTTTCTGCACAGGGTCTCAAACACCACAGGGAGGTTGGATGCATTTTTCTCTTTCCTCATTCGATTCAATCAGCATTTGCCAGGCGTTTCTTGCCAAGGTTTTCAGATTTGGGCTTTTGCTTTCTTCCTTTTCCTTTTTCTTTGCTTCTCTTTTTTCTTCTCCGACTACTGCTTTGGGCGGAGTATGGCTCTTCTGGTTCCTGTGGTCATTTTTATGGCGCATTCATGGAGGTTTGGCTTCGTGTTGTAGTGAGTATGCTTTGGTCTACATACTGTTCTTTGGGGTCGATTAGGATGGGGTAGTAGGAACAACAGAAGCATTTGACCTGGTTTTATTCCGGGATTCAACTCTTTCTCTACCTAGAGGTGTGGCAGTTTTAAGAGTAATGTAATGGCGATTCATCGGGATTTCTCCGTTCCCGTCTCTCATTGGTCAGGAATATCTAGGTATGGATAAATGCCACATCTTTAGAAACTAAGATGAAATTTCGAGTTTTGTCCAACAAGTCTTGCATCGCGATTGTCAAGCTAGTTCGAGAGCACTGTGAAATGGTGTGCTTCAAAGATCGAGAAAAAAATAAAAAATCGGACTGTTTACGACGGCGGCGGTATGGCTCCCCGTTGATTTAACGATTCAAATACTGAGACTCAAGGCACGCTGTGATGCTAGATGCAATGCAATTTTTTGTGTGGCCACATTCGATTACGGGGCTTTTCCGCACTTTCTAGTATTTTCCCCCACTGGCGTCTAAGCGGTGTAATCCTGCTGCGGAGCATTTCCGCCCTCCTTAACAATCCCCCCGCCATACAGGATCTGAAAGGCCAAATATTCGAGAATGATTGGTATTGATTGCGGATACCTTCTGCTTCAAACGATGATTACCAAGCTTTTGACCCCTGGTCAGGGATTTAAAGGCATGAATATCCCCATCAGGAAATCACTTGTCTTCAATTGGAAGCTCGAACGTCAAATCTTTCCCGCAGCTTGTATGTCTTCAATTCGTTTCCTGCGCTTGATCCAATCAATGGTGCTTTTAAATATCACCTTCTTACTCACTGATCTATAGAAAAAATTCTCATTTTTTCATCTCTTTACCTCAAATTTTTTTTTAATAAGAAGCAAGGTATCCAGGCAACATGGTTCTTCAACTTCATGGATTTGCACTCTCTACTTGCACCAGCCGTGTGCGGACTGTGCTCGAGGAGAAGGGGGTGGAAGTTGAATTTATTCCTGTCAATCTAGCTCAGGGTGAGCAAAAGGCAGAGTCCTATCTGAACGATCTGCACCCATTCGGAAAGGTGCCAGTCCTCCGAGATACCGAGACAGGCGTCCAGGTCTTTGGTAAGTCGGCCTCAATGTTACACTTAATGATTCAAGAAAAATCCCTGGATAAAAATATAGCGCATATTTAAATGCTACATTTGCTAAGAACTTTTGTCAACTATACAGAAAGCCGAGCTATTGCGCAGTATATCGAAACCAAGTACAAGGACCAGGGAACTAAGCTGACTCCCCCTGAGACCGATTTGAAGGCATATGCACTTTACCAACAGGTATGAACGAACTGCCCACTCAAGTCTTTCTATATTTTTGTTTCCAGATTTTGACACTGCTTGAATTGCCAGGCCGTCTCTGTTGAACAGTCCTACTTCGACCCGCTTGTTTCCCAGATTGCGTTCGAGAAGGTCTTCAAGGGAATGAAGGGCCTTGGACCAGCCGACGAACCTAAAGTCCAGGCCCTGCTCAGCCAACTCGACGTCTCTCTTCAGGGATATGAGCGAATCCTGTCTAAGCAGAAGTATCTCGCCGGCGATAGTGTTACCCTTGCAGACTTGTACCATCTGCCCTACGGAGCCTTTGTCGAGCAGTTTGGCTTTGCTGAACTGGTTGACAAATATCCTGCGTTTAAGAAGTGGTGGGAGGGTTTGAAGAACCGAGACAGCTGGAAGAAGGCTTCTCAATAGCTTGTTGGCTATTTATGAACGTTTGGTTTATTTTTCTTGCATATATACATAGACCAGTGATCGTTATCTTTATAGAATAAGCAAAAGCTCAAGAAATTAGAAGTATATTAGAATCCAAACCAAAGCAACATATGTACCTCAACCAGCGGAAAATGTTTATTATCTGCACATGTTCAAATGTTGACAATTTTTTTTTCCTTTAAAAAAAGTCATCACTATAGCTGATGATGAAGAAATCTCCACTTTCAATGGATAAATTCCAGATCAGCCTATGTAATCCGGGGAGTTTCGGACGGGGACTCTCGGCGGTCGACCATCACCAATGAACGCTCTGCAACTCGTGCAGAAATGGAGCCGAAAATCCACTTTTCGGTTACGTAAATAGGGTCCAGGGACATGCTTGGATATGGCAGTCACCAGTGGATATCCAATTGACCAATTCGATAGACGCGGGGTATCACCTGGGCACGTGCTATCAAAGGGTCTCTCCCTCCCCAGAAAAACGATCCCCGATTCTGCAGAGCGGGTCATGGACGCCAATACTGGAAGAAATGGCATGCAGTACCCGCGCAAACGAGCCGTCACTGCATGCCAGCTCTGTCGCACTCGCAAGACAAAATGCGACAACCAGCGCCCCAGCTGTCGGGTCTGCCTTTCGGTCGGAGTACCATGCCATTACGCAGATCGAAATGATCACTCTTCGTTAGTGATTGTACCTTTGATCATATAATTCTGTCTTGCACTAATCCGTCTGCATGAATTTCTAGCTTTGATCCTGCCAGTCTGGAAATCCTTGATCGGCTGAACCGCATAATGAACACTCAACAGGACGTTCTAAAAGCCGTGCGAGACAGCAGTAATCTTGAGACGCATACAATTCCAGATTGCCCATCTTCGGAATCATACAGCTTGCCCCGGACAGTTCTTTCGGAAAAAACGAATCAAGCTGAATTGTCAAGTAGAGATCCTGCCGCAAACATCTTTGGTGTGACTTCTTCTAATACAAGTCCTGACAACGTGCTTATATGGCCCATTTTCCTTGGAAACTATGCAGCGAAATGTCTCCAGGATGCTCTTTTTTCACTAAGTTCGTCAGGCCCTTATGGGAATCAAAGCTCGAAAAAGCTTGCGAAATTTCCCTTTCAAGAAGACAAGGTGTCACATCTAATGGAGCGATTCTTCCAGCTGGTGCACATTAAGAATCCTATCTTAGACCCAGAAGAGCTACAGGAGTATTCTCGAATAGTTATTGAGGATGGACTAAGCTGGGACGAAGGCTCGTGTCTTGTGGTAAGCAGAAAATATTCCCATCTCTTGATTTATTCTTGCCAGGTATTAAAAACAAAAAAAAAAAGCTTCTGGCATGTGCTTTAGGCAGAATCGCACAACCATTTGTAAATGGCCAACAAATGGAAAACTTTGACCCATTCAACCCCCGGGATGATTCCTCGTCATTTGAAGATTCCGACTTGGCCGAGGCAGAGTCCTTTTTTTATTTGGCTCGCAGACGTATCGGTGTCTTGGACCAGTCAATCGCTGCTGTTCAGGGCTTTTTTCTTTGTGGTGTTTACTACATGTATACCTTTAGACCGTTGGACGCCTTCCAGAGCTTTCACCAGGCATCGGTCATCTACCAGATTTACTCCAAGTCTCGAAAAGGTCCCACGCCAGTCTTGTCTGATAGCAAGACTGAGCAGACGCTATTCTGGAGTTGTTTTAAATCAGAATGGTATGTAAAATGGTCTTATTGCCTGAGTTCGACTCACAAATTACACAGTGAAATATTGTCTGAAATTGATCTTCCCTCTTCGGGAGTTTCTTGTTCAGACTACATCGATGTTTTCCCAAACCCCCCTCACTCGGATGCATCCGCGGTCAGTTCAACAATCACTACCACCCCCGGTAGCAGAGGACGTGTGGACCACAGCCTGTCAAATCACGGACAGGAGCAAGCGTGGTTCTACTACCTCTCGGAAATAGCGCTACGGCGCATCGGCAACCGCGTTCTGAGTACATTTTACAAAGAAAACTTTACTTTCTGGAAGGAGCTCGACATAGTTGCCACGATTCAGATCGCCAATGAGTTTTTCCGCCAGCTGAATATGTGGTACGAGTGTCTTCCTGTGCCCATGCACTTTGACAGCGGCAAACCTGGGGCTTTCCCAGACAACGAGCTACCATATCTTCTGTACACACGGTACCAGGAAATTCGGTCTTGGATATTTCGCCCTTTTCTGTTCTTGGCCATTCATTTGCCGCCAAATAATATTCACCGGTCGTCTTTGGATGATCTTGTGGCGGAGTCTGTGAGCTGTTATACTCAACTAATTGAAGGGAACTCCCTTACACACCGCCATCATGGAACGTGGTATATGCTTCGGTTAAGCGTCACGTCTGCTCTCTGTCTTCTCGCTGCAGAAAGACGAAATTTTGAAGTACCAGCGTTGCGGCGATCGGTTGAGCTTGCGATCAAAACACTTTTGTATTGGGAAGTCGGGGCTCCAGGTGATGTTCGAGAAGCTAGATTGATTCTCCAAGAACTCCTTTCAGCATCGGCGTCACCTTTTAGAGACCCCGACATGTAGCTGGTATAAGCTCTGGAATTTATTCTTCTTGGCTCTGTCCTTGCAAGGTGATACATAAAATTTAAATTCACGACCCTTCTTTTTTAATCATTTACACTGTCTTATAAAGCTTCTTTCTGTCCTGAGGTCGATATAATTGTTACTTCTCATTGATATTCTCAAATAGTGAACGTAGAATTCAGACGGATATCAGCAGATGATGCGCCAACGTGCACATTAAAGGCACCACTGGGCGTAACCCAAGTCTGCCGCACCACATCCCAATAGCTGATGTCCTTTCGAGTGAGATAAATCTTCCGTGTTTGAGTCTCTCCGTCTCGGATGGGAACAGAAACAAACCCACGGAGAATCTTGGTCGGGTTACCAGCCTGCTCTGGCATCCCAAGATAGAGCTGTACGATTTCTGTGCCATCGTAGGGACCCTCATTGCTGACCGTGACCTGGACAATGATTGCTACATCGTAGAGAGCCATATCGCCACCTGGTGCATTACCGACATATTTGATGGGTTTCTTCAAGGCAGCAGCCAGCCCGCCGTGCTTGGTAACTTCAAGATCGGTATATGTGAAGCTTGAATATGATAGACCGTGACCAAAGCAAAAGCGAGGCTCTATCCCGCGCTTCTCGAAGCCGCGGTAGTCGACCGATATGCCTTCCGTGTAATTTATCTGTGGGTATGGCTGAGGATCCGTGACTATGTTGGGCTGAGCGTAGTCGGAAGTGTTTTTCGCAATGGTGTACACTAGTCGACCGGACGGATTGACGTCCCCATACAGAATGTCAACAAGTGCAGGGCCAAGCTCTTGGCCTCCAAGGTTAGCCCAAACAACAGCAGTCACGTTTGGGTGGTCGATCCATTTCTGCATGATGGGACTTGTTAGATAAGAGAAGGGAAAGGAAATCGCCGTGAATGGATGCTCAATTGGCTTACCTCCAAATCTACAGGACCAACAGCCTGAACCACAACAACGGTATTATCACAGTTCTCAGCAACGGTACTGATCAGCAGATCACCGTCATGCATGAGTGTTAAGTTTCGGTCGACCAATTCACCGGACGACGAGGCAACCACTGGGATACAGACAGTACCACGCTTAGCAACGGTGCTCACCATTGACATGTTAGAGCTGAAAGTCCAATCGACAAGGGTCAAATATTGATTTGCACGATGCTGAATGGCGCTGAGAGGGTCCACTAAGCGAGAATCTATGTTATCGAACAATTAGAGAGCGTCAACTAGCAACCAGGCAGCTGAGACTTACAGAATGTTGATCCCGAACCGGATCCTCCCGCAAGAGTTCCCTCACCAATGCCCATAGTCAAAGGATCCAGAGCATAGCCATTCACCGTAGCCCATTCGCTCGGTAGAACACCATTGCCGTAACCATACTGGTTGGGACCATAAGGATTGGGACCGGCAGCGCGCCCAAACAAAGTGATTGTTGTCGGCTTCTTTAGTGGAAGTCCATTTCTTCCCTCCGTGTTCTTGAGAAGGACTGTCCCCGCCGCGGCAATCTCGCGAGCAAGAACTCTATGCCTCTGGCGCTGACTGTCGACAATAGCCTTGCGGGGGTCATCCACCAAGTTAATATCGGGGTAGTTGCGGTCCTGACCAAGCAAGAAATAAGGAGTCATGATTCTAGTAGCAGCATCATCCAGCCTCCATTCCGGCACCGAACCATTATTCACAGATCTAGTGAGATTAGCACCATAAAAGCCCCAGTCGCCGCCATTGGCCGCAACACCCGGCATATCCTGATCCATACCAGCCATAAACGCATCAACACCAGCCTTGAGAGCAAACCAGTCCGTCTGGGTATATCCCTGGAACGCCAGGTGAGTTTTGAGGACGTCGTTGAGTAGATGGGCATTTTGGCAAGCCTGGGAATTGTTGACATATGGATAGCTGGCCATCACGCAGGAAGCGCCTGCCCTCACGGCCTCGGCATAAGGCCACACCTCAACCTCGTGCAGTGTCTTGTCATCGATATTGCTAGAGTAATAGGTCCGGTTATACTGCTGTCCATCGTACCCCAGATACTGCTTAGGAACAGCTTGCACACCAGCAGCCTGTTCTCCAATAACAGTCTCGTAGCCGGCAGCACCGATCAAAAACGGGTCGTTGCCGAAACCCTCGAAGTTCGTTCCCCCTCCCACGGTACGACCGAGGGCAAGTACTGGTCCCAGCACAGCGTGGGCTCCTTTGTTCCTATGCTCTGTGGCAATTGCGAACCCGCGGGCACGAATCAGCTCTCGATTCCAGGTTGAGGCGACGGTAACACCGGGAGGAAAGCCGGTCCCATACGAATGCGAATTTCCAATGCCAGAGTCACTGTCTATATAGCAGAAGCCGGGGAAGTTCAGACGGGCGATCGGCGTGGTTTGGCCCTGACAGAGCTGATTTGGATTATTAGGGTCTCTGTGAGGAAGGACAACGACATATACTTAGCAGGTCTCGCTCTCGTGCTTCCAAACATTTGAAGATGTAGATGGGGGGGAAAGGAGACGTACGGTGGGAAACCAGTGCCAGTACTAAGAGAGACCTTCTCTTCCGTGGTCAACTGGGACACAAAGAGCCTAGCCTTTGCAATAGCGACATCCCATCCACCAATTCCGGTGGCATTAGGGCTAGGGTATGAGTAAGGGGAGTCGGGTTCGCGCGGGTAGAAAGTATCTGGCTCCACGTTCTTTGGATCACCCTGTCCCGAGGCCGCGGAGGCAAGCCAGAGTAAGAAGAGATATTTCAAGGAGGGCATGGCTTGTCACTGAATTGAGAAAACCGGCTGCATCTATCTGTCAATCCCAACTGGAAGTTCAGTCTGCGTCTATTTATGCTAAGACCTCAATCTCAGTAGTTGACGGCTGGGTATTTCAAATGATTGCAGATCCTAAATCGCAACTTGATTCAAGTCCCATTTTGAGTTTGTTTTCATTTTCTAATACTTCCTTCTTCTTACTTCGTGCATACCCCAGACCCCAGACCCCACACGCAAGTCCAAGCCGACGCGGGGAGGCGGATATCAAAGTGGAGACACGGGCCAGCTGGCTCGAGCTGCATGATCAGCGAGACTCGAGAGCGAGGCATTTCGGGGAGTCTCGGTGCTAAGTAAGTACTTAGAAGTTAGGACCGAAACTCCCCGGGTCCACATTTTACTCCACTTGCGAGCTCCGCCTAGTGGGAAAGAACTCCAACGCTCGCGAGTTTCATCAGTCCATGACTGCCAAGAATAAATCCTGCTGTAAGAGTAACTCACCCAAATCCAATTTTGATGCAGAAAATTGGCTAAAGGGGGCTTAGTGGAGCAAAGGGCAAATCCCAGAAAAATGTCAATTAGGTCAAATTTGAGTCTTTCTTTTTCCTTCGCCTACTGGTCAACTGGTACATCATACATGTGACGTCGGAAGTACTAAGGGGAGTTTCGGCAAACCGTGTTCGCTTATTCATAGGCTGCTTTGCTAGATTTCACAAAGATCCATTCAAGGAGACTGGAAAAGAAAAATGTAATAGAATTTTAGGACCTTATTATGCAGCTGCATTCTTCGACACTCAGATAAGCACCTTGTATTCCTTTTTTCTCTTAAGTCTTTCATTCCTATACTTCACTTACTTAGAATCACTTCAAGATCATTACCAACATGACAATGAGCACTGGTAACAGAATTCTGCGCGTGGGCGTAATTGGGTCAGTCTTTCTCTTATCAAAACGCTACACTATATCTTACTTACATGGTGGCTAGATGTGGTGAAATCACCCAGGTTGCACATATCCCAACCCTCGGCTTCCTATCCGATTACTTCCAAATCACCTACCTCTGTGATGTCTCAGACGACGCACTTAACCATTGCAAAGGCAAAGTCATGGGAGCAACTCCCAAAACAACCCGCAACGCAGAGGATGTTTGTGCCTCTCCAGACGTGGATGTTGTGATGATCGCCAACAGCGATGCTTTCCATGTGCCTCACACCCTGCTGGCGCTGCGATACAACAAGGTTGTCTTCATAGAAAAGCCCATGGCCCTCTCTTTGAAAGATGCCGACACCATTATCGAACTAGAGAAGCAATCCTCCGGCAAGGTAATGGTCGGATACATGAGACGTTATGCAGCCGGTTTCCTCGATGCCGTCCGCGAAATCGGGTGTCTAGACAACATTCACTACGCGCGTGTACGGGACATTGTCGGGCCCAACTCTGCCTTTGTCGGACAGTCTGGCACCTTCCCGAAGGTCTTCTCGGATTACAAGCCCGAGGATTCGAAGGACTTGTCCTCCAGAACCAACGAGTTTCTCGAGCAGGCCTTGTTTCGTGAACTCGGTATTCCAGTGACACCGGCTACTGCGCTTCAGTGGAGGCACTTGGGGAGCCTGGGCTCGCACGATCTTAGTGCGATGAGAGAGGCTCTGGGTATGCCGACTGCTGTGCTTGGTGCTTCGCTGTGCGCGACTGAAGGCCCGCCCTTCTGGAGGTACGTTCGAAACCAGATTTTCTCTTGCATGAGAGCTTTACTAAAATATATGCTTCTTAGTGCTTTGTTCCAGTACCCTTCTTTCGCTGTCTCGTACGAGTCTGGTATCGATGAAATTCCCCGTTTTGATGCATCGATCGAGGTCTTTGGTAAACAGAAGACTGTAAAGGTCTGCTTTGACTCTCCTTACGTTAAAGGCCTGCCGACCAACATGTATATCCGCGAACGACTGGCCGACGGATCTTACAAGGAATCGCTATTTCGAAAAACTTACGAGGACGCCTACACGTTGGAGATGAAGGAGCTCTATGCATTTGTTGTTGATGACAAGCCGGTTAAAACCACTCCTGAGGATGCCAAAAAGGACCTTGAGATCTTCGGTATGATCATGAAGGCAGGATTGGCAGGATGAGTTGGACAAAGCAAAGTTTTACATTAAACTAGAGATAATGGCCCTCTTTCTTTTGTATTTTTCTCTCTCCTGTGTTTGTGGTAGTATACTAGAAAAGACTGGAGAAAGTTGTCCGTATAGTTGGAGCTCAGTACGGGCAAATTGAATGATGCTATCGGCACTTCAACAGTCGTCAAGATTTTTCATGTTCTTAGTAGGTATAGCAGGTTACAGCTCAGCAAAAAAAAGTAAACGAAATACAGGACAGAGTGGGGTGATAGGCACTGTAGTCAGGGAATACACCATACTACCACTAGGATCGACAGTGAGAAGCCTGGAAAGAAACAGGAAAGCAGGAAAAGGAAGAGATCAAAGGCCAGGGACAGTCCGGACAGGGAAGCTGTTCAGCGCTTTTTGTGGGGTGCCAATACGGGGTAGACCGTAGCGAGACCGGGGCCTTCTCTGCGAATTTGAGACTCGGACTCCTCGGACCTCCACCAAGTGCCACACGGAAATATCAAGGCCCATATTTTTTTGGAATCGAGTTTCGTTAGCGGTTAAGCTACCAAGGGTGGCCACCAGGTCCCCCGCATATCACCAGCCCCTGCCGAAACTCCCCGTCCGCAACTCCCCGGCCCGCGCTAGTCTATAGGCCACATTCCTGGTAAAGAATGCGGGGAGTTGAGAGCGAAAGCAAGGATGGTTTAGCCAATGGCGATGTCTTTACCCCAGAATCTAGCCAGGCTTTCTATGCCGCCCAATACGGGGTTCATTTGTTCATCAGCTCTGTCAGGTCGTCTGCTTCCAAGGTTGTCGGTCACTTTGATCTAGAATTGATCATTTCTTATAAGTCGCAGCACAAAGTACTCACATACTCGGGTGTTTTCTTTCTATTTTGTTCTTCTAAAGAAACTGTGTATACAGTCAATCGCGATGCATGTACCTAGTAACTCTGCCAGTGCCCCAGGGGATGTTACTATCGCCGAGCTGCGATTGCAGCAGGCCAACGCACCCGGAATATCGGGTCTTTTCAAAAACAAAAAGGTTTTCTTGATTGCCCTATTTGCTTCGTAAGTTCTGTTAGTTGTGGGATGGTCTTCAAGTCAGCCTTTTAACAATTCACAGCTTCGGGGGCCTTGAATACGGGTATCAACAAGGAGTCATTTCGCAAGCCTTGGTGATGAGTAGTTTCAAAGCAGATTTTCCAGATATCGTTGGATCTTCAGGCGCTACAGGGTGGTTGACTTCCATTTTACAGCTTGGAGGCTGGTTTGGAGCCTTGTCTGCAGGTGTACTTGCCGAAGTGTTTACTCGGAAACACACTATCCTGAGCGGTGCTCTCTGGGTCATATTGGGATCTTTCCTCTCTGCTGGTGCACACAACGGATCGTATCTTTTTGCCGGGCGCTTTCTCACTGGGATTGGAGTCGGCACGCTGAGTGCGGTGGGGTACGTATCGCGAAACGACCTTTCTCCCCCATTACATGTCAGTTCTTTTGATATAAATACTGATTATGTATAGACCGCTTTACAATGCCGAGCTCGCTCCTCCTGAAATTCGAGGGCTATTGGTAGCCCTTCAGCAGCTGTCTACTACCATCGGAATTATGATCGCCTACTGGATTGGATACGGAACGAACTATATCGGCGGCACGGGAGATGGTCAATCCGACTGGGCCTGGCGTACTCCCTTGATCATTCAAGGAATCCCCGCCATTATTCTAGTCCTGGGAGCTGTCTTCTTTCTTCCTTTCTCGCCTCGAATGCTGGTCAGCAAGGGCCGTGAAGAAGAAGCTCTCAAAACCCTGGCCTCCCTGCGTGGGCTTCCCGAAGATGATATTATTGTCCGCGGGGAGTTCTTGGAAATCAAGTCGGAGGTGCTTTTTGAACAGCGAGTATTCGCAAAGACGCTTCCTCACCTTGCAGAGCCTGGCCACAGTTTGTGGCGTCGCGAGCTCGCACAGTATACGAATATTTTCCGCACCAAGGACAATTTTAAACGTGTGGCAATTGCTGGTCTTATCATGTTCTTCCAACAATGGAGTGGAGTGGACTCTATCATTTACTACGCTTCGTCGATTTTCCAGAGCCTTGGTTTGACTTCTGGTACTATATCCCTTCTTGCGACTGGGGTCGTCGGTATTATCAATGTGCTGGCAACTATACCTGCCGCTATGATCATTGATAAGGTGGGAAGGAAGCCACTCCTTTTGGCTGGGTCTACTGGAATGTTCTGCTCTATGATAATCGTTGCCGTAATTGTCGCCAAGTGTCAGCATGACTGGGAGCAGCATACTGCCGCTGGGTGGGCTGCGGTGGCTTTCATCTGGATATATATTGCAAATTTTGGATACTCATGGGGCCCTGCAAGCTGGGTTTTGATTGCCGGTAAGAACTCTAGAAAAGATCTGTGAGCTTGCGTTGAAAGAAGTTGACCACATGTGCTAATCTGAATAATGTATCATACAGAGATATTCCCCCTGTCGATTCGCGCAAAGGGTACTTCAATTGGTGCATCTTCTAACTGGATGAACAACTTCATCGTTGCTTTGATTGTACCACCAATGATTGCTGGGATCGGCTGGGGAATGTACCTGTTCTTTGCAGTCTGGCTTCTTATTGGCGCAATTTTCATTTGGCTTTTCGTCCCCGAGACCAAAAATAAGACCCTTGAGGAGATGGATTTGGTATTCGGCAGCGTGGCAGCCTCTGACGATCAAGATATGTTTTCTGCGGTAAAGGAGGAGGTCGGGCTGACAGCTCTCCTGAAAGAAGGTGAAAGTACAGGCCTGTCTGGAGACAACTATGAGAAGGGTGTCTCGACTGGGCACTTGGAGACTGCGTAACCTTTCATTGATTGGTTTCAGTGCAGCAGCTCAAGGAGGCATTGCATGTGAGGAAGCCTCTTTCTGTCCACCCGTGGACGTGGCCGGGTGTCTACTTGTTGTAAACAGATGGCAGTACTAGAACCTTAGTATATACCTTGAGCACTTGGCCTGTTTGATTTCCATTTGAATAAATATGAAGCTTACGATGACCTTGAGCACGCGTCTATCCAGGGGATGAAAAGTGCGTCTACTCTTTCTAGTCAGAACAGAAGTATAGGTTTCCAATCGAGGCGTCCCGTCTTTTGGTACATAAAGACTGATGGTCATCAAAGGAAGAAAGCCTTGCAAAGGTACAACTTTGAAATTGATGCTCACATGTGCAAGTGCTATAATACTGGCCAAGGTTCGTCATTCAATCAATACTGAATGTTTGCTCCACGCGGTACCTAACATACAAGAAACATTGAAAAGTCCCTCGATTTTCATTTTGAGGACCCCCCACATTTCGCTATTTCCGAAACTCCCCGTCAAAATCCCCACCACCGTGACCCCCATCTAGAGGGAATGATTGCCGTTCAGATTACCTTGCAAGTCTCGGGGAACTATAAGGAAACGTGGTCTATACAATTAGTTGTCTGGAACGTAAAAATACATGTTCTTATAGGACTTAAATAGGTCCTCAGTCTCAGACAAGAACCTGTGAATGATCTCAAGCTTCCAAGGCTCATCCAAATACGACACATACCAAGCCTACTATTCTTTACTTTGTTTCTTTCGCCCAGATATCTACATCACCCTTCTCTTGCAACCTTACAATGGGTTCTCTCCCTGAGCTGCGCTGGGGCATTGTTGGTATGTACGCCAGGACCGTACAAGCCCAGTCCAGTCTCTCATTCAAGCGAAATCAGCAGGACTTTCAGAACTAGCATAGTCAAACAAAGCGAGCTGACATCTCATTCTCACAGCCACCGGTATGATCGCATCCTGGTTCGTCACCGATCTAAGCCTACCCCGACCAGACCGACGCGCCAACCACACCATCCAAGCCGTCGGATCCAGCACCAAAGCCAAAGCGCAAAAGTTCGTAGAAACCCACATCCCACCTCCCGCCCAATCTGCCGTCACATGCTACGGCTCCTACTCAGCGATCTACACAGACCCAAACGTCGACATCGTGTACATAGCCACGCCGCACGCACTCCACAAGCAGAACTGCCTGGACGCAATCCACGCCGGCAAGCACGTTCTCTGCGAAAAGCCATTTGCGCTTAACGCGCGCGAAGCGGCGACGATCATCGCCGCCGCGCGCGAGAAAGGCGTGTTCGTGATGGAGGGCCTGTGGACACGATTTTTCCCGCTCGTAGAAAAAGTCCGCGACCTCCTTCACGGCGAGAAGATCATCGGCGAAATCAGCCGAGTCTTTGCGGATTTTTCGCTCGACATGCCGCTTCAGGATTTGCCGGCCACTTCGCGATTGCGAGACGCTAGGCTGGGCGCCGGGTCGCTTTTGGATATCGGTGTTTATGCGCTGACATGGGGCCTGTTGTGTCTGGAGTCTCCGGGCGATGCCTCGCGACGGCCTCGGATTACGGCATCGCAGAGATTGCTGGAGGGGGTTGATGTCGGCTCTGCTGTGCTGCTTTACTATCCTGATACTGGGCGGCAGGGGGTTCTTACCTCGTCGCTGCTGCATAAGACGGATGATATATTTGCGCGAGTTGAGGGTAGTAAGGGGACTCTGTACCTGGGCGGTGATACTGCGTCTATGCCTGATAGGATTGTTGTTTCTTTGAAGCCAGTGGGCGCGGGGAATGATATGGGAGATAAGAAGGCAGGGAGTGATGGTGTGCGGGGATCTGAAAGGACTTTCAGATTTGAGGAAACGTGCGGTGGAAAGGGTTTCTACTATGAGGCTGATGCCATTGCGCTGGATCTTGCTGCGGGGAAGACGGAGAGTGAGATCATGCCGCTTGATGAGACGTTGAGAGTAATGCGGTTGCTAGATGAGATACGAGCACAGGGCGGCGCCAGATTCCCCCAAGACGATGAGTGAGGAAGGAAGTGGCGTGGTCACCTACATACTAGTCTAGTATGGCAATAATTATTGCTGTTATGCCGAATGGCAAACTTGTATACATACTAGTAGTCAGCATGAATTGATCAGGATAAGTCAACTGGTGGAACCTTGGAAAGATCTTGTCGATTCGAAGAGCTTGAACTACAGATATATGTATATTAGCCACCCTTTCACACTTCAAGGTTCATTACTTTGAAATATTGGATTAGCACCCTGACTTAGAAATGTCACAAGAATCCTCCAAGGCTGTTGGAACAGCTTACTGCGTGTTGCGCCCTGTAGGTGATGGGTGCGTGTCGGCCTGACAGAACATCCACCGTAAGCAGAGGAGATGAAATCTGAAAGAAACGGAGTGAGTTGAGGAAGAATTGGAAGGGAAGAGGGGAAAGACTTGGTAAGGAAACACTGGTAAGGCCTATACATGCGAGAGATCACCCGATCCTCTTGATACAACCTCATAAGCATACTACTGTACTAGGGTATAAGTGTGTAGTTTCAAGGAGGAAAGCAGTAGTAAGCTTGCTATGTACTGTACCTACTACATAGTGCCTACCTATAGTTACCACGAACTATTTATTCACAAAGAATAACGCAGTATATATAGGCATATAGACGTTTACTTTCACCTGTGCTTGGTTAGTCAGTTTATCTCTCATTTGAGCCTCACTTGAGGTCTCTATGTGACTGAGAATCAATTAGTGTCGGATGTTGTCTGACCAAGCATTGGGCACTGGTACTGAGAGTAGAAGGAAATTGAAGGATCAATTGAATCACAAACTAGGGATTTCGTTTGAAGCGATTCCAATCCGGCATTAGGTACAATCCAATGTTGTACATAATGTGAAGTAGAAGATGGGTTTTTGGGATGTATATAAACGACTGTATATCAATCAAGTGGCAACTAATCCCGTTCCGGTCAATTCCATCAACTCTTTTTTTTCCTCTTCAAGAGCTCTTTTTCTCCCATCACCAACATTCAACACCATGTCGTTCTTCTCTGTTCCTCGTATGGCTACCAGGGTCTTCTCCAAGCCTCAATTCCCGTCTATTGTACGCTCGTCGGGACCCCGCCCCTACTCAACGAGACCAACCCCCAAAGACGCGCCACAGATGAGCCGCTCGCAATTCAAGATCCTCCCACTCATCGCCCTCCTCGCAATCAGCTCAGGATCCTACGTCTTCCTCGTGAAGTCCCGCACAGGCCAGAACCCCAAACCCAACTAGAAAAAAAAAAGGAGGTCCCTTTTCTCCCGAACGAACCGATCACCCCCTGAATTCAGCCACCGGGCCAGACTCATCCCAATTCCCGACTACCCAATCCGGATCGACAATCACCCCTCCACCTGCAACAAATAAACCTCTCCTCCTCCCCCATCCATCCATCCAACCAATCCCCACAAACATCAACCCCCCCAAAACGCACATACATTTCACAATGGCTGCCTCCACCACATCCCGTTTCTCGCCCGAAGATGTCACCGTCGTCTTCTTCCTCGGCGGCCCAGGCAGCGGCAAGGGCACCCAGTCCGCAAACCTGGTCAAGGACTACGGTTTCGTCCACCTCTCCGCCGGCGACCTCCTCCGCGCCGAACAAGTCCGCGAGGGAAGCGAGTACGGCGCCATGATCAAGAACTACATCACCGAGGGCAAGATCGTCCCCATGGAAGTCACCGTTGCGCTGCTTTCCAACGCCATGGCTGAGTCCCTGAAGACTGCGCCCCCGGCTGCGGGCACCAAGGCGCGCTTCCTGATTGATGGGTTCCCGCGTAAGCTGGACCAGGCTGTTTTCTTCGAGGCCACCGTCTGTCCCTCTGAGTTGGTGCTTTTCCTGGATTGTCCTGAGGCGGTCATGGAGACTCGGTTGTTGAAGCGCGGGGAGACGAGTGGGCGGGATGATGATAATGCGGAGTCGATTCGCAAGCGGTTCCGCACTTTTGTCGAGACTTCTATGCCTGTTGTGGATGATTTTGAGAAGAAGGGCAAGGTTGTGCAGGTTTCTGCTACGGGGTCTGTTGCGGAGGTTTATGAGATTGTTAAGGCTGGTATTGAGGCGCGGGGTTTGCAGGCTCGTTAGGGGGATGGGGGGAACTTGAATTGTTGTATATATTAAGGGGCTTCGAATTGCTTTATTTGCAATGGTCGGATTGTTCTGCTGGCCTTTTGTTTCGTTTCTCATCTAGCCTGGATATTAGATCATTAGAAGACAGATCAATAGAGCACTGCACACTTTTTCTTTTCGCTTTTCATACTCTCTCTACCTGAATCTCTCTACCTGAACTCCTTTGGACAATGCTCTCGTTTCTACACGAACAAGTCAAATACCTGCAGACAAGACCTGGGTGTTTTTTTATAGAAGTGTTTGTATTCTTGATAAGAAGTTGTCCCCTCCAGAAAACATAAAAAAAAGACATGACATGACTCGTGGGGATCCCAAATCAGCGGGGCCAGTAGATCCTTCCTACAAACTGGCCAGGACAAAAGAGATATAAATGCAAAAAAAAGGAAAAGAAAAAAGGATGGCTCCCCTCTATTAGTGGAAAGGAAGAAATTTTTTGTGTTCTGTGAGTTCCACTCCACATCAAACACCGGAATATCCATGCACTCCCAAGCAACCCAAGTAATCAATCGATAATTTTCGAGACCCTTTACTCGGCAGTTCCCTCAACCTCACGGGGTTGGGAAGCCTGCGCGGGCTGCTCAGACTGAATGCGCTGTCGGTCACCGAAACGGGCCTTGTTGGCGGCCTTGGACTCCTGGTCGGCGGCGGCCTGGATGCCCTCACGGACGAAACGCTCACGCTCGGAGCGGATGACGCTCAGGACACCCTCCAGGGAGCGGCGCCAGACCATCAAACGACCCTGAACCTCAGACCACTGCTTCTCACCGAACACACGGTAGGTGGCACGGTGAACAAGGAACTCCTGGCGAAGCTGAGAAAGCTTACCCTCAACGAGACCGGCACGGATGGTGTCAATGACCCACATCTCAACCTCGGAGGCGGAGACACGCAGAGCAGAGGCAATGGTGGCGTAGGGGAGCGAGCGGGAGGGGGTGGAGGAGGCAAGCGAGGTCAGGGTGAGCAGGCGCATCTTAGTCTGCAGGGCATCGGCAGACTCGGCAAGAACACCACCGGAGATGGAAGCGAGCGGGGTGGCGGCAATGAAATCCTCGTAGGCATCGAGGGTGTCAGAGGTGAAGATCTCCAGCAGATCGAAGAGGGGGCTGTCGCTGGATCGGAGAGCCTGGACAGCGTCCGAGGAAGTCAGAGGGGTGAAGTCGAAAACGGTGGGACGACGCAGAGCCATGGCGAGGGCGCGAACAGCCAGATCGCGAGCGCTGGGCTTGCTGGCGTCAGCAGCGGGGATGGTCTCGAGAGCCTGGGTAACGTGTGACTGGGCCAAATCCTCATCACCGGCCGCGGTAGCCGCATCAGCAATAGCCAAGTGCAGCTTCTGGGCCTCCTCCACGTCCAATTCCCACGAAGCGAGCCATGTGGGGAGCTGGTTGGCCAACTGGGGCTTCAAGGCCTCGAAGGCGTATCCGGATCCAGACTGGCGAATCACGGCCACAATGGCGAGAAGAACGTGGTACCGGCTGGAGTCGTTGCCGGAAAGAGTGTTGAAGATGGTGGTGAGGATGGAGATGGCCAGTGTAGGGCCGAATTGAGGGGAGGTGGTGATGGGCTTAGCGAGGTAGGCGCAGATGCGAGAAAGGAACATGTCCGGGTCGGAGGACAAGTGAACGAGGTGCACAAGCAAGTTGTAAGAGGGAATGATTTCTATCGTTGTCATCTCATGTCAGTTCTCTTCCATTCTCCAAGGACATCCCCTCCAAAAAAAAAGTTGCAGGGCGCCGGCCCTCCCTCGAATATCATTTTTCTCTTTGTCGGTCGCAACCTTATATCTTCGCAATTCGCCCACTCACCTTTCTCAGGGGCACCGTTCAGAGCAGCGGCAGCGGCCACAATCTTCTTGAGGACCTCATCGCGCTGCTTGAGGTCGGGCTCGCCCTCGGACTGTTCCTGCTCACGGATCGGCTGGAGGAGCGGGGCGATCTCGGACTGGAGGGTGTCCTCTTTGCGGAGAGCGTCGACATACTGGGCGAACTCCTCGGCGAGCTCGGCGAAAGAACCCTCAATGAGGAGGGTGTTGGTCGGAGCGGGCATAATGGGGGGTTGTGGTGTGGTGGGAGAGAGGGAGAGAGGAGGTTCTTTGATGGTGGAGTCTATCGATAAGTTGAGAAATTTCAGTGTGTGCCAAAAAAGTCTTGGCGAAGGGAACACTGATCTTTTGCCCGTAACATTAACAACTCCAACATTAAAACCACCACCTTTCCGGCCTACATCTTTTACGCTACAACCACCGAGTCTTTGGCAATTTTTGGAAAATACTTTTCATTCTTCGTTTTCAATAATTCAGTACATGAATAGAAACCAGTGATTTGTTCTGGCACTGTTATTAAGACATGGTGTGCTGATGCAAACAACCGATGCGTCGCCGGTAACGACCAAGGGAGAGACGAACACCACCTTCATAAACAAGGAGATAGCATCGATGCAAGAAAAACATTCAAAAACGGGGAATCAGATGATTTTTGACAAAAACCAGAGAAAAGTTGGCGTTGCGCTAAAATATGAGGTAAAAAAGGAAACGCGCTCTGACAGCGAACAACATCCCAAGTAAAGTTGTGTGTCACTTTGTATGTTCGTACCTTACAGCACCAAGCGCATAGCCAGGAACATGACACCAGCCATCAGACCGGTCGAGTAGGTCTCAAGAAGACCTGCCAGGGGAACGGCAGCGTTGGTGGTTGTAGTGCTAGCGGCTGCCACCGACGAGGTGACCGACTTGTCCGACGAGCCAGAGCCAGTGTTTGTGGCCATGGTCAGAGTACTGGTTGCAATCCGTGACGAACTGGTGGTGGTCGAAGTGGAAGTGGCATTTTTGTCTCCACACTTGGCTGCCTTCTTGCACTTCTCTTGGCCCATGGAGTCATTGGGGTGAGCGTCGACACACTGGCCATAGTTGGCCTCGCAGACATAGAAGGGAACGGTCTGAATGTAAGGTGTGGAATCGGCGGTCTTGCCATCAGAACAGATACAGCTGAAGTTCAACGTGGCCTGCGAAAGGAAAAGAAAAAAAAGGTCAGAATACCGTTGCCGCCCATGTTTTCATACAGTGTATCATACCGGATCACAAGTGTTTTGCTTGGTGTCACCTTCGCAAATTGCCGGGCACTGGTTGCGCTGTCCCAAGCACCATGAGTCTGTTGGGAAAGAGTTAGTTATGAACGACTGCAGTATTTCCCCCGAGTGACATACTCAGCTCATCCGGCTTGACGAGGCCAATGTTGAATCCTTCCGGCAAGGTGTAGGCGGTGGAAGACGAGTTCTGGGCCAAAGCCGAGACCACGAGGGTGGAGAAGAGCACAGCAGAAGAGAGCATGATGAAATGAGATAATGGGAGACTAGTAATGTCAATGAGGTGATGAGAGTTGTGGGAGAGATGGAGAGATGGAGAGATGGAGGAGAGAAAGGTGAGGGAGAAGATTGAGAAAGAGGTGATACCAAAACACAAAGAAGGGACGATGGGGAGTTACTGAATAGTATTTAATAAGGTTGGAAGGCTCTCCAAATACCATACAACCTAAGGGGGGAAACTGCCAGGGTAACTGCGAACAGGAAAGATAATGTCCCGCATGACTTTTCTTCACATTTTCCTATTTCACATAACTTCCTGTTTTCTTTCGGTTTCTCCCTTTCAGGCTATCAGGTATCTCTTGTACGACAAATGCCATTAAGAGATCTTCATTGGTTTTCATGTTATTTGCTCCCCTGCAGGAGCTTGGTCTATCAATTGCTACAGCTTATGAGAATGACTACGACTGCATGGATGATTAAGAACAATACAAACAACACTTTTTTTCCCCTCGACCCTTACTCAAGCTGTATCTGGCAATAGTCCCACACAACACCTCGTGCGGGAATTTGTTGATTCCAACCTTTGGTTCCTGCATTCCAACTCAGATTCTTTATCGCAGACCCCAGCCTCCTTGCAGCTGTCACGCCGATTGCATGCCTAAGCAAGACTGCTAGGAGTCGGGCCAACAACCCCGGATGATCTGAGACACATGGGATGAAGCTTATCAATTCAAAGTTGACCCTTGAATGATCCGTTTGCAGTGGTAAAGCCATCCAAAGGTCGATCTTTATATAGATTTCTAGCATGAGGGAACACCTTACCCGATTCGGTACCGAGGCTCACCGAGCTCCGGGGTAAAACGGGGTCCCAATTAAAGTTGTCCGCTAACAGTATCCTCCTTGCAGGTTTCATCTCCTGTGCAGGATCTGTGGTTCTCGCAAGAAACCGGTTTATTTCTTTATAGAAAGAAGGGGAAAACAGGTCAAAAAAAAAACAACAAAAAAAACAATGGTCGATACGGCTGCCGAGGTTTCCCACTTCCGCTCCCATCAATGGGCCAACTCCCTCATCTCTTCCGAGGACTACATTCCAATTGACACGGACTCAAGGCGCGTTAAGCCCTCGACCGGAGAAGATGGCTATTTTGCCAATACGCTAGGCACTTCGTCTACTATTCCACACCTTCTCACCCTTCAACGGCGCAACCTTTCCCCCGCACCCGCCGAGATCCCACCCTGGCTCCCCGCAACTAAGCAAGATGCCGCCGCAAAGCCCACCCCAGGCGTGAACCCGGCTGATGTGCTAGTGATATGTGATCTCGGGAGTCCTGGTTTATCGGGCCATCCGGCTACAGTGCATGGTGGTATCACGGCGACGCTTATCGATGAAGCCATGTCTCTTGCCGTTGCGGCGCATGCCAATGGTTCAGCATCACCATCAGCCTCGGCTGAAGATAACCCACGCGGGAAGATCTTCACTGTCCAACTGGACGTGCGGTATCGCCAGAAAGTGAAAACTCCAGCTTTGCTCGTCGTCCGGGCTAAGGTTATCGGGCGCGTCGGTCGGAAGTTCTGGGTACGGGCTCAGGCTGTGCAGGAGGATGAGGAGGGCGCTGGTGGTCATTTGGAGTGGGCGAAACGGAAAGTCGTCAAGGCAGATGCTATGGCTTTCTGGATGGTTACCCCGGAACCCCGTCTGTAAAGACTAGATTATGTATATACATAGATTGAGGAACTTGCTGTAGATATGATGAATATGTGATGTTTTTCACGAAGTCTATTGCATGTGTGTCCAATCATGCTAACCACCTTTAAGCTATTAACAGCGCACCAATTATCCAACATGGACCATTTCCAATCCTGCCATATACCACTCAATCACCTGGTAGTAAGTAGTGATTACAGAAGCACTTGAGAGAGTCCTGGAAGCAGCTACATCTTCTTGACCATGATTGTTTCTTAATTTCCAGGAGATCATGTCGTTTGTCTGACTGTACTGGTGGGTACTTTCGTGCCACTTTCCAAAGATAAAACCTTTCTCTATGTCTTATTCTCAGACCGCGTCTCGCATCTGTAAATCTATATGCTACTACCTACTAGATATGACTTAAAGGGTATAGGGTATACACCTACAGCTTCTGCAACTTCCGACTCCCCAAATTTCGACTCGCACTAACCACCAACCCAACCTGCGTCCCCAACGCAACAACTTCTCCATCCTGATCTAAAACAGTCACATCTAAATCAGTCCTCCCATCTCGAACAACCTTTGTCACAATCCGACTATAAAGCCACTCAACCCCACCAGCAGGTAAATGCTTCTTCATATCAATATTCAACGTGACAGTCGGATACCAAAACTTAGCCTTCAAATCAGCAGCATTACCCCCCGTCTCCTTCGCAACCGCATTCGCCGAAACACTATCAAACCCATCCAGCGCCATGGGAAACATATCAAGCAGATACACAACCGCCGCATCAGTCCACCTCCCATCCAAATCCCCACAAGGCCTAAACCGCGCCCACTGATCAATAGCCATCGTCCCACTCCGCTGCTGCTGCGTCTCCCCCTTCCCAGGCCCATACAGCTCCAGCTGCGTCGCCGCGCGCCGGAACTCAGGATACGGCGGCTCGGTCTTCACCCACGCCCCATCTTTGCCTGTCGCCCCGAGCTGCGCGAAATCTATCTGCCCGTTCGGGAGCGAGCCGGGCACTGGGGCCGGGTGCGCTTTCCAGCCTGTCGGGACGCTGATTCCGACCTCGGCGTCTGGGGGGCTCACGGTTATGTAGCCTGCGACTTTGATCTCGGGTTTGTCGGGGTGCTTTTCTGAGGGTTGGAGGAGTTTGATGTGGATTGTGCTGGTGCGGGCGCCGAGCTTGACGTCTTCGACTTCGAGGGTTGCGGGGCCCGAGGCTGTGCGGCGGAGGAAGGAGAGTTGGATGGAGATTGGGGAGGCGGGGGTGGAGTATTGGTTTGGGTGGGCGTGTTCGAAGTGCGTTAGGGCTAACTTGTATATCACTGCTGATGTGTAGCCGCCGTGTGGAACTGGGGGATGTGTTAGTTGTTTGATTTGCGATTGCTTTTTGGTCTCGATTTTGTGGGGTTTAGCTAATGAGTGCATGGGTGGATTGTTGCAACTTACCGGTTCCAATGCACCATTCCGGGCGGAGATGGGCGCTGTACTTGTTGGCACCTTGTGGGGTGATACGGATTGCCTCTTCGAAGGCAGCATTGAGAGGCATGATGGGATGAGCTGTTTGAGTAGTTTGGATTTCTCAATGACCCCGGGAGTGTAAGTGGGTTGAGGATCCTTGCACTTGTGGGACCGGGGTTTTTTATATACTAAGTAGTGGTAGCTTGGGGTATCTGAGTATCTCCACTCCAGGGTTGGAGACTGAACCTCGGCTCGGTGATTATAATCATTAACCAAGAGTCTAGGAACAGCCGACGCTGAGTCAGCCAGAGCTTGTAGTTAACTATTCTTTCGAGTCTCGACAACGTATAAAATATTCAAATCAATCAAATTGATGTCCTTGTAGGTGGATAAATTAATGGATGGATCCATAGATGAATTGTACGCCATGGGCTTGGTTTCCAGGATCTCAAACGCCCAAGTCTACGTGCATATGCAAGACTGTTCCAGCCGTAACGACTCCAAAGTTCATTGAAAAAAATATGCTCTACGTGCATGTGACTTCCAACCCTTTGTGTATGTGGACATCATGACCCTAAGGTGCTGTCTACCTCAATAACATGTAATCGGCTTAAATGATCAAACGAAATGTTGGAGTTAAGTATCGCCCGAAAAACGAAGGAAAGAAAGATTCAAATAAATCAAGTCAAATAACTCCAACTCCCTCTTGACGTTAGGTTCATCTTATCAATGCAGAAAAATTTTTAATGGACTATTCTTTTAGACGTCGCCAATTGTCGAGCCCTGCTGAGCTTCAGGCTTCAACGGAGCAGTTAGTTGTTGCAAGCAAGACAATACACCTAGAAGAAGTTAGTAAGTCAAAGGAACCTCGAGATAAGATAAGATCCAAAGTGGATAGAGCTTCTCACCTGTTACTCCCTGTGTCAATGTCGCCTGAGCCTCTGTACTCCGCGACCCTAGGGTGACTGTCATGGCATAATCGACGCCATTAGCCTTTTGCAATTTGTTGGCCCAGCGGAACACAGGCTCATCTTCACGGTTGTCACCAATGACCAGGAGGAAATCTGGCTTTGTGACATCTTCTTGTTGTTCAGAAGACTCCAAGCACCATCGCCAGACATGCTCTGCAGCTGATGCTTTACTGGTGCTCACAAGTTCCACGATTAAGGCTCCTTCGACTGGAATAGCATGGACGCCGTAACTAGCACATGCATCGTTGATATGGTCCGCGCACTCTGCAGCAAGACGTCCAGCACCAGGGCGATCCTCGGCAGATCCGTAATGGAATACAAGCGAGCAATGGCGTTCTTCGATCCAGCTGCCCTCGGTTCGGTCTTTGAAGTAGTTTAGAATGTTGAGGACGGACATCTTCCAACTCTGAATGTGAGTCTTCTTTGCAAGTCGAGTCCATTCGTCGGACTGAGGTTCACGGACAAAACAGCCATTCTCAGCTATTAGTCCTAAGTTATTGACCTGGCGGAACAGCCGCTCCATTTCCTCCGGCATGCGTGAGCTCATCACATAAACTATATTAGCCGGGTCATCGGTGAGTTCGGTCAGTGACGTAATTGCACGTTGAGGGGTTGTAAGAATGATGCTTTGTGGGGATCCCCAAGAGGCGAGAGTACCCTCGTAGTCGATAATCATGAGTCGGCGCTTGGTCTGCCGGTATTGCTCAATCAGCCGGGGAACAGAGAGTCGAGGGACAGCCATGATCTCTCGCGAGGACTGTTCATCCCAAACATGTTTCAAAGATTCATTGAATGATTTGACCCAGTTGCCAGTGGAATTTTGTAGAACAGCGCCGTGAAGCGCGTCCCATACCTCCTTGCGTTTTTCCTCGGTTCTGGTGAGTGCTGTGTGAATGGCTTCTGAACATTGTCGGTAGTCCCAAGGGTTCACGAGAAGGGCATGGTTCCCGAACACAGAAGCACTGCCAGTAAACTCGCTAAGAATGAGAGAACCATATTTCTTGTCACCGTAGCTACCATCTTGGCAGTACACGAATTCATGGCTGGTCAGGTTCATACCCTCACGAAGACTTGTGATCATCAAAGCATCCGCCACTGTAATAAGAGCGAGGTATTGTGAGAATGCAAGGTCCTGTTTTAAGAAAACCAAGGGTTGGTGAGCCAGTGTTGAATGAGTAGAGTTGATTCGCATAGCGATATCAGATACCGTAGCCTCCAGCTCGGGTTGCTCTGTAGTGCTGGTCGCAACCTGAATCAAGACTACCTTGTCGGCCCATTCCGGGTATGTATTGAGGAACAGTTCATAACTGAGCAGCTTTTGGCGAATACCCCGCACCGAGTCAATTTTGTCGCGGGCTACGATCAATCGCTTGCCTCGGTATCGTTCCGAAATGATATCAACCCACTGTTCTACGTCGGCGGTATGACGGCGCTTATCCCAAGAGGTAGGATCGATGCCAATTGGGAAGGTGCCCACATTGATGAAGCGATCCTCTGTCTGAATGCCTTCATTGGTTGCCTCCACACACAGAATTCGACTGCATGTCTGCAGGAAATGCCGACAGTACTCTTTGGTCTGGAAACCAATCAAATTGGCACCGAGAATACCTTCGAGCAGCTCCTTGCGTGGAGCTAGGCACTTGAAGACCTCAGATGAAGGGAATGCAATATGCAAAAAGAAACCGATCTGAGCATCGGGAAGCAGTTTGCGCAACATGGCGGGGACAAGTAACAGGTGGTAATCCTGGACCCAAATCGAATCGCCGCGTTTCCAGTGCTTAGCGATACGGTCCGCGAATGCCTGATTAAGCTTCACATAATAAATCCACGAATGATCTTCATAGGCTTTGCTCTTGGGATTATCGGGGATCTGATAGTGAAACACAGGCCAGAGGATGGTCTTGCAAAAGTGGGTATAATGACCATCAAAATCGCCGTCGTGTACAAACACGGTCAACGAGTCATACTCTTTTTCCAGCTTCTCCGCAATGTCTTGGCGAGTATTGTCTGCTAGGACATCAGTGGGCATGCCTGATGTACCAACCCACATCATCTCGCTCAAATATCCCGAATCCTTGGCAGAGCGAACGGCATTGCGCAAGCCACCGTTGCCTTGTTCCGCTGTTTGAATTGTCCATTCCGCACGAGAAAATGATATTTTCCGACTCAGGGATCCATTCTTCCTCAGGCCTGTGCCTGTGTGCGGAGTGACTTGTGGTTCGGTTTCCGGGATTTTTGGGAGGGGAGTAGGTTTGGGTGCTTTGGTTGGCACGATAGGCTCTTGGTGCTTGAGGATGGATGGAGACGGAGACACAAGAGTCTTCCGCCTTGGTTGAGTGAGAGAATTAGTCGAACCCCAGGCTGGAGAATGGGCTTCACTCTCCGTGAAGATCTGATTGCCCGTCGGTGGAGTGGATGCTGCTGGAAACGGATATCCTGAGTGTTGCTCCTCGGCCTTGGCTACATCATTGGCAAATATGCGCTCATGGTCTGTTGTCGCACCCGGGGTGAGGCCTGGTTGTGTTGTGGGTGTTTTCTTCTCGAATAAACTCGTCGGCGTGCTTATGGGCGGAGTTACTGGATCGTTCACGGGAATCACAGGATTGGCCGCCGCGGGAGGAACTTGAGACGCAACACTGTTGCGGGACTTGGTAACATGAAAGTTTACCGTGTAGGGTAAAAAGCTAAGATATCATTCAAATTAGCCATGTGGTGCTTTGGTGTCACCGCTTCTTTCCCTTGCCAGCCGAGGTACTTACAGCGACGCGACAAAGACAGTCATGATGGAGGGTCCGAACGGGCTTGGAGGGGTGAAGAAGAGGGGTAGGGAAGTAGAAATATGACAAGGGAAGCTCCCCGTTGAGGGATTAAACAGTCCACCGAGGTGGTATTTTCCTTAACAAAAAAAAAGATCTGAAATGAAACAGAGAGTAAGGATGCCTTTGAAAGCTCGACACAAATCAGGTGAAGATCTGCTTTTCTCTCATGGCTACGTCATGTGCGAGGGGTTGAAGGACACGATGTTCGTTTGCCAGCAACTGTTGGTTCATGTTTTTACAAGTCAGATTGAAGGCGGTTTTTACAATACTTTAGGACTCTTCATGACAACATGACAAAATGACAGGGACTAGAAACACTAAAATGGGCCCAGACTCAAATCTACCTGGAACTTGCTGAAATCACTTGTTTTTTGACTCTGAACGGCCCCATCTATTGATACGGTCCATACGGTCCATACGGCCAATACCAGCTCCCGACACCTCCGTCCCCGCATTGTACCATAGATGAATCAAATACGTTACGGTAGTTCGTATTCCATTACATACCGGAGTATACAGAATGTACGCTAATTGGCGGAAAGTGGTAGGTGGATCACCTGACAAATGAGGTAATCTTGCTCTGCCCTCCATGGTTTTTCCCTTTTCTTTCTCGTCGCAATCAAGTTTGACTGTTAGGTATGACCTTACGTCTCACTTCAGCTCCAGTGTCTGGTATTCAGAAACGAAAATCTGCCAAGCCTCCGCCAAAATCCCGCGCCTCCCCATTTTCCGCCCATGCGCGCCGCAAACCCAATGCCTCCCAAGCCAGCGTGAAAACAGTCGCCTCGGACTTTGGTCTCGACGAACCTCTCCCCGACCAAGGTACATCGCATTACATATCCGAAACTGCAGTCGCAGAGAATGTGGAACAGGCTATCAGATATGTACGAACAAAAATGTTCGACGAACTCCCCGAGCGAGCGGGCATGAATAGCACCCGCATTGCGGAGGTTCTGAATCTGCGCCGATCGTTACCCCCACTTGCCTCCGTGGCCCATATACATACCTTATTGAATGCGCCAACACAGGTGGAGCGACAGATTGTCGAGTTGGTGAAGTCGGGACGCGTGCGACGTCTGGTCATTCCAGGACGTGGCAATGATGCCGCGGGGCTAGGTGATTGCCTAGTTCTCGCGGAGGATTGGGATAATCTGGTACGTGACAGTCCAGCTCTGGATGTGCAAATAAAGGGTGAGTAGTGCCAGTGTGGTCCATGAGTGTGGTCCGGAATATCAGAGCTAACTAGCCGTAGACAAATTCTTAGACATCCTCAATCGCATCGGATCCCATTCTGCACTCTCGCAGGGGATCTTCGAACCAGACGAATATAGGGCTTTAATGCGTGCAGGCTTCCTCGTATCATCATCAACATTCACACAGGGATCATTGAGTCTCGCATCTCTTCCTAATCTTCCTGGCGCGGCAGTTTCGTCGGCCAGTCGGAGTAGGTCAGCACATTCCGATACTGACCAACCTGTGCAGAGTAGTGCTCAGGCTCGAGCTGCGACTTTATTTTTATCCCTGCCCAATACTGGAACCTACCTCAAATTACTCGGTGCTGGTCGCGCACACCTGCTCGCCCTTCTTCGGCGATCTCGTTGCGCGGAGGCCCCGCTGGGCTTGCTTAGAGATCGATGGGATGGGGCAGTCGAAACAGAAAAAAGCTTTCACTTGGCAAAAAGGGCCCGTGGCGAGTTTGCAGGAATCTTGCCCGGGAAAACCAAAAAGTGGAAAGAAATGTATGGCATGCAATTCCGTTGGGTGCTGGAAGAGGCACTGGGCGCTGGACTTGTAGAAATATTCGAGACAGGTAGTGTGGGACCGGGAATCCGCTGTCTATAGTTTATTATTGCCTGTCAATTGGGCTCATATAAACATAATAATGAATGAAATGATTTTGTTCTCTCAGGCGCTCTTGCCAAATCTAGCTCCAACTCCTTCCCATCGCGAAACAAGCGCTGCCGATCTGCCCCCCTCAAACCTGAAGCTCCCCACCCCCTTCTATTAATCAACAAACTCCTCCACTAATCCATAATGCCGCTTATACGCTTACATCCTCATTTGTTCTCGGACCTTCCGGCTCATCCTTCTCTCCCGGACAATGCCTCCCGACCAGATCTCCAATTGTTCATTCGTATCGCCGTTCGGGAAGCTATCGAGCTTCTCCACTCCGTCCCCTCGTCATTCAAAGAAGACCCCGAGATGCGCGTCTCGAAACCAGCTATCGCTAAAGTAAAGCTTTTCCGAAATTGGCGCAAGCTTTCAGACGAAGATGTCAGTGAAAAAGACAACAAACCCGAGTTCTGGGTATGTCGACAGAGCGAACATCCCAGTTTCGAAGTCCCCGGCACAGCGTCATGGCCCGAATTCCAGGCTGGCCTAAGGACGAATCATGCAGAAAATGAGATGGAATACACACCCAGTGTCACTCACGTAGAGAGTCTCCTTGCTTGGGAGCGAGCCCAAACCGGAGAGGCTGAAGTCAATGGGCTCATCTACAAGGATATTGATGTTGAAAGTAAGTCGCCAGAAATGACTTCTCTACCACACGGGGTCCCCCCATGTCATTCCGCGCCGTGAATTTATTACTGACATGATGCCTAGTCAACCTGATCACCCACACTTTCCATCCGACTGCCATCATTTCTCCCCGCAGTTTCATCTCTTTGACGATCTCCGCTTCGTACGATTGTCCGACGCCGACGCAGGCTGACGAGGTTCTTCGAGGACTTCCAATTCAGGGCTTTATTACCATCCAAATTCCTCTTTCCTGGGATGAATCATCCACGCCAGAGAACTTGCGCCAAAAGATTGCCTTTGTTTCACCCAAGAAGGCCATCTTCGCCAACTACGCCAGTGTGGAGCTAGTCAACTACCTAACTCCCCGGGATAATAAAACCAGTCGCGTCGAATGGACGATGGCTACGACTTCGGACGCGAAGGGAAAGATCCCACAATGGGTTCAGAGAAGCTGGGCACTGGGTGGGGTGCCGCGCGCTGTGGTGGCTGATGTTGGCTTGTTCATGAAATGGACCGAGGCACGCCGAGGACCTCAACATTGATGGTTTTTTTCGATGTGAGACGTTGCCCGTCAGAGCTTCTTCATTCGAAGTTCATATAACATTGTGTATCGCGTTAAAATGTATTTATACCGCTTGTATTTTATATACCAGGCTCGTTCAATAGCGTCCACAGCATGCGTCAAATTACACTCATTGTGTCTTCCGACAATTGACAATTATGGCATCAGATTCACAGCTATAGCTTACACCTTGAAAACCGCGTATGTCTGCAATGCAGCAGACAACCCCACAACAATGGCATTATCCTTGATTCCGTTCTTGGCGTACCAGGCTGAACTAGCCCAGAGCAAGATGTTGACGATACCAGCTATAGCTTTGTTCAAAGGGTCGCTGAGCGCCGTCGGATCACGAGACCACTGGTAGTGAAGGAGGCCTGGGATGGATTAGTTGATGTTGAATATCGAAGGGAACTTGAACTTACCAGTAGCAAGGAAGAACGCACTCCCCTATAAAGAGATCAGCAAACATCTACTTTGCGAAGTACGAAAAACCCTCCCAGAAAATCAAGACGACATACCTGATACCAACCCACCGTCCCACAGGCCCAGGGCTTGGAGTTGGCAATAGCCTTAAAGGCCTTCTCAGCAGTCCATTGTCTGCCCCCAATCTTCAACGCAGAAAATGGTGTATTCGTCAGTTCAAGATCCATCTACCCAGCCTGTATGTAAGCTGTGGACCTGTGGTTATGGGGACATACCGTGTGTCCGATGGACAACAAAACAAATGACAGAGCAGACGCTTGAAGAGCTCCAGATGGTGCGACCGACATTTCCAACGTTTATCTTTGGATAGTACTAATTTCAGAGCTTCGATACTGCAGCGAGCAATTAGGGTGTCTGGAATTGATGACAAGGGGCCGCGCCCGCTGCCCGCATATAAAGCGCGGCTGCGCGGGCGCCTCGGTACAATTGTTGCGCCGCTGTGGAGACTCCGAGGTTAGATCCACTTAAGCTGTTAGTCTGTTGCCATGCACGAGAGTATGGATGCATCTCCGCTTTTTAGTTCCAAAACTTTAGAAGCTAGTAAACTGACTAGTACCATGAGTCTGTGACATGAATTCTGGGTAATAGCGTTCCTTTGCGGATGTTTCTTCGCTTGGGGGATGTTTCTTCTAAGGGGTCATTCATTATGCTCGGTTCTTCGTTCAAGGCGCTGCTTTAAATATGGTTGTAAATTGTAATCGTCCTCGTTTGTGACCACTATCTCCTTCACGGCGGAGGAAATTTGCATGGATTCACAGGCCTCGTTCACTGATTGGCTGGGCTTGGAACGGTCCATGGACATCATCAGCTCCGCCGTCGCGGGGAAAGATATGCATCGATACCAATGTGCCGCTCAAATTCGTCATCAACGCTCGCCCAACGTATCAAACGACCAGATAACAGGGGAAGGGAAATCATCTTGTTCACGTAATGCACTGTCAAAAGCTCCGTGGAGTACAGGGTACATGTGTGCAGTGAACCTCCGCCGCGACGAACCAACGCCAGAAGTATACAGATCAGCATCGTCAGACGCAAATCCCAGCAAACCAACCACACTTTCTTCCAACAACCCAAATCAAGGGAAATCACCTTGTTCACGTAGTGCACTGTCAAAAGCTCCGCGGAGTACAGGGTACATGTGTGCAGTGAACCTATCCGCCGCGACGAACCAACGCCAGAAGTATACAGATCAGCATCACCAGTCGCAAATCCCAGTAAACCAACCACACTCAAATCCACGCTTTCCTCCAACAGCCCAGATCATAACCAGTTGATTGTTCCACCATGTCCGTCCAAAACTGCTGCCTTCGAGGCTTCACCTGGGAAGGCACCCCAATGTATCAAACGACCAAATAACCACCTTGTTCACGTAGTGCACTGTCAAGCTCCGCGGAGTACAGGGTACATGTGTGCAGTGAACCTATCCGCCGCGCGGAACAACACCAGAAGTATGTAGATCAGCATCACCAGTCGCAAATCCCAGTAAACCAACCACACCCAAATCCATGCTTTCCTCCAACAACCCAAATCATAACCAGTTGATTGTTCCACCATCGGCGGCGAGGTCCTTAACTCCGAGCTCGTCGCAGCTGAGAAATTCCACGAACTGGATATCGACGCCTTCATGCAGCGTAACGGTCGCGAGCAGCGCGAGCACGAGATCTTCGAATGTGCCCGGGCTTTGAGGCGTGAGCTGGGCTTTGCGAAGGTTGGAGCCGTTGGCTATTGTTATGGTGGGTGGGCTTCGTTTCGTTTGGGGGCGAGGGAGCATAGGCTCGAGGGGGGTGGGCGGTTGGTGGATTGTATTTCTGTTGGGCATCCATCGCTTTTAAGCCGCAGGGATGTTGATGAGGTGGATGTTCCGGTGCAGGTTTTGGCGCCTGAGGTTGATTTGGCATTTGATGTGGAGTTTAAGAGGTATGCTTTTGAGACGCTCTTGGGGTTGAATGTCGCGTTTGAGTATCGCCATTTTCCGAGGGTGGGGCATGGTTGTCTTGCGCGGGGGATGGGGAGAGGGAGGCGATGGTGGGGGAAATGGATGCGGTTGTTGCGTGGTTTGGACGGTGGTTGAGTGTGACACGGCAAGCGAAGGTACAATGATATTGTACCAAGGTCCTAGAAACTCAAGGAAAACACAGACAGAGGAGAAAAGAAAAGAGAAGGAGACAAGGAGGAGGAGTCATTCCTTAAGTACCCAAGTACGTTAAGGTTTGAAGACAGGAACTAAGCTTAAACCTAACCCTAACCTTCTCAACTGAACAAAGAAAACCTGCTCAACTGAACAAAGAAAACCTCTGAGAAAACCTTCTCAACCGAACAAAGGAAACCCCTGAGAAAACCTTCTCAGAAACAGCAAACCTAACCCTAACCTTCTCAATCAAACAAAGGAAACCTTCTGAACCGAACAAAGGAAACCTCCGAGAAAACCTTCTCAGAAACGGCAACTGTCAACTCGTGACGACTGACACGACGTGTGACATTGAGGGGTGATTGTGCTTAGGGTTCTTGTATTGATTTTACGTGTAGAGTGTAGAGGACTTGAAGTTGATTTGGAGATTATTGATTATTTGAATAGAGTGAGGTTTGAGTTGAGATATCTTGGTTTCTATAGTACATAGTATTTATTAACAAGTTTCTCGAGTCACCTGTGCGCGCCATGTATGTAAGACTTCGTTTATGCCTTTTCGTCGGCAGTTTCCAGCTTCCTCTTCTTATTAACATCCTTTCTGACGCTCTTCCACTCCATCGCCAATGCTGGGAATATTGAAAGACATGCCATGACAATAGCAAGGATAAACGTCCTTGTAACGGCGTCGCTGTATCCGTCCAACACAGCACTCATCTTCGACTCGGGGACATATTCCCGGAGTGAGGTGGCACCGGCCTTGATAACTGCCGCCGCGTCGATGCCAGACACTTTCTCCAGATTCTTTTTCAAGAAGTTAGAGAACAATGTCTCTGCGATGCCCATGAAAATAGCACCATTGAGTTGCTGAGAGAACATCAGAAGAGATGCGCCGATAGGAACATCCACGGGGTCGAGACAAGTCTGCACTGCAATGTTGGCCTGCTGCACTCCAAAGCCCAACCCTAGTCCAAAGATGACTTGGTAGCCAATCCACTTGGGGTGCCCAGTGTCAATTTGGAAAGTGTATATCAAACCCGAACCAATCGAGAGCAAGGCAACAGCAATAAACATGAACGGGTTATAGTAACCGAGTTTGGAAATCGCGACTCCAGAAAAGATGACCGCGATGACCATCGAGATCACAAGAGGCAGGTTCATGATACCCGACTGCTCGGCATCCACGTTCTTGATAGCCTGGAACCAAATGGGCAAGTAGTACAGCACAACCATCATACAAGCACTGGTACTCATAGTCCAAATAACGCCGGCCAGCACAGATCGCTGCTTGAAAATACGCGGCGGCACAAGCGCCTTCTCACCCAGCCAAATCTCCACAGCGACAAACACAGCGCCCAGCACGCCGAAAAGAACAAACAGGAAGATAATGCGCCAGTTCGCCCACGCATACGTCGAACCACCCCACTCCAGCGCAAGAAGCAGGCACAGCACACAGGGCATCAGGAACAGATTCCCCAGCGGATCAAGCAGCTTGATCTTCTGCTTGATGGTCCAGCTTCCGTTGCGCGGCGGCGGCACATCCAGCAGGAAGAAGACGACGGCGATCGCCGCGCCGCCGAAGGGCAGGTTGATGTAGAAGCACCAGCGCCAGGTGACGTGGGTGGTGAAGACACCGCCGAGGATGGGGCCCAGGACGGACGCGATGCCGAAGACGGCGCCCATGAAGCCCTGGTACATGGGGCGTTGCTGGAGGGGGACGGTGAAGACGATGATGATGACTGCTCCGGCGGAGATGCCGCCTGTGCCTATGCCGGCGATTGCGCGGCCGATGATGAAGGAGACGGAGGATGGCGCGGCGCCGCAGAGGGCGGAACCGGCTTCGAAGATGATGATTGAGGCTAGGAAGACCCATTTTGCGGGGTAGAAGGTGTAGATGCGGCCGTAGACGAGTTGGGAGGCGGAGGCTGTGAGCATGTATGCGCTGCCGTACCAGCCGATGTCATTTAGACTGTGGAATTCGTCTGTGATTTTAGGAGTGGCTGTTGCGACGATCAGGCGGTCCTATCAATTTTGATGTTAGATCATTTGGGAGGTTGTATAGATGGAGGGCATTGTTTCTTCTTCTTCTTCTTTTTTTTTTCTTGTTCGGTATTGTGACTCACCAGAGCAACGAGGAACATGGAGATGTATAAGGCGAGCATGATAGGAATGACCTTGGCCTTTGGGGGGTATTTGATAGATTCTTTCGTGACGCTGCGCTCAATGGCGGCCTCGGCGTTGGCATCACCGCCATTTTGCGGCGACAGCTTTTCATCCAGAACGGACTTTTCATCGCGCTCAGACAAGGACGAAGTCTCAGCCATGGCGAGGTTCCCCATGGATGGAATTCCAAAAGTTCAATGTATATTGACCCTGTGGTCTAAGTACTAGTATGCAAATAAAATCCGAATGTGCAGTGTTTGTCAAGTTGAAGCTTGAAAGTTAGAACAGAAGTGAATCTAGAAATTATCGATACGGGCAGGAGTCTATTTATTATCCAGCAGAAACTTTCACGTCCGATCTTTGGCTGAGAATCACGGAGATTAGAAAAAAAAGGACATGAGGTCCGATTAATGATTGAGCACCGGGAACGGTCCATTCCGTGGTTCTGACCCTTATGTCCATCGGAGGGTCAACGACCCTCCGTTGACTCATAAATTATAATCATATACCCACAGCTCTGGGGATGATAGAAACATGGTATTTGAACAAAGAGGGCGAGAGGCATTGTTGAGGCTCTACGAGAGTTTTATTTGACTTGAATTCTGTGGAGAATGGACCTTGGAGAGCATGGTAAACAATGCTGGCAAGTATGAGGCCCTTGAAAATAAGGTGAACCGTGAACCGTGTGCATTAAGCCGCTTGGACCCTTGGAATGTGCTCCGCTTGGGAAAAAAAAAGCAGAAAAAACTCGGTGAATTCCAACTTTGTCGGCTAATTCTAAAGACCGAATATCGCTGATTTGATCGGTTCTTCGGGAAATTGTTCTGGTTTCGCGGATATGTCTTCACCCTCTCACTACATTCTAGCAAGTATCTTACCTGCTTCTTCCAGGGTTTTGAGCTGGTGTATATACTTGAAGTGACAAAGTGCTGTGTAGTCAAGGGGGGTCGGAGGGTCGGGGACGGAATTCCGATTGTCCGGTTTATTGATGTTTGCAAAGGGAAAAGAGGGATTTAATATCCTCGGCCTATCATGTTTCTCTAGTGGACCGGCGTTAGGACTTAGTAACTTACATAGATCCAGATAGTTGACTAGTATTAGATCGGGGATTTATGTGGTCCTTGGGTCTAGATTCTAGAATTTCTATGCGTCCAGTAATATATGTGCTTATACTCTAAACGGCCCCGTCGAAACACACGGAGGATTGTCATTTATGCTTAACACCTTTGAGCTTAAATATTTACCTACTGTAGTTCCAAGGTTTTACTGTCAATTTCCAATATTGCTAATAAGGGACTCTAGAGCTTTACAAAGCTTCAATGTTTGGTCCAATGCCAAGGGACTAGCCCAGGCCGGTTCTTCACATATTATAGTGCTGACGGTACCTGAAGATGTTAAGTGAGGGGCTATTCAAACAGAAATTGCCAGTGTAATATCTAAATTGATTTGGGAACAAAGATATTGTTCATTATTTGAAACATTTTACACTGAAAGGATTCCTGACTCCAATAGGGTATATTATCACTACCTAAATAAGGTACCTAAGTCGGCCACTCAAATACAAAAGATGAAAAAAAGATAAGAAAGAGATATAAGAGATATAAGAAACTCCAACCCAGGGTCATTCCATGCATCGATCAAATGCAGTCAAAGAAAAATCGAGAGGCAGAAGAGAGAAAGTAAAAAACCAAAACAGGATTCCCATCCTCTGTATAAAGACCATTCAAAACTGTCCTGGGAAGCTTTGATAGCATCAGATAGAGACTACCCAGCCTCTTCCACAGTTTCCAGTGCAATGTTGGCCAATTTTCTTTTTTGTTTTTGTTCTGGTACCCCGAACGCCTGTAGCCGACCAAGAAAGAAACACCCTGCAGTCCACTCTGGATACAGCGGGTAAAGAGAGAAGATGGGGGTCAAAATAGTAAAGACATAGGAGATGTGAGACTGTGCCAAAGCTGCGTTCACACGCTAGCCAGAATAATATAATAAGTATAAGGGATTAGTGCCACCAACGCCCCGTGATTGTCGAGCGGCGATCATGAAGGGCATCAAGGTTCGACCCAAACCATTCCTGGAAAGGGAATAGAGGAATCGAAACGTATCAACAAGAGGATGTGACGGAAGGGAGTCGCCACAAGCCCAGGGAAGGCTAAACGAAGCCATATCGTACACATCAAAACAGATCAAATAGTTAAAAAAAAAAAAAAAAAAAAAAGAATAACGTCATTATCGGGAGATGGAGTTTGTGTGGTTCGCATCTCCCGGAGCTGCCGTTGATGAGTTGGTAGAAGCAATATGTGCGCGCAGGGAGGCGACTTCATTCCGCAGTCCTGTTAACTCGTCGTGCATAGAACGGACGTATGCCCAAAGTTTATCGATCTGATTGGCATCGGTCCCATCTGAACCTTCTGGCCCAATCTTGGGGACAGGCAAGCCATGGTTTCCAGAGTGAGTCGGTGGTGTGTGTTTGTTGGGTTGTAGGCCAAAGCGGGCGTCTGGTGAAGTAACAACGGGGGGAGGAAGTTGAGCTCCTGGCTGTGGCAATGGTAGCCCGATATGATTGGGCGCTGACAAGCTACCTCGTGCAAAGGGTGCTTGTGGATGAGGCAACGATTGGCCCATGCCGGGGGAGTGTCCGCGGTGCGAGGAGGCAGCCGAGTCGTGGTGGGATAGAGCATTGGGAGACAACGGTTTGGAGCTCTCGGTAAGAGTACCCGAGGTGAATAGAGACGAACCAGAGGGGTGACCTGCGGGGGGAATGTCAGATTCCCCGCTTGGGAAGTTGCAGTAGACATTGAACCAGATCCACTATGCGTACCAGGCGGAGGAAAGAGGCCACCACGACTCGCCGCAATCGGCGGGTAAGTATTGGATTGCCGAACAGAATTTAAAGAATCGGATCGCGGGAGGGTATCGTCGTGCTTGCGCATGCCCTGCGTGCTCAATCGTCGCTCCTCCTCCCCATCCATGGCCTCCGGCTCCGCATAGACCAGACCATCCATACCGTCGTGGTGATGGCCGTCGCCATACTCGTCGTCCGGCGCAAAGCTTCCCATGCTAGCTCGTCGACCCGCACATCCGCCTTGTCCTTTGTTGTGTCGCGCAAGCGCGTCACCGCGAGCAAAACGCCGTCCACACTTGGGGCAGAGATGAGGTCGTTCGCCGGTATGCAGCTTCGTGTGTCGCTTCAAGTCGTGTAGTCTGCGGAAACGGGACTGGCAGGTTTGACAGACGAATGGCTTTTCTTGGCTATGGGTGAGGAGGTGGCTCTTAAGGTTGTGTTGGCGGGTGAATTCCGTGGCGCAATAGGGGCAGCGGTGTTTCTTTGCGGATGGTGAGCGCGGACTGTTTCGATTGTAGCCCGCGTTCGGTAAGCTCAGGCCGCGTCGAGGATCATTAAGCCCCCCCGTGGGCATGGGGTACGAAAATGCCTTGTGGCTGTCTTGGTCAATTTCCGAGTCCTCCCGTTGGCGATGACGGTCGCCATCCTGTGAAGCTGACTCTTCAATCGGGCCCGGGCTTGCGACTGTTGAGGCGTGCATGAGCGAGTGTTGGTGATCGGCGGATCCGTAGGGGTCTGGTGTATCATTTGAATGGGCATCTACTTGCATCTGTTCCGGGGATGCATGGATTTGGGGATCTTGGATTGAGGGAACCGGCGACTTTTCACTAGCTCCCAATGCTTCTCGTGCGACCTGAGAATTATTTCGCTCAGAGTCCCTGTCATGTTCAACCGGCCGGTCCGGCGCTGATGACGGACTCGTCATCTGGGGAGGTTGAGATCGGGAGACGTGGAGACCGGCGCTGGCGATGGAGCTGAGATTGGATTCAGGCTTGGATGGTGGTTTAAGAAAGGAGATAGGATCGGAACTTGTAATGGAATGGGAGGGCGCGGTTATGGGGTTTGACACGACGACAGGCTCGTTGGTGGACTGCATCAATGCCGCCATGGAGGCAGAAGGGTTTGCGCCAGCCTTATAAAGTGAAGGACGCACCAAAGCAACGGCTACTTGGGAAGTCATGTTAGAAAAATCGCAAGATGCGAGTCGGAAGAAGCAGGGAGGGAAAAAAGGACTATAGGAAAATCATTTGACTAACTTTCAACCAGAGACTTTGGTCACGACGGAGGGAAATGGTGTATATGCTTGGGGGGTTTGGGGGGGGGGGACGATTGTTACGGAGGAAGTCCAGGGCGTGTGGGGCGGGTACTGTTCTCAAGGAAACCGAGTGTGGCGCAAGCTGACGAGGTTTGGTTTCAGCTATGGACTTTGCCCGGGAGAAGATCCACCACCCAAAGAGGGGCTTACAGGCCTGCGTTAAAATAGCAATGGGCCGTGGGAAATGACAAGATTGGTTGACAGTAAATGGAGCTCGGGAAGATTGGCGTGGCGGGTGCAAAAGAGGCGCAGGAACGGAGATGGGAGTCCCAACAAGTGGACTAGAATGGGGCTGAGAAGGAAAAGTAGGGGAATGTCGCCTCCTCAGGAACACAGATGGGAAAAAGGAAAATACAAATACAATCCAGGAATGAATTAAAAAAAAAGAGAGAAAACCGGGCACAGTGCATTCACGGGGCAAATCCAGTATGGTAAGAACATAAATTACTTCTAATCCAAGTCAAAGTCGAGGCTCTTGAATGAACCCTGAACCAAGGATTATGTACTGGGTACTTGCTTGTATATGCTAGATCCCATATATCAGAAGGTATCGACTACCCAGATAAGATTGAGGCTGTGTAAGCCCACTAACGCGTGTGGCTGGTCGTGGGTCCCCAAAGTCAACTAAACACGTTGTTTTCTTTTTTCCTCCTTGTGGCTCATGTTCCTTATTTGATATATAAATGAAATCAATCTCCGAGAGGAAAAACACGTAAAGCCTCTTGCCACATACTTGACCTCGCAAAACTACAGGGATAACAATGATGTCACAAGAAGAAAAACTTGGATGAACCAGAAGAACACGAAGATCCGGCAGATCTACAGTGCTTACTGAAAACACCACGGTTCGTTTTTTGCTAGTCTAATCATTTTTGGCTGTACTAGCCACACATTCCTGGGGCTACCACATGAGTACGGTCTAAAGGTGTATATATAGAAAAAAAACTCCATTTCCCCCCTAAGATCTAGAAAAATGTTGAACGAGTCACCTGCAGTCCTGTTGCTTCAAAAGACTCCGCCTCCTTTCACCTCGGCTCCTTCAGGCTGGCCTCAGGCCCCCGCCGATCTGCCTTGGAAAAACAAGGCCACCCTGGCAGTGTTAAACGCCATGTGAAGGAACACGCCCCGTACTGATTGAAATAACATCACCTGAATGTTCCGAGCCAACCTGCTATTGGTCCAGAACTAAATACCACGGATGTCTTAAGTGGGGAACTTGATCAGAACTTTGAATTTCTCCAAGAGAGGATCGATCTATACCCAACCGATTCATTGTGATTCGCCTCTTCAGGTCTGCTGGTATCCATGGATGTAGATCCGTGAGGTTTGTATTTAAACAGAGCCCTTGCTGCACCTTCCACTCTGTGGACATGATAAGCCGCCGGAGTCTTGGCTGCTGTCACGGAATCTCATCATCTCATGGACTTGTATGAATTCCGCCCTCCACCCGCACACCAGGTGTGTGCTTGGTCAATTCCAAGGAAACATCGACTGTCTGGCTTCGATCCGAGGGGGGGGGGGGGGGTCAGTATGGCGAATTTTGATGTGTATCAAATACTTCTTGTACAGACTGACACAATAGAGCCCCTCACGTAACAGAATCGATCGTTTCAGGGTTTTGATAACATTGAAAGTATACATGTGCATACAGGAAGAGGCGAATGCGCCACCTGGGTATTGACGGAGGGTAAAAAAACGTTTCACGAGACCGGAGTATATTGTACCTTAGGTAAGTCGTTGCAGAAAGGGGGATTGATACTATCAAGTATCATCGGTGTGGAAGTGTACACACAGCCAACTTGCACATGTGAGTAAAACGGTCAAACGGCTGGCTTATCTCATCCTGAAAAATCAGTATTAATTGATCTGCATGTGGGCTCCCTCAGGTAGCAGGTCAACCAACTGTTGAGTCGGGGATCAGTCATCCTTGAATGCTAGTTAGTTATTAGTGCCTGCAGCCTGGATGCCTGCTTGCCTTTATCCTTGGGAAATAGGTTGTCAATATCATTCATCGCATGATGATTCGATCTTCCTTTGGAACTCATATCCCATGATCCGATTGATTGGCCACAAAGCAACCTCGCAAATAATGTGCTGTCAAAAGTACCATACATGGTCAAACTGGTTTTGTTCCTGGTCAAAAGTCGCCCATACATTAGACCCGCGGGTAGTTGCAATGTGATACCCAGTACCCCAGTACTTACTACTAAATAACTACGAGTACTAGGCCCGGAGTCACCTCGCTTGCCACTAGGATATGCAGTCTATTATGTAGTTCGGTACTGACGGGATACGCAGCGCTGGTTATGCCTTTATCCATGCGCTCGCACATTCCAGGGTTCGATGTACATACACTCCATGGCTAGAGAGAAAGCTAAGTCTGTGACTCTGTACTAATGGTGGGATCGTGACCCAGTTCATCCACCCACGTATGTTTCAATGTATACGGACATCCGTATGTATTCTGCAGAGCTGAATTGCAATCTGCTGAGAGTTTAAATTCTATGATGGGAATGCGCCATGTTATTATATACCAAAATAAATTCAATTGCAACTGGTTCACATAATTAGTATCGACGGTGCACAGACCCTTTTGACTCGTTTTTCCCCCTTCAGAAGATTTTCTCCCACTACTGGATATCAAATCAGCAGCCAGCATTCGTGATTCCATACGAATTAATGAGTCGGTGCGTATACCCCCTGTGTGTGACGGGAGCTACAGCTTATACGTGTACCATTTCATCGGCGGGTACGAAGCAGTTTTGAGAACTTTTGACCGATAAAGCAACACTTCAAAAATGAGCCCACTTGAGTGACTTGACTGGAGCGAGAGGGAGATCCCCGCTTTCAGAACGGGATCATCTCACCCAAATTTTCAAGCGGTTCTGCAGATTGTGTGGTTGGCCAGACGATCGGCGTGTTAGCGCCCGCCCGAGGTGATGGGCGTGCATCATGAAGGGCAACCGGGGCCATGACCACACCTTATTGGCTACTCCGCTGTGACAAGCTCGACCGATCACTTCCCCTCAACCAGTCACATTCCATCTCGTGCAGAGTGAATATGCACCCGAGGATGGCGTTGAACTGTGTCGAGCTGACTTTCCTCCAATCAATTCCCTAACTACTCCTGCGCTATTCTCCTCGGCGCTTACTCTAGTCATGGCAAAAAGTGATGGGATGTTATGGCCTGCAGCGCACCCCCGCCCAGCCATCTGCCATGAGGACTGTTCCGTGATTGATATTCAACACGGCTGCCGGATCTGCCGCTCTTTCTGTTTTCTTTTCTGATATTCATCGTTGCCGAGTTTGGTTTCTGTGTTATTCCCCGTGGACGCAGGTTTCGCACACGGTTTCAAGGTGTTTAGATTAGGTTGTTACAGCATCCGCTACTGTCACACCCCACACATAGCTGGAATCTTCCCAGCCGGACAATCAACTCGGCCTGTTTTGATTGAGCTTTTTGCTTCTGTTTCTGGGTCATATCTAGTCAAGAGCTGGCTCTTTTGACTGCGTCGTTATATTGATTTTCCATCTATCAACACCATGTCAACCTCCGGCGACAGCAACCACTCCCCTCAGACCTACGATCCCGTTGTTCCTCACGACCTCACCCGCGCATCTTACCACAGCGGCATGGGTGACCACAGCATCATGGGGGCCCATACAGGCTTCACATCGACAGAGACAAAAGAGACCCGAACCTCCGAGGGTAGCGGTGCCTCACTGAAGAGCCCACGCACGGCTCGATTCGCGGAGGCCACTACAATCTACTCGCCAGTCGAGCAGCATGGCAAATCCCCCTTCGCCGACGCTGTCGAGCAAGCTCCGCTGGGCGTTGCCGATACCGGATTTGGCTACGTAGCAAACAACAACCCTGCTCAACGTGCAGACGACTCAATGCCTCCAATGTCGCCTTGGCGACCCGACCTGAAAGTTCCCAAGTCTGCCAAGACGCTGAACCCGCTGAGTCCGACCTTCCGCGAGGAATACTTCCTTGAGAAGGGTGAGGCAAGAGCCGAGGTGGAGAACGCCCGCGATGTGCGAATCAAACTCCGAGTCCGCATCGCTAAGATCTTCCTTCGTTTCGTCAACTTTGGCTGCAGTCTGATTGTCTTGGCCATGTTGGCCTTGACTCTTAGGACTTTCATGGCAACCAAGGATCTTCCGGAGCGCAACTCGTCCACTGCATGGAACGCCGACACTAACCCGTGGGCACAGTGGTTGCTGCTGGGTCTGGCTTGCTTCTCTCTTCTGGCCTGCATGGTTGTGTTCTGGGGTTACTACAGAGGTGGTCACAAGCGTGCCGAGAAGCTTGTTGTCTACTACAGCACAATTTCGATCATCTACTTCACTTTCAGTTTCGTCATGTGGATCGTCACTGCAGCCATCTACGAGCACTCCAAGGCGAGCGGAAACACGAAGGATATGTGGGGATGGGCTTGCGCACAGAACACCCGTGAACAAATCTACTCGGATGTCATCGACTATGCTCTACTATGCCGTCTACAGGTGAGTTTCCCAACTACTACTTCTACTACCCATAACTGCAGTCTGTTTCTTCCCAACATACTAATGTACTCCCACAGGACTGGGGCCTCGTCTGCGCCATCATCGAAGTCGTCATTGAGCTCCTCGTGATCCTGATCTATGTCGTCGTGTTCTACCGCATCTGGTCCAAGCGCCGTCTCATGCGCTCCATGAACCACCGCGACCAGGCCCGTTCAGATCTCTATCTCGCCCAGCTGCACCGCCAAACAGCCCCCAACACCCCCGGCTTCCCAGGCTTCTCCTCCTACCCACCAAAGTCACCCTTCTACGCCTCCCAGGCCCTGGACTCTTACTCCTCGGCCGAGAAGGGCGAAGCCGGCCCCCAGCCCCAGTTTGCCACTGCCGCCGAGACTCAGTACGCATCCCCGCGCTCTCCCACCCGCCCAACCCCATCGTTCCAGCTCCAAGCTCCTCCCATCCGTCTCCAGCAAGCGACTCCTCGCGCTGGCCAGGAGGAGTTCGGCGCCCCGTCTTTCTCTGCTCCTCACGCCCAGTCGCCATCTCCACCGCCTCATTCTCATGAGCATGCGGATGCGGCGCCTGGTGAGCAGAGTTACGGCGCTGTGCCGATTCCCGGGGCCTACTGATGTGGTTTTGGTTGGCTGGGTTACTCGATCGCGGGGTCGTGTTCTAATGTTGACGAGGCTGTTCTGGAGTTTTGGCTCGGTGTTCTAATGAAACCCCACGCGTTGACAGAGACAAAACTGGAAAAGAAAAAAAAAATTGGAAAAATCGAAAAAGAACATCATAAGTAACCTGCTGGGCTTTGAGAAAATTTGGACATATACATTGGCCTTTCTTATCCTTAATTTCTTGGGCACTGGGGCGTGTTGGGCGTTTTGGGTACAGATACCTATTTCGACTTTTTGGAGGGGTCACTTGACCACTTTGTGTATTTACACCTTTCTCTCCTTATTGATCATAGTCAATTATGAACTTGCATTGTACAGCGATGGGTAACTGGATACTTGTGCACTGAGATTCCTTCGATATTAGATTTCTTGTAAACCTCCCCAGGTTAGCGTAGCCCTAGAGATGAAGGCGGAATGTAAAATCACGATACAGTACATGATGAGGGTACTAGTACGTTCATAGTATATGCCAGTTGACTACGCACTTTTCATCCCAACACGAGTTGACGGTAAATTGGGCACCGAAAATAGCTACCTAGGAGGACGCCGTTTTTGGCGCCCCTTTTACCGTCAACTAGTTAAAATTGAGCCACATGATAGTTATAAATTGACCCACTTTTCCAGTCTTCTCAGAGAGCACTCAGGCCCTACACTCAGGGAGCACTTAGGTCTGCTCAGGCGGCTCACTGGACTGTATGAAAGGATTCATCATTCGGGTAAACAAGACCCGAGTGAGATATTCCGCCCCGACTCGGATAAACTCTGACCTAAATCGAACAAAGAAACAATATTGCTAATAAAAATGCAGCCAATTGATAGGATCTTCCATCATGAAGATCATGGAAACGACTAGCTACACTGATGATCATGATAGCACAGAGCCTGGGTCACCAAGGGGTCGATTGGGAAAATTGGTGTATAAAAAGCGGCCTCAGGTATGTCGACTTCACTCGATATTCATCAAAATCATCCTTCAACTAACACACCAATCGATCTTCACTGTTACCCCTCGGCATCATGTCTGTTATTCCTCCCGTTGGCACCCCCGTCGGACTTGAGATCCCCGCCAAAGATGTGGCTCGCGGTAAATTGCCCAGGCTCTGTGTATCCGACAAAAAGCCAAAACTAATCCTTCTTAGGAGCTGCATTCTACAAGGCAGTCTTCAACTGGACCTTTGCTACTTCCACCCTGGGGCTCCCCGCACATAAGCTCCAAACATTTGAAGTCCCAGGCGGCGTTCTGCCCATCGGAGGTGCCATGCGCCTGGCGGAAGTAATCCCTACTGGCACGGGTGCCACTAAATTATACCTCTATGTCGATGATATTGTCACTGCCCTTGAGGTAGGTGACTTGCATATTGAGACGTGAGACTCATCAGCTAATGGATGTTAGGCCATTGAGAAAACGGAGGCAAGAAGGCGAGCGAGGTTATCCCCGAAGGCGACAAGGGGCTGTTCCAGTACTTCGAGGATAGCGAGGGCAACAACTTTGCCATCTACAGTTACAACAAGTGAGTCACTGGAAGTAGTGCCTTGGAGAAATCATTGGGAGATGGACCTGCAAGACTGCAAAGGACCTAGAGGCATGCTGTATGTAAGAGCAGGGTGAAATCTAGTCGGAGCAAAAACGTCCGCTTCCCGAGTGGACTGGGCCCTATACCAGTTTGGGATGGGGCAGTGGATGTATGCAAATAGCAATCTCTGATAGGGGAAATGCAATGAATTACATTGGTCATGGAAAGATTCGCTTGGATATTTGAATGATACAATCCTTTCAAGGCGTGATGCGCAACTACTGTAGTGGAAGCGTAATATGGCCCCAACGACGCCAGATGGTTACATGATATCAATGGATGGCCCCCTCAAACTCGAACTTTCGGCTTACATTTCCCCACTTGGTTAGATAATCACTGTGCAATTTGGGGTTAATGCTGATAGTCTGGAGTCTGGACTCTGATGGATATTAAAGGAAGGATTTTTGAATGTAGTTGACTAATGTAATCCAATATTTGACATTATCCTCTTAACACGTGACGTTATTTGTCCCGCGGTGGGTGTTTGCCTCGTAGTCCTTTCCTAGGTGTACTTTGCTGGTGTCGACTATTAAAGGGAATATAAGACGTCAAAGGAGGCTGAAAAATCGCGGATTCCCTACACCAACTGATCAGATCAGGTGACCAGTCTTAGTTGGAACTCGAGACCTCACAACATTGCTTTGTTCACGTCCCATAATGCTCTCTCATCAGATGACTCCCACCGCACGCACACATACCTCCCAACCTATCAAACAGCGACAACGAACCGGAAGAGCGTGCGAAGAGTGCCGGCGACGCAAGCTACGATGTGATGCACAGCAACCGCGGTGCGGTGTCTGTGTGGAATCAGGTGCAACATGCGAAATCAATAGCCAACGGCAGCCGAGAGGCCCGAAGAAGGGCTATTTGAAGGCGTTGAGAAATCGAGTTGGTATATATGGAATGTTCGCAGACAGTTGTTGCGCTGGTTTTAACTGAGATCTATCCTAGCAATGCTCGAAAATCGTCTACCGACCCAGCATCACGCTGGGCTTCTGCCTGAGCTCAACCCATTGTCAGACTCACTTTCCTTGAACGACGACCATCATGATGGCTGGAGCGTCTCCAGCCTGTCAAGCCATTCCGACTCGAATCCGCCTCCATTGATCATGGAAAGTACAACGGTCTCCGAGCCAGATCTATCCATAATGAACTCGATGTCTGGGGTTGGTCCGGCTCCGTCAGTGGGCAGCTACGGGAAAGATATATGTAGGATCGAACCGATATCAGATTTCATGCAGGCAGAATTGTGAGTGGCTCGGGCCCCTGATTGATCGCAAGGGTATGGCTGATAGTTGTGCTAGAAACCAACTATATTTTGACCGAGTACACCCATCCGTTCAGATACTTCACCAATTTCGCTATCTAAGGTGGGCCAGAAACCCCATAAAGAAGACATCTCGTCAATGTCTGCAGTACGCGGTATGGACACTGGCGTCACTCTTGTCCGCGCAATTCCAACGTCTTCAAGACTCCTTCTACCAGGAAGCAAAACGGGCTTTAGAAATCTCCTATCTATCGGGAGACTCCGATAATTCGGTTGACACAGAAGAGATCCAAGCATGGATATTGATAGCAACGTATGAGTCAATGCGGACTTTCCATCGCTTTGCGTGGATGAGCGCCGGACGCGCTTTTCGTCTGGTTCAGTTAATGCGACTGCATGAAATCGACAGTCCCACGAAGCCCCCTGTAGCCCATGCAGACCTAATCGAGACAGAGGAAAAGCGTCGGGTGTTTTGGATGGCCTATTTCTTGGATCACTTGTTCAGCATGCGCAATAATTGGCCGATCACCTTGAACGAGCATGTGGTAGGGCTTCGATACCTTCCTTACGCCTCAAGATAAAAACGAACGTTTCACTTGATCTGATAATCTATAAGTAGATCTGCACCCGTCTTCCAGGTCCGGACATGGAATTCCAAAATGGCCAGCCGGTGCTAGGTGCCTTTCTTTCGGAAGCGATCATAGACGTTATGCCGCAAAAAACATCGCCTTTCAACGAGTGCGTCATTTTGGCTACCATATGCGGGCGCAGCCTGTTTCAGGCTCAGCAATACAGTGTTCGCGTTGCATATGGTGACATAGCTCCCAATTGGACTGATCAGCACCAATGGCTGGATAACGTCCTTAACAACCGGCTTCAGATCCTTTCCCAATACTATCCCTCGCCAACCCAAATTTGCGACCCGATGCTCTCGTTCGCACACATCATGGGACAGGCAAGTGTGATTCATCTATATAAAGGCATGGAATCGATTGTATGGGCAGTCGATGAGGGAGCATTGGTATTGGAATATCGACGGCGTGCCCTGAGTGCAGCGCAGGAGATTGTCAAGCAAGCGAAAGGACTGACAAAGTTCTATATCTTCAAGGTATACCATACTCAAGCATTACTACTCCACCTGATTTGGGGCATGACTATCTTTACGCACCGCGAATGTACTAATCATAAAACGAGCAGGTCCATCCTCTCATGCCCATCCCATTGTTACTCTGCGTTGAATTCCTTTACAGTAATCGAGGGTCAGACGCGGCATTTGACTCGCTACTTCAAGAGCTCCTGCAGATTTTCCGTCAACTCAAGAACGCTAACGATCCAACTCAAAGTTATATGGATCTTTTAGAACTTTCATGTACTAAAGCGTCGATTGGCTTGGTACAAGAAGGCTCCACTTCATCGTGATCCTACGGATGGCTGTTGTTGGATAATATATACAAGTTTGAGCGCCGCGCACAGCGGCGCAACGAATCATGCCTTGTGGCTAAGATGTGGATGAACCGATATAATTTTTTATTCCTGGTCCTAGGCTATACCATTCATTATGGTGTCACGGGTTTGAATGATATGCTTGCTATAGCCTATAATAGTGTTGAAAATCTCACACAGGCTACAGCACTGCGGTCTGGCTTGCAGCCTGACGCACCAAGTTTAGATATTTCCAACAGGTTTGTGGGGCTCACATTCCTGACAGTTGACCAGTCGGATAAACTCTCGGCTCGGGAAAACAGTATCGCGATTCGCGACTAAGCCACGGTCCACGGATAAACAAGTTCTATAGATGAAAGCTCCTTTACAAGGAAGTCTGCTCTTATGAATCATTTCAATAAAGATGCCCATTTCTCGCATCCATATCATGTCGACCTCTTTATCATTGGTATCTTGTCTGCTCATTGTATCAACACCCAAAAACACGCTATCATCGCAAGATGAAGGATACAAATGACGCCCCAGATGTCCAATTTCGACCAACGCATAGTGCAGGAGTCAGGGCGTGCTCAGGGAGTGCTCCAGGTTACTTAGGGAGCGCTTAGGGCCCCGGACTAACTTAGGTAGTGCTCCGGGAGCCGATCTCTACCCTAACCAGTAGCCTTACTACTAACAATATTACAGATGAAAATCCTCATACTTAACGATTAGTTAGGCAGCGCGCGCTTTTTTCAGATGAAAGTCCTTATACTCAAGGATTAGTTAGGCAGCGCGCGCTTTTTTTAGATGAAAATCCTCATACCTAGTTAACTAGTAGTCAGGCAACGTGCACTTTTCTTAAACATGCATTCACAATTCATACTAATGATGCCCATAAAACATCACCCATAAAACATCAGGAACAAAATAACTTAGCCAACCTGATTTGCTCATAATATTAGAGCAGTTCATAGATCTAACTCGAAATTTTAATTAATCATTATTCTAAAATTTTGATATGTAGGTTATTTTAAGGGGTTTGCCCAGGTGGTTGATATAATGTACAGAAGTAGTATGTACCTAAGCCACCTTACAGTGCTGGATATGCCGACTATTTATCAAATACGAGATGCACAGATCAATGTTCAATGTTGAAAGTAGAATGCCATGTTCGCATTAAGTACTAAGAAAAACAACCGTTGGAAGCGCCACTGTGCAAACAGAGAGAACCGAAAACGCCACAAGGATCTACCTTTGAAAATCGAATCCCATCCGTGCCCATCACTCATGAATAAACACACACTCCGATTCTCCCTAAATGGTGAACTGTACATGTAAACAAACCAACTCACAGCATGACACCACCTTCGTCACGGACGGCATTGACATCCCGACTGACAAAGATTTCTTCCAGACTACAAGCCCCGCTGGCAATTTGCTGCATGTCGCTCTCCAAGACAAGACCTTCTTCGTTGGCCAGATGGAGAAGACAGATGAAGCCATAGGATGTACTGATATCCCGTAATACCTCGTTGGGGTATGAAGTCTTGAGAGAATTCATGATCTGTGTAAACCGTAGCCTGCTATCGCTTGAGAGATCAGGGCTACTTGTCTGCGGAGTTGGCGGCTCAGGAGCATCGGATTCACTTGCAGGATCGGCTGGTGGCTCACTAGACGTAGGCTGGGACTGCGAAGCAGAGCCGAAGTCGGTGGTGGCAATCAGACGCTCACCCATGCCCTTCCACATCTCGGTCTTGAGTCGTCGCACATCCACCTTCTTGGCAACACGGGCATAATTGACGTAATCCGGGCGCGCGCGACGTCCACCCTGAGTTACCAGCTGGGAACCGTACCCACCAGCGCCCGGTTTCCCAGGAGTAGCTCCAACCATATTCAGTAGTGCAGTGAGCCCGGTCTGTGAGCTACCATCTCCGATTGCTGTACCTGGGCGCCCGTCAGCCGGCGGAGACAACATCTCCCGAGCATCGGCAAATGGCATGTTGTCGTCGTCATCCATATCCATGCCGTTAGGGAAAGCAAGACCGTCGTCATCAGCAAAGAAATTGGCGTCATAGGCACCGGCGACGCCTTCCTGATCGCCATTATCCTCTACCTTGTGGTTCGCCCAGAAAGCCTCGTCCATGTCGCCATTTCCGGACGTTTGCTCTGGCCGGGGAGCTGCTCGTCTGCCGAAAAGCTTCTTCGAGCCCATGCGCGCCTTAGGCTTGAGGAAAAGACGAAGCAGATTGCGTGAGTTGAAGTGTTTGTCATCGGGCAGAAGGTTTCGTCCCTTTGTCTTCCATTGTGTCTTGGGGATGGAGACGGCAGAGTTCGAACTGGCCGGAGTATAGATCAACTCGGCGATGGCGTGGTCCAAGGGGGCTCCAAAGTCAATCTCGAAGGGCTCTTTCTCTTTGCGTTGTTGCTTGGGGGCAGATGTGCTGCTGGCTGCTGTGTGCTCCTTGATTCTCTTGATCTTCCAGTGTTCCGGGCCAGCCCAGTTCTTCTGAAGCGCGTTATCGAAGTAGCTCAGAATGTTCTCGTGATCTTGCTTACTCGGCTGATGAGACATAGAGATCGCATATGCATCTTCACGGTCCATGTCCTCATCACCATCTGCATCAGCATCTTCCATTCGATGAACCTTGAGCATTGGTTCCAAAGCAGCCTCTCTTGCCCAGGCCTCTCCTCCATCACCAAATCCGGCGTCTCCAGTCAGATCAAAGCCAGCTAATGAGGCATCATCATCATCATCATCAAAGCCAACCGCATTGTCGTCATCAAGCATGATTCCAGAAGGATCGTCGCCTTCGTTGTTTTTATCATGTCGCCAATCTTCAGGTGCCTTAAGAAGAGGAATATCGAGCGATCCGGCGGGATCTCCGAGATCGAGGTTTTTGAGGGAGGGGCAGATATCCTGCTCCCCGAGGCGATCCAAGTCTGGGAAAAATTGACTTGCCAACGTAGCGAGATCGATCTCTGGGTCATCCTCGAATGTGTCGCTTGCCGTTTGACGTGCCGCCTTGGCCTGATCTTCGCCCTGTGATTCCGGATCGGCAGATTCTTGGTCTTCGCCCTCTTCTGTCTTAGAGGTGTCATCCACAGCATCGTCGCTGCTATCAAAAACGATTCGTCCAACCCCATCGATGGCCAGGTGGTTGAGCAACAGGCCCTTTGCGCCTCCCTCGTCGAAATCGGCAGACGCCTTTTTGAAGAGTGGATCCACAGCAAATTCCAGCTCAAACTTTTTCAGTTGTAAGGATGAAAATGATGGAGCCAATGTAGCCTCATGAGATCGTGTCTATTATCGTCCATATGATTAGCACAAGAGCCAAAAATCTGTAAAGCCCACTAGTGACTGTATAATACCTTCTTGCGCGATTTGCGCGCTGCGCCATCTTCACCCTCCTCATCTTCGTCACCGTCTTCCCCTTCAGCATCATTGTCCCGCCCTCTCTTGTCGCGGCTGTCAGCCAGACCACTCAGTAGTCGTCCAGTCTCTGTTGCGACACTATCCACTCGACTAGTGTAAATCTTAACACAACCGTCAAGAGTGCAACTGGCCTTTTGGAAATTCACACCGTCTCCCTCCTTCAAAAGAGACATGTCGTGGAAGTAATCAATAAGGGCGAAGTTCCAGGAGTTGTTCGCATTAATCTTGTTATCGGTTGCCATTTTCATCCACTCCTCGAAGTTGGCCAGAATAGGCACGCGCTTCATAGGGGTGACAGCGCGACCGTTCACATCGCTTCCTCGACTGCGGTGGTGGCTCGATCCGCGCGGTGTCCCGGGACTCTCGCTCCCATCACGTTCATGTGTTGTGTATCGCCGCGGAGGCATCGGTGTTTTGACCGCAGCCTTAATCTGGCTCATCTGACGATCATATTGCGCTTGTCGGGCCCCGATACGGGCCGCTTTCTCGCCCATATCATCGTTGAGGGGAATCCTGCTGGTCGCGTTAATGATGATCTCACCCTCGCATCACAACGGAAGGAGCGTACTTGATGGGGGAGTTCTTATGAGGGGTGGAGTTGCCGTTGGAACGGCGATGGACCTTGTTTGCTACACGAGGCATGGTTGCGGTTGCCCCCAGTAGGGGATAGCAGGCGCAAAGTTCGAGATAAAGTCTGGTTGTTACAGGCGCAGAGAGGGGCTACCAAACAAATGGGGAAGTCAACAAACATAAACATACGGCACCCTGGAGTGACCAGTAGTGCACACCATCACATGATGTCAACTACCCGCTGGACACCTGCAATACTGGGCCACAAAGACATCAATGTGATTGTCTCATCCAAACGCTGCCCTTCCAAGGTTCCGTTCTCGTTCCAGCTTCTCCAGATTATTTGGCCATTGCGAGATATCAATTCCCCTCATCTGTTTCTTCATGTCTTCTGCCAATCTATCTTGTATTCATAGCACCCAAAAAAAACACTCCCCTTCCTCAAGAGGCTAAAGCTTTGACCCACTTCTGCAGCTCTGGGCTCCAGGCTGACATCACCGTTCTCACCGCATTGGCAGGCCAAGTCAGCGCCAACTTTATGGAAGGGGTTCGGGTCTTGTGATCAACTCGAAGTGTTTCCATGAGACAAACTGGTGTTAGTGTATCTCCAATACCTCTTGATTCCGCGATGATGCTGCTGTCGATTCCACAATGAACCAATTTTCTTCTATCCTGCGGCCTGCCGTTCGCAAAGGGCCTCGGTATTCCGTCCGCCCGTTTTACACTACTCTTTTGGTATTCGCGGTCCTTGTTGCACTAAGCTGGGCTCTGCGCAGCAACATCATTGGACAGTCCCCGCGACGTACTACTACAAATGTGTTCCTGGCCAGGCGGCAAGGTGAACCTGAGGTACAGTGCCCCCGCTTGCAATCCATCTGCGGATAAACTTTCCCTCGTGGAACTGCAACAAAGGCTAAAAGCTCGATGTGCGACTCTATTTAGTGCCGCGAAGTTCGTGATGTCACGAACCAATGCGCGTTTATACATACAAATTGCCCCGACCACCAAGATGGACTATTCTCCTACTTGCAGCTCTATTACTGCACGTTGGCAGATGCGAAACCTCTAGCTTTCGCCATCTTGCTCTTTTGGCTAGCACTCCTTTTCAGTACAATTGGTATAGCGGCCAGTGATTTCTTGTGTATTGACCTAAGCACATTGGCGAGCATTTTGGGGTTGAGTGAAAGTCTTACTGGCGTCACTTTCCTCGCGTTTGGCAACGGCAGCCCTGATGTATTTTCCACATTCGCCGCAATGCGCTCAAATAGTGGTAGCCTGGCGATTGGTGAGCTAATCGGTGCAGCCAGCTTTATCACCACGGTCGTGGCTGGTTCCATGGCTTTGGTCCGACCTTTTAAAGTGGCACGGCGAAGCTTTGTCCGAGACATTGGGTACTTTGTGGTTGCTGTCATTTTCAGCATGTTCCTGTTGGCCGATGGCCGACTTCATGTATGGGAGTCAGCTGCCATGGTGGGACTATATGTGTTTTATGTCCTGATGGTTGTAAGTTGGCATTGGTATTTGGTCCGGCGCCGTCGGAAGTACGAAAGAGACCTCGCAGCACGGACCCACTTCCACATTCCCGAAAACCAAGAATTGGATGTTGAAGAGCCGATGGAGGATGACGATCCCGGAGTTGCTTCGGAATCGCGAAGTCTTCTCCGTGGTGCATCCACTGATGATTTTGACCTTTTGGAACGTGTTGAGGCACTTCCCATCTGGAAAGAACAAGAGGACGAGGATGATGAAACCCGTAACCGTTATCTTGCTGAAATCAGTGACAACATGCATGTTTATCGCCCACCTAATCGGTCCAGACGAAACACAATGAATCCCATTCGGCCCAGTCTTGTCGGAGCACTGGAATTCCAGTCCGTGCTCCACTCACTTCAAAAATCAAGATCGACGAATCGCAACCCAACCATTAGCCTGAATAGCTACTCGGACGATGGCGAAAACTCTCAAGCTTTCGACACTCGATCAATTGCATCACACCCTCGAGCCAGTAGACCACCTGCTGTCAGCGATCGCCTGTCGCCGTCAAGTGCATCGGGCTCCTCACGAGTTCGTGCCGTATCAGCTAATGATGCCGAAGGGCTACAACTTGATGCCAGTGTACTAGGCCGCCAAACAGAGCAGACCCCACGCCTGACTGTAACGCGGCCCTCCAATGGACCCGGTGACGAGATGCTTCCCCGCATAGACACTACTGCTGCATTGACGGCATCGCCATCGTCTTCCGTATTGTCATCTCCAATTTTAAGTCCAGTGGATTTAGTTCCTCAGACTCCAGATCTGTTGGCACCCCCAGGAGCTTTCCAATCTCCCAATTATCTTACTGGTGCGACACACGGGCGATCCCCCGCTCCTGTATCCCCGCGAGGGGGCTCCAGTCTTCGGAATGGAGCCACACCAGAGAGCCCATCTGCGCCATTTCCTGCGTTCATTGACCTGCCATCTGGACATGGAACATCTTCTCGCCCAGCTAGCATTAGACTCCCTTATGCAGCTAGCCCATCGGAACCTTTTCTGGTTCATGATAATCTCGATGACATGGACAATGATGACTCCTCATTCAAGAATCATCTGAAGCGGTGGTGGCCTTACTCAATCCTGCCCCCTCCCTCAAACATCGCTTGTACCCTTTTTCCAACCCTGACTGGGTGGAAGTCAAAGAGGATCATGGAGCGAGTTCTGGGGATTGTCGCTGCGCCCAGTGTATTTCTTCTCACAATCACCGTCCCAGTCATTGAACCTGAAGCTCCTGAATCCACAGAGCCGGATATGATACCTGCTGTGGTAATTGACGGAGTCCAAGAAAATGATAATTCCGAACCGAGGGTCAGACTACCGGCTGATAGTCCTGTGCTTTCACCTACTATTTTGCATAGCCGTCACGAATCCTTCCCTCATCTATCAAGGTCACAATCTCATCGAAAGTCGACGATTCGGGATCAGACTAGTCGTCCGCGCTGGGACTCGGAGCTCCCGCCCCCACCACCGGTCGTGTCTGATTCCTCTATGCCTGTTAGGGATTGGAACCGCTGGCTTGTTATTGTTCAACTTTTCACCGGTCCTTTCTTTTTTGTCCTCATTGCATGGTCAAGTTTTGACGAAGAACTAAATCCCCGAAACCTTCTCCTCCCGTCACTTGTTTCCCTGCTTTTCTCTTTTGTGTTTCTCTCGATTCTCCTCACCACCACACGACGTCGTCGTTCTTGGCACCGACAGAGCTACATAGATCCATCCAACCATCAGCGCCATGAGTCGGTTGATGAGGTTTCACACCCATCTCTTCCGGCCTCGTGGAGACCATTCCTGTCTCTACTTGGATTTTTGGTTGCCATTTCCTGGATTGCAACAATCGCCACTGAAGTGGTTTCTTTGTTGAAAACCTTCGGTGTAATCCTCGATATCTCTGACTCGCTGCTTGGCTTGACTGTCTTTGCGGTCGGTAATTCTCTCGGTGACCTTGTTGCAGATATCACCGTTGCCCGACTTGGATACCCCGTTATGGCTCTCAGCGCGTGCTTTGGTGGTCCGATGTTGAATATCTTGCTTGGTATTGGCCTGGGGGGCCTGTATATGACATTAAACGGTGGCAACACACGGAGGCATGGAACTGTTTCTTCAGAACCAGTCTCATATGAGATCGCCATTTCCAACGTGCTGGTCATAAGTGGCGCTACTCTTCTACTGGTTCTGATCGGTCTTTTAATTGTCGTCCCTTTGAACGGCTGGCGAATGGACCGCAAGATCGGTTGGGGTCTCATCGCCGTGTGGTGTGTGAGCACTGTTGGCAATGTCGTTGCAGAGATTGTATCATGATTTTAATGTTTCTTGCGTTGCATTTCGGGTATTTTTGAACTCATGAAGCTTTTGTACATATATTTTAAGATCTCAATTTATGGATTTGCAATATTTGAAAGTACTTCAAAAGTTTCAGCCCAGGTGCATTTCAGGTGAGGTTTCGGTGCATCTACATATTTCAAGTTTGAGGGAATACTAAACTAAGAGGTCATAAGTCTGGTCGCATGCTACCAGTCAAATCCCTGGAAGTAAAAACTCAACTTGAAGATATCTTAATATTAAACCACTTAAAATGAAGAATAACACAGAGTTAGCAGGGCCTAGATCCAGACCTTTTATTTCCATTTGCCGTCTGCAACAAATGTTACTTCACAAAAATAACCAAAAATTCAGTAAAATAGGAGGCTTTGTTATATGTAGTAAGAGATTAATCTCTATCATTTTTCCTTCTGTAAACAAAAATCTATATAAAAAGAACCTTGAAATATCAATTAAAAGTAATTTCGCACTGTCACACCACTTTCAGCACTTACCATTCAAAAGTTCTTACCCTATATACATGTATGCGCTCAATATATAAAATTGACTATTGATATATTTACTGTAAATGAAGAGATTCTGTTCTGTATTGTATTTTACTTATATTTTAGTAAGTTTAGAAAGTGAGATATCTACCATGGAAAATACCAGGTTTGTCCATATTAAACCTAGGATGTGGGAGTGAGGTCGTGCCCCGGTGGTGACTTCAAACCCAGATAGACTTCACCTCCAAAGGTTTTCTTTCTAATTCTCATCTCTTCCAACATAGGCTCACGAATGAACAAAGCGAACTACGCCTTATATCAATATATTGTTATTGGTTTTGGCACCTGGGACTTTCCTCAGCTTCACAACACTAGCGCCCGCCGTCGAATATATATCGAACTCCTCTTACTGCCCCCCACACCTGATCCGTGACTCAACCGTCAGGTTTCCTCATCTTCACGCCGAAACTCATTCAACAACCTCTTCAGTTCATCCTCGGTTGTCTCGCAACTTCCTTCGCTTAAGCCTGGTCCATCCTCCAATTAAACCTTGGAACCTCACATGTCGCCGACCCCCCTCCCAAATGGACTCCGATAGCTCCTTATTCTGCGAGCGAGTTATTTCTGGCCAAGACGACAACCGGAATTCAATCGATGATACCAGAACTGGGCTAAGTGGGGTTTCCCCGGGACTTGGTCTTTGTTCATATTATTTGCATCCACTGGCACTGTCTTGGGAAGCTCTTCACTGACACAACCAATCACAATCAAACCCATTAAACCAATCACAACATCAAAACAAGAAAAGATGAAGTGGAATGGTTATCACAATTATGTTACCGCAATTCATGAATCTTGGCTGCTATCGGGATGGAAGAGGCACGTGTACGGTGCGGGTGCGGGTGCGGGTGCCTGGGAATCAATGAGATTCTTATCACCCGTGTACAATTTTACGATGCCTGGTTTGAAGAGGATACATCGAGATTGCCAAGTCGCCTTGAAAGAGAAGCAGAAGTGGAAATGACTCTGCTTTCAATATCAGCTTTGTGCAAATCTTCTCAGCCCTAAGATGGAAATGTCGTGACATCCAATCAATTCTAAGAGATTCACGTGGAGGAATCTGATTATTTACACATCAGGAACACTTCAAAAGATTCAATTTACCTTTACCAAGGCATGGTATGGAGTTATTTGGACATCGACAACATCAGTCAGGAAGTAATTCACCGTGACCGAGGCATGTCACGGAGTTACTTGGACATCGGCATCGCCGTTCAAGATGCAATCTACCTTTACCGAGACATGGTATGGGGTTATTTGAAGCCGACAATACTCAAGGGTCATGGGTTCTCACCGTTCCTCTAAACTGTACCCAGTGACCCTTGGATCCCTACATCCTGCCGAGGAAAGAACTCATCGCTGAGAGATGATTTCGATGCTAAGGGGAACTAACGTATGATTAACAAGAATTCACGGAGGCTACCCGGTCTCTACTTGGTCATACGGTCTGCGCCTCATCCTAGTCTTAAATGATTACTACCCGGATCTACCCTACCGATCCAAATTCACCCACAAAGCAGTGGGTGTCGGGCCTGTCTGATCTCGGATGGGTCTTGGCGGACTTGAATGATGTTCAGTAGCTTTAGCTGAAGCCAGTGGCAAGACAATGCGCATTAATGAATCGGAAGCCATGGTGGATTTTTTGTTCCAACACTGGAGGTCCTGGTCTCAAGAATCAACCATTTGAAGCAATTCATTACCTGCTATAATAATTGTTACCATTCTGGTTGGTGACATGATTACACATGTATATTCGGAGGGGGAACCCCCCTCAAGGCTCTAACTACTAGTTAGAAATACCATGCATGTACCACGCTTACGACTACGCCGTAACAATAATCAGGATTAGACTAGTATATCTTACAGGAAGTCACTTCAAAGATTATAAAGCTCTAAAAGAACTATCAAAATCGAAAAACAAAAAACCAGTTTTATTACTTGGTATAAAGAGGTATCCGAATTAAAGTAATGTAACACTGTCTCCGGTGGAGGTTGGAGAATTCATGCCCGATGACCATTAAACCTGGAATAACGATATTGACAAGATTTAAGCGAGAAGAGCATTTTGACCGCTTATCTTCCAAGACTTCTCCGAAAACTCCGCCATTTTGCGCCATTTCCCTTTAACAGAGTTCCGGCTTAAGCGTGCCGGGATCTGGAGGCTTGGCTTGGCCTACGGACCGCCAACCACCCCAATACACAAGCAGTGATAAGCCTCCGGGACGGAACTATACGAGCAAGCCCCCCTTTCCACCAAATGAACGCCAAAAACTAATTTCTATCTTTCACAGGGCCCAAGTCCCAGCATACGCAATCCTCGGCCCTTGGATTCATCACGCGAGTTCCATCCTTCCAATAACTCACCATCTCGCCAGACAAGGGTCTTGTCTCCAAGTTGCTGGAGATGTGGAGATGCGGAGATGTCAATTATTCTAAACAATAATCGGAAAAACTCCTGCGGGGGAACAGCGTCCCCTAGTCCTCCACCGGCCATATTTCCTCCAATGGGAGAGCGCTAACTACGGTACCCCGACACTCGGACCGTAAGACCCGAGGTTGTTGGTGACAAGGGAAAACAAGATGGAGAGGCCCTTCATATAGAAGGGAGACTCCGGGTTCTGCGGCGCAGTTGGGAGTCAGAATCGCAAAGCGCGTACTAATCACCATGTCGCTCCCTCCTAGGTGGTACCAGGTATGTGGTGATGCCTCGGATTGTCTTGTTTACTATGCAGATTCTCACTAACGAATCACGATATCTCAGTTCCTGGTCTGTGTTTTTGCTTCGTTGGGTTCTGTGCTGTATGGTTACGATCTTGGTGTTATTGCCGAGGCCATCGCCAGTCCATCACTGGTCAATGAGTTTAATATCAATACTACTGAGAGTGGAGCCATTACTGCAGTCTTCACGGGCGGTGCTTTCTTTGGTTCCATTTTCGCTGGTCCCCTGGGTGATTATTCGGGTCGTAAAATTACCATCCTCGTCGGCTCTATTATCTTTCTTCTAGGAGGGTGTGTATACGACACCCATATCGCTGCCATGAATCCGGCTAACAGACATTGACAGTGGCCTACAAACTGGCGCACCTACAGTCGCCTTTCTGTATGCCGGACGAGCCATTGCCGGTCTCGGGTTAGTTGAAATTGTCCCCAAACTCAATATCCACACAGGAACCTTGAAAAACTAACAATTTTATTTATAACAATAGAGTTGGCATCTTGGTCATGATCGTACCCATCTACCAAGCCGAGCTCGCACATCCCGATATTCGTGGACGTGTCACCTCCCTCCAGCAGCTCATGCTGGGAGTTGGCTCTCTCGTCGCATCCTGGATCTCCTGGGGCACATATATCAATTTCGCCGACACAGACTCACGCCAATGGCGCATCTCCCTGGGAATCCAAATGGTCCCGGCCGTCTTCCTCGCCGCTTTGATCCTGTTATTCCCCGAGTCTCCACGTTGGCTGATTGACCACGGCCGACTGGACGAAGGCCTGCAGACACTTGCGCGACTACACTCTCGCGGCGACATTAATGATCCCTGGGTTCAGACGGAGTACGATCAGATTTGCAACTCCATCGCCCATGAGCATGAAGCCGAGGCAAAGTCTTATACTGAGCTCTTTACGGATCGCTCTTGTTTCCGCCGTCTCTTTTTGGCCTGTTCCGTCCAGGCTGCTGCTCAGATGACGGGTGTCAGTGCTATCCAGTACTTCAGTCCTACTATTTTCAAGCAGATGGGCATTGCTACCAACGACACACTCAAGTACCAGGGTATCAGCTCGATTATTGCTATTATCGCCCAGTTCCTCTGTATGCTCTTCATTGATAAGACTGGGCGCAGGTGGCCGCAGATTCTTGGAAATTTGGGCAATTGTGTCTTCTTTGTATGTCTACTCTATCATGGCCCACTTCATCTTCTCAGAAGTCTTTGTGGTAAGTTATCACGGCTAACTTTCGTTTTATTCTAGATCATTCCCACCATCCTCATCGCCAAGTTTCCCCCGGGTACCACAGACAATAACTCTGCCGGCTGGGCTTTTATCATCATGACCTGGTGCTACAACTTCACCTACAGCGCCACTGTCGGACCCCTCACATGGGTCATCTGTGCCGAGATCTTCGATACCAAAACGCGATCCAAGGGTGTCTCCATCGCAACTATGGTCTCCTTCGCCTTCAATACGATGATCGGCCAGATTACTGCTCCTGCCATCGCTAATATCGGAGGTTGGGGCTTCTATGTCATTTTTTGCGTTTTCAACTTCACCAACGCGGTATTCTTCTGGTTTGTGCTCCCTGAAACCACGAGACTGCCTCTGGAGGATATGAATACTCTGTTCAGGAATGAGCCGTGGTTTGTGCCTGGCACGCAGACTAAGAGGTTTATTGAGCGGAGTAAGATGCCGTTGCCTATTAGTCCGGAAAAGATTGAGCACTTTAGTACCCATGAGGAAGTTCTTGCTTAGCTGAAGGCTTTTGATTGAAGACATCAGTTTGTTTCTTGACATACTTGGTGGTTTTACTTATACCCATGTAAGAATGTCGAACCCTTGAGAGCTAGGAAATTATGAAATTAAGATTGTGTTTGGAGAATCAAAGGCTTGTGCATGAAAGCTCCCGCCATGGCTATCTAACAAGCATATCTAATTATAAATCGCACCGCAGTATCCTGCATATCAAGGTTCAAAGGATACTCCTCAAAGGTCAAGAGAGATACTATAAGCAATGACAAACACGTAGCGACAATCATTTCCAACCCAAGCACTTGGGCAAGAATCCCACTAAATCTCCGAAAATCCAGCCAGTGGAAGCTCCCCCAGGTCCCCTTGACACCCTCGGTCTTTTCAATGCTGCGACTGTCTCGGTACTCAACCGTAGAAGCAGCCACCCGGATGAAGACAGCATAGCTAGGAACCACAGCAACAAAGTAGAGAACGACCATCACAGCTAGAGCAATACCAATCATCACGAGCCTATAGCTATTCGAGTCATCACCATTAAATGTCGAAAACAGAAGGAACATATGCACAGCGAGATAAAAGCATATACTCGAGGCCGTGCTATAAAGCAGCGCCGCCGAAAAATTCTTCTTCCACATCGCCCAGCTCAGAACGCGTCGAGTAAACGGAATCTGCACACGTGAAGGCTCAGTGAGAATCGCATGCACATTGGCTACTTTGAGGTTCGAAAGTAGCATCTCTATCGCCACGTTCAGGACCGCAAGGCAGGCGAGATTCGCGTTCTCTGGGCCGACATGGATACTGAATCTTGAGAGGAAAGAGACTTTGATCAGTCGGTGGAGGATGAAGATCGGGAAGCCTCGAAGCCCGGGCCAGCTAGCTCCTGCTACTGGACGTGAAGTCGCGGCTAACGTTGCCTGGACGTTTCCGTAGGCATATATTGCCTTTGTGTTCGTGTATGTTAGCCTGTTGACTCGCTGGAGGATCGGGTGATTGTAGCCTGTAGGATAAGGCTTTGCCGAAAGAAATGTGCATCGGGTCAGGATGACTCACGGGAATTAGTGCAATCGAGACACCAGCTAGAGCCAGCCTTGGAGGGGTAGCCAGGTTTTGCATTTGGGCTTGAGATAGCGTGAGAAGTTGTATATGGGTTCCGATGTGCGCGAGTAAGTGTGAAGTTCCGAGGTGAAGGGTTGGGGTTCACGAAGAGCTTGGGCAGTTTTTTTCAATAGAGCCTTATGCTGCTCTTTATAGCCTCATGGGTGAGCCTGGTAAATCAAAAAGATAAGAAAACATGGATTCTCTCGACTCCACTATAATCCACTCTAACCTCCACCTGTGACGCCCCGAGGAATCGGCGACGCCGGCCCGGGCCCTCTAGGGCTGGTGATTCGAGTGAGCCTCAACTACTTCATAAATCTCGTCAATCCAAATGGCTTTTTGATTTCCTCCCCGGACATAAAAAGAAGATATGTACCAGCAATTAGCTAGAGATAAGTTGAAACTGCCCCGGAGGTTGGTTATTCAAACATTGAGATACGCGAAGGATTGCTGGAGCTGTCTTGGATTTTAGAACAGTAGAGACGCGCGGCCTAACGCTTAGTGGGCAGCTAATGGTATTCTATTTCTGGCCTTGAAAAATAAATACCTCATTGGAGTTCAGCCTCATTACCTAGTACTAGTCTTCAAATGTTGTCACTTGAATGATATCTATGCATTCAATGTCATTCAAAGCAGCGGTATAAGTAGAGGGCAACATTTGAAGCTTTAAAGCCTTGGAACGCCCATGTCCAAACTAAAAACTACACTACGCTAAGTACTAGATTAAACTACGTGAACATCGGACAATAAATCGGGTAAATATCGGCAAATAAACACAAAACCGATGCAACAGAGATCTTCATGAGACTTCCTGCATCTGTAAAAGCGGTTACATCCATGCGGCAATCAATTGAACCCTACATATCAATGAAACATAGTAGCTTCCCCGCGTCAAGATTCAAGATTCAAGAGCCGTATATAAGTGCTAGTATTTACATGTAAGATCATACATTGTATGTCCATCTAGGGCGATAACCAAGACTCTCAATCCATCAATCCAAGATCCATTCAAAATACCCATCATTCCATTCCTTTTGAATAAACCACAAACCATGAAGCACATCTACCTCACCCTCCTAACACTAACATGCACCCTCCTAACCCCCTCCAAATCCCAACCCCAATTCCAACCCTGCACCAAAAACGAAGACTGTAACCTAAACGGCCTCTGCACCTCCAACTCCTGCACCTGCGACCCCGGCTGGACAGGCCCAACCTGCGGCCACCTACACCTATCCCCCAGCACCCCCAACACCGGCTACAACCGGACCTCCGAGGGCATCTCATCCTGGTGCAACAGCATAATCCGAGACCCGCACAACACCACCCTCCACCACCTCTTCGTCTCCGAGTTCACGCACAACTGCGGCCTGGACTACTGGTCGCCATACAGCCGCATTATCCGCGCAGAGTCCAGCACAGGCCCGGAGGGCCCGTATGCCTTCAAGCAGGTCGTTGCGCCTAGCTTTGCGCATAACCCCTCTGTGCTGTGGAGTGCGCGCGAGCAGATGTATCTGCTTTATCATATTGGGTGTGTGAGGGCCGAGTTGCCGGGGGCTTGTGCGGTGGTGGAGTTCGGGTGTGGGGTGGGCAATGGGGTGAATGGGGAGAGCGGGATTGCGGTTTTGGGGTCGCGGGATTTGGTGAGTTGGGTGGATCTTGGGGTGGTTTTTGAGGGGGTGGATGGGGTGGGGTGGGATGCTGATGTTACGAATCCGGCGCCGGTGCATGTTGGGGATGGGGATGGGGATGGGGAGGTGCTTCTTGGGTATCGTGGGTGTCCGTTTGATTGTAATGGGACGGAGCGGATTGGTATTGCGTCTGCGGGTACGTTTGCGGGTCCGTATAGGGCTCGTTCGTGGAGGCCTGTTTTCGAGGAGGCGAGTGAGGATCCTTTTGTTTGGGTTGATAAACGGGGGAACTTTCATATGCTGGTGCATTCGTTGCTTCCTGATGCGGGATTCGGGGATGGGCCTAATGTTGGGCGGCATGCTTACTCGAGGTCTTGGGATGGGCCTTGGGTGTTTGATACTGAGACGGTGGCTTTTGATACGACTGTTCTGTTTACTGATGGGTCCCAGATTGAGTATTATCGGAGGGAGCGGCCGAGTCTTTTCTTTAGTGAGGATGGGGAGATGACTCCTTTGTTTCTTTCTACTGGAGTTCAAGAGGTTAACTCTCCTGCGAGCTACTCTTTGATTCAGCCGATTAGTACGGTTTGAAGATCAATTTGTTATGCTGGGACTTACATGAACTTGTTCTAGTTTGTCTTGGAAGGGGACTTTATAGCAAAATAATAATACCAATGAATAATTTGTAAATGACACACATCCAACAACTAACTACCATCACCTTCACTTCATGCCTTGGTGTTCGTAATTCCTTTCAAAGAAAGAAAGAAAAAGAAAAAAAAAACCATCTGGCCCACTCTGTACAGTATGTACGTCTAAAAGATGACATCCTTAAAGCACACGCCCAGCTGAAGAGCTCGTGCTACGGTCGTTGGTTTTCGTCTTGCGCAAACCTGCACCAGCTTGGATAGATGCAAGGAGAGCAGAGCGGCTGTCACCACCAGCAGCGGGAGGAGCAGGGGGCGGGGGAATACCTGCAGGGGGAGGTGGAGGCGGGACCCCGGGAGCTCCTGCAGGGGGTGGTGGGGGAGGAGGGGCAGCCATAGGGGCACCAGGAGGAGGAGGGGGTGGTGGCGGTGGCGGTGGAGGCGCACCAGTCGGCGGGCCGGGTGAATCAGGAGATGCCACAGGAGCAAATGCTGCAGGGGGAGGAGGGGGAGGAGGAGCAGCGGGACTGTCCTGAGCAGGAGTAGCAGGCTTCTCTTCATCCATGGCACTCAGAGGACGAGGGGGAGCCATGGTACCGAACAAGATGCTAGCAAGCTGCTTGGCACTGCCACCAGTGGGTCGATCATCTTCATCATCAGAAGATTCAGCATCAGAGCCAGCATTAGACCAGTCGTCATCCTCTTCGGGGCGGGCACGGCTCTTGCGTTCCAGAGGGGCGGCACCTGTGAAGGTGGGCTTTGTGTTCTCTTGCTGCTGCTGTTGCTGTTGCTGCGTGAACCGGTGGAAGGGATTAGTCGACTGGGCAGCGGGTGAAGTGGCCTGTGTTGCTTCGGTTTCGGCAGTCTGGCTGAGGGACCTGAAGTAGGGGTTCTTGGACTCGGCATCGGGCGAAGCGGCTGAGAAAGCAGCTTCGGGTGAACTGGCCACGGGGCTAGGGACCTTCTCTGGCTCTGCTAGAGAGAGAGGCTCGGGCTCAGGAACAGAAACAGTCGGAATAGGCGGCGGGGTGCTAAACTGGGGGGTAACACTCTCGGGACCCTCATCATCCGAGGAGCTGTCATCATTTTCCTCAAGTTGACGTTGCAACTCACGTTCACGCTCTCTAGCCATCTCAAGCTCAGCACGCTGGGCTGCAAGTCTGGCCTCTTGGTCTTTGGCCTGGCGAGCGGCCTCTTCCTTGCGGCGTTTCTCCTCCTGCTTCTTGACCTTGCCCTGTCGAACTTGTTCCTCAAGGGCACGCAGTCGAGCCGCTGATGCCTCTTTCTCTTTCTCGAATTCCAATTCACGCTGCCTCGACTCATCTTCAAGGCGTTGGGTTTCAATCTCCTGAGCTTCTTGCTCCTCTTTAATCGCTTGATCACGGGCAGCGTGCTCGGCCTTGCCAGCCTCCTCGGCTTTCTTGGCATCGGCCTGACCAGCACTGTCAGTTCGGGCTCTGCGGGTGGGAGGTGCAGGTGGAGGCTTCTTGCCAGCAGCCTTCGGGGCAGCAGCACTGCTTGGGGCCGGGCCACCACGTTCCTCGGCCAGGCGGCGTTGTCTCTCTTGCTCTCGCTGAGCATCTTCCTCTTCAGCGCGCTTGACACGCTCCTCACGCTCCTTCTTCTCTCTAGCCTGACGTTGTTGGAGTGTTTCGGAAGCATCAGCTGGCTTAAGACCAGCAGCAGCCATACGTTCAGCAATGCGCTTCTGGGCACGTTCTCTGGCAGAAGCTACGCGGTCTTCATGAGTATTTCCCGGGAGTGAGCTTGACGAGCCAGTGGAGGCGGGTATCGAAGGACGAGATACTGGCGAATCAGCTGGTGGCGAAGAATACTTAGAACGCTCCTCCTGTGAAGTTCTCTCGCGACTGCCAAAAAAGAATTGTTAGCTTGGTTGCTTTAATTTGAAAATACGAGGGAGGGCGCTATCATACTCTTCCTTGCGAATGTGCGCAGTGCGACTGTTGCGGCCAAGGTCATAGATAAAGTCGCGGATGATATCCTCAACGCCCAGGGCATCCTCCCAGCGACGTTTCTCGTGCGAGCGTGTAGAGTTATCACCTTCATCACGGAGACTGTCTTCCAGGCTCCGAGCGAAATCGCGAACACTTTCTTCAACATCACGTGTCATGGTGTCGTTGCGCTCTTTCTCGGCATTTGCGTTGGCCCTCTCGGACTCCATCCGGCGAGCAGATTCGCCATTGTCTTCTTCTGTCGTGGGAACAGGGCGTCCCGCCAATTCTGCAGCACGAGCTTGCATACGCGCACGTGCACGTGCCTTGATGCGATCTGCCTCAGTCACGGCACCACCGGGACCAGTGCCCACAATGTTGGAAGCACCGTTGGGGTTAGCCTTGGCTTCTTTGAGACGGAAGAGCTCCAATTTAGCATCGGCAATTTCGCGCTCAACACGGCGCACTTCGGAGGCAGCCTGTGGGACCTGATCCTCAGATGATTGCAATTGGCGACGGAGGGCTCGGCGCTCCGCTCCGCTGTCCAAGTTGCGGAACGAGGCGTTAGGGTGAGTGTCAATGTCGTCCTGCACGCGTCGAATACGATCCATCAGAGATTCTGCCTCACGACGATCCCGACGGTCAAGGGCTTCGTCATCCTCGGCCTTGTTCTCATCCTGGAAATCCACAGCTTCGAGCATCACATTGGTCTCGCGAATCTTCTTTCGCAACTGCTCTACGGAAAGCTCATCTCCTTCAGAGGTGTGGGAAGAGGCAGCAGGCGAAGGGGTACGAGCCTCGTTACCGACACGACGGCGTGCGCTCGAACGGTATCCGGCCGCTGAGTCGTTGTTCTTGAACATGGTAGCATCTTTGCGGTTACCACCAGATTGTCCTCCACCACCGCCACGGAAAGAGTGGTCCTTCAAGTAGCTAACACCGGTCTTCTGCGGCTGCAAAAAGGCGCCAGTGGTCTTTCGAGTCTCCGCATCTTGGGATAAGAGTGATTTCATGGTACCAATGGAATCATTCAAGTGTCTTGTAGAAGGAGGGACAAGCTCTGGTGGGAGACGGCTAGGGACAGGATAACCATTCAAAGCACGGTAAATCAAATGCATTCCGACCGCAAACTCATCCATATTCAGACGGCCACGGTTATGAGGGTCTGCCAGCGTCCAAATACGCTCCAAATCCTTGCGATTCAATCCACTTTGACCCATGATCTCAATGGCTGTCTCGCCACCAATGAAGCCCTTGTGCATTCCATCCCACGCACGGAAGAGGTCGTCGTAAATCTTCTTTTCTTCCTTGGTGATGGCCCAGGCCACGGTAGCATTACCAGAAAGGTTAGACATGTTAAAGCCACCCTCACGCCCTGGTTGAGGCATAAGCTGCTGCTTCATAGCCTCAATATTGGGCAAACCTTGCGCCGGGGTGTTGATGAAGCCCCACTGTCCGGGAATACCAGTAGGCTGAGCGGTCAAACCACCAGTCTGTGCAGGGCTCAAGTTCGATCCATAACCGGTGGGCATGGGTGGCATCGGAGGCCGAGGGCCAGAGTATCCAGTGGCCTGAGGGTTAGTCAGGAAACCAGTCTGTTGCGGCTGAAGGAACTGCGATTGGTTCTGGAAGCCTGTCTGCTGGGGCTGTTGCATGCCAGTCTGCTGAGGGAAGAATCCGGTGGGTTGCGCAGTCAGTTGTGTAAGAAGAGCAGCATTGCTGGGCTGCTGGGGCTGGGGTTGCTGCATGATCGGTGGTGTAGCGGTGTTTTCCATGAGAGGAGCATCGAAATTAGGGGCGTTGGTCCGTGGGGCCGGTGCCGGCTGAGCGTCAGGGACACCAAACGAGATGATATCAACCATGCTAGAAACCTCATTCTTCACTGTTTCGGGAAGCGCAGATGGGACCTCTCGACCAGTCAATCGCAGATTACACAGGTACATAGCCAATGCGAATTCCGGGAAGAACAGCTGGCCTGACTTGGTAGAATCACAAAGGATCCAGATCTTCGACAGATCATTGCCTGAGAGCTTGGATCGCAGCAAAAGATCCCTCACTTTCTCACCCTCCATTGTCTTGCTATCGCCGACGGCTGACTTAAACAGCTGCTCGAACTTGGCTTGGTCCTGAACAGTGATGAAAGAAAGCCGGATACTCGGAATTTTCGATCCGTTCTTGGGTGGAACTTGTGGAGGCTGGCTAGCGACACCAACATCTTGGAAGGAGTTCGCCATCTCGCTCGAGGTCTTGTATCGCGCAGGGAGACCTGTTGCCTGAGAGACCTGCAATTGCGGCGGTTGCGGTTGGGCCTGGGGCTGCTGCTGATTCTGGACTGGGAATGCGGTATATTGAGGCTGTAGGCTTTGTTGCTGAGTCGGCTGAGGCTGCAGATGCTGTTGCTGTTGCTGTGGTTGCTGCCCAGGGAACCCCGTGAACTGAGGCTGAAGCTGCTGTCCCGCGGGGAATCCGGTGGCCTGAGGTTGGAGGTGCGAGCTACCGAATGGCGATGGCTGACCAGCAAAACCGGTCGGCTGCGGAACAACGTACCCTGTTGGCTGGGGTTGCTGCATCGGTGGCTGCTGTTGACCCTGAGGGAATTGCGAGTATGGAGGCTGTTGCTGTTGTTGCATGAATGGTGCCTGGCCTGGGCGGCCACTGGCACCACCGCCGAGGAAGGTATTCGACGATGAGTACATTATAAACACAGCGCTCGCATGGACAAAAGCAGATGCAAAATAACCACAGAGATTGATGGAAAAAAAAGAAACCAAGTGTAGAGAGGGGGCGGATCAGGAGCAACGTAAATGACGCCGTCGCAGGGACGCGGAGGCAACGCTAGCCTGTTTGGGCGCTTAGTCACAGCTTCCCCGTGCACTTGAGCTATAAATACAACCTCAAGCATGCGAGGCGGGGCTCCTAATACTAGGAAGAGCCATGAAATCGTCAATGTTTTGAATCGTTGAGTGTAAGCAATGAGTAATTACTGTGATTACCGAGCACCTACTAGTAAATACCATTCTACCCAAGTCGTTACTTTTAACTTCGGGGAATATATACAACCCGATTACGATTACGATCAGGGTCTGCAGTGGAGATGGAGATAGTGAATGCCAATTGGCCATTGCACTAAAGAGATCATAATAGATACATGGGGAATTTTCGACGAACGATCATCATAACAAAGCCGAGTTCTCGCCGGAACTATGGAACCACACACAAAAAAAGCAAACGGGAAAAACGAATCATCAGACCGAGGGGTCGTGAGATATGGGAACAGGCACGAGCATCAAGACAGAATTCCAGCACCACTTCCCCTACCAGAAAGGCATGGGAGCATCTGTGAAACCATTCTGGTGCCGCTCACACTAAAAATTAAAAAGCAAGCAATCAGAAAACCAAAAATCACTCGGACGTAACATCTACTCCAGGTGAAGGCCGGATGTTGAAGATTTCTAATAACTCTTTACTCGTTAGCCTGCTGCTGGTTGGCAGCCTTGGCCATCTTGGCGAGTTCGAACTCCTTGGTGAACTCGCGGGAAAGTTGACCGAGTTCCCGAATGATGCTGTTGGAGATGGTAATGACCAAATCACGGGGAGTGATCGTACCATCAGTCTGAATACGCAGCTCGAAGTTGGGGGTCAAGGGGTGAGGAACCTGGATACAATGAGCAACACTGGTCATATGAAGTATAGGGAGCAGACATACCCGGGCAGCAGAGAAAAGGACATTGGGGTGCTTCAGGCAGCGAACACTGAGCAAGTTGGCAAGGGTCATGTCTTCCTTGTGGAAAGTGAACACACGGCAGTTTGGAATACCTAAAGCCAAGCCGTTAGAAAACCTTCATTGTTTAAGATGAAGTAAGTGACTCACGAGTGTCTTCCACGGACTCGATCTTCGGCTCATTGGGGGCGAGTAGAATAGCCTCGTAGCTATATTTTGACGTGTCAGTCATTTGTAATTTCATGGGCAAAAAGATGTTGAGTCAGAAAGAGGAAGGCAGAAACACGTCGAGTCAGAACGGGGGACAAGAAATTTGGTGATACAGTCAAGTAGGCTTCGCCAAAATACTGACACATCGGGGCGGTCATCGACAGCCCGAAGAGTCTCGTGGCGAGACACGGGAAGGCGACCACCAGCCCGCGCAATAGCAACGGTAGCTGTGACAAATGGGGGGCTAAAGCCCGTAGGAGGAGGGGGGACGCTCATAACGCGAAAACAGGCACAGAACGAACGAACGACAGTTTTGGGTAATAGAAAAATATTTGGAGGGGAAGAAAACAAGTCAAAGTGAGAGCATAGAAATGTGAGGGGGAGTGCTTCGATGGCACAAGATGATAACAGCCAGGACAACCTATTCAAGTCGGCTTTGAAGCTAGGCTCCTTCACCTTGGACTCTTTGGTACTGTAGACTAGATCAATACAAGTGTCCAGATTGAAAGTCATATCCATGGATTCTTGTGTAGGAACTTGTAGGCTTCATCGAGTAATGGCTTAAAGGGAATGACGAGGCACAGATCGAACAAAAGCCATCCGTCTCAACCAAGAAAAGAGAGGAACATGAAATCAAATGGGCAAAATAGCAGAGCAAAGACTTACCGGTCAGGCGCGTTCATTGTGAAATTTGCAGATTATGAGCTTGGCAGGATATAAAGGCAGATGGGTGCTCGAAAGGAAGACAGAAGGTGAATGAACAAAAGGATGAGGGTTTGAGGGTTGAAGAAGATTCGAGGAAAGAATCAAGAAAACAAATCAAACACTCAAAAATCACACGCAAGTTACGCCAGTAGTGAACGCTTCCAACCGCCAGGTATCGCGAAAATGCGTAGAACAATAGTCAATACTTTCCGAATTTGGACAATTTCGCAGCTCCAAGATTCAATGCCTTCCGAAGTGAGAAAGTGAATATCGATGCAATAAAACACTATTAATCAGCTTATTATGACACCCGTATATCTGGTGTTCAAGTGAATTAATGAAGATGATGGCGTTGAGTGTCTGGACCTGATCGATTTTGATGAAGAGGTGATGTCGTTGATCAAGATCGAAATCGAGATATCAATCATGTGATATTTCGATATCATGTGACTGATGGCTTTTAGTCACGTGGTAATGCTTGACCTGGCTCTTGCTTGCATAAACAAATAATTATTCGGGCGCACGATAAGGTATTTATACAGATTCGTTTTGCTAATAATCGAATCAAATCAGAAGCCATGGAATTCACTGACATTGGAGATAATGGGCAATTGGGTGCGAGTTAATGTTCGTTTTCTCCGAGAATCACCTATGACCTGGATGTTGCGCCCTCGGGTCTCCGCATCTCAAGTGCCGATCTTTTGTAGCAGTGTCCAAGGTTGCGGGGACTACCCACATATGCAAGGATTAATCGGAGAACATTTTTGAAGGAAATTCTTTTGAAGCCAAGTCCAAGCTCTCGAGCTCAGAAGCGCTGTGGTTCCACTTTTCTAAAAATGGCTAAATTCAGGCATGATATGTGACTGCATGACTATATTTTAAGAAAGATATGATGAAGAGATCCCTGGTGATATACAGCAGCACTGTGAGGCTAGGCTATGCTTAAAAGAACCAGGCTCTAGCTCATCTTCGATTTATCTCATCCACCTCTCTGTTCCATCTCACCAACGCCCCGGATTTCTTCTATATATCGCTCACTCGTTCTTTCAACCTTTACGCCCTCTTTGCATCATTATTTGCTAATGCAGAATTGATCCAGACTCTCTACCTAGGCGCCAGACACCAAGCCTCGCCGCAGATATGCATCAATAATAACCCGAAAGAATCCAAGGAGGATCACGAAAATCCGGATATTCTTGCAAGCCAGAGAATATCAGCAACATTGAACGCTGGAGTCATTGGAGAAGCTGAAAACGTCATAGTTTCTCCCAGTGCTAGCTAGCATCTTACCGACAAGGAAGACCGCCGTCTGCCGGGGTATCATGAGCGCGGATCGAGCCTCGCCTGATTTGATCACTGGAAATGTGTGCGACGCATGGGGGCTTCAAATCTCGACCGTGGTCTGATGGATATCGCAAGTACACGCAGGAAGCTGGTCACCGGGAGCGTCAGGAGAATGCTCAAAGGAAGTTGGGAGGGCGTGGTAGGACTAATGGCAGTTTTTGTTTACCAGGGCCAAATATTGGTGCAATTTTCTCTTGCCTGGGAGTCCACTGCAAGTTACCTCGTTCTGTCCTTGGGCCCGGGCTTGGGGCGCTATTTCCAAGTGCTAGGATTGAACCTTTGCTCTGAGTTCTCGGTGGAGTTCGTGATATCGTTTTCGAAAATTACAGATGAAAGCACCCGGACGAGTATGGAACTTTGGAAGAATGCCATGATAAAGATCGGTGTTTAGAGATGAAATTAATCGAGTAGACTATCTATGCCCGAGGATGAGAAGGTGAGAAAGCACATGCAGCGGACCTGATCCAAAAAAAAAGAGACAAGATGTTCAAACATAACGCCATTCCTTCCATGCGCCAATGCCAAAAAGAAACATAGAGCATATGTATTCATACTTTCAAATAACCGCTTTCTTGTGGATGATGACGGTAATACAGAGAGGGAAAAAGCCCGAACCAGAGAGCGGAGACATAGCCCCAATAGACACATGAATCAGATGGAAAAAAAGGAAAACGAAAAGACAAAAAAAAAAATTTGAAACACAGCGGCTGAAAGGCTTGTATCGATGTATGTGCGTGGTCTTCGTGTCATGGGGATGCAGCATAGAAAATTAAAAGGTGAAAGGTGAAAACAAGAATGAAGGAACGACAAGGAAGAAAAGATTTCTATACTTTGCGGCGCTGACAAGGTATCCGCAGAGATGCATGCTTTTGAAAAGTCGAAGTGGGAAGATCATCCACTTAATTAATGCACAACACTGAGCAGATCTCCAAAGGAAGAAGTACCTCGCTTCAACTTCCAGTTGCTCTTCTTCTTCTCTCGCTTCTTCACCATATCGGCCCAAGCCTCATCGTCGTCTTCATCGTCTGATGCATTCTGCATCTTTCGCATGCCGGGACCGGCTTGACTGGCCTGTGAGACGGGTCGTACAGTCACCGTGGCAATTGAGGATGATTTCGGATTGCTGCCCGGGGACTGGGACATGGGAATGTTCGAGTTCGGGCGATTTTCATCATTCCAGGACTTGTGTAGCGGCGAGGCATGGTGGTTGAGGTCAGCCGGAAGGGCAGAGACTGGGCGATATCGAGATGATAGTCCTGCATTGCTGCGCTCAGAGGGAGCGATTGATGGTGCGTAGCCTGGGGAATTATTTTGGAAAGGCTGACCGGACAGATTAGGCATCGGGGAACCGGTTCGGCGCGTGGAAATGTTGGGGTCAATCATGCTCAAAGTACGCGGGTCGTAATTGTTGGGGGTTTGAGGCACGAAGCCGGGCATGGAGGCTGGTCTCATCATGTTGGAGTGACTAGAGACGGAAGGAGGACCTCCCATCATAGGACCAGCCATAGACGGAGGGCCCATGGGAGCTCCTGGCATAGGCCCGCCGCCCATCATGGGTGGTGTTGACATACCACCGTGCATCATTGGCGGCGGAGTACCCTGCATACCCTGCATGCTCATCATCTGCTGCATCCACTCCATCTGCATCTGCATCATGTTGGACATCTGGGCCGATAGCTGAGCCTGTGCCTGCTCTGATGGAGACATTTGTTGAGCTGCTCCCATCATGGAGTATGGCCGGGGCACACCTCCCATATCGTACATCGCCTGAGTGTTAGGGCTACCTCTTCTCATAGCGCGTGCCTGTTCCTCCTGCGCAATCACTCCAATAAGACCTCCATGAGGCACTGGTGGTGTTACAGCAGGACCACCGTATACTGAGCCACCACCCATAGCCAGAGACTCTCGGTTGGTCGAATTGACAAGACTAGCACCGAAGTAGGGGTCCTGTGGGAGGTTTCTAGCGAAAACAGGCAAGCTGCCCCGTTGTTGCTCGGCACCAACGAGAGAACTGGTGGAGGATGCATACGGATTCATAGAAGCTCGAAGATTCGGGTTAGAGCTAACATTGGCGAGGCGAGTCGGCGGGCGGTTGCGATTGGGAAATCCATGGGCTGCAAGAATGCCCAACGGGACATCATCGTCCTCACCCTCGCCGCTTTTCCCACTCGAAGACTTGTCACCCGAGCTGGCCAGGTAGACGGGAAGGTTGGGTGTGCTGCTGCTACCACCACTCATCGCCGGGCGAAGTGACGGCGAGGGGGCCTGCTGACCAGTCACTTTCATCATCTGCTGGCGATATACAGATAAATGAGCCTCTTGCTTCCGTCGCTGTTTTTCGGCCTCACGCTGCTTTTCAGCCTCATCTTGTTCATCAAAATCGTCATGGTCTGATTCATCCTCGCTCTTGGAGGCATCGCTGTTCGAACGTCGAAGTTCTTGTTGCTGGCGATAATGCTCAAATTGGGATGGAGTCATCACCTTGTTACCCGGAGACACCGTTCGTGGCATATTTTCGGCGAATTGAACAGCAAGCCGGGCATTTCGCGCGGTAGATGCGTCCATGTGACTAGTCGAAGCAGGCGATTGCAGATCTGAGAACATCGATGGTGGCTCTGGGCTCAAGGGTGTAGGGCTGGTCTTGAGAAGCGGGGTGCTATTGGACGGAGACATGCCCCCCATCCGCGCCGGGGGAGAACTGCTGCTGTCCTTGCTCCACGCGAGAGAACTTCTAACCATAGCAGCATCTTCGTCGTCAATGGTGTTCGAATCTCGGTCGCCGTAGTAAATTATGCTTCGTCGCAATCCCATGTCCGACTGTCTTTTGGGCCGATCTAAAGACCGGTGAGAAGTGGTAGCACTAGACAGTTGGTTAGGACCTGGGGATTGTTGACGGAACCCAGTAACTGTCTCGGGGGTAGATTGGGCGGGCGAAAATCTGTTGCCTCGGGCCTCCTCGGGGTCATTGAGCAAACCCTCCGCCGAGTGGTGGCTATTCCATGACTGAGGGGGAGGCTCAACCTGTGCTGATCGATCCGTGTCAATTGGTGGAGGCCGCGCAGCACGACCTGTATTGTAAAATTCCGCCAAAGCTTGCGTCGGTGGCGTTGACGATAACTATATAACCCGTTAGCCTGGACCCCTTGCATTTCACACGTATCATAGTGGCATACATGATTGGCCCGCTGAGGGGAGGGGTCTCTCATCATTACACTCTCTCGCTTTCCTAAATGATCAAACATTTTTCCAAAATCATCACCTCCCAAGTTAAAGTCCTCGTCGGCAAGCTTCGGTGGGGTGGCCGTTTCATCCGTAGTGCCGCTCACAGCTCGTTGCCTTTTGGATTGGTCTGGTGTAACGTTTCGTGGGGGAGCTGGTGAAGCAGATTTATTGAATCGTCCGCCAAAGGAAAAGGTCCTGCCTGCCGCAGCACGTATACCCCCAGAGAGCGGGGGTGGAACGGGGATATCATGAATTCGGGAATGCGGGGGAGGGGTCTTCGGGCGACGCAATCTCGGTGGAGGAAGGTTGGGTGGATGAGGAACTGAGTCGGGTGGACGTAGAACTCTCGTAGTTTGTCGCACCACTGGTTCGGTGTTTAGTAAGTCGTATCCTGAGGGAATCCAAGGTCCGGGTGCGATCATACCGATTCTTGCCCAATGGTTGCTCTGTGCCCGCGAAAATGTTGTCGGAGTCTTCCATGGCGGAAACCGCATTCCCCTCGCTCATCCGCTTGGTGAGGGGCGCACCGTCTGTCATGGATCGCTGGGGACTTGGACGTTCAAAGACCCGAAAGGACGATTGCGGTTGGTTCTCCACGTCCTCTAGAACGTTGCCAGATGACTTTCGCCGAGCAAAGCTCTTCGGTAGCTTGATAGGCATCGGGTTTGGTTTAGGAATCAGAGCCGGCTATGAGTATTGATTACCACCTTTGATCGCGAGTTCACTCCCATCAAGGTACCGTGGTTCTAGGGTGAGATTGCCTTTTCGAAGGTTGACGTGTCAAATTTGGCAAATGGAAACGACCAGTCACAGAAAAATTATAAGGAGAGGAGTGTTTTTTTTTTCACGATCGACGGTTGCAAGGGGAGAAATTGATCCACGGATCAATTAGTCGATCAGGGGACTGTGAAAGAATGGGGGAACGAGTCAGTTGATGGAGAAGCTTCTGGTACGGAGATAACAAGCGACGCGAGCCACAGGCTTCTCTAGCGGCTAATCACGACCCGGCAAGAATCCACCATGTGGGTTGACACTTTCGATCCTTTGTCCAATCCACAGTATAATACGTTGAGGTTGGACCTTTTCACGTCCCGATGGAGGCGGGTGGAGCCGATGCTGATAAAATTTGCAGCACTAGGGGGGGGAGTTGGGAAGACTGGGTTTCGAAAAAAAAAAAAATAGGAAGAGGAGAGAGAAGAAAAAGGGCAACCCACCAGGCTGAGACTTCAGGTAATATGGGAAGTTTCTCTTCGCCGAGAGATTGACTCTTAGACGCACCCCAGCGAGTCAGATCTGGAGAGTAAAGTGGGGAGTGGAGTAAAAGAGGTGAAATGTCGGGTAGGACCCTGGAGGATCACCGAAGGCCGAAAGAATGAAAGAAAAACCACCACGGGGCAAGGGGATACCAGACAATTAGGGGAGAAATCAAAGTGAAAAGAGGAGAAGGGGAAAAAAAAGTGCTAGAGCAGTTTGAAGGCTTAACCGGAGTCTAGTCCCTGCATTATTGTCTTTCCGTGGCTGGGCCGAGACGAGACGCATGTACGCTAAGGTGCAGGCAATGTATAGGTATAAAGGACGAATTGGGCGAATAGAAAATGAGGCGAATCAGACCAGATCCGATCCAGCATAGATAAATAGAGGTCTTCAGCTCAGGTTACGTGGAATCAAAGCGCTAGAATCAAATATGATTTTTTTTAAAAAAAATTGACTAAATAATGGCATTCGTTCATTTGACGCCCAAAGTGAAACCTCCTTACTATCTATAGTAAGCGGGACACTAAGAAGAAAAAAAGCCGCTAAAAATAAACAACCGATGGCAATTACCAATCCCGTACAGTTACTATATACACGTTCCATGGTTGATAGGGTTCCACGACTCCCAAACAAATAACCAAGAATGCGAAATGCATTTTTTTTTTAGTAAGGAATGTTGTGGCTTGAAATTTACCATTGCGAAGAAAGAAAAAACCCTCCAGGTCAAATAATTCTTGAGAAACTCATCGACTTGACATTTAGACGATCTACTATATTTCGTCATTTCAAATCCCGAGCGCCATCAGAAGATCAATATGATACAATTCTGACGGTGCAACTCACAAATTTGGATTAATCTACAGCTCCACTTTTAGGTAATATTGTAATTGAATTACAGCCTCGAAACGAGTTCGTCCGCTCTGATCCACCTTAATCACGTGAGATCGACAAGCTGGAGAGTTTCGGCTGTACTCTGTACTGTATTCAGGTATTGTATTAGGAATGTGCTGGGTCGGCTGATGATCCCCTATCGTACAACAACCTTCCAAGGTTAAAACTCCACCGTCACACAAAGACTCGAATTAGATGTTCTACGGATTTGATGGAAAAGTCAATCGGAACAAGTGGAAACAACAAAGAGTTGAATGGATATACACAGCATTGTCAAATGTCCGCCGTCTTTACCACAATCTCCCTAACAAAACACCTTTCCCGCCCCCCCCTGATCGCCTCCCAAGAGTCAATCCCATAGACAATACATATCCTACAGATTCTTCTCCCAAAAGATATAAAAAAATTTCACAAAAAATTCACAACTCACGTTTCATACCCGGACAGGGGTGAGAGGGAAACTTATTTGGCAAAGTGGAGATCATAGTTCAGCCACTTGCGGGCGTTAACGCCGGCGACATCCAGGCCAGGGGTACCATAGGTCAAAGGCGCATAGAAGATGAAGCCACCGATGGTGGCCCCCAGAATCACAATGGTCGCAGCCCATGCGGCAAGCACCGAGTTAAGGCCCATGCGCTCCTTGGCCGTCACGAAGCGGCGGACGCTGCGGCTGACCCGGGTACCCTTAGCCTTACCGGAAGGATCATCCACAGGGGGTGCGGCAGTGGCGGGATCGAGCGGGGACACGTTGAAGATAAATTCAACTAGTGCTCCAGTCACCATGGTCGAGGCCAGGTGAGACGGCAGGTAGTGGTGAAGGAAACGCTGGCGACCCATCAGCCAGAAGGGGAAATAGTGAGCAGCCCAGCATAGGAACAGGAATCCAGTGCTGTTGTACAGACGGGAACGGGTGCCAGGACCCCAAACTATAAAACAGAGAAGAAGAATAAAACGTTAGTCATCGCCGATACTTGGGGAGTACAAGGGCTGAAGGCGGCAAGAGAAAAGGAATAAATTTGACTCACTTTCTTCCAATGCATCAATACCACGGCGAAGCGAAAGCTGGTCAGCTCCGACAATGCCGGCAAAGACAGCCAGCAAACTACTAGCAATCCACCATCCGATGGGGTTACCCAAGAAGTAGATTTGGCCTCGAGTCTCATTCTTAGTCCAGAAGCTCACACCACGCAGCAGGAAAGGCCACTGGAAGGGCTCCGTAGCATAAGGGTGGCTGCTAGTCAGTGCATTGTTGTGGTGGAACATGGCACCCTGCAACTCAAAGTACTTGCGCAGGAAGGAGAGCGATTTGGGCTGGCGTTCTTCCTTCTCCAAACGCGGGCTACCCTCCTCAATGCCATCAATCGTCTCAGCAAACCAGAGGTTGCTGGACTGCAGAATGTTCTTGTTTCCGTTGATCTCGGCCTGCTTGTATCCCCACTCGGGAAGAGGAGTGGTGTGGGTCCACATGGCCACACGAGTCGGAACGTGGATGAGCTTGATCAAGCTTGAGAATGTGCGGAATTCCTGGAAGGGCTTTCCATTCTCAATCTTAATCTCAAACAGAGTATCGTTGTGACGTTCGCTATCGGCCAATTCCTTTGAAACAGTGGTAAACTCCTGGTTGGTAGGGAAGAAAGGAGATGCAACATCGTGGGTCAAAAGGAACGAGTCGGTGACAACGTGGCGGAGCTGAATGACATCTCCATTCCGCACGCTCTTGGGCTTGCTGTCAGTGAGCGGGACGGTCGGCAGAATCTGCCACAAGTTGTTGGTGTCGTTGTGAGGGTAGCCAGTAACCTGCTGGCCTTGGCTGGAGATGCGACCATCGTCATAACGAAGGGGATACTTATCCCAGTGGCTGTGAAGGAGGACCTTGGTGTCCTTGTGGCGGATGCTAATGGAGTCGAAGTATTCAATTCCAACGGACTGGGCAGTCATCGCATTGTCACTGAGGGTCTCCTGGAACTCGGGGGACATGAACTCATCGCCAGGGCCGGACCGGTTAAGAATGGTGAAGTGGACCTGGAACCAGAACAGGTAGAAGAAGAAGGGAATGACAACCAAAGCCACTCCACGAGCCATGACATGCTTGATCCAGGTGATCATATCAAGAGCACCATCGCGTCGGTTGATATCCAAAAGATTCCACAGATCGATTGCGACTGCTGAACCAATGGTGACGAAAGTGAAAACGCCAACATACTTGGTCGAGATGACACAGCTCATGCAGAATCCAGTCAGGAGCAACCACTTCCACCATTTGCGACCAAATGGCTGGTGGCGCAACTTGTAGAACCGGACATAGCACAAGATGCTGAGCGCCATGGTGATGACCAAAGTGGAATCCAAGAGGATCAAGCGGTCCTCACCCACATGGGCGTTATCGAACACCATGAGACCAGCAGCCAGAACACAAGCCGGCAACGAGTAACCCGATTCCCACATGATCAAAAACACCACGGGGATTGTCAAGGCACCAAGGGTTGCCGGCATGGCACGAAGAGACAAGTAAGGAACATTGTTTTCGATGTACGAGTCGCCGATGTTTTCGAACAAGAACTGGCCGTCAAATCCAACCAACCATCCCATAAAAGCAAACAGTAGTTTTCCAAAGGGCGGGTGAACGTCGAAGAAATAGGTGCGTTGCAGGTAATACGAGGCAAACTAGCAGGAAATAACAAGTCAGACAAGGGTTCCCCTTTTTCATCGTTTTTCTTCTTCTTGCTTTTGACCAGCAAGAAGAAAAAAAATCCTAAAGCTGCAGATGCCATACCTTTCCAAAGTGAACTTCATCAAAGACAACCTCATTGGGGTAATCGATGCGCCAGAAGCGGGTTGCAAATGCCAAAAGGGTCAGAATGGAAATGGCCAGCCAATAGTCCCATTCCGACTTGGGCTTGCTGGGAGCTGCCACTGCCCTCAATGAGCCATCATTGGATGGCAGAGCAGTATAAGCCTCCTTCTTCCCACCTCTCTTGCGCAGAGAGGGAGAAGGGGAAGACATGATGAAAGAAAAAGAAAAAAGAGAGCGACCGTGAAACTACCTATGGTAAATAGACTTGCAAAAACACAGTTTGGTCAGCAGTAGCTCATAGAGTGCCGGAACTTCTTTCCAAGACAGCGCAGAGGTGAGAATGAAATGCTTACCAGGACCACCAAAGGGCATTACACCCGGATAAAAGACCAAGGAAAGCTGGAGAAAGGGTAAGGTTAGGGGAGGGGCCGGATTGGGGATTGCGTGTCTTCTTTGGTTTCGGGTACAGAACAAGGCGGTGGGCCCCGGAATTAAGTCCTTTGATTTTCCCCAAAGGGTCCAGTTGGTCCACGGACTCTATTGCTAAAACACGGATTCTCGAACGAGGAACAGGAACGCTTCCAGTACATCCCTGCTAGAAAAGTTCTTTCTCACGTGGGTCTTGCCATTCTCACAAAGAAAGTAGACAGAGACCCTGACTTTGGGTCAATAGCGCAAGCTTTCCTAGTAGGTACAGTCCTTGCAGGGGGCTTTAACCAAGAACAAAGATTATCAGTTTTACGAGTACAATATCAAATGGGCTCTCAATTCCAATCCAAATTGATTTGATTCATATCCTACTCCGTACAGAAGACTAGCATTTAAACAACATTTGAAGGTGTATGTGTTTACTTACTGATCGTCATGTAACCTTGGACCTCGGGACCCACATGTACAGCTAAAACGGTCCAGGAGACCAAATCGGGTTTGGCGCACAACCATATTGTAGATGCATATAGTAACAATAGTATGCATGTGCCTCGATTTACATGCCAATCGCATCGTCTTCCAAGGAATGTTCAAATTATTCATTCCTCAGATTGCTCGATTCTCGACTCTTCAAATGTTTCTGTCCCAACATTGAAGTACTGGAGGCTGCGGTCGACCCCGCGTTCGGTGGTGGAAATTCTGCATCTACTAGTACGTATATGCCATAGGATACATATCTTGTTTCATTTGATTCCAAGCTTGGATTATTTTTATTATCTAGATCGCCCAAAGGGACCTTTGAAAGAAAGAGAAAGCAAAAGCAAGAAAGCAAATGGAGAAAAACAAACTTCCACGATTGAAAACAACATGCAACTGAAATGCTCCCCAACCAAAATGCATGCACATGTGTATATGAATGATTCTTTGCAAATAATGACGCCTTAAAAACGACTCGCATGACTCGTGGGTATCAGCCAACAAAATCGACATAGAAAACTTAATTGTCAAGATCAGTCAGATCCAGCAATTCCAACTCCATATCTACCATCGCCTTGAACTCAGCACGGCTCACACCGGTCGCTTGAGCCAAACGGAACAAGCTCTTGATGCTAGTGCCAATGTGCTGCTTGACGCCAACATCATAGCTACTGTGGCTAGCAGCCTCCAGCTCCAACTTCGCAACGGTATCCGAGTGGCTCGAAGAGATAGACCCAGATGCAGGTCTCGGGTGGCTGAGTGATCTGCCGGCACGATCAGTCGGCATATCCTCAACCGCGTATCCGTTTGTGCGGGCCCGCTCGTCAGCGTCCAGCCCGTTCTGCCGCCGCATGAGGTTCGCAATCATATCTCCGTTCAAAGAGGTCGGGCCAAGTCCTGCTTGTTCTTCTTCGGGGTCGTGACTATCCAAAGCTGGCTGGACATCGCCGTACTGGGAGAAATACGATGCCTCCGACAGACCGGATGGTGGGAGGTTAGATGAGCCACCAGGAGCGGGGGTCTTGGGCCCCGGGGTGCGATTAGGAGTGGAATCGTATTGAGCCCAGTAATCGGCATCGTCGTCCTCTTCTTCGTCCTGCTGCTCGTTCTGGCGGGATGTTTGTGCCTCCACGGGGGAGTCCAGGATATTGGAGTAGAGTCTTTCTTTGGCTTGGACGTTGGCCTCACCGATCGAGGAGGCCCAGGTATTTTCATCGGCTGCGGGGCCTTCGTGGGGGAGCAGTTCTGCCATTCTCCAGCCCCGACCGCCGCCCTCTGTGTCTGTAGGGCACCAAAGGTAAATCACAGCCAAGTTGTAATCAGGCAATAAGCATTGTGCACGTAGTGTTTCGTCGTCAATACGTTTGTATGTCACGGGCATTTCATCGGGGAGTTCAATCTCGCCGGAGACGGGGTGGGGTTCGAACTTTGCGCCGTCCACAACGGTCTGCAGGCGCTCTGCTTTGTCGGCGTCCCAGCATAGTAATCGGAGCCATGATTCGTTGGGGGAGGAGGATACGTCGCTCAGGATTTTGACACGCTGGCGGAGGACCGGGGAGAGGAGGGGGAGGAGAGCTGGTGGCGGACGTGGGGAAACGAAGGCTGTGGGGAGACAGGCGAGAAGAGGAGGGAGCAAAGTACGAGACTCTGGAGGGTTGATGAGTTCAACCATGGTGATTTGGGTATTTAGATATTAGAGGAGTATGTATAGAGTAGGGATGTGTGAGAAAAAGAGAAGAAAAAAAAAGAAAGCACGGAGCGAAGAAGAAGAACCATGTATCCGAGAGCTGTAAGTGGAGGTGTGGCTCCATTCGCCCGAACAAAACAGACGTGGGGCAAACGGAGCAGATAAAAACGGGGGGCCGCAAAGCCAGCCTTGGAAGCTTACTGGTCTATTGTTTCCTCAGGGGCCAAACACCAATCGGACCCTGTCATCTTGACAAAAGAAGTAAGAAATCAGTCATGGGACATTCTTTATCGTGAACGTTTTGCTATTTTTGTCATTCTTTATAAGATCGCCCCCAAGGATCTCTCTGGCATTACTTTTATAGGTAGTATACCGTATCGTGGTCATCATGCAGTAGTTTTGTTACACACCTACTTGGGTTGGTGCTAGGGGATATAACCAATCAATTATCATGGGAAATCCGAACTGGGGAACTTTATAGGATATCCCCGCCGGCTATTGTCTACTCCGGAAATAAGCATAATCTTTTACTTTTCTTGTAAATAAAGGGGGTGGGCCAAGACAAATCATCGTACATTCTGATTTTGGACATAGACCCCAATATTTGGTGGTTTAAAATGTCTCTGTTATTTTAATCCAGGTGTATCTACAATGTGGTTCATTCTTGACATCAATTGATTTGTAGCTGATATTCGGAAAAGCCGTAGCGATCCTTTGTTTATCATCGATTTAAGATGATTTGGGTCTTTTTCACCCCGCAAAGGTGGAACAAATGCCCAATGCAAAGGAAATTGAACTAAAAAGCAATAACCGACCACTTAGTCACAGCCAGGGGAGGTCAGATGATCTGGACTAAATGGCAGGAAAGGGATCTAAAGTTTTGGAAGTGGAGAGCCTCATAGTATATGGAGACTGTGGCATATTCTGTGGGCCATTGGTATTCTTACTGCCACTATTCGATCCAAAATGCTAAAGTATTGATATTGTGTCAAACTAGCAACTTTTGATTGGCAGTAGATTTTAACAAGGGCAGTTATCACGCAATGCATTCGCTTATCACATATCACTCCAGGGCCTCTGCTTCATTCGGCTAGATCCTTATCCCGGTCCGACGTGCTTATGCAGAGAGTCCTTTCGGCGCCACATGACTTCGGTATTAAAAGAAAACATCAGCAAAAAAGCAAAAAATCTACAATCCCCTCGATCAATGTCTCGAGCTCACACTTCAATGTGACGAACGAAGAATACGAATCACGATAACACCCATAGATTTTCCTTGGCCAGCGGTGACAAGAAACCCCCGACGCCAGATTTCATGGCGACTCCAAGCTTGAAAAACAAACCCCTCCAAACAGTCTCTGACCAGGAACCCCTCCGTGGAAATGACAACGAAGGACAAGAATACGAAGAGCTCGCCCTGGAGGCAAAAGTCCGGTGGAAAGTCGATTTACGTCTATGTAGCATTGCCAGTCTGCTGTGTAGCCTGAATCTCTTAGATTCGGGCATTTTATCCTCGGCGGCAGTAACAACAATGCTAAGCGATCTCCAATTAAACCAGGGTTCCCGGTACTCGGTGTCCATATTCATCTTCACCATTGCCAGCGTCGCCTTCCAGCTACCCTGCACGATAGCCGTGCGCTTCGTCGGTCCCCGAGTCTGGTTCGCGACCATCACATTCATCTTCGGACTACTGACACTGTGTACCGCCTTTATTCATACCTGGCACGAGATGATCGCCCTGCGTATCCTACTGGGCATCGCCATGTCCGGCATCTATCCCGGCCTAACTTATCTCATTAGCGCCTGGTATCCGCGGCGCGAGCAACAGCTCCGATTCGCCTTCTTGCAGTCTGGAGAAGTCATAGGACTGGCCACGGGCAATATTGTCAATTTCGGTCTCAACCACTTGGATGGTAAAGCCGGTTTGGCTGGCTGGCGCTGGATGTATCTGGTCCAGGGGCTGGTTGCCTGTGTGCTAGGTATAGCCACGTACTGGTGGATGGTGGATTTTCCCGAAAATTCCGCGCGGAGCTTTCGCTTTTTGTCGGAGCGGGAGGCGCATGTCGCGGCGCAAAGAATCCAGGATGATCGAGCTGATTTGGTTCCTGAACCGTTTTCGTGGGGCGCCGTGCTTGGGAATTTCAAGGATGTCAAGATCTATGGCTTTGCTTGCATGTTCTTTCTTCTCAACTTGGTTTCGACTGCTCTTTCATACTTTCTTCCTATCATTCTGGAAACGGGCATGGGCTTTAGCTCTGACAAGTCGATTCTGCTCTCCACACCGGTAAGATTTTTACCTTTGATATCTTCTTGACTGGTGCTGACTACGCAATCGTTAGCCATACTACTATGCTGTGATACCGGTGCTGCTCACATCATTGGCGGGTGACTTCTATCGCAAGCGTGGACCGTTCATCGTATTCAATGCTCTTTGCTTGATAGTGGGCTTCTTGATGCTTGGGCTACCCCAATCGACTCAAGTCACCGTGCGCTACATTGGCATCTTTCTAGCCACGGGGGCATATATCTCGAATTGGGCTGCGCTCAATGCTTTCCAGGCAAACAACGTTGCCGGCCAGTGGAAACGTGCAACTACATCAGCTGCTGTCACTGCCTTCAATGGATTGGGCGGGGTTGCAGGTAGCTATATTGTGCGGTCACAGGAGGCTCCGAAGTACCAGACAGCAGTGTGGGTGTCTATCGGGTGAGTTTCAAATTTAACTGAAGTGTCTTGATGATGTCAACTGATCATTTCATTAGATCTCATATAATTATGATTCTGCTGGTTGCGGCGTTTACCATTTACTTCCATGTTGCGAATCGGCAACAGGCTAAGGGGTTGAGATTAATCGAGGGCGTGGTGAGTCTTAAGGCTTCAAATGAAAATACGCACCAAAACAATCAGTCTATTGCTAATCAAATATTCATAGCCTGGTTTCAGATACACCTATTAAAAAGCCTCTTAATTCATAAAGGAGGAGACCTCGATATCTGCAACTTCGCGATTATATTCTTAAAAAATACCTTACGATTGATGACACGCAGATGCATTTTCGATGAGCTAGAGAAGCTATTGACCAGATGCAACCCGACTGACATCTGGATGGACTAACGCGAGAATTTATAGATAGAGTCAAATGTTTAGTATACATCAACTCCAATTTTATATATAAAGTTTGCTCATGATTCAAATGAATTTTCTTATCAATATTTATATTCAAGGCAGGCACTATGTACTATCAATGACTGGTCTTTTGCTTGGCTTCAATGTTCGAACATTTGAAGGATTCAAAATGTTAGGTGCAATTGATTGAATGTAAGTGCTATATACTAGGTAGGACGTAGTACTTTGTCTTGAGTACTTCAATGTTGCAGTGGGTGTACGCCCGGTCCTGGAGATAATTAGCTTCCTACTCAGTACGTGGAGAAGAGTATCTATTCACTGCTCAATATTAATACCTGTCTAGTATATATAGTAAAAGAAGCTGGATGGTACTATGCAATACGAAGGGAGAGATAATACTTAAATAGAGAGATACTTATGAAAAGGAACCACCTGGTCTAAATCATGATTTTCAAAAATCATCATCCTCTTAAGGTGCCAAAAAAGCACACCAGTAGTAAAGGGAGGACATGTATGCACAAGTATTGGCATTGTCTTGTATGTAAGGCACTGGAGTATTCTTCATACAGGCGGCGTGTTTTGACATTGGCAGAAACCAATCTTCCCCTCTTTTCTTCTCTGCTTTCTTCTTTTGCCCCTCTTTTCCCCCTCTTTGACCAATCAATCTTCATCATAATTTGTCCGTCTCTGTATCTTCGACTGTAATCTCGTTACGGTCAACTTTCCAACAAACGATAACAGGTTCATCTTCTCTCGGCATTAGGTCTGTGTTTCTCTGTAGTCACCACTTTCAATGTTACTTCTTCTATCCCTATACACATTTTTTTTTCTGTCTTCCTTTCTCTCTCTGCGGCTTTCTTACACTATGAATACATCCCCTTTCATCCCCTTTGCCTAGCTATGAGCCCTACCAACTAACTAGTCATCACCTGCCGGCTTACCATTTACCAGATATCAGTCTAGTCCCCATCCGTACGGACCGTACCTGACCTACCCACAATGGAAGAAGTCATTGACCTCAAAGCCGAAGCATCGGACCCTCAGATTGTCCAGAAAATACTTGAGGAGGAGGTATCCAGCTGGCTTGAAGATCTCGAGGAAGGGGACCTCTATTCAAAGAAACACTCTCGACGGAAAGAAATTGAAACAGAAGAACAACGCGACGCACTCGACGCAACGACCAGGGGCATTTGGAACTCACTGAAACTGCTATGCTCGCAAACCGACATCCAGGCTCTTGAACTACACTACTTTGATACCAAACAGAAACAGGACGCTTTGAAGCTGGCTATTGAAGATGAACTGGTGACTGAAACCTTTTTATGCACACTCATCCGTCAGAAATGGCCCTTGTGTCTAGATGCCAAGCGAAAGAAAATCAAAAGACAACAGAGATCTAAGAAGGAGCCCTCGGAGCCACAGTGAACCTGCAAGGCTGGGTTTGGGTTAGATGGCAATACTAAACGGAGAGCAAGCTTACCATGTCGAAAGAACTGAGGCATGTTTCAGAGACACTGCAGATGACAGTACTAGTACTTGAGAGTTAAGTATTTGCTACATCAAGCCTGCTTTGGTACCTGGTCATTCTTTATTCTTTGGAAATTGGTACTTTTATTAGCTACTTCTCTTATGCGACTCAAGACACCTTCCAAGGGTTTCTCATTATCTGCCTACTATTACGTTCCAGCCATTTGATACGATTACAGAAAAATTCAAAACAGGGGCCAGTGTTTTATCATTAGATCATGGAATTTCTATTCAAAAAATCTATTATAAAACAAAACCTTCCACTTTTATTCAAGAAACTTTTGTTAAACTTTTGCTCCTCCGGCTGTAATATGCACTTCATAAGAAACCCAAGGATGATGTCGTGGACCCTCGTCTTCATCCCCAAGGATCCAGGACCGCTGGTCCTCCAATTCCGCCAAAGAAGAAGGCCGACTGCTCCAACTCACTTCGCGCTGGATATAGTTTCCATCAGATATAAGATGGTCGATGCTTTTTGCTTCTACTTGGATGGCATGCGTGTACCATTGCTCGTGATGTGGGTGCTTTGTGCCACGCGATAGATAGCGGCGGAGTTTTGCAAAGAAGGCTCGAGGTATGAGTTGGGTTACTAGAGGCCAGATGCTGACTAGACATGTAGCGATGACGATGATGGCGCTTTCGATCATTGAGAGAATGCCCAGTTCGATAGAGAACCCTGTGTAAACGGCATGTTAGCATGGTGTTCAAATAGCTTTTTTGAAGCAAGCAGTATCTATGGCTGAAGCCGGATTCGTAACTGACAGGTCCTATCGTTTAACTCGGTCCTTGTGTTTGTGAAGTAGACTGCCATTCGGAGGACGCTGATCACGGTCCCGCTTTTGTTGGATTCATGTCAGCATATGCGGGGTCTTGCAGAAAGAGTCGAATTCGAGGGTGTCCTTACAGTCCGGATAGCAAGAAAACACCAGTCAATGCTAGTTTTTGCCCTGTTCGGGCGTGGAGGCTCCAAACGAAGGGAATGGGTAGCACCAGGATCATCAGTCCGGTTAGTACATTGATGGGAGAAATGGCGCGGTAGAATGTTGTTTGATTGAGGCATGTTCCGTGGATATTAGGATTCCATCCTGATGCGATGGGAGAACATTGGAATATGGTTTCGAATAACACCGTGATTCCCAGTCCTAGGATCAGGAACCCGATGCTGTATGGGATGATCTGGAACTTGCGCGTGTAGAAGATTCGCATGTAGAAAAGCCGTACAAAGAAGAGTAACAGCGCCAGCTTGGCGGGGGTCACTGTGAAAGGGAAGTCAAGAATTTCCAAAACGAAGAATCCCTATTTCGGTGTTAATATTCGTCTTGATATAGGATGCACTCGATAACATTTGAATGTAGAGGTTCAATAGTTACCTTTCTAAGTAAAGATGTGTTCTGTTGGGAGTAGACAATATCGTCAAGATGATGCCCCAGTCCTGCTACTTCTACCACTATACAATGTAAGCCTCTGTAGGTTTGGAATGTAGGCTACTTTTCATGACTTACAGACAATATAGACAATCGCTTTAGCAATACTTCCAGTCTGGAACGATCGGGAGCGTTAGCATGAGGCATATACACACGTGCATATCTATACATACCAAGGCGACAAGCATCACGTAGTCATCGGCACCATACTGTGTATGTTGTAAAGACCGGGTATAGAAGCGCGCGACGACAAATATAACTTGCAGCACCGACAGCGTCACGCCCACACCGATCAAAGCAGAGCCCCCACTCGATGGAGTCTGGACTTGTTGTGAGTTAATGCCACCCATAATGAAGCAGGGTGGCTGATGTCCGTCGATATAGCGACAACAGCCTCATTGAAAAAAAAGCCCAAGTTTTAAAAAGAAAGCCTACCAGCAAAACAAAACAGCAGACCAGTCCCTATTTCAAAGAACACGAAGATCCCACATTTCGGAAGGAGGCCCTCACATTTGAACATTCCCTGGCAGGCCCTGGGCCCCCAAAGCTTAATCGGGGCGTCGAAATCTAAGATCGCGATGTATCGGGGATTGTCCATGCGTAAACATGCCTAGAGTGGGAATCAGTCTTCAACGGACATGGAAGGACTGTCCGGTCTAAGCATGTTTTTTGTGGGACTTACCCCCATAGCCTTGGGAATCATGGCTTGGGGAGACATTCAACGCCCCGATCGGCTACAGGTATCTCGTCAAGTTTTTCGGTGTGGAAGGGTCCAAGGCGCTGGGACTGAGATCCATGGACTCTGGAGAAAAAGAGGAACATATACCAGGTGGATATGATTGGTCGCTAGCAGTTAAGGTTAAGCGGGGTTCCATGGATCCACGCCTTCATGACATGAATTTGGGAACATGAGAACATGGGGATTTTGTTCCAGAACATCCATTGCACCACGGGCTCTGACATCATGGCTGACCGCATCTGATCTTCTAGAAAGAAAAAATCGCCCATTCCTTCCTCGATTGAGTGGGTCATATGCTTCTGACACCGATTCGTCCTCCATACTTGGTTTTCGTTCGTCCATCTCGGCAGGCTTCCGGCAATTATGCTTTGAGGGGGAATTGTCTGGGAGTACCTGTGAGAAAGCTGCGATTTGAATTTCGGCGAATTAATTCTTGTGTTCCGGTTTTCTGGGAGGCGTTGCTAGTGGTCCCCGTTGAATAGAGCTTCGTAGTAGATGGCTTTAAGCTCCCGGTTCTTTACGATGTGTCGGGGGTACTTGCGGGCCACATGCCGATGACATACAATTTTCTCGTATTGAGTAGCTCGCTTGCTTGTAGGTACTTTGCGAAGACTTTGGTACCGATCGCTTGTAGCTTGAAGATTCCTAGAGCAGCCTGTAGGAGCGAGTTAGGTTACATAGTAGAGTCAAGTGAACAATTACTGGTGCTACACAATTCAAGAGTGCAATTTCACTTCAGCTTTTCAATCGTACTTTCCTAAAAATGGAAATGTCCCCTACTCCAATTTTTCCCAAACTCAATAATGAGGTGGGTTAAACTTTCAATAACGACGTGGTCGAGAGTCGAGACCCTTGACTGCACTAGGCAAAAAGAGCGAATCTTAGTACTAGATCTCACCGGTATCGATTGGCATGTGTCTTGAACCAAAAAAAAAAGCTTTGAAGCTTCAAGTATTTTGACCTTTTTATCGAGGATTCCCCCATTTGGCAGTGTTCCCGTAGCCCGAGCAAATGTGGTTTTTCCGAACAAATGCAGAATTTTCATATTCGCCGAAACTTTGAAGCAAAGGAGAAAGCTCAAGGCCTGGGGAGCGTCAATGTGTTCTAGGCCATCTGCTTTATCTTTATTCCGGTGGTCCGATTCGATCTACACAGTAAGATAGCGCATGTAGGTACGTTCGGGTTGATATCTCAAGCGCTACATTAACAGCTAAAAGTAACAACTAAAAATAACATTGCTTAGTACGGATATCTTGGAAGTATGTGATTGAAGAAAAGGGGGTATATGGCAAGCAAGACTGGACATGGCAGAAATAAAGAGACGATAAAAAGGCTTAAGCCACCCGATCCTTCTGTTCCAGTTTCCCCACTAACCGCTTCATGCCCATCCATTCGTCAGAGGGTACCTCCTCCGCCGGTCCACCAAGACCCTTGCCAACTTCAAAGACGGTCACTACTCCGTTGACTCCGCCAGTCGCCAGGCGCCGGCCTTCTCGTTCCTCCCATGCCACTTTGTTGAGACTGCGAGACATGGTTGCTCCGGGGCCACGCGAGGGGCTGGTCTTGACCACCGGAACCTCGGTATCTGTGTAAAGGTCCCACACTTCGAGGTTGCCGGCACCGTCGACGAGGGAGAATACACCTGGTCGGTGTGGAGACCACCGCGCATCGTAAACCACATCTTCCCGCGTAATATCCAAGATAGGAGAGACAACCTGAGCGGAAGTCACGGTGGAAGTGGCAGACGCAGTGGTGGCTGGGGGACGCACGCGCCAGAGCTTGACGCTCCAGTCCAGACTGGAGCTGAGCATCAGATCGCCCAGATCAACTGGACCCCGCGCAGGGTGGAACGCGGTAGACATGATTGGTGCTGCGTGGCCGCGATAGGCAAGGCGGTGGTCGGTACCGGCCTTGGCTCCAGCTCGATCATATCGATGGCAAGGGTAGATCCCTCCTTCCTCGGTACCCACAATGAAGAAGGTCGGATCGGACTGTGGGAAGGACATCGTCGTGGGCGCAAGATCTTCTGTCTTGGATGGGGGAGGTGTGGTCAGTTCGAGATATTCTTGTGGCTGGGAAAGCATGTCTACTGTCCAACCACAGACTACTCCATCGGTGGACGCCGTCAAAATGTTATGCGCGTTTTGAGTGCCGACGATGGAGATGCTGTAAACAGGATGGGTATGTCCCGATCCAGTCAATGGTGTCTTTTGCACGGGGGCGCCTCCGCCCATGCGTGAGGAGCGAGTGTCCCAAAGGAGAACTTGGCCCGAATATGAGCCACCAACGATAAGGTTGGGATGGAATGGGGAGAATTTGGCTGTGAGAATGTCGGAAGTCGAGTGGAAGACATATTCGGGGCGGGATTGTAAATGTTGGTTCCAGACTTGAACCAGTCCGTCTGGTTCATGAGGAGCAGAAGGGTTCTTGGTGTAAGATGCGAGAACCAATTCAGGGAACTAGTCATGGATCAGTATATAGTGATCGTCAAAGTGTGGGAGATACCGAGTGAGGCGTACCTTCTGGGAGAAGCTTATATCGGTAACCATACGCTTCTTGCTCCAACGTTCGTCATAGAACTGACAGACCTCCCGAATGCCCCTCCGTTTCTTGCCCGTCTCCTCGTCCTCCTCCAAGTCTCCGTCCACACCACCCAGCTCGTAGTCCGCAAGGACGTCGTAGTCTTCATCCAGAGCTCTCTCAATAACCTTGGACGACCGCTCCACAAAGTCCAGGAAATCGTCGGAGGAAGTCACAGCTTTCAGCTCGTCATCGTCAAGGGCGCGTAACGGATACCGCAGCTGTGCAGATTGTGTGGCCGCAGCCGCATTATTGTTGTTCTGTTCGGCTGCTTGGAGTTCTTCTTCAATCTCCTGGCGAATCTTTTGTCTGATCTCATCATCCCGCTCTCGGTCTCGTCGGCTCAGCCGTTTGCTCGATCGTGTCGTATCAGTTGGGTCTTCATTGTCCGAAGCAACAGATCCATCATGAGACTCTGTTTGGGTACCCAAATCATCTGTCTGGACGGCTTTGCTGTATGTAACAACCTCTGGTCTGGGCTCAGGGGGGTGCGGGGCTTCAAATGCGGAAGAGGTGTAGGTCTCTGCTCCGACTGTCTGCACGGTCTGTACGGCAATGGATTGCAGCTGCGGTCGCATCGATGAAGGTGTATTGGTTTCGGCATTCTCTCCGCTCAATTGACTGGCGCTGAGGACTGAAGTCGGGCGGCTGCCTCTTCCAGATTGACCCTCGAGTCCATGGCTGATGGTGGCAGACCCAGGGCGATCCACAAGACGGGTAATTAGATCGTCAAGTTCAGCTCTACTGCCAGCGTGACTGGGTACTGGGGAAGCAATCTATTTGTTTAAAAAAAATCATTAGATATCCTTGATATTTGTAGCTCCACGGGGCGCGGTGTTGTACCTCTGAAGCATCGCCGACACTGTTCCGGTTGCTGGTGAACTCCCGTTGGCGAAGCTCGCGCTGCTTCTTCAGCTCAGCCAGCTTGGCCTTTTTGGCCAAAATTTCATTCTTGCGCTGTTGCATGGACGACATCTTGGAAATCGGCCAGCCAAAGATGTGATTGTAGCTGTAGTTCTCGTGTTGCGCTTTATTTACCCATTTACGGGGGATGACATAAGCGTCTCCGAACGGCGCCGGAAAAACTCGCGCAGGGACAGAGAACCTCGCCTTGCATTAAACCCCGAGGATTCAATTGCCATTGCCGGTCTCCTGTTGAAACGGTCTTTCGGTTTCTCACTTCTTAATTTTACATCCACTCCTTATCTCCCGGAGACCTCGAAATAATGGCTAGCACACAGGGTGTTAACGTAAGTTCTACTCCGGCAATCAACCAGCCTCAACCTTCCCCCCTCAAATGCGACATCGGATGTTGACTCCCATTTCCAATTATATAGGTCTTCCGCTACTCGGCTCTCGTGGCTGGTCTCGTTTACGGAGTCTACCACCAGTCGTCCCTCAACTCCGTGGCCAAGCGCGCCGAGGTTGAGCACGAGTACGCTCGCAAGGAGCGCCTGATCGAGCAGGCCAAGGCCGAGTGGAAGAAGCGCAGCCAGCCCCAGGAGACCCAGACACAAGCCACTGGCCGTAAGTGATCACCATGCTTCAACCCCCAATTGCTTTGGATTGTCAAATCCGAGAATGCCAAGTACACCCCTCGAAGAGAGCGCAGTACTAACGTATCCTCTCTCTCTCTTTCTAGTCATCACCGACCCCGAGAACCCCAAATTCGATCTCGAGGCTTTCTTGCAGGCCAAGGCTTAGTCTTCTTGAATATGATGGAAATGGTATAGAGGCGGGATGATACGCAACTCCTTGCGGAACTCGCACCTCCCCCCAGGGTATTAGACGTGATTTGCTCGGATTCCATTTACTTGTACGATTGTTTGGGAGCCAATTCCCCTTGAGTTGCAACATTGCGAGCGAAAGACGGGATGGTCTCTTTTTGATTCGTTTTCTTTTTTTTCTATTCGGTTTAGACGTTATCATCTGGGTCCTGTACATACCCTGGGCTGTCGTGCGCCTGTACACTACAGTTTGGACCACAAGAAAGAGCAAAAGAATCGTTATGCATTCCGGCGTTACTGCTGGGCCTCCTGTATAGGGCCAGTCTAGTCTTTAATTTGCGTTCCGCTTATTTCCTCCGAACCCTCTGATCAAGGTTCAATGTAGACGCGTCTTGGACATCTACAATCTTGTCTAGCAACCCTTTATCCCGCTAATCGCCATTCCATGCAAGTGTCGAGTCACCTTAATTGCCAAGCAATGCCATTGCATCCCGAATTCCGTTTGAATGTAGCTTTTCGGTAGATCGTGTGATTATCGGGGTCGGATGCAGTAGCTTTGTCTCCGCCTCCCACTTCCATCCACAATCCGTAAACTTCTTTATGATGGCCGGGTCTGCTTGTTTAGCGGCCGTGGTATCCAGACCCAAGTAGGTTGCTGCTGTTGGAAGATTTATGGCCCCGTAGGAATTGCTGACAGCGATTAAGGTCTGGTCCTGGAAGAAGCCTTCGCAATGCAGGTTAGTATAGAATGCTATATGAATAACAGTATATTCAGGAATATACATACTTTCGTATCTCCGAACCAAAGGTTGCAGCTTGTCAGACCAAGAAAGCTGCCGGAGGATCAGATAGACTTGATCATGTCGTTTCTGCCAGACTGCCCGTAGAAGATTCAAACAGCTTTGAAGGCAAGGGTCTTGGTGAAGGAAAGTCTCCGGGATTCGCTGGGTTAGGGCACGGGCTTCGGGTCTATTTGTATCAAGGTCAAAAAGATAGATCTCCAACACGAGGTATATGATACTGACACTTGGTTGGTGAGGAGGTGAGAGAAGAAGAATGTAGAGTAGAAGAAGCTTAGTAAATCTGGATCTCCATTTCCAGCTGAGATCAGACGAGAATCTGTTTCATAGTACGATAAGATCTCAAATAGCTGTGACGGAGGGATATTGGAGGCAGCCAGTTCCGAGAGCTGTTCGATAGAAGGAGGGGGGAGCTGCATTTTGAGATAATATTAGACAAAGGTTTGGGATATTGGTTGGCTTTTTCCAGTGATATACCAAGCCGCAAGCCCAGTAAGAAAATCAAAATCCACGCTGATAAACAGAAAAATAGGAACAAGTAGAAGTGGTGGATGCGGGGAGATCAATCGGAGGTGGCACCTTTCTCCGATGCCAAGACCCTCAAGAAGTGACCACCTTGCGCAGCTCTCTCCCTCCTCCAACTCCCCGAGCACCAACACAATTGGCAATTCCAGCCCCTCGTTCCTTTAGTTTCATGTTTCACTGTTAATTTTCGGTTCTTGGACTTAGCTCCTTCCTCCTGGCCATCATGGCCAAGTTTTCTTCCCTTGACATTCTGCTGAAAGGCAGCTCCGGCGAAAGCACACGCGGTCTCCTGCGAATCGTCATCCTTTTAACTATTGCGGCTGCCGCTGTCGCCAGCCGACTGTTCAGTGTTATCCGTATGTTTTGAAGCAATTCCTGCATCTATGCTCAATTCAATTTCTAATAATTGTTTCAATCTTAGGTTTCGAAAGTATTATTCACGAATGTACGATCTCCCCTTGGCGCTTCATGGAGTATATACAACGTGGCCACCGGCCAACACATCAAGTGAGATATTGACATATACCGGTTTCTAGTCGATCCCTGGTTCAATTTCCGGGCCACCAAGTACTTGGTTGAGAATGGTTTCTACAGTTTCTGGGATTGGTTTGATGACCGTACGTTCTTCAACCCTCTTGCGGCTTGCGCGTCCTTTCTATTTCCTCAATGGTATCACAGGGTAGTGCTGATGAAATTTGTCCCTCTATTTAGGAACATGGCATCCCCTGGGTCGTGTCACTGGTGGCACCCTGTACCCCGGTCTCATGGTGACCAGCGGTGTGATCTACCACATCTTGCGCTTCTTGACAATCCCGGTCGATATCCGAAACATCTGTGTTCTGCTCGCCCCCGGCTTCTCTGGCTTGACAGCCCTGGCCATGTACCTCTTGACTTGCGAGATGTCGACCTCGCCCTCGGCCGGTCTCCTGGCTGCGGCGTTCATGGGAATTACCCCGGGTTACATTTCCCGTTCCGTGGCTGGCAGCTACGATAACGAGGCCATTGCCATCTTCCTGCTTGTCTTCACGTTCTACTTGTGGATCAAGGCTGTCAAGAATGGATCAATTATGTGGGGAGCTCTGACTGCCTTGTTCTACGGATACATGGTGTCTGCCTGGGGTGGTTATGTCTTCATCACTAACCTCATTCCCCTGCACGTTTTCGTTCTGCTTTGCATGGGCCGCTACAGCTCTCGCACCTACATCGCCTACACCACCTGGTATGCATTGGGAACGCTGGGCAGCATGCAGATTCCATTCGTGGGATTCTTGCCCATCCGTAACAGTGACCACATGTCCGCTTTGGGTGTCTTTGGTCTGATCCAGCTCGTGGCATTTGCGGACTTTATCCGTGGATTCCTTCCTGGCAAGCAGTTCCAGAAGCTGCTCACTTCCATGGTTCTGCTTGTCTTCGGTCTTGGCTTCGGTGGACTTGTTCTGCTCAGCGCTTCCGGTGTCATCGCCCCGTGGAGTGGTCGCTTCTACTCTCTGTGGGATACTGGCTACGCCAAAATCCACATTCCCATCATTGCATCCGTTTCTGAGCATCAGCCTACCGCCTGGCCTGCTTTCTTCTTTGACTTGAACTTCTTGATCTGGCTCTTCCCCGCTGGTGTGTTCTTGTGCTTCCAGAAGCTCAAGGACGAGCATGTGTTCGTCATCATCTATGCCGTGCTCTCAAGCTACTTCGCCGGTGTCATGGTCCGTTTGATGTTGACTCTCACTCCGATTGTCTGTGTCGCCGCGGCCCTTGCTCTGTCAGGTGTGCTTGATCAGTTCCTGGTCATGTCGAAGCCCACTGCTGAGTCTAAGGCCAAGGCTAATACCAAGGATGCCAAGGCGTACGGCAAGATGAGCTCTCCTATCGTTGGAGTCTACTCGTACTTCTCCAAGGCCTTCATCTCTGGTTCAATGACTCTGTACCTCCTTCTGTTCGTTGCGCACTGCACATGGGTCACCTCGAACGCCTACTCGTCTCCTTCAGTTGTCCTGGCCAGTCGCATGCCCGATGGAAGCCAGCACATCATCGATGATTACCGCGAGGCATACTACTGGCTCCGTCAGAACACCGCTGACAACGCCAAGATTATGTCCTGGTGGGATTATGGTTACCAGATTGGTGGTATGGCTGATCGCCCCACCCTGGTCGACAACAACACCTGGAACAATACCCACATTGCCACCGTTGGTAAGGCTATGAGCTCCCGTGAGGAGGTCAGCTACCCGATCCTGCGTCAACATGATGTTGACTACGTGCTGGTCGTGTTCGGTGGTTTGCTGGGATACTCCGGCGATGACTTGAACAAGTTCTTGTGGATGGTCCGTATCGCCGAAGGTATCTGGCCCGATGAGATCAAGGAGCGTGATTTCTTCACTGCTCGTGGCGAGTACCGTGTGGATGACGAGGCTACCCCCACCATGAAGAACAGCTTGATGTAAGTTCCTTGCTTCTCATGATTGAATAACTCCTTCGACATTTCAAAGCTAACATATCAATAGGTACAAAATGTCTTACTACAACTACCAGTCTCTGTTCCCTCCTGGTCAAGCCGTTGACCGTGTCCGTGGTGTGAAGGTGCCCACTGAAAGCCCTCAACTCGACACCATGGAGGAGGCTTTCACCAGTGAGAACTGGATCATCCGAATCTACAAGGTTAAGGACCTGGACAACCTTGGTCGTGACCACAGCAACGCCGTTGCCTTCGATAAGGGTTTGAAGCGTAAGCGCGCTGCTAAAAGAAAGGGCCCTCGCGTTCTGAGAACGGAGTAGACTGCGTTTCTTTCTTGTCTTGTTCTTTTATTTGCTTCTTGTTAACCTCGATCATTGTGCAACTGCGGCTTTTTCCAGCATAGCAGGCTTATCTTGTGATGTATTTCTCCCTGGTTGGATATAGTTTTGAGTATGTGCCATACTCAAGATAGTATACAATATATGCCTTTGGAAAGATTGATGTACCCGGTATTTTCTGCATAATTTGCAGGGTACAATTGAAGCCACCCACGTAGATAGCAGGGCAGTTGACCATTACTAGTATATCGTAATTCCGATTTTACTCATACCCTATAATGTGAGCGGAACAGTTGATCCCAAAACAAGAGACGAGTGTGACAATTGCAGCTATGCTATGCACAAGAAAATAAAATATCCCCGCAAATCCATTCTGTACAGTACAGCACAGGTACCCCAAAACAAAGGCCCTGTACTTGCAGATCTAAGAGGAAGCACGATCTGCCCGAAAGACTCCGTAACCCCAAATTTGCTCCATTGCTGTCTTTTTCGCCAACGGGTAGGCGGTTGCGCAGCCATAACCCAGCCACTTCATTCCCCCTCCCACATGTCGCGAAGATATAGTACACGCAAATACCAATTCCAGATCAGTTCAGCACTCCGAGTTCTATGAGTCTCAGTAGGCTGGTTGGTCTGTCATGTCCGGTTCACCCCAGCGTGGGGATTTATTTCTTCGCGGGGGTATCGGGGACCTTGACATCGGAGAACTCTTCTTGGCCGACAGCAGTGATGGTGTAGGCGTCTATATCCGACAGAATAACAGAGGTTAGCAAGGGTTCTTAGTGATGAAACTGTCAAAGCGTCTGCTGTCCCCAAGGTGGCGTGTGGGATGATTCGCTGACAACTCGGCGCAACGACCGGATATGCGTCTTGCGGTGGCAAGGGGGTTCGTGTAGAAAGGAGAGAAGGGATCAATGGTACGCACAGACGCCGATTGAGAAGACCACCAGTCCGAAGCCGGTGAAAGCGTTCTTGAAGAGGTATGGGCGGCGGGCACGCAGGAGGGCAGCGCCGGCCCGGTAATCCTTGCCGTAGTATGTGGAGTTGAAGCTGCGATGGAAGATATTATGTTAGTTGAGATGAACAATGTCACAAAGGGCTTAGCGATTATAGCAAAACGTACATTCCGTTCGCCATGGTGAGTAGTGGTCAGATCTTTGAGGGTCAAGAGTTGGGGATTCCAGATGCAAAAGACCGGGATCGCCGAGTCTTGGCACCGTTGACGGAATCTCCAGATGTCTGCTTTTATAGACAAATCTATGCACTTTGTTGTACGTGATTGAAGATTCGAACATGTTTTAGTTGAACACAATCGGATTAGTGCTTAGAGCCGCAATATCTTGATAGCTACTAAAGACCCCTTCAGGGCTGTTTTGTCATTCCAGTAAATTCCAAGTAGCATCTACTCAAATATACTGCATGCCATTACTGCATATATATAAGAATATATAAGAAAAACACCAGTTTACGTCAGTAGCGTCTCCAGAGTTGATTCTGGTGCAGCATAGATAAATAAAAAGGATCAAAGAATATCCATCACGTCGTGTTTCCTCTTTCACTTCTTCCTTCGAGGTTGCATACATTTTCTCGTCCAAGTGCGAGTTAATGGGCGGCCCGTTAACATACAACTTTCTCAAGTTCGCATTTCAACCTTCCTCAACCCTTGCGGTCTTTATTTCTTCATACTCCTTTCCCCCCCGAACGAATCTTCCCATCCTCGTATTCCACCCACTTCATTCGCCAGGAGTTGCATTCCTTGCTTCCGATCACTGTGCATTTCGAAATCTCATGCGCGCGTAACTTCTGCCAAGAACGTAGCTCCATTCGCGCTCCGATCCGAGTACCTCAACATCAACCCATTTTACGTCTGACCCCTCAACCTCTCCCGAGATACCTGTCGCATATCATCCCAATCCGTTAGCTGCGAGCTACGATGGCTCAACCGACAGGGGATGTCGCCCACCAAATCGCCCAATTAAACGCCGCCCGGAACCTGGTCCTCGGTGACGCCGCTTTCTACCCGCAGATCATAACCGGTATCCTTCCTATTGTCGGACCTCATGCGAAACTACAATTGCGTCGTTGGGGCGCGGACTTCCTAGCTGAGACTTTCGCCAGTCCTCAGCTGGCGGCCGCGCAGAAGGAGCAGTTGGCACAAAATGTCTTGCAGAGCATCCAAGAGACCCTGCTCTTGCCGGAGACGGACCCGGCTGTCCTGCAGAGCTTGGTGCAGACCACAGCAAGCTTGTACCCCATTATATTTCGCCATGTGTAGGTTACTTCCAGTACAATCTCGTAATCGTGGAGGAGTGATTGATGATCCATAATATGCTAACGCGCTCCGATAATAGTGTGAGCCACCCTGCAGATAGCCAGTCATGGGAAAAAATGAACACAATCAAGCAAGAAATCCTGCGCCGCATGGACACTTTCCCATGTGCTGTCAAGATTTGCTGCGTCAAGTTCCTACAAAGAGTGGTCCAGGTCCAGACACCTGGTCTAATTGCCGATCCCAGAGTAAGTCCTGCGATTCCAAGCCTTCTTAGCCCGGCTCTTGCTAACTCTGCCCTAGCGACCAGATCAGAATGAAACCTCCTTGGCTATCGTTCCCCGAACCCACGCGCTCCTTAGCATTCCACACCTGGAGGCCGAATCATCGGGCCTACTTGATAGACTTTTGGGTGTTTTCCAAGAAGAGACAAGGTAAGATGAACAAGCTTGCGGTGCGTTCTCAATATCTAACTCAAATAAAGTGACCCTCTCCTTGTCAATGCCACTTTAAACTGCCTCGCACCTTTGATCCGCACTCGCCAGTCAATCGCAAACAAGATCATCAATACCGTTCTAGATTTCTACCCATCGAAACATGTCCGCCCACCATTTACGCCCACTGTTCGAGTTGGCGTTAAGTCAATGGAACGGACTGCTCGCGCTTTACTTATCCATATTTTGAAAAAGTAATGACCCTTTATTCATTCGCCCTTCTAAATCATAGCTGACGAAAACCCACAGGAATCCGACCCACCCCCTTCTAGGGAAGATGCAAGTCTATATTGAGCGACTTATGCAGTCTCGACTGGAAGTGGTAGATGATGCTTCTCGAAAACGGATGCTGCCAAATGAACCCACTGACGGCCTTGATACCGCCAAGCGCGTTCGTCTCGATGCTTTGACCCCGACTACACTCCAGATTCCTCCGATGCTACCAGGCCCAGCGAGCTATGATAAGCTCTTTACGCTGACTCAAGATGCGGGTCTTTCCTCCTTCGACGTCCAACAGCTGCCCCTCGATCTTGTCGTCAAGATTGCTGTGCCCCTTCTTGTCCAAGTCAACCCGACAATGCTAACGCAAGCCGTTGATGTATGATACTCCCTCAATACGAACTCGACTGGTCCGAGCTAACATGTCCCACTAGGCTATCCGAAGTCGATATGAAACAATAACAAAGGAGCAGAACCTAGCACGTCAGCAGCAGCAACAGCCCGCGGCTACGGCAGATGAAGATGACGATTATGAACCCGAATATCAACCAATGGACGTAACAGATAATTCTGCAGAAGAGGCCAGTGTCGCCGTGCCCGAGATGCCTGAATTCCAACCAGAACTAGTATCTCTGGGTCCATTCGTTCTGCCTCAGCCACCCCCACTGAGTGAAGAAGAGGCCGGGGAGGTCGGTCGTAGTGCTGTTGCGCGCGTATTTTCTATGATCACTGTTGCGGAAACCGATTCATCATCCGCCAAGAACAAAAACCAGCAACAACTAGGCTTTGCACGACTGGCTGGAAGCAACTTTGACCGAGATGCCTGGGTTTTGCTCCTTACTCGGTTGGCCACCCGCGCTCCAGCTGGCCTGGAAGGCAGTGATAAGATGGGCAAAAATGGTGAAGGCCGGAGACAACCCACCATCTCCGATTCAATTCGTGAAACCCTTTACCGGTACATTTTGGAAGATTTCCGGGGCCGGTTGAATATTGGTATCACTTGGCTCAATGAGGAGTGGTACAACGACCGTATTCAGATGAAGGTCGTCGCGTCTAAGCGCTATGACGATGAGGATGCTGAGCCGACGGTGGCCTGTCACTATGATACCTGGGTCCTTTGTCTTCTCGATGGATTCCTACCTTATATCGACTCGCGCGATATCAAAGTGATTGTTCGCTTCCTCAGTGAAATTCCCGAGATCACTGTCGACATTACCCAAAGAGTAGCCAGCCTCGCTAAGGATCCCGAGCGTGTGAACCTCTGTGTTCAGGCCTTAATGTGAGTCCTGTCTGCTCCCGATTCTCACCAATATTTGCCCGTCTCCTAACTTAATTTACCCTAGGTACTTGATTATGTTCCGACCTCCAGCACGGGAGATGTGTCTGAACACTCTCGAGGACGTTTATCAAACCTGTAGGCCCCCCTTTAATCTCATTATCCTTGATTTCTTTCTTTTTCTTTTTTTTACTAACAAATCGTTTTCAGACGAGGAATCCCGCCCGGCAGCAGGCAAGGTCTTGGCCAAGTGGCGCCCACAACAGACACAGCCCGCAGAGGCCGTCACCAATGGAACATCAAGTACAGCACAGCCTGAGCAAGTTAGTGCTGCGCAGTAGACATTTCTTTTCATTTCTTGTATTTTACAACCAGTGATCAAGCAAGGATCGGAGATCCATGCGGATCCTTCATTTCGGCGTTTAGTTTCTATCTTTTGCCCGTCTTCTGAATACCAGCTATTGATGTGGACAATTTATGATTATGGATATCTGGTATATGTTACTACTACTGAGAAATGACATGTTTAACATTACCAAAGACCAGGTGCTTTTCCAGACAGCCAGAGTAATTTTTCTGCAGGGTGAACCATGCACATGCACATGTGCGCATATGTAGCCTAACAAAATCATACTAGCTACAGGGGCTATTTCTGTTCAGCTGGTTGAATTACGTGGATCAAATAAAGGACACAGCCTACGCATAGCCTCACGAGGTCTTGTACTAATTAGATTACGTCTGACTTGTACTGGTTGGATGATGTTCGTCCGAATATTTATCTAAACAAAAATATGCGCATATCCTAACAAAGTCTTTATACTAGTTGGATTACATCCCGGACGACTTCCTATTGATGTACATTGGGTAGATAATAAACAAACAAGCTATGCGCATAGCCTATGTAACAAAGTCTTATATTGGTTGGATTACGTCCGATCGATTTGAAAGAAATAAATTATGTGCATATCCTGGATCAATACGATAGCATATGTACCCAACCTTAGAAAGCTTCTATATGGTAGTACTTCTTTCCAAAGCCTGGTCTATATCAAAATGGACATTCTGAGGGTTGAGAGCACTTGAATTAGTAAACATTGAACATTTGAAAGTTAAAAGACATAGGCATATATCCATGGATGCTGCTATGTACACAGAGTGCTACATAAATGTCCAAGAAGAGGAAGAGTCCAGCTCTCCCAATTCCAAAAAAATAGTAGAAGAAAGAAACATTTGAAAAGAAAACATAAGGACACCACTTCAAGTCAAGATCAACTCCGGATGCAAGAGATTTTTCCCCTACTTAGGTATCGTAGTAGAAAACAACAAGTCACGTAAGACTAAAAAACAAAAGACCACATTCCAATGACCTGGACACCGCCCCATATGATAAAAGATAAAGAAATAAAAAAGAGTCCGTTTCCCCTTTCATGCAGCTGTAGCGACGAGTCTCGCATTTCCCCAATATGTAAAAAGTTTGATGGTTGAGATTCGAAGTGGATCACTGTCCCATAAACAACACACAGACTATGCCTTCTCGCACTTTCTAGCTCGGAACGCTCATCAGAATACACGTGCTATTGCCTCAATAGCATAAATAAGAACATAAAATAATAACAAACAAGCAGGGGAATCTTCATTAGAGGGAGAGAAGGGAGGAAGGTGATCAAACAACTCGTTGAAGGTTGTAAGTGCAACCAGGGTATGGAAAAAACACATTTTGCGGAAATGGGATGGAATATAGATAGTAGGAGTTGCTTATCGTGCAGGCATGTGACTTGGCCCAGATTTTGTTGAAAGCTCAGACTGAGGATGGTAATGTAATGCGTCGACCGTCTTGGAAGCCATAGTCGGGGATATATCCGGCCTGGAAGTAGGCTGAAACAAGCTTTGGCGAACTGGGGGAGGGGAGAAGATAGGGTTGCGGGAGGAAGAGTCAGGCACGGGCGAGTGACGCTCCATGACATGGCTTGCGTGTGGGTGGGATTTTCGCACATCTAGCGGTGAGGAACTTTGAGACCGATAGCCGGATTTGTGCTCATGGTCATAGTCCGGATTGCGGAAGGGGCCTTGATGCTGGTGCCGTGACTCTTGCTCAATTCCATAAGGAGTGTTGTTGGCCGAGGAGTTTGCAACCGAGATATTCTCCGGGATTGTGGACGCCGATCCGTTAGGGGCATTGATGTCTACCACCCGCTTTTGAGCTGCTGGGGTTGCAAAAGATGTCGCCTGTTGATGCTCAAAGGGACGCCCTTGAGGCCGATGTTGCTGCGGGTACTGGTGCTGTGCTTGTTGTTGATGGATTGGATGTTGTGGGTTGGCCCACGGCGTCTGTTCTAAGAATGCTTCTTCGGCTGCTGTGCGGAAAACGTTGGATGACATAGCCGACATGGCAGGCCGAGGAGGCAATGCCGACGAATGCCGCGGGGCTGAAGCTCGGGTTTCAACGGGTATCTAAGTATATATGTCAGCAACAAATAAACACTAGCTTGGGAAGTGAGCAAACTTACTCCCATCTTTTCAAGGTCGTCGTCCAGTTCCGATGCGCGAGCGCCCAGTAATGTCGGAGCTGCTGGGAAGCCAACATATTTCGCGACGCCAGCCATGACCGAAACTTCTTGGTTGTAGGCAGTTTGGTTCGCGATCTGCTGGGAACGACGGGTTGGGAATGGGATGATATGATGTGGGCTTAATTCATCCGTCTTGAAGCGATCATGCTGGATAGCATAGAACTGCTTGCTGACCGCACTCGAGTAATACTCTCGCACATCCCGGATGCGCTGGAAAAATGTACTGTGTATTTGCGCCCGCTCCGCCAAGCTCTTGTTTATCAAAGCCTCCTTGCGGTAGCGGAACAATGTCTGCTCGTATTTGATCTTGGCGTCGCGGTATTGTTCCACACATTCAATCTGGCGCAAATACTCAGGATGCGTTGGGTTCGGACCGCTGAGCATTTCAAGCTCGCGGTTGAGCTTGTTGATTCGTTCGTCAAAAATCCTGCATTGGGTAAGCAATGGCCCCGAATATGAAATTTCGGACAATACTTACTTGTCACGCAAGGTTGCAAATTCTTTTTCCAACGTCGCCAGAGACTCCATCGCGGACATCTTCTTTGTAGCTAAAGGTGGGTTCAGTCAAAACATGTTTAAGGAGTGAGTGTCACTGAACATCATGACTTACATTCTTCTTCAAGTTTTGCTGCTGTCTCAGCGTCGTTGACTTCATCACGCTCGGCAGGCTCTTCATCTTCCCCGATATTGTCATCAGCGACGTCCTCTGTCACAGCATCGCCAACCTCGATCTCTCCATCCGCATCTAAAGCTCGTCTGCCTCGGCGCTTACTTCTTTTGCCTCTTTTGCCTTTGACTGGTGGAGTAGGAAGATCAGATTCTGGGGCGTCGTCGACCGGCAACTCGTCCTCATTTGTAGCGATGGGGTCTTCGATGGGCTCTGGGGAGAGAGGCATGTCGTCGTCAATTGGATCGCTCAAGTCGCTTTTGATTGAACTTCGGCGTTTCTTGATGGGCTCTTCATCGCCGATCTCGGTCCCGGTATCATCGCCAGCTTCGACGCGCTTTCGCTTTTTCCCGCTGCTATCGGGGAGATCTATGTCATCAAGGTCGGGAATGTCATCAGTCAATCCATTGTTATGGGAGGATCGCGGCTTGCTCGGGGAGTCATCTAGCAGCTGCTCATCATCGTCGACGTCGGCCAGGGTTGTCGACTGATGCAGCTTGCTTGGACTTGGACCAGCACTACCAGCGCTGAGGACGATATCCCCACGCTTGCGAATATGGTGAGGAGAGTCCTCGATGCGCTCGGTTTCTGCCTCCGAATCGTTCTCGAGCTGTCTTTCCGGTTTGATTGAATCTTCAAAATCAGAGGGCTCATTATCTGACAGCTCATCAATCTCGCTTAAGCTGCTGGATCGACCGTCATCCATGAGAGGGTCATCCAAGAAGGGATTTCGCTCTCCATTTGTCATGGTGGACTCTGCCCCCGTAGGGCCAACAGAGCTATGCTCTCTGCTCTCGATCACCTCCATCAGCAAGTATGGCGAGGATCTAGAAACGTAGTGGAGCGCTCAAACGGGGTGGTTGTGTTGGGTGTGGCGTGCCAAAATGCTTTCGGCAAAGTGGAGAGGCCGTGGGGGGGCGTCAAGGTCACCGATCGGCCAGGTGAGGTTTTCGTTTAGGGCTCTATGTCAATCACGAGATAGATTAGCTCAATTGCCATGCTGTCTGGGTAAAGGCACCCTAGAAGGACTAAATAGAGGGGAAATGGGTGGGTGGGTTGCAAAATGAAGGTCAGCGCCCCCAGAAGGCGGTGCGGAGATTGATCACCGCCGGAACGCCCCCAGAGTCCGGCACCAGTCTTTTGGGAGGGACGGAAAGCGCGCAACGCTTAAAAGGGAACATGATAGCTTCTCATAGAAATAAAAGCCATGAAGTAAGACTTGTATAGGCCCAGGAAGCATGCAAACGGGGGTAAATGTGCAAGCGACGTACCGTCTTAACAATGCGCCGGGAGCACCGTTGGTAAAGAGCAAAGCTGCTCGCGATCGAACGGTATTCTCACAGCCAGCGTGTTCCAGGAGCACCAGTAGAAATCAGAGCCAAATCCACGCGTTTTTGCTTGTCTATAAGTCCACCAGGAGCTGTCGAACAACCTATGCGCCAGCACTGGGAGGGCGAGGGGAGGGCGGCTAGGACAGGAAACAGGGCCACAATAGGATGTGAGGGTGAGGAACAGCGGTCGGCATGAAGGAATACCAGATATATCTGGAGAGGGCAAATATGATCGTCAGGCTCGTGAGAAAATAGCTCCAGCGGGGAAGAGGAAAGGAGGAAGCCCAGGATGGCTATGATGGGGTGCAGAGCAACAGAAGCGAGTGGGTTCTGCCATTTCCGAAGCAGACCGCCTGCAAAAACCACATATCACGTGATACTGACGTCGCCGAAGACGGTATAAATATTTATGGGATTGGGCGAATGGCGGTGCTCCCGACATGGGACGGATCACATCGAAAGGCATGTAGGGGGTTGTAAGATGGAAAGTTGTAATCTGATCGGGATATTTGACAATAAGCTTTCTCCAAACCCTGAAAAATATCAGTTTATGGAGATTTTGATACGAAGAATAAGGGAATATTGTTTTTTTCCCTCAGGAAAGCTGAGATAAATGAGATTTGATCTTCTAGATTTGGCAAGAATAAGATCTCGTTTTCCTATAAATTATATTATTTCTTTGTATTTTATCATTGCATTTTTCTAAATGTTGTATGGAAATGCATACTAATGTATACCCCAAATCATGTGATGCCCAGTGTCTGGCCGTGCCAAGACTGATAAGCCCCAAGAAAAAAAAAGTTCGGAGCTGTATGCGCAATCTTGACTTGACTCCCATTGAACGACTTTTTTTGAAAGGAATCCGATAAGGACTCCAAAAATCCTTTTTCACAATGGGCAAGAAATCCAAATCCCAATCTTCGGCTAAGGACCAGAAGCCTGCCTCTGCCGCTCCTTCTCTGCTTGCCGGCAGTGCTCTCGATCCGACCTTGTCCTCCCTTTTCGATACAAGTGTATGTTCTTTTATATACCAGTTGTGATGAAACCCAGAACTAAAACTTTGACTCGTAGGCTGGACCCGTGCAAGCCCCCGCGGTTCAATACATTAATGTGCCCCCCAAGTCGACAAAACAAGACAAGGCCGCCAAAGATGATATCGCATCGGATGAAGGCTCAGTTGCCTCCGGAGATGAATTGATGGAAGATGCTTCTGATGCCAGTGAGCCTGAATCATCTGAGGAATCGGCACCGGAACCTCAAAACCGCAAGCGCAAGCGTGGAACCGCTGGAGAGGAAGTGGAGGAGATTTACATGCGTCGCCTCGCCAAGGAAGAAGAGAGAGATGCGGAGAAGAGAAAGGCCGAGTACACGCAGCGCCAGAAGCCCACTGAGGAAGAAGGAAGCGATGTATCTGAAGGCGAGGATTCTGAGGCTGAGGACAGTGACGAGGATGACAAGACTCCGGCCCCGGTCCACGAGAGTGTGGCGGGTACTGCAAAGGCAACCGAGGTCGAGAAGTCCAACCGTACGGTCTTCCTGGGTAATGTTTCGACCGAGGCCATTAAAAGCAAGACCGCCAAGAAGACCCTTCTTCGTCACCTGGCCTCCTTCTGTTCCACTCTGCAGGAATCGACTGGCCCGCACAAAGTTGAATCGCTTCGATTCCGTTCTGTTCCATTTGCCAGCGGTGGTGGACTCCCGAAGCGTGCTTCTTTTGCCCGACAGGAAATTCTCGATGATACCACTCACAGCACCAATGCTTATGCCGTCTACTCTACCGTCCAAGCCGCTCGCAAAGCAGCCACTACATTGAATGGAACCATCGTCCTTGACCGCCATCTTCGAGTTGACAGTATTGCTCACCCGGCCGCAATTGATAACAAGCGTTGCGTCTTCGTGGGTAACCTTGACTTTGTCGATAATGAAGGCCCCGTTGAGGATGCGACTGGCAAGAAGAAGAAGCCCAGAGCCCCTGCTGATATTGAAGAGGGTCTTTGGCGCACTTTCAACGAGCACACCGGAGGCAAGGACAAGAAGGCAGACAAGAAGAGTGTCGAATTCGTTCGCGTTATTCGTGACCGCTCAACTCGCGTTGGAAAGGGTTTCGCTTATGTCCAGTTCTACGACGGAAACGGTGTTGAGGAGGCTCTTCTTCTTAATGAGAAGAAGTTCCCCCCTATGCTTCCCCGGAAATTGCGTGTCACTCGTGCCAGAAAGGTCGCTAAGAAGCGTGAGGATTCTGGCGGCAAGGATTCAAAGATGGCCGAGGCCCAAAAGACCCTCCAGGGTCGTGCAGGCAGATTGCTCGGTCGGGCAGGTGCCGCCAAGATCAAGGCACAGGGAAAGAGCACCATTGCTGGCAACTCCTTCATCTTTGAGGGACACCGTGCCACCGAGAAGGGTGCTTCATCTCAGATGAAGGTCAAGGGCAAGAGTCGTGGCAACAAGGCTAAAAAGAATGCCCGCAGCAGTAAGCGGGCGGCAGCATACAAGGCTGCGGGTGGACAGAAGCCTTGAGTGTGAAAAAAGCATCATTATTTTGTATTTATTATTGGCGTTGGAAAGGGCATTTAAAGTATTATGCAGAATCAACCATGATCTCTACGTTTCCAGATCTTCCATTGTCACAAGCAGTACTCAAGTGCTGGTAATCTGCTATTAATTCCGATTACTCATGGGGTAAATTATGTACTAACTATGTTCCTCTTTCTAGCGGTTCTTCGTAGTCGACTTATCTTAGTACTGCTAGTAGGTACCGTCCTTTACTGGATCACACCGTTCGTTTCTTTCCCAATTGCTTCATCATTATGTAATTAATGCTTTAATTCTATACTGTGAATAATGGAAGGCCTTGATGGTGAAGATTTACTATATCAATCACTCCAAGAAACCCTAAGAAGTTACTAGTATGGTACTTTGATGAATCAATTGAGGCACTTGCCACGCCGCCTGAAAATATTACCACACTTTTTTCGCAAATGAATAAGAGTATGCGCGCTCTATTTCGCCAAGGCCAATCGGGATTGGCTTTCCCCCTGTCTCCCTAAGAAACAAGCGTGGCACTAAATTACACTAACTAGTCAAACTGTTTTAAACACCCCGCAAGTCACCAACTTAAGCCTCATTTTATGACATGAACATATTTATGACATTGGATCTATTTCATTGATTTAAATGTACCTTTTTTAAAAAAAAAAATTAGAAAAAAAAAAGAATTCGAGAACAAATAAATGATTTTTTTGCCTTATCAACCTTGGGATGTCCCCGAAATTAACATGTGTACTGCTTTCAAAGTTGACATGTATCGACCCTACTACCAAAATATCACAATTACCCAGTGGAAGAGGAGGCTCAAAATCCAATACATAGTACAGATATGGAGCGCACAAGAGATGCTGGCATGTTTGAACTCGGCAATGAATATCAATGTCAAATATCAAATAGTTCTTCGGTGCTAAAAATGTACCCACCAGGAAATGCGGGGTGATAAGATAAACGTTCAGGGATGCAGCATTATGTCACTTTTGGTGGCGACAAAAGTCGTCCAAATAATCCAGTCAGTTATAGTTAAAAGCTAATCCAACATGTTATGTGGAATTCTTGAAATCATCCCTGTTACTAAATTCTAGTGAAGTGGGATGCTATGGAGCACTTGCCACGCAGCTTCAGCTTTGGTGGGGTTACAGTAGATCCTCCGATCTAGGCTCCACTCATTTCACCTTTATTTTCTCGTCTTCCTTTATTTCACCTTCCTTCATTCTACGACTCTCGAGACTTTGATATTTTATTGTTGCAGAGATTGCGCGGACAGACCCATACGATCACGCACCGGCTCATTTCACTATTCGTCATGTCGTTTCCAGAGACCGACCCAGAAGCCGGATGGCATTTCCCCGATATATGGGATGTGTTCAGGGTGCGATACCTGTTGCAATGGAAACTCAGTGAAGGATTTCCAGCAGAGCTGGTTGATCAAATAATCGATGCAGCCGAGTATTGGCCATCCACCGAGCACCACATGGTGGAAGAAGCCAACAGTAGAATTGTTCGAAATGACCGGGATCAGGTTCTGCTAAAGACAGTGCCTCTTTGCTATTCGCGAAAGGTCAGTTTATCTCCTCGTGAAAGATGGATTTAACTTGAATGACTCTACTAACTTGACATGTGTTCGGCGTCTTAGAGTTTAGAACAATCGCCATTACCGAAGCCACTTCCTCATCGGGGTATTCACCCCTGTCGCAAGGTCGTTTTCCGCATCTCTTCACACGATCAAGGAGGTCGAGGGACCTCGCAAGACTATGATTATTCGGAATCCTGGACCTGGTTTGATATCGAGGTTATCCGTGAAGCGCATACCCGCAATATGTATGTTGACGGAGAGGAACAAGAATTGTTGCATAATGAACGAGGACAAGTTACACAACATTACGAACCCACGGATGAACTTCTCCTACCCCGGCAGAATAAGGTACAATCAAATGCCAAGCGATCGGGTCACTTGCAGAACAACACCATTGTATGGCACTATTTGGACGATATTGGTTCCGATTCTGCCGAGGCTTTTGAGATTGAGCGGACAAAAGGCCGGGGGCGGTTCACGTTAGATGGACGATTCGTACGGGAGTTGGAAGTTGGGGACTCCATTGCACTATGGGCGCGAGCAAGGTTCCCTGCTTGGACCAACTATGTTTCTAAGGCCTCTGTTCGGGTATTCTGGGCTGTGTGATTGAAAAATGGACAACTGTAAACAAAAAGGTCACACAAACGGACCTTTCGAAGGCCTGTGTCTCGAATCCTTTATGAACATCCGCATATACCAGTATGATTTAGATTTAGCATAACGCAACATACACGCATGATATAAGCTATAACATTCAATACCCCGAGTCAACATTGAAATCAGTCCTAGTAGATGATAAGCAGTAACTAGGCCAATACTGTCAAGCCTTACAATCCAGGCCAGAGAATTTACCGCCTGAGAATTCAGGCCCAACTCGAGCACGCAATTTCGCCAAGACTACTGGATCGACCAGAGCGCCAGAGTATAAGACCAAACGACTGCCACAACCAGCTTTCTCTTCTTCTTCTCCCCAAATCGACCCTGCTGATTACAATGATGCTACTAACCATACTCACTAACCTCTCTAAGGTCCCCCCTTGAACCCACGCCGTGGTGGTTATCCCCTTCCCCAAGACGATCTCGCCATACACCCTATTTCTTCCCAATCCGCCTGACTCACCCGACCCAGCCGATAAGCCGATGGAAAGCGTCCAGGCAGTGGGGCACCTGCGTCAGTCGACCTTTTTTCGCCCTTTCTCGCCCTCTTTCTCGGCCGGCTTGTGCCATACCAAGACAAGCGATCAATTTCATGTCGCAGATACCAGCCGAGGAGCCAGTCTATCCCGGCCTGGATTGGTTATCGCTTACGATCGACAAGTCTTTCTCGACCGAAAGACTCTGCCTTCCAACGATGTGTCAAAGTTATTGAGGGTGATCATGTGAGATCTGGGGACCTGGGTGCACGCCCCTCAATGTGCGGCCCTGTTTTTATCGGTTGGCGACGTCCCGACTGGACGTTGGTTGCGTTATCTGCACCGCCAATGGTGATCGGTGACTTACGCATTCCTATATACGTCCCTCGGGTCTTGGCTCTCAACTGAACCCCCCTTTTTGGGTTTTCCCGCTGGTTCTGGCGGTCTACCGCCGTTTCCTTTTACTTATTTAGATACCCGAATGAATCCATTTTTACGTTACACTTTCGCTTTCAACTTAAATCCCGCTTTCCCCTCTTTCTGTGTTCTCTGACTCTTTATTTTCGCTCAATCTTGCCTTGCTTCTCCATATCTCACTACTTTCAATTTTCCCATCTTCACACAATATGGCAACCAGGAAATGTGCTGCAGTTGTCGTGGGCGCCGGCCCAGCTGGTGTGGCAGTCATGGGCAATTTGCTGGAGCGTCAGCTCGGCACCATCGCCTGGATTGACCCCAGTTTTGAGTCTGGCAGAGTCCACCGCAAGTATCGCGAGGTTCCTAGGTTGGTTCCATTTGCACGCCGAAGGGGGCATTTTCTGGCACCAGCACCACTAACCGTCAAATTACCAGCAACACCAAAGTATCGCTGTTCCAGGCATACGCTACAGCCGTGCAACCCTTCAGAACCGTCATCGAGAACACAAGGCAGCCCAATGCATTCACCACCATGGCCAAGCTGGATCAGGAGAAACCATGCCACCTACACTATGCAGCCGACATGGTTCGCGGTCTGACAGACGGCCTGATGAAGATGGACGATGTCTACGCTTGCCGCGGCTTCGTCACAGCAGCCAATCAAGGCGATAGGGTCCGTCTCTCGTACACAGCTTAAAAAGCCAGCGCGCTAACAATGATGTCATCCAGACCTCCAACACATCCAAGTGGATCGTCCGCGTCAAGCGCCATGACTCCGCAGACGAGATCGAGATCGAAACCTCCCGCTTGATCCTCTGCACGGGCTCCCACCCAACCAATCTCCCCGTCCCAGTCCCCGGCCTAGACATCACCTCCCTAGACCTCGACACCGTCCTCAAGCCCTCCGAGCTCGCCAATATCCTCCCCACATCAACACAAACTACCGTCGCCGTCGTCGGCGCCTCCCACAGCGCTATCCTGGCCCTCCTCAACCTCCTCCAGCTCTCAGCAGACTCACACCCGAACCTGCGCGTCAAGTGGTTCACCCGCCACCCGCTCCGCTACGCGGAGTACAAGGATGGCTGGATTCTGCGCGATAACACGGGCCTGAAGGGCCTCGCGGCCGACTTTGCTCGCTCCCAGCTTGAAGACGATAAGCTTTCTACCTCGGCCGCCGGTCGCGTCATTACTAAGATCGATTGTGCGGGCGGCGAGGCCCGCGAGTCGGCCCAGTATCACGAGTATCTGCCCACCTGCCAGTTTATCGTTCAAGCGGTCGGCTTCACGCGCGATCCCTTGCCGAAGCTTGCGAGGGATGCGGTGCCGCTTGCTATGGAGTTTGATCATGAGACGGGCCATTTCCATGAGCGTGGTGGTGGCGCTGTTATCCCCGGCTTGTTTGGTGCCGGCATTGCTTTTCCCCAGAGGGTTGTGGACCCCTATGGCAATGTCGAGTATGCTGTTGGCTTCTTTAAGTTTATGAAATTCTTGAAGAAGGTTGTCCCGACCTGGGGCTCTGCTTGATCTGCTTATGATGAATCCTGGCGTTACACTTATGGAGGCTGGTCCTTTTTTCATTTTTTTTTCGGCTTTACGATGTCTATAGGCGTTGGGGTTCTATGAACTTGGTCGTGGCTTTTTGCTCCCCATTGACCGGACATGTCTAAATCAGATATGGTATCATACCAAATGAATTCAACATCAATTTAATCTCAAATCGTATCATTCCCATTACGATATGTCCATGAATGAGTGACCTCGACTTTCAAGATTCTCGCTGCTACGTAGTACCTTGCACCAAGTTTTCAATCACGCAAGTCTAGGTCTGCCCTGGTGCATTTTTCATCGTCATCAAATCATAAACATGAAGAAATCCATACCCTCTCCCACCAAATTTCTCTTCGTAAGACCCATTGATACCGACATTCGAAGCCAGTACCTCCAACAACTAATAGTTAGCTGGTTTAGGGTACTGCCACGGCATAGTATAAATACCAAATCACAGCACCAAAGCCCCCAACACCCCAACCACCAAAAGAACTCCAGGCCTCACCACCACACCCGCACCACTCGAACTCGAAGTCTGCGTCGCAGACGCCCCCGTCCCCGTTCCCGTAGCCGTAGCCGTAGCCGTAGCCGTGGTTCCAGCCGTACCCCCATTCTCACTCTGACTACTACCAGTCGTAGTTGTAGTCGCAACATCCTTCTCCTCATACCCAGTCGCAGTAACCGTCCACGTAGTCTTCGACTGCGACCAGGTAATCACCGTCCCACTTGGCGGCGCCGACACCGTGCCCCCAACATTACTCAACGTCGAGCTTCCATTCGACGGGAAGTTGGCGGGCTGATAGAACTTGTCCGAGGGATCCGTGAACCCGATATCCTGGCAGTTGGCTGAGCTGAGCGTGCTGTCGCAGGAAGCCCAGACGAAATCCGGGATCGACGTGTACAGGTTTGGGTAGTCGGATGGGAAGAATATGTCCCAGAGGTCTGCGCCTGCGAGGCGGGGGACTGTGTCGGGGCAGACTTGCCAGGCGCTGGGTTGGGGTTGTTAGTTTGGGGTTGGGTATGGATTTGGGGTTTTGAATAGCCCTGGAGAGAGAGGGGGGAGGACAGGGTATGGATGGGCTTACGCTGAGAGACTGGCGCTACTGCCGCAGCATGCACATTCTGTGGCTGTTTTGGCGATGTTCCCGACACTGGATAGATCGCCTGGGTTTGTTACGGCGTTCGTGACGTCGTTGACGGTTTGGTCGGTGATGTTCAGGATGCAGGAGACTTGGTCGTTGCGTGCAGATAGTGTGCTTTGGAGGACCTTGCCTAGATCGCAGGAGCAGCGGTTTGGGGCGTCGGTTGGGGCGGGCCAGAAGGGGATCGGCTCGATGGCGCTGGGGCATATGGCGAAGTATTGCTGGACGAATAGCTGATATTCGCACGAGTAGACCTGGGACGGGTTGGGTTAGTGGACGATTGGTTGGATTTGGTTTGGTACACTGGATTGGATTCCAGTTGTGATAAGGCCATCTATATCGTGATATCATTCATACCTGGTTCCAGCACGAGTGTGCCATGCAGTTGATATACTCTTGGTGGGCGGTACAGCCACAGTCCACGGTGCAATCGCCATCGCCATTGCATCCGTTTATACAGGAGTTCCACTTATTTGCGACGTCGAGGTTGCAGGATGAGTAGACGGATGAGGCGGCACAGGCACTAGCTGTGATATTGGTCTGCGCGTGCGCTAACTGCACGAAGCCGAGGGTTACGGCGGCGATTGTGGGGGTGATCGACAGCATGGTGGCTTTTTGTTCTGTTTTTTTTTTTTTTTGCTGGGCAAGTGATAGGCGATGCGCTGTATAATATGAGATTGAATTTGCTTGTTCCTGTACACCAAGACCTCGAGACTGCTGGTTCCTGGAGAATCCGCTATGTACTTTCGGGGTCTGATCCGCGCCATTCAATGTGAAGTTGGAAAAGTCGGGCGAAAGCAAAGCTGCTTATATAGATCGTCGCCAAACTCATACGTAAGAAACCGATGTAAGAATAGCCTTGAGCAGGGTGCCAAGTGAGGAAAAGTCTTCGATTATCGGCTTGGGTCCTGCAGATTGCAGCGTTGCCCAATACACTCTTCCGAGCGGGACTTATTGTTGCATACTAGACTGGATTGACACCGCATGTTGCTTTCTAGGCACGGTCACACAATCAGAAAAAGACGCGGTCTCAACCATTCAGGGCCGAAGATGAGATCCATGTCCCAGGTATGAATGATGCAGTATGCATATCTCACATGTAGGCGGTCATCTTTCATTAACTGTGGTAGTTGGGTGGAAGACTCGTCTGAAGGGTCTTTAAATTTCAAAGAGTTTCCTTCTTGTGACTCGGGTTCCTGGTCCGCGGGCAGTGAGATTTAGTAAGTCCCTTGCTGCCAACACGAGGCAGCGCCCTTTTCAGTATAATCAATATGGCGATCCTTGCATGTGCATATGTCGATCCCCTGACAGCGTATACTTCTCTTGTCGGGTTAAATTAATTCAATGTTGCTAAGAGGATTGCGCTGCTGCGGAAATGCTGGTACCTCCTTGGTTGAGTCTAGGGCCTAGATTTTACTTGGGCAGGAGTTTTCTCTGCTTCTTGGATCAATCAAACCATAGATGTTTAGAGCAAGAGCCATTGGCATTTTGCATCGTGGTTGACTGTGTTCTCTGTTGATGTCTTCTCTGTTGGTGTGAATTTGATTTCTCATTCTGATTCCAGTCAGATGAACAGCTCTGTCGCCGAAACCTTCAGTCCAAACCAGAATGCTATGCCCTGAAACACATGGGAACAGGGTTTTACAAGATATTGGGATTTGATCGTGGCGGGGGTCGTCTAGGCACCAGAGAAAGGCCAGTTGACCATACATATGCGCGTGCTCAAGTCTGGGCATTATCCTGGGTTTATGCCGTAAGATATGCAGAGGGTGATGGAGGGTCGGACGAAAGATTAGATGCAATCGGGGACCCGGAGGATCTGCATATGCCATGTTTGTTGTGTTTGAGGAAGTTTGTTCCTGATGACAAATTCAGTATAAACATCGAAGTCTGCACGTGGACCCCCGTGACTTTGTATATACATCCCGGACACTTAGCGTATATAGTAAGCTACCAGGGGTACTAGTTAGCTTGTTTATTGATTGCATATATACTGGTAGTAAATGACCACGTTGTTATTTGACATGGAGAAGTAACGTCATTTCCAGATAAGAAATTAAATGCTACTCTGTACGGAGTAATCTGATATGGTTAGACTAAAAAAAGCCACCAAGTGGAACCTCTGCTCAATGTAGCGACTTCCCCTGAGACTATCGACGCTAAATTAGGGCGGACTCCACCGTGCCAACAACAAATGCAGACCGAAAGTTGATCCTCATTCCCCCTCCATGGTTCCAACTTTGGTCGGCTAAATGGTTTGCCTATCTGCCGTTTGTTCCTGTGTATATCCGGTCCTTCACTTAACTCAGTTTGCTATCGTATACAAATATTGGCCAGTTGCTTTCGAGTCTCTGGTTCTGCGAATATCGAGATTGACATCCTTGGTACGGATTATTCGTACTCGTTTATCTCGGCTCGCAATCTGCGCATCACATGGACACTGATCATCGGGAAAGCCGAAAAGCCGGTTATCAGATAACTGCCACTAATAATGACCCACCATATTGATCGACAGAGGTACAAGTGGACTGCTTGCCCACGTTGTACACAGTGCCGATGATCAACGTTGTGGCACCACTTGTGCAAGGTGCTCTGTATGTAGGTTGTACAACTTACTAGTACAAAGAAAGTACTGCAGAATCCAAGATTTAAGCAACAAAGGTTAAAGAGGAAAGAAGGTTCAAGAATTTTTTTGTACATTAGTTTCCATAAGTAAAATTAATACATGCAAAATACATTCGTAAAATAAATCGCTCAGTGTATCCAAGCTCCCAGGATGTGATGTGGTTGAGAAAAAAAAAGTTGATATGATAATATCCAAAATGACATCCTCCAATTAGGAAGCGTTGATGTTGGTACAGTGGACGGAAAAATCAATGTCAGATCGGACGAAGAGGAGGTGAGACCGGAGTCATGTCCAAGTCTTCAAGAAAGGAAATCACACATGGCTATACAAGATCCATGACGGGAAATTAAGCACTGCTCAATGCGCTTACAGGAGCATAGCAACACCGGCAACGACGGCCAGCAAACCACCAGAGACACGGTTCATGCCAGCAGCGTTGGTGGGAACGGCAGTCTGGGAGGCAGAGGTGGTGGCAGAGTCGGTGGTGGCAGAGGCAGAGCTGGTAGTGGCAGACTTGGAGGCGCTGGTGGAAGCGCTGGTAGAGGCCGAGGTGCTGGACTGGGTGGTCAAGGTGGTAGCGGCGCTAGAGCTGCTGGTGCTGCTGGTGGACGAGCTGCTGGTGCTGGAGGAAGACGAAGCAGTAGAGGTCGAGGTAGCAGAGCTGGTGGTGGAAACAACAGCACTGGTGGCAGTGGCAGTAGCAGAGGCGGTAGCGGTAGCGCCGGCGACGGTGAAGTAAGGCAGGAAGTTGTAGTCATCGGCGTCACTGTCGTCCAGGATCTCGATGGTGTACTCCTGGTCCTCAATCAGATCAGTGGGGACATCCCAGGTGTAGGTGCCGCTGTTGTCAATGGAAGCTAAGAATTGGTCAGTACCCGATTTATAGTTATACGTAGTACATCAATACTACTAGTATGTAGTATGTAGTACTGATATGGGTTGATAAGGGAATGAACGTACAGGCAATGGCATCACCGGACTCGGCGGTGGTCACGGAACCCCACTGCAGACGCAGGGAGACAGTGCCGCTGGTGGTAGGGTCCCAGGTCAGGGTGGTGGAATCTCCAGCAGTGAAAACATAGCCACCGGTGGGGTTGCTGAAGGGGTTGGCAGTGCTGGAGGCGGAAGCCAGAGCCGAGAAGGCAGCGGCGGCGACGATAGTGTAACGCATTGTTGGATATGTATGAAGTATATAGGTAATTAAGACCGTTTAAATGGTTGATGCAGAGGAAGTTGCGGACGGAGGGTAATTTGTATGCTTCTGCGGGGGAGGATATCAAACGAAGGTAAAGCAGAGAAAGAATGGATGGCAAAAGAGAAAGGAAAGGCTAAGAGCCGCGGGACTTATCCCCGGGTTTTTATAAAAAAGAGCAGGGCAAAGTAAAAAAAAGTCCATGTACTAAGTATGGGCGTTCCCAGCCTAGGAAGGCACCGGCTGCGCTAAAAAATGACACTAAGGCCAAAGTCCCTGTGGTGGGCGGAGTCTACGGCGTAGGGGGAACGGGGATTGGCTGAGATGGCTGGGATTGGACGAATTAGGGCGCATTAGGGCGAATTAGAACGGGATTGGGTCCAAAAAAAGAGAAAAAGGAAATGGTGGAAATGGCGGAAATGGTGGAATTGAGCAGGCTCGTGGCGATCCACGAGTGAAAGCTGTTCCTTTTGCCCACTGAGCGCCCTCGCTTCCCAGTACCTTAAATGACATCCCCACTTGGTTGTCTTCTCTCGGCTAGAGGGCTTGGGATAAACCCTTGGCCCCCATTCACTCTTTTGTTTTGGGGTTTTTGTTTCTCAGGGTTTTTTTGCTCCCCTTTTTTTCTTCGTATTTTGGTGGATCCTCTATTATTTTCAAGGGTTCAAATGTGATAAGTGATAAGTGATAAGTATTGGAATTGAAGTGAGGTTTTGTAAAAAATACCTAGAAAAGCCGTAATATTTTACCCGGCAATACTCAAGTGCTATATCGACATCAATTTTCACGGATAACTCCGTACCCCAGAAACGCAGGTACCGTACGCAGGTACTACAGAACAAAACAAAGAGTCGCCACGCGACCTACTCGGCTTTAAAACCCGGCCAGCTCTATATCTCCGGGTCTCTACTCCGGCTTGCTTTCATTTGGAAATTTAGAAATTTTTTTATTATGGAAAAATCCGGGTAAAAATTCTCAAAGAGTTCCCAACGGTCGAACAGTAACTAATTATTCTTGCTCAGCTGGGTAGGATCGCTTGCGCCCAAAAAACGCCATTAGCTCGTTCCCCTCCCAAGGTTCGTGCACAGCCTTTGCCAAGCGGATAAAAGAAAAATATAAGCAAAGAAAAATATAATTCATAAATAAAGATAAAAAATAAAAATCAAGAGTGAAAGTCATTCTGAATAGTTTCTTTGTTCTCAAGGCTCCCATCCCTTCACCTGCCTCTTCAATAACCCTCTGCCGATCATAGAATAACAGCATTTGAATTTGACTTGTTTTACACTCTAAAGCCTCCATCCCCACGAAGTAAGGTAAAGGTGATTATACACACTGACGCGAAGAAAGAAAAAAAAAACAAATAGATTTTAGTGATTTGTGAATACCAAGCTTTGCCATAATATTGATTAATTAAAATTTACCTTGAGCAAACAACCTAAATCCCCGGGTTGTTGCTTGTACTGGTACAACAAGGGCGCTGCAGCCACAACCCCACCTCCAGATCCTGTCAGACATTGAGGCTACTAGGTACAAAAACTATTTGTGGAATTCGGACACCCCGCAATCTGACGAAAAAACCTCCCTGATCAATGGTGCAATAATAGATCACATGCGATTTCAAGATGATACGGTATCATCTCCAACATTCAACATTTACCCGGGTAATCCGAGGTGTCGGGTGCGTTCCAATGCTTGTAGTCACTGATTATGAAGAATCCATTGCTAAAATTTGAATGGAGAGCGTGACTTGGAAAGTTCTGCAGGCAAAAGCCCCGATTGCTGACTAGCAGCCTGAAGCTTGAGGGTAAGCTACTAAGCGCCTTCTAGTAGACCTGCCGAACCGAATCGCCAATCGCCAATCGAGAGGCAAATCGATACCTGAAGTGCCAAGTGACTCGGTTACGATCCGAGTGGTGAACGCCTCCTACTGCACCTCGCCTCATTGATACGATCGAAGCCTCCCGATTTCCACCCATGTACACAAAATCTTCCAAGCCCCTAGTACCTAGGAGCGTTGGATCGATCTTGCTATCTGTGGCGTAGTTCGTTTATCCTCGGTCTATTTTTAACTTCGTTTTTTAAAGTTACTGGCAGCTCAGCTCGGAGATATCTATCTGCATGCACATGTGTGCATCATACGAGTCGAGCTTTTTTTCTTCTTCTTCCACTCGTGATAGATCAGATCTGATTAGTGCCAAAGAGCTGCAATCTTTTTTTTTCTTTTCTCATCCATCATTTTCAGCCTTTGTAGCTGACCTAGACTCCATCTTTCTCTTGACAGATTAATGCTGTGGTCTCATTTGAGTTTGATGTCTAGTACCTAGATTGATGTACGTACCGGATTTTTCCCGACGGTAGATAATACTCGAAAATCAAAGGGACGGATTGGATTCGACATATCGAAATCAGTGCTGCATACTACCAATCCATGGGCTGTATACGGCGCGAAAGCTTGGAACGAAGCTCATAATCGTCATACAAAAGACCAGTGTCCGCACCTTCGTAGCGCACCTCAAGTTCATCTTTTAACTTCTGTGCAGTCTCAGTCGAGAGCCACATGTATCTCTCCACCCTTCCAGCATTCGCTAGCCCGCCTCCATATGTACCCGGCGTTTCTTCGTGTTCGTTTCCACAGGGATATTGCCCATACCCGATCTCCATGTCGTAGTAGCCGACAGTGTGATCAGTGAGGGCATCTCTAGGCTCCAGATCGGTCTGTAAGCCTGGTGCAGTGTGATCAAAGTCCTTGAAGTCATGAAAGTCCGGGGGCGTTATGTTGTGCTCCTTCATGATTTCCTCAAGGTATTGGAGGTAAAATGGATTTTCACTTCGCCTGGCAGCCACGTACAGGGATTTGGTGTAGGGGGGCTTCAAACTTTGGAATATCGATTCGTAATCGCATATTATACAAGTGGTCGCAATTTGGGGCCCCATGGACGGACACTTTCGAACGAGATCAGTTAGAGTTATCTCAGAGGGCTTCACGGGCCCCCATATTACCCACGGGAGGCAGTCCGAGTCATCGTCGATACCGGAGATATCATTGTTCATTATCATGCGGGCATTAATTGCAGTCCGAATCTCTCTGCACTCCTGTTCATTGCCTTCGCTAAGCAATTTACCTGGGAGGATGGCCCGTCCAGGGTTTGTTTCGAGCTGATAGGCCCACCATCTGGCGAAGGTTGTACTGTGATAAATACCACGAAGAACACAATTGTATTCGGTTTTGGTTCTCAGCCTGCGTGGGTGCATGAGTCGACTGTATCGATCCACATTGCCCTCCCACGCGGCCATCTGTGTCTGAAGGCGCTTTTCGAGAACTGGGAGATCGGGCGGAAGAGGCATCCACAATTGATCGGACTGGCCTGGGCCTAGTTCAGCATAGTCCTCCACTCCGCTGATATCCTTCAAGCCGATATCTTGCAAGCCGATAAATCCATCTTCCTCGATGTCAATATCATCAGCAGTCGTCTCTGGTACATTTCTACCAGGGTGAACACGCTGCCCCAAAGCCCATCGGGGCTTCATATCACCATTCAGAAACGCAGGTGTTCGTGGGGTTTCAAGATGAACGGATCGAGAGAAATCTTCCATGACAACATATCGTTGGGGGGCGGACATGATAATCTTGTAGATTTCGGCGTCTTTGTCAACTTCGCGGGATTCTTCCGCGATAGAAACATCAGGCAAAAGGTCCAATTCTTTGTAAAGATCTGTATAGCAAGCTGCAGCACACGCTCGGCCTACTTGATACCGCATGGACGGATATTGACGGGCAACTTCGCGATATGTTTCTTCTGATGCAAGCTCGGGATACCATATACAGTACGGCTGAGTGGCAGGATTTTGCATATCGGGGATTGAATCACTCATTATCAGGCGAGCATTGCGGGCGCGGGAAAATTGATGGGCCTGGCCATCGTCGCCGGAGCATAGCTTGATAACTGCCGGGCTTGTTGCAAATTGAAGTGATTCACGAACCCCACGAATGACTGCTCTCCGGTGCCAGAATGAGCTTAGATCGACAGGAACTTCCTCCCCCTTCATTGCCGCAGCACATTGATCGGGGTCGCATGCAGGTATAGGTTTGCCGGAAGAGTCAGTTGCCTGCCATTTCGGTAAAACGATAGAGTATTGGCTCATAAGGCTGTTACCAGAATGCTCGGTAGCCGCCATTAGGTAGTAAATAATATGGGCAGTGGTGCCAGTGGCGCTGGTGCTGCGTGCAGTGACAAGTGGGGAAAATGAAGTTCAATGTTGAGGAAAAGGAAGGGGGAAAGTCAACTTCTGGAAGGAGAGGATTATGCTTCGACCAGCAAGAATTTATAGGCGAAGTAGATCGCACTATTATTTGAATTGCATCAGTTTATTTCACGCACCTTTTGGTTTGTAATTCTTTTATTCTATTTTTTATTCTCATTCTCCACTCAGCTTTGACATTCATTTTGCCCCTGGACCCTGGTGCAGTCCCCACCACATCAGAGGGGAACTGTACTGTAAACTTACAAGCTCATACACAAACTGGATGTATATGAACCCATGGACAAGTTAAGTGCGTCGCACTGATTCCAATTCGAAACTATTAATATCATTCCAACCGCGAATTCTTTTCAAAAAAGTTCAAAATGAAGTCCCCACAACAAAAAAAAAAAAAAGGGGAAAAAAAAAAGGAAAATGGCTACTCTCGATAGATGCCCCTCGTGCTGAATCCAAACAGAAACCGCGGTTTGCAGAGGGGGAGATCTCACTACAGATTTTGGATAATATGTTAAAAATTATTCACGATAGCTTCAAAATTATACTAGCTTGCACCTCCTGGGTCCTCAATGAGGACTATTTTACATGTGTACGTGGTAGACGGTGATTTTCCTTTTGTTTTGGTGTGGGTTTTGCTAACTAATTCCGACTATTTAGTAACACTGATCGTGTAACTTGAAAGCTAGTAGGAGGCATTATCAAGTATCAAGGATCAGCACTCATCTATCCAAGATTTATCTTCCCAAGCGGTGATCTCTTGCCAATGGCTAACACTCGAGTCGCTCGCTGAAGGTCCATTGGTACTAGGTAAAACGTCTCCAAGCTCATTGGCCTGTGTATCAATATGCAGTTAGTACCTCTTGGGGTTATAGGATAACATCTTGAAAGAAGGGAAACTCACCCAGGTCTGAAAATCAACTCCACTTTGAATGTTCTTCCCTTCAATTTTCGCGGTGTTGAGTGGATCTTCAAAGGTTGCTGGAAAGTTGATTGTTTGGTATTTGGATATCTTGTCTTCACCTGAAACCCCGGTCTCTGCGTCGTCCACAGTCGTAACAGTGGTACGGGTTGAACCGTCCTCAGTTATTTGGAGATTCCACCCGTCGTCTCTGGACAAGTACTTGATCAGCCAGTTATTTGTCGAGGCTTTCCTAAGGAGTATTATTCGTCGACCAATCGTGTCGGCGCGATCAAGACGTTCGGAAACATCCCCAATACTAGACTTCTTCGCATCATCTCTGATCGCCGCCACCTTTGTCGTGACTTTCTCAATAAATCGAGTATGGATTTGATTGCTTCCACCTGTCTTGAGGTAAGGGCTGACTTTGTCCATCTTAATTTGCCCATTAAGACGTTTATCAGTCAACTCCTGTTCCGCCCTCACAAGATCATTTTCAGAATCTGGCGCAGTTATGTCAGGATGAGTCACGGTCACCGTATTCTTGCCCCCCAATCTTAGCATGAATTCAGAATAATCCAGAGGATAATTTGTCGGCTTCTCCGAGCTGCCAACAGTTATCAGATGTCGATTATCTAGCCCAGCCGTGAGAAGTTCTGTTCCGTCCTTCTTCAAAAGGAAAGGAAGTATGAGCTTTTGTGTTTTGTAACCCTCGATTTGACTATATTGAAATTTTGAAACTTTAGTCATAGACAACTGGAATATTGGCTAGATGCTCTGAGAAGGCGAAAATCTCTCGGCGATAACGTACCCAATGATTTTATAGGCCTCCCACAAGAACAGCCTTTCATAGGTATGAGCACGGTCATTGAGCCCGTTATCAATGATACCTTGAATATCGGCTCTTCGATGGTGTGTGTGAAAATGATTATGAGAACCGGAATGGGCTGTATAACTTAGGCTCGTAAAATGAGCAAGCCACACTATAACAAGGCCCAGAATAGAGAACCCAGGCACCCGGGAGAGCATCTTGATAATCCCAGAGGCTCAAGTTGATTGATCGGGGGGAAGAATTGCAAAAAGAGAGCTCAGTTCGTTAAAAAAAAAACGCAGACAGAACAGGCTCTCAAGTTCTCTTATGGGATACTCATTTCCCACCTTTCCCAAATGAACAATCCGAGCATACATGTATTTCTCCCTCATGTGTACTCCGTACCGCGAGATATCAATTTGTCAAAAACTCGGTCTCTTGGCAAATCCACACCGATCCTGCTACCCCATCCCGTACTCCATCCAGAAGCCCCGTTAATTTTACTCTCGAGCCGTGGCCTTCAATGTTGGGAGTTTTACCAAATTATGGAAGCGAAGCTGTATTGTATCATGTAGTACGTGCAAGGCTGGGACGCCAAGACATATTACAATTGGTGCTCACGGCTAACATTTGAAGCTAGCATTAGCGCTTAATTATTTCTGTGGGTTGGGTCTTTCTCTTCTTGGCATTCCACGAGGCTCGCCAGCTTGAATGTACGGCGTGCAGCTTTGGACTTGGAATTAAAGTCAAGCTCTTCAAGTGTATCATTTATGTATCAATTCAGATTGATGACATTTACCGAAGCACCAGAAGAGAGACTCCCGATAAGAGAGGGGAGGCATAGTATGGAAATTAACTGAAGTACATACTCTCCTAACATTGAAATGGGAATGACTTTCTTCAAGTGCAGCCTTGATGTAAGAGAATGAACTAATGAGATTCAGATGTCTTAGATTCATTAGACTCTCGGGGCCATAACCTAGGGAACACGAAAATAACCTGTGGGGAAATTTTTAAGATTATTAGCTGCTGGTACATGAAGTGGAAAAAAAAGCCTCAGGGGCTTGGGGCCGCGGGAAGGGTCCAGGGAAGGGTCCAGGGAAGGGTCCAGGGAAGGGTCCAGGGAAGGGTCCAGGGAAGGGTCCAGGGAAGGGTCCATTGAAAGGGTCTAAACAATGCTACCAGGGTCAGCAATTCGCGCACTAGAGACTCCGCTGTCTTTTCATTGGATCGTCTAAAAAAAATCTACTACACAATGGAGATCGATCGACGATAACAGGGCCGGCTACTCGTGAAACACCCAGGGATGGGCATTGGGGGCCATTTTCGGACCCATTCCGAGGCTGATAATGAATGATTAATGAATGATTAATACAGCGCGAGGCTGCATAATAAGATTTTTTAGATCTATGCTCGGGAAGGCTTGCATGCAGGGTCTACTCCATAGTGGAATCCGCTTCTTAGTGGTAATATTGTGATTCAACTATTACTAGCTTCACCAAATCCTCCCAACATTGAAGGTGTGACACACGGGAACTCATGGGCTCCGAGGATGCCCCGTCCCACATCGGTTCATGTTTGTGGTCTGCAAAAGTTGTGAGTGGCCATGCACTAGCGAAGTATAAGTATTTGCAATTTATCTATATATTGGGTAGCTCTTAACATCATCACCACTCAAGTGCTGTCCTTTCAAGTTTCTTTTCCTTTTCCAACTATCATATTACCTAGGCAGTCTTTTTCTTCATTCTTTCACGATGAAGACTGCCATTGGGGCTTTCATTACTTTCCTCTCTTTGAATTTCTTCATTACCCTCCCTTCTCTTATCTATGCCTCGCCCAACAAGCCGGCAAGCTCGGGTGTCTTGCCTGCTCCAGGTTGCCCAGAGTCCTGCTCAGTTGTTGGTTCTAATCCGAGTAACTGGACGTGGATTGTTGACGAAAGATATTTGAGCATCTGCGAGCAGCCAATCCTATTTGACTACCATATCGACCGGGACTCGAGCTCCAACTTGGTTGTACGCTCTTGTGCTGTCCTTGAGCCTTTCTCCGAACAATCTCAAACCTCGAATTTGCAAGAAATGAAATGGAGCAATGTCAATAGCAATGATTCAGAAGTCGTCGAGCAGTCATTGGTTGTATCGAAGTCTTGCGGGGCATCCCAGCAAACCTCAGATGTTACCATTCAGGTGGGCCCTGCTGGTGCTATCAAGGCTACCAAGGATTCCAATACCGCAATCAAGAATCTAGCATCCTACATGACCAATGCTGCCTCATGTGGCACTACCATACTTCTGTCAAAGGCTGGGGACTCTGTGGCTGCGCTTTATGCCGGTGCAGATGTCTATCAAAGCGCCGTTGGATCATACCTTCTCGACTTCAAGAAACAATTTAAAGCTGGATCCCAGACAATCCAATCCTGCCACTCGAGCTCGAAGCGAGATAATACCATTGGTTTTTATATTGTGAACTCATTGGATGATCTAGAAGATATCGATCACGCCTTACAGACATGGTCCAAGGGCAGCTGCCTTAACTCGGACGGTCAATACTCGATCCAATCAAAGACCACCATGCTTGGTGTTTCTGAAGTCAGCAAGCGATCGGATATTTCCTCATCGCTCGAAGGGTTCCTAGCCCCTCGTGCTGATTGTAAGACCATCGAAGTCAACCAAGGAGACGGTTGTGCGTCATTAGCAAGCCGCTGTGGTATATCAGGAGACGATTTCGACAAGTACAACACCGGTACTGACCTTTGCAAGAATTTGAAAGTTAAGCAACGTGTTTGCTGCTCAGCAGGATCTCTGCCAGATATCATCCCTAAAAAGCAGTCAGATGGCACTTGTGGCACTTATACTATCCAGACGAACGACAACTGTGCTGATATCGCGGCTCATTTTGGTATTACACAAGATGATATCTATGACTTCAATGAAGACACTTGGGGGTGGGCTGGCTGTGGCACGAATGACCTCAAAGCAGATCAAATCATATGTTTGAGTGAAGGCAATACTCCCATGCCGTCTCCGTTGAGTAATGCTGTTTGTGGTCCTCAGGTGCCTGGTACCAAAGCTCCGTCGGGAGATTATACTGGTTGGAATCTTACTAAGCTCAACCCTTGTCCCCTGAATGCTTGTTGCTCAGGTTGGGGCTTCTGTGGCACCACAGATGAATTCTGTACCGAGTCACCCGCCAAGACAAAAGCCCCAGGGGCCTTTCAAAGCGGCAAGAATGGATGCATCTCCAACTGTGGCACAGATATCGTCAATAATGATGACGCTCCGGACAATTTCTACCATGTTGCTTATTTTGAAGTCTTCAACCTCAAGCGCGACTGTCTGAACATGGACGTCAATGAAATCAGCGATACATCCTTGACCCATGTGCACTTCGCTTTTGCTGGATTGACTGCTGATTTCGATGTTTCCTTTGACGACGATGAGTATGAAGCGCAGTTTGAGAAATTCGTCAAAAATGATGCATCCTATAAAAAGATTCTTTCGTTTGGAGGTTGGGCTGAGTCAACATCCGCCTCAACTTTCCAGCGTTACCGTGATGTCGTCAAGTCTGGAAATCGTGAGAAGTTTGCCAAGAACATCAAGGCATTCTTCGAGAAATATGATGGACTAGACGGTATCGACTTTGACTGGGAGTATCCTGGAGCCACTGATATCCCTGGCGTACCTGCAGGTTCCGACAGTGACGACGACAATTACCTTGGTTTCTTAAAGTTGATGAAGAGTACCATTGGTGATAAGTCCCTTTCAATTGCTCTGCCTGCTTCATATTGGTACCTGAAGACATTCCCAATCGCTAAAATGTCTGACTATGTTTCATACTTCATCTACATGACTTATGACCTTCATGGCCAATGGGGTGAGTTTATACATATCATCCCAGGTTCATTGTTGATGAAGCTCATTAACGATAAAAATTTGAATAGATTATAATAATGCCTACGCAGATGAGGGCTGCCCCAGCGGAGACTGTCTTCGATCGCATGTCAACAAGACCGAGACTATAAACTCTCTTGCGATGATCACCAAGGCTGGTGTGCCTGCAAGCAAAATCTTTGTTGGAGTTTCAAGCTACGGTCGCAGCTTTGGTATGGTCGACCCAACCTGCACTGGTCCCATGTGCAAATACGGTGGCGCTTTTGATGTTTCCACTGCCGAGGCTGGAGCTTGTACCAACACGTCTGGCTACATCTCAAACGCCGAGCTTAATCTCATCATGCAGGGTGTGGACTCGGGTGCTAGTAACTACAAGGGCCGCACGTGGTATGATGAGGATTCCGCTTCAGACATAATGGTTTACGGTACTAAAGGCGAAATCACTACTTGGGTGGCATACATGTCCGATGACACCAAGGAGGCACGCATTGATTGGATCAAAGGACTCAACTTTGGAGGTGTCACTGATTGGGCTATTGACCTTCAAGAATTGAACTTGGGTGTTGACCCCGACTCCGATGAAGCTCAGGACCTTGATCTTCCCGCTCTACCCACGGGATGTTCTTCTAACGATTGGCCGGACAATCTGGAGGACTTGCGGAACAACATTGATAAGATTGATTTAGGCTGTCGGGCCCAGGCCGTTGTTTGGGTTTTGATCAAAATTCTTCCTGGCATCTTGGACAACTATCAAAGTGCAGCTGACAATTATGATGAATACGTGAGTTTCAAACCCCTCGTCATGTTTTCTCACATAAGCTAATGTGTCTCTAGTTCAAATACTATGCCGAATGGGTCAGAAACGGCGTCGATGATTCATTACCACTATTTATGTGGAGCGATGGAAAAAGTTACATGGACTGCAAATGGTCATCTACATCCGATGGCAGTGGCGATGCGGCCTGTACAGAAATGCACGTCCCAGAAGGACAACCAGGACAAGGTGAAGTCGGTATCACATATACAGTACGTGATGAAGATGGTTTTTATAAAGCCCTTCAAGCCGACTATGGAATTGAGAAGGACTGGATTGTATGGAAAGACACATACGCAGATCCTGAGAATTCTCTTACCTGTCCTTCTTGTCCTAACTATCATAAAGACTGCGAACCTTGCACTGGCCATGGCGTGACTTACCACAACTGGCCAGTAAAGGCTGCGGACAATGATATCGATGTTCCTAATCTCAAGGACATCATCAACACTGCAGTACCTAACATTACGACACTTCAAGATGTCATTCTCGGGAGTTTCATAGAGATGCGTATCGGGGCCATGGATGCTTCGGACGAAGACGTCGCTACCGCGCTCAGTATGCCCGTTTTCATGATTGCAGACACAACTGAACAAATGAAGAACATCACAAAAATCGGCAAAGAACAGGAAAAAGCTGATGATGATGCTAAAATCAGTTTCATCTTAGACATTGTCAGCATTGTTCTTATGATCATTCCGTTCGCTGGAGAGGCAGTAGATGCGATTGGTGGCGTGGCGAACGTTGCCCGTGCGGCTTATGTTGTCGGCGAGGCTGGCAACGCCGCTCTTTCTGTCTATGATATTGTGAAGAATCCATCTTCAGCTCCCTTCGCCATCCTTGGTCTAGTCATGGGAGCCGATGCCTCGGTTGTTGGCAAGGCTAGCAAGACGACTTTCACCAAAGCTGCCGCTTTCCGGAATGCGATGACCGAGGATACTCTGAGCTCCTTCAGCAAAGAGTTCCGGGCGAATGATGCGATCGTACAGGACATTATCAAAGCTTGTAAAAAGGCTTGATGCTCATGCTGTGGAACAATGCTAGCGGTTTTTATCTTGAGTCGGGCATGCTAATTAGTTATAGAAATATCACTACTTGAACCTTTCCTTTTCCAAATAGTAATATCGCCCACGTTTTATGTAGAAAACGGTGCGAGAAATGATGCCAGTGCTTGATGAGACACGGAGATTCAGTGGACTCGGACTCTTGATTTCAAAGTTTGAATATTCAAATGTTTGAAGCGCTTGAGAGCAAAGGTGCTTGAGGCGTGCTAGAACCTTGGAAGCACCTTTACACCTCGCCCCCCTTTATTTCTCGTCTCTCCCTTCGGGATAGATCAAACAGAGTTACTAGTATCTTCACACTCCACATCTCATTCATGTTTCTTCAACCGTCGATAGTCTCTGCCAGTGATGATATTTTCTCGGGCAGTGGGGGCCATAAATCATAATGCGGAGCTAACCTGGCTACCACAACTGATACCGAATATGAGTATTGTTGATATCAAGCTCCGACGAATAACCGGTGGCACTCCAAAGCGGATATATCGAGACTTTAATCCCATGCGTAGTATAGCCAGTAGTACCTACTGGTAGTTAGTGGTGTATTGTCGCATCCCAATCTCCCGAGGTCAAAACCCAAGGACTTCACGCTCAAGTGCTATGTAAACGAAAGTATAAGACAAATATATGTCAGAGAATAGTTTCCAAATAGGCAAAGCAGATGTAAATTACACAATAAATCGTTTCACATCGCTTTTTTTCTTTTACGGAGAACATGATAGTATGAGGGGCTTGCGTCGATGGCTATTACACGCTAAGCTTCCGGCTGCGGGGCAGTTAAGGTCGGTTGCAGGAATCCATTCTGCCCAAGCCAGGAGATCATTTCCATTGCCCGCTTGTCTTCCTCGCTCTTTTGTTGCTCAACCAACTATATGGGTCATTAGTAAATGGGAAAAAGCCAGTGTGTATCGTTATAATATATATATTTCAGAGGGAAATATGGATGAATACTCACGGCTTGGAAAAGTCCCTTGCGCCCCTTTTTGTCAATAGGCTTGCTCTTAGGTCCTTGTTTCGGGGTATCATGAGAAAATTTGCATTTCTCGCCACGGTTGCACTGGCCTGTACGAGCAAAGTGTCGGCAAGTTTGCTTCTTCCCCTCACGAGGTGGTGGAGCCACCTTTTCCGGCCCCACACGCCGCGAACTCACAGCCTCTGGCGCGGAATCATCATCGCTGTCGGAGTCCGACTCGCTGTCAGATCCACTAGTAGAGGTCCAATCGGTGGGGTCCGAGCCATCAGACTCAAGATCCATTGCATCCATACCATCCGCCGCTACCGTAATTTCTCGAGAAGTTGTAGCCGATGGAGATGTTTGGCCCTCCGGCGTGTCCGTGTTACTAGCCATCACGGGGTCCACTACACTCGATGAGGTTGAGAAGCCAACGGGGGATCCAGCAGGTGCGGCTGCAGATGTTGCAGATGTTGCAGATGTGCCATTCGGCTGATCTTGATTTAAACCCAACACCTGTCTTTGTAGCGCCTCAACTTTCAGTCGTGCGGCTTCGGCTTCGGCTTCGGCTTTGGCGAAGCGTTTCTGCTCTCGGTCTAGGGTGCGCCGGATTTTGTCAGCTTTGCGCTGGGCCCGTTTGGCCTCTTCCAGAGCTGGGTCCCCTTGGGCGTCATTAAGCTTTCGCCCGGCGTTGAACGCAGCCGGGGTTTGTTTTTCTAATTCTTTAGCTCTTTCTTGCGCCTTCTCTCGGCGCGCGGCTTCCCGGGCAGCGTTCGCCTCCTCGGTAGCCTTCTTCTTTTCTTCGATTCGAGCTTGGGTAGGGAATTTCTTCTTTCGCTCTGCGATCCATGCAGCGATATCTGTGGAGGATTGCAGGGTAGATGTTCGTCCCTTGTATGTAATCTGCATCGGCCCAGCATCGGGATTGGTGGCTTTGGATTCCTCATCCACATCCTCTTCTTCCTCGCTAGATTCGTGTTCGTCTGTTTTGGGGGTTAATCCAAGTACATTGTGCTTCCTCTTGCGCTTCTTGGGTGGTTTGCGAGTCGCATCTGCTGCAGGAGGTGGCTTGCATGGCAAAGGATTTCCGAAACTTGGGACTGCAGGCGGGGCTGGGACTTTGGGCGCCGTGGACTGTGGTTTATTAAAGGCAGATGCATGATCTCGTTTGTTGTGATGTCGTGGTTTGGGCCCATGATTTCCATGGTGAGAACCCCGGTGTCCACCACGTCCATGTCCATGCCCAAGCTGACCTGCATACGCTGGTGGATCGGGACTCCAGTGCGTCGAGCCCATGATCACAGGAGTATTTGGGGATGAAGCATGTTGCGTAGGTTGGACCGGTGGGTATGAGGGCGTAGTCTGTGTAGAGAAAGGATTGGGATGTGTGTGACTGGCGTTGTTAAAGCCAGGTATCGGTTGGTAGGGTGCCGATCCAGCGGGCTGTGAGAAATGTTGAGGAGGTTGGTATGGGGAAGGATTCGGGGGGTGTTGGTAGTTGTTTTGAACGTGAGGGGGGTATGGCGTTCCAGGCATGTACGACGCTACTACGGTCATGGGATGTGGTGGATATCCGTAGCTTGCTGGGTTGGAGCTGTGATTCGGAGGATTGTATGGAGGCCGATTAGCATCGGAGGAGTAGTGAGCAGCTCGACCCGCGTTCACATGGCCACGGCCTCGTCCACGGCCACCACCACCACCTCGTCCACTTCCCCCACGTCCCTGCCACTGACCATTTCCATACTGCGCAGAGGGGTATGATAAAGGTTGCTGCGAGACCGCCGGGGGAGGAGGTGGTGGAGGAAAAGAAAAGCCCTGCGAGCTCATGATTCCCAACCTGACACAGGTCCAAGGCAGGAGGTCAGGATCATAACGGTAGTCGTAAACAAGTCTTAAAAAAAAGAGGCCGGATCGACTTCTGCATGGAAGTTTTCAAGCGCTATGCCCGACACTGCAGATCACGTGCGTGTAGTAGGGCATACGGGGTTCTGATTGGTGCGATCCCGCAGGCTTTTTTCTCTCTTGAGCATCAACGCGTTCAAATTGAATACAAGAGAACAACAAGAGTCCAAGTTTGGGATAATCGTGCAACAAACTACTATTACCTCCTTCCCAAAACTTGCTTTTTGTTCACTATTCTTTTTTTCGTTCCCCACCCTTTGCACATAGGCTAGTCGCTATGTTCATACTTGTATGTGCTGAGATACCCGCCAGAGAGAGCTATTCGCTGACTGCAGATAGACCACCATCTCTGATTTGATTCAGATCGCACCTCAAGACTTTTCTAAGTTTAGTGCCGTTGCTATTGAAGACAACATTAATGAAAAATACGCCAATAAGGTTCGTGAGGTTGAAAAACGCGTTTGTTCTGCACAAATTGGCTAACATCATCCAGGTCATTCAAAAAATTGGTCTATGCATCAGTTTTTATGATCTACTCGAATCCTCAGATGGCCTGATTGGTCATGGAACTGGTCTTGTCAATGTCAACGGTAAGTCCAGAGCCTTGTGAGACCCCCGTCCCGCACTCATCACTGATCTCATCCTAGTCAAATTTCGCATGATTGTTTTCCGTCCTTTCAAGGGCGAGATTATGCTGGGAAAGATTGCCAGTGGCACTGAACTCGGCATCAAAAGTAACAATTCACCCTCCAAGCCCCCTCCCTTGGAATGATTCCCTGACCTCGAGTAGTTGGTGTCGAGTTTTTCAACGATATTTTGATCCCACCTGAGCTCCTGCTCCCCGGCGCGAAGTTGTGAGTTTCACCCTTGTGTTTCCTTGAAACTCAACATACTAACAAATAATAGTGACTATGCTGATCAAGTCTGGACCTGGGACAACGATGATGGCACCACTCTGTATTTCGACGTAGGAGAAGTCGTTCGTTTCCGTATTGAGACAGAAGAATGGCATGATCAGATTCCCAATGGGCCAGACAGCGACCAAACCGTGGCCGAAAGAAAAGCTGCCTACTCTATCATTGTACGTCGCCTCTTGTCCTTGGAAAGGTATCTTCAGCTAACCAGATTCTTAGGGTTCGATGCAAATGGGAGGTCTTGGACCTGTGACTTGGTGGTAGTCCAAGATTGATGCATGATGATTTTCTGCAGAGCGCCGTCTCGTTTTTTTTTTATTTTTTTAGAAAAGTCAGATCAGATACCCTTACCGACCGATAGATGAAACGGTCAAATTTCAAAGCATTTCAAAGCACTTGAGTGGTTTACTTAGAAAACTGAGCCTGACCTCGGAGACAACCTTAGAAGTGGACTGGACTGTAGGTAGTACCGGTACTATGTACTGCAGGACTCAAGGTTGCTCTCGGGACATTTCACCGCTCATTTGCGAAATCTCGCGAGGAGAAGACTTCTACTCTTATCGGATTTCAAATGTTTTGTTCTAATTAAGTTCTGGAGTAACTTTAGCTTCTCCTAGTCCGGGGATCCGTGTCGTGTCCGGAGTCGAGGATATTATTTGCTGATCGGTGTAGTAGATGGCGGAATATCGAGATATGTTGCACCATTACTCCGATCACTCCGGCGGATCGGCGTGTTCAGGATTTTTCTCCGGGAGCGATGGCGCGGCTCCATCCGGCAAAGTGACCCAATGGTGGATCCTTCAGCGTCTCTTGACCAGTCGCATCACAATGATCGATCGCCCTATGCCCCAGAACGTTTGACAGAACGTAAGAAATTCAAAGGGTTCGAGTTTTTTTTTTTTTTTCGGGTTCCATAGATCGAACAAAGCATTTCTTTTATTTAAATATCGCCCCCCACCAATTCTGCAAGGTTGTTCCTGGAACGTTCTGCTTGATAATCAAGGTTTTGTAATTGATCTTAACGGTGATCTCATTGATAAAGCTCGATATCCTTCTGTCAATTTGCTTTTTGTCTTTCTTTCGCATCTCATTACCATCTTGTATATCTGCAAAAATGGGTTCATTCGAGAACGGTCAAACTACTGAGCGCCGCTTTGGCACCCTGGCGGTCCACGCTGGTTCTCCTCACGACCCTTCGACTGGCGCTGTTATTGCTCCGGTATGCTTATTCTCTTTCCCCAATTGATTCAATGGTTCATCAGCTAACATAATTCAGATCTCTCTTTCCACTACATTTGCTCAGACTAGCGTCGGCAGCCCCGTCGGCCTCTACGAGTACACCCGCAGCTCTAACCCCAACCGGTCAGTCGCAAACCCGAGCCGCATTTGTCACCCCAAAACCAAACTAACATAAAAATACAGTGATAACTTCGAGGCTGCCATTGCTGCCGTTGAACATGCCAACTATGCCCTTGCTTTCTCTTCCGGTTCCGCAACCACTGCGGTCATTCTGCAGTCCTTGGCTGCCGGGTCCCACATCGTCTCGGTCTCCGACGTGTACGGTGGCACCCACCGCTACTTCACCAAGGTCGCCTCGGCCCACGGTGTCGAAGTGACCTTTTCTCCCGCCATTGAGCAGGAGGTCGAGAAATTGATCCGACCCAACGAGACCAAGATCATCTGGATCGAGACCCCCTCCAACCCCACCCTCAGCCTGGTGAACATTCGCGCCGTATCTGAGATCGCCCACCGTCACGGCGTCCTCGTCGTCGTCGACAACACCTTCCTCAGCCCCTATGTCCAGAACCCATTGGACCACGGTGCCGATATCGTCGTCCACTCCGTCACCAAGTACATCAACGGTCACTCCGTAAGTTTTCTTGCAGCCCCCGCCTTTGTTTGGCTTTCACTAACATCAAATCCCAGGATGTGCTGATGGGTGTTGCCGCTTTCAACTCCGACGCCCTCAAGGAGCGTCTTACTTTCCTCCAGAACGCCATTGGTGCTGTCCCCTCTCCATTCGACTGCTGGCTCGCCCACCGTGGTCTCAAGACCCTGCACCTGCGTGCCCGTGAGGCCACCAAGAACGCCACCGTTGTCGCCCAGGCCCTCGAGTCTTCCCCCCACGTCATCTCCGTGAACTACCCCGGTCTTGACTCCCACGCTCAGCGTGCCATTGCTCTCAAGCAGCACCGTGATGGTATGGGTGGTGGTATGCTCAGCTTCCGCATCAAGGGTGGCCAGGCCGCTGCCCACAGCTTCTGCCAGCAGACTAAGATTTTCACTTTGGCTGAGAGCCTGGGTGGTGTTGAGAGTCTTTGCGAGGTTCCCTCCAGCATGACTCACGCCGGTATTCCTCGTGAACAGCGTGAGGCCGCTGGTGTGTTCGATGACCTTGTCCGCATGAGCTGTGGTGTCGAAGACGCTGAGGACCTCCAGGCTGATGTGCTTAAGGCACTTGAGCTGGTTGTTGTCGGTACTAAGGCTTAAATGCCTTCACCCATCGCATATTGAGCCCTTGATTTGCATTCTTGCATCATAACGAAATTAGATAATAGACGATTCCCTTTTGTTCCTCTACTCCATATAGGAGGATTGATTGATTGAGCAAATTTCCCTGGCATATTCACTTTCATTTCCACGATTTGTTTCTAGCTACCGATTTTATAAAAAATAAATCAGTTTTCATTCAGCTAAGCTATATATTCTCTTTCATCTCCATAGCCTGTTGGGCAAGGGAGCCCCGGCATAAAAGCTCCCTAATCAAGGAATAAGTGAGTCACGTCTTCGAATTCCTCACTCTCTGATTCCCAGTCCACGTTAACACAGCCGTCATTCAGCTAAGCTATATATTCTCTTCCATCGCCATAGCCTCTTGGGCAAGGGAGCCCCGGCATAAAAGCTCCCTAATCAAGGAATAAGTGAGTCACGTCTTCGAATTCCTCACTCTCTCATTCCCAGCCCACGTTAAAACAGCCGTCGTTCCGATCACAGAAGCAAATATCAGAGTCCGATTGCCATGCGGTAGTTTCCGCATTCGCCTCAAGTGCTGCCACCCGCTCCTCGAGATATTTCACTTTGCTCGCAAGTTCTTCATTGCAACGTACTTTGGCGTCCAGCTCGAGTTGCAATCGGCAGCAAGCTTCTGTGAGAGTTTCCGTCTTCTCCCCTTCGATCACTTCTTCGATCACTTCGGCCTCAAGCGCCTCCTCCTCGGTCGAGCTTGCTTTCTCGGGTGACTCCTTAGCAGCTGAAGTTGTAATGTCTTGGGATAGTCTCGTCTCCAAGATGGCCATATCTTTGATCAGTTGGGTAATAGTGTCTTGAAATATGATGTAGTTTGACTCCATTTCGGTCGACTTTGTTTCCCCGGGTGGCTCCTTAGTAGCTGAAGTTGTAATACCTTGGGAGAGTCTTGTCTCCAAGACGGCCATATCTTTGATCTGCCGGGTAGTAGTGTCTTGAAATATAATGCAGTTTGACTCCATTTCGGTCGACTTTGTTTCCCCGGGTGGCTCCTTAGCAGGTGAAGTTGTAATGTCTTGGGAGAGTCTCGTCTCGAAGGGGGGCGTATCTTTGATCAGTTGGGTAAGAGTGTCTTGAAAGATGGTGGGGTTTGTCTCCATTTTGGCGATTTTGTCAAGATTCGTACGGATGGGTGCGAAGATATCTTTGAATGTGGGGATAAGATGCTCATCAGAGGCATTCCATCGTGTTGTCAAGTTATCCAATTCTTCCACAATAGCCCGTCGGGATATTTGGACTTCTGCTCCGGCTGCTCCTTTGAGTTCACGTTTCATCTGCCTCGGTGTTTGAAAGGGGGGTGCGACACCGTTTTTTTTGATATCTCAAGCACTGGACGTGGGTTTCGCCTCTGTTCCGCTTTTCTAGAGTATTCTTCCTTCTAAGCGGCTTCCGCGGTGCGCTAGGCTTGCTTGACAGTATCTGACAGATTCACAGTGTAGACCTGGGAAAAGGAAAGGGGGAGAAAGAGCAACTGTGGTATTCTTCTCACTGGCAGGGATGGGGAGAAAAGGAAGGAAGGAAGGAAAGGAGAGAGAAGCTCTCACTTATCCAGACTGACTACTAACAAACACGCGCTGTACTCAGACGTTAGTCCAGGAACAGACCATGTGACCTATTCTAGTCACATGGTTCACTTCTCCTGACAGTATCGCCCTAGGTGGTTTCTGTTTCCTTCTAAGCGGCTTTAGCGGTGCACTAGGCTTGCTTGACAGTATCTCCCTGGCTGGTTTCTGTTTACGCCATGACTTGAAGGCGTTCAATTGAAATTGAACTCCTTTTTCATTTTGAGAAGAGCTTGGTAAATAGCAAGATGGAGTTTTCAGGGGAGAGGATCGTTGAGCGTATCTGTAGCCTGCAGGCATATTGCACTTGTTCCAATCAACTCAAGGCTACCTACTAGTAGGTGATCGTATAGAAGGAGTGAAGGAGTGGTCGAAGTAGGTGGTATGTACTCTTGACTCTTGAGGCTTGAGGTATGACTCCGGAGTCCGGAATAGTGGGGAGCTGAGAATTCACAAAATACTCAAGCCCTCAAGTGCTGGAAGCCTCTCGCTGCTTGGAATCACTTACACGCGACGAACGGCGCTTGTATAATTCGAACCATTGGTTCTTACGCACGTTCACTTGAGCTGCAAACTCCGCAACTGTTGTCTTCCCGGTAGGAGGCTCTAGGTGCTGTCGAAGACTCGCGGACATCTTGTTATAAGCCGCTTGGACTTGAGCTGCCTCGCTCGTTGCCTGCCCGTCGGGGAGAGCCTATCGGAACTAACGAGGCGCCCCTGCTCGGTTAGTTCATCAAACTTCTGGTCGACGAGACGCTTGGCTTTCGCTGACAAAGCGTAATATTTTGTAGGCCACGAATCTTCATCCCAGCCGGCCTTCATCGGAATCCGCATACGCGAGTCGCTAGGTACTACCATACAATAGCGAAACCACCATGATCCATGAACACATACCGCTCGAATCATCCGGATTGTAACGTCCCTTGCCCCTGTCCCGGGAGTCGTGATAAGAACGCTGGCCATCATGACGGTCACCTCGATTCTGACGGTCATCTCGATGCTGACTCTGCTCCCTAACTCGGTGGTCGTCGTCGTCCCGATCTCGAGTTCGGTGGTGAATGGGACATCGAATTGTCATTATTAAAAAAACATTTTCAATCCATGGAACTTCTAAGGTTTCATCTCGATCAATTGTAGTGCTTAGTAGTACTTACTAGTAGTAGCTTCCCCAGGGCTTAGTATAGTTCCAACTTCCCAGGGTTCTCTTCACGGAATCGGGTGGCGGGGCTCCACTTAGTCATCAACGGCCACAGAATTGCAATTTTTGGAGATGAAATCGATTCAATGTTAAAAAGAACGTTGAAATTCTACGAGTCTCTCAAGTGTTAATTCACCTGTCCTTGAGAGTCAGAGCAATCTACTCCAAATAAAGTCAGATTTCAATCGAAAACAGATCCACTCAAAAAGGCCCGGTTGACTCACATCACCTATCAACACTTCTACACCATGGCATTCAGTTTTGGCTTCGCGGGAGATGACATCGATATTGATGATTCTGATATCAATGATACCCAAGATGCTTTTGTTCCGACAAATACCTCTGGCTCGCTCCCTGAGCTAGTCAAACCCTGCAAACATAGTCTGGACGAGTGGGTGAGTTTTTGAACATATACAACAATTTTTTTTCTTTTTACCAAGCAGATTCCAATCTAATCTTTTATAGCTGTCAATTCTGCCATCTCAAATATTCTATAATCAGCTTCCAATCAATGGCACACCAATTGTCATTGCGCGCCGCGAAATCATCGACATTCGCACGCAACTGATGGCCGAAGATACTGCGGACCATGAGAATGAAGAGCTAATCGCCGGCCTAGAAGAAGGTGATCTTAAGCCTAATTTCTATGAGGGTGGCTTTAAGACTTGGGAATGTTCCTTGGACCTTGCAAAGTTTGTTACCAATGAACACACAATCATTGAGTCACTGGACGATTCACAGACAAACGCTCATATTATCGAGGTTCGTATCAAGATCCAATTTTCAAATTGAGATACCCATGGACTAACGTATCAAATAGCTCGGCTCAGGCACAGCGGTACCAACATTGACTCTGTTCGCTCATCTTCTGAACAAGACTGAACCTTTGGAGGGAGCTGTACCGCAACGAAAGGTCATATTCACCTGTGCGGACTACAATGATTCTGTACTCCGACTTGTCACGCTGCCAAATCTTCTGTTGACTTGGAACCACATTCGCCAGCAATCCAACACGGTGGTGGAAGACCAAGAACCTGCCCCAGTGCAACCAGAAGAGGAACTCGACATCACACCTGAACTGGTCGAAGCATTCAAGAATGATCTCACGCGGCGTGGAGTCGTTCTCAACTTCGTATCCGGTGCTTGGTCTCCTGAGTTTGTTGATCTTGTGTTCTCAGCCTGTGAAACAGATGACTTCAAGACATTGCTGCTTGCAAGTGAGACCATCTACTCACCGGCGTCCTTGAAGCCTTTCTCCGAGACTCTTCTTGAATTGTTGCGTCGCTCGACTACGGTGTCTGTGAAGAGCCGTGCCATGATCGCAGCCAAGAAGGTTTATTTCGGAGTTGGAGGTGGAGTGGATGAGTTCCTGGCGGTTCTCAATGAGGTCTCCGCAAGCGAACTACAAGTTGAACAGAAGGTCAATATTGAGTCGGAAGGTGTCGGCAGAGTGATTTTAGAGGTCACATCCGCCAATTAAAATGCATAAAACAACCATAAAACAACAAATAGTCGGCAGTTAAAAATATACCAATTCCATGTTACGTTTTTAGAGTCTTGAAACCGCGAATAAATGGAATTCAAATGATCAGGTGCTGGTTGAGACTTCCCAGTCCCAACATATATGTACATGTTTTGCCTCCTCCCCAATCGCGCAGATTGTTTACAACCTGCCATCCATCAGAAATATGAAAAACGATACAGGCGCTTAGATAGCCTCTTCGTGGATGGAGATCTCGCGACCCTGCATCCGTGCAATCCGAGACGCGTCAATCTCCTTGTTACGCTGCTCGTAGTGGGCCACAACCTTGCTCAAATCCGCCTGGGAACCAGGGGAGACGTTCCAGGGCGAACCGGTGTTCATCATGCTAGAAAAAAAAAGAGTAAAAATTAATACCAATGCCACACGGCAAGGAACATTCGTTTCACATACTCAGGCTGCATCAACTCATAGGCCTCACGAGGTCCTTGACTCTGGAGCAGGTGGCGATCCTCGGCAGCCTTCTCAAGCATGGCAGTGTGAATGGCATTGCGCTGCTCAGCAACCTCAGCGGAGGGAGTGTACTTGGTGATCAGGCCGGAGATCCAGTTCTCGGAGTCGGTCGACTTGCTGACGTGGTAGATGAGGAACGCAGAGGCGAAGCTGCCAATGGTGACGTAGAAGCTGGGCTATTTAGTGCATCAAGCAGGTTAGTAAAGATTCCCGTGCAATTGGAGGTCCCGGTATCTCGTCGGATCCAAGGGTCGGGGCTGGCGGGGGTTGGAGAAGCTTACGCCGAAGCTTTCGTTCACGGGCTCAGCGTGGGCGTGGGAGGAGCCGAAGCGGCGAGGCGGCTGGGAGCGCAGCAGCTGCCGCGATGAGGCGGCACAGCGTCTGGCGGCGAACATGGCTATGAGGACAATTGACAAGAGTCGGTTGGTGATGACCCTTTCGGCACCGGTGATAGGATGAAGTTGCGAACAGAAGTGGAAGTCATGTGACAGTTCCTATATTGGGACTAGTGCCATGCCTTACTTTAGAGTGAGATCACCACAATTACTCCGTAGACCTGCCAATTCGTGACTAACTATTGATTCGAGGTTCGTCCGAGTAAAATCCCATTCGTTTTCTTTGTTGCTCATCCGATTTCATAACTCCCAGTTAGTCTCAAGTGCTGTTTGTTTTTTTTGCATAAAGCCCCATTCTTGTTATTCACGAATCACGTATAGAAAGTTCAAAGAGGACCAAATAATAGTCTTTTTAAATATATTTTAGTATCTATTTTTAAATAGTAGACTCTATCTCATCTAAGAATTTTTTTTATAAAACAAAGAAAGGAAAAGATACCTTCAAAACATCAAGGATATCATTATCTTAGAAGTCTAATATAGTATGACGGAAGGTCTAAGGATTTCTGGCCCAGCGGTGCTCGAAAGCCTTCAGCGATGCCACATATCGTGCACAGATCCCTTTTCTGAAGAGACCCTTTCGTTTCGTCTGATGAAGGGCCTCCTAATAAGTGTTTGGAACGTTTGGCTAAGATGATTGGCCGAGATGCGCAGATGAAAAGGGCCACTTTTCTCTGCAGATGATTACCTCGCTCCTATGCCCCGCCCCATCAAACCAACAACAACAGTTAAACATCGATTACCACGATAGAAAACCAACACGTCAGGGAACCAATAGGTCAAAAAATTCAAAGTCTCAAAGACGCAAATCTTGTGATTACGTCAGACCAAACCTAAAATAGGATGGTGGGATCTTTATCAGTTAACCGAGAAACCTCCACGCTCGAGGATCTAATTAACCGTCATTGACCACGCTTTTCGTCTCGCAAGACATTTTTACTTCCTCCAGATGTCTTCTCAGCCACCATGGGTCCCGAGTCTACTAGGGTAGCTGTATATGTCACTGTGACCGATATAGATGGCTGTCCTCAACAACATTTAAACGGCATACATATCCAGGTCGGCGAACAATTCAGCAATTACATCAAGTTGACATTGAACCGTGAATTTTGCCCTATCCTGAGTCCAATACTCTATGTATGATAACGTCCACATCCCAGCTGATTTTGACTCGATCGACCCTTCAAATGTTTGAGGAAATGGTTCATACTCGATTTGAATGTCCAGAGGGAATGTTGCTATATGTGCAGTGTGCTTGGTCATTTCACAACTTTCAATGTTCAAAGTTGCAATATATTATCTCAGGATCACTTCATGGAGGTGCTTGTCGTGATGATTCGTCTCGTGCCTTTCTTCTCTCAAGTGCTCCAGATGTCCTTTTTCATTTCGCGTTTTGCGTTGCCTCAAATACCGCGCATAGTTCATATATTCACATATAATATTTAATTCGTGTTCAAATAACGCAAATACAAAATAGACTTCAAGACCTACAGCTGCACGCTAATCATCATTTTGACGGGAGTGCTTTCCGGTGCAGTTGGCACTTTCGGACATCTGGAATGATTGTCATCAATGTGTTTGGATTCAGTCACTTTGTCTAACTTGCCCATTTTGAGGCGCAACAGTTTGATACTAATGACTAGTAACTAGTTCTACTCATGAATGCATCCAGACTCCAGAGGTGACATCAATTGTATGGATCCAAGCAGAAGAGAACCCCATAAGAATCAGACCATCCATTCTATTTAAGGCTTCCAAGATGATTCACTGTTTATCGAGGTGATTGTTTCTATCCCATTCTTCTACCGGAAGCTTATAGCATTTCTTCCATACTTCATGAAATCATCCCATGGGACTTATGTAAGCCGGACCGATGCCTGAAAAATCCGAATCGGAACGAGATGCGATTCCGGTCCGAGACTGAATCAGCAAGGTCTAACCACATTAGTTACACTCCAACCCAAGTTACCCAACTAACAACTTCCTAGGAAAATTGAACACTCCCCGGTTCTTTCCTCTGTTACTATAATCATACCACTGAAACTGTGGAGTGCGTGCAGCTGATGCAAGAACATGAGGGCCGGGGAGCGTCTACATTCTGCCGGGGTTGTGTGGCTGTTGTCCGACTGGATGCCTCATTATTTTCCTTCTCAACCCCAGCCCCCTCCAGCATACACCGTATACATGGAGTGGATCTCTGAATACTGAATCCCCCTATAGCTTCCCCTTATTTGGTCTAGTATCACCTAAACTATACCTAACAAAAATGCAGCGTCTGGCTAGAAATTGAACATGTCAGCTTTATGGGGAAAAAGGGTCCCCACTACGCTCTGTTCAATCCACGCCCGAACCCCCATTGATGCCCAATTGCCATGGCGCACTACAATTGGGTCTCGCTTCGGTTCAAAATCGAATCCTCGCTGTGCGTTTCGTATTGTGGATGCGCCGATCAGCGTTGCGACTACTTTGTCAACCCGGTCGGACTTGGGATGGGTACCAATATACCCACTAAGGTTCGGTCCGCCATGAGGCCTGACCATTGAGCGCTTTGTATTCCTGGTTGATTTTCTTTTTCTCTTTTAATTTTTGTGTGCTATAGTCTTCTCTCATTAATCCAATCGACTTTCGTTTCACTGTGGGAATTTCCTGGGTCCATCCTAGCAGGTTTATTTTACTCCCTTCATCATTGGAAATTGTGATCTGGACTTACCCGAATCGTCTACGTGCTGGAACGGGCAGCGTTGACTTCGTGTATCGCACTCATTTGTGCCCACTTATCGTGTCGTGTGCTATCGATTCTCTGCCCGATTCTCATCTAACACGCCTTGACCCATCACACACACCGCACTCTGGGCCCCAGTTTTAGTCCCCTTCTGTGTGCCGACTTTTTGAGCTATATCTTAGAGGACACAGCACCTTGCAAATGTACAGTCCAGACAGCCCCATGAATCGCCCGACTTGGACTTGGACTTATACTCATTATCTCTTATTATTTTTGTCTTTAAAACAGATTTCCTATTGGAAACACGTCTAATCTGCCCATCTCCAAAAAAGCACCTTGGGCGCCCATCACTCTACCACAATGGGAGCTGGTGGCAAGAAGGCGAAAGCCAAAGACAAGAGCAGCAAAGCTGCTACCAAGCAGAAGAATAAGAAGACCAAGAGCCCAGAAGCCACAGATGATCAGACGACGACTGAATCCCCTATGCCTGGTAGCCCAGAGCTAGTGGTGCAAGATCAAGAACCTGTCGTCGACACAGTACCGGAAGCAGCACTTGAACCAGCTGCACAGTCTGAGCAACCTGAGCAACTTGAACATCACGAACGGCCTTCGGCGCTTGATTATTTAGACGAACCAGCTCCACAGTCTGAACAACCCGAGCAACTTGAACATCTCGAACGGCCTTCGGCGCTTGATTATTTGGACGAACCAGCTCCACAGTCTGAACAACCCGAGCAACTTGAACATCTTGAGCGGCCCTCGGCGCTGGATTATTTAGACGAACCAGCTGTACAGTCTGAGCTCCCCGAGCAAACCCAGCAACTTGAGGATATTGAAAGAGCATCGGCATTGGCATATTTGGACGACCCAGCTGTAAATTCTGAGCTGCCGGAACAACCTGATAAGCCTGAGCAATCCGAGCAAGTCGAACACTTTGAACAACCATCCGCATTGGACTATCTAGACGAACCAGCCCCAGAAGAAACCCCACTGCCTCCATCGCCGCCACCACAGGAAGAGGCACTTGGCCATGCGGAGCTTGAACACACCGGCATTCCCACACAGCCCCTGGAATCTAACCCAGATCAACAACTTGGTGTAAATAACGATACGCCCGAAACCGAAACACCTGTATCCAACGCTGAAGAATCTCACGAGCCTATCATTGCGGCCGAGGAGGAACCTCTACCCAAAGAAGAGAGTACCATTCCCGTTGAGAGTCAGGAGCTTGAGGCGAGACCGCCAACTGCATCCACTCCAAATCCATCTGCTGCTTCATTTACTCCATTCTCCCCCGTGCCGACCCAAATACCTCTGCCATCGCCTTCTCTCACCGAGGCACGGTTTATGTCAAGCCCTCCACCAGATAATAACTACTATTATTCTGGATATTCTGGATCACCGGCCTTGGTTCCCTACGTTCCACAATACGCACCTCAATCCCCTTACGCCTCGCCGTACGCATCACCCTACGGTTCCCCCTACGCCTCACCTTACGCCTCACCGGTGCCCAAAGTTAGCAGCCCTCTGGCTCGCTCACATTACCCTTATATGCCTCCTGCCATGTCGCCAACCGCAACTCCTCCACCCCCACCTCTTGCCCCGTCTGCCCCTGTAGCTCGGTCATCACACTCAAGGGCCTCGAGGGCACCATCAATCGCTCATAGCCAAAGTTACTCAACCGCTGTTCACTCTCCAGTCATGAGTACAGCAAGCGTTGTTTCTCCATACACTCACGCACCCTATCCTCACTACCCCCCAGATGGCCACTCTATGCAGCGAACCTACAGTGACACCGACCCTTCGCCGTATGCAGCATCATTCCAGGCGATCCGCGAACTTGGCCTAGGCAATGCCAGACCTACTGATAATGGTGGCCCATCCCCACCAGATAGCGATGCCGAGCATGCAGAGCTTCTTCACCGAATTCAATCTGCACTTCCTGATATCAACCGCCTTCTCCATGGGTTCAAGAGTACGCACAGCAAACTCTCGAGCCGAGAGGCGGAGATGAAGCAGATTGGAAATCAACACGAGCAGGATTTGCTACACAAAGACTTCTATATTGAGGCGCTACAGTCACAAATGAAGAAGACTGCCACTGAAAGCGCCGAGGAGGGTGCCAAGCTGAAGAACATCATCAACGAATTACGGATGGAGCTGGGCAACCTTCAAGAAAAGCAGAAAGATCTCGAGGAAGGTCTGGCTATTCACCAGAAGTCGAACGAAGAACTCTCGCAGTCCAAGGTTGAACTTGAGGATGAGGTTGATAAACTCAACAGGACCATTCAAGAGAACCAGGATGCACATGCGAAGGAGAAGAAGGAACAAGAGGAGGAGCATGCGAATGCGCTTACAACTCAGAAGCAGGACTTGACCGAGCTCTTTGAGGAGATTAAGAGCGAGGATGAGAAAGCCGCCAACGAGACCTTGGAGGCCCGTGAGAAAGAATTGCTTGATCAACACGAGACCCGCAAGGGGGAGTGGGAGGCCGAGAAGGGACAGTTGAATGAGTCTCTCGAGGCTCACCGAAATGATCTTGAAGCCTCCAATTTTGATTTGGCTGCCAAGGTCTCTGAGCTCGAGTCCAAGGAAAACGAGCTACAAGCCCAGCTTGGTGAACTCACTTCTGTGCGCGAAGAGGTGGCTATCAAGCTGACCGAGCTGGCAGTCAAAGAGAGTCAGTTGGAGGCAAAGGAGAACGAGTTGGCTGAAGTCCGAGCAAAGAGCGCCGATGAACTAGAAGCTCTCAAGCAAGGACATGCTGGCGAACTGGACTCCTTGCACAACAATCACGAGCAACAAGTAGCTGCGGCCGCCAAGGAATTTGATGATAAGATTGCTGCCATTGAGGCGCATCTTAACGCCAAAGAACAGTCCTGGTCCGAGGAGCGTGTTGAGTTGGAGAAGTTGCTCTCGGAGAAGGACAGCGACCTGCAAAGCTCGGAGCGAGAGAAGGAGAGACTAGAGGGAGATTGCCTCATCAAGGAACAGCAGCTTCAGCGGGCTGTTGATGGGATGCGAACCACAATCGACCATCTCGGTGATGACTGCGACCGGCTGAGAAAGACACTACACAGCCTAGGTGAAGCGACCGATCTCAAGACCACCAAGGGCGATGAGTTCTTGTAAGTGAGCCTAGTCTTCGACTCTTCTGATTGCCTTGCTGTTTCCATGATGATTACGTTCATTTTTATGACTACTATGTTCATGTCTCTCCTTTCCTCTCTTTTGTTTATACACTGAGATCGACCTTATCCTCTCACTCTCGTTCATTTCTCATTCTATAGAATCTCATTTTTGATAACGTCATAAAATGTACTGGATTCTAATAAGCTTTTTTGATCTTCTAGTCAGGACTGTTTTGCTCAGCTCTCGCAACTGATTCACGAACTGTCCAAAGAACACTTTTCTTACCTTCCCATCGACCCGCCCAAGGATATCCTCTCGAAGATTCCATCCGAGCTTCCATCCTTCCTCGACAACACCCCGGCCTCTCGTGAGCTCCGTTGTGCATACGTCGAGCATGTCGTATCCAAGACCATCACATACCGGGTCTTCCAGCCCTTCCTCTTCACTTTGGGTCGCCGATACGACAAAGCCGACACTTTCTTCCAAATGTTATCCATGGACATCCGTCGAAAGTCTGTCCGCCGCGAGGCCTTCTGGCGCCAGCAAACCCTCAAAGCAGCTTACACCACCTCCGACGCCAAGCAATCCATCAACGTGGCTGCGGCAGTGATTGTAGACGAAATCATCGACCACATCAAGCACTTTGCTGACCCTAAACACCTGGACACCCTTCTTACCGGCGTTCGCAAGATCGTAAAGCTGGCCGCCGAAACCTGGCGCCACGCTCGCGTCGAGCGGGAGCTTGTTCTTGCATCATTCCCCGCCACTGATTCCGAGAGCGTCTCCAATGACGGATGGGATGAGTACGGCGTCCCCAACGAATCCAGTACGGGTGCTAAGGGAGATCCTGCCCGCCATGTTGTTCTCCGCACATTCCCCAGTGTCTTACGAGAGGCTGCTCACGAAGACTTTGCGAGTGGCGAGCGGGCTAATCCGTGCATCTACTCCCACGGTGTTCTTCTTTATTCGGACTCTCCAGTCGTCATGGCCCGTCTGCAGGAATTGGCGAAGAAGTCGACTGACACTTTGGTTGCCGATGAGCAGTATTCGCCGCCTAAGACTCCGAAGGGCTCTCGTGAGAATCTGGCTTTCAAAGGGATCGAGAGGTTGGCGACTCTGACGGTTCAGTCGGCGCCGACTAGCCCGACACCTAAGGGTCAGTTTCCAAATTAGTTGATGCTGTTATCTTTTTGTACCTTTTCTCTTTTTTCAGGTCAACTGATTCTACGCTCGTTTTCCCCTTTCTTATTTGTCTTTTTTTTATGTCGATCTTAGCCGTGTGATGTATGATCTGAGGTGTTTGTTCTAGCGATATGGGCTCGATAGCATGTACTGGTGCGATGATATTTTGTTTGGTCCATGAGATTTGAGATGTTTCCAAGTTTTTGAATGTTAGCGTGAAGTTGTATAGGACGTGATATATGCATGTGATTGAGCATTGAATTTACCACAAGTGGTCTCTGATTAATTTGTATTTGAATCTTATTGTAGCTCGTGCAGTCAGCATCGCCATGTGAGAGTCGGTGTTCCGCCGGTGACCCGTCAGCCTCAGGCCTTATCACTACCGGATTGACTAGCGCGGAACGAGTGCGTGCTGTACTGAATCGGGAAAGTTGGCGCCTTCAATCCTGGCCAGACCGTCAGCTTAGGCAGACGAAATTTGCGTCAACCTTTGATATCACTGCGGGGAAGAAGAAAAAAACATTGCTTAGTTATTATCGGTCCGCAGGCAACAAAACACGGAGACTTCCCCCACAGTCTCTCGTGTCGTGAGTTTGTGCTCAACACTCCGCAGTGTCCGCACCTGGAACTGTACGGGCCATTGATTTCGTTCATAGAGGGACCAAGCTCTTAGCTTTGGATCCGCTCCGGATCTTCTCAACTAAAATTATTCGCCTTGTCTAAATACCAATACACTACTACTTACTTTCACCTGACATCTTCAACATGACAGTATCTTGTGTGAATGATGACTCTTTTGGTCCAATCGTTCAAGATTGCCTGGGAAACTTTGATTTCACGCTAAAGTTTGAAAAGGTCATTCTTTCGATACTGCCATCAGCCATTTTCATTGCTCTATCACTCCCCAGAGTCATTTTCCTTGCTCGTAAATCCAAAACAAAGACCGGTGCAACCTTTCAGATCGTCAAACTGGTATGTTCGTTTGGTTCCTCAATCGTGGGGTAGTGAAGGGCCCGAGCTAATATCACTGAATAATCTTACAGGTGGCAGCATCAATCTATACAATCCTGCAGTTTGCCCTTCTTATTGTCAGCACGGTCCGGCCATACGAACTGCCCAAACTATCCATCGCAGCCGGAGCCTTGAGTTTTGTTGCGGCCGTGGTCCTCACTGCTTTGAGTTTTCTGGAGCATTCCCGATCAACCAGGCCCTCAATTTTGCTCGCCGTCTTTCTCTTTCTGACGGTGCTCTGTGATGTTGTGCAAGTGCGGTCCCTGTGGCTACGGGCTCATAACTACTATGGTTTTAACTATGTGAAACTTTTCATGGCCACCACCCTTTGGAAGGCTGTCTTGATATTGTTGGAATCAGTACACCGTCAGAGCTGGCTAAGATGGGACTGGGAAGAGCACAGCCCCGAAGAATCCAGTGGACTTTACGGGCTCGGCACATTCCTCTGGCTTAGTCCCCTTTTCATGTCTGGGTATAAAAAGGTTCTGGATATATCGGATCTTTTCCCTCTGGACAACAGTGTTTCTGTGGAGGCTTTGAAAACGTCGTTTGATCATCGGATCAGGACTACTGGCTTCAATGGAGACAAAAATGGCTTGATGAAAGTACTGGGGCGCAGCTTAGCAACCCCCCTTCTCCTACCAGTTGCTCCTCGAGTCGCTCTACTGGGGCTTACCATCTGTCAACCCATTCTCGTTCAATCAATCCTGAGCTTCCTCGAGGACCCCAGCAGCAGTTTGACTACCAATAAAGGATACGGTTTGATCGGTGCTACAATAATCGTCTATACAGGAATTCCATTCTCCACTGCTCTCTACTGGTATCTACAAGAGCGAGCGTTGTTCAAAATGAGAGGGTGTTTGTCTTCTGCGATTTACCGCCAGACCATTCAGACACAGGCCTCCAACAATGAAGACTCGGCGGCCGTTACGCTGATGAGCACTGATGTCGAAAGAGTTAGAACGGGCTTAATGATGCTTCATGAGTTCTGGGCCAATCCAATTCAGGTGGCAATCACCTGTTGGCTACTTCAACAACAGCTCGGGGCAGCGTTTGTGGCTCCCCTGGTAGTTGTCTTTGTTTGTCTTGCCTCATCGAGCATCCTTGTCCGCTTCATTGGTCCTCGGCAAACAGTTTGGATGAAGACTATTCAGAAACGAGTCGGTCATACAGCAAATGTCATCGAGAACATAAAACATTTGAAGATATCAGGACTCACAAGTCCTGTAAAGGATGCTATTCAAAATCTCCGGCTTGAAGACTTGAAGGCCGGAGGTAAATTTCGAAGTCTTCTCGTCGGGTCTGTGGGAATTGCGTTTACGCCCGTTCTACTGAGCCCTGTTCTTGCGTTAGCCCTCACGTCACGCGAACTAAATGTCACGACAATATATACGTCGATTTCTTGGCTCCAGCTTCTCACATCACCACTATCCAGCCTACTTCAAAGTATTACTCACCTGATCGCGGCATTCTCTTGTGTATCAAGAATACAACAGTTTCTTGAGCAAGAGCCCCGTCAAGACTTTCGCCAATTTGACACAACATACCAATATCCCGAAAAGGAGAGCTCAAATGAGAATTCCCCGTCGGTTGTTGAGGTCAGAAATGCAGATTTTGGCTGGAAAGGAATTCCTCCGACTCTGAAGAATATCAATGTTTCAATATCCCAGGGCCTGACTATGGTCATTGGCCCTGTGGCCTGTGGCAAGTCGACACTGTGTAAAGCACTGCTGGGAGAAACTCCGGTTACGTCTGGGGAAACTTTGATGCGAACTAGGTTTCCTAACATTGGCTACTGCGATCAAAATCCCTTTTTGCCGAATGAAAGTATCAAAGACACTATAGTGGGGTTTTCGGACTTCAGTGAAGAGAGATATGCCTCGGTTATTCATGCAACAATGTTATCCCAGGACCTGCTTCTCCTTCCAAATGGAGATCAAACAAAGATTGGCAGTGGTGGAATCGCTCTCAGTGGTGGACAAAAACAGCGTGTCGCACTTGCAAGAGCACTGTATCTACAGTGCGACTTGCTTATCTTTGATGATCCTCTCGGTGGCTTGGATACCAATACAGAAGAGCACATATTCTCCGAACTCTTTGGTCCTTCTGGCATCCTCAGAAAAAGAAAAGATATCGTTATACTCTGCACAAACAACACCCGACGACTTCCATCGGCCGACTATATCATCGCACTAGCAAGTGACGGTACCATTGTGGAAAAGGGTCGTTTCCGCGACCTTGTCGCAAACCAAAGCTATGTTCATAGCCTCGGATTCCAAAATGATGATAATGATGCATGGCAGCCAAAGGCAGCAACAATTTCCTCATCTGGAATTGAAAGTCTTCAAAGTCCAGCCGAAGCTAGTGCTGTGGACAACGATGGTTTCACTGTGGAGAGTGATGACAAGGAGTCGAATAGAGCTGTTGGTGATATCGCTGTCTTCGCACACTACTGCCGGAGTATTGGCAACTTTTGGCTGATTAGCTTCATACTGGTTGGAATTCTGTACGGATTTCTTTCCAGCTACCCTACAATTTGGCTAGGTTACTGGAGCGCAGATACTTTCAACCACTCGAAGTCTTTCTATGTTGGAATTTACGGCCTTTTCCAAGGCCTGGCTTTACTCACAGTATTGGCCGTGGCAATCATTGGTCTTCTCCTTATCATCCGCAACTCAGGGTCCCGTTTACATGAAGCAGCTCTCCAAACGATGATTTCCGCCCCGCTGCGCTTCTTCTACCAGACGGATACGGGCACCATCACCAACCTGTTCTCTCAAGACATGACACTCATAGACGGAGAGCTTCCAGAAGCCTTGATTAATTCTTCTATCAACCTCTGGGCTGTACTGGGAGGGGCGGCAGTGATTGCGTCTTCATCTCCCTACATCATTATCGCGTATCCTTTTGTTCTGTCGATTGTTTACGGTGTTCAGAAATTCTACCTTCGAACGTCTCGCCAAATACGGCTATTGGATCTCGAGGCAAAGAGCCCGCTCTAGTATGTTTCTTCCCGCTGAATCCTATTCCTACTTCACGACTAATTTTAATATGTTAGTACCCATTTCTTGGATACGATCAGAGGCACAATTACCCTACGAGCTTTCGGCTGGACAGAAGAATCCATCCTCTTCAACAATGGCCTTCTAGATACATCACAACGTCCTGCCTACCAGCTGAGCATGATTCAGCGATGTCTATCCTTTGTGCTCAACATGGTTGTGGCAGTCATTGCGCTGCTAGTGGTAACGCTTACTACACAGCTTCGACTCAGTACTGGCTTGACCGGTGCGAGCTTGGTGTCGATTATGGGTCTTGGTAAGAATTTGGCTTCAATGGTGGAGATGTATACGCTGTTGGAGACTTCCATTGGCGCCGTCGGCCGCATCAAATCCTTCAGCGATAAGACAGATCCGGAAGATTTACCAGGGGAGGATACTCAACCCCCTACGACTTGGCCGGAAAGGGGCATGATCACAGTGAAGAATGTATCTGCATCGTATAGGTATGTTTTTGAATGGTTATGTCAGCTGCTAAGAGTGTTGTTGAATATCTGCTGAGTTGTCAATACAGTGAGTCTGATGCAGGACCGGCAGAGATCTCGGCAGGCTCAGGCAATCTTGCACTTCGAAACCTCACATTCACAGTACAAGCAGGCCAAAAAGTAGCAATTTGTGGAAGAACTGGAAGGTGAGTTTCAAATCATTATTGATGGAGCCTCTCGAGATCTATCCACATACTGCAGCGCAGAGTACTCATACAACTGTTCGTGTATATAGTGGCAAATCCTCCATCGTTCTTCTACTACTGCGCCTATTAGATCCGCTTTCTTCATGCACCGGAGAGCTTGATATCGATGACACGTCACTCCTAACAATCGATCGCTCCACTCTCCGTCGATGTATCATCGCAGTGCCTCAGGACCCAACATTCTTCCCGGACGGCACTACCTTCCGGAAGAATCTCGACCCACTCGAGGCTGCAACAGATGAGGAGTGCTCCGCGTCACTACAAAGAGTCGGGTTATGGATATTAGTGTCTGGCCGCGGTGGACTCGAGGCCGGACTAAGTGCCGACGCGCTCAGTCACGGTCAGAAGCAGCTGTTCAATCTGGCAAGAGCAGTCCTGCGCCAGAAAGTCCGTGCCCGGCAGCTAGAACATCAGCTAGGTGCTGAGGTAATACACGCTTATATGGGCTCAAACGGCTCTGCACCTCAGGCCCGGAGTAATGGGGGTGTTTTGATTCTCGATGAGATTAATAGTAGTGTGGATGCCGACACGCAGAAGATTATTCGGGATATCATATGGCATGAGTTTGATGGGTACACTGTGGTCATGGTTAGTCATCGGCTTGATGTGGTGATGGAGTTTGATAAGGTCTTGGTTATGAATGGTGGTAGGCTTGTAGAAGAGGGAGTGCCGGCGCAGTTGATCAAGGAGGAAAGTGGCTGGTTTAAGGATTTATGGATGGCTGGGAATGGTAAGAGTTCGCCGTCATAAGAACTGCAATATAGCTCCAGCCTCCAGAGTATGAGTCTCTATATCTGGAAATACCTGGTATTAATTGATCAGTGGGCCTTTAACCAAGTTGGAGTCCAGTGCACATAGTGACGGTTACTATCTTTGAACATGGACTTGTCGTGTTCAAGTTGTTGCTGAGGAAGATTTGAGTTGTAAATCTGGAATTACTGTATCGGGTTAGTTTTGCCTCCTTTAGTTTAGCGCCGCAATACCTCGTTCTGTAAGCTCCGCCTTCAGTTGCAACTTGCTCCGGCATGAAAAGCTCGCCCTGCCCTTTGGGCCTTAACATTTCCAACATTCTCTGATTTGACTTTTCTCTCTTTTGACAAGCAGACTTGAAGCCTGAACTCTGGGATTTTAAATATTCCTCAACCTCCAGCTTTACTGTAGCTTCTTGCCCCGAGGCAAGAATTTCAGTCACAATGTCCATCACGGCCCTGCCAGTCGAGTTGATTTCCAAGATCTGTGGCCATCTACAGCTCTCCGAGTGACAATTACTCAGACTATCATGTCACGCATTATACAAATCATCACTTGCAGGATTCACTGGTCGCTTTTTCGAAAGAATTCACTTCATCGTGACAAGCGATAGCCTTAGGGAATTAGAAGCCCTCGCCGAGACAGGTGGTTATCGGGAACGAGTCCACGAGTTATGGATGATTCCATCTGTGTTTAATGGCTCCCATGCGACAAGCGAACATGCTATTTCGGAATTTGCCGTGTCGTCCAAAAGTTGTCGGCCGGTATCTGGCGACGAACTCACGGCTCGTTTTTCAATCTATGAAGCCTTGGTTGCGGACAACTCAAGCCTTCTAGAGTCGGAAAATTTCAGCAAGCGCCTGCGCGAGTGCTTGGAAAAGTTTGACAACCTTGAAACAACCGGACTTGCACATTATTCGACGAGCTTTTTGCTCGACCCACGACAAGAAAAAGTTCGATTCCTTGGCTGGCGCCGCCTTATCAATCAAATCGACTTCCGATTCGAGAGCAAGGACCTCCAGCCGCTTCATGGTAGCGGAAGCGTAATAGGCAAGGTTAACTCTCTGGGCGCGTCGAGGCTTTTGCAGGCACTAAGCAAGACCAATCGGAAGATCATAAGGTTGCAGACTTGTAATCCTGATTACTGTGGTAATATTGGCCCAGAAATACTTCTTACGGAGGAGCAATACAGCTCTGTTCTATCCAATTTGGATGAATTGGAGGACCTCCATATTTGCACAGCTTTCAGAACTACAAAACCAGCTTATACTATGGACATACCGACTTGGGTCACTTTGCTTATCCATGTTGCTCCCCGCCTCGAAAGACTTACTATCTCGCAAGACTATTACTTTGGAGAGATTTCTAGCAAAATCCAATTTCATCGCCTGAAAGAGCTCCATCTCCATAGGACGTGGATCAATTCCGAGGATCTGAAATCATTTCTCATGAAAGCCAAGGAAACTCTCACTGTTTTCACGCTATTTGAGGTGATCATGGAAGGTATTCCAATATCAATGTTGCCGGACTGTTCATCACTTTGGTATTCGCCAACCCCAGAATGGCTTGTGCAATCTTTAATGCGGCCTTCTACAACCCTAACCTCCAAAGACTATACTCCAACGTCCTCTGCCTATACTCCAACTTCGCCTTGGAATCCGACCCCAACAGCCTCCACTTCAACCCCGATAGCATACACTTCAGCCTCAACTCCGTATTATGCCCAGCCAGCTGGACAAGTACTACCCGGACAAGGCTACGCCCCTTCAAGCCCATACATACCCCCTTTTAATCATGAGGATGCTCTTTGGAAGTCCGTTTGGAACTTTTTCGGCGAAAACCTATCGCTACAGAGATTCTCCATGATAAAGGTAGCGGACGGTAATAGTCAGATCTCTATTCAGAGGACGGGGGGCTTGAAGGAGCCTAGCGACAGTGCTACTTATTATGCTGAAACTGCTGGGATGTCGTTCCATCAATGGATCGACCAATTCACCCCAATGCATTTACTGGATTCGCCTAGTCCTACAAGGTGGCTTGGTAACGATCAAAGTAAGTAAGCCGAAAAGTGGAGCTTTTCAGGAATATTTCTAATAAAATTTAGAGGCATGGTTCAATAAAATGATAGATACAAACGGCAGCTCCGTGAGCCCCGACATATGGGATAGTGAGAATGTAGTTGGAGAATTCGACTTTCTATTTAACTGATTGAAATTGACACTTCAAGTAGGCGAGGGCAGATTGTAGAAATAAATGTGTCATATCGACTTCTAAGCAGGTTTCAAATTTGAAAGGCTGTGATTCTGTGATAGAAACAATGCCCAATGGCTCAAATCATTGATGGATTTTTTCGATTCTCTGATACATAATTTTTGGTGTAAAACCCGGACCTGTGAATTACTGTATGCAGTTAGTTTTGCGTTTTGTAGTTTAGCGCCTCAGTACCTCCGAGTCGTTCTGTAAGCCCCGCCTTCACTTGCGCCGATATAAGAGTTCGCCCTGCCCCTTAGAGCTGCCAGCCTGCTTTGCTTTCTGACATTTCCTTTCACCTCACCTATTCAGATGTCGCCTTCAGTCGGTGATAATACCCGGTCATTCAAAATATGCCATCACTAGAAGAACCGCCCTTCTTCAACACCAGTCCTTCCGAATTAACTAAATCAGCCTCGGACTTGATTGATCGCGTCAACAAAGCCACCAACGACCTCGTGCGATCTGTATCACCGGAATTCGCCTCATTCGATGATACGATCATCCCATTCGCAAATATCGAAAATGAAATCAAGGGGAAAGTGCAATACTTGGCTCTTTTCCAAGCCGTATCTCCCAATCCGGAGATACGCAAGGCATCTTTGACTGCTGTCAGCCTAGTTGATAAAGCCTACCTTGGCCTATTTCGAGACCGATCATTATTTGCGCTAGTCCACGCGGTAAAAAATACATGTCCACAAGATAGCATCGATGCTGAAGACCGGAAGTATCTCAAAAAGCTCCACTCCTTGTTTTGGGATAACGGGATTGGCCTAGAAGGCAGTGCCAATGAGCGATTCAATGAGATTTCAAATAAACTGGTGGAGCTACAAGTCGCATTCATGGAGAATCTTGGCTCAGATCCCGGTCATGTCTCGAAGACTAGGGATGAGCTTGTCGGTCTGGTGGCGAAAGAACTGGACAATTTATCGGATGGGATTCCGTTGAAGAAATCACAAATCAACATGGTGCTCTCGCGTTGTCAGAACAGTGATACTCGCAAGGAGATCTTTCTTCGAGGCCAAAACACGTTCCCCGAGAACGCCAAGCTACTTAAAGAAACCGTCATCCTTCGAGATGAAGCAGCCAGGTTACTTGGGTTTAGTTCATTTGCAGCACAAAAGGGAGGCAACATGATGCTCAGTTCTCCTGAATCGATTCACCGGATGCTCGACGAACTTGCAGATCACCTGCGTCCGATCGCGCAGAGAGAGCTGGAAAGAATGAGACACTTGAGGGAGGGCGATGATGATTCTTTCTATCTGTGGGACTTTGATTACTACCATGATCTTCTCCTACGAGAGCAATACAATGTCGACCATGAGTTGATATCGGAATACTTCCCGGCTTTATTTACGGTCGGGAAAATGCTCACCGTTTTCGAAGGTGTATTTGGTTTATCAATCAAAGAGATTAAAGATGTACCCCAGAAGAGAGTTTGGCATCCGGAAGTTCAAGTCTTCCGTGTTCAATGTGCAGAGACATTGCGGCTTCTAGGATTTCTCTACGTGGACATCTTCCCCCGAGCAGGAAAATTCAGTCATGCAGCCAATTTCAATATCTATCCAGTTAGTATACCACCCCTGAGAGCTTTCCAAGCTAATGTAGAATATAGTCCTATAAGCCTGCGACAGGAGAGAAGCCACCTGTTGTATGTACTGCTCTGGTATGCAATTTATCCCAGCCGTCCCCAGGGAAAGCCGGTGCTTCTGAAGCATCGGGAGGTCATCACTTTGTTTCATGAGCTTGGTCACGGTAATATTTGATTGAGTCTGTTCAATTATATGATGTATGCTAATTTTTGTTTAAAGGGATACATGATCTTCTGGGAAGGTCCAAATATGCAACATTCCACGGTCATCGAACAGTTTCAGACTTCAGAGAGGCACCAAGCCAGCTCCTTGAATATTGGTGCTGGGTCCCTGAATGCCTTCAAATGCTGAGCTGCCACTATAGTGACTTATCTTTGAGTAGCAATGAATCAACATCACCAAAGGAGGTCTCTTCCCTTCCAGGTCATCTTGTTCGGAGTCTTTCTGCAGCGAAAGAAGTTAATCAAGCCATCTCGACACTAAGACAAATTGCATTCAGCAAGTTTGATATGCAAATACACCACCCAGAATCCCATGCGGAGATTCTTTCAATGAACCTCGATGAAACATTCAACTTTTTACTGCAGGAAACAACACTTTTGAGTGGGCTTGAAAATAATTTGAAATGGGGAAATGGATTTGCAACTATACCCCATTTCATGTGGGGACAAGAGGCGAACTACTACTCCTACGTATAGTAAGTTCGGCAGTTGCCTCTCCTTATCTATTCCTCCATCCGAGTCATATTAATGTCTATCGTAGTACGCGTATTCTCGCAGCCGATATGTGGCATTCAGCGTTCGCGAGGAATCCGATGAGTCGAGAGATCGGACTGAAATACCGAGAGCTAATTCTAGAGCCTGGTGGTACGGGAAATGAACTGGATGCCGTCAAGAAATTCCTGAGAAAGGAGCCTACAGCAGAAGCATACTTGCGAGATCTCAATCTGTCAACGTAGACAATATAGTTCAAATTTTGCGGACAAGAAAAGATCATTCAATAAAGGCGTGGGCCGTGGCCATAAATCGCGATGCAGACTATATTGATTACGTCATCCATACAAACCTTGGGATAGTTAAATATGCTCAGTCTTACTCTCATTTATATTGGAAGGTCAATCATATATGCTGTTACTTACTATGTACTAGGTATCATGTACTTATGTCAATTGTGTAAATAGATCAAAAAAGTAGTACTAAAGTGAAGTGAAACATCACCTATGCCATGAACCTATAATAGACGCTTGGACGAACTTCCCCACCAAGCCCCGCACCTTCTTCTGACCCATGGAAAGCGAACGGGTCGTAAAAAGTAAGTAATAGTTTAAATAGTATTTTAAAATCTTCAAGTTGAAGTGGACACTGCAACTTTAACTTACAATCGCGATCCCTTGGTAAAAAGAACTTCAAGGGGGCCGGGGGGGCCAAAAGGATAAGAATAGCACACATGGAGAAACATAACTTGAACTGGATTTCGGGCGCCGCCAAATGTGTACAGCCTCAGGTCAACTTGTCAGAAATCTTTATTTTTATACCATTCAATGTTAGTCGTACTTAAAAGAGCCAACGCTCTTCCAACATTTGAAACCAGAAACCAGAAACCAAGTGGAAATTACAGCTTCCTCCGATGCTAATGCAGGCGCCAAGCACCAGCGCTAAATGAGGCTCATTTCAGTGGAGCAAATTACAAGGCTGACTTCCCCTCTTCTGTATTCTTCTATCGCTTCTTCTTTTTTCCCTTCGCATAGGCGCTTATGCTTCTTTCCTCTCATATTTTCCCATCTGTTCTGATCTTCCCCCAATTTTATCCTTGGATCTCTTCGCACATTCCTACTCCTTATACTTGGCCCCCAATCATCTCTTTTCTCCAACTGTGACATTTCGCCTGTCAAAGCGCATTAATAATTACTACTCTATTCTTGGCCTCAGCTCTGTGACCCGGGGAAATCAATCAGCAAAATCTGGAGGGAACAGGAACGACACAAGAGTCTGCATATTATCTATACGTTACACACACCGATGCCCGTCAATATATACCACAGCTCTTCCAACCCTCCGTCCAATAACCTGCACCCATTCAATGGTCTTCCTCCTCGTCCACTCTCCCCTCCTTCCGAAGGTGGCTCTCCCAACCCGTCCTTTTCTGCATGGGTTAAAGGGCCCGCTGGCCATTCCTCGAAAATGGGGAACACCCCGCGCACCGGACCTTCTCCCGTCCTGCTGGAAATAAACACCCAGGACCCATATTTATCCGTATCGTCCGATCAAGAAGAAATTGATTTTCAAGCCAGTGCTATCCGCTTGACCCCCGTGGGGGGCAGTCCAGACCATCCTGATTCCCCTCCGGTCGGGGAAAACGAGGCCCTGAGCGCCGGCCCCACTATTCAAACAAACTACTGGCCGGCGGGGAATGAGTATAACAACTCGAGTTCCTGTGCCTCTCCCGATTCAGGGGGCTTTCTGGACCCATCAAATATTGAGCTGAATGGATCTAGCTGGCAGGATGGAGGGTCGCCATTTAACGTGGCCGCGACCGCACCGGTGGTTAACCAACAGCAGGCGTGGTCATCGGTTAATGCGCCTTCCCAAAAATGGCTAAATCCCGAGCCCGCCGTCTCGAGCCCTTCTTCCATGCAAGGTCCCACCATGGTACAGGGCTGTGGTCCAATTCAGGGCTCGTGGGACGCGGCTGATCAATATATTGGGCCCCAACTGGCTGTCACCATGGAGCATACCCTGGGGGTTGGCTTAGTGTCGGCTTCAACCTCTAGAGGGAGAAGTCCACTAAGGAGCCCCATTGGGATCACAGTTTCGAGTGTGTCGCGTGGAGACTCCCCAGCTGTAGAGATGCTCGGGCATGACAGACGCCCAAGCCGATCGTCGATGCATCTTTCGCCGGGGGATCAATCGAGTGATTCGGAAGATGATGGCCATGTCGATGATGATCACCGATCGGTCTCATCGACTTCGGTCGTGCGAACCCACGATGGAAACTGGATACGGGACCCTACAACTGGTCATGGTGGCCTTGAGCCATCATCCCGAGGGAATGAATATGTACCAAGTATTAACGATCTTCAGGGACAGCGCGACCGCGAGCAGAAGAATCAAAATATCACCGACTGGCTCAGTGCCGCCATCGTCAGTGGCGATCGACCTACCCATGCGCGTCAGAGAAAACATCATGTGAATAGAAGGCTGCGAGCAAGGAGTACTGGAGATCCTCCTCTTCATCTTCAACAGGAAGACTATTTCAGTATGAAGCCTCAGGGTGGCAACTCGACCCCTGGACCTGGCATTTTGTTGCATGAAAGCGAGGGCAGCGACGATAGTAGTGAGGAGGAGGAGGATGCTAGCGTTAAGTCCGATGGCTCTGCGCTTGGTTCTCCCCCAGCTGTTGTCCAAGTCTCCGGTCGATATGACAGTTCAACACCTGAATGCTTTGATTCGCTTGGCTTGGCTGGCTCCCCTGGCCCTTGTGTCTACCCCTGGCAAGACAATCCTCGTGATGCAACGCCGAGGGAGGAGATGACGCACCCGGGGACTTCTAACGCGGCGATGGTGAAATACCAAAGGCGGGCAAAGGATATTGAGACCGCATCACTGGCGGCGACTGTGGACAACAACAGTCTTTTCAATGTCAGATCGGCGTTTACGGGGCTGAGCATTAATGATGAGCCGAAGCCTAAAGAGCCCAAGGAGAGCCGGGCTCAATTCCTGAAGCGACCCTTTTTGCAAGCAACTTCTATTTTGAAACGTCAAGCATCGGAGCTTTCGATTTCAACTGTCAACACCAGCACCCAAAATACTTCTTCAGAGGTACCCCAGCGGAAAGAGAGCCACCCCCACCGTCATCGATTGAGTTTATCATCGAGACCACATGGACGCTCCCCAAGTTTGTCCAATGCTCTGATGTCCTTGACAGGGCAGATGGTAGCTATTGGAGGAAATAATGCAGCCCAGGCTGTCTCACCGAACACCGAAGTGGGCCCAAAAAGCCATGCAACTAAAGTTCGTGGTCGAAGTCGAAGTGAGGTTCCACGGCCTGCCAATGGGTTGATGGCCCTGATGACCACACATGGTGGACCACCTATTGCCAGTTTCTTTTCTTCGCCAAGGACCTCAACCGAAACTGAACATGTGCAACCCGAGGCTGTACCAAACTTTAGCAATGTGGATACCAAATGTGACGACGACGATGATGATCAGATGGACGGAATAGATGTCAAGGGGCCGGTTATGGGGTTTCCGCTGGTTTCTAATTTGCCAGAGCCAACTCTCGAAGGCTTCAAACAGCAGATAAAGGCTTTGAACCCACGACTCGAGCGACTCGCGCCGGCTCTGATTGAACGATTCGCACAGGCACAGGTCAATCGATATGAAAAGCTAGTGAAGCTGCAGCAGAATCACTTAGCAGTCACTGCCAATGGCAACTGCAAGTCAGGTGAATTCTGCTTTGCGCTGGGCGGCAAGGAAATATTGCTTGATCAGCGTAAAATTTCGGCTTCTGCTGAATCTGGGCATACTCAATTCCGTGTCACAGAGTCAAATCATGGATGTGACCCACAATATGTGGTGACAGAAGGCTCCATCACTCCAGCTCAATTTCCCGAAGGTGTGCCTGCTCCACCTGTCGATCGCCTGCCTGCTGAGTTTGAGTGCTCGATTTGTTATGACGTGAAAAAATTCCAGAAACCATCGGATTGGTCCAAGCACGTCCAAGAAGATCTGGAGCCATTCACGTGCAGCTTTCCTGATTGCCCGGAGCCCAAGTCATTCAAGCGCAAAGCCGACTGGGTTCGACATGAGAACGAACGACATAGACAGCTGGAATGGTGGACATGTTCTACCTGTGGTCATGTCTGCTATCGCAAGGACAACTTTGTGCAACATCTGGTCCGGGAACATAAGATGCCCGACCCGAAGGTGAGAAGGGGCAGAGGAGCTAGCGAGGGACAAGCCAGCCTGAGCAAGCTAGCGAAGCTGCTGGATGAATGCAGGTGCCTGACAGAAAAAACGGCATCGTCCGAGCCCTGTCGCTTCTGCGGGAACATCCTTGGCAACTGGAAAAAATTAACGGTGCACCTGGGGAAACACATGGAGCAGATGGCAATGCCTGTTCTAGAACTTGCCAAACAGAGCACCACGACCACCCCTAGCGCCGCCCCTGCAGGAGTGTCTTGTGGGGCAGCGGAAACATACCCGCCACTCTCTACGCCGTTTCACGGGCATCAGGGCGCAGGGATGACACTCCCCACTACTGTCAACGCAATGGATTATGAGATGTCACATTTGGAGTATCCTTCCATCTCGGGAACTGTTCTTTCCACAGAACCCGAACCGATTGCCGATGCCTACTCGAACGAGTACCAGTACAGCATTAGCCAATTTGACCAAGCCACGCTCCCGTCAGCCCCGACCCACCTCCCGCATCATCAGAACTCTGTGACGTATCCACCCTTCAATCCGACCCACCAGCCAAGATCACCGACGAACGCTTCCATACCCTATTCCCTGCCTCAGGGCTCTTTATACCCCGCACAGTCAACTTATCCGCCTTACCAGCACATGGCCTCCACTTCGCCATACCCTGGTTCCTATGCAAACAGCTATTCTTCACAGATGTGATTTGACGATTGACGATTTTTTTTTGACGATTTCATTTTTTTCTTTCTGTTGATTCGTGCTTTTTCTTCTGATCTCATTTTCTCGATCTTGATTTGTTGATGTTTTTTCTTTTTTCTTGTTTTTTTCTTTCTTCTTGATTCTGCATTTTCATGGCTACACGTGTATACCCCCTTCTGTCGATTTTTTACTGCTGTCGGTTGATTGCAGCGTGTACGTCACGCCAATGGATGCGTATGAAAGGGATGGGAAGTGGTTTTTTCTTCTGATTTTCTTTTTTCCGGTGATCATTTCAGGGTTCTTTTTTATCTATCTCTATAGTCATTTCTATAGTTTTCTCTATAGTCTTCTCTATAGTTCTGATTTTTCCTTGATTTTTCCTATTTTCTTTTTTTTTTTCAACGTACCTCGTTCTTTGTCCGTTTTTTTTTTCCCGCAGTTTTACTTTTTTCTCTCTCTTTCACCCCCTCTTAGAACAATGGTGGGCATGCAAGTGTTGAACTATTTCCTGCATGAGCGGAATGAGCCGATAATCACTCGAATTTTATGTACATATTTAGGGCGCTGGGGAATTCTGTCTCAGACTGGCGTGTTGAGCCATGTGCATAGCATATGAGGGATCATATTTTTTTGCAAGTCGGCTTTCCCGGGCTTTTCGCCGAAGACCCAATTTCCTAAAGTGACCAAAAGTGACGCACCCCCTTCCAAAAAGGGGGAATAGTCACCCTCATTGCTTAGCAAGGGGGTGGATTTTTCTTAAGGGGAAAAAAAAAGAAGCTCCCTAGCAACGCGTGGATGTCAAGGTTCCTGTCAAGGTGTTTCAAGCCGAAACCTTGACGGTTTTCCTTTTCCGTTTTGCCATGCGCTCTTTTTTTCCCCCATCCCTTGAACGGCATGGACGGCATGGCATGAATTCATGGCGATCGAGTGGATGATCAGCCCTGTCACAGCCCGATCCGGGGGGCGACCTTTTCTCACCAGCCACTGGATCTATTTAGCCGATCTCATTACGAAGTGATTGGTTTTATCTAATCAAAAAAGGAGAGACATTGAAGTAGGTAACAATACTCAAAGGAAACAAAACAAAACATAACCATAATTTCGGGGAAGATGGTGCAGGATCGATTAATCTGTGAAGATCGACGTAAATCCTGAGCTAGTACACGTTATAGTACACGATGAATCTCATGCCCGGGTGAATGCACACGGGGCTGTGCAAATCAAGGGATGACATGCACATTCCACTGTCTCATTCCATCCCTTGCAAAGTCCGCGTGGTTGATGAGTATGAGAATTAACGATGATTTTCTTTTTTTTTTTATCGCTAAATTGTTCGCTTCACATGGGATGCGTGGTTTTTTACTGCTCTTTTCCACCTTTAAATTCTTTTTTGATTTTATTTCGAGTGCATGAATGTTTATGCACCTCGCTTCTTTTTTATTCTTTTTGGTTTTTTCTTTTCTTTTTCTTTTCTTCTTCTGGTTTTTTTCCATTTTTTAGGATTTTTAGGATTTTTCTCCCTGAAAGAGGGGTGCTTGGGTTTTCCATTTAACCCTGGCGCACCCTTCATGGATTGGTTGAGAGCTTATAACATTCTGGGTCTTTACTTCACCCGGGTGTCAACACAATACCCACTTTTCATCAGCTGGATTCAACATGGAGGTTAGTACTGAGGCTCACTGGCTTTTTCTTTTTGGGAATTCATTTATATATATAACCTTGGAAATTTTGTGACTTTGTGATTGTCGAGAACATTTATCATTTCAGACTAACTCTTTCTCTTTCCTAATCTAGGATATACATTGGAATGATTCTGGTGATATCCTTCAGGACATCATGGTTGGCTCTGTCGGTACAAACCCACACGATCTATCGGAATTCCGTGCCAATCTAGGTCTGGCCGATCCAGCCCCAAATTCATTGCTGGACATACACTTGAATACCGATCTGGCCTCGCTCGATCCACACCCGACCTTCCTAAATCAGTGGTCCTCCGCCTCCCAGGACTTTTACTACTCAGGCTACCCCGCCTCTAGACTGTCCGCACACCAGGATGCCTGGACGCCATTGCTAGCAGCTGGCGTTCCATCTTCTTCGGCCGTCCACATGCACAGGCCGGATGCTGACTGTGCTTTTCCAAAACCCCACTATAGAACCCCGTCCGAGGCGGGGAGTCAATATATGGGTAGCTTGCACTCTGGAGATTCAGGCTATGCCAGTAACAATGGGGCCGCCTGTTCGGTCGTAGGCCCTACATATATGGATTCCTTGTCGAGTCCACAGCTTAGTGCCGAGGACCAGGCCTTTGCGGAGCCCATGTCATTCTTTGATCAGTCTCGTATGTCTCAAGGATCTGCTTTTGCACAGGACTTTGGCGACTCTCTGTTGGACGCTTCGGTCAAGTGTGATCATCCCGCTTGTTCTTGGGTTGGAAAGTGTCCTTCGGATAAGAGGTATGTTCGCAATCTTTCGTTGTCGCTTGGTGATTGATGACTAGTACTGATTGGATTAATTTCTAGAAAACACGAGGCCCGTCATCGGAAGTCGTTCAAATGTGATGAGCCCAATTGCCCTCGAAAGGAGGGGTTTGGAACCATTAATGACCTTGCTCGTCATAAAAAATGTGTTCACCAAAAGGAACCGGAACGAGGACCGAAGATGGTCTATCTTTGTCATGGGAAGAATTGTCCTCGTCCCAACAAGAAATGGCCCCGCTTGGACAACTTCAAGCAGCACCTGAGCCGGATGCATGCTGGGGAGGATGGGGACAGTCTGCTGCGAAAGTGAGATACACTTGCCCTTTTCGCCTCTATACAGTTTATATATACATACACGGGGACCGTCGACTAACTTATTCTTTCTCTTCTTCTAGATCTATGGAGTGGCATGAGAGCACTACTGGTCGTCGACCAGAGTACAAGCTCGAGGATACTGGCTCAGTAGAACCAATGATGGATATTCAAGACCACATGTCCACAATCTCCGGAGATGTGGACATGGATTCGGACGAGTCCATCCACCACGTTCAAGATAATGTCGGCTATCTCTCATCACGCTCAGAAACTCCCAGAGCAGCCTCCACCAACCCACCATCTGAAATCTGTCTTTCGGATTCCCAGTCTCAATTTCAAAACCTGGGATCTATGAGCCTCAATACATCCCCTACACAAGAAAGAATCGACCCCAGCATGGGTCACGCACTCACCAGCTCCGAGCCATTCGTTACAGACGCTGCCGATAATCTGATTAACGCCATGACCAAAATGATGAACCACCGCATCCCAAAGAATCAAAATAATGACGAAGGAATTGAGGTGGAAACGGATTCTGCCCTCTCCCAACCCCAGCGCCAGATGCTACAAAAGGTGCTCTCAGTAGCCCTAGAAAGGCTTTCAGACGACGCTCCAGCAGCACAAGACGCCACAGACGATAAACAAGACTGGTTTCAGTGCGATACCTGCTCAAAGCGGACCAGACTGCGCTGCGAGATGAAGTATGTTCAACCACCCCCGCCTAAATCCATCTGATTCTAACAATCCGTCCCAGGAAACATCAGAAACGTCACGAACGACCATATGGTTGCACATTCCCCCAGTGCGCCAAAACCTTTGGCAGCAAGGCCGACTGGAAACGCCACGAGACCTCACAACATCTCCACCTCCCGAGCTGGCTCTGTGCCTTCCATGATCTAGCCAAGGGTGAATCATGTGGACGCATCTTCTACCGCGAAGAAACATATACCCAACACCTGATCCAACAACACCGGATCCCCAAGCCTCGTTTAAAGTCATCCCTCTCCTCAACACGCCTTGATCTGGCCGACCAATCCCACTTCTGGTGCGGACTTTGCACCCGCGCTATCCCGCTGCAGAGCAACGGGGCCGCAGCTTTGGATGAACGCTTCAATCACATTGATACCGAGCATTTCAAAAAGGGCGAGCGGGGCCACGATTGGTCCTTTCTCGAGCTGAGGGAACCTGCTGTCCTGCCTGGTGCCGGACCTCATGCTACGAGTGCGAGCCCAGAGTCACTCAATCAACGCAAGCGCAAGTACACTGGTGTACATTCGCGTTCGGATAGATCAGATTGATTTTTTTCTTGCGGCTGTCGATCATGAATATTTTGTATAATGTGATATCTGATGCTCGTTTATATTCGCAACGTGCCCCGGGTTGGGTGTTTAGTTCTTTTTTTACCAAAAAAAAATCGAATGTCTGAATATAAAATATAGAACAGCACCTCCATGCTAGGATTTGCAGTAAGAATAGAAGAATAGAAGAATATTGTACACGTCATTCAATGTTCATGACTTTCAATGTTTGCAAGGCTAAAGCTTTATTTCTGCGCACCTGCTAGCTCGCGCGCCTTTTTCTCTAGCCCGGACAGTTGCTCTATAGGAGTATGTTAGAATGGAATTCAACGAATCAATGAATTCAAGTTGGACTAAGAGACCGCAAAGCAGCCGCACCACGATGTAATCATGGCTGTAAATCGGACGAAAAGAAACCTTACCGTTTTTCTGGAGCTTGACATCGTCCGTCTCAAGCTTCATCCACGACCAATAGATGATCTGGTAAGTGAGCACAGCACCCAGGAACACCTTGCCGAAGGGCCGGGCAAAGGCACCATAGGCCGATAGCTAGACTCACATTAGTTCCTGCGGTATTGTCGTAAAGAGACTAATTACATACCCCTTCCCGGTAGGCGCTCTTCTTCTCGGAATTGAGTTTGGAGGCCGTGGAGCTCCATGTCCGAGAGCCGGACGCGTTCCGGATGGGAGCTGCTAGGCGTGTGGAGAGACGGGTAGATTGTCGAAGCAACATGGTGGATATGGGGGGGATTATTGTATGATTTGGCGGATTGCTGCTCGGGAGTTTTGCTGGCCGCGGTCTGGTGTTGGTGGAAAGGGTTTAGCGTGGATGCTATTTTGGGGAAAGCGGGGCTTGGCATTTGCTGTTGTGTTTACTACTGGGGAGTTTTGAATGCTTTCTTCAGTGTTTAAGGGGTCATTATTGAAGTGAGTGATGAGGTATCGTTTCTGATGATTTGTCTAGAATAGATTGTTTTCTGTGTATCTGGTATTCTTAAGTGCACAAATCTACTTCCCTGGCCATAGTAGATATGTGGCTGTGATTGTAGATTACGCAGGCTTTACCACACAACAGACAACTTTATTGTATATGGTCAACTCTTTCAGCAGCTATTCTTTCAATCTACAGTATGCCTGACTATATACTGTGTTATATAATAATTGATTACTGTTTGTTTATGGGAATGTGCTGTTGAATCTCCAGCTTCAAGCTAGTTAGTCAGCGATCACATGATATCAGGTCTTGAATTCTGGCGGGCAGCAATGGAAGGGAGCCACAACCCAAAATAATAAAACGGTTCCGGGTTGCGTTACTCCACGTCCCTGACTGCTCTCTGACATCTCCTTCTGCCACCATGTCCGGTCTGGCTTCCCTGCCTCAAGAGAGCCCGAATCCGCCCGGAAGAAGACGAAGACAAACCAAACATGGGTCGAATAGATGATCAAAGTCCTCAAAATGTCTTCATCTCAGCGATTTCATGAAGGAAATATGGCATTGGGGGTGGGTGGTCGGCAATGACAGGGCGACTTACCTATTAACTTGGGGGTGGTCTGTGCGCGGGAGTGACTAATCATGCGCCACAGTTTGTGGCGGTGGGTGAAGGTGTTCCAGCGCGAGTCCCTTCCGCCCTGGGGCATTCAACTCAGTTGGCGTGTCGCGGTTTTAAAGAGGAAAAAGGAAAAAGGCATCCTCCAAATCCCCACACTCCTCCCTTTCAACATTCTCTTGAACTGTGTGGTTGGCTTAATCCTATTTTCTTTGTTTTATTCCCACGCGTCGCCGAGTCCGTGAGGCCCTGCCCTGGCCCCGACTTGCGCTCCACCATCAACTCGTTATCGACCTACCCAACCGCGTCGATCACCAATTGACACCAGACGCCGTGGCTATTTGCCTATCTATCGCCCTGCTGAAGGGCTACACATCACAATAGTTCTTGTCATCGCTGGACGAAGACTTGTTTGTCATTGGTAAGCTCCTACCTGGTATCCTTGTTCTCGCGACCTTGATCCAAGGACTCGTCCGTTCCGTCTGAACTGCTTCTACTCGATCTACTGTTTCTTTAATGTAGTCAGTATGTGTCTTGACTCATTGTCGCTGACCATTCTTGGCTTCCAGTGATTTCGACGTCTCCCCCACCATCCCGACGCCATGCGCGGTAGTTCCAAGCGCTCCCTCGAGGAGCTTGCCAATAAATCCGACTCTGATGACGAGGACTACAGCGAAGGTCCCCACCCCCAGGATTCGCGACGCGGTCGAAAGACAAAGTCGAGCCAGAAGCGATCCAGACCCACTAAAAAGCGACGCCGCAACTCCGACGACGAGGAAGACGACGATCTTTCAAGTGAAGATGAAGACCTGTCTGTTGAGGAGGAATCGGAGGAATCCGACGACCCCAATGTACCGCGAAATGCACGAGGAACTGCACGCCGTCGAGCGACCCAAACTGCTCCACTCTACGAGGAGCCCGATTCAGAAGAAGATGCATCCGCAGTGGACGACGATGGCGACGATGAGGATGAGGAACCTATCATCAAAACTCAAGTCAAGAAAACACGCAGTATTGTCAAATTGAAGCTGCGTCCAGAGATCCTATCGCAGCCTGATCTCTTGGCCAATCGACGTACTACCCGCCGTACCCGGGACCCTTCAGAGGACATCTACGCTCTGACTAATTCGGGTCGACACATGGAAGCCGTTGAACGGGGCACAAAGAGCCCGGAGACTGCGGTAAAGCGACAAGGTTCGCGAGCTCCCCGTGAGTCAGCTATTCCCGAGGAGTCCATGAAAACATCTACAGAGATCCAGGACTCCCTAGAGGTTCTGGAAAGTGATGCCCCGGGTGAAATCGATGATACCATACTACACCAAGATGGTGTACAAGACCAGTTCGACACTGAAATGTCCATGGAAGACGGGGTTGTCCCTGAGTCTGAGATTGGGGATGCTAAGCCCGAGGAGAAGGACGAGGATGATGACGACGAAGACGAAGATGTAGGCCCCGTCTCTCGACGACGAACCAGACCAAATATACGGGAAGTCCAAGATGAAGACGAGGTCGACGAAGCGGTCGTGCCTGCGGGCACCGAAGAGGAGCCCCAGCCTCGCCGATCCGGTCGCAAAAAGCCCCCTCGGAGTTCACAGCGCAAAAACGACGAGAGTGACTTTGAACCCGAAGAAGAAGACTCTCACGATGACGAAGCCTCACAATCTGGAAAATCCACTGGGTCTCCGCAGAAATCCCACGGCAATGACGAAGAGGAGGACAGCACAACTGGCCGTCGTGCCGGTCTGCGCAAAAGACCGCCCCAATCTCGAGGTCAGTCCGAAGTTGCCGATGAGCTTGCAGAGGAACTCCACGACCTGCGAGGTGGCCGTCCCCGACGTCGTGTGCCAGAAATTGTCTATGAGAAGCCGCGTCGTAGTCGCAAAGATGTTGATTATCGCATTATTCGCCCTGACCTGTTGCTCGCCACGGACGATGTTGAGCTCGATATCACAGAGTCTCCGTCTCGTCGTGGACGCGGCGGCGCAGCTGGTGGTGGCTGGCAGCGATCCTTCTTCCCGACTTCGGGTCCATTTGGCGGAGGCGGTCTCTCGTCTGTTCTGGGTCCCCCTGGCGCTGCCGGTACTGGTGGAGTCGACAGTGATAGCAGTGATGATGAGTTTACTCAGCAACACAAGGGTGCCGGTCATCCTCCAACAGGTCTTGTGCCTCAAGCCCACTCTGGTGATGCCGCCCAGCACCTCGCAGGCACGCCGGCAAACTTTGGCAAGGTTCCGGACAGACAAACATTGGCAGACGCTGATCCCCTAGGTGTGGACGTCACTGTCAATTTTGACAGTGTTGGAGGACTTCAGGGACACATCGATCAACTGAAGGAAATGGTCTCATTGCCATTACTGTACCCGGAGATTTTCCAACGTTTTCACGTAGTCCCTCCTCGGGGTGTGTTGTTCCATGGACCCCCGGGAACCGGAAAGACGCTTTTGGCCCGAGCTCTGGCCAACAGTGTCAGTTCTGAGGGCCGCAAGGTCAGTTTCTATATGAGAAAGGGTGCTGATACGTTGAGCAAATGGGTCGGTGAGGCTGAGCGCCAGTTGCGACTTCTCTTCGAAGAGGCTCGAAAGAACCAACCCAGTATCATTTTCTTTGATGAAATTGATGGTCTGGCTCCCGTGCGTTCCAGTAAGCAGGAGCAGATTCATGCCTCTATTGTGTCGACCCTGCTTGCGTTGATGGATGGTATGGATGGTCGCGGCCAAGTCATTGTTATCGGTGCTACCAATCGGCCTGACTCTGTTGATCCTGCTCTCCGTCGCCCTGGTCGTTTCGATCGTGAATTCTACTTCCCTCTTCCGAACATCGAAGGTCGGCGTGCAATTCTGGATATTCACACCAAGGGCTGGGACCCAGCACTTCCAGGTGACATTAAAGATGAACTTGCGAAGATCACAAAGGGCTACGGAGGTGCTGATCTGCGAGCTCTTTGCACTGAAGCTGCGCTTAATGCCGTGCAGCGGAAATATCCTCAGATCTACAAGTCGGATAAGAAGCTTGTAATCGATCCGAAGAACATCGACGTCCTTCCAAAAGACTTCATGATTGCAGCTAAGAAGATGGTTCCCTCTTCGGAGCGATCTACGTCATCAGGCGCGTCAGCATTGCCTCCCAATGTTGAGCCTCTACTCCGCCAGTCCTTGGCTGACATCCAGAAAGCCTTGTCGGAGGTTCTTCCCCAGCGGAAGAGACTGACTGCTTTGGAAGAAGCCCAGTATGAGGAACCTGCAGACAACAATGGATTCCGCCGCGAGCAGATGATGCAGGAATTCGACCGATCGCGTGTATTCCGCCCGCGCATGCTTCTTCGCGGTTCACAGGGAATGGGTCAGCAATATCTTGCCGGCGCTCTTCTCCACCATTTTGAGGGTCTGCATGTCCAGGCTTTCGATCTCCCCACTTTACTCAGCGACTCGACCCGATCGCCGGAAGCTACAGTTATACAGCTTTTCGCTGAAGTTAAGCGACACAGACCGAGTGTAATTTACATTCCTAATATTCAGACATGGTTTGAGACAGTTGGACCTACTGTCATCTCCACTTTCCTCGGTCTGTTGCGATCATTGCCACCGTCCGACCCAGTTTTGTTGCTCGGTGTTCTCGAGTCTAGCGTGGAAGAGGTGGATGAGGCATTGGTCAAGCAATTGTTCGGATACTCTAAGAAAAATCTGTTTGATCTTCCTGCTCCTGACAGAGCTGCGCGTCGTGAGTTCTTCGACAAACTTATTGAATACATCAAAACTGCGCCTTCAGATTTCCCCGACCCCGAAAATCGCAAGAAACGCCAGTTGGAGGAGCTCGAGGTTGCACCCCCGCCACCTCCAGCAGCCGAAATACCACTCACCAAGGAACAACGCAAGGCTCAAAAGAAGAAGGACCGACAAACCCTCAATCTTCTGAAGATCCGAATCCAGCCCGTCATGGATCAGATCAAGAAATATAAGAAGTTCCGCACTGGTATCGTTGATGAAAATCAGATCAAATACCTGTGGGATGAAGCAGACCCCAACATCATTACCAGCGACCTACCCCCTGACCAGCAAAATATCTACCGACCATACGAGAAGGCCGTTGATAAACATGGTGTCCCGGGTCTTCGAGAGGTTACGACTGACAAGTTTTACTACAACATGGAGATTGTCACTATCGAGAAACGCCTCTCCAACGGATACTATAAACGTGCCAGTGATTTCTTGGCGGACATTAAACAGATTGCCAAAGATGCTCGTCAGCTGGGAGACCAGGAACGACTGCTGAAAGCAAACGAGCTACTCTCAAACGTTGAAGTCGATGTTAGCGGCATTGAAGCTGACCTGCCGCTGATGGCGGAGTGTGAGGCTGTTTACTTACGAGAGCTAGCCCGCGAAAAGGAAGCAGCCGACCGCGCCCAGCGGGCCCAAGAGGAAGAGGACCAGCGGATTCGCGATATAGAAGCGGCCGAAGAGGCTGAAGAACGCGCTGCTGCCGAAGAAGCCGCCAAAGAAGCTGCCGCCCATCCGACTGATGATCAGACCGAGTCCACTCTACCTGACCGTCCGTTGCACCTGGGCGAATGGGTTCCGGGGATTGCAAAGACAGACTCACGCCCCGTAACGCCTACAAACCAGTCGCACGTCAGTTTTGCGAATGGATATCACAACGGCGGGGGCTCCGACCTTAATGAGCCTGGCCCGATCGGCCTGAGCAATGGGTCGCATGGCGATGGCGACGGCGATGTCTTCATGTCCAATTCTGATGACCATTCAGGAAATTCAGGAAGCAAAATAACGCAGAATGACTCCTTTGGGCCCTCTGCGCAGCCCAAGCCTGCATACTCGCACACTGCACCATCGCAGCAAATCCGTCGCGAGTCCGGCATGTCTAACTTGTCTCAAAAGGGTCCCATGACACCCATGGCTCCTGGGTCTCAGCCCGAGGATTATGCCAATGAAGCGTCTACAACCCAGACGACCTCATACAAGAGGTCGTCTGGACACTCCTCCAACCAACATGACTACACCCAGAGCCCTCATGTTTCTCGACACGAATATCCAGATCTCACTCAGTATCCCGACCGTGTTTCGCAAGACGACCACCTACCAGATACCCAGCAAGGTGGCAGCAGTCAGCTTTCCCCTCGTCCCAGAGATTCGCTGGTTTCGATTCAAACAGAGCTTGACCACAGCGCGCTGGGTGGAAGTCAATCACAGTCCAAGCCCAAGCCTCCTTTGTTTGATGATGCCTCTAAGCCTACACACCACGCCTCGCTCGATTTGCAGTCTTTGCTCATTGATGAGCCGGTCCCCGAGCTAGTCATTGACCTGCCATACGTCGAGCACCTACACTGCCAGTTGGCCGAGCGCACTAGCGGGTGCTCCGTTGAGCAACTGGAGCAGATCAACACTTACCTCATGGACTTTGTTTGGCACATGCGCGGTCAGTGGAACCGAACTACTGTTTCCAAGGGCATCATGGATACATTTGATGAGGTCTTGGAAGATATGCTGGCCATGCAAGACGTCGGCCCAATCAGTCAAAATCCGGGGGTGTTGGACAGCTTCTAACTTGACGCCGATGTGATGTCTGTTCCTTATCTTTTCGACTATTCTTTCCCTGTTCATAAGTTTATTTTTTCCTTCCACGAGGGCATCTGTCTGGTTGAGACTGGCTTGTTCCTCTCTTATTGTTTTTCTTTGTCATTGTTCCGATGGGTATGGTGTTCATTAGCCGATTCTTCATTTTAAATTTTTCATTCTCGAGTGTGAAGATGATAGCATTTCCAAGCAGTATCGGGGTTTTATTATGGGTATGTACCAAGTACATCTACTTAGCGAAATGGAAACGTCACTTGATAACATTTGAATCACGCATTGTTGGCCCTGTTGGTCCCTCGTCATAGTAGACATTTAGAAAGACGGTAGTCAATGAAAATGTGTTTTGCTAGAAAATAAAGAAAACATATTATTTCACTTGCACGACACATCTAAAGACTCTTATCGAAATGTCAATTTCCAAGAATCAATAGGTGATTTATTGCTTTATTGATTTCCCTGGTTGAATATTTGGTGCTGTATACGGACCATGTGATCTCGACCCACTAAACACCTGGCCTTTGCATTTACATGTCTTTGATACCTCCAGTCCACAACTCACCCTTCCTTGCACCAACTCGACCCCTTGGGAATTGCTGCGAAATTATGATTGCAGCTTGATTAAAATTCCTTATAATTCAACCCCTACCCAAGTCCCCTTCTCTTTCCAATCGCCACATACGCGCATCCGCACCGCCGCATCCATCCCGCAACAATGGTGGACTGGCTCAGTCTCGCCGTTCCCCTCGCCTACCTAGGCATTCTGATCGGATCTCTAGCCACATTCTCATCTCTCTACCGCAAGCGCAAGTCCCGTACGTTACCTGCTCTCAATCTACGCGAGTCCGCAACATAGTTCCGCTCCGCCAATCCCTCCCTTCCACTTCTTTGAGCTACTTGGCTAGTTGGCTAGCTAGCTAGCTCACTGTGCGCGCACATGGCATTTTCCCAAATAAAAAAACTAACACCTCCGCCCTACAGAGAAGGCAGCTACCCTTGAACCATGGTTCCCGGCACACCTCCAACGCGATATTTACTTCTCTCTCCTCCACCTCGACCCCTCCGCACAAAAAGAGAAAAAGACCCCCGCTATTCCTGAGTCCGTCGTTAAGGCCGCTCTCCTCCGTCGCGCTATTGAAGATATCCGTCGCGTCCTGGCTCTCCGTAGCCAGAAGCAGGCTTTGTCTGTGCTGCTCCAGCGCGGGAGTGTCGGCGATGACCTGTGGCAGCGGTTCTTGCGCGCCGAGAAGGAGATGGAAGAGGAGGTGAAGGATGTTGTTGCTGAAGTGAGTATTTCCGCGGCTTATTTGCTCCCTTTAAGCTCTCGCTCTGCCCATTTTATCTCCCTTGCTTGTCTGTAGGACCTTCGCTTACATGTTCTTTTCCAATCTTAGGCAAATGCTTACGTGCCGGGTTGGGGCCAAACTATCTTCCAATCTGCCAACGAGATGATGCAGAATGAGATCTACCGTGCTCGAATGAGCGAGCAGCAGGATAAGGTTGCTGAGGAGAAGGAGTGGTGGAGTAAGAAGAAGGCTGATACTAAGGAGCAATTCATGAAGGAATTGAATGAGGCCGAGGAGCCGGCGACGGCCCAGACTTCTGCCCCTAAGTCTCCGGAACCCCCCGCAACTATTGTTACTCCTGCGGCTAGTGTGAAGGGGAGTGATGATGAGCCGGTGTTGGTTGAGGCTGAGCCGACTACGCCGTCTGGTGGGAAGAAAAAGAAGGGCAAGGGTAAGAAATAGATTTTGGGCATGTAAAATACCTTTTTTTTCTCGCTTTATTGGGCTTTATTCTTACAATCCATTGGGGATTTTTTTTCATGACACACTTGTGTGATTGGTTGCATTCGGCGTGGAGGGTTTGGGAATCGCATGCTGTATACATGTATGGAGTAGAGAATGGGCATTAATGGTTGTTTTCAGATGACGGTGTTAAGTGCTTTTGAAATAATCACTGGGCTGCCTGTTAACTGACCGAGTCCGTACGTTGCAATGGCCGAGAAGTTGGACTAGAACGTACTAAGATTAGAAGCATGTTACCAATATCATTCATAGAATGATCAGCATAACTATGTGATGAGTAAGTACTTGGCGGGTTTTGAGGAGCAGAATAGTATACATTCCCAATAAGAGATCTAAGCAAAAGAAAAATGTAATGTACAGGGCCTAGTAATCACTAATATAGCCGAAAGAATCCAAAAAAAATACACATGCGCCAGACCATGCGATGCAATTCCACGGTCAACCAAAATCCCCAATGTTACAGCAGTTGGCTATCATCGACCCCCAATGGCGAGCCAAGGTGAATATCCTGCAGCTCCATCTCCACTGCAGCTTGAGCCAATTTCTTCTCAACCTGCACAGGCTCCAGACCGTGTGTTCGGCTCAACACAATGCGGAGTAACTGGGCCATAATCTCGAGCTGATACTGCTGTGTCTCGTGCGGATCAAGCTGCTCGATACTCAAGCCCTGTGCCTGGAGAGCCATGGATTTTCGTTCACCAAGCAATTTCAAGAGTCGGTGGACCTGTCCGATCTTCTCTTTGCTGCGCGGAGTTGATGATAACCGGCGGAGGCGATGCTTCGGGGTGTCGGCGGGTACGCCGGCCAGGCGCGCAACCTGAAGAACAATCAAACGAGCAGTGACGTCGTCTGGGGTAAATCCAAAGGTTGTTCGCATCGAATGGATTGCCACAAGGGTGCCTGGGATGTCCTTCGATAGACAGAAACAACGCACAATTTGATCGTAGAGATCTTTGGAGAACTCGGTGTTGGTGATGTTGCGGGCTCGTGGCGTGAGTTGTGAGTACCACTGCATCATGTTTGCGAACAATTGGCGGGCCGATGGGAATCCTGCATCGAATGAGGTGCGGCCGCGGTCAAACTGTAGCTTTGCGCAGTCCCAGAGACATGCGTATGTCTCCAGATCGGGGCGGACGGACGCGGACATCTTTTGGAATTTGGTCCAGAGAGAACGGATGTCTTGCTTGCGTAGTTCGGCATAGAGAAGGTGGTTCATGAAGTATGAGTTTGGTTGGATGTGAGCATCGCCAAGGCACTTGACTAGGTACTTGACCATGTCGTCGTCACCTCGGCGCGTGTAGTGGAGGAGGAGGATGGAGAATGTCTCGATGCTGGCCGGTGGCACCTCACGCTTCATGAAAATGGGAATTCGGCTGGGTTCCACCGACTGGTGCTGGACTTGGAGCTTGGGGGTCAGTTCAACTGGCTGGTACCGCTTCCATACGGCATCGATGCGGTGTTGGATCATTGACCATGCCAGTCGCTCTGCTTTGTCTCGAGCTTGCGGGTTGCCCTCATGGAGCCAGCCCGAGACTAGACCGTTAAGATGCTTGGTATCTGGTCGCACGCCTCGCTCGTACATCAGCTCAATCACCAGTGCAGCTGAATCAACCTGGCCCATTCCAATCAGCTTTTTCATCCAACTGGCATAGAAAAACCGATTCTGAAATTGACGAGGCAACATCGTAAGTGCCGATAGAGAAACCTTGTTCACGGCCTGCTCGTTGATGCTCGACGCATGAAGGCTACCAGCAAGACCAAGGGCTGCTTGGTACACAGCTGTGGAATCTTTGGCAGGATCTTTCCCTGTCACCATCATATCCTTGAATATAGCAACTGCGGTGTCCAATCGGCCAGCCGTAAGGAGTCCAATACTGATCTGATCATAGTCGTCCATCGTCATATCGGGACCCAAGAATGTTTTCAGCTGCAAGTATAACGCCCACGCCTTCACCTCAGCTTCCTTTCCTGGGGTGAGGCCCCATGCGGTGATAACGGGGATAAGAACTCTGGGCTGTCGAGACTGATCATTCGAAAGGAATGCCAAGGCGATATCCTGAGCTCGTTGAGGGTTCTTCCCGGCGGCAAAGAGACGAACACCGAGCATCCAGTATTCCTCGAGATCATCCTTTTCTTGCGAAAGTTCTGATTGATATGCCTCCCACTGCTCCAACGCTTGGTTGGTCTCGCCGCTTGTATGCAGGGCTTGGATATATGACAAAATCTGTGGTTTCGCAAGCGATCTCCCCGAGGATGTCGAATCATGGACAAGAGTTTGCAGATGTGTTGAGCGTACAGCATTAGTCAATTGAGATGTAACTTGAGATTCCCATACTGATGTAATGGCTGTTGGCGGTAGAGCGTCCAGGAATCCCGGGATGGCCTTTTTGCATCGGCGATATGCTTTCCACAGCTCCTGGCAAGCACGATCATCTGAGGAATTCATCGTATATTGGCGAAGAGCTTTTCTGAAACGCTCGGCGTATGGATGAGAGTCAGAACCGGCTAGTTTCCTAGCTTCCGCTGCCTTTCGTGCAGCTACCCTGCGTTGTTCTCTGGCGCTGTCCTGCCAATTTTCTTGATCAAGTGCCATACCCTCGAACTCCTCCTTCAGCATTTCATCCAGCTCCTCGTCGAAGACATCGTCCAGGGAAGGTTGTGGCTCTGTTGGATCCCGTTGCTCGTCATATTTTCGAAGAGCCTCAAGCGCAATCTTTCGGTCCTCCTCCGGCAAGCTCTGGATGAACGGACTGTCGGGGTCGAATGGTCCTTTCTCTAGAATCTTGAGCTCTTCCTGAATCTTTGTGAGCTCATTTTGTACCTCCTCTCGCTCCTCCAGTTCTTCGGCTTCGGGGTCGACCGGTCGTCGCTTCTGGCCGGGGCCATCTTGTTCGTAGAAGTTGACCTTATCGTTTGGCCCGCCGAAGTCGAGCCGACGCGCTGTTACAGCGCTGAAGGCGCGCAGGGAAACCGACGGGTGGCGCGCCGCATGGTACCATCTAGCTCCTCGAATAGCCTGACGGAGCATATGGGGAATGGTTATGTCATTTGGGTGAATTGAGAAAAAGGTGAGAGACACAAGAAGTTCTGCAAATCGGAACACCATTAATCCTACCCTTTTCGGTCTAGCGCGCCCCATTGAAGTCATTATCTCTCCTTCCCCGACGCGACACTCAATTGCGACCAACAATGGATCCCGATGGATTAGAAGATGCGCTGGACCTGTCTAAGGACAGGTCTCAGAACCAGGTATGTCATTTTTCAGCGTTTCTGCGCCATGGCTGTGGCCACAAATGCACTGCTAACGTGGGAAAAAACAAGGGCGTGTACATTTACCAGCCCGCAAAAGCTGGGAAACCCTCCAGTGAACGACCCTCGAAACGCCGTAAGGTCTCGATGACCCAAGATCCAAATGAGAAACTGGATGGCCCAGGCTTTGTGCCCTTGTTGAACGGAGAAGAGAGTGCCGATTGTGTGCAGTTGCGATACAATACCTACAAACAACTATGGTCGGACCAGGAACACAAGATTCAAGTAAGGCATTGATTGTTCCGTATAGGACAGAACCTGTTTCTAATTTTGGACCTCAGTCTATCTTGGAAGATGTCGATGCCGGTGTCTTGACAGACGTGCTATCTTTTGTCCAGGAGACTTCGCCACAGACGTAAGATAATCCTATCCTTGGAGTCCCGATTGACGACTCTAATACGACGTTATAGGTACAACGGATGTATTCCTACAGCTCTAGTGACCGTGGGATCAAATGTCTCCTCGCTTAGCAGATTACTCTCTCGTCTCAATGATCAACTCAAATCTACCAATGAAGGTGGTGTAATCGTTCTCGAGTCCGGGGATGCGCCCAACTTGAAAACATCCTTGAAAAACATTATCCGAGCGGCGGTCACCAACACCGAGGGTAATGATGGCTATCAGAGATTCCTCACCGATCGTTCTGTACGTATTTGGTTGTGAATATGCCACTATCTTCTGTGCTAATAACCAGCTAGGGACCTCGAGTGCTCGGGTATGATTTGGATCTACTCCACGACTATGTCCAGAGAAGAGGCACCAAGAAACTTGTGCTTGCTTTACGAGACAGTGAGGCTTTCGATCCTGGTCTTTTGACGGATCTATTTTCATTATTCACGTGAGAATCCATCAGTACTAACTGCTGTTAAAAACGTTATTAACACACGCCTAGATCTTGGCTTGATCGGATACCATTCACAGTATTACTTGGAATTTCAACATCCGTTGAGCTCTTCGAAGGTCGGTTGCCTCGTTCTTGTGTTTCACTGCTACAGGGAAAGCATTTCGAAGTGCAAGAGGCAGGTAACTGCGTGGATCGTATTTACGAGGCCCTTCAAACCAGCTCGGATGCAAACATTTGGGTTGGTCGCAATATAACAACCATGCTATTTGAAAAGGCTAGCGACTATTTCCAAACTCCAGAAGCCTTCAGTCGCATGGTCAAGGTAATAGCCCATTTTAACCGTGTTAAAACACTATCTAATTCCGTCACAGTATTCATGCATGTCACATTTCTTTGCCAATCCTCTGTCTGTGCTTCTGGGAAACCCGGATCCTTCTATTCTGTCACAAGGTCGCTTTTGTGAGGCCATCAGAAATCTCCCGTCATTTCGAATGTAAGTCCATCTAACCCTTGGATTGATACATCTTGAAAGCCAAACTAACTGGGTTCAAGGTTCTGTGAAGATTTAATAGAAACCGGCTCCCCTAATGAAGCGCGGAGTATGATAGAGGATAATGACTATCTTCTACGGGCCGTTTTGGATCACGTTGACGCAGGTCAACAAGCAATGCGACATATCTTCCGCACAGTGCTTCTCATCCATACATGCCTCCAGCATACACATGCCACAAAGAAGACAACTATCTCAGACCTCTCTGTCCGTGCCCTCTCCGGGGAGCTGATCGAGTCACCGCTTGTGCAGGATATGTTGACCACAGTGAGGACTCTGGACTCTGAGAAGCTGAGCGAGGTGCTGGACACCCTTCCCAAGACCTTACCCGCCGATTCGCCTCTCCCTGAAATCCAAGCCGATCTAAAGGGTCTGCTGGAAAGATACCCAGATTCCTTACCGCTACGCAGCGAATACAACATCAACAGCTCGGTGACAACAGCGGCTGTTGTTCAGCAGCGGGTTCTGCTTACCAAAAGCAAGGCCATGCTGCCAAAGCAAGATGTCGAATACACTCAGATCGTTGATCGCCTCGTTGGTGCATTGCAGGAGTATTTCACTGATACTTTGGTTCGGCCACAGGATCTTTTCATGAACGAAGCGTTTGTTTTTGACCTGCGCAATCCCTTAAAAGAGACATTCACCCCTCGGCCCCGTTTTGCCATTGAAAGGGCCCTGGCTAGTCCATTTGATTACTTGATTTCTTCTTCAACTGCTGCTTCCGGAGCCAGGATATCCTCAAAGCAGCCAGCTGCTGCCATCCTATATCAACTTTACCTCGAGTCTGGCGCTCTGGTGAATGTCCACGATCTGTGGCAGGCCTTTTATGGGGTTTATGACAACGACAAAGAAAAGAAGGTTGATGACCGAGTCATCATGTCGTTGTTTTACGGTGCTCTATCTGATATGAAGATGTTTGGTATGATTAAAAATAGTCGGAAGAAGACGGACCATTTGGCCAAGTCATCTTGGATGGGGTTGTAATAGTCTACATTTAATGAACATTCTCATCAATGAGTCCGGCAATGAACTTTGAATTTATCGCATTCAATCACTGGAATTATGTTTTTTGCCAATTCTGGCGGGGGTATCATGCATGCTATCGAATTATCAACAAGGTTTCCGCTGTTCTCCAAATGAAATAGTCGAGTCCCGATCAATCATCCTACAGAGGCCGCTGAATAATATCATCTCGTCCAAGCGGCCGTCCTCCTTCACTTAAAACCATAGCTTCTCTTCGCCGTCGGCGAAGCGCCTGTTCATCCGCATTTCCTTCTTGGGGTCTGCGTGAAGAAGATCCTCGGTAAGAACCAGCTGTATCCTCTCCGTTAACCATCCAGACATCACTGTCCTCTTCCTCGTCGTCCCCATCTCCATCTTCATCTTGTTCCGTCTCCTCTTCGATCATGCTACCCATCAATCCATGCTTGCGTAGCTGTTTGATTCCTTCTGCGTGTGAAGTCACATTGTTGACAATGGAGCTCATGACCGTGTCATCGGACCACCATGTTTTCAATAGAACCACCACATCTCGTCGCCGTGACGGTTCGTCCAATACACACGGAAAAGGATATTTGGTGAGCCATCGGGTCACAAGACCGGCTTCTAAAGCTGCAGGGACGTTTTCGGGAAGTAGTATGTTGAGGATTTGCAACGCTTTCTTTTCGCCCAGTGGGCGAGTCCGGGCAAGAACGGGGGAAGTTGTCGGGTATGTTACTTCAGTATGCTCCTCCAAAAAGTTGCAGAGGCAGTTGATGATCGCTGTGTATGCAGGGAGGTCACGGAGTCGCGCGCAAACTGAGGTTCGAGACACTATGAATTATTAGCATTGTGTTCATAACTCCAGTAGTTTTGTAGAATGCATACAGGCTCGGTTGGAGACAAGAAAGTGAAGGCCAGTTAGCGCTCGGCCTTGTCGTGCTTTATTCTTGCTTGATAAGTCGTCTAGTAGAATCTCACGCGTCTCGTCCTTCGTTGATCGTTCGGCGATGATGCGGAGGGCTCTATGGATGTGTTAATGACCGTTGCGCATCGCATGTGGGGCTTTATACATACGCAGCTCGTAGGTCGTGGCTTGTGCTGGAGGAAAGCTTCAATAGGGTGTCTAACTTGAGAGCTAAGACGACTTGTCAGTACTAGTGTCATAGATCGAATGAGTTATGTGTACTCACCATCCTCCGTCCCCTCGCTGATGATCTTGTCTTCCCGATCGACTTGTTTGATCTCCGTCAGGTCAGACACTTGACGGAGATCAGTGACGATTCCGCGTACAGCGAAGAATAGCGATATGCCTGTAACCGTTAATTGTCATTCTATTCAAGTGAACGATCATTCCGAACCTAAACATAACCAAAGTACCCCATCTCCGGAAACAGGCGCCATGGTGGAGAGATGTACATGGGCGGATTAGAGTGCGGAGAAGATGCGCGGCAGAATATCGGCGGCCGAAGGCGGTATCTTTTTTTTCTTCAACCGCTGCTTTACAGCAACAGAAGAAAACTATACATACCCACGCATTCGCTTCACGCCACAATGCCGCCCTCTCAGCTCAAGCAGCTGAAAGCATCGCTTCGGGACAGTGGGATTGTTGGTCCCCAGAAGTCCAAGAAGCAAAAGCAACAGAACGCCAAATCCGGTGCAACTGCGCAAAACCGAAACCAACGCAATGCCGCTTTACAGGCTATTCGAGATCGATTCAATCCTTTTGAGATCAAGGTCCCTGCAGCAAGAAGCAAATTCGAAGCCACCACTCGCGATGGGCCCCCCACTGCTAAGAATAATCGCCCCGGTGTGACTAAGTCACTTGGCGAAGAAAGAGTATGCACATATCGAATACCCTTCTCTATATGATGCTGACAAGTTTCCAATTTCTAGCGCCGAGCTACGCTTTTACAAGAGATGAACAGCCGTAACAGAGTTGGTGGACTTATTGATCGCCGATTCGGTGAGAACGACCCGACCATGACACCCGAAGAGCGGGCTGCCGAACGATTCGCAAGAGAAAGTCAAAAGAAGATGCGCAAGGAGTCGATGTTCAACCTTGAAGACGAGGAGGACGAGTTCCAGCTTACTCACATGGGCCAGTCTCTTTCATTTGATGAGGCCAATCGTGACGATTTTGAGATGGGCGAGAATGACGGCGATTTGAAAGGCGATGAATCCGACGACGAAGCGACACGAAAGCGCAAGCGATTTATCGATGAGGATGAAGACGAGGGGGAATATATTCACGACCCGGATGCTGAAGACCAGCCGGATCGCAAGAAGTCCAAGGCCGAAGTTATGAAGGAGGTCATTGCCAAGTCCAAATTCTACAAGCAGGAACGGCAAAAGGCCAAGGAGGATGATGAGGATTTGCGGGATGAATTGGACCAGGAGCTTCCAGACCTCTTTGAGGCCTTGCGAGGCATGAAGGTCCCGGCTAAGCAGCAAGAGCCTCCTCAGCAAGACCTGGACACCATGAACCCAGAGCGCGCAGCTATGCTTTCAGCGCCAGAGAAGACAGACGCCGAAAAGCAGTACGACCAACGGATCAAGCAGTTGACATTCGACAAGCGATCCGCACCCACCGACCGCACAAAGACAGAGGAAGAGAAGGTTGAGGAGGAGGCTGAAAGGCTAAAGAAACTAGAGGCGAACCGGCTCAAGCGAATGCGCGGTGAACATGTCAGCGACGATGAAGCTGACGATGACAACAATTCATTCATCCAGGACGATGATGACGAGTCTGAGATTGATGATGCGACAGCCTTTGGTCTTCCCACATACGAGCCCCGCACAGACTTGGCCGTGGAAGATGAGGATGATTTCGTCATTGACGATGATCTTGTCGAGACGAGGTCTAACGCCAGCCTCGACATGGACGGAAGCGATATGGAGGAGGAGGATATTTCGGAAGACGAGGAATCTGAGGAGTCAGAACAGGAGGACGAGAACATTAATGGAATGTCTCTACCAGCTGCCAGTGCAGCATCAACAGCTGTTGCAGCCAATCAGACATCGGATGGCAAGTTGGCCTTTACCTATCCTTGTCCGGAAGACCATGAGGCTTTCCTTGAGTTGATTGAGGGTGTGCCTAGCCAGGATGTCGCGACAGTGATCCAGCGCATTCGTGCCTTGCATCATTCCCGTCTTCACCCTGATAACAAGGCCAAGCTGGGCCGCTTTGCCGAGATCCTCGTTGAGCATGTTTCTTACATGGCGAATGAGACCGAGGAGCTATCTTTTGCGCTCATGGAAAACATTTTGCGTCATATTCACTCCTTGGCCAAAAGCCACGCCATGAACGTGGTTATGGCCTTCCGTGCTCGCCTTCGTGAGATCTCTAACGAGCGCCCGTTGAACTTGCTTCCTGGAGACCTTGCCATCCTGACCGGCATCTCAACTGTCTTCCCTACTTCGGATCACTTCCATGCCGTTTCAACACCTGCTCATCTTTGTATTGCTCGCTTCTTGGGACAGTGCTCAGTTAACAACCTCTCCGACTTTGCAACCGGTGCCTTTGCCACAAGTCTGTTCCTGCAGTACCAGGCAGTCGCGAAGAGATATATGCCTGAGTTCATTAACTACATCCTTAATGCCCTTTGCAACCTCGCTCCCACAGAGCCCACAGCCAAACTTGGATTCTTCCCGTGCCGTCAACCCCAGGAATCTGTTCGGCTCGCGTCATCCAAGAAAGTCACCTCGCGCAAACTGCAATTCAGCGACATCCTCACTTCTCCCTCGACCTCTCAGGCCGAGGAAGACTTGAAGATCTCCCTTGTGACTACTTTTGTCTCCCTCCTTGATACTGCTTCAGATCTGTGGGCTGAAAAGTCTGCCTTGACCGAGATCTTTACTCCTGTCCAGGCCGTCTTGAACCACCTCAAGCAGTCATTGAAGGGTAAGACTTTCTCCGCAACTCGCGATTCGATCCAGTCCACACTGGACAAGCTCGCCTCCCACCTGGAGAAAGCTCATCTCACCCGCCGCTTCCTTCTCCTCCACGATCATCGTCCCCTGGCTATCAAATCCGCCATCCCCAAGTTCGAGGAGAACTTCAACCCAGACAAGCACTACGACCCAGATCGCGAGCGTGCCGAGTCCAACCGCCTCAAGGCCGATATCAAGCGCGAGCGCAAGGGTGCCATGCGCGAACTCCGCAAGGACTCCAGCTTTGTTGCTCGCGAGAAGCTGCGCGAGAAGAAGGAGCGCGACTCCGAGTACGAGAAGAAGTACAAGAAGCTTGTGGCCGAGATCCAAAACGAGGAGGGTCGGGCTGCCAACGATTACGAGCGCGAGAAGCGAGGACGCCAGGGCAAGCGCTGATAGATCTGCTTGTCTACTTACCTCACAACCTTTTTTGGTCTTTTCGATACCATTTGGCATCTGTTATTACAATGTTTGTTTATTGTTCTTTTTTTGCACATATAGTCTTGTTCTTTGCCCTTTTTCAACAGGGCTGGTGCATGGGTGGGGAATCAAAAGTCGATGTCCTTTATCATTTTTTTCCGTCATGAAGCTGTCGTAATGCGTGACGCCTACCTTCAATATTTGACGGTTATAGTGTGCCAGGCATGAATATCCTAGGGTAATGAACTTTGCATTTTGTAGGGTCTCTTTGAATGGTGTCAACTGGTTTACTCCACTCTAGTACATACATGTACTGCCCACGGCCTTCCATGAATTTCAGAATTACTAACGCCATAAACTTATCGCTCGGGCAAGATTATGAGATCTTCCCGGCGATTCCACATTGTGTAAATACTCGATTGTTGAAATAGTTTTGCCAAGTCAATTGATTACTGATCACCAGCGGCTTACAAGTCGGGACAGACTTCATCCGACGATGACCTTGGAAAGGGAATGATCTAATCAACCCGTGGACCGCTATAGTGTACATACTGTACTACCGTAGTATTCATAGTTGTGTATATAACCTTCAAAGGGATATCTAGCACTTGAGTGTCAAGTTTTCTTCGTCTATAACCATTTACACACAGCAAGTATGTCTTCACTCGCAGCACAGCTGCGACCCATTCCTCTTCCTACGACATCGTTTGCTGGCCAAACCATCATTGTCACCGGTTCAAGCACTGGTCTAGGGCTTGAAGCCGCCCGTCATTTTGTAAGACTTGGAGCAGCGCGAGTTATCCTCGCAGTGAGATCTATCAAGAAAGGTGAAGACGCCAAAGCTTCAATCGAAGCCTCCACAAACCGCAAAAATGTCATCGAGGTGTGGCAAGTCGACATGTCCAATTATGAATCTATTAAAGCCTTTGCCAAAAAGTGCGATTCGCTAGATAGGCTGGATGTCCTTGTTGCGAATGCGGGTGTTCTGCGCAACACGTTCGAGGAATGCGAAGGGACTGAAGTGTCCATCGTGGTCAATGTTATCGGAACATTCCTGCTTGCCCTTAACCTTCTTCCAATCATGAGAAAGTCAGGAGGGGAAACAGGATTAGTTCCAAGGCTGGTGGTAACGACTTCTATCTTACACGAAAACGTGGGTGTCCTCGAGTGCTTGCCCTACTCAGTCTCTAAGCTGATGGTTTTAAAAGGCAAAATTTCTGGAACAACAAGAATCCTCGATTTTCGAGGCCTTCAAGAAGAAGAACAAGGCTTATCTTGCGGATCGATATAATACTTCGAAACTTCTTGAAGTTTTTCTCGTCCGTTCCATATCCGCAGCAATGGACAAGGGTGCGCACGCCAGACAGCAAGTGATTTTGAATTGTGTCAATCCTGGCTTGTGCCATTCGGAGCTTGACAAGGAAATCAAGGTATGATTCAATACTCTACCATTTCCTTCGCTGGTGATTTGACCCAACTGCTGAATTTGATGCCGACTTCTAGGGACTCACTGGCTTTGTGATCACGGTCGCCAAAGCATTGATCGCGAGATCAACAGAGGTCGGCGGACGTACCCTCGTTCATAGTGCAGCGGCGGGAATCGACAGTCACGGTCAGTATATGAGCGAGTGTAAGGTGAAGGAGTCAAGCAAATTTGTTCGAAGCAACGAGGGAGCAAGCGTTCAACAACGTGTGCATAATGAGTTGATGCGGGTTCTGGAGGAGATTCAGCCAGGTGTCACAAGCAACATCTAGGTTTACAGGGTCACTTCAAAAGACCCAATGTAATAGAGTTGTACCGCCAGCGATTTTGGATTATAATCTCAAATGACACTCTAATCGATCTATCATGGCTTTCAAATGTTATGTAGTCGTCCTGGCATCACCTATGTAAAATCTCTGGTGCCATTCGGTGCACAAAATGTTGGAAGCTGTATTTGCCAATGCCAACATTGAATTCCAAGGTTGCTTCCCACCGGTGGACCTGGCCAGATGATCTCTCCATTTGGAAATATGCTTCTCGCCTTCTCAATACAGAAGCATTAATTGATGTTCTCGAACTGGATCTAGTTTACCTAATCAGGATTCGGCATTCGGAATGATGAGTGATCATACCGATTATGCGGCATGCCGAGCCAAATCGAAACTCTATTACATGAGCGGGACTCGGGACTCGGGGAGACCGTCCATCCATGGTCCATATACGTGACTAAACATGGAAATATTTGAATAGAACAGGGCACTCATACCTATGTAAGATGCCCCAAAATGGTGTTTTTGTAAAAAATTTAGCCGAATGCTGTAGGCGACGACTGATCAAATTCCAATATCGAGTACAATCTGTATCTTCTCCGACCTTGGCGAGAATTTATGAGCCAAGTCATGGACCAGCAATTACCACTGCAGATGTCTGATGACCTGCCTCTTTCAAATCGGGCGGACATTCATCAAAGACCAGCATTGTCCACCCAAAGCCATCCTCGTCCTCGTCCTCTATTGCAAGAGTCTGTGAACTATAATATCACTTCATTGCTCTCGGCCCGCTCTTATCCCTTACCAGAGTCATTCAAGCCTCGAGCAGGCCAAAGTGATAGGCAATTACCTATTACAGGCAACAAGCCCCAAGGGTCCAGAACAACCTCAACCCGGACAAACACAGACCAAACGACGACATCAGAGCCGCAAAAACGCCGACGACGTCAACCAAGGAAGTCTGCGCCGTCAGCCAAGAATTTTGCAGCTGTACGAGATGATTTTAGTGATCAAGAAAACTTCGAAGAGGTTTGTCGAATGATAACCCATTCACCTGTGTCATCAGGATTGGTGTACGTGATTCGTGAATCGAATTTCTGATTGTAACAGCGCCGTCGTACACAAATTCGTCTCGCACAACGTGCATATCGCTCTCGTCAGCAAAACACGATCGAAGACTTAAAGAGACGCGTTACCCACTTGGAACTTGTCTTAGATAACATGAGCACCGCTGTTCTTTCATTTAGTGAGCAACTAGTCCAAAGTGGGGTGCTAGGCTCCCAATCTGGCCTTACACTGAAATTACGTGACATGATGAGAACATTTCATTCTTTGGCATCTGAAATAAGCTCCGAAGATGGAATACAGCACTCTGGTACACTTATCAAGACCACAGGGTCATCCCAATCTTCAATTCAACCACCAATCAACCCCCCATCGCCAGACCTCTCCTCCAACTTGGTCATCAATTTCGATGGACCATATCAACCCGAAGGTGATATCCAGCGAAATATCATCGGCTTTTCAGGAAAGTCTATTGTGGGGGTGTCTGATTTTATCAAGAAGCTGCATCTAGCAGCCATCTACCAAGGATATGTGGCTCTATGCGATCAGTCTATTGGTTTGGATCAACTTCAAAGGCCGTTTGGGCTTATGTTTAGTATGATGAATCGCGAATGCCTGGCTTCTTATTTCAAAGCAGAATATAATGCTCAATTGAGCCAAAATCTGCTGGTTGGATGGGACGAAGTCCCGTTCTTCCGCTTGGGCGGTGCTGGAACCCATTATCCTGCTCCCTCAACACAAGGCCAAAGTGCGAGCACCCAATTTGTTCCTGATAAAAGATGGGGGATCGTCGAGGAACCCTTGTCTCTGGTCCCGTCAGATATACAAGAGCAGCTAAAAGGTGAATGGTTTGACTTGCATGATCTGGAAGGGTTTCTTCGGCAGAGGCTTTTGTTGAATGAAGGGCAAAGAGCACGCTCATCACCGCAAATGAACATCAATCTCTCGCTCTTCGTACCAGGTAAGCTCCAGATCTCATTCATGATGATTTTTCTAACTTTCACAGCATTGATAAGCAAGGGAGTTTGCTTGGGTTGTTCACCAGGGTTTCAGCGCGATGATGTGGAGAAAGCCCTCCAGATCTCAAAAATCATGTGAACAGTCAATAATCTCATCTAAATACCATTTCTGAATACTATAATTTACAGGTCATATACGTCTTAGCTCAGTGTATTCTCCTACCGATTTGATCTGTATTAGTTCGTAGCACTGATAAAATGCTGGAATCGAACATCAATTTCACCTCGTAATCAAACTGATCCGATTCTTAGAGGAATACAGCTACTTCAATTTGTCAGCTTGCTTCAATGATTACCTTGTAACCGTCGGCCTGAGATCTATCTAATTTTGAATCCATGAGCCTTTTGAAGTCGCTCTCCTCGGTAGTTTTCTGCCTCGGTAATGATTGGATTACTGATCACTGATCAGTCCCAGCTGTTTCGAGGATCTAGTCACTGATCACTAAGCGTACTACAGGAAGATTCTAGACCAATACCTATCTGACTAAAGCATAGCAGATCTAAGTACTATCATTTTAGTATTGTGTGGATACGATCGATAGTGGTATAAATACTATGTAAGTTCAAGGCTATTCACTCAGTCGCTCAGTTACATCTGATATTCCAGAAGTTATATTTTATCTAATTTGGAAATTTCCCAAGTAACGCTAAGATGGAATCAAGCGCCAATGATCATCCTCTGACCCTAAGTGGAAAAGTGGCCATTGTCACTGGAGGGTCGCGAGGAATCGGAGCTGCTACCGCTTTAGAGCTCGCGAAGCGTGGAGCCAAGGTCAGAAGTTTTATTTTACAAATATTCTATGAGCAAAATCTAACCTGCTTTCAGATCGCAATTACCTTCGTGTCTCCCAGCAGCGAGGAACTGGCAGACCAAGTCATCACTAGCATCAACGAACTCGGCAACGGCGCTTCCGCAATCAAGATTAAAGCGGACATGCGCAGCCTGGACTCTCCAAAGAGAATTATCGACGAAACCACGGCGGCATTCGGAGATTCCATCGATATCCTTGTCAACAATGCAGGCGTGGAGTTTGGCAAGCCTCTTGGAAATATCCGTGTCGACGAATACACTGACATTCTGGATGTCAATGTTCGCAGCGTCATTTTCATGACACAGGCTGTGCTTCCTCATCTTCGCAGCCCGGGCCGCATCATCAATATTGGGTCTGTTCTGGGACGTATTGGTCGTCCGGGGGCAAGTCTGTACTCTGCAACCAAGGTAGCGTTGGAGGCTCTGTCCCGTGGGTGGGCGTCGGAATTGGGGGCTGCTCGGCATACTGTCAATGTTGTTGCCCCTGCCCTGACAGAGACTGACATGATAGCCCGCGCGACGGGAGGCCCGGGGTCGGAGCAGGCTGTTCAAATTCAAAAGTCAATGACACCTGTTGAGAATAGATTGGGGAAGGCTGAGGATATCGCGCTTGTTGTGGCGATGCTTGCGGAGCCGTCGAGCAGATGGATTACTGGTCAGACTATCCAGGCTGGTGGGGGAATCTACATGTCGTGAGAAGAGTCGGCCATTTGCATTACATATTCCTCAGAACCGATTGATAGTTATGCGATTATTGAGGATTCAAACTGTGAAATCTTTCTTGGTTGATTAGGGCATTGAAACAGCATGCACAAATTATTAGTAGTAGAATGCATTTCCATCAATGCGTTATTAGTTTTATAGTATCAACTTCCTCCATAAAAGACCAGTCTATGCACGGGCTTTCCAAATGCTGATATATACAGTATCAGACAGAACACTACTGTCCCAACTCGACCCCAATGCTAATCAGATAATTACAACGCTCCTGCTGTTTTGCCGGCACGGTCTCCATTTTTGTCTGATTTGTTCGCAGAAAAATGCGCTTATAAGCATCACTTCCCTCTCCCCAGTTGCGCCATGTAGGACTAGAGGAGTCCCGGTGGGTATTCGGATTCAAAGACCGAATAAAACTTGTCCAGTAACCCTGCATGACAGGAACAATAGCTGCATTGCTAGTGTAATACGAGTCTGGTGGATTCGTGCTGACATAGTCCGGACCCCAGATGGCATTCACTTCAACTGTGTGGGATGTCCCGAATCCCGAGGCGGTACTTTCGGGATCCACAACGGCGTAGTGATAATTCCAAGTTGGAACACCTGCAGCGGAGTATATGGAGGACATGTGGATTCCTGGACAGATGTAACGGAGCTCGCCATATGCATTGCTGCCAGGTCGCCAATAAGCACCGGCATTAGGGAAGTTCTGTGTCTGGTTCTTGTTGAGATACAAGCTGTTGACCTTGGCCATTTGCTCCTTTGTCATGGCAGGGAATTGGTTTTTAATAAATGTGTCTGCTTGGGCAACGCTCGAAGTTCCGACGGGAACGAAAATTGTGCCTTCATTTGTGTCGTCGCCGAATATCACGGGGACCTTGATAAATCGTCCTTGCTCGAAGAGTGCGTATGTGTAGTCTTGGACTAGATCTCCGTCGATTGTCGGGCTATATAGGTATAATGGATTTCCTGTGGCACCTGGTAGAGGCGTGACGATGTTTTCGCTCTGTAGAGTACTAACGTCAAGGTCGCGAAGACATGCCAGTGTATTTTCAGTACTGTTGCAGCCTGTTCGGGCTGCCAGTCTGTTATACGCAACCTGACTCTCGGACACGTTCAGCACAGTTCCGAAGCTCTGAGATTCGGCGGCGGCTCCAATGAATAGTCCATCATCTCGTCCACCATAGGCAGAGAGCAAGAAAGTGACCGATGCGCCGCCGGCACTGTCACCACCGATAACAACATGTTCTGGATCTCCCCCAAACTAAATACAAAAGATTGTGAGCTGGTGTCAGATATCTGAAATGGCGTGAAAGAGAATACATACCTTGCTGATGTGTTTTTGCACCCATTCAAGTGCCTTGAGTTGATCTTTCAATCCATTATTCAGACTGGCACCCTGCACCACTTCGTCAGAAGCCAGGAATCCATATGGCCCAACGCGATAGTTGAAGGTGACCACAACAATGTTATTTCCGGACGCTTGAATTAGACCGGATCCGTTATAGTTTGGATTCGACAGGGCAGAAAAGCCACCCCCTTGAATAAAGAAATAAACTGGCAAGGAAGCCTTTGAAGTGACTGCTTCCGTGGGGGCATAGACATCTATGAAAAGACAATCTTCGGCCGTATTAGAAGGTACAGCTGTATCTCGCTTTCCAGCAACTGGAATACAGAGCGATCCATGCTAGAAGGGGATGCAATGTTAGTCGAGAGGGGGTGAAAAGGGCACGAGTAAAAGCCATATGAACGCCTTTCATCCCAACATACCTGTGTCGCCTGCTGAACCCCCGTAACCGAGGAAGGGTCCTCAGGCTCCTCGAATCGCAAATCGCCCACGGGTGCAGCAGCGTAGCGCATCCCAAGCCATTGCGAGATTCCCGAGTTCGAACGACCCTGATATTTGGCGTAGCTTAAATTCACAACTGGAGAATTAGCCAGAGCCAGCGGGAATATGGACAACGCGAGTAAAAAAAACATGGCGAAGTTGCCCTTGACACACAAGGAAGGGGGGGGGAGTGTCTTGCTACATACTAGTAGTTAAATCTGGACCAAAATAAACAAAGCCGGCGACTTTTTGAAAGAAAGAGCCGAAACGGTCGAGCCAAAGGGATTATCCTCAAGGGGAGAAAAACAAGGATGATCTTTGAATATGGGAAAGTTGCCGGGTCCCTTGAATTACCAAGAACGTCAAGGCCTCTCCTTGCATACAGTAATAACTTATAAGTACTGGACTAATGCAATCTTCCGGATAACAGCGATCTCTCTCCACTGATGGACCCGGAATATTACTTACATGGAAGTTGGATATGCTATTTCCAAGGTTACAGGGGAATATTAGAGCAATATATAGAGCTGTTATGAGTTCCGGTCCACATGAGTGGTGGAGTTAAGCTGATCGCAAACTCCACTTTAAGGCTATTTCCCCCCCGCAACTTCCAATAATCTGCGGCTCCCAAGAAAATCTGTTTCTCTGTTCTAATTTTGTACAATTCCCTATTCACCCCCAACATGACTTCCAATCAAGACGAAGAGGACGATTATATGTCCATGGTGATTGAGGAGCCTACCCAGAAAGAGTCATTTACCCAGCGAAAACGCAGAGAACAACGCGAGGTACCTGTCACATTCCTGCATTTGCGCCCCTTCCCAGCTGTCGCAGATCACTAACCTTTTTTTTTTGGGTTTTCAATTAGGCCGAAGCTCGCGGCAGAGTCCCTTCCAAAGCTGAACGAGCTGCGCTTGAAGCTTCCCGTCGCGATGAAGCCCTTGCAAAGAGTACGCTGGACCCCACGAACAAGGGCTTCAAGATGATGGCGAAGCTGGGTTTCAAGGCTGGAGATGCTTTGGGAAAACGCGACTCGGATACACCGCCGGACGGAAAGCTTGACGCGACACAACGCCTGATGCAGACGCGTGCGGAACCCCTGAATCTCACATTAAAGGATGGCCGGGGTGGTATTGGTTTGGACAGTGAGAAGAAGCGCAAGATTCGCGAGGAGGCCGAGGAAGCTACGAAGAAGATTAAGCGGGAAGAAGGTGATTATCGCGATAGAGTGCGGGAAGAACGCGAGCTACGACGGACTGAGGGACAGGTGCGTGCTGCGCAGAAGGTTGCTGAACGACTGGATCTGGATGCGGAGAATGAGAATGAGAACGAGGACGAGACTTCCAAGGACGGAGAGTCTCATCCTGAGCAGGAGGATGAGACATCGGACCCGAAACCTAGGCCTAAGCGTGTGAAGCCGACTTCGCAGGTTAGTGTGCTTTACCGTGGGTTGGTCAGGGAGTACGAGGAGCGCGAACGGGAGAAACAGGCTCGACAGATTCTTCAGACTTCGCTTCCTTCGTCGTTTTTCCGGAACTCGAAATTGCCTGGCTATGACGATGGTGATTTGGAGCAGGAAGATAAACAGGCGATTGGGAATCAGTCGGGACCTTATACGGCAGCGTTGGAACAAGAGGTTGAAGAAGAGGATCCGGAGTTGGATGCCTTCAATGCTTTGCCAGCCTCAGAACGCCTTGAAAAACTGGTGCTACACCTACGTGAAACATACCGGTATTGCTTCTGGTGCAAATTCCGCTACGAGACCGATTTAGAACTGGACGGTTGCCCCGGTTTAACGGAGGAGGATCATGATTGAAAACGGTGATACATGAAGTTACGGAACTTTTTTTTTTTGCTTCTTTCTGTTCTTATTTTAGCGACAGCTGGAGATCAGCTCACAATTCTTCCCATGTGCATTGATGTTGCTGCTCAGGACAGAGCTTATTATCAATATAGATTCAACCATCCTAGGTAAATCCTACTATACACAAAAACCATTGGTATCATAACGAGTATAAAAAAAAAAAACAAGACAAAAGAAAAATGAATCAACACAGATATAAGTGACCGCTGCTCCGTATAATTCAGGGTCTATCATCCTCAATAGGCAATCGAACGCACTGCGCCGAATCATGCAAAAATAAAACAAGATACCAAAGTACGCAAAAGAAAAATACAGAATCAAAGAATGACAGCGTTTATAGAGACAGAAAGCATCAACCGATCTTTTGCATCAGCTCATTCAAAGAACGGTTTTTGCATTTCTGCAACGTTTGGTAACATCCCTCGCAGACGCGCAGGGAGCAGAATACACATCGATGACGGATCTCTCGGTCAAACTTGTGGCATGTCTGACATGGAAGTGGACACCACACGTTTTGCGCCACGGGCATATTCCGGTGCTCCTGGAAGCAGGCAAAATGAACCTTATTCAATGGCGCCGCCACGGGCTCGACATCTGGCATAGGAGGCATTGATAGCTCTTCGGTGGATAGATTTCCGAGGGGGGTCCCAGATTCGTCGGGCGTGGGAATGAAGTCTTCAAGTGGGGTCAAGGCTTCGTTATCGTCGCTCGGTGGAGGCGAGAGGGTCACTGGAGGTACGGCAGGGAATGAAGCAGGGTCTTGTTGGGCCTTTGATTCCACGACCACCGATCGCTCAGCTGGTCTGACCGGTTGCGGGGCAGCTGGCAGTGTAGCGGATGGGGTATATGGGGCGTAGACTTGTGATTGGGGTGAGGCCGCTTGCGGTGATGATTGGAAAGGCGGTGATGGAGCTTGAAATTGAGCTTGAGCTTGTGCTTGTGGTTGCGCCTGCTGTGGCTGGGGCTGGGCAGATGTGGGTGGATTGACAGGTGGCTGGGTAGCTGGTTGATTCCCATTAGGCTCACTGTTGGGAACCTGGCGCCGTGGTGGCACTTTGGTCAACATGCGCGGGGGAGGAGGAATTTGGGATTTTGGTCGGGGCGGTAGCTCCTTATTCGGTGGCGGGGCTCGTTGCGGTGGCAGGGCAGGTACGTCCACTGCAACCACTGGGGTGACTTCATGCTCGGGAGTTTTCACATCGATGGATTTCTTGCTGCCGAAGGAGAATTGCGATTTGTTGGCTCCATTCTTCATCGCCGTGAGAGACGGAACGCGCAAGCCACGAGGGCGCTTTTCGGAATCAAAGATGGCCATATCGATTCTTTGTCTTTTCAAAACCAATGGGGTTGTTTTAGATTTGGCATATGGGGTTCGAGGTTTTGTGGGTATATAGTGATTATATCAACGCCACAAGGGTTGGCGATCTTTCAAGCTCCGATGGGTCGTGCGTAATCTCGGGTTTCAAGGGTCCAGGGGACAAGAAAAAAAAAAGAGAGCAATATAATAGATGAGAATGAGGGGGGAAGGAAAAATAAGAAGAAAAATTCTCTCCAAGACCGTAATCTTAATTAAGGGAATCGTAGCAGGTTTTCTTGGTTGAAGAGAAGAGAAGAGATGGAATTACTCCGTTACAAAGATATCCACTTTTTTTTTTTTCTCTGGTTCTCCCAACTTTGCTATGTTTTTTCTTTTCCCCAAAAAACTTCCCTTTGCTTTTCAGTCCATATCCAACTCTTCTATAAGACTTCGTCATCTCATGCTCGATGATTCATGGTTCTAGTCGATCGCTTTCAGCGGAATGTTGGAATTGATCACGATCGCCGGTCTCAGCCATTGGTTCATGAAGAATGAAAAAGAGGAGCTGATACCGGGTTGTGGGGTCTTTAATTTCAAGATAAAAAAGAAGTTGGAATTGTTTCATCTTGGACGAATCCCGAGTGTGCATATGGAGTCGAGTTGGACCCATCACAAAGTTCAATCAATCTATCGAAAATTGATGCGCTAAGAACCAATAGATCCGAATCAACGTGGCACTTGAATTGACTTGATGCGCCCCCCCTGAACCCGAGTCCGCTCTATCCGACATTCCATGCTCTATTGCCGTGATATCATTGGTGATTTTCTCGGCCAAGTCCGCCCTATCACTCTGGAATTTCCGTTGTCGTCATTTTTCTTTTCTTTTTTTTTGCCTTCCGTATAGCTTGGTGCTTCGAGCCTATCTAGACTTACGTATCCGTACGAACACGAACAATTGCATATGACTGGAAACGGATTTGATCGTTAAAACTCTTGCTCTTTTGTTTTGTTTTCTTTTTTCTTTTCTTAGCTATCGTTTTCCGAAACGGGCATATACGATCGGCGTTCTCGGGCAGCCTAAAGATTCATCGTTAGTTCGCTTGCCTTCAAAAAATATTAATCCAATGCTTACCTCGAGGTATCGCTCGATCCAGGGCTTGGCAAGCGCCCATACTAACAGTCCACCTGTAGCAAAGATGAAAATAAAAACTACCGCTTCATCCTTGCGCGAATCTCGCTCTATACACAAATTAGCTCCAGCCCATTTATTTGTTGCTTTTTACCATCTCTCTCCTCTTTTTCTTTTCTTTTCTTCTCCATGGTCCACCGGCCCATCTCCTCAAAGTCTCGGTCCTCTTCATGGAATCTCACTTACGGAAGCAGGTTGTAAACACGTCCTCCTCCTTTGCTCCTTTACACGTCGGAAGCTCGTAGTTCAAACAGAATTTGCGATTGCAATCATTGCAGCTAAGTGCACGGTATTTCTGTGCTCGTGGGCTGATGTCGTGGTCGCCTTCTGCTGCGTCCGCTTCCACGCTATCAAAGGCACGATCGTATAGGTTCAGGACATTGTCAATGGCAGACGATCCTGTGGTAGACTTGGCCGGATCAAGAGGGATGATCGTGCTATTGGAGAAGCAGGTGCATTTGCAGAAGGAGGTCGGTGCTGGACAAGGCAAATGGTTAGCATTCGGCTCGTGGACCAATATCTAGAAATCCATCGGGAGCGCTTCTTACTAGAGGCTAGGACCAAGGATGTGAGTGACAGAAGCGTCAGGAGCAGCAGCAAAAACTGTGCCTTGTCCCGGTACATGATGAAAAACAGGTATATCGTTCAAAAGAAAAGCCAGCTCGATTCCACTTGTCTGGAGATGACGCGGTTATCGGTTATCGGTTATCATCACGTGAGGGTCCACTGGATCTATACGTTTATTTACTAAACTTCACTCTTCAATCCAGTCTCTAGAACTGAAAAGTTTCAAATCGTGTTGTTTTTAGTCTATTTGCTCTGTTCTTTTGAAAGGTAGCACTTGATCACTGCTCCATCTTCATCTTCTCATTCAATGTTTCAAAAATCTGGTCATATCACATAAGCTAAATTTCAGGATAAAGGTCACAAAAAATCAAGTATGTAAGAACAAATACCCAACTCCAGGAATAATGCAAGTCGCTAAAAACAATGATCGCTGTTCTGGTATGAGAAATGAAGTCCGCATCAAACGGGCCGTGTTGCGGATATAGGCTGGTTGAGGGGGTTGGAAGACAAGAGATCTATTTTCTAGACCAGTAATTAGGTCCGCATGTCCTCCGATGCCGCTGGATATAGGTGCTCTGGAGGAGTATCACCATCTGTGTCGGTCACGATAATGTGGACGGTATGATTGATTGGCTGCTTGGAAACCGGAAGGAAGTGGCAAGATTTCGCGGATTCGATTATCACCGACGAATGTTTTTTCTGCTGAATGAACCAAAGTTGGAGGACTCCCAGCAGGGCAACAAGACTGCTACCCCACCAGGCCACGGCAGTGCAGCCGATACCTGCACCAGCACTGTACAACAGGCCGGCAATGGGAGCGGCGATAGTGCGCGAAGCCGCTCCGGAAGATGCAGCAAGTCCGTTGATTTTACCCATAACCGAGTCCGATGGACTGGCTTGCTTTATCAATATGAGCAAAACGGGGAAGGCGATGATAGAAAGAATATTGCGAACGATCATGCAGGTATAAATGCCAAAGAAAATAAAATTCTGTGGCAGAAACACCAAAAACGGAACCATGAAGTAGGAGATGGGATGAAGTATCGTCACCATCACGAAAAGTCGCCATACCCCAAGACAATGAGCCAGGGCCGGGAAAATCACAGTCTGGATCACAAGAGCAATGATGCCATCAGTGGACATAATAACACCCACAGTCTGAGTGGAAAGACCAATACCTCCCGAGATATCGAATAAAGAAGTCTGTGAGCCAGAGGTCCTATCGTCCTGTAAAAAAATGGGCAACAAATGGTCGTAGGTCATCGAATGATACGTGAAGATGGCGAGGGCAGTGATCAGCATAGTGACACGCCAAGTGAATGCCTTTGGTGGTTTTTGTATCTTTTTCCAGGCAGGTAAAGTCCCATCTTCCCGTACCTCCCAGCTCTCATCTTCGTATAAGATAACCTGGTTGAAGGTTCCGTACGAATCGGCTCGAAGGTCAACTCCAGCATTGGCAGTGGCTCCTGACGTTGCCAAGAGAGGCTGCTCAACCGGTGTATGCTCGAAGAACTCATCACGATCAGGCTGCATATCTGGATGAGTCTCCTGTAAGAACAGCCAACTGCCAATGATACTCAAAAGAAGCATAAAGGCACAAACAAGGTTGGGCAACAGATAAGGGAAGCGTCCAAAGATTCCATCTCGAGGGAAAATAGAAGGATAAACATCCGCAGGTCTTGCAAGTAAGCCTCCAATTGCTGTTATTGATTAGTATACAGCGCCACGTATCTTGAGCAGGGAATGGGCTAAGACTTACCAGGTCCGATGATAGTGCCAATGGACCAAACAAAAGGCATTATGGCATACGCACGGGCTGTAGTGATAACTATTAGCAATTTGATATCTTATTAACATGGATTGACAACCTTACGTTCATGCTCAGGTCGTTTTACCAACTCCCCCACCATGGTTTGAATGACTCCAATGTTCCCATTGAGCGCCCCTCCCACGGCACGGCCGGCTAGTGCGACCCAGAAGTTGGGAGCCAAGCCCACCATGAATAAAGAGAGCATGGTGCCAAAGCAGCCGAAGATCAAAACAGGTTTTCGGCCCAGACGGTCTGCAAGACTTCCCCAGAACATGCCTGTGACAGCCTCCGCTAGGGAGAACGCGGATATCAAGATTCCGGCATAGAAAGAGGAATCACTGCTCTTGGCCACGTGGAAGTCCTTGACCATCACCCATGAGTAGGGAAAGATGGACGTCAAGGCAATTGGCTCGGCCACACGACATATTGCTAAGAGGAACCGGTGATCAGCCTATGGCTTGTGATAATGGCAGGAGAGAAAGAGAGGGAGATAAAGATACCTAGAAGGAAAAGCTGAACGGTAGGGAAGCTGTCGTCGAGCGAAGGGTATGATCTTGCTTGTGTTAATACCATTGTGCTTTGGAAGTATTCAAGACCTTACGGCTATTAGTCCCGGCAAGTCGAATCTTCCTGGTCTTGGGCTTTGAGGCACGCGACCTTTCGAGATGTCTCAAAGGAGGAATAGAAGATACTAGAAGGAGCCAATGGAAAAGACGTCTTCAAAGGAACGGCTTTTTCGAGAGAGGAAATTGACCAAAAGACAGAATTTGAGGATAAGAAGAAGAAAAAAAGGTGGGGGGAGAAAGATAAGAATCTTCTATTACTCAATAGGGTAAAGCTAGAGCCCGGGAGCGGCCGCCCATACATTTCCTCTGCTTCCGCGGGGGAATGAAGGGGGGGCATATAACATGCAATGTGCAGAATTGAGGCCCCTTGATCTATTTGACATCCGATTGCAGACAGTTCTCTCTTTTTCATATTTATAGAATCATATTCTTTATATAATATCTATGCATTTATTTCAAGTGTTTGGAGCACTTCTATGGGTCGAGCAGAGTTTGCGGTGGCAACTCCAAACAAGGCACAAGGCACGAGCCATTTACAAGTTCCGGGCATCCGAGTCCCATTGAATGCTTTCACTGGTCACAGGATCCATTCAGACTATTTCACTCCAATTGTAAGATATTACTTTCAACCAATGAGTGAAATCATGTATAAATTTCAATTAACATGGATACTTCTCTCCACTTTTGAAAAGTTCCCCACTTCTTATCAGTGTATCACGTTCACTAGCGGCCGTTGGACCTGTTCCTTAATCTTCACTATACCCAATCACAGCCTTTAGAAGCCCCGCCCTTGTGTACATACCGCTGCACGGCATCTATGTATAGTAGAACTTATTTTATATATTTGAATCTCCTTTGCCATAGCATCTACTGTTAAGGGCTGATGTGGTGTCAGGAAGATCCCAATCTTAATCAATGTGATTTCTATGAAAATAGTAGGAATTGATGCAATGAACGGAGACAGCCAGCCGATTGAAATACAAAGATAAAAAAAGGAGCGAAAATGCCCTGGTCAACAAAACCACATAAAGTCCCCATACTGCGCCGGCTAATCTCATGCTGCGACCGATCAAAAAGAAAACAAGAGTGAAAGAAAGATGTGAAGGTGGGGGGGGAGGGGGGGGGTGAAAGAAAGGCAACTGAACGAGCGGGGGTTATGATGTCGCCTCAGGGTTTGCCGTAGGTGCCGAGATTTCCACCGAGCGTGTCTCGAGCTCCTTGGGCGACAAACTGTCACCTTCTGGGTCCACCTGAGTGCTTACAGCGGGAGCAGACTCGGGGGTGGTAAGATCGACCGTGGGTTGATGGACCGATGGGGTGGCACTTGATGGGCCTTCTCCATCTGGGCGAGCAGCATTCTCAACGTGCTCGGATTCATGGCTCTTATCTTCATCACCAATGACGGCAGCCAGGCTCCGGAAGTTGAACATGGGCTCAAGAGAAGTATTACTGCCATCTGTGGTAGCATGCCCAGCTGGCCGTTCATCCGGGGTGTGTTCCATGATAGACGAGAATGACGATGAAGCACTCGACATGTTTCGGAGATGCGATTGCCGTGACGGCTCGGCACCTGTAGAATGTTCAGTGACCACCGATGTTTGCTCGGCCTGGTTCACATTACCCAATGAAGTGGATGGATTTGACGAGGCGGCACGATCGACCGCCTTACCCTTGTCTGTTGGGGAGGCTTCTTCGCCAATTGAAGAAGAGATGCTGGTGACCTTGGCGAGTGACGATTCGCTGGTTCCTTCCAAAGCAGTACTGCTGGCATTGTTGCTGTACAGTCCATTCTTACGACCGACCTTATCGGCCTTCTTCGCCTCTTTCTCTCTCTTCTTAGCGTCCTTTCGGAAATCTTTTTCCTCTCTTCGCAGGCGCTCTTCCTCAGTGGCCAAGCTCAAGCGTATTGCCTCCATCATCATCATTTCCTCGAGATCGTCGACTCGAGTCCGCCTCGAGCTCTCACGTGGTGGGGCAATGTTACCCGGGCTTTCCTCAGCCGAGTCGGTGTCCGGTACACGGGATGTAGTTCGATCTGCTCGATCAGATCGCTCGGTCAAAAAGGCAAGGGCATTGATTGCAGGGGTGCCAGCCCGGCCAGCATCACCCTGAGTGGCTCTCCGGAGTCCTCTTCGGCCTAACCCTAACCCGCGAGAATCACTGGAGCCAGAATTCATCAGGTAAGCTGCGGTATGTAGAGCGGTTGCAGCAGCGGACCTTCGTGCCGCATGGGCACGGGCGTTGGACAGCTTCTGTGCCCAGTCCGGTCGAACCTTGTCCGTGGTGACCACAGAAGGGTCGGTTGCCGACAGGGATGTCGCACGACGACGACCGGGGATAGGCGCAAGACTTGCGGATGCTAAAGAGGAGGTTGAGGACACCGGGGAAGTAATATGGGGGGAAGGTCGGGCGCTGGGATCGGCGCCATATGTCAAACCGCGGCGGAAGGGAGGCATAGCATAGGTAACTCCAAACTCGGGCTGGACACAGAAAGGACATGCAGATGGTTCAGACACAAGCTGCGACTCGGTTTCTTCGGCTCGCGCTCCCTCTGCTGGGGTTGGTGTATTTGCTTCGGAGTCGCCATGCTCCGGTGGGTGTGGCTCGGGGCGCTTAATTTGAACGAAGCACTCGGAGCAGATAGGTTGGTCGCAGCATCGAGTGCGATTCAAGTATGGGGGATAGTACAGGAAGCAGATCGGACATTCGCTTGCATCCTTGTATAGATAGACCTCGATCGGTTGGCCATTGACAAACGGGTCCTTGGGTAGTTGCAGTTCCCGCGGTGTCAAATCGGTCTGCGAGCCATGCTTTGACGACGTTGACAAAGCTGCCATTGTCTTTGCACGGGCTCGGAAGAGGGGTGAGGTCGAGGTACCGGATGCGATCGGAGATATTGCCGAGGGTAATGATTGACCGGGATTCGAGCTTTGCGATACATCTGAATTGTAGGATTGAGCGCGGGATGTGATGGGGACGGTGAGGTGTTGGATATTGCTCGCATCCACCAATCCCTTTGTTGGGGTTGCCTTGGGGAGAGTGTACTCTAACTCGGGGGGATCTCGTCCGGTGGGGGGATATCCATACCCCGGGCCGCGGCCATAAGTTGGTGTTCCGCCCATGAGTCGGAGAAGTCATTCAGTCCTCTCCAAAATGGGGCAAGTCGGCGTTCAATCTACAGTAGTATTAGCATTCGATGACTTTGGGGATTTTCCAAGTTTTCTCATGGTGATCATACCATTAGTTGCCGAACAACCGCCTTATTGAAGTCCTCCGTCCCCACGTACACACCCTGTGTCACTAGATAACCTCCATCGACATGTTCCTCTTTCATACTGCGTTCGCGCTCTTTGACACGGGCCACTCTTTCCTTTTCCAACCGGCGTGCCTCTCGCTCCTGTTTGGTTTCACGCCGATGCTCGAGGGCAGCCATATCGCGATCATGATGGCTACTACCTATCCCCAGGAGAGATAGATCAGGTCGACTGCTTCTGCCCGACCGTGAGCTCTGGTATACCGCGCGACCCGGGGCATCCGATGACCATTGTTGGCTCCGGTGACGTGGCGCGGCGGTTCGTGATTCCCTGGTTTGAGAGTTTCCCATATTGAAGGGATGGATGCGAGGGGGTTGGAGAGCGTCGAGTTGAAAGGACACACGACGGAATATCTCCGAGGTGGCCCCCAAGGGGGAGGGGGAGTAGGGATAAAGGGGGGGGAGAATAAAAATCGATAGCGACCGGCTAAAGCCAGATAGACATTTGGGGAAGAATAGACGCAGGGGAAGTGGGAAAGATGGGAAGCGGGGACAGGGCGGAGTGACTGGGGAACCGATCGGTTACCGATCGAGGAACTAGTTAAATTGAGGAGAAAATGGAAGTGATACGTAAGAAAACGTTCAGCCCCCGAACTCCCGGATGTGGCGGATGAAGATTTTCATTCAACTTCGTGAAGTCTTCAAGGAATGAAAGTCCGTTGGATACAGAAGAGTTGAAAGTGGAAAATGGCCAAACACCCCCAAATATAACTTTGGGCCAGACCTTCCATGGCACACGACAATCGTCATTGGGGGATTACATCAGCCCTGGGACTTCAAGCTTTTGTCGATCAATAAAATACGACAACACTCTCTTCCAGGTATATACATATATGGTATGTATAGTACTTAAGTATCTTTTCAACTCAAAATAAGCTTCTAAATTGTTGTAAAAGACCAACTTGATCTGGTCTGTGACCGATAGAGTTCCGGCTATAAGGAGTTCATCTGAGACTCTCCATAATATATGTACATATAAAAAATACAAGACTAGCATTTCCAAGATTTATTTCTGGATTTCTAAGGATTAAGCAAGATTTTTTTATGGAGCTGAGATTGTTTTGAACGGGTAATGTGACTGCCTGACAGGTAGCTATTCAAACCTTGAATTTCAACCTGCATCCTTTCATATCCAGTCACATCTCATGAATCCCCAAGTGATGATGCTGCCCAAGTGGGTTCTTTGTGTACAGTGGGTCAAGGATAAAAAGGGAAGGCGGTGACCAGTCTCGAGTTGGCTTGAACCAAAAGAAAAAAAAAATTAATTTGGACAAAATGGCCATGATCGCCAACTGCTGAGGAGAAAAAATAAAAAAATAAAACTCCTTGGATTCTGTGGACGTCTTGCAATGACGGAACCAGCAGAAAGAATCAGACTTCATATTTCCCCTCTCACCCCCGACATTCTCCCCGCGGTGCTACCAGCATCCATCCGATCAACCGCTACCGATATCTCCTACCATACCATCTCTACCTTCCCCGAGAACAGTTACGGATACGTCACTCTCTCCAAGATGGACGCTGAAAAAATTAAGAAGAAGCTTAATGGATCGATCCTGAAGGGAAAGAAATTCAAGGTTGACACAGCTCGCCCGTCCAAACGACACCTGGAAAAAGAAGATGCCGAACCAGAAGCTCCCAAGGAGAAGAAGAAGTCGAAGAAGCGCAAGGTCGAAGACGAGACTCTGGAAGGATATGAACTTCCCTCCGATCGGAAAGTGAAGAGAGGCTGGACTGAGCCAAAAGCAGCCAAGGAGAAGCGCAAGTATGAGGACAAAAAAAAGAGCAAATCCGACAAGAAGGAAAAACTCCAAGCCAAGTCCAAATACACCGAGAAGTCCGAGTGTCTATTCCGCACAAAAATCCCACGCAACCGGGCCTCCGATGCCGCTGCCGACGACAAGAAAGCCAAGAAGCAAAAAGGTTCTGAGGATGTGGTGCACGAATTTGCCAAAGCAACCACTTACCCCAGCTTCCTCCGCTCTACAGGAGATGATAGCGCAAAGACAGCTACATTCGACGAAGAGAAGGGTTGGGTGGACACTACAGGAAATGTGAAGGAACCGGTCAGCGAGAAGGCTCGGAAGAAGGATTATCGGCCTGGCAAGGTTCCGGGAGTTAAAGAGAAGCGACCGGTCCTCAAGGTCAAAGCACAGGATCCCGAGTCTTCTGCTGAGTCTGAAGACTGGACATCATCAAGTGGTTCTTCGGGCGAAGATTCAGATTCAGATTCAGACTCAGACTCAGACTCCGAGAGTAAAGATGAAGATCAGAACGAGGCCAGCGGCTCCGACGACTCTGAGTCCGAGTCTGTCGAAGAAGAAGCGACTCCCAACGACAAAGAATCTTCACCGGAGAGCACAAAAAACACCGATGCCCCCACGACTACCGCAACTGAATCGAACCCTGAGCCCGCCAGTGAACCCGCCCAAGATGCCAAGGAGGACTCACCCCAAGAACCCAAGGAAGTCCACCCTTTAGAAGCTCTCTTCAAACGCTCCGCCCCCAAAGCATCTGAAGAACAAGCACCACCAGCCACCGAGGCTGGCTTCAGCTTCTTTGGCAACAACGACGATATTGAATCTGAAGATGAGTCTAGACCTGAGCTGCAAGCTCCTTTTACTCCCTTCGGCAAGAGGGATCTACAGGATCGCGGTATGCGGAGTGCAGCTCCCACTCCGGACACAGCTGCCGCTAGTCGACACATGCAGTGGGATGAGGACGAAGACATGGACGATGAAGAAGCTATGATTGATACCCCAGTCTCAAAACCCCTTGGCACGGAGGGTTCTGATGAGACCGAATTTGCGAAATGGTTCTGGGAGAACCGAGGTGATAACAATCGGGCATGGAAAAAGAGGCGGCGTGATGCAGCCAAGGAGCAGAGACAGAGAGAGAACCGGAAGAAGGGAACCAAGGGAAGGTCATAAGCGTATAACTCACGCAGGGTATTTTTTTTCTCTTCCTCTGTATTTATTATTGAAGAGGTACAAACAGAACATTACAATATAATGTGATTCGAAGAGATTTGAAGAGAACTAAAAAAAATTATATAGGCATTCAACGTATGTAGTACTAAGCTCATAGGTACGTAAATTACACTAAGTATCCTCACCACTTTCTCCCTCTCATTATCATTCATGCATATCTCATGCTGGGACACCAGTGGACGGAATAGGGAGTCTTGAACATCCAGAGTCATCACATCCAGCGAATGAAACCGAATTTCCCCACCAGGTGACATTGACGGTCTTGTACTCGACGGCAAAGAAGATAACCACGGCGGAAATGGCCAGGGCAGCTCCAAAGGAGGAAGTAAGGACATAAGCGTATTTCTCCCACCAAGCAACATAGTGGCGCTTGATGTACCAGTTGAAGACGGTACCAACGATCATGGGAGCAATGCAGTATGTCAAGTTGTAAGGGGCAAAGTTCATCATTCCGTACAGCAGCAAGGGGGAATAGACGTAACGGAAGCCAGACTTGGGGAAGAACTTGGACAGCAGGTAGAACGGAACGGGCAGCAAACTACCACACAGGAATCCGTACAAAGTGGCGTTGTACATCATTCCCTCGGCAAAGAGTCTCGCGGGTCCAATGGCACCCCAGATGACGGAGGAAGTGAAGAATGTAGTAATAGCCTCGCAGTTGAATCCGGCCGCTTGATCCGACTCGCAGATGTTGGGGATGTTCTCCAAGGCCCAGGCATTGACACCGATACTGACAAAGGCAGCGACCAAAGTGGCAATGCACTGCGCACTGAACATGACCCGGGGGGCAATCTTCATGTAGTGGCCCATCTTCAAATCAGAAACGAACTGGATAGCCTGAGCGCAAGAGACGACACCGTAGGTCTTGAAGATCATCATGGCGACGGGTTGGTTGGGGATGGCGTAACCGGCAATCATCTCGGTGAGGACATTGTTGGTAACTTCGGCGTTGGTGATAGCATACACCATACCATAGGGAACCTGCAAGATAAGACACAGGAGCAAACTGACAACCATTCCCCAGATCGGGAAAGATGGGGTATAGACGTGGGCCACAACACAACCAATGATGAAGCACAGGGCCAAGATAACCAGATACCACCAATCTGGGGCATCCTTGTACACCTTCATCAGGCGGTTGTGAACATCTTCATGTTCCTCGCGAGCATTCTTCCATTGCCACAAGGACTTGAATCCCTTGGACAGTTCGTGGCGGTTGTAGAGTATGATGTGAATAACACCAGCCATGTAGGCTCCAAAGAAGCAGAAGAACATGACGGCGTACGAGGCAGTCATGTAAGGTGGGCTGTAAGCATCATAGGCCTCAGGGCTGAAAACACCGTTAACCATGATTTTCGAAACGTTGTACGAGGCGCCGGTGTTATCAAATAGAGAGTTGCTCATGATGGGGAAGTATCCAGTGTTCCACACGTTGGTCCACCAGATAGGAACGATCACGCAGATACAGAAGAACACGGTTCCGAAGGTAATGGTGGCCAGGGCATAGAAGGGGGTAATGATGGGATCGTAGATGAGTGATGCCAAGTTCCAATCAAAGGTGGGCCAGAAGTTGAATCCCAGTCCTGTGATACTACCGGTAATGGCTGCCAAGGTGGTGTTGTTGGGAGCAATCCAGGTGATCCAATTGAAGTAAGACAGAGCCTGGAAGAGGTATCCAGGGAACCAGTACCAGACAAACATGGCACCGAAAGCGTACAGGAAGAAACGATAACGGGACATGGTCCATCCATGGATGGAACGTCCGGTCTCCTCGCTGTGCAAAGCCTTGTTGAGGGCAATCGTCGCCAAGGCCTTGGGGAAGATCATAGATGGCGGCAAGACCAAGAAGCGACGCACCAGACCCGCACATCCGTATCCCAAAAACTGGGTAGAGAGGGTAATCAGGATTTGGAAGCCGGCTTTGTCGTATAACTCGGTATTGTTATACCACTTCTTCACCTTTAGCACGGTGAAGATGTTGGTGGTGTAGGCCGTACCCATGTAACCTCCATAACCGACATTGGCCATGACGGTGATCAACATGTGTTCCTTTTGGTTGAAGGGGCCGGGGTTGAAGGAGAAGCGGTAACCGAACAAGGAGTACTGGCGCGTTGGCAGAACCTTGGCCATGAAGACTCCCATCGGGTAAGACACGACCTGAGAGACATAGGAGGTGAGAACGATACTCGGGTATCGAAGGGTAAACAGCTGGTTGACACCGGTGAAGACGATGGTGAGCAACAGACCGATGAACCAGGCACGGAAGGTATTGGACGAGATGGAGGGATCATCGAGGGGATCAACGACGGCACGGACTTCGGGATAGGGCGAGTCGTTCAGCAAGACATCGCGTTGATGGCGAATCTCTTGAAGCAAGGTCTGGGCCTCCAAAGCGGTGATTTGCTTTGGGTCCTTGGCCAGAAACTCTCTGGCAGCGTCTAGCATCTCCTGTGGGAAATTGCCATCCATCTCGTGCTCGGCAATGGTTTCTTTTACCAAGGCCGTCAAGTCATCCAGCTCGGCATCCGTGACTTCCCCATCGGAGGGGAAGACATGTTCCTCGATGTCATTCTTCTTCTCCTCATACCGATAGACGGTAGTTTCGGTCTCCATGTTTTCGAGGGAAGACAGTGCTCTGCACTTCCAGAGCACCAAAACCTTGGAAAATGGGTGAAGGGAAGAAGATCACTGTTGTCCAAACTACGGGAAGATTCACCAGCCTTATATATATGCATAGCCTAGGAAAGCACGAACCAAGTCCATCTGCATTAGTATGCATCTCTCTTCAAATGTTCATTCTTTGCCCCCTCTGCCCATGTGGCCCAAGCAATTGCATGCGCGCCATACCTGGTGAGGACAGTGTTCCGGGGTGCCACCACGGAGCTCCGACAGCCACTGCATTCTTGAAATCCCCTAGATAATAGGCCTTGTGATGATTGGTCGCCACACATTCATGCCGGGAATGGCGCTAAAAATTGAACTAAAAAAGAAACCAAATTAGACTAGTTTTTAGCTCGAGTTTCTTCGAATTAGATTAGGGTTCGCGTCTTATCCCCCGGGAACAAGGCCACATGTGCAAGGTTGTTTATTGTTAATGTTTAAATCTGGGTACTGTGCCAGATGATCAGGAAGACGGGTTTTTTTTAAAGAAAAAAATAGTTCTTCATTTTTTTCTTCCCTTGATTGAGATGCATGTCCATCAATTATTTTGATATATTAAAAGACCCATTTCTCCAGATTAGCTGGAATGGATACTGGGGGCGGGGAAGGGAGCATATGACCGATTCGCACTCCGTAAGACAAAACAAAATCCACAAAGTTCAAGTAAGAAAAAGCTTGGAATTTCTCCACTTAATCCAAAGCTGACTGGATTAAAGGTGTCAGATGGGATGGCGGGGGAGAACGTTACAGGGAACTTTACAGGGAACATACAGAGAACTTACTCCAGGAAGCGAGATCATTGGTTTTTGCATCTGTGCAGGTATGGTAATATGGTAATATTATTGTTTGATTTTACTGTTTTATTATTTCATTCTGTTATCATTTCCGTATTATTTCAACTTATCTTTTGGCTTTATCTGCAAGCGATCCGCTCTGATTGGTTCCCCTCTCACGCCATCTATCATAAGGCTGGCGTAAACCTATCAGTGGCAATTACAGTCTCTTTGCCGACACCGTGACAATTCCGTGCCGGTAAAAGTCTCCAAAGGCCAATCAAAACTTGACTAAGAGCCGATATCGTGATTTGAATAGAGATGCCTCCATTGCAATTAGGGCCGCGTCATGGAATTGTAGGACTCCATTTTTTTTTTGTAAAACCGGGTTGAATAGGGATCTGGGGGAACGTTGAGAAACCCACTTGTGCTATGGGGGGAATACGGAGTAGAGAAAGATAATCAATGGAGTCCGGTGGTATCTTTGCATTTCTCTCTCGAGTGCCTCTGCCATCTCACGGTTCTCACCATCTCGCCATCCCGACGGACGCCGACCTGATATCGTGATATCCCCACTCGATTATGCTTTGTGGAAAATCGCGCCTAAACATCCCGGTCGTTCAATTACTCTATACGATAGGGCTGGGCATGCCGGGGTCCAAATAAACAAGATTTCTTAATTAACCACTGGATTATGATTTGCTCAGTAAAAAGAGAAAAAGAAAAAGAAAACACCCAGAAAAAGCAAATAAACAAAGGGGAAAAAAAAAGAAAAAAAAAAGAAAAATAATTAATACATACTTCCTACTTCGTACAGCGAGAGAGAGAACCGCACAGACGTGACAGGGATGTGATTGGGATGACCAAGAGTCTCCAAGATATTCGCGCAGCTCTCAAAAGTAATATTATGTGCGCCCTTTAACTCTCAAGGTTACATCCAAAGAAAGTTGTAATCCCAGGCTGATTGGAGATGCTGTCTTATGCCGCCGAGTGATCGTATTCCTCCAGCAAGATTGCGGCATCAATGATTTTGTTGGCCACGATCTCTCGCCATTCCTGTAACTGTCAGTCAACGGGATTTTCCCTACCAGTGGCGAATTGAGGTCCGATGATAGATCTTACCGCTGCATTAGTCCAAAGGCCGGCCTCTAAGCTACTGCGCAGCCCTGGAAAGGGTGGCTTTTCCGTATGCCACGGGGCGGCCGCGTATAGTACATGATGGAAAGAAGGCCGATCATCGACGCCAGATTCATGAAAGAATGTTCTTTCAAGCTGCATGTACCGCTGATTGACCCTGTCAATCACCATGCTCTCTTGTTGGTCAGAAAAATAGTCCCACCTAGAATGTGGCTGCAGCGTCAGCGACGCCACCTCATGGTCAAATCTTCTCGCGGCTTGACCGAGGCGTGCCACTGCTTTGTAGAGAGACCCTGGATCACATCGCTCGGACCATTTTTGATTGGAAAAGAGGTCCTGAGCCCATTTGTCTAGGGCCCTTGCATAATCAGTAGTCCTCATTTCCAGAAGGGGCGGTTCTGACAGATGGGCTGCCATTACCGACCAAAGCTGGGTGCTTGCTAGATGATACGCCCAGCCAGGATCTCCAAACTCCTCCATCCATTCAAAGGTATCGAAACCTGAGTGATAAGGGAAGACATTGTCTGCCAAGCCTTGGGAAAATCCGAAATCAACGGTCGATGCACATACCAAGCCTTGGAATCGAATGGCATCCCCTCCGCCCGGTGTCCCCCAAATCCCCGCCCCCGTCTCATTCCAAACATCGAAAATCGATTGACCGTTTAATGTCTGATTTGGTGACGGCACACGCTGCATGGCATCCAGGGCTGCTCTATACAGTAAAGGGCTAGCCTTGACATGGAACTTCTTTCCCGCGCCAGCCACAACGACGTTTAGATAAGCGACAGTGGTCGCGTTGAGCCATTCAAAATGCTCCTTGATCCAGGGCAAAGAGCCGATTTGTCCAATCTCCTCCCCCTCCCAACTGGCGAACACAAGGGTTCGGTGAGGCTGCCAACCGTGGCGAAGGGCTCGTCCAAAGCTGCGAACAAGGACATTTAATGCCGCTGACCCACTATTGGGATCGCCCGCCCCAGGGCCCCAGGCATCACGATGATTCCCCAAAATGACGATCTCGTCGGATTTCCCGGTTATTTTACCGATAACGTTATGCACTTTGCCAGTGTGGAGATATGCCTCGGTGCGAAGATGAAGCGAGATTTCGGGAGGCGATGGCCCCACATTATAGCGGACGCCGTGGAATGAGAGTCCTCCCCCGTGCCATCGGCTATTTAGATCAGAAGCTGATGGACCATGACCATTCAATGCCGTGAGAATAGGGACGGCATCGGCGTAGGATATTGGCATGCAGGCGATTGTGGGTATTAAGCCGGCCTGGTACGAATCTGGAATAGTCAGCCGACCCAGTACGTACACCTTAACGCGGGAACACGGTACAGGTGACAAGCTACCAACGTCTAATATTGGCACGTAATCGAGGTGATACGTACCGAATGGGCCTATACCGCCTCTCTCAATCATCTTCGGGGGTCGTGCTGGACCGTCAGGGTACGGTCTGTACCCGTTTGATTCATTGATAGGCTCATCGTTTTGGGGATCAGGATACATGAGGACCCCGATCAGGCCCCGGTTCTGAGCATTCCTGATCTGTACCTCCCGCGACATCCCAAGATGGTGAAGCTGTAGATAAGATGATGCATCGGCCGATTTCAACACTGCGATCTTGCCCTCGAGGCTGACATTATTGTTCACGAGATCTTGGTAATCGTCGTCGGCGCCAAAGTTGGCAAAAATGTAGGGAGCAGTAATGTTCGAATTGGTAACAAAGCTGTAGAAGGCAGGATAAAATCCATCCTCACTGTCGCTCAATGGTGCCTCGTAAAGAACCTCCGAGTCTCGTAGCAGAGCCAATCGCTGGTGATCGGTCGGAGCCGGCAGATGCACATCATAGGAGAATATTTGAGTGTCTGCAATGCCGTAGCTTTTCCATTGGGTCTGCGTCCATTGTGCTTGCTCGAGACCCTGTCCAGAAAAATGTGGCTTTGAGGTGTAATAGGCACTCGATTCGCGAATGTACTCTGCAGATGGAACGGACAAAAGCAGCTGAATCAAATCTGGTAACGAGAGCTTTGGACCATTCCAGTGCATGACGATGTATAAAAAGGCGACTGACAAAAGGCAAAGAAGAAATGCCAACTTCCCTCTTGTGTGAGAATCTCTTCGCGATGACACCATTTTACCATTCTAGGCTGTCCCGATCAATAAGTTCATTCAGAGTTGAGACAAAACCAGTCTCAGCTGTCTAGCTTGAAAGTTTCCAGACTTTTTGAGGTAGAAAAAGTTCATTCAAATCAATGAGAGGAAGGTGCGGACATCCCTGTTGAAGGAAATGGATGGACATGTCAAATCGGGAAGTTTTCTCAACATGAAATCTACTTGCACAAGCCTTGGTACATATTATATGGCACTGATAAACATTGAAGGTAAGTAGCAATTTTCTGGCTCAATTTTCCCCGTTGACTTTCCTAATTGGACTGGAGTGGAAGGTAACATACTGGTAGTCAATGTTACACTGCTTGGAAGCTGTTGTTTGCTATCCTCAACACTCTTGGAATTGTACGGTCAACACCGTTCTCACTAATCTTGAAATACACAGGAACAGGTAAACGCATTTCCAACAACATTCTCCAGACAAGGCCAAACAGAGAGATAATTACAGGTTATTGAAAGGGCGTGAATCCCATCGAACTCGGCGAAGATGTCGTTTGGGATCAAGAACCTCGTCCCGACTATGCAGCCAGCGACGATTATCCATCGCGACGATCGACCCTTGTGGAAGCATAGTAGAATTCAAATGCATCACCTGCGACTGTATGGCTTCACTGACCAGGGCTTCTCGCAGTTGGTCAAATGCAACTTTTGCTGGTTCGGTCAATGGGGTGACGATATCCTCTCGAAACCGGAGCTGGACCGTTCTCATGTTCTGATCCGCCTGAAGCAAGTTTCCAATAATATGAGTACTGGAATCTGCTTTTATGAACTCGGGTGGGACATTGATACGGAATTCAGGCTGACTGAGCGCGGAGAGTACTGCAGGCGACAACAGAGCCACCAAGCGGGAGCTGTCCAGAACGGAGAGAGTGCCACCACCCCACTGATCAGGACGAATAACCTGCAGGGCAAAGTACCGCGCGGGTGATTTTTCATAGCTGCAGTCTGTGTGCCAAGGAAACTCGTTCATAGTCTCCGATCGTGCGGTATAAGCATCAGTCGAGGTTTCTAGCTGCGGGCGTACATCCCAGAACCAGCCACGAGAGGCGCTGTGGGTTGTTGGAAGCCCGTGGCCATGGTCTCTGTGCAGCTGGAGAAGCAACCCTTTGAGATAGTTGCAGTTGTCGTCTTCAAACTGTAAACCAATCTTGACGATCCCACGACTTTTGAGATAATGATCGACCTGTCGGACATGCTCTGTGTTCTTTGAGGAATCTAGGTCAGCGGCGTGGAGCTGTGGAAGGCTGACAATTTTGCGCTGGCCAGTTTTTCCTGTTCTGCCATTAGCAATGTTGTCTATGGATGATCTGCCTTGGACTTTTTGGGAAAAATCAATTCGTACTGTGGGCAACCAGAGAGACCCGACGAGGTAGTTTTGAGAGACTGAGCATATTGATATAGAATATAAGAAGACAATCTTCAGCAACGACGGTAAGCTAGTGGGTGATGTAGCAGTCCTCTGATGTAAAGATAAAAAATAGACAGGAAAGAAAGTGAGGCTGGAAACTGAAAGTGATTAGTTGGTAAAAATGGCAGGAGGTGATGCTTTCAGTCAAAGCTCCTGCCCTCCAGGCTTCAGAATTATATTGGAACAGGTTCACCGCGACAGGGTTCTTGTACAAACTTTTCTTTTCCCATTCTTTATCTTCTCTTCTTTCTTCTCTGCTGGTCCGGATAATCCCACGTCGCGTCCCGGTTTCACCACCTTACTCAACACACCAATGAATATCACCCACAACTACTATCAACTTCAAAACTCAAAATCACCGGTACCGAAATCAGTCAAAAAGAGAACTCGTCAGAAAAATCCTTTCAAAGTGGACTTCAAAAGCCAGATTCACCGGCGACGAGGAGAAAATTATTTACGGAGGGTCCCTACCAGGCGCGAGTCTGTAGAGGGCATCATGGGAAGATGAACACGCCGTAGCCGGCCTCGCGACACAGTCGGTGTATGTCTTCTCAAGCCTCGGCGTACACTCAAGGAACAGACAATTGGGGGTCGGTGAAACCGTGTTCGGACTGTGATGGTGGGATCTGGGGGATTGACAATTTCTTTGCTCAGTGATGAACCCGTCTAGATGATTGCATGGCTCCCATCGGTCCCTACTAGGGTGATATTTCCTGAACGGTCGATATTGCTTGATACAGTTGTGCAATCCATCCGACGTAAGGGGACACCTCTCAGGAGGGCCGGGCAAGCCTGAATGAGGGCTCCATGATAAACTCTGAGAGCAAAATACCCTTCAACATTATAAACCTGCCCCATGTGAGAGTGATTGACCTCGACAAACTATGGTGCCAATTCAAACTGAGAATAAGTACCCCCTTTACGCACCATGCAGGCTATTGGCAAGCTCCAACTTGATGATCTAACTGAACAGCAGCGTCAACAGGCCATACAAGTTATCACGTCTCCACCTGCACCAAGTGATTAAGCAAAGAGATGCTGGGATTGGGTTTATGACACCCTGCTGTCACTTCAGGTTGAAGAGCTTGTCCCGTCTTGTATATGACATTTCTGGAAGGGATGGTTGAGAAGTCGGCGCGAGCTGTTCAGGCGACATTGGGTGTCAATTAGACGGGTCTGAAATGAATACAACATGTAAATGTAGCTCAGGTTTCAGTATAATCCAACATGGTCTGATTCACTTCAGCCCAAAATTCATACTCATAATTTTCGAGTATTGCGGGAATAGAGTCATAAAATCGTACTTCGATATTAGACAAGATGATATAGGGAATATGGTTGAACAGGTCCCATTTGGAGGACTGCCAGAGGGTTAAAAAATAATTCTGAACGACGGATGTGGCATATACCGGATTACTGGCGCAAGGAGTATGTACGTACGTCTCACAAGTCTCACAGGGCTTCACCTCAAAATTGGAGGTGTTTTTGATTACATAAGGTTTTCTCGGTAGCAACCCAGGGCGGTGAAAAGTCTGCATACACTTTAGTGTTAAGCTAGTCCAGATATGGATTAGCTCTGTTTACACAGCAACCGTCACGATCAACTCAAAACACTCACAACATTTGATCCTGCTAACTTCCACCCGACACCACGAGGGTTCTTGCGATTGTCCACACATCGCTCTCATTTGAAACCATGGCAAATCCTCTTTCACCCCTCTCCTCCTCTTTCCAGAATGCGCGGGCTCGTTCTCCAAAGATCGGCTCGTCGCCGTTCCTCACCAAAACAATCGATGAACAAACCGACTCAGAGTTTCGCGTTCCTTCAAGTCCGTTGAAAAAAGCCTGGACAGGACTTGAATCCCCTGGCCCTAATGACGGCGACATGAATGAAAACTACATCTATAATGACCATGACGAGATCGATGCGAACGACAATGACGATTTTCAAGATGCTGCCGATAGCTCACCATTCCGGGATGATGCACGCGAAGAGACCGTTGATTTTCAGAAAATGCGAGATTTTCAACAACGCACACCCTCACAACCGCGTCATCGATTTGGCATGGGCCCGGTAGAAGATCCCATGAGTTCTCCCTTCCGACCAGAGGGGAAAGATGAGACTGTGGATTTCCAAAGATTGCGCGAGATACAACCAATGTCCCCTGGCTTTAGCAAACGCCTTGCTATCGATAACCCGGCTAGCTCTCCATTCCGAACCGAAGGAAAGGATGAGACGGTGGATTACGATCGTTTACGCGAGTTGCAGGCCGAATCCCCTGGTTTTGATCAACAGTCGCCCGGGCCAGTCAGCTCTCCATTTCGTCCTAGCGTCAGAGAACACGATCACGAACTACATGAATCACAAGAGAATGATGACGAACAAGGGTTTGCAAGCAACCATGAACATGCTCCTATAGTGGCTCATAGTTCACCTTTGCGACCCGATGCCAGAGCCGATACGATCGATATGCCAAAACTGCGCTCAACGCCTCGTTTATCACCAGGTGTAGAGAGCAACTACTCCAATGCCGCCACGCCTCGAAAACGATCATTTGACCAGACTCCACAAGATCACGATGAAGACGCACAGACCAATGAGCGGGCCAAAAAGGGCATGCTCAATCGAACCGAGGGTCCTGATATTCACATTGATCTTGACGACGAGTCTAGCGTCGTTCACGATCAAAGCTGGCTCTCAAATACGAGCGCCAATCAAGACCGGTCGGCAATCGCAAACAGTATGATTGAAGACAAGCACAACGAGGGTATGAGCACAGTTCTCCACGACAATGCTGGGATGACGGATGAAGAAAAAGATCACCACGAGGCGGGTGATGTCATGTTGAGTGAAGATGATCACGATCCAATGGATGATACTGGTCTGAGCAACTTCTCTGTTCTGCCAGACATGACCTCTTTTGCGAAATTGCGCGCAGATTCACCTTTGAAATCCATGCGTGGTAGTGTCGGGCCCAGCCCAGCTCGTACCGCAGACATGTATGGTCGCAGTGTTGAACCGGGAACCCCAGGCACCGCACGCAGATCGCATAGGGCTAGTGCCCTGCTTGATACTGGATCACAGATGGGATCACCTACTCCCAGAAGACGAGTTTCTCGGGACGTCGGTCACCCTGATAGGACTCCCAACTTGCTCGATTTCTCGGATCAAATGAACTTCTATCCCCGCCAGTCAACGCAACAAGCTTCCCAGTACTCTCCCCGACGATCTCCGATGAGAAATATGCGGCAATCCATGCGGTCACCGTCCAAACTTTCGCTCCTGGACTTCGATATCCCGCCTGCACCGACACCGCGCTCCATTCCCACCGTCACACCTCGTGAATTAGAGTCTTTGAAATCTGGCTTCATGTCGGAGATATCTTCGCTCAAGGCTACTCTGAGTGGCAAAGAGGCAGAGGTCGCCTGCTTGAAGACTGCAGTCGGAGACGCAGAGAGGCGAGTTGGAGAAGCCTTGGAAGAAATTCGCAACGAGGCTGCCCGGAGAGAGACGTTGGAAATCGAGCAGGCCGAATGGGACCGTCGAGGCAAGGACATGGAGAGAGTCCTGCAGTCTGTCCGTGACGAGTTAGAAGAGGGGGAACGTGAGCGAGATCGTCTCACCAGAAAGGCCGAAGAGGCAGAGAAGGGCAGGGAACAACTCGAAGGCAGAGTGGTAGAACTTGAAACTCAACTCTCTACCGCACGTTCTGCCGCGCCGGGATCTACAACCGCTCCAGGGTCACGACGGCCCTCACAGTCAGCCGAAGACACTGCGCGGGAAGTGCAAGATGCGGTTGAGAAGGTTGCCCGTGAACTTCATACTCTATACAAGGGCAAGCACGAGACCAAGGTTGCAGCATTGAAGAAGAGCTATGAATCTCGCTGGGAAAAGCGCCTTCGCGAGTCTGATAACAAGCTTACTGCCGCCCGCAAGGAAAATGAACGCCTCAAGGCCGAGCGTGATGCTGCCGACTCCGACTCCATGGCAAATGCTAACGCCAGCATGATCGCCCGTGAAAATGACGAGCACGAAGCCGCCAAGCGTGTCTTTGAGGCTCAGATTCAGGGTCTACAACATGAGATGGTGGCATTGAAGGAGGATAGTGAAAGACTACGAGATGAGCTCAAAACCGAACGTGCCGAGAAGGGAGAGCTTGTTGCCGCTGTCGATGAGTGGTTGAACATCCAGCAAACACAACCTGCTCCGATTCAGCAACAGGAACGGGAAAGAGAGTCTTCCGTTGCCTCTGCGGGTGTTCCTGAAGAGAATTACCAATCGGCCAGTGAACCTCCTGTTGATAACCTTCGCCGGAGTGTGAGCCGCTCTGGCTCCAGTGGTATTCGCCCTCCTTCAACTACTGAAAAGAAAGGTCCTCGCTTCGGGGCCCCTGGTGGCCATTCCCGGGGTAACAGCGGAGGAAAATCGGGTATTGCTATGTTCACTCCTGGTCGAGGGGGTATCATGAGCTCTATTGAGCGGATGGGACGTGGAGGCGCTTAGATAGGGGGTTATGAGCTTGGAGTTTATCTTTTTGATGGTTCAGGGCACTTTGGTTTATTTGTTTTCTGTTTTCCGAGTCTTGATTCCCCTTTAGCAGGTGCCTTTTTGTTTTGATATGACATTCTATGCTTGAACGTGCTATGAAACCCTTCATGTGGTTGCTTCTGAGTTACTTATTGTTATGAAATTTGGATATTTATTAATTGAGTGGAGTTGCCACTGACTACAAGAAGATGGTAGTATAGTAGTATTAATTCTCCTCGGCGAGCACCTTTTGCACTTCATCTGCAATGTTGTATTCGAGTACATCCTTCGCGGAGTTTGCTGGAGTGAAAAGACCTGTTCGGTGTTAGCTACGCTCATAAAAAAAAAATCTAACATTCGTGAATCAGGTACCACTTACCAACTAACCACAGTATCAAATACATCATGAATTCTTCCACAAGGCCCTTCTGCTGCTTTTTCCGCTGGCGCTTCTGAGCCTCGTCAAGAAGCATTTTGACCCGCGGATATCGCAGAGCTGTATGTTTCTTTGCAGCAAGCAAAATAGCATCTTTTTCCGTGAACTCTGCATCAGAGGACACAGGGCCATCATTATGCCTATATACCCGTTTCAGGTAATGTGCCAAAATCATCGGAAATGATTCTGAATCCTCCAGCGCCTGCGCTGAGCCTTGCCCCGACGTCGGTGGAAGTGCATGTGCTGCATCGCCCAGTAGCACAATGCCATTCCGGTCCCAGATTGGCAACTCGGGTGTCGTCCACGTCGGCCACATCGTCTCTACGTTGACTGATTGGATGATTTCCTGTATGACTGGATCACTCCAGCTCGCATGCCGTTGCCGTAGGTCCTCTGTGATGGCAGCTCGATCAACAGTTTTGGGGTCGGGGCATTCTTGCATCCCGTATGTGGACCACCATGTAAGCGTGTCGCCAGGTGAGGATATATGGTTCGCTGAGTCCCGGTGCTTGTCTGTCTGTGAGCTGGATGAGTAGACGTAGCCGAACATGCCGGATCCACCAAATGTGATTGTCATGGTGCCATTTGGAATCTTGCGGCGCAGAGTCTCCGTAACGGGAGTGAAGCCACCCACTCCCACGAGACCTCTGGATAAATTATTCATTAGGTCTAATCATTTCTAATGCATGATACCCATTGAAACTTGAACTTACTCGTATTTTGGAGGGTATGGGTCATCTTCGGCGTTTTCAACATCAAAGAGAGCCCTCTTCACCGTTGATTTCAGTCCGTCGGCACCTATCACCAGATCCGCCTCCGCGGGCTCACTTCCATCGACGAAGGTGATAAGATGTTTGCCCGTGTGACTTCCGTTCGGAATAACTTTGGCAATCTTCTTATTGACAATCACACCATCCGGGATACGATCCCGCAGACATTGCCAGATCGAGTGTCGACTCATGGCTACCGAGTTCATCGCGTGCCCATCTACCTCTGCCGAGGCCTGCACCTGCATCAAAGTCCATCCGTAGGCGCTCTTGATATGGAACGCTGAGTACGGATAGCCACCGCGTACAACATCCTGTAGCAAGGATTCGTCCAGCCGGCGCAGTACGTTCAGGCCATTGGGCCCGAGACCTAGGCCACCGCCTACGACTAGAGTTGCGGATCGCGTGCTTCCTTCACCAGTGACAGAGGCAGGTCTTTCACGGAATGTGGTGTCCCGGGCTGTATCGTATGCCTCATAAATGGTGTAGGTATGCTTTTCTGCAGGTGAGGGTGGCTGGGGAAGATGCTTTTGGAGTGAAAGATAGGTTGTGCAGCCGCTGATGCCGGCTCCCACGATGATGATTTTCATCCTGGGATAATATCCTGATTTTGCACTGGAATATAGGAATTGAAGACTTTTGTTGGATTACCCACTCTAGGAGTTATTTAGATGCTTCTTTTATGTCATGATATGTTGTTAGGCTGCCGCCTGGGCATTATGGATTTTGACGTGAAGTCAAATTTGTCTATACGAGATCAGCTGATCAGAGCCATTCTTCGACTTAGACATTCAAATGTTCTTACTAATTCGTATGTCTTGTGTGGGATTGATGGACTTGACTGTCGCTTTCTCTGCAATATGGATTGATACTATTCAGACAACAATGCATAATCCTTCAGATTCATAGTTCACTCATGTGAACTTTCCGAGAGTGTGCATGGTCCATATCCTGACCGGGCCAATCATCATACTTTAAACCGCAAGCCACCTTCACCTTGTGGCAACTCGATGAATCTGAGTCAACGGGGGCAAAAGGGTCATATTGAAAGTCAAGCCCCCACCCCCGGAGATTCCCCCTCCATCGCGGGGGTACCGATTTGCCTTCGACAGCCTTGCCTAATCCGGACCGATTCCCCTCGTCCGGCCCGCCACACGAGTCACGGCGTGAAAAGAAGTCACACGGATAAAGTGCTTGACAATGCAATATGATAATGCGACATAATTTCCGGCCAATGATTATCCTGTCAACTATTATCTTTCAACCTACATTATCTCGAGACAATTGGAAGGGGCCATGCATAATGACGCCACGATCAACCTGCCCCTCGTGGATTGTACTAAAAACCAAGTGTTTAGCGCGGGGTGCAAGCACTAATGACTAGGTTGTACATAAAACCCCTCTGCAACTTCGTACGCACGTTGGGCTTTTGGGCTTTGGGCTCTGGGCTTTGTTCTTTTTTGTCATGTCGGCTTGTGTCCGATTTGAAACGTGGGGCGAGTCTCTTAGGGCGATATTGTGTCCAAGCCACCGCGCTCTATTTCCGTTTGAGCTTTGTTTCCGTTCATCTCGTGTCAATTCATGCCGCTAGTCCCCCTGAGCTCGGGCTCTTCTATCTATTTGGTTTTCAGCTTTTGGATTGGGGAATGCCAAGGCTTCTCGTTCTGACAAGTCTGGGGATGAGAGCGACCGGCGTGATGCCCGATGAGTTATTATTCTCCGCAATTTCCTGTTATTTATGTCCTACGTGTCTTTGGATCTGGTTGGAGCTGCATAACATTTCCGCTGCATAGGCTTAGGCGCCCGATGCCTTTTCGAGTCTTGACCCCGCTAACACGACTTTTGTTTTGTTTTGGGGGGGGGGTTTTTTTTGCTGAAACGCAACAGCCCGCACTAGGAACTAAAGGTGTGTCGAACGCAACGCTCTAGGCTGGATCGGGATCGGCTTGTACCATTTGAACCTCTTCGGCTTGCCATGATGGAAGTACTAAGCTATAGAATTAGGGTAGAAATACCCGTATGCATGGTCTGTATCTAGGGAAATTGTTTGAACAGGTGATATTTTCTTTGTTGTAATCCGTACGGACTCCGTCATGGATCGGAAATTCATTCATTACCGGCCCCGGACTTCATTGTCGGCAAGATTTGTACATGTAGACCCAAGGATCGTGCGCACGGGAACAGGATTCGGGAACTTGACCTTTGCCAGGTTCTTGATTGGAGTCCCACTTGAATTCCACCTGAATTCCACTTGGATCCGCTTTCTGACCTCGTGAGAAGCCAGAATTCTCAACGTAAAGTGGCTGATGCCTTTCCCCCGTGATTCTTTTCTCCCCACATTGAAACCGCAAAACCAGCTCACCATGAAACTGTGCTATATTTTCTTCTCTCTTGGGGAGTGATTTTTTTTCTCTTCCTTTATTCTTTATTCTTTATGTTCATGTTTTATCCTTTTTCATGAGGTCCTTAGTAGAGTAACTTGTAGTGATCAACAATATTGTTAAGTAAATTATTGAATTGCAACCTGTTTGGTATCCTCCGGTAATCGGTAGTATGCACGGACGACGTTAAGAATCAGATTAGACCTGGTACTTGTACTTGGTGTAGACTGCAGAAATGGTTACATGTTCCTAATTTCGATGGATTTTACTTACTCTTTATGTCGAGAACTCGGCCTACGGCATCTTTTAACAAACTTTATATTTCTTGATCTTAATGAATACCTATTTTCAGTGAGAAAAGAGTATATCCGTACAGGGATGATATAACCGATCCGGTTATCGGCAGATATTGACTTTTGTGGGGAGTGGAAATGGGCGTTCGTGTTCTGGGGACTGAGACAAGGGAGGATTCACGGACTTGCAACTGTTGGTCCAGACCCGCTTCTCTTAGTAATGTTGAGGGCTTTTATACTCGATCTTTTATATGTACCGAATAAGTCAGACACAACAATGGCTATTGTGCCAGTATGGAGTATACCTTGTACATATACAATTGCCTATGAATTCTCTTGTTCTAAAATCCATTTCCTAGGCATAAAGCTATATACTTGTCACTCAAGAATACTTGGATTTCCGCGCTGATCACCTCAGCTCCCCTTTCTTCCAAAAACGGTAAGCCTGCGACAAGCCTCCACCACACTAACAGTGAACATGGTCCCACTTATTCTCCGCCATCGGCGACTGGAGACGGCTCCTGTCTAAGTTTTTAAATTTTCATTTTTTCCATATTTTCCAGTAAAATCCACACTGGCTGGACCGCTTACCACCTGAGAAAGATTCGGTTCCGTCCAGACCCCAGGTTCCGCTCAGTATGTAAATTAGCGGCTGGGATCTACCCCTGGTCAGTAGGATCCAAGGGTTGAGGGGTGGGAAAAGTTGGTCGTGGGACCTACGGAGTACATGTATGGGGTACTTCGGCGTAATTCGGAATTTACTACTTTACCAATTACATTTGATCATTTCAATGAAGTTTTTTTATTTGACATATTTTAGAAGGGATGCGCAATGTCAATCTCCATAATCTGTAATCTATTCAACGGCTTTTGTCGGATTGGTTCGGAATCAAAATGCATGTGTACATGTTAGAAGTATATGATAATATGATAAGCTTGAAAGAGGGCCATACAGCCGACTTGAAGGATTTTCTGCATGTGAGTGCCGAATGTCACAGAGAAGATTGGCACGGAATTGGGATATTAACGTGTATAACGAAGAATTAGAGAAATCCAGTAAGGTTTTTAGTGTTTGATTAAATCTGGTACGGGTTACTCCGTTCATATCCAATTGCAGGGACAAGTGTCTTTCTGGAGAAAAAAAAAGGAACTTGTTATGACACACAAACCCCCGACTCCACTTAGTGGGTAGAGCGGGTTTTTCTCCTCTTCTCTGATTTCCTTGTATTTTCTCTTGCTTATTTTTCCTTCTCCCTTTTCTTTCTGTCTCAACTGTTAATATCCTAATTTCTTTGCTTATGAATATATTTAGGTTCTTCTATACGATGCCTCTATACATCCGTAATGACAGTGTATTATGACGGCAAGACCGGCACCGCATCGGTTCCGTTGTCCCGTGACCGGGCCGAGCGTCTGGTACGCTAAACCGAAAGAGGCCAATGACGACACGGCAAGAAGAAAGGAAAAAAGAAAAGAAAAGAAAAAAGGAAAAGAAAAAAGGAAAAGAAAAAGAATAAAAAAGAGTAAAAAAGAAATTGAAAACGGAATTTAAAAGTAGAGGATTTTTGATTTTTGGGGCTTTTCCGGGTCCATTGGAGTGCCACGAGCCCAGACAGAAAGTGGAAATGCCTCTCGTGTGGGGAATCTCCCCTGCCAGTTTTGCCTCTAACGAATAGCGGATGCGCGATTTGGGGGATTTTTGGTCTTGGGATCTGCCCCAACTGTTAAGTTCATGGGGGAAGAGTATCCTTACTCCGGATATACTTAAGCAATCCACATCCCCCCCCCAGTCCCCCAGCGTCCTCAGTTCGACTCGTTTTTAAAATTTTTATAAAAAAAAAAATAATACTCCACTCTTCACGGGGATATTTAACTATACTCCTCGAATGTACCCCATACTCCCCCGGTCATTATGAATAACACCATGGCCGATTCCGAGTCAAGCAAACGCAAGGCCTCCTCCGCCGGGCTATCCGCTCATAACCGCCCCGTCAAGCGCCGGGCTTCCAAGGCCTGTTGCTGCTGTCGCGCTCGCAAGGTCCGTTGCGACGTGGTAGAAAATGGCTCCCCTTGCACCAATTGTCGATTAGATCAGGTCGAATGTGTCGTCACAGAAAGCAAACGGAGAAAGTTCGTCAACACTAAGCTGGATAAAAATAAGACCCAGCATTACTTGTCAAACCCAACGAGTCCGCTCAAGCTAACGGTGCATCTCCGCTTGCTATAGGAAGTCCCGTGTGGAGGTAGATCATGCTGCCCATTCCGAGTCCCCTGAGGCGTCAGAGGAGAATCTGCTACAAAGCATTCAGGGTTTGTCTGAAATGGCACCCACTTCTCCCTCACAGGCGTCCATTGATCTGGATCACGGACAGCATATTCCGCATTTACTATGTGCGTACCCAATCTGAGAAACCAGACAGACGCTCAGAGAGAGAAAGCTATTTCATTCCAATTGGGATTATCCAACTGACTTTTGTCAACTTGCAGATCAAACGCAGGCTCATCGCATTGGCTCCGACGATAATCAAAGTCGTCGTCGCATGGCCTCCAACCCCGCCGTGCCCGCCTCAATGCCTCTAGCAAATGCCACATTGCAAATCCAACAACTGCTCGATCCCTCTTTTGGAAGCCCTCGAACCGCAAATGCTTTCCTTCCCGATTACATTCGAGGCCTACCCGCACGATTCCAGAAAGAGGATATTGACTACCTGGCCGCCAAGGGAGCATTGACGATCCCCGACGTGACATTGCGAAACGAGCTTCTCAAGGCCTACATACACTATGTGCATTCGTATATGCCGTTGTTAGATCTGGAGGAATTCCTCCAGACAGTTGTACAGAATGACGGAGTTCACCGCATCAGTCTCTTACTTTTCCAGGCCGTCATGTTTGCCGGTATGGCCTTTGTCGACATGAAACATTTGCAAGCCGCTGGCTACCAAACTCGGAAATCAGCTCGCAAGATCTTCTTCCAGCGAGCCCGCCTTTTGTACGACTTCGACTACGAGGTGGATCGTATTTCACTGGTTCAGTCTCTGCTTCTCATGACTTACTGGTATGAGACTCCGGATGATCAAAAGGATACTTGGCACTGGATGGGCGTCAGCCTGTCTCTCGCCCACACCATTGGTCTTCACCGGGACCCCGGTAACTCGCGGATGGATGTTCGCCGCCAGAGAATGTGGAAACGCATTTGGTGGAGCACATATACTCGAGACCGATTGATTGCCCTCGGCATGCGACGACCGATGCGCGTCAAGGACGACGACTGTGATGTGCCGATGTTAACCATGGACGACTTTGAATTCCAGGCCTTCTCACCCGAAATTGTGAAGATGGTTGGAGATTCGGAGATTTTGCAGAATGTCAGTCACCAGCGAGAGCTGGCCCTGATGTTTATCGAAAAGGCCAGGTTGTGTCTCTGCGTGAGCCATGTTCTTTCTGCACAGTACTCGGTGCTCAGCCATAAATTTGGCGGCACCATGGAGACCACCATGATGTTGGTCCCCAAGAAGTCGACCGCAGAGTCCTTTGAAGTACGACGATGTGACCAGGAGCTGGAAGACTGGCTGGCCAATCTCCCGGTCGAAACACAATATACGCCCTCGGGGGTTTCGAAGTTGCCGGAGGCTCGTGAAGTTCTTCACTCGCACCGGGCCCTGTTGAAGATGGTTTACCTCACTACATCCAGTGCCCTTCATCGCCCACAGGTCCTCCCCGCCGTTCCTTACCCGTCCATGGATTCCGAGTTACAAGAACTCTCTCGCCAGAAAGTTCGATTCGCCGCCGTGGAAATCACCAGCATTGCCCAGGATCTTCATGTCTTGGACTTGACTCGATACTACCCAACGACTGGAGTGACCGTGCTCCTCCCCGCCGTTATCATTCATTTACTTGATATCAAGTCGAGCGACGCGAGCGTGCGGATGACCAGTCTCCAACGATTCTACCAGTGCATGCGTATCTTACAGCGTCTGCGCGAGATCTACGCATCGGCCGACTTTGCGACCTCATTCCTCGAAGCAGCTATCCGCAAGGCCGGTATTCAGTTAACGGTCGCACCCCAGGAGGTACAAACTAAGCGACCCCGCAAGACCGCCACCACCACCAGTACCAGCATTGATCCATTTGATTCGCTTTCTCGAAACAACACCTTGACCCCTCCTCCCGACTCTCTATCCCAGAAGATCCCGGACCTCACCTACCCCCAGGCCCCCGCAGGCGGGCGGTCCACTGGCAGCCTCTTTGCCTCGACTCCGCCACACTCCGACGGTAGCGAAAATGGCAGCACCAATAACCTCAACCTGACCCACAATCACGATGCTTTTGCGATCCCAGAGCTCAACTCGGAGCTAAGTCTCACCGAACTGATGGACTTGGCCAACGATGCCGAAGTGAACCAGAATGATTTCGATGCTTTGATCAACTTTGATGATGCCAGCAATGAATTCTTCACCGATGAGTCTGGCCAATCTGGAGCCGTTGATGAAGATAAGGGCTACGATTTCGGTGTTGATAGCATGCATGGCATGGGCTTTGACACTGAGCCCAAGTCGATTGACTTTGCCAATTTGACGGAGCTCCATGGTGATCATGGCTCGGGCTCTGAGCTCTCAGCCGAGGCTCATTTGCGGCCCGGCCTGACGGCTGATCTGGACACAGACCTTGGAATTGATCTGGATGAATAAACATGTGCACTGTTTATTTTCTTTGGTTTTCTTTTATTTTCTTTTTCTTTATCCTTTCGCCTTTTTTTATCATATTTCTTTTTTATGATTCTCTTTGGTCGATTGGATTTTTCTTTCTTAGCGGAATTATTTAATTACTGTCTTATTACAAGCCTTGCACATCGGAGAAAGATCGGGGAGGTGTTCATATGGCGCATATCCCGGGATTGATTTGGTTTTGGTTTTTTTGGTTTCTCTATGATGATGATGACGACGTTTCTTTTGTACTTTCGATAGAGAGAAGGGATTCCAAAAAAGCATGAGCAATATGATGACTATTCCATTGAATGAGCTGCGCAGTATAGCCTATAGCCTAGTATTTTTCACGTACTACATACTCTAAATCTATATGCGGATCATGCCAATTATCACATCCTCTTGTGGGTCAATGTATCGATGCCGATAATAATGGTCGCTTTTATCGGCATCACATGTCACATGTAGACTGAATTCACGTCATCGCGCAGTGATCGACGGCTAAATTTCTGGTCTTTCCGTGTACCAGCCAAACGGTTGCAGGGTTGGGGATCGACAGGGGCATTCATTATGCTAGGGTCATGCGCGATATGCAGTTTCTCTGAGCCGAGGTCCACGGGTTGGGATTTGGGGCTGACTCCATACCTAACCACCGTTATCACTTCGGAATTCGGATCCGGGATTGATATTGTCCGTTTAGATCGGTTGGATGTGCTCTATTGTGTTCTTTTTGACTTTATCTATTTCTATTCTTATAGATGAGTTATATAATACCGTTTTATATTGTGCGCATGCTACATTGGACCTATGTGGTATACGGGAAATCAGTTTTTGACCCAGCACTTGGAACATGTTACTTACTTTTAATATTAAACCCAAGTGCTCTTCTAATTTTCTTTGATACACTTTGCGTTTATCTCTTCAATCTTTCCTGGTCAACCCCAGGAATATCTCCACGTATAAATGAGCCTTCAACTCAAGTAGGATGAAACGTTGGTTCTAGGTGATATCTGGCTGTCTACAACATACCCTCGATGATCAAATAGCTGGATTAGAGTAGCAGTCAACCCCACTGTGCCTCATCTTAGCGGCGATCGCTCCATCAAGACTGTAATTCGTGCATCTCCTTCTTTGACTCAACCCCAGGCGAGTGAGTAAAATACTAGCTTTGTCTGGAACACATGCAGACGATCTCCAGATAGCCCCGTGTGCCTACTCTCTCTACGGGCTTCTCTAGCAATACCCGTGGACGTCTTGGCTGGTCCATCTTTTGTTCTTGGTGAGAGAATGACAGTAATTATCACTTAGATTTGTAGCTGTAAGTTCTATATCACTAGACTCGCGAGGGATCCTCATCACGTTGGTCGTCAGGAGATCTCCGGTTATTTGTATTTATCTCCTTAGTTCTCACCTAGGATAGACTCAACTTACAGAGACTACTGTCTGTACCTTCTTTCTCTCCCCTCGATCTCTATCTCTTCCTCTTCCTCTTCCTCTTTCTTCCCTCATTCCTCTTCCTGTTCCCACATCTCGACCTCTACCTCTACTTTCCTACCTCAAGTGTCCTCCCTCGTAAGCTTCAAACACCATGCGCTTCAAAGCCTGGCTTGCACCGTTGCTGCCCTTTGTGGCAGCTTATTCTGTGCCTCGTGGTGCCGAATCTGCTTGCCAGCTGCCTGAGAACCTGCCAACTCAGCCTACTGATGTCAAGACCATCACGACTGCCAACAACGTCACCATTCGCTACAAAGAGCCTGGAAAGGAAGGCATTTGTGAGACTACCCCGGGTGTCAACTCGTACGCGGGATATGTGGATCTTTCACCCAAGTCTCACACTTTCTTCTGGTTCTTCGAGGCCCGACACGAGCCAGAGACAGCCCCCATTACTCTTTGGCTCAATGGTGGCCCCGGAAGTGACTCCCTGATTGGACTTTTTCAAGGTGAGACTTCGATGATATGTGAAGCAAAAAAAAAAAAAAACACTACTTGTATAGTTTACTGATGCTCAAAATCAGAATTGGGACCTTGCCACGTGAATAAGAGCTTGGAGACCTATCTGAACCCACAGTCGTGGAATGAGGTCTCTAACATGCTGTTCATTTCCCAGCCTCTCGGCACAGGTAAAGCATATTGAGAGGGCTTAGTGAGTACGCGTGTATGTAGCTAACATCGCATTTGAAGGTTTCTCATATGCCGAGGAAGAACCTGGCTCCATCAACCCGTACACAGGTGTGTTTGAGGATGTCAATTTCGCAGGATACCAAGGCCGCTATCCAGTCATCAATGCCACCCTGATTGGTAAGTGTGCAATGCCTGAAGTATACAGAAAGAAGAACTAACACTCAAAGATACTACCGATCTCGCTGCCGTGGCTACTTGGGAAATTCTGCAAGGGTTCCTTGGAGAACTACCCCAGCTGGACTCTAAGATCAAATCAAAGGAGTTTAATCTCTGGACGGAGAGCTATGGCGGGTAAGTACTTTGGGTTTCTTCTTTGGTTTCACAACACTAATGCTTTTTCTCAGACACTATGGCCCGGCAGTAAGTTTGAGTGTTTTTGATTTGATTCTGTTTGTTCTAACATGAGCCAGTTCTATGACTATTTCTATCACCAGAATGAGAGAATTGCCAACGGCTCGGTCGAAGGCGTTCACCTTGAGTTCAGTACTCTTGGTATCATCAATGGAATTATCGATGAGGCAATCCAGGCTCCTTACTACCCCGAATTTGCAGTTCACAACACCTATGGTATTGAAGCAGTAAGTTGGCTGGTAATCCAGTCGTGCTTGTGCTACATGTTAACGAGATACTCTAGGTCAACAACACCGTCTATGAGTACATGAAGTTCGCCAACGAGATGTCAAACGGTTGCCAGGACCAGATCACTCAATGCAAGACTACTAACCGCACTTCCCTAGCGGACTACGCAATCTGCGCCGCGGCAGGCGACATATGCCGCGACAGTGTCGGTATGTGGAATAAAATCTCTCATTTCAGTTCTGCTTGTCATATATCCACATATGACATCTCTAACACCTCCTACAGAGAGCCCATACTACATGTATAGCGGCCGCGGTACCTACGACATCCGCCATCCAAAGGCCGATCCCACTCCACCCGAGTATTACGTTAAATATCTCGCTAAGGATTCCGTCATGGAGGCCATTGGTGTGGATTTGAACTACACGGAGTCCAATGACGACATCTTCTACGCCTTCCAGGCCACCGGCGACTTCGTCTGGCCCAACTTCGTCGAGGACCTGGAGGACATCCTTACCCGCCCTGTCCGTGTAGCTCTCATCTACGGCGATGCAGACTACATCTGTAACTGGTTCGGAGGGCAGGCCGTCTCCCTTGCTGTCAACCACACCCATAAGGCAGAGTTCCAAGCCGCCGGGTACACGCCGTTCATGGTGGATGGTGTTGAATATGGCGAGACGCGCGAGTATTGTAACTTTTCTTTCACCCGTATCTACGAGTCGGGCCATGAGGTGCCGTACTATCAGCCCATTGCCGCGTTGCAGCTGTTTAATCGCACTTTGAATGGCTGGGAGTTGGCGACTGGTGAGAAGAAGTTGACTGATCGCTTTGGCTCTGGTGGGCTTGCGGAGGCGACGCACACTGAGTCGTCGGTTGCGCTGCCTACTGCGACTGTGACTGCGACTGGGTCGCTGGTTTGAAGGAGCTCTGATCTGGATTGCTTGCATGGAATATTCTTATCGGTTACTGCCAAGCTGGAGGGTCGAGCATGTTGATTGTTCATATTGACTAGTTGACCTGTTCACCTTGCAGGATTTCAGTGTTGGCTTTTCTCGGTTTTTTTTTTTTCGACTTGGGGATCTCTCCTGAGTCTATTCCGATCTACCATATGAAATTTTCAGGTCAACAGGTACATTTAGGTTGACCATTTGTCATTTACATAGTCAATAACTCGGAAATTTCAAGTCTCAGTCTATGGTATTCCAGAATCTAATCCTAATACATTACAAAATTAGCCGACCTTGTCCAAAAGACTGGTCAAGACCTCATCACCGCCGACTCCTTGAAACAAAACCCATACAACGTTATGTTCAAGTTCAAAGAGAAAAAGATACAAGAAGGGCAGAAGGGAAAATAAAAGGATTAGGTCAAGGAAATTTCGAAATTCAGTTATTCCCGACGGGTTAAAGCAGTGAAGTCCCAGCCAGGAAGGGATATCGATGAATGATTGGGAAAACAATCAGGAAAAAAAACACGCCTCGTAAATGCAACTGACAGGTCATGGCATTCATTTAAGAATGCAAACAATAACGACTGCTCTCTCTCTCTCTCACGCACACACAAATACAAAAGGTAAAGTGGTGGTACACGTAATCAGCTCAAAGCTTTTGAGCATCTATAGATTTTAAGACTTGTTGGAAGTATCTTCGTGGGACGTCTTGTTGGAAGTATCCTCGTGGGACTCGGGCTTTTCATAGTCGTCATGTTGTACGGTGGTGTCTCCAAGAACGTCGGCAGTGGTTTCGTCTGAAAAGCGCAAGTCATCCTCGATGGCAGTGCTATCCTTCACCTTGAAGAAGATTATAGGCGAGGCAACAAGCATGCTGCCAACGAGAAGACCCCAGCAAGAGGCGAACTCTGTCATAAAGGGGGTCTTTTGGGCATCCATTCTAAAATCTGAATTAGAAATGAAGTCTGATAAAAGATGAAAGACGAGATACATACCTCCACATTCCAGCTGCACCGGCAGACTGAATACCTTTATAGAAACCAGCAAAGTTTGCCAACTTGCGGCTGTTGTTGGAAAGGGAGCCCATGTACCTGCATGATTACAGTTAGAAAAAAAAAGAACTCTTTATATAAAAAACCCCCCATATCTCCATGTGGGAATTTGTTCGGCAAGATCTTACCAATAAGTGCAGGTCTGGAATGCGGCATCATAGAAGCCATAGAACATGTACAAGAACATGGGCCCAACATAACCGCTGTCCATGAAATCCATATCGGCCTTGACGGTAGCGCGGGTATATTGTTTCTGGAAGGTATAGCCACCACCCCAGATTCCCATGGTGATGGCGAGAAGAATTCCAAAATTGACCTTGGCGCGGGCGGGACGGGAGAGGAACTTCATATCGAGCAGCTGACCGAAAATGAAGGCACCCACCATCTGCATCAGCCAGTAGAGGAGACTGTTGAGAGCACGGGTGCGAACGGTGAAGTAGGCGAGGTTGACAGAATTGAAGTGATAGCCATAGAACCAATTACTGGCCAAGAACATGGGGAACATCAGAACGATATACGAGTCGGAACGTAAGGTCTCCCAAAGACCCAGAAACTCGGATTTCCAGGTAGGGTTCTTGATAACAATGATGCGTGAACCATCCTTTCGCTTGATGTATTTGGAGTCGGCGATGGTCCAGCAAAGGGCAAATCCCAGGGCCATCAAGACCAGGAAAGCAATGTAAGTGCCGTTGTCGACATTACCAGCTGTGCTGTGCATATTTTGACCCAAGGGGATTAAACTGCCAATGACTCCACCCAGATTAAAAATGACCCAGAAGATGGCGATATATTTACCCTTTTCGTGTTCGTGGGGGTAGCTCATCATCACGGCACCTTGGGCACACCAGAGCAGACCGGCACAGACACCGAGTAATGCACCGGCAAAGATGAGGAAGCCCGCATTCTGGTTGATATTATAGGAGAGAAGGGCGGCGACATAAAGGAAATATCCGAAGCCACCGAGGGACAAGGTGAGGCGGAGACCGATACGATTGGCGATGGAGCCCGCAAAAAAGCCGACGACGGCAAAGGTACTGTAGAGGGCGGTGTTGGAATTGTTCACATCGGTCGCATTGACTTGACCGCCACCACCCAGACCATTGACAGCATTGAACATGCCAGGGCAGAGGAAACAGACAAAAGATACGAGGATCAGTTGGGTCTCGGGCGATGCGAACCAGGGAGCCTCCCAATTGCCAATTTTCAGCATCGGCTTATACATCCACGGTTTTCCCACCACCGCATGATCCATGGCAGTCTCTGGATCTTCCATATTCATTTGTTCAATGTGTTTCTCCGGGGCAGCCGGAGGATCTGGAGCATGTAGCTGCTCAGGCTCGGGGGTAGCCATTATTAAATTATTTTTTTTTAATTAAAAAAAAAAATTGATGAGAAAAAGGGGAGCGAAAGGAAAACCAATAAGACAGAAAAGAAGAATCTGGGGGCGAGGAAAGACCAGATCAACCAAAGTGTTGAAGAATGAGATCTGGGAAGGAATGCTACGTCCACGTGAGAAAAGAGAAGGAAAAAAAGGGCGATTTCTAACCTCCCAGAGACGAAGAATGTTCAAAGAGAAAGAAGCCGGTGATAAGAATTTTTTTCTTTCTTTCTTTTTCTCTCTCTCTCTCTCTCTTCTGTGGAAGACTATATAGCGCTAGCTTATCAATGTTTCACAGAGTCAAAGGAGAAACCAATGATACGTTGGGGTAATTAAAGTGGGTTCGTGAATGACTTTGAAGTGGATATAAATTGCGGGGAGAGAAGAAAAAGACGGAGAGAGAAGGGAAGTTTATGGAGAAGGAGAACCAATTGGAAAAGTCTTTCTCTGCCAGAGAAGAAGGTCGAGATGTGACTCTAATCGCGGTCGCATTCGGCACTTGGCATGCAACACCTCAAGTGCTAAAGGCGCCACTGAACTGGACTTGGTCAAAATCGGGCTAGTCCATCAAGTTTAATTACACTTACTTTCCACCTCTTTTCCACCTCTTTCCACCTCTTTTCGTCTCGTCTTGATGCTTTTGGGGCCTGTGACGGCACCAAGAATTGTCTACTACCGTGATCCACTTGATAAGAGTCATCAGATCAACTCTTTTTCTACAAGAACACGTTTTAGTCATCCCCACAATCTTGTATGTCAATTAATTATTTCATCATCGATCTGGATAATCTTCCATGAGGTCATCAAACACATAGTAGTCATACTAGTAGTTACTTCTTTACTCAGAGAGCCTCAAGGCGGAGGATCACTAGATTTCCAACTCCCGCATCCGTATACGTACAAAATCAAGAATGCTGTGTTCTACACTGAGCAATCTGATGCCGCACACATAGATGCTAGCAAGAATTACTAAGATAAGGATCTCCATTATCCAGAAGACTTGATTGGAAACTTCGTCTCTGTCACGGGTTCAGCCTTTTCTGTATTTATTCTGCACTTGAGTATTCATCCTGTACCGGGTATGATCATGTATAATCTGTTTGCATCTCACATTGAAAACAGGTAGGCGGTCTGTGTATTTTTGGTTGAAAACAGCAGGCGGTCTATTACATAATACAACAAGCCACTTGGCCCCACCTGGGCATGAGTAATCAGACTGCGACGCTGTGAGCCTGTGAGGTAACTGAGGTTACACTTCTTTTGCCCCGGATTGTGGTGGGTAACGTGGGTAACGTGGGTCCTTTGTATTGATCTTTCTGTTTTCTATCAACCGAATGCAACTTCTATAGCTCGATGGTACCGTCATGCCAGCTTGACATCAGGATCCACCCATCGTTGGTTACCTGGTCCACACTCCACTGTACACATGGACTTTCAGAGATACAAGTCGGTGCCTAGATACTTTGTATTTTGCCTGCTCAACCAGATCCATGGTAGAAGGCCAAAGAACAATAAGGACGAATAAGATGCATTCAGAGAATCTCGTGGGGGAGGGGGAAGGCAAAAAGAAAAGAAAAAAGCCATCGAAATCCGGTCTCGCCCACATGGCGCATGCGACGATACATTCTCGAACGAAGATCCCATGTAGTAGAGGGGCGTGTTACGATTTCTGTTGCCGTCGCACACCTTGGGCCCTCTTCCAACGTAACCAAGATTTCCTATCGCTTCCAATTCTTTGCTTCTTTGCTTTCTTTTCTTCTTGCCTTCTTTCCCTTCTCCTTAATCTTTCCCTCTTTAATCCACACACCTAGAATTTTACCACCGTCTTTCCAACTCTCTAATCCTCCTCTGACGTAGCCACCATGTAAGTGTGTCGCTTTATCTCTGGCTTCTCCTTCCCATCGCTAATCCGAGTCCTGGTTCTGATAGGCGTGTGATTATCAGAGAAGATCCTCAGACGGTCTCCGTGTATATCGCGGAATACATCGTCAGTAAGTGAAGAGGCATCCATTGTGAACCATAGACCCCCATGACTCCGACTAACATGTTCTAGGCCGTATCAAAGCATTCAATCCTACCGAAAGCCAGCCCTTTGTCCTCGGTCTACCAACTGGTAGCAGCCCCGAGCTCATCTACAAGATTCTGGTCCAGCGTCACCGTGCTGGAGAGATTTCTTTCAAGAATGTCGTGACTTTCAACATGGTAAGACCCCATTATGCAACGGGCTTCACCGGCGCAACTGATATACTGATTCAACATGGCACAGGATGAATACGTGGGCCTGCCTCGCGACCACCCCGAGTCCTACCACAGCTTCATGTACAAGCACTTCTTCTCGCACGTGGATATCCTCCCCCAGAACATCAACATTCTCGATGGCAATGCCTCAGACCCCGCCGCAGAGTGCGCCTCCTTCGATGCGCGTATCGCGCGCTACGGTGGTATCGAACTTTTCCTCGGTGGCGTCGGACCAGATGGTCACATCGCTTTCAACGAGCCGGGCTCCTCGTTGAGCAGCCGAACCCGTGTCAAGACCCTAGCCTACGACACCATCCTAGCTAACTCGCGCTTCTTCAACAACGACGTGAACAAGGTTCCGCGCATGGCTATGACTGTCGGTATCCAGACCATCATCGATGCGCGGGAGGTGGTCATTGTTGCCACCGGTGCTCACAAGGCGTTCGCGGTACAAAAGGGTCTGGAGGAAGGTGTCAATCACATGTGGACTCTGTCCGCGTTGCAGTTGCACCCTCATCCGCTTATGGTCTGTGATCGCGACGCTACGTTGGAGCTGAAGGTGAAGACCGTGCGCTACTTTGAGTCCATTGAACAGGCGGGAACAGATGCCCGTACTCAGGGCCCTGCACTGGTTTATCGTCCTCGCACCTATGTCCCGGCCCCGGTGCCTATCAAGAAAACACACAAGGAGCCGGCCCTTGATACAACACCCCCAAAGGTGCCCAAGGACCTCCGAATCAATACTGAGCTTGGTCGGTCTCTAGAAGATGACGAGCTAACTCCGGACAGCATGTCTTCGCGCATGGTTGACTCGGCCATTGGTGGCCTGGATGGGACTCTGAAGAATGACCTGATTTTCGATCGCATGGGAGGCAGAATGACCGCAATCTAAATACCATGATTTTGGTATTTTGAAACAAAACACTGCCATGCTTTTCTGAGCTTCATCTCTTTCGTTTTTGTCACTGTTTCTGGTTCTGGGGAATGGGGGTGTCTGGGTCTTCTTTCTTACGCAAGTCATATTTGCTGCATGGGTTTCACTCGTTTCGGACGCGGAGTTATCTTTATTTCATGTTTCTCTATTTTTTTTTCTTTCTCTTTTTGTTTTCGCATATTTTGAAACTGATAGATAAGACATGGTAGATCGTGTTCGATATGTCATGCAATAACTCATTGAAGCGCTAGCAAATAAACCTTGTACCTAGAATTGATGTTTTGCTATTGCGCATAGCCTACTAGTATTAATCAGACTTGCTTTTTCTCTTTAAATCCCCTTCCAAAGTTTTTCTTATCTTCTCTCTGACTTGGTCTGTGCTGTTTTCATTTTAAGGACTAGCACGGTTCTGATGTTACATCTTCCACGGCTTACTCCTACTTTGAGCTTACTCTGACTTTTATGGTTATTACACAACATATATGGAATGCGGTGGAATCTGTTTCTCCCTGCCCCAAATTCCATTTTGAATCTTCAAATGTTTCGTCTGCGAGGAATAAGTGATTCCAAGGTTACTGATGGCTTCAATGGAAAAAAAAGTTTTGGCAAATGCGTAAGAGTCGGGGCTCTTTCCCTTAAATACACTTTATATCCGAGTGTCATGCATGGCGTTAAAGAAAAACAAATACTACAGCTTGGCAAACACAGTTGCAACGGTACCACTCATATCAACGAGGGTACTCTTGTTCTGCAACCAGGCCTCAATACCCCGGCGGCCATTCTCCACGCCCAGTCCACTCTTCTTCCAACCACCCACGGCCATCTCCGCTGGACTCTCACCCCAGGTGTTGATCCATGTGATACCAGCCTGAAGCTGGTCAATGACTCGGTGAGCCTGGTTCAAGTCCTTGGTGAAGACACCCGCGGCGAGACCATGCTCGGTGGTGTTGGCGCGCTTCACTGCCTCCTCAACGGTGTCATAGAACAGCAGAGTCATGACGGGACCAAAGATTTCTTCCTGTACGATGCGCATGGAGTCTGTGCAGTCGGTGAAGATGGTGGGCTTGACCCAGTATCCGGCCTGCAGGTCCTGGGGCACGACGGGCTTCTCAGGTCCACCGCAGAGTAGAGTGGCCCGGTCCGTCTCAATACCGTGTCGAATGTATGAGATCACCTTCTCGTGGTGTACGGCGGAGCTCAAAGGTCCATAATTGGTCTGTTCATCAAAGAGAGGGCCAGCTCGTACAAAGGGAATCTTCTCCAAAAGACGCTTCTCAAAGGCTGCCTTCATGGACCGCGGTACGAACACCCGGGTACCATTGGTGCAGACCTGGCCTGTGCTGTAGAAGTTGGCCATCATCGCGCCATTGACAGCATTCTCCAGATCTGCATCAGGGCAGACAATCAGGGGGCTCTTGCCGCCCAGTTCCATGGTCACATATTTCATGTTGCCTGAAGCCGAGCCTGCGACCTTCATACCGGTCGATACCTGGCCGGTGAATGACACCTTAGCAATGGTGGGGTGGCTAGTCAGGTAAGCGCCAACGTCGCCAGCGCCGTTGATCACGTTGAAGACACCGGCAGGTAAGCCCGCCTCGGTATAGATTTCGGCGAGGGTCTGGCCGTGGAGAGGGGTGAATTCACTAGGCTTGTACACCATGGTATTACCTGCCGCAAGACAAGCAGCTGACTTCCACAGAGCACTGGAAACAAGAATGAATATTAGTTATTGTTGTTTATCTCATCTCCTAGCCCGATTGTCACTTACATCTGAATTGGGTAGTTCCAGGCACCAATGCCGGCACAAACACCCAAGGGAGCCTTCTTGGTGTAAACCCACGCATCTTCTCGCAATTGTGTGGTCTCACCATTCAGGCCACCACCACCGATGAAATTGGCATAATATTCGAGAACATCCGCACCGGTGACCACATCGACAGTGCTGGTCTCGGTGTATGCCTTACCGGAATCTAAAGTTTCCACGCGGGCGATCTCATCATTGCGCTCCCGCAGAAGGGTAGCCGCCTTTTGGAGGATACGAGCGCGAGCAATGGGAGGGGTTTGCGACCACGCGGGGAAAGCGCGATCTGCAGAAGTAATGGCGGAGTCAATGTCGGAGGGAGAAGCGATCTGAATGTCGGCCAATGGGGTTGCTGTGGCGGGATTGATAGTTTGGAAAGTCTTCCCTGAGGAGGCGGCCTGCGCCTGACCATTGTAGTAGAGTTGACGGGGAGGGAATGAGAGAGCCATTTTGTTGGGATATGTATATTAAAGGTGAGAGAGGAATAATAAACAAGGGAACTTTTGAGGAGAGAGAGAGGAAAGGAATACTGAGACAAGCAGTTCCTCTTTTTTTTGGGGGGAGACCCAGATTAATTCCTGATTAATTCCTGGATTTAATGCATGCCTCTCCCCTCACACCGCCCGGGCTTCAACGCTAAACGGCATTGTGGGTCCACGCTAAATCACGTAAAAAAGACTGCGGGGATCATATTCGCTAAGTGGCTTTCTCGATGTACGGCGTGGCTGCGGGAAACTCGGACTAAGAATGGAATTCCATAGCGGGGATTTGCTAAAAAAGCCTGTGACGTACGTGTAGTTACTGGAGGTGATCAACTATGTTGGTATAGAATTGTACTTTATATGCATGTTAGCTAGTAGCAAAGAAAAAAAAAATCATATCTGTGATAAGCAACGATAATGGCTTATCTATCGTATGATGGACCTTTATCTGTAAGCTGGATTTTGAGAGTAAGCCCGTAAGGAGTTAAGGAATCCTTTCATTTTATTTTCATTTTATTTTCTCGCCTTTCTTTCCTATTTTCCAAAGACATTGGCATTTTCTGCGTGGTTGTAATCATTACCTCGACGAGAAAAATGGACTAGAGCCCAATCCGGACTAGCGTCCAGCGGATCCCGTTCCTTATCGTCAAGTCTCCACTTTTTACCTTATCAACATCCAATCAGATCTCTGGAAATGTAAAAAACCCCAAAAACCCAAAATCTGAAAATGGAAAAATTGAAAAAAAAATCATCAGCCCCATGACCGAATCAGGCAAGTAGATTGAGATTTTGGAAGTGCTCAACCTCCGATCTGATTTCCAAGGTTTCAACCCCGTTGATACTATCCAACTCATCTTGGTTACTTAATACTCTTTTTTTTTCTGCCTGTTATATAAGAGGTCATAGGAGCAGTACCAAGGAATCCTTCTTCAGCGCTTTTTTTTTTTTCAATCTCTACTTATCCTTCTATCCTGATACCTTTCAATATGGCTGCTACATGTGTCGATGAGCTTCCTGTCCAGGATGTCAACAGCTACGACTACATTGTCGTAGGTGGTGGTACTGCTGGCTGTGTGATCGCCGCTCGTCTGGCACAGTACTTGCCCAACAAGCGTGTCTTAGTTATCGAAGGTGGCCCAAGTGACTTCTCCGATGACCGAGTCCTGAACCTCAAGGAATGGCTCAATCTCCTGGGTGGCGAGCTGGACTACGATTACCCGACCACCGAACAGCCCAATGGTACGTCCATATTATCACCATACTTCCCTCACGCGACCCAATCTTCCGTAGCTCTCCTAGTTTGCGGGGTGTGATGTCTATTGGTGGAATCGATTTAAATATATGAAATCAAAAAAGCTTACTCCTTTTTTTCTCTCTTCTCAAAAGGCAACAGCCATATCCGTCACTCTCGCGCCAAAGTGCTCGGTGGTTGCTCAAGTCACAACACCCTCATCTCTTTCCGCCCATTTGAGTACGATTGCCGCAATTGGGTGGCCAAGGGTTGCCAGGGTTGGGACTTTGAGACCTTTACTCGTCTGATCGATGGCCTCCGCAACACTTTCCAACCCGTACACGGCCGCCACCGTAACCAGCTCTGCAAGGATTGGATCCAGGCATGCTCTTCTGCCATGAACATCCCTATCATCCCCAACTTCAACGCAGACATCCGCAAGAATGGTGAACTCACTGAGGGTGCTGGTTTCTTTAACGTCTCTTACAACCCCGATGATGGCCGTCGGAGCAGTGCCAGTGTCGCCTATATCCATCCCATCCTGCGAGGCGATGAGAAGCGCCCCAACTTGACCATCCTCACCAATGCCTGGGTGTCTAAGATTAACGTTGAAGGTGATTCCGTAACCGGTGTTAACGTGACCCTCAAGTCCGGCGTGAAGCACACCCTCCGTGCTCGCAAGGAGACCGTCCTCTGCGCTGGTGCCGTCGACACTCCCCGTCTCATGATGCTCTCTGGTCTGGGTCCCCGCGAGCAACTGTCTGCCTTGGGCATCCCCGTTGTCAAGGATATTCCCGGTGTTGGCGAGAACCTCGTTGATCACCCCGAGAGTATCATTATGTGGGAGTTGAACCACCCCGTGGACCACGACATGACAACCATGGACTCCGACGCCGGTATCTTCCTCCGCCGCGAGAGTCCCGATGCTGCTGGATTTGACGGCCGCGCCTCTGATCTCATGATGCACTGCTACCAGATTCCCTTCACACTGAACACCACTCGTCTGGGCTATGACGAGCCCATCAATGCCTTCTGCATGACCCCCAACATTCCTCGTCCTCGCTCCCGTGGTCGCCTTTACCTCACTTCTGCCGATCCCTCCGTCAAGCCCGCTCTGGACTTCCGTTACTTCACTGACCCGGAGGGCTACGATGCCGCTACTATCGTTGCGGGCTTCAAGGCTGCTCGTAAGATCGCCGAGGAGTCGCCCTTCAAGGAGTGGATTAAGCGTGAGGTCGCCCCTGGTCCTAACGTTCAGTCTGACGAGGATCTGTCGGAGTACGGTCGTCGTGTGGCTCACACTGTGTACCACCCTGCTGGTACCACCAAGATGGGTGACCTTGTCCGTGACCCTATGGCCGTTGTCGACCCCAAGCTGAAGGTTCGCGGCTTGAAGAATGTCCGTATTGCCGATGCTGGTGTGTTCCCGGATATGCCTAGCATTAACCCCATGTTAACCGTGTTGGCTATCGGTGAGCGTGCGGCTGAATTGATTGCTGAGGAGGCCGGCTGGTCCCACTCCCAGCCCCGTCTGTAAATGATGCAAGGAACCGATGATATGTTTGAGCCAGACTCGACATTTCGATGAAAAAAAAGTTCTTCGTCGTTTAGCTTTTTGACTTTGGACTTTTTTTTGGGCGTTTTGGTAATATTTAGTCTAGCATATAAGCGAGCGCTGCAGAGCTTCGTCTGCACATAGGGTTGATATTTGTATATAATATCAACCATATCGTTCAAAGTTACCGGGGATATGAAGCCTGGCAACATTCCATGAACATTCATGTTTGAATCAAATGAACATACATAGTATGAATACAAGCAAATCTTTATTCGTGAATGATTCCCCATTACAGATATCTGGAAAGAAAACTTGTTTCATAGCTAACTTTCCAAGGTTGCATGTGGAAGCCTTGGTGGGTGTAGCTCTTATAATTTAAATCTATCACAGTGCGTTGTACGATACTTCTCTATGCTGAATGAATGCAATGAATGCCTGAACTCCTGGAGCACCGATACTAAAAAAGCAGAGAGAGCTGCGCCGAAATCAATCCCCAAAATCAAAGCCTAAAGAGCGAACCCGAAAAAGATGTGTCGAAGACAGAAGGTGAAAGACGATGCCATTTAAACCGTCGCCTTCTCGGAATCATGGATCTTCACCCCGAATTTCCATACTTGGTCCACTGTCAGAGTGGAACCTGAAAATGGGTCCTCCTTTTCACCCAGGACAACCAAGTCGGCATCTGCACCACTTTCCAGGGATCCCTTCACTCCTTCGATACCCAACAAGCGTGCAGGGGTGGCGGTGACAGCATTAATAGCGTCCACGGTTGAGGCGCCTGACCAGCGACGGAAATTGTTCACACACTCTATGAGGGTTGCTGAACTACCAGCAATTTTATCCGAACCCTCCAGAGTCAAACGAGCTCCAGTCTTCACAATACGCTCGCCGTTGGTCCACTCATAGACACCATCTGGCAGTCCACACAGGCGCATAGCATCGGTTACAAGAACCATGCCCTCCGGATGAGCATTGTAGGCAATCTTAATGGAGGTTGGGTGCAGATGAATTCCATCGGCAATAACGCCGTAGTAAGGACGGCGGCGCTCGCTTCGGCCAAGCACGCCGAATACGCCAGGATCGCGGTGGTAGAAGGGGCGCATGGCATTGAACAAATGCGTGATCATGCTGGCACCCTGGTGCGTGGCCGAGACAGCCTGTTCGTAGGTGGCATCGGAGTGACCGATGGAGTAGACGATGTTGCGCTTAGTGAGTTCGGGGATCTGGGCCATCATGTTTCCAACCTCCGGGGCAGCCGTGATCATCTTAATGGGGCATTCAGCACCCATATTATCGGCACCATAGCAGTGGATAATATCCTCGAAATTTTGGGCGGCACGGAGAACCTCTTTTTTGTGAATGCCATTGCGGCCCGGGCTAATGAAGGGACCTTCGACGTGAGCTCCGAGAGATTCGGCGCCGTCTTGCGCAAGGTGGGTGGCAGCTGAGGGACCAAGGGAGGGAAGAACCTACTCTCGGACTATTAGTACTGGAATATCTTCTTGCCTCTGTGGAGATACAATCTGTCACGTACCTTCCAGTAGACCTCGGGCAGTGAGCTAACTATTGTCGGGAGGTAGGAGGTGACACCAGTGCGAGCCAGACCGTGATTCACCATGCGCAGGCCTTCATCGTACTCTTCCTTGGTTTCACAAGGTACGGAAAAATCAAAGCCATGTGCGCCATTCAACTGTACATCAATCAACCCCGGAGCCAGGATGCGGCCGCCAAGGTCGATTATCTCATCCGGGGAGAGGTGCAGTCCATAAAACGCTTCTTGGTCCTTGAGGATTTTTCCGGACAGTGAGTCGATCCAAAGATCCTGCTCCACCAATGATGAGCCGCGAACAATGCGGCAGTTGGTGAACTTGGTAATACGAGGAGTAGTGGTTGTTTTGCCCGGCATATTGACGAATTTTGAGTTGTATTCTCTGGAGTCTGTTTTTCGTCTTCTCTATCAGGCACCAGGGGCGAAAACAAATAACAAGTTCAAGAATCAAAACAGAGAGGAAAACAGAGAGAGAAGTAGTTTGTATCAGGAAGGGACTGCACGATGATGTAACTGTTGTTGAATATGGTTGATTGTCTTCTGCAGGTGACATTTGGCGATTGAAAACGGGTATAGATGTAACCCTCGGACTAATCAGAGCAATCGGGTGCGGATGTGACATTGGGTGGGGACTTTACCAGGTATTGTCATCTGCGTACCAAACTTCACGGGCGATAGATTACCGGGGAACCTGATACACCAAAGTACCCAAAAATACTGATTATAACTGCATATGAGAATACAAAATTGCTAGCTATTTTTCTGCCGGTTGTATTCAGATTTCACCATAATATGGCATTTAACACTTTGCTTCTCCAATTTGCCAGGGTAAATTAATTTTCCTTGTTCCCACCAGGCTGTTTATGCACACACCTGTGACACATCTGGGCATCTTTGGAAGTTTCTGTGTATGCGCACAGATGACTCAGTAGCTGTTTCATCTTAGGTAAGTAAACTGGAACGGTTTTCTAACCCTATCAGTTATAGGCACAGCTTTAAAAAAATAAATAAAAATCTCCAAGAAAAAAAAATTATTATGTGATCCTCAGTTTTCCCCCTAATGACGCACTATCTTATCTCCCCATCTGTGCTCACTCTGTTTCGTTCCGAATCCCCCCCCCCGATTGCGGCTCTGGGGGCCGTGCTGCTTATTCCAGCCTGACACAGGGTCTGACACTCCTCTTCTCCGTCACCTGACTGCGACCTCGGAGTTCCCCAATCTCATTCCAAACCTCTCTCCATCCAAAAAAAGAAACAAACCTTGGGGCGTGGATCCTATTCCTGCTTGCAGCTCCTTCTCTTCAGGTCTTCCCTAGCCCCCACGCCTCCTGGCATTCCTCTCTCTCTCCCCTCCCCTAGGGCCATGGCCCCGAAAGAGGACATGCTGCCCCCGGGCTGGGAGGATCTAGACAGGTATGTTGATCTCCTGTTCCGGATGTTTCTCAACCCTGTGCCCTGCCCACCCTTTCAATTCTCACGCGTTGTGGAACCCCAACGTTTTCCCCACCCCCCTCTTCGGACCATTTAGACTATTTCCTGTTTGGTAAATTCGGTCAAGGGAGAAAGGACATAGGCAGAAGAAAGCTTCAATCAAATCGAAATAAAGTATACCATGCTGACTGGACATATGGCAGACAAATGGGCCAGCTCTTTATGATGGGCTTCGATGGTACCTCGGTCAGCCCAGAGATTCGTTCGCTCATCGAAGATTACCATATAGGCTCCATCCTCTTATCCGCTAAAAATCTTAAATGTAATCTCTAATCTTTTCCTTTCCATGATAGGTTGCTGATCTCTCATCAATAGCTGCCGAGGAGGCAACTCGATTGGTCCTCGAGCTGCAAACTATTGCCCGCAATGCTGGTCATCCTGTGCCATTACTGATCGCGTTAGATCAGGAGAATGGCGGAGTGAATAGCTTATATGATGAAATATATGTGCGTCAGTTCCCAAGCGCCATGGGCATGGCTGCAACGGGATCAAAGGCATTGGCTCATGAAGTCGCGGTAGCCACCGCCCAGGAGCTTAAAGCTGTTGGTGTCAATTGGATCTTAGGCCCGGTTTTGGACGTCTTAACCAACGTGCGGAATCAACCCCTTGGTGTGCGTACCAGTGGAGATGATCCCCAAGAGGCCTCTCAGTATGGAGTCCAGTTTATGAAAGGGTATCAAGAGGCAGGACTGGCCACCTGCGGCAAGCATTTTCCTTCTTATGGCAACCTGGAGTTTCTGGGCTCCCATGCAGATGTTCCTATAATAACAGAATCCCTGGAGCAACTGAGCTTGAGTGCATTGGTGCCCTTTCGCAATGCGATTACGCATGGTCTCGACGCTATGATGGTAGGCGGGGTGTCCATGTCGTCGGCGGGAATGAACGTCATGCACGCTTGCTTAAGCGATCAAGTCGTGGATGAACTGTTGCGGAAGGATCTCAAGTTTAAAGGCGTCGTTGTATCAGAATGTCTAGAGATGGAGGCCCTCACTCACAACATCGGCGTTGGAGGTGGCACGGTAATGGCCAAAAATGCCGGTTGCGATGTCATATTGCTTTGTCGGTCATTCCCGGTACAACAAGAGGCCATCAATGGACTGAAGTTGGGTGTGGAGAATGGCATTATTGGGCGTCCTCGGATACGGCAGTCGTTACGGCGTGTGCTGAGTCTGAAATCAGGCTGCACCTCCTGGGAACAGGCACTGAATCCTCCCGGTCTCCTGTCCCTCGCCCAGATGCAACCTTCCCACACCAATCTCTCAACGAGGGCCTATAACAACTCAATAACCGTCATGCGTGACAACGACAACCTGCTTCCTCTTTCCAACGTCGTCGATGCTAATGAAGAGCTCTTGCTCCTGACACCTTTAGTAAAGCCACTTGCAGCGTCTGCCGTGACACTATCGACGAATGAGTCCATGCATGGGTCTCTTGATCCGGCAGCTGCATTGGATCAGACTGCGTCAGTGGTCAGCGGAGAAAGTGTCTTCAAAGAGCTGGGAAGGTCCATTTCCCGGCAAAGAAATGGCCGGGTTTTACATACTTCCTATACGGCCCATGGGGTACGACCCATCCACGAAGATCTCATCAAGCGAGCTAGCGCCGTGATTGTCATTACGGCGGATGCAAACCGCAATATATATCAACAAGCTTTCTCCAAGCACATCTCGTTGCTCTGCCAGTCCCAGTACTCTCTATCCGGTGAACGTGTGGAGAAGCCCCTGGTGGTGGTTGCTGTCAGTTCGCCATACGACTTTGTCACCGATTCCTCCATCGGAACTTACGTATGTACCTATGATTTTACCGAGACTGCGCTACAGACTTTGGTTAAAGTGCTGTATGGTGACCTGACACCGACCGGGTGTCTGCCAGGTTCCATCAGCCGCAGCCAGAAAATCCACCAATCCCGTCAGCATTGGTTGGTGGAGAATTGGAATGAAGATCGGGACGCACATGCTCTAGATGCGCTATTAGACACAGTTCGCGAGGATTGTACCCAGGGTCAATGGTCAGAGCTTCTTGGCGCGACATCTAATAGCTTCCTTCTTCGAAAGGAAGACATTGACGAAGCCCATTTTGTGGTTCGCAATAGCAGTACACAGGCATTGTATGGATTCTGTGCAACATATTTCTTTCGGTCTACCGGGACTGGTGTCGTTGGATGCTTGATAGTGGATCCCTCTCGACGAAAGCTGTCAATTGGACATTCTCTCCACAGTCGGGCGATTCGTACTCTTCTTCAGCGAAAGGGCATGAAACGATTCCAGCTTGGATCCCGACTCCCGGGGATCTACTTAGGGATTCCTACCGTGAGCTCGGTTGAGCGTAAGCGGCTGCGACAATGGTTTGCAAATCTGGGATGGAACACCGCACTCTCTCGCCCAGTCTGCAGCGTGATTCTGCGTAATCTGGGCACGTGGACCCCACCAGACGGACTCACGGTGGCGTTGAAAAATGCCAGCGTAAGCTACGACCTGGTGTACGGGTGGGATTACAGCCGTGAGATTCTCGACCATATCAAGACCAATGCGCGGCAAGGGGTGACGGACATCTACCGGATCGCTCTCGGCGGGGCGCCGAATTGCGGCATCATCCGCGCCAAGCGACCATCGGATGAGACGATTTTAGGCAGCATTGTGATTTACAATGAACGGTCGGCGTTGGCGGAACATATGCCGGCTTTACGCGCCACCCAGGGTCCGGTCGGGGGAATCTCGTCGCCCGTTATCTCCCCCTGTGCGGATGATTATTCGATCGTCATGCAGGGGCTGATCCTGCTGGCCATTAAACAAATCCAAAAGCTGAGTGCACAGGCTGTGGTGATGGATTGTGTAAGACTTTTTTATTTCTCTTTTCTTTTTTTCCCGGAACTGACACGGGTTTCTTATACGCAGGTGGACGGTGACGGTAATTTTGATTGTATATCTTCCTTGGGTTTTAGTATGCTACATAGTTTCGAGGAAGTCAACTGTGATGCGACGACTTGGACGATGATGCACACCTCCTAACTGGAGCCCCGGAGTTCCAAGTTTGAATTGCTATATACTCTTATATGGAAGAGGGCGATTTCCCTTGCAATTATGAAGTAGGAGCTGTTTTTCTTTCTCTTTCCCTCTGCCCTTTTCCTTCTTCTGGGTTTTTTTTTTGGTTCTGGTTTTGAGTCTTTGGTCTTGATTTTTTCTTTTGATCGCATCTATGATATCCAATCTGGCATTGATTATACTGTTCTGGGTCCTCGGGACCATTGGGATATAACACGGTGAGCCCAGGCCCTGGAGTCACTTTTTTTTGGTTCTGTTTTAGGGGCTATGTAAATCGGGGGATTTGCCCCGTTTCGCCCCACCCTTTCCCTGTCTTTTTTTTCCCTTTTTCTATTGTGCATATTGATGACGGGCGAAAAGACTCGGGCGCGGTGGGTGGGACAAAGAGGTTTTGTACGGCGTCATTCGGACCAATATGACATCTTTTTTTAAAAAAAGAAAAAAAAAATCGTGTTTTCTCACTTTTTTCTTCCCCCTTAGATGAAAAAAAGTACAAAGGAAAGGAATTCGAATTGAGCGATCGAGTGGCGATCACGGGAGATCCGCAAGCTGGGTATTTTCTGGAGACTGTGTACAAATGAAAATGCAGATGGGACAGGGCCGGAAGCTTGAGGCCCGTAAAATTGCTGAATGCATCTATGCAAGTGGACCTCGAGAGTCGAGGCACCAGGGTAATGAGAGTCGTTTACTGGACCGGACGTCCGCAGGAGCTATGGGGAAATTAGGGGAAATTCAGCTCAAGTGCTTCGATATGATTACTGTATATCAAACATGGTGAAAATCAAAATCCAGATATATTTTATATATTTTATATATCCGTAATTCCCGACCCCAAGGGCAAATGATAAAGACAGAAAAAAAAAAGGGGAAAGAGAATTTATGAATGAGCTTTTGAACAAGTACGGGATTCGGAAGCACAATTGCATCCGGGATCAGATCTGACTTTTTTGTATTTATCTGTATTTATACTGTATCTGTACTGTAATTTGGATGATTACCTGCTTTGGTCTGGCTCCACTTCGGACCCTGAAGACCTCAATGGAATTAACTGAATTAGGCCATTCTTCATGTTTTGCTTGGTATAAGATACCACATGTGCAGACAATTGAGTTGTATAGAGAATTAGAATTGATGGTGGTTTCTCTCTTTTTCTCTTTTTCTCTCTTTTTCTCTCTTTCTCTCTTTTTCTCTCTTCCCCCCCCCCCACTACTGTAATGGTTCTATATTAAACCCCATATGATTTGTGGTCAAGTCTCCACTCAACACTTTCTCTGATTGGTTTCTGTTTTTCTTTTTTGTCTCACAAAAATCAAAATCAAAACGAATCGGGTAAATGAAGGTACCGACTTGTTTTGCACTTTGGCTTTCTATTTGATTTCCCGTTAGATCCCATTTACCCCGTTCGGCATTATATGTCCCACTTTCTCAACGGCCAAGTTGGCAAATTCAGAGTAAATTAATTCCACTGTTCCACATGCTTGTGATGCCGCGTGAGGGATTACACGGGTATGACCTGGATGCATCACCCGACAAAACGAAGCAGAAGATCATTGGAGAATCCAGAATTAAATCATCGTGACGGACATGGTCTTGTTTTCTTTTCGGCCCCCACGGGTAATTTAGGTAAGTAACAAGTTCCTCCGGAAGAAGAGAGATGGTCACAAACAGGCACAGCGGAAAAAAAGAGGGAGAGGAGAGAGATGAGATAGAGATAGCGAAAGATAGAGATGGAGCTGCAATCAGAATTTGGGAGCTGAAGCCATCTCTCCTTTTCTTTCTTTCTCTCTCTCTCTCTCTCTCTCTCTCTCTCGGTTCCTGACTCCGACTGGATGCGGACCTCCAGCTTTGGGTAAAAGAAAAGTGGATTTGCCCGTTCGCGGTGGGACCCGGTCAGTTTAGTCTCTTTGGTCCCTTCTAGTCCCAATACCGTTTAGTCATTTTTTTACTCAAGTTACCAATCACCTTCAGGAGAATGAATCACTGACCCTTGCTCTGTTCCCTATTCCCTCTTCTCTCTTCTCTCTTCTCTGTTCCTTTTTTTTTCTTTTTTTTTTTTCTTCTTTCCCCCCTTTTACCCTTTTTGCCTCGCGCTCGTGTCCTGCTGGATCGATGCATATGGTGGCGTTAATTGGGTGGGCCACCCCCTTCAATCCACGATGGCGCTGCATGTCAGACGGAACCTATGTTGATCATCGATCCTTTGGAATTGATCGAGAAAGGTGGATTTGCTTTTTATCTGAGTTCAGGTTTGGGGAGGAGAAAAGTGGGGAGAGAACAAGAGAGAATTTAAGTATGGGGAAAGAGAAAGAAATTGAAAACGAAAACAGCGTATGAGATGTATGAGATGTATGAGAGGGGTAAAAAGTACCCTTAATATATACCCATTTCAATCGTTCTATCGTCACTGAATAATGTTTTTTTTTTCACAGAACTTTGAAAAGTAATTAAAAACCCCTTAAAATATAGAATACTTTTATATGATTCCCCATTTCTCCATGAGAACTTTGTGGCGTTTAAATGACGGTGACTATATCGGTGGGTTCATAGTTCTTCACTGCATGATCTTCAGGGCCTAAAATACAATACAGAAATAGTACCATTATCGAGTCTATTTATGATACACAAAAATATTAAGGAACTCAGTCTCGATTTCTTCGATTTCTTCGATTTCTTCGAGATTTCTGGAATTTCCTTTACTTTTTAAACATATGTATATACAATATCTCTCTCTCTCTCTCTCTTTCAAATGTTTATCTTTATTGCTTAATACTGTGAAAAAAAAATCAAAAGAATCCCCCTTTCCATGTTGCCGACAGCCGAGGATTAAACAACTCTTCACACCCCAAACCGGTGTTTTAAAATGCTGTAAAATGTCGTGAAATATTAAATATTCAAGTATAAAATAATACAAGGGAAAATCTAGAAGAAGAAAATTTCCCAAAACAAAAAACCAAAAGACCCATAATTACCTGGTATGGATACCTTGTACCAATTACGGAAAACCCGTCTTCGTTCTCCGCAAAAACCGCGGCTCCACTTTTCCCCGAATCCGTTCGCATCTCTCTCCTCTTCCCTCTTCTCAAACCGACATTCCATTCCCCTTGACCTTCTTTCTTCTCTTCTTTTCCCGTGTGAGTCCTATCTTCTATTTGCCCGCCATGGAGGGCTTCGATACCATGGCTATGCCGCCTTATCTGGCGAGTCCGCTATCCCTCGGCAATCTGCAGGGCACCGACTATCTGAATGCCATGTCAGGCCTCGATCTTCCCGACCACCGTTCCAACTTTGACTCTGAGACTTTTGTTAGGTAAATCTTATACCTTGATTCGCACCGCTGGAGAAGAAGAAAAAGGAGGCAAAGGAAAGGAAAAGGATGAGAGAAACCGCCTTAAGCCCTTCCCCTCCTTCTCCTCCCCCTCCCCCATAAAAGAAGAAACGAAAACAAAAGGACCATTGAAATAAAAACTAACTAAAATTCATCCATACAGTGGGGATGATCTTGCCTTCGCCCAAGGTGGACTTTCACGTTCCAATGTTCCGCCCGCGTTGGAGCGCTTCTCCTCGGGATACGATGGGGACCCTTTCACCGACATGGTTCCTTCGTTTGATCCTATCCCACCGGAGCAACCACAGGACGCTTCCATCGATCACAACAATAAATTGTTAAGCTTCTCACTTCCCGTCTATCATTTTACCTTGCTCGATTACTCCATGCGACGGACATCTTTATCCGTCTCTGCCCAGTTGCATGGGATGTTTTTTTTGGCCGAGTCACCCTATACCACATCGCCCTCCGACAATGCCCCACCGCAGCAGGGAGCCGAGTTGACCTGCTACCGTCGTAATCTATTTCAAATCACTGGCTCCGTCACCTTACCACGAGGCATGCGCTACATAATGACAGATAATGGCGATCGCATCCCGATATTGGCCCAGGAACTCACCGTCTCGGCCACGGAATCCGTCGAAGGGAATCCCGTCAAGATCATCTCCGTGCCTTGGAAGACCCCCTCTGCCGCGGCAGCCAACGCTGGAAGTGCCATCGAGGATCACAATAACGGGGCTGCCAAGGTTGAGAAAGAGCCTCAAGCGATCCCACTGGATATCATGGCGGGCCAGGATCTAGATACGGACTACGCCACCTTTCCCATCGCTTGGAAACGTCTCCAATTTCGGGTGGCTACGGCTAACAATGGTCGCCGCAAGGAGTTGCAGCAACATTTTGTCGTTAGACTCAAAGTAGTCGCAACCTTGTCCACTGGCGCCAAGATCTCCATCTCGGAGGTGCAGTCGGGCCCCGTTATCGTTCGGGGTCGTAGTCCACGTAACTTCCAGTCCCGAAAGGACCTTCCTCTCAGTGGAAGCGCTGCGGCATCACGAAAGAATCAGGCCAACTCAGCGGCCCTCAACCGCACCCCAACCAGCGAGTCTGTACCCCGCCGGGCTAGTGTCACCCCAGCCAAGGCCAAGGCTCCATCGACCACGGTCCAGAGCAGCTCCCCTGAGACCACCTCGGTTCCACCCCCCACGATCATGCAACAGCCCCAAGCCACCCCGGATTGGACCCCGATGCCCCATGCCGTCTCTAACTCCGTAATATCCCATCACCAGCCTCTCTTCCCTCATTCCAGTCCCGAGCAACTTTCTCAGCTCGGTCAACAGCGCCGGGTCAGTGGTACAACCGCCACCGCCTCTGCCCCTATCAACCTGTCTCTTTTAGACGAAGACGACGGAGGCGATGCAGGTCTCCAGCTAGATCAGAAGATCATGACCACCCCATATCCCAATGACTTACCTCAACAACAACCTGGAGCTATGGATCATACTGCGCCACCGGCCAAGATGCGTAAGCTCTCTCATAACATCTCTCAGACCCCATCTCGGAGTGTCACTTCATCCGTCCCATTGTTGGAGACGGCCAATTTACCCCAACAATTTGTGTCCTCACTGCCATTTCCTAATGAGGGCACCGATTTTCTCTACGAATACTTCCCACTGGGGTTGGATGACTGGCAGGCACCCGTCGACGCCGTCTACCGCCCCCATGTAGTACATCATACCAACATGCCTGAAATGAAGTTTGTGGCATCCAGAGGTCGCAGCAAGCGTTATTTTGCCGCCGAGGATGTCTTCTAATCTTTCCAGGTGCATTGGCACTAGAGTGCGGGTGTTTTGTTCTTTGGGGCTTCAACTTGGGTCGCATTTGCATTTGCCGGAAGGGGGTAACCGATTTCCAGTTCCTGCTTCTTTCTTTACCATCTGTTCTAGAGTGTTTTTTCTTTTTCTGTCTTTCGTTTCTTCTTCCTTGCCTTCTTGTTTATCATCCATCTCTGCTATTTCATGCAACTGGAGAAGTAGGCGTCATGTGCTCAGTCTATGCTGATATGTCGTGACTATGGGATTGATGTTTGATCTCGGGACTCGGCATACTTTAGTTTTCGTGGTGTGGTACCATTATCTTTGTTTGTTTAGTTTTTTTTTTGGATCTTGCAAGTCCCCCGGTGCAAGCTTTGGCAATTGTGGCGTGTGAGGAGTTTTTTTTGGCTTTTGGGAGTCTTGATGGACTTGTTTTGTGGTACCCGGTTAATGGCGCTTTTCAGTGATCCTGTGGAGTTTTGAAACCACGATCCTCGACTTGAAAAGAAAAAAGATTGAACCCAATCAAAGAAAGCCATGTCGGGATATGGATTGGGTTTGCTTGAGTCTTTTCTTTCTTTTTGGCACATCAAGTGGTTTTTGATTTATGGATCTGGTTTGTGATTTCTGGTTATATCCCATCGTGTTATGATGTTACGCTGCTATACTTACTGCCGCTCAACCTGGATTTACCCTGCGGATTTGGCCCCAAGAGCTATCTATCTCAGGTATATTGATGGCACGTCATGTTCAATTTATTTCTTCCAAGTTTTCTTAAAAAATATGCTACATATATATACTACATACATGGTATGTATTGATACCTGGACACTTATAGAGCAAAAAGTTCCCATACGATACGCCCTACAACTTTGGAATTACTGTAGGTGTAGGCCGTATGGAAACTTCAATGTTTTGCTAATGTAAATACATACACATGTGCACATGTACACGTGCATTCTGGACATTTATATACTGTGTAAACACATACTTGGACATGTTGGATATTTTAAAATATATCTCTATATTCATGGATCAATTGATACGATTTGATGATGCACACTGGTAGAGGGGAAACATTGAATGAACTTGTCTAAACATTACAAAATTTCCAGTTTTTTTTCCCGCCCCAGTTGATGATCCCGACAGCTTTGCAAAATATCTCTGGCGCCTTCAATGTTGGGAGACTTATACATGTAGACACCTACAAGTACCCCAGTCCGTCTCCACCGATAGCTTCTAGATCGGCCCGGATCTCCCACTCAGTCGCCCCAACCCGAGCCGCGAAATCCGCCTGACGCTGTTTCCCCAAACTCAGCCACTGCCGAAGCAACGTTCCATCAACCATTCCTCGGCCAGAAGCACCATCACTTTCAACGGCTCGGAACGCTCGAGGGTTCAGTCCACCGGGATGTTCAATTGTGTTTGTCAATTGTGACTGCAGAGCAGACAGCCGACGATAGCATTCTTCGGCGACGGTCGTCACCAGAGCCAGAGATCCATTATGAGATGCAATCAGGACATTGTGAGTCGAAATCGTCAGGTCCACGTCCATTTCATCTTCTGCAGACTCAACAAGCTCAGAGGAGACCGCTGTGCGGGGAAGCAAGGTAACCGTTGAGGCAAAGTTGCCTGTGTAGAATTTGCTCCTGTTGAGTAGTCGATCACCATTGGACGACTTCGGGTCTGGCAAGGAGTATATATGTCAGCATGGATTCATGATTTAAGCCCCATTCATATTCAAAGCACACCTTCAGGGTCGTACTGCAACACGTGCAGGTTACAATCACTATCTGCTACCAGCATATAGAGCTTGTTTCCATCCGGCAGAAAATCTGCAGCCGCAACTTCCAGATATTCGGGATCTTTTCCGAAGAGCGTCATTTTGTACGGTTCTTCCTACACAACGGTATAGAATGGATTAGCGTGTGTTCGGGCAAAGGCAATTGACAGTGTTTCTCTGTTGTGGAGGAAGGGGGTTTCATACCGAATAGCCTGCAAACCAAAGGCCCTTGATTGCATCGCCCAGTATGCACATGCCCGTGCCTTTGAGTTCTTTGGCAACATTGACATAGCATTGCATATCCATAAAAGCTACGGGAAGTAGGCTCCCATCCTCTTTAAGGCCTCTCACCATGCATTTCTGCCCTTGGGCCACAATCACAAAGCCCTGACCACCAACGCCAGACAGGGCGGTCACTGCACCTTTGACAACCTCTTTCCCAACGAGCTTGAGTTTGCGACCCGTCTCAGGCTTACCGGGCTCGGGGACCACTTCAATCACCTCAAATACATAGATGCAGCCACGAGCTGGAATATCCTCACCCTTGGTGATCGCTGTCCCCACCACGATCAGATCTTTGCGCTCATGTGTGTTCTCTGACACCTCTAAATTCACATTTTTTACCGCAGTCACATGTTCGGCGAGCTCCAAAGGATAGCTACACATGGTTAGATCACATATCAGCCTTATATTTTGGATCCTCGGGCCTTACCTATCGATCACTTCCCAGGTTTTTGGACTTATAACTTTGATGAAGCTCTGAGGAACTTCAGGTAGAAAGGATTTTTCTATAATCAAGTTAGAAATATAATTAGGGGGGGGGGTGAGTGCTAGAAATCGAACCTTCATTGCGCCATTCGGGGTGTAATTCATCATTTTCAGGTAAATTGAACTCCACGTTAGAGCTGGTGCTCAAAACATATGTCTCGGATGCCGTGGAATAGGTCAGGAAGTCCACTTGTTCGCCCAACGAGACTTTGCGCAGGATCCATGAATGATCAAACTGAGTTTCCGGGGCGATTTGACCCGCTCGAATGGTATGCTATTCATAGGTTGTAAGTAGGAGTATATACTCATCATGGGACGATGTAACATTTACCTCAGAATCCACATATATGAAGCCCTTTGCGCAACCAGTTGACGGTGAATCAAACCCACTTAGCCATCGTGTAAATTCCCCACGAAGGCGAACTACATGCGGTGGACTTTGCGCAGTTTTCACGATAAACCTACTGGAGTCACCGGGCATAAAAACAGCACTAAGTCCTGACACATCCTGCAGAGCTCGTAATGATCTTTCACGTAGTGGCTTCTCTGCTTCTGTGGGTAATTGATTTGAGGAGAGCTTCGCAAGAGAATGGTGGGGTTCTCGGACAAATTGAAGTTCATTTGATTGTTCGCTTCCAGCCTCGGAAGGAATGAAGACGGGCTTGTACACGACTAAGTCATCATTGTTTGTTCGAAGCTGGATTTCTTAGGTTAGTACAAGGGTCCAAAAAGCCAATGGTAGCGAATATCGTACAATTAAGTATGGTTGAACAAATGAGGAGTCACCAAGGTCTGCTGTCAAGATTTCTTTCAGTGACTCCCGTGCATTTGATCTTCGAGGTGGCTCCACGGAGAGCACAGGTTGCAAACAGTCAAGGCCATCAATGACCGATAGTAATCTCATATCTGGAAGATTGAATATCTGTGAAAAAAAAAAAACCAGTTAGGAAGGCCGTAATTATTCGTTTTCTGTTGTGAACACTAACCGAGAGCTTATATTCCTTATTTAACAAGAAAAGAAGCACGTTTCCTTCTGTACCACTCGAGTTTGAGTTCAAGGCGTTGAACGATTGGTGTTTATCAAAATAGAGACAGCCCGAATGCCACTTTGACTTGATCATTTCATCTGAGAGTGACACCTCGTCAAGATCGCCGCTAGCATCTGTCTGGAGCAGTAAAAGCGAAGCATCATCCCGCAAGATAGCTAGGTATGGATCGGCAAAACTTGCGCTCACGGCAGTACGCTCCTCGTCGGTGTCTTCGTCCCATATGGGATAAATTTGTGCTAGTCCCAGATCTGAAAGCCATGCCATGTCAATCAATGGAATCGATCTACGGAAAACGTTGTGAACATACCTCGGTCATAAATTCTGACTTCGTTTCGCAAGACCTGAACAAGGCGAGATTTCTTGGCTAATAGCCCAATGTCAATAGTGATATCTTCACTCGGATTAAAGTCTGGGGTTTTGAGGGGGTTTAACGTGGCTCCCTCCACCATGAAGACCTCTGATACCTCTTTGTCTGTGCCAGTGAGCCGTGAGACGATCACGTATTGGCATGTATCATCTCGTTCGGAATCACTGACGGAAGAGCCTGGTTTGCCTTGGGTCATGGTAGCAGACCAGACACCATCAGCAGCTTCAATTTCCATTGACATCGTCGTCACGGGATCAAGTTCCCTGTTAATGATAACGAGACCACCACTCTTGCCCGAACCTTGAGACGCAACCAATTCCAGTTCGGCTGAATCTCCTTCGCCAGCCGATGGGCCTGAATCGTTCGAAGCCGGAACAACTTGGCCCAGGGTAATATCTCGGAGAGGACCGATGCTGGAGAGTCGATCATTTAGATGGAGATGATAGAATCCCGGTGTTGAGTTCTCCGAAATCGGGCGTGCGTTGGTTTGAGTTCGCTCGGGCACTGAAGAATAAAGGTCATCTTCATAGCCATCATCTTCCATTTGATCCTCATCCGATACATCTTCGAGACCATCATCAATTTGCTTCGATTCCACTCTGGTCTTTTTGTTAGAAGCCGAGTCAGACCACCCCAAAAGCACCGAGTCTGCATCTTCGCTACCGATGAAGACATTGCCGTCATTGAAACAGGTAGAACATGAAGCAGCCGATTTCAAAATACCGCCGCCTGCTGAAGCTGGCAATGAATGAACCGACATCCCGGACACAGAACGACCATCCAGTTTGAATTTTATCAGTGCCAAATCACCCGAGGCAAGCGCGAGAAGAAGATCACCACTACTACCTCCCAGTCGCTCCACAACGCAGCCCTCGAGGCGAAAGCCTAGATCGGATTGATCACTCATAGAAAAGGAGGAAACTTGGCGGGAGAATTCATTCACCCCAACTGCACTTGTTTTGCCCGCCTGGTCCACATGCACAATTTCATTGGAGCCGATGAGCAAAGCCCCTCCTACAGGAGGCGGCAGTGCTACAACCTTGAATAAGTCGCTTGGAAGCCGGGAGACTGAGAGGAGGGTTGTCGACGCCCGTTGCTCTAGATCTAGCGTGAAGACGGTGTAAAACATCACATCTTTTCTTTCGTGAACAAGGGCGTTGGAGTTTGCAATTTGAGAATATAAGATGCCAAATGTTGGTTCTCTGTATTCGTAGAGAAATTGCAGACTGACAGGGTGCAACAATGAGGGGTCAAGAGCTGTCAAAGGTAGAACAAATGAAGCGGCATAAGGAGTGGGATGTGCAGAGCGTTCCTTGCTCTTCTCCAGCCCTGTTGCTCCATCCGATGCTTGAGCACGCAGTTCACCATCCAGCTCAGAGTCATAGCCATCCATGACAAGGTCATCCCCTGCCTGGTGGAAAGGCAAGATGGCCAAGTTACGAACACCGAAGTTGAAGACTGCACATCGACTGCTTGGGTCCACGCTTAGTATACTTCCACACCGGCTCAAGTCCGGTACCCAGGGGCTTCGAGTCAGATCGTCTCTTTCATAGTAGTGGATAGAAACTGTGGAAAGATTATGGCGCTTGGGGTCCCATTCAATCAGGCTGAGCTTGGCATTTCGAACGGCCAAGAGGATGGCCTCTCCACCACTCTTAGAATGCAAAATCTTCACTCGACTCACGTCTGTAACAGTTCCCGGCAGAGCGTACTCTTTTTCCAAGACCAGTTTCGGACCAGATGAATGGAAAGGTGCCAAGTGGGTCTCGGCGCCCTTCGATAAAGGTTTGACCAGGGAAAACACCTGCAGCAGGGACGATCGCACCACAATCAAATTGCTAGCTGTGGCTGATAGAAAAGGAAGTGCAAGTGCATGGGTGACCCCCGTTGGAGGCAAAAGCTCTGTATAGCACTGCATTGTAAAAGAAAAAAAGATTCAGGTACGTTTCAGTGCTCCAATCAGCAGTTTACAGAAGCAGAAATCGCAGTGCACATGGTAAAATAAACCTTCAATCCACCAGCACAGGAACAAATAAAGCAAAGGTAGGGGATATGAGAGAAAGAAAAGACTTTTTGAACCTCTCAATGGCTGCGAGAATGCAGTCAAGTGATGTGCATCCAGGGCGGACTCCAGAAACAAAGCTCCGGGTCACGTGTTGTTTACCTGATCGGGTTTAGCTATGACGACAATGTAAATCCAACTTGGTTCTGGTTTATTCACTCTTTCCCACTCTCTCTCTCTCACTCACTTTTTCTTCCCCCTTTGACCTATTATTCTTTTGGGATTTCTCTAGGTTGAAAATTCACAGAATCAGAAGCGAAGAGAGAAGGGTTTAAGATTCATCTTTGTTTGACCTATCCCTAGAGGCTAGTACCTACGGCCTACGGGGGGAACGTTCCTCACTTGGAGTCTCCACAATGGCGCTCCTCCAAACCTCACTGATATGGATTGTGTATGCAGTCGTGATTGCAGTCCTACTGGCAGTAGCCTCAGTGTTCATTTATGTTTACCAAACCCCTCGAGATCGCTCTCCATCTGTAACTTTGACTTGCATAATTGCCATTACCTGTCTTCTGGCAACTGTGCTTTTACTTCCTGTTGATGTTGCACTCACATCATCAACCACGTCATCTCGTCTGGGCCAGCGGAAGGACTGGGCCACTCAAGATACTGTTGATGACATCACTTTCTCGCTGACAATCATCTACTACATATTGTACTCACTGGATGCCTTGCTCTGTCTCCTGGTGATCCCTTTCACTTACTTCTGGTATGAAGAATATGATGAGGTAGCCAGTGAGACAGGGGAACAAACACTGGGACAGCGGCTCTGGGGGTCTTTCAAATACACCTTGTCATTTATTGCGATTGTGGTAATTCTATTCCTGGTTGGATTTTTTGTCCCCGTTTCCAACAAAGACAAGGTCGGTACGGACTTGGATTACTTCAAGCGCCTGCTGACAGAGAACCGTATGTATCGGTATCGGTATCCTGGGACTGCAGATAACAAAACTAACTCAGATTAGATGGCGAGCGTGCCTTGACATTTGCCTTGGGTCTATTGATGACCCTCGGTATTTGTCTTTATGTCTTGTATACCTCAGTGGGGCTTGCTCTGTTGCCTATCAGTCTGATCAAAACCGCCCCATCAATCTCTAGCCCCAACCTGCGCGCTTCTACAGCTCATCAGCTAGAGGCAAATCAAGAGCGACAGAGACAGCTTGAAGGGCGGTGTGGGGGAAACCCTGACCTTCTTTCGTCTAAAGATCGCAGGGAACTCGATACGCTCACACGAGATGAGAGAACATTGATCCGGCGCCAACGTCTTTTTGATGACACTCAGAGGGGAGGTCGGAGTTGGTTGATGCGAGCATGGTTCAAAATTGAGGCAATATTTCGCCCTTTCAAATTGCTAGGAGGCCTGCTACTCCTGTTGGTTGCGTTCATCACATGGGTTTCTATGCTGTTGACAGCAATCGACAAGGCAAAGAACTCAGTCTGTAAGCACCGCTGTGGATATATTCTTGGGCATATCAATGTCTTCAACCCGGTCAACTGGGCACTTGTTCGATCCGCCAGAGTCTTTCCAGTTGATTACGCCATATTTTCTGCTCTTGTACTTCTACTGTTCTGCAGCTCGGTTGCTGGTATTGCTGTGGTCGGAATTCGCTTCCTTTGGATTCGAATCTTCCAAATTCGAAAAGGCCACACTTCGCCTCAAGCTCTCCTATTAGCGACTGCGATGTTGATGCTCATCATCCTGGCACTTAACTATTCTATTTCCATGGTCGTTGCTCCACAATATGCCACTTTCGGGCCGCAAACTTTCTGTGACCGGGCTACGGTAGGACGGTTGGAGCAGCCGGATTGCTCTAATCACAAAGATCTCATCAAGCCATGTTCTGAACTAGCAGAAAATCCCGCCGCGCAGAGAGTGTGTACCCCAAGTGTTGTGAGCACTTTTCTCAACCGTATCACTCTCAACTTCCCCTTCTTTGGAGTTGTGTTCTTTTGGGCCCAGTTCTTCTTTCTTGGTATGGATTCCAACGAATATCAATCTGTTTAGGAACATAATACCTGCGTTTCATTGCTAACCATTCCACCTGTTCACAGGTCTATATCTTATCGTCTTTGTCACGTCCCTCTTCCGATCACCAAAGTTGGACGAGAGACAACTTGACGAAGACGCCGAGGAGGCTGAGGAAGAAGGTCTCATTGCTAACACAGGAAGACGCTTCAATGCAACCTGGCAAGATATTACCGGTCGAGCTGACCGCAACAGCAGTGGAGATTAAGGAGGTTTGGTTGAACGAGATTGAAGCTATGATATGACCATGCTGCCTGCTTTTACGAAGAGAATGAAGATATGTCCTCTTAATATTTGTGTCATTACTATCTGATGGGCTTAAGCGTAGTTGGTCTAATAGTTAATCTATGCAATACATCTTCTCGAGCTATCAACCGCAGTGTGACATGCATAGCCCAGCATGTACTAGCGCACATTAAGTCAATAGAGCCTGGGTTCGCAAACAGCGGATGAATCACCGTTCCGTAACCTCGTAATATGATCAAATTCTCAAATTCTCAAATCCTCGACTGCTCATTCAGCAAGGCCAGCGCACTTTGAAATGCTTTCACCACTTCCATATCTTCAAATTGGATCCAAGTAATCAGCACTTGTGTAAAGGAGGAGGTAGGTCTCTTGCACTTACAATGTTTCTTCTTATTCTCCACATTGACCTCGGAGTTCTGGACGTGTTCCATCTGTGTCTTAAATCTAGATGATCTTTAGAACTCGTTATTCTATAGTTTTCATTGGGTGTAACCTTACCTCTTCAAGGCCCGCTGCTCGTCCTTTAGCACGGCTGTTTGGGACCATGATGTGAAAGCCTGAATGGTGATTAGTGGGTTTAACAGAATCGCAGATGCATTAATACCCTTACATCGAGCAATTTGGTAGTCTGCACCCGAAAATTTTCCTCGACGCGACTATGCTCATCCATAGCATAGGTGTATTTTTCTTGTAGCTGATCCCAATCACAATGGTCCAACCCTTGTGTCAAACGCGCCACTAGCATTTCTTCCATTTCAAGGACGGGCTCGACTGGTTCTGGGCTGCAGGTTTGCTGGGGGCCTTCCGTTGCTGATGGTCGCGAAGCAGGACCCTGTCCATCATCTGCGGACGCCATTTCTGGACGAATCCTTCCTAGCAGTTCAACTTAGTAATTAGGGGAAATTTTGAAAACATTTAGGTTATTTTGCAGTGTGCAGGGAATTGATTGTATGTCTATCAACATAATCCGGCGTGGTTTGAGCCAAACAGACAGCTGCCCACACACCGCGTCAGGTGACGACATCACAAGCACCCTTCCCCGAGATCTTCTTGCTAGACACCATGGTTTTTTGTCGGTAGCTCTCGTGGCTTCCACAACACACCATGGACATGCGACTCTCGGTATTCCAGCTAAATCACTTCAACTGTCTGCGATGAGTTGTCACATATGCACATCTGCCAACCCCCGCTTGCCAGTTCTCTGCCTGACATGTGCCCGCAATCGTTTGTATCCGCTGCGCCTCGAACACACCCAGATCCTTCTTGAAAAACAGACCCTATGCAATCAGATTGAGAACTTGGTCACCAACGGTGATTCTCTTAACCGGCATTTTCAGACTGAGATAGAAACCTCTGAAACTGATCACAGCAGCTCTCGTCGCTGGGCCCTCCAAGCAGTCTTAAGTCAGCAAGCTGGCTCGGTCTCCAGGAAAAAAGATGTGACGCATCATATAGAAACACTGAGAGGGGACATTGAGGCGAAAAGGGCTGATATCTTGGAGCGCAAGGCGCGGTTGGCTCGCAGGCGTTCTGATGCCGAATCGGCCCAGTACCAACTTGGGGAGCGGGAGGCTATCATCTTGACAGGCTTACAAAACACCACCAAAAGAACCGAGCATCTCTGGCACACATTACACAGTAAAACGGCAGAAGCTCGGATTTTCCTCTGTCGCGAGGCGGCCCATCTGTATGGCTTGCGGCAAAGAGCAGCAAAGAAAAGCGACGCTAGCCAAACCTACGTTCTCGGAGGCCTAGCAATTGTAGACCTTCGGGACATGAATGGAAAGATCTCCATAGTCCCTACATCATTGTATTCTTCAATACTAACAGTTATGCAGGTTCCACACCAGCTCAGATATCCACTTCACTCTCCAACGTTGCCCTACTCCTAGTCCTCGTTTCGCATTATCTTTCACTGAGACTCCCCGCTGAAATCACTCTACCTCACCGAAACCACCCCAATCCAACCGTATATACCCCCGCCGCATCATACGACTCCCATAAAGCCTCAGAGGGAAGCCAGGTTTCTCGGCCTTCATCAACTCCTTCCGGGTCCCGGTCTACGGATACACGCTCGCAGCCGCGGCCAAGGCCACTGTTCATCGATAAGTCTCTCCCACGTCTAGCCAAAGAAGACCCCGCCACCTATGCTCTCTTTCTTGAGGGTGCCACACTCCTTGCTTGGGACGCTGCATGGCTGTGCCGGACCCAAGGCATCAACCTAGCTTCCGACTCTTGGGAAGAAGTCTGTAACATTGGAAGTGGGCTATGGCAACTATTGGTTGCCCCACCAGCTCAGACATCCACTTTGATGCGGGCTTTCGCCGGGCGGGACACGCAGACCAAGGTGAAACCTGTTAAAGATATTCCCCAGACCACAATTCAGCGCATGAAATCATTCCCTATGCTCGGGCATTATTCTCACGGCACCGTTCATTCATTTTTGGGTGCATCTGAGGGTTCTGATTTCATGCGAACATGGAAGCTACCAACTCCAACCAAGATTGCGGATAAGTTGAAGTCCAATCTCCTTGGCGAGATGGCCAGCGCAGAATGGGAGTTGTTGGAAGAACAGGAATGGGATGACGGGACTTTAGAACCTCATCAATCATCAGCTCCAGAGAGCAAAGCCACACATTCACCCAGAGTCTACGAGCCAAATGAGGAAGTTAATAATCAATCATCAAGACCAAAGGGCACAAGTGGCTGGACGAAACTGAACAGTAGATGATATAACTGTTCTACATTCTTTCCCATCCGCGAGAATAAATAAATACAAAAGAATCAAGCTAAGATTACACCATTCAAAATCATGACATTCTTACTATTTACATGTATTGGGGCCGTAAACATCTTTCGAATATACTACTAGTAATATCTTAGTAACGTTGTACTATATGCCGGTTTTGCGGGTTTGCGGAGTTACTGAGATGCCGAGATAAGATTTGTATGTACCGCGTGGCCCGAGTCACTCCGCTAGGAAACTCAGGCACTTTGTCGTGCTTCCCCCGACTTTGGGACCTTCTGCATCGTGGTGAAGTGTGTTCTTGGAAACTTCCGGACTAAGTTCAATTGCATGAGGAAGCTTCATTCGGAATCTTCCCTTGTCTCAAAACCCGGAGCTAAACCTCCTATCTCTTTTTTCCCTCATTTGGTGATGTGGCCGGAACCCACCCGCATTTAAAATCCCCCAAACAACATGCAGAATGCCCAGGCATGGCAGAATACCGGCGAAGGGTCCCTTAGTCAGTATACCTTGGAACTATATTCATCCGATTACAACTAACCCTTTAATTATAATGATAGACCTCAAGCGCGCGCTTTCCGCCATCTCAGAGATCCCCGAATCCTATTTAAGAGCCGAGCTGCAACGACGAGATGCAACAGGTTCTTTGGATTCAGTAGAGACCCCTTCATGTGGCTCCCAGTCACAAGGCGTCTATAATACATCTTTGCACGTTATGGCACTTTTCCTCATCCTAGGGCTGAGTACATTCGGTATGGGCCAGTCATTCCTTCCCGCTACTGTACTGGGTGGCTAATAGTGTCATCCTACGTTAGCATGTTCATTTCCGGTCCTTGCTCGTCGCTTTCCAGGTCTTCCGATCCCTCGCCGTTTCCTGTTCATCTCCAGGCACTTCGGGACGGGAGTCTTGATCGCGACAGCGTTTGTGCACTTGCTCCCAACTGCATTTGTCTCCTTGACGGATCCCTGTCTCCCTCGATTCTGGAGCCATACATACCGTGCAATGGCTGGCTTTGTGGCCATGATATCCGTTTTCGCTGTGGTGGTGGTAGAAATGTTTTTTGCCATGAAAGGTGCAGGGCATGTCCATGGCAATGATTACGATACTCTGATGAGCGATATTGGTCGCGAGTCTTTGAGTGATTTTGAACATGATGCCACAGATTATTCGCGTTTGGAGGCGCAACGATCTCATGGGAACATTCGTTTGGAAAACGTACGACAAAGTGGTCATACCGAGATTGAAGAACCTACTTCTACTTCTTCTCAAGGATCTGGGCGGCCGCACTCGGCTAGCTCCCAGCTGGATAAGCAAGAGGATGAGGACACTGATCTTGATGAGCTTGATGCATACACGGATGATGCCCCACCTCGTGTCCGATCCCGGTCACATTCTCTTCATCGACACCGACCGCATCTGAGTGGTCACTTTCGACAGCAGTCCGGCTCCGAGTTGCCAATGCAGAATCCGCAACGACAGCTTCTCCAATGTCTCCTCTTGGAAGCCGGTATTCTTTTCCATAGTATCTTCATTGGTATGGCCCTCAGTGTCGCAACCGGGACCTCGTTCATTGTTCTACTCATTGCCATTAGTTTTCACCAGACATTTGAAGGGTTTGCGCTGGGCTCACGCATTGCATCACTTATCCCCGATCTTTTCTCCCCCTCGTCCCCCAAACCCTGGCTCATGTGCCTGGCGTACGGAACCACCACTCCTTTGGGTCAGGCCATTGGCTTAGTCTTGCATAATCTCTACGATCCGGCCAGTACGACGGGCTTACTCATGGTTGGTATCACTAATGCGATCAGCTCTGGTCTCCTGCTCTTCGCAGGTCTTGTGGAGCTCCTTGCGGAAGATTTTTTGAGCGAGCCAAGCTATGAGACCCTCAAAGGAAGACGGCGTGTAGAGGCATGTATATCGGTTGCATGTGGTTCTTTGTTGATGGCCTTCGTCGGGGCTTTTGCCTGAGTGGCAATGTTGATGTCTCTCTGTCCCGTTTCTGGGCTTAATGTAACATTGAACTTTCATCGAAAGCTGGAACCTTTCAGTATAATTATTTTTCCATGTTTCATCTTCAATTCAAATGATCGTACTGCTCCACTTGTGCAGGTACCATATATGTACACATGATAGACTACAGTAGACTTTTGAATACGCGGTCGAAGTTCCTCCTACACAGTACATACATAATACTAAGTTGGTAAGTTCAGAATCAGGTAGTACGTATATAATACCCAATTCGCCCCTTCTCGTCAAAGATGACTATCTCACAACCTTGAAAGTCTTGTTCTCATCTTACAACATTTAAAAAAAGATTTGTGGGAGATTCGGAGATTAAAATTCACTTCCACTATCTATTTCGAACATTGCGTTCAGTGGTATTTCGCAATAGTTCAATAGTCATGTCATATGTATCCGTACATCATTAAAAATATGGCTTTTATAGCAGAGACTCGATCACGAGAGCACTGGCACCACCGCCGCCGTTGCAGATACCAACACAACCAAGCTTACCCTGCTTCGCCTTCAAGACACCAATCAGGGTAGCCAGGATACGAGCACCGCTGGCACCCAGTGGGTGTCCAATGGCAACTGCACCACCGTGGATGTTGACCTTGTCTTCAGAAAGACCAAGCAACTTCATGTTGGCAAGAGCCACGACACTGAAGGCTTCGTTGATTTCGAAGGCATCGATAGACTCCTGGGTCACGCCAGCGTGCTTGAGAGCCTTAGGAATCGCCAAAGCGGGGGCAGTGGTGAACTTGCTCGGCTGCTGCTCAGCATCACCCCAGCCACAGATCTTGGCAATGGGCTTCAGGCCAAGCTCCTTGACCTTAGCCTCGGAGACCAGAACAACAGCCGCAGCGCCATCGTTGAGGGGGGAAGAGTTGGGGGCAGTCACGGTACCAGTGCCAGGGATGAAAGCGGGCTTCATGTTACGAAGCTTATCGGGGTTGAGCTATAGTGACAACGATGCATTAGCAAGGGACATGAAAGAAGTAAAAGCTTCATTTGACAATTGACGTACGTTCTTGGGCTCGTCATCCTGAGAGACGGTGACACCGGGCTTGCCACGGAAGCCAGGAAGCTCAATGGGAGCGATTTCATAGTCAAATGCACCGGCAGCCTGGGCAGCCTGAGCCTTTTCATAGGTACGAATGGCATAATCATCCTGCTGTTGGCGGGTGAATTCGTAGTCCTGTGCACACTCCTCGGCCTGGAGACCCATGAGCTCCTGCTTGCCATAGGCATCTTGCAGACCGTCCTTCATGATTCCATCGACCAGGTTCTGGTGGCCGAACTTGGTACCAGTACGGGAGTTGGAGACATAGTGTGGGGCGTTCGACATGGACTCGGTACCGCCAGCCACAACGATATCAGCGTTGCCAGTCATAATGGTCTGGGCTCCAAGGATGACTGCCTTCAGGGCAGAAGCGCAGACCTTGTTGACGGTAGTGCAGACGGTGGAATCGGGGAGACCAGCGCCAATGGCACATTGGCGGGCAGGGTTCTGTCCAACACTGAGCCGGAGTTAGTACCAAGCATAAAAAAAAAAAAAAAAAAGAAAGAAAGAAAGAAAAAATCAAAAGAAAGAGGAGGATTGAGGCTTACCCAGCAGAGAGGACATTACCAAAGAAGACCTCCTGAACATCAGAGGCATTGACACCCTCAGCACGCTCCACGGCGGCTATAATTGTCGTGAGTCAATATAGGTACATGTGTATTTCTTTCGCTCTCGTTGCTCATGATAGATAACCAGGTAGGGGAGTTAACATACCCTTGATGGCATGAGCACCAAGCTGAGGAGCAGTCAGGCCGGAAAGGGAGCTATACGAGATCAAAGATATTAGAGATTGGTGTCACACCTGTAGGATTGGAAGATTGGAAGATATAAACATACCCAAGGAAGGAGCCCACCGGAGTACGGGCGGTGGACACAATGTAAACGGGGGGAAGGGAAGACATTTTGATTATGAATTTTGGGATTATAAGAATAACAAGAAGAGGGAAAAAAGGGGGAGAGAAAAGAGCAATATATAACAAGAAATATGGAGGGGCGATTTATGGGTTATAGTGGGGAGTGAGGAGCTGTACGGTGTAGGCGGGAGTACTTGAGACGCTCGGGCCAAGTTGGAAGAGATCAGTCAACTCCTTCTCCGGCGTCACGCCAGCACCAAATCGGGCGCTGCGGATCTCTAGTTTTGCGCGTCACCCATATTCCACTTCTTTCTCGACCACAATGGACGACCTCTACGACGAGTAAGTTCTTCTTTATACCTACATCTACAGATACTCATATCCCTCTCCTTGATTCATTTGATTAACTTGCTGTCCAGGTTCGGTAATTACATCGGAGAGGCCGAGTCGGACGAGGAGCAAAATGACCAGGTCCCGCAAGCTTTCAAATTCGACGAGGCTTTTGGAGACGAGGAGGAAGATGAGGAGATCAATGATCAGCAATTAATGGAGGTCGATGGTGAGTTTGCGCCCTTCATAGAGGAACAGGAGAGAAGAAGAGGAAAAAGAAGCAGAAAGAAAGAAGAAATGGAAGAGAAAAAAAAAGAGTCTTGCCCCTTCCAATCATGAAATGCTCACCCAGTTCTCATCGCAGAAGGACCTTCAAATGCCGTGATCCTCCACGAAGACAAACAATACTACCCAAGTGCTCAACAAGTATACGGCGCCGATGTCGAGACTATGGTCCAGGAAGAAGATGCGCAACCTCTGTCTGAGCCGATCATCGCCCCCGTTCAGCAGAAGAAATTTGCGCTCGCAGAGACCGACCTTCCTCCGGTGTATTTCTCTCGGGAGTTTATGTCCGACCTTCTCAATTTTCCGGAACAAATCAGAAATGTCGCTGTTGTGGGCCATCTGCACCATGGCAAGACCGCGTTTATGGACATGCTCGTGAAACAGACCCACGACCTGACGGAGCGATTACAGAAGCGGATAGGCAAGCGCAAGGAAGAACAGCTTCGATACACCGATGTGCATTTCCTAGAACGTGAGCGTGGTCTCTCGGTCAAGGCAGCGCCAATGAGCTTAGTCCTTCCTGGAACCAAGGGCAAGTCCCATCTTCTCAACATCATTGATACTCCCGGTCATGTGAACTTTGTGGACGAGGTCGCTGCGTCAATTCGCTTGGCTGACGGTATCGTGCTGATCGTCGATATTGTGGAGGGCGTCCAGGCGAATACGGAGCAAATCATTAAGCATGCTGTCTTGGAGGATCTTCCACTGACCCTGGTCGTCAATAAAATGGATCGCCTTATCCTAGAGCTTAAGCTGCCGCCAAATGATGCCTATTTCAAGTTGAAGCATGTAATTGAAGAGGTCAATACAATCATCGAGAACGTTTTGCCAGGCCAAGGTGAACGCCGCCGAGTGAGCCCGGAGAAGGGCAACGTTGCCTTCGCATCCAGTTCAATGAATTGGTGCTTCACTCTGCAGTCGTTCGCCAGAATGTATGCGGACACCTACCCCCGCCTTGACTCCACTGAATTCGCTGCTCGACTTTGGGGAGATATCTTCTATAATCCCCGCAGTCGGAAATTTACCCGCAAGGGCGTGGAAGAGAACTCAAAGCGTTCCTTTGTCAAGTTTGTCCTGGAGCCAATTTACAAGCTCTATTCACATACACTTAGTGAGAGCCCCGAAGATCTCAAAGAAACGCTTGCTAGCGTGGGTGTCAGTCTAAAGCCGTCCCAACTGAAGACCGATGCGAAGGAGCTACTGAACCTGGTTTGTGAGCAATTCTTCGGGCCTCCCACTGGTTTTGTGGACATGGTTGTCCAGCACGTTCCTTCCCCAGTTGATGGGTCTCAAAGACTATTGGAGCGGTATTACACTGGTCCCTTGGACTCGAAGGTTGCGTCATCTATGGCTTCTTGTGATAACGATGGACCTCTCGTCATTCACGTCACGAAATTGTTCAGCACCACCGATGCCACGGGCTTCTCCTCCTTTGGAAGGGTTATGAGTGGTACTGCCAGACCCGGCCAGCAGGTTCGCGTTCTCGGTGAGGGTTACACCCCCGAAGATGAGGAAGACATGGTCATCGCGACTATTTCAGACACCTGGATTGCGGAAACCGCTTACAACATCTCTACTGATGGTGTTCCCGCAGGTAATTGGGTTCTGCTTGGAGGTGTAGACAACTCTATTGTGAAAACAGCAACTCTAGTGCCTCAGAAGCTGGAAGATGATGAAGAACCATATATCTTCAGACCCATTCGACACATGACTGAGTCTGTATTTAAGGTTGCGGTGGAGCCAGTCAATCCATCGGAACTGCCTAAGATGCTGGATGGCTTACGCAAGATCAACAAGAGCTACCCCTTGATCTCCACAAAAGTGGAGGAATCTGGTGAGCACGTTGTTTTAGGCACAGGTGAACTATACATGGACTGTGTGCTTCATGATCTTCGGCGGTTGTACTCCGAGATGGAGATCAAGGTCTCTGACCCGGTCACCCGTTTCTGTGAGACGGTGGTTGAAACTTCTGCCATGATGTGCTACTCAATCACCCCGAACAAAAAGAACAAAATAACAATGATCGCCGAGCCATTGGACGAGGGAATTGCAGAGGACATCGAGAGTGGCAAGGTCAACATCAAAGATCCGATCCGCAAGGTCGCTCGCTACTTTGAAGAGCATTATGACTGGGATAAGCTTGCTGCTCGCAGCATCTGGGCATTTGGCCCTGAGGAGATGGGCCCAAACATTCTCCAGGACGACACATTACCCTCCCAGGTGGACAAAAAGCTTCTAGGAACCGTCCGAGACTCCATTACTCAGGGATTTAGCTGGGGAGCAAGAGAAGGCCCCCTGTGTGAAGAACGTCAGTCGCCATTCTTGCATCCTCCATTCTCCCTATTTTACATTCCTATACTGACAATGATTTAGCCATTCGGAACACCAAGTTCAAACTCACAGATGTATCACTTGCTGATCAAGCCATCTATCGTGGCGGAGGCCAGATTATCCCCACGGCTCGTCGGGCTGTATACTCGTCATTTTTGATGGCTTCTCCCCGACTTATGGAGCCGATATATTCCTGCACCATGACGGGTCCTGCGGATGCGGTAGCTTCGGTGTATACCGTCTTGTCACGCCGGCGAGGCCACGTCTTGTCCGACGGCCCTATTGCCGGAACCCCCCTCTACTCCGTGCGAGGCCTTATCCCGGTGATTGACTCGTTCGGTTTCGAGACGGATCTTCGCATCCATACCCAAGGCCAGGCCATGGTCAGTCTTGCGTTTGATAAATGGAGTGTAGTACCTGGAGATCCGCTGGACCGTGATGTTCAATTGAAGCCACTTGAGATGGCCGGGGCCATGGCCACTGCCCGGGACTTTGTCCTGAAAACGAGACGGCGCAAGGGTTTAGCAGAGGATGTGACAGTCAGCAAGTTCCTAGAGCCGGAACTGTGGAAAGGACTGAAAGAGAGTGGTGTTTTGGACTCATGATTTGAAACCAATCTTACTCAAGTCTGGGAGGGAATTTGGGGGGGGTGGAGTCATTGATTATTGTGCATGTTGCTCTCTTTCTCTTTCCCTTTCCCTTTCCCTATGTCTCTCTACCAACGTATGCATGTACGTGTACTAGTATGTATACGAGTATCCATGGATGTCGGGTGCGTATGTGTGTATTTTACATTTTACTGTAATTGTGATGCATTTTTGGAAGAAGAAAAACAAATTATGCAAGTGTTATGGACCAAATTGATAATTCTTTTAATTCATAAAATGGGGCTCGTTATAAACCGGGACCGAGGGCTCCAGCCGCAATGGCTCCCGGCTTACTGCCAGTAATATTACATACATTCATATAAGCTTAGGGTGGTTGGAGCGGAGATGTTTCTCTTATTAACAAGTCTCCATCATCTTAGCAATGACTTGCATCAGGGCCCCATTCTCCAAAGCCGCCGCAACTCTCTCTTTGTCGCCTAGCTGCTTATTCACCTCATCCCCCGTGCTATGGGTTCCTTCTTTGATGCGCGCATCGATTCTGAAACGGGGTGGGAGAGCTTGTTCTAATCGCACACGAACTCCTAAACCAATGACGGTGGCAAGACTGCAATGGGTGATTGTTGGAGTAATCAGAACAGTGACGGTCTGAAGGGGTGAATCCGGAACATTGGGAAGGGTTGGTTTAATAAAGATATCAGGAAGGGAGACGACTGCCAGTTCCCCTAGGGACAGGGGATGCTCTGGATCCGAGATTGACTTGATCAAGTCTAGAAAGGAGGGGACGATATCCCATTTCATTAGATTGAGTTGTTTTCTTATAATTGGGGAGTTTTTTTTTCATTTTCTTTTTACAAAGTGAGAGAGGAAAGCCAGTCTCGTCTCTTACCATAAATCTCTTGTTCGTCAATTGGCTCCTCCAGTAAGTCGTCATCTTCCGAGTCCGACGAGAGAAAGTCAGCGGGATTCGGGACGGCAGCAAATATGCCAGAGTTGTGATCTCCTGGTTTGAGAGTGGAGCGATTCCTAGTGGGGAGATCTGCCACGTTCAGGATCGTGGGGTTGGAATTCTGTATCTCCGCCATGATATGAGAGGGTTAATAGGAGGGGCAAAAGCTTAGGAAGATTTTCGATAAAGGTGCTTATCGCGTCTCTCTCACGTGCCTGTCGGTAGATCCTCGGTCCATTTCCTATTTGGGTAAAGACTCTGTTACGGTTGACTAGTAAGATTTCTGGTACTCGACATGCCGGATTTTGGAAAATATCTTTTTAAACATTGTTTCTGGGATTTTGGGGAGAAAAAAAGATTTTGACAACCCCATTAAAAATAATCGAAAGTTTCCTTCACGGAGCAATTACAAGCTTATATGGAATTTCTATCTGAGTTGATGTGGGCTGGTATGGGTAATTTCTGGGTAAATCCAGTATTTTATTAGTGTTTTCGGAGACCCAGCCCCTCGGGATGTTTAATATCTTTAATCATCATTTTGAATGGATTATTATATCATATCTTTAATCAACTCAGGGGATGAGTTTAACAAGAAAAAGAGCCTTGCCAGACTGCCGGATCACCGTTCATAGGCTTGGCTGGTGGGAACCAGAGAAGTGGGATCGACCAAAAAAAAAAAAAAAAAAAAGAGAGAGAGAGAGAGAGAGAGATAAAGGCATTGTTTAAGACGAGTTGTCCATTTCTCTTGGAATAAGCTGTTATCAAGAGGGGAATTGACTTCATGGACTGCCCTGGACCTCTCTGCACAGGTACCTGAACTCCACTTTAGGAACCTATCTTGTAACCATGGCGGTTCCAGCTTGCCTATGTGTAGTGTACTTCCAGAACCCTAACTAAGGGGGGTCCACTTCTTAGTTTGGGATTTTTTGGCCCCTTTAGCGCCCTGGGGGATCAAAACTACGCACACTCAAAACAACTTGGTATGTGACCGTACTAGTTCTCTTTCTCTCTCTCTCTTTCTCTCTCTCAAACTATATCAGAGAGGGGAAAAGATGATAAAACACGACGGTTTCAGCTTGAGAAGAAGTGGACAAGGAAGAGAGGAAACACATACATACATTCGTACTTGTTGTACCTCGGAACTTAACCGTGAAGAATTGAAAAGGGGAATGGTATTTTTCTTTTCTCCTGCATGGTATTGTATTTTTAAATTGTTCCGGTGAAGCCTTAAGAAAATGTGATCCATGGTATACTCCCACCTCTCCCGTATGGCGAAATCTCAATGGATTGAATGCTAATGTGGAGACATGTACACTGTTCCGTGGTTTTTCCGAGGTTTTTCTTTATCCTCTTTTCTTTTTCCTTGTGTGCTTTTGTCGTGGGTTTTCATTGTTCCTCGAAGCACAACATTTGAACGTATGTACTAGGCAGGCTGTAGTGCTGTTTACGCAGATACATTACGGATACATGATCGTACGCTTACTACCTAGGCACTCCGTAGTAGGTATAAGTTTTCCGAATGTCCAAGTTTCAAGCTTCCGAGGTTATATATACAAAGGTCAAGCGATATTGAACTATTCAAGACTCGAAGACTGGACTTGGCGTTGATCATAGTACTCATATTGTGTATTCATGTATATTCCAAGGCTGGATTTAACCGTAAAGGTTAGTCATCAATACCGTTACCGCCTACATACGCAGTAATTTTCCAGGAGGCAAGAATCCGGATCGTCCGCCTCCACCCACCGAATCCACTACGCGGGCGCTATTGGATGTTCATCACCACCTTGGCACCCCTCTCAGCTTTCCTCTCCGCCCTTTTCCAATCTGTTCTCCCCCTCCCTTCAAATGCGCCCCTGATGTCTCCACCTTGATGCTTCATGATGCTTTGAGCGTGTCTGCTGTAAGCTTGAACTTTCCCCTGGGCCTCGGTTCTGCATGATGCGATCGCATATCTCGCCGTCTAACCTGAACAATTGCTTCAAGCATTCGCATCCCTGTGCCGATTGAACGATTTTTTTGGAGACCTTTGCGACACCTTCGGCTCCTAACGAGCACCCCAATTTTACTCGGGGGGAAAATCTTCCTGGTTGTGTGGAAGCTGTCGCAAGTCTTTGAAGTTGTGCGTTGATCGACGTGCCGGCGCAACAACGTTGCGCTATACCCTACCAATCGCGTCGCCTAATACCACCCTTGAACCTGTACTGGACTCAACTACAAGACACGGTCATCTTCCAGAGAGCCCGTTCTGTTGTGTAATCCGCTTTTCTCTCTCTCTCTCTCTCTCTCTCTCTCTCTCTCTCTCTCTCTTTCTCTAACTTTCGAATCCCGCGGCCGGTCCTGGCGGATAATCCTACCACATCCCATTTCCCCTCTGAAATCACTGGGAAATAATCTCCAAAAAGGCAACAAGTGGAGAAATAAAGAGAGGGTGAAAAGGAAAGAGGTTTTTTGTTTTAAAGAAAAAGAACAAAAAAAAAAGATTTATTCGAAATGCAGGGCTACTCATTTGCACCTCCGACGGGGCCTCCCCGAGAGGGCCAGAAAAGTATATTCTTCCCGAATCCCGGCATACCAAAAAAAAAGGCCAATATTGAATAGATGTTGATCTGGTCCTGATATAGATTACGTGTTTGTTGATGAGCATAATCGTCACAAGAGGTTAAAAGGTAAAGCGTATCATTCGTCTTGTGAGCCTGTTTTCGAGTTAACCTGAAGCAGTAATGCGAGCGTGCAATGGCTGCCGAAAAAGAAAGATCAAATGTGATGCTGCAACAACAAATACCTGGCCATGTTCGGCATGCACTAGATTGAAATTGATCTGTGTTCCTCCGACAATCGGACAGGAAGGGGAATTTGGCCCAGAGGGCCACGACATGGATCCCACCGAGACGGGGAGTAGCTCTGGTCAAGAGGCTTCTCACCATTCATTCTCGGTATCTCCAGGCTACAGAGATGGCAATCAAGCCTCCCTCGGGGGGCTGCCTAATTATGATGGGATGGGTATATACTCCCAGTTCGTTCCTCCTGGTCAATCTGGAATGTACAACGACATGCGATCATCTCCCATGGTTATACCACCTCAAAGCTATCAACAGGCTTCAATATACCCGGGGACCCAGCCATCGTCCATCGGGACGACAGATCGGGCAGTTTTCGTAGATACTGAGTCATCCACAGCGGAGAACCTCAGTGAGGTTTTAGGTGAACTGAAAATTGACGAGTCGGGCATCGGTATGAAGTCGCTTTTTTAAAGATTCAATCACTTGAAAACGCTAATATTGTTAAGCCCCTTATATCCGAAGACAACGAACGGATCGCATTGAGCCTGATGCACCTGTTCAAGATGACACGGAAGAAAGGTTACCGCCGCTTAGCACAGGTGCAGGTGCCACAATTCGAATTCCTCCAGAGCTCATGCCTACAGATGAGGATGTGATGGACTATTTCAAAATTTACTTTGATGAGATTCACCCTTATGTGCCTGTCATACCAAGGGCCCATTTCTACTATCAATGGCAAAATGATCGGCGCTCTATCTCTCCCCTTCTCCTTGAAGCCCTGTTTGCCTGTGCTGGACGATTATCAGAGGAGCCTGCGGAGGGTGCACAGTGGCTTGCGCTAGCAAACAGTGAGTTTGTCGGAGAACTTACATAGAATCATAACTCTTTTTGCTGACTACGCCCCCCTCGCAGGACATGAATCGAGTTTCATGGATGTTCCACGTGTCAGCACAATCCAGGCCATGCTTCTCCTCCTGAAAGCCCGGGAGTCGTTACCTAAGAAAGGATATTATTACCGGTCTTGGCAGACTGTCAAAACAATAGTCTCAATGGCTAAAGATTTGGATATCCACGAACATTATAGTAATCACGCGGAAGGACGACCTTGTGACCTGAGCCCAATCGAATGTTTAATTCAAACTCGTATATGGCAGGCTCTTCTGGTGGTAGAGGTGATGATTGGAGCACCTCAGGGTAAGTATCAGTCAGCCAATTGTTCTTTACCTTGTTTCTAACGTGATATGCTCAGGTCGTTCGGATTATGGTGTAGACCCCTTGACCGTGGACATGCGTCCGTCTTTAGACATCAGGGGCCTGGATGCCTATGAGACTGATCGCTCACGACAATATGCCTACTTTGTTCGCAACGCACACCATATTCGCATCATCACAGATATTTATCACAAGGTCAAAAAGCAAAAAGATTGGGGTGCCGATCCTCGGTTCGTGCAGAAGAACCCCCTTTTCGCCGATTGGCTTGGCAATCTGCCACCCGATTTACAGGTCAATTATCCGCCTGATGGCTCTCCTCCGTGGCTCCCCTCTCATTTTGTGGGCAATATGCATTCTCATTGTCATCTGGCGATCATTCTGCTCCACCGACCACAGCTTCAGGCGTCTCAATCTTTTGCCGCGGGGGGCGAGTGGAAAATACACTTCTCCTTGTGCTATTCATCGGCTAAGAGCCTTTGTCGCTTACAAGAGGCCATTTTGGACCGATTTGGACTATCTGGTTTGTTGTATATGCAGCGGGGGATCAACTTCGCCATTTATTGTATTCTCACATGTACCATGCTTCACCTGGTAAGTCTTTTATACAGCAATCTGACCGAAGCTATTTCTGATATCTTTAGGTCGCAATCACCTCTCCCGATCCCGAATTCAACTCAGATGCTCGGGAATTCTTCACCCGCCACATGCGTATTCTTGAGCGATGCTCTACTGCCTGGCCTATGCCGGAAATTCAAGCACAGATTGATTCTTTAAGGCTGGCCTTCTCCGCTGATACCAATCGGTCCTTTGAGCTTAAGCCAAGCTTCCCATATGGCAGTCCCTCGGAAGGCTATCAACCTAGCCCGCCAATGGATGCGCATTATCACCCGCACCTTGGCCAAGTGTCAAGTCATGTCCAATCCAGAGTGGGTTTTAACACACATCCCATTACTCCTCCGATTTCCGCTGGTGCTGAAGACTCCAAGTCCGACACATCCTCCCAGTTGCAATCCCTTGGCATGGTTCCCCATCAACCACCGACCACCCACCCCCTCGACCAGCCTTTAGTTGACGAAAACACCTGGGACCCGACCCGAATCATCAAGTAAGTGACCAAAGTCTTCCTGCAACTTAAAAGTATGCCTTCCCTAACCTAGTGAACCTATCAGTCAATGGGATATGGCCTTCTCCGTAAATCCCTCTACCGTCAGCGCCAACTCTCCCCCGATGCAGATGAGTAACCCAGCTCAACCTATGTCAAACATGGTAAATCACCAGTACCCAATCCAGTACGACTCGCCGTCCAAGGTGACCCTCCCCCCGACACAGTCAGTCTCTCCGCCTCAATTCCAAGCACCCCCGATCGTGTTCAGCGCTCGTGATTGGCAACAGAGTGTGGCAAGCGTATATGATCCCCAAGGCCTAAAGCGACGATGGAATTATTCAGTTGACATGGATGCCGACAACATGGTCAAACGTCAACGTGGGTAGTCCCACTTCTCTCTTCCACGTTTCATAACCATTGCCCATCATTGACCGAAGCATTACTGTGTTGAACGAATATCTCCTTTCCTCTTCTTGATTCCCCCTCCAGTCTTTCGCGCATTCAGAGTCTTCCTTTTCTTCTTTTTTCTTCTTCGTCTTTTACCACCTCTCCTTCTACACACGGGACAAGTACTGGCACTGGACTATGGCTCTGGGATTCGGAATGAACTATCGGTAAAGATGACCTCGGCGAAGACATTGTGGATTGAAATGACGATTGAATACACAAAAATTCTTTGTACATCATAACAAGCTATGGCTTCAAAAGCCTTGTTGAATGGGTTATGTCTGAATACCAACCAATTTTGGAATTGTGGCTCCGATGACATGTCCAACAAGTTCTCTCAAAGCCCCACACGTAGAAATCCCCTTCCTTCCTTCCATCCTCACTTTGACGATCAAGTGGTTTCATATTTTGAATGGGAGCTTGTCGTTAGAAAGAGGGAAGGGAATCTGATAAGTATGTTGAAGTCTGGGCTCCTTGTCGGCTCTGATTCCGTGCAGTGGACAGGGTCAAGAATAAGAGCAAGGTGCCCATCAGGGTATGTCTCGCGAGGCGTTATTGTTGTTGTTGGTGGTGGTGTTGTAGTTATTGTTGTTAGAGGTTCTTAAAGCGATGGGGTTCAGAATGCGAGGATCGCAAGGGGGTTAAGACCAGCAGTTGTGAATGTAGGATGTAGCTGATTCACGTAGGCTGTCTTGTCAACCTTGTCGGCCAATGCCAATTCTTTCTTCACGGGATCGAACAATTCGGGCCTTATCACCTGGAAGAGGCTTCAACTCATCATTCGGATCATATTTGTTGGAGTTGGAGTTGTTTCCTTTCCCTTGCTCGGGGTGTTTATTCTCCTCTAATTGGCGAAGCCTCGCCTCTTCAAAAGCGGCGATGTCCTCCGATGTGACTGTGATCGCAGTAGGCTTTCGGCGCAACATTTTTGACTTCAATAACGTTTAAATTTTTGGCACTGAGACAAGCTGCGTGAGAGTGTCATAGAAGAGGAAGAGAGGGGGGAGGGGAGAGAGAGAAAGATAGCGCGCGTAGACTACCACCCACGTGACCCTGGAAAGGTCTCAAGTTCCCGAACCTTTTCCCCGTCGGTTTTGGCTTTTTCCCACCACAGCGTCCAAGCCATTGCACCATGATTCCACTTAGGCAATTCACTCGCCAATGCAATAGAGTGCGTCTGGGGTGGAATACCCCCATTCGCCACTTCTCTGTTTCTCGTACTGTCGCCGTGGATGGCGACAGTCAACCACCGCGTATGTTCTTCGGCAACCTTTGAAATTTGCGATTGCATAGATATACAGAAATTGTTCTTGGGGAGTTTCGGTACACTTGGAACTAACTTTGATTTTGAAGAGACAGCCAAACCTGCGTCGAAGCCAAAGCTCCCCACGACTCCTCCGAACAAGCCTCGCCCTTCGAACAAGCCTCCAGGATCCGGGCCGCAGAACAAACCTCGCCCTTCGAACAAGCCTCCAGGATCCGGACCGCAGAACAGACCTCGCCCCGCCAGAGCTCTAGATGCGAGAGCATTCGCTGCGCCAAAAGCTGGTGGTGAGCAATCCAAGATCATTCGTAACCCCCGGCTTCGCACTGCTCGAGGTGGAAATCAACCCCAGGGCAAATTCAAGCCTGCGCCTAAGAAAGGTCTACGGAAAACGCGAACTAGAACCTCAAGGAAGGCGGAAGCAGATGATGGCGAGGATGTGAATGCTGCTGGTATCGAAAAGATCGAACAAGAGCAAGTGATTAAGGCTCGGCCGACGCCGGTTCGCTACGAGCCTCGGGAGATCGATTTCTCTACGCTCCAACAGACATGGCCTTCTCTTCCAACCGATATCAACGCTCAATCGGCTGCAGTTCTAGAAAAAATCACCAGTCTGAGTGGCCGCTTCCCGAATGGTTATGTCCCTCCCTACGAACTAGGTCGACGAATTTGGAAGGGCCAAAATGTCTTGTTTCATAGCGAGGCAGAAAAGATGGAGGCCTTGGAGGAGGTCAAGCGACTGGCCCAGGCTCGCGCAGATAAAATCTCCCAGCAAAAGGGAGATCTTGTGGAGCCTCGTAATATCGAGTTCAGTGCCATTAACACACAAGACTCCAAGATCTTACTGGAAACATATGCCCTTGGGAAGTACCCCGGCGTGGAGATTGCTCAGGGCCAACCTGCTGTTCTCGGCGAGGTAGCAAAGAATCTCCGCAACAATGGAACATACCAGACTGCGGGCAAGAGGCCACAGTTCTTGGCCAAAGTCGAATCCTTACTGGCCTCCAGTCGGGTCAAGCGTTGAGAAATTGCAAGTTGAGAAATGCAAGTGGTCTGTACTATATTGGCTGAATTATCTTGGCGCTTTTTGTTCCTTTTCTGCTTTCCCATCTCCTCATGGAGGTTTTGTGGCACTTTTTGCCACGCTCCTGTATCTAGAATTACAAATATGACTATATTACAAATGCAGCAGCATTCTTATATTTGCTCCAATGTCTTTCTAGCCGCGTCAAATAGATCCTTGACTTCCTTCTGGCCTTTGTCGGTCGTCTTTTCCATCTGGTCATGAGCCTTACGAACATCGTCCGGTCGAGCCAATTTCTTCTTCTGCAAATCTTGCAAACGCTTGTGCATAGCCCCTCTGGAGTCCCGGACCATGCTTGCGGCTTTCTCAAAGGCCTGCTTGGCCGCTTGGACACTTTGGTCCCGAGTTTCCTTGGTCGGTGGTGGGATCGGAAGGTTGAGTTGAAGAGCGTTATGGGGGTCTGGTTGCGGAGTCAAGGACATATTCGAAGAAACAATCGCTGATGTGACCGGTTTGATATGCTGTATAAGCAAGACGGGAATTTTAGCGAAACTCAGTGACGTTAACCCTCAAGGAAATCCCAACTCACCTCTTCTTCAGCTATCAATATCGTCACCATGCGTCCTCCTTTGGGAACAACTTGAGCCAAATCACGTAATTTGACAAATTCATGACTGTCTTTGCTCAATTGGACTTTCAACCCTTCGAGCGATGCAGTGTTGAATCGCCCACCGGCGCGAAGCTTCGACAGGTCATCTTTCAGGCGAGCAACAGCTGTTGAGATGCCAACCTGAAGTTGGGATAGATCGGAAGGATCCTCCAAAGCCACGGGATTGGCTTCTGTGTCTACCGGGGCTTTCTTTGCCTTGTCTTTTTTTTTATACAAGGTAGGTGAACACGCAAAGTTCCGGCACGGGGGGAAAGGGAAGAGCGTAACGGCTGGGGACTTGAAACTCGAGGATTTCTAATCATCTGTTGCCGGGAAAAGGCGAAAGATAAACGGAGGGTACGATACATTGTGGAGGTGGAAGAAGTGTGAAGGAGAAGAAAAGTTTGGCTGGTCAGAATACCCGCAACTACCTAGTAACTACTACTACTGCGTACTGTGAATAACTCCAAGAACAATGAATACACTCTCAATCACAATGTAATTCCAGAACACAGATTCGTCACACATTAAATTTGCAACGTCGATCTTCGTCTACATAAAAAGCATACTTTTTCAAAGTGAAAAAAAAAAGACAAATAATAAAAGAAAAAATCACTGCGCCCAAAGTCTGCCCGGCTTTAAACACCAAAACATGGGCCAACATGAATGTCCCACCGCCTATGATCTATACGGCGCAGATTCTCCTCCAGACGCTATCCGGAGACATGGAGGAATAGACAAGTGTTGACCATCCGATGTTCATCGATTAAATTTAGCGGGTGGCCATGGCCTTGGTGATCAGGCGCTTGAGGGCCAGCTCCTTCTTCTTGAGGTCCTCGGGGGTGGAGTCCTCAATCTCCAACTGGGCCATAGCGTCACTGAGAGCAGACTCGATCTTCTCCTTGTTGCCACGCTTGAGCTTCATGGACATACCAGGGTCGGAGACAATCTCCTCAACGCGGGAGATGTAAGACTCAAGCTGCTGGCGGGACTCGAACTTCTTGGTGAAAGCCTCGTCGCTGGACTTGAACTTGGCAGCATCCTCAACCATCTGGTCGATCTCGTAGCTGGAGAGCTTGCCGACAGCGTTGGAGATGGTGATGTTGGCGGAACGGCCAGAGGTCTTCTCAGTGGCGGTGACCTTCAAGATACCGTTGACGTCGACCTCGAAGACACACTCCAAAGCAGCCTCACCGGCACGCATAGGAGGGAGAGGAGCAAGGGTGAACTCGCCCAGGGAGGTGTTGTCGGCACAGTTGGTACGCTCACCCTGGTAGACGGGGAACTGAACAGTGCTCTGGTTGTCAACAACAGTGGTGAAGGTACGCTTCTTGATGGTGGGGACAGTCTGGCCACGGTTGACGACAGGGGCGAAGATGTTACCCTCCATGGCAACACCGAGGGAAAGGGGGACAACGTCGAGGAGGAGAAGGTCCTGGGTCTCAGCGGAGGTGGCCTTTCCGGAGAGGATACCGGCCTGGACGGCGGCACCGTAGGCAACGGCCTCATCAGGGTTGATGCTCTGTAAAATAATAAATTAGCGACTGAGAAAACTTTCAAGATAAAGAGACGGGGGAGTAGGTTACCTTCTCGAGCTGCTTGCCGTCGAAGAAGTCGCTCAGGAGCTTCTGGATACGGGGAATACGGGTAGAACCACCAACAAGGACGATCTCGTCAACCTTCTTCTTCTCCATACCAGAGTCCTTGAGGACCTGCTGAACGGGGTCAAGGGTGCCAGAGAAGGCCTTGGCGTTAAGGTCCTCGAAACGGGCACGGGTGATGGAAGTGTTGAAGTCCTCGCCATCGAAGAGAGAGTCGATCTCAACGGTAGTCTGGGTGGCGTTGGACAGGGTACGCTTAGCACGCTCGCAAGCAGTACGCAGGCGACGAAGGGCACGGGCGTCACCGGAGAGGTCCTTGCCGGTCTTGCGCTGGAACTCCTTCTTGAAGAAGTCAAGCAGGTTGGTGTCGAAGTCCTGACCACCAAGGTGAGTGTCACCAGCAGTAGCCTTGACGGTGAAAACACCACCCTGGATGTTCAGAAGGGAGACATCGAAAGTACCACCACCCAGATCGTAGATCAGGACGTTGCGCTCCTTGTCGGACTTTCCGGAACCCAGACCGTAGGCGATAGCAGCAGCGGTGGGCTCGTTGATGATACGGAGAACGTTCAGGCCGGCAATGGCACCGGCATCCTTGGTAGCCTGACGCTGGTTGTCGTTGAAGTAAGCGGGCACAGTGATGACGGCCTTCTCAACCTTCTTGCCGAGCTTGGTCTCGGCAACTTCCTTCATCTATTCTCAATTGTGAGCAAAATGACCGTAAATATTCTAGATGATAATCATTTCTTACCTTCATGAGGACCATGGAGGAGATCTCCTGGGGGGTGAAGGTCTTGCTCTCACCGAGGTACTGAACCTCGACGGCAGGCTGGCTGGCACCCTGCTCGACAACCTTGAAGGGCCAGGACTCAACATCCTTCTTGACAATGGGGTCATCGAAACGACGACCAATCAGACGCCTTTCCAATTTCAGTCAGATCAAATTATACTAAAGAAGAAAGTGGGAGGGATTCTGATAAACAGTCAAGACTCACTTGATGTCGAAGATGGTGTTGGTAGGGTTCATAGCAGCCTGGTTCTTGGCGGCCTCACCAATCAAACGCTCCTTCTCAGTGAAGGAAACGAAAGACGGGGTGGTGTAGCTACCCTGGTCGTTGGCGACTGAATTATCCTCAGTCAGTATGCACAGTTATCTCAGGGATTTCGGAAGGAGGGACGCACTGATCTCGACATTGGTGCCCTCGTAGTTGGCAACGCAAGAGTAGGTGGTGCCTATACATATTTCGTTAGAGGGGAAATTGAGATTTGTGGGATTTTTGCATGAGCCATACCAAGATCGATACCGATCGCTCCATCGTACACCGGAAGGTCCGCCATTGTGATTTTTGGGTGGTAGATTTGGAGGAATGGAAAAAGGTGGGAAAGAGGGGTTTGGACGGGTCGAAATTTTTTTTTATAAAAGCAAATTGCCCACATATGGGTAGGGCAGAAAACTTTGCGGTGGCGGTGTATCACGTGGTGTGGGAAGAGCCGAAGATGACTGATCACTGATCACCTGAACTTTTTACCCGTTCACATATGCCCCAAGCAAGTAAACGGGCACTGGGGCATATAAAATCCAGGGTATAAGAGATTACAAAACATAAATGTAAAAAAAAAAAAAAGATTTAGAAAAACAAAGAAAATCGCAAATAGAAAATAGAAAATAGAAAATAGAAGTAAAAAAATAAAGATGCGTATGAAGATGAAGATCAAAATGACCAATGGTTCTAATATATGGACAAGCAGATCCTATACCCATCGTGATATTGGCCTATAAATCCGCTAATTATCGTAATAAATTAAAGAAGATGGTGACCCGTTCATAATCCACCTCAGAGCCAGGAGGGCCAGATTTAGCAGCTCCCCTGGCTGGTCCCGCAATGGCTTCCAATTCGACCTTAGTGGTGCCTGGATGTAACTGAATATCATACGCCAGCGCAGATTCATCTCCAGTCGAATGAAGGCGTTGCATGCCCATTAGGGCAACAATCTTTACCTGCCGTTGCACTGTGCCAGTCGTTAATGTGGGTTTGACTGTCAACAAATGATGGGAGGGTGGTAGAGGAATAGTGATAGTTTGTTGTGACACTTTGGGTGATGGAGGGATGTCCAAGCAAAAGTCATCGTTTAAAGATAACGAGGGATGCGTGAGGATTTGAACGTTCCGAATAAGTGCTGAATTAACATCTGGGTTCTTGGTCAGCGAGTTGTAATCACAAAAGAAAGCAATTCAGGGGGAAGGCAGGGAAATTAGACTCTACCTTGACCTGGTCGTCTCCAAAGCGAGTCCATAGGTGATATCTCGGGAGGTGGATGTATCATGGCTGGTAATATGTCAGCATCTAAACCTTTGCTTTTAATCCAAATTTCAATTATTGACCAGCCATGTCATACCATCTTGGAAGGGCACTCCACCTGTGGAGTCTAAGGAACTGCCATGTGGACCGGCGGAAGAACGTATCTCTGTTCGTTGAAATGATGTCAAGGGTGTTTCATCTTTGATGGCACCACTTGTGTCCCTGTCTCGGCCATTCGACAGACTCTGTGGTAGCTCAGATGCCGATGGGGTGGTAGCCGCACTGGATTTGGGGCTTCCAAAATTTCTGCGAAGAGATCTCGTCCGAGGTGACATGTGTGCGTCAATTTCTTGGCTTGTGGACCCAGTGCGAACTAGCTCTTGTTGTCTTTTTAGAGAATCGCTATCGACGGTGACCCCAGACAACGCTTTATCGTCTCTTGGTGTTTCGAAGACCTGTCCAGCCATCTTCAAGGTTAACCTCTGCGGCCCCAGCTCCGGAATTTTTGAGGCTATTTTCAGCTTGATGCGAGATAAATCGGGGTGGCCATCTACCTGAATGGGATCCGGAACAAGCTTCTTGGCCTCTGCCACGCGCTGTTGAAAATAATCCTGGTCGGTTGTCAGTCTCGTTAAACCTTCCTTAAATAGCAGAAGGGAAAGGTTCTAAGTTCTGGGGAGACACTTACTTCCAGCACACCCGCAAGAAGGGAAATCTCGCTACCATCCTCGTTGTACTCTCGCGCATTTCGCCAAAGGTAGCTGACCTCCTCTTCAAAAGAGAGCCACGAAGGAAAGGCAGTCATTTTGGTGCCCTTCTTTCTTCCGTCGGTGCCGCGCACTTTTTTTTGGATGCTTCGCAATGAGACCGGGTGGTGAATGACTTCATAATAATCCCGATACTTGTTGCGGTCTGGTTTGCCGACAAACGGATAAGCTACCTCTTCGCCACTACAGAGTGCTTGGTAAGTCTTGAGTCAATTTAATAGCCTCGGCCATGCAGGGTCTTACTCGGAATCCTTGAGTCTGAATAGTTCCAACAGGATCTTATCTTGGGCTGTTTGAAGGCTATCACCCTCAAAATCCACCTCGGGTTCATCCTCGTCATTCTGCGATATGGAGCTAGCGTCTGCTTCGGCCTCGTCTACTGGCTCAGAGGATTCACGGTTCGATTCTTCGGGATCCACGACATCATCATCCTGGCAGAGAATATAGTTAGTCACCCATCGCGATAAGAAGCGCAGCTAGTCGCGACTTGAGTCAGGCCACCAGCATAGATGAAAGAAAGAGCATTCCATGTGGCAAGGACACAGTGCTTATCACGAGTATCATGTCGCGAATGCATCCTCTTTAAGACAGTAGATAACAGCAGTCGGGAATTGTTGACATCAAGGTGACTTACGGATAATTTGCGACGCTTCTGACTGCGCAACTTCAGTTCGGGGGAAGCTATTGTGGTCGCCACGCGCCGTTTGGTACTCATCTCAGAGGTGGGGTAGATTGTTAGAATGAGACTCTCGTGAGGAATATAACGCAACTCGAAAAGCAAATCGAAAAATAAATCGAAAAATAAATCGAAAAATAAGAGAACTAAAGGATGCCCCAGATATTCATACCTCGACGTGTGCAGACGCGCTGCGATCGTCCGAAGGGACCCGCCGTCTTAGGTAAGTGGTATTTGGCGCGTCAGCGTATTGACTGTGAATAAAAAAATAAATACAGCGATGATGATGGTCACTAATGATTCTCTCCTCCCGCCCTTATGTCTCTTTTGTGGTTCTTTGCAAGTCAATTGTGAATCAATAGATGAATGTCTCAAAACCGTTTCAGCATAATTAAAGAAGTCCAGGTTTTCAGATATTCTACGTTATTATCCACCTACCCAACCGGGCAAAAATAGCAAAGAAGCAAAATAACGGGGATCAAATACAGAGAGTATGAGCTAGACCTAATCTGGGAATATGCTGCCTGGGGAACAATCGGAGTTTGACGCCTCAGGCCACAACGCTTCCCCTCCATCTCCGTCTGCTCTTGCACTTCCGCAATCCCGCAAAACAAACTGGTTCGTGTCTCCAAAATATTCACTTCACGAACCTCCAATCTTCAGTTTGTCTTCTAGGTACTGAATTATCTCGGTGAGTTCATATCCCAACAATCTAGGAAATCTTCCCAAGCACCCCAGAGAGAAACAGATAACCCTATCCTCAACATATCGCCCCCCCCCCCCAAAAAAACTCAGGAATACCTTGCGCCGGAGAACTTGACATTGACTTACTCACCTACAAGCCATAGACACAGCAGATAATCCATATCCTCAACTCACGCTTCATTTCATAATATCCTCCGTTCCCAATGGATATCGATCCGGTCAGAAGAAATAAGAAACCACGGCTCTTGCTGGAGTCGGAGCGCGATCGCCTAGATGAATTTATCGACTCTATTCATTATTCGGCAAGGCATGAATCTTCGCCCTTTATCACCAATATTTGGCTGGTGCACTAACTTATAAGTAGATATTCGGATGACAAGTTCGAATACCGCCATGTGCAACTTCCGAAGAACATGCTTAAAAAGATCCCCGCAGACTACTTTGACAGCTCGAAAGGGACTCTGAAACTGCTGTGGGAGGAGGAATGGCGGGCATTGGGTATAACGCAGGTACGGTGATTGAAAAATTTCGGTCTGTTGACCATGTTGCTAATATAAGAGTTGCCAGAGTTTGGGATGGGAACACTATGAGGTGCATGAACCAGAGCCTCACATTCTCTTATTCAAGTCGGTTGTCCACACAATCCCTTTCCCCTTGACCTTTTAACTAACTCTTTTCAGGCGGCCTCTGAATTACCAACCCCCAATGGCACAATAGACTTATGATGAATTCGGTTGCGCAGCGAGCGGATGTTTCCTCCCCGTCTTCCCTTTCTGGGGGGACTTCACAAATGCGATGAATCTCTTTTCTTTTCTTTTTTTTTTGTTTTATTACATGGACATGCATCCGACCAGTATGTTCACTAGGGTCCACAACATCTTCTTAATGGAAGTTCTGGAATGAGATATGATTCAAAAATTTCCCAGTGCCTATGGGCTCGGTAAGGGTGCTTCATCTAAGCGCAAAGGTGAACCCACCCAACCTGTCTTAGATAGGCCACTTTTGATTGGTCAAACCACGTTCTGGGCCAGCCATTCCCCCCATTGAGCCTCCGTGAAGCTGCTGCTGATTCCTCGCTCTTCTACTCCCTGGGCTGGATGTCAATATTTCATGCAATTCTGCAAATCGCTTGGGTTGGGTTTTCTTACGTTAAAGAAGACAGTGGGGGAAACATGAACTCCAATCACTCGATCCGTCTGGCTAGTATTAGACGATTTTTCGAGAGAAAGAGGAAGAGGAAGGGGGTCTGTCGCTCACTTTGATGATCCACTTAAGATCGTTGGTGATCTGGTTTCCCACGTTCAGGTGTCCATCTTTGCTGGGGGCTTCTGGAATCCTCAACAGATCCAGGAATTTCCCCTCATCCACACCGACAGAACTGGCAATTTTGGCCAACCGGCCGTATGTGGCATTACGGGTTTCATTTACCACGCTCATATCAAAGAATTCCGTCTGGTGCCGAAACAAGGCGGCACTGAAATCCCAGAACCTCTCAGGGGCGAGGCGAAGGACCGCTGCTCCAGCTTCGTGGGTGAGCGTGGACGAGGGGTGCCATGGTTGGATATGTTGTCGAAGAATTACCTGGAGCCGATTCCCATATTGCTGAGCAATCTGAGGCCTCAGCGCATAGATGGTATTGAACATCTTAGCAGAGAACTGAAAGGGAAAAAATTTAGTCAAAAATGAATGCACATGTGCTTCCCTTGTTTCGAGAAGTCAACTTACCGGGCAAACATAGTCAAGATCTAAACATTGAAGTTGGTAAGCTTCTCAATTTGGTTCGTTAATAGGGGGTACCGATTGAGACATACACAATTCCAACGTATGCTGGCTCTCCTGGGGTGTTCCAGCAGAGAGTTTGAGCCCTGAAAATTTAGGGGGAACAGACATGGTTTGCTAGGTGAAATTTGAATATTTGTCAACTGGTATTAAGGTGGGCTGTGACCTCGGGATGGAAGAGATCCGGAACGCGGACTTTATTCGGTCTATATATAAGTACAGCGTGCGGCGTCATATTACCCCGCTTCGGCGTCAATGACGAGATCTAGATCTTTCCTTCTTCTTCCCCCTGGGTAACATACATAGTAGTATACTATAGTAGTATACTATACTAGTATGCATTTAACAGGACGCCATGCCAAGGCTTCAAAGATCGATCTTATCAATCTGCTTCCGAAGAGCATAAAACGGCCGATATCGAGTTTTGCCTCATTTAAATTGACGATGGCATCTTTCTTTCTTTTCTTTTCTTTTCTTTTTTTTTTTTTCCATTTGAAAACGGAAGAGATGGTAGGTGGATGGGGTCTTTTTCTTTCTCTAAATCGCTTGACCTGAACAAGAAGCAGAAAAACAAAAACGAATGGGTATTTATTCAATCAAAAATCAGCGCCCCCCTAGCGGCCTCTGCTTCCTGAGGTTTACATCTCGCAGTTCCATCTCAATTGTGCGCCATCCAGGCTTGGCAGGGTCATATTCACCACGTACCTCAAAGCGGCAGAACCCATTGGGCCCTTTCAGACCAACAGGGCCCGAGATGAAGAAAGTTCCCCTAAGAGGTGTTCGTGGGGCCATGGCCTGATATTGGTTTAATCGTAACCGAAAGGCAAGGGATGCCAGGTGTAATCCTGAGCCGGGGCTTAGATCAGGTAAAGGAAGTCGTTGTAATGACGATATGATTGAAGAGGGATGGAGCTGAGTGTCCCCATCTGAGGCGATATTACCCGACGGCTCTTCAGACACAGCAGGCTGTAGGCTGGGCTGTTCATGAAGGTTGGTGGCATTGAGATTCTCGTTATTTGATAGAATGCGTTGTCCGCTCAAAATCTCCAGAGAAAGAGGGTCATGGTTTCCAAAGCGAGCCAGCTGCCTCTTTAAGAGCACTAGATAGGCATCCTTGATAGCAAGTGCCACATGAATAGGTTTCATATAAGTCTGTACCTGATCGCCCACTTCAGAATCGACAGGCCTGGTAACCCAAGCCACACCATGATCTGAAATCTCGATACTAATTCAAACAAATCAGTAAACCCCAAGATAAGAAGTGTTTAAAAGTACATACCCAGACCGTAGATATTCTGGAGGAGCACGGTGAGGAAATTGATGTACAAGCCAAAACCCAGTCAAGGACAGGGGACTGCCGAGTATCTGGGACAACTGGCTCGATGCATTGTCCCGAACGATGGCGGCAAGTTCATCTGAGATGATCAGTAAATTATACAAACCCTCCGCACCCCGCAGATAATCACATACTTCTTAATTTCTTGAGTTTCCCTTGATCCTTGGATATTTGCACAAACTCTTGCCATTCTGGATCTGAAGCAGTATAGAGCTCCCCTTCCTCCAACCAAGACCAAGTCAATGGAATGAAAAAGGGTGTACCGGTTTCTTCCTCATCTTCCATTAGATCCTCTCCGCCATACTGACTGCGGCGCAAATTGGTGATTTCTGCTGTTGGCTTGGGTGGCGCATCGGTATCGTGAGTATCACCGTATAAGCGGACTAGAACAAAGGAGTGCCATAATTCATAGGCAGCATAGTAGCAGAAACACTTAGTGACGAAAGACCTAGGAGGACAAAATTCTATAAGCAAGGTGTCCACGTCAATGTAGATGAGGGTCAATGTAACTCACCTCAGCCACGGTCGTCTGAATCTCACATGCCGGACGGTCGGGGTCGTATGGATGCGTTCACGAGGGCCAGAGTGGAAGCGAAGATAGCGTGCTTGGCTTCGAAATAGGTGCCTGAACTGGAGCATTGGATATATATTGAGATAATCAAAATATATGTACTATCCTGGAACATATGATGATGGAGATAATTTGAGGCGTGGCTCATGTGGCGGGCAGCCACGTGATCTCTTATCGGGAGACCTCCACGTATTCGGTGATGGAGGATTCCTGTAGCTTGACAGTCCGGGAAGCTCTAGTCTTTCCCCTGAACGTGGAATCAACACAGTTCTCTGACCCGCAGAAAACTTACTGCGACAATATTCCTTTCAATCAATTCCTGCCCGGGCTGTTTTAGACGAACCGACAAAATGTACTGGGTCTCCAAGCTCCTTGCCATTGCGGCAACAGGTGCTTTGGGGACGAATGCGATGGAAGTCTCGATCTTCAGGTTCCCATCTGGGCACCTAGAGTCAGGATCTGTAACAGTATCGGAAGATTTTGCACAGCTCGCTCTGAAGATGGGTGTGGAATCATCTCTAGCATCTGTTCTTCACGGCATGGAGGCAGAAGTGGACCACCTCGACCAATTTGTTGATACCCAAATGCCTCTGTTCGGTAGCAACCACGAGGTACCTGGTAGAAGTCTGATTGTTCTTGAAGGGCTCCCAGTCGAGGCCGGTAAGCATGGTACCAATACGTTAGTTAGGATTCAAGAATTTAAAGCTAACTTTCCCACCAGGCATGAATATGCGCAAGAAGCATGTACCCAACCTTCTCGTCCCCGGTGCCTCTAATAACTTGGTCGACGAATCATTCATATCCATCATGGAAGGTGATAGTAAAGGGAGCCACTGCATCTACCAAAGAGGTGACGATGGCAAGACGAAGTCTAGTTCGGTATGGAAATCCCACCACTCTACTAGGGGGCCTTCGAGCAAAAAAGCTGTGTTACACACACACACACACACACACACACACACACAATGAATGTACTAGCTGACAGCCGCACATAGACCGTCAAAGACTGCCTTTCTAAGAGCCCGGTCCTTTCTCGTGATCAAAAGTTGTTCGGTCATGATCTTCTTGATCTGATCGATTCGGTTGAAACATGGGTGAGCAAGGATCAAAAAACAACTGCTTCCCGATTGTCGTTCAAGGTATATATACCCCTGTCTTGACTGAAAGAAACGCGCACTGATTCTTTCTCTTGTGAACAGACCGTATCTAGTGATAAAATCCTGTACATCAAACCTCTGGAGTCCATTTTCCAAGACCTGGCCAAATTATCTTCAACTGACAGCTGGGTTGCCACGGCTGTGCTTGCCACCTCGGAGTATGGCTCGGAAGTCCGTGGGAACATCTCCCGCCGGGGCGAAACATCACGGATAGAGCCCTCTGATGCACAGGATGATCTTCAATTTTCACCACGGGACCTGCCTCTGCACTCGAACCTCGCTCCTGTCTGCTATGCATCCAACTCAACTTGCACAGAGACAACCAACAACTGCTCTGGGCATGGGTACTGTTATTTGAAGTATGGATCTGGTAGTGATGCAACCGCCGGTAACTGCTATGCATGCCGATGCCAACAGACCATGGTGCGGAAAAAGGATGGTACTACCCAGAAGGTTCAGTGGGGTGGGCCAGCGTGCCAGAAAAAGGATATTAGCTCACCTTTCCTCCTGATTGCCGGTGTTAGTGTCTTTGCTGTCATTATGGTCAGCACCGCAATTGGCATGCTATTCAGCATGGGCCAGCAAGAGCTACCTAGTGTGATTGGAGCTGGAGTAGGCGGGTCGAAGGCGCAGACATGATGAAACCAAATCTCTTGCGTTTTCCGTCTCTCCGCTTCTCGGTTTCTTTTTATGTTCCTCTGCGGGGATTCCGACCTTTCATGTATACTACTGAAGGCCTGTTGTTGCACTTTTCTTACTGGGGGTTTGGGCTCTCCCAAAATCTTCGATCTTTGCCACATGTCTATATCGATTCCGACCAGACTTGAGCGTTTCCTGAATCGGGCACTACCAATAAATAATGCCACCACCTTGCCCAATGCTCTTGCTTGTTCATCAAACGTGTAAGATCTTCTAGTCCATACCTCATACCAAAATAACGACACATGGATACATACTTCACATCCATCTCCCTAGGGCCGTCTAGGAGGTTATTCATGCCACGAATATCTTTAGATGGTTTAGAAGTCTTATTGAGGGGGAGGGGGAGGGCTATACCCGTGCACCTGAGCATGGCGATACATATGTAGGAATATTGACTAGTAGAAATATGTACTAGACTCTAATGGGTTTTTACTAGGCTTTTAGTGGGATGATTTGTCAACTGGTATTTCAATGTTAAATATGTACCCTGGTGAAAAGAAGCTATGCGCAGCCCAGTGAGTATCAATTCAATCTTTGTTACTTTAATAAGGTCACAAGGAGATAATACCTGGTAGGTGATGGAGACAGTATCCTTAAGAGTTGATCAAAATTGATGGATATCATAGAACGCTTTCCTCATTATATATCAGAGGCAGCTTTCATGAACCCCCTCATATGCTTCCTCACGGGAAGCTTCTTAAGGACTCCAAGGGAAGGAAGGGGAGGAGAATGGAGGGTAAAGGCTGCCGTTAAATCATAAATGCCCCAGGGGCGGTACTCCAAGAGTCGATAAATTACATACAAAAAACAATATTTAACAAAGAAATGGCGGGCTGAGCTGGACAAACATTCCAGATGTTGAAGCAGCATGCAAGTATTTAGAAAACCAAGAAATCGTAAATGGAAGTCGTGGTGCAAAAATTCAAAGTCCAGCTTCGAGTTGGCCTGGGGTGCGGGACTGTTCAAAACCATTCGATGTCCCAGGAGAGGGCATTGCATGAGCGTTGGAAGAAGATCCACGTAGGCGCATCGGAAAAAAACGTGACCAATATGGCTGTCGTGTGACGTTCACTGGGTCCCGGTCTGTGCTATTTAATCGGCCTTCAGGTTGTGCAGGCTCCACATGAGGTTCCGACTGCGCACTTGGAAAAACACGCCTCGGAAGAGCTAACTGTAATCGAAATAGATGAGTTTGGTTGCTTCTAGGTTGAGCTGCACGAGGAGGTCTCGGTAGGATTTCATTGCGACTTGATACCGTGCGACGCCCTTGCCGATCCCCTGTCAAGACTCCTTCAGTGGTGTGTGCACGAGGCTTGGGGACATAGTAATCGGCCTTGCACAAAGGACAGCAAGCTCTCCGGCTAGTCAACCAAGGATCCACACACGAGGCATGAAAGGCATGTCCACAGGTCAATCCACGGATATCATCATCGTCCTCGATAACGTCCAGACAGATTGCACATGAATCACCTGGATTCGGAAGCTGTTCGGGCGGGACAGCTTTACGGATATGATCGCTTTCCTCGTCTTCCTCCAGGTCAATATTTTCATTGGCCAAGTTATGCCGCCATTTTTCCTCTGCAAGATCTGCTCCCGTACCTCCTTCAGAAACAATTGTAGGCTGAGTAGTCTCCAATGACTTCATATTTGATGTAGGCTGTGGATCGGAGGTACGATGTGGGGTTTCGAAGCCATTACTCTCATGTTCCATCCTAGCCGGAGTTAATTCATTTATCTCCGCGGAGACAATCCCTTCCTCATATATCAAGCTCTGCGGTCGGCTATTAGGGGCTGTGATGCCTCCCTCCGTGGGAAGACCTTGGTTGGCGCGTGACGACCTCCAGAGCTTGTATTTCATCAAGGGGAATCTCGCATTGACTTCGTCCATGGTCATCAGTCTTTTTTCCCGTCGTCTCCGATGAGGTCGAGGCATGGCTACCAGGTCAATGGGTTCCCCGGTTTCCTCGCTGCGAAGCTGGCGATTTCGTTGGTTGTACCGAAAACAATACTTGACCCCAACAATAATCCTAATTTACCATTAATATTTAGTTCCTTCATAACGTCTATCTGGCGGGAGCTAGGATCGATCCAGAAAGAGACAAAATGAGAAGATACATACCATAGATTGGTGAAAACAACGCCGAATCCAAGGGCAACAAAAAACAGAAGAGGCGAGCTGGTCGCCGAACCAGAACCAGTTTCAGTGCTACCCGTAGTAGTCGCTGCACTAGTGGCAGCTGAGGTTGCGGTTGCGTTCATTTTTTCCTTCCTACTGTCTTTTTTTTATTCAATAAAATAAAAAGGAAGATCAGAAGAAAGGAAGAAGAACTGCACAGGGGTAGATTGATGCGGATGGTGGCGGGCGTAATTCGCTCTGATATCAAGGATGTCGTTCTCCAGCATCCCTGAACCAAATTACCGCCCAAAGTTCAGGATAGCCACTTTTGTGGAAAAGCCAGGAATTGATGAGCCACAGCTCAAGAGTGTGCACTGAGAGTCATATAGCAGACTGGCGAGCACCTTGACAAGGGCGAATACAGTGGAGGATCGACCACGTTAGGGTCACTGTATTTCTCTGTACAGGTTAGGCAAGGGTCTTCTGTCACTTAGCCATACACCCCCTTTTTTTAATATATATATAAAGATATTGAATTGTATTTGTTTGAAGACTTTTTTTTTGGGAATTAATGACCTTGAATGGTTTCAAGAGCCAAGGAGGGCTGTGGAAGAGGGGAATTACGGATCAAAAGGACTTGGAGGTTGGGGGTAGGGGAGTCACGGGAGCTGATCGAAAGTCTAATAAAAAAAAAGAAAGGAAGATTACAGGTCATATGTATAGTACATACAATACAATATATACAATACTAGCTGAAAAGGCTGTATATTATCTGTAGGCCAGAAAAGAATACATACTGTATTTTGATTTATTTTGATTTGTTTGCTGTGTTTTATTTTCCTATGAACAAGATTAGTGTCAAGCTGACTGGGGATGATATAGTAGTACGGACAGAGGAAAAGAAATGAGTTGATAAATTGAATACATCGCCTGAAATTTCAATACCAAACGTGCCTAGGCTCTTCACTCCCGGAATCTGTAACCAACTATTCTATCCCCCAACCGTTCACCATCATGGCTGAATCTATGGTAATTAATCCCTCCAATCCGGTGGTGTTCTTTGATGTAGCCCTTGCGGGTAAGTATACTTTGTTATTTCTCTCCAAATTCATCTACTGATTTCCAATACAGGTGAGCCTCTAGGCCGGGTGAAAATGGAGCTTTTTGCCCATGTGACCCCGCGCACCGCTGAGAATTTCCGTCAATTTTGCACGGGTGAGAGCAAGAACGCCAAAGGACAGCCCCAGGGTTACAAGGGGAGCAAATTCCACCGTGTGGTATGTTCTCTGGGTTTTACGACTTGAGCCAGATGGACTGACAAGTTGAGCACAATAGATCAAGGATTTTATGATCCAAGGTGGAGACTTCATTAATGGGGACGGGACAGGATCGTGTACCATCTATGGAACTCCCAAGTTTGCAGACGAAAATTTTGCATTGACTCACGACCGTGCAGGTCTCTTGAGTATGGCTGTAAGTCTTCCGGAATAAGCTATCTTACCAATTTTGAAGATTCATATCAGCTAAGAAAGGATTTAGAATTCGGGGCCAAATACCAATGGTTGTCAGTTCTTTCTCACAACGACTGCTACGCCTTTTTTGAACAATAAACATGTTGTCTTTGGGCAGGTCATTGATGGATTGGACGTGGTTCGTATGATTGAACATACTCGGACCACAAGGGACAAACCAAATCAAGATGTAACCATTGTGCAATGTGGAGAAATGTAAATGACCTTTGACAACTCAAGTGCTCATAATACAAAGCAAAATGCTATATCAAAACAGATAGACATCAGAGAAGAGGAAAGGAAAGATAACCCCATATTAATACCATAATCAATAATCAATATATCTATATACAATTCTGTTTTATTCCAGAATAGAGAGGTAAGGTATATACTACTATGGTCACTCTTCCACTCTACCACTCTACCACTCTACATGAGTGGTTAAGTAAGGTCCATGGTGATGATTATTAGCATCTGCCAAAATACACCCGATGCTCTTGACCATGGGACCTTATGGATCCAAATCCATATCCATCGGGTCACCCAAGTCGGTGGGCAGAATGTTCTGATCCGCATCTGAGTGAGTGGTAGATTGGGATTTGGATGCGCGAGCCCGGGCTCTCGATTCGATGATTGCTTTGCGCACGCTATCCTTGTCTTTGGGAAGCGTCAGGGAGGACGGTTCAGAATAAAGAATTAATTCTTTGCCTTGCGCTGGGTTGGACGATAATACTGATTTTGGCATCGAGATCATTCTGGCTGCAAGAGGCAGAAGGATCAAGGTATCAGGTGGGTCTGGTTCGGCCAATTCATGATCCAGGTTATAGATGTAGGTGGTGTGTTTGGTGTCGTCCAAGAGCATAGCAGAATCATAGGAAGGTGTGTCATGTTTGGTCCGAGCACGGGAGTCATGATCTGCCCCAATGTTAACTCTTTGCTAATTCAACTCCTTCTCTCCTGCCTCTTCTTTTCGTGGGTTGGTTTCAAAGAGAGGGAAAGAAAGAGAAAGCAAAGCAAAGCCTACCGATCTGGAGAGAACCGAATCTCTTAGTTAGTGGTTGCGCGCCATCTGGATCACCATCGGCGGAACGCTTTTTGCCTTGGGGATTCTCATCACTCAGTGCCATCCACCCCTTTTTTCCCGCGTCTCTTTCTTTCTTTCTCTCTCTCTCTCTCTCTTTAATTTTTCTGGGGGTTTTTTTTGGTCCCACCTGAGAAGTCGTTTGGTGATTGATTTTATTATTTTTGAGAGGAAATTTTGGTGATTTTTTCCCTCTTTCCTTGAAAGATAAGATCCAAGTTGAGGAGAGAAAGAAGAAGAAGAGAGGGGGGAGGGGCCCAGTCACTTTAGCCGTTGATGCGGGTTCCTGGAAATGCCTTTGACTCATCTTTTCGCGCGGATTCCACCTTTCTCCCCTCCTCGCTTTGTTCGTATTCGCTCGACACTCTTGTCTCCCCCCATTGTCAGGATGGCGTCTGATACTTCCACCTGGTCGGCCGAGCGTGTCCGAGAGACATTTTTCGAATATTTCAAGCAAAATGGCCACACTTTTGGTAAAAAAGTCACCCCGCGATACGAGCTTTACTACCCCTCCTTTCTTCAAAAACTGACCCCTCGCCACCATGGCTCACGATTATAGTGCCCTCTTCTCCTGTTGTTCCCCTGTCTGATCCGACTTTGCTTTTCACCAATGCTGGAATGAACCAGTTCAAGTCGATCTTCCTGGGCACTGTGGATCCCCAGTCAGACTTTGCAAAACTGCGCCGCGCTGTGAATTCGCAAAAGGTATTGATATTGATAACTGCAGACCAGGATCTCTCTGCTAATCTTTTTTATTCAAACAGTGCCTTCGTGCAGGTGGAAAACACAATGTAACTACGCTTCAAACTCACTACTCTAAGAAACCCCAACTTTACTAACAACGTACACGCAGGACCTCGACGATGTGGGCAAGGACAGTTATCACCATGTGAGTAACTCTCCTTCTTTTTGTTTTTTTAAAAAAAATTGTACAACACTTATACCTTCTGAAACCAGACTTTTTTTGAGATGCTTGGTAACTGGAGTTTTGGCGACTACTTCAAGAAAGAAGCCATCACGTATTCGTGGACACTTCTGACAAAGGTTTATGGCCTGGACCCCGATCGTCTCTACGTCACCTATTTTGAAGGAAGTGAGGCAGGTGGCCTGGAACCGGATCTTGAGGCGAAGGAACTATGGAAGTCTGTGGGTGTCCCGGAATCCCACATCCTTCCTGGCAACATGAAGGATAATTTCTGGGAAATGGGCGACCAAGGCCCATGTGGACCATGCAGTGAGGTTCATTACGATCGAATTGGTGGTCGTAATGCTGCCCACCTAGTTAATCAGGATGATCCAAATGTGCTGGAAATCTGGAACAACGTTTTCATCCAATACAACCGAGAGGCAGATCGGTCTCTGCAATCCCTTCCTAGCAAGCATGTCGATACAGGAATGGGCTTCGAGCGACTAGTCTCGATTCTTCAAGATAAGTCCTCAAACTATGATACCGACGTCTTCACCCCGATTTTCCAGGCCATTCAGGATGTTACCGGGGCTAGGGAGTACCGCGGACATTTCGGAGCCGAAGATACCGATGGTATTGACACTGCCTATCGTGTAGTAGCTGACCACGTGAGGACCTTGATGTTCTCAATTTCTGATGGTGTCATACCCAACAACGAAGGCCGTGGATACGTGATTCGCCGAGTGTTGCGCAGAGGAGCCCGATATGCTCGCAAATACTTCCAAGTGGACATTGGAAATTTCTTCTCCAAATTGGTGCCGACGGTGGTGGCCCAACTCGGTGACATGTTCCCGGAACTAAAGAGAAAGCAACAGGATGTGATGGAGATTCTCGATGAAGAGGAGCTGTCTTTCGCCAAAACACTGGATAGAGGTGAACGTCAATTTGAGCAGTACGCCCAGCAAGCCAAGGCAAAGGGCGACGAAAAGCTCCACGGTGCCGATGTGTGGAGGCTATATGATACCTTTGGCTTCCCGGTCGACCTGACTCAAATCATGGCCGAAGAACGCGGCCTTCTTATTGACGACGTGGAGTTTGAAGAAGCACGCCTGAAAGCCAAGGAGGCTAGTAAGGGTCAGAAAAAGACTGCCGCGAATACAGTCAAACTGGATGTTCATGACCTGGGGAAATTGGAGAAGATGGATGACGTTCAGAAGACGGAGGATTCAGCCAAGTTCGGACGAGGCAATATCACTGCTCACATTAAAGCCATCTACCAGGGGAAGACCTTCTACGATAGTACCAAGTCCGCCCCTGATGGAGAGCAGCTTGGGGTTATTCTTGATTGCACCAACTTCTATGCTGAACAGGGTGGTCAGGAAAGTGATACAGGCAAGATTGTCATTGATGGACAGGCTGAGCTCGAAGTTGGCGATGTTCAAGTGTACGCGGGCTACGTCCTTCACACCGGCTTCATGAAATACGGAACACTCTCTGTGGGTGATGCTGTAATCTGTGAATACGATGAGCTTCGTCGTTGGCCCATCCGGAACAACCACACTGGCACTCACATTTTAAACTTTGCTCTTCGGGAAATCCTGGGAGATGGAATTGAACAAAAAGGGTCTCTTGTTGCAGCGGAAAAGCTTCGCTTTGATTTCTCTCACAAGGCAGCCATCTCGGACGCCGACTTGGAGAAAGTCGAGGCAAAAGCTACCGAATATATTCGCCAAAACTGTGCCGTGTACTCCCAAGAGGTCTCTCTGGCGACGGCCCAGCAAATCTCTGGCGTTAGAGCGGTCTTTGGAGAGACATACCCCGATCCGGTTCGTGTTGTCTCCGTCGGTGTTGAGCTGGAAGAGATCTTGCGAAACGTCCAAGATCCCCGATGGCAAGAGGTGAGTATTGAATTTTGCGGTGGCACGCATGTTCAGAAAACTGGTGATATCAAAGACCTGGTTATTCTGGAAGAAAGTGGCATTGCGAAGGGAATCCGTCGTATCATCGCCGTGACTGGTGAGGATGCTCACGAGGTTCAACGGGTCGCAGAGGAATTCGGAAAACGTCTTGACCGATTGGACTCGTTGCCGCTTGGCCCTGAGAAGGAACGGGACGCCAAGCAAGTACAGGTCGATCTTAATCAACTTGTGATCTCTGCAGTCCAGAAGGCCAGATTCCGGGAAAGGTTTATTGCAATCAATAAGCTAGTTCTGGATGGCCAGAAGGCCCAGCAAAAGCTAGAAGTCAAAAAGGCTGTGGAGGCAATCACTGCTTATTTCCAGTCGCCGGAAAATGAGACTTCATCGTGCCTCGTTGTCAAGCTTCCGATGCCGGCAAGCGCGAAAGCAGTCAGTGAATCTATCAGCCACGTCAAGTCGAAAATGCAAGGCAAGAACGTATATGTTTTGGCTGTTGACGCTGAACAAACACGAGTTGCTCACGGTTGCCACGTTTCTAAGGTAAATATCTGACCAATCGCTCCTTGGTTCACCTGGACCTTTTTTTTTTTCTCTTCAAATCTGACAATATCAAATATAGGAACTCAGCAACCAGGGTGCCTCGGCAAATGACTGGGCTGCCGTTGTCTCAGGTGCTCTAGGAGGTAAGGCTGGAGGTAAGGGATCGACCTCTCTTGGTAATGGGATCAACACAGACAAGGTGGATGAGGCTGTCGCATTGGCTTCGGACTACTTAAGCAAATTCAAACTCTAGTCTAGATAATAGTAGGCCTTAGGAAAAGTTTGGTAATAGTATTGACTATTTAAGCCTTATTTTATAACATAAAAGATTAGCTTGAGTAGAGACTTTGATAACCTCTAGTATAGTAGTATATAGCTTGTAGTAGATATAGCCTACAGAACTCTGATTTAGACTAGCACCTTCTGTTAATTTTCTACAGTTTAAATTATAGATGACGATGATGATGATGATGATATTCTATCACCCTAATGCTACCTAGCTAGTCATCGCCGTGGTAATGTAAGCGCCTCTTCCGTTGAAGCATAGAACATGTCCGTACGCCAGTAACGCCACGCAAGAATGACTGGAGACAATAGACTGGGCGGCTACCCGTACAGGTAATTAATCCTCAAGGTCCACGTAAAATCCTATAGTAAAGCCCATACCCTGCTTTCTTCTTCCTTCCCCGTGTTTACCCACTGCCAGCGTTCTTGGCTCGTACATCTTCTGCTTCATTGATGGCGTTCGTTGTTGTATTTGCGCTGTCGTCTCTGACTCTCCGTTACCGTCTCAGTGGCAGCAGATTTGGTGGTTTTGTATTACACAGCGTCTTCGCCGCCTGTCCCTGCTAGTCCATCTTGGCCCCCGTCTGTACTAGATCCACTTATGGGTTTCTTTGCTAGCGCCCCTTGAAAAGGGATATGTAGTCAAAGCTTTTTTGTAATCGCATACAAGTCCGATATGGTGTAGTGGCTAACATCGTCGTCTCTCACACGACAGCCGGGGGTTCGATTCCCCCTATCGGAGATATTTTTGCCCCCGGTGCTTATGTGTTGCTCTTGTTACGTCGGCGTATAGAATGAAGAATGTGTCCGCTGAGTGTACTGCCTTGAGCGTTCCAGGGCTCTTCCTCATGTTTATCTATGTAGTGTTCAGCAAATGGCAAATTCGACAACGTCCCACCGCCACCGCCCTAGTCCGCACCCATTTCAAGTCATAAGTCTTTCGGGAGTCGGACGTGCAAACGGTCCGAGAGTGGTGTGTGCTATGACAAACATGTTTCATTAGTAATTTATTGGGGTTGACCACGCACAAAAAGAACATCGATAACATGTGAAAGCAGTGGACGGCATATATTAATATTTTAATCCATCAGGAGCAGATTGTGTGTTTAAAAAGAAATTAAAAATCAAAAAGAAAGGTTGCGAATAGCATGTCCTGGTTTCGATCCAGGGTCCTCCGGGTTATGAGCCCGGCGCTCTTCCCCTGAGCTAACATGCTGGGATTATGTAAGGGCTCACAACTGTGGAACTATAATCCAAAAGTCTTCTAATTAATTAAACACATCAATCCAGACATTTATTACCACATATTTATCTTTGGTATTTTTCGAGCCTAACATGTTCAGACGGAGTTTTGGAACTCTAGATACATACTCTAGCTTATGAAATTGAAACAGACGTGAAAACCCTATTCTAAACACCCAGGGAAAAGAGAACGAACAAGAAAATAGCGGGGATGCAATACCATGTCCCGTTCAGCTTCCGGAAGAAAGAAGCACTACCCTTAAATCAAAGAAATGCTCTATATATTAAAGGGTGACCGAGTCTTTAACTGAGCTCTATGGAACTATGCTGATTTAACTTCCTGAATCTTACCTTCATACACCGCCAGGGATGGAGTCATGGTATTTTTTAAACCCCAAATTCGCGATCCGTTGTAGCAGGTCAAGCCGGCGGATAGTACATTCAACATGATGTAGGTTGGCTTCTAGATTAGGTGAACAACATTGACTTTGAATAATTCCTATGTTTCGATTAAAGTCAGTAGAAGTGCTTTATCCTGTCAAATATTGTTTGCCTTAAGCACTAGTTTATGCGGGGGCGCTTAAGAATGCTTCCAAAATCTAAGCCAATGGTATAATATACATAGTAAATGATAGTAGGATACAGCGCTGATGTGTTTAGGTCATATGTCCATAGCATTCAGGCCCCTTACTTTCATCCGTCTTAAATTCTCACCTCAGGTAACGGGTTAGCTCTTTCTAAATGTGCGCTCATCAAGTATTATCTTCTCGCTATAAATGGAATCCCTGTGATCCTGAATCCTGGTGGCACCTTTCGACGGATAGTCGCTTTAGGGGGCCCAGTCGGTATAAATCAGGGTGCCTTCAATCATGACCAAGTCATCAAGGCTGCTTTCAAACACAAAATACTGTCGGCGGTATTGCTACTGTTTACACGGATGGCGTGGTCCACTCCGAAATTAATGCGCGCAATTTTCTCGTGGCTGATGATTTATCGATCAAATTATGCGACTTCGCTGGATCGGGTATAGATTAATGGGAGTCTCTTGCGCAGGAGGAAACACTACATGCATATCAAATTCTTCCTTGGTCTCGACAAACTTTCAAAACCGACCTCTTTGTGCCAAATTCCATCATCTATGAAGTCTCTACGGGAGTACGCCCCTTTGCCGATGCAGACTACGAGGAGACCATGGGAAGGTATACGGCTCGAAATTTTACCAGTTATGATCTTAATTATGGCTAAGTCATCTTGAGATGCTGGGAAATGCAGTACTCTTCTGCTTATATGGTGAGGAGGGATGTTCATCGCTGCCATGGCGAAGGATCCGGGGTGAATGTTTACAGATAGAAATAAAGAATATCGGGTTTGCATGAATAGGTAAGAGGTCACTAGGGTGGGCGGGCTTAGTACATAACGATACTATCAAGTAAAGGCAGACTATTTGTAGATAATGACCCAATTTTCTCGCATAGGGCCGTGGTTTTACTTCAAAAATAAGGTAGCACAAAATAATTGGTTAACTAGTAGTATAGCACGAATTTTTATATTAAAATACCGCTCCATCAAGGCTTTGAAGCTCGAGGTATAGGCTATCTATTAAATTTTGAAATGGTATGAAAAAAAAGCTACTTTAAATCCTTAAAGACAATAAAGGAAAAAAAATTCAAAAAAGGGGAAAAAAAAAAGAAAGGTTGCAATAGCATGTCCTGGTTTCGATCCAGGGTCCTCCGGGTTATGAGCCCGGCGCTCTTCCCCTGAGCTAACATGCTGGGTTAATATTAGATTGGGTTATTTTGGCTATATAAACCAAGAAGATTTTTACTGATTAATCATAATAATTATATTAAAATAACTAACTTAGTACCGAGCATAAAGATAACTTTTAAATTTAGAGTAAAAAAGAACAAAGTGCGAAAAAAGAAACGCTACAAATAGCATGTCCTGGTTATCCAGGGAGCAAAAAGGACAAAGAGCAAAAAGAAGATTGCGAATAGCATGTCCTGGTTTCGATCCAGGGTCCTCCGGGTTATGAGCCCGGCGCTCTTCCCCTGAGCTAACATGCTGTGAATTGATGTAGTCCGTGCGCTCTGTAGATATATGGCTATAAAGCTTTTCTTCCAACTTAAGTTAATATTAATTGATTAGTATAATATACTAAAGTTTTGGGTAACTATCTAGTAAAATAATTTTTATATCTTATAAATACTTAAAATAATGATATTACTAGTAATTTCCTATATATAAAAATAATATATTAAATTTAAATAGTAATAAATACTACTAAATATTATTTAAATTTAATATATATATAACCTTATTAAAAATCTATTTAAATATTTAGATATTATATATAATTACTATATTAAAAATTAAAATACTTTATAATATAGCTACTATTAGGATTTAGAAGAAAGGCTATCCTATAACCTTAGTATAATACTAAGATATAGTAATATATATAGTTAGGGATATAATACTAAGAAGGATAGTAGTTATATAATTAAAGGGGGGTTTAATATCAGACTTAATAAAATAAATAAAGAAATAGAAGGAATAAGGGCTTCTATATTAGGGTAAAGCTAAATAGTATTAAATTAATATCTAAAAGCTTAGGTTAAGTTTTAAATAAGATAAATCTAATAAACTTAATAAATATAATAACCTTACTCTAATATAGTTATTAAATATATCTTATAAAAGATAGAATAGAAATAAGAATTAAAAATTAATAAGATATATAATAATAATAAATTAATTAATAATTTATAAAAATAAGAATAATTCTTATATAATTAAGATAAATCTAAATATTTCTTAAAAAATATCTTATTTAAGTTTTATTAGGATTTAGAAGAGAGGCTATCCTATAATCTTAGTATAATACTAAGAAGGATAGTAGTTATATAATTAAAAGGGGCTTAATATTAGACTTAATAAGAAAGAATAAAGAGATAGAAGGAATAAGGACTTCTAGAAGGGAGAATAAGTAAATTCTAGTTTATTATATAAAATATATAATATAAATTGAATACTAATTTTAGCTTAAATCCTATAATAAATATAAGATTCCTATTTTATTTAAGTAAGAGATTTAAGTTATTTAAATAATATAAATAATATATAAATATAATAACTATAATTAATAAAAGAATAATTAGTATAAATAAATAAAATATTATAATATAAAAAAAAGTAATATATATAATAAATATATAAAAAAAGAAGAATAAGATAAATCTTATATATTAATTAATAGATTATATTATTAATAAGTATTAATAAGATATTCCTTAATTAATTAATCTTATAATATAATATATATTATATTTATAATCTAATAATAATAACTTTTTAATTCTAATATAATCTCTTAGATTAAAATATGAAATTATTTTAATCTAATCTTTTAACTTAAAAATATATATACCAAGTTATTTAATAAATTTCTTCTATTATTAATAAATATAAGTCTTTATTATTTTATTTATAATTATATTCTTAATAAGAATCTAAATAATTATTAATCTCTTAGCTTATATTTCTTACTAAATCTAAAAATAATAAATATTAATATATTTTATTTTAGTCTAATAATTAAAATATTTATATATAAATAAATTAATTATTTAGGTATTATTATATTATAAATTAAGAAAAATATTAATATTAAAATTAATAAACTTAAATAAATACTTAATTTAGTATAATTAATATATAAAAAAT